ACTCCTTATCAGGCCAATCGTTCGATAGTGTAGGATTTCTTTCTACGTGAATCTTTGCAAACGTCTTGCATCGTTGATCTGTCCATCGTTGAACTACTAAAAGTGGACTAACTTTCTCCGTTGGATGTTCTAGTCCGCGACCGGAAGCCCAGAGCATTTGCAGCAGCTAACTGGCTAGACCAAAGCTTCGCCGACATTTTCCTTCTCGATCGCAGACTCACTCACTTTCTGACCAGTTCGTTCCCTCCTATATTCGGTTCTCCGCGTCCTTTAGACGATCCGACGAACGCGCGTTCTTCCGTCATCCAAGAGCAAAAATTTGAGGAAAAGCCATCTGGAGATTAAACTTAAACCCTTCGGAATCCCTACGCAACACGGTCGTTCCGTTGTACATCGTTCTCATCTGAATCCTTTTCCTTACAGAGCCGTCACCGCTTCAACCCACATCGCTGAGCTGTTCTTTGTGTGTGTCCCCGTCAAATCCGGAGGCGTCTAAGCCGGAGAGCTAAAACAGTGAGTCCGTTCTGTTCTTATGAGCTTGTTTCTCTTTCTACCACCCGCCTTCTTAGTGAATGACGTGGCAAAAGGCACGGCGACGGCTCGAATTTCATTCTCAAAGATGGTTCCGTTTTAGAATGAATGAATGAATAAATGACCACCCAGAAGTGAGTGGGAGTGTCTTGTGATACGGTAACCTAGAGCTTGATGTGTTCTGTTTCCCCAATAGTAGATCAAAGTTGATCCGAAACCTGAACCACCCCGGAACTTTTCATTCCATTTCCTCGGCCCTCCCACCTTTCGAGTTCAAACCAGAAACGAATCAAAAACAAACAAAGGTGGCAACTTTGTGCGAGCCGTCAAAAAAAAAAGCGAGTAATAGTGGTTGGGACCAAAAAAGACTGCACTTGCTGCTGCGGCGGCGAGCGCCTCCTCCTCCGGTTTCCCCAGGCTCGCCCCCCTTTTCGTGTAGGCGGACCTGGCTGCCATCCGAGTGACCCTTCCATCTCGTCATTTCTTTTCCAATGTCGGTGACATGCTCCTGACCCCAACGGATTCTTGTCAGAGCCCGCGAGTCGGCGAGCTTCTCCCATGATCCTCCCCCATCCACCCTCGCCAAATTGACGGGTTGCCGGCTCGCCGAAGGTGGCGATTATCAAAAAGTTTTTCGTGCCGTTCTCTCGCAACAAATACACAATTTTCAACACATTTTTCTTCGAGTTTTCATTCATGATGTGAGACTGGAAATTAGGCGAGGGAGGGTGTCATTTGAGCCGTGCCTTCTGGTCACTTTTCCGCGTGTGAAAGCCCAAACAATGCCCCGCCCACTTTATGGGGGTGGATTCGAGGTTGACTAGAAAGTAGTGAATGTCTCGGTATAAAAGGTTCCGGCTAGTTTCTGTCTGAGCATCTATTCCCTGAGCTACTGTAAGTACGCGTCCCTGGAACTACTACTTCGGGTTCGAAGAATTTGATTCATTGACTCAAACTATGACAACATCCACCTCCAACTAGATCATACAGAGAAGGGGTTTAGGATTTGAGGTTTAGGAGCTGAAACTGACTGAGCTGGCAGGAGCTTCTCAGGAAAGCTTGAGCTCCTTAACTACAAGTTATTGTCAGAATATATAGCTGCTTCGAGACAACCCAGACTTTCCTTTTCCTTGACCATACTTCCTAGACTCCACTCCTCAATTATCGAGTGCTCTGTGCTCGAAATGTGCTTGATCTTATTGCTCGAAACTTCTCCTTTTCTGCCGTTTCATCTCAATTCGTTCTCGCGCACTCATCACTGATCTCCTCCGCTTTCGCTCTTTCTCTCTTTGCTCCCCAAATGAGCACATCCTGGCCCCGGAAGTTGTAAACTACGTAGTTTCTTTCCGCACCTTTTCTTGGCTTCGTCGAAATGCATGTAATCCTCGTCCGATTGACGGCGGCGCCACGCCTAATTTGGCGGATTAGCGCGGAAAGCGGAAAGGCGCAAAACGAGGCTCCTCCGCTTTGGATCGTCGTCATTGCCGATGCACTCTGCTTCAATTTTGAAGAATGATTTCGACAACAACGTCGATCCGTGCGGATTTCGAGGGATTCGGAACGAGAGGGTGGCGGATAAGCAGATTGGACTGTGATAAAAATGGACGAAAACGGGCAGTTTGGGCGTTTGGCGGACGTCCTTCTGACGCCATTCGGCCCGTGAGCCTGAAGATATAAAAGTGATGTGATGTGCCATTCCGAACAGAACAGTTCAGTTCACTTTCCACCTTCGGTTTAGTGCAGAATGTCTAGCTCTAGAAATAATAACGTTTTTGGGTTTTGCGAAAGCCCTCCCAGCTACCGTAATCCATTACTCATGTGCCAACAACATCAGAGAGCAAAAAGCACTTCCTAAAAGCTCAGGCGTCAAAAGGCGAGGCTTTATTTGGGCCAAGAAGTGCGTAATGTTTCATATCCAAATCTCATTAATCTTTTTCTCTTCCGCAAAGCCGTCCTCTTCTACATTTCATTATTTGGACAGCTTGAGAAGTAGAAAGATAATTTGAAGAGGATCGCACAAAATAAGAAGGATTATCCAAATTGTTGCCGGCGACGCGACGAACATACGCGCAAAAAAGACTTTCCTGATTAGCTCATTAATCTTAAAGACGTCAAAAAGGTGGACCTGTGACCTGGAGCACAGCCGAAGGACACACATATATAAGGATGGGAGAAGCCGCCCGGCTCGGCGAGCTCTATCCCCTCTAAGAGAGCATTGAACCACTGCACCAATTACCCGACCAGGCGTTCCCGTAGCTGTTTATAGTGTGCTCCTCCGTACACATTCAATTAAAAGTCCTCCTGGGTGACGACTCAATGAACTGGTCACCTCGTTCCCCTTCCTGTCAAAATGACCACGCGCCAGTCACTGTGCGCTCATGATTCATAGCTCAGTTCCAGCATCGATTATCAGTTCAACTTCTTATCAATTACTATTGCAGAGAGAAACCCAACCCCCTTCCGACCGCCTATTTAGTTGCGGTTTTGGTGAACTGATTGTTCAGTTGTGTCCGCCCCTTCCGCTTGCTCTCTTATCTCTTGAGGGAAGGAAGTTCTATTGTCGGAACGTTCTGTTTTTGTATGATGTTGCAATTTGGAGTACTTCCTATTCAGATAAAACCGGGGGAGGAGCATGGGGCTTTAAAAGGAAGAAGGATGAAGCGGGAAGGTCAGAAGTGTCGAGTTAGATCTTCTCTGTCCGTCTTCCTAGACTCTCTTGACCCTCCTACTTCTAAGATACCGTAGTCCTACAGATTCCATCGTAAGTCCTACCGTACTCCTTATCAATTTGATCAACTCATCCTCAGATCATCACTAAGTCAAACTCCATCTAGGTCAAGAACTCTTTACTCAGAACGAGTCATCAGAACAGTCTTGTTTCGACTGATAACAGTCGTCAGAGCGTAGGCGAAACTGAAACTGATACGAACCATTTACGTCAGAGAACTGTCTCAATCACAATTACTCATCGATGACTCGTTTTACTGCTCGTAATGCGGTTTAGACTGAAGTCTGTCTCGGCTTCTTCTTTGCATCATCCAAGAACTTCTTCTGTACACCCACACCCAGTTTGGCGGCGATGCAAACTACAGTCGGCGGTCGCGGTGATCGTCAACTTATCAGTTGTCACCTTTTCGCCAGTTTCCGTCACGTCACTTTTTCGCGTGGCCCTTTTCTCCCCGACGGAAAGTGCTTTAAAAGGCAACAAAATGCACGGGGGACTTGTCGGGGGATTCTGAAGAAGTACTTCTGGGTATTGCTCTGCTGCTGCGTGAATCCTTTTCGTGTGCTTCTGTTCAATTGACCTAGATAGACAGTATTGTGGATACAGTTTCGAAATTTTGCGTAACCGCTGAGTCCATGAAACCTATAATACACAGAGCCATTCCTTGAACCAAAATATAACGAAAGTTGCACTTTGTGAACAATTAAACACAATTTATCAACTAAATTTGCACTATCTAAATTTGTCGATGACGTTCCGACTGTCATTGTTCCTATCACTCCATTTCGGCGTTGCAAACAATTCGTAACCACTTCCCGATTCATTTTGCCGACATTTTCTCCAGCTACCGTACTCCTCCTTCTCCGTTTTCTCACCAATGACCGCGTTTTCACTCGTTCTTCAATCTTGCGCTCGTGAATTTCGGCGTCATCTTCAGACGTGCTCATCCTGTCTCAATCATTCAATCAAGTCTTCTGCGGGACTAAGAAGCTTTGCCTTTTCCACTTTTTGTGCTCGTGTTAGGTTCCGTACGTACATGATACTCATAGGCTCACTTTTCGCAACTTCCGACGTCTTCCGTTTATTTCTGTCTTCTCCCAATTACCGCCGAACCTCTGGGGACCGTGGTTGACGTGCGCTCTGATCCTCAGAGTCTGACCAGATCACTGATTTAATTGGCTCGTTGAAATGAGCTATGATATCACTGTCTAAGGATCCACCCCGAAGAGCTCAGTAGCATCGTCTTCATTCTTATTTCCACCTGTGCCAATATCCGTATTTAGGAGCCAGAATTCCAAAAATAAAGGTGTGTCGTAGCACGAATTCCATGTGGCCCCCCGCAGAATTACGTAGATACTTGCCCCCATTAAGCGCTGGGGGCAGATGAAAAAGTTGGCGAGAAGAACACAAGCTGTTGAGTTTCTTGTTGCCTGATCGGCCATTGTCACTGGCGGCTGCACCTGCTCAGACACTTGTGTTAAGATTGACTGATGACGCCAAAATGAGGTAGTCAAACGGCCATTACCGATTCTGACACCGTCTTCTTTTTCGGCACCGATCCGGGGCGTGGCTTCTGTTTGTGTGTGCGTGTGACCTATTTCGAATCTCTTCCGATCGTTGATAAAAGGTTCCCGATTTGCAGATTTGCCTGCCTGACGACCCATTGACGTCATCTGTAATTTCTCCTACTTTCTCAACACTTGTTCTACCGCTCATTGTTCGGATGCGCGGTCTGTTCGACTGAATGGAACAGCTTACTATCCAAACGGACGAATTGCGAAGTCAGGTGAGCAGGTGCACACACTTTCCCCCGACGGTGTTCGCTCCGAACTTTTTCTTTTTGGGCTGGAAGTCTAGAGAAATAGGGCAGGTGGTATGGAGGGTAGACTGGGGAAGTTCGCTGAAAAAACGAAAAGAAAAGAAGAAACAACTGAGGTGCGGTTCAGTTTCAGAACTATTCGCCAGCTTCATCTGTCGACAGTAGCTACTCTTCCTGCTCCAGCGTGGAGGACGAAATCGAAATCTACACGCGCCTTGTGCGGAACGAGGCGCCGCTCCGCAAGGACTATTTCCGCGAGATGTCCAAGAACTCCTCGTGCTCATCGTCCTTTGATTACGGTACGTCCGCGCTCGCTTCTCGTCCCAAGTTTCTCGTTTTTCAGGAGAGCTCGGACCATCTTCTTCGTCTCGGAAAGGCTCGAAAACAACCGATGCTGACCTGGACAGTCTGTTCCGCTCGCTCGTGGTGAGTTCTAGCAATTCGGTGATGTCATTTGACGACGCACTTCTATCGTACCTCTCCCCCCAGGTGTCTAGACTATTTTCAGATCAGGGACTTAAGTCTGAGACTTGAAGGATTGGGTTCTGGGGGACTTGTGAATCTGGAATAATAAAAACATCGAGTCATCGGGAGAATTGCGACCCAATTGTTTACGAATGAGCTGGAAAGGATGGGGGCCCATGGGTAGTCCCCACCTCAATTCCGTTTCATCAGTTTCCCACTCAACCTTTCTCAGCTCCTTTTTATCTCTTGACTTTAACATTTTCGGTGAGAGAAAACTGGTATAGTTCCCTCGGTGCAAAAAAGGTGAGAGTGAGAGAGGCGACGTAATCGTCAGGCGGTACTCTTTTCAAAAAAATTATATCGTTTTCCCACGTAGTTCCCGCCCGTTTCACCCATTTCGCTTCGATAATTGGTAAGTCGGCTCCCTCTCTCTCTCTCTCTTTTGCTCTCCCTTTCGTTTTCGAATTCAAACGTATTGCACCACCACAGGTTGCTCGCCCACTTGACTTTCTCTTTCTCGCCATTCCTTTTTTGTGCGCCAATGTTTGTCGCCGATTAGTCATAGACAGTAGCCAGGGGCGTATGGGGTGGGGGACCCAAATGTCACTTCTCTATTAGTATAACTGCCTCTCCTCACACTTCTTTTGATGTTTTTCTTGCTTCTGCTCACGACAATGTTTGACTTGTTGCTCGCTTCTCCTTCTTCTACAGTACCCTTTCGATGTTTTTATGCTGGTTCTCCTCGAAATGTGTAGTCTGCTCATTTCGATCGGCAAAAAGCATTTCGATGGCATTTAAGATCAATTATTAAAACCTCTAGAACTGATAAGTGGTCTAGGGATAACAATGATTATCTATTGGTAATATAACCCATGTTCACCTTTTACAACTTTACAATACACAAGTTCCGGGGTCTTTATGATGTTCTAGAAGGCAATTCATCCTTCTTTAACTACAAATGATCAACTTTTTGTCCGTAAAGTTTGTTATGAGGTAACTGCTCATTTTCGCTCACATTTCCTCAAAAGTCCAATATCGGCTCTGCCTACAGTAAGACATCTACTTGACTATGATTCTGCTCTTGATAACTTGATAGTTTTGGAATTCGTTACGACCGCGACTGATCGGTGTAGAGCGAGACCTTTCGAGTTGCTTGCACCCACACCTAATTGAGGGATACATGTGCCATTTGGAGCGCTCCGCCGCTTCTTCACAAGCTCCGAAACAACCCACAATTTGGTCGGAATCCCTTCGCGCTCCCTTTCATTCTCTCTGATTTGTTGGTGCCTTCTCCATCTGTCACCGCGCACCTTTCCGACCAATTTGCTCCGTTTTGCTCGTGTTGCTCTCCGTTTGTCAGTTTGTCACTCACATGGCTTCTTCTTCTTCTTCTCCTCCTCTTTTTTCCTCATCGCATCGTCATCATCATCATCACGCCTCCCCGGTGGTCTTCTGCTCGCGCTTTGACAAATCCTCGGCAGAAGCAGGCTCCGCCCCTTTTTCAGCGAGAGCAGCCTGCGCCCCGGATTTTGTTGATATTGAGAGACATTGAGTGAGAGCCCTTTTTACGCCATCCTCCTGCCCAGACTTGTTCCCCCTAATTCCCCCTAAATCTGACAAGAAACGATGAGCAAGCGAACGGCAAGCAAACTCGAAAAACCCGTGGCTCGGCTGCCGACAACTGAAGAACTGGCGGCCGTTGGCCTCAGCTTGGCTGGACTGATCAAGACTGAAATTGAGAGTTTGCAGGAGACTAGCGATCAAGCCAACACCGTTCCGACTACGGTAGCCAAGACTGAAGTGGACAGCATTCCGGAAGAGTTAGAGCAGGTACCCGCAGCACTCAACCTCACCTCACATTCACCGATTTCCCTACAGAAACCATCCTCATCGACTTGCCCGCCCGTTCATCCAGTTACCGAAATGAACTCGATCCACATCAAAAGCGAGCTCGACGCCACGATGGCCGCCTTCCCGATGCCACAACACCACGATCTGTTCCTCGGAACCAACCCGCACTACAACCCGTTCTCGTAAGTTTCCGTGCAAATCCGGAATGACTGCACGTCACATCCGCACGTGTCTTATTGTGGATTACTTAGAGATACGTAGTAGAAAGAAACAAAAAAGCAAAAGGGATTTGGGGATTAATTGGGATCGGATTAGGCCGAATCTTAAGGATTTGCAGGCTCACCAACGAGTTCATGACCGCGCCGAACAGTCTGATGCCGTCGTTCGCGTCCCCGTTCTACCAGCACAACTTCTCGATGACCTCCGATTCGCGACGTGGATCGCAGGGCACCACGAGCTCCTCCACGAACACCGGAGGCACGCCGTCGCCGCATTCCAGCTCACTTCCGACGTCGCCCCCGCAGTTGCAGGGCTTCTTGAAGTGAGTTCATTTTCGGGAACGTCTCCGAATCTAGTTCCTTTCAGATCTTTCTTGAACCCGGAATCCCTCAGCCAGACTCCGTTCGGCATTCCATCCGAGCCAGTGCTCGACGCTGATAAGCTGTGCGCAGTGTGCAACGATCGCGCAATCTGTCTGCACTACGGAGCACGCACTTGCGAGGGCTGCAAAGGATTCTTCAAGCGAACTGTCCAGAAGAACTCCAAGTACACGTGCGCCGGCAACAAGAACTGTCCGATCGACAAGAGATACCGTAGTCGCTGCCAGTATTGTCGCTTCCAAAAGTGTTTAGAGGTCGGCATGGTCAAAGAAAGTGAGTAAATGATGAGCAGAAAGTTCACGAGCGTTTGTTGTTTCAGTCGTCCGCCATGGCTCGTTGTCGGGCAGAAGAGGCCGTCTCTCTTCGAAGACGAAGCTGGCCCGGTCCGAAGATCAGCCGTCGCCGCCGCTTCCACTTTTGGCGCTCATGGGAAAGGCGGTGGATGACCACACGAATCTTCAAGTCACGCATCAGTTTGTAAGTTGCCACGTGTGCAGAAGGGGAAACTTGAATAGGTCTCTCCGATTCAGATGACTCCGTTCGATCTGAACACGGCTCTCCACATTCTGCGAATGGAGTACGTGGCCACCAAGAAGCTTCTATTGGCGATGCCGCAGATCTGCGAGATCCAGGAGCACGACTTCTGTATCCTGCTCGCGCGCTCCTTCTTTGCCATCCTGGCCATCCGCTGCGCCAACCGCTTCGTCTCGAACCCCGAGGCCATTCAGTTCGAGTCCGGAGAGCTCATCCTCGTCAGCGCCTTCCCGGCCTGCTTCCAGCAGATGCTCCGATTCGCCATGACCAAGGCGCAGACTTTCTCGGCGCTCGTCGATTGGGAAGCTCAGGCTTTCGCTGCTCTCATTGCTCTTCAGTTCTTGTCGGGCAACACAGGTATTTCGGGAGGTCGCGAGCCAGTTCCATCCTGCTCATTTACAGATCTAAACGTGCTGAACCTCAACAACAAGCCGCTGGTGGACCAAGTGCAGAGCACCATCATCAACGCCCTCAAGGACCATTGCAGTGGCTCGCAGAACAAGTTGGCAAAGATTGTGAGACTGGTCAGTTGGGAGGAGACCTTCCAGTCGGGAAAAGGGGACGTCATCAACTGTCTGGTTGAAAATGAAAATTATTTGTGCTCATTATAATCCCGAGCAAAGAAGCTCGATCATGATGACGTCGCATTGGAAGCCTTGACGAGGAAGACACATTTTGCACTAGACTCTCGCACCCAACTTTATACGTTTCAGATCGACGAATTCGAAATCTTCCATAGCCTCGGCCTCCAGGCCTTCGACGCGATCCACCCGGCACACCACCTTCCGGACGAGTTCGTCTTCCTCATGAGCATCACTCGGGCTCCCCTCCGAACCGCCGAGTCGACCGTTCCCGCGTGCGGAAGTCCCGCCGCCACCCCGGCGAGCACTCTCTTCACCTTCCCCACGGCCTTCTAAACTCTAGAATCGTTCCTTCTACCGTATCTACCGTAGTCCATAGCCTATTTTGTCTCTTTTCTATTTGTGCTCATCCTAAATACAATATTTTATCAAAATTGTTCGCTAGCCGCATGCCCGCATATCACTTGTACTTCTCCTCCTTTTTCGCACACATCGTTAACTTATTTGTTCAATTCGATTCCTGACCCCCTTTCCGAAAATCAAAATAACTGCATACCGGTATATTTGTCGCCCCACCTCTCGAAAAGAAGTTCTCAATCCCCTCACCGATTCACAAATTTCCTATTTGTCGTAACACAAAATTTGATTTTCACAAACTTTCACAGATTTCTAATATATTTTTTAATTCGAATACAAATGTTTGTATAAGTTTATGTGTTATATAAAGTTTATATATTTGTAATTAGAATCGAATTGAGCACCGGAGAGAGACAAGAAATACTGAAGGATAGAAGAGGAAAGTGCGTAGGCGCGCTCCATCGGACCGGAGGAGGAGGCTCAGCAGAAGTTGTTGCGCAGTTGTCGTTTGTTGCGTCGCATGTACAGCACGGCGGCCTTCAGATCGGACTTCAGCTCGCATCGGCTGAAGCCACGATCGTCGACGATGGGCTCCGGGTGCGCAAAGTCCGGACACTTCTTCCCTGAAAAGTTCGAGCGATGACGTTTCCCTGTTGATTTGATTTCAAACATCGCAAAGTTAGCCGAAATGTCAATGAGTGCCGGAGTGCAGGTGAGAAATGAAAGAAAAACGGAAAGGCCATGACATTTCACACGAAAGACCGTTACCCGGGGGGGGGGGAGCCGATGCACCATGTGCTTAGCAGATCTCTGATTCCTACCGAAATGTTCTGTACTCTTTGCAAATCCGTCTCAGTCGGCATTCCCCCTAACTCCCTTAATCCTCTTCCGTTTGCAGGTACATCCCCCCCTCCCCTAGCATTCTGACCTCCTGTGACGTTGCATTTCTCTTGACGGATTAGTCTCACTTTTCCTTTTCTTCCTTCTTGTTTTGTCACCGCTACAGAGATCAAGAATTATTGGCGGTTTTGAAGCACTCAATAAAGTCGCGCGCACTTTTCAGAACATTTTACTTTTCGCTACGCCCACTCACAGCATTTGTTGAACAGAAAATGGCGTCCCTTCTCGCAGAGACATCGGGACGGAAACTGGGAACGATCGCAGATTGTGCTCTCACACGCCTGCTTGCACTGGTCCTCGATCATACAGCCCGTTTCGTTTGGCTTCAGCGCTGAAAATTGAGTGTTTGTGTGTGCCCCGACACTTCCACGAGCTGCATTACCAGAAAGTTGTCAACGGGAAACATGAAGTTACAATATTCATTCTAAATTTGTCATTTTAAACCGAATTCCTAACGGGTTCGGCTTCTTTTCCTGGGTATATTATTATGTTTTTACCTGTCACACAACAAGTGTTACGATTACATCACTTTCGAGAAACTTAGTGAAGAATCCCCCGAAGGCACGCTTGTTTTCGAATGATGGTTTAGAGACCAATCCGAGCAAGCAGTATTGGAACAATTTTGATGCTGGGGGACTGTCAAGACCTTAAAAAAAGTAACTGACCCATCAGACAGCAGCCTTTCGAGTAGGCGGTCGCGTGGAAACAACTCAATCCGGTGTCACAGTCCAGAGTCGTTGTGCATTCTGAACGTCTTCGTTCCTACAGTACTTGTAATTCAATCCTCACCTTGTGTGCACGTGAAATCCACCAGTTTTGCTTGTAAAATCTCAATAATCGGATAGTACCAGGGAGTTTCGGTGGCTCCAATTGAGCTGGAGCACAAGAGGAGCACAAAGACGATTCGTCGGAGGGAAGTCATGAAGGAAACTGATATGCGAACGGAGCAAGTGGGCCGGCCGAGGAAGTACTTCTGAGCAGGATTGAGCAGGGCCGAAGGGAAGTCGTCAGAAAGAGCAAACAAGTGTGGGACAAGAGTAGCCGCCGGGAGCCGCCGAGCCAAAAAAACGTGTTGTTTGAACTGAGAGTACTTAGGCTCACGAGAAGTGAACGGATTAGGAGGTAAATCGGAAAAAGGAAAGGGAAAAGGGAATGTTTGGGGGGGGGGGCGCTGTGGGAACGACACGTACGACCAGGGGAACACGAGGTGGAACAGAGGGTCAGCGGGGTCAGGAACTGCACGAATTCGAAGTTCACAGACAACTGAACTTTTCGAATTCCTCAGAGCTGAACATCGAGAAGGCCGTACCTCCGAAATCCATATTATTAGAAACTAGAACAGATAGCTGTTCTTACAGGTGTACCGTAGTTTTTCACGTCGGTTTTCACAGAGTGTTCCAGCGTCTTGGAGGGATTCTGAAACCTATAAATTCTCCGATATCTTTGTCGTGTTATCGCCAACACCTTCTCCAACTTGCGACCGCCTCGCCCGTCTCTATCCGTTCCCGCCTCGCGCGTTCGTTTCCGCATTGTTTATGTGTCTCATTAATGTATCGATAACGCAGGCCTCTTGGGTCCGCCTAAGTTTAACAATTCGATCCGAACTGCCAATAATGTGTCCCCTCGCTTACCTCGCCTCGCCCTTACACAGTGTCGCCCGTCTCCACAGCTGACTGCCCTCTCTAATCACCTCCGCAACTTGTTCCAACTCCCCAGCTCCTGTCTACCTCCGATTCGGACAGCGCCCCTTTCTGCAAAAACATTGAATAATGCATACGATTCGGTATAATAATGCTGGACCGTGTCTGCGTCTCTTCATCTCGCACACTATTTCGCCCGGCTTCTCCTTGCCCCTTCTTCTTCTTCCATATGTTCGGTTTCTGTGTGTGTGTGTGTTGCCGGTCTCCCGTCCGTCCGGCTGTTCACCGACCTGCCGAGTCTCTGCGTTTCTTCGTCCTGCACACTCTCTCGTCGATCCGTCAAATGTTGCGAGAGGGGGAAAAGAGAAACGATGATCGGGGCCTTTTGATTTGCATTCGATATTCTTCGCACATCCTGAAATTCCTTTATTATGACACCACCGCCCGCTTTTCTTTGTTTTGTATTGTTGCTCTCCGTTGAGCTACTGTATCATTTTAACGAACGTGATCTTGACCATCAAAGTAAAGTTTACCCTGTAAATTGTTAAATTGTTCTAGAAGCTTTACCTTACAGTAACCCTAAATTGTTTCTGAACAGTAAGACACCTACTTTTGAAGTATTCCTCAAACGAATTCTGCGAACCTGCAGCCTTTGTGCAATATTTCGCTCTTTAAACCATAAAATGAGTGGCCGTCCGTGCACTCGGGAGGCCCGTAAACCATTCCGATTACTTTTACAACAGGCGTGCCCATCAAACTCACTCTCTCTCTCTCTCTCTTTCTCCCGTGTTCTCAGTTCTCAGTTCCCAAGTTGCAATTTCCACTCTTCTTTTTCGTTTGCCATTCCATTCCATTCCAATCCGTTCTTGTCCTCATTCTCATTCCCATGAATAGCAAAGTGGGTAAAAGAGCGCATATCAATAGTCTAGCCAATCGCATAAATCAAACAAAAAATGGTGGAATCGGGGGGAGAAGGAGGTCGTGTCGAACATGCAGCAGGACATGTGTTACGCGTGTATACTCGCGGAGGAATCGGCGAGAAGGGCGTGTTTGCCAGATAGTTTAGCCCGTATTCTGATTGCGCAATAACGTTCTTTTGGCCACCTAGTTCAGTAGACAGATTACTTGATCGTCTGAGGTTTCTAGCTCTTCAGGACCAGTTTTGTGAAGCTGAAACTTCCCACAGAAACCTTACATTTACCTCTAACCTGGTTCATTTTGAAGAACACAATACAATTGAACTTTTATAAAAAAGAAGAGCTATACCGCACTTGGTAGTAACAATGTTTCCCATTCGATCATGACTACGTGCCAAGACGCTTTGCTTTGATGAGTCAGTTTACCTAATAGCCTAGCCTCCAATTTGGTGACTCATCCTGGCAGGAGTACGGTAATGACTCAGTTCGCTTTCAAGTTTCGCCTCGCCACTGCTCACTATTACAACTTATTTCATGACCCTCATCGTTCTTAATTTCGACATCTCTCACCCCCAGCAGAAGCTCAACCTATCATCCCTTCCGGTCTCCTCACTCTCTCTCTCTTTCTTCTTTCTTTCCACTCCTACCGCTCATCAATAAATCGCCCTCAAATCGTCTCATAAAAATGTTCTTGTGCTCTCCAGCATGCGCTCATTTTTCCCCTCCTCTGGCCCAGGGCGCAACTCTTCGCCGTCGTTGATCAATTCGAAAGGCGCCCCGCGTTTTTATTACTCGACGTCTCGTTTTACACATTCCCGGCTCGGCCCGGTCCCTCCGAGTTTTTCGTTTTGCCGCCCGGAGTGAAGAGTCTTCTCGAACGAATGGACACTTTCGAATGATGTACTTACTGCTGATGTATCCACGAAAAGTTCGTTTGGTTGGCAGTCAGCTACCAGTTTCGTCGCTCGCGTCAGCAGTCTTTTGTTAGCCAAGTTTAGTGGGTTTGGATGATGATGATGATGATGGTGATGCGGTTTGATTGGATTTTCTCTCCTGTCTCTGTATAAAGTATTCATTCCACTCGACTTCCTTTCCTTTCTCCCTGAAACTGTAGTTGAGTAGTACTGTAAGCCTGACAATCAGAACAACTATTGTCTTCTTCTTCTGAATATGTCCCCAACAACCGTTTCATCTTCGTCTTCAAAAGCCCCCCTCCCCCCCTTTGCATTACCAGAAAAACTTTGCTCGAAACAGCAGCAGCACCGCCAAAAATTCCATTCTAACGACTTCTATCATAGTGTTTTGCTCGGCGTCTCTCCGACCTGCTCACTGTCTCTTTCGCCTCCGAAAACCGACCGATACATCATTGGCTGCTGACTCGGTTGATCCCTCTCGGGGATTCCTCCCGCCGACGAAGATGTTTCTGTGCTTTTTGGTGGACATGAGCACGAAAAAAGGGGAGAAACACGACGACTCGGGTTCATTTCATATGCACAATTTGACCGCGTTTGGTGGCGAGAAGAGTGCGAAAAGAAGGCGGATATGTTTTCTGCGGATCCGCCGCTGCTTTGGAGCAGTTGTGAAAAGAAAGAGTGAGAAGACTCGTTTGACCTCCCAACTCGCAGCTTTTGCAGAAAAAGAGAGAATGAGAGAGTGTTGGGTTTGAAAGGAATGGAATGGACACTTTGTTCCACTTTGTTCCGCTAAACTTCTATAGTTCCAGTGGCCAATGTGTCATTCCAGAGTTCCTAACAAATGTCTGAATCACGCTCTACCGCACTTCAAGTGAACTCAATGCTGTTTTCATAATATTTCTGGTTTCTAAAAGTACTGTGAGCCAAAAGGGTTCCGCGTTTCACCTGACAGAGCATAGCTAAAGCTGATTGAGCCAATTTTGGAAAGAGTCAAACTCATTTACTTCTCTCCGATTTCCTTTCCCTTTCCTTCTTTCCACAACAACTAAACCCTAAATGTCATCATCCTGGAATTCTGGCAATTCTGGATTACTGTAGAAGTCCTCAGTTTGCCAGCTCATTGAACTTCAACCGTTTCGTCTCTCCTTCTCGGCCCTCATCAGGACCCTAATTTGCACGCCTCTTATGTCATTCAATTATATCATAAGCGACTAGCCGCCCTCTTCTTCTTCTTCTTCTTCTTCTTCTTCTTCTTCTGCTCCTCCCTCTTCTGCTCTTCCTTAATTTCTAATCCGCTTTTTGGTGCGCTCTCAAGAGTGCGTTGCTTGCTCGCAAAGGGAAAAGAGAGAGGGAGGCCAAGTATATATTCATTATTAGCTTCCAGATTAGAAAGAAGGTCTCTTTCTGTCTGCCACGTCGTCAATCACAGCCAACTTCTCGTGTGTCACATGTCCTTTCCGGTGTGCGTTTCCGTCCTTTTCGCCCTAATAATTGCCTCCAATCCGTTTTTCCATTTTTGGCCCCAAAGAGTCCTTCTTCCTCCTCCCTCTCCATCTATTTTTCCCCCGAAAACCTATTCGTTTTCCCTTCCACTTCATAATGTGTTGCGGCTCCGGAAAAGACGTCTTCCTCTTCATTTTTCTCATTTATCCGTGCTCCGGCCTGCCTTGTCGCATCTGTCTCTCGGACAATCCTCCACCGAAATGAAGATTTCGTTTGTCTCGTTTTTTTCTCTTTTTTCCTGCCCTCCAAAGTGTCGATTCTTCCGCTTTCCGCCCCATTTATTCAATTTCCTCCTTTCCGTCTTCCAAAAGCCTCTTTTCTTGGCGTGCTCCGAGCACTCTCACCTCATTACGTCGGGGAAGAGTCACTCCGGGAGACCGCCACGTCATCGATCATTCGGACGGACGCGTCGCCATTGGAGTTCGGCCTGGATTTGTTTCGTCTATTTTTCATTTTGTCAGGAATCTCGTCTCACTGGGTACAAATGACCCTGTCAGAAAGCGCTTCATTCTGAAGTTTCCAGTTCCCAAAAGAAGATAGTTGAACTATTGTCCCCGTCGAATTCTGGCAAATGCGCTCTACCGCAATCCCGAGCTTTGAATTTAAGATTTTGCGAGCGGTCGGAATAGCGCGATTGCCAAACTTGCCAAACTTTTGTAGCATGAAGTTGAGACCGATTTCTAGAAACTTACTCTCCTAATAGAAGGAATACATTAACTTTTGAATACAACGGTATATAATTCACATTCGTAATTGCAACAGTTTCCGCCTAGAAGCTCTATGCTCCATGCTCTTTGCTTCATCCTGAATTGCACTTCACCAGCTCCCCATCAGCATCATGTTGCACTTCCTTTCTCTCCGTCCCCTTCTTCTCTTCGTTCCGTTTTCTCTCCCGAATGTCCACTCATCCTCTTCTTCCGTTCATCTGTTTTCCATCTCCCACCGACTACTTTCCTGCGTTCTTCTTCTACTTCTTCCGCTTCTTCTTCGTTGTCTCAGTTGAAAAAAAAACTATAAATTGAGGAGCAAATTGAGTTCGCTGACCTGCCCCTTCGTTTTGTTTTCCCGGCCCTCTCTCGTTCCCTTTCAGCCAGTTTGTTTTGCAGAAATGACATAAACGTCGTCGGCGGTTTCGAAATGCGTCTCGGCTCCAACAGTTACGATGTGCAACGGACGGAGGCCATCGGTCAGGTGTCCGTGAAGTCTCCGCCTCCGAATCACATCACCTGCACCGTCTCATTCTTGGATAGCACTTCGTACCACTTTGAAATTGAGGTGAGTCACGGGCGAAGTTGTTATTGTCAACATCCTGCTTTTTCCAGAAAAACTCTCTCGGAATAGTCCTTTTGGAGAAGGTTTTCACCTATTTAGAGATCATTGAAAAAGACTTCTTCGGATTGGTTTTCATCGCCGTCGACAGTTCCAGTCAACAACAGAAAGTGAGTCCAACAAATACAGTACGTTCCAAAGGCTTTTTCACTTCAGAAATGGCTGGACCCGTCGAAATGTCTGCGGAAACAGATGGTCTGTCCCCCTTATCACCTGTTTTTTCGCGTCAAATTCTACGTCCGCGATCCGAATCGTCTGAGGGACGAGTTCACGAGATTCCAGTTCTATCAACAGGTTCGGTTGAATCTCGAGGAAGGACGGCTGCCGTGCAATGAGGGATCTCTGGCTCTTCTCGCCAGTTATGTCGTCCAATGTAATCATTCAACTTTTTATATAGACTTCCACGAGCCACATTTGCAGCCGAGGTCGGTGATTTCGAAGAGAAAACACATGGATTAACGAGGACTTGTCTCTGCTATAAAATCCAGTTTGCCACGTTGCCAGATGACTTTTCGGATCGGGTCGCAGAACTTCATCAACTTCACGTGTAAGTTTTTATTTTCTTAAAAGAAACATTTTGAATCCAAACCGAGCCACACTTTCAGTGGCCAAACGCCGGATATTGCCGAGCAAAACTTCCTCGATCACGCTCGACGGTTAGAAATGTACGGAATGGACGTGTACGACGGACGAGACGCCAATCATCTTCCGATTGAGATCGGCGTCGGCGCGGTCGGCATAAAAGTGTTTCACGACGGAATGAAGATGAATGAATACGTCTGGGCGAGGATTCGGAAGCTCAGTTTCAAGAAAAAACAGTTTCAAGTGCTCGTTGCGAATGAGGACGGACCGGTGAGCAATTGGAAGTGGCTTTTATTGCCACATTCTCGAATCCCAACTTTCAAGAATGTATATATGTAACAGCGCGCAGCACGGTGATTTTTTTTCTGGGGGGCGCAGTGGAGAGAGGAAGAAAGTTCGACTGCTCGTGCGTTCTTTTTGCGTCTCTTTGTTAGTTTACATCATAATGAACACATTCCCAAAAAATCAAGTGAAATGAATCAGTATTCATCCGACGGCACGCATCTGAAGTCCCAGAACAGCCAAAGAGCGCGCGGGCGGCTCTCCAAGCCTTCTTCTGTGCGCCAAAACTTCAGATGCGTGCCGTCGGACGAATACTTATTCATTTCACTTGATTTTTTGGGAATAAGTTCATTGTGATGTAAACTAACAAAGAGACACAAAAAGCACGCACGAGCAGCCATTTTTTCCAAAAAAGCTATTTTCCAGTGACCTATAGACATTTTTGCGAGTTTCTTGTTGCTCTTTCTTAGTTTTGCTCATAATGAACGCATTAACTATGACAATTGATAAGATTAATCAGTATTTCTGCGGCGCCGCGCATCTAAAGTCCCTGGAACGGCGCTAAATTGCTAACAGCGAAAGCTTTCCATAACTGAATTTCCTAGGCCACGACCATGACGTTGACTGACACAACGAAGAGCTCCCTCGTCCCTTATCGTTCTCACAGTCAAATTTTGCAGAACGAAACAATAATGATCTTCAACATTCTCTCGTCGAAAACGTGTAAACTTCTCTGGAAATGTTGCATTGAACAACACACGTTCTTCCGTTTGAAAACACCGCCGAAGACTCCGAACCGGAAAGTGTTCAACTTCGGATCAAAGTTTCGGTACAGCGGCCGCACGGAATATCAGACATTGGAAGAGAATGAGCACAGAAAAACAGCGGGACACAGAAATTTCCATCGGTGAGTCACAATTTGCTATGACGAGGCGAGAGAGTGCATGTTGTTCGTATACGAGTTATAACTCAATTATCATGAGGATATTTGTGGCGGACCACCCAGTTCGTTATTTCGTTAGTGCTATTTAAAGGGCGACGGAAAAGAATGCAGCTCTAACAATATCCCTGTAAAAATTACTTCCGCAAGCATGGAATTCTTGCGCCGAATTTCTTGGGTTTTTTGGAAATCTCGAAGCAGTTGATGCTCTTCTCGAACATTCCATTACTTGCAGCTCTCTGTCGAAGAACTCGTTCCTCCGCTCGACGTTCTCCGGCAACACGCAGTCCATAGACTCCTCCCGCTACACGAACACCACCACAACCGACTCCCCGGAACTTCCGTCCAGGTACGTTCCTTTCCTATCCCTCGCCATTCACTGCATGCCTCGTTCACTCAGTGGTCAGCTGTTGGCACATCGTCTGTTGAGTGCCGCCCGTCACGACACCGACTCTTCGGAAGCACTCGGCTACGCTTCGGACGGCGCCGTCGCCTGTGCCCCCCTCACCACCCCACTCTCACCACGTCGCACTCGAGACTACGCCACCGATAGGTACGCTTGATCCCAATTAGAAGAAGCAGAAGAAGAAGACGACGAAGATGCAGAAGATGCTGTTAGTAGTACGAGGCTTCCTCTTTGTATCAAATTGCTTGCTCTTCGGCTCTTATTTGCCCTGAGCATTTTCTCTGCTTCTCTACAAATCTTCGTGCTCTCTGATCAAGTATCACCCGAAAAGAAGCACTTCCGTCCGCTTTGCCTCCTCATTTGGCACTCTTATCAACTGTGTCGTTCTGTTTTGACAAGTCTGTCGCTTCCATCAATCAATCCTCCTCTCCTCCTTCATCCGCCGACGTCTTCTTCTGATAACATTTATCTTTCCTTTTCTTCGACTTCTTTCACATCGACTTATGCAACCGCAACCACAGCCACAACCAATCAATCGAGCGAAACTGCAGAAGTTGGTGGCAGAAAGCGGAAGGCGTCGGCGGGGAAGGAGAAGGACGAGGTGAGACTAACCACCAGCTTCACCACGGATCCGATCTACTATTATAATGGTCGAAGAGAACAACTTGACTGGTTTCAAACGCTTTTATTGTTCTGCCATGGAGCGTCGTTGCTTTCTCCAAAAGTTATTGTATAATCCCTCACCTCGCCATTCTGAAAGAGTAAAGAGCAAGTGCCGCCTTCTTCCTTCTCGGTCTCCAAATACATAAATACACAGACCCCCCACCCTCGGATACACATAAATGGGCGCTGTTTGTCGGTGTTTCTGTCACCTTCCAACGCAGCACAAACACGGCAACCAACCCTCTTCCGCCGCTTTTTGCATTCTCGAATCGAACTGACCCACCCCACCTCCTCAATTTCTTCCGCAATGAAATGAAATGCTCTCGGATCGAATCAGTGCTCTCCGGCCGCCCCGGCACTCCCGGCTCGTTTATTTATCCGCCGAGCTGTCATTATCAACATTTTTGCTGCCTGTCATATCGCCCCCTTTCGTTTTTCCTCCATCACCGCTCGTGAACCGGAAATCATCCGGCTCACCGTTTCATTTCCATCGAAATGCCGTCTTTTTGACTGAAATCGCTCTGCTGTTCGTCTCCTCATTTTCCCTTTTTGTCGATCTTCAAACCAGTTCTCGTTCCTCACATTGTCTACCTCATGTCACAAGACGAACCGACCGATGATGAGGTCGCTAATCATCCAGTTCGGAACCCTTTTTGCAAAAATTACAGTTTTGACTCATTGACGGCTTTCGGAATCTTCTCCAAACCAATATTTTGGTCATCAGTTGCCAGCCCCACCCTCCCATTCATAACTCCATTTTCGTTCATTCCACGAACAACCATTCTCATTCTGAGTCATGCCGTTTAGTCCTCAACTCAACGACAAATATATAAGTAATAAGAAGGTAGTTTGTCTCGATTATTATTTATTTTCCGTCTCTCTTCACTCAGAAGAATGCGAATTTTATGTCGTCAGGTTGGGTCTCTGTTTCGTGTCACTCTTTTACTATACCTACCATTTTCGGCTTTTCGTTCCCTCCCTCCGACCACACCCCACAATTAGGGGGATTCACCTTTTTCTTCATCTTCTTCTTCTTCGTCTTAGCAAATGCCTTCCACTTGACAAACTCTTGCGCACTTTTCGTTTCTGACACCCATCCAACTGGGTCACTCTCTGTTTCAAAACCCGGCCTGCCAATTGACCTCATAAGCGCATTTTGATGCTTTTCACCTCTCTTATGACCGTTGCCTTGACGCACGGCGCCTGTGTCCACTTTACGTCATCCGCCCCCATCATCAGTCGCCTTTTTTTTTGCAAGGCCAACGACCCTGAACGGCACGCGGACAAATGGTATGCGCGAAAACAATTATTTCTTTCTCTTCCTCCATTCTGTTCTCTCTTTAATGAATGGTAAAAGACGTATGGATTTAGGTTTGCCAACTTTGGCCGTGAAAACTTTTGTGATCAACTTGGGCTTCTAGAGGACACCTTCCGTTCTGTTATCCTTTTCTGCGTCATTTCTCAAAGCATACACTCTGTGCGTCTTCTTGTAAATTTATAATTCTAACAGTTCTCACTGGATATGAAAAGCTCTAGAATCCACTGATTCATGCAATCGATTGAACTTTCAAACATGGATCAGACGCTTCGCTTCAAGATCCCTCTAAACTCCTTAATTTATTTTAGTCATTAAAGATGTCAGAACTTTTTCAAATGTACTATGCAAGCCTTTTAAGTCACAATTCCCTTCATCCGATCCAAACCAATCAATGTATATCAAAATATTCCACTGAATTTTGAAGATTTGCTTTCAAAGCACAAATATCTCACTTTATTTCATACATCCGATCCAAGCCAATATCCAGGATCCGAACTAGTAAACCTAGTGTTCCACTTCCAACCTAAACAGGTCACTTCCTGTCATTCCCTCTCGTCTTTCACTCGTTTCCTCCCGAAACCAACTGTGATTTACAGTGCTTTCGCTTCCTTCGGATCCTTATCTCCTCTTTCTCATTATCCGCATCTCTTACGCTCCGTTCCGCGTCCCGACTTAGTTTTCCGCACCTTCAGCCTCAGCCGACCTAATGTCCAAAAACGAAGAAACAAGAAAAAAGAGAAGAAAGTAGCAGCAGCGACGAACGAAACAGAAAACCATGGAAATGCCGGCGTTCGTCGGCAAAGCGTGTCTCAAACTCAAAGGACTCTGTGTGAATGTGTGGGCCGCCACTCTTGCCACGTGTCAAGAGCGCGAGCATTTCGACGAAAAAGTGCCGCCGAGGGCGTTTCGGTAAGCCGTTTTTGCTTGCGAATTGCTTCGGATTTGGATTTTCTTTTTGGGTGTTGATTACAGAAGCTCTCAAAATAGGGAAGTATGATTCATCCTAACATCAACCGAATTATTAGTTTACTGTAGTTGCAACCCAGAGCTCAGTGTGTAAAAATGAGATGTCGACCTCCGGATCTTTGGAATGTTGTCAACCCAACCACAACTTTCCCTTCCTAAAAAGTAGCATCCTTCCCCTCCTCCTCCTCATTCCACTTCTTGCTGGTCATCCCTCGCATGCACTTATCCTCCCACTCCTTCTCCATTTTCCGCTTTCTTCACGCCGTCCTTTCAAACATGTGTAAATGTGTCCCCCGGGGCGCCAGGCGACTCCCTCACACCGCGACGATCGGTTGCCATTTTTTGATAAACGCCGCCCGCGACACGATAGTAAAGTGCGGAAGAAGAGGAGCCCGTCGACTTCTGTGTCGCCCGGAAATCGAATGAGCCCGGCTCGCACCCCGGGAGCTCTTCTCATGCGCCCGGCTGGCGATAGCTGAACTCACGAACACCGAAAGGTGTGTAATGTGGGAGCTCCCCTCGTGATCCCACGGAGAGAAACAATTGGCTCACCTCAATTTATGACCTCAGGATCCAATCAATCCCCGCAATCCCGCTGCTCTTGGCTTCCCGTTTCCCAGCGTGGAGTATTCAATTTCGTCGTATCGCTCAGCCCCAAAAAGGCAACATAATCCGTGGGCTGGGGGTCCCTGGCTGGCCAAAACAGGTAAACAACGGTCTCCCTCTCTCCTGTTCGGATCATTAGCGTTAAGGGGACCATTCATTTGAAGGCGATGCGAGCGGGAATTGGGGGACACATAATTGTTTTATGCGGGGCGGCACTGGTTCGGAGGAGAAGCCGCTCAAGAGGCAAAAATAGCTTGTTTTGAGGGGGAACCACAAATTGGCTTTCAATTGAAATTCAAGCAAAAAGTGTTCGACGATTAGGTTGTAATTCCGTCGAAATGACCGACAAAGGAAAAGAGCAAAAAGTGAGGATGAATTGAGCTCACGGAAGGGCCCTTGCAAGAGCTCAGTGATCTTCTCAATCTCAACTTCCTTGAGCAGTGTCACTTTTCGTTTTGACCCTGTCTCAAATTTCAGTGCTTCTTAAATCGAATTCTTCCCTTCCACTCAGGTCGCACTCGAACTTCCACTTCCAAAACATGTTTTCTCCTTCATGCTACCTGCAAGAATGGCCCTTCGAACGCCCGTCGCCATCAGTAACTGCCTAACACTATACAAAATTGAAAAGCAACAGCTGACGCCTTCTTCTCCTTTTCGTTTTCTCTTCCAGTGTCAAACAACAATCAGTTTTTGTCTCCCCCTCTTCCTGCCTCTCCTCCTCCGTTTTCCTCCCTCCCGTCCAGCTTTCCCATCTGATTGACTGCCCTCCCTTCCACTACCACAAGCCACGCCCTCGCTTTCTCCGTCTCTTCCTCCTACGCGCTCTCTCGTCGCCCCGTCTGATGCTTGCAACAACATGATGCAGCTGTAAATTCGGAGGAGCCCAGAGAGCCGCCCCTCGGAGGGCTCAGTCTTCTCGCACACTGATATTCGGCGCCCATTCTCTTGAAAATGCTGAAATTCGCTGTCGGTCCGTGGGTGGCCGATAAGTACGGCACGACGAGTGTGGTACGGACCGCCAGGAACATGCCACCTCAAGTTCGGAGGATACGGTAGGTGTTTGTTTTGTTCTTTGGTAAGTTTTCTAACTTCTTCCTCATATCGTTCCATCCTTCCTTCCATAGAACATTCTAGACAAGTTGACATTTCGAAATGCCATTTCAGTCTTCACCATGACTCGTTTCCCTCCTAACTGCACCGATAAGATAAGACTGTTGGCTGACAAACCGAGACTCTCCACTGCACAATCAAACACTGTTCAACGTTAGGGGTTAGCTGAAAGGATCAGAGAGTGTGCATGTACTCGCTAAACACGGAAAAGCCCAATTTCGATCTTTCAGTCTTTTCCCCTCGTTTTCCGCTCACTCCCAGTATGTACACATGCATAAAACATTCCGTCTCACCCCGCACCGCAAAAATGTATTCGTCGCCCTTCCGTCCGGAGTGACAAACCAAAAAAGGGGGAGAAATTGAGTCAAAGCGAACGTTACTGTAGTCGTAGTCGGAACAATTATACAAACGGATTCAGGATTGTGTTCGCAAGCGTCCGATGGTCAATTATGGCAAGTATTGACATATTCATGGTTCACGACTTTTGTATTGTATTGTATTCAGCATGAACTTTACTCTGATTGCTTACTAGCAGAGCGTTAACTTTCAAGTAAACGCAACCCGATCCATTCGCCAGATCAGATCACTTGTCATGTGTCATGTCAAGACGAAGTTTGACGAAGTTTCGTTCCAACTCCCGATCAGAAACGACAACTGTACGAATGTTTAGTTTTGTGTTTTGTGATGACTAACTAACTGTTCGCAACACTTGGCAACGACTCGATTTCGTCCTCATTTCTCACATCTCACCGAGAGCACTGCTTTCCGCGCCGCTTTCCGCGTTGCCGCCTCGGCGTAACCGTAATTCGATACTCTTGAAAACCGCCTGCCGGCTCGACGACAGACCGGTTAGTTCTCGAGCCAAAAGAGCACGGGATTGACGGAGAGCGGCGAGGCGACAAAGACAGTTTTGATACGAGAAAATGAGAAGAGTTGGCAGTGAGCCGCCCGAGAGCACACGTGCCGATGCCCATTTGGCTCCCCCCAGTTCTCTTTGTGGGTCTTGCCACGAAGATTACTGTAGTTTTGGTTCGGATCGGTGCGAGACCAATGCAAGTGTGAAGCGGCATGTCCGAAACATTCGGACGTATTCATTCCTGTCTCCTATTTGTCCAAATACTTCTTCTTCTTCTTCTTCTTCTTCTTCTTCTTCTCGCCACCATCATCATCCAACGTCTTCTTCTTCCCTCTTTTGTCGTCGCCGCTTCGATTGAATTCGAAGCGGAGTGGAGAGGCTGTTGCCCACCACTTTTGCCTTTCAAAAGAATACAGATTATACCGCCCGAGGTCTCCATTCCACTCACCTATACTGTACAGAATCTATGACCCAAATCCCCCTTTGGAATGAAAAAGTAAAAGTCAAAAATGTTTTCCCATTTTGCAGCGAGTCATCGGCGCCGTCACTCCGTCAGCAGCGGCTCAGCAAAGAGGCGATCTACTACGGAACGCAAGAGAGCTGCGACGAGAAGAGCTGGACGCCGAGCATGGTGAGTTTTTGGGCGCAGCTGTGCTCGTTTTGAGGTGATAATGGAATGGGTTCGGTTAGAGGTGTAAGAATGGGAAAAAGAGGAAGAGGAAATAACGAGCGACTATTTCTGAACCACCAGTGTTGACATTGTACTGATGGGTGAGTGGTTTTCGGAAATCAAGAGGAACAGAACACGGTTCTGACGCGCTTCGCTGGCTGACCACACCACAGAGCTCTGATCAACTACCGGTGCGAACTTTCGGAGAGCACCGTCTTGTAGTTCATTTATTGTGTGTGCTAAATGAAGTTACTGCGGAGTCCAGCATCAAGAAATGTGAGCACTTTTTGATAGTATACTAAAAAATATTATCGGATAGCGTATTCAAGTTGTTCAAGCAAGTTTTGTTCGATACAGCAACAATCACCGTGAAAACTGTAATAGTCCCAAAATAGCATTTACTCAAGACAATATACCTCAACTGCCCGTAGAGATATAAATAAGTTGTCAACTGACAAAATGTGCACAAAGTGTTTCTGAGCAATATTTTAGTTCACAACTTTTTGATATGTTCGCTGGCAGTGGAGGTACATAGTACTTCATGAACGATATTGGGGCGCCCTTATATTACAATATTCACCCTAATCGCGCCGTGCGATTCACAACTTTCAAGTGATCTCGAGTTCCAAAGACGTTCAGTCAAAATGGGGCCCCACCACTGTAAATCGTAATCCCTTTTTGATAGAAAGTATGAGCCGCGGATTGAAATCGAGTAACGGATACGAGTATTGTTGCCCTCGGCGCGCGAACACAAATATCAGTAGGGCGATCGCAAAACAAGGTGGCAGTCGGCCACTTACTGCGTCGCCAAGTGTGCCGGCCGTCCTGGGGGGCTCTTCCATGGGCTCCGTCCGGTTTATTCCCGCCGCTGGGGGCGCCCCCTTTCCCGATGCTCTGCGTCTCCGACTCGAGCCGAACCGACCGTCGAATGGATGGATTAGAAGAGAGAGAGAGAGAAAGAGATGGAGAGAAAGTCGTTGCGGTACGGTTGAGCATACATCTCGCTAGTGCGGTGAGAGTGGCGAGGCTCCCCCGCCAACCAAAAACTCTCTCTCTATCTCTCTCTCAGAGTTTTCGGCTCCCCACCACATTCGGCTCCTGAACCTTATTCCCCTCCCGTCCGTCCGGAAAGTGCCAGGGCGAATGCCCATCGGTAACTCGGTGTCGTTTCGCGTCAATGCGGCGCCCGGCAAAATTGATATCGCCGAGACGATCAAGCGGTTCAACAAACAGGTAACGCTCTAGGCGCAGTAGTTACTGTACTCTGTCAAGGCTGACGCTTTTGTACTGGGATTTTGCTCGTTTTCTTTCTGCCCTAAGAACTTTTGCAATTGAACGTAATTTCCTTTTCCACTTTCAATAACGTGGCACAGGTAATCGATAAAAAATGTCCCGCTCAGCGCCAAAAATGTGTCAATTAGTTGTCTTTTGTGTGTCTCGCTCTCCACAAAAAAACGTCTTGCTCGCGCGAGAGACTCGGTATGACGACTCTGTGCTCACATTCACAAACACAAGATTCTTCGAGAGCATGTGCTCTTCTCGCTGTGCTCCTCCATAACTCGCCCCCTCACAGTGATAATGAATGAAACGCGTCGAGCAAGAAGGGAACCGTCTCTCTATTTTTTCAGGCATGCACCTCCACTTCGCCGGGAATCCATGTGAGCGCTTCGGTCCGTCCGGCCAACTCGGGCACTCCGAACGGAGCATCTCGGAAGGCGGCAAACGGATATTCGGCGTACGGTTACGCCAATACGACACAGACGCAACAGCCGACCAGCACGAACAATGCCAACTACTCCCCCTATCTTAGTGAGTCTTTTTATGGTCCCCTGAAGCTCGGGAACGCATTGATTTAGATGGAACGATATCTCGATCTTCGGGAGCAGCAGTGGCGAAAGCAGTTGCGAATCGAGGGCTTCCGCCGACTAGCCAACAGCCGTACAGTACCTCAAGCCCCAGGAACTCAGTTGCCAGTTACTCCTCGTTTGCATCCGCAGGAATCGGTGGAAGTCCGCCGAGATCCAGAAGGTCTCCGCAGAGTAACAAAGTGAGTTTTTACCTTTCGAAAACTTGCAGAACAATTCGCTTTCTTTCAGTCAAGCAGTCCTGTCGGCGAAGATCAGTTGGTGACGATCAGAATGCGACCGGATCGTCATGGAAGGTTCGGGTTCAATGTGAAAGGAGGCGCCGATCAGAATTACCCGGTTATCGTGTCGCGAGTGGCTCCGGGAAGCTCAGCAGACAGATGCCAACCTCGGCTCAACGAAGGAGATCAAGTGTTGATGATCGATGGAAAGGACGTCTCGACGATGTCTCACGACCACGTTGTGCAGTTCATCAGATCAGCCAGGAACGGGGCGAACGGAGGGGAACTTCAGCTGCTGATCAAACCGAATGGTGAGTGATTATGGCTCGGAAAGGTTGGTGGGAACGGGAGAGAGAGAGAAAAGAGCAAGAGAAGGTCAAGTTTGGTTAATCGGAAAGCGAGTCGGGTGACTCACTCGCAGCCCAATCAATCATCAACCTCAAAAAGTTTCGCACAACATTTTCATAATAGGAACAGACATGTTTCTGCCGCCCATACAAGCGGATGATTCATTCATTCTCTTTTCATTATTCACCACCTCGTGCCTCCGCTTTCGGCGAGTAGTACGGCCTGGTCTGCCTGTTTGCCAGTTGTTTTTATTTATTAGCATTGACATGGTTCCTCATCATTTTACTTATTTCAGTGTACCGTCTCGGAGAAGAAGTCGACGAGCCCGACAGCACGATGGTTCCGGAGCCCGCGCGAGTCGCCGACTCCGTTCCCCGATCCGACAAGCTCTCACAATCGCTCCGACTGCTCGCAGACGCTCTGAACTCTGGAAAGATCGTGGATCAGTTTGAGATGTTATACAGAAAAAAGCCAGGAATGTCGATGAACATTTGTAGGCTCAATGTGAACTTGAGCAAGAATCGGTGAGCTCTTTCTCTTTCTGAAATTTGAAGTCAACTAGATCTTTGCAGTTACCGAGACGTGTGTCCCTATGATGAAACTCGAGTGGCTCTGCAAACGTCTGGAACTGGTGATTATATCAATGCCAACTATGTCAACGTGAGTTTTGCGATCGAGCTCACTTTTATTCTCCTGTATTTCAGATGGAAATTCCGTCGCCTGGAATCATAAACCGATACATTGCTTGCCAAGGTCCCCTGGCTCACACTTCCGCAGACTTCTGGCTGATGGTATGGGAGCAGTTGTGTGCCACAATCGTGATGCTCACGACGATCACGGAAAGGGGGAGAGTCAAGTGTCATCAGTACTGGCCACGACTATACGAGAGCCAAGAGTACGGTAGACTAATAGTCAGATGTATCAAAGATCGGCAGACGACGAACTGTTGTTATAGAGAGTTCAGTGTTAAGGATAGAACTGTAAGTTCCACAAAAGATTCTGGAAGATGTAAAAGATTCCCATTTTCTTTTCAGACAAACGAGGAGAGGCGGGTGACTCAAATGCAGTACATCGCATGGCCAGATCACGGAGTGCCGGACGATCCGAAGCACTTCATTCAGTTTGTGGACGAAGTTCGGAAGGCGCGGATGGGGTCGGTGGATCCGATTGTCGTGCACTGTTCGGCGGGCATCGGAAGAACCGGAGTGCTCATTCTGATGGAGACGGCCGCGTGTCTTGTCGAGTCGAACGAGCCCGTCTACCCACTGGACATTGTGAGGACGATGAGGGATCAGAGGGCGATGCTCATCCAGACACCCGTGAGTTTTCGAGCGATTCTGATTATCTTCAACCTCTTTTTTTCCGTTTCCAGGGTCAGTACACATTCGTGTGCGAGTCGATCCTCCGAGCGTACGACGACGGAACGATCAAACCGTTGGCCGAGTACCAGAAGCGCTGATTCTGCCCGACGTCTTCTCCGATTTCTCCCAGTTCTCTTCCCATGTTTCCCATCGAACTCTCTCATAAAACGGATCCCCCGAGGTGCTAGCTCATTTGCCTTTCTCCCATTTTCTAGTACAATAGCCTCTTCTCCCGGAACAACTAGTCAATTTTTGATACATCTCCTCAATAATTATACCGAATTCATATAAAATTCATAATATTTACATCTATCTCAATGGGTCACCGATGTGATTTTCGTACGTTTTCCATGTTTTTTCCATCTTCTACTGTTTTCTCACGTCATCTGTACGAAAAATCGCGCCAAAAAATTGTGCACTAAACGCAAACTTGTATGTATAGGACGAAAACACTCTTTTCTTCTTCTTCCAACACTTTCCTTTCATTTATAAAAAATGTTACAGAGTCGGTGTTCTTATACATTTCACAATAACCATCGAACAATGAGAGAGAGAGAGAGAGATGGGATATCAGCAAAGGCAGGGGGAACGATTTCGTAAATCACCAGGTTTCTAATACTTTTAAGATGAACATTGACAGAGGGGCGGAAATGAGGGAGTGTGGCGAATAGAACAAAACGAACGGAAACTAATAAAAATAAAATGAAATGAGGTGTTTAGGTGGAAGAGCACAAAACGAACAAGTGATTTAGAGTTCCGTCGATCCAGCGAACCGAAACTGACAACTCCGCCTATTAGTAGAATAACGGTGGGGGGATAGCGCCGAGCTCCACGAGCCGGGAGCCGAGAGCGACTTTTTACATCGGTTTAATGTCATCTAAACATAAATAAAACAGTACATAGGAAAGGGAAAAGTGGCCGGCCACAAAAGGGAAAAACCGACTGTTTGGGAGACTCCGCTAAAATCGGAAACAGAGCCCTTCACAACCGATTGAGGGGGAGGAACTAGACACTTGGGGGGACGTAGAGAAGGACTAGACAAGTGACTCCAGCTCGGCTAAAAAGGCAAGAGGGAAGATCAGAGAGGCGGTTTCCGGGGGAAAAGGGTAATGGTGAAAACGAGTTAGATCACACAAGTTTAAATTGCACAGGTTTCTATCGGATGTGGGGGGGGGTCCTTCACCAAATCAGTTTATATTGGCGAACGGAGTGTGCTGCGGCATGTGATGAGCTGGATGAGCAGCGTAGGCCGAAGGATGGTGCATGTTCATTTGCGGAGCATAGCCCGGCATTCCGTACGCCATCATCTGCTGCTGCTGCTGGTGATGCTGTTGTTGCTGTTGTTGGTAGCTGAAAAGGTATCGATTGGAAATGAGAGCGACATGAAACTTGAAAGTACCGTAGCTGTTGCATCCTCAATTGCTGCTGCTGTTGCATGTACGCCGCCTGCTGTTGACTCGCCGCGAATCCAGCGCCGTTCATCGGATGCTGCATTTGCCGTTGTTGCTGTTGCTGCATGAGCATCTGCTGCTGCTGCATCATCTGATGGTGTCGCTGTTGCTCCATCTGCTGCTGCTGAAGCAAACGCATCTTCTGCTCCTGCTGCTGCTGGAGTTGTTGAGCTTGCTGAATGGATTGTGGAGTCTGCGGAGGCTGGTGGACAGGTGGAGGTGCCGATGGAAGACGATCCGGTATTGTAGTGTCGGGAAGACTCAGTTCACGGAATACAGATTCATACGTGTCCGGATCGATTGGTTCCGGTTTGTAGTTTTCCTGCAAATACTTATGATTGTTAGCCTCTGGGCTTGCCTCGAAAACTTACAGCGACTTCAATCGTGAGCTTATCGAACCATTCTCCTTCGGGCACCAAAAGCGGAGTGTCGTCCAGCAACGTGACTCCGTTCGCACTCGAAGGCGGACTGACAAGCATTGCCATTCCGCTTCCATTTCGTTGTATCTCTGCTGGACTAGGTTGGTGCATGGAAGCGGGCGTCGGCACAGAACGGACAGACTCGGCAGAAGAGGTCGACGGCATCTGCTGATGGTGTGGCTGCTGCATCTGCATGTGTTGTTGCTGTTGTTGAGCGGCCATGTGGTGTTGCTGCTGCATCATCATGTACTGTTGCTGCTGCTGCTGGAACTGATGCTGTTGCATGTGCTGATATCCGTGCTGTTGTCCCATCCAGTGCTGTTGTTGCTGTTGTTGCTGCTGAGTTCTGTTCCATCCCTCCTCAGCATTCGCCGTCGTTGGATCTATCCGTCGCTTCCGCGAATCGTGCGACTGCCCATTTCGTGAAACAGGCGTTGCCGATACGGTCATCGCTTCCTTGTTCTTCTGCTGTTCGATCCGCTTGCGTTCCTCGTCGTCCGTGTAACGCTGGAAGAGTTGGGCGGTGACTGCCCGCTGACTTTGGATCATCTCAGGACGCGTCTTCATGAACTTGGCGTGAGCGATCTGCGACTTCTGGCGTGCGATCTCGTCACCCGAGAGAACACCACGCATGTCGCTCAAGAAACTGGAAAAGGGCTTCGTTTTCGTGAAACTTATTCTTGAACACTCACGGCTCATCGTCGGGATTCGGCAGATTGTCGTTGACATACGGAAGAGTCGGCTCGTCGGGCGGCGGTGTCGCGGCGGATGAAGACGCCGTCTTGCTCGTCGACGGCTTCATTCCGGCGTTCAACTCCGGTGTTCTGCAAAGAAAGAAGATGAGAAGGAGAAGAAGAAGAAGAAGTGGAAAAACACGAAGATTCAGTGAAAAGAGACAAAGAGCAGAGTAGTAAGAGAGGCCGGGAGAGACTAGTCAATTTCAAACATCTGATGTGCTTGTTATTAGGGGTTGACGGCGGACCGAGGCGCGAGAGCACAAAATCTCGGAGAAAGGAGGCACCCGGGGAGGATTGAGTGAGCACAACGAAATGAATGAGCAGAATGGGGCCGAGAAGCGGAGGGGTGGCGAATGTGTGTGCGAGATGCAGGAGAAGTATCCCCCTGAATTTCTGAGCACATAAAGAGCAAGGAGAGCAGACGGAGCAGTCATTGAGTACTTTTAAAAGTCGAAAGTGTAGACGCATTGCCACCAATTGTCGATGGAGAAGGAGAAAGGACTAGTCATCTGTGAAGAGGTGTCTAGGCGGAAGTAAGCGCTCCACAGAGCTCTCCAGATTCTCGGAACGCTACGTAGACTCCCTCAGAAATTGTACGGTAAAGTTTTCTCTGTCGACGAGAGTCAAACAAAAGCGAAAAGCGACGCCGAAATCAAGAAAGGAGAAAAGAACGGGAAGAGGGAGTAGAGGGAGAATGATACGTTGATCGTCGATGACGAAACGTTCAAACGTGCGAGCGGGCGGTGGGCGGAAGAAGGAAACGACCATATCAACGACGTGACTTTAAGAGAAGGCAGAGAAAATAAAACAAAAAAAATTTCGACAAAGGAGTCTTCGGCAGTTATTGAGGGCGCCCGTGGTCCGAGGATGGCTGAGCACAAGGGCACACAACGAGACAAGGGCAGCGGCAGGAGGGGCCGTTTACATATACATACGCAGAGAGATACGCACACCATATACATACATGCATACACATGCAGCTTCGACGGCCGCGGCGCCAACACACAGTGATAGAAAAAACGCCGGGCGCCTAAAAAGAACAGGGGAGAATGACGGCGACTCGGGCGCGAACGACACGCGAAAAAAGCGCGTGAGATGAAGAGACGCAGTGAATGGTAACTAGAAAAGCGAGAGAGAAAGGGGAAGTGCACGGTGCAAACGGAAAAAAGGCATGAATTTCAGGAGCACGCGGAAGAGTACTAAAAAGAAGAAATGGACTGACTGAGAAGAGCGGAGGATGATCTCTCGTGAGCCGATGGGGACCAGAAACCCGGCAGCCGTTTCATGAGCGAGTGTGTATTTTTGGAATAAAAAAGAAAAAAGGGTGTCTCGATATGTTTAGTGAGGAGTGTGTATGGGTTTGTGTGTGCATGTGCATGTGTGTAGCCTGATGACACGGGACAACGTAGCTCGTAGAAGACTGCCTAAAATGGTGTGTCGAAAAGAAGAAAAGGAAGAAGAAGAAACGTCAGAAAGTGCACGTGGCAACCAGGTGAGCAGGGTTGGTGAGCTCAAGTGGGCAGAGCAATTATCGCTGAGATATGATGACGTGAGTGGGGGGCGTAGGGGCAGCGAAAGAGAAACAAAAAATGGAGGTGGTGTTGATGTATTTGAATTTCGGGCATAGAGAATAATAGAGAATAAAACAAACTACACACAAGCTTTCAGTGCAGTGCACAGAGTTTCTTAGAAACTTGCTAAGCACCTGACCGAATATAGAGTATAGAGATACGGTACTATTCCTAGAACTGGCTCTTAATCATAGCAAACTAGCTGACGTCTACATTATTCCGCACACCGTCATAGTCACCACTGATCTCGTAGCATTCCTCAACGCATCGGCATGACCGCCTCCGTGGAGTACAACGAGAGGACATGTGCGGTCGGAAGAGCGGCACAGATGAGAAGCGACTGCCGCGAGATCACTCCGGGTCCACTAATCCGATGGCGGAGCGAGTCGTCGTCGTCGTCGGTTGTAGACGCAAACAGGCATGTGTTGTTGCCGAAGAAAACCACAAGGACTCATCGAGAAAGGAGACCACACACATAGATAGACACACTTGCACACAAGGTGATGATGGGGCGAGTGCCGACGCGCAGATCTGTCCATCTTGGAGAGGGGAGCCGCAAAGATAAGTGAGGCGCAAAGACGTTTGGCTCTCCGTGTATGTATGTCAGTACGTGTGTATGTGTGGTCCCAACCTCTTGCCAAACTGATCGACTTCTTCTTTCGCCTCTTCTCCTTTTTCTGTTTCGAAGGCAAAGCGGGAAAGAGCACACTCTGGGCACGCCCGTCGCTTTCTCTCCAAGAGCCATATCCTTTTGGTAGGAGAAGGAGGGCAAGACTCGGGATGAGATATGGACACACTGCGCACTTCGAGACATAGAAAAGAGAGGGACATACGCCCGTTAACCACCACCACCATCATTCGGCCAGTGTTTCTCTCTCCTTGTCTCTCTAAGCCTCTCGCGTACTTGCACACCCTAACCCCCTTTCGACGGCGACGTAGTCGACCCGACCGGCGAAGGCAAAAGAAGGGGAGGAACAGCGAAAAGTATGCAAAGCCGTCGAGAAAAGAGTGAATAGTGACCCGCTTGCCCTTTCGACTCTTTCGCGAAACAATTAAAACCGCATAATTCGCTGGCGAGGGAGAAGGGGCACACAAACGGACACAGAGGTTTCGATTCGAAATTCGAATCCAATCCGACTTATTACCGGCCGTTTCGTCGGCGAAGTCAACGACGACGTAGGCTATGAAAACGATGAAGACGCGACATCGTAAGAAAACGAGGAGGAGCGATAATGTGGTAGAAGCGGAAGAAACTAGGTGTCAAATAGGTGGAAGGGCGAAATAGTTTTGTTTTTGACTTTGTGTGTCGCTTCTGATTCGATCCTATTCTGAGCGACCACGCGGGTCTAGACTATATGCAATGAGATCAGGAACGAATACAGAGATCAGAACAGAAAGAAGTAGGAAGTATCACTGCAAAAACATGAAGTCAGAAAGGGAGTCAGAGTCGTACTAATTGTGCAAGTCGACAATTACAATTTATTCTCGATGGGAGACGAACTGATAAGTAACTCAGCTACGCAAATGGGCGCCGCCTTACAAGACGAGGAAACGGCACAAGAGGAAGAAGGCGGAGGAAGAACGCGCCAAAACATCATTGCGTTTTCGGGGAAAAACGGGCTGATAGTGAGGTGACGAAGAGACTATCGCGGAGGTCGGGTCGTCTCGCGGCACACACAAAATACTATCGATTGTGAATTGGAGTGATGAGAAAAAAACTACTTCGCCTAAAGGCGATGAATGTGATCAGTCGAGAAGCAAGCGGGTACCGAATGAATGGCCACCGATCGTCAGTCACCGACACAGCAGACACGACGAGATGGCGGTCAGCAGAGCGAGCGGTGTCCGTCACCGGTGCCGCGGAGTACGCGAACGAAACGGAGGAAGGAAGGAGTAGAAGAAGACGGAGGAGGAGGAGGCCAGGGCGCGCGCCTCCGTCATCCAAAATAATTCATCGGCGGAGGCGATGGTGGCGGTGACTGCGGACGGATCGGTTGTGTTCGTCCGCGTCTTTCAAGTCGCCGCGTCGTGCCGCTTCTGACTGTCTCCGTCTTCGAAATCATCACACTCTATGCAAGACGAAATCAAACCGAATCCTCGTCCGCGTTCTTCGTTCTTCGCACTGTAGACGCCGCGTTCCACGTGAGGAGGAAAAGCGACTAGCTGGGCGTAGGCCAGGACGGGCGGGTCGTTTGATGATACAAATCATAAAATAAAAGTCGTCATGTCTTCTCCTTCTCTCGTGTGCTACTGCTGTTGCCGCTGCTGTTGGTTTCGTTCTTCTGCCGCAAAGCACATACACACCAACAAGCTAATAACTTTTTCTCGGAGCATCAGCCCTCCGTCTGTCCGAAGAGTTGAAGAGGGGGAGGAGGAGAACGCGGTGGAAGAAAAGGAAGTGTGTTAGTGAAGGCGAGAAGAAGAAGAAGCATTGCATATCGCATCAAAATGTGTGTTGTTTGTCTGTTTGTATGTGTGTGTGTGTGTCTTTCTCGTCTTTCTCCATCATCAGTTCCTCGAATAGACTAGACTGTCACACGTTGTTTTTCTCATGAAACATCGTTATCGAGAAACTTCCGGAAAGCTCCGAAAGTTTGACACCTTTTTGAGAATCGACAATAAAGAATCAGTACGTGTTCATCTACATTGGAACTCGGTTCCGGTTCTGTGGAGACCCGCTAGAACAAAAAGGGACGAGCGATGGTGAAAGCAATCAGATTTCAATCTACTCTCGCTCTCGACTACCGTTTTCGTGTGAAAGCCTAGTTCCTGGTTCGGTGGTAGCCGGTTCTGGATCGCACAACAACAGACACGTGGCAGATACGACCGAGCTTTTCGTTGTTTCGACTAGAGCGAACGTGAATCATTTGAACAGAAACATTCATATCCATACTAAAAATGTCGGTCTAGAAAGAGATCAGAAAATTCTTGAAGTGTATAGTATGACCGTCGACTAAAAATGTGTTTAAACCCGTTGTGGGAAGTAGGAGGAATAAAAAGAGAAAGAGGAGATGGAGAAGGCACACCGCCTCGCCGAAAAAAAACGGAAAGAGGAGAAAGTGGCGAAGAAGGAGAAGAGGAAAAGGAAGAAACAGAAGAAGCAGCAGCAGTAGAAGAAGGAGAAGCATATTTCTACTTGATGTGTGTGTGTGTATAAACGCACACGCAATCTCCCGTTGTTTCTGGCCGTCCCGCCTACCAGCCGGTCACCCACATTCTGCCGATCAGACCCTGCTGCTGCTGCTTCTGCTGTCGTTTTTTATCCGAGTTCCCGGTGCCGATGGTGGTGCGGTCTTTTACGAGCAATGATTAATTCGTTTCGAGCAGAGTAAAGAGCTCGGAACTGCTCAGAGACCCCTGACGGGCCCGATAAAAGTGTATAAAAAATGGAGGGAGAGGAAATCGAACGGAGGAATAATTCACGTGGTCAGTTGTGGCGTCAAATGAGAAGAAGAGGATTTTCATAGTTAAAATACGGTATTAGTATAATAAAGTGAGATTCTGAAGTATCTAACTTAGAATAACAAAAGTACGAACATCAGAGAAGCAACAATAAATGAATAGTGCGCACTTGAACAAAAACTATTGTTAGAAATTGAAATGGATCAAAATACAGTATGTATCAAAAATCCAAAGGCATGACGAGAAAGAAGGAACATGACACTTGCATACTAAAATCGGTATGACATCCTCGAAATCAATGAAACCACTCAAGGCAACTGGTTGATCAATGAAACATCAAAACGATTTTCGATTCGGCTACTGAACATTGTTGACGGAGATCATTCTAGGACTACCCTACCAAGGCTACGAACACGACGTTGGCGGTTGACATTTCGTTTGTAGGTTACGCTCGGAGAAGTGTCTTGGATGTCAGGAGGAAGCGGGACCGATTCCGGAGGCGAGACCACATGCCTCCGTGTGTGCACATGTTTCATTCTAGGGTGCCGCACAAAAAAGCACGTCGACACGTGTTTTTTTCCAACGGATAGCACAGAATCTGCCTCGCTTCCTCTCTCACGTCGACCGAAATGGTCACCGAGGGCGTCAACGACCAGGTCACACAAACATAAACAAACTCTCGATTGGCGAGAGAAAGAGCGAAAATGGAGCAGTGAGCGGAGCGGGTGATGCAGAAGGCGAACGAAAAGGCGGACGAGGAAGAGGAGGAGGTCATAATCGTGCCATGCCACCACTGTATGCCCAATAGGCAACAATAACAAACGACAGTGAGCGAGCGGACCGAGGCCGGATGGATAGCAAGCGGAGAGGAAGAGACGAAGAATCGAGGGCGACCGTATTGGGGAGGAGGACAGACTGCCGAACAGGCGGAGAGAAAGGGATGGACGGTACGAGCCGGTGCATAGAGAGTGAGAAGATTGTGGAGAAGGCAGAGGGACAGCGATGACACCTGCACGTGTGTGTGTGTGGTGCACTCGGTCAATTGGCGAGACGGGGCGAGGAGAGGCCGAAAAGGTGTAATCGGCAGATTAGGCGTAGGATCAGCACAGGAACTGAGGGAATTTCATTACTGTCGGCAGATTATTATTATTATAAAATTTTTTAAGGATCTTTGCAGGAAGCGAATGCAGAGAACGTCTGAAATCTGATATGCAATTGGATTCTGGGCTTTCACGATCAATCACTGTTCGCAGAATGGACACAAAAACCAGAATAAATAAACAATTTGAGGGTATCCACTGGGTCACTCTAGACTCGGCAACAATCCCACACACACGTATAGTAGTGTCGAGGAGAGACAAGCGGCAGTACGGAAGTGAGTCATTCTTGTTTGAATGAATGAATGTGCCACACAGGTGTCAGAGTGCTGGGCACAGGCGCCTAGAACTGCAGATCAAAACTTTTTGTTCAAATGCAGGTGCGAGCAACCTGCACTGTTCCTATTGCGCCAAAAAAAACAGTTTTGCACCTGTCACCGTGGACAAGACACCACTCCAATTAGGGACGGATAAAGAGACGGACGGGACGACGAGATAGCATCGATTCTGCATCGAGCGAGCGGAAAGTTATGCTAAGCGACCAATGAGCTAATGGATTCCCCTCAAAAGGTGGTTTTCGCTCTTATGCGTAGGAAGACAATCGACTGGGCTTTTTCAGAAAACATAAAACTTTCTACACAAAAATTCTGAGAACCAATAAATATATTGATGTTTTTGAAATGTAGAAATGTAGAAGCTGGGAAAAACGAGGGAATTCGAAAATGCGAAGCTATAGAGACAACTTTTGAGAACCAGAGACCGGGTCTTCCAACCTGTTTACTGTTTGTCTCTTTTCGTATGCTTCTTCTTTTTAATTTCACTCCACTAGAAGAGGGATTAGGTGAAACTTGACAAAAATCGGCGTAGTCGGCGGCTAGGCGAAATGCATACGGGCAAAATGATCATCACACGCAATTTTCGAGGCAATTCTCCCACCAAAAAGTGCGGACAGCATCAGAAGAAGACATCCCATCAAAAAGGACACGAAGAGGTGCGTGATGAGGGAAAGAAACGGCGGCGACGGGCGGCGCATAACTTGCAAAATGCCCGCTTTTTAATTGGTTCCGTTGCGAGACAAAAAAGGATCGGAAGGACGAGTGAGGCGATCGAATTCTGTAGTTGCGACCTATTCTTACCTTCTTTCGAGCACATACGTCTTCTTGGAATTGGCGGCCACTTCTTCGCGCACCACGAAATGGGTTAAGTCCATGTGTCTCTGAAAAGCTCTCCCGATTTACTAAAATTTTTCCGCTTCATATATTTTTACTCGGGGATCAGTCCAGCGAGTTTCATACCAACTTAAAAAATGACGAGGGAGGAGGAAGAGATTTTATGGGGGTTTGGGTCGAAAACAAGATATGATAAACAACAAATGGATAGGAATTCCTATGAAAACGCAAAGAAAAACAAGACATCTACAATCTAAGCGAGAAGCATTCGAAGAGTTAGAGGGCGTTCTGAGCGGCAGTTTGCTCTTGTTCGTGTAGTTTGTGCACTAGCTTTTGCTTCTCTTCATTGAAATAATCGGCAAACCATTGCAGATGCTCCCTCTTTTTCTTCGCTGTCATATATGGATTCTTAGACAATCCCACACAGACCAAATGCATAAAATGAGCAATCGGGCCTGTCTTCGGAATGCCTAACGAAGGAAGATGTCGGTCCAAGAAGATGTGGTCAATGAAGGAAACATTCGCTTCGTCGCCGATCTTGAATTCATTATCAATCGGATACTCCCACTGCTTGCCTTTCGCCGTCCATTGAATCTGCTCTTCGAATGAATTCGTCGGTCCGAATGAGTTGTTCGTGATGGACGCCGCCCGTTGATCCCATTGGCTCCAGAATCCGAGTGACTGCTGTTCGTACTGTTCCGTCTTTTTCCAGATGCCCAGAGGTCGCTGATCGAACAGTTTGATGGCATTTGCGTCGACATTAACAGGCTTCCGGGCGTCGCTGTTGATCACGTCGTCCCTGTAGATCTTCTCCATGAATTCCATCGCCAATGCGAACAATTTCTGCTCTTTCTCGCTCCTCTCAATTTGTTCCGTCTCCTCTTGCTCCAATTTCTCCTCCACGTCATTCAGAAGGCCTTTTCGTTGTTCAGCGAGCTTCACTTGTGCCTCATTGACGATCGTTTCCGATTTGATGCGCGCCTCTTCCGTTGTAAATCCACTCTGAACTGCCTGATAGAAGATCTCCTTTCGGAGAAGCACGAGGCCTCGTTTTTCTTGTCGGAGTTGAGCGGATCTTAAAAAAAACACATTCAAAATTTGCGGTTGAATGCGAATAACTCACTTGGGAGGCAGTTTTTTTTCAACTTTCGCTTCTCCTGCGACGTCAGCGAGCAGACCAAGAAGAGCCTGATCGTCGAGCATTTCACCGCTTGCCGACGCCGCTGCCGCATCGAAAGTCGCTTTTTCGGTAGCTACTAATCGATTTATTAACGTGTTTTTCAGTCTGAAACATTATCTGGTCGTAATTTCTTAAACAGAAAACTCACGTTTTCTTCTCCACGCCATTCTGGGGATGAATTTCTTTGGCAACTCCATCAATCGCCTTCAGCAATTCGTCATCAATAACGTCCTTCGCTTTTGGTCCTTTCTGAAATGAAGAAGCCATATTTCTCTCAAAAAGATTTAATCGTTAAATCTAACCCCGTCCTCTCCATCGCCCGATGCCGCATTTGACAAAAAGCGCGGTTGTCTGCCGAGTCGGAGAGCTGTCGAGCATAAATTTCTGAGCATCTGAAACTTGATTTTTGTGAAATGCTTGGTGAAAACGAACAAAGAATGCCACGGTCTTGCCGGAAAAGTTTGAAAATTACTCCGCTAAACACCGCGCCTCCACGTCATTTCGAAGTGTCGTTGCACTTCTTGGCGATCGAAGTTTCCGTTGCCGACAGCCTTCTCTCCCTTTCCGCCGCCGATTTTTCTCACTGTTCTCGCCTTATCTCTAGTTTTTTATGTGAACTGGAAGCTCTGATTAGAACGGAATGCGTGTAAACCGGCGCTACAGCGAAGTAGAACTCGCACGGAATGTAACTGTTACGATTTGGAACTCGCAGTTATATTTTAATGTTGCGAATTCCATTCTGTGCGAGTTCTACTTCGTTGTAGCGTCTGTAAAACAAGGAATTGAGTTTTGAGAATTAGGAAAACAACGGAGAAAGCTAGGAGCCGAAGTCTGAGTGCCCAGACAACGAGAACGAGTCAGATTTGGAAGTGAACTCTGTTTTTTCGATTTAAGCAGGTGCAGTCAGCTCCCAGGAGAAATCACACAGGCTATTCAATTCTAAATGGATTCCAGTTCTTTTCAATGTTACTATAAGAACCAACGTTTCCTGCGATATTCTTTCAGTTCTATTCAAAACTCCGTTGTCTTCCATAATTCCTTAACGAAACCAGAAATTCTGAGGCCATGCCAAAACAGCGGAATTCACGAAAACCGCGGATGCCAAAACCGCGGAAGCCAAAACCGCGGAAAAAAATGCCAAAACCGCGGAACCGTGCAGGCGCAATACTTGACGCGCATTTAAAGACTTTGGCGTTTATTGAATAGAAGGGATTGAAATTTAATAGCATCAAACAAAGTAATGAAGTTCGGAAGTTCTGAAAAAAAATTGGAACTAAGAGTTATATTTAAAATTATTTTGACAGATATAATCAGCATCTTTCTATTGTCTGCAATTCCACGGCGAAAAGCTCGTGGTGCCTGCCGGGTTTTCACATTTAGTTGGGACTTGCAGAATATTTTTTTAAATCTTTTTTTTTCACGGTCTCCAGAGGAGGCTACCCCGAGCCAGAACTGTCTCGAATCAACACAACTTTTCGTAACAAAAACCACATGCAGATAGCTTCTGATTTAGGACGGTTCCGATTCAAACAGTTCTGGCTAGGGGTAGCCACCTCCAGAGTTGACAATATAGGCGTGGCTTCCGCCAAGTATTTCGTTTTTTCGTCTTCCCCGCCTGAAAACCACACTCCTTATATTGCTCATTCCTGACCGTTTTCACACAAAACTGGTTTTGAGAATGATAAATCGCATAAATACAAAGCAAACATCTTGAGCGATCGAACAGCAAAAATTACAGAAAAAAAACTGCAAGTAACGCATTTTTGGGGGGAAACTTCAAACGGATTAATCTCAATCGACCAAACGAAAAGGTGATGACTTTTTTTTACCCAAAACTGCTTTTTTTCTTTACTGCTGCCTTTTTTTTATACGTCAAAATAAATGTTTAAAGTTATTTTCTGCAAATTGTCATGTTTGATGCTATTAAATTTCAATCCCTTCTATTCAATAAACGCCAAAGTCTTTAAATGCGCGTCAAGTATTGCGCCTGCACGGTTCCGCGGTTTTGGCATTTTTTTCCGCGGTTTTGGCTTCCGCGGTTTTGGCATCCGCGGTTTTCGTGAATTCCGCTGTTTTGGCATGGCCTCGAAATTCTAGTCGTATACCCTCGCCCAGACTGCCATAAACAAGCGGTCAGCACCGCCCGTCTAGAGCCTCTACACCGAATGAATTCGGACCATCGTTCACTTGTTTATCCCCGATGAGATGCGCCTTTTGTTATTGTATACGTGGCATCAAAATAGCACGAAATGTTCGGCCGCTTGCTGCTCGGCGAGCCCTCGAAGCCAATAGGCCTCATCATGCCCCGTCGGGCGGTGCCTTCTTCCTGCTCCTCCGGCCCCCCTCTGTTTCTCTAGGCAAAAAGTGTACGAATGAGAAGGAGACGGACCCATTTTCCCACTCACAAGTGCACTTGATTTTTTCTGGCCACTTTGCATGAAGACGTCTGCCTATTTCGGAAATTCTACTTAAAATTTGCTATCACTTTTCTCTATTTTGGCTCACAGTTTTCACTACAAGTCTCCCTTTCACATATTGTTGCTGCTTGACGGATTAAAGATTCAAAAATGACGGAAAGAAGTGTGGATTTCTCACATCTCATCTTTTTTGCTCAAAATTGAAATAGAATAGGAAGGCGTGGCTAAAGGGAAAAGGTCGAAAAGAGAAAAAGAGAGAACAAAGCGGGAAGATACATAATTAGGTTTTCTGTTCGCATTCTGCACATTCGGCTCTGAGCCGGCCCTCCGTGTCCTCTCGGTGAATATTTCGTGTAATCTCTGAAAAACAATACTCTTCTTAATAACTTTTTGCACTGGAAATCCAAACTTCCTTCTGATCTATTCTGGGCGATCCTCTCTAATCCCATTCTCCTCGGAACATCACCAGAATCCTATAATCTCCTCGTCATGCCCTTCAGAATGTTATCTTCATTTGCATCTCTCTTGTAAGACTCTTCAAAAGCTCCTCAATTATTCGACAAGACAACACAGCTCCTTCTCCCCTTCCTTTTCTGCTTCTTCTGCTTATCGACGGGTACTCCCAATTAGAAGCTTTTTTCATCGTAGTGTGCCCGCGCATTCCACGTTGCCGACGTCGGCACATCCACTTCTCGGACGGGGAATTTCCAGAATTTCAAATTCATGACTCGTTTGCTTCGTCACCAGTCACTCAGCCCCAAACCCTCGTGGGAATGGTCTTCTCTCCGAAAAAGAGCCGGCTCCTCGTGGCTCTTTGGGCGCTCTCGCCTTCATTCCGAACATTGCAAACATTGACCGCGCCCGTGCCGCGCATTTGAGATTTTCCCCCTCTCCAGCATTGTTTCGTGGCATCGATTACGCAACATTCCGGTCGGTCAGCTGTAGTTTGACAGATCGGACATCCAGAGCACCCGATTTCTCGGAGAATTTCTCGGGTTAGTGAACTGTTGAGGTTGTGAGTAGATGGGCAAACAAAAATGACTCAATTGGCAGTTGACTCTTGCTCGGGCAGTTGTTCTAATATTGTTAACTCTGCACCACATAATTGATTCAAAATTGATTCAGATTTTTGAGGTTGTCATTCGTCGCACCCTTTATCTGAAAAAATAGATTCACCGAGACTCATATTCTTCTACAAGTTTTTCTGTACAAAGTCCCTTCAGTATCACTAATCTCAGAACACTTGATATTTGGCTCAATGGCTCATCAACATTTGCCAGATCTCCCTCATTGAATGCTCAATTTGCGTATCGTATTCCGCCCGGCATTAAGTGGACACTCAAGTGCGAAACGGCGAAATTGATCCGTTGAGGTGCTTGCACTGATAAGAACGTACTTGAACACACATTCATAATCAGTCTCTGATAACTAAGCCTATTCCGCCTAATTGAACACGCAAATGTCCTTGGAACTCTCTGTGGGCTCTCTGAACCCTGCTGCAAAGGGCATTCCTTCATCCATTTCTGATCACTTCGCGGGTAAGCATTCCAATTTATTCATCCCCTTCTCTACGAATTTGCACTACCTTCACACTGTGACTAACCATTCGCGTCCTCCTAATAACTCATTCCTTTTCTTTCTCCCAAACCACTCCTTCCTAGTACTTTTCCTGAAGTAATCATCTCGTCACTTTTGTCGTCAACAAACCAAAAGTCCGAGAAATATTGGGTCTTTTCTGGGAAACTTGATACCCCATCCGGCTCTTTTTCTTCATCGAATCCATAAGTTATCCTCCGGATTCTCCCATTTTCTTCCTCATCTGGCATGTTTTGTCTAATCAAATTAAGTTAATCGCGCGCCCGACACAACGAGATTCGGAGGCCGCCATTACCCATTCCGCGCCTTCCTCATGGCTCGAAATAGTACCTAATTTATGGGAAATCGATCCGGTCCTGTTCCTTTCCGTTCTTTTCTGTTATTGCCGACGACGGAAAGAGAAACGAATTGTATGTTCGGGCGTGTTGTTCTGTTCATCTGGATTTTTCGTCGGATTCTCAGAATGTTAACGACGGAAGAATGAATCTAGTGGTAGACTTCAAATAATCTTTAAAACTACATTTACCCTGTCCCTATATTACTGGTTCTTCACAAGCCGTGAAAACATCAAAAAAACATTGCGAAATTAGCAAGAGACACCGAAAAGGGAAAGGACACAGCACGCCCGAAATTAGTCACCATTTCCATTTGAAATATTGTCTTTTGGGGCCTCTTTGAAATTGTTTCTGATATATGACGTCATCTGAAATTACCCTCATTTTCTCATTCGGTTATGACACTGAACACTGTTTTCGTGCTCCACTGGCACTTCAGTCGTTGAGTATCATGTTTCCCTCTCTTTCCCTGTCTATACATGACGTGGTGCTGACCTCTGATAAGATTACAAAAAAAGAGCCCGACGGAGACCACCATGAGCACCAAAATGCTGCTTGTTGGTGTCACAATCAGATTTGGCATGCGCTCGTCCATCCGGTGCTCCCCCAGTTTTTTCTGTCTCTTTTGCCGTCAAACTCGCTCCGCCCCCTCGCCCGTTTTTGCCTCCACTTTGTTCGATCGCCGCCATTTCACGTCCCGCGTCCACCACGACACTAAAAGGCGCAACCACGTCAAACTGTCATTTGTTGCGGAGCTGGAGCAGCCTCCACGGCGAACAGTCCATCCATCTGAGAGCATGCAAAGGTGTCTATGAGCAAACATTCTCCTCCCCCTCCCTTCCTACTATTATTGTTGTTGTTTGATCGTCTTCCGACGGAAAGGAACACACGTAATCCGCATGCGGAATGGCGTCTTCCGACCTGCTCGTTAACCGTCACTTCGACGAATTCGTTCTAGAATGCTGTAGTTCAGACCGTCCGTCCGGCGGCGTTCTTCCACGTCCGCGCAAGAAGCTCTCGGCGTTCGTCAACGCGATGGCTGCTGCAAGAGCCACGTCACCGCAGAGTCCCAGCAAGCACATCACGGTGAGTTTTATTGGAGTTTCGGGCAAATATGGAACTGAGTCAGCTCTCTAAACACTGAACTTTCGAAGCGCTAGGGCCTTGTAAAAGTAGAGTATGAGGTCGCGGTTTACAGTCTCTTTTAAGTTGTTCCGTCGTCTGGAATCAGATAAAAATACAACGCATCACTTCAACCAGAAAGACGTTACTCTAATTTTTGAAATCGGCCAATAGTATCACCCTTAGAACAAGATTTACGGTCAAATGAGTCGGTAACGTCAGAATGGCATCAGCTAGGATAATGCGAGGATAATGCGATGAATGGAATACTTTCGGACGGACATCGCCCGAAAAGTGACGAAAGTGATTCCATTAGCCGCAAGGAAATAATAAATTGGCGCTAATTGTGGTTATTGGCGATCGATTGGATCATAACGGAATGCTAGAGAGACCGGGCGTTTCCAGTAGGCGGCAGACATCGAAACGACTTCCTCTCTCGCATGGTTTTGGGGCGTGATTCGGGCCGAGAGAAGCAAACAGAGAACAGGCCGACGGACTGACAAAACACACCTGTGTCTTGTCTTTTCCCTCATCCCGTCCGAGCCCTGCCGCCGCCGTCGCTTGTCCTCCGAGAGAACCGTTTCAGTCTGGCCGCCCCTCTCGCCAAATTCTCTTATCTTCGCTATGATTCTTCGTCCTCGGTTATCATTATCACCGCTGACTCTCTGACTTTCCGCGACTCTTTTGCGTGAAGAATGGCTATCAAAAATTGCAAGGTGATTTCCAATTTGTTGGCCTAAAATCTCAAGTATTTTCACTTATCCAAAGATCCGGAAATGGGCAGACCGCTCAAAATTCCTCTCGCTTCTCTTTTCCTTTACATTTCCTGGCTTTTGAAACACTAGTCTTCATCCAGAAGTTATGAACTTTGTAACTCGAGAAACTAAATATTTTGGCGCTCGACTGCTCAGCCGCGGCCAGCCAAGTCGCTGTCGCTTTCTGAAAAATGAGAAATGAGCGACGTTGTTTCGAGAATTTATGAGCCGTAGTATTAGAGAGCTCGAAACGAGAAAGGAGTGAAAAGAAAGAGAAAAGAGAATAAATGTCCCACTCAGCGAAATGCAAACAGCGATTTTTGCAGGTTGTCGATGTGTACGACCTAGCCGCCTCGATTGGAAACGACTTCGAGAAACTCATCGACAACTATGGGAATGAGTGCGTACGTGGCATTATGCCAAAGGTACAGCACACTTTGAAACATCTGTACAATCAAATGTTTTGTAGGTGATATCCGCTCTCGAAACGCTCGAAGCGCTGGCATCCGGAAATGATCGAGAGAACGAAGAAATCTTGAGATTATCGAAGGCGGTGGAGCGGCTCGAACAAGAAAAACACCAAAGGAATCAACAACATCTAAAGTTCGAAGAAGAACTTGAGCAAGTCGAGAAAACGTACCGGAAGGACATTGACGATCTGCAACAGATGGTCAAAAGTCTAATGAACGAAAATCGGAATCTGTCGACGACGGTCTCATCGCTCCCAGTGCACAATGACAGCCCTGTGAGCAGCTCAAGTGAGTTTTTATCTCTCGGAAAAGATGAATTTTAACGATTTCAGTGCGAGAAGCGGATTTGAAGATGTTGTTGGAACTGAAAGAGATGTCATCCCAACAGAAAGACGAAATAAAAGCTCTTCAGAAAGATGTAGACACTTATCAATGTCAGGTTGAAAATGTAAGTTCCCAAACAACATTCAGAGCGCATCCAACTCATATTCAGCTGCAAAACTCAATAGAAAAGCTGATCCGTCAGAACGAAGAACTTCTGAGGAAAAATGCGTCGCTTCAAAAACAAGGAAGAATAATAGTCGAAGAGAAGATGGAGGTGTTGAAGCGATTGGAGAAAACGGAAGAATCGAACATCGAACTGAAGAAATTGGTGAAAGAAACGGATCGGGCGTGCAAGGACATGCAAGTCGCCAATCAGGATAACAATGAACCTCGCTTCACGCTGAGTGAACTTCGAGAAGTGATCAAGGAGAAAAACATTCTCAAGGGGCGAGTGATGGAGTTGGAGGAAGAGTTGGAGCAGTTCAAGCCGGGCGCGAAGAAAGAAATTATGAGGTTGGACGACGATGACGACTCCGATCGACTTGCTCCGTGAGCTCCCTCTGTTTATTTCAAGCTTGAAATGTTGTCTTTCAGCTGCCTGGACACTTCGACTGCTACGTGCTCCGGAGCCGAAGAAGACGATCTTCCGGTATACGGTCCAATGCCCAAAGAACCCGACGAGAAGCTGCATCCGTGGAAGTACGAGAGGAAAGATTCGGGAGTCCGTAAATTGTGAGTTCAGCCCGATCTGAATCCCATTTAATCCAATACAAAAGTGTTCAGTTTCCGCTTCTTCAAAGACTTTGGCGCGACGGCGTCCCCCCGCCGCGGCTCATCTGCAAACGCGTCTCCGCGACTACCGGCTCGAGCGATCCCACCATCGCTGAACTGATTGTGCTGGCTCCGATGGTGCCGATTCACATCATGTTCTCCGGTCTTGTCTATATGTTCCAATGTCTATGACTTAATTCTAACCCTTTCAACTCACCCTTTGCCACCCGCCCAATGATCTCACCTTCTCGAACCCCTAGCCCAACCCATTTCAGCTTCAAGTATTATTTTGTCTCTGTCATCTCTTCTTTATGCCTCCTATTCCGATTCTGATCGAATATCGATTGATTATATAGGCTCGTCTCATGCTTTGCTCCCCCCAATTCTCTTGCTCCTCCCTGGGTGCTATCCCTTCTGAATCTATTCATTGTCTCCCCGTGTGTGTGTGTGTACTTCCTGTTTCAATTTTCTCTGTCTTTTTCACTCACTTTCCTGTGGCATATATTTATGCGCCGTTCTGTGTGCATGTTGCGCTTCTTTTCTTCGGAAAAAAAAACAAAGAATTTCTCGGACTTGAAATTTTTACAGATGAACGGGGCTCACATTTGTTTTCAATTCAAACTTGCGTGGTCAGCTCCACGGAGCATTGTGTAACAGAAGTGCAGAGCCCGAGATTCAGACAGCTGTTGAGCTGAACAACCCATCGAAACTCGCGTTTTTCTCTGTTTCTCCGCCAGAAAATACTCGCTTTCCACGATTTTTTTGGAACTTTTACTCTTACGTGAATAAATCCTTTTTAATGGCAAACGCGATCTACCGCTCTCCACGTGAACTAAGTTGGAAAAGCTAGGCCGTGGCCGTGATTTCACAAAGGAGTGCGGTAGATCGCGATTGCCACAAATGCCTACAGTTTCGGCCTAGAAGCATGGGCGATTCGAACACGTGGGACCTGGTTGGCTCGCCAGATCAGCGAAAAAAGAGCAGATCTCCGTCGAGAGGCAGTCGTGTGGATCCGGAAGTGAGGCGGGGGAAAATTAGACCACGAGTCACACTAGTTTTCAGATAATTGTAGGCCTGGAAAGTGCCGCCGAGCTGGAAGCGCTCGGATTGGGAAAAGAGCAGCTGGAAGAGGAGGCGCGCGAGCAGAGAAGGCAGAAGAAGCAGCGAAGCAAGTCGCCGGCGCTCGAGAATATCCGAAAGACTTCCATTCACATTCTTCAGGTGAAACGAGCCCTGTAAGGTTGGTTGTATCTTTAGAAGGTTTCAGAAGTTTGGAGCGCTCCCGAAGAAAAAAGATGACAGTGTTTTATTATTCCGACGAGCAGACATTCTCGATATTCCTTTGGATTCTCTCTGTCTGCGGTGAGTGTTCCAATTGCTTATGAGCTTTACTTTGGCTTCTTCCAGACCTAAAGAGTTCTTCCAAGAGCCCAAAGTATTCTCATTCCGAGATATGGGAAGGGAACAGCAGAAGGCAGAAGTCAATGAGAAATGGTGAGTGGTGGTACGGTTCAGATTATTGTACCTTCGTTCAGTTCGTACCTTTTCCGCGGCACTTCCTTCGAGCAAGACGAGTGCTCTGAACTGCCGACGGAAATGACTCGCATCCCGGAATACGATCATTTCTGTCCGATTCACGGATCACGACGGCGGATTGTGAGGAATCAGTTGGTGACGATGCAGCACTTGATGCATTCCGTCGATCGGGACGACGACGGAGAAGACCTTTCCTATCTGTACAGGTGGGTTAGGATTGAAGAATGAGAAGAGGATGAAAACTGTTTCAGCCATGATTTGATTGCCAAGCTGATTAGAAAGAAGAAGCGAGAAATGTTGAGTGGAGCTGAGAAAGAGAGAACAACGAAGATAAAACGGAAGATTATGGTACTTTCTGGAATGACTGAAGACAGTCTCAACGGATTCTGTTTCAGTCGAATCTCTGGATCCTCTCCGTCGCTTTTCTCTTCCTCTTCACAGCTTTCAATGGTCTTCAGAACCTTCAAACATCTGTAAATGGAGATCTCGGATCCGACAGTCTCGTGTAGGTACTTCACCTTTTTCCCAGTATTTCCACTCCCACTTCAGAGCCCTCTACCTATCGCTGGCCATCTCCTCCCTCTTCGTTCCTTCTTTCATGATCAATCGTGTCGGGTGCAAACTCACTTTCATCGTCGCCATTTTTGTATATTTCCTCTACATTGTGATCAATTTGCGACCAACGTACGAATAGAAAAACGTGCGAGTTGTTTCAAATGATTCTCAGATATTCCTCGATGATCCCTGCTTCCATCTTCTGTGGAATCGCCGCTTCCTGTATCTGGGGAGCCAAATGCGCGTACATCACAGAAATGGGAATTCGCTACGCCACTCTCAATTTCGAGAGCCAGAGCACTGTGATTGTCAGGTTGCGTTGTTTTCCTCAAGAAATTATATTAGAAAGAGTTGCAGGTTCTTCGGCTATTTCTTCATGATTGTCCATTGCGGTCAGGTCATCGGAAACGTCGTCTCTTCTTATATTTTTACTCTTTCCATGTCTGGCTCCATTCGCAGTCCCGAAGACACCATTTATGACAGGTTCGCATTCGATTCTCGTAATCGTTTACATAAACATTTGACCCGTTTCTTAGTTGTGGATATCAATTTCCGAGGAATCTCTCGTTGCTTTCCGACCTCGCTGAGAGCAATCTGGCGAGGCCACCACAGAAAGTCTACGTGGCAGGTAAGCCAGAAGCTTCGATAGGATTCGGAGGAGCTAATTTTGAATTCCAGTGTGCCTCGCGTATCTCACTTGCGTCATCATCAGCGGAATGATCATCAGCATGTTCCTCAACGCGCTCATGAAAGATTCTCGTGCCAGGTTCGTTCATTATTCTCTCCTTCCATAGTTCATTTTCCAGAAAAAATGCGCAACGCTTCAACTCGGAAATCATCAATCTCATGCTGAAACATTTAATAAACATGAAGTTCATGCTGCTCGTTCCTCTGACCATCTTCAATGGATTGGAGCAGGCGTTCCTCGTGGGTGTCTACACGAAAGCATTCGTGGCGTGCGGTCTCGGAATCTGGCAGATCGGCTTCGTGATGGCCTGCTTCGGAATCTCCGACGCCATCTGCTCTCTCGTCTTTGGGCCGCTCATCAAATTGTTCGGAAGAATGCCTCTCTTCGTATTCGGAGCAGTTGTCAATCTTTTAATGATTATCACACTCATGGTAAGCTCCCATTCCGTCCAAATCGACAAATTCCGTTGCAAGGTATGGCCGCTGAACGCCGCCGACAAACAGATTTTCTACGTGGTCGCGGCGATGTGGGGAATGGCCGACGGCGTCTGGAACACACAGATCAACGGGTTCTGGGTTGCGCTCGTGGGCAGACAGTCTTTGCAGTTCGCATTCACAAAGTATCGGTTCTGGGAATCGCTTGGAATTGCAGTTGGTTTCGCGTTGATCAGGTGAGATCTTCAGAAGATGCATCCTTCAAATAACCAGCCGCTTCCCAGACATGTGACTGTAGAAGTGTACCTTCTGATCACATTCTTCGTGCTTCTCGTCGGAATGTGCGGATTCGTAGCTATTGAGAACTTTGATCATATCATCGTAAGTATCCAGATTTCCATACAATCATCTTCAATGTTTTCCTTTTTTAGTCAGTTTGGGAAACAATCAAACACGCATATTGCTCAAGTCGATCATCGAAACAAAATAGTATTATGTGAATCTTTACATAAAAGTGCATCATTGTCAACATTTCATGAATGGAGAAAACCAGAGTTCACGTGTTCAATTTTGACAGTAAAGACGAAACGAGCGAAGGATTCGATTCAAGTTCGCTCAGAGCATTCGAGATTTGAGATGAAGAATCCGTTGAGTTGATAATGTTTTGGAGAGCACTGGGAAGAGTGGACGAGTCGAGGAGCTTCTGAAGTAGACCAGAATCTGCAAGACTATCAGAAGACGAACGAGTTTTATCGGAAACAGTAGCAGTGGCCAGATCACTTGCGTTTACCTGAAAAGTGTATGATTATCTCACTCTCGCCAACAACTTCTGGGATGTATGCATACCGTGTTTGAGCTGAGCAGATTCGAAGATTCGAACGAAGATCCACTTAACAATTGCCCCAGAAGACTTTCCAAATCAATTCCAGTTCCGACAATCTGCTCGAGGAACAGTGAAACTTTCGAGAATCCACCATAACTTCCGTCTCCAACGAGACTCTCCAGGGCATTGAGAAGTTGTAAAAACTCGGACGAATCAGTGATATTCAGATTTTCGACGAGCTGCGAAACAGTGAATTGACTGCTCATTCCGGCGAGAGTCGTCGTCACTTTCGACTTTAGCGAGGTGTTATTCAGAAGGGAAATTCCGTACTCGACGATGCTCGCGTTCAAATTCGTCCCGAGCAGCGCTTTCAGTTGGTCCGTCAAAGAAATACTTCCCGGGGGAGTCACGTAGTCCGAGCCGGACGAACCGTCGTCCCGGGAAACCGGCGTGATGTCAGAGTCGTTCGACTGAAGATCATGAATGCGGAGAGGGAGATCCGAAGAGTCTGCGAACCCACTGCCTTCATCTTCTGGCAAGAAACCCGGAGAATCATTATGATTTCTGTGATCCTCCGAACGTTCCAACGCCGTCAGAAGTTCGGAGGTATCTGTGGAGTTGCCAAAGTCTTCCTCCATTCCACTTCCTTCCGCGTACCCATTTCTCTCATCCAATAGACTGAATCCGGATCCTTGAGTATGATTGAGATTATCGAACAGATCCTCATCTTCATCGATTTGCATTTCCATTTCCATCGAAGTATCATTCCAAAGCGGCGTCACGTCTTCATACTCTTCTGGACTCGGCGTTCTCTTCGGTCTCTTCCCGAAGAATCGACTCATGAAGCCTCGCGACTTCTTTGCATTATCATCTCTATTCCCAGCGAGAAGCTCTCCGACGGTCTTGTCCACAATCGAATTGTACTGCTGTTCAGTGATATTGAATTCGGAAAGACACGCATTAGAAGAGACATCAGAGAAAGAACAAATGGAGAAGGAGGAACAGATGAGAGTGCCGACGGTTTGGTTGGAGATGGAAGAAAGACTGGGGAGAAGGGAGGAGACGTCGAAGCAGGAGAGCAACTGGGACGCATCGAATTGGAATGGCTCAGTGAGCATCGCCTTCGTGTTCAGGTTTGTGAGGGACGAGAGAAGAGCCTGTAAGTCTGAATAATTTGGTAGACTCGGTAGATCAGCTACCTCGGTCTTATTCTTAGTGGCTCCCTCTGGCAAGTAGTCAATCAGATTCTGCAGTCTGTTGCTCAAAGAGTTCATGACTGACTTTAGAGATACATCCAAACTAGATCCTCCGCGCCCATTCTTCCCAACTTCTTCCAGAAGATCTTCCACTTCTCCGATGGTCGACTTTGAGATATTCACGTAAGTATCACAGCTCGGATAAGGAGGCATCATATCGTCTTGAAGGTTTAAAGACGTTAGGTTCACATTCAGACTGGGACCTGAAATTAAAGTTATTCGACTTTCTGAATAGAAGCCGTTACAACCTGGAAAGCAGGGCATCGCTTTTCTGTACTCTGAAATAGCTGAAGAAGATGTGATTTGCGACGCTGTCTTTGTTTCCCACACGTGGAAAAGCTCGACGACTTCGGAGGCGCTCAAGTTTTGTCCGCTCGTGTTAACCGTGCACAACGGCTCGAGTACGTCTCCGAAAAGATAAGTGCGATTCGAATTGATCGTCACATTGAATGCGTACACTCGACGGACTGAACATAATTCTCTGATTCCGATTATTTGATTCGTTTACCCGAAACAAAGAATACGAGGAGAACGGTGAGGGGAGACCGCATCCGAGAGAAAATTCGGTGAAATGCAAATGCGAGTCCTTTTTTGTGTGTTGCTTCGCATTTCTATCGGTTGCCCTTGGAGCATTTCCACGGAGATGCCGGTCTTCGGCCTTTGTTGGAGGAAAGGGGGAAGGAAAAACATTTCTGAGACACTTTTGAGCAATTTGTGCATGAATGAGGGATGAAAAGAAATTGGAAAGTCACGTGGCACTCGCGATTCCCTTATCTCTGTCCCAGATCGAAGTCTACAAAAAGCATCGTTTCGAACAGATCGTCAGTTTTGTCGGAACACTCTTGCGACGAACAACAATGGGAGACAAGTCGGCTTACATGAGCGCCGGCGGCTACTCGTCAGGATACATGGGCTCGAACGCCTCCTCGTCCGGATACGCCCGTGAGGAATACGCGAGCGGCGGAAGCGGCGGCAGCAACAACCAATCGGCGGGAGGATCCGGAGGAGGCGGCGGCGGCAACACGGGCGGACAGGTCTTCAAGGCCCGCACCGATCAATCGTGCTACTTGGGACCATCATGAGCGGAACGTTGTCAAGAAGTCGTCGTCAATGTTATCATCTCTTGTGCGCTATAAATGTGTTCTCCTCATTTTGTTTAAACCTTATATTACAGGCAATAACCGTTCACAGAAACAAATGTTAGGCGAGAAAGGAGAATGAATATGAAAACAAGTAACCCGAAAATACATGGGACGGCATTTGTGGTACAAGAATTATCGGCAATTTAGTTCTACTGCTCAGTTTTGCTCAACTCGAGCACTTTGCGCAGTTCTTCTTCGAACAGCTCCTCCTCGCGCCGACGACGTTCCTCCTCGACCTGCGAGTCACGGATCGCACGGAAGTATTCGGTATCGGCGGGAGCCTCTTCTTGAAGGGCTGCCACATTTTGCAGCTCAAGTCTCTGAATCTCCTCGAGCAACTGTTGCTCGTTGCGAATTGGCTCGTTTTCGTTTCGGTTGCTCTCCTGAAGGCTCTGCTCAATTGCATATTGAAGAAGCATTTCATCCGAGTAATTGTCTGAAAATCTTTTTAGACTACATTTCTCATAGCTTCAAACGTACTCCCTACGCCTCTCTGATTACTGGTGCCGTTGCTGCGTGCCCGATTGTTGCGATCATCGTCGTCTTCCCACGTGATACCGTATCTTCCGTCGTCGTCGATCACGTATCCGCTGGGAATTTCGAAAGCTTCATCTTCAATGAGCACATGCTGATTGTCCAGGGGAATAACGTGCTTTCCGGCACTGTTGATATTTTGGAATCCTATTCGAGCACTGAGAATGTGGAATAGAGGAATCTCGATTTTGACGGGGAAACCGGCGGGGAGTTGGAGACGGATGAACTTGTGAAGACGAGCGAAATGGGGACTGTTGACCGCCATCAGCTCGACAATTGGAATTATTTGATCCTGAACGAAACTTTTCAATATTAAAAGCCCTATTGGGAAACTAGGAAACATACATGAAGACTCATCGGATACTCATCGGCCATCCAAAGCGTTGCCTTGAGCCCATTCGATTTCTTTACCACCTCCCTCAACTTTCCGATGTCCGTTCCTGGCTCGAACTCGTAATTAGGATCCAGATACTGATCGGCAGTGAGTCCCTCCTTGAACAAATCCCTCTTCGTGTTCTCGTCGCTCTTATTCATCGACAGCATTTTCTTGAAACTGGCGACCGCCTTCGATTCGGAAGCCTCTTCCTGAAACGGAATACTATGTAAACAAGGAGCTCTCGGAGGGGGAAAGGATACCTGGGCGAGTCTTTCGCGAGCCTCTCTGCTCAAATGATCGAGGCGCCGTTTGGTTACCAAATGCACGTTGGACGCGTTGAGCACCTGTATTGGATATTCTCTCATTTTTAGTGTGCTCCACTCACCTTGCAATCGTACCCATCCACGGTTTCGTTCGATTCCGAGTTGCTGAACCAGGAAAGGAAACCGCGGGAAGTCCGTTCGAATCCAATGTTATCCACGTCGATGTAGGTGGTGGAGATCGGGCTACTCAGCCTGTCCTGCATTGCGCCGGGAAGCGGTCTGTGGTCAATGAAGTCGTCGTCGTCCCGCAGTTCCTGCACGGCCGCCACTCTCTCGGCGTGATCGAGCACTATGAACTCGGCGAATCCGTCTTTGCTCAATCGGAACATGTACGACTGATTGCCTCGGATCCAGCTGGCTCCTTCGAACGAAACCAAAGTCGTGTCGATGCGAACACTCGATCCTTTTTTGTAAACTTTGTGACAGTCGGAAGGGCATGCCTGCGCGAGGAACGGCACCCAACTCGAGAAATCCCAATTCATTTCGCAGAAGAAATCCGGCACTTCCTTCAGCTTCTCGAGGGATCTCTTCATCGCTTGTGCTCCGCGAGTTGCTCTCTGATAGTCTCGGTGATGGATGACGTCACTGACAAACGCTTCATTTCCCTGCGCAACAGCTTCATTAGACACCGACCACATTTCTGGAGTTAAATTGATAAAATATGAGATTTCGCATTGGCAATTTACCTTTATTCGGAATACTAGCATCCGCTCCGGCGTCCATGAGTAATCGAGCACAATCGAAGTGACCGAGAGTCACTGCCAGCATGAGCGATGTTCTAAAATATTTCCTGAATTCTTTGAAAAATTGCTTCAGAACTCACCTTCCTCTCGGATCCACCTTGTCAATTTCCAGCGTGCTCTTGTTCGCCAGCAGCTCTTTCAGCTCATTCTGCTCATTATTGAAGACCGCCCAGTGCAGAGGGTACTCGAGTTTGGCCGGAGAGTCCAACGGCATCTCCGTCTGCACGCGTCTGAAATGTTCAAATACAGTATTGTAATATATTGCACTTGATAAACAATCAAGTTCAAAATTGTGAGCGCACCAAGGAAACAGCAAAATTGCGAATTCAGAATAGGAAAGCAGAAAAGAGAGAACAACAAAAGAGTGTGAACCGTTCAATGATGCTTTTCTTCCACTTTTGAATCGATGATGTTTCGGTTTTCCTCTCCCTTTTCCGCCGCTTCGTCATCGCTTATTTCGGGCACATCTCACCGTCTGCGTCTCTCGTTTCGCCGTGCTCTTCCGTCGCCGTGGCGCACCGCTCCGTCGTCGTCTGCGTCTCTCGCCGTCCCAACGCTCTTCTCGCGCCTATCTCTCCCCCATTTCTACACACTTTTCTCCATTTTTCCCCTTATTTTTGATCGTATTCCAGCCATTTTCATCGTTTTTCCGAACATTTTCCATTTTCGTCGCGCAAAACATGTTTGAACGTGAAAAAGCACGAGGAATCAGTTGCACACTACCGTATCCTTCGAAAAACAAACCAAAATGATCCTTCTCTCGCAAAAAATTATTTTCCGCTTCCTAAATGTAAACATTTACATAAATAATCGCTTGAATAATTAATTACTAGCTTCCCCTGGCAATCCTCTTTCGCAAAAGCCATTCTGAGCGGACGAGTGGGCTTGCGGGGAATGCGCGTGTGTATGTGACACATGATGGATTGTCCAGGGAATACTTTTCGCAAATTGAAACCCCTAATTAGTTAGTCGGTTTAGGTTCTGACCCCCTCATCATCTCTCTCACAAACCACGCCTTCCCATCAAATCGGTTGTTGCCAGGTGCGGATTTCTGAACCTGGTGGTCACGTGAACGCCGCGAACAAAAAGAGTGAGAGGAGGTCGGAAATGAGAAAACGCAGAGAAAAATGAGAAAGCGACGAGGAGCGCGGCGCGGAAAGAGAGCGGCGAGTCAAGAAGCTTCGAAGCATTCAATTAGAAATGGTTGTCCGGTAGCTCCGCCCTCGCGTTTAACTTTTAGACTGAAATCAGCAATTAGATTTCTCAACTTCCTCGGATTTTAAGTTAGAAGTTTTTCGAGTTCTCGTGGTCTTCGTGCTGTCTCAACCGTTTGCTTCCTTAAGATCAAGAACCTTGATAAGGCGTGGCCAGAGGACATGTTCCGAAAAGAGGGTTACGAAATGGGGACTTACCACACTAGGAAACCAGTTGAGAGTGAGAGTGGTGGCTCATACGAGGATTTTATTATGCGAGCCCACAAAATGAACAGTCCACAGTTCGCAACCAGAAGCACCGGACGAATCAGAACGAACACAGTCAATGTTTTTCTCGTTCTGATTCCAAGTCCCATGAGGCTTTTCGTTCCCGAAGAGAAGACGTCATCCAGATGGAACTGTGCCCTTTCATGACCGTTTTGTTTTTGTTTCGCATCTGTTTTTGAGAGAATCGTCGCGCCCGTCAGAAGTGTTGTTCGCGTCGCCATCTGGCGTCTCTTCAGCCCTCCCCTTGTGTCGTTTCCTCTATCCGAAAGAGATGGAATTGTCCCCGACGGCGAGGACGACGAAAGACACACAACGCGAGAAGAGAGTGACATACGTACTGCGCGGCTGTGCAAAAGCAGTGAGAGACACCGGAAAAGCAAGAGACGCAGGCTCGGCGCGTCTGTCTAGTGTATGCTCTCTCGTCACGTCCCGCGATTATCTGTGTCTCTTCAGAAGCGCGTTGTGTCTCTCTAGGGAGAAGGCCCCTCAACGCCACACATACACACTCGCACAAACACACGCTGCTGCTGCGACGCACACATCGCATCGACTGCAACCTCCCGTCTTTCTCTCCTGTTTCGCTCGCTATTCGAATTGTATTCCACTCTCCACTATTCGCGTGCTCTTGTGCAACTGATTCCTTGGAGCGAGACGAGGAAAATTCAAATAACCGTCGCCGTCGGCAACAGACCTCTGAACGTTGACTCGAAGAAAAGAAGAGCAGCATCCGAATTGAAAACATGATGAATCCTGGTTTCAGCGCAAACATTTTTCCCAGCAGCTCTTCGCCGACTCTCTACCAGAGCCATCAGCTCGTAAGTTTGTATTCTATAGAGAGATCTCTAGGATGAATGTATTGATCGGTTAATTAGGGTCAAGGTCGGCCAGAAACGTGGGTGAGCAAGAAGTGGCCCATGTGGGGCACAGAATTTTCGATGAAAGAATTAAAGTCAAAATGTAAACACGCTCCAGCAGACTTTAACGCCGAGCAAACTTTTTCGAAATACCAAGTGGAAGTAAATTTAGGAGATAGAAAAATTTGCGAAAAAATTTATGTCATACAAAGGGAATGTTGTGAATTAACTACTTGTTTGAAAGTAGTCATCATAAATTGGAGACCGCAGTTTTGCGCTTTACGAATTTCTTTCGGAAGAAAGAGCACTCTGATATCTATTACCGGAATTCATAAAAGTTTGCAAACCAATTTGGCCATTTTGAGCTTGATCAACAACAGGAAAGTTTTGAAAATTATGTGCTCTAACGTACTTGCACCCTTGTTGATATTTTCTAAAAACTAACTTGTCCAATAACTCAAATTGCTATTCTTGTTCCAGCAGCCGAATCCATCGACAGCGATGTACGCGGCAACGACTCGAGACATGGGCAAACCGCCGGTGCGCGGAAAGACCTCTCCGTACGGATTCTTTGTGAAAATGTGCTACGAAGAGCACAAAAAGAAGTATCCGAACGAGAACGTCCAAGTGACAGAGATATCGAAAAAGTGTTCGGAAAAATGGAAAACGATGGTGGACGACGAGAAGCGACGATTCTACGAGCTGGCGCAAAAGGACGCGGAGCGGTACCAGGCAGAGGTTAGTGTACGTTTTTCGCATATTGTTTCACAATAGTTTCGTAGGAGAGCGTCGGTGGTGACGTGGTGGTTCCAAATGAGTCCACGAGCTCATCCGCCGACGAACACGCAACCGGAACTGTACATTCGGAGGTACTCTGAACTCGCTAACCGTTACTTTCATTCCAGGTGGCTGCCTACGGCGGTGAAGACGCGATGAGAAAGCGAAAACGCGCCAAGAAAGACCCGCACGCACCCAAAAGAGCCCTGTAGGCGTCCGATTTTCGGCAGACTCCCTCCAATTTATCCGTTTTCAGATCTGCCTTCTTCTTCTATTCTCAGGATAAACGTCCTGACATTCAGTCGGCACATCCTGATTGGAAAGTCGGACAGGTTGCTCAGGAGCTCGGGAAATTGTGGAAGACGGTGCCGCAAGAGACGAAGGATATGTACGAGAACAAGGCACAATTGGACAAGGACCGCTATGCAGAGGTACACAAAAACAGGCTCAGTGTTCTAAGAAGGAATACTTGTTTCAGGAAATGCGAGTATACAAGTCTGAAATGTCGAAGATGCCGGGCATGGATCATTTTGAAGAGGATCACCATGGTTCGCACGTTGTACACGTGGAAGACATCAACAGCCAGATCCTCTCCTAGATTGATCAATGATCAATTTGATCATTCCCCGTTCATAATTCGTTCCCTTTTATTATTATTATTTCTTTGTCTCTCCCCTTCACACCTTTTGAAGCGCAAACCGTTCACTTTACCAATCTGCAGGAAGCATTCGATACCTTCTAAACATCCCCCTTTTTACCCTCGTAACACTCTAGATCTGCATCGTTAGGCCGTCCCTTGCAAGAAGAAGAGACCTGTAAATACTAATCCCCCATTTTTTTCTCTCTCCGCCAACCTATTTTTGTGTTTACCCGATTATTTTTTCGTCTGTCCTCCTCCTATATAATATGGTCATCATTTTAATTGTGAAACTGAACTTTTTGCCAGCGCACAATGAAGGTCGCATCTTCTTTGCTGCTCTCCCACCACATCCAAAACAAACTTCATTTCGGTTAGCAAAACAGACAAATTGGAGAACCCGATCAGACCTGATGACGTGACGGAAGCATCATTCGGTTCGACGAGGAAGTGCCCGATTCGGTACGATACGGCTTCCGGATGTTGCGGGGGAACGGGATGTACTGCAGAGTGTTCGACGGGTAATCGATGAGCTGCAAGTGCGTGCTGACATTGACAACTGCCTGGCCTAACTTTCGCCGAAATCCTCGGCCTTACCTCTCGCCGACGTCGTTGTCTGATAAAATAGCAAATACAGAGGTTGCAAATGAGAAGGAGGAGGATGAAAATGACGGAGAGGAGGATCAGAATGATGTACGCGTGGTCATGCTTGCTCGAAATCTCGCTGAAACTGAAAAGTTGTGGTGACCGAGGGAAAAGTTAGGCCATACCTTGGAAGATGTACATATTGGTCGAAAAACGTCTGGATATTGTCCATTATATCACCATTGTCAAGCGAAATTTCAGCAAGTTCTGAAGGAAGGCGGATTCCACGTCATAAAAAGTTTATGAACATTATTATATCGGAGAGGTCATAAGGGGGGAAAACCGGATAAACCGAAGGAGACGAATAAAAGTTCAGAGTGAGTAATTGCGGCGAATCCGAGAGAAAGAAGAGCGGCAGCCGATCGATCAATGTGTCACCATCGCAAAAATACGTTCGGTCATATGTTATGTTATCAAATGGATGAAAAATGGACGAAAAAGAGGTGGAAGTGTTAATTTGATAAACACTTGCCGGGAAGAAGATGAAGAAGAAGAAGAAGCTTTGCGAATGTTGAAGAACATCGTAAAACAAGGCGTCAGGGCAGGTGTTGATTTCATTTCTTTTGTCAGTCATCATTCTCACTCTCACTCTCTCTCTCTCTTCCATTTCTTCATTTGTATAGTTATCCCACTCGACCCGAACTCCTTTTCATCTCGAGCCGATTGTCGAAATGCGACCGCCGGACACATGTTTCTTTTCTTTCGCTGCAGAAGCAGTTGTTGCGAAAATAAAGAGAGATGGGTCACACCTTACTACATTTTTTGCCGCTCATCTCTCTGTTCAGTTGTTGATAAAAGAGGATGTTGTTGTTGGGGTGAGGAACGGTAAAAGCGAGAGGTTGAGAGGATTACTGTAGTTTTCTAGTTGACTACTTATAGGAGTACTGTAGCACTCAAAAGGGAAGTGAGCGATGTGACCAATATGAATAATTCTGAAACAATTCATTCACTTTGCTCTCAGTTGACCACTTTTTGATATCTCTACCGGCAACTGAGATACATCGTTATTAAATGAAGGGCATTCTTTTACAGTTATTACGGTACATGATCTCATGTACCCCCAAGGGCTGGACAAAAGACCGGTCCAGTCTTTTTGAAGCCCTGAGCCAGACATTTCAGGCTTCTTAGATTGAAGTATCTCGGGTCAACGTTTCAGACCGATCGGGTCATTTTCTAAAGACTTTTTCGGGCTCAAATCAAATTTATATCCATATCAGATTGGACCCAAGTCTAAGAAGCTTGTAAAGGTTTGGTCCGATGGTACTAATTGTAGCATAGAAACTTGTTGCACGTACAGTTGTGATGGGAAAAACGCACAAACCTACTTTCACAAAAGAAACCGTTTCTGGAATAGGAACGACATAACACACGGCTTGCTGCGAGTACAATAGAGGAAACGAAATTCTAAGTTTGAAGTAATTAGCAAAATCTTTTGGTGGCAACTTTGAAAGGACACTGATTACTGTTTCGCGGGGGGGCCGTCGGTTTGTAATGAATGAATGGTGGCCTTGTTCGGAAATGAATTGATGTCGCTCAAATGACCGGAAGAATGACGTGGCAAAACGCAGCAGGAAGAAGGAAGACCAAACTTTTGCCGTTTTCGCACCCGGCGGGCACGTGTTCGAGATTCATTGAAGCGGACGAATTCTCACACACACAAAAATGGGTGGGGAAGGTTGGCAACAATTGCGGGCGGCGAGTAATATTATAAAAAGATAGAGAGAGAGAGAGAGAGAGAATCGGGTAGTGAGGAGAGCGGAAAACACTCGAAACGGTAGTTGTTTGAGACACACTTACAAGCGACAAACAAGGGCCACACCTGGCGCCAATTCAAACAGATTATTGGGAAGGGGAGAGGATTTCAAGAGAGTTAATATAAAATAAATGTCCAGGAAGCCTAGAAATTGTGAAAGGTGGAGTGGGAAACAGAGACATTGATTCGAAGTGACATCGATGAGAAAGTTGAAGTCAGCGTCCGGAAGTCTACAAATTCAGAAGCCTTATCTTCTGATGAATCCACGACTCTCTCGTAAATGTCAGATTCGAATGATAGATTGGGGTGGTCAGAAAGAAGAAGAAAAAGAAGAAAAAGAAGGGTTTGGACGGCTTCTCATCAATCACTCGAAACTGTGATGGAACGGCAGCGAAACGAGATGATAAAGAGAAATAAAAAACGAATAAAAAGGGAAGGAAGCTTCGAGAGAAGAAGAGAGAGAGAGAGAGAGAGAGGTCGTAAATGAATGAGAGAAGGATGAGTCATTCGAAGATTGATAAGAAGAGGAAAACTCAATTGACATCACATTATGAAATCGAAACATCTTGGGAGGAGCCGGGAAGCCGAAGAAAGTGTGAAAATGAAAATGAAACTGGTTCTCGAATTTCTGCTCACTTTCAAACTTTATCTGTGTTTCTTCTTTTTTCGCGACGAGACGAGCACAAAAAGTTTAAAGAAATGCTCTTCGGCGGCCCTCTTCCCGAGCTCATTTCGACTTGCAAATGCGTTCTCGTGCGTGTGCGCCGCCGGCTAATGAACTGAAAAAGCGAGACGAAAAAAGAGGATTGGCTTGAGTGTCCAGTGAGAAATTGAGCAGGAAAAAGACGAGAAATGGGGGCGACAATGGAAAAGTGCAAATTGGAGCAGGAGCCGGAGCCGGAGCCCGTCCCAGAGCGAAGGGGTAATGCATTTGTGAGATGAGCACCAAAAGGGCACACGGCGCTCCCGTGCACTTTATCAATGGATCCGCATGGGAAAAAGCGCCATGTACGTGTTTGAGGGACTTGAGAGAGCTGGATTTTACTATAATTTTCTGGAAAGAAAAGATAGAAATTCGAAGACATGTCTTGGGTTGTTAACCGTTTAGTGCCTTGTTTTTCAGTGTTTCATATCGCTGGAACACAGACTTTGCGTGAATTGCGGTAGAGCATAGTTACTAGAACGAAAACTGAAAAAAAAAACGACGAATTGGATGCTCAACAAGTTTATTCACACATTTTTCAGTGTCTCAAGAACTTCATCCTGCGAGGTGGCTTGTTGGTGTGGCGCCGTCCATTTTGTCCGTTCTAAAAAAACAAAGGGAAATAAGGTCTATTGCGAAATGAACTTACAGTAACGGCTACGAGGATCACCGCGAGAACCAGAAAGAAGAGGTGAATGGAAAATCTCATTTTGAGAGTTTTTCGTTCATTTCAACACTTTTTAAAGCGGTTTTGACGTGCAAAATTTTAACGAGCCATTAAAATTTTACTAGATGAGACCCCTCCGCACTGTTTTTTATGATTTAATGATTGTGTTTTGTTCTCAAACTGTTTCAACCCTCATTCGCAGATTCACGTGTTTCTGCAACAGACTTCGCAATCTTTCCCTCTTTCGGAAATTGGGAAACGAGAGCGAAAACGTTTGTTTCTCCAGGTTCTCCAGGGAAACTTTCTTCCCGCTCCTTTCTATTTTGAGATGGATGAGCAGACATTGCTCCTCGAGAGAAACGTCATCTACGGTAGCCGAGACTTTGCAATCGGGACGATCGTTCGAGTAGTTTGTCTTCTTCAAGTTGAGAAGCGAAAAAATGAACGAGCGACTCTCTCCTTTTATCAGAAGCCATAAATTGCTTCTTTCGCTCGTCCCGTCGCAGTCATTTTCGTACTTGTAATCTGCTTGGATCTGTGCCGCCTGCTCTCCGTTCCCCGAGGGAATCAAGTGTCGAATCACGAGGCGCCGCCCCCTTTTCGCCGTCCTTCGGCCCCGCAGAAGAATCCGTAGAGGCCAACACAAAATTATGTTTCTCATTTTCATTTTCCCTTTTGTGAATACATATGCTGCTCTAATTATAAAAGAGAATAAGAGAATGATGAAGGGGAGGGGGTGCCCATCTCGTGCGTGCACAAAACACCGAAAAAGTGAGTGTGGGGCGGCGCCGGTCTTGAGCCCACTGAGTCCTTCAACAATTGGAAGAAGAAGCAGAAGAAGCAGAAGAAGGAGAAAAGAGACATGTTCTCAAACAAATACATTCGTTTGGCTAGTGTTTGTGTATGTGTGGAACACACTCGCCTTCGGTCGCTCGCCCCTTTTTTGAGCTTGAATTTTAGATTTTTCTGGTTACTGTAGCCTTCGAAACGTTTTTCACTTTGAGCCGAAAAGCTTCAATTTCCTTCAAGCAATATTTCATGAATAGACGCTATTATTATTATGCCTCGCTCGCCTCGTTCGTGCCCTAAAACTTGACATCGAACTTGTTTTCGTTCGCTTTTCGAACACTTTTCGCTTGACACAACTCTTCCTCTCGTTCTCACTTCCCTCTTTTTGGCTCTTCAATTTGCATTGCTAATTCCGGTGGTGCTGAAAAGTGACGTCTTCATCTTCATCTTCGTCTTCCGCGCCGTCCTCCTCTCGTTGACGTATTCTTCTCGTCCCGTGGGACCGATTGCTCTTCTCATGATTCTTTGCAGCCGCGAAATGGTCAACGAGCTGTCGTTCAACTGCGAAAACGCGTGGCTCAATCTGTTCGTCGGCGGCGAGCTGTATCCGGTGCAGGTGAAGACGTTGATGAATCCGGCGACGTGCGGCAGCTTCTTCCGTGACGTCGTCAAGGTTTCCGACGCGGCGATCAAAGTGCGAGGGGCGCTGTGGGAGGCGTCGCCGAACCACATCAAGAATCGCGTTGATATCGATCGCGACGGACAGCTTTTCAGACATGTAAGCGCTGATTGTCATTCGAGCGAGCATTACCTCTTTTCAGGTGCTGCAATACCTCCGTAACGGAAAACTAACAAGCCTTCCAGATGACAAGTTTACTCTGGAAGGGCTGGTTGCCGAGGCGGACTTTTTCGGACTCGAGAAGTACCGAGAGATGCTGAAGAGGAAGCTGTGGAAGCTGACCGGCAAGCGCCAGTACTACGCGTGTTACTCGGATTCCGATTGATTACAAATTCTACAGATAATATTTATGTAATACTGAGTGAATTAATAAATTGACTTCCAACTAACTTCCAAAACTTCTAACGAAACGGGATAGAAACTAGAGGGCGTGGAATGGAAAAAATTGAGAGAGACTAGAAGCGGTAGGGGAAACTTCTGCACTACGAACGAGACAATGATAAATGGCAGATGATAGTGGGTGAAGGACCAATCCGTGCAAAAACTAGAGTCGAGACCGGGGGAGGCATTATTGAATCACCTTTCCAATTTTTTTGAGTTCATTTTTTGTTGGGTTTTGACCGGCAACGAGAAAAACGGGGACAGGAGAAAAGCACTGGAGAAAGTGACTACTATACAATAATACAGGTGAAAATAATTACGAGTTGATGGGAAATGTTACAATAAGTATGTGCATGAGTGTGCATGAGCGCTCTAGCGCGGATAGTTGTTTCAAGGTGTGCTTCAAAGTTCGAGAGTGTGCACTCGCATACTGTCGCCGACGGCCATGATCAGAGCGGCGTTGCCAGGGCGTCCGCCCCAGCAGTCCGAGTAGACTGCCCGTGGGAAGATCGGGTTGGATGGGTCCGGGGATCTTATGGAGCACAGCATATCACCAGAAACGAGCGACCATCCACGAACGTATCCGTCCGATCCAGCTGAAATAATTTCGTTATAACGCACATCCAAAGACAGGCAATTTTTACCGGCAAATACAAAGCGTTCATCTCTGTCGAAGAAAACGTTGAGACGATTGCAGTTGTTGCGGTGTCCGTGCATCTCCATCGTCGGTTTCTTCGGCCAACGGAAATCCCACATTCTGATGAGCGAATCGAATCCCTCGGTGACGACGCATTCCGGGCGGCTCTTCTCGAGAACTCGCACGAAAGTCGACGAGCGTGCTCCATTCAGCTGTCCGGTGATATGATCTCGATCCATTCGGAGGTCTGACTTGATGACGTCGTCTCCACGGAGCCCCATATAAACAAGATTGCCGTCGACCGAGAAACAATGAGTGAGCACGTTTTTCTTTCGACTCGACATTAGAAAACTGCGATCGGTGAGCAGATTTTCAAAGCGGAAGCAGGACTCCAGGCCGAATCCAATCGACATTTGGGGCGCATTCCAGCCAACACTCCAGATGTTTCCCTTCTCGCGCCATCGTTTGTTGTAGATCGGAGAGTTCAAAGTGGGAGTCGCCTCTGGGTTACTGAGCTCAGCGAGTGGCTCGAGATGGACGGTACAGTGAGAGCAGACGGCTCCGTGACGGTTTACACTGGAAAGATATCAGCGTTTGGCAGTTGATCAACTGAGAACTTACGAATCGCTGGCGGTTACAGTCAGCATGCAGGTGACATCCGCGTCCACTCTCGCCAGTGTCTGATCGACAATGAACGATTCGAAACGCGTGACCGCGTAGTCCAAATACGACGGTTCATCGAATATTCCGTCGTCATTGAGCATCGGCTGAACAGTCATTCCGAGAATGTTGAATCCGCGATTGGCTGGACGGCAACGGAACGGAGTCATCTCCCACGCCTCACGACGCTCGCATTCAGACCTGGAACGAGGATGAGATTGAATAACAAAGTAAATGAATAAACAGCTCACTGAATGGTGTCCCCAATGGAATCAGTTTCGAAGACATAAACAGCAGAGTGTTGGGGAGTCGGACCGTCAGCTTTGACAGTGAATGTGCCGACGATACGGTCTCCACCATCAGCAACGTCGAGGAACTCGCAGCCCGCAATGTCGTAGTGATCGATTGGAGTCCGGATGGTGAAGGACGGAATTGGACTGCAGTTCAAAAGACGGCTCTCATGGATGTGCCGTTCCGCTCTGGAAATGGTGCAACGGCCCAGGGTCAGATCTGGAAAAAGAGAATTTATTCCCTGATATTCCATGAAAATCTCACCATTCATCAGCAGACTGATCGGCTTGTAAACAGGACGCTTCACAAATGATCCCGACGTGAATCTTGGTCGATTCGCCTGAATTTTAGCCTCTCTCGCCTTCTCCATCCTGTCTAAATCGGCTCTCGAGAATCCTTGCGGTAGCGACGGATCATTCGTCATTTTGTAGTACTTTTTGGTCCGCGGATGATACATAAATCCCCTCATATTCAAAGGACCGCCTTCATACGGAACGTCTTCCGGGACGGACGCTTGAATTGGAGCAGTCTCCACTATTTCGGCGGAAGGGAGCAGTTCTGAAAATTATATTCTTAGTTCATAATGAGGTTGAAAAGTTCACCGTTGTGGTGGATTGGAGGAGGTTCCCACCGTCCGTTATCATTGCCCATCGGCCAGTTGCTTCTAGCCTTCCGCAGCCTGTACCTTGACATTCCGGCCGGTCTGAAAATAATCGATAAACGGTGTGTCGAGACGAAATAGACGAAGTAAAAGGAGAGAAATCAGATAAAGCAGAAGGAGTGTTCGGATGAATAGCACGGGCCGTCAATGGCAGTCATGAGACACGTTTGGCGCACACACGACGCTTTTCTTCTCTGCGCTCTCCAGAAGCCCGCACGCTTTCTCGCGTCTCGCATACGCAATGTGGCGTCGGTTCGAGTGTAATATTGAACAGAAATCGTGCCGACGACGAGATTCTGTTTGAAATCAGGTCAACTTTTGAAAACATTGCAGTCGATAGAAACATGTGATTCTTACGAGAGAGAGGAAGGAGGAGGCTGCACCTTGTTATCAGCAGTGTGTGATTTCGAAAGCAGTTTGAGAGATCTTTTTGGAAAACTCTTGAAAGAATTTTGAAATCAGCCTTATTTCGAATTTCATTCTTCCGAAATCACACACAGGTTATCAGTCGGCCGAAGATAATAAACAGCCGAGGAGATAAATGTAACTGTTTACTCGAAAAAATACGCAAAGTCAGGTGATTTGCCTACAAAACACCGTCCGACCGACAAGATTTCTGATGCAGTTGCATAGTTAAATGTCTTCGAAAAAGATGTATGACCTGGAGAGCAGAACGCTTTTTTCCCGCCATCTTTCCAAACACAAAGTGAATGCATGCTGAACAAACAAATGGTGAATGGCAATGTTTAATGTTAAACTACAAAGAACACCGTGGCATCTGATGGCATTGTCAATCGAGTGTCAACGAAATCCTTCACAAAAAGAAGTGAACGTCAAGAGAGTGTCGTTTTCGCGGGCTGATCACAAAACTTTGAGGCCGTGCCAAAACGGGGGAATTTACGAAAACCGCGGATGCCAGAATCGCGCGGAAACCAAAATCGCGGAAAAATGCCAAAAACGCGGATTCTTGCATGCGCCATACTTGACGCGCACGTATCACTAACCTAACGGGGTTTCAATCAAGACTAAAGTATGGGTCCTTGAATACAACTATTTTTGGCCAAATATATTCTTCAAAGTTACTTTTGACGAGTTTCGATTTATTTCTCTTATTGTTCACTGTTTTTGACGTGTTCGTCAGTTCAAAAAACGCAAGCTTACTGTAATTGCGCGTCAAGTATGGCGCATGCAAGAATCCGCGATTTTGGTTTCCTCATTTTGACATAACTTCGCGGTTTTCGTGAATTCCCCCGTTTTGGCGCGGCCTCAAAACGTTGATTATGATTATTACCAAAGTTCATTCATACGAAACAAATTCGGTTTGAGCCAAGCCTAATGAGTTCAAAGATTGGGAGAACAATTTTTTATGTTATTCACGTCCAAATATAGTAACTTTCGAGGAAAACTTGCTTTATTCTCAACAAAGTCTCTCTTATGTCGCTCCGGTAGAAGTAGAATCGTCCCGAATGTGTTAGCAGTGATTCAGATGAACGACAAATAGTTAACCACTAGTTTGAATTTAGACACTCAGTTTAGAAGTATTGTGAATTAACTTTAGCATCTACCGTAACGCAAAAGCCTACTCTTCAACGGCAAGTTCCTGGAGTCTCATTTATTCAGCTTGTGTTCCAACATTTTCATCACCTCGGCAACTGAATGTCGTTTGGAGCCTTCGAATTTTTTTCATTATGTGTATCCGATAGGGGAACCTGCACCCGGCTCGGACATCAAAAAACGAGGTATACAAAGAAATTAAGCTTTCAAGAACTTTTCTTCGTAATTTTCATGAATGTTAACAATTTTTAGAAGTGGAGATATTTCCCTCAATACATCTGTGGTGAGCATTAATTTTTTCTTTTTTTCCAGCCTCATGCACACTACACCTGCCATGCTCGTGTTCCGAACAGAGGTAATTCGGAATGGGATCCCATAAAACGAGATGTGCTCTTCCCAATCTCGTCGCGGAAATCGTTGGGCGGTGAACGACGCCTCCCGGAAAACCCATCTCATAACCGATTCGATTAGATTTCGAATGCTCTTTCACGGATCGCTGACGTCAAACCGAAGGGGAGGCGAGGCGTCGAACCACATCCACTTCATTCGTTCGCGTATGAATAACTGGGCGTCTGCATCGAGTGCATCAGACATCGGACCAAGTGTTCTTTACGATACGATGCTCTCCTAACTCTTGATCAGCAGCGCTGCAATTCTTAGTAAATCTTTGAAAGTGACGAGTATTTGGAAGAAGAATAAAAAGTCAATTCCCCGGGGAGGGGGCAGCTGGAAATGAGAATAATGAGTATGGTAGCTTATCGAGAAAAAAGCCAGGCAGGTGATTGGCAGGCAGAAAATGAGCTCTGAACTTGGAATAAAATGATTTCATTAAATCTATCAGGAACACGTCGACTCGATCTTTCCAGACCCTACAATTTTACTTCCAGTCTCATTTTGCTTCCCAGTTTCTCATCAGATCTTTCCCCATTCACACCCTCGTTTCCGGGCGGCACGTACTTCCCGTTCCGTCCGTTCTTCTGCCCAAACGTGCGCTCAAATGTACTCTGTGCTCGAAAAAAGAAAAGACGCCGTCGCTTTCCAAATTGGTTTCCTGTGCCGAAAAGACGAACTTCTTCTCCGTCGTCGTAGCTCCTCTCATCCACGGAGCACATGTTTGCTCATAATAATAGGAGAGCATGGCCTTCGTCGGTCTCTCCGAAACTGAAGGGGTTAGCCGAAGAAGAGGGCGCAAAGGGAAGAAGAAGAAGGCACGCAGAAGGAGCAGCAGGAGCAGTCGAAGAAGAAGAAGAAGAAGACGGGCGGTTGGTTGAAAAGGGGCGGGGCTCAAGGGCGGGGCCGCCTGCTCCCTCGAGCTCTCGGCTTTCAGTCCTGTGCGCCGTCCGCTATCTATCAGCCAATCTTGCGTCGCTCCTCGGGCCTTTCAGCACCTTCCTCTCATCTTTGATCGGTTTTTTTTTGATTGAGGCAAATTTGAGGCGCATCGCTTCGACGACGCCTCGTTTTTGCTGTAAATTTTATATGATACAAAAGCGATGAGCCGTGAAATCGGTCCGGGGGAAGCAGGCGAAAAAGGTGATGTGCACATGCGCGAATAGTTTCGGAAAGTCTCCGCGCACACACTTCCATTAATGACTTTGTAATTCGAGCCGCCCCTTCACACTTTAATCGCTCAACTTTTTGCATCCGCACATTCTGATCCCTTATTGTTTTCGTCCTTTCGCCCTTTTCCGACCTTCCGGAAGCTTCTTCCATTTTCAGAGGCATGTCGTCTCCCGCCGACTGCTGAGATGGATCAGAATGGCTGTGGCAAGTGTGCTCCTGGCACTCTTCATGCTCTTTCTTTCCATCGTCACTGTCGTCGGCAACCTCGCCGTCCTTCTCTCCTATTATCTCGACAAGAACATCCGGCAGCCGACCAACTACTTCATCTTCTCGCTCGCCATCTCCGACCTGGTATGTTGTTGTTGTTTTGTTTTTCCCTCTCTCTCTCTCTCTCCTTCCCTTCCCTGTCGTCCTCTCTGCTCCTTTCCATTCATCCACACCGGGCCTGATGTGATTCGGAAATGTGAATTAGTCCGTCCACAAGCATCCGAGAGATCGCTGACCTGGACAGGAGGAGGAGGCGACGTTTTCGGCGCTACTTACAACGAAGAAGAACTCGCACGGAATAGAACTGTTACTGTTTGGAACTCGCAACGTTAAAATATAACTGCGAGTTCCAAATCGTAACAGTTCCATTCCGTGCGAATTCTAATTCGTTGTAGCGCCACGTTTTCACAGAGGGGACCGAAACGTTTTTGTTCTCTTCGGTATGCGAATGGGCCGAAGATGTGTTGGGTGATGTCTCGAGAGACCTCGAAAGTGGTGAAATGACATGCGGTGCAGAAGCAGCAGGAGCCGCCGGAGCAACTAGCGCTCGAGTGGGCACACTGCCTCTCACTCCTCACTCATCCACAGAAGGAGAAGGAGAAGAAGAAGACGCTCCCTTTCCAGAAGGCGACCATAATCTTATGTCAGTAGGGGAAAGACGGCGTGAGTCGTCAACTTTCGGCCCGTTGCGCCACGCTCCCCGCCTAACCTAATTTTTCGAACATTTTTCCGAGGCGACATAGAAGACGAAGTCGGGAGAAGCAGACGAGATGAGGAGGAGTAAACGGACGAGTTGACTGAAGGGCACGAAATGACTGAGCAGCAGAGGATAAGGTTGCAAAAAAGATCGGAAGTTCAGGAATAGCCCCCCAACTTCTACAGTAGAACTCCTCAGCGAACCGAAACCCAAGACTATAATAGCTCTCCGAAAATAGAAAGAAAAAAAGGTGGGGAAAGCCCTCCGAGTCGGGCATGTTTACAATCGGACAGCGGAAGAGAAACGGCGATTGGCCTGTTCTGTGGTCGTCTGCCACGTCATGTCAAACATCTCCTGATCCGTTCTTTCTTTCTTTCAAGTGTGCTTCGTTATCTCTATTTTTCGCAGTTTTGAAGCTATTGCTCCAGCTCTCTCGGCCACCTAATTTGACGTATCCGGCGCTTGAGCGCCGTCTTCACATGACCTCCGTGTGGGTGCCACGTCATCTTTGTTCCCCGCCGACCTACTCCTCCGGCTTCGGCTCTTCTTCCGTCTCGGCCATCTTTTCGGCGCCGGAAATCAGTGGCAATCGGAAGCGCGCGGGCCCGCCTCGCATAACCCATAAATCATCATAGCAGGGCTCAACGGGCGCCACGAAGCTTCCTCCGAGAGCACAGAAGAAGAAGAAGAAGAAGGGTTCCTTCTTCCTTCGGCGTCGAGAAGAGCCTTCGTATTTACTATGTGTCGCACACGCATGCCAAGATAGCATCAATTATGGTGCCCGTTTTCGAGTGCTTCAGATCTTTTTCCGTCGTTCGCCGTTTCCAAGACGTCGTGCCGCGTCTTCGTCCGTATCGCTGCGTGCTCATCAGCGCGGCAAAGAGGAGACTCACCCGGGGTGATTGTGTGCTCCGTAGAACAACACGTTAGTGCCGCCCGACCGCACGACCGAAACTTATCGTTATGCGGAATCTGATGACGTGGCAAAACGCAGCGAAGAAGGCGGAAAACGAAAAAGGGAAGAGCAATGTGCATGCGTCTACTCGCTAATGAGATCAGAAGGGGGATATAGCCTAAAGGCGCATCGAGAGATGAAGGACATTTCGGACCGTATGTAGTCGGTGTCGGGGGAAGTGCTGAGCTTATTTGGCCGACAGTCTGAAGGTCTCAATCTCAAAGATCTCCAGTCCGAAAACTTCCTGTTCTAAGCTCCGAGACGGCGTGTTTTCGTCTCTTTCTCAAGAGGTTGCCGAGCTTACATCTTCTTTCGATAATACGGAAAATATTGGCCGTCGGAGTTTACAAGCTTCTCTCGGCTCTCTCTCTCTCTCTCTCTCGATCTTCTTCCTTGAGCTGGCATGTCATCTTAACGTGTTTGTGTTCCGAATTGAGTTGTTCAAGTACTTAGGGCTGCTCCTGCTCCTACTCCTGTCTTCTATATGGACACAAATGAAATATGCGCAAGTCACACAGACACGATTGCCCAAACGAAGCCTATTTTGGCAAGGAAGGAGAGGAGAAGCCGCCGCTTTCACAAAGAATCTGCTCCGCAATGTTTGTCAGGGGCAAAACGCAAAATACACCTTCTGAGCTCGTCTCGGAAAAGTTCTGTGGAAGTACACGTCATGAGTCAGAATCCGAATGCGATTCTTTCTGACCAAAAAGTTCTAAAGTTGTCGACTTTTTCTCTTGATCGCCCTTGAAGAGGTCAATTGTAGGAAGCGTTGAATAGGCGGTGCGCGGCGAGCTCAAACATCATGCTCGACACCTATTATAAGTCTTTTGTGGTCCTCTCGCGACGAAGGAGGCAAAAAGAGAGAGAGAGAGAGAGAGAGAGAGAGAGAGAGAGAGAGAGAGAGAGGGAGCAAGAAGAAAGTAAGAAGGAGCAGTTTTTGAGTCCGGTTAATCCTTTTTCTTTTTGAACGGAATGGAATGGGTTAGCGGGTTGGAATGTTGCCATACAATCCGAGGGGTTTCAGCTGATCGGCCTGGAAGGAATTCCGGTGTACACCGCATTCTACCTCAACAACAATGAATGGATCTGGGGCGATGTGCTGTGCGATTTGTGGCTCTCCATCGACTACATCGTCTGCCTCGCCTCCATTTACACTGTGCTCGGCATTACTGTTGATAGGTTTCAAGGCGGAAGTGCTCTCTGTCGCACACTTAATTTTCAGGTACTATTCTGTGAAGAAGCCAGCGACGTACCGGAACTGGAGGACTCCCGGCCGCGTTGTTCTCATTATCATATTTATATGGCTTGTAAGTTTTGAATTTTCATGAACGTCAACATCAACGAAACCCCCTTTCTTCCAGGTTCCTAGCATTTTATTCTCTGTTTCAATCTTTGGATACGGCACATTTACGGGTACAGGTCGGATACTGAAGGAGACCGAATGCTATGTGCAGTTCATGACGAATCCCTATCTGAACATGGGCATGTACATCTCATATTATTGGACGACACTGTTTGTGATGCTCTATCTCTACTGGGGCATCTACAGAGCCGCCAAGAAGCTCGCGTTGAAGAGTGATCAGGTACCGGGACTAAAAGATTCTTGTGCACTTGCTCTGTACTCAGAAGACAAAGCGTCTGGCGTTGCTCACCGAAATGCGGCGTCCTGAAGTGAGTGTTCGCACGAGCGACGCCGGGAACAGCAGTTCGGACTCTCCGAACGACACTTCGAACAGTAGCAAGTGAGTTTTCCCTGCGGACAGACTTGGTAACAAATTGATGTTTGTTCCTCACACCCGCCCGAACAATACATTTCAATCAGTTCGTTTCGCCCCACCCTCTCTCCTCCTTATGTCCCCGATGACCGGCAAAAAAGACAAGTGGCGAAATGTGAAGAAATGCGCATAAATCTCGACGCGCACATATGCATTTCGGAAGCGAGAGCGGCGTCCCGTGGGGATTGACGTCGGAGGTCGCGGCTCCCGGAGCAGCCATATGTTGAACAGAAAAAGCCAGACTACTTTGCTTGATTATCAGGGAAAATCGGATTGTAAGTGCCCTGGGAGCAAGCGAAAATTGACAATTTATTGTGGAGCCTGTGACGAAAAAACACCAAGGGAACTATAAAATCGGAGGGGAGCGGCGGCGGGCTCAAAAAGATTGGTCCCATTGATTAAAAATGAGGGGTCAACTTTTTTCCTGATCTCCAACTCATTTCGTACTCTCGCTTCCTTTCAATTCCACCCAAAATAGTGTGAATATTTCTGTGCGGAATTGTATGCAAATCGGCCTTTTTTGCTCGAAAAGGGCTTCCTCTCCTTTTTCTCAGTTTGTTGTGCGTTGCTCAATCCAATTGAATGCTCCGTCCGTCCTTATCCTCCAAACGAGGTCCGTTGACAAGCTAGAAAACGCGGATGAAATGTGAGATTTTGAAAGTTCTGAAGTGGTTCCCCCAACAATCTGCAGATTAGAAGGACCTCTTCCGGAAGGGAGTTTAAATGGGCTATGGTGGAGCGAGCGGGCGAGGGAAGGGACCGATAATGAGCGACTGAAAAGGAGGCGAAATTGATGAAGAGAGGGAAAAGAGCCCACAAAACGATGCACTTTTTCGCCCTCTCCTCCTGATGGCCAATTTCGTGTCAGAAGGGAGGATGAGCGAATAAATGAGGATGGGGTGAGGGACTAACCGGAAGGTTCAACTGAATCAAGCAAGTTTAGTCAGAACTACCAGATAATTTCGCAGCAGCCATTTTTCCGACTGCTCCCGGACACTTTTTCTCTCTCTCTTCCCCAACTCATTGATCCAAATTGAGTGCGACATTCATGAGATGGATAAAAGCCGGCAGAAAGTGAGTGTCACTTGAAAACGAATCTTCCTTTTCGTCGTCGGCAACGTCTCCTCCTGATGTCCTCTCCTCTCGCCCATTTCCCGTACACGTTAGTCGCCTAAATCACGTTACTCACTCCCTTTTCTTCCTCTCAGTCTGTCATTCTGATGACGTGTGTGCCCTTCGGGGCGAGCGTACGTACATAACAAATCACATCAGCAAAGTACTGAAACGAGAGGGACCATTGCAGATGTTTCCGGACGGCGCCACCGACGACGACAATGCCGACCACTCAGACAACTGTGAGTACGCCGCCGCCCGTCTTCCGCAATCACATGACGCTTCACAACAACAATATAGACCATGTTAAGGAGATTGAGCCACCACATCCGCCGACTCCGCCAGAAGAACATACTTACAGGTCAGGTCTTCACTAAACTCATCAGCTAACCTAACGATTTTAAGTAACCCGAACTTTTCCATCTCCGAACAGTTCAACAACGGTTTTTCGCGGCAGGAGCCGTCCTCTGTGATCGAACGAGAGAGCACGGCTCCGTGCGTTTCTCCGGAACCGTCGCAGGCCTCGCAGGAGAACGACTTCAACGAAAACGAAAATCATCACGCGCATTTCAAGTGAGCTCATCATCTCCCGTTCCGAATTAGAATTCACCTCGCAGACCTGAACTCTCGTTGCCCTTCATCGACGCGGACAGTGTATCATCGATGGTGGGAACCGATGATCTTCGCAGGGCAATGTCGATCCGAATCTCGAGAAGTGCTTCCCAGCACGGTACTGGGGGATGTGCGACGCCCGTGGAGCATGTTCTCGTGGATATGACAGAAGAGCACGAGGAGAAAGAGGTGGGGGAGTTGGCGGAAGACGTCGCAGAGAAGAAGCCGATGCTGGAGAATGGAGGACTTCATCATGTCACCATTGCGGACGATGATCAGCAGGTAAAAGGTGGAAAAGGGACGGGAAAGGGATAAAGAAGTTGTAGCCGTCCACGTCGAAAGAGTCAGATCAAAGGGACGAAGTGACACCAGATCATCACGATGCGAACGAAGTGAAGGTTTGGTATTGCTCAGATTCTTCTGATTCAGCTTCCTTTCAGGTCCCCTTGATCGCAGTCTCGCGCGTGGAAAGTGTGAAGAGCACGACGGGAGGGAAAGTGCGTCGGCTAATTACCCAAATGCGGAGCCACAGTATCCGGAGCAAACGGAAACGTAACAAAAAAGTGAGCACTCCTCCAATCAACCCGTCCTCCTCCTCCCTGACAGTCGGCGGTCGGTCGAGTCGTGAACGTGAACGTGTCCGCAATCCGGTCACGATTACCCTCCAGTTTCAGACTGTTCTAGCAGCGCTTAACTTTTTCCAACGAAAAAAGGTAACATAAGAGACCGAGACTCGCTTGCTTCTCTTTTTCTCTTCCAGCCCACTTCTCTTCACAGTTTTAACCCTTCGGCTCGTTCGTTCTGCTCATGTTTCATCAGCGGAACATTTTTACGCTTTGCATGTGTTTTTTTTTACTTTTCAATCTAGAAGGAACCAACAAAAATACAATAAAAAGTGGGGAAGAGTAGGATTTCAGTGAAGAGAATAGTGAAAGTGAAAGTGACGGAAAAGTGCAGTGTTTCGTAGAGATTGTGGGGTTCCGAAAGTTTTCCGTGCCGCCTAACTGCAGTAACCCGTTCTGTGTGAAGTGTGAGTACCGGTGCTGCCCCGATACAGAACTTCCCGAATCAGAACTATTTTCAGTGCTAATTGGTTCTGATTCGGGGCAACGAGTATTTTGATTCCCAGTACCTGTAATAAAATGCGAGTGACACCGAAAAGTTCTGTTGCCAAATCGTAGTGGTTTTCTCTTTTTCAGCTTCTCCCACTATCATCTTTTTCCCAAACCGATCCGTTCCCATTTGCAGGAGTACAAGTCCCGATCCGAGAACCGAGCCCGGAAGGCGCTCCGAACAATCACCTTCATCCTCGGCTCGTTCATCATCCTCTGGACTCCGTTCTACGTCCTGGCGACCATCTACGGATTCTGCGAGACGTGCAAGGCTTCTCCGTCGTTCAACACGCTCTACACGATCTCCTATTACCTGTGCTACATGAACTCGCCGCTCAATCCGTTCTGCTACGCAATGGCGAATCAACAGTTCAAAAAGACGCTCACTCGCATTTTCAAAGGCGACTTTCGAAGAGTTTGACATGCTCCACCTATTTCCGCTCAAAAATGTGTTAAAACGTTTTATGCCTCTTTTTTCTCATTGAATCAATCTTTCCGAACAACTCGACAACTGCGAAGGCTATCCCTGAACAATCTCGACTTTGTTTTCTGATTGCCTTCGTATGGATATTGACACTGTGATACTTTGTGTTTTTCCGAAATTGCCATACTTTCAAATAAATCTTCTAGGTTGTTTATTGCGTGAAAAAACTCTAACAAAGGAAAGAATTCAAGAAAACGACTGCTCTTCATGCCCAACTGATCATTTTTCCTCCGCTCCGATGCCTCCATTTGCCCTCCTCGTCATTCACACCCGTCAAAGAATTTATCAGAGAAAAGAGAGAGGGAGAAGGAAAATAAATGCGACGTCGCCACATGAAAGGGACGAGGTGTCAATGAGCGGAGATTTATGGAAGGCCGGCTGCCGTTCGGTCCAATCCAAGCACTTGTGGTGCAATATGATCCACGGCGGCTGCCCCTCTTCTTTTTCTTGTCCCCCATTCTTCATTCTTCATAAACTGTGATGAACCTGTGTGAGTAGGAGAAGTATCCGAAATGAAATATTCATGAGTCGTCGGTTTTCCGCCTCTTTTCTCTTTTCCAACTTCATCATCGTCCATTCTCGGTGCGTTTGAGGGCGGTGAGCACTCTGCCGCAACACCTTTGTCGGCCACGTAATTAGCGGTGCGAAATGTGCAATGAGGTGCTATAATTGTTGCGTTTTCCGCTTCTTATTGGCAGCTCTTATGAGCCGAAACGGCCTAAAGCTGAGAGAGAGTCAATTCCACTATTCCAATAGTTATGTCAACCCCCAAGGACTATTGTAGAATCAGTATTCGGATTCCCCAATTTCCCATGCCTCCTGTTGCTTCCATTCATCACCGGGACCATATGGACTACTTGCTGACTCCGCCGCTTCGCTCCCGTTTTTGTACCTTTTCTCATCAATCTAACCCTTTGTATACATGAAACAAATCCTCTCATTCGAATGCCTATACGATTCATACTTCTTGCCAACACACCAATTTCCTGTTTTTGTTCCATTCCGTCGCTTCTCTCACTCTCACTTTTGCCTCATTATTAATGATGCTCTCCCGTCGGAAGAGTTGGGTTGGGCTCCACGAGCCGCCCAAGACGCCGTTTTTGCAAATGAAGTAACCAATTATTCAAATTTTAGTTGTTGTTGTTTGCTTTCCCTCCGTCTAGTGGCCGCCCAGTTGTTTGGAAAGAAGCGCTTCAGTTGAAGATCTTCAAGTTCTGGGGGTACAAACTGCCGGGGGTACTGTAGTCGTTTACCTTTTGCGAAACACAAACAGTAGCGGGTGATGACCTCCAATTATTATTCAAAAGTCCTATTATATCAGTCGGTGGCGGGGACATTACCTCAAAAATATTTGCCTGCGAAGCGCGGAAGCGTGTCGAATCTCGAAGCCGTCGTGCAAACACGCGTTCTGCGCATTCGGCGTTCCGCATGCTTCCTAATGCGATAGCTTCCATAAGTTTGCTCCGTTTTCCCTCGTTTAATAACCTCTCAACTTTTGACGCTTAATGAGCCTTCCCACGAGATTTGCCACCCCGTCCGGGAGGTCGTTCCCCCTCATTATCCGTCTCATGTTTCTTCGCGCATTCGGGAACGAACGAGCGCAAAACTCGATTAATTTCGATTGCACGAACGACTTTTGATAACTGATGAGCACTTCAATGTGCTCGAATTATAATTGAAAGGGGCGTTCCCTCTTCAGCTGCCATTCCATTTCTAAATTACGGGTTTCCAAAGAGCATGAAATTGCACCTTTGCGTTGCCCCGAGCTCAGTTATCACCTGGAGACGTGCTCTACGAACCCTCCACAGTCCATTCAGAAGTTCTGCAAGACTCCAGCCCTCTCTCCAAACCCCAACCAATTCATTCCAACAAAACATTTGTGTTGCTCTTTGCCGCTCTTCCAGGACACCCATTAGCCTCAAGTGGTATGTGACCTCCGAGGGAGAGATTCCGAGAGATTCAAATCAAATTTGTCCATTCCCGTTTCCCTCTTTTACATCAATGAGCCGCCCATCTCATCCATCCATCCATCACTTCCATGAACTTCTTCTTCATCTCCTCCTTCTTCTCATTCAACTCGAGACCATCAAGAGTACTGTGCTCTTTTTGTCCACTCGCATTACCATCATAATCGGAAGTACCATTCGTTCTCGCCAAGTGACATGGTTGTTTTGTACTGCCCAATCCTACACGTGCCAATTATCTGACCTTCTCCCTACTCCAGCAGATTCTCTTCTTCTTCTCAGTCATACTTCTTACTTTTGCCTTCTTCTTCTTCTTCTTCTTCCACCAACCATCATCATCGTATTCACACTGACCAAAACACTTGAAACGTTTCGCGTGTGCGTCTGCGCACGGATTGGTGACATCCTCGTTACGTCCTCTTGACTTCTAATCCATTCGTGGCTTGGCTTCCGTATCGGATCAGGTCCGAACTGAGAACTTTTGCAACTCGCACCATATAACACCGTCTGTTCGCCTCAGTTTCCGTCCCTCCGACCCCATAAATCCCGACCAAGTTGTAACTGCTCCGGCCCGTGCATCCCGCCATTCCTCCGAGTTATTAGCACGAGAACGCATAAAAAGGGGCGTGGCTTGTGCCATTGACAGACCGCCCGGTTATCTGATACACACGTATCATATTTTTGCTGCTCTCTGGGCCCTTGCTCACACCCCGGGTTTATGAGCGCGCGAAAAAGCGACACACACACACGCAGAAGCCAAACAGAATATTATTCCATCTCGCGGGAGGGAGGGACGAAATCTGAGAAGAGCTCATTCGTCGCCGACCTTTCCGCTCACAGATTAGCTCCTTCTGGTCCTTTTCTCCTTTCTTAGTCCTTCTCGTTTTTTGGTTTCCTCAGCGCCTGAAGGTGAACTCGAAAAGTCAGTGTGAACCAGATATCCGCAAAAACTGTTTTCAAAATAATAGTTTTCAAATTCGCAGATTTTTAATTGAACCTATAAAAACTGATAACGAAAAAGTTTCATTTCTGCGAATGTCTTATGTGAACCAAAGACGAAGCTAAAGTTTCAAGCCGTTGAATTTAATTTGCTCCTGCCCTGCCTCCGTTTTTTTTTGCAATCGCACAATGCGTTCAAATATTTGTTTAATTCTTGTTGATGAGCCCCTCGGAGTCGGAGGCCGACATCCGTATCCATATCCCCCCAATGTAGATACTTATCAATCGCTGCCAACTTTTGAATCCAGTCGGATAGTTGTGTATTAACAACAATCAATCAATGTTCTTCGTCTTCGAATAGGCGTGATATTTGATTTGATTGTAATTTAATTGAATCGAGAACGCGCGATAAATGTCACTCGAATCTCATTAAAAGAGCTCATCCATCACTCATGAAACTGGCTCGCCTGTCGCCGGAAACTGACAGACATCGGCGACGAATTCTGGAAGAGTAAGCGGAGGGAAAGTCATCCGACTTCTTTTGTCTCTTCCACGCCATTACCTACTAATCAAACCGGATGTTGTTGCCACGTCATTAAACCTCCCGGCGGCCACGGATCCTGAAGTCATACCAAGATTACTGTACCTTCCAGAAGCGAAAAACCCTCCAACGCCATCTGAAAAGAAGCAATCAAAAGGTTAGAGGGAAGCTTCCACTTGGCAATCTGTCAATTGTTTTGGTGGCACGATGACATGTCCTTTTGTATTACGCAATCCTTGTCTTCCTCCTCTTCCTCCTTCTCCTCGGCTACTCGACAATTCCGATTACACTCGAAAATGTATACATCCTCTTCCGTGCCTTCCGTACATCATCATGCACATTTTTCTCACATTTCTTGACCATTCCTAGCCGTTTTCTGTCCTACTTCCTATTATGCTCATTAGTCGGCGTGGCTCCTTCTCCACAAAAAAACACAATAAGAAGCCCGTCGCTGTTGCTGTTTTTTCAGACCCTCTTGTCCCTTTTTCGTATCTTTCGACTCCTTCTTTCCGAAATCCGATTTTGTGTCCGCTCTCTGTTTCATCTCCTCCCCGCCTAGCCCCGCCCACTTTTCCTTCCGACACGTCGTCGCCTCGCATTCTTTGTTTCAGCAACGTCGTTGTCACGCATTCATGAATTGATGCTTCGGCTTCTACCGATCCTTCTAATCTGCTGCCACGTGGCCGACGTGGCAGGCGTCTGCCGCGACACTGACACGTGCATCGAGAGAATCAAAGAGGTGGTGGCTGCTCCAAGACGGTGAGAACGGGGGTAATTAGGTACTTGGGGTAATAATGACGGGGCGAGGACCACCCACAGAGCCAGCGAACAGCAGGTAGCGGATTAGAACGGAGTCAATTAGTTGAAGTGTGAATATGAATAGAAGCACACCAAACGGGGATCAATGTTCGAACTTTCATTTCAGATTCTGGTTCGGCGAGCAACGATCAGCCCTGTGCTCGCACCGAAATGCCAAGTCTCTCGAGTGCGGCGGACCTCCTCAACTCGCCAGTTTCCATTCCATCGCCAGCCGTCTTTTCAGGCACGTTTCTTCCGTTTCTTCCGTTTCGAAGCCCGCAATTAGGTGCAGTACACCCATTATTAGCACAAAGACAAACACGCAACATAGCAGAAATAGAAATGACGGCGTTTCAGAGTCAAAACCTATCATTCTGCGTACCTTCGCAACTTGAACATCTTTCCCAGAGTCACCTACAGAGCATCTCCCGGTATAAGTTCCTCTGAGCTGCTAGAAGTTCAATCTCCCTTTTGCAGGTCACTATCGTGCTTGCGAACACGATTTCTTTTCCGGAAACACGTCGGCAGTCGAAGCAGATCCCGACATGGACCCGGTGGAGCCATTCCGCATTCGCAAGCGCCCTGAAATCACCTGGAGCGAATTGCAATTTGACGATCAATACACTATTGTGTTCACTGATGTCGGGTACGCCACGCTCAATTACCTGGCAGTCGACTTTCCAAAAGCTACGAAGATCCTCAAGGAGTACGAGCCGACCGAAAACTTCCGTCCTTCTCCGAACCCGATGGTCGTGCTGATCTTCCGGAAGGGACGAATGGAAGTGGAGGCGCCGAAGAGCGAGGAGGACTTTGACCTTCCGCAATTCATGCTGAAGCACGAGCTGGAGGACGATCTGGTCGGGCTGGCGCTAGTTGTTGCCAGCAGTGATCCGTTCGCGATCGAAAAGCAGAGACTGCGCGGAAAAGTAGACTACTGTCACAGTCTCCTGCAGAAGAGACTCGCCTCCAATCCGCCACGTCATCACACAATTCTTCATCGTCTTCCCATCGATGAGATCGACTCGTGGCTCTCTGTTTCGTTTGAGCAGCATGCGGTGAATGCGAACGTCTGCTGCCAGAAAGTGAAGCTTCCGAAGACTTCCGTGTTCTTGGATCCTCTGGGCGATGTGTCCATTTCTGCGCTCAGCACGCTCACTGCTCCGTCCATCAGCTCCATGAGAATCACGGCTGCTCAGTCGAACTACATCAACTATCACCGACAAACACGGAACTTTGTCGGTCAGTTCACTTCCATTTGTGCCATCGATTCATTCCATAATGCCTTTCCAGAGCTCTCAAATGAAAAGTTCGCACTGGCCATCATAGACGCCCACCACGGCCATTTGCACTGGCTCGAAGTGGACATTCCGGCGGCCAACCTGAATGCCGCCAATGGAAATGGCCTCACGGTTAGTGAAACATAAAAAAGTTCTTGTGGCCACGGATGCGTCGAAATTTATTTATTCCGCAAAAGTGTTTGGCGCTTGGCTTGGCGCGAAAACTCATCAAAACTGGTACGAATGCAATAATGCATTCCGATGCGTTTCCACACTTTTCCGCTTCAAAAAATCAACAATCAAATGTTTGGTCCGTGCGAGAGACGGGACTCTGCGGCTCTCGGAGCGAAACTCAATCGGAAAGGGGTTTCGAAATGAAATCGAGGGGACTTTCCGGATGATACGGCCACTTTACGAGGCGAATACAATTGTTGCAGAAGGCCGATTATGTGCCGTTGATTCCGAAGAAGCCGTCCACGTGTCACTCGTATCTTTTCGTGCTTCTCGCCCAGCCGGCAACTCTGCAGCCGTTGGAGCCCTACTGTGAGGGAATGTGCGAGAGCAGAAAGAAGTTCAGGTAGTCATTGATCAATGAAAGTGCTCCCCAACTCGTTTTTCAGACTGGATCTCTTCACACAGCAGCACGGTCTCCGTCTCTCCGCCCTTTCCACAGTCTCGTCCTGCTACGATCTTCCGTACGCCTACCACATTCTGATGAAGGACGCCGCCAGCCAGAACCAGACTTTGGAGCGTCGTGGGCGGCAGCGGACTTCGCTGCATTCGCCCATGTCTTCTGAAGTGTGCGCCGCGTTCCACGTGTCCCCTCATCACAAATGCCCTGTCAGTTCCGTCTACCGTATCTCTTCCCTTCTGACCCTTCTCGTTCTTGCTCACTTCCTGTAGCACCTTCTTCAGAAAATACACTTCTTATAACGGGTCATTCTACTTTTTCTTTATCTAGTTCATCATTTTCCGCTGTTTCCCAGTGTCAAAATAAACGTTTTTGTTTTTTATACTTCGAAATTCATGTTTGCGTTATTGTTCAAATTCACAGTGCTCATTTTCTACAATAAATATGGCTAACTTGGTCTAGGAAACAGATAAATACGATAATTAAATTGTATGCGGGGGAGACAAATTACTGAGCTTTGGCCTCTCTTTCCTTCTTGCGGAGGGCGGCGGCGCGGGTGCCGTTGCTCACGTTGGTGAGGAGGATATCACGCAGGAAAGTCGGGATGAGGTTGAGGAGCTCGAGCTGAATCTGGTGACTGATGTATCCGGTGGTGTCCGAGGCGTTTCCGACAGTGTTGAGGGCGGACTTGGCGAAGGTGGCGCCATCCGGAGTGAAGAAAGAGGTTCTCTTGACCTTGCTCATTTTGGTGGCGACCATCATTGGGGCGATCGTCTGGATGGTGATTCCTTGGCTCTCGTACTCTTTGCGGAGAATGGCCGTCAGCCACGAGACGTACTTCTGGAAAAAATACAGTTGAAGAAGAGCATTTCGTGGAAGAAGGGCTACCTTGGTGGCCGAGTAAACAGCCCACAGAGCCATCTGATTGGCTCCGGCAGACGATCCGACGTTGACGATGACTCCCGACTTGCGGGCGACCATTTGCGGCAGGATTCCGGCGGAGAGCTGCGTAACAAACTTATTCGGTAAACACTTATTCCCTTCTAAAATATCTCACCAGAGTTGGCGGAAGAGTGTTGATGGTGGCGATGTTGGCGAGACGCTCGATTCCTCCTTCGACCTTGTGCAGGACATCCGGGTACTCGTAGCTCAATCCGACGTTGTTGATGAGCACTCCGATGTCGACCTGGTTGAGGGTCTCCAGAAGAGTCTTGTATTCTCCCGGAGCAGCATTGGTGAAGTCGTAGGCGGCAGTGCGGACTTCGACGGTCGAGTACTTCGCCGTGATTTCCTTCTTGGTCTCGTCTAGCTTCGATTGGGTACGCGAGACGAGGAAGACGTTGAAACCACGGCGGGCGAGCTCGAAGGCGTAGGCCTTTCCGATTCCATCAGTGGCTCCGGTCACAACTGAAAATATGTTCGTCTGTTGACATTTTCCGAACGATGTGCTGATTCACGAATGATAAAAAAAACACAGTTCTTTGTAGGCTCTTTGGTTGCAAACTGATAAGGCTCGCTGCCTCTCAACGATCACCCCACAACTGACCAGCCCACGACGCTCCGGCTTTCTTCTTCAAATCGACTGCCGGCAGGAGCACGTAAGGTCCCAGAATGTTCGAGACAATCGTCAGGAAACGATAGGCGACAGCAGCGAGAGCCGCGTAACCGAGTCCGACCAAGAAACACTGGCAAGGCATTGAACCTGCAAATGGGTTTATGAAAAGACAGCAATTCAAACCACGAAAAGTATTTTTACGAATGGGAAACGAATCGGGAGAAAATTATCGATTTTGGGTGAGAAAAACTAGGTCACTTTTTAATACCATTGTCGGAAGACAGCGAAGATTCGAAAAGTTCGGTAATGTTCATTTTCAGACAATGACAGAAAAGTCTTCATTGCCCTCAAGATAGTTCACGTGAGTGCCAGCAAAGTGAACAAGAACATTCGAAGTAAAAATCTGTTCGCTAGCTAACGAATCAAACACTAAATACTGAAAATTAGATGTCACCCATTTATTCTCTTCAAATAAAACTTATTGAAATACATTTGGACAGAACGACAAGAGAAAGAGACGGCGCCGCGAAACCGTGTGAGAAAATAATGAAAAAAGTGGCCGACTGGAGGAAAACCCGACCTTATCACACCATTTCTGGCATGATAGGCAGGTGGAAGATTCTAGAGGAGGGACAGAGAAAAAGAGCGAACACACAAGTAAGAAGAGTTAAGAATGGAGAGAAATGAAGCCATATAAACACATTTATCAGAAGACGAGCTCTGCGATTAATCGCAGTCCATATCATCGAGATCGGGGCGGTTTCGCTTCGGTTCCGGTTCACGTGCAACATCTTCATCGGAGTTTTCTGAAGATGCTGACAAGAAATTATTTGTGGCCTGTTGAGATAACAGCACAGAACAGGCATTATCGGAAACCTAGCAGCCGGCTAAAATTAATTGCAAAGTCGCGCGCAAGAAGGTTAGCTCAGTGACAGAAAGGAAAGTAGAGCACGATACCATAAACAAGTCAGCGATAAAATTGAATGCGCCGTACCTAGCCGGGACACCGTCGCCGCAATTGAGGGGGAAAAGAAGCCGAGATAGGCGGACGGCATCACTGCTTTCCGGCAGAGCGTGTTAACGGACTGCGCTGAACGAACATCAGGTCAGTTATTTGGGTTCTAAGCGGGGTTTCCGTTTTCACTTACGTGTTTTCGACGGCTCTCCAGGTTGCGATCCTCCTTCAGCTTTTGTCAAATTGCGAGCGAATCCGCGAATGTCTCCATTGGCGGCTGCCTGCACAGTCTCTTCGTTCATTCCAAACTGCTCGAGAACTGGTCCCAGTTGTCCGGTCTGGAGAGCGTGTCCGAGGGTGTCAGCAGCCTGTCTGAACTGCGGAGTTTTGACTGTACGAGACAGTTCCTCTTCTCCGGTTTGTGGAAGAAGTGGAGTGAGTTCCTCGGCATGTTCGCGAACAACTTCGGCAACCGCGTCATTCGAAAGCGCTTCTCCAAGGGAGACGCTGACGTCTTTCTTCTGACGGCCGAAGTTGTTGATTATCGATTGAATCTGCGAATTCAGCACAAGTTTCCCCTCGCCACCAGAACTGCTTTGACCGCTACTTCCGCTGGCAGCTGCGGGAGGTTCACAGTCCGCCTCAGCATTCTCAGCAGCAGCCGCCGCCTGTGGTGCGGGCAAGGCATCGCTGCTGTTACCGCCCTGAAGAAATACTGGATAATTTTATGAACGACAGCTTTATGTTACCTGCAAAGATTGAATAAGAGACATAAGTTGGCTTTGATCCAATCCTCCCAATGGAGCATTGAAATCCGACGATGCAGCAAGAGAGCCTCCGGCGGATGGTCGCTCCGCATTGGAGTTGGAAGCAGTGGAACGCGAAGCCGAGGGACGGGAAGTTGGTGGCTTATTGAGGGCGTCATTCACTTTTTTGACAATGTCCTTGTCGACATCGGGAGCGGAATCCTGAAGCCAAAATAGCTTCATTTCTCCAGAAGATTTGAATTTGAGCATGTAGACTTTTCCGTCCGTGCATCCAGTGACGGCCTTGAACTCTGCATCATCCGGGAAGATGATGAGGTCGTCGACCTGAGCCCCAGTTTCGCGGTCCTTCCAGCAGAAGTGCATGAGCTGGTCATTGCTCTGTTTGATGTACACGAGTCCTTTTGTAGGCTCGGCAATCACACGACGCATACTTTCAGAAGATCCCGCCTCGAGACGCGAACGACCAGCCTTGAACTCAACGATATGTCCGGAAGCTGGCCCGGCAGGGCGGACGTTACTAAACATGGCGGCCATGATCTGAAAGGTGTTAGTTTTAATATTGAAATCGGTAGGGCATTAACGTTTGAACGAAAAAAGAATGAGAAAAGGCCAGCAAGAGTCGCGCGAAATGATGACAATCTCGATCTGCATTTGCGCGTAAATTATGCGGACTGTGTCTGCACAATAGATGACGAGCAGGGCGGGAAGTAAAAAAAAAGAAAATTGTTTGTTTTTTATTGCGCTTTCAACAATTCAATAATTCGCTCAAAAATGGCCAGAAAAAAAGTGAGTAAAAGATTCTCATTAATAAGGCTATTCAGCGTATGTTTATATTCCGTTTTTTTTCGTTTTTTTACATCGCTGAATTGCGTATTTGAAGTAAAAAACGGAAAAAAAAACATTTTTTTCACAGCCTGAATAGCCCCATAAAATTTATTAAAATTCAAGGCCAGTCTCAACCTTCCGAAAAGACGCAAATCGCAGCCGCAGAAAGAGATTGTCGACACAGAAGTATATGAAGTTGACGAGATTATAGGACACGTAAGATTTTGTTTTGATCTCAACAAGTTGAAAATTGGTTCATTTTATCAGAAATTGGTAGGAGACACGATATTCTACGAAATAAAATGGAAGGGATACAGCGCCGAGCATGACACGTGGGAGCCGGAGTACCGTTTGACATGCGACAAAATACTGCTGAATTTCGTGCTGCCAAAATTGGACGATAATTACATACAGTCCTTAGCTAATAATCTAAAGAAAATTGACACAATCCAGAGCAAATACACGAATGTCCTTAGTGAGAATTCGAAAAAAAAGAAACTGAATAAATATAAACTTCAGAACTAATTTCTCCGTTGGCTTCCCTTGGGCAGAATATGATTCACAGCAGTTCTGCCAAGTTCGTTGACACGGATACCGTCGGAAGCAAAGTGCTTTTGCTGAAATATTTGCGCGATCACGATCAGACATACGTGCTCCATAGCGCTCGTGGTCCCCCGCCGGACAATGATCACCATTTCAAGCGATATCTTTATGAACTTCGTCGAATGAAAGCCATCTTTCTCGAGTATCCCGCCGTCGAAATCATTATCCCGGCCGATTTAGAGAATGTTTACTATGCGCCACCACCGCTCTGCAACCTTCTTCTTCAACCGGTCACTGAGGGAATGTTCGAGAAACGATCGAACTTGAAAGAAGTATTCGTTCCAAAGTCCAAAGATTTGGGATTCAACAGTGTACGTTATTTTGAAAATGTGATGGCTGTATTCAATTTTTGTAGATTCAACCATTCATAGACCCATCCTACCTGAAAAAAAAGCAATTGGAGGAGGATCCAGCATACTTCAGACTCGCCGAACCGTGCGAGAAGAAACGACGCCTTGCTGGGATGATCAGAGAGTGCAACAAGTGAGAATTCATTTTTCGAGTTGTTCGAACTATATGATCAGAAATCATGTCCGCTTCTACACGAATTTGAAACTGGTGCAAGAGCAGACACGTGGATGGATGCTCCAGGCTGCCTATGACATCGATGAGGACACTCCGCTCGTGATAATGAGCGGTGTGATCCGTCCGTCCGTCGCCGCTCACAATTCGCTCGTGACGGAGGGAGAGCATGCGGCTTTTGGCTCGTTTATCGAGATTCCGGGGACAGGAACCTGTCTGGATCGCCGCCAGTTCTACGACTTCTCCAAATTCATCCCGCACAGTGTATTTGCATTGCAGTCTCCTGACGAATCGTCTGACTATTGCCCTTTCAGTGCAACCCGACGTGCTCCGTCCGGCTCGTCAAAAACGAGGCAAAGTTTCCGGATCTCGTCGTCTACGCCCGTGTGCCAATCAACGCCACCAACTTCTTCTCGATTTCACTCGACTATTACAAGGGATTCGACAGAGACGTCAAGAGATTCTTCTACAGAAATAGCCACGCAGGTAGAAGGGCTAAGGCTTAATGCTCACAGAATACTTTTTGAGATGGGAAGATTTTTTGTCTGTACGAGAAAAACATCGGCTTCGTCCATTGCCAGTGCCTTTCCCTGAAGTGCCGCGACGTGCTCTACATCGACAGGTCTCTGCTAAGAAAGGAGAAGACAGTGAAAAAAACGCAGAAGCTGTCGCAGGTATTTCGGAATTAGCAGCTTCTTTGAAACGCTCGCCCAATTTTCCAGCTCGATCCAGAATTCCAATTCCACGGAATGCAACTGGCTGAATCGGATCGAATTTGGGAAATCAAAAACGGAAAGTTCGTTGAGGAATAATTTTTTTAATCTTTTTTTCTTACTCTGCCAAACCAGCATACTATATATTTTTCGTTTTTCGCAAATAAAGCACACATGTTTTATCGAGGAGATTGGAAGAAGAGCTCACTAATAATATCCAGTTTTCTCTAGGATGATCAAAAAGCAAATTTTTCATTTCTGTAACTACTTTTAAAAGTTGTTTTGACAATGACGAATGATGATGACGTCGACAAAAAAAACAAACGAGAGAACAATAATTTAATCTGATGAATGATATTCAAGACCACCTTGTACTTGGGGGTAAAAGTAGAAGGGAATGAGATGCAGAACTTGGGAGAATTAGGAGAAGATATGTGCGATTTATCGGAATGCCCGGTCGCCTCGCCCACGCTCTCTTTCTCTGCCCGAGCTGTGATTGCTGCCGCCGCCTCGACTGGGTTCTGCGATCCGTGACGCCTTCGGGAGGTCTTCCTTCTTCTCCTTCCGCTCTTCCTTCCGATCCTTCCGCACCGAAGACGAAGCTTTCGTATCATCCAAGTCGAATTCGATGGCCTTTCTGGAGCTCTTCTTCTCGTCTTTTTTCGCTGGTGCTGGATCCGGAAGCTGCAAAGATCGCTGCGTTTCTTTTCCGTCCTGAGGCGTTTCTTCGCTTACCGCTGGTCCGGCCACTTCCCTCCGTTCCTCCTTCCGCTCTCTAGCCTTCTGATCCTTCTGCTCTTTTCTCGCATCTCCATTCTCTCGCTTCTTCTCCTTCTCTGATCGTTTTTCCTTCTCCTTGTCCTTGTTCCTCTCCCGACTCTTCTCCGCTCTCTTCTTTCCCTCGTCCTTTTCAGATCCAATGGGCAGCTCCTTCTTCTCCGCATTCTCATCGTTTCTCTTTAACCTGTCAGCTATTCGGGTCTTTTTCGGCGGTGGCGGTGATGGCGTTTTGACTTCTCCATCCTCGGCGGACGGCTCTTCCTTCTTCGTCTCAGCCGAAGACTGTCTTTTCGGTGCCACGTACAATGTCGTCTTCTGAAAGTGCATTCATGATCACTATCATCTCAATCTGTCTACTCACCACTCTCTTCTTTCTCTCTTTCGGTTCATCTCCTGCCGTAACGGCCGCTTTCTCCGTCCCGTTCTCCGTCGAGTCTTTGGCTCCTCCGTTCTTCGCTTCCACTTTAACTTTCTTGTCCGATGGCTCTCCTTCCGCCTTTTCCTTCTCTTCCTTCAGCTTTTTCGCTTTCTCCACGGACATCTTCTTGACAGCGATAGGCGCAAAGTCCGTCGGATGCGCATAAACCTTCACATTTCGCATTTTGAGCCTTCCGACGTACGACGCGGCCTTCAGCGACAGATCGTCCCGTTTTCCCTTCTCCCGATCTCTCAACTTCGTCGCCATCGACTCCATCGTAGTCACAAGATGGGCCATGAGCGGGAAGGCGGTCGTCAGCTTCGTCATCAGAATCAGACAGTTCCGAATAATGACGTATTCGGCGTCTTCTTTCCCGAGAATTATCGAGAACACCTTGGTGAGACGGACTTGCCAACGATAGCAAAGTTTACGGAACATGGGATAGTCCATCGGCGACTTGGTAACCATTCCCGGGAATCCGATGCATTCCTTCTCGAAAATCTCTTTCTCAGAGTGCCATCTGTGAGCAGTTCGGAAGAGAATTTCGAGGAAGCAGGACAGTGAATTGGCTTCGTTCTCGGTGAGTCCAGCGATCAACGGCACGACGTTTTCAAAGATCTGAAATCAAATGAATAGGTAAGATCTTAGTAAGTGGTAGCTTACTCTGTCAATGATAAGGATCGTTGGGAAGAACGGAGTGCGCATTTCGTGCAGAATGAATAAGAATTGGCCGCAAAAGACGGCGTCGAGCTCCGAGAAAAGGGCACGCGGAAGAACGCATTGCTGTATGAACACTTCGAGAACATCTTTGTGGTTCTTCTCCTCGAGCAGTGTGTCTTTCTTGGCTGTCAGCCACGTACGCACCCTTTCCACGTGCTCTGTCTGCTTTTTCTGCTCTTCTCTTAGCTTGCTCTCCAATTGTTTGTCAGTCTTTCTGGACTTTCCCTGAAATCTCTAGAAGAGCTTGTAAGGGTATTTTGATGGAAAATTTACGTGGTTGTCCTCTTTGCTCTGCTTTTTCACCGCTTCCAATGACCTTTCGTAGGCAGCCGTGGGCACTTCGATGTCGTACATTGTGAGCATCCAGAAGACACTGAAGAATCGGATGGGCACCTTCTCTTCCATTTCCGGCATCGCTTCCTTCAGCTCCCCGATCACTTCTTCCACTTTCGATTCGAATGCAGCCGAAAAGAGTTCCGTTTTCTGTTGCGGATCCAAGCGCGTCTTTGGTACTCCATCTTCCACTGTCGCTCTCGTCGTTTTCTTTGCCGCTTCATAACTTTCCATGATTTTCGTGAAGAATGTGGGTCTCGCCAGACACATTGTGGCCTCAATTCCCAACGAATACTCGGAGAGCAACTCCCGAACGGACGGCACTCTTTTCACAAAGTCGTCGTTTTTCAGGTACACACTGAGAAATGAAACGAGTTGTTGGAGGGTGTCACTGCACTGATCCACCATTTCTCCGACCAGTTTCAACGGGAGACTCTGGCTGTCGTTGTAGGTGATGTTCTCTTTCTGCTGAGCAATCGAAATGCACAATCCGACGGCGAGATCTCCTTTGAGAAGCGCGTCACGGAGACGTTGAGCCGCTTTCCGGTTCTTTGTCGCAGTCGAATATCCTCCCGCTTCTTGCTTCAGAAGATCTCCTCCTCCGAGCGCTTCGATCTGTTCTTTAGTGGCTCCGCTGATGCTCTCAATCCACGACATGTTCTGAATGATTTCGCGGAGCAGCAACATATCGTAACTCTTGCACAGCTTGAGCTGATTAAGCACATAATCCAGCATTCCATTCAATTCGAGAGGATAACGGCGGTAAAGGGAGCCAACGAGCGTTCCGAGTGCCTGAAGCCAAGGCGATATTGTGGCGTCTGTAGACTTGAGGGCTTGTTTGGAAGGATCCGCCAGCTGGGATATGATACAATCTGCAAGCATTAAAATTGTAAGGATTCAGTACCGTTTCGAAACTCACAGGTGAGCACGTCAAACTCTAAACTTGTCAGATATCTCAAACTGTCGACGACGGGTCCGATGAAGTTGTCGAACGTTTGCACTTGACTGAGCAGATAGGAGAGCACAGTGGACGGATGAATATGACAAAGCTTTCCGAGCTGTCGACCCATCATCTTCACAGTTTCCTTCGAAAGTCTCTTCAGCACGTACTTTGTTCGCCCGTGAATCTTTCCCCTCATGACGTTCATTTCTGGATGCCGAGCAGTTTCCTGATTCCATTTGGAGTACATCCAATAACGCCACGAATACGGGAAGAGCTGGAGGAGCTGCCAGAGCTCTTCACTCAGTGCCACGTTCGTATCGGAAAGGGTCAGAGAAGGCAGAAGACATTCGGAGACGACGTCAACGAAGATTTGATTGACTGGAATGAAATTATTGCTAAATGGAAACTGAATGATTTCCTACGTTTCTCGTCCTTTGGCAGCTCTTCCTTCTCAATCTTCCGATAGTAAGCGGTGAGCAGTCGGAGCAACTTGATGTTGGTGGACGCGCGGAAGGCGATGCGCGGCCCCAGATACCAGAGGACACTCGCCAGCTTTCCGAGCTCTTCCCAACTTTTCACAGGAGTCAGACCGTTGCCCATATCATCCAGAATCGGCTTGTTCCTCTTGATCAAGTCTCCGAAAAGATGGATTGAGCAGTTGGCCTTGTAGAAATCGTTGATCGATTGTTCGATTATCTTGCACAATGCACGGCAAAGACGTGGGCTGGCTTGAACTGCGTAATATTCTGGAAGTCGATCAATGAGCATCTGAGCCTGCTTCCAGTTTCCGTTCTCCAGAAGTGCGCAAGCCAGTCCTAGTTTCTGATTGGACGAGAGCACAGATTCCTGAAATCATTCTTATTAATAAAGGTCTTGAGGAGTCTGTCCCTTTGTTTATTTATTTGTTTCTTGGTTTATCCGCACACGTTTTCATTTCTAAAACGAAAAAAGTTGTTACGGAGAAATTAAGAAATTAAGACGTGAACTTCCGAACGGTTGTGAGAAGCAAAAAAGGACCGAAGCCGCTTCCGAGCGTAAGCTCGGACTGCGCAGCGGGCCCACGCTTGAAGTCTTGTAAAGAATAAAAATCTTATTAAAAAGCGAAAAGGATACCTCGTTGAATCCGTCAGCCAGTTTCACATCTTCGTCCTCTTGGATCTGGATGACTGTGGTGAAGGAAATCGGCTGCGAGGCCGCCATCGAAATTCCGTTGTCCTCGAAGCCTCTCGACTCGACGATCGGCATAGACGCCGTCGAAATAGTCTCAGCTTTCGAAGCCCGCTCCTGGGCGTTTGTCATTCTTGCACGATGTCCCTCTTTTATAGATTCCGTCTTGGGTATCATCTGAAAATCAACACCATCACACTAAGTCTCTTTGTGAAACGTACAAATGCCAGGATCTTCATCATGTCGATCATTTCGTGCTGAACGAGAGCTGCCGTCAGCACGTAGAGCGAATAGGGTGTCTTCTTTTTTTCCGTTTGATAAAATGTGAATTTGAAGCCGAGAAGAGCACACAGGTACTCGCGCACCACGTCGATTTCTTTTAGAAGTGCAATAAAGAAGATCTGAAATGGAAATGCAGGTAAATACGTGATGAGAGGAAGGAATGAACAAACTTTCTGTTTTGGACAGTGCTCGAATGCCTCGAGGATCACGTCGGTGACTCGATTCGGGTCCAAATTGAACTGTCCGATCAGTGAGAGCACTCGATTCTTGATCACTTTGGCGTAGTCTTCAGTCGGCGAGTTCTCTGCCGCTTCCATCAATTCTGTTACCAGTTTGGAGTATCCTTCCGATTCTTCACGGAACAAATTGAACTTTGCTTGTTTGAAACTGAAAATCTCTCGTTTTCCATAGATTTCAGGGTGATTTCACTCACTAAACTTTGGTCTTCAGCCGGATTAGTGCTCTGTTCTGTTCCTCTCGTCCCGCTTTGAAACAGTCGAGTTCCAGCCGCAAAATTTCCTCCGGAATTATCTGAAAAGTCAGAACTAGCTGCCTTAGAGTAACTTTAAAACCGAAAACTCACAGTATCGGTTAAAAGATGGACAAACGCCTCGAAGTTGGTCTTCGCAGCCGCCGTGTCTTCTGCGAATTCGGCCTCTGGCTCTGTGAGCACCAGAACGTCGATCAGCTCCGAACTGATCGCTTCCCTCTCCGCCTGAAATTGACAATTTGCAAGCTCTGTTGTTTTCACATTATTTCAAACCTTCTGAATGATAATCCGTTCGTATGCATCCACCGGAGTTATTTTCAGGTTGACAATGTCCAAACATAGTTGTGTGAGACCATCGAATACATTCGGTTCACTCATTTTGTGCTATCTGAAACAATATGCTTAATTTTAATCGATTTATTGACGATTTTACATTAAAAAAGGTGTACGTATTGAGTGGTGAAAATTGGATGCAAATCAAAACTGGCAATATGCCAGAGGGCCGTGTGGCCGCGCGTTTTCACGGCCGTCGGGGGTGTAAAGTGCACTGCGGACTCGAAAGAGCGATGGCCGAGATTCGGATAATCCCCGTATTCTGCAGATGCCCGACTTATCATTCGTGCCGCTTCACGACCGGAAGGACCTTCTCAAAAAGAGTGTCACGTTTTTGAACTCGGTGAGCCTAATCGCGAACGGATAATCTCGAAACAAGGGGATGTTTGCAGGAATGGCCGCGAAGTGACGGATCCCGAGAGCATTCGCAAAAGAAGTCGTGCCGTCCGAGGCCGCCGATGTCGTTTTTGCTGCTCGACGGGGAAACCGACGAGATTCTGGGGCATGCGAGAGTCACAACGCTTCCGAATCGGTTAGTTGTGCACGTGAAACAGGTGTATTTTTAAGAAGCTGCTCATTTTAGAGATCGCGCTCTATGGATTGAATCGGTGATGATCAAAAAGGGCGAAAGAGGCCGTGGACTCGGAAAATATCTGATGAATGCGACAGAGCAGTGGATGCTCGAGAACGATTTCGACGAGGTTTCACTTGTTTTCACTTGTGATCTTCGGCAAGATTATCAGTTTTGTGTTTGAGAATTCACCTGAAACTTTTCCGTTCAATCGGATTAACTAATCGGGATGTGAAGTGATTTGAAACCGAAAAACCCAGGTGATTGCGAAATGCTAAGGTTTCTCTGCTTTAAATCATCATATCTCCAGAACGGATAATCCGATCGGACTGAAAATTTCAAGGTAAGTATTTTAAACTAAAACTGATAATCTCTCATAGGATGATCGCAAATGAGTTAGTTACTTTCGATGAGCGCATTCCTCGATTCTAGGCATTTCTGTCAACCGAAGATCAGTGTCGCTTCTACGAATCGTGCGGCTACCAAAAGTGCGATCCGATTGTGCATTCGACCACCGCCACGAGTGTCTTTCCGGCAATGGAGCACTTTCAGGTAATTGTAATCAAAGCGCGCTTCCAATATTTTCCTGCTCCAGAATGCTGCCGCGGAGCATCACGTCCCAGTCCGTTCCGCGCCCTCTTCCGCTTCCGCAATCACTTCTGCATTGGCGCCACTCCCTCCGCCGCCACCACCACTTCCGAAGATGGTCACCACATCCACTTCTCCCATTCAAATCTCAACAGTCGAACACCAGTACATGAAGAAGCGGCTGAAACCTACGACTCTTGAAACATAATTTGAATTGAACTTTAATAGATGATTCTATGTTTATTTATTTTTTTTCGCTTTAAAGAAATTCGATTGAACTGATTACAAAAATTGAATGGGGGTGGGGTACGTTTGTTCGTAAAACAGAAAAGTGGGTTGTCTAAAAATTACAGAAAAGGGAAGGGGTTTGTGGGTAGAGCGGATATGATAGGGTGTAACCTGGAGACGGGTCTGTGGGTGTGGCTTGAAACCAACAAATTCCTATGAGAAAGAGGATACTAGATGATCTGGGATAGGGAGAAAAGAAACTAACAGAAAGAAAAACGAGTTGGTTGGGTAAACGGGAAAACCGAGATCGCCTACACGCGAAACACGGTCGGGCATTTTTTGGGGAGCGAGAGGAAAGGGGGGAAAACAACAGTAGGTACACAACAGCCATTTGTGCATGTATACAAGGAATCATTCTGTGAATGCTGTTCGAGAAAGAAAGAAGAGACAGAAGACAACGAGAAACGCGCAAAGCGACGGCACTTTCGTGAACTACCCTAGAAAGATATCCATAACGGGGAAGGCGGGGAAGCCAACACTATATGATTACAGGCCCATATTTGGCACCACGGAAACAAAATAACATTACCAAAGAGAGGGGGAAGGGGGAAATGATAGGAAAGAGCCAAAGAGGATCGGAATATTGGTTTCGATAACAGACAAACTACCGTACTCCACCTCATTTAGACGAACAAGAAAAGCAAATTCGCGCGCGGATTACATTCGAATGGCGAAAACCCAAAGCAAGATGTAGGTACGTGGGTGAAATGCACAAAACAATTAAGTGGGGGACAGCGGGGATCGGGGGACGGAGCTAGAAGTTGTGGAATAAAAGACTACTGCTGAAATGATGGTTAGCAAGACAAGGACAACGCTTAGTGTAACTAGCCAGAAATGAAAAAGGTAGCGGGAAAAGCAAATGAGAAGAAATGATGATGGACAAAGAAAGAGAATACTTCGTAGCGATCATGATGGTGTGGAATGTGTGTTTGTCAGTTGGAATGTGCGAATTACCCGTCACTGAATCAATTGGAATACCCTAATTTTGATCTTGCAATCATTTCGTTCTCGATCCCCAAAAAGGCAAAAAGGGCAGTGTCCAAATGAGTCGGTGAAAGGCGCCGAGGCACACACAAAAAGAGAAACACACATTGAGAACCAATTTGGCAAAGCATGGACAAATAAAGTCAACTTTAGCAAACAACAGTCGTTTGAGAAGTCTGCGATGCCAACGACGGGCGTTTTGTGGCACTGGATCCGTTCACCAACGAGTGCGACGATCGGATCATCTTCGACGGATCGGCAGTTCTCGCGAATCCTTCTTCCATAAGAACATGGTCAAAACGGGCTTCCTGAAAATCAAAGATGAATGAAAAGTGGTGAAAAGATAGTCCACTCACGTATTGAATGCCATCGTTGTCCTTCATATCCAAGTACAACTCAACCATCGTTATACGAGTGTCGAGCGAGATGCCAACCGCCTTCACGTTGATCACTTTTCCGGTACACAGCTCAGTGAATCTCTTCATGGCCGCATCGCTCCAGTTGTTGGTTCCATCGACCGGACGCACATTGGCGAGCATCACTTCGGTGGCTTGGAACGGCAGAGACATCAGGTCCGTTCTGATCTGTCTGAGCATCTGTCTGGCGACTTGCGAGTAACCTCCGTAGTCGACGAATTTCACGAGAACCTCATCGATGTCGTCGTGGTATCTGACAGTGACGGCACGGAACCACATGTTTCCGACGGGAGCGGCACACAAAAGTCCATCTGAAAGTTATTTCAGTTTCTGTGACGAATACCTAATGTTTTCATAATCTCTGAGTATTCTCTTCTTGTTATCTCGTCCTAAAACAACCTGCCTTCCCCTATCGCTACCACAGATCTATTTTATTTCTAAAGACGCGTACACGACATCCCTTCCTCTCCGTCCATCCGTCAGACCGGTCGCCAACCAGTTCGAAGGGCAGCCAATGAGAGATAAAGAGGTGAGCTAATCAGTCAAGTGCATTTCAGACTGGTCGTCGTCAAAAGTGCAAACGAGACAACTGACGCAGAAAGAGAGAAGGATGTTTCTGATCATCAATCTTCTCCCTTTCACTCCTCCGTTTTCTACTCTTTTCAAAATCATCCAGATCGAAAAATCGCATCATCAGCAAGTGCCGACTGATCGAAACGCTCGATAGCCGTTTCTGCGTCTCCTCCGTTGTCTAGTTTCTATTTCCAACAACTTCCACCTTCACGCTTCGCACTCTTGATTAATTACCATCTCACACTAATCGTCGTCCCATTTGCAACAAACCAGCGCTAGATAAGAGAGACAAAAAACTATCTGACAATAGCTGCAAAACCCAAAATTGTAAATTATTACCCAGTGACTAGCTCGCACACACACTGCCTCATCGCAAAGACCATCAAAACACCACTCACTTTGACATGGAACTGGCAGTTCTGGCAAGTTCGAGTGTTCTCCGTACAGACTGCCCATGTACAAGTCAAGATGACGCAATGAGGCGAACGATGGATGGGTCGGCTGTTGAATGAAGAAGTGCGACGGCGAAATGATGGAAGAAACGGCGACTTCGCACTTGATGTCATCGGGAAGCGTGAGCTGCAATCATGAATAGTTTACGACTGGATAGGAAGGAACATATGATAGTGATAACAGATTTGTATGATAAGGTTCCTAATTGGAACTATTTGCACTCACCCAAGATGGCTGAGTGGAAAGCATGTCAAAGTTGTTGTTCGGCATGATTGGTGGAACAACCGGCTGCAGGTTCAGATCGGGGAAGCGTTCTCCCGGGAATCGACGGCGGAGCATTTGGAGACAGTGATTGATCTCGTCCCGCTTTCCTCGGACCTGAACAACGAAAGCCGATCAGATACCATCTCTTTTATCCTCTGATTCGTACCTGGCATATCTGGTGCGTCTTCGACTTCTCTGGTCCATGATGTTGGCGAATTAGCATTCGGACATTCGTGCGCGTGCTGAGTTCCTGTATAATGAAGTGTATTGTGCAACAGCGCTTCTAAAGTGGATCTCACCTTGATCGTCTTTCCTTTGACACCAATGATCAGTCCTACGAGGCTGTTTGGAATCTCGAACTCGTACATTGGCAGGAAGTCATCGTCGGTTCCGGTAAGTCCTTCGTCTACTGGAGACAAGGAAGATGCGAGTCCACCAGTGGCACGTCCTGAGTCTTGCGAGGAAGCCTGCAAAGCCTAAATTAAGGATATTTCTCTATAAAAAATGAAGGGTGCTGAAAATGTTAGAAGGGGACATCTCACGGACCAAAGTTTCCCTTTTCTCTCCCTGGGTACCCAAAACTATACCGTGTCGAAGAATATTTCTGAGTTGGGCGATATCGGTAAACTGTAGCTGTAAGCTGAAGAGCTGGTTGAGTTTCGTCGATATCTCCGTGCTTTCACTTCGCCTTGAGCTCTTGCGTACATTCGGAATTCTTCGTCTTCGTCTCCAGTCAACGGCAACAGGTTCAATGTGACGTTGCCTAATGAAAAACTCTCGATGGGTGCTGATGGTCCTGATGCTTCGCTAGATGAGCTCGAAAATATGAGAGATTCGCTCAGATCGGGAGATGTGCTTCCTCCGGTTAGCTCGTGAAGTTCCTCTTCGTCACTGACAGCTGGAAATGGCGGCGGGAGGAATCCTGGCGGGAAGAGAAGTGTTCCTTCGGCAGTTATGAGAATTGGTGGGGGCGGTAGATGAGTGGGTAGTTTTGTCGGATGCACGAGTATTGGAGCCGATGTCAGCATGTAGTGTGTGAAATCGTGGGGTGAGCGGGGAAGTCGAGTAGCTTGTTGTAGAGGATGTACGTGGTCACGTTGATCTCACAGAAGCGAGAAGATTACGTTTGGTGAACCACGAATAAAAGAGGGCGTGCCCTGAATGATAAAGCAGTCCAAATAGTAGAGAAATGAGTATGAATATGACGAGAGGCAAGAGCCACGAACAAGCTAAGGAGGATCACCGGAGGAATAAGACCGAATGGGATTCGGTCGAAGAAGGTTGGAGTATGAGGTGATTAAAAGGGTGATGGGGCAAGAGCGCCGAATAGAATGACGAGTCCACCAATAGGTTCACCCCACAGGCAAAATTATTAGGATGCGCAGGCGGGCATACACTTCGGGCCCGAGTGGGCGGAGTCTGATCGTGGTCGCAGATAGAAGACGCGGAGAGGGTAGGTGCGCGCGGGCGGCGAGAGAATCGGAGGGCAACTGCAGAATCATACGAGGAGTCGGAGGGCGAGTAGGAGAAGGCAGCATTTTTGCGTGTGTGCGGTCAAAGACAGCTGACAAAATTTTGAAAAAAAAGTACGTGAGTGTCTACACTTGCCCTCCGCCGACAAAAAAATTAGCGCGACACAAGGTGGCGAGGGATCGGCGAAACGGTTTGCAACACGGAAAAGATATGATAAAAGTCAGCAAAGGGATAGAAAAAGTGCAAACAATCGAGAGTAGTCGGAAGCAGAGTAGACCGGAATCGATTTTTCTAAAAAGCGGAGGCGGAATGAAAAATTTTTTGGTGGAAGGCGGAAAGCGGAAAACGGAAGGCGGAATTCTGCTTAACTCTGGTCGAAAGTTTCGAGACCCTTGATGATGAGCCGGCGACGATACGGTTTCTTCGAAATTATACGAAAAAATCAGTAGAACGGAGGGCATCGAAATTGCGAAAAATTATTGGAAATTTTTTCGAGGTCGTTAGTCTGCTAAATAGCGTCTCACAGCGAGGGAATGATGAAAAAATTACAAGTTTGGGCTTGCGAAATTCGACCCAAGTTTCGGAAAGACTACTGTCGCCGACAAAGTGTGCAGTGCACATTGCGGACTTTGTCGACCGTAACCCGGTGGAAAATTAATCGACCGGCACCAAATTATCATAGAAACTGCACTTTTGTCCTCAAAATGCAACATTTTAGAGAGTTTCTTATCAATCGTCCCTCCTCCGTGACATTGTAATCAGCTCTATATCAGATGGAGACGGGAAATGAGTGGGAGAGAGAGAGAGGGAGACAAAACACGAATAAAAGACTGTCTTCCCGGGTCGGGGCGGAGCCGCTGCTGCTTCGTCTCTTCGGCCCACACACTCTATCACTCAAAAATGGCAACATTCAGAGTTATCAGTAGACGACGAAGAAAGCACGATGGAGACAATGACTGCACACAGGCCCTTATCAGTTGCATTCTCAATTACCGCCAAATGATTGAGCGGGTTGCATCGCGTGGGGGAAACGGGTGGAAGTCTAGTCGATGGGTAACAAGGGGGCCATGTTTAGAAAGCGGTCCAAAAGATCAGAACATTGTTTTCGTTTTTTTTTTTTGCAGGTCACAGACAACTGCATCGCCAGACTGGGGGCGCCTGCAGAAACATTGTAAAGTAAACATACAACAAAACGAAAAGGGCAAATTTGAATGGGTCAGAAAGATTCCAATGGAGACGGGCATAGACGAAAAAGGAGGAAAAAGTATTTGGCATTGTGAAGAACTTAAAGCGTAGAGTACAAACTTTGACAGTTTCTCTCTCAATCAGCCGGGAAGACCTGAAATCGAAATGAAGGGCAGGTCGTCCCGACAGACGTTGCCATCCTATCCGTCCTTCGAATCGGAAATTGTCGTTTGGCGCCGTGCCAACTCAGCTGATCTTCTGTTCTTTTTCACTCTCTCCCCCTCTGTTCAACGGGTGAAAGGTGAGGCGCTGAGCAATAAAAATCATGGCCGTGCTCCGTTTGCATTTTTGCAATAAACGGCCCTCCGCACCGTCGCACGTTTCATTGCACCCCAACGCCGCAATGCCATTGTCCAACTCGTTTTTATTCAATGGGAATGTACTCTTTCATCGATGAAAATGGTAATGATAGACAGGGTAATCCACGCTCTTAGTTACCCAGGGATGGTAGTTGTCACATGAACAATAATGAAAAACGGTGCTGAAAATCGTGTCATTCTAGTCTTTCTCCTGCCATATTTCACTGGCCTTAGTTATTTTTCTCCGAAGAATACGCAACAAATCGTACGACCATCGGCTCTCTCAGAAATACGCAAAGGGAGAAAAAAGCGACAGAACGCAAGAAATGGAGGGCAAAGTATTTTTGGTAGGCAAACAGTAGCCGAGCGAAAAAATACTGGCAATCGACGGCGGCGGAAGTGAGGGGAGAAACTCGCACAGCCACGACAGCAGTTCAATCGGCCCCCCTATATCATAGTCTTCAGTTCTTGTTTGTCAACCGGATGATTGTCTGGAGCATATAGATAAGGGAGCGCATGGAGGGGGAAGACGAAGGGTTCGCGCGCAGTGACCCTGTCGGCTGGAAGGGAATTTTTCCAGAGACCACAAAAGGCAGTACTTCGCCGGCCTTCTCTCGACCACGCGACGGAAATAAAAACACCTGTATCGGTGAAGGGAAAGTGTCAAACAGGCGATCCTTCACTCTTTTCCAATCTTTGATTCGCCGGCGAATTTCCCCGCTCCAGGCGCTTGTCTCTAGACGCCATGTGACGTGGTGCCTCTTTTATGAGAAAGTTTATAAATTGGTTCAATCGACGCATCGAAACTGATCCTATACAATGTGTTGCGACTCTTTCTTCTTCCCTGCCGTCTGTCCGTTTCCGTCTCTTCAGCACATGGGCCCTTCGCTCCACGATAACATGCTGCCTGATTTTCGAAAAGTTTCGTCTTCTTCTTCTTCTAATGCTTAGCGCCGCAGAACAAAGAGCCATTTGAGAGAAATGAACAGAAAGAACAGACCGCACCGGGAGGTGGTCTCTTCGTCTCTTTGAAAACATGTTACCATGAGAAATACTCTCGTATTGTGTTGGGGTCGTTCTCAATTCAACCCAGACGACAACTTCTTTCGATCTTCGTCTTCTTCGTGGGTGGCCGCCTCATAAAAACCTTCTTTCTCATTTACATACCACCGTGTTGAATTAGAATCGCAACAAAAGGAAAACGGTCTCTGACGGGAAAAGATGGACATCACACGGAAAGATGAGTCTAGACTCGATGACGAGGGAAAAGCCATAAAGATTTCGGAACGAGATGAATGTGTTGATCACAACGATTCCGTGTGTCTCCTGGTCATATGTTACAGCGGAAGGTGTCCTGCTCGGGTCATGCGCACTTTCTATCCCCCCTCCATCCCTCGCTCGCTCTTAGCCTTCGCAACATTCATTCGACCCTCTGACAGTTTTACAATACGATTTGCACTTGCCATTGTCTGGCGGCAGTCTCGCAACACCGTCTGCGAGGGGCGTGCGCTTGTCGGACGAAGCAAGACGGCAAAAGACGACGGTGGCGGCGAGGTGACACGCCAAAGGACAGCGCACTGTGCCGAAGGGGACCGAGTCGTTGCAAGCAAACGATGCCGCCGCGCCCTGATTCATCACTTTCCATTTTTGCAACACAGACAGGGCAGACACCTACTCGACCGTCAAATTTGCAACAGCTAGCCACGCAGTTGGAGAGAGCTCACGATTAATGAAGTTCTGCGGAGGAAGCATTTGTGGGATGTGACAGGAAAGAGAAAAATAGAGAAAAGGGTCTACGGAGGGGAAGAATTCCAAGTTCCAGAAGCAAGATCGGTTGTTCGTTTCGTCTGTTCAATCCTAATTCTCTCAAATCGTCACGAAATCAGCCGTTTCTTCCGTCTGATCTGATGTATGGCAATCATTCGACAAATCGTTTGTCTGTCCTTTGGAAGGGAGCGTAGAAGAGATATCAGTCCGATCAGTTGGCCATTGACGTCGATTCGCTTTTCAACGTATTCCTCTTCTCGATCATCTTGACCGGACAAGGCCATCCGTTTTTCGAAACAGTTTATGGGCGAGATCGCCGTGAAACAGAGGAAGAAACACGCGAGAAGACACGATCATCATTATGTCTTTACGACGTGTCGAGAAAGGGAAATAAAAACAGTGGTCCGTGAGAGATAAAAGAGGCGAATGAAAATGAAAACGTAGCGTACCTCGCTGTTCTGGCTGTCCAATCCGGGCGAGTCGCTCTTGTCATAGTCCTCTTCCGGATGTTCGATGGTTTGATCGTGGTGCACATCTCCAGAGGCATCGAGGGAGAGAACTGAAGATTGATTTTTTGAATATAAAACTCACGGAAGATAAATTCACTTACCAACTCTCTTTTGCTTGTGATTCTCCTGCTGCTTTTGTTGCTGCTGTGGTTCGTCGGAACTCTTCTCCCTCGTCAGTCTTCGTTGTCCTTTTTTCGCTGGACCGTTACTCTGTTTCGGCTGTTGCTGCGCTTGATGATGGCTGTAGTGATCCTTGGCGCCGCTTCCCACTTTTCCTTTCCTGCTCTTCTGCTGGCTCTTCTTGTTGGACTGAATCGGTCTGGTCGGCGAGGCAGGAGATCGGTCAACGTCGCTGAACTCGTTCAATCGGTAGTCCTCTTCATTGTAGCTCTTCTCCATTTCTTCGCTCCACGAGAAAGCGGCCGGGGACATTTGTGCGGTTATATCGAGGCTGAGCGGAGTATCGAGCACTTTCGTCGGAGTTGGTTCCTCTGGTATCTGAAAATGAATATGGTCAGGTGAGTGAAACGAACGACTAATATACTTTTACCTGTTCGTTTTCGAGTACCTTTTTCTTTAATGGCATTTGGATGAGCGGAACTGGAGCAGACTGGAAAAATAAGGTTTATGATGCTGATAATGTGAGGAAATAAATTGGGCAAAGCATAGAAATGTATGAGAACGCCATTTTTAAGATTATGAAATCGGACACAATCCTGTGCAAAACTGGCCCAAAATGTGGACCTATTCTCCAACATCAACTCTACAAAACGCACCTTCAATTTGGCTTCTTCCTTTTTCACAAACTGCTCTTCTACTGGTTCTTCCTTTTTTTGCACCTGAATCACGTCGGCGGCTCGGCTGATCTCCACTTCCTTCGGCTTCTGACGAGGAGACAAAATTTCGACTTCCTGAAAAGTGGAAGAGTTTGAACAGAAAATCATTTTTGTTTGTGGGGAGCGAGCAGACTCGACCAATAAAACTATGGCCATCGGCGGAGGAGGAGAGAACAACGCTCGGAGAGCGGGAAGGGGAACATAAATTTCGCATAGCAACTCTAAGAATGAGAAAAAGAAGAGATTCCGAAGGTTTCTCGGCTCAGAATTGCTTAATACTCACCGTCTCCTCCGTCGGCTCTTGATCGTCGTTCTCGTTCTCGTCAAGGACAATGACTCCACTGTCTCCTCCGGCGGCAACGTCGTTCTCCTCTTCTTCCTCTTCCGATGAGTCAACGCGAGACGTATTTTTCAGAATATCACTGTTCGCTTCGATCGAGCTGTCGTCTTCGTTCTGAAAAGAAAAACAAAACGGTTTTAAATGTCGTGGGAATATTCTAATATTCAGGAACTACGCGAGATACAGTCTCCCACCGTTTGTTTTCTTTCAGAACGTGGCGAAAGAGAAGGCAACACTAAAAATGGAAACAAACACGAGGTCGGAGGTTCCAATTGCTTGATGACAGAGAAAAAGGAGCCAAACACCGCCGAATCATGATAAAGCGAAGCAATGGTGTTTACGGCGATGGTGTTTACGAAAGAAACTCTGCAACTTGAGCTCCGCGCCGCCAAAAAGTGCATCTTCCGTTTTGGGAGTGGATTAGTTTCATTGAGAAGACTTTTTTCGGCGAAAGCGACCGAATCATCGTGTGATACATGCAAATACTACTTTCCGCCCGGGGCGATTGCACAAGGCAAGAGGATCATCAACGGAAAACGTGCGTGCGTCGGACGGCGGCGGCAATCGGTTCGGGAGGTGAGAGGAGAGGAAAAAGAGGACGGCGGGACAACAAAATGCAATGGGACATTACAGAGGAAACATATCGCCATCTACATCTTGTTTTCAATAGGTTAACCCCTATGCTAGGCGGCATTTGAAAGTGCACCATCTTTAATTTAAGGTTTTTTTGAAGTTCTTCACAAAATCCTTCATGTATTCTCTCCCTCTCCCTACTTCTTCTCACGGTTGGCTTTTCATTAGAGTCGTGGCAAACAGCCCGAAAAGAAAAGCAAGATATCCGTCGGAAAACCCCCGATTCCATGAAAATAACTTGGGCACAAGCTATAAAAAAAGCAAGAACCAAAAAACGGGCTGTGGGTGACGGACAGAGAACGGTCTGCCTGTCTGGCTGCCCCAGGTTGCCTCTCTACTCTTTTTTCCGATCGTGCGACAGAAAAAAACTGTTTGCTTCATATTTCTCTCAGTCACTGCGTTCACCAGAACTATCCTCGAAAGTTTCCGTCTATCAACAAGAGAGTACACAAAAAAAGTGCATTCTTATCAGTGTCTTTTCCTGCTTTCTCTCACTGAATGTTGCCATGCGCGTTCGGTCATTTGCTCAGTGGCTGGAAACTTTTCAGAAAAAATCCGAATAAATTAGTTTACACTAGGACTCTACGAGAAAGAAGATCAGGGCTTGGTTCTAGATTAGAGTAGATGAAAAAGCTAATCTGCACGAGATTGGTAATCATTGGATTCTCAAAACGATCTCTTGTTTTTTTCCCAGTTTCGCCCGGCGGTCCCTCTGAATTTTCATACAACCTTGTTGACATGTTTTTCAGTATTCTCTTTGGCAGCCGGTCATTCATCTTTTTCTGCTCCCATCTCCTTCTAATTGGACACAGACACATCCAGAAAGAGATGCCCTTCTTTAGAAAGAGAGAGAAACGAATCCACAACAAAAACACATCATCATGGTAAGGGGGTGGGAGTGCTCTCTTCTCAATTATTCATCAGAAATTCTTTTTGCGGCTCGAAATGTCCCTCGCCATTTTCAATTATTCAGAATCAGACAGATTCTCGTTATGCCCCTCTCCTCGTCAATTCGACCTGATTCCCATTCGAAAGTGCGCTCACCTGAACTGTGTTCTCCTTTTCATTTTCGTCTTCTGTCTGTGCTTGGTTCAAGCTGAAAAACAATAAAGTTTAGAATGACATCATTTGATTGGACGAATGACGTAAACAGAAGCCTTTCTGAATAGGCTCCCAGCACGAACCTCTGCACTCCGGCGTGTCCGTTCTGCACTCGTGTTCCTCCGTTTACAGCCGTTCCCGCTTCGTCTTCCACCTTCTTCTTCTTTTCATTCTTCTGGATCCACCAAACAAAAACTGCTGCGATTGATAATCCGCCGAGAGCGATAATCAGCGCATGTTTCGATGCAATCGATGACATCCTGAAATTTCAGAGATACGGTAATCATGTTCTCAACACGTGGATCCCGCCTCCCTCTACATGCTCATTCTTCTTTTCGAGGAGGAAAAAGGGAACATTTGGCGCCCTCCGAATCCAATTTCGTCCCCACTCACTGAGTCACAGCGTGGACATGAGACCAAAGGAGACTGCTGGCGCATCTTGCACTCACTTGGCGCACTATTGGATTTTTTGGTTTCGCAATTAAAATCTTTTTCTCGTTTTTATCTTTTAAAACATGTCGAAACGCAATTTTTCGTTAAATATTCGTTGCAAAAAACTCAAATTTAAATTTTCAGGACTCGTTGCGACAATTTCTGCAGTTGGAAAGGCGCGAAGCTGGTGGAAATTGCCGAGCGGCACGGAGTAGCGGTTAGAATAAAAAAGAACAGTTATTTTCTTCGCCGATAAATAATTTCAGGTTTTTCCCCATCATTTTATCGGATTGCGGCGGACACGCGAATAGAAAAAAAGCACTATTCAACTGAAAAACCAGGAATCTCCAGCAAAAAAATTTTTTTAACGGAACACTAAATTTGTTTGATTACTGAATGAAGCTCATTGAAAAATATTCTTAGTTTTTCTTTTTTTCGCTATGTTATCTCACTTCTACAATTCTAAAATTCGATCCTTGTGGCCGGAAGTTTGCCTACAAAGCTCACTTTCAGCGACACTTCAGATTTCTGACGGCAAAAAGACGTAACAATCGCGCACATAATCATTTTTACGTTTGATAAAGCTCTCTTTCATCTCTACAACTTCTAATATTGACAAACTTCTGCTTTTCATGTATTTCAGCCAGAAATTCACGCTACTCTTTCATGGTTTTTAAAATCGGTCTATTTGCATTGAGTTGCGATTTTTTTCATCCGTACAGCGTCTCTAGCCATTATATAACAGTATTCAAGCGTCACTGTCGTAATAAATCTGCGAAACAATTCAAAATAACCTCAAACTTTTAAATTTATTTCGCATCGCTACACAGTTTTGCACAAGGAAACACGACGGCTGCACCGATTTGGCTCTGTGTGTGCTCAAAATGACCGTCTAACTCCCAGCTACAATATAGCCTGTGACAAAAACGAAAAAATTACGGCGTTCAATTTTTACACGGGGAATAACGCAATTTTCGCCGAAAATTTATTATTTTTGAACTCCCGCGCGTGCGCTGCAAGTGCGCTTTAATGATAAACGTCCACGCTGTGACTCAGTGCCACTTCCTTCTTCATTTCCGCTTTCCAACCGACCGCCCCTGATTCATGCATTCGTATTTTTTTCGGGGAAAAGAGAGCAGAGCACCAAAATGGTCGTGGGCCCGCACACACACACCAGCTGACATCACCAAATTCTTCATTTCCGTTTTATATTATGAAGGATCGGGTGTTGGGAGGGCGCAGAAAACAAGTGGAAAGATCTTTCATCTTCCATGCATCGGCATCAAATCCAAATCACATGGACGAACAAAAAGAATAGAGAAAATAGAAAGCAAACTGAATAACTAAACAGAATGAAACTGAACTGTAGTCGAGGTTTTACAGATTAGAATGACACGTTGGCCCCAGAAAGACAGGATGAAAAGACAGTAGACATATTAATATCTCTGTGACGTGGCACGGCTTGTTGCGAAATGGGTTGTCTAGGCAACTTCTCAACGAGGGCAAGATTGATGAAGTCCTGGCCACGACACGAGAGAGAAAGAAACGAACCACATAACGATACGAATACTCACTCTTCGTAGATTGTTGAGAAGAGAAGACATTGCTCTTTTCGTTCCGCACTGGAAAGATGAGTGGCAAGACCGCTGCTCCAATCAGAGATGGACATGAGGATTCCGATGAGATGACGGGTGATGGCATCACAAGCGACATAAGAATACGAGTACGGTTCAGACGAGTGCGGATCGACGTAAATATCATAAGAGGAGGAAGATGGCGACGACGAGTCTACGGCTCTCGCAGCATCCGCCGTCGCCGCCGCCGCAAACGCAGAAGCAGTCGGTGACGGAATGGTGAGTTACGGGCAACGGGCACGTGGAGCACACCACGTGGATCGGGGACGATTTGTCGAAGAGCACACAATCTGTGTTAGTGAGCAATGTTCATTGTTCATGAGAAGGCACGAAGAATGGAGAGAATGGATCAGTGTGACAAGAAAAGGATCGGATTAGCAATCGAGAGGGGCGCCAGAAATGGATGGTTAATTTTAGAATAAGTGCAAAGACTACTATCCGTTTGTGGGGAAAACATGAACAAGAAAAAACAAACGAGGACAATTGAATGGGTTGCCAAACGAGCTGAAAGTGCTGCTCTGGGACTCAATATGGACTGCGAGAAAGCGGGTGGAGGGACAGAGCGAAAGTAGAAGGTAATATGTGTAATTGAGTATATTTCCAGTGACATGATGTGTGACAGCTGCTGACCGACATCGACAACACAAAAATGTCAAACGCTGACCGTGAAAGGAGGGAGAAGAAGCCGTAAATAGATTGTGCTGGAAGTCAGGAGCCGTAAATGAGGGGGTAATAATAGGCGGAAGAGAAAAAGGGACGAAGGGGGAGGATGCGCGCGAACTTTGCAAGTATTCCAAGTATAACAAATGACATCATCAGGAACAAGGGTCAACTTGTGGACCAATTTCCTTTTGCATGAACAAAAATTCGAAAGGATGAAATATCAACGCCGGACTTGGGGGGAGTCAGACCAAAACGAGCTCAACGTCTAAAAGATAGTGAAGAAGACGTAAAAGACTTTGAAGGAGATAATGATGAGAAAGACGGAAAAGGAAGCACGCAAAAACGAGTCAAGGTTAACAAGTGGAGGAGGCGGCACACACACGGAAAACGCCTACAACTCCAAAAGAGCGAATCCAGGAGACGCAGACCGCAGTCGTCAGAGCTCTTTCTCTCATTTTTCTCTGCTCACATACAAAATAGAGTGACGGGACGGACGGACGTCGAAACCGGAAGAGAAATCATAACTTGGCCATTATGAGGGGGAGAAAAAGAGAAAGACTACATTTAGGTCTCCATTCCAATGGATGGAATGGAGCACACAATCCGGCATTGGGCAGTCAGGAAGCCTTTCAGCCGCAAACTAAGCCCCGTTTGCACATTGATTCTACCAAAAATATAACAGTGCTACTATGCAGATCATTTCCGGCTAATGAACATAAACTTTCTGTGACGAAACGACAGAGTCGCACAGGAAGAACGAAAAAGCAGCAGAGCAGCAAAAAACATGTCTAATCAGCCAGCTGAGCACGGCCGGCAGCCTGGAGACCGACCACGAAAATATGCGATTTTTAGAGAAAAGACGACAATTCCAGAAGGACGATCAGGGAATGTGGCACACACTAGCGCAAATAAGATGATGAATGGAATGAATGAATGGATGAAAGCGAGCAGATCGGTGCAAATTGAGTTGGCTGCTACAGTAATATCAATGATCATTGTTCGGAAAACGGAAGAGCTCAGAAGCAACGAGAGAAAAATGGCTCGTAGAGAAGCATTTGAAGTCCGTTTTACATATCCAAATTTTGGACCGCTTCAATAATTCCAACCAGTCAGAAGAAAATAAAAACGAATCGAAAACAAAATTCGGCGCGAGCGAAAAAGAGAGCGTCTACCACATTTTTTTTGGCAATGGATGGTCAGGAACAATTAACATTGGAAGAAGCAAATGGATGAAAAACGATAGAAACCCGAGAAATGTGTTGCTGATTTTTGAGACGGAATGAAACTGAGAGTATGTCATGGAAAGTCGTCGGGCAGCCACCAGAGCGGTTCCGACACGAGCATAAAAAATAGACGGAAGGGGAGAGGAAGGAAGGCTCTTCTCTCATTTGTAGAGCACGGCAGAAGCAGCAGAGGCATCACATGAATGTGGGCGTGGCGCCAATTGGATTCATTTTCAATTCATTAGCAGCCCGAAAAAAGATATTGCGGAGAGGACATGCCCGCGCGAGGAGGCCTCTCAGATGTACACGCCTCGAATGACGAGCATCTCTCGTAGCTTTCCAGTCTTTCCAGCTTCGACTAATTGTAATTGACTTGGAACGAAAAAACCAACTGACGAAGAGGGGTGGAGAACAAAACGAAGGACACGAATTAGTAATTCTCGAGAGGCACCGGGGTTCTCGGAAGAAAACAACCGGTCAGAAGCTACTAGGTACTCTTGTTATACTAAATCCCCCGACAATAATGGCGTGGGCCTGAAAAGTAGCGAAAAACTATCGTCAGAGTGCTCAAAGAAGATGATAAATAGATGCTGCTGCCATGCTATTCTGTTAGCTACTCTATCTTTCAATTTCCAATAGTCTTCCGGAGACTAATCCACGCACACCTGCTTTCGAAACTACCTTTGTTCGATGGAATCTTTCATCTGCCAGGTTTTTTCTGCTCAAAGCCAACTGAAAATCCATTCCACATCGGGATTAGTCTGACGTGGGTCGGAACGAGAAGAGGAGAATGGCTTTCGAGAGCTCCTCGACGCCAGTGGCTCGTTTTTCATGCAAAAGAGGCCCGTGAAGTGCCCGCCTCCGTCTGACTGTCCGTATCCTTTCGACTAATTCGTCTCTTTCTCTGATGTATGCTCTGGACCCATCAAATTCGATTCGTACTAAATGGGCACCCTGTCAAAAACAGAAAGAGTAGTGGTGGCCCCATCTCGCCATTCATTCAAAGTCAACCTTCGCCATTCACGTCGTCAAAACGTTCTTTTTACAAAAAAGAAACGAAGGGGAAGATGAAGGGTTCAATCCAAAAAAATAGACAACGGCCACGATGATGACGACGATGACGACGTCAGTTTCAGGAAAAAACGGAGAAATAGTATAAAGGAACACGAGTTGGAGCGGAAACTCGACAGAAAAGGCTATGGGAATAGGATGGCAAAAAAAGAGGAGGAGGAGAAGCGAGGGCGACGAAAACTCGATAATGTTCGGCAGAATGCACTCGAGAAACATATCAGATTCAATTATTCTCTCGATCAAAGAAGCGTCGGCGATTCCGAATCGGATGAGAATCATTCCGCTCCATCCCTTTTTCTTGGAATGACGTGAGCCAAAACACATACAAGCACAACAAAAGGGCCTTCAAAACAGAAAAGACGCCGAGCAATAGAAAGGACACAGCTCATTTGTTCTGGATCGCGCTCCGCCTCGTCCATGTAGTTATCATCTACCCTTTTAATGAGGGGTCCGCTCAAAACAGATGAAAAACGAGGAGACGGAAGGGGGGAGGGAGAGAAGGCTCACGAAATTCGAGAGCTCGATTCGTCATTTAGGAGTCACGGAAGCCTGTCACATTCTGACGGAGAGGACTCGTTTCTATAGCAAAGTGCGGTGTGGCGAGCTCTTCATCTGCAACGCACACCGAATGTTCTTTTGAATAGTTGCAGAAGGCGGAGTTTCTTTTTTTATATATGCACTCTCTCTCTCTCTAAATCTCCAGTTCACGAGTAGATCGCATTTCAGCTCAAATTCGGATCGGTCCGAAGGATTGAGTTGGAAACAGCGGTTCGGCGAGAGATAATCTCGGATGAATTCTACGTCTAATTCTGACAAACACATCACATTCTCCGTAAAGATAACGCGATTTCGGCATGTGGAATACGGCAAAAAAAACGAATACGAAAAAGGCGGAGGAGGAAAAGAACAAGCAGGCTCCGCTTAATTGCAATTTCTGACATGGCTGTATGTGCTTCTATGTATGCGTGAGATTGTGTGTGTGTTGTCGTCGACGTCGACGTTGTCGTTTCCAGAAAAAGAGGAAGGCAAAGAAGAAGAATGCAATTCAAACAAAAGAGGCAAAGGATGAGCACACAACAATCCCCCAAAATCAGCAGAGCTCCAAAAGGATGCTCTCCTCTATTGATATCCTCTTCTCTCGTGATCTGAAAACGAGGGGGGAGCCGTCACGTGTGGCGTCGGCGCCAAAGTGATGAAGACGATGAGAAAGTGGGTGAGAAAACTAATATAAAATACCCAGGGGCATAGTTGAAGAGAGGGAGAGAGTGCTGCAAGAAGAGACCGTCACTCTTCCGCGCTCAAAACTCGTAAAACTCTACCGGAGAAGAAATTAATATTCACCGGCCCAGTCGAGATGAAAAAGGAGAAAGAGGGAAAGCGAAATTTCCGAGAAAAAAGCAGAGCGCTGGATAGTTGGCTGACAGGTGAAAATTTTATGGCGCAGCAACAGCGAAAAATGTGACTTCGCGTGGATTTTTCCAGAAACAGCGCACAACAAAAGCATCAAACCACAGATCTGCAGCGGCGGCCCGGGCATCTGAGCCCTTTGGGCTAGAAGTAGCTGAATACTGCAGTTTCATGCACTCTCTCTCTTTTTTTCATTTATTGGGTCAATAAGCAGAAAATTTCTCGACCAACTACCTTCTAAGCCAATAAACCGCAGTGTGGAGTTGAAAGGGGTCTAATTCGAGCCGACCTCATGACTATCACAAATAGAGCAAGGAAGGAGGGAAAACGGAAAGGGATATTTTCAGAGCTTTCCGGTCGTCGTCGCCCGAAAATAAGCACGCAAACAATTGAGAGAAGTTAGGATGGCGCGGGTGGACAGAGCAGCCAACAGGATACCTCCGACGCCTCGTGCTTCTTCTCATATAAATTATTCATAAATCTGCCGCGATGGTCGGAGGCGCCACGCGAAACAGAGATGGCTCCCCACGATTCGGACCTATTCCCGGCGCAGGGAGGACGAAAGAGAGAGGAGCTTGGGAGACCGGGAGCACGCGTGCATTCCGTTGCTTCCGTCCCTCGACAACATGACCAGATGACGTCAGTCTAATGGCCAGCGCCCATTCAACACTGCTCCAGAAGGGCGGAGAGCAGAGGCAGAGTGAGTGGGCAGTCCGTAAAAGGAAAGGATAGAATCGCATGGATGAATGTTGAAAAACGCCGCCGGAAAAGGCAGTCAGCTGAAGAAGAAGACGTCGCAGAAGCCGGCGACACAGGGAGGAGCTTCCACTCAACGCTTGCGTGTTTTCATCCCTCTAGTGGGTGTCCAGAGATCGCTCGCTTTATTTTTAGGTCATTTCTCATCTATTTTCCGCTCTTGAATTTCTACGTCATTATCAGATCTTTCTTCAATTGACGCGTTTCTTACTTTGAGGGCTAATCCGGCTGAGAAGCCTCTCATCGACTCGTTATGCATTGAAAATGTTCAATTAACAGCTGGTGGAAATGTTCGCATAAAAACATCATTATAAAAAAGAAGAAACACCAAATAAGGCAACGGTGGTCTCGATGGTGGCGGCGACAACAATTTTGCATTGACCCCTCCATTTACTTGAAGAACAAAAACTAATTTCAGATACGAAAACAGCTCTAACAACTGTCTGAAAATCCAGCGCTTCGCTTGGCTACGTTCCAGTTCTTCGCGAAAAAAAAAACAATTTATAAAAGGAGAAGAGCAAAAACAACGGGGAAATTAGCGGTGAGATGAACGGACGGGAAAAAATGGATAGCAATTAATATTAAACAGGTCGTGGCGCCCACCGAAACCGATCGAAACGGTATGTGGGCAGTTGAAAAAAAAGGATAAATAGAGATCAAACAATAGAAAATCTCTAGTACTACTACGGTCTAGTTAGTCGGGAATAAATAAAGGATCCTAAAATAATGCAGGAAGTAAGGAAATTGAAGGCCGGATGAATTGCTCATCAGCTCATTATCATTCCGCCCAATGAGAGAGGCTCAAAGGCGGATGAAATAGTTCAAAAGAAGGCTCGAAAATGAGGAGGGTGTGGGCCCAAAAATTGTCGTATTTCTGCTTCTCGTGCTTGTGTTCACAAAGCCAGAAGTACGCAATAATTGGTGCGCAGAACGACAGAGACAGACACATGAGTAGTAATAGACAGAATCTGCATTCGAATCAACAAAGCCACGTCATTTCATTTTCAGTAAGCCGACGAACAACCTCTCCGGCCTTCTCTCATTCCTTTTCTAACCCTGCGTAGCACTGATAATCATCTCAATCAGCTCCCTCCGCTCCTCCTCTCGCGCCTTTCTTCTCAACGTCATGTTTCTTTTCGTTTCGTCTTCATTCGGGTCGACAAGATGTCGCCTGCTGATGTTATTGTGCAAAGCCGTGCTCCAATCTCCACCGCTTGCATACACCTCACGCAGCACGTTCATCAAGTTCGGGAACGGCAGAAACTGTGGACCCGACTTCCATTTCACATAGCGGTGAATGGGCAATCGATAGACGCGCACGTTGGCTCGACGGGCGGCGCTTAGTGCCTCACGCTTCCGACCCATCGAGACGCAGACGCCGATGACGTCGGCTGTGAGCGGTCCGTCAAGAACGTCACGGGCGTTCGGAGACAAGTATATCTTGTTCGGCTCGTCTCCGTAGAACTCTTTGATCCCTTAAAACATCACATAACACTTTCGTCTTTTATGGTTCCTTTTCTGCGTTGGTTTATCGATCTCGGAATTGATGTTTGAGAGACTTCGTTTTACTTATTTTATGGTGCATAAATTTGGGAGGCTGGGAACCAGAGTTGAGCGGAATCGATTTTTTGAAAAGGCGGAAAGCGGAGGCGTAATAAAAATTTTTTGGCGCAAGGCGGAAAGCGGAGGCGAAATGAAAAAAGCAGCGGAAAGCGGAAGGTGGAATTCCGCTCAACTCTGCTGGGAACACGGAATCGTTGTTACGGTTTCTAAACGGGGACTTCTCTCCTCAAACAGTCAACTCCAAGATCAATAAATTCCGTTTCACGAACCCTTTGTGGAGAAATCCGGCAGAATCGTCTGATTAACGTAGGAACTTGTGTAATATCCAACACTTTTGGCCAACCATTGCTCCGAGAATTCCACTGATGGAGCATTGACAAAGTCGAGCACAAGCGGAGTTTTTGATGCAAAATTCTCACTGATGACGTATTGCATCTGGTTTCCAAGCTCAGCGGATTCGCGACGATGCATCTCTTGGATATACTGAAGATCGAGAGCGACACGAGGCACTCCAGAGTTCATACTTGCCAGAACGCGTGCCGCTTCGCATTGATTCACTCTTTTCTGATTCCTCAATGGATTGGGAATCAGCTGATGCATGTCTGGACCATATCCCATTCCGCCGGCCTCAAAATTCTTCTGCTGCTCCAGCAGCCACTCTTTATACAGCGTCGTTCTCATGCTTTGACTCTTTTCTCTTCGTGATTGTCGTCTTGCTGTTAAGGCCAGATACTCCCAGTAAGAAACTTTATCGTTCATAGATTCACATTCTATCGTCTTCTTCCATTCTTCATCGCTCATTTGTTGTGGAACGTACTTTCCCATGTACACGAAAACTTCGAACTCCGATAGTGCCTTTTCGTACTTCTTCTGCTCTTCTTTGCCAAGTTCTTTCACAAATTGACGCGACGGCTTCAGATTTTCGAACGAAGCATGCTGCTCTTCGGTTGCTGCAGAGCTCTGGCTTCTGCCGTTGGAAGAAGACTGTCGGAGAAGGAGGGAGCGAGCGAAGGTGCGAGTGAAAGAGAGCATCTACCTGAAAGGATCGGCAGATAAGTACATTTTGAGATGCTGCCGCCGACGACATTGTGATGAGTCGACCGGATCGGAGTTACACTCGAAATGCACCTATCTGGAGACCCATCTCAATATCGTCATGGGCAAAGAGAAAGGAGAGTCCAGGTAAAAGTCTAATAAACTAATCAGTCCACGAAAAAACAAAAGAAAACTCACTTTTAGATAATAATTGTTTCCTCGACAGTTTCAACTTCGATTGATTTCTTCAGTTTCCTGAAAATAATTTCTCCATAATTTCAAATGTTTTTCTCTTAGAAACCCACGGTTTTAGCAAAGGCACTTGGTTTGGCGGGTTGCCAGATACGCGAAGAGTCAAAATCGATTGTTTTGTTGGTTTTCCGAATCGAAAATTTACCTGAAATGTATCAATATTAACAAAAATTGACAGGAAGACAAAAAAGAGACGAAAAGAGCGAGAGAGGACTTGTTGTTTACTATCGTAGAGTTACTTATCTGCATCGGATGAGCAGAAAGACGGAAATATTTGTACATTTGAAGGGTGAACGGTCGGAAGAGCAGGGCGCGCCCCGCTCGTCGAACGAGCACTTCGAACCCGGTTTTCCGTTCACCGTTTTTCCGCGTAGTTCAAATGTTCGTGCGCCTCAATCGGACCAAAGTTTCAGCTCTAATTGGCAACAAACGACGAGAAAAGTCGAACAAACAACGTGCGACCTAATTTGGCAAGAAAACGACGCAAAACTTCTTCTTCGTTAGCGCGGAGGTCGAAGTGCGAATGAATGAGAACATGAAGAGACAATATTATTGCAAGACGGATGATGGAGTGGCCGATGGAACCCGAACGATGTCGCCGAAGACGCCGAAGCAGACCGACCGGCCTACGTCGGCGTATTCAAGGTCGATGAAGACGCACCTCTCATTTTTTCGCCTTGTTCACGAAGCGGAAGGTCACAACGACATTTGGAGCGTGGCCTCGAGGCCAGTTGCTCATTAACTTAAATTTTAGCTAAAAAGCGATAAGGTGAATGCAACCAAATAAATCTATATTGCTCAAACTTTAAAGAGTGACAATATGACATTCTGGGAAACAAAAAAATAAGATTGAAGAGAAATGACATGAAAAGAGCCGTTGGGAATTGAATAATTACGCTCTGATTGCAATGTTCAGTTCATTTGAGAATTGTTAGTTCGAATCAGGACGTTTTGAGCTAATGAAACGAGAGCCCGTCATGAGTTGAACTCTGATCGCCCGCCCAATGAGACAAATCCTAAAATTAGTTTTCCGCTGCCTCCCATGCAGCGAGCTTCTCGACAACAAAAGCGAACGTGGTTCAAACCCTTAACTCTAGGAACTTTCTTTCTATTTCCAAGATTAATTTGCGATTTTTTGCTCATTGGAAAACAACAAAAACAGGGAAAAATCTTATGAAAATCAACTGCTGGCAAGGGGCCAGAGGCAGACAAACGACGAGAGAGCGTGCGAAAAGAGGAGGGTGACAAAAGGACACCGTGTGTAAACAGCGCATCCCACGACCGAGTACACAGAAAAACGTACCGTAGTGATCGGGGGTAATCGGCGAAAGGAGAATGGCAGGAAGTGTGAACTTGGCAAACAAATGGGTGAAATTGAAAATATTGTTGACTTCCACAAACAGAGAAATCGCGATTATGAAAAAATATAGAAACAGCAGTCCGTGGAACTCTGGTTTCTTAAACTTTTGAGTTCAAGTTAAAAATCGTTTTAAATATTTAGTTGAAACTTTTATATAAAGTTCTTGAGAATTCTTCGCCACTCGGATAATGAGATTAATTGAGAAGCAACGATCTGCTGAACATTCCAGATAACATTTCAAATGCAAAAGATTAACTTTCGCAGTTTCGCCCTCACTTTCCCACGGTCCCTACCGTAGTTTAGCCCTCACTTTCCCACGGTCCCTACCGTAGCCCTCGCCGTCGAAATACTTGGCTTCTATTCGTTTTCTCTGTTGCCATGGAACCTGCTGCCAATAAAATCCGAATTTGATTATGGTCGTGGAGCCCCGCGGCTCCGTTGCTCCATCGACGGACACTCTCCCACGCCGGCACACAACACGCCTTCTCCTGCTCCTTCTTCAATCACTCACCGAGCTCCGTCCGGCCCACTGATTAGCTTTCGGCTCCGCTTCTAGAAATGTCTTCAGCTTTGATCTGTTTTCCGTCAAAGATCTGTCTACATTTCTTATTTCTTAACTAATAGATTGTAGCCGGGACAATATTCTGGAAAACAGAAGGTCCTCGAAGAAGTCTGTCGGATTGGACCCAGAATGGTTTGTAGATTCAACTGCTGCTCCTTTTCAGTTCCTCCATTGTCATGTTCTCAATCTCACGCGGTGCCCACTCCTCCCACTCGCCGGTTTCCCACCGTCACGAGTCAGAAGCGGACGGGGTACAATTTTTTGGATTCATTGACGGCACACGCACACAATTCCTGCTCGTTCGCATTAAAAGCCGGTCACCTCTTTATTCTTCTTCTTCTTCTTCTTCTTCTTCTGCTTCTTCCTTCCTTCCTTCCTTCCCGCCTACCTTCGTCGTGAGCCGTTTTTGATTGGAAAGTGTGTTTCCAAGCCAACTGCTCTCTTTCTCTGACTCGATTATCTTCTCCGCCTCCCCCCAACACCTCCTTCCGATAATTTGATTCGCTTCTCTCTTTTCAGTCCCTTATCTTCCGATCAACGATGTTTAGTGAGCACAAGAAAAAACAGGAGGAAGCGAAGGTGAGTGGCAGCTGAAGATGCGGCCAAAAGAGCCGGAGCCATACATTTTGCAGAAGAAGGATAAGAACGGTGACCTGATCTTTGACGATTTGAACGCGAAGACGAGCAATATGAAGATGGCGGAGGAAAGGAGCCAAAAGGAGCCAAGTGAGTTGCTCGCCAGAAAGGGCTCTCACCATAAAAAGACGAATCTGACAGAGTACATGTCGGAGATGGAGGCCAAAAATCCGGTGAGTGATTGAGATTAGAAGTAGAGCGTATTTGGACTAGAAACGACATTTTAGAAGAGGAAATCTATCAAGAAAATCGAGCAGAAGGCGTCGACAATGTCGTTGAATCTGAGCAAGAACGGAGAGAAGGAGAAGGAATCGGTCTCCTCGCAAAGGAGCAACAGCCTCGAGGCGCCTGCGCTCACCGGAGCTCCCAGTCAGAATGTGGGACTCAGCATTTTCGAGGCCGCCACTATGATGTGCAATATCGGTAAGCGTTTCGGAAAATGGGTCCAATCAAAAGCCCCCTTTTCAGTGGACATTACCACCGATTCGACGACAAAAAACGGAAAGATCGACAAGACGAAGGTATTAAAATCGAAAGAGAGCAAGACTTCGCTGGGCTCGGCAAGCGGTCCGTTCGCTCAGATGAAGGAAGCACAGGAGCAGAAGAGAAAGAGCAAGCAGAGTTTCGAATTGGAAGACGACGACAGCGATAGTTGAATCAGTCATTCGGAATTCTTTACCCATTCGACACTCGCAAGCTGTAACCAATAAAGCAATACCCGAACAAAATTTCGTTTTTCGTAACAGCGTTATCGATGATCTTCCATGTTCTGCGAATTAGCATATTTTTCCGGTTACCCTGCCCCCAGTACCACCTCCTCGAAATCATTTTAAAGAAAATCACATTTAAAAAACAGCAACGATTTATTGTCAACAAACAATTACGAGACAAGGGAAGCAGCGGTTCCAGACTCGTACTTCCAGGTTGGTGGAAGCTGACGCTTGGTCTTGTAGTATCTGGCCAGACGGTGGATACGCGACTCGACCAAAATGAGTCTGTACTTGCTGTCGATGTCCTTGCGGGATCTCTCGAGATGCTTTCGGATGGCGACGGCCTTCTTGACGAGATGGTAGAGATCCTCTGGGAGCTCTGGGGCCATTCCCTGAAAAAAACAGTTAACTCTGAACAATTGAAATGATACAGCTGCCGCGGTGATTTAAATTTTAAAGAATTGTCATCGTGTTATTGAGATCTAATCTAGGAACAATTACACCTCACCCAAAAACAAGATAATTCATATTGCTCTATATGACGGCTGGCATGGACAAGACAGAGCCCTATAGCCAGTGCTTTTGAAGAGCGACGTTTTGTCCCCGAGCTGACCCTTACTTTGGACTTGAGGATACGGAAGATCTTGTTTCCAGCGAGACGGCGAACCTGTCCGACTCCGTGGGAATCCCTGAGGATTACTCCAATTTGGGACGGGCGAAGACCCTGAAATGACAACGTTCGGTAATGTCAAAGATTCAATAAGGAAATGGACATCGATTGCTCGACCTACACATCTCCTGGGCCCATGTCCAACTTGGAAACTGGTCGCCCGGGGATCATATGGTAGTTATCGGAATCGCACCGAATAACTCCTCAGATCTGTCGCAAACCTTCTTGGCCATTTTGACGATTTGGTCCTGGACCTCCTCGGCAGTCATCTTCTGCCACGATGGCACGGAGCGGCGGTATGGGATGGCCGACTTGGCCATTCCCTTTCCTGGATTGTGCATGCGACCCATGGTTGATGCGGATTACCTGAAAATGTGGAATTTCGAAAATTATTGAAAATAAGTTTGTAAGATCGAGGTAAGCTCCAAGAACGCGAACAGCGAAGAAAGCACTGAAGAAAATCAATACAAATGCTACTGAATTTCACTGAACCGGACGAAATTGAATGCGGCTAACACAAAACTAGACAGTCTGAATGAAAATGACAAGAAATTGCACGTTGAAATTGTCAGTGGCCTAAATTTTTAAAGTACGGTCGCACTCACTTCAGCTGTCGCAATTTCGTGGCGGGAGCCTGCCGCCGACAGCCTATGTCCCTTTAAACTCGTGTTTTTGTGTACCGATTGCACAACATTGCAGCCTCTTTTCTCAATGTTTCGAGCTTTTCTGGTCAAAAACCGTTTGCTATATATATAAAGAAAGTATACTTTATTGATTCCATCTATTTTTTATTTTAGAACTCGGTAATTATGGCCGATACTGACGCACCATCGTCTAGTATTCCAACAACATCAGGTCGTTCGAATGCTCGACCGAATGAACGCAGAGGTGGACGTTCTAATCCTCGTCCACGTCAAGAAAAGGCCAATCCTGATGATAATCAAGTAGCTGGTCCGTCAAACCCACGCGGGGGACCGAACACAAGGAGAGGGAGCAATCGCGGCCGAGCGCAACGGCGGAGTTAGTTTAATTTTGGCATAGCAATAATTACAAATTTTCTGATTCAGATCCGTCGGAAAACAGTCAACAGAGACAACATCCCAATTTTCAATTCAATCCGAACGCGATGCCGTTCAATCCAGAACCAGTGCCCTCGTTCGACTCATTTCCACGAGATGAATTCAACGGTGACAGACAGCGGCAGCAGAATCAGAACGGAAGAACTTCTAACTCGAAGGGACGAGGTGATCGGACGCGGAATCCGCCTGATTCTCAAGTCATGGAGCTATGCAGCCAAAACCAAAATTCACAAAACTCATCGCGACAGTTGAACAGGAGACCACAAACTTTAAACGCTAATCAGAATAGACCGGAGAATCCGCGAAATCAGAATCAAAGAGGCAACCGCAGAGGTCGAGGCGGACGCCATCGTGATCAAAGAGAAGATGCGCTGACGGAGGAAGAGACGAGAATGCTGGCTGACAAGCCTCTGCGAGAACGTTTGATTTACCAACTTCAGAACAATAAGTATGAGTGCCCCATTTGCTACAACAAGATTTTCGCGAGACAAGGTGTATGGTCCTGCAAGACTTGCTATCAAATATTCCACATTTCGACCGGATGTATCACGGATTGGGCAAAGTCCAGCAGAGACAAGGAGGGTGCTAACACGTGGAGATGTCCGACGTGCCAAACAGAGAACGAAACTATGCCGTACAACTACAACTGTTTCTGCGGACGCCAACGGAATCCAACATTTCGAGTGGGAGAGACGCCGCACAGTTGCGGAGACACCTGCGGAAGATCGAGGAAGTTCGGATGTCCTCATCCGTGCACGGAGCTGTGCCATCCGGGACCGTGCGTGGAGTGTCAGTTGTACACAACGCGAACGTGTAGCTGTGGAAAAATAAGAAAGAGTGTCAGATGTGGAACCGGTGATGAAGTAAAAGTGAGTTGAAGCCATTCAATCCCATTGTGATATTGTTTTGTTATTCAGTGCGACCAATCCTGTGGAAAACTGCTTTCTTGTGGCATACACAACTGCGAAAAAGTGTGCCACACAGGAGACTGTGGAGATTGCACGGTTGTTGCTGAACAGGAGTGTTTCTGTGGACGAGAACATCGAGAAGTACCTTGTCATCAAGGAATCTCAGAAAAGTATGTATGTGGAACAGAATGCGACAAAATGTCCTTGTGCGGAGTTCACAAATGCACCAAGAAATGCCATGAAAACGAGTGTGGAGAATGCGAAAAAGGAGTGAACAAGATCCGAACATGTCCATGTGGAAGGCACACTCTCCAGTCTCTCGGAGTGGTCAGAACAAAGTGCACGGATAAAGTGCCGACTTGTGATGCCGTCTGTGACAAGTGGCTCAGCTGTGGACCTCCCGGAGACAATCATAGATGCCAGATGAAGTGCCACGAGGGATCGTGCCCGCCTTGCGCTCTCGACACATTCGTCGTCTGTCGATGCGGTTCTTCGAAGGGAAAAATTCCTTGCGATGAGTACCTGGAAGCAATACAAAACAGTGAGTAGTTCATGGTATTTCGTACTGTATAAACCCCTCTATTCCAGCCGGTGAATACCTTTGCACGAAGCGCTGCGGAAAGAAGAAGTCATGCGGAAAGCACAAATGTCAGGAGACTTGTTGCATTCAAGACGAACACTTCTGCCTTCAGATGTGCAACAAACGACTTTCTTGCGGCATTCACACCTGCGAGAACGTGTGCCACAACGGAGTGTGCCGGCCGTGCCTCAACGCTAGCTTCGACGAGCAGTACTGTCACTGCGGAAGTTCAGTCCGATACCCGCCGATTCCCTGCGGAGCCCGTCTTCCAGTCTGTACGCATCCTTGTGCTCGACCACACAGCTGCAATCATACGGTGACCCACAAGTGTCATGGCGAACAAGGCTGCCCTCCGTGCACGCAACTCACTGATAAAACGTGTTATGGCGGACACACTGTTAGAAAGAACATCCCATGTCACATAGAGTCTGTTTCCTGCGGAGTCGTGTGTCAGAAGAGGCTTCGATGCGGTGTTCACGTCTGTCAGAGGAGTTGCCACGGAGATGAGTGCGAGAAGGAAGGAGAGAAGTGTACCAAGAAGTGCGAAGTCATTCGAGAGCTTTGCGAGCATGCGTGTGCTCTCCCGTGTCACGAAGACTCTCCTTGCGAGCCCAGTCCCTGCAAAGCGGCCGTTCGTGCAACATGCGAATGCGGTCGAATCAGAAAAGAAATTCCATGTTGCGAAAGTGAGAAGATGATTCAGATGAGAATTGAAAAGGAAGAAGAGAAAAGGAAAGAAGAAGGGGAATCATCAACTTTCGTGGAAGGTACTCTGAAGAGATCTCACAGTTTTTCACAACTTAACTGTCTCAAATGTGATGAAGAGTGCAAGAAGGTAGAGAGAAATAGGAAAGTGGCTGAAGCGCTCGAAGTGGAGACTGACGAGTACGGAAATAACAAGTTGACACCGACGATTTCGTTCCCATGCTATTTGAAAGAAATGGTCAAGACGAGCTTCGACTTTGTTAAGGCTATTGAGAAGACATTCTGCGAACTTATTTTGCTAATTTTGAACGTAAGTTTCAAGTCATTTCACATCTTTGAAAACCGCCAACAGTTTAAGGCCGAGGCTTACAACGACGTCTCGCGCGCTCACCTTCCTCCCATGAACATTGAAAAACGACGATTCGTGCACGAGTACGCCAACTATTTCAATATCGTAACGGAAAGCGTGGACAGCCCACCGAAACGAAGCATAGTGCTTACGGCGATCCGTGGAAAGTCTCATCAACCACTGGTTCTGATCAGTGACCTGATCAACTACAAGGGTGCTCTCAAGACGCCAGGTCCAGCAGTCATTCGAAAGGATTTGATGGAGAATGCGTTGAGCAAGAAGGAAGCAGAAGAAGGAACGATGAAACCGTTGAGATGCACCGAGAAAATGGTGGTCAGAAGGGAGGCTCGTCCAGCCAAAGTGATCGCTACTCCTATTCCAATCGAGCAACAGAACAGGTTTGCGTATCTGGGAAGTGTCTTGGAATCTGACGCTGAAGGCCCGAGCTCTTCGCAGAACAACGTTTTGGCAAGTGCTCCAGGAACATCTCCTTCCAAAGACTGGTGGGATGACGAAGAAAGTGGATGGCAGACAGTGCAGCAGAAGGAGTATGTCGTCGAAATTGAACGGGAGTTGACCGAAGAGGAGATTGCTGCAGCCCAACTGAAAGCGGAAGAGGAGCAGAAAGAGAAGGATGGCCCCACTTGGGAAGATCTGGATGGAGAAGAGGTAGAAACGATGGACCCCGTGAAAACGGATTCCTCGGCTGAACCGGTCGAGAAGAAGGATGATTGACGTGATCGAATATTCTAATCAAGTTACAAAAAAAGTTATGTATTGCTAACATTTCATGGTTAAGCACGGTTATTTGAGTTCATGTCCTACTATTCTCGTCAACCGGTATATTTAAAGTAATGAAGTCATTGCTTGATTGTTAGTTCCGCTCGCTTTTTTTTACTTTTCATTTCGGGTTTTTGAGCCTATTCTTATTGTGCCTGAATCTTTTCATTCATTCAACTGCTCGATTTATTGTGAATCTTGAGTATTATTCTAATCTCTTTCAGACTGGGTAAAAATGCAGTGCGACGATGTCACCTGGAACATCCTGCACAAAGGACAATGCTCCTACAAAGCATGGTCGAAGCCCAAAATGTTCTGCCGAAACGAAATGAACTTGACTGGTCTGTGCAACCGAGCTTCGTGTCCGCTCGCGAATTCGCAATACGCCACCGTTCGTGAGGAGAACGGAGTGTGCTATTTGTACGCGAAAGTCGTCGAACGATCCCATTATCCGCGACGTCTCTGGGAGAAGACCAAACTCTCGAAGGACATGAACAAGGCTCTAGAGCAGATCAGCGACCATTTGCTGCATTGGAGTGAATACGTGAGACACAAGTGCAAGGCTCGTCTCATTCGCATCCATCAGTACTTGATTCGAATGCGCAAAATGGCTGTTCGTGGAAAGTGAGTGGAAAAGTGAATGCAATTGGATTAATTTTCGTATTGTTTTAGCCAGAAGAAGCTCATTCCAATTGGAAGAAAAGTAGAGAGACGTGAGAAACGTAGAGAGGAGAAGGCGCTCGTGGCCGCCAAGCTGGATCACGCCATCGAGAAGGAGCTGCTCGCCAGACTCAAGTGAGTGAATTTTCTCTCAATTCGGGCGGAAATTAAAAGTTTTTCAGGCAAGGAACCTACGGAGATGTCTACAACTTCCGTCAGGAAGCATTCGAACAAATGCTTGAGAATACCGAGAAGGAGCTGGAAGTGGAGCAGGAGACCGAACAGGACGATCCGGATACCGGAGAGACACAGTTCGTCGCCGACTTTGACAGTTCGGATGATGAGGGAGATATGGAGGATGGAAACGGAGGACACTGGTCACCACCGGATACAGACAGTGAGCAGGAGGAAGACTGGCAGCCGGAGCAAGAGGAGGAATCGGGCGAAGAGGATGACGACGAGGAGGGAGGAGATGAGCCGATGGATATTGAGGAGCCGCCGAAGAAGAAAAAGAAGGTCGTGAAGAAGAAGGCGGAGAAGAAGGTAACAGATGGAAAGAAGAAGAAGCTGAAGAAGAGAGCGCACGTCGAGATCGAGTACGAAGAGGAGTCGGAGCCACGGCAACGTGTCAAGGCATAAACCATTCCATCCCTATTCTTTCTGCTGTTATCGTTATTTTTGTTCTTTATCACTGTTTTCTGTTATTTCTCTCCAAATTTTCAACGTTTCCAACTTGTTCTTTTATTTTACCCATCTGAATTGAAATTGGAAAAAAACTTTTGTTGTTTTGATGTGGGCTTTTTTTGACGCTCTTGTGAAGATTGGTATTTCGCCAATTGATTACCTATTATTTATTCGTTTTACTGTCCATTCATTAGTTTTATTCATGTTTCCAGAAGAAGCCGGGAAGGAACCATGGATTCGCCGGCGTGGATGTTCACGAAGGCGTTGAGCCATAGACAAAAGGTTTGCTCTGATGATTGAGCGATTTCGCAATATTTCGACAAACTGCTGACAATTCCGATCAGCCGTCAAATGATCAACTGCCCATTTGCAGGTGACCCGTCTCTACAAACGTTGTCTGCGTGAAGTGGACAACTGGTACGGAGGGGACAACCTCGAAGTTCGCTTCCAAAAGTGCATCATCCGTGCTCGTTTCGACGCGAACGCAAACGAGGTCGACACTCGCAAGAGCCAGATCCTTCTGGCCGACGGATGCCGTCAAGTGTGGGAGAAGCGTCACTTCAAGCCTTTCCGTTTCGCTCTCGACCCCGGAGGCTCCAGCTACGATCGTGAGCGCGAGTCGCCTGACGAGATCGTCGACTCGGATCAGTGGACTCTGGCTGAACGCGAGCAGTTCCCGTACTACTTCAACACTCGCGAGCAGCGTAAGAAGGAGTTGCTGGCGCACTGGGCCAAGATTGAGAAGGCTTGGGACGAGGAGATCGCGTCGATTCAGACCCAACTCCCGGCCGCCCAAGCAGTCGCCAAGTGAACGATTTGAATGAGTCGAGAGTGTATTCTCTTGTAGATCGAACTTTCCTTAATTTTACTCTTCTTTTCTTCTGAATAAAAATAGATCTGTATAATTATTCCCGTTGCTCCTTTTCCCTACCTCGACGGTTTCGCAACCCAATTTATATTTATCAATGTCTTGTTTCTTGGTCATTAAATATAATAATAATATAATTAACTCCTTGTTCAGGAATCATAATGGACGGATCCACTGGATTCACTTGTGTAACCTGCCGAGTTGTCTTCGAGACGGCCGAGTTGCAGAGGGAGCACTACAAAACCGAATGGCACAGATACAATCTGAAGAGACAGGCTGCCGAGCTGCCGGCCATCGGATATGAACTCTTCACTGAGAAATCCGCTTCGTTTAATCCTTCCAAGGTATTTCGAAAAATGATCCGTCTGAAAGTAACTGGAACATTTTCAGCCGACCGCTGCCGTCGCAGTGGAGCCATTGTACTGCAAGACCTGCCGCAAATCCATAAAATCGGAGAACGCAATGACGGACCACGTGGCAAGCAAGAAGCACAAGGATAATGAGAAGAAGAGCGAGGAAACCGAGAAGAAAGGACCGAAGCAGCCACGGAAGAAGCAGGAGAATCTGCCGAAGAAGCCGGAATCAGTGGAAGAAGACGAGGAGGACGACGATTCGAGCGGATGGGAGACAGATGAGGACGAGGGAATCGAAGAGTTGAACGACGAAGACGCACTGCCAGCCACTTCGTGTCTTTTCTGTCCACAGACGAAATCGTCGCTCGAGGAGATGAGAGAACACATGCACTTCCATCACGGATTCCAGCTGCCTGATAGAAAGTATCTGGTAGATGAGCTCGGTTGCATCAGCTACTTGGGTTTGAAGGTCGGAGCCGGAAGATGCTGCATCTTCTGTCCGGACGTCAAGGCGAGATATGCGACTGTGGAGAGCTGCCAGAAGCACATGCGCGACAAACAGCACTGCAAACTGCGTAGAGACCCGGAGAGCATGATCGAACTGAACGACTTCTACGACTTCAGTCCGATGTACGAGGGAGAGAATGAGCAAGACACGGCGGAGCTCTTCGACGATGGATGGTCCCTCACTCTTCCTTCTGGTTGGTGCTCTTTCCCTCTTCTGCTTTTATTAACTTTTCCGTTTCCAGGAGCTAAAATCGGTCATCGCAACTTGTTCCGCTACTTCAAACAGTACCTCCGACCGGTCGACGGAACGCAGAGACTTGTATCCAGAGCCGCCATCGACAAAGCAAAGGGATTCTATCCGGCACTGGCCTGGACTGGAACTACTAGTAAGTCAGCACAAATATCAATGTCTCTCTAACCCCAAACGAATTCAGCTGTCGAGGCAAAGAAGGTTGCGAGGGACATGAAGTTCGTCGAGAGATTCCGTCGTCGCTTCGATCTCCGCGTCGCCGTCAAATCGAACAAACTGTTCAAGACACGCGGATTCGTTGGCGACAATCATTGATCGAACAGCTCTTTTTTCGTTCACTCATTCCATCGCCTGTTTCTGTTATTTTAATCCCTTTTCTCTGCTGTTTTTCTCGTTGTTCCTGTTATTTCAAAGATTGGAAAAAACATTCATGCAAGTTGTTCCTTTTTTTCTGCGAACACATTTCATGTCTAATATTAGCTAATAAGAGTCAACAGCGCTTCCAACTTGCCTGAGAGCGATAATAGGGTGCACGGTTGACTTAAAAAGTGAAACTTTTTAGGATTCTGACTATAAATCGGGAAAACATTTTTTAATCTCGACTAATTTTGGGATGGTGCCAAAATAGCAAAAAGAGCGGAAAAAACGCTCAATTGAAAGTTGAAATTTGGGCGGTCCAACATAATAGAACTGGGCAGAATAGAACCGCGACATAATAGAACCGGCCAGAATATAACTGTTTGGAGCGCCTTTTAAACCTTTCTGTAGAATAATTGTTTCGTAGAAAAAGATAATTTTTGAATCTCGTGATCGATTTATTGCATTCATAAATTTCACTTCCGTCGTGATCCCTCTTCTCTACGGTAACGATAACCCACAGAAAATAATTTTATTGTACTATCAAAAACGAAAGGAAACCAATTTTCTATGTATAGATTGTGGTCTTCTGCTCAATTGTTCGAGAGACGAAAAATTTTGCGAAAGTTAATTGAAAGGAACGGACAAAATGCTTATATAATTATTATATAAATACACAAAAACATGTCTATTCTGCGCAGTTCTATTCTGCGCAGTTCTATTATGTCGCGGTTCTATTATGTCGCGGTTCTATTCTGCCCAGTTCTATTATGTTGGACCTTGAAGGTTCCGCTAAACAGCGAGCAGTACGACACTCCACGTGCACGCCTCATTCGACGAGGCCCATTATTCACTTTTTCTATACTTTTTGCTAAAAAAAAAACTATAAAAATATCATCAAACAACTTCATAACGTTTTAAAAAAGGTTTATAAGTATCAACACATTTTGAAAATTCTTCTCCTCGTAGATTTTCCGCTATCGGACTCCCATTTTCAGCCCTTTTCCTAATGTGAATGTTTTCAGATGGTTAAACTTGATGAGGTTGCAAATGAAAAGTACTTCCCACGTGGTGGAAGTAGTGAAAAACCGAGATCATCGAAAAAGTTGAGCAATGAAGAGCCATCGTCTAAAAAAGGACTGAAGGTGTGTTTCTCTTTCCATTCCAGTGAGAATCTAATATTTACAGAGAAAGTCTGCGGCTCCAGAAGAAAGTGAGGTCAAGAAGATTAAGGAAGAGGCTTGCTGGATCCCCAAGGTGGATGATAACATGTTCATTGAAGGTCTCACAGGTCTTGGAGTCGTGTCAGATGTAAGACTAATAAGTATTCTTCATAGATTTATTATTCGCTTTAGGTATTCGAAGATGCAATCATTCTGCACACTCCGGCTGCTCAAAGTGTTCGAATCGACGTCTCAGAAATCTCGAAAAAGTTCTCAGAGCTGATAAACGCAGAGAAACTCGAGATGAAAGACGCTTTCCAAGTCGGTCAGATGGTTCCCTTCAAAGTGATTACCAAGAAGAACAAAGGAGAACGAGGAAAAGTGAAAGGAACGTGTAATCCTGTCAAGCTGAACAAGCATCTTTCCCCGAATATGCTCGTGGCAGGCCTAGTGCTTCATACGGCGGTCATCAGCATCGAAGAGAAAGGAGCCATTCTCGACGTCGGTCTCGATCAAATCACCGGCTTTATTGAGAAAAGTCAGTTCCCGGCTGCCGGATTGCGTGAGGGAATTCCACTCATTGTAAGAATTCTCTCCACGACTTCTCGTGTTGTCAAAGTGACTTCTTTTGTTGAACAGGTAACACCACTCTTCATAATTTCTTATTTTGATGGCTTTTCAGGACAATCTGAACATGGCAAGTTGCGAGAAACTGCAATTGAACCATCTGATGCCTGGAACGATTCTTGAGTGCGAGCCGACTGGAGATGCCACTACCGCCGGAATCATTGTGAACATTGGAAACGGACTAAAGGGAGTGCTACCCCGCCGCAACTTGCCGCCACGTCTACGCGAGAATCCGGAGAAGCTCGGAAAGGCGATCCGCGCGATCGTCATGTTCTGTCAGCAGAACTCGAAAGTTCTCGTTTTGAGTGCTCATCCGGATATTGTCGCCGTCAGTCGCATCGAAAAACGCATCTCATTCGAAGGAGTTTCAATCGGAGACAAGGTCCAGTGCACCGTGATCGATGTGATCGTCTCGAAAGGTATCGTCTACTTCACTCTTCCGCCCACCGATGGAAAGAAGTCTCTGGTCACTGCCGTCGCGAAACGTGGTCTTCTGGAGAAGCCAGATAACGTCGTCAACGAGTACAAAATAGGACAAGAGATGACGTGCCGCGTGACAGGATATCGATATGCCGAAAGAGCACTGATTGTGTCAAACAGAAAGGATATTATCCAGCAGAAGATCACTACTTTCCAAGTGAGTTCGAACCATTCTGAAGCCTTTTCAATTCTGCACTTCAGGACGCCAAATGCGGAGATATTCTGGATGCTAAAGTTCACCACGTTGCGAAGAGTGGAGTTCACTTCATCGTTTGCACCTTCGTCAAGGCATTCGCTCCATTGAGCCAAATCTCTGACTCCCCGATCCCTCTTCCAAAACTCAAGGCCAAATATAAAATTGGAACAGAGGCCAAGGTCCGAGTGTGGCAAATCTGCGAAAAACGACGCAATCTGATCGTTTCGTGCCGCGAAAAGCTGCTGGCTCTCAAGGCCCCTTCAGCTAACTTTGTAGAGGAGTTGGAAGTCGGAAAGACTATGCCGTGCGTCATCCGAAAAATCTTCCCGACTGGTGTCATTCTGCTCGCCACCTACAACAATATCGGAGGAGTTTTGCGCAAAGAATCGGCAGTTCACTTGCCGGGAACCCCCAAAGTTGGCGACTATGTAGAAGCCAACGTGGAGAAGATCGAAGAGGGAAGCCGAGTTGTTTTTGTACTCGGTGATATCAAAAGCAGCGGAGCAGCCGCGGAAGGACAGAACTCTGAAAAGAAGCTGGTGCAGAAGCCGAAGCCAGCGGACGGAGGAATTGGAATCGGCAAGATTTACAAGGGAACACTGACTGCGAACAAGGGAGAAAAGGCCCATGCCACGTTCACTGGAGAAGAGAAGAAAGAAGTGTTCGCTTCAGTCGACGATTATCTGCTCTCCGACCTGTTGGATGCACCAATTGGACTCACCAAGAGACTTCTCACTGAAGGAAAAAAAGAAATTGAGAGAATCGTCCCAATGGGAAAGCTAGCAGCCGTGAACAGAGTTTGTGTGAAGCGATCCGTAGCTCTATTTGTGAAGGACATGAAGGTTCCGGAGAAGTTGGACGAGCTGAAGAAAGATCAAGTAGTCATCGGAGTCGTCGGACAGATCATCACGAATATCGGAGTTTTTGTGGAATTGGTCGGTGGAAGCGGTCTTGTTGGACGTATTCTCGAAAGGAAAGGTGCAAAGAAAATGAGCGAGCTTCTTGAAGTTGGTCAGGTTGTTATTGGAAAGATTGTGAATATCGATACGACGAAGAAGTTCTTCACTATTGATCCATGCGTATGTTTTGGCAACCCAATGCTTATAATTTCTGTTTCATTTCAGACAGACATGAGAAACGGAGAGAAAGTGCTCGAAACCTACGCACTTCCCCTTTTGGAATCTATCATTGAAGAGGTGAAATGGCTCGCCGAGAATGCGAAGCTTCCCGCTCCAGGTACCTCAGTGAATGCGAAAGTTACGAAAGAGCTGGATGACTTGACACTTGTGGAATTCGAGCACAACGGACGGAAAGTGGCTGGAGTAGTGCACAAGAAGGCCGGACAAGCAGAAGCCGTTGAGAACACGCCAGCAAAGAAGAAGAAGAAGGCCACGAAGTCTCTCATTGTTATCGACATCAACCACTCAACCAACGAAGTTGTCTTGGCAGCTCCTTCAACGGATTCTGCTTACATTGTGACTGTTCGTCGTGATTATTTGTGTGCGGTCTCTTCGAACGACCTCGTTTATTTGCCAACTCGCCTTCATCCGAATCATCTTCCACCAACCGAACAGACAATTAAAATTCATGACATCGTTGATTTGAGCGGACAGAGGAAGATTGGCGAAGGAGTGAGCATCGCCACGAGAGGAGGAGGAGACGTGGATGATGTTACCAGAGCGACTCGGGTGCTCAAAGAATTCATTGGAGAGACGAAGAAAACGGAGAAAAAGGAAGAGAAAGAATCCTCACTGAAACCGATCAGTATCAAAAACTTCGGAACTTACGAGGGAGTCGTTATTGGACAAGTTCAAGGAGAACAGAATCAGAAAAAGAACTCTCTGTTCGCTGAAATCCGTCTTCCTGGAGACAATATCGGACGTCTTCATGTTTCCGAACTGCCGCCAAATCTTCCAAGTTCCGAGAATGTCCTTGACGATTTTGTGAAGCGAAACTTCAACAAGAAGGTCTACGTTCGAATTATTGGCTTCCAGAAAGCTGGGAATGCTGGAAAGGTTGCCGAACTCACGATGATCCCGTCGAAGATCCAGGCTGGAAAGGTACGCGCATCCGTGCTCTCCTACAAATCCAACTACAACGTCGGCGATCTTGTACGCTGCTTCGGAGCTGCCACGTTGACTGATAATCAGGAAGTGAGAGTGGAAGTGAATCCGATTTGGAACGGAAAGATCTCGCGTGAGAATCTGTCTGACGATCTGAAGTTGAAGTCCGCAGAAGATGGAATTGTCGATTTGACTCTTGCGAAGGGAGAAATGAGAGAAGCGAAAGTTATTGCTGTTGACAGAAAGCACATGTCTCTGAGTCTGTCGCTGGACGTCAAAAAGACGCAAAACAAGTTCGTCGTCGGAAACGCAGTCACCGGACGCATCTTCTTCTCTTCCAAAACTGGAATCCGTCTGAAGCTGTCTTCTGGAGAACAAGCCAATTTGACGCCTACTGGAATCACGGACAAGTACGAAACTGTCGAAGAGACTATTGAGAAGCAGCTAACCGACGGAAAGCTGGTCGAAGTAGTCTGTGCAAAAGTTCAGAGACATCCGAAGCGGTTCTTCGTTGTGTTGAAAGAGAGATATTCCGGAACGAGTAACGAGCACAGAAAGCTCATTCTCGACGCGACGACAATCGAAGTGGGCGCCAAACTGGACGGAATCGTTGAGAATCCTTCGAAGAGGTCGTTGTTCATCGAGTTGGGACCAGGAATCTCGGGACGTATCCCGGTAAACGAGGAGAATCAGGATCTGTAAGTCTATGGCATAAACTGTGCAATAACTTTATTTTCTGTCATTTTCAGATTGGAAATCGGTTCAAACAGTGTCGTTCGGGTGCAGGTGGTCAAGAAGACGAAACAAGAGATTGTTCTGAAACTCGAGGACATTCTCATAAGAAAGTGGACAGTGCGGGGAAGCAGAAAAAGGCAAGCAACGAAGAGCGAAGAGAATCCTTCGAAGGTGGCATTGCTCGAGGAGGACCATAAAAAGGAGAAAATCGTAGTCGAAGATCCAGGATTCGACTGGTCGAACAAGGGATTCCGGAATGAGGATCTTGCTGCAGTTGGAAAATTGACAAGCAATTCGGAAGAGAAAGAAGAAGAGGAGAGCGATGTGGACGAGGATGGAGAGGATGAAGAAGAAAAGGAAACCGACGTGTCCGACGAGGAGGAAGAGGCTTCCGATGGGGAAGAAGAGGATGAGAAGGTCGAGCTGATAGAGAAAAGCGAAGAAGAACACTCGAGACTTGTGCGCAGCGATCCAAATTCTGCGATTCATTGGATTGAATACATGAGCTTGTTTGTCGAGAAATCTGATTTGACAGCTGCCAGAAAAACCGCCGAAGAAGCTCTCACAGCCATCAATCCAACGTAATTGTAATATCTCTTGAACTGTCCCAACTCTTATTTTTCAGTGAACTGGAAGAGCTCCTGAAGATGTGGACGGCCTATTTGAACATGGAAGTGGCGTACGGAGACGCGGCAACTGTCCAGAAGGTGTTTGAGCGCGCTTGCCGAAATGCAAACTCGTACACCGTTCACAAGACTTTGGCGAAGATCTATCAAAAGTTCAAAAAGAATGCCGAAGCCACGCAGATTCTGGAGCAGATGGTGAAGAAGTTCCGTGCGAATGAGCTGGAAGTGTGGACTCTGCTCGCTGAGCATTTGTTCACTCTAAAGGAGCAGAAGGCGGCCAGAGAGCTGCTCCCAAGGGCTTTGAAGAGTGCGCCCAAAGCCCAACAGCGTGAGTATTCACCCAAAGTTTCACAACTTTTCGCTGCATCCAAATGTTTTTTCACCACATTCCCATTTCAGATGTCCAAATCATTTCAAAGTTTGCCCAACTTGAGTTCAAATTGGGAGATGCCGAACGTGGAAGAACTCTCTTGGAAGGACTCGTTACCGCCCACCCGAAAAAGACGGATCTTTGGCTCGTTTACGCCGACGCAGCTCTCAAACACCTGGGAATTGAGCCCGCGCGGAAAGTGCTCGAACGAGCATGCAACCTCGGACTGTCGATTCACAAAATGCGTCCGCTGTACAAGAAATGGCTGGAGATGGAGAACAAGCACGGCGATGCGAAGGCTGTCGAACTCGTCAAGTCGAAGGCCGAAAAGTTCCTGCAATCAGTGGCCGATAATGTGCTTGAAGAGGAGGATTAACTTTATCACCTTTTCTGTTTTGTTTTTGTTGAAAATTATTTTTGTTTTGTGTTATTTTGTTTTTGAAATATCCGTTTTTCTCCGTTATTCATTGTTACTTTTAATACTCATTTGTTCTGTTACTCTACTTCTCTCCATTTGTTGAAGATTTTTAAGTGAAAGAAATAAAATTGAAAGTGAAAGCATTATAGTTTTTCCAATCATCTGTTCTTCTTCAGATGCCGCTACTTTCCCAATTGTAATGGTCACGTGAGTCATCGCGCGTGCCCCAGAATGTCTGCGGCTGAAACGGTACCGCCCGTCAAAGGGCTCCGTTCTTGCTACGACAAACTGCGTCGCGCCGTCGGAAACATCCCGATGGAAACGTCGAAATCGACGAAACTGCAGAATTTGTCAAGCCGTCGGATATCAGAGATCCTCCCGAATCTGTATTTGGCAGGCCGGACTGTCTCGCAGAATTCAGAGCTTCTCAAAGAGAAAAATGTGACGGTAGGCGTCGGAACAGCTTCTGAAGGTCATTCCGAAGAAGATTGCAGACAGTAATAAATGTGTCGGACCGGGAAGTTCCCAATTACCAACAGAATCATCCCTCAGTTCGCAATTACAAGTTCTATCCGATCTCCGACACAGCCAACTCCAAGTTCGATGAAATTGTGGAAGAAGCCGTTCGACTTATTCATGTCTCCAGACTCAACGGAGGTTCTCTTTGCAGTCTTCCAGCCGACATCTCAATCGGTTTTTCTTCCAGAGGCCGTTCTCGTGCACTGCTTTCTCGGTGTCTCCCGAAGTGCCACTCTCGTCGCTTTCTATCTCATCTCGGCGTTCGAAATGAAATGGAAAGACGCCGTCGACTTTGTCCATCACAGAAGGTCGTCTGTCAATCCGAACTTTGGATTTCTGCACCAATTGAAGATCTTTTCGAATACAGTAAACTCCGTTCCTGGTTCATCATCCATTAGTACTGCTTTCAGAAAGCAAAAGAGATACGCCAACAACTGACAAGCGAACGATGTCTCCAAATGCGTGAATCCGATTGTGACGTCATCAAAAAGTATCTGCCTCTTGCCGTGCTCCAACTCTGAATCTTTCCGCTTTTCTTCTGTACACTCCTTTCCAGTGCTTTCAATGCCAAACTGATACTCAATGTTAATTACGTACAATTTGCTTCTATTTCATTCTGAATGTAATTATAAAGTTGCTTTTCTTCTCTGAGTGTTTTCTCATTTTTTCTTAGTTTGTCGTACTGTGTGACTTATCTGCCGTGTTCCTTCTCATTTCTCGACTAACACTGCTTTTAGTTCGATCAGAAAATGGCTCTGACCGAGGAGCAACGTCAGATTGTCGCCAAGAATCGGGAGGAGGCTCTGAGAAGGGCGGCTCTCAGAATTGAAAAAGAAAAGGTACTCGAAATTGAAATGGAAATTGAAGAAGCCTCTGTTGATGAGAACTTCAGAAAGAAGCAGCCGCCGCTGCGACCGCTTCCACCTCAAAACCAACCACTTCTCAGAATGTTCCGAAGATGTTGTTCCCTCCTCCGAAACAGAATCGACAGGTTTGCATCAAAAAAGATTAGGGGAGAATTCAGACGCATTTGCAGCTGATGAAAACAGCCTTCAGCAAACAGTCGACACTGAACAAGTTCATACAGAAACCCGAGACAAATCACGTTAAACCGACAATCGATGTGAAGATTAAGATTGACACGGACAGGACGGTCAAAGTCGCCATTCAGAAGTGTTTAATTCAAATGAGATTTGCTCTTTTCAGATCGAATTCTATCCGTATCACTCGGCGGTTGTCGACCTGATAAAACAAGTGCCCAGCCGGAATTACGAGCCGACGAAACGGTTGTGGACGTGTTCGATCAACGACGTGAACACCGTGAATAACCTTCTGAAGAACGCGACCGCCGTGAATGTGAATATCGAATCGCTTCCTCCGAACGTCATCAATCTTTTGAACTACAAACCGAAAGCAGCTCCGAACGATTTGAGCACAGTTATGGACCCGGGACTGATCGAACGGCTTTTCCCTTACCAGAAGGACGGAGTTCGATTTGCATTGGAAAGGGACGGACGGCTGTTGTTGGCGGACGAAATGGGATTGGGAAAGTCCGTGCAGGCACTCACCATTGCCAGATATTACAAGTACACTGAGCCCACGACGTCACTCTTCTCACCTTTTTCATTTCAGAGCCGACTGGCCCCTTCTTATCATCTGTCCCGCCTCTGTGAAAGGCGCCTGGAAGAAGCAGATCAACATCTTCTTCCCCATAATTCAACGCATTTTTATTGTCGACAAAGGCTCCGATCCTCTTCCCGATGTACGAACTTCGAACACTGTGGCCATCATGAGCTACGAGCAGATGGTTCTAAAGCATGATATTCTCAAAAAAGAAAAATACAGCACGATCATCTTTGACGAATCGCACATGTTGAAGGACGGAAAAGCGCGCCGGACGAAAGTGGCCACCGAGTTGTCAAAGATTGCCCTCCACGTCATTTTGCTCTCTGGAACTCCCGCCCTTTCTCGACCGTCCGAATTGTTCACTCAAATCCGAATAGTCGATCACAAACTGTTCACGAATTTCACCGACTTTGCCATGCGATACTGCGACGGAAAACAGGGAAAGTTCGGTCTCGAATCGAAAGGCTGCTCGAACAGTGAGGAACTCGCGGCGGTCATGTTTAAGAGACTCATGATACGCCGCCTCAAGACCGATGTGCTCAAGGATCTTCCAGAGAAACGAAGAGAAATCGTTTATGTGTCCGGACCAACAATCGACGCCCGAATGGAGGATCTGCAGAAGGCGAAGGCTGCTTACGATCTGGTCAACGCACAAGATCGGTCCAAATCCCACGACTGTTTGCTAGAATTTTACAATCTGACGGGAATTGTGAAGGCAGCCGCGGTCTGTGAGCACATCCTCGAGAACTACTTCTATCCGGACGCACCGGCGCGCAAAGTGCTCATCTTCGCTCATCATCAGATCGTTCTGGACACAATTGAAGTGGAAGTGAAGAAGAAGAAACTGGGATCTATCCGAATCGACGGAAAAACGCCTTCCCATCAGAGAACCGCTCTCTGCGACTCATTCCAAAACAACGACAACGTCCGTGTGGCGGTTCTCTCGCTCACAGCTGCCGGAGTCGGAATCACTCTCACCGCTGCCTCTGTCGTCGTTTTCGCTGAAATCCACTTCAATCCTGGAATCCTCGTGCAAGCCGAAGACCGAGCACATCGAGTTGGACAAAAAGACAGCGTCTTCGTGCAGTATCTGATTGCGAAGAAGACCGCGGACGATGTGATGTGGAATATGGTGCAACAGAAACTCGACGTGCTTGGACAGGTCTGACACACTAGGCCAGATCTTGAGAATATCATGCTTACAGGTGAATCTGTCCAGCGACACGTTCCGCACAGCCGACAAAATGCACCTCCGCTTCACGGATCCCTCTCAACCAAGTATCGCCGAGTACATGCAGAAGACGCCGGACGCGTCGATCGCAGAGTGGGAAGATCCAGCAGAACAGGAAAAAGTGGAACTGAACGACGACGACGACTTTGATGTAACATGCGACTCGCCTGCTCCGAAAAGAGCCAAGAACTGAACTAAATCACTATCCACGGTAAATCTCATACATTTGTAATTGAATCTCAAGCATCTTATCGAACAGCCGGCATTGTAATCACTATACGAATAGTCCCACATCATTCAGGGTGACCTCTTGCGGGGTACACACTGCGCCCTCCTCTCGCTTATCTCATCTCTTGCTCTTTTAGCACAATTAACGAATACAAACATACAAACATACATACAGTTGTCTGAATTGATCATTCGACAAGCTTTGCGATGGAAATTCGTTACACTCTTGCCTTTATATAGTTACAGTGTGTTTAAGAAAACCCGTCAAACTGAAAGACTCGTGGCATATCGGAGTAGGAGAGGAATAGACGAAAAAACGGTGGGGAAAGGGAATCGAAATGGAGGCGGTCGGAGGATCATATAGTGAAGAAGCGGGTATCGGAGGGAAGCAGAGATCGTTACGGGTATCGTTGGTAGTCGACATTCTGCCGGTTCGGATTGGAGACCGTTTGAGCCGGAGGATAGTGCTGTTGATTGTAATGAAGATCTTGCGATGCATGAGGCTGTTGTCTCTCGTGCTGATGACGATACGACGGAGCAGAAGACGGGGATGGAGTGACGGACCTCCAGTACGGATTGTACGGAGGATACGTCGGCTGAGGTGCTCTGGCCGGATCGCGATGATTGGGGTAGTGCTGTGCTCTTGGCGGATGGACTGTGGGCGGAGTGGTCCGCCATCGGTTGGTCGAGCTCAGTTCCTGATACCGTTTGAGCACTTCGTCCCGCCGGCGGAGCTCCTCTTCCCGCAGCTCTTTGAGTTCTTGTCGACGAGCTCTGAAAGTGATGTTATAACACGACTGTGAGTGATTCTCACTCCGAACTCACTCTCTCCGCTGCTCCTCCTTCCTCAATCGGTCTTCTCTTCTCTTCTTCTTTTTCTCTCTTCGTCTCTTCTTTTCTGCCAACAATCGCGCCTTCTCGGCCGCATCCATCGCCACCTCCACCTTGGCTCGTAGACTGAAAATGCGCAGGTACTCCCGGATGCCAATGACCGAAACTCACTTGGAAATACGATGTGGATTCGGAGGTTTTGTGGGGTTCTGCGGACGGAATAACGGATGGCTGGGAGGCTGATGGAAGAGGGAAGCGACCACGAGATCCGTGACATCCTGCAAAGAAATTAGTTTAGTTGTGAAATGAAATGGAATATTTACATTTCCATTCGGATGGATCGGATGCCGCTGACGATCCAACTCATGGCGCACAACGAGAAAGTGACTTGCCTGAAAGAAAAAACACAAAATTTTTGGTCATTTCTGTGTATTCCACTTACTTTCCGTCGCTTTTTAGAGTTCGGACCTTTCCGGGGCTTTCCACTCCGCCGAATTTCGATATACCTGAGAGAACATCTGATTGGAAGTTCGCTCTATTGAGAACACTAACCAGGGATTGTTTCTGTTTCCATAAGCACAAGAAGAATACAAATTGTAGTAGTTCTCCATCATTTCCTCGACGAACACACATTCGGTCGAATAGTTCGATGACGGCTGAAATGCATTCTTCACGCGGTCAGTCTCAGATGCTTTCAGGTACTCACCGTCGCGTACAACCTTCCAGAAGGATCCATACAAATAAAGTTTTTCGTCTCGACGCCCCGAATCGAAACGAGACTCATCGCCACCGAAATGAACTCAACTATGCTGAACTTGGAGTTCTCGTCCTTCGTCCCATGCACTTTCACTTGCGTCGAACCGTCTTCTTCGCTTTCGAAAGGCAGCAGTTCAAGCCAGGTGCCCGAGCGGCAGAAGAGGGCTCCGCGACGACGACTGCAAAGAATTCTGGAGGTGAAAAGAGGAAAGACGAAGACTCACTCATCGCTCGGCGGAAATCCTTCTTCTTCTTCTTCTTGCAGACTCTTCTGAAACCAACAGTCCCTGTCTAACTACCGTACTCTTCCTCCAACTCACTCTGATCCTCTCCACTCGGTACGGTGCGCATGAGTTGATTCTGTCGGTCACAAAATTCGAGCTATAAAATCCCTGAAATAAATCATTCCTTGCTCATATCATCCCATTCCCATTGGCTCTCTCACCGCCAAAAACGGAGTGACGGGAGTGGTTAGGAAGTTGGAAGTGGCTGCTCCTCCGTATGAAACTATCGATGAGGCGGCAGGAACGGCCATATATTCATCTGAGAAAACGAGAAAATGGTCGGAATGCGAGAGGAAGTGTGAGTCAACAATCGGAGCAAAGGGCAAGTTGGTCGCGGGGGAGATTCGGGAGCAAACAAGACGGTCCGCCTCCTTTTCTGGCACGAGTTTGCACTCGATATCAGGCGGCTTTTGCACTGTGCAAAAAGGCGAACCAGTGTGGGAAAAGAAGGTAAATAAACAGGAAACGAGGAAGAATTACGGAAGAGGTCCAGTGGGATTGCAAAGATCGGAACGTCCTGCAAGAGGTGGGCACAGAGATTACGGTACTTTAAAGTGAAGCTGTGGAAAGACAGAAGACGACTGTAAACAAAACGAAACCAAACGAATCGCCCACGGAATAACTGTGATCGGAGGCAATTAGAAGACTGGAAAAGACGGCGAAAATGGCAAAACGAGCTGTGAAATTTAGCGATGAAGGTGGCGAAGAGAAGCGACGGACACGACGGGATGGGTAATTGAGGGGGGAAAAGAGCGAGGAGCAGGCGATGATAATTGATAATCAATGGGATAGACTCGATGGATACGGGTCCCGCGCGCGCGTTGATCGAGTGCTGCGACGCGGAGGAGACGGCAGAGAGCCCTGGACAGTTGGCTCCGGGGACTCATGGCTCCCGCTCTCTTGCTCTTATCACAAACCGAGTCCCCCTCCCCTGCCGAAACAAGACTGCTCGGATTACCCAACAGAATGAGAGGGTGGCTGCTCTTCTTCTGCAGGTTGATGTTTCACTCCACAAACTTGTTCTTCTTGTGCTGAAGGGAGGACGAAGGAAGAAGGACGAGGATGAGACAATTTGACACCGATTCTCGGGTGACATGTCGATAACGAGCTGAATGGGACGACTGTGAGGGAGGAGGTTCCTCTGGCCAAACATTACGGAGAAAGGGAAGAATGAAAAGCAAAGTACACGAGAGTTTGACCTGAAATGATACAGTAGCTAGGAGGTTTCAGAAGAGTAAAGGTCTAGCATGACGAGGAAGTTTGTTTGAACAGATAAAGGAACAAATGGCACAAGCACACGGCCACACTTTGCCACCAAGAGTTACTTTATCGAAAAAAACGTTTGGTTGAAGTCCTTGTGCCCCGTCATCTGTCACCCGAAGAGTTCATTCGGCATTCCGGATGCGTGCACAGATAATCACTCCCAGCGGAGCCGCCTGATGACGTCGAACTATACTAGCTGGAGGCCAAAAGCGCGATCAAGCAATAATTGACATGAACTGACAGGACTGCTGCCTCTTGTTTACCAGAAAACACGTCTGTGTGATCGGTCTATCTACCTGATCACAAACGAACAAGTTGTAAAAGTTGTCAGGAAAGAAGTGGGGGTGATGTAAAGTTGAGGAGAAGAGCACACATCGGTCGGACGGATCCGATTCGTCCGAAGACGTCAGAATGAAAGAGTGGAAGCAGTTGGGTGAATAAGTTATTGGCGAGAGGGCGGAGGGCTTTTAACTCTTTGCGAAAGTGTTCGAGGAGGCGAAGAGCAAAAAGAGTTTCGTCCTTGGGGTCGCCCAAGAGTGTCGCTGCTCCGGATGAGTTTCACGGGCTCTCGGGGGACTGATTTGTCACCTTTTTTGATAAGTGGACGAAGCGGTCGAGAGGGGAAGGCAGAGTGACGGGCGGACGAAACGGACGGACGGTAGAAGAACGAAAGAGGGCGGAAGTGAGTCAACTGAGGAAGCAAAATGAACAATTCCATTGGGATGACGTGTTTTTGGAACAACTGTAGACGTGGCTCTTTTAAAAGAAGTTGTATAGCTAGTATGTCTCAATTTCCAAGGAAGGAAGAGGAACTTGTGACTCGACTGCTTCGAGGTTCAAATGAACTTTGAAAACGGGAGATCATGTATTTTGACACCTCGGCGAGGGCAGAGAGGGCGTGAGAGAGTGTCTCGATGAAAAACACAATTGACGTCGCAACTGAAGAAGAAGAAGCAAAGTTGGTGGATGACCTGGGTACGCGGGAGTCTGTCGTCTGCAGCCGGCAGCTGACGCCTTCCCTCCGATTTCTCCGGACACCTTGTGCCAGTAGTGACGTGGCAAAGAGATTAATGAGAAGAAGGCGCTGGAGGCGAAAGAAGTGGCGGGACGCTCGCGCGATCCGCGCTTGTCTCGACACAAATCTGGCCGGGAAGTGGTGGAAATGAGAGAGGAGATTGGGACGGGCGATACGGTGGGCACGGTGCCAATGAGGATCACGCGAGACAGGCACACCCAGGCTGTTGATTGATGCGGACGAAGTGGGGGAAGAGGACGTATGCAAATGGAATGGGCCGCCCAAAAAATGAGCGAATGACGAGCGAATCGAATCGGAGAGGGTGTTAAGGGTGATGATATACATGAGAATCCGAGGCAGGCACGGTGTTCCCATCACAATTTTATGCAAAAAGTCAAAGTTGTGGGGTGGGAGACTTCGATTTCCAGGATGGTTGCCTTTGACCTCATTATTAACTCACATTCATAACTACCGTATCCTTCCCCTCAATAACCAAACCAGTCCAAACAATAACTCTTCGCAAAGAGTTTTCAACTTTTCCCGCAAAAAAGAATCCTGCCGAAAAGCGATAAATCTTTGAATGTTTTGGGATGGCACGAGCGTCGACGGACGGGCGGTCCCTCCCGCCACTCGTAAATGTACCGTAGACCACCCGAACCGGTCAGTTTACGTTGCTCCGAGTGGCTCGTAAAGCTCTGCTCCCGGCGCCTTAATGATTGTGCACTTTCCTTCTTTCTTTTGGCTCGTAAACCCGCAGCTGTGCGCCAAAGCGAAAAAGAGAAGAAAGAGGACGGGAAAAGTTCGGAAAAAGATGAGGACGACTTTGGCAACGTCTTCAGTATCATCTGGAGGTTGTAGACGATTGTATAACACGGTTTTTATTTTTATTTGTTGCGCGCGCGGACGGAAAACGCATGTTTAATGACGGCGAAGAGGAGGAAAATTGAGGAGAGATCGAGGGAAAAAAGCACTGAAACTCAGGGACAATCGTTGGTTTTTAGACGTTCTGTGGTTGCAAAAGTTTGCGATGTTGTATTCAAGTTCGCGTGTGGTTTTTTGCGAAAGCCGAAGAATGTTGCAGCGGAGAACATGGCTCAATCAAGGCGCCAAATGACCTTAGGCAGTTCAGTTCGTCGCAAAAATCCGTCGAAATTCGATTGTTTCCCCCTGCTTCCTCGTTTTCTTTTAGCGGATTTAGCAGAAAAGAGAAAATGGTTCGAAAGGGACATGAAAGAAACAGGGAAAGATCAAGAAGTGAGGTATCTGGACGGATGTTCGCAAGAGACAGAGACAGAATAAACGTGGATCGGCCCGGGACGTGGCGAGTCGAGTGCCAACTGCCGCCAGCGGATAATGTCTGGCTTCTGGTTGCAATGAAACCAAAACATGAGAGCAGTGACGTCAGGGCGACACCGAAATGATACGTCAATTTGACACCAGATGATTTGTTTTCTGATTTGAGCGACGAAGTGATGACGATCAAGCACTTCTGGGAACTGGAGACATGTGTTCCGACCGACCGAAGAGTTTCGTGCAGAAAGGAAACGGGATAATATCAGGGCAGGGCCAACGTAAGTTGATATATGTAACAGGACCTACATGACTCAAAAAATAAGACTTTAAACTTATTTTCGCTATGTGCAAACCCCACTCCTCGCCTTCTCTGAAACCGGAGAAAATCGCACTTGAACCCTCATTTAGTTTGTAAAAATGGAACATTAGATGCGATGTTCTTGAGGTCGAAAATCTCTTTGCAAAAATGGTTTAAGTGTGAGCGATTCTCTAGCCAACACTTTTCTGCTCCAGGTAATTGCACGCTCGGATTAACGGGAGGTTTCTCTTCATCTTCATCCGTTTCTTTCTTTTTCTTTCTTTCTTTCTCCGTGTGCTCTCATTTTCCGAATGTTTCGCTCGTCATTCCTCATTTCGCACACAAATGGCATCTTCTTCCGTCAAACAGTGAGTCTTTTCGCATGTTTCTTCACGTTTGGAGCCGTCTGTTTGTCCCGAAGCGCTTGTCAATAATGCTCAAGCCCCTGCGCCCCACGCGTCTCTTTTCTCTTTCTCCGTTCCGAAAACAAGTTCCGCTTCCGCTATTCTCCACTTCCTAAAAGATTCTCATCTTTTTGTGTCCCTAAAAGTTAGTTGAATAGTCTGTTTTCATTACAATTGAAATGATTTTAGACACAGATTAGAGCGTTTTGTCTATAAATTGTCACAGAAAGCATTGTCGATGTGCGTCTCTCTTCGGTCTTCCCTCGATCAGAATGTAGATTTCGTTGAAACTGTCTCGTCCGCAACACGCCACGCGTGATAACGATAAGGACGCACGAGGCGAAGGGCAAGAACTATTAAAGATGGCGTTATCAGTCCTTCAGCATATAAACCTGTATTTCAGTCCGAATCATCAATGTTTGATTCCGATAACAGAGTAGCCGGTGGTCACAATTGCACACAAATAAGGCTATTACTCGAGCCCGCCGTTATCGCTTGGAGCAAATTGAGCATGATGTTTGGCTTTTTAGCTGTTTTGCTGAAGCGTTTCAGCATTTTTAGCGGGAAAAAGCTAGTCGTTCTAAAGGAATTCGCTCTAGCAAAAGATCTTCCTTTCAATTTGTGCGACATCCTTCACACAGATCACGGTCTAGTCCGATCCGCTGCTCCTCCGACTCTCAGTTCTACTTTCCAATATTACATCATTTTCTGTATTTCGTGACCAGAAAACCATTACAAAAAACGCTTTGCCCCGCCCCTCCGGTCCCCTTCTGCAGTCGCCTCCTGCACATTCCATCTCAGAACCATTAGATCAACCGCCCTCGCTCTCTTTCTCTCCGTTATCATTCTACAAATTCTTCTTCTATCTTGCAGAATGCTTTCCTCCCTTCGTCGCCTTGTTCCTTCCCCGCCACGCGGCTCGCGGTCACTCACCTCGCAACAGATCTTCGATCGCGAGAAGAAGTACGGATGTCACAACTACAAGCCGCTTCCAGTTGCTCTCGAAAAAGGGCAAGGATGCTTTGTGTGGGACGTCGAGGGCAAGAGATACTATGACTTCCTGGCCGCCTATTCTGCAGTCAACCAGGGACATTGCCATCCAAAGCTCCTCAAGGTACAGACTTAAAACTGGATTTCGTGGGAAAACGAAAAGGACGAGTGTCCTGCAGACAACAGCAGAAGTTCTAAGATCCTGTTTTCAGGTGATGCAAGATCAGGCCGCCACTCTGACGCTCACGTCAAGGGCATTCTACAACAATGTGCTCGGAGAATACGAGGAATACATCACGAAACTGTTCGGATACGACAAGGTTCTTCCGATGAACACGGGAGTGGAAGCCTGCGACTCCGCAGTGAAGTTGGCTCGTCGTTGGGCGTACGATGTGAAGGGAGTCAAAGAGAACGAGGCTGTGGTGAGCAGAGAGCGTATTCAGTTCAGAAGAAAAATAAGAATGTTCAGGTCGTGTTCGCCAACGACAACTTCTGGGGCCGTTCGATCGCCGCCATCTCCGCCTCCACCGATCCGGATTCATACGCCGGTTTCGGTCCCTACGTTCCTGGATTCAAGACGGTTCCGTACAATGATCTGAATGCCGTCGAGGAAGCCGTTTCGAACAAGAACGTCGCCGCGTTCATGGTGGAGCCGATCCAGGGAGAAGCCGGAGTCGTCCTCCCGGATGCCGGATACTTGAAGGGAGTCTCTGAGATATGCAAGAAGCACAATGTGCTCTTCATCACCGACGAAGTGCAAACCGGATTGGGAAGGACTGGAAAGCTTCTGGCTCACTATCACGACAACGTCCGGCCGGATATCGTAATTCTGGGAAAGGCCCTGTCCGGTGGAGTTTATCCAGTGTCTGCGGTGCTCTGCGACGACAACATCATGATGAACATTAAGCCAGGACAGCACGGATCCACCTACGGAGGAAACCCTCTCGCCGCTAAGATTGCCATCGCTGCTCTCGAGGTAAGCACTATTGGAAGTACAAGAACGTGAAACTTGAACTTTTTAGATCCTTCAAGAAGAAAAACTTGTGGAGAACTCCGCGGCGATGGGAGATCTTCTGATGAACAAGCTGAGGACGTTGCCGAAGGACGTCGTCTCTGTCGTCCGCGGAAAGGGACTCTTCTGCGCCATCGTGATCAACAAAAGTTAGAACTTTTCTTCGTCTTCTTCCGTTAAAACTTGCTCACTTCAGAGTTTGACGCGTGGCAAGTGTGCTTGAAGCTGAAGGAGAACGGTCTTTTGGCGAAGAACACGCACGGAGACATCATCCGCTTCGCCCCGCCCCTCTGTATTAACAAGGAGCAAGTGGAGCAGGCGGCCGACATCATTATAAAGACGATCACCGAATTCGCTCGCAACCAGTGATTTCCTCTCTTTCTCTTTTCTCGTTTTTTGTTCTCACGATCCCAGATGCTGGTACATTGAAAGCATTCGAAATGACACAACCATTTTTGCGTATCGCAAAGACCTCTCGCAATGTAATAAAAAAAAGTTCGAGTGATATCTGCTGATCTCTGGTTTCATTTCGTCGTGTCGGGTAGTTGAAAAAAGAGACATTTCAAGGTCAATCGATCACGTGGTTTGCAAAGAAAGGCGATGGAAAGTTCAAGAAGAAGATGCTGTTCTCTTATCAAAAGGGGAACACGAGAACAGTCGGATATCTCTGTTTGTCCTCCTTCCGTCTTTGTTCTCTTCCGAAGGCCCTCCCTTGATAACCGTGCCTGTATGTGCCACCCAAATCCCCGTTTAAAAGGAGATCAACCCAAGAAACGGTAGCAGTCTTCCGTCTTCGGAAGGAAGATGTTCACTACTCTTCACCCTTCCTCTTTAGTCCTCCCCTTCTAAATTGGATTGACCGACGTCGCTTCGGATTCTTCGTGCTCAATGTGTCATATTTGCTCTAGTATGCCGTTCATCGTGCTGTCGACGTGATCGATCCCCACCCGAGGATAACACATTTAGCCGAATGTCTAATAAAATTATCGAGAACATTGGATACGTCTTGTTTCTGATGCACCATATTTCGCATCGCATGTCGTTGTCCTTCTCAACGGTTGAGAAAGCATATATATATAAGCGAGTTTGCTTTTGTTCACTCCCTCCTCGTATCAAGAACAATTCGATGAGAGCGGAAGAGGAAATAACTAAAGTACATTCAAAGAATTCGTTGTCACGTTATTATTATTATTATTATTATTTATTTATGTTGTTAACGTGAAAATGATTGGAAAATGTGGAGAGTGAGAAAAAGGAAGGCAGGGGGGTAGAATAGAATACGTATAGGCAATTCAGAAGCTGAGATTCATTTCATGCACCCATCCGAATGATTCCTTCGCTCCCTCCGCATCCAAATACTCCGCGCCGACGATCCATTCGGGATTGATGGAACGCATTTCTTCGAAGATGAAGCCGTAGTTGATCTCTCCGCGTGTATCACACGCACCTCGACGTGGAACTTGAGCTACTTGGATGTATCCTGGAAAAAAAAGACTTTGGGAGTGCGTCAGTAAACCAAATTACCAATATGTTTCTTGAGTCGTCTCATCGTCGCTCCGATTTGTCCGTTGATTTGTTGAGCATGGAAAGTGTCGTATTGAATCTTGAGGTTCTCGGAAGTGTCCTGACTGATTATCTCCAACGCCTGCTCGTAATTATTCAGATGATAGCCAGGAATGGTGTACTTGTTAATCGGCTCAATCAGACAAAGCAGGCCGTGTCTCTTCAGTTGTTCCGCTGCGAATAGAACATTTTCCGCATAGGTATGGGCTGCGTGCGCCACGTCTTCTTCGGTCTCCGGGATTCCAGCCATCACATGAACTCTGAAACGCTCTTTTTATTACAAAAAACACATGTTTCAAGATAACCTCTTGCAGTCAAGCTGTTTCGCGTACTCAATCGCCGTCTCCACACCGTTTCTGAACTCGTTCACGCGTGACTTCAGCGAAGCGAGTCCTCGGAATCCTTGCTCCCAATTCCCGGGTGGTGCGTTGATCAGCGTGTGCTTCAGACTGTGCTCATCGGCTGCTTCTCGCAGTTTACTCGCCGGCTCCGAGTACGGAATAGTCACTTCCACGAGCTTGAATCCGGCCGCCGCCGCCGCTGCGTACCTGTGAGGGGGAATGCGAAAGTTGAAGGAAAGAAGCGCTTACCTCTGGAGAAGAGGGAGATTTGTGAAAAGCATGGTCAAATTGGCAGCCACTCGGTTAGCACTCATTTTTATCAGATTCCGAGGTGTCTGTCGTCTTCTGAATCATTTTCTATATAAAACCGCTTGATAACGACACTCCAAAGAAACAGAGATCGCCTTGTTTATCGGTCGATAAATGACAACAAAGTTCAGAAGAGTGAGCGAAGAACATAATAATCGGATGACGTTGGCAACATTTTCGTCTCTACCGCAATGCCACGTGAAAACCCGGCCGCGACCGTGAGCATTTCAACTTTAACAATGAATTCACGATAGAACGCGATTGCCAGAAAGGGAACAACAAATCTATCTTCAATTATTAAATGCGAAACGTAAAGAAAAAACTTATCAGAGATTGAGAGAATAAAGAGAGAGAGAGAGATACAATTTTCAAAATAAACCACTAAATCAATGCTTTAATAGCGAAAAACCACTATAGATTACAGGCAGAACAAGATTTCCTGCAGACAATAGCTCGAACTTCGCGCCGTTGACAATACGAGAACAGAGCCCAGAAGCGGCAGCGCCACGTCAGATCTTCGCACGGTTCCGTCTGAAAGGCTTGGGGTTCGGCTAGAAAAAGGAAACACAAAATAAAATGAGAAACAATTTATTAAACACGGACGGACAGAACAAAAAAGAAACATGGCGAAACCGAAAAGCGAGTTGAGAGAGAGAGAGATCGAATCCCGTGATGACAGAAACATATGAACGCAGAGAAAGAAGAGAGTGATCAACCGAAAATACGAATGATCCGACGGCTGTTAGTAACTCGGTTAGAAGTAGATAGAGGCAATCCCGCGTACCGTGACTGCAAAAAGTTTTAATTTGGCGGGGAGAGTGGCTCCTCCGTGGTGCGAGTGTCTGCACACGTGGTAATCATACAGAACTAAAGCGACACAGCACACTAACACGGCACACGTTTCTAGGTGAATGCATTTGCATTTCTACCAGCATTAGGAATGGAAAGATGGGTTAAATGGAAGAAAACGGCGGCGTTGGAGGTGATGAGTGCTCAAACCTGAGGGTGATTGACTATCGAATTGCTGTTGATTTGGTTGTTGTTGTTGTTGTTATTGTTGGAAGTCGGTTGTGGGGAGCCGCCCGGATTCACTCCGCAATTGTACAGTTTGTTGATCTTGCGAACATCGACGTCCGAGAACTTTACACGTTGACCCATTCTCTCAGAGCCAGACTGGAAGATTGATATAGTACATCTTTTTGCGGCGCTCTTTTTTACCTTTTTAGGAACCAGTGTTTTCTTTCCTGATCCGCTGAACGCATACGGTCCGTAATGCATGATGGAGGCGAAGTCGTAAGGCTCGTCCAGATGGGAAATCACGTTCAGATTGTACTTCTCGAACTGATCGTCCGCTCCGTTCATCACATTCTGCCACACGACTTCGATGTAATCGTCACGGTCTTGTCTGAATCATAAAAGGGTTTCATGAAAGAATCAAGTCAAAACTGCCTACCTGCTCTGTTCATGGAAGAATCCGACGGCGTGCATGAGCTCGTGAACAATGGTTCCGACTTGAATGCATCCCGAATCAAGCGATACTGGCTGCTTGCCTCCCGTTCTGAAACCACGTCATCTACCGTACCCCATTCCTCTACAGTACCTACTTTCCAACCAAACTGTAGCATCCGTCATCTGGATGAATCCAGAGGTAATCGTGATGCTTGGCAGGGTCTCTGGCGACGAACTTCACGCACGTCTTCTGGTGGTATTCGTTCATTGCGTTGGCGATCACACTTCTGGCATAGGCGCCGTATTGCGAAGAGAGCGTGTACGGAATCTCTCCGTTTGGCCATCGTCTGCAAGATGAGCTATCACATGAGAAGGGGAAGGATTACTGTACCCACCTGTACATCTGTCTGATGGCGTTTCTGCCCAGCTTGTTGTTCTCCTCCACAAACTTCTTGGGACTCTCCAACAGGATATCTCCCTCGCTGTAGTTTCCGATTGTCGGATCGTCTTTCACTTTGATGCCTAATGTGTGAAGGTCGTATCTTTGATGAAGGTTGCTTTCGAAGTCGGCATCATTCAATGTCGTTTCGAATTGAGTGACGGATTTGTCAATGACCTAGAAGCACTATGAATCAGTGAAATTAATGGAATTCGAAGCTCACCTGCTTATTGGTAACAACTGCGGCGTTCCAGCAAGAGGCGAAAAGTGTGGAGAGCACGAGCAGACAGGCTCCCATCCTTCCTATCGTTGTCTTCTTTTTCTCGTGGCGACTGCTCCTCGCATCCTCCGTTTTATACGGGCTCCGGCGCGCGATCCGCCCGTCTTCCGCGTGTCCGCGAGATTAGTCTCGTCTTCCGCACGGAAACACACCTGAGTAAGAGACGCAAGAAGTGGTAACCGAATGTGTACCCTCTTGCGGGTCACTCGTTTGTTTGATTTTTCGGAACAACGCGCACTTTTTTGCGCTGCAATCGGACACTCGGCCGCGAAGAACACGGGGTCCCGCGAGGCGACTGATTCATTCATTTGAAAGGGATCATTGGTCAAAATGCAAACAGAATTGGTCACTTTCAATGGGACACTGTTTTTTGTTACGGAAGTGGGCAGCTTCTCACGCTTTGTCACACAATACCAGCACTGTTTTCAAGAGAAACGGACTACAAAAAACGGTGCTTGATCAATTTCTCAACAAACATCAGTTAAGGTGCTCTTTTCGGATGTTCACTTCGAAAAAGTTACCTTTCGTTCGACTGGAAATGTAGTTGACAGTCTGGGAGGGAACGGGTCTCCGAGTGTGAATAAAAGTGTGTCTGTCTGCTGCCATTCCACTTCTCGGACCCAACGAAGCGGTCAATTAGCCACATTTTCATTGTTCTTTCGAACCAGTTTCTCGGGAAAATGGGAAAGGTCGTCGCCTACTCGAAAAAAGAAACTTCTTCATCATCATTATTCGAATTATTTACACACACATAAAACGTTAAAAGCAAATCGGTGGTGTTAAAGAAATGGGCAGCAGAAAAATGAGGCATTGGGAAATGGGTGAGGTTGGGAACAGTGGAGGTAAAGAGGTGACAACAATATATATTACAACAACGGAAAAATGCACGAATTTGGCTTGTTCATGGGGTACCCGTTGACACATAAGGAGGGGTGTTGTTGATTAACAGTATAGAAAGTGTACAATAATTTACAAAAACAAAAACAGGAATCAGCGGATAAAGAGTAGATTTGGGGAAGGATTCATGGGGTCGTCGTGTCGCTCAGTTGCTTCTGAGATGACGTGGATGCGGCAGAGTCCTTGTTGTCGAATTCGCTGCTAGCTCGCCACGCTTTGCGAGATGGCACAAACAGCTTTTCGGTTCCGTCTACTCCTTCGGAATCCGACGACACCGCAGCCGCCACCGACGACGACGATTTCTTCGCCTTCCTGCAATAACTGGCGCTGAGCAAGGAGGCGAAGCGGTCTATCTCGTGTACCTGGCGATGTTCTCCGCCGCATATCTTCTCTGACTGCCACGCCCCTTTTCCGTACGACGTGGAACCGTGTCTGCTGGAACTTGCTCTTCGAAATCACGAACTGGTGAGCAGCATGCGTCGCGTTTACTGAAAATTAAAAGGTAAGACTCGTGTAAACCAATTGAAGTGAGCAACTCACAAACCTTGTAGTCGGCTGATTATCAAGTCCTCTCCTGTCTATTCCAGACAGACCAGAGTCCTTGTCCGATTCCACATCGGGACATTCGTGTCCTCCAGTAAAAGTGACTGGAGCCGATTGAATCGATGGGCACACGGATTCCTCGTCTTCTTCTGGAACGTGAACGAGTCGCGAGGGAGCGCCAACGCTCAGCGAATGGTGGTGAAGATGGGGAGGGTGATTTCCGTGGTGATCGGCGAAAAGACCGAAAGTGCGCATCATCTTGTTTTCGTCCAGATAATGGAATTCGTAAAGAGCCTCGTGGTTACGAGTGAAATCGACTACATGCTCGAAAGAATCGACATCTAATGGATCGGCAGGGAGAGAGCTCTCCGAGTTGTTCGGCGTGATCCTCCCGGCCTTCCTGAGCACTCTGCGACGACGATCTCTCTCTCGGAGCAGTCGCATTTCTGTTTTGGCGTCGTCGCTCATCTCGACCTCCTTCAGTTCCTCCTTTTCCATTGTGGATGATGCGAGGGCAGATCCATATTTATCGGTTTCGGTGACAGCCACGAGGCACGAGAAACTGAAAATGGTTAGTTGAACACAACACAAATCACGCGTAACTTACTTCGTATATCTCGACTTTTGTTTCTCGACTTCACCGAGTATCAACTCAGCAAGAGCACTGAATTTGAGGATGATCCACCGAGGGACGCTCACCAAATCAAAGTAACGATGGACTCTGCCAAATAATGCAAAGATAAGCGCGCGATCGGAAGGCGAGAACACCAACTTTTTCACGAAGGACAGAGCCATATCGAGCGGCAATTTAGAGAAGCCCATGGCGGTGGTCGCCCAACGGACAATTCCGAACGAGAAAAAGTACTGGAAAATAGACTTCTCGGCGGCAACTGCGTCTTCGAACGCTGAAAAGAAAGTGGGTTTCAAGTTGAATGCTAGATCGGATCAACTTACGCTTTTTCATGATGCTCGGGAAGAAACTGTGCAAATTGACCTCCTCGAAAGGAATATCACTGTCTCCGCACGTCCCACATTCCGACTCGCCACGTGCTCGGAAGCTGTTAGCGGAAGAAAAGGTTATTCGGGGTTTACCCAATCGGAAATAATACCTAGTCAGTGCACTTGTACTGTTTCTTTTTCTGATTCTATTTCCTGATCCAATAGGAGCCAGTGTTTTCTTTATCTCTTCCATTTCAGAAAAGCATTCAGAAGAAACGCGGCCCGCGTTCGCACTGCCGTCAACGGTCTGGATAGTCAGGCAACGTATACAAGGAGACATTCCTGAATATGAAAAGGTTAATCCCCTCCTCGTTCACTCCGTGAACTCACCATTCTTTGTAAGGAAACGGAGGGCGTCTCCGAATCCCTGAAGACACATTTTCGAAAGATCCTCTGTCGATCTTGGCCAAAGACAAGCCATCAATCGGAACATATTGCGGGCGGTGAATCGGATGGAAGTTCCATTAAAGTCCAATCCGAGCAAACTGCCACTGTCCCAGTCGGGCGGGCAAATGTCCGATTCTCCGGAGAACGGGGAGACCGTAACCGTATGCTCGTCATAAATCGGCTGGTTGTCGGATATGCCACCATCAACGTAGGCCACTCCGCGGAACTTCGGCGGAACCAATCCACAGTAGAACGGAATGAAACAGGAGCACATGATCGCGTCTATGAGTTCAGTGTTCGAGTGGTAGGTGTCGATGACGACGTTCTCGTGGTCTGACCATCGGGTCAGCGAGATTATGAGACGATCGGTGCACCTGAAAATTAGACAATATTGTAAACAGAAACGGAGAACATCGAACAGTAGGCCGAGTACAATGCTACAAGGCCTTTGGCTAATGACCCTATTTCCTTGCAATGACTTCCAAACATTGAACAGTTGGAAATTGGAAATGGGCAATAAAGGCAAACATCAAATTCGATTGTTAAAAAGTATTTTTGTTTTCAAATTGAGCGACGACTTACATGATGTATGCATCCTTAGGCAATATCCGTTCGAGCTCTTCGCGTACGATTCCCATCAAGTTGAACTCCGGATGCAACGGTCCGGAGAGGTGGACTCGAGCTTGGCTGACCACCTTCAGGATGGTGCTGGTCGCGTGGGATATGCAGACGTTTGTGATGAGTCCGCACGCGACGATGGATCCGGCCGACGCGCCCAGGATCTTGTTCTGCAGCATCTGTGGCGCGTACTCCTTGATGGCTGCTGCGACACCGGCGTGGTAGACGCACAGGAATCCGCAGCCCGAGAACGACAGGTTCATTAGCTCGGGCCGACTGTTCACCATAGTCATTTTTGTGTGACTTTTCTGCAAAAAGACACAAATTGTTGAAATGAAAAAAAACGAACGAATGCAAAAAATAAGTGGGCGGTTCGGAAAATAAACGAAGGATTGGGTGGGGATGACTATCGCACAGCAAGATGGCCGATAAACGAAGAATGGTTAGAATGGAGGCTACAAATTATCAACAAAGCGGTCGAGAATACTTCGCGAACTGACTGATAACGAGTGTGCAAGACACGTGTAGTTTAGGAGGCTCCAGAATAGAAGGGCAAATGATGGCAAGACGAAAAATGGGCAATGTGGGCCGGTTCCGAAGAAACTTGAAGTGATTGATGAAGGAAGAACACGCGGAAATCAGTGGGTGCGGCGGTGGTCTTCGGTTGAATACGGGTTGGCCAAAAGAAATTTTGAAATCTTTGTGCTAACTTTCCAATTTTCACAAGGAAACCCGAACACAATCACACGCTGATCATGCTACAAATAACAATTAAAGACGTAGGCAACAAGCATCACTCCACCAGTCAACACATTTCGACACTATGATCAATGGACGCTCCGCTCTCGTGTTCGGGTGGTCTTTCGCGAAAAATGACTGTTGGCGTCAGCTGGCGGACTCTCGTAACACACAATCACGCCATCGGATGACCCGAAGATGCGGGAAAATGACGAGTGACGCCGGCCGCCGCGGCAGAAATTGGGCAGAGAACACACATGCTGAACTATAATAGTCTATAAGGGAAAATGATTCTGAGAAAGGATGTGGACTAACCAAGGATCTCTGTTTTCCACGAGAAGTGACCATATGACCCGCTAATCCCAGACAACAGAAGGGAACGCTATAGTGAAGATCTTTGTGGAATGTTCGAGAAAGATCAAGAATTGCGTGGAGGAATTGAGAGCAGGGGATGGGGGTTACGTAATTATTGGCACTAGAAATGAATCCATTGCTTTCTAAAAGGATGAATATATTTCAAATGAAACAGTACTCACACCAGATGAGCTTTTTAAGCATAACTTTTCAATTGAAAACTTGCTTTTTAACGTAATGAATGAACCTAAATATGAGGGGTAGAAAGCGAACGTAAACGAACGGAAGCGCAAGCAAATCTGAAGCCAAAGGGCAAAGGAGCAAACCATCTGTCTGTGAACAAACAAGGCACTGAACCCAGACGGGCGAGCGAGGATGAGATCTCGTCGCAAAGGAGGAGGAGGAGGCGCACCCATGAAGTGAACACATATGAATGAATACAGGACAAGTGCAAAGATGATGTTTGGGCGAGGCGTAGACGCCTTCAAGGTCACGTCGAATACGATGGGCTCACGGTAAGGATATGGGTGAAGAGCGTACAAACACTGCGGACAGAAAGGTCACTGGATAGATACTTTTCTTATCTTTTATTATGAGCGATACTTGTCTGAAAATATTTACATCTGAGGAAAAGAATTGAAAATTAAAAATCAAAAGTTAAAAATTACGGATCACAAACCAGCGGGCGGGGGAACATCACAAAGTTGGGGACGGATTAGTACCAGCATATAGACAAAGTTTGGAAAGGCAAAAGTGGGACTTGCCCTCATTGGCTTATCAATTTACAATCAGACAGGCGCGCAAAAGCGATACGAGAGGGGAAAAGAAAGAGAGGAGAAGCAACAGCGAAATATAGGAAGGGATAGGACAGAGGAGTGGAAATGCATACGATTACGCATGAACAAAAGAGGCGGAGACGTGCGGCGGTGCTATCGAGAAAGTGCGTATTCTGAAGAGAGCGACGAGGAGGGAGCGTTGCGTGCCGCAGAGACGCAGTCGAATCGACCGCACAGATGGCTGCGTCTTCCCGCCACCCGCTACTCTATCGTCTCCCGTCGTCGAGAGGAGGAGGGAAGGGGGATGTCTTTTGACGCCACGTGACTGAATCACGTTGCCGCCTGGTGATAATACTGACGATGCGGCGAAAGAGCGATGCGACCCATTCTTCTTCACAGAAAGATACACAAATAGATCATAGGCGCCACGCGGACCGAATCGTTTTCTGATCTTAACGAGTAACCGTAATGACACCTGCAACTCGAAGCAGGAAGTGCTTTTATGAGAGCGAAAGTAGGAGGAAAAGGTCAGAAACTGTAGTTTAAGGCGATGGTGAACTAGAGGAGAACGTCAGGTGTTTGAGCAGAACGCGGATTAAGTGGTAAGAGTCGAAAGGTGGTAATGGGAGAAAAGTGGCAGGTGTTCACCGACTTTCTGTCTATCTTGTAGTGCGACGGGACAATACACTTTGTGTCTACGACGTGACCGAACAGCAAGACGATAAAAAATGAGCAGACTAGAGAAGCTACAGAGCATCAGATACTAGGCTCGTTAAATGCCGGCATCTTCTGAGAAAACTTTGGGGTGATAGCAGCTTTTGAACAACATTTCAGCAGCTTCTGAGCAGATTCTGGGCGAAAGTTGCTGAAGTTCTGCTCAGAAGATGCCGGCATTTGCCGATGGTGTCTGAGCTCTTTCCTAGCACAGAATCTACTACAAGACCAGTTTCGAGAAAGGGAAACCAAACGAGCGTGGGAGCCATGTTTCAGAAAAGCACAAATTTGACGCGCGTTTGTTCTAGAAAGTCCACACAAACTTTTGATTTCTTCGCCTCGTTCGTCAGTTTGCTATCATCAATTGCTGCCATCATGAGTTTCTTCTAATCACTGAACCAAGATAGAAAAATGAGAGAAACGGGCGGAAAAGGGGGAGGACGAGTCCGGTTCAAACTACCTTTTCGCACTCTTTCTCTCGAAACACGTTTCCTGCCTGGTATGATGGATGGGCCGATGATGTGCCCACACAATCATGCGAGTGTAACATCTTCTGCCGGTGGCGCCAATTTGGTCTCGTTGACCCGGCTGACTATGCACCGTACGGCAACGCGCTCCGCCTCACAAACAAAAGTACAAACAAAGAGAGAAGAGATAGAGAGAGAGAGAGACTGGGAAAGGGACATAGACGTATTACGCAAAACAATGTATGATAAAATTTACGACTCCGTGTGTGCGTTGCGAGACGGCAAAATGGGGCGGGTTTTAGGTGGGAAGACAAAGGAATCGCTTATCTCTTTTCGCATTTTGTAGTAAACTTCTCGAGCATTGGGTGCGCGTGAGGAAATGGGGACTGATAAAGTGTGGGTGGCAACGGTTCAGATGATGAGCGCTTGCTGCAGCACAATGGCAGCGAGCATTTGGCAGAGATGTGCAAGCAGGATGGCTGCAAGGGCGGTCCGACGAGCGGTCTGGTCTTCGATTGTCTCCTGGCGGGACGGCTCGCGGATTCTGAAATGTGTGGGTGTCAGGTGGTGGAAAGGAAGAAGAAACCCGAGGGATGAGGTCAGAAAATCAAACCACCAAAGAGGGAAGCATAGATTTGGAGTGAGGATATGAGACTGTTCCACACTAATTTATGTCCTTCCTGGCAGGGGCTTAACTAAAAATGGAATCAGTGAAACTATAAACCCTTGTCAGCGCGTACTCAAGCTTTCTTCAAACTTTTCATTTCGCCAGACAGACTAAAGTGGAAACGATACAGTTTACCACGTGTTTAAAGGGAGACAGACACATACAAAATGGCCGTGTGACACCACTCTCCAAACGATAAGAATCACGTTTTTTTCTCAATTTGTCTTTAAAATCGTAAGGCTGTAGATCAAAATGAGTTGTCAAGGACAGGCTTTAATTCGAAAAAGCACTTCTGAAAAAGGACTAAGCGATTCGGGAAACTGTTCAATGATCTCAAGTAAATTAATGATTGTTTCGCGCTTTTCTTATTCTGATAAGTGCCGAAAAATGTATCAAAAAGAGATAGGTTATCAATCACAGAATTATTCGATCAATGGGAAGTGCGCTCTGATCTCTGCTCATCTAAGCCACGTTTTCTCCAAGCTGATAACTGGGTCTGTTTGTTGACGACCCGTGTTTTGAGTGATCATTCGAACAGCCAGTCAAAACAGTTCCTCGTGACTTACAGCAGTTTTCTTCCCGGCGGGGGCATCGTGCTCCGTCCGTAAAACAGTGTGGGATCATGCTCTTCGGATGTTCGTCTGAGATAAATAACTTTAAAGTTCGAGTTTGACGTGAACTGAAACTCACGGTGACGTCGCCGACTGGTTCCGTATTCTAGAAGCACGCGCTTCGAGGGTTTTCAGTCCATTCTCAATCCACGTGTCGAATGCTTCAATTCCCTCGGCCATTACATCTATCCGCGTTTGCACACTTTGCAGAATCTGAAGCAAATGCTTCTCGGAGTCGTCCTCCTTCGGATCGAACAGATAATAGGCGAGAAGTGGTTGCGGATAGGTGGCGAGATCGGCGATCAGAGAAATGAGTTCCGTGTTGAACGGCAGCTCGTTCTCGCACAACGTCTCCACTCCTTCAAGTATCGTCTGCAGAAGCTTTGACCTCTCCGGAAAATTGTAGATGGAAAAGCCGTCCACAACAATATGCTCCGTCGGTTCTTCTTTCTTCGGCTCCTCTTTCTCCTCTTCAACTGTTTCGCTTTCACCAAGTTTCAGTGAATCGTATTTCTTGTTGATAAAGTCAACAATTTCATTGGTCGGAAGCTGTTCTCCTTTTATTTCTTGCTTCGAGAGCAGTTGCTTAAAGGTGTCCATATCCTGCACGTCCCTCCACCCAGAGAGCACAAAACTGCTCTTTGGGACGTCTGTGTCTGTTTCGCTCTGCTCCTCCACACGAACTGGAAGAGCATCGTCCGATTCGGAACCGTCGAGCCCAGAAATGTGCATGTAGTCCATGGTCGACTGGGTCATCACTTTCGAAGAAGTCATTTCATCTTCTGTCTCAATGGGCGGCAGGATAAAGTCTTCGTCTTCCTCCAGATCGTCTTCAACATCTTCAAAATCGGCAGTCGGTTTTGGTCCGAGCGGTCCAGCTTTGTCTATAAAACGGAAATGAACTATTGAACCGAAAACCGGCTCGTACTGATATTGAAAATATGAGACGGATGTGATCCTCTTGAGTATCTTGGAGTCATCGAAACCGACGATCGGTTCGAGGACATTCGAGAAAAAGACTGAAAAGTGAACAAGTAATATAAATTCACATTCACAGTAACCCCTCACCACATGACACGTGGCATCATCGTCTGATTCGGCGGGAAGACAGAAGCTGCCGGCCGTCATTCCGTCGTACTTCCACTTCCATCCGCGACATTGATCGGCGCGGGCGTCCATCCGAATGCGTGTCGAGTACATGTACGAACTGAGCAAGGAAAGTGACGCCACCTGGAACTCTTTTCGGGATGAACAACGCTTCGGAAAAGAGTGAAACGATTTTGTACCTCTTGATGCTTGTGCATGCACAATGGAATGCAATTCAGGAAAGTTTGAGATAGGGTTCCGCCCCGAGAAGCCTTGTAGACGATCGATAACTGCTTCTTGGTGGCTGAATGGTTTGTGAGAAGGGGACGGAAGACGAGAGCGAGCATGACGTCTTCGCAAGCCAACTTCAGAAGAGCATCGATGAGCGAAAGGGCTGTTACAGATGTCTGAAACACTGTGATTGGAAGGAAAATACGCTTCTTAAATAGGGGCCACAAAGTGATTAACAAACTTGTGAATTTCGGGAAAACACTTATCGGAATGTGTTCTAGTGCTTAAAAATAGTACATTCCCAATTTTTTTTTGAAAAATGTTCGGTACTTCTCGAGTTATGAACGTTTTTAGTTTGCGCGTTTGCACTGAAAATTCAGTGAGCGAAAGGGGCGGAGTCTATTTGGTGGCGGCGGCGCGCTCCCACTCGGGGAACAAAATGGAGAGCGCGGACAGTTTTATCACAAAAATTAACTTTTTTTCAGTAAAAATGTTGTCTTTATCGAATCCAAAAGTAAACAACGAAAAATTTTGGAAGTGGGTTCGAACCCGCGACCTCTCGATTAGTGCTTTCAGCACTTGCCACTTTACCACCCGGGCGCGAGCGCGGCCGCCGCTCCGTTCAGTTGATGTGCGCGGTGTTCGCAGTCACTTTCTAGCATGAAAAAGTTACTGAAAATGCGCAGGAAACTGTAATTTGTGACATTTCGCCAAGTAAAAACGGATGTTCCCTAAAAAGAAATCTGGTGTAGTTTTTTTGTGCTGAATCCGATTCTGCCGTCAAAAATTCCGGTGCCGGACCAGTGTCAACCCGAAAACTCCAAAAAACTGATTTTTCGGGCGAACACGGTATGTTTGACGAAGTTAAAAAGTATCTTATAGGTGTCCAAATGATCTGAAATTTTGTACAGGGATACTATACGAGTTTCTTAACACATTCCGAAAATAAAAATCGGGGGTCACCGCTGAAAATTGTTTTCAGTTTTAAGTGGCAATTGAACTGTCTGAAATTGATGTTTCGCCAAGTAAATCTTCAATTCTGACTTCAAAAACGGATTCAGCATGTCAAGAACTATCGGAATGCATATTGGGAACCCCGGTGCCGGACTTATATTGACCCCAAAAAGTTCCTCGAACTGACACTGTCCGAACATTTTGCTGTTTTCGCGCTTGTTCGCAAAAACCATGACAGTTAGGCTCAAACTGACTTGACCAATGGATTCTACGTGGTTGATTACACAAAGTAATGTTGTTAGTACAATCATTTATCATTCTGAGTCCGCGCTACAGGCTCACTAGGGAATGGCCTGCACTTACCTTGGGCTTTTGGAATGGGACCTATATGATTCGAAAGAGAATTTCACGGAGAATCCGAATCTGCTCTCCATTTTTGCTAAAGAGCACTGGCTGGCGAGAAAATCGCATCTGAAATTCCAGTGCTAAATTCATTTTTTAACATGTAATCTGCAGTTTGGTGCAGAGGGTGTGGGCGCCCGAGCGACTGTTGTTGTCACTCGCCCAGTTTCAGTGCTTCCGCAGCAGCTGGATGGTCGAATGGTTAGTGAGTTAGAGTTGTGAGTGGTAGGTATGGGGTTCGTGTCCGCGCTATGGAAAAAGTTTTTTTGGCAATCTTTTTGCTCTTTTTTTCGAACAATTTCTGGATATCACTTTTTGCATTTTTTTCGTCATTATTTTTTTAACGAGTCGTAACTACTGACCCTTCAAAGTACCGAAAAAAATGAATCTCATCGCTCTGACCCCAGTACTCACTTTTTTTCTGCCTGTTTCTGCCTCATTTTTCTAGCAAGTTCATCTTCGGCGACCTGTATCTCAAGAACCACGCGTCCGTTGCAAAAGTGGTCAACTAGTAAGTTAACGCAAATTATCTCGTGAATAACTTTGTAGTTGATCGTCTATTTTTTAAAAAATTAGTTTTCGAGTTATGAACTGTTTTCCTAGAGCGACAAGAAAAAAGTTAGCGCTGGGGTCAGAGCGACGATAACTCGAAAACTAATTTTTTTAAAAATAGACGATCAACTACAAAGTTATTCACGAGATAATTTGCGTTAACTTACTAGTTGACCACTTCTGCAACGGACGCGTGGTTCTTGAGATACAGGTCGCCGAAGATGAACTTGCTAGAAAATGAGGCAGAAACAGGCAGAAAAAAGTGAGTACTGGGGTCAGAGCGATGAGATTCATTTTTCGGTACTTTGAAGGGTCAGTAGTTACGACTCGTTAAAAAAATAATGACGAAAAAATGCAAAAGTGATATCCAGAAATTGTTCGAAAAAAAAGAGCAAAAGATTGCCAAAAACTTTTCCATAGCGCGGACACGAACCCCATACCTACCACTCACAACTCTAACTCACTAACCATTCGACCATCCAGCTGCTGCGGAAGCACTGAAACTGGGCGAGTGACAACAACAGTCGCTCGGGCGCCCACACCCTCTGCACCAAACTGCAGATTACATGTTAAAAAATGAATTTAGCACTGGAATTTCAGATGCGATTTTCTCGCCAGCCAGTGCTCTTTAGCAAAAATGGAGAGCAGATTCGGATTCTCCGTGAAATTCTCTTTCGAATCATATAGGTCCCATTCCAAAAGCCCAAGGTAAGTGCAGGCCATTCCCTAGTCAGAAAGACGGAAAAATGAAATCCACTGAAAAATTTCGACGCCCCGCCCCCTCCACTTTGTGGCCCCTATTCTTAAATACCTTATCGCCTCCCTTCACATATGAAATCACTATCTCGAAAAAGAGTGTTCCGTTGTCGTCTCTCTCAGTCAGTATCATCTGCACAATGGATCTTACCAGAACTGGTTCGACGATGGTTTCAATGCACATCTGAAACGAACATTTAATTCCTGATCGTCGAGAAAAGGTCACCTGCAGATAAACCATGCTCGCACCGATGTACTCCCGATCATTCTGCAAGAACGCCGGCTTGATCACGTTAGTCAGGAATCCAGTGTAGAAGAAGGATGCAATATTTTCGACAACTTCCGAATGGGCCATTTGGGCGATGGCGTTACAAAAAAGGAGAGCTGAGTGATAGTCGGCGAGGAATTCTCGATACGAATCCTCGACTAACCGCTCTCCTCCGTCTCCCAGAATCCGACGTGGCAGCTGGGAAAAGCAAGCGGACAATCCGGTTGTGAGAACTTGACAGAAGGACGTCCTTTCTGTCACGTACTCCGCGATGCTCTTGTCTTCTGCCGAAACGGAGAGGATCAGAAGAACGGCGTCTCTTGCCAGCTGTCCAGTGTCCCCTGACGAGTACAAAAAGGGAATGAGTTCAGTGAAAACGACGAATTGGTTTGAGTGAAAAAAGAAGTGGAGAAGAGTACGATCCTCGACAAGCTTCGTGCAAATCTGATTCAGGAGAAGGACGAACATCTTCTCGGCTTCTGACGTCTTCTTATTTTCCGATTTAGAGACTCTCCAGTAAACGTCCGCCCTTTGGAACCATTCGCAAAGTCGGAAAAGCGGATTCAGAATGGGTTTGTGAACGAGAAGACAGTGATTTTGTGAGTGAGAGTCCGACACGATCATCTCGAAGATCCGAATGATCGCGAGTTGACAGATCGACTTCAAGGAGTCCGTCAGCTGGATCGCCCAATCCAGCACTCTTTCCAGTATTTGCTCAGTGAAGAACTTGTCCAGAATCGGGCCGATAATAGGCTCAGGTTGGGAGTTAGCCTCGAGCATCAAAAGTGTGCACATGTTCGTCATGTTCTCCAGAAGAGCCATCAATTCGTCGTAGACCACTTTGTGCTCCGGGTCGCCGAGCTTCCTCTCCAGAATATTGTTCACAATACTCCATTTCGTCTCGAAAAGTCGTTCCCATTCGGTTGGATCCGATGCGTAGGCGGAAGACCATCGGGCTCTGGAGACTGCCGTCGCTGAAACGGTAAGATTCAAATTCAGATTCAGGCGGCAAGACTCACGAGTGCCCGAGTAGAGTTCATCTCTGACCCAGTCGCTGGATGGTTCTTGTGGCTTCAGCGGCGATGTGATCTTCTCCAGCCATCTTTTCATTCTCCGATCTGAAACGTTCAATAGCAAAGGATTATGTGAAACGTTGAAAATATACAGAAAGGATGACAACCAGAAATCGTTCAGATACAAGGTAACACAACGAATGCAAATTCATTGAAAAACTGTAACAAATCAACAAAGAAAAGCCAGAATCAACAATTGAAAAAAAAATTCATCAAATCTGAATGGCACTCGTCAAAACGGTCAAGTAGGCCGGATGATAGTACTTGGAAGTGTTGTTACGAACCATCACAATCGTTTTCGCTGAAAATGGGCAATTTTTAAAGAACACGACCCGAGAGACACTTACTTTTGTGATAGTTGGAAGCGATAATCGGAAGGACGTCCGCACAAATGTAGCCGATGGCGAGGCCGCGTCCTCCGAGAACACTCTGTTCGCCGGCCACTACTCTACCAATTATCTCGCTGTAATCATTATGAATGTAATTATGAACTTTCGGATTTTAGATAAATCCAACCGATTCGCCGAAAGTCTGTATTCCGTCTGTGATCTCTGCGTTTCTTCCTCTTCCGCCTCTTCTCTTCGCTTCCCAAACTCCAACTTTTGCCGCTTTTTCGATTCCTTCTTTCTGCGATTCGCTCGTTTTCTCTTTAGTGTTCTGGAACATTTCCATTTAGGATAATCTGCAACTAGCGAATTACTTGTCATCTAGCTTTGTGCTCTCCTCAAACAGCCACTTCAGACTGATCGGTTTTTCTGTAGCGGCGGCGTCGAGGGAAACGTATCCTTCTAATTCTTTCCGTGGAATCTCCTCGTCAACCTCCATTGGCTCTTCAATTTCAGATGACGTTCTCGGCGTTTGGATGATCTCAAGATTTCTGTTTCGCCGAATTGAAATCAGATCGTCGGTGGTCGGGAGGCAGATCATTCCGAAGCGCTTCGGTCTTCCTCTTCCCACGAACGCGAGTCTCACTGGCACGAGCATTCCTTCATTCGCTTTTACAATCTGATCCAGTCCTTCCGCTCTCTTCAATCCCTGTTTTATTTCTCGCAACTTTAGAAGATCCCGACAGACAAAGGCCTTTTCCGCACGTGAATTCCAACCTTTCGCCAGTTCATTCCATCGAAACTCAAACGGATATTTCACCGAGAGGGCACTCCAGAACTTGCACCTCCGATTGTGAGGCTTCGCTAGATAAGTTCTCGTCAGCTCGTGCTTCATTGCTTCCTCCGACTCCTTCCCCGCCTGCGATTCCACGTCATCGATCGGGTAACAGAAAGTTTGCGACTCGAGATGAGCGGAAATCTCGTCACGAAGGCCACTGGCACGGACGCCTCGTCTTTGCAGAGCCACCCAAAGATCTTTTGCTGGAATGGATCAATGTTGAGAGACGAGGGAAGGCTGCGAGGCTTACAAAATGGTTCTGGAATGATCAGATCAATTCCATCGAGAGCCTTGAATCCACCGTTTCTGATAATGACGACAATTGGTACTTTTGCTTCCGTCGAAACGAGTCCTCCGATTCTCTGTGCATTCTGCTTTTGGAACTCGCCATCGGAAACTCTGAAGAAGCACTAGACATTGAATTGCATTGTTTTCAGAACGAATACCTTTTCGCTATCGCCTGCTCTCTAAATTCACGGCTCCAGAACTCATTCACCGGCTCGTTCTGTTCTCTCCAGTCTCCATCAACGTCTTTTGCTTCCTCGCCTTTCCTGTTGTTGCTCAGCACTGTCTTTCTGTCCCAAGCGGTCCTGGGATCTTCGATGAGCAAGTAGAGCACTTCTCCGTCACGAGTTGAAGAGAAAACTGAGTCCGCGACGGACAGGAATCTGTCATGTTCGGATTGGAACTTCGTCTCTTTGACGAGCCGAACAGAATCACGCAACTTGGTGAGGCATTTCGGACCGGAAAGGTGGAATCTGCTGATGTTCTCCGTGTCCACGGTGACTTCCAGATTTCCATTCACATATCGAGAAGGTTGTTCCGTTTCTTCATTTCCTTCTTCTCTTTTGAGTCCAAACTTCTCAGAAAAGGTGTTCATGAATGTTTCTTTCGCTGACGGATGCATCCAAACGTACACTTTATCGTTCCGTTCTCCAGTTAATCTCTGGAATCGAGCTGGTCCGATGTATCCGAGTGGGAACTGCCCGGGCACGTACAGCTGATGACATTCCTGAATAAAGCGAAAAAATGAATAATGAGTGCCTAAAAGAAGGAGATAAACGGAGAGGAAAGTGGCGAGAGAGAGAGAGAGAGAACCGGTTCCCCTTAATGATTACCTCTTCTTCGCCGCGTGACGACTGTCCTCGGCACGTCGTTTGCGAGAATTCCAACACTTTTTTCAAGGCGTCTGGGGATTTGATCTGCAATTCGATACTATTTTAATGAGAAGAATTCAATGCGAGCTACCGTAACACAGGAATAATAAGAACGATCTCGAATGACACAATACTTGTTGGAGTCCCGAAGAACAGCTCGAAAGCCGCGTTGGAAACTGCGATCCGCGATCTTGAACCCCCATTTCGACGTCATCCGGAAGCGTTTCGCATGCCACACGTGCGTCGACAGCCATTTGCCTTTCGTGGAAGTGCTACGACCGAATTTCTGAAGCTCTCGTCTACAATTTGACCTTTTCAGATGCCTTACATCTCTCGAATTGACGTTTTTTCGTCTTGCGAACCTGCTCGGACACTTCTTGGCATGCTTAGAAATCAAGTGAGACCTCGCATACTCGCGCATTGTTTTCGGGAATCGACGGACATCGTAGGCCATCGCTCTTCTGAGAAAGACAGTTGAATAGGTAAACTTTGAAAATTGAGCACCTTCTCATATGGCGTGGCAGTCTCTGAGCGGCAGTTCTCGGCCCTTTCGTGACTTCTCCAGAAACCAATGCATCATTATCAATAGCCTGCAAATCTAGTCTGTTTATCAGGATCTGACGGACATTCACCTTCAGCAGTTGTGCGATAGAGTTCGTGCGAGATTCCACAAACTTCTCCACATGTATGAAACGTGGTTTTTCCACTACCGGTCGAGAAATATCCATCTTGAAGAAACTGTTCTGCATTAAAATGCCCTTTCAGTTTTGGACAAGAGATTTGTAAGGCTGAGACCTTGTCTAAATATGCTACTAATCGGGAAATCAAAAAAGTATGTTTTATTTATATAGACAAACGGGAAAACAAAAGCAAAACAACAAAACTAGCTACTAAAATCGATTAGCTGTCTATCGAGATCTGTCGTCCTACACATTGGCCTCTTTCTCTTGCTCTAGTCGTCTGATCTGCAGGGCTCTTCGTTCCTCGAACAACATTGATTCCTCTTCCAACGGCTTGTCAACTACCTCTTCTACAAGAATCTTCTTCAGATCAATCTCATCAGCGAACGTATCGTTGAAGATTTTGCGACCGGTCACCGGATCGACCACGTTTCCGAATTTGAAAACGACGCGATCGACCATGTGGGAGACGTTGGCTTTCGGACGGGACGATCCGTCAATCTGCTTAATAAGAACGGTATCTCCGATGTTTCCGACTGATGTTCTGGAAGTTGATATATTGAAAATAGACAGATTTTCAGGAAAATCTTACTTATCGAGAGCCCAGAAGTCGAATGATCTGGCGAAGTACTTTTTCAGATAGATGTTGAATTCATTCATCTGGCAGCGAACCTGAAAATCAAAACATAGCTGAATTGAACAAAACTGAATTGTTTTCATACATGTGCACACGGAATTCGATCGATTCCGATTTGAGTGATGTCGGTGATCTTGCCCATCAAGATTTGGGTTCCGACGCGAGTCTTCCACACTGATGTTTTCGGCATCTAGGAAATAGACCAATTATTTTTAAAAGAAACTAAAAAAAAACGGAAAAGAAAATGATCTCAAAATAAAAATTGAAACAACTGAGTGTGCATTTCGACGTGACGGTGTCATTTGCAGAAATGCAAACGCGCTCCACCGAACTACCGAAAATAATTTTTCATGGAATTTTCAAGCGCTTCTAGTCGCTTCTGAATATCGATTCTGAGTGCTGAAGCGTGTAATTAGTAATTGCTGGGTCCACCTGCTTTCAATTGTGTTCTCCTAGTACTGATGCGCTTGTTGTTCCGTTTAAATCTATTCTCCTTTTCGAGGATTTGTCATCAATCTTCTGTCATTTCAGAAAAATGGCCGGCAACATTCAACAGCAACTCGGAGAGCATCTTCTCCGTGCTGCTCAAGTTGTAGAGGAGCAAATTGATCAAGAAATGAACAAGTATTGTGATCGAAGGCTGTTGGAAAAGGTGTTATTTGTTTCAGACTTGAGAACCTCGAGGAGGATGATCTGGAAGTGATCCGTCGCAACCGAATGTCGCAGATGAAGAAGGCTCAAAAAGAGAAGATTGAAATGATGTCGAACGGCCACGGAAAGTACGAAGAGGTGGCCGATGAGAAAGAGTTCTTCGAAGCGACTAAGAAGAGCGACCGCGTCGTTTGCCTTTTCTATCTTCCCGGAAACTTCCGCTGCAAAATCGTCGATAAGCACTTTGAAATTTTGGCGAGAAAACACGTCGGCACTCGCTTCATTCACATCGACGCCGAGAAAGCTCACTTTTTGACGACTCGCCTTAATATTCGTGTCATTCCAACCATCTCTGTGATTGTGGTGAGTCACACAGATTATAAACAAAACCACAAACTCATATTTTGTTAAGAAGCAACAAACCGTCGATTACATTCGCGGTTTTGACGAGCTGGGCGGAAAAGACGAGTTTACCACCGAGGTAACATAAATTTCGACAATTTTCGAAACAAGGTTCTTTATAGACACTAGAAAATCGTCTCGCTCGTTCGGAAGTAATCACTGTCGAGAAGCGGCAAGTGGCACCGGCAAAGAAGAAGATCATCCGGTCAGGAGTCGATGAATACGACAACGAAGAGGACTGGTAGACGGTGTCGGCCGTGTGAAGCCCAGACCTCTGATTTTTAAATTGCTTATATTAATCACTTTTCGCTGATAATTATGTGCATCTTGATCTCACATAATGTCTCGCTTCTCGTGTTATTGCATTGCTTCATCCTCATCCTTCAAATGATAAATGCATGATATTGCAAGGATCGTTCATAAGATTCTCCTCCGGTCGATTTCCGGTTGCATCTTGTTGGCGTGATGAGTTTCAGACGAGAATAAAATAATTTTTTCAGGAAGAAATGGGAGAACCGAAAACTTTCCCGCCGGAACAAAAGTCGGTCGGAGTGAGGGGCGATTCCAAGAGCACTCCGGTCTCGCTGGGCGATCAGCAGCTGATGTATTCATAAAAGGTCCGACAATAAAATTGTGAATTCTTATTTTCAGATTCACTACGGAATATACACAAACAAGTCTGTCCCTCAAGTACGTAGTCGCCTTCGCCGCTTGCCAATTCTCCGGTCCAATTGCGGTCGCCTATTCCCCGAAACCCAATTTCTGGTACATTTGGATAAAAACCATCAGCGGACGCATTCTGAAGCAGCACATGGCCTTCAATGACCCGATTTCGATGGAATGGACTCGTGCCCACTGCCTTCTCGTCCTCAACAAACCCGGCCGTGCTCATTTGTTCTCGTCGCTCGGGGAGAAAGTTTCCGAAGTGGCTTTCGACACCCAAATGTCGAATGACGTATATGAAAGCCGTACATTTGCCACGTCACGCGGAGACAGCGGAATCGCGGTTATGGACAAAGAGGGACAAGTTTCCGTCGTCAATTCAGTTTCGGAGCCTGTCATCTGGAGCATGAAGCCTCCTTACACCGAGCTACCGACTGCGTGGACCGCATTCCAGCCGCATTCACAATTGACGCACATTCTTTTGATCTTCGAAGCCGTTTTCCTGATGGGATGCCAGGGAGAGGCCTTGACAGTGCAGCATCATGCTTCTGCTTGGGTGGATGCGAACACAAAATACGTCCGTTGCGTCGTCGATGATGCCCGCAGTCGAATTGCCATGATGACCGTAAACGGAAAGATTCAAATTGTTTCCATCGATCTGTCCACGTGTTTCTGCAGCGTTGAAGTCAAAGACTACGACATCGCAGAGTGCATCAACTTCGGATGGACGGGAACCTCCGTCGTTTTCGTTCAGATGTCTCCCGCCTTTACCATCTTTATCAATGTGAGCTCTCGTCGGAGATCTGAAGATAAAGTGTTGATCTACGAGTGAGCTCTTTGTTCGGAATCTCTTCTTATACACTTTTTTCAGAAAGATGACAGAAAATGCTCGTATCAGCGTGGAAACCGACGGTATTCGCATTTTCGAAAGCACACGCGTTGAATTTGTCGAAGCAGCGAGCAGAGAAAAGATTGCAGTACTCACGTATAATTCGACTGAGGATGGAGCACATTTGTACAAGGCAGCTCAGGAACTAAGTCAGGGCACTGGACACAACTCGTTCGCTGCTTCCACAATCATCCAGAACATGTACAATGCGATCAACGACTGCATCGGAACCGCATGTGACACGTGGAGTCCGGATGAGCAACAGATGCTTTTGCGGGCGGCTCGCTTAGGAATGGCCTACACGAACACGACTCCCGACACGACAAAGCTGATGAGGGCGATCAAGGAGATCCGAGTGCTGAACGAGCTGAGAGAAGTCAGAACGGGCATTCCACTCACCCATCGACAGTACCAAATGATTGGCGAAACGTGCCTCATCAACCGGCTCATTGACATCGGCTCGTACGGAGTGGCCATCAATGTGGCTCAGTGGCTGAACGGAGAAACCAGCGAGAACGTGGATCGTGTGTTGATGGAGTGGGTGAGACGGGCCATCAGTAAAGTTGCGAACAGCAGCATCCGACCAGCTCAACAGGAGCTGGAGGCTCTCGAGGAGAAGATTTCCGCCAAACTGCTTCAGTTCCCTCACGTGTCTATCGCCGACGCTGCTCGGAAAGCAATTGATGCAAAACTGCCCGAACTAGCTCGTCTGTTCATCCGCCGCGAAAGTGATGATGAGAACCACGTGGCAGTCCTGCTTCAGCTGAATGACGTTTCGGCGGCACTTCAGAAGGCTGCTGCTTCTCAAAGACCGCAGCTAATTCACCAGGTCGTTCGTCACTTGATGACGAGCGAGAGCCGATCCAGCTACGAATTGGCGATCAGCCGGATACCTCTTGCTCAGTGTCTCTATCAAGATCTCGTGCGACAAGAGGGGGAGACGAGAGGAACGTCTTCTCGGCAGATGCTCGCACTTCTGGAGCAGGCCAGCGATTTCGAACGGCAGACACTGTTCCACTTTGATGTCGCCGAGACGGAGAGAAATGTATAGAAACAGACGATTCTTATTTATCTGAATGTTTTTTTTTTCAGCCGGACGAACGATTGAATGCACTGAAAAGAGCAAAAGACGCAGCAAAGAGTATGGGCGACAAGGCGATCGAGGAGATTCTGAGCGACGTCAGTGCTTTCGCTCCGTTGCAAATACAACGAGGACAGGCGGATTTGTCCGTTAGGGACAATGTCATCGAAATGGCTCACGACGCGGCGAAAGTTGCTCAGCTGAAGCATCAAGCACGGCTGACCGACAAGCAGTGAGCCTACCGTGAACCGTCAGATTTGTAATTACATTTTCAGAGTTTATTTGTGGACAATCGAGGGATTAGCCAAAAAGGGAAAGATGGAGCAACTTTTCGATATGGCTCAGAAGAAGTCGCCGGTCGGATATGCTCCGTTTGTAAAAGCCTGTATGCGATACAAACGGTTCGATGAAGTCAAAAAGTACTTTGCCAAAGTGAACGGCTATCCCGATCTTGTCGCCGCCCACATGGCAATGAAGTGAACTCATTCAAATTTTTTTCTGTAACCGAAATTATTTAGGAACTTTGTGGAAGCTGCCAAGTTGGCGTACGACCGTCGAGATCGTGAAGTTCTTCACGGGATCCATATGAAATCGTACGAAGATCTGAAGCAATATGGACAGGTCGGGCAGCTCTTGAGATCGCTCTCTTCGTAGTAATATATTTTTTGTACATATAATCGTGAATCATTCAAATTGTGATACTTTTCTCCTATTCTATTCATTTTTATACGAGTCAATAAACTGTTTTATGTGCCTTATATTCTCCGCGTCCACGTTTTTATGTGTTCACAGCGTTCCCTTGCGCTGGTTTAAATATATTGATTTCTCCCTTGTTTCCATCTAAACTTCCTCATTTCCAGCCGAGATGTCGGCCTCGAAACTGTGGTCTTGCACTGAAACAGTGCTCAATGGAGGCATCAAACTGTTCCTTTACTCGTCCAAAACGACGAAATTGCGCGTGGCCATCGGAGAAGTGCCCGGTCCGATGGTCCACGGCGCCGTCTCGTTCGTCACCGAAGCGGACTCCGACGACGGACTCCCGCACACTCTGGAGCATCTCGTGTTCATGGGAAGCAAGAAGTATCCGTTCAAGGGAGTACTCGACGTCATCGCCAATCGGTGCCTGGCCGACGGAACCAACGCGTGGACGGACACCGATCACACTGCCTATACGCTTAGTACGGTGGGAAGTGATGGGTTCTTGAAGGTGCTGCCCGTCTACATCAGTCACCTGCTCTCTCCGATGCTCACCGCTTCTCAGTTCGCCACTGAAGTCCATCACATCACCGGCGAAGGCAACGACGCGGGAGTGGTGTATTCCGAGATGCAAGACCACGAATCCGAGATGGAATCGATCATGGATCGCAAGATGAAGGAGGTGATCTACCCTCCGTTCAACCCATACGCCGTCGACACCGGAGGCCGTCTCAAGAATCTTCGCGAATCGTGTACGCTGCAGAAGGTCAGAGCCTACCATAAAAAGTTCTACCACCTGTCGAACATGGTGGTGACTGTTTGCGGAATGGTCGATCACAAGAAAGTGTTGGATATCATGGAAAATGTAGAGAAGGAGCATCTTGCGAACGTTCCTGCTCACTTCCCCACTCCATTCTCTTTCGCTCTTCCGGAAATCAAGGATTCGAGTGTGCACAAAATCCAATGTCCGACGGACGATGCTTCGAGAGGATCCGTGGAAGTCGCTTGGTTCGCTCATCATCCATCCGACCTAGAAACCCACTCTTCTCTTCACGTTCTCTTCGATTACCTTTCGAACACATCAGTCTCTCCACTCCAAAAAGATTTCATTCTGCTCGAAGATCCGCTCGCCAGCTCCGTCTCTTTCCACATCGCCGAAGGTGTCAAGTGTGACATGCGTCTCAACTTTGCGGGTGTTCCTGTTGAGAAACTCGAGCTAGTCGGCCCGAAGTTCTTCGATAAAACGGTCCGTGAACATCTGGAAGAGCCCCATTGGGACATGGAGCGCATGGGATATCTGATCGATCAGAGCATTCTCAACGAACTCGTCAAGTTGGAGACCAACGCGCCGAAGGACATAATTTCGCACATTATTGGTCATCAGCTCTTCGACAACGGAAACGTGGAGCTTTTGAGGAAGCGCACCAACGAAATTGACTTTTTGAAGAAGCTGAAGACAGAGCCCGCTGCCTATTGGGTCGCCCTTGTCAAGAAGTACTTCACTGCTCCTAACGCTACTGTCATAGGAGTGCCAGATGAAGAACTCGTTGAGAAAATCGCTAAAGAAGAGGAAAATCGGATTGCCGCTCAGTGCGAAAAGTTAGGAGAAGATGGACTGGAAGAAAAAGGGAAAATTCTCGAGGAGGCGATCAAAGAGAACACGGCCAACCATCCGAGCGCCGAACTTCTCGATCAACTGATTGTGAAACAGCTCGAAGCTTTTGATCGATTCCCTGTCCAATCGCTCACTTCGGGCTCTCCGTCTCTGACTCCGCAACAATCCGTTTTCCTGGCCCAGTTCCCATTCCACGCCAATCTGCACAACTGTCCCACCAAATTCGTCGAGCTCAACTTCCTTCTCGACTCTTCCAACATGTCCATTGAAGATCGCAGTCTGCTCTTCCTCTACACTGACCTGCTCTTCGAATCTCCCGCAATGATCGATGGTGTTCTTACTTCTGCGGATGACATTGCGAAGCTCTTCACGAAGGATCTCATCGATCATTCCATTCAAGTCGGAGTCTCCGGTCTCTATGATCGGTTCGTCAGTCTCCGCATCAAAGTGGGAGCGGATAAGTATCCGTTGCTCGCTAAATGGGCTCAGATCTTTACTCAGGTGAGCATTTTACTTTTTCTGGATAATCTTGACGTTTCTTGTTTTCAGGGCATCGTGTTCGACGCGTCTCGAGTTCAAATGTGCGCTCAGAAGTTGGCTGGTGAGGCTCGCGATCGGAAAAGAGACGGATGCACTGTCGCTTCCACGGCCGTCGCATCGCTCGTTTATCAGAAGAGTATGGACCTACGAACACAGAATAGAAACATCCAAGTGCCTTGTTTTCAGATACAAACTGTCTTCTGTTCGATGAATTGGTTCTCGAGAAACTGCACGAGAAGCTTTCAAAGGAAGCCGTCAAGAATCCAGATTCTGTGATTGCGAAACTCGAGAAAGTTCGCAGTGCGCTCTTCTCAAGTGGAATCAACGTTCATTTCATCGCCAACGTCGACAGAATTGATCCAAAACTTTTGGGCGCTAACCAGTGGTCGTGGGTTCAAGCCGACAAACGGTTCGGAAAAGGAGAAAAGTTTTCGGCGTCTGCTGGAGAAGGAGTCGCTCTGCAACTCGGAAAGCAGCTGTTGATCGGTGTCGGAGGCTCCGAGTCCTCGTTTATCTATCAAACTGGGTTTCTGGATGCCGATTGGAACTCTGATGTGCTCATTCCGACGATGGTCTTCGGACAGTACTTGTCGCAATGCGAAGGTCCGTTATGGCGGGCCATCCGAGGAGACGGCCTCGCGTACGGAGCCAACATCTTTGTGAAACCAGATCGGAAGCAGATTACTCTCAGCCTCTTCCGATGTGCTCAGCCGGCTCTCGCGTACGAGCGGACCAGAGAGATCATTCGCAAGATTGTGGAGAGCGGAGAGATCTCGGAAGCCGAATTCGAAGGAGCCAAGCGGTCGTTGGTGTTCGAAATGATGAAAAGAGAGGGAACTGTGAGCAGTGCGGCCAAGATCAGCATTCTGAACAACTTCCGAAAGACCCCTCATCCGTACAATATGTATGTAAACTAGTCGTGTAAGATTCCATCCAATCCTCTCTTTCAGCGATCTCTGCCGTCGCATCTGGAATCTGACCTCGGCCGAGATGGTGAAGATCGGAGGTCCTCCGATGTCTCGCGTGTTCGATGAATCCAGCTACGTCCGTTCGATTGCCGTTCATCCGTCGAAGATTGCCGAGATGAAGAAGGCGTTCCCAGGAAGTGCCAAGATCAAGATATCCGACTTGCAGCTCTCCGTTTAGGTTTTTCTCAATGTCTTATTCGTTTTCTTTTTCTTTCGGTTGTTCTTTTTATTTATTGAACTGTTGGTTCCCTTCGCTTTCTTGTTTTCAGAATGAATGTTTTTTAAAATCTTTATGGACCAAAAGTTCAACCTTGGAATTATTCGACAGAGATTTAAAAAAAATGGAATGCAATTAGAATGTTTCGTTTCCGGGAATCTCGAACTTGCCGGAGAACTCTTCGACGCGCTTCGCCAGCTCGGCCACCTCCTGCTTGAATGGTTCGTTCGTCGCCGTGAACGTCTTGAAGTCCTTCAGTGTTTTTCCGGCCTCTGCGTTGTACTTCTTCACGATTTGGATTCCTAAAGGTTTACACATATCACCCGAATCCAAGTCAACTGAGTAATACCTTGATGAATAAAATCTCCGACCTTCTCGAAATCCTGCTCCTTGAATCCGCGAGAAGTGAGTGCCGGAGTTCCAAGACGGATACCGCCTGGTCTGAGGGCGGACACGTCTCCGGGACACGTGTTCTTGTTGCATGCGATGTGCGCCAGATCGAGCACATGCTCCGCTCGAGCTCCTTCCACTCCGATAGGGCGCAAGTCGACCAACAGCAGATGGTTGTCGGTTCCTCCGGTGGCCAGGGCGTATCCGTGCTGCTTCAGCTTCTCGGCCAACGCCTTCGCGTTTTTCAGAACCTGCTCTCCGTACTGCACAAAGTCTTCGGAGAGGCACTGGCGGAGGGCGACGGCGATTCCAGAGATGGTGTGGTTGTGTGGGCCTCCCTGCAGTCCTGGGAACACAGCCGAGTTGATCTTCTCCTCCAGATCATAGAGCGTTTCCACTCCCTTCGCATTCACTGAGCGGACTCCCTTTCTGTAGAAGATCAGTGCTCCGCGTGGTCCTCTCAGGGACTTGTGCGTTGTCGTCGTCACAACATCAGCGTACTCGAATGGCGTCGGAATGAGTCCGGCGGCAACGAGACCGGATATATGAGCCATGTCGGACACCAGGTAGGCTCCCGCCTTATCGGCAATCTTGCGGAAACGAGCGTAATCGAGATGACGAGCATAGCACGAGATTCCTGCGATGACGGCCTTCGGACGGAACAAAAGTGCGTTCTCCTCCAGTTTGTCGTAGTCGATTAGTCCGGATTGTGGGTTCACTTTGTAAGGCATCGACTGGAAGAACTCTGAAGTGGCGGACACTTTGCGGGCCGGAGTGAAGAATCTGAAACGATGAAGTTCTGATGTGACAATCAGGATCAGATTGTGGTGCTCACCCGTGAGTCAAATGACCTCCATCCGGCAGATCAAGACCCATGATGCGTCCATTTGGTCCGACGATGGCGGTGTAAACGGCAAAGTTGGCAGGGGATCCGGAGAGCGACTGCACATTGACTCCCCACTTGGCCGGGTCTAATCCGAACACTTCGAGTGCTCTCTTCTGACACAGCAGCTCCATCTGGTCGATAAACTCGTTTCCTCCGTAGTAACGGGCTCCCGGGTATCCTTCGCTGTACTTGTTGCACATCGCCGAGCCCAACGCATCCATCACGGCCTTGCTGGTGAAATTTTCCGAGGCGATCAATTCGAGTCCACGACGCTGTCTACTCTTCTCGTTCTTCATGATACTGAACACTTCTGGATCGACTTTCTCGACATGGTCACGCAGAATGTTCTCGTTGTTGGTGTACTTGAGACGGTGAACTGGCACCAGAGGAGTGTGCACTTGACGATCGGCCATTTTGCACTGAAAAGAGTGAACGTATTTGTAGAGAGTAAGGAGAACACAAAAACGGGGAAGTGCGTTGGCAACATGTCGCCGCTGCATGTGAAATGAGCGAATGGGAAGCGAATTAGAAACTGGATCGAGATTTGATAATATCTTTAACCGGGAAGTGTTGCTTCAGCTGTCACATGCTAAATTTGTTATAAGACAGATATTATTCCAAATGGACAAGCAGAGATCGCCAGCTTGTACGGAATTATGCAGCGGCAAGAGATCGAAAAACCATTGTAAAGGACATGCAGAACGTCCATAAACGCCCGTGCCGATACCAAAGCAAAACCCTTACAATGAAATGTTCTGCAAAACAGCCTCCCTAACAGATACGAACAAAGCCAAATATTTTTCGTTCGAAAAAGTGCATGTTCGGCAGTCAACATGTTTTCAGGCGGCATGCACATTGAAGAGCGACGGCAGCGACTGGACACTTATCTGTCTCTGGTTATCAGAAACAAGTAGACAGGACGGGAATCGGTCAATGAATGTCGATGCCAGGACAGCCGATGGACACGACGAAGAGCGAATAGATCAGTGCGATAAGCGCCGCGAATTTTTATGATGAAGATCACTTTGTGATCAGTGACACACATTGAACGAAGCAGTTTGAGAACTGCCACGGGAATGGAAGTTTGAGCTTTCACGAAGTTTTTCTGAATATTTATCGCTCAGTTTTGTCAAAATATTTTTAAATTCAAAACTTCCATGCCTGGCGCCAACGCTAAATTCCACGCGATAATGCACACAAACCTGTGATTGTGCTCCGGCTAAAATGCCGGAAACTGTCCGTCTGCTGACTGCTCTCGCGAACATTTTCGAATCTGGAAAAGGAAAAAATAATGGAAGAACTCTTCAAAAGAAGACGTGAAGAAGGGAATCTATCGATCGGCTGAAGTTCTTATCAGTCTTATCAGCGTGTCTATTTCGTTGCAAATAACACAACAATCAAATGAGAAACTCGCCTATTTTATTGCAATTTGGAAACGAAAACCAAAGTCAGATGGAAATGACTAAAAACGAAATGAGAACAAAGCTCTTCCTTTTTCCCTTTGGTCGGTTTCAATATAGCAAACGTGTTGCGAGTACTATCTCCGCTATCACCCCACGTTTAGAGAGCACAAGGTCAATAAAAAAGAACTATTCATTTGGCTGTTGGATAAGCAAGATGGCGATAAAAAAGACACACGAGGGGAACCGTCGGAGAAGAGGAAAATCTAGAGAGCCGTGTCGAATAAATAAGTACAACATTACACATATTCAAAGAGGGAGACTAGAAAATAAGCAGGACATTCTGGTGCTTCACATGCCGTCATACTTCGGTCCACCGCCGCTCTCCGGGGTGACCCAGTTGATGTTCTGCTGAGGATCCTTGATGTCGCACGTTTTGCAGTGGATGCAGTTCTGCGCGTTGATCTGCAGGCGCTGCTTCGTCTCGTCCGCCTCCGAAGGCACAAACTCGTAGACTCCTGAATACGAAACGATTCTTATTGTACATTTATATTAGGCGCTTACCAGCAGGACAGAAGCGGGCTTCCGGTCCTCCAAAGGTGGCGAGATTCACTTCCACGGGCACCTTATCGTTCTTCAGAGTGAGATGGGCTGGCTGGTCCTCGGCGTGATTGGTTCCAGTGAGTGAGACAGAAGTGAGCAGGTCGAAGGTGAGCTTTCCGTCTGGTTTTGGGTATTCAATTTCCTTGGCGTCTTTCACTGGGATCAGTTTCTCGTTGTCCTTCTTTCCGTGTCCAAGAGTCCATGGCTCGAGTCCTCTGCCGAAAACGTAGAAGAGACCCGAGTAAATTAAACCTCCAATGTATCCGAGAGAAGTGTTGAACGACGGACGGATGTTGCGGGTCGCCTTGAGCTCCTTGACCACATACGTGTCTCTGACCTTCTTATCGTATTCGACTGGGTCCACCGTTTGCACGTCGTCTCCCTTCTCCTGAATCTCTTTGAAAATCGCCTCGGCAGCGACCATCCCACTCTTCATTGCGTTGTGAGTTCCCTTCAGCTTTGCGACGTTCAAGAATCCGGCAGAGCATCCGACAAGGCAGCCTCCGGGGAAGTGCAGTTTCGGAATGCTCTGGAATCCTCCCTCGTTGAGGGCACGTGCTCCGTATCCGATGCGCTTTCCTCCCTCCAATTGTTTGGCAATTGACGGATGTGTCTTGTACTTTTGGAACTCTTTGTACGGATTCATGTAAGGATTCGAGTAGTCGAGAGCGACGACGAACCCGACGGAAACGAGTGGCTGGCCGGCATCTTCAATGTGATAAAGGAACGATCCTCCGTACTGATCGACATTCTGAAAACAAAAGAGTTCATTAGAAAGTTTCCACTTCTAAAGGTTACCAGTGGCCATCCCATCGTGTGCTCGATGTATCCAGGCCGGTGCTTGGCCGGATCGATCTCCCAGAGTTCTTTGAGTCCGATTCCGTAGGTCATTGGATGCGTTCTCAAATCGAATTTGTCGAGAACCTGTTTGCTCAGATGGCCTCTGCAGCCCTCCGCGAACACAGTGCACTTCGCGTGGAACTCCATTCCTCTCGCGAATCCGTCCTTCGGCGCTCCGTCCTTTCCGATTCCCATATCACTCGTCGCGATTCCCTTCACACTTCCGTCCTCATTGTACAGAACTTCCGACGCGGCGATCTCCGGCCACACTTCCACTCCAGCGGCTTCTGCTTGCTCTCCGAGCCATTGAACGACTTTTCCGAGTCGGACAATATAGTTTCCGTGGTTGGCGAGAGGCACTCCCGGGAACACTGGCACTGGAATTCGGCCCTTTTCGGTGAGGATCGCAATGGATTCCGAGGTGACTTTCTGGAAGACTGGCGCTCCGAGCTCCTTCCAATTCGGAATCAACTCGTCGAGGGCACGCGTTTCAATCACGGCTCCCGAAAGGGTGTGTCCTCCGATTACCGCGGCCTTTTCGACTACACAGACGCGGAGTTCTGAAAGGAAAATCATATTGAAGAACTCAGAGACGATTCTCAAACCTTTCTGAGCTTTCTCAGCCAACTGGCGAAGACGGATGGCGGCCGAGAGTCCGGACGGACCTCCTCCGACGATGACCACGTCGAAAACGTCGCTTTCTCTGGCCATATCGACGTCCTTCCATCTCGGATCCGCGGCCCGATCCTTGACCGTGTAGTGCGTCGTCGTCCATTGCCCATTCACCACATTTCGGAATTGCGACGAAGCGCGGAACAACGTGACTCCGCTTATTCTCATTCTGAAATGATTTTGAATTTGGCATTGAAGAAAAGAAGACGTGGAATAAATATAAAAAGATGCGAACGTGTATAGTGGGCCAGACACGATGGGAAAACAAGTGAATCAATAGAGAAAGAGAGACGAGACGTGGCCGTTCGAATGGGAAATAAGTCAACAACTGCAGTTGCAGTAGCCGATTGACAACAAACTGGATTCTATCAAAATCGAAACTTTTGTTTTGTAGTATCAAATGAAAAGGTAAAGAAAATGGGAAAAGGTGTGTGTACGTGTTGAGAAAACGGGAGAGATAAGGGGGCAGACGGGGCAAAGTACAACGAACGGAGGGCCACGGGCGACAGGCTACACTTTAGACACCTCGGCCGAATGCCGGAGGGTCGAAGTGCGAGACGACAACGTGGTGGGAAAAGTTCTTTGATTTTGAGAAACGGAAATTAAAACCTCTGAAAAACCTCAAGTCTATACTATTTAGGCCTAGCTTTTCGCAAAAAATACTCAAAAACTAGAGTCTTCAAACCCTTTCAAAGTGACCTGCTTAGTAAACAACGGCTCGCCAATATAACCAGAACATCAAAGATCACAAATCACAAATCGATCATTGCAAAATACACGAGGATGTCTCCACCCGTTCTTTCGTTTTCCGAACTTTGAATTCAGTCATAATTTCATTAAATACATAGATACTAACATGCAACTGAAAAGCAATGAAAAACCGGATAAAGAGATCGTTTTTGGGGTGGATTAGAATGAAATATCATTTAGTTGGAGAACAAAGAAGAATGAACTCCGTTTTCAAATAGAACTGGCGTTTGAATTGAGAGTAAATTGAAAGTATATCGGCGGAACGATCAGTTAATCGGAGGCTTCTTCGGCCTGCTCGACACCTTCTTGTCCGGGAGGAGCGCCTTTCCCTTTCCACCAATTCGTGAATTTGGCTTTGACTCGACTGCCCGTCTCTCCTGGAATATCTCAAAGTCTGAAAGCAGACAACCTCTAGTTACCTATGCTAGTTCCCAGATTCTTTCCAGCAGTATTCACAGTTCCGAACACTTTCGACGCTCCTTCCACTCCGTTCACAGCATGCTCGAACTTCAGGTACACATCGTACACACCCATTTGCTCGGAAAACATGTGCCTGAAGAGGAGATACTTTTTTCTTTTCTTTTTTTTAATTCTAGTATACCCCGGTGGCACGGATGACAAATCCTCATGCTTGCTGGCCATCCAAATTTTATGGTTCTTCGTCCTCCGCCATTCATTCACAAATGCGACTCCGAAGTGGGGGACCGCCGCCTGCAGGTCCGATCTGGAGGTCGCCACCAATCCGAGCAGGTAGTTCTTCATTTGCAGCCGTATCCATTCGTCGCTTCCGTCGAACTCTGCCGTGCTCGATTTCACTTGTTCTTCCACTTTTTTGAGTACAAAATCGGCGAATCGAAGGTCGGCAGAGGTCAATGAAACTATCCGTTCGAGGGCGGCGTCACCGACGAACTCGATGTGATTGTGGACGAGTGAGCCGTCATCTTCTATCTGAAAATTATAAAGTTTACAAACTTCTGAGCATCAAATTGAGACAACCTTGACAATAACGTCGAACAGATCCTTTTTCATCGCAAAAAGAGCATTGGTGGCTCCGAGAATACAACTGCGAACTTTGGAGATGGAATCGATCGATTGAATGGAGAGATACGGATCGAAAGAAGAGCCTTGAGTGAAGAGACTGATCGGGAATCCGCACGAATCCTTCTCTTTCAGAGGATCGTTTCGAGCGAGAACCACCCCGACGTCTTCTTCTATCACTATTTCATTGGGTTTCTTAACAATCGGCGGCATTTTTGGTATTTCAGGCGACTGGTTGAGACTTATACTTGAGTAGAATAAGCCCTCTTCCAAAAGTTCTGAAAAATTAGAATTTAGCTCTAATGCGAACAAATCGTGAGTTTTACTCGGAAACATGGAAACGATGGCCAGCATGGTCTCCCCTAACCGCAATCCAGTCGGCGCGATGAACAGAATCTTCCGTTCTAGAAGGAAAAGTTTGAAGAGGAGAAGAGCACGATGCCGAAATCGGATGAACAGCTCTTGGATAGAGATTTCTGAAACTTCAGATGGAAGTTGAGATATTTGGAGATGGCGTTCAAACCGTGATGCGCCAGATTCGAAAAGTACTCTCCGGTCAGGTTTTCATCGAAAATATCACACAAATTTGTGTACATTTGAGCCAGAACTTCGACTTTGGAAAAGTCTTTCTGCTCAAAGTACGCCTGCGTTATCACTTCCAATTTGGCCTTCAATGGCCCGAAGAGGGGTATCCGGGAGATGACGCAGACGGCTTTTTGAACACTGGCACGGGTTACGTCGTCGGGCTTCGCAATCAGTTCCTACAGAGTTATACATAGAAGTAGGTATTCAGAAGGTTTATTCTATTTCCTTACATTTGCATCAATTTGGCGGTAGCAGGAGATGCCGAATACACACTTTCCGGGCTCTTCCCGCGAAGGCAGCAGAAAGAATATCGTGTCTTTCTGGCAATTGTGCACTCCATCCGGAAGTGCTAGCGACGGCAGAAGATGCCATTCGTCGGGAAGACCCGCCTCTCCGGCGCCGTCCAACTTCGGATGAGAATATTCTACCTACAAAGGGACCTGTCATGTTGAAATCCACTATTTTGAGGGAAAGTGTGCTATTTTGTACAAAACAGTTATGAAATGATGTTTTTCTTCCCTTTCAAAACATTTCTGATTCCCCCGTTTCCTCGATCGATATCTCCTACCTCACATCCCCGTTTGTGATGAAAACTGACGACGACGACATTCAGAATCGGGTGCATTCGTGGTACACACTGAAAACCTGGGCGCTCACTTTCCACTTCCGTTTGTGCCAGTACACTTTTCAAACATTTTTCTATGGTCCGACATGCCAATTTAGATTCGCTTACAAGTGAATTCAAGACGAGGATGAGTTAAAATAATATATTTATGAGATTTTCAGATTTTTCCAGCGTTTTTCGAAACGAAGTTTGCACTTTGATAATGTTGAAAAAGGAGAGCAGGGGAATGGATGTTGGCTGTTTGCAGGAAGGGAACCAGTCATTCAGTTGTCGGTTGGCTGCCAACAAACACATCAAATACACCACAAAATGGAAGAAAATGGAAGGAGAAGATCTCAGGGGTAACCAGACATTTACAGGAGAAGAAAATGTGGAGAACAAAAGAATACAGTCCGTCTCATAGAAAAAAGGTCAGGGAGATTTCAGAAAAAACACAAAAACTAGTTCTAGTCATCTTCTGAAATCAACCATCGTGCAGAGAATGGATGACTTTTTGAAAGTCAGTGGGGAACGAATCCAGAGATCCAGTTAAGCAGGGAGCACAAGCTCCAAAGTGGAAAATGGGGGAATTTGATGAGATTTATGGTGCTAAACTCAAGTGGGGATGAATTTTTCGATGAAAGAAACGACATGTGAGAGAATGTGGAAGAAATGGAATAGTTCGGAGTCTGAATGACCGAAAGAAATGAAAATGGAAATGAAAATTTGAGTGATTGGAAAGGGGCAACTGGGCGAGCAGTTATGTGTTGACAAGCCACGGATTCTTGGCAATCGTCTCGGCCGACCGATCTCCGTAGTCGTAAAGCAGCTCTTCTCCCAACGCGATGTTCCGCTTCGCCACAAGTATCAGATGGTGATTTCCGTCGATTTCTACCACCTGAAAATCAGGAAATGTCATTCAATTCGAAAAGCGACATCTCCAACGAACTCACCTTCGTCCTGAGATTGGGCCGGAGCACCGAGTGATTGATGAGCCGTCCTTTCCACGGCGACTCCTTCGTCGCATCCACACACCACTTCTTGTTGTTGTGTTGGAAAAAGTACATGTAGGAGCCGATCTCCTCGTCGGTCGAATACTGCTCTTCCAGCACCTTGGCCTCCGAGTACTCCATCATAACACCTGGAAAGCTTCTCGATTTGTACTACCTGTCTTCTACTACCCTTCCAAATACCTCTGTACTCGACGACAAAGTCTCCTTTGTTGAAATTGACCTTCGACCGGATGCCTCTGCCTTTCACCGCGTCTTTGTAGATCTCTAGAAGACGTTCGTTCGTTCCCTTCAGGACCATGTTCCGGAGAGCATCGTGCGATTCGTCCTGCAGCTGTTTGCTCGTCTTCCGGCTGCTTCGTCGTACTTGGAAGTATTCTGTGATTTTGTGACTCGGCGACTCCTTCACCGCGACTGCTTTCTTTCTGAAAATGTCGCGAGTCATCAGAATTCTTGAATCCAGTCGATTAACTTACCTTCCCCTTGCATTTTTCTTCGGAGTTGTTTTGGCGGCTCGTGGAACTGGCTGATCAGCATTTTCAATGTCACTCGATGGCGACGCAGTGCATGCTCGATCCTTTCGCGTTCTCGTCGCTGCTGTCTTTCTCGCGGCAACCTTCATATTTCGTGGTTCAACTGGAATAGTTCGCTTGATGAAAAGTGAGCGGCGGAGAGAATAAAGCGGAAATAATGAGTGATTACGAGAAGGATTGTAGGAAATGGAGGAAGCAAACGTCATGGGAGTTCTTGTTATTCATAACCGTAAAGCAGATTTTCGTTATAATTGGGGAGAAGCGCTGCCAACCGACAGCAGACAGCTTTTTCCGCCGGAAAACAGGAAGAACTTGAAGAAGTGAAAATTTACAACGGAGACGCGCTAACCAGAATCTAAGTAACTCTGTATTCAGTTTCTACAGATGTGTCACATGATGCAGGAAACAAAAAGGGGGGGGAGATGGTCGCCCTGGTGCACGGCCGTGCGCATTCAAACACCAATGGTTTTGACGGGTGGTGCAACAGAGCGCACTTTCAAAATTCGTGGTAAGTCCCGAAAAGAATCTGACCAAAGCCTAATTTTGGAGTGATGACGTATATGTTGCACATCATCTGATGATTCACAAATGCTAGAGCACGGGCAGTAGCCGGAAGAGAGGATACGAAAGAGAAACATTAAAAAGTGCAGCTTCTCATCCGTCGAGCGGGGGGAGCTCGTGTGTTTTGCCGGAAGTGAAGAAGATAGGAAGGAAGGAAGAACATTAGTTTCGGTCGGCAATCTGCATGGGCGACGACGCGGCAGACACAGCCAAGCGCTGGTTTATGGCCGACGACGGCCGTGCTAATCGATCGTCTTTGAATGGGTAATTAGGAAGCTTCGGGTAAGGAGATACCGTTGGAAGAAGCGAAACGGCTCGGCGAGATCGATAAAAGAGCAAAGACGGACAAACAATGGCTCTGGCCGTCCGCCCGTTCGTTTTGGTTGTTTTGTTAAGCTTACGTCACCAAGAAGGCGGGCATAATTGGAGTTGTGGGAGACTTCCTGAAGGAATCGATAGTCTCGAAGGTGGAACGCATTGACGGCTTCGTATTTCTAGAAGGAGAGACGAAGAGGAGTGATGCCGGGCTTGCTGTATGATCAACACACATAACAAACAGGAATGCACTGCAGGACGACTGTGAGGAGTCGCAGAGAACTAAGGACGCCGCGATGAACACGCCAGCCGGCCATGCTTGCGCCTTTCGCGTTCCCGCTCCGCCCTCGTTACGCATTCGATTTTCCTTTTTGAACTTCGGTGCTCCAAATGACTTGTAGTCTTAGAAATAGCTCATTGCTTTGTTCAAACCCTACAAAACAAAGTCTATTATCACAATACCTTTTTGCCTTCGTTTTGTTGTTAGTTTCACATTTGCACTTTTAGTTTACATAGATTCATAACACAAAAACATTGAAAAACATAAACATTTAGGGTTGACAAGACAGCATCAACAGCAAAACAAAAGAAATTCACCAAACTTCACGGCGTTTTCAGCTTGATACCGTAATCTTTGTTTTTGTTCTGCGCCTTTAAATTTAGGCTTGACTGTAGCTACCCGCTCAAATCTTAAATGAAAATATCACTCTGCGCCTTTAAGTTTTATAAGCAAAGCCGTTTTAAACCAACCGAAAAAATTCATTTCTCATTTTCAACGTTCTCTGAAAAACTAACGGTCTCAATAACAAATTTTTTCGTGATGCATACGTTTTTTAGATGCCGGCGAAACGAAAATCAAATGGAAGCACCAGCGGCACCAAGAGGAGCACGAAAACAACGAGAAAACAGTCAAACTCTGATGATAACGAGCAAAGCGGATCCGAAGACGAGAATAATGTCGAATTCGACAAAAGCAAACTTCAGAAGGCTTTCAAATTTGATTTCGAAGAACTTATGGCCGATCCCTTGTTCAGTCATCCAGAGTTCATTCATACAATGGAACCGGAAGACTTGACGATTGAGTTTTTCGAAAAAGAGGGACTTGATAAGCCGATTCACTTCAGATGTGATCCGAAAAGAATAGGCATGACGTAAGTTCTGAACATTTGCAAAAAATGATTATCTGTTTCAGTCTGCCACCATCGTCATTCTCAGTAGACGACGTCTTAGAGTTAGTTGGTGGGAATCGGATGATAGAGGTTGTACAGGTGGAAGATCAGGGAAGCGTCAAAATGTCCCTTCAGGAGTTTGTCGACTTCTACAAGTGAGTTTCCGTGAACTCAGTGACACACTTATTATAGGAGCATCTCACAGAAATGGCGCTCTGTTCGCAATCTGGCCGAATTTCTAGGCCGCGAAGTAATGTTCCACTGAAAATGGGGTTTACTTTTCAAACTCGGCCCCGAGGTCACTCCATTTGCAGTGCAAAAACAGTTTCACAACGGAGCGCCATTTCTGTGAGGTGCCCCTATAATACTAAAGCGTTGTTTTCCAGAACACCACAAAAAGATCGCAAAAAACTGTACAACGTTCTCTCGCTGGAGTTCTCATTGACTCCGCTCGAAGATCTTGTCAAATCGCCTTTACTTGTTCGTCAAATTGACTGGGTGGGAACACGCTGGCCAGACGCTCTCCGTCAGCGATGGATTTCGTTCAACGGAAGAGAAAAGAAGCAGTACAATCCTCACCACACATTCCCGAAAGTGCAAAATTACTGTCTGATGAGCGTCTCCAAGTGCTACACTGATTTTCACATCGACTTCAGTGGGACTTCGGTCTGGTACCACGTCTTGAAGGGACGCAAAGTGTTCTGGTTGATACCGCCGACGGAAACCAACTTCTTCATCTACCAGGAGTTCATCAAAACAGTCGGCGATAACGCGTTCTTTGGAAAGACCGTCGAAAAGTGTCACATGGCGATACTGGAGCCGGGAGACACGATGCTCATCCCCAGCGGATGGATCCACGCAGTATACACTCCAGATGACAGCCTCGTTTTCGGAGGAAACTTTCTTCACTCTCAGTCTTGCAAAACTCAAATCAGAGTTTATCAAGTTGAGAACAAGCTGAACGTATGTATCCCTCAAAGCTCTGAAATGCTCAAGCGCTATTTTAGATCACCCGTAAATTCCGACTACCATACAACGAGGAGCTCCTGTTTTACGTCGTCGCCGACTACGTTAAAAAGTGGACAGGTCGGGAATACGTGCGTCCGCTTCGAATTGAAGATGCCAAAATGGATTACGTGGGAGAGAAGTGGCAAGCAGCCGGAGGACATCATCGCAAAATAATCTATTCTGACTACGAGACAGGCGTCGAACTGACGAATGAGATGATTGGAAATGAGGAAGGAATTGCTAAAGATGGTAAAGAGAGGGAATAGAATGGGCGAAACAAATATGAATAGTTAAAGAAGTCAAAGTGATTGCAATGCACGCCGAGAACTCGATGTTCGGTAATCCGAATCCTATGATCAGTAAGATGGCGTTCGCGGCGGAAATGGGATTGGAGGCGGAAGCGGAGGACGACGATGAGGAGAAGTACACAGAGACGAAAGGTTTAAAACGGAGATGACTTTAAAAAGCAACACTAAGATATTCAGAAGACATGGAAATTCGGAGAGACGCTGAGATTGACGAACTCGCCCGCACGAATCCGCTGATCTTCTACAAAAACTCGGTTCGCTCTCGCATTCCGCATTTCTCAAATCATTCGCAATTCTTCTAGAAACATGACTTCATCCGCAACAAGTGCGTCCCCGATCACAAACTCCCGATCGGGCACGAGCCACCGATCGAGTTCATCGCTTCGGAAATCTTGCGAATTTCGCCACGTCTTCTCGAAGAACTAGAAGCACTTGGCAGCTATCTCCGCCGGAAAGCGCGAGTGGAAGTGGCGGAGGGAATCTGTCAACCGGCCTCGCTTCTTCACGCCTTCAACACGGTCCTCAAAAAGCGGCGCGCCGATTTGGTTAGTTTGAAAAATCAATAAACGGAAAAGAAGGGAAAACGAAAAGAAACAAACAGAAAGGCCGTTCGGCGTCTCCGTCTCCCTTTCCCTCCCTCTCTCTCTCTCTTTTCGATTGTCTCTCCACAGGGGACACCACAGTTTTTGTGTGAACCACGTGGGGATACGTCAGAAAGACTGCTCCAGAGTGTTTACAACAGTTATTGATTCGCAAATCGCACTCCGCAGATGGCTATTCAATTCATATCCACCGCTGACTCGCAATGAGCGAAAAACGCAAGAGTTGTACTCGTCGATAATATTCTATCAATCCTAATAGTCGCGTTTAACTGTTTCAGCAATGTTAAAAATGGTCGCGCCGGATCCTCTTCAAAATCTATCTGTATCACAACTATCTCTGTCAATTCTATCTCAAGACACGCAAGCACAAGCACTCTCACTCATCTATTTTGCACTTATTTTGCCATTATGCTACACTAATTTTGATGTTCATGTAATAAATTGCTTTCTGTAGTCATTTCACCAATCTTCCATTCTTTTGTCCATCTTCTTCTGAAGTCTAGCGAGTTTTCCACTTCTCACTATCATTATCTGACCTACATTTTTTCCATAATTTTGACAATGCGCTTAACTGAACATATGTTTGGTTGTGAGCCTTTTACAATTTTTTTTTCGAAAAATGCATCAAATGCCTCTAGTTTTTCGGCAAGATCTTCCAATTTTCAGGAGGGAAGGCCGTTCGAGCGTCCCACACCGATGCCTCGCAGATATGTAAGTTTCGCAGTGTTTTCCCTCTGCGATGGGCCGATCCGGGCTTTTGACCTACATTCACTATTCCTACCGGACCCAAACTTCGTACGATTATCAGTATTCGTTTGAAGTATCTATCTTGAAGCTGTCAGACAGATTTGATCATCTGATCTAGAGATATAGTTATCCACGGCTTAAAAACCTGGTTTTAGAAAGAAACCCGGGTTCTTTAGTCCTAAGTTACTCAACCTCTAATTCAGATAATCTGATTCATCTGACTTCTTAAAGGTAAATACTTCAATTCAAAACTGACAATCATGCAATGTATGGGTCCAATCAGAATACTGGAAGTGCGTCAAAAGACCAGGTCCCTGCTCAGTGCCCATCTCAGTATCAGCCATTTTGAATGGAGAAGTAGTGCAGCTAATAATATATCTTTCAGACAAGATCATCAGTCGAAACGGGCGAATATGCGCCTGAAAGTCCGGAGAGCCCAGAAGAACATTCGAGAAGAGTCTCTCGTTTCAAGGTGGAGGATTTCCCGGATGAACTGCTCGAAATGGACGACGGTCAGCCCGCACTGCCGCACCAGCCAAGCTCTGGGCCTCTCGAGTACATTCCAACGCCGAAAGTGAAAAAGGAAAAGGTGAAACACGAAGAGGATGAGGATGAAGAAGAGGAGGAGGACGAAGAGTACGACGAGGAAGAATACGTTCCGACGGCTCCGTTGACCAGAAGATCCAGCACGAGAAGGTCCTCCAACAATGTGAAGCAGGAGGAGCCGGAAGAGGAGACTCCGAAACAGGAGAGCTCCTCGAAAAAGAAGAAGGACGCTCCAAAAGAGGAGAAGAAGAAGGAGAAAAAGGAGAAAAAGCTGTCGAAAGAGCAGAAAAAGAAGGAACAGGAACGGAGAAAGCTTGACAGCGAGTTGGACGCGGAGCTGAGAGCTGCTCACGGGGGCGGACCTACGAAATCGAAAAAGAAGAAACCGGAGAAGCCGGCGTATGTGGGAGGGCTGCCGACGTCGTCCATACAGACTGCTCCCGTCGTCTCGAATCCATACAACTATGATCCAAAAATGGAAATGGTGAAACTCGGAACTGGGCAGCTCAAATCGGCGTATCGAAAGAGTAAAACTGTAAGACCTTTTCTATTAAATGTAAATTTCATAACAAACGTATTATTTCAGAATGTCGAACTTCACATACAAAAGAATCTGTACAAGCTGGAGCCGAAACGTGGAAGCCAAGATGGAGACAGCCGGGAAGTGAGTGAGGAACCCGATGCCTACACACCGTCTAACATTCCAACGGGAACGGAAGGCGCTGCGAGCAGTAAGCCGATTCTGTTCGATTACTCAGGAATGGACGATTATGACGACTTGAAGCCGCCAGCGAAACGGAGCAAAAGTGAGTAGATTCTTTTCCGAAACGACTTGAAACTGTTTTGTTTTCAGTAGAGCCGATCAGCGTGGACATTGTGGAGACTCCGTCTTCTTCGAAGAGAAGGGATTCCCGTGAGTCTGCTCGTCCGAGCCCTTACACTCCAACTCCGATCGTCGCCACGCCATCTCCATCCAACAACAAACCGAAACACTCTTCTCCGGCAATCTTTTCCCCGTCCATCTACTCTCCATCAGCTGAAACTCCGAAAGCGCACTCGTCGACGGAAAGACGTGGAAGCGATTCGATGCGGAAGGGAGTCTACATGCCGCCTCAGTCCCGTCAGGACAAGCTGATTGCTGAGGCCTCTTCCCGTCATTCTTCCATTTCAACGGAACGTCGTCCGAGCTTCATCCCACAGCTCACTTCGTCCAGAACTCCCTCGACTGAAACCAATGCTCTGTACACTCCAAGTGCTCCCGCTCCGATTAGAGTCAGTCAACCATCCCATTTCGATCTTAACTTTGATTCACGTTTTTTTCAGTCGTCTTGGCTCCCGAACACTTCTGCTCTGAATCGTCGTACCGTCGAAGAAAATGCTCCGATCGATGTGGTCAATGACGTTCAGTCGCCGCTCGACGTGCTCAACTCTCCCGTTCCAGCTGCGATCACTCCGCCGCCCGTCTCTCTTGCCGAGTTCACCAACGGCCGCAAGAACAATCACGAGGAAGGGTAAGCCAATCAGTTTCCTTTTCTCAAGCAGCAGCAGTCATACGCAGTTACAGAAAGAAGCACAGAATGCCAGCAAAGGAAGCGATGGCCGAACTGAAGACGCTCGTCGGAAAGCTGAATTCGCTCAACGACTCCTGACTCTCAGGAGTCCTGAGAATCAAGCACAATATGAACTGATCATCTCTGTTTTAATAAGCCTAATACTTGTTGTTTCACTTCTCCCTGACATTTCCGCCTTTTCCCTCCCCTACCTCTGTTAATCGTGGTCCATTCCCCGTCGCCTTTATCGTATGATCTTACGACCATTTCGTTGTTCACCATACATCCGTTTTCCTATACGATACTCGGCTGTTTTGTCTCTTGTTGAATCCCGATTCTTCTAACCAACCGCAAGAAAGTACACAGTAATATCCCTGCAATTGACTCTTCAAAACCACATTTTCTCCTCTCGAGAGCTTTACTTGCCTTGATGATGAATTCGATTTTCTTTCTGTGTATTCTTTTAAATATTAAGGTAATTGATAAATTATGGTTTAGAGTATTGCAATTGCTCACAATATGGTTTTTAGTTGGTAAACTCCCATATTGTATTTTACTCCGGATCTCTGACTTTTTTCTGAAGGCCTTTCTGCAGGGATAATGCCGAATGATGACGGAGAAAACGATTCGGCTGGGGAAAGGTAAGTTAAGAAGTCGCTTCGAGATCAACTGACGACATTCAGAAGCGAGGTGGCCGTCGTCGTGCTCGGCGATATCGGCCGGAGCCCTCGGATGTGCAATCACGCGAAAATGCTCGCCGACGAAGGATTCGACGTGAAAATCATCGGATTCTACGATTCGATTCCCGGTGAAGTGATCACCGACCATCCGCGAATTAAGTGAGATTCAGAATCGATGAAAAGCAATTTAAATCCCCCATTTCTTCTCAGAATTGTCGGAATTCTACCGCCGCCGGACATGAAATCAGTTCCTGCGATCATCCAGTTGCCAATCAAACTCATCTGGAACTTTTTCACTTTGATCTTCGCTCTCACCTTCCAGTGAGCCTACCTTAATCATCCGGCACCCTTCATTATTTCGTTGCAGGACGAGTTCCTTCCGTCTGCGGATCATCCTCATGCAGAATCCACCGGCTCTTCCCACAATGCTTGTCTGCTACCTGGTTTCCCGACTGAAATGCGCCAATTTCACGATCGACTGGCACAATTACATGTACTCGATCCTCAAGGACAAGTACAATTTGAACGACAAGCAGCTGAAGGAAAATTCTCGCAAAGCACGGTGAGGATACGAATTCTCTTTCGTCAAAACCTACCTGTGATCACAGAATCGTCCGATGCGTTTCTTTCCTCGAAGGACTTTGTGGCCGACTCTCCGATCACAACTTGTGCGTCACCGAAGCGATGCGAGCGGACCTGATTGAAAGATGGGGAGTGAAAGCGACCACGTTCTACGACAGACCGCCCACGTGGACGTTCAAGTACGTTTAAGATACCGAAGAAGGAGATGGCTTTAATTTTCAGAGAAACGACACTAGAGACAGTGCACGAGTTGTACTGGAGACTCTCACAAACTGAGGACATTCTGAAGGGAGAAGGAACGGAAGGAACTGTTCTGACCCGCCGGGACCCAGACGGCTTACCGATCCTCCAACACAATCGCCCCCTCGTACTGCTCTCTTCCACTTCTTGGACTCCGGATGAAAAGTTTGAAATACTTCTGGACGCCCTCGTGGAATACGATGAACTCGCCACGGACTCTTCGAAGAATCTCCCTCGCATTCTGATGATTATCACTGGAAAAGGGCCTCTGAAGACTTCCTATCTGGAGGAGATCCAACGCAAAAATCTCGGAAAAGTGGACGTGCTGACACCTTGGCTCGAAGCAGAAGACTATCCAACTATTCTCGCATCGGCGGATCTCGGAATCTCCCTGCACACGAGTACTTCTGGAGTGGATCTTCCGATGAAAGTGGTCGATATGTTCGGAGCGAAGGTGCCGGTGTTGGCCAAAAGATTCAAGTGCATCGATGAGCTTGTCAAGGTAGAAATGGTAGTTTAGAATAGTTCGAATCTCTTTTTATTTTCAGGAGAACACCAACGGTTATCTGTTCGATGATTCGGAGCAACTGGCTCGTCAGATTTGCGAATTGTCGCGTGGATTTCCTTCAAATTGTCCGGAACTCAACCGCCTCAAACGCAACATGCACGAGTGGGAATTCGAATCCTGGGAAGTGATGTGGAAGAGAAGTGCAGCACCCGGAGCACAACTCACTCTTCCCGATGACAACGGAGCCGCCAAGCTGAGAGCAACTGCCCAAGTGCTCTTCCTGGTTATCATGGCAATAATGCCGATTCATCTCGCAATGGGAACATTCCTTTAATAATTCCAATCGCTTTATTTTGAACTCGTTGATCTTCTGTGACTAATTATTGTGTATAAACAGGAAAATAAAGGTTTTGCATTCATTCGGTTTGGCTTTACATGGATTCAAAATTATAGACAATTTTTATGATTTCAGCGATTAATTAAAAGATTGTTAGTCAAAATTGGACAAAAAAAAAATAATATGAATAAAAGAGAAAACGGGAGAAAGTATGTCTGGTGGCCAGAAGATCCAGCATGAGAAGGCCCGATAACTTATCTATCCCTATGAAGAGAGAGAGTAAAACAGTAAGACATCGTACAAATGTACATTTTTCATATCAAGTTAGTAATTTTCAGATCGGGAAACTTCAAACTCAGTTTTTCTGCACGGACAGTGTCGAATGATAACAGAGGAAACGATTTGGAGGCGACGATTGTCTTATTGATTGGAAACTTCAGGGAAATGGGTTTCGAAAGCAGCTAGCTGCATTTCATCAACTCATGTAAGAAAATGGAAATCATAGATTATATGAAGCTTCTACTTCAGCTCAACAGAACGACAATACACATAAAAAATCTACAAACAAAGAAATAAAGTTTGAAAAAAAAATTGCATTTTTGACCAATTCCGACTAGGTACTCTTGTTTTTCTTGGAGGTCTGAGAGGAACTCTTGTTTCTCTAAGGGGACCATCAAAATAGCAGGAGTACCCGGAATACCGAGCAAGCGAAGCCCCTGCCCAATCTTTGGCCGCTCATGGGTCAAATGAGGGCCTCATATGCCAAACGCTCATGCCGAAAGATGTACCAAACTCACCCTCGCCAACCCGCCGGTTTTGCCTGTGCAATTGGTTCACGTGAAAAGCCCCAATCTAGGGTAATCATAACACTTTCCAATCAGAACACTTTCCAATTGCATAGAATCCTTGTTTTCGTACCGTTTGCACACGGATTGTGTCCGGATGTTCTTAGAGAATTCATCCCGGAATCGTTTTGCTTTCTCTGAAATTTTATTCAAGCGTCAAGAACCACGGGGGGAAGTGAGGGAAACACGTTAAAGTGGGAATTGAGATGCTACAGGAATGTGAGATGTTTCAAATGGTTGCGGTTGATCAGTTTTCGGGCGTCTCTTCGATGATTATCTCGTTGTCCATGCCGTTTTCATCAGCGTCTGCGAGCACCGCCGCATTTTTGGCCGAAAGAGCCTTCTGCTGACGGAGAATCTTCCACTTGTCGTTGATCGATTTGCACTGAAAAGGACAATGAAAAACTGGGCAACTGGGCCTGCGCTTACGTATTCGTAAATAGCTGTCGATTCCAGATCTTTGAGCCCCTTGAGCACGTTATCGGCGGCAATGGTCTTGTGTTTCTGCTCGCGAGCCGCCTCAGTCGACACGTCGGTCAGGTTGATCAGGAAGACGGCGGTAGCTCGAGCGATGACGTCGCGGGCTTCCTTCGACGCGACGATGCCCTCTTCTTTCATGATTCTCGTCACCACCGCCGCCGGCATCATCATCTGAGCGACCCGCTCGTCCAAATCGACCGCTCCAAGTCCGGACATCATAAGTTTCTGAGCTCAGTCTGTTTCTCCTGATCAGATTCGCCGACTCCAAGATATGCTCGATTTCTTTCACGATGTGGCTATTCAACAGATTTGTAAAGCTACTTTTTATTTTTCAACTTGCTCACTGCACGCGTTCGGCGGTGGAACAATGGGGGGTGAAGTAGAGCATTAAAATGTCAAATTAAAGGTAAGAAATGGAGGGAGAGGGAAGAAAACGGTGTTGAGCTAAATAAATAGAATGCAGATTTGGAGAAAGAAGAATTAACAGGTGTGCTCTTTGTGGACCTTATGCCACATAGCTAGCTATAAGGTACACGTTGGATATCAGGTCACATTGAAAAAGATCATAGAGATGGTGTTCAGCGACAAAGGATATTTATCCGGATTTGAAGAGCAGGATGGCGACTTGTCCGAGGTAGAAATAGATGAAGTGCTTCGTCTCGTGGGTCACGTAGCTTCCGAAGTTTCTTCCGACGATGCAGTGCCAGGTTGGGTTGTACTTCTTGTCGAACTCCTTCTTGATGTAAGCGGCGATATCCTTCTCGATATTGTACCTGGAAATTGTACCTTTTTTAGTTTCTGTTCTTCCCGATGATCCCCGCGATCAAGTGACGACGGCGGCTATTGCCAGACTCAAAACACCCGCTGCTGTCCACTCAGGTTTAGTTTAAATCCGGGGGCCGTTCCAACGCGACATTTCTTTACACTTTTGCTAAGCGACCAAGTGGTGCCCATGGTGTGCAATCGAATTATTCAAGCGTTTAAAATGTGAGATCACTGCCTGCCCGACTCGCAAATCGCTTCACAACTCACTTCTCGAGAGCCTGGGTGGCGCAGTCGATGGCGTCTTGTTGCATGTCGTCCGACATGTCGGCGTTCTTGATCACAGCCTTGCGGTCAACCATTTTCAACGGATTTGTCTGCAATAACAAGAAACTTTAATGGAATTAATGGAACATTCTGCGTAGAATTATAATAACGGCGTTTACTTTGAAGGTCAGACAAAGAGATAACGGGCGAGAAAAGAATGAGAGGCAAGGTAGCAGTACGATTACTCAGTAGTTTACGAGGACATTGTCCCAGTTCACAACGATACGAAATCGATTTGAAACTAATAAGGATCTTGGAGAATTAACAGCATACTATGCAAAGCTCGGCCCACTTCAACGACTGATCTCTGACTGAAGGAGGAGTAGCTTGTTTGCGCAACAACATGAAATAGTTTTGACGTTCTAAGAGTGGAGCAAAATCGAGAAGTTAAAAAACGCTGGAAGGATAGGCGTAAACCGACTCGCATGTCAACAAATCGGCTACTGTTTCGGTAAAAGTACACAGGAAGCGCGTATCAGCAGCAAAAGACGAACGAAGAGATATGCGAGGCGAGCCCCAAAAGATAACAGTTTCGAAGAGTCGGGGAGCACGCAGGAGAGAGCGGCGGGATGGGTGGCAAGAGAAGGGAAAACGGCCGAGCGAGAGGGGGCGGGGCGCGTCGCACAAAACGACAGCAGAGTCGCGCGCGACGCTGCTATCGACGCCTGCGACTCTGCTGTCGGCCAACGAGGAGCGCGCACTCAAATGCAAACACGAGACAGGCGCGCGCCCGCGTATTTCAAAATGTTCTGGGGCGCCGAGAGGAGACACATCTCGGCCGAAAGGCGATGGAAACCAGAGAGTTGTTGTGTATGCGTCTGAACACGCATGTATTTATGGGCTCGCTCCATATACAATAGTGGGGCAGAATAAGAAGGGAAGAAGGCGACGGACTGGTCCTGGGTGTTGTGTGGGTATGAAAATAATGGATGCATGAAAGAAGAGAAACAACTCGAAACATCTGGGAATGATGCAAGTGGAGGAAATTGGAACATTCGGAAGCGAGAGAATATTGGAAGAGATCGATGGCTGCTTATAAAACGAAAATATGAGAACGGGAGAACGCAATGAGCATTAGGAAGACGTTTCTATTTTTTTATTTCATCAAACATAAAAACTTCAGAATTTTAGGCGATGCCCGAATATTCTCGCAAATTTATTCACTTTTACCAGTGGCTTTCAAAAGGCGCAGAATGTTTTTAAGAGAGCGGTCTCGCCACGATTCAACTGTTTTACTGTACAACGTAGCAATAATTTTCTCTATCAACTTTTCCACTTTTCCATTCAAAATCCTCGGTTATCCGTGACGTTTTCTGCTGAATTCTGTTGTGAATAGTTGTCTTCTATTCTTCAGGAATGCTCTCCCGCTCGTTGCTTCCGCTCAGAGCAGTCGCGTGTGGAAACCCGGCACTCTCCAAACGAAATTCGCACACAATTTGGTATCCCGATGCAAAGTTCGAACGGCAGTTCAAGGTATTTATTCGTTTTTGTCCGTTTCAGATTTGATTGCGTTTTTTTCACAGACCGGAGGAACCCTCGGTAGACTGTGGCTATCCGAAAGAGTTTCTGATTTTGATGAGCAAATCGGATTGGACAAGTTGGAGAAATTGGCGTATAGTAGCCCTGTGATGAGCGACAATTACAGCGGAAAGCACAGGTACACGAGAAAAATAGAAAATGCTCGGAGGTTGTGATGACATTCAGAGAAAAGAGCCTGGAAAATATGATTTTAAACTTCGGCCCACAGCATCCAGCTGCTCACGGAGTTCTCCGTCTTGTGCTCAAACTCGAGGGAGAAGTCATCATCAAGGCCATCCCGCACATTGGCTTGCTTCACAGAGCAACAGAAAAGCTCATCGAGCACAAGACCTACACGCAGGTGGGTTCAAGTGCTCATAAAATAGAAGGGAAATGGCAATTTCATCCTTCCAGGCACTACCCTATTTCGATCGCCTCGATTACGTGTCAATGATGTGCAATGAGCAGGCGTGGTCGCTTGCCGTCGAGAAACTGCTCGGAATCGACATTCCACCAAGAGCCAAGTACATCAGAAGTAAGGAATTAATTGAAAAAGAAGCAGAAGTTAAGAATATTATAGCTCTGTTTGGCGAGCTGACTCGCATTCAGAATCACATCATGGGCATCACCACGCACGCACTCGACATCGGAGCGATGACCCCGTTCTTCTGGATGTTCGAAGGTTAGAAACGGAGAAAGAAGTCCACACAGCCAGAATTTTCAGAGCGTGAGAAGCTTTTCGAGTTCTCCGAACGTGCCTCTGGAGCAAGAATGCACGCGAACTACGTCCGACCGGGAGGCGTTGCTTGGGATCTTCCGATCGGCCTCATGGATGACATTTACGATTGGGCAGTCAAGTTCCCCGCGAGAATCGACGAGTTGGAGGACATGCTCACTGAGAACCGTATCTGGAAAGCCAGAACCGTTGATATCGGTAAAATGGGCAGCTCCTTTTGGTAAAGATCTCATAATTTTTAGGACTCGTGTCTGCCGATGATGCTCTAAACTGGGGCTTCAGTGGAGTGATGGTTCGCGGAAGTGGAATCAAGCAGGACGTGCGCAAGACGCAGCCCTACGACGCCTATGCTGATGTCCAGTTCGATGTTCCGGTCGGCACGAAGGGAGACTGCTACGACCGGTACCTTTGCCGCGTGGAAGAGATGCGACAGTCACTGAACATTGTCATTCAGTGCCTCAACAAAATGCCCGCGGGCGAAATCAAAGTGGATGATCACAAAGTGGTGCCGCCGAAGCGAGCGGAAATGAAGGAGAATATGGAGTCGCTGATCCATCACTTCAAGTTCTTCACCGAAGGATTCCAAGTTCCTCCGGGAGCAACTTATGTGCCAATCGAAGCGCCGAAGGGGGAGTTCGGTGTGTACTTGGTGGCCGATGGAACGGGAAAGCCGTATCGGTGAGTCAATCGAAAACATAAGTAATGTTGTATAAAAAAATGGGGACAAGAATGATGATGACGCATGTTCCCATTGTACATAAATATATTCTATTCAATAGTATGCGTACACAGGGTCCCCAAGAGAAATTGGGCGCTGAGGTTGGGGGATCAAATTGTTCATTTTCAGTTGCTTCATCCGAGCACCAGGATTCGCTCATCTCGCTGCCATTCACGACGTCTGCTACATGTCTCTAATTGCCGATATTGTTGCCGTCATCGGAACCATGGACATTGTTTTCGGAGAGGTCGACCGATAATTTCAAAGATTTTCACTCATAACAAGACAGAATTTTTCTATAGTTTCCCCTGTTCTCTGTATTTTTACGCTCTGAATAAAGTATTGTTCTTTCTCAGAATCTGACTGTTTCCTTAGGTTTTCGATCCTTTTACTTTCGCTCTGTTCGTTTCTCATTTTCCCTATCAATCATTGTTATTCAGCTGTTTCCATAATCCGATATGAACAGAAAAGCCAATGAATTTTGCACGCATTTCTGGTCAACGGAACAGAAAGTAAGAAAATTTGGGCAGAATCCTATGTTTACAAGCGGATAATCTCTAGATTTTCGTCAAAATATTCACTTTCGGGTTCAGAAACTCGATAACTCGGCCGTTTCGTCTCGAAATAGTTTCACCAGCAGTCCGTCTTCTGCTCGTTCCGATTCTCCACGCCTTCTCTATGTCCAGTCCAGCAATGACTTCATCTGGAACCAAATTTGCTCTCTTGCTCCGTTCGTCAAAATGCCAAATGGGCCGAAAACGGAGAGAACAGTGCGAATCGGATCGAAAAACGAGACGGAAGAGAGGTTAGCGAGACAGTTGCATAGCTGGATACGCGAGAAAGCAGTGATACTCTCGCACACGCCCAATCCGAATCAGCAGCACTGTCGGGGGATTGTAGACGCAGTCGAGTACCGAAAGAAGAGGGTCGAGGTCTGCGATATGATTCAGAAGGCCAACAGTTCTGCCGTTTTCAGGTCACGGTAACTTCGGACTCTGTTCTTCCGATCTGGGAAGACACCGATATCTGGTTATTTCCCGACGCTCCACTGTATGAATCCCCTTACTCTCTGGAGCCAAGCACTTCCTCAACGGATCCCAGTCCTCTGCCTGAGGAACCGACAGAGAAAGATCATCGGCAGAAAGTGGAGCAACCTCCGGACATTCCCCTGAAAAGTTCAGAAGAGCAGGAATTCCAGCAGACGGGTGCTTCTGACGAAGAGTCTCTGCAGAAGACTCAGCAAAAACAGGAACAAGTTGATCAAAAGGAAGTGTTCGAGGGAATCCACGGCTGGAAATACGTGGACGGCCAGTTCCGACGAATGCGACGGAAATGCGGGGATAAGTGGAAGAACGTATATTTGTCAGAGCTACGAATGTCACCTGTGGACCCGGCGAAACGGGCTCTGCTGGAGCAAGTGAAAGAGCACACGGTACTTCGGCTCAGTGACGACATCGACGAGATTGGAGAGGTGTTCGTGGAGGTGTGCAAGAAGAATGCAAATGAGAATACGGTGCGATGGATGCGCTCATGCAAACTTTGCTCAATTCATTTTCCTTCAGATATGTCTCGGAGTTACCGGTTTCTCTCGCAATGACATCGATATGCCCCTTTCCACGTCAACTACCTACTACCTGAGCATCGACGACGGAGATGACGACGAGTTGGCGAGCCTGGCCAGCGAGGAAGAAGTCCTTCCCGGGTATCGACTAGAGCAGAATGTTGATGAGCTTTGTGAACGGGTGCGAAAATTCCCATATCTTCGAAATGAACACATTTTCCTTCAGCTCGGAACGCTCACAGTCACCGATGTCTGCGTCAAGACGTGGTTCGCCAAGCCCCACAACATCGTCTTCCTCCGTCTTGCTGTTTCCTCAACTCGAAGTTCGTTAAAGCACTTCAAAAACTTGCTCGGTCTGCATGTAATCATAAACCAGCCGTTCCGGGACAGAGATCGGGTGATGGCAGTAGTGAGCAAAGTGATGAAGTCGGATATGATTTTGACAGTGAAAGGTTTTCCAAAAGATGGAGGGCGGTTCGTAGAAATTACCAAACAACACAAGTTCACGATTCAAATCGACCACGACTATGAAACACGTATCCAGAGAATGGGAGGACGCCTGGGAGAGCACGAACGTCTCCGCCGGAGCATCAACTCTGACTATGATTTGAAACTTGTCACGTCGCGCCAAGATTCGTCGAGGAAAACGTTCGCTTCGTTTCACAGCAAGAACGAAGCGCTCTACTTGATTCCGTTCGGAACAAAAATTCTTCTTGGTAAATGCTGGGAAATAGAAGGCCCTATCGAGAAGAAGGCCGAGTTCATATTTGCTATCAGAGTTGAGGATCGTGACCCGAAAACTGTAAGAAAAGTTGATTTTCCCCATCCCAAATCATCCGAGTTTTCAGCTCACATTCGAGATCAAGTTTACAAAAACACTCGTGAATAATGCGCCACAATTCAAGCTCACTAACGCCTTTTACTTCATGGAATTGGACTCCTCTAGTTCGATCGCCATTGATCCAAAGTCTGTCATCTCTGATTATTGAGAAGCCATTTCATTTCCAGTTACTCTCTCTACGATGTGCGCGATAAGCGTTGCCGAACCGCGGGGATTCTGGATACGGCTTCCAAATCGGTATCCATTCAGGAATACCTCAAATTCGACGTTATCGAATATCACCCCAAAATGGCGAGATCCGAAGTGCCGCAAGAATCGAGGAACTCCCATTGTTTAGACAGAACAAAGTTGCCTGAGATCCAACCGCAAAAGCACCGATACGTTTGTTTTGTCTTTTTGCAAAGGAATCTCGCTATCGGTCAGTGATTATCCGGCGGCTCGTCGAATTGAACCTCGCGAAGTTTCAGAAAACGGTAGCCCGATGGTGCAGGTGCGAACCGGATACGACAAAAATAGCCGGAAGATCCAGATGCAGCCGTGGAGCATAGGGAAACGACTCGTGTTCACCGAAAGCTCGACGCATCCAGCCATTCGATTTATCGGAGAAGTTCAGGATACTCTTGGAGTTAGTTGGGAGTCCGCTGCTCTTTTGAGACCTTCTCGTTTCAGGATACAGCCACGCTGCGTTTCGACAAGAACTTGTCGGACCTCGAATTCTTCCAGCGATGCTCCTTCAAAACCGTTTTCCAGTGCTTTGAAGAGATATAATGTTTTTCCTTTTTAATTTTACAATCACAAATACCCATTTTAACATGTAAATCGTATTATTTGTTTTAATGCTCGCTTCCCATCCACCGCTTGTCCACACCGTTTTAGCTCGCTTTATAATTAGAATCAGAATGCATCCGCCCCCCTTCCCCTTCACATTAGATTGATCTCCCCGGCTACAAACATTTCTTTTTTTTGGTTCCATAATATTCATGAAATCGTTCGACATCCAATTTCCTAGCGAGCTTTTTTCATTCGAATGACAAGAGCGACGAAGCCGACGAGGTAGAAGAGGAAACTGATGACGACGAGCCCGATGATATTGAAAGGAACTGCGGATGGGCTGAACGAGAAGCTCCGGAGCATGGCGTCCACTTTCTGAAATAGGGTCCTGACAGGAAAAGGCGAGAAGATTAGGGGACTGTACCTTCGGAGTGACCGTCTCGTTCGGGTTCGTCGTCTCGTGGAATCTGTCGATGTACGACCACTGATTGACGACCATTCCCTCGAAAGCGTATCTAGAATTCGAACTCAGATGCAACTCGGAAACAGTTTAAATTTACCTGTACATACTAATATATTGCAACCAACGAACGGCCGCCGGAAACGTGGAAGTGTTGCCATAGAATCCGCCAAAAAGACGGAAGAGAACGAGCAACGGACTCGCCATCACTGACGTCATCTGGGCAGTCGGGAAGATGCACGACATGGCGACGCCGAGAGCCGAAGACGCCTGGCTGGCGAGCAGAGAGAAGACGGTGGCGACGAGAAGCTGCGCGACAGAGGTGTTGAGGCCGATGAGCCAGTAAACCATGAAGAGCATGATGAGCCCGTCCGTCGAGAAGAGCGGAATCATCGAGATGCAGCGGGCGAAGTAGTAGCTGCAAGAAGACGATTTCAAAGACGATTCCAGAGAACACGTACGTCCAGAGATTGTAGAGTCCGTCGTGGTATTCTCGAGCCACCAATGCGAATTCGTTGTTGAGAAACATCATGATTGCGTAGGCGGTGGAGTAGATGAACTCGCCGACGATGAAGAAGAGCGCACCGTTGATGTTCTGCATTCCACGTGTCGAATATGGAGTCTGCAAGGCATTGTTGTTCAGAAACTGAAGAGATCCGAGATACCCGGTAGTACAGTAGTCCGATGAACACTCCGAACAGAATCTTCTGTATGATCTTGGCCATCGTGAGCTGAGGAGCACGCCACACGTCGAGAGCACACCTGAAATGCAAATGTGGCGCGAAGATTCACTTTCCGATTACCTCTGAGTGAGGGCTCCGATTTGAGTGAGCACATTCGCTTTGTGCATCGGCGGTGGCGGCACTTTCTCGGACACGTCCTTCAGAAGTTCCATGATTCTTTTGCAGTGTTCACTCTCCTCGTAATGCTCCACAATCTGCTGAATCCGAGCGTTCGACTGACTCTCCTGTCCCGGTTGCACCGCCAATTTGTAAATGATCCACTCGCTCGGATTGTATTCGTTCGGAACGCGATGGCCGCATCGTTCAAAGAAGGCGATCGACTCTTGCGGTGTTCCTTGGAATGCCGTCCGACCATTCGCTGAAAATAATGAGCACGATGAGTAGGAACAGTAACTTCACTGAAAAACCAAGGTAAATGACGCGGTGGAACATCTGATACAACTGCGAAGACGGCTGATGGATAGTGCAAATGATCGTCCGTCCGGTCTTGGCGATTCCCTTCAGAATCTGAATCACGCTCTCCGCCATGAACGAATCCAGGCCGGTCGTAGGCTCATCGGCAAAAAGAAGCGACGGATTCGAGAGCATTTCACACGCGAAAGTGAGTCTTCTGGCCTCGCCCCCCGAAATTCCCTTTTTCTCCCCGACCACTCCGATCCGCGAGTCTCTGCACTTCCACAGTTTCAGCTGAACCAGCACGTCCTTCACTCTTTCCTCCCTCACTTTCGCGGATCCGTTTATCCGCAGTTTCGCCTGGATCGTCAGGTATTCTCTGACGGTTAAAGTGCCCACGAACAACTCTTCTTGCTGGGCGAACCCGGATATCATGGAGATTTTATCGCTCATCTAAAATGTCTTAAATCATCTGATCCATTCTCCACGCCATCTCCCACCTCTTGCCCGTTGACCGTAATCGATCCTTCGGTCTTCAGTCCCTTTAGGTTGCGGCACATGAGCATGTTCAGGAGGGTCGTCTTTCCGGCCCCACTGGCTCCCATCAAAGCGAGCAATTCGCCCGGCCGCGCCATTCCACTCACATCCCTCAGAAGCTCTCTCTGCTCCTTCACCGTCGTCACTCTGAAACCCGCTTCCTTCCCCATCCGACCTGTTTTCTCATTTCTTACGAAACGTTTTTCCAGTGCAACGCGACGGGGACAATGTCTCCAAGTGTACTGTAACCAGGCGAGACGGCAGTACATTCAACGTCCTCTGATATTTTTTCATAACTATTTTCGGATGACATTGTTTTACTTCGAAATGAAAATGCCAAGGTTTCTCTCTTATTGGTGAGGGCTTCCAAAAGAGAGTGTCACGTCATTGGATTGCCTGAAGAGGGTGAGGAAGGAAGGAAGGAAAGAAGGAGTGAGATGCCATCTTGGGGCTCCCGAGGGGCCGTCATATATGTCATCAGATTGTAGTTACCGTATGCTAAGTGCTCATTATTGGATTCGTTTTTGGCAGGAATGCACCTGTTGGGAACTGTTTCTTGAGACTGAGAACATCTGGCATCTTGTGAAGACGACTTGGGAGCAGAAAAAGATGGCTCGTTGCTGAATGTCAAAACCAGGGATCCATGCGCATTCCGGTCAGAACACATTAGTTCCCAGCTATTACCGTAGCCCACTTGTTCCACCGAGCATTCCGTTTTCGCGCGCACAGTACCCCACTAATCGCAGCGGGACGTCATCTGGAGGCCCATTATGAGAACGTTCTCCTTCTCGTGCGTCTGTGTGTCTTCTCACAACATTCTGAAGGCTCTTGTCCACCGGAATGTCCGTCCTTATGCACACATAAACGTGCGGGAACACCTCCTTTGATGGCTCATTGTGCACCTGCGGGAGACCGAGAGAGAGAGTGTGAAAATACAGAGATGCAGAGGAAAAGAGTGGGATTCGGAAGAATGACGGATGGGAGGATTAATTAGGTGTGGGCGGGAGACATCTCCAGATGGCCACGGATGATTATAACTCTTCTACCTGAATGATTACGTATGTAATAAGGGAAGGAAGGAAGATGGGAACACTTTAGGTTGGACCATTCAGGCAACTGTTGGAAGGGACTGAAAGTGTTTGTTCTGTGAGGAAGTGAGGAATTGTGTTGGCCCAGAAACAACACTGACAAATTGTTTTATTCTCGGGGAAACAAACAAAACATATCAATCTGGGAGATACGCGCAACACGCCCGATTATGGAGGTTATCCGCACACGCAACAATGGTTACGCTTCGCAAAAAAAAATGACAAGGTGAATTGGAGGGTACGAACGAAGGGAAACAGTGGGCGAGAGGACCTTTCCGGGATGACAGTCTGTCGGCTCGATAAGGGATTGGGCTTTTAGCAACCTTTCCTGCTGGAAAATTTTAAACATTTGAAATTTTGTCAATCCTACAAAACTCAACAAAGTCTATTCAAATTCCATGTAGCTCGCTGTTTCGAGTGGCTCCGTAGTTTTTCTGATAATCATAATCTGCTGAAGCGTGTTCACAGACTGTAATAAAAAAGAACCGCCACCTCCTTTCACCTCCTTTCGCACCCGCCAGTCTGAAACAATCTGTTCACACTCTCCCCCTTCCCAACAGCTCAATCCCGTGAACTTTGCTGCTGGGATCCTATGGTTATATGGCCTGTCACCTTTCAGATCTCACCTCTCTTCCCAAGTCAATCCTTTGATCGGTCAGCTGAACTTTCGTGACTGTTCGCACGATCCAGCTGAAAGTTCCCAACGGGGAGCTCATGAATGAGCATTTCGAGATCTAGTAAGCCCTCCGCAACACATGGCATAGACCACCCGGACAGTCGTTGCGTAATCGATAAATGGTCAGTGAGAGTGTCAACATAATCATGTTGTGCAACGTGTTTTACGTAACATTATAGCTGTTCGTAATCTCTATCTGTAAATCTTAAATCCAGGATCCGCAAACAAGTTCCAGACTTGCGTCGCACCTCAAACAATCGGCCATAAACTCTTCCCACCCAGTCAGTTTCCGTTCGTTCTCTTCTCCCGCACTCGCCCAATGTTTCCCGTATAGCCTGCACTCGTGGTTGTCTTCGTTCGTGTTGTAGGTCATCTGTGGCGGGTCCCTGTCTGCTCCAGATACCGATCACCCGCGACGAGAGAGCACGTGCTCGTCGGAGAGTCGGCTGCACTCTCTCCATTCTCCACACTCCCTCGCTGCTTCCAGAGTGGGCGGAGTCTCCCCAGAGGGGGCCGTTCGTGTGTGGTGCCTCCTCGTTGCGTCACACCTGACTCTTTTCTCGGCCGGCGACGGTCGGTTACGCAACCCGCTCTCGCTCTTAGGAAGACCCTTCTGGGAAAGCTGTCTCTATTACTCGTTCACACTTTCAGACGAAGCTGCCACGATGAACAGCATCATGGCAGGAGCCCAGCAAGTTTATCCGTTCGAGCAATGGACCAACTTCAACCTTCAAGCCGCTTAGTAAGTTAAATCTAGGATTTTAGGACAAGAATCAGTTACCTTAGGCGAAAAGAAAGACAGTTACTGTATCTCCAGTTGATTATCTTCAATTCTGTTCTTTTTGAGACGCTTAACGATTTCCTAGATCACAACGTGTGTGGCGGCGTGTTCCTTTCACGTTTCTCCATGCCACGTCACATGAGCTCGTCGACAGATGGTCCAAAGTGTCGGCGGGTCATTAGACGGTTCCGTATGCCACGTCATAATAGCCACGTGCCTCTTTTCAGCGCCGGAGTCTATCCACCACCGTACGAATTCAATAGATCGCCGCAAACGAGTTCAGGATCCGATGAGTCGATGAACAATGAGAACCGAGTTGATCCGAAAAACTCGCCAAAGTAAGTTGGAAGTAGGATTAGAAGTCGGTTGGGAAGATGGGAATTTCGGGGGGCTGGGGTGGGTTTAGGGGTCACATTATTTTCAGATGTTGCCGCTTTCGCTTCCGCTTCCGCTTCCGCAGCAGCAGACGACAGCCAAGCAGAAGAGTCCACGTTAATGTCCACGTCATCTGTGCACAACGAACGACAACGACGGCGTCGAACGGATTCTCCACGAACTACAGTCATTTAGATTTTCTCGTTTAGATATCGTGAAAAGCGGATGAAGAACAACGAAGCGGCGAAAAAGTCGCGACTGGTCAGAAAGCAGAGAGAGGAAACCCACCAGAAGGAGAATGTGCAGCTGAAGGAGAAGAACGTGTTTCTGGAGAAACAGAACGAGACGTTGCGCATGCAACTGATGCAACTGGAGAAGACGATCCGAGATCTGACCACTGTACGACGCCTTTGAATCTCCTTTCGAATCTCAAAGCATTCTTTCAGGAGCGTGAGATTAACAGAAGACGGCTCGAAGTCTTGGAAGCAGCTCAGCGAGGAGAGATGATCGATGCGAAGTACCCGCTGGGAGACATCACCAACCACATGTACAGCAACAACCCCAACAAGAACTACCAAACTCTCTGATTCCGAATTCCTTTTCAATTGTTCTTTTGTATTTGAGCGTCCCGACCCAGTTATCTAGTTTTCGGTTTCTCTTCTAAGAGTTGTGAGCATCCACTGGGACATGTAGTTTTCTTATGTGTTGGGATAATATCAGGAAAGTGATGAGCGCCGGTCCACCTGAAGGCCTTCTGATTCCTACTGGGGTAGAATAAAAAGGGAGTGGGAGTAAGGGGATAATGATATTTCGAACAACATTTAAGACAATAAACGATTGTTGCTGGAAACATTGCCTTATCACTTTTCTCTCTCCAAGAATGTTTGCATTCCCTGCTAATTGGATGTTGCTGTTCCAATGTTCCAATACTAATTCGAGTGGGGGTCGGCCTCAAGGACAAGCTGTTCAAGGTTTTGCTCAATCTACAGTTCCAGTTGCCTCCGGCCTGAACCTACCGAACCGCTAATCGTCTTACCTCCCAGCTTCTGATCCGACCAGTCGATGGCAGCCTCTCAAACATGCCTCGTTCCGTAATCCACACTTCGTCGGCCTTCCGCGCGGAAACTCTTCCGCACCGCCGTCTCACTTTCAATTCAAAAAGTGCTCGCCTCGCGGAGAGCCTGGGCGGAGCAGCGGCCGCTCCTCCTGCTCACTCGCTGACCGCGAGAGCCCCGCGATGACAGCCCGAGTAAGGGGTCCTCGTGTGTTTGCGCGCATTACCAATCAGTCGCCTTTCCAAATCAATCAGCTCGTTACCCGAAATCTTATCACTAATCTCGCCCCCCGTTCCGTACTTTCAAGATTCCACGCTTTTTCTCCTCCTTTCTCTGTTTGACACATGCCGAGCATGCCCATGTTTATACAGTCGTTCGCTCGCATATCTCGTATCAGATCAAAATCCAAAGAATTGCTCGCCTCTCAGATATCCCAATTGCACGGAAGCCGTCGCTCCAGAGATGCGTTGCTTCCTCTTCATTCTTCTCTTCTCACTCTCGTTTCGAGGTCAGTTTTGTTTTCATTCGGACAGATGGGAATGCGGACTTGTGGGTCACAGACAGGTGCAACTTTCTCACTTTCTCTATGATTTTTTTGTTTTTTTTTTTCGCGTCGTGGGTTTTCTGTTGGAAAAGGTACGGTAGCTGAATCAACTAAAGATTACTGTAACCGCCCAATTTTTGATTTCGAAGCTTCCGGAGCCGTCTTCTAACGAATTGTGCTCAGGAATCTCCAATTTGTCCTTTGCCACTGACACCAATCCATCGCACTTGCAAAGTGCACTCTTTCGTAGTCAAACATCTTGCTCACATTGTCGTCATTGCTAGACATGAAAATGAGCCTGCTTCTGCCCATCCCGGATGGCATTGTCCTCTCTTTTTTCAAAACACGAAAACAGAGGTGCGCGTTTCAATCGGCAAGGAGCGCGCCGCCGAGTGTTTCCCGCCGGCCCCACAGCCGTATCGTATTTCGATCCGTTCGCCGATGGCTTCCCCCGGTGACTTGGAGCCTGGAGCATCTTCATTCCTGTAAAACAAACGTGTCCTCGCGCGCGCGCGCACTGTATGTCCTCCCGTCGCAGTCGTTTTTCCCCCAATCAAACTAATCGGATCGGTCGAGGAGACGCGTGAAATGATATGTGTGCTCGACTGATTACCCGAAAGAGAGACTCCCGCCAGTCGACTGGAGGTCTTCTGCTTACAGGTTCTCTGAAACCAGCAAGCAATGTACTGATAAGCGAGAGAAACCGGGGGGGACCGCGCAAGTTGCACCCTTGTTGACATTCAGTGCTGTCAGCCAACAACACTTGATTCGGGCTTATTAGAGAGTGCTGCTGCTGCCAATTTCTCGCCAATATTTGCACGAAATTACCATTTCTCTCTTTGGTAGCGAGAATGACTTTCTTTTGATAAGGGTACACTGGAAGATATGGGACTGATGTGAATATTTCAGCGTTTGCCGACGTTATATTCACTTCTGAAAGGTGCAATCGAGTGACGTACGGACTTCGGACGGTCAACGGAGATCCCTCCAGATATAAACAATGCGGGCCTTCCGGAAGAGTGTGGATTGTTCCGTGCGCTCCGCAAATGACTTTCGATCCAGAAGACAGAGTGAGCACTCTCACTCCATTTCCCTCCAATAACTTTATTCCAGGTATGTAAAGAGCGGCCGGATCCGAAGGTGATGAAGCCAATGAGGAAGTACGAGGTGCCGAAGACGATCATAACGACTCCCGCTCCGACGGTTCCTGCCAGTTACCCTGTCTCGGCTGAAGTCACTCCGGCTGCTTCTCCAGCCGCCGCTCCGGAAGAGTTTGTCTTCTCAACGATCCGCCCGAAAAGCAGAAAACCAAAGGCACGCACCAGAAGCAAGACGAGGAAAACGACAAGGATGATGACTACGACACCGCTGCCGACGACTACGCAACCGATGGAAATTATGATGACGGCGGAGACGAGCACTCCGAAGATTGTGATATTCGCGAGCAAGAAAGGCACTGGCGGACGGAGCTCCGAAGTAAAAATGCCGATTTCGAGGGAGCGAGCAAACAGCAGAGAGGGAGGTGCGCCGGCGTTCACGAGACCTGGAAAAGTGCGGACGACGACGTCGATGCCAGTGACTCACGCGACGAGATTCATTGCGGGAATCCAGAGGAGTACGATAGCGCCGAAGGAGTTGCAGGGGATGCCACACACGTTGGCACCGTACGAGAAGACGGAGAGGAGAGGCGAAAGCTTCGGAGTGGAAGAGATGACTACGATGACTCCGGAGTACACCGTCAGGTACAATGGGAAGAGCATGACGGAGAACGAGTTCCTGAACCAATTGTTGCACATTGTGCAGCATCAGAAGGCGGTGTCCGAACAGCAGCAACAGGAAAAGTTTGATAGGATGGAACAGGAAAGACTGAAAGAAGAAAAGGCGGAGAGAGCGAAAGAGCTGGAGAGACGCAGGCAGATGGAAGAAGCAGAGAAAACTAGACAGGCAGAGCTGGAAAGGGTTAGTGGGGCATAGATGCAAAGATTCTCAGAAATTACTTATCACTTTCAGCAAGCAGCAATATACGCGAAGCAAGAAAGAACGGCGATGGAAAGGGAACGGGAGCTCGAGAGAATCCGTCAAGAGGAGAGAAAACGAGAAATGGAACGGATCCGACAGGAAGAGATCGCATTGGAAATAGCCAGAATGAGAGAGTTGGAGAGGCTTCAGATGGAGCGGCAGAGGAAGAACGAAAAAGTTCGGCAGGAATTGGAAGCAGCCAGAAAGCAGAAGATAATAGAAGAAGAACGGCAGAGGCGGATACAGGAGCAGATGGAAGAGATGGAAAGGATCCGGGCGGAGCAGGAAGAAGCGAGACAGAGAGAATTGAGACGGTTGGAAGAGGAGCGAGCCCGTGAAATGGAGATAGTCAGACAGGAAGAGATGGAGAGACAACAGCAGATAGAACGACTCAGACAGCAAGAAGAGGAACGGAGACGAAAGAAGTTGGAGGACGAAGACAGACAACGGAGGATTCAGGAGGAAGAAAGGAAGAAGGCTCTGGTGGAGGAGCAACGGAAAAGGAAAAAACTGGAGAGGGAGATGGAGGAGAGGCAGAAGGCGATCAGAGAGGAAGAGCAGAGAAGAAGAGCAGAAGATGAACGGAGGAAGGAGAAAGAAGCCGAGGAACGCAGACAAATGCAGGAGCAGATGAGGAAGGCGACGGAGGGAAGGAGGCTGGAAGCGATGGAAAGGGAACGGGAAGTTATGCGGCAGATCATTGAGAGTGAGAGAGAAAGGGAGCAGGCCAGTGAGATGGGAGGTCAGTTTTAGTGCGAATGAAACTACAGTCTTCCGAACTTTCTTCAGAAACCACCCCGATCACGACCATCAAGCCCATCTACCGGCCTATAATCTCCGAGTACCAACCGCCAGACGTCGAATCTCACATGATCAGGTTCACCACGCACGCTCCAGAATGGGCGACACCGCCTCCGAACTGGCAGCCGGAATGGAATACGGTTACGGTAGAAGAGGAGACTCCCGGAATTCTGATTGCTCAGAAACAGTGCCAGATCAACGGAGAATGTGAACTGAAGTATGACTCCGACTCTTTTTGCGCTCACCCAAGGTAAAGTACAACGATCTTTTTGAGTATGACATTCTTGAGCTTACAGCAACCCTTCGATGTACCTGCAATGCGCTCCGCTGTACGGACGTCTCGGCAGATGGACGGAAAGGCACTGTCCGGATACTCTCGTCTTCATGGTGGCAATCGGAAGGTGTGAGAAAGGAGAAGAAGTTCGGAGACCGTACGACCCGGACAACAGAGTGGTCATTCCACGTCTGCCCTCGGAAACATCGTTCGTTGAGTGGAAGGGCAACAGGTAAGTGAAAGAAAAGGAAATTGTTGTGCTCGATCATTGTTCCTACTTCAGAGTCATCGATAACCATCCGAATTTTGTTGCTCCTCCGAGAGTCTATCCTCCAGTTCCGGAAACTCATCAGCCTCAGATCTACAACACGATCGACGAGTTCCCCAAGGATCTTCTGCCCCGAATGCCTGAGGTCTCCCCGGCAGAGACATACGCCCAGCAGTATCAGAATGTAATTATCTTTATCCCACAACGTTGAATGTGTATTCTCTCTTTCAGCATATCCATGGAAGCGTCGTCAGTTCGGTACACTCCCAGCAGGTCCATCCTCTCGCTCCTACTCCGACCATTGCTCCGATTTCAATCATCCCTACTTCTTATCAGATTTCACAAAGCCAGAATCCTCCGACCTCAAATGTAAATTTCTCACTCTACAACAGAATAACTTCTCTTTTTCAGAGTATAAAGTCGGAAATCGATCTGTCGCACATCCATCCTTTGTTCCCTCGTGTTCAGCCAGACTTTCTCAGTCGAATACTGCCCGCATTGAACTTCAAATTGCACGACGAGAACTCATCGGGACCACAGTCGTTGGGAAGTGTTGTAAAACCAGTCATCAAGAAGGTTCGTCAGAGTATTCTGAGCAGATCCCCGAAAGTTTTCTTTCAGATTGCTCTCAATCAGACCGAACAGTTTCTGGATCGTCTTCTAGCTGATCAGGTGCACGACGAGAAGCTTCGAAAAGAGATTATAGATCATCTAAAGTCTACGAACATGGAGAGCACTACCAGCTCTGCATAATTCCTCAATACTTTCACCAATTAATTTGAACCTCTACGCTTCAGTTCCACTTTTCCTTTGTATTTATGTTTATCCTTTAATCAGACAGCAATTAATTGCAATTTTTCTTCTCATTCGGCCCCCAAATTTCATTGTTGACCAACTTCCTAAAAATGTCGTCGAGTCGAGTGTCAAATACGCAAACACCGCACGTCCCATTGCGGATGATGACTGACGATTTTTCAATCCATTTCTTGTTTTTAAAACAGAATTCGGCGCGTTTTGTAAGTTTTCCCATCTAGTTTGAATGTCTTTCTGTTTCCTACTTGTGATACACACGATCTCCATTTATTTATTTGCGAAATAAATTGACCAAATCCATGCAAATGTTCAGAATCGCGTGTGTGAATAGTGTAACTCGCTTCATATTCGTCTTCAAATTGCAGTTAGTCTGTAAAATACGATAAAATTACAGAGACATGTCAGCCGCCGCATTGGACGAGATCGGAATTGCTCCGTTGCCGGACTACTCGGCCCTCCGCCCGACACCACCACCAACTGCCGTTATCGATGTCGCGTCGGATGATTACGTTAAGCTGACTGGACTGGAGCGCCAGCTTGCTCACTTGCAAGTCATGGAGGACTATATAAAGTTGGAGACGAGAAATCTCGAGAAGGAGCTGCTCCATGCGCAGGAGGAGGTCAAGCGCATTCAATCTGTTCCGCTCGTCATCGGACAATTCCTCGAGGCCGTTGACCAAAACCACGCCATTGTCGGAAGTACGACTGGATCGAACTATTATGTTCGCGTTCTTTCGATTCTGGATCGCGAGTTGCTGAAACCAGGATGTTCGGTGGCTCTCCACAAGTACTCGAATGCCCTCGTCGACGTTCTCCCACCAGAGGCGGACAGCTCCATCCAAATGCTTCGCCCTGATGAGAAACCGGACATTTCGTACGGTGACATTGGAGGTCTCGATATGCAGAAACAAGAGGTCCGTGAGGCCGTCGAGCTTCCACTCACCCACGGAGAACTCTACCAGCAAATCGGAATCGACCCCCCACGCGGAGTCCTGATGTACGGTCCACCCGGATGTGGAAAGACTATGCTGGCCAAGGCCGTTGCCGCGAACACTGCCGCGTCGTTCATCCGTGTTGTCGGATCTGAGTTTGTCCAGAAATATCTCGGAGAAGGTAATAGGTTCTGTAGATTTTCTCAAAATGAATATATTCTGTCCAGGACCGAGAATGGTGCGAGACGTGTTCCGTCTGGCCAAAGAGAACAGCCCGTCCATCATTTTCATTGATGAGATTGACGCTATTGCCACGAAACGTTTCGATGCTCAGACAGGAGCCGATCGTGAGGTCAGTAAGCCATCTCGTTAATGTTTTTATTGTTTTTTCCAGGTGCAACGTATTCTCCTCGAGTTGCTCAACCAAATGGACGGTTTCGATCAGAGTACTAACGTGAAAGTGATCATGGCAACGAACAGACAGGACACTCTTGATCCCGCGCTTCTCCGTCCGGGTCGTCTCGACCGCAAGATCGAATTCCCGCTCCCGGACCGTCGTCAGAAGCGTCTCGTCTTCTCAACCGTGTGTGCTCGCATGAATCTGTCGGATGATGTGGATCTGGAAGATTGGGTTGCTCGACCGGACAAAATCTCGGGTGCTGACATCAACTCGATTTGCCAGGAAGCTGGTATGCAGGCTGTCCGCGAAAATCGATACATCGTGCTCACCAAGGATCTGGAAAAGGCGTACAAGAATGTTGTGAAGAAGGACACCAACGACTTCGACTTCTACAAATAATTCACAAAACTGAATTTCCCTGTGAATCATTTTTTACTATAATTTATTGTATTTACGATATGTGTCTCTCATAAACAGACCCTTTTCTTCGCGTTCTTTCTTCGAGTTTTGGAAAATTTTGGATTTTGGAAAATTGGTGAATGTAAAGGATTCATGCCAATTTTCAAAAAATACCCCGTGCCCGTGACCGTCAAGGGATCATGTTTTTTGAAAATTGGCGTGAACCCTTGACGGTCACGGGTACAGGGCGTTTTTTGGGAAATTGGCATGAACCCTTGACGGTCACGGGTACAGGGCATTTTTTGAAAATTGGCATGAACCCTTGACGGTCACGGGTACGGGGCATTTTTTAAAAATTGGCATAAACCCTTGACGATCACGGGTACGGGGCATTTTTTGAAAATTGAAGCGCGGGATCAAGAGTGTTCTGTCTGTTCCTCGCCATGATCACTTTCACGTTAGTGGACCGTACATCAGGACTCCGCGTGGGGGGTCGATTCCGATTTGCTGGTAGAGCTCTCCGTGGGTGAGTGGAAGCTCGACGACCTCACGGACCTCATGTTTCTGCATATCGAGGCCTCCAATGTCACCGGAAGAATCTGCAGGCGCTCGTGGGTCGTCGAGGTTTTCCACTCTTCAGCTGAAACCTTGAAAACGCTATTCTAGTTCTTGAGTTGTAGTGGTTTATTGCGAATAAAAAGAAAAACAGCAGATTGTACTCGATTCACAGGGTGAGATGGGGAAGGAGGCAAGAGAAACACTAAGCAATAAAGTAGAGAAGAGAGTGAAAAGGTGCCTAATAATTCAAAATCTCATAATATGTACAGAAAGAAGGCTTTCGAACTGAGAAGGGGAAAAAAGTGGGGGAAAAAAGTGTTTTTTACATTTTTAAAATTTTATACGACTTATTTTACAGATTTATTTGGCGGTCATGGACACGAGACACGAGTTCCTTAGCTCTTAGCACCTTTGACCGCAGATTGGAGCATCTCGAACTTTTGCTTCCAGTGCTCCGCGTTCTTCTTCTCCTCCGCCAGTTGCTCCTTCACACTTTCGAACTGAAAGATTGAAAAGATGTTATTCTAGTTGTTGAGTTTTTGGTTCTCACTTCATCTGTCAGGCTCACCACCTGAGCTTGCAGTCGCTTCTTCTCCTTGCGTCCTCCAGAGCCTCCCTTCTTCTTTTTGGCCGGACTCTTCTCTTCATCTGAATCCTCGATCGTTCTCTTCGTTGCACGTGTCCTAGTCGGCTTCTCATTTTCATCCGTCGTCGACAGTCTCAGACCGCTCTTGTTATTTTCGTAGTCTGTGATGCGTCGCTTCTTGTCTATGCTCGCAGTGGCGTCTTTTCGCATCTCCTTCAGAAACGACGACGGAACCGGTGTTTTCGTGGCGAAAAGAATCCGTGCTCTCATCTTTACGCTGTACATCGTGTGTTGATGGATTTCCGAGGCGAGAACCCCGTCGTCATTTGTCTTAATACGCCCAGGAATTCGCCAGGCACTGGAGTTGTCGTACAGAACAACACGCGTTGTTCAACAGTATACTCGTCATTCTTGTGAACAGATGTACTGATATGTGAGCGGAATCTAAAAAATTGATTGCAAGGAAATCTATTTACAAGATTTCCCACTTTTCTCGGAGGGAAGCGACTGAACGAGGACTGTCCGCCCACTCCTTGTACTCTTGCCAAAGCAGATGCATCTGGAAGCGCTCGTTGGTCGTCGATGCTTTCCACGCCAGAAAAGTCATCATATTCTTGCATTCTTCTCCAGTGAACGGGGCGTTTCCCGCAAAAAGACGAAGCCCTTCTCCGGGTCTGTTCACCGAGAATTTCGTGATCAGTCCATCTTTATCCGTGTCAACATCGGCGATCTTTTCAAGTTCTTTCAGAAAGAGCTTATCAATAGCGCTTCTCGAGACAAACAGCATTCTGGCCCTCGTCAGCAGATCCAATTGTCGGCATGCGTGTATTTGTGGCCCGAGAGTGGTCCTGAATCTGAAATGTTTACTGTTTTTGTCAATAGTCTTTTCTGACCTCGTTTACCTACTGATTACACTGTTGAGGCTTCTTGCAGACTTGCTCTGCTTCAGAAAACCCGTCCATAGCCGTCTCTGTCCGATTTGAGAGCACTCGCTTTTGCTTAGCTCCGCGAGGTACCGCAAAATACTCTCGTCCTCTTCTTTTGCGAACGTCTCCACGTCCTTCATCTGAAAAGAATGCTAGTTTCAGTTTCGCCATCGACATGCTGCAGCGGATATGCGAGTGTTGTGTTCTCAGGCAAAACACAACTATTTATTTTTAAGATACTTAAAAATGCAACCGAATGCTGTGTAAGCTCGGGGAAAATCTATACAACTGAAATGATGACAATTCAGCTTGATGTGTGAGAGAGAGAGACGCAGAGAACGCGCGCCGTGTGTAAACTCGCGCCACACAGTAGCTTACGGTTTTAAACTTGTGGGTCTGCACCCAACAGCGAGAATAACATTGGAACTTCGCGAGAAAAATCAAAGCGACTCGATTTGTGTTGGCTGGCTCATTTGCAACACATGCGCCTCCAAACGTCGTCAGATCTTTCAATTTCTCGCAGAACTTTCCCTTTCGTAAATTTACTCACTTTAAATACAAGTATGAAATGAGTCGTCTCGCTCGTTTCTACGTCACGTGAACGCTTCTTCTCAATTAGAACTTAATAAACATTTAGTCTTATTAAAAACGCACTTTATCCACTAAAATCGGGAAGGTTCAAAGTAAACGTGACACGTAAAAGCATAAGAAACAATATGATGGGAATATATAGGGTTCAGTTGGGTGATTCGGGAAGGAACGGTAATTTGTGAAGGGTATAAAACGAGGAGTATCTACTGCGAGAAGAGCGAGATTATATCTACTGGAATGGGTTTGTTCCTCCTCCAGGTTGTTGTTGTCCGAATTGAGGGTTCGGAGGGAATCCGCCTTGCTGCTGTTGTTGCGGCCATTGTTGCTGCTGGTAGGATGGGAAAGCACCAGGGAATGTCGGGTACGGAGCCGCGAATGTCGGCTGGTAGTGAGGCTGGAACATCATTTGCGGCTGCGGTTGACCTGGAAAGAAATCAGACGTTCAATGAAATCCAAAATGTGACACTCTCTCTTCAGGAAAACACTCTCCGTCAGAGAAACTATGGCACATATCAGACGGAGACAAGACGACAAAGAAACACACCGTACGGCATTGGCTGCTGATAATAGCCCGGGTGTTGCTGGAATTGCTGGACCGGCTGCTGCTGGTACGGATTGTAGCCAGCCGGCGGTTGAGTGGGAACGGCTCCCGGAGTGGCTGAATACATAGGAAACGGTGATAACGAACGAACAGAGAGAGTTAGTGTTGATAGATAAATACGAATATTAGCTAACATGTAAGGCCGGATAACTGGATGCGTGCTCACCTTGCATAGACTGTTGAGTTCTGGGCGGCGGAATTGGCGACTCGACACTTTGGGCTGGTCGCGGCGGGGGCGGTCTTGGTGGAGCAGCAGCGCCAGAAGATGGAGTCGATGGGGCGGCGCTGGTTCCTAAATACAGTTTGGTTGATGGAAAGGAAACATGGAGAATAGGGAGGAGGCAAGCGAGGAATGCGAGATGGACATGCAAGAATTCACACAAAACGGACCGGAAGTCAGGTAGGAAGATACGAGTGAGTTGACTCCGTCGACAACTGCTTTGGCTGCCTGGCCTGAAATGACAGAACACGACTACAAAACACTACATCCAGCTAATCACTGACAACGATTAGAAGAACAGACCCATTTTCTGTCAGTACGTACCGTCATAATCTAAAATAAACTTCTCACTGCTTCCTTTCCCTCACATAAGTTCCTCTCACTCACCAGAAACGATGCTCAGCTGCAGTTGTCTCATCAAGTCCTCTTTCTCGGTTTGGCGGGCGAAAGAGAAGTCGCTGACCTTCTGCTGGAGACGAACGAGAATCGGAGTGAGGTCGTTGTAGAACTTGGTTCCCTCCTCAAGATTGGCCTTCAGCTCGGTGTAGGCGTCGGCCGCCTGTGCCAACATCTTCAGAATGCGCTCTCTTTCGGCCCCGGCACTCGAGCCCGTTTTCTCTCCAGTGAACTTGTTGTTGGCAGTTTGTATCTGACTCATCAGCGTCTCTTGCTTGTCGAGTGACGACTGAACTCGTCTCTTCAGATCTCCAAACAACTGGCCAATCTTTTCCTTTGAAATGTGCTCTTCGTTGATGAGTTGATTCTCCGCCAACGCCTTCAGAAAGTCGTTGGCAATATCGCAGTTGGTACTCTTCAGCTCTTTTTCCAAAAGTTCTCTGTCCGTGGTGACTTCGTTCCATAAGGACAACAGCTGTTTCAGCTGACGGACCGTGTCCGTCTCTCCAGTTGCATGGGCGGTTTGTCCGGGAATCGCGGATTTGAGAGCGGTTTCGTTGTTCGACAACAATTCTATTCCTTGACGGTGCGTCTCGAACTTGTCCTTGACCATTTTATCGGCGTTCGAAGCTGTATGAAGAATTCCGCGGTACTTTCCAATCTCCGTGACTAATGGTCCGGTCAGTTGCTCGCTGGACATACGATTCCATTTAGTGCCGAGCTGCTTTCGCATCGTGTCATCGCTCTCCTTCTCCTCATTAAGAATGCGACTCGTCTCAGTTAGAATGTCCTCATTTCTTTGATAAAGAGTTGGTAGTTCTGTGAAGAGTCGTTGAATTTCCGCGCTTCCGCCGTTCTGCTTTAGTTTTGCCGACTTCAGCTTGATGGATTCCGGAAGAGTTTCAGTCGAAGTGACGTCATCCAGAGCAGCCGGAAGGTTCAGAGAAGCGAGGACTCCGTTCATGAGCTGTGTGGCTTCTCGCATACGGACAGTCTCCATGTTGACGAGCTCAGCCTTTCGAGCATCGTACGATTGCATTGCGTTGTGCACTTGGACAGGGACCAACGAGGAGAACATGTCTGAAGTGTAATACTTGAGATAAACTGTGAACGTTTTGAAAAAAGAATACCTCTAAAGTTAGGCGTCAGTGGGTTAGATACCGGAAGTGCCTTTGCAAGTGGCGCCTTCGGGAGAGTCGGGAGCGACCGGAAATCGGCGACGCGCTCGTGATACTGTAAGAAAAACAATAGATCAGGTTCAGTCTATGATAGCATACGATGAAGTCGTTATCCTTCTTGGCAGCGACATGTGCTTTGCTGATGGCAGGATAAAGATCCCAAATGCCCGTCACATCCTTTGGCAGGTACTTTTGAGCAGTTTCGAATAGCCGCAGGGCCTCAGCAAGTCGGGAGAGCTGTTCTCCGATTTCACGATTTTCCCCGTTAACTTCTGCCTGATGGAACTGAGCGAGGGCAGAATACGCGAGAGTCTTTCCGTTGACCATATTGTTCCATTCTTTGTCCCACAATCCACGGACCACATCCTTCGTCATGACCTTCTGCGCCTCCGTGTAGAACTCCGCGATTTGAGCAGATATCTTGACCATTGCGGAAGGTTTCATCTTGTCTTTGTATCCTTTGATGTAGATGGCCTCCTGGGCTTGAGCGACCATGAGCGCAGACAAGGCAGCGAGAGTATCCGGCATGAGATCTGGGGTGGGATCCTGTTGGACCATCCCGAGTACCGTGTCTCTCAGACGGGCGAACACTCCGGCCGACTGCTGGAAGAGCTTCGCAGACGTCTTGATCTCGTCGTCAGTGTGAAATTGCTGGGAAGCGGCGATTTGAGACATCAGCGATCCGACATTGAAAAGAACAGCGGCACGTTCGAAGGAGCCGTCAGAGAGGGAGAGGGAGGCGCGGGAGGAGAAGAGGCTTCCTTTGTCGAACGCATCTTTCCACTTGAAGATGACCGGGTTTTGAGTGGCCGAAATTATAATCTTACTCTCAATGGCGACAAGTTGATCGTAATATCTGAAAAATGAAGACTTTAGTTTTCGGAAAAACCTAGACAATGATTACCTGGTAACAACATCCAATGCAGACTGATGTTTATCAAGAGGCTGGCAGCACGCCCTGGATCGGAGCTTGTTGAGTTCTTGAACTGCTTCCGAAATATCCGATCGGTTCTCTTCAGACGTGTTGTACACGCTGTCGATGTAGGTGGTCAGGGGCTTCACGAGGTCCACTTCGTTGGTCGCCTTCAGCGGAGCGCTAAGGAAGGCGAACGTGGCCATTCTGGAAGAAGAAATATTGATTATCTAACGGATTGATAAAATTTGATAAAATATTGGTAACAAGTTCAGTGATTCACACTCATCAAAATGAGGGTAAAAAGACGTCATTTCAGACAAAGCGAATGCAAATAACGTTCGTGATACGAGAGAAAAAACCGATGAGTCATCACTTGGGAGGAGAGAACTGCCACACACGCGGGCAAATTTCGCAATTCAACGGCCAATGAAACTTGGAAATCAATCGATTCAGAAAGGAAATTCAGTAGAGATGACCAGAGAGAGAAAAGAAGAAAATCTAATTTCCAGAAATGATTTCCGAAACTAATAGCTAATGACAACCGGCGAAAAAGCGGATGAGTTTCTGTCACTGCACACTTTTGCGCGCCTGCGCTTCCGGGATACTTCAACGCATGTGGGTAAACATATTGAAAGCGCCAACAGAAGAACCTTCTCAAAACAGTGATGAATCAGAAATTTGGGCAGAATACAACAGGATTTTGTTTGTTTCGACAAACGCTTTTTGGAATGCATTTTGAAAACGAAAGACGCGTTTTCAGGTGATTTATCTGTCATTTTATTGTTCAGTCAACCTCCCGGCAACTTTCGAAGAATCGAAATTGATGATAGATGACAGCGAGAAAACAAGAGAATTCGGCGGGTCGACAAAATCTCAGCAACAAAACAACAAAATAACTCCGCGAAAGTGGCGGCGCGCAAGTGCGCTCCACCGAACACGACGTACATCGTCTGGACTCTCTTCAATTCTCACTGTGTCTCGCTCCCACCCAATCCCGATTGCGGCCTCATTTTTTTCGAAAAAGAATACTCATTCAACTGCAACATTTCCAGGTGATGTCCGACAAACACGCAGACGAACGTCTTGAAGGTTACAATGAAACGTTCGGCGGACTTATCATCAAAAAGAAGAGCACCGACGGGGAGGATAAAGCGAAGAAGTCAGAGCTTCCAACAAAGTAAGTCAAACGTTTTACAAAATCAATAAAATTCATATATACAGGAGCGCGTATGGGCTCGACAAACTTGCTTCCATCAAACGAGAGCATGAAAGGAAGCGGTTGGACGACGGAGAGGATAGCGGTGTGACAGAATCCGTTCGTCGTGGAATCGAGAAGTGAGCTTGCGCCTAATCGACGCTAAAACCTATCAATTTGTTCTTCAGAGTTCGTGAGAAGCATAGAGACCGTGAAGATCGAGGAATGAAGTACAAGAGTCGTGATGACGATAAGAAAAGAGACAAAGACTACGACAGATCGGATCGCAGAGAGCACAGCAGTCGGAGAGATCGAGGAGACAGAAGAGGCGATGAGACTCCGCGCTTCAAAGTGCCCGATACGCCGTCGAGAATGACGTGGGACGACGACAGAGATGGGTCGTCAAGGAAAAGAAATAGTTGGGACATGCCGACTCCACGAGGAGAAAGAGACCGAAAAAGAGATTGGGACACGGAAAGAAGTATCTCGAGCGCATGGAGAAGTGAGAGGAAGCATCGAGATGACGAGAAACGTAAGAGGTACAATCGACCACAAGACTCTGTGAGAAGTGTCAAGGAAGATAAGAACGAGTAAGCTATTCAACGATTCATGGTTTGTGACAAAGTTGTTGCGTTGTAGACCGACATTCCACGACGAAGAAGAGCGATTACAGTGGGAGCAGGAGCAGAAGAGTCTGGAAAGAGAATGGTACGACAACGAAGGAGCCCATGACGACGAGTACAACCCGTTCAACAAAGTGTCAGAAGAGTTTGTGGAGAAACGAGAGAAGCAGTGGCAGGAGAAGACTCAGAAGCCGAGACTGACTGTCAAGCAGCAGGCGATCAAAAGGGAGAACGAGCTGTGGGAAAACAACAGACTGCACCGTTCCGGAGTCGTCGCAATGGCCGACGAGTTGTCGAGTACCTTCGAGGACGAAACCGACGAGAATCGGGTCACAATTCTTGTGCAGAACATTGTTCCTCCGTTCCTGGATGGTCGAATTGTGTTCACGAAACAGGCACAGCCGATCATTCCGGTAGTCGATACAACGTGTGATATGGCCGTGGCCGCAGCGAAGGGAAGTATGGCGGTGCGGAGGCGCAGAGAAGTGGAAGATCGGAAAAAGGCGCAGGACAAGCACTGGGAATTGGCAGGAAGTAAATTGGGAAATCTGATGGGAGTCAAGGAAAAGGCCGACGACACTGCGAATCCAGAAGACGATGACAACGGAAACTACAAGGAGTCTCATCAGTTCGCATCTCACATGAAAGACAACGAAGCCGTCTCAGACTTCGCATTGGAGAAGACGATCAAGCAGCAGAGAGAATACTTGCCAGTTTTCGCGTGTCGACAGAAAATGATGAGCGTAATCCGAGAAAACAACGTGGTTATCATTGTCGGAGAGACCGGATCAGGAAAAACGACGCAGCTCGCTCAATATCTTCTGGAAGACGGCTTCGGAGATTCGGGACTCATCGGATGCACTCAGCCGAGACGTGTCGCCGCTATGAGTGTGGCGAAGCGCGTGGCCGATGAAATGGGCGTGGAACTCGGACAAGATGTGGGATACGCTATTCGATTTGAGGATTGCACTTCTGAAAAGACTATCATCAAGTACATGACCGATGGTATTCTCCTTCGTGAATGCCTCGGAGACGGAACTCTCGACCAGTACTCTGCAATCATCATGGACGAGGCTCACGAACGGTCACTCAATACCGATGTGCTATTTGGATTACTCAGGGAGGTAGTTGCCAAGCGATCGGATCTCAAACTGATTGTCACTTCTGCCACTATGGACGCCGACAAGTTTGCCGATTTCTTCGGAGGCAACTGCCCGACGTTCACTATTCCGGGAAGAACTTTCCCTGTCGAGCTGTTCCACGCGAGAACTCCCGTTGAGGATTATGTGGACACTGCTGTCAAACAGGCGGTCACTATCCATCTCGGAGGAATGGACGGAGATATTCTCATGTTCATGCCCGGACAAGAAGACATCGAGTGTACATGCGAGATGATCAAAGAGAAGCTGGGAGAGCTGGACGATGCGCCGCCGCTCGCCGTGCTTCCGATTTACTCTCAACTCCCCAGTGATCTGCAGGCGAAGATCTTCCAACGTGCTCCCGGAGGAATGCGAAAGGCGATCGTCGCCACGAACATCGCGGAGACATCGCTCACTGTCGACGGAATCCTGTTCGTGATTGATCCAGGATTCTGCAAGATGAAAGTGTACAACCCGAGGATTGGTATGGACGCTCTCTCGATCTTCCCTATTTCTCAAGCATCTGCCAATCAGAGAAGTGGTCGTGCTGGTCGTACCGGACCAGGACAGTGCTACCGTCTGTACACGGAAAGACAGTTCAAAGACGAGCTTCTGAGAAGCACAGTGCCCGAAATTCAACGGACGAACCTTGCCAACGTCGTGCTCCTTCTGAAATCTCTCGGCGTTGACGACCTTCTGAAATTCCACTTCATGGATGCGCCTCCTCAGGACAACATGCTCAATTCGATGTATCAGTTATGGACACTCGGGGCTCTCGACAATACGGGACAACTAACTCCGATGGGTAGGAAAATGGTCGAATTCCCACTGGATCCGACCCTTTCTAAAATGCTCATTGTCTCTGCTGAAATGGGATGCAGCGAGGAAGTTCTGACAATCGTCTCGATGCTCTCCGTGCCCGCGATCTTCTTCCGTCCGAAAGGAAGAGAAGAAGAGGCGGACGCGAAAAAGGAAAAGTTCCAAGTGCCCGAATCGGATCATCTCACTTTCCTCAACGTTTATCTTCAATGGAGAACGCACAAGTACTCGGCCAAGTGGTGTGCAGATAATTATTTGCATGTGAAAGCTCTGAAAAAAGTTCGAGAAGTGCGAGCGCAGCTGAAGGAGATCATGCAGGAGCAAAAACTGAAATTGGTGTAAGTGCATTTGATTGATGCTCGGGGAAAATATCAAAAACGTGTTTCAGGTCAAACGGAAGCGAGTGGGATATTGTACGCAAGTGCATTTGCTCCGCCTACTTCCACAACGCCGCCCGTCTCAAGGGAATCGGAGAATACGTGAACGTTCGAACGGGAATCCCTTGTTTCCTTCACCCGACTTCTGCTCTGTTCGGAATGGGCTTCATGCCCGATTATGTGGTATTTTAGTATCTATTTTCATTTCCCCAACAATATTGGTCTCAGGTGTACCACGAACTTATCATGACAGCCAAGGAATACATGCAATGCGTCACAGCAGTCGACGCGATTTGGCTCGCCGAGCTCGGTCCGATGTTCTACTCGATCAAGGAATCGAAGCAGTCGAGAAGGGAACTGAAGATGGAGAGCGTTCGAACGGTGGAGACGATGGAGGCGGAAATGCGAGAGGCTCAGAAGGAGATGGAGCGGCGGAAGAAGGAGAGCGACAAGGCTTTCAAGCGCCCGCAGTCATCCACGAGAATCGTCGAAGTGGGATCAAAGTCCGTTCGTTCGGAAAGGCGGAAGTTGTGGGGACTTTGATCAACTCGTCGTCTCTGCGACACTTGTCTCCGATTTCCTCTTGTTTTTGTTTTTGTCGTGTATCTCCAAATCTCTGCGATTTCTCGATCACTTTCAATCCGCGTTTGTTCAATTCAATATATCCGTAATATAATAAATCCATTCTTTTCAAAACTTCAATCGTTTAACCCTCCATCGGTCATTTTCCATTACTTACCGACGGCTTTCTAATCCCTTCCCCCACTCCTCCATTTCCGATTTTCAGGATGAGCCTCGGCGAAATGCCCGTCGAGATGGCCACCCACATCCTCCGAGGGTTGAAAGCCACCGATCTCTTCAATTCAGGGCTAGCCTATTCCGAGCTGGCGGTCATTGCGGCGAGGTTTCTCCCGACGGCGCGTTCTTTGAAGTTTGAAGTGACGGACGGAGGGCTCAGAGGAAGTTACGGAACGGACGAAGCGGAAATTCGGATTCCGCAGACGAAATGTGAAGAGACCGAGAGGATTCTGCAGATTCTGAGGCCTTGCCTTGCCGAAGCCGTTGAGTCCCTCCACCTGGAGAACGAATTAGTCCGTGGACATATTCCCGATGACCTACTGGCTCATCTTCTCTGTTTTGTGCAGAACGCTCCTCTCAAGGAACTGGCTCTTTCGGAAATCGACTTTGAAAACATTCAAGTGTGGACTCTGGCACTTCTCGCAGGCTTCGATCGGCTTGAAAAAGTTGGGATCGATGGATGTAAACTGGGCGGGCTCACGGAAGGAAGGCTGCTGAAATGTCTGCAAACCTCGTTCCAAACCCTTTCGCAAATCGATTTGAAGGGAACTCCGCAGGTTCAAAGCTGATCCCACGCAAGTCATCATCGTGATCTTTGCAGGTAACCGATCAGTTCGCCGTCCGTGTCTCTCGTTCCTGCCCCAATCTCTCCTACTTCCGCATCTCGAACTGCCCCAAAGTGACCACGTACTCCGCACTTCCGCTCATCGAATCCGCCATCTTCCGCATGTCGGACAAACTTGATGTTCACATGGACAACACTAATTTCGACCCCGATCTGCTCCGTTCCGTCATGCGCTCTCCGCTGTTCGCGGCCTCCTCTGAGGAGTGGAGCCTGGAGCCAGTAGTTGTTCCGCTTGGATACGACCGCCCGGCCGTGCTGGCTCTTCATTCCAGCCGTAGATGCGTGCTCATCTTTGTCTGAAACCACGATGGTATTCTCCCTGTACTTATTATTCATATTCCCCATTCACTCTAATCATAATTATAATGTAAATATTAACCCCGATGTAAAATTGTATATTCTTGGTGTGTAAATCAGAAATTCTAGGTGACCAGTCAGTGAAATACGAAATGTAATAATAAAATAACAAAATGATATATGTAGCTGTTCAACAGTTCTTTATATATAAAACAAGAGGCGTCGGTCTGTCTGTCTGTCTTTTTTGTATGCCCGCTGAGCATTGCCTGTAGCCAATCCTACTTAAATCCGGGCGGTAGCTTACAGTTTACTCGTGACCACGGCACTTCTGACAACGGAACTCGTGACCACAGAGTTCAGAAGTGCCGTGATTACGAGTCAAGAGTTCCAGAACGAAACCAGTAAGGAACCGGTCTATAATAAACCAATGTAAACACTCGCTTTCCACATTATTTATCGCTAGAAACTCTCTTATTTCCACACACTATTTCGTCAGCTCCAGCCGATCAAACGTGGACGTACAGCTGTGTTTCTCATCGATTTTCACCCTCTACCTCTCTCCTTTCCCATTTCAAAATGTGGTATTATATAGTTTTGACTGCTGGATCTGAGAAACAGAAAGAAATATTCGAAAAGGAGCTGAGGCTGCTTCCGATTTCCGAATACAGCTCGGGAAAATGCGTTTTGAAAGATGACGCACCGGAAGGAGTCAGAATCGGATCTGGTGGATCGACACTGAGTCTGATACGGTCGGATAATGCCTATATGAATGATAAAATCAATTTGAAGGTTTGGTTTCTTCATTTGTTGCAAAATTATTTATGGTAATCTCGTTCTACCGCTACCACGTTTTCACGTGGAAAATGCGGTAGAGCGCGACTGACAGAATACTTCAACCAATTTACAAAACAGTTCAAACTCCCTATTTTCAATTACAGCATCTTCTTGTCCATTCCGGCGGTCTTTCTCAGCGAATGCCGCATCTTTCCGCCTACGGAAAAGCATTCGGATTGTTACCGAACGGAAAAACATTGTTGGAAACGAAACTAGACATCTACAGGTGAATATTGAACTGAAAAAAGAAAGAACAGAACAAAAAGAGAAGAAGTTTCAGGAATCATTTGTTTGATAAACTCCCCCCGGTCAGTGGAATCATGATAACTGCGTCCGACGTTTTGGAGGACATGCAAGGACTTCCATCGATTCGGAACAGCGACGCCGATATTATCATTTTCGCGCATACTTCTTCTTTGGAAGTCGGCACTCAGCACGGCGTTTTTGTGGTGGATGCCAAAACGAAAAAGCTGAAGAAAGTGCTTCAGAAGCCGTCAGTCGAAGAAATGAGGAAAGAAGGAGCGCTGAGGGAGGATGGAACAATCCTCACTGACAGGTTTTCAACATCTTCCCGTTTGAGACCGAACCTTCTCTTGCAGTTGTTTCTTCCTAACCTGGCCTTTCTGTGACCAAATTCTCAATTCGGACAATTTATTCAATGAACAGATAACTGAGGAACTGTGCTGTTACGGAGACTTTATGAGGGGGCTGGGAACTGAACCGAAACTGGATTACATTGACGATTGTAAGAATTTAAAACACATGTTAAATTGGTCGTAACTTACTTCAGCGCCTCCGAAATTAGCCGAGTACCGACGGGCTCTTGCCAACAGTTTCTCTAAAGCCAAGATCCAGGTTTGGACTGCAAAACCTCACTTTTAATTAACTCAAAGTTTCGCTTCAGATTTGTGAACTGGGGAAGAACACATTCTTTCACTTCGGAACATATCGAGAGTTTTTGGAGCATCTTCTGCCAGACTCCGCACTCCGGAACGCCTTCCCCGACATTTTCACGTCAAACGTTCAGAAGTCGAAAGGATTTCAAATTATGAAAGTTCCCGATTCAAGTTTTGTGGAATTCTCGGATGGAATGCGGGTAGGAGTTGGCCAGAATTGTGTGATAAGTGGAATTGAAGCGGAACAAATGAAAATCAAAATTAGTGACGACACAGTCGTTTTCACGATGGCACTAAATAAGGTTGAAAGGGAGGCACCTTTATGTACAATTACACGCGACTTTCAGGGAGATTATGTGAGTGTGATGTTCAAAATTGACGATGATATCAAGAAGAAGTGGAACAGACTGAAATGGAATGGGCATGATACAGGAATCGCGAACACATCGATGTGGGATGCACCGATCTTCAGAACGTTCGATTCACGGTTAAAATCTTTGGATAAGACATTGTCCGAGTGGGTTAACGGGATGGAAGAAAAGGTGAGGAGAAAAATAGGGAAACAGACAAGGATGAAGATGAGATTGCAGGGAACGCGGATTTCGATCGGCGAAGCAATGAAAATGCACGATTTCGAGACGGAGTTAAAATGGAGAAGTCGATTCAATCATCTGTAAATATGGGTTTTACAAATGTGATTCGACGAATAAATGTGATATTACCTGCTGGCGCAGTCCCATTCTTCTTCCGCTCGAACATCTTCTGCCGGAGAGTCATTTTGCGCGACTTCTCCTCTTTTGTTGCCGAATTCGCCGTGAAGCTGTTTTCATCGTTGACAATCGAACTGAAAATTGACTTATTGAAGCTTTAACAGAATCTATGATATAGAACTAACGTGTTTACTGTAATCGGAGTACGTTCAATGTCATTGGTTGGAGATCGTGGATCGGGACAGTTCGGGGCTCTTTGGGGTGTAGAAGCCGGCGTCTGCTTCTTCGAGTTCGACGAAGAGGAGAAGGCCTGACCCATTCTGAAAGAAACTGCGATGGCAAACAAAACTGTTTGAAACTAATAACAGAAAGATATGAAAATCGGCAGAGTCGAGAAAATATTCATTTTAAAATTTCGAAAGCTGGCGCGCGGGTCGCAAACACCAGCGTGTGAAACCTGCGGACCGAGCGCGACATTTGGCGACAAAAGAGCGGAAACGAACATCAAATTTTTTAGTTTCTCCGTCACAACTTTTTTCCGTTTAAGATATGTGTCAAAAAATATTTATTCGCATTAGAAGTGAAATGCATTAAAAGAGGTTTGTTTTATCAAATGAAGATCTTTGAGATCTGTATAAGAAAGTGGTTGTGATGGAATAATAATAGTAATAATAATAATACACAGTCAAACAATCGGTTTTCATGCAGTTTCTCGGGGAGCTCATCTAAATGGAAGAAGTTTCGTAGAACGCCCTGGTCGGTTCGTATTGGGTCTGTGAGACTGCTGCGTACGATGGAACCGGAGGGGCATTGTACTCCGGGGCGTTGTTCCACGGAGCCTGACTCACGGGACGAGATGCCTGGCTCATATTGTAATTAGAACGAAAGTCATTCTCTATCAAAGGCGCCTTCTCCGGTTCCGCAGATCTGAACGTCTTCTCCAGCTGAACGAGTCTTTCTTGTTCCTCTTTCAGCTGTAATCGTTCCGCATGCGCCGCCTGCTTCTTCTTTCGGATACTCCAAAGGACACAGAAGAAGATGACGAAGATGAGGACGATTCCGAATATCGAGAGCAGTGCTGTCATCCATTTGAGTGCGTACTCGAGATTTCGATCACGACACCACGCCCACCATCCAGGCGACCACGTGCCATTCCGGCACACTCTTTCGATGTCTCCGTGGATGTAATATTTAGGCTTACACGAGAAGACGACCTGAAAAACAGGCAAAAGTTAATTGTGCACATGGAGTATAAATTCGAGAGAACCTTGTCTCCGTCCAGGTAATTTGCCGCCGGTGGTGTCTTCACAACTCCCTCCTTCTTCAGAAGTGGGCCACAAGAGATTACTGAAAGTATGGAGAATGAAGAGAAGACTGGACGGCTTCCAGATACTCACACTGCCGGCTTCCAGTCTTCTGAAGTGCCAGGAACTGCTTCTGCCTTCGCAAAGTCGTCAGCCCGACCTCTTTCCTTCCGGTCATAATGTAATCGTACTCGCATTCCGGATTATTCTGGCACGTGCTCACGACTTCTTCCATCGAAAACACTCTCGACGCATTCATATCGATCGTCTGCGGCCAGTAAACGGGGCGATAATCTGATTCCGCAAACAGCAATGGATTATAAATGGGTTTGTATTTATCCTGGAACAGAATACTTCCCAACTTTTCGTTCGTTCCGTCTATCTTCCCTGAAAACCACTAAATTGAGAGATTTCAGAACGCCAACTCACACGTCGAAGCGAACTGTTCGTATATCATCTGTGTCGTGGAAGACGTCGTCGTCGGATTCTGTACCCTTGTTACCGTACCAGTCGGCGTTGTCAAATCGTCCGTCGGATCATTGTTGTACACGCCTAACAATCCCAACGTAGTGTAACATCTCCGTTGTCCTGTGGCCGCATTCAGGGCAGATGACATCGATTCTCCTTGCCGACACGTTGTATTGTAACTCGGAGGCAAAGTAACCATCACATCAAGCATTCCGAATCCTTCGAAGATCCGAATTCCGACTCCAGACTTCAGCATGATCACCAGTTCGGATTGATTCATGTTTTGCAATGGATTTCTGATGTCCAAGTCTGAAAACGCAAACGATGGAAATAAGCTAAAGAATGTGATGTTACGCTTGAAAGTCTGATGTTTCCAGTGCGCCTTATCGAAGAACCTTCTCGAGCCATCCACGTAGACATCCGTCCGATATCTCCATCTTCGCATTGGCTTTCGCGCGTACACTTGCACAATCGAACTGTCGTTCTCCTGGACAGCGATTCCAGTGATTACGGTTGCATTCACATGCGAATGCCCTGAACAGTCATGACATTTTAGTACAACAATCTGGGATGAGACTCACAAAGTGTATCATCGGGCTGCTCCAATCGAACTTGAACCATCAGTTTGTGGTACGGGTTGTCCGACATCGTGAGCACATAATATCCCTTTCCGGGCATTGTGTACCTGATTCCGTCGTAAGTGATGATGTGCGGCTCTCCGTACATGTAGCCGGCTGCCGGAGCCCGATAATCTTGACATCCGTTCGTCATCCTACGCCAGTAATAGAACTCGCAGTGGTCCGCGTACTTGCAGCAAGTTCGGTAAGGTAAAAGATCGAGTTGATAGTTGGAGAGAGTTGGAATGAACGGAGGGAGTCTATAGGGCGCCGCTCCGTATCGATGCGCTCTGGCGGGAGTGCCCGGCTGGAAAAACGTCGTGTAATCACCATCGGGTTCCCAGTCATCCGTGAACATTAGATAACCGTCATAATCATAGCAGCACTGTTGGGAAGAGCCGGAGAAAGTGGGCTGGACGGACTGAATGCAATGCTGGGCTCCCTTGTTGAATGGACAAGAAGTGTCTCCGTCCTTGTCGCAGTCCATGATCGGCATGAACCTTCCGAGGTCCAGAAGAGCCTGGGAGAGCTTGCAGGGGCACGGGTAGTCGGTTGTCAGGTCGATTTGGAAGTTGTTTCTCTTTCCGTCGTACTCGAACCACTCAATGCACATGTCGATCGCCCAGCTGTTCCCGTAATAGTGCTCCCATTCGTTCAAATGATACCAGGGGAACGGCGTCGGTCTGCTCCACATCACACCGTCTTCCGTGTCCGACAGCGCGACTTGCACGAATCCGAAATGGAACTTCTGCCACGCATTCTGCAACTTTTTGTTGAAAACGAGTTTTTATTCTGTATTCACGAACCCTCAGTAAGAACTGTTTCGTGAGCTGCTGTGGCCTAAACGTGTACGTTCCCGTGTTCGAAATGCCTCTCGCCAGGTAGTCGATTCGCTCGAAATGCGACCGATCCGCATCTTCCCAGTACCCGAACAGACTGATGTCCACTCGAGCTCCGGTATTCCACGTCAAATTAAGTGCCTGCCACGTCATCGCCAACTCTTGTGCGTACGGTTCGTACCTGGAAAGAACAGATGAGGCGGTGAGAGTTGTGATTGCTCACCATCGGTTAGTTTTATTGTCTACCGAGTCCTTGAGTGAAACGTAAGCAGGCGCTCTTTCCGAGCTCACAACGTAGAATCTTCCGAAGAACGGAAAAGACTGTCCTCCGTCTCTGCTCATTCTCACCGGAACCATTCCGATTTTGTGGAACATTGGCATGATGCAACGAGCACGAACACGGTTCAGACGGGTGCAACTGGTCTGCCAGTTCTCGAAATTCACTTTCACCACGTCCGCCGGTCTCAAACACGGACCCGAAACGTTGATGGCCATTCCTCCGTGCATTGGTCCCCATGGCGGAGCGGTCAACATTGCGCCGTTCGATGCGTTCGTACATCCTGCCGGAATAATCAGCTCGTCGATTCTATGGATCCATCGTCCCGGCGTGAGAACATTGGAGAAGTATCCGAGTTTCCAGAGTCTTCCCTCTCCGCTGTACGGCAACCCGTACCATCCGGTTCCGTTTCCTCCGTTGAATCCGGCCATCGCCGCCTGCTTTCCTCCGAACCCATCCAATCCTCCGGCTTCATTTGAAGATGTCCAGTTGAGGCGGGCATAGTTGAAGATGGCAAAAGTTCTTTAAAAAAAGAAGTTCAATGCGAGATTGAAGAGCTAGCAGATTTTACCTAATTTCATCAGAAGCCACGACGAGCTGGAAAGTGTTCTGCCAATCTTTGACATGCTCGAACTGAGAGACATCCAAAGCACGGGCGGCTCCTCCGTGAGCCATCTGAAATGAGAGACTCCGTCACTGAGCCCAGGATGTTCCACTCACCCTATACCAGGTGGCAATGAACGCGTGCTCCGCCCGGAATCCGTTCGCTCCGGTGTATCCGTCCTGAATGTGTCGGGTGATATTATCCAGAAGCAGTGGATCCACGACCATTCCGGGCTGCGAAATCCTTCCGGGCATCTGTCTCTTCTTCCTTTTCCCGTAAATCTGTTGCTGTTGTTGTAGCAGTTGAGTGTTGTACTGCTGAAATTGTTGGATTACACACCGACTCGTACGTCGCAATTACCTGATTCTGTGTGTACGCGTTCAGGTTCTGTGAAGAGTACAAACTGGGGTTCGAGTACTGCTGATTGAGTGCCGACTGTGCGCCGGCCCCCGCGTAGTTCGGTGCTCCGTAGTTCAGCTGGCTGTTCCTCTCGTACAAATCGTCGTCGTCGAGCTGTAGAAGGACACTGTTTACTCTTCGATTCCCCGCACTTCACTTGCATAATCCGGTTATAAAATCAATTAATGGACACAATTGATAACAAGAAACAGTGAGAGGTCGATGGACTATTTGCACGGGATGCTGGTCGCCACTTACCCGTGGTCGGTGCACACTTCTGAAGAAGACGTTGCTGATTTTGGTGTTGCCGATCCATTGGAACATTGCGTCGGCGTAGAAAGGAGCGATGAACGAGTGATCCTGAATGCTCCTCCCACTCAGAATTCATTTTCAGATGTCACTTACCCTCTGTTTCGGCCATTCGGGATTGGGGAACGTCCATGGCGGCGCAGAGAAGGGCGGCAGTCCGAATGAAATCATTCCCATCGGATAGACCATTGTGTAGTTGAATCGGAATCCGAAAAACGGGCAATCGAATCCCAGATTGGTCTGCGTCTCCCTGCCGGCCTGTCCCATCAACTGCTTGTCCATTGCCCACGTGCCGAACGGGTACATTATCTCCGTCCAGCCTTCCTCGATTCGAACGTCGTAGTCAGCTTTTCCGAGATTGTCAAGGTACTCTTGGTAGGTTATCCGCGACGTTTGACGCTTTTTCCGAATGTGCTCATCGAACTTGTGGTCTTCCATTTCGGACTTTCTGATGAGTTCCAAAAACTCTTCCCTTGTGGGAACACGACTTTCCGGAGGCTCCTCCAGACATATTGAACGCTCCGGATCATGCTGAACGCCTACTTTCCCGAATGATCGGAAGAAATGATATTACCTGCTCAGGGTCCTGAAACCTTAAAAGGTTCTTTATAGACTGCGAGAATGCAGTATCGGGCGGCAGAAGCGCCGAATACGCGTAGGTGAGCACGACGGCCAACGCGACGGCGTGCCGGGCCGACCACATTGCCGTGGACTCTGGAACTGAAGTTTGAGTGGACGAAACTTCTAGACGACCAGAAAGAAAGAGAAAGAGATAATTTCTATTGATTACTTTTGTGCCATTTTGTCACGAGCGGTCAATTTGATGGGCGACAGTCAGAGCGAAATGGGGAGAAGCAGGAGGAAATGATTCACTGTTTCGAAATCAAATTCAAATTACTACCATCACATGGAGTAATTGCATTGATACAACGATTGAGTAGATGAGATTGAGTGATGGAACAGTTGAAAGTGAAACGAATGGAGAGGGTTCGTAAAAGTAGGGTTCGATAATCGTCAAAGTAGGGAAATATTGCGATAGATCAAGAGCAGCTCGTAAAAATTGAAGAAGACAATTACTTCAACAAACAAGACAAATTGAAGTATTTGGAAATGAATTACTTTCTAAAGTAAGACATAGCTGTGGATGTCATCGTGTTGTTCAGGCTTTTCGAAGACTTAAACTTTTGACACCCATCTAGAATACCAGCTTTGAAAGCTTGTTAAACTTGGATTAAAGTGAATTTGGTCTAAGTTTCAGATCGGATAATTTACATTTGAGATATGTGGATAGAAAGTCGAAAAGTGTCCGCCCTGTTTGCAAAGATAACTCTGGGAAACAGTTTTGATCAGATTTAACAAAGAAATCGACGATACTCAATTGAATTTCCAATCAATTTGATATCATCAAGAACCTATAAATAATCAGAAAGCAGTCCTATTTCTGGAAACCATAATAGTATAATAACACTTGATCTACTTTTCAAACGTGCGTTAATCCTATTTGCCGGACATTAATAAGTGACAACGCTGATCTAGACATAATCGTTTTTATTTCAGAGGACAACAATACAGTTAAGGACCATCGGGAACAAGTTGATGAAGTTAAGGTAAGGAAATGAATGGAAGGCGAGAAGAGGGAGTAGAAGTTGGAGTACAACTTGTGCAATGGAATGGGAAATGAGTCTAATGACGCCCCCAAACGTTTTAATCAGCTTAGAGAGTCTCGGTGAACGTACTTGATAGAGTACCCCCGGTTGGCAGTGACGCGGCGGCCAGGAGAGAGCCGGTGACTGGCCGCTGCCGCCTACAGTAACCCCCAGATGGGCGGGCGCTCGCCTGCGTTTCCGTCCACACTTTTCCACTGCCAACTGATACGTAATCAGCTGCGATTCAAACAAAATTCCCGTAAAATTTATTCAAGCGTGTTGTAAACCGGGGGTGAGAACAGAAGGAGGCTGGCAGCAAAACGATGATAACAGAGCCAGTACTACGTCCTTCTTATCACGACTGTATGTACACTTGGGATCAACTGCCAACCATCTAAAAGGTTTATTATCATTCCAGACAGAGAGAGAGTTCAACGAGAGGCTGTCAGGTTGCGGTGAACACTGCTTCGCAACTCGCCCAGCACTTTTGCCGCCAATTCGAACGTGCCGATCGAGAAGAGTTCCGACGGAGCCGCGCCCCATTTCGTCGCCGATTTTGGGATGTTGATGCGGAGAACTCGTTGACACGGCTGAAACTTGTTGAAGTCGAGTTAAGTTTGGCATTGGTTGCTCATCGAAAGTCCGTCGTCGCACTTGTGGAAGAAGTTCACGTATGGCTCGATTCCAGTGACTTCCACTTCCGCCCCGCTCCCGTCGGTAACTGTCGCACTCATCAAATCGTCCACATCCAAAGAACCGCAATTTTTCCCTTTTTCTTTCCGCATTTCTCTTTCGGTGACTCACTGTCCGTTTCCATCAAATCCACTTGTATTGCGGCTGCCGGCACGTTAGTTTGCCGGTCACCTAAACAGAATGAGTCACCGTCGAAATGACGTAGGCTAACAATACCCACGGCCACATGTTGAGTACGACCAAGCGAGGCGCCAGAAATGCGAATGGATAATAGAAGAAGGCACTTCATTTCAAAGAAAAATGAAGAAAATATGAATGGGCTTGTTTTTGATAATGCGTTCAGAACTTATGAAATCGGACACCTGCACGAAGAGAAATGTTTATGATTCTTCTTCTTGTTATTACATCAAATTGAAACGAGAGTTTAGTTGAGGCAGCTTCTTGTCTCTCCCGGATACTTTCCGGAAAGTTCGATGACTCCGGCGTCGTAGGTCTGTTTGGCCGCACTGCCGCTGTTCGTGTACGATTTCGGAATGTTGACACGGAAGACACGTTGGCATGGCTGCAAAAAACCAATGAATATTGAACGTTCCCACTCTTTTGTTCTTTGTGATCATCAAAGTACAGCGGAGAATGTCTATTGTTCGTTTGCCACACAAATTGTTTTTCTCATAAAAACTAGTTTGATTTGCCTTCCCGACTCACCGTGATTCCGTCCTTGCAATCGTGGAACACCGCCAAGTACGGCTCGATCGTCGTGAGCTCCTTCGTGGATCCGCTCAGGTTGAACGTGCCGCTAGAGTCGGCCTTTCCGGAAGCCATCTTGTCGTCGCTGTCGAGGAATCCGGGGCCGAAGCTGTCTGGAAAAGGGAACGCCTACTGAAAGTCCACGAATCAGAAACAAACTGTCCGACTCCATGAGCTTGACCTTCACTCCACTTGCCGGTTTTCCCTCGCACACCAGTCTTCCCTTGACGGCTGCAGATTGAGTTCTGCCGATCAAATCGAGGGAAGCCACGGAGCTGACGAGCAGAAGACCGAGGAGAATGCGAGACATCTGGAATGAAAAGGGTCAATGAAAATCAAAAAGTGATTCGCAAGGGGGGCGGAAAGAGAACTGTAGAGACTAGAGAGTAAAGTGGAAGTGGGAGGGGCGGGACGACGATGAATGCGACGGTTCAGTAGTACAATGATATCATGGGCGGGTCGGGTCAGAAGAGGAAGACGAAGAAGAAGAAGAAGAAGAAATGAAGTGGGAAATAAGTAACAACAACAACGACAACGGCCTTGGAGAGAATTGAGAGACGCGGAGAAATGGGACCCAATTGGTTTTTGACACTTGATTTGAAGGTATCAGTTTCGAAGAACAAAATCTTCTGTTCATTCAAATCAATGTATTCCAGCTGCCGGGAGAGATATCAAAATATGGTCAACTGATAAAACGTGCAAAATTTCTCAATGAACTATTTATTAATTTACATCTTCCTGATATCTCCATCGGCAGCTGAGCTTTGAATACACAATACCCTTCTATAACTGTTGTTACGGTGGAAATAGTCGACGTCGGAGGATACTGTAAACGAGGAGATCAACGACCTTCTTCTCCTTTGTCAGCTCCTCTTTCACTTCCCTTTTATACCCATTCATCCTTATCTCCATCACAATATCTTCTTTCACTTCTTCTTTCTCTCTCTCTCAGCCCGATATCTTCCGTGTTTGGTAAACAACCTCTTGTCGTGTTATTTCATGTCCTCATCGAACCATTTTTTCTTCTCACGTCCTTCTTTTGTCCCCTTTCAAATGTTAATGGTTTTTGGTTTTTCAGTCGTGTGCAAACATGCGATCTCTTCTCTTTTTCGCTCTTTTGGTCGGCTCCGCATTCGGTCTGGATCTCATCGGAAGAACTCAATGGGCGGCGGTAAAGAGAGAATGAAAAGTGTCGAAAAAGGCACGTTTCAGGTGAAAGGAAAGTTGAATTGCGAAGGGAAGCCAGCTTCGGGGGTCAAGGTCAAACTGATGGAATCGGACAGTGAGATGGGCGGTCGATGATCTTTCGACCATCCATTTTTCAGACAGCTTCCTGCCCGGATTTCTGGACAAAGATGACAAGATGGCGTCGTCGAAGGCTGACTCGAACGGCGAGTTCAACTTGAGCGGATCCACGAAGGAAATCACGACGATTGAACCGTACTTGGCAGTGTTCCACGATTGCAAAGATGGCATTACGGTAAGAAAGCTCTGAAGGCGTCGAGAGTCGAGCGCATTCCAATTTCAGCCTTGCCAAAGAGTTCTTCGCATTGACATTCCGAAATCCTACGCAAACTGGGGAAGTTCTGCGAAGAAGACGTTCGATGCCGGAACTCTGGAACTCGCTGGAAAGTTCCCCGGAGAGACAAGAAGCTGTTTTAACCGATAGTGACTTTGTTCAATTGCTTGTAACCTTTCATCCGAAGTTCATAAACATGTTTTCCACGAATTCCACGTCGAGGACGTGGAGACCGACGAGAGCGGTGAGCGCCCAGAAGACGAGATGCACCATAAAGAGAACGAAGGCGACCACGTAGAGGACACGTGCCTGAAAAATGAATTTATAGCGAAAATCAAGGAAAAGGAAGTACGAACAACGTAGAATTTCTTCGGTTTGCCATTCTTCTTCTTCTTCTTGTCCTTCGACTCGTCCTCTGACTCAGTCTGCTTCCGAGTTTTCTCCTTCGTCTTCTTTAACGGCTTCACGTCCGACTCCAGATCCATATCGTCAAAGAGCTTCAGCGCTGCCGGAGCTTTGGCCGGAGCCATGGCCACTGGATTCTCATTGTCTGGAGGCGATGCGGCAGAGATGGTGGCGACCGCATTGGAAGGAGGAGCCGGTGGCGGTGGCGGTGGCGGAGGCGGTGGCGGAGGCGGTGGCGGAGGTGGAGGTGGAGGAGGCGGTGGAGGAGGCGGTGGAGGAGGCGGCGGCGGTGGCGGTTGGGCGGGAAAAGTTGGATCCGGTTGATTCGAGTTTTCGCTAGTAGAGAGTGCGGTAGATGCTTGGATCTCACAAAGATTTATGTAGTTGTCTCCCACTGAAAAGAAGGGATTCACAGAATCCACACATAAAACTCACTCTTAATCCTTCTAACTTGATTATAAATCGCCGATCAACAACTTCACGAGGAATGAGACGAAGGAACGATGAACTGGGGCCATAACCAGTTACAAAAATTCGTGAACTTGATATATTATTTGTATATTTTCACGCTGCTCATCCTCGAATTTATTTCACTTTTTCGTAGCGTTCTCGCTATCCCTATCGATCGTGCGAGTTCTCGAAAAGTGAGCTGATCTTGAGGCTAAAAAACATTTTGAATGGCTTTCAGTGGGCGATCAATATTTGTGTCTGGATCAGGTCAAAGATGAGAAGGTCCCTCCGCCAGCTGGAGTCGTCGCTGTTCCGGCTCCACCGCCTCCGCCACCGCCTCCTGCAGCTGGACCGATCGTCAAAGTTCCCGCTCCACCGCCGGGCATTCAAAAGGACAGAAGCAATTCGAAAATGTACGTAGTTTATTTTTAATGCAAGAGAATCACAGTATTCTTCCCCTTCAGAGCATCGGTCGACAAGAATGCGTCGGTCAGCAAAGTGGAGGCGGCTGAATCCGGTACTAACGTCAGCGCTCCTCCTGCAAAGAGCAACGCTACTCTGGTTAGCTCTTTTTCAGAAGCTAGATGAATTGATCCGTCCGTTACAGGTTCGCATCCTCATCGGCGTCACCAACGTCCTCCTCACCCTCACGTTCATCTTCTGGTTCCTAACTCTTCTCAGCGGACTGCACTTTGTGGATGTGTCGTTCATAAATAATATGTTTACCGGATGAATAAACGGTTTCTGTGAGTATCCGATTCCCGTTTTGATGTTTATACTGCGCCTGTTCCGAATGCGTCCTGCCGGGCCTCGGTTGATCCTCGAGAGAACCGGTCTTTCTGTCCTCTCACTTATTGATTTTCGTCCGCCGATCGCCATCGTCAAGCTTTAGCCTTGTTCATGTCAACACGTTCTATTACTCAATGGATCCACGTGTTCCCCCTGATTAGTATGATAACTATTCGAGCTCGAATTGACTCTATCTTTTGTACCCACATAATTTTTAATTTTAAAAACTGTTTTTGCAAGTCCTTGGGCCCAAGCCTGGGCGTTTTCTTCGTTTTCTTTTGCTCGATCTTTTTGGCAAACAATCGCATTTGTCCAATCGTCCAATCGACACTAAAAAGTCATGCAATCGAAGCGTAACATCTTCGCTCCCAAAACATTCGTGTTTACCCCAACATTATGAGTCGGTCAAGCTTTTTTGTTGGAGCGTACTGCTCATGCATAAGCATTTCGAGATGAATGGGTTTTTGTGTCTAATCGTTCTGCCTATCTGTTCAGAAAACTGAAATTGACAGAAAGTATGGCGAATGCAAATGCGCTCCAATGAAAAATTCATTAGAATTCTGTTTTTTTATTCTTTTTGGCCGAAATGGGGGAAATTTGAAATCAGAAAGACCAATTGGAAAGAAATCAGCTCGAAGCGCAAGAAAAAGAGCAAAAGCACAGGCTTATCAGTCGCCCTTCGATGTGTCTGTGACTGTCGATGTCTCTTGCTCCCTTGTTTCGCCGCTGTGCTCCGTCCGTCAACGCAGCTCTTGTCTTCGAAAAAAGTGGGTCAAAACTTGAGTAATATTCAGCATCAAATCGCTTGTATAATGCGGAAGTCCAATAATTGTTTGAACAACGTCCTTTTTTGTTTGCTCACCGAACCACGCGCGGCTCGGCGGCTTCTCCGCGCGACCCCCTCTTATAGTACGAATCCAAACCGCCGCTCTTGTCGACGCTTACTCCGAAAATGCTATCGTTCGTCAAACGGTCCAAACAACCTGCCTATTTCAGAATGCCCGGCAGCAACTGCGATCGGTTTTCGGAGCAGTCAGGTAGATTCTGTCGGTCAGAAAGGAGAGAGAAATCAAAATGTTTACAGCGCAGGGCACTCATGAATTTCGCAATCCCATCGACGATTTAGGAATAGGACTATCGGAGGCGCATATCTACTCACAACCTTCCGGAAATCACAACGGGTTTAGTCTAGTAAGTACCGCCCTCTCAAAATGAAGTTTAAAACATCTAAATAATGTTTTCAGAATCAATACGTACCCACCGGAACACTAATCGACGGATTCGAGCTGATAAATGCTCCGAGCAGCTCCCACGAAGAGCAGTTACTCGATTTGAGCAGCAATCATTCGAGGCCACCGCCTGCACGGAATCGGCATGACAGCGATGTGATTATTGCACTTCTTCAGAGAAAAATCAGAGGATTGAAGTTCGATAAACGAAATGGGGAGTATGCGGACGGAAGAGTTATCGAGGTGAGATTCTCACCGTGAGAATCTTATTTCGAATGTAAGCCTATGTTTTATTTCTAGATTGACGTAGGAGCATTGCTGCGCGGAATGGCTGACGACGACTGGAAAATGCCAGAGCTGAAAGATTGGTACTCGTCGAATCGGAGAGATCATCAGGAAGGAATTGCCACGCCGATGGAGGTAACGTTCTCGAACTAAGCTAAAGCTAATGATATTCTTGCAGGATCTGAACTGTACACCGACCATTTGTGCAATGGTAACAAGGACCGATGTGATGAGAATCACGCAAGAACAGGCTCTGTAAGAAATTCGCATAAAAGCGGTTCCTAAATGAGACTGCTGGTTTTTTAGCCATCTTCTATCGGTGCTACCTGTGGATCGCCACGAATTGTATCGAGACATGGAACGATTTGAATTCATTCTAAGATTAAAAAGAGGGGACAATGTGCTCGTTGATGTGGTAAGTTTTTTCGACACTGTCAGACGGACTCGTTCGGTCCCTCAAGATCGTAAAAGTCGTGATGCCCCTCAATTGCATTCAAAACTTTCTAATTAAAAAGAACTAAACCAGTTTCACTTCAAAAATTAACGTCTTCAACGTCAAGAAAGAGACGCAGGCATCGCGAGGGAAAGGAATTGTCCCGATGAATTGACCACGTGACTAACAAGATCGGAATTCGGATGACATCAATAAATTCTGAATCTCTTTCTGGAATGTTACGAAGTTGTGAGCGGGCATTTTGAGTTTTGTGGAAAGTGAACCGCTCTCATTGAAACTCACTCAATTGTGGTCAACTGAATGATAGGAAGAGTAAGCGGAACCGGTTCCTCTTTCTCTCGTTTCCACCCAAAAAACAGAGTGGGCGAGAGAAGGGAGTATAAGTTAGCCACAGTGGCCGTATTCTCTTTTCGTTCGCCACTGTTTGCCTGTTTAGTTGTTGCTTTCTTCTTTCTTCTACTTCTCGCTCACCAACAACTTGTTTCCATTTACATCGGCGGCCGACGCCCTTCCAATTTATCGGCTGAACTCGAATTAATCGAAATCACTCTCACAAACTCCTATAACCGTGGGCGGCATGCCCTAAAAATAGCGAATCGGTGCCGGCGCCGTCGATGATGTTTTGTTCGGTGACACATCCATTTTCCGCCCCGTTTTCAATTTCAGTTTCGTTCTCTTCCTTCTCGATTTTCATAATCGTCACCTCAATTCTTTTTTGCGACAGTTTTTGTTGTGATGGGCACCGAGAGGAAAAACGGACGAACACGTCACTTTTCCTCGCTTTTCTTGACGATCTGACAATCCTTTTGTGTACTGTAAGAAGAACCTGTCTGTTCTTCACGTTTAGAAGCTTACACTTTCCAGTGATGTTTCCTCGAACACCTAGTGACCACAAAACTAGTGCTTGAAGCCTAGTTTCTCTTTTTCACAAAAGAAATCTACCAGCCTACCGTAATAAATCTCACTTCGAGCGTTTCAGGGTGAAAAAATGCGTCGCGTCCCCGCAAAAATCTCGTGGATCGGCGAACGTCCTCAAGAATCGGGCATCTGGTACAACGTGGACTTTGACACAAACGCAACTTCTCAGGTCGGTGTTCTTTCCCTTCTTCCCCCGTTTTCCCTTTCTTCTACTTTTTCTCGGCCCCTCGGGGCAATTATCCTCTCTCTCGTGTCTGTTTGTCCGCGTGGCAGCCGCAGCAGTCTTCCAGTTCTTCCCGTAACTCTTGCTTTTTCTTCTTCTCCGTTTTCTCCAGAAGAATGACGTCTTCTGCGCCTTTCCTTTTCGAAAAGCGGCGTCCCTCTGGCGGCGGCGCCTAGTTCCTTCCTTTCCCCGCCGTCGTCGTTTTTCAAACAAGCAGCTCTCTTGTTTTTGGTGTGTGCATGTGCTTCTGGCACTCGTTCAGTCACTCACTCTCACGGACAAGTTTCCTCTTCTTATTCTTTCTTTTTCTTTCTCTCCCTCTCCGTGCTCGCTGCCAAAACAATTAGGAAGCTAGGAAGTTCGGATTCGAAAACGACGCGAGCCTTGAGCATTCCGCAAGCGGACCCCAATGAATTTCGAATGACCGTGACAAAAACTTTTCTACAATAGTAGTCATACCGTGTGCAGTGCATCTCTAGAGACTATTCATTGCAGCAATCACAAAAATGGGCTTTACACTATTTCTGGGTTTGCTCAAATTCATCATTTCTATTGAAGCAACTGCTTCCAGTTGAGGACGTCTAGTATTTCGTCACACTCCCACCACGATCCGATAATTGCTTTGAAATGGACCGAAACTAGTCTCCCTTTTTCTCACTTTTCACATTGGGATGGCTTCTTCTTCTTCCGTGCACTTTTCGAAGTAAAAAAAAGCTGGTGCAAGAAGTTGGTCGCCTGGCATTTTTTATTAGGGCGGTCGCCTGCCTCCTTTTTATCCGTTTCCTTGGTGTTTCTGAAGCTTCTCCTTTTCACTGCTTCTCTTCTGCGCGCGCTCTCTCTCTCATCCCACGTGACATCACTCTCTTGGCCCTCTGAGCTAGTAGATCTCGTTCTGAGTCAGTCACTTTTTGAGCCCGTTTCGCAGATTGTTCGAGCAAACAAAGAATTCATTGAGCAGCAGCCCACGTAACTCGGCCGCAACTGTCGGTCGCTCTGTCCCTGCCTCCTTCTTTTTCTTTTTTCCATCCATCATGCCCTCGAGCAGTTCGGCACTCTCAGTCACGGCGCTTCTCTCCTCCTCCTCCATCGCTCCCATCGTGGTCCTCCCAGAGACTTGAAAAACGACTTGGTGCGGGTTTTTTTGTTTTCGTGTCTTCTCGGTCTCTTTTCATTCACTCTCGGGACCCCCTTCTGTGGCTTCTTCTTCTTCTTCTCCTTTTCGCCCAATAGATTCAATATTCTATTGCTCGATGAGCGTCCTCCTCGCCAGCAGCGTGTTAGGCCCCCTGTGGAGAAGCTGTTTCTCTGGGCGCGAGCTGTTTTTGTTGTCTACTTTGTTCGGTTCCTCTCGTTCTCTCTGCTGCAACGCTCTCGCCTGCTCCCCCCGTTCGCCGAGTTCCGTCTCTATTCTCCACGAGCTCATCCGCCTACCCGCATCCATCCGGTCGGGTTTATTCATGTTGTTTTTCTGTTCTCTTTTCCTTTTTATTTTTCTAGTTTTATTCTGAATTTATCCATTCGGAATATCCTCCGGAATCTTCAGAAGACCATTGACCGTCGGGTGTCCGGGAGACGAAAGCTCCGCTTTTTTCTATTAGTTGACGACCGATTCCGTTTTTGTAAACAATTCTGACATTGTTTTGGTTTTTGCTTTTCGGCGAAAGATCACGTGTTGAGAATCATCGAACATTCCAGAAAAGCATGGCTTCAATTGGACTTCTCGTGATGTCAAATAATCGCTTAAAGCCTGACTAAAAAAAGGGTTGTGAGCTGTAAAAGTGAACAAAAGACAAACAGCTCTCTCGACTGTTTCATTCTCCTTTTCTTCCTTTTTCACCTTCCTTCCCGATTGTTGACTCCGATTCCCTTTCCATGTCTCCTCCCTCGTCTTCTTACCCACTCTCTCTTCTTGCCTGTGATTTCATGAGTGACACCGCTCGAATTGTGACCACTCATGGGGAATTATGATAATTGGTCGATTGAGAGTCTAAAATTGGAAACTGTCTCTTATCATGTCAGTCACTTTCCGACTGCTCTGTCCATTTTCGGTTACTTTCAATTGAACGTTTCGGAGGCGACTTACCACGAACTTATTATTTTCAGTGGCCTAATAATCATTCATTCACTGCCCATGACCGACTGAATCATCACTTTGAAAACAACTGGAACCTCGGAATGTCTGGTAAGTTAAATCGTTTTTTTCCCAAACGGACTGGATAAGCAGAAGGAAATCGCGTCAGAGATCATACTTCAACCCCATTTACCACTCTTATAACTTTTGGTCAGAGTTCGAAGTTTCCCATTACGTCAATCACCAGTTTACGAGCCTCTTTTGTCCATTAGAACCCCTTCCTCAAATCGGCTTTCAACCTTTCACCTTTTCCAGGATCGTCATCGGTTGCCTCCTCGAATCCGCGTCTTTTCTACTCTCCCAACCAAATGCACATGCCTCTGAAAGGCGGCGGTGTGCATTCTGCACTTTACGACAACAGGTTTGACCCCCCTATCCGTTTCCAAAGTGTCAATTTTCCAGAAGACCAGTGGCATTCAATGACGGCGATGACGATTATCATCGAACAGTGCCGACGCCGAAACCGAGAGAACGAATCATTCCAGTGACGAGGCAGCAGCAGCAGCACGTAGAAGTGGAACGGCCGAGCAGAGCGATGCGACCGCCTTTCCCTCCTGAACCCGACTATCATGCCTATTCGGTGAGTGTTTCTATTGAAATTCCGCTGAGAACGCTCTCTCTTTCTGTTCAGTCTCGACCGACACCACCTCCTCCCTCTTCAAGTTCCCTTTCGGTGCATTCGTCTTCGGCGCAACCGAGCCGGAGTAAAAGTGTGCATGCAATGCCTGGCAACTATCAGCGACAAAAAGCCGTTGACAGAAATGAGCCGTGAGTTTGGAAAGCGGCAAAATACTGGAAGAGTCCATAGATCTTTCAGAGTAGAATCCGATCAATTGGGCTTCCGAATAGGAGACCCTTGCATCTGGAATAACAATGGAATTGAGCAGAAAGGAACGATAATGTTCATTGGATTTTTGAAAGGACACAAAACACTTTACGCCGGTGTCGAATTTGTGACTTATTATATACAAAGGTTTGTTTATAAATGGTATCATTTTCAGAAGAACAAAATCGGCGCGGGAACGGGAGTATTCAACAAAGAGCAACTTTTCCGAGCACGTGACGGACACGCCGGGTTCGTCGAGCTTTCGACCCTCGAATCGCCATCCTCCGCTGGATCGAACTCATCCACACAACACCGACGTCGTCTTTCTTCCTCCAGAAGTCAACAGATTCCCGCTGCCGCCGGCACTTCCATCAGTGTTCCGGTGAATGGCCGACATAACGGAAAGCAGGCGTCCGTCGAGTCGCTCACCGATCCTCCGCCGCCACCGTACACTCCGCCCTCTCCGCCACGCGCTTCTTCCGCTGCCGCTGCTCATCAGCATCCACCTCCGATTCCTCCAAAGCCGATTGTCCATGTTGAGGACTACTTGATCGATTCATTCGAACTGGGTTAGTTTTTGATCTGCTCATCAGTACATATTTCGCAATAGGTCACTGGCGGTAAGTGATTAATTGTAAAACTCTTATCACCAAAATGACGCATGTTTGTCTTACATCTGAGAGTCGAACGAATATCAAACTGGTATCTTTAAGGAAGCTATGTTATCGTGTCTCATCTTGGAGCTCAACGCACTGGAATCGTAAAATGGCTCGGCAACGAAATGGACGAGCAGGGCGACCGAATCGTCCGTTCGGCCATTGTACAGCTCGATGAAGACGTGCCAACTGCGTGGCGTCGGAGCCGCGATGCAAAAGCGTATGCGGGAAGCCCCGTGAATGGCGGCGTGCTCGTGCCCGTACTGGCTCTCAAACACAATCGGACAGCGTCAAATGGAACGACGTCCACTTTTTCTGCCTCCTCGGCTTACGTCAACTCTAGTCCTCCTAGTACGATGAGCCGACGAACAGAAGAGTTTGGAAGTATGGATTCGGGAGTGGAGAAACAGAAGTGCGGGCCGACAAAGGATGTTCAGTTGCTTGTCGGAAGACAGAAGGGAATCCAGGGCAACTGTAACTCCTGTTACCTTGATGCCACTCTCTATGCCATGTTTGCACAAACCACTGTTTTCGATTTGTGAGTTTGAATACAATTCACTCAGTTTTCCTCAGTGTTCTCTTTTCAGCTTGCTCGAAAAGTCAGTCAAAGGATCCGAGAAGGCGGTTTTGTTCCAGAAAATTCTCGCGCAAGAAATCGTGTTCCCGCTGAGAAAAGTGCACTATGTCCGAGCCGATCACATCATGAAACTGCGTAGGCTACTTGCTGAGCTCATGCCACACGTGACTGGACTGACAAACGAAGAAAAAGATCCTGAGGAGATTCTCGCATTCATTTTCGCTGAGATCTTCAATGCGGAGCCCTTTATCAAGTTGATGTGAGTCTTTTTCACGACTCTTCTCAGCAGACAGCATTTGTTTCAGTGGTCCAAATCAAGCAAAAGACTCTCAATTCCTGGTTCCGATAGTGGTCGACGATTGGCAAGGAGGAGCTGCCACTTCTCAGCACCTTCTCGAACGACACATGCGATCCGCGCAAGTCACATTCGCCAAGCCACCGCCCGTTCTGATCATGCAGTTGCCGAGATACGGACAACAGAAGGTGTTCGACAAAATCCTGCCGCTCGAAAGCATCGACATCACTCCATTCGTCTCCGGCGCCATTTCTCCGTGCGCAAAGTGCGGAGCATGTGCCGAGTGTTTCTGCCCTACTTGCTTCCTCACAAGAAGAGTCTTCTTCACTGAGATCGTCTTCTGTCGCAATTGTTTCCAACATTGCCACAATCTTCCTGAAATTCAGGATCACTCAGCTCGTGGCCTTTACCCGCCTGGCAAGCCAGCCAAAAAGCCACACTCCCACAAGATGGTCCTCTCGGCTGTTCTGTGTATTGAGACGTCCCACTATGTGGCGTACGTCCGGACCGCATCGAACCAATGGGTCTTTTTCGACTCAATGGCCGACCGAGAGGGACTTTCTGATGGATTCAACGTGCCAGTGGTCAGAGAATGTGGGAACATGTCCGATTGGTTGTCTCTTCAAGGATGGAACCGGCTAAAGGATGCCGATGAAACTGGACAGATCAAGGTGAGCACGAAGCGAGACGGAGCATTAGTTATAACTATGATATCTTTCAGGCAATGTTCGGAAAGGCAGTACTGGATCCGCTGGTCGGACGTCTTCTCTCGGACAGCTACATTTGCTTCTACGAGGACGCATCGACGCCTTCTTCCACTTCCAATCTCATCAGCACTTTCAAGAACATGATGAACTAGATTCCCTGTCCCATGTACGTTTCCCCCTGTGTACCTTTCCAGAAATAGTTTAATTCAAACCTGTAACCTTGTTCTTCTTCTGTTCTTTTCTTGTTCTTCTTCTGTTCAATTCCTTTCCCCCAACCCCTTTTTCTTCTACGGGCTTTAAACAAAAGAGCGTTGAAAATTTCTGTAATTATATTTGGGTTCCTTTCTTTTGTACTGCACTTCCACAAGCCCGGCGTTCCCCTTCTCTTCCCCGTTTTGCCTTCTAGAATGGTGAATGTAATTCTCAACTAGTTCTTTTGTGTGCACCTCATGTAGATATTACTCTGTTTATACACGTAAAACGACGGAAGATAAATGAGATAGTGACTAATTTTCTCTCTGAGACATCTAATGACTATGGAAACAAAATGATTTTCGACGATCGTCCACCACAAACATCTCATCGATTCCCACATAATGATTGGGGTGCAGGTTGGAAACTTCGAAGGAGAGCTGAAAGATAAATGAGAAATGAGTTTCTCCGGGATGCTCACATAATCGTATTTTCCTGGGGAAATGCTCAAACTCTCCCTAAACCATCTTCTGGAGTTTCTCGTCAGTTTCGGAGCCTCGTAAACCATCACTTCGTCCGAATTCTCTTTCTTCAACAGCACTTGTAATCGGCTCGATTTGTCAGCCTGAAAGGAGATATTGGGATCTGCTCAATCTGCTCCAAACTAACTTTATAATACGAAAACACTATAGTGACTGCTTTATCGACTGAAAATGACGGCGTCTGCATGCGGGTCTTCATTTGAGGACCGGCGATGTACGCGAATGAGCCGTCTTCATTGAACGGAAGGGAAGAGGCGTCTCCTCTCACTCCCGTCAACGGATTGCCGATAGGACCAGCGGAAATGCCCCAGTCGGATTGGAATGCCATATTGGAACACGGTTCGGATTCATTGAAGGAGCAGACGATGACTTCGCAGACGGTGGAGACCATCGGCTCCTCGATCTCATTCGTTATCTCGTTGGTTTCTTGGCTCGCCGGCCGACGAAGTTTTATCTGAAAAGATGAACAGATGTTAGTCACATGAATCCTTGCATGATACTATTGAGTTCATAGCCATTCTGTCTGGAGTAGAGGGGAAGTCCACAATGCCCGTTCGAGAATCCATCCCTTTCGAGACTCCCAATTGGAAAGTCATCGGAGGAGCAGAGGCAAAGGCGCGGAGAGTCTCGATGTCGGAATCAGTATCTCTTTTCACGGTAACATGGGCGGTCGGGTCGTATTCATCCTTCGATTCGGCCAACGGAATCAGAGGAACACTTTCCGAACCCTTCTGAACAAATGGTATTGTAAAGTCAAAGGGGAAAGTTTGTATGTTTACTTGTCCGTAATCGAAAGACGCCTTCTCCTCCGGATTGCACATTCTGGCGTAGTATTCAATCGAATCAATGATTGCGAATCCTCCTGAAGATATACGATTGTTCTGTGTAAGTACGTTCTCTCGCCAAACCCTTCAAGTTATCCGAATTGAAAGTAAAGTGATCAGCGATTATATAAATCTGGAAGGGAACTGGGCCTTGCTCCGGAATGTTGATGAACACCGGTCCCGGATCGTTCTTCTCGACGGCCGAGCTGAAAACTCTAGAAATTCTTTCTCTCGAACGTTCTAAAAGGGGACTCGCCTGCAGAAATCGAAATCTGGATACACCTTCGACATTTTCTTCACGCACACTTTCAGTTGAACTTCCGGAGATGTCCAGTACCTACAAAGAATATTATTACTTGAAAAACGAACAAGGCTTGTAGTGGATTACATGAAACGGATCTCTCCGTCTCCGACCTGACAGGCGATCTGGTCAGACACCAGAACGGCTTTGATCGTCGGGAACTGAACCATATCGGTGGCGGCGATCGCGTATTGTCCTTCTGGAAATCAGAAAGTTCTAAGCGCATCCGGAAAGGAAGCCAACCTGGTAGCACATTGGTAGCCGTAGCCACTGCAAGTCTCGCTTGATCTAACTCCCCGGAGCCCTGGTACCAGTCGAGCTCATCGACAAACATTCCATCGACGTTCCTCCATCTGCACGTCTCATCAAACTCCGAACAGTTCAACTCGCTCGCATCCACAATTGAGGGAGAGGAAGGGACTCCGAGAGCTGGAAGCAAACAGGAGTTGGAAAAGAAAACAGAAGACATGACCCACAAACAGACATCTCCTTGTTCGACTTGGCGACTCCGTTCGGGATCGCAAAGTGTGTGTTCTTCTCGCCGCGTGCTCGGACACTCGAAGGGAACAAGTTGTTGTTGGTCACCGAAGGACGCGAGAGTCCTGGTTCGGTGCCTAGAAAAATGAAGTATTTGGGAACAAGGTCTGATTGCAATCTCACCTGAAGAAGAAGAGACTCCCAGCATCGTCGGAGACACCAGAAGACTTTCCCTTCCGAAAGGAGTGCATGGCTCTGAAATGTATTCAGAAGCGTGTCTTATTCCGCCGTTTACAAACACACCTGTACTCCGGATACACACAAACAGGATGAGGAAGAGTCTTCCTCGCATTGTTCTTCCTGTTGTTCTCCGGCGCTTTCCTGCAAGAAGCGTGCTCCTTTCGCTTTGTTTGTGAACACATAAAAGTGAGATGACCGGGTGGCCCAGATAAACCGAAACGAAAAATAAAGAGCGATTGGGGAGCGAGAACTGAAAAAGTCGAAATGTGATTGTGATCCACACACACACTTTTTGACGGCAACACTCTCTCCCATGACTCCGCCCCTTTTCCTGTAGTCATTGTTGCGCAAGTGCGCACGAATTCACGTCGACAAGTGGTCGGGAGGAAACGGTGAGAAGGGCTTTGGAAAGAGGAAGAGCCATTTGACTTTCGATTCAGGAAACAGGGTTATACCATAGAGGGTAGTATAGAAAAAGTTCAAATGTTACAGTTGGTGAATTCAGATTACTGTACCACCGACTGGAATTCCCTCTCTAATGCACCCTTGAAAGCACAAGCCAGCATCTTCCCGTTTTTCTAGACTACAGAAGGATTTTTTCCGAAAAAAAGGAGAAATCGAATGAAAAAAGAGAAGAAAAAGCGAGGGTTGATTGTATGGATGAAAAAGAGCGTTTATGCAATAGTTTACACAATATCCCCACTTGCTGCCCATCCACTTCAGAATCCGTCCGACTGGAAACCGTATTCTGTTTGTCTCCCTTCTATTTATGTCTTCCGTCCTTCTTCTTCTTCTTCTTTCCGCTTTCTTCCGTATCACTCGAACAGACAAAGGGGAACGTGGGAAACTCGTGGAATCGCGTGATGATACGATCCGGGAGGTCGGAGGGTTTGAAGCAAATTCAAATTAGTTTGTTGAATTTTTCTTCGGAAAACGCTCCTTTTAAGGTTTGTCGGAACTCTCTGGAAACGGTTCGAAGGCATCGTGATTTCAGCACGGGCAGAATAAAAGAAACTGAAATGTCGAGTAGGAATGCGAATGTGGACGACACCACTCTGACAAGTTCAGGTAACGATACCGACTTTGTCGAAAGTTAGGAAAAGAGGAGATGCACGGAAGTCCCTTTTCCTTCTTTTCCACCAATCCTTTCATTCTCCGATTCGTTCCAAGAGTACTCCCTTTTCACAGGGATCTCAGGCTCCGGCTCAATGTCGCCGCCCATCTCTTCCCGTCCTGTCTCCGGACAGGCCTCCCCGCTCTCCTCCAACGGATCTCTCTCGCCACCGCAATACGTGCAGGGATCCGTCGCCTTCACTTCTGAATCTCCGCGTGATTTGAGCCCGCTTCTTCTTTCGGTGAGCAAATGCAACTGCTCACGGAACGAATAAGTCTTTAGGAGTTGGCGTGCTTGAACATGCGCGAAGTGGTCGCCAGGCCCGGATTGGGAACCATCGGCCGTCAAATTCTGGTCAAGTCCAACTTCTTCGCCGTCGGCTTGAAGAATCCGAAGATGGTTGTGATCCAATACCATGTGGAAGTCCATCATCCCGGATGTCGCAAGCTTGACAAGTGAGCTCTAATAGATCATTCGAAGTATTTCCGCTCATGTGTTCAGAGATGAAATGCGTATCATCTTCTGGAAGGCCGTCTCCGATTATCCGGACATCTTTCAGAACAAGTACGCGATCGCCTATGACGGTGCTCACCAGCTGTACACTGTGGCTCGTCTCGAGTTCCCCGAGGATAAGGGCTCGGTCCGTTTGGACTGCGAGGCCACTCTTCCGAAGGACAACAGGGATCGCACTCGTTGCGCCATCTCGATCCAAAACGTCGGGCCGGTGCTGCTGGAGATGCAGCGCACCCGGACCAACAACCTCGACGACCGTGTGCTCACTCCTATCCAGATCCTCGATATCATCTGTCGTCAATCGCTCACCTGCCCTTTGCTCAAAAACGCGGCCAGCTTCTACACGTGGAAGTCTTCGTGCTACCGTATTCCGACGGCTGACGGGCAGGCTCTCGACCTGGAAGGGGGCAAGGAAATGTGGACTGGCTTCTTCTCGTCGGCCCACATCGCCAGCAACTACCGCCCTCTTCTTAACATTGACGTCGCTCACACTGCATTCTACAAGGCGCGCATCTCGGTGCTTCAGTTCATGTGTGACGTGCTCAATGAAAGATCGACCAAATCTAATCGCGGTATGCAGCGAGGAGGTCCGGGGGGACCAGTCGGATACCGTGGAGGACGTGGCGGTCGTGGAGGGGGGTACGGAAACTTTGGAAACCGTGCTGGACCTCCGGGAGCGAACGGAGACGATTTCGGTTGCGGGCTGACGTTTGCAATCGATTCTCTGGGCAAGGAAACTCAGTTGTCGAGCTTCGAATCACGCATCTTCGGTGACGCGATCCGTGGAATGAAGATCCGAGCCACTCATCGTCAGAACGCCGTCCGCGTCTACAAAGTTAACAGTCTGCAACTTCCGGCGGACAAGCTCATGTAACTATTTCGCAACCACGGCTTTCACGCGTCATCGTTTTTCAGGTTCCAAGGAATCGACGAGAGGGGCCAGCAAGTGGTGTGCTCTGTGGCTGACTACTTTTCTGAAAAGTACGGACCACTCAAGTACCCGAAACTTCCGTGTCTCCACGTCGGACCGCCCACCCGCAACATCTTTCTTCCGATGGAACACTGCCTGATTGACTCGCCGCAGAAGTACAACAAGAAGATGACGGAGAAGCAGACGAGTGCCATCATCAAGGTGAACTAGACTAATAGATCTGATTCTCACAACATCATCTCAATTTCAGGCTGCTGCCGTCGATGCCACTCAACGCGAGGAACGCATCCGGCAGTTGGCTTCGCAGGCGTCGTTCGGTACGGATCCGTTCTTGAAAGAGTTCGGAGTGTCGATCTCCTCCCAAATGATTGAGACGACCGCCCGTGTCATCCAGCCGCCGCCCATCATGTTCGGAGGGAACAACCGTTCGATCAACCCGGTGGTGTTCCCCAAGGACGGCTCCTGGTCGATGGATCACCAGACATTGTACATGCCTGCCACGTGTCGCAGCTACTCGATGATTGCTCTCGTGGATCCGCGCGATCAAGCCAATCTGCAGGGATTCTGTCAGGCGCTGACAGCGAAGGCGACCGCGATGGGAATGGGCTTCCCGCGTTGGCCGGACCTCGTCAAGTACGGAAGATCGAAGGAGGACGTGTGCACTCTGTTCACCGAGATCGCCGACGAATACCGCGTGACGAGCACCGTCTGCGATTGCATTATTGTCGTTTTACAGTCGAAGAACTCGGACATCTACAGTAAGAAAAGAGGCGGAACACGGTAATGTTCTTGCTTTGTTTCCAGTGACCGTAAAAGAGCAGTCGGACATTATCCACGGAATCATGTCGCAGTGCGTACTTATGAAGAATGTGAGCCGTTCGACTCCGGCCACTTGCGCCAACATCGTGCTCAAACTGAACATGAAGATGGGTGGCATCAACAGCCGTATTGTCGCCGACGCCATCACCAACAAGTACCTGGTGGACCAGCCGACCATGGTTGTCGGAATAGACGTGACGCATCCGACGCAAGCCGAGATGAGAATGAACATGCCGTCCGTGGCCGCGATCGTTGCCAACGTGGATCTGCTCCCGCAATCGTACGGAGCCAATGTGAAAGTGCAGAAGAAGTGCCGCGAATCGGTCGTTTACCTTTTGGACGCCATTCGAGAACGGATCATCACTTTCTACAGGTTCGGACAGATAATCATCAACTGATCCTTAACAAACGTTTGCAGACACACAAAACAGAAGCCGGCCCGCATCATCGTCTACCGTGACGGCGTCTCCGAGGGACAGTTCTCCGAAGTGCTCCGCGAGGAAATCCAATCGATCCGTACCGCGTGTCTGGCCATAGCCGAAGATTTCCGTCCTCCGATCACCTACATCGTTGTCCAGAAGCGTCACCACGCGCGCATCTTCTGCAAATTCCCGAATGACATGGTCGGAAAAGCGAAGAACGTGCCGCCCGGCACCACCGTCGACACTGGCATCGTCTCCCCGGAAGGCTTCGACTTCTACCTCTGCTCTCACTACGGCGTTCAGGGAACCTCTCGTCCGGCTCGTTACCACGTGCTGCTCGATGAGTGCAAGTTTACTGCCGACGAGATCCAGAGCATCACGTACGGAATGTGCCACACTTACGGACGGTGCACTCGTTCCGTCTCCATTCCCACTCCCGTCTACTACGCGGATCTGGTGGCTACTCGGGCCCGTTGCCACGTCAAAAGACGACTGTAAGCCAATTGATTCCTTCTTTATTTCCACACAATATCCCTATGTTCAGCGGGCTCGCCGATTCCTCCGACTGCGACACGAACTCGATGTCCTCTTCGATCGCTTCGATGCTCAACTTGAAATCTGCGAGCGGAAAGGGAAAGAAGTCCCAGACGTCCACCACTGTGGACGAGGACGGTAGGAAGTTAAGATGACGGAATGCGACAGGTTATGATGAGTTTCAGCTTGCCCGCTGCCGGACGGTTCGTCGGATCAGGTGCTCCAGGACTGTGTGTCGGTGGCCGGAGACTTCAAGAGTCGCATGTACTTCATTTGATGAAATGGCCAATGAAAGCCACAGAAGCTAAACGTTTTAATGAAATGTCCTTTTTTGTGTCTTTGAGTAAAGTGTTGGACATCTTTCTTTTTTTATTGTGAGAAAAGAGCAACTTCCCGATCAGTTTGAATTCAGTTTGGGGAACTGCGTTCGGATGTGATGGTAAGTTGGCGTGGCGATGCTCCTGTTTCGGCAAGATAATTCTAAATGTTCCAGACTGGAACGGTGTATTGAGGGGCAATCAGGAGAGGAAGGAAAGGGATGAGAAGAAGAAAGGAGGAAAGAAGAAAGATGTGGAAAAGGAGGGAAGAAGTGGGACAGCGACACGGAGAAGGAAGATCGAGCGAGAGGAAAGGAGAGAAATTCACTGGGGCCATAGTTAGTGTAGCGGTTGGGTTGACATAAGCTCTGAGCGCCTGAAATCACCCGGGTCTCAGAAACAAAGAGCGGGAGAGAGAGAAGCTACTCAATTATTCTCCCACCTCACCACACTCGAACCGCATCCGCCCAGTCAACATTAGAAGAAGACAGTCAGAATTGAACTTTACGTATGTTTTTTTTTTTAATTTTACAGCGTTCTGCTCTACAGTATGTCCTCATAAAGAGGGCTGCTGCGTGAGCAGTTCTCTGATTTCTGGGACCTGTTGGAAAATGTCACCTTTTGGCCAAATGGACGGAACGACAGACGTATCGCTGAGTTCTTGTTGATTGACTTTCAGTTGTTCCGAAAGTTACCCGAAAACATTTCGCGCTCCTTTTTGATAAATGTATGGCACTGAAAAACATTTGCGACAAAGTTCGCTCTAAACACTGAAGCCGCTGAAACGGCTTTGAAAGCACGCCACAGACTGATTGCATTGTGATCTATCTTGTACTGATCAGTTCATGTTTGTTTAATTCATAATTCAGAGAAAATTACCGGCTGGCAGAACGTTTCAAACAGAAAGAGAGAAGACGTCAGGGACAAAGAAAAGTAGCTCGAAGTGGGTGTGTGGGCGGAAATGAAGTCAATAATATCAAGATCATAATTGAAAGACAGGTCAGCACTGCCGCTTGAAAATTAGACGACGTCCTTATGAAAACTGAGACGCCATTTCTTCTTCTTTTCTCCTGATTTGGACTTGTCGCGAAGAGCGCTCTTCGGAAGGATGGTCTGCTCTTTTGTAGGTTCCGTATGAGCACGTTGGAGAGGAACAGGACCACGGATGGACGACGAGGAAGAAGAAGAAGGAACGAGGAGGGTGGGAGAAGCGCCGATTGGACGATGGGTCAGGTGGAACGAGGCCAGGGATCTGGAAGATGACGGAAACTCTTAGAAAGGTTTTCGGAAGTTTAAACACCTGGAGGTGTCATTGACCATGTTCAGCGAGCGGAGGGACATCGTGTCGTTGGTGGTGCTTCTCGCCTGCAAACATTTGCTCTCTTTCCGTTCGGTTCTCTCCGTTCACTCACCGATAAATTGCAGGATGCGAGCGAGTGTCTGTCGTCCTGAGTCATGCTCATCATCATCTCGTCATACAGCTCTTGCCAGATGACGTCCGGCACTTTGCACCCCGGCAACGGCTCGATGATCTTGCATGACACTTTTCCGCGGAGCTGCAAGAACACTCTCACAACCGATTCCTATACAATCGTCTCTTCTTCCACCCCCAATTCGGTTATTCTGTCGCAAGTTTTCTGGTTAGAGCGGAGATGCGACACACCCAGGAATAGGTGATAAATGGTCCCATTGGGAGAGTCCATTGAGGCAAGGGACGACACTGGTTGGAGCACAAAACGAGAGCTCATCAAATGAACAGACAGAGAGTGACGGAGTGGGGGACACTTGGGTTCTCGCTCTGGGAATCACGTACCTTCTGCTCGAGATCAATGAGTTGTTGGAAGAAGCCGACGTTCGGACACACGATGTTTCGCGCCAGTTGCACCGCTTTGTAGGAGTCGTGCAAGGTTTTTCTGGAATTGGGATCAATCAGTGCATTTTAAGGTTCTCGAGCGCATACTTCTCGTACTGCATCACGTAGGCGATGGCAAACGTGGCGGATCTCGAGATGCCCATCGCGCAGAGCAGCAGCGCCCTTCCGGCTCCCTTCCGCGCCTCCTCGATTTCCTGGAGACAGACGATTAAATTCTCCTCCATTCGAATCGCCGTTTACTCACCTTGTACACATTCGCCCAATGGGCTGTCAGATCGGTCGTTTCGTTGTCTTGCAGTGGTAAGTGAACCACTTTCATGTGCGGCGGCGCCGACAATCGGAAGCCGGGAATCAGATTGATGCAAACACAGAAACGGGCTGGAAGAACGGACAAATGAGCAGAGCCATATGCTCACGGAGCTCATGTTCGTCTGGGCAATAAACGAGCACGTGCGGCTCCCCTTCTCGCCTACTTCCTGTCCACCAAGAGACATTATCCTTCTGTTGCTGCTCCGCGTTTCATTCTCTTTTATGGTCACTTATCTTCAACTTTTTCCTTTTTATAGCCTCCCCTCGCCCCGTTTCCCTCCAGTTTTCATTAGTTTCCAGCAGCCACTCACATAGTACTCTCGGCGAAAGCGCCGCCAATCCGGACACGTAGAGGAACGGCCGAATCTGCGAGCACTGCCGCTGCTCCCGATTGATGATCCGTCTCGATGTCATCTTCCTTTTCTCACTTCTTCTTTTTCTTCTTCTTCTGATTCCGTGCTCGACACTCCGATGCTACAGTTGCTCGTTCTCCTTCAACGAAATGTACGATCCGGAGCACAGGTGAGCCACTCCCTGATATTCTCTGTAAGCGGGGACGAGTGTTTCAGAGATGCGTGGTGTGCGAATGAGTCACTGGTTCAGTACGAGCCCGACGAGACGGCCAAGATTTGTGCTCCGTGGGAAAAGTTTTGTGTGGTGAGCGAAAAGAAGGGTACGGTAATTAGATGTCCGAACTTTTCAGACAGCAGTCGTCACAATTAACAAAGCGTTCACGAGCGTGAGCAGGGGATGCGGAGAGAAATGTTCGGAGCTGTGCGAGTCCACCGGATACGGTCAGGATCAGGTGAGTTGCGTTTGCTTGCCGGGTGGCCGAGTTGCCAGGTCACTTGGAAAATCGCTCGGGGGCCAGAGCTCACATTGACACAAGTTTATAGTTTTCACACCGCCCATGAAATGTGAGTTGTTCATTTCGATCTCTTCTAAGAAACCGACCACAAATAGACGCGCGAGTTGTTCATGAATTCGTGATGATGACGTGGCAACCGAGGGGCTGGGAGAGGGAGCGGAAGAAAGAGAGCTCCGGCGGGCTCAAAAACAAGTAGGGCCCACTACTCGGCACCCTCGCTCGCATCCGCCGTTTCACACATGTACAACCTCTCTTTCCTTCCAAACTCCACCCCTTTTTTTGGTTTTGAAAGAGCAAAGCGGGGAAATTTCGGTGAAATTCGATACGAGACACCGGCACATTTGGAAGAGACCTCTCCTGAGCGAAGAAGAAGAAGAAGAAGAAGAAAAATAAAGGCTCTCTTGACGAATTGACTATTGTGCGTTTCTACGAGAAAGGCAGGTGAGAGGGATGTGGTCGAATGAGCAAAGCAAGCAGAAGAAGAAGAGGAAGAAGGAGATGAGGGGTTGAAATGGTGAAAAGGTGGGAGGAGGATGACAATGGGCGAGTGACGGAAGGGATGGGGGCGCGAAGAAAGAAGTTGTTCGCCGGGCCCGGAAGAGAATACTTCCTGAATTCACGGAAATTGACTGGGCGGCCCCCTGACTGGTCACACACGTGGCAGTTACGCAAACGTACGAAATTGGAAACGTAGGGGAAACGTACGGGCTCGCGTGACGTCGCGAAGAGCAGGAGAGCAGCTTTTAAGCGGACGTCGGACGCAACCTATATTTATTAGGCAACAACAGACTATCGGGTTACACGGGAGACTAGAATGGATTTTGTGTTTATCAGCGTTTACAGGAAATTGGTTCTGTTTCCTGAAATGAAGCTCGCTCCGTCAGATTGAATAACAAGGAAGGCTCGTCTCCGTTCCTCCCCACGCCCCGCCCCTTTCTTTTATAGCCGTACTAGTACCAAATGGTGTTTTTGGCCGAACTGATTGACCGAGACTAATTGCAACCATGTGTTGGACGTCAGAGAGAGAGAGAGAGAGAGAGAGAGAGAGAGAGAGAGAGAGCAACTCTATCCGAGACAGTCATAAAACATTTGACGACTGCTCTCCGAAATCGCTCTATTTTGCAGGTAAACTGCGACGACTGTTGTGAGGAGGATCTGTGCAACGCCAACTATTCCGTGCAATACTACGAGGTGCTGATGAGCCGACAGTACACTTCGTGGACGACTCCGTTGCCCGGAGAGGTACGGTCGATTCGGAACCTACCGTACTCCTTTATTTCAGCTCGCCTTCAATCGGAAGCACAACCTGAGGTTCCCATACTCTTCGGTCTCTTCGCCAAATAATTTATTCTTTTGCTTACTCAGTTTCTCACTTTTCATTCCGTTGGAAGCCTGCTGTGCTCAATAATTAATACCGAATGAAAAGGATGAAAGAAAAACGACTGAAAAGCAAACAAGCGGATTTATGTGGGAGAAGGAGGGGGGAGGAAGGGATTTTCGGCACGGAGACGACAGAAACATGATCCCAGTTTGACGCCCCGTCTGGTCAAGACGGAAAAATGAGTGAGGTGTAGAGTGGGCTGATCTGACAGGACCGTGGTTAGACTTCATCAGGAATTCAAAGAATTCCACCGTACCAAACAACTCGGAAGAACGAAGCAAAAAAGGCGGAAGGCCTGTGGAGACGTCCTAAAACGGCAAGATGGAGCCATTATTCGAATCAAGCCGAGGGCAACCGAACAAACAAAAAGCTCCGATAGGGCGAGTTTGATGTGCTCCGACGGGGGCACTGCTCCGCTCTCTATCTCTCCCACTCTCACTTCCTTTCTTTCTTTGTGCACCCGTTTTTATCGAAATAAAATCTTAATGTCACTTTGTGCGCGACACCTCCCCGGGGACATGCTCTTGATTCGTTTTCGACAGAGCCTCTTCGAGCCCCCGTGTGTGAGCCGTACCGCCCCGTTTCGGTCCTGCGCGCTCTGTGTCGCATTGCTCATTTATCTTGTTCCACTCGTTATTTTCCTCCCGCTTCTTCTTCTTCTTCTTCTTCTTCTCCGTCGTCTTCTTGACCTTTGATTCGGTGCGAAGCACAAATCAATTCTCGTGTCAAGATGAACGAGAACGGGACAAATTGGGTCCAAAAAGAGAGAGAAAGATCCGGATGGAAGTGGAGGAAAGACTTCCGGCGATTAACACCGCAATACGCGAGAATGATCGGAAGAACGGGAAAAAAGAGAAAAAGATCGAGCAATGATTCAAATATCACACAGATATTACTCATTTTTATGTAAGGGGGGGCTAGAACGGAATTCGAGGTGTCCCTAAAACTGCTAAGAGAAAGATGTAAAGACGACATTACGGAAAACGATTGTCGGAAAGAGACGCTTCACCAAGAATACTGAATCCGGAATGAAACATTTGGCAGAATTCCGAAAAAGAGGTTTACATTTTCAAAATTCTTCAAAAACTGTTCCCGTCTAGGGTTTCTGAAGAAAACGGAATTCTGTAAATCTCTGACCAATCTCTGATTATTTCCGTAGTTCTCTGGAAACAGGCGCCCATTCAATGCGTGTCAACATTTAAACTGGACACCAGAAAACAGAGATAACGTGTAGAATCGAGCCGAAGTGGGAGTCATGGGCTTATTGTTTATTGAGAGTCACCGCTGAGAACTGATTGCTTTCTGAACGTTCATTTTCGGTCTTCGATAGATTCGTTTATAGAATTTCCGTGTGAAAAGGGAATAAGAACAGGAGAAAACGGAAGTGACGAAACGAATCCCTTTCGCAGGTGGAAAAGAATGAAAAATAGAATACGAACGGCATATGAATTGTGCAAGACAACAATAACAGAACGGGCTGCAGATCAGCAACGGAGCCCCGTCCGTTCATTATCTCTGCAGAGAGAGAGAGAGAGAGCAGTTGATGGGCTCGGCGGAGCACAAGAGGGAGGTCATACGGGAAGAGATAGGTTATCACAACACGTGACGGCCGAGTAAAACACGCAAAGAGCACACACACACCCACGGACTGATCGCTCACTTCAATTATTGTCCAGCAAATTCGCAAATTTGTGTCGATTTGCGAAGTCGGAGAGCGGAAAACTTTGAACTTCACCTATTCCCATTTATGCTATTTGCTGTTTCGTTTCGTTAGTCACGTGGGCCCCCATAAACTGCCGCTTCACTGAACATATTCTGGCTCCATTTGGGCGGATCGGAATGATCAAAAAGTGCGCGCCTACTCGCTCGGAAAAACGAGGAATTTGTTACGGGAGGAAACGGCGCGCAGAGGATGATGTCGTCGGAAAAGCAGGGAAAACGGGGAGAGCACAAGTTGATTGGATTACAAGGGAAAAGACGGCCGGGCGTGCAACACGACACCAACAATCGAGCCACTGTTTCTGTTTTGGGAGCTCATTTGAACGGAAGAAGAGGAGATTCCGATTTCTGGAGAGGAGCACGTGGTGATTGGTCAGTTTGCTGCAATGAACAAAGGGCAGTGGAGCAGGAGAGCTGGAAGAATAGATGAGCAATGTCCCTTTTATTCAAAAGGAAAAGAGAGAGAGAGAGAGGTTAATAATAATAGTGCATGCGAATAGATGATATCTGACAGATCGAAATAGTTAGTTGAAGCGAGATAGGGGTGCGGTGAGTCCGAGTAAGAGATTCTACAGTAATAATACAAGTGTCTAGTCGTTTTTGGCAATGATCACAGCTGGTTCGCACCGAAGCTTCCATCGTCGCTGTTCAGTTGCGCACTCCATCCAGAGTCCTCGAATGCCGCCGACATATGCTCTCGATCTCCGTCCGCAGCATAGTCATCGGGGTCGTCGTGATGGGCAAACTTTCCACAGATCTCATTGATCTCCTCCTTCATCTGATCGATTCGTTCCTGCAGAACAAGAGCACGGCGAACTGCGCCACGCCCTCTAATGATGTCCCTCTTTCTTGAAAATCGGTTCGCCGAATCGATTTCGTCTTCGAGATGACGGATGTAATCTTCGAGGCGGTCGAGTTCAAGAACAACGCTGGAATCGGTCGAGGTGTTGTGTTCGTGATCGTGTTCAAAGCTCTGCTCGTGCAAAGTTGCCGTCTTGCTGCTCGATTCAGATTCACTGGAGATGACGAAGGTGCGACGAGAAGGTGTGCATTCTACTGGAGCTTCCGAATGCTGCTGATTGTCTTCCACGACCTCCTCTTCATCAGTGTCATCGTAGCACACTTTGTAGTAGTTTGTGCTTTGAGTCGTCTGACGGAGCGCATCTTCGGTTTGTTGACGGCTCTGAAGCAATACAAATGTGAATTCAAAGAGAAATGTGACAATGCACCTTATTCCAGCTCTCCATAACAGAAACGTTCGACAGAAGAATGGAGGAAGTGTTATTGTGACCGGCAGAAGCTGGAAGGACGCAAGTGTTCGAGTCAATGTCACGGAGCGGCGGCAGATCATCATCCTCATCGCTTCCGTCGTTCGGTGCGTCGAGCGGCTTTGGGGTGCTGGTGAAGAGCGGTGTGAATGGCTGGAAAGGTTAACATTACGATGCGAATACTACAGAGCCACTCACCCGTGCAGTTCTGTCTTCCGGAGTGTTCTCCAAATCGAATCGAACGCATTTTCGAATCGAAGGCGGTAGTTTCGCCAGAACTTTCTTCATATGCGGAGTGCCCTTCATATATGGTTTCACTGGAAAAGCCACGTCCACATTATCGTCCCACCAGTAGACTTCTTCGTGTTCAACGTCTTCGTCTTTTTCCCCGTCAATCTTCTCGAGCTTTTCGACTTCTGTAAACTTTTCCATCCCGACAACGTCGTTGTTCCGGAACGCTTTTATTATCTCATCCACGGTATCTTTCTTTTGTTTCTTTTTTTCAGCGTCCTCTTCGTTTCCGCCCAATCCTAACCAATTCCGGATTTTTAGAAAAGATAGAAGACCTCCACGACGATCACGAACAGAAGACGAAGAAGACGTCGAAGACGCGGAAGTGGTCGTGGCGAAGGAGCCTGAAGGGACGGAAGCTGTCGAATCCGTGTGGCTGCCGGTCGAGTAGTAGGTCGAAAGCGCGTCCTCCGCCACTGAGACTCCGGCATTTTCGACGAGCATGTTGCTGAAAGATTGACGAAACCGTTTGAAAAGCGTATAATGAAATTATTAACGGAGAACGAAGGTTACCGAATAGTGACACAAAAAAGAGAAGTCGAAAAGATTTCCGGAGCAGAAAACGTCAATTTACTTTAAAGGCGCACACTACAGTTTAGCGCCGGCAGGTCTTGCAGCGATCAGGAAAGTGTGAGTCTATAATGCATATCGTAGTTTGTGATATCGTGAGAACGAAATAAATTATGTAAAAAACAAGAAAGAAAAATGCTGAAAACAAAACCATGGTAGTACAATTGCCCATGAGAAAAATTTTGGCGTCGTCAGAATTTGCTGACAGACTCTTCCTGATTAATTTCACACTTTTTTTAAAGTCAATTAATGTGATATTCTACGAAAATATTTTGACAACGCCAAAAATTATCTCATCATCCATTGTCCCTCCCTGATTTGCTTCAAATATTGCTCAAGTGAAAACACTTCCTCAATTTATTTAAGCTCTATCCAGGTGCTCCTTTGCTCTCTCTCTCTCTCTCTCTTTAATTCTTCATCTTCAGTTGTTCCGTGTCTCCGATTTGAACCAGTTCGTCCTGCGTCTCTTCGACCGACGCACTCTTCTTCTGAGTTGCTCTTCTTGACTCGTGTTTTTCTCCATGTCGACTCAAATGAATGATACAAAACAACAACAGTCAACAACGCCTCTGTGCTCATCTCAGACGTGCTCCAGTTTCCTTTTTTCGTTTCTATTGTATTCGATTTGTCTCCCACCGGCTTGAAAAATAATAGAAAGTCTCAGACGTCATCTGAATCTCATCTCAGCTCTGAACTCTCTTTTCTTCTATTTCAAACTTCCAAAAGTTTTCTTCCTGCGTCATTCATGCATTCACAATGTCTTCCTACCTGTCTTCCGTTTCTGTCCTTTGTCCTTGTTCAATCCCAGCCTCCGCCAACTTCGAAGATCTTCACATCCAACGATCATGAGCTAACAAAGTGTTTTTTCTTCTTCTAAAAATCCAAAAAACCTGATTCAGAGCTCATAAGAGAGATCTTTGAGCAAATGAAGAGCTCATCTAGCTCAAACAGAATGTGTGCAAGTTTTTATAGGTTAAAGAGGGTTAGAACGAAACCATTGGATAGAGCATCATAAGTTACACAAGGATGTATTACATCAGTTTTTTCCAAAGTTATAATTAGGGCCTGATGGCTCGCTTTATCGGATCTTTCACACGCTTCCAGAATTCCTCTACGGAGTTCATATTAACATTCGGCCCATCCGAGGCTAAAATTGTTTAAATATCATAAAAACTTTCCGATTTTTACCGTCCGAACATGGCGCGAAAATTATTTGTCCCGACAGCCATACGACTTCCAACCGTCCGTAATCATGCAACTCCCCGGGTCCACGTGTCTGTTAGTGAAAGGAATTAATGTTTTCGAAGTGCGATCCGGGATTATTGATGCAAACGATTTCTTCGTTCCTCTTTGTACACCGTGAACAAATGTATGCTTAAATAAATGAGTGGCTACAGGCGCCACTGGCTTTCGGCGATTATACTTTTTCGCATGAACACATGTCTCGTCAAACTCGACTAGTTCACCGAGTCCACCAATGTTCCCGCATGCACGTGTGATTCTAAAAATAAGCTTCAGGCCAAGATTTTCAGAATTTCTTACTTGCACTACATTTCATTTCTCGCTCGATCCGAGGCCCTGATAACTGGTAGATCCGGATGAAAATCATTTTCAACCCTTCACTACCTCGTCGCCTCCCTCTGGTGGCTGGTCGAACCCAGAACGGGTACCTAAGGCATACCTTTTTTTAGTCTTCCGAACAATTGTGCCTATGGTATGCGTACCCACCCACACTCGAAAGTGAACAAGTCACGTACCGCTTTCGTCATGAATCCATTTGATTCGTTTCATTTCCGATTCTTCATTACGACCAAACATTAGTTGCTTCCAGTTTAGCCCTGCGGGTCGGATGGCAATGCTGTCGGCACGTGGCGCTTCCATTCGTTTGTTTGCCCGCTCCTTTTTTAATTTCGAAGGACAACACACGCCCCCCCCCCCCTTCCGTGCTGCTTTCCTGCCGCGATTCTTCTGGAGCACAACTCCCTCTTCTTCTCTTTCTTCTTCTTCTTCTTCTTCGTTCTGATTAGCATACTCAGCGTGTGCTCCTCTGCTATTCCATGTTTTTTATTCAGTCTCCAATTCAAACTATACATCCTCTTCCCCTTTCTCTCCTCATATTGGCGGCTGTGGTTTGTTGTCTTGTTTTGCTCCGGAATCATCCCGTTTTGCCCGTCTCTTTCAGTACTTGTTTACCCTGTTTACCTCCTTTTCAGTCCCTGACAGACGGACCCGAAGGGATGAACGAATACGTCTCGCTTCACACAATCACCACGACCCCAATCACTTACAGGTTTGTCTACGGTACTAGAACTTTATCCGGATGTTTCATTTCCTTCATTCCAGACATCGCATCACTTTCGAGTTCAGTGTATACGGCACTTGCGTCGTTCTCAATCTCTTCCTCTGCATCTTCTTTGTCATCCGACCCCATATGCTCCGATCTTTCAAAGTAATATCCTGTCACTTTCCCTTCCACCTCTCAACTGTTGCCTTCCAGCCGACCATCTTCTTCGTGACCCTCGGCACGTTCGTTCTGTCGCTTCCGCTCTTCTTCCTCCAGTTCTACCTTGTCGTCTCCCTCTGGTCGCTCGTCGAACCCCGGTACCCCGTGGCCGTGTGCACCTTCGTCAAATGTTTCACCAGTTCGACGACTTCGTGTGCTCAGGTTCTTCCGTTGGTAAGTGACATGCGGATCTCCGTGAGAACGCGCGGATTTCAGCCAGTCGCCATCTACCGATACTTCATTGTGGTGCGCAACAGAAAAATGCCTACGTGGTTTGTTGTCGCCATCCATTCGGTCATTTCGGTCGTCTTTGTGAGTGCCGAGGGATTATGGAGGGAACAGAACTTGATTCCCGAATTGCTTCTGTTCACTCGGGGTCCGGAATAAACAACAAAAACTAGGTACTTGCAGTTTGTGATAGCAATGCTCAACTTCCCGTTGGGAGACTTCGAAGCGAATGATCAGTGCGCAATTTTGAGGTTTAGCAAAGCGATGGAGGCAGTTAGAGTGAGTTGCGGACGACGATGCAATTCGGGATTGGGCTGTATTCCAGATATCTCTCACTCTCGGCCTCAACCTCTTCGCAGTCCTCATCAACGTGGCAATTTACACGTTCGTCAAAAAGTACGACAAAAGGAACGTTGGTGAGTCGGATCGGCCGTGTTTCCTCTTCTGAACAGTCCGATCTCAGATGTTCATCGCCGTCGAGTGCAGCTCACGTACTCGATGCTCCTTCAGTCAATGATTCCGATTCTTGTTTCGATCCCACTGCTCGTTGGTTCTTTTGATTTCTACTTTGGTGAGTTTTGTGTGTCCCCGGCGGATTATTGCATTACCCTCACACTTTTCCGATTGAAAAGTGCCTTCGGATTTGGATTAGTATCTTTTCAGGCTATACCCTGCCGTCCGGATTCACCTCCCGCTGGTACGCCACCACATTCCTCTCGCCGTTCCTCACACCCATCTCGTCGATGCTCTCGCTCCGGACCATCCGCCACGAGCTGCTTGCTGTCTTTCTGAGCTCGTCACTCTTCGTCGGCACTCGCAAAATCTCGAATCTGGTCATCAAAACGAGCAAGAGCAACGTGGCGCAGCAGAGCTCGGATTATTCGTCCGCCTAGTCGTTCCGTTTGTTTCTCTGTACCCTCTCTCGCTCTACCTCTTCCCTTTTAATGAAGGTTTCCTTCTTTTTTGCTTCCATAACAACCGGCATTAATAATTTCATTTATGCACTGACGTTTTCTGTCCCCTCTTGTTATTTTACGTGCAAAGCGAATCTCTCAGAGCCAGAATCCCATCGGCGTGTTGTTGTTCTGCTCTTTTGTCTGAAACATTCGCAATGCGCAACGTGTCGGGCAGCGCCATTTCGATATTTAATGATCTTCGCTCTTTTCGACGCTCCTATAATGGTTCTAACTTCCAAGATATCAGGCTCCTCAAAAGGTTAATCTTTTTAATCCTGAATTTTGAATTCATAGTTAACTTTGTTATCAGACAACTGCAATAAAACTGATCTTTGAACCAAAGGATTTGTAAATGATCTGAAGTAGAGCTCTAGTGAGCATTACATGTGTGATTACATCTTGCTTTTTGACGAGATTTTTCTCAAATTGCCGCGTTTTTCTTGCTGTGGACGAGAAAGTTCCTTTTCCATTTTTGGTGCACTCCCCTCGGATAACATGAAACATTTATGAAGCATGAAAACAAACAAATTTTTCTCAGGGTTCCCCACTTGAGAAGTGTATATAAATCGGACGACGTGCCCTTGTTTGAACAGTGTCCTTCCGGTCCCTCGGCCGCCACCGCAGCCCCTCTGCTTCTCTAAACCTCGGCGCTCTCTCATCTCTCGTCGGATGATTCATCATTCCCAAACTTTTACAACTTTCTTCCCTTTCCCCTTCTAATTCCGCTCCCGCGTTTCCGACTTCGTCTTCCGGAGTGAGTGCAGCCCAATTAGACTCGCTCCCTTCCCGAACCACTCCTCTTTCCCTATCGATTTCTTCGTTCTCACACCCTTCTCTTCGCGGCCGGCTTCTTTACACCTGTCCGTCTTTTCTCCAACTTTGTTAAATTCATTTCTTTTCCAGGGGCCGTCTGATGGCTTGTCGGGACTGCACTAGGAAAGGAGGATGCGTATACACGACGTTCTGGGTGAGTATTCCTTCAGTTCTGCATAATAAATCACGAAAAAGCTGGTGTCCTTTCGAAATAGCGCGCAGAATCATCCGTTCACTTCATAAGATTAATGAAGCAGAATGCCAGTACGAAAATGAAAGATCTGGAACGCAGGCAGAAAGAATAATTAAATGGGTGAAGAAAAAAATAGGAAAACGAGGGAAAGAGGAGGAAGAATCGAGGGCCTAATGAAAAGGCGAATCGGTTTTCCGCCTTGAAATTGAATTGTGCGCCCCGGGTCGGGACACTGATTCAATTCGAGAGTTCTCCGTTTTGCCAGCCCGCCCAAAAAGACGCAATCATCGCGAATGCGTTGAGATGATAACGATCGGTACGACGAAACCGAATTGATATCTGTTGCGGCCGAACATGACCCAAATTGAATTCTGACTATTCTCTACTAAAACTGTCTGTGTTTACCGGGGCCGCCCGGCCGCTCACTCGATTTTGTTATTTCCTTTGACGGCGACGACAAATAACTGCCTACTTACCTTCTGATTCGAGGTTTTTTTTCGTGAAAACGGCCGCGCCCAATGTTTGAAATACTTGACAAAGTCAGGTACAAAATTGATGATATTCTACTGAAGCATAAAGTGGGGAAATGTTGAGAATAAAAGCTGAAAATATAAAATTACAGTTGGTGCGCTTCCTTCCCGTCGTCATTGTGACAATAGCCACCGGATGGGGCGTCTACGCCTACACTTATGAGCTCTGCTTCCGTAAGTGTTTCTGGAAAAGATTGGGACGTCATCTGAACGATTTCAGTGTCCATCGACAATTGGCCACAACGGATTCTTTACCTGCTTGTCTTCTACACTTTGCTCGTGCTCTATTACACTTCCTACTTGCGAACGATATACACGAAAGCGTGGAAACCTCCGCAACGAGTGAGTTCTAGATACTTTCCTCATAATTCACTCGCTTTTTACAGTTCTTCATCGAGGGAGCCGACAAAGCGAATTACGACCAAGTGCGAGACGATGAGCGGCAGCTACAACTCTTCCTTTCCGATATTGTCCGTCAGCGAGATCTCACTCTGCTCGTCCGCGGCTTCGATCACGGCATCCGCTTCTGCGACAAGTGCTGCTGCATCAAACCCGACCGATCTCATCACTGCTCGATGTGCGAACAGTGTGTTCTGTAAGAAAAGAGCCTTCCGATTCCTTTTCAACTAAATGTTTTCCAGAAAGTTCGATCATCACTGTCCGTGGGTGAACAATTGTGTCAACTTCGGCAACTACAAGTATTTTATCCTGTTTCTCGCGTACGGCTTCATCTTCTGCCTATGGATAGGTGCCACGACGCTTCCCTCGTTCATAGACTTCTGGAGACATGAGTACGATATTAACAAAAAGGCAAGTGACTGACAGTCCGGTAGAGCGAAAAGTGTTTATCAAGTATTGTGGTGACTTGAGGAAAAGGCGCTGTCTTTTTAGCAGTACGAGAGCATCGACTCGGTCCTCTTCCGTCTCCTCAGCCAAATTCACGACGTCCTTGTACGGTCCCTCCCCCTCTAACATTTTTTTGGCAGATAAGTTTTACCTCAAACATTGGTGGAATTCTTTCAGAACGGGCGCTTCCCCCTCGTCTTCCTTCTGTTCCTTTCGTGCATGTTCTCGCTCTCCCTCTCATTTCTCTTCTTCTATCATCTTTATCTAACGTCCAAGAATCGTACGACTGTCGGTGAGTTGCACCTTCTTCCGTGCACGTTCCCGTTGATATCATTTTTTTTCAGAATCCTTCCGCGCTCCAATGATAGACGGCAAGTACGCAAAAGACGCGTTCAACCATGGAATCCGAGCAAACTATCGTGAAATCTTCGGATCGAACCCTTGGTTATGGTTCCTGCCCGTCCCCAGCTCGTAAGTTTGCTATCCCATATTTTGTTGCACTCGAATGGAATGGCCGTAGTGCTGTTTTCAGTTTCTATCTCAATCAGCCATAGCAACGCCTCGTTTTCAAGCGTATTCCGATCTAACCTCACCTCGCCTTCTCCTTCTCCCTCTTCTTCTTTCTCCACTCTTGCCCCTTCTCCAACAACTCCTCGCTCACCCGTTTCCCTTCCATTTCTGTAATCGTTTCAGACAAGGTGACGGCGTCAAGTACAAGCTGAACGACGTGTTCGCCTCGCATTCCAACCACGTCTTCGTGGAATTGGGATGTCTTCCGGCCACCGCGAACGGAGTTCATCCGCCAATTTCACAGCAAAACGAGGAACGATACGGAGAGCAGCACGCGGAAGAGACGAAGACAGAGTCGGCGGAAAAGGAGAGGTCATCGACGTCGCCGCCGCATGGTTTATATTTTCGACTTCAGTTTCATTCCGTTCAAAGTGCAACCGACTTCTTCTTTAGTGATTCGCCCGCCGGCTTACGTTTGAAAACGAGTGCATGCGTTTGACGGAGAAGACATTTTGACTAATAGAATTGACAAAAAAATTCCATTTCTCTTCGCAATGCCTCAATTTTACAGACTCGGTGACGGCGTAGAATACAGAAAGTGGACTCGGGAGGCGGCACTGACGGCCCAATCGGCCCGTAATGGATCGATCGGAGCCCTCCGTTACCGTCTTCTACAACAGAGGGACGAAGCAGAAATGCAGCCGCTGTATAGTGACGACGAGGACGAAGACCTCGATCTGAACGTCCGAATCATCTAATTTTCCCTTTTAGTCACCTTCTTAATTCCTTATCTAGTGCCAAAAGCATCGTACTTGGTTCCAATGATCTAATTTTTCCTCCCTTGTTTGCTCCAATCTTTTCATCGTTTCCCTTTCATTCAGGTTATTACTATTCACATTTCTCTCCGGAATTCATGTCACTTCACACGGGTACTCACCTCCTCTCGACCCCATTTTCAGCCGTAAATGTGATGCTTTTTGTGAGCTTCTCACGTCACTCAACCGTGTATTTTCAAAGTGTTATATGCATATTTATTCTGTGCGTCTTGTGTTAATAAAGACAGTTTTTAGTCGTCATCGTCTTCTTTCGATCGGAACTTGTCCGCAATCCACCTCGTCTTGTTCTGCACTTCCTCTTGAGCCAAATTGAAGCACATGGCAAGAAGAGCCATTCCGAAGAGCAAGTAGATGCTCGTGATCACCAATTTCTCTTGCGCTTCGTCCGTGTTGCTCACCGATGTGCTCGGGAATTTGTCGCCGAAACCTGCAAAAGGAAATCAGAATGTTCCACGTGAGATTGCGGTAGAGCGCGATTAAACTACGCGCTCAGACTATTTCAAATAGTTTATTTTTTCATTCGAAATATTCAAATTGGCACGGTGCCAACTGCGAGGCTGAGTTGCCACGCAGCCAATCGCTAAAAAAACGAACCGATCGTAGTGAGAGAGATGAAACAGAAGTAGAAGCTCTCGAGGAACGTCCACCCTTCCCAAACTTTGAATATTGTGGTGCCGACTCCGAGGTACGCGAGCATCGTGAAGACGACCAACGAGATGGGAACTGTGGCGCTTTCCAACTGGGCCGCAGCTGTCTCACGGACCTGAAACCGAAAGGCATCCGAACACGGTTAGTGTAGATTCCACTCACCTCCAACTGCTCCATCTCCACTCGGGCGGTCAACAAATCCTCGACGTCTGCACCGGCACCTAAATAGTCCTCATTCCAATCTCACTTTGCCAAGTCACCCTCACCCAATCCGAACGAATCGACGGATGAGTCCGTCTTGACGCGATGGCCACGTGTCAGGCGGGACACCAAACTGTTCGCACGTCGGATTTTCGCCGCTTTTCTCTTTTTGTGCCACAAAATCAGACGGAATTTGAGGCGAATCGATTGTGCGTAGAGAAACCTGCAAACGAGAATCTGGGAACTCTTTTCGTCCTGAATGACTTTAAATTGAATGTGGGCCAAATAAGGGTCTGATGTCAGCCTCCCCGCCCGTTTGCCCACGCCTCGCCCTCATTTCACCCACTTCGGTTTGCCTGTGTGAGGAGATTGACTCGAAATCAATTAGGCTCGAATTCTGCTGATCCCGAATCCTTTTTCCTTTTTCCATCCTACATACCTGAATATTTTCGCCATAACATCTCCAATGTTAGTCAAAAAGAGAAGCATCAAAGGGATGCCAATGATTGCGTAGAGCATGGTCAGTGTCTTCCCGATGTACGTTTTAGCAGCAGTATTTCCGTATCCTAAAAACGCAGAATTTATGTTCATCTCAATTCAGAATACGTACCAATTGTGGTGATGACTGTAAGGCTGTAAAGGAATGCTCCAGTGAACGTCCACTGCGCCTGCTTACCGTATTCCTTCCCATCGTAACCCTTTCGAATAGACTGCATACAAATTGTTTTGAACACTTTCACCTGTAAAACTTTCGTTGTGCTCTTTATGTGTGTGATGTTCAAAACCTCATCGAGAACCGTTTGTTTCCACTGTTTGGAATCCAATCGGTTAATTCGGAACGTGGCATTCCAGACCACATCGACCGCCCTTTCACGGGCCGCTTTCACTTGAGACTGGATCTAAAATACTGATCGTTTTTGAAAAAGAATTTAGCATTGATTGACCTCTGCTTCATGTGGACCTTCGACTGCTTTGAATATAACTGCTCCCAAAAGTGCATAGCCGACGACCTAGAAATAGAAATGCACAATAACTGGAATCCACTTGAGGGGACTAACCAGAGCACACAGTCCAATATGGGAAAAGAAGAAAGCGATGATCTTCTTGACGAGGTTCACGACACGTGTCACTTTCGATCTGCGATGGCGACGTCCCATTTTCAGGTCGGAAGTATCAACTCATTATTGTGAGAATCTGCACGAAAGCAAACTGAAAAGTTGTAGGATAAAAAGAGAGTGAAACGAAAGAAAACATGTAAAAAAGTTGGATTGGAGATGGCTCTCGCAGTTTATGCGGATGTCAAAAATCGTCCGAAATTTGGTGGGCTGTTTGAGGGAAACGAATCATGAAAAATATGTCTCGGGGGAGTTTGGAGAGCAACGGAAAAAGAGTCGACTTTTTTGCGAGGGAGCTTCAGAGAGTGGATCGGAGACGTTGGTGAAGAAGGGAGGAGAAGAAGAAGAAGAAGAAAAGAGGATTGTCCAAATGAGGAGGAGTTGGAGCAACAACACTTCCTGTTGATCTCTGCGTCTCTGTGATAGGCGTGCTCTGTGAGCAACGACTCGGAAACGGGTAGACTCGTTTTATGGGATTTCGGAGAAATTTGAAGACATTCTGAAATATTGTTGGACAAGGGACAATTGGGAATTGACGAGAATGATGATAAACCGCTTGAATAGTATTTTAAGCTGAATTTTAAAGTTCTGAAATTGCAGGTTTGATTTCTAAAGCAACATTTTGCCGATCTCTTTTCACTTCAGATTTTTCTTTCCAATTCGGTTGCAATTTATCTGAAATCGTTTCAGTTCGATGCAGCCGTACTCTCTCATCTTTTCGTGGCGAGACCCGTCCACGGAGCTTGCACTCGGTCCTTCAAACATAACACACATTTTTCCTCTTTTTCTCTCCATCGATTTGCCTTTTCTCCCTAAACTAATCCAAAGCCTATCATTCCCATTTTCCTCAGATAACAGAATATTCTTCCGCTCTGTCGCTCAAGAGTTGTTTTAGTGGGGCCAAATAAGCGGGGGCCCCCTCTCTTTCTGCGTCTCCGCCACGAATCTCGCTCCCTCGCCTGCGCACAAAACGAACAACAGCGGCCGTCTGGCTTCTCTCCTTCCTTTCGTTTCTTCCGTTGTTCACTTTTCCACAAAATTCAATGTTTTTTTTTCTGCAGAGAGTCCGTTCGGAGTAGCTGGAAACAATTTCGTTTGGCACTGATTTCGAAGTGAATGCTCAATAGGGTTCGTTCCATTTTTCATTTTTCGTTTTCGCTTGAATCAGAGAAAACGTGGGATGATCGATGAAAACCTTTCGCTTCCGTCATTTTCGGTACCCCGTACAGACTAGTACGTCTTTTTGCGGGTCTTATTTCTTCGTATTCAAATCCGTCGTGTATTCTGCTCGTTTCACTTCGCTGTAGGCTACAAAAAGCGATATGATACGTACAAAAAGTGAGGAAAACGAGAGCAGCTAGCAGTGTCAAACTCTTATTTCTTCTCCAAAACAATATCACTCACATTTCCATCTGAAACCATCCACATAATGTTGTTCATCGTCAAAATCAGTAATCCAAAGTACTGTCGATGTTCGTTGTTCGCATTCCAATCACCGATGCTCAACCGAACTTCGTCCCATCTTTTTTTCTGAAATTGCAGCTCTGTTTTTCTCCGTCATCTTCCTCCAACTATTACAACAGTTTTCACTCGAATCGTCACTTTTCCGAGTGAGTCTCTCGCTATGTTTCCCTGCTCTCGTCTCTTGAGAGATACTTTCTACTGTGATCATTCACGTGAACGACCCGGTTCTCTGTCTCTAACTGTCGGGATCTCTCCATGTTCACAATCTTCTCCAATTTTGTTTTCGTTCCCTTTTGTACTATGACGGCAGAGAGCTATTTTGATGATGGGAGGTAGTTTGGGATTGTCTCTATATAAGATTGAACGGAACGCATTGAGGCATTGATAACAATGTCTACTCCAAGTGCGCCTCAACAAACGGAGAATTCATCGAATTGGCCGGTACGTTCTTCAATTCCTCCCATTCCTCTGCTCTCTCTCTTCTCTCTCCTAAGACGATTTTCAAAGATGCGATTGTTTCGGTGATAAGAAATGATGTAACCGATTGATAAATCTCTCCGATCTTTAAAAGTTATCGTCCGAGGAACCTGTCTTTGATCACAGTCCATTTGCGAGTGACGTAGATGGATATTTATAGATTTGATCGGTCTATAAAAGTTGTGTGAACGGGGATACCGGCGGTCTGTAGTCTCGATTGATCTTGACGTCACTGATACTTTTTGATTGATCAAAGATTGATGAGGGTGTTGTAAATTCGTGAGCTTTTCTCTTCTTGTCTGTCTCATTGGTCATTTCTGTTACCATCAGATCATCCTAGATATTACCTGGATAAATGTCTGCGTTGTGAACACTAGGGGCTTTTCCTTTTGTCTCCCGACCAAAGCATCATCATGAAGAGAGATATGCCCTGTCTGTGTCTCTCCATCCTGCAAACTCTCACTCTCTTCCATCTCGTCTCTATTCGTCAGCCAATTCACCCGCCGAAATATCTCTTGCCGACCCTTTTTGTTGTCATCTTTTTGCTCGGTCGAAATAAACACACCATTCCTGCCTCAATCGGTCGATTTTTGCTCGCTTTGACTAGCCATAAACTGGTAGCCAGCACGACAGTCCGCTTGGTCTGCGTCTCCTCGCTCTGTCGTTCTCTCGACCTGATAAGGGAACACGGGAGGCGTGGTGGTGGACGAGTATAAATGAGTATCGGCAGGAACCATCCATCGAAAACACTTCTGCCGAATCCATCATTCTTTGACTAAATACTAGTTACCTCGTTTCCCATCTCAACTCTGCAATTTTCAGCTCAATTCACTTTACCGCTTGTTTGGATCCGCATCCTCTACTACTGTCACAATGAGCCCGAAAAAGGTCACAATCATCGGATCCGGAAACTGGTAAGTTTCGGACCTTCGTGTTCCTTTAGAAATCACGTAATTTCAGGGGATCCGCCATCGCCAGAATCGTCGGAAGCACCACGAAAAGTTTCCCAAATGAGTTCGACCCGGAAGTCCGGATGTGGGTTTTCGAAGAGATTGTAAACGGAGAGAAGCTGTCGGAAGTTATCAACACCCGCCACGAGAACGTCAAGTACCTGCCCGGAAAGGTTCTTCCGTCCAACGTGGTCAGTACTCCGAAGTCTGAAATAAAAGAGAAGATAGCTATTGTTTACTTTTTTCCCGTTCTCTCCTTCTTCTTTGCACCTCCCACGACCACGTGTTTAGCCTGCAGAACCACAGCGAAAAACAAAAGTGCGAAGTACACACGAGAATGCAATTTTGCAGGTCGCAGTCACCGACCTCGTCCAGTCATGCGAGGGATCCAACGTGCTCGTGTTCGTCGTTCCGCATCAGTTCGTGAAGGGAATCTGCGAGAAGCTCGTCGGAAAGATTCCTGCTGACACGCAAGCCATCTCGCTCATCAAGGTAGGCAAGAATATGCTGAACAGATCATCAAAGGATATTTTCCTTCTGAATTCATCTCATCCGCACTATTTTTCTCTCGTTTAGGGCATTGCGTTCGACAAAAATGAACAGGTAGAAAACTGATTTTGCATGGGTGACATGTGTTCCATATCGTCTTAGAAATATGTTTTGATTACTCAAAAGTCTATGTTCTTTTGTCGAAAACTCACACGATTCCACTTGTTCTTCGACCCGTTTGGCTTTATTCCTTGTTTCAATAAAAGCACAGCGGTTACGAACTCCTCACTTTCCCCTATTTCTATTCAACCAACACAAACACTACCAATACGAAAACCGCATGCAATTAGCAGTTAAATTTCATAAAATCCATACCAAATTGGCCATTTTTCAGGGAGTGTCGACCGAGAAGCGCGGAGGGCTGAAGCTAATTTCGGAGGAGATCAAGGAGATTCTGAACATCGAGGTCAGCGTTCTAATGGGCGCCAACCTGGCTCCAGAAGTGGCGAACGATAACTTCTGCGAGGCGACGATTGGATGCAAACGAAAGGCTCAAGACGGTCCCCTGCTCAAGAAGCTCTTCCACACTGACAATTTCCGAATCAACGTCGTCGAGGATGCTCACACCGTCGAGCTGTGCGGAGCTCTGAAGAACGTGGTCGCATGCGCTGCCGGATTCACTGACGGACTCGGCTACGGAGACAATACGAAGGCGGCGGTGATTCGGCTGGGACTCATGGAAACCACAAAGTTCGTCGAGCACTACTACCCGGGATCCAACCTACAGACGTTCTTCGAATCGTGCGGAATCGCCGATCTCATCACCACGTGCTACGGAGGACGCAACAGAAAGGTTGGTTTCGAGAAAGGGGACGTAGAAATGAGAGTGCTAGATTACCAATTGAGAGTGTTTCACGCTTCGAACATTGCCAAAAGCTCTGATATTGATTGATTATCAGGTCTGCGAGGCGTTCGTCAAGACGGGAAAAACGTTGGCCGAGGTGGAGAAGGAGCTGCTGAACGGGCAGAGTGCCCAGGGACCATTGACCGCCGAGGAGGTTTACCTGATGATGCACAAGACAGGACTCGATGCCAAGTGGGTTTCTTCCTCTTTTCAATCTTATTTCAATCTTATTTTGCAGGTTCCCACTGTTCACCGCCGTCCACAAGATCTGCGCCGGAGAGATGAAGCCCGCCGAGCTGGTCGACTGCCTCCGAAACCATCCGGAACACATGTAAATAACAATCCGTTAAGTTTAGTATTTTCTTTAGGATTTTCCGTCCCTCCGCCCATCCGATATCCCCTTTTCTTACTCCTTTTCTCTCAACTCTTTTGCACCAATTACGAGTTCTAATGTGTCCTGTGTGGCTCCTCGTTTTAGCTGTTCCACGCAGACAACTTGATTGTTCATTTGTTTGTGTCAAAATGAATCTTTTCTTGTTCCTTAACAGCGTCACAACTTTTTAGAGCTAAGGAAAACAATTCAGAACTTTACTTTTTTTCGATTCAGAAATTGTAATGAGAACTTTATTCTTTCCTTTTTAATAAACGATTATTTTCTTTCTGGTCGTTTTTTTGCAGTGGATACCAAAACTTGAAGTGAATTGGCTCTGTGCACAAAGTTTTCAAAGCAGAAGTCCCATGACGAATTTATCAAAAGTAAGAACTTGCAACTAAATGAATAGAGAGAAAGGGCTGGTTAGGAAGCAAATATATTCTGGGGGTGAATGCGTTAGAAAATCTCAAAGTATGGCAACTTTTCAGAGTACGTGGAAGGGGAAAGTGGCGGCAAAATCAATGTGATTCAGAAAATTCACAAGAAAATGGGAGACTGTGCTACTAAGGAGAAGGCTAGTAACTACTATATGGAAATGGGCGTGGAATACGATAATTACACAAAGTTATCGGGAGAGAAATCAGGAAAATTATTCGCTCTTGTGCTCATTCTCATACGGAGCCGGAAGCGAGCTCTCGAACTGCTCGATTCCCCAGATCTCGCGGGCGTACTCGGCGATCGTGCGGTCCGTCGAGAACTTTCCGGTCGAGGCGATGTTGTAGAGAGCCATGCGGGACCACTTCTCCTGATCACGGAACGTCGCAGACACCTGCAAAACGAACGAATTGCTTAAAATCTAGAAGGTGGAACAAGCTGACCTGATCCTGAGCGGTGATGTACGCGTCGAAGTCGGCGCACACCATGAAGCGATCGTGATGACGGAGCATGTTGGAGAGGTCGCGGAGCTGATCGGGATCTTCCGGAGTGAACATGCCACCTTCGATCTGTTCGACGATCTGCTTGAGGACTGGGCTCTTGCTGATGAACTCCTGCGACGAGTATCCGCGCTTCTGGAGAGCCTCCACCTCGTCGACGTTCATTCCGAAAATGAAAATGTTCTCGTCGCCCATCTCCTCGGCCATTTCGACGTTGGCTCCATCGAGAGTTCCGATGGTCAGTGCTCCGTTGAGCATGAACTTCATGTTTCCGGTTCCAGAAGCCTCAGTTCCGGCGGTCGAGATCTGCTCAGAGAGATCGGCGGCCGGGATGATCTTCTCGGCCATTGAAACACGATAGTTCTCGAGGAAGATAACCTTGAGACGGTCTCCGACGATCGGATCGTTGTTGACCTGCTCGGCGACGGCGGTGATCAAACGGATGATCTGCTTGGCCATGTGGTATCCGGGAGCGGCCTTTCCTCCGTACAAGACGGTTCTCTTGACGATGTCGACGTTCGGGTCGGCCTTGATGCGGTTGTAGAGAGCGATGACGTGAAGAATGTTGAGCAGTTGTCTCTTGTACTCGTGAATGCGCTTCACGTGCACGTCGAACAACGAGGCTGGGTTGATGCTCACGTTGTACTCATCACTGAGGTACTGAGCCACATGCTGCTTGTTCTCCAGCTTGACACGACGGATCGAGTCAAGGAATCCGGCGTCGTTGGCGTACTCCTTGAGCTTCTGGAGCTCATCCAAATTGGTGATCCAGGTATCGCCGATGCGCTCGACGATAAGGTCGGCCAGCGATGGGTTAGAGAGAAGGAGCCAACGGCGTGGAGTGATTCCGTTAGTCTTGTTCTGGAAGCGATCCGGGAAGAACTCGTAGAAGTCACGGAACCTGGAAGGAACAAAGTTAGATTTGGAAGAATGGGCCAGACGCTTACGTGGAGCTCTTGAGAAGATCCGAGTGGAGAGCGGCGACTCCGTTGATGGCATGCGAGGCGACAATGCACAAATGGGCCATGTTGATGCGCTTCTCTCCGAACTGATCGGCCTCCTCGACAATCGACATGCGGCGCATGCGATCGAAGTCTCCTGGGAAGCGCTCCGAGATGGTGTTCATGAAGCGTTGGTTGATCTCGTAGATGATCTCGAGATGACGTGGGAGCAGATTCTGCATGAGGGACACTGGCCAGCGCTCGAGAGCCTCAGGAAGAAGAGTGTGGTTGGTGTAGGCGTAGGTCTTGATGCAGATGTCCCAGGCCTGATCCCACGTGAGTCCCTCCACGTCGACGAAGAGACGGATCAACTCGGGAATTCCGACGGATGGATGGGTGTCGTTGAGTTGGATGGCCACCTTATCCGGGAAAGTGTCGAAGTTGACACGGACCGCCTCGCGGTTTCCGTAAATCGACGACTTGAAGCGACGGATGATGTCCTGGAGAGTGGCAGCGACCAGGAAGTACTGCTGCTTCAGACGCAGCTCCTTTCCGAGGAACATCTGAAAACGAGGATTGTTGACTGGAACTATGAAAGAAGTGATCGTACGTTGTCATTCGGATACAGCACACGGGTGATGTTCTCGGACAAGTTGCGGTCCATGACAGCCTGAACGTAGTCTCCGTCGTTGAAGAACTTCAGATGGAAGTGATTCTCGGCCTTGGCAGACCACAGACGGAGAGTGTTCACGATGTTGTTCTTGTATCCCGGGACCGGGGTGTCGTACGGCATCGCGAAAACGACTTTGGTGTCGATCCACTTGGACTTGCCCTGAAAGGAAATAATTATGATGGCATAGTTATTTCTACTGATTTTCAAAACTCACGTCCTCCTTCACAACTTTTCCGTAGAAGTTGACCGGCAGCATGTACTCCGGACGGGCCTTCTCCCACGGGTTTCCGAAGCGAAGCCAGTCGTCCGGCTCTTCGATTTGCCATCCATCGCGGATAAGCTGCTTGAAGATTCCGTACTCGTAACGAAGTCCGTATCCGTAGGCCGGGATGCCGAGAGTCGCCATAGAGTCGAGGAAACAAGCGGCGAGACGGCCGAGGCCTCCGTTACCGAGTCCAGCGTCCTCCTCGATCTCCTGGAGCTCCTCGATGTCGAGTCCGAGCTGGTAGAGAGCCTCGTCAACGGTGGCCTGGATGCCCAGGTTCATCATCGTGTTCGACAGGGTGCGGCCCATGTAGAACTCGAGCGAGAGATAGTAGACTCTCTTCGGGTCCTTCTCGTAGTAGTGTTGCTGGGTGCGGATCCAGCGAGAAACCAGATGGTCGCGAACGGTGTTCGCAAGAGCGAAGTAGTAGTCACGGTCCGTGGCCACGTTGCGATCCTTGATGATCGAGAAATGGAGATGGCGGTTGAACGCCTTCTTGATGTTCGAGACATTCTCCACTTGAGCGATTCCGCGCACCGAGATCTGCTTGCGGCGGTCGTGGTCGTTGGTGATCATGATGGAGCAATGGGTCTTCGGTGGAGTGACGACAACGGACGGCTGCTGAAAATAGAAAACATGACTGTTTTGGTTATAGATGCAGGGAACGGGAGTGCTGTCGATTGGGGCCTTGATAAGGTACTGAACGGGAAGGAATCAACAAAATTAGTGGGAAAAACATTTCATACTTCGAAAATGAGACAAAGATCGACAATTCTCACCTACTGGAATAGTTGAATTCTATGAAAATGCACTAATCGACTGATAACCAGCGTGATCAATGAAGGAGTAAAAGGCAAGACACAAACACTCTCAAACGGGCGAAATTGTCCTCCTCCGCTTAGTGACCGCCACAGTCAACACACAAGGGTACTACCGACAACTGCTGATAACCCGAGTGATAAAACAACGATGATACAAGGCAGCAACAGCAGGACAACAAACTTTTTGGCGATCACACCACCGTTCTCAAACGGTCAATGCCCTCTTTTTCGTCAGGCACAACTATATATCTTTTGCTTTCGCATGAGGACGACGAAAATTGAGTTGGTTCTCTGCTCGGGGCACTTTGAACCACGTGACAAACATGCAAAGCCGATTATCAGTTATGAGAAAGTGAGTCACAAGAGGAATTTTCCGAGAAGTCCAGCAGAAAAATCTAGAGGCCATCAATCTTCAAAAGTCAAGCGCCGATTTCTCGTTTCTTCAACGCCGTCATAGACAAAATCGTTATAAATTTCGATATCATTGTCGAAGCGGCCACTCGATAAACAATTTGTGTCACTGTCGATTCATCAACCGCTCATTCACGTGAAAGCGGATAATAGTGTTGTGTTCCCAGAAAAAGGGAGAAAGTGGTGTGTTTTAATGGAGTTGGGCCATAAAATTGCAGGGTTTCAACGTGACTCCATAGAAGAGAAAGGAGACATTTTGTCGAAGGGATATATCGAATTTAGTCTTTCTATTCCGAAACAAAAAAGGGCGACAGCGCAGCAGCAGAGAAAAAATTGCGCTCCTATGTCGTGGAAAACCTATTCGGAGCCGACTTCAAACAGAAAAATCGAGACCTATCAGTTGGGAGTAAACACAAAACTCTGTTCCTCCCAGCTGCTCATGGCCGCAATATTTCGTCGAAGAAAAAGAGGACGAAGAAGAGGAGAAGCCCTTCGTGAACGGAAGGGAAAGAGGCCTTTCGGGCTCTCTGCGCTGCCGAGCAATCGAAGCAGAAACGACGAGAGATGGAGTGTAAAGGGAGAGGAAAACAACTGGCGAGACGGCGGAGAGGGCAGAGAAACACACAAAGATGCAGGTCGTCCGTCCCGAGTGTTTTTCGGCGGAAGGGCCGACGGACATTGACACTTATAGGCGGGGGATCTTCTACCCATTTGGCAATTTGGCATTCTAGCAACTAACACACAAAGGTCAAGAAATCACAAAATCAGTTTGGGAATTCAAAGCCACTAAATATTTCTATTTGAAATTTTCTCAAATTCCCACAATGTCAGAAATGTTTTTGAAAGGCTCAGCAACGTGAAATCAACTCAATTGAATCTTTGGTCAATATTGACGTCAATCAATAAGGGCGAGGCTGCTGTTACCAAAACAGTCAAACACTCGGATTTTATGTTTATCTCGAGACCTTATAATTGTCCCTTGATAATATCAATAGAAAAAAGAGGCGGTGTCGAGAAAAAACGAGTATTTCGATCGTTTTCTGAACAATGTTAGGACTTTGTCAGTCATTGAAAAACACCAGATTTCTAGGACGTTACGGCCGATTTTTGAGACGTTGCAGAGTCTGAAGGACAAAAAGTGCCAACTGACAAGGGGCAGAATGATTGCGAAATGTCTAGAAAGGCAATGTTTCTTTCTATATTTGTTCGAAATGATATGAGAGGCAAAGCGAATCATCGTAAGGTCCAGGTCCATGTGAACATCGAATTTGTGGTTTAAACTGCCTCGAGCCAATTGCGGCCAATATTCATTCTGATTAACTTTCATGCATCGGCAGAAATGGAAAAGTACCAGAGAAACAGGCTCAACGGCGCGGGGCCAACTGACTCCTCGGGGTCGAAAGCACAGAGTGCCAGAAAGAAATGGAAATAGAAAGGCATCTGTCGGAGTGCGAAGAAGACGAGAGGAAGCAGCGTACGTGTTATTCGGGAAGATTATCTCGGGCCATCTCTCCCTCTTTCGCACGCACACAAATCCCAATTTTTTTTTTACATTCTCTGCCGTCTTGTAAAGTGAAAAAGTTATTAAAACGCGGCATATCCCGCGAGGAAAAGCGATTTCGGATGACATCAGGCCCAGAAGGGAAACTCACGGCAGGGTAGGCCCAGTCGAAGATGTTGAATCCAGCGAGCGGCATTTCCGGGACGATCAGGCAGCGAATATGGTTACGAGTGATGCGAAACAACCGAAACGACTCCTTGTTTTTGTTGTTTTCATGATTTTTCGCGCCGAAATTCACAAATTTTCGCGACCAAAGGTTACGGTAGACAAAGGACGCAAACACTAGCTAGTACTAGTGAGCACCGTGTCTTCGCGAAACCAAGAGAAACACCGGAAACGTCGTTGATTCGGAGCCGAGAAAATACATTTACTATTCGATCGAATTTGAGAAACGAAAACAATTGCAGATAACCAAAGACAAAAAACCATATGATCCGATCGATAAGATACGAAGTTCTGAACTCAAAGAAAAAAGGCGTCGAAAAAGGGGGCTTCGCCATTTCGATGCCTTTTAGCCAGGATATCGGGGTCGCATGCGGATTAAAATCGATTTATTAATCGATTTGGAAAGAACAACAAATAACAGCGATGAAAAAAAGTTGGAAAATGGGACAGATGAGAATAACAAAATGAAAACCTATAATAGGTAAACTCAATTCATCGCTATTGCCCCTCGGTGTTTCCAGACTGAAGCCAAAATTTCCTAAACTTAGTCTTGAGTCTGCAAACACCGAGGGGACAAGAGCGGTAAATTGAGTATACGTTGCGGGATGGCACAGAAGCTGAGAAAAATCTATTTATTGCGATGAAGTCGAAGCGTTGTCGTTTTTGCAGTTGCTATAACGACGCTTTCTGGATTTGGCACTGTGCTGAAAAGGAAATCATAAAATTATTGTGCGCTTGCACATGACCTTGTAAATACCTTGCGCGGTTTAAAAGTATCCGACGTGCCTCTGGTGGCGTCGCCGGGCACGAATTTCGCATTCCGCATGTCACAACTGTAATGAAAGATGAGAAGGTAACAAAACATTATTATTTGATTGACTCACAGTGCTTTGCGTAGTTGATATCTGAAGGTGTACTGTAGAAACGACTCTCGTGCGGCTCCGTACATTTTGAACACTTCCTCGCGACTTCGAGTGCCTTTATAATAACTGATGCATCTCATGGAATCGTGTTCACCAGGAACATACTCGGCATCTTCGAGGCAAACGTCGTCGAGAAGATAGGATTGCAGAAACAAGTCTAAGAAGTTGTGGGGTAAATTAAAATCTATAGAAATAGGCCATACCTCTCAACGTATTCATTAGGAGCTCTGGAAAAGCGAGCTGCTCAGGCAGTTTGTTTCCGTCGTTTTCTTCATCATCAGAATCCGACGAAGTGTTTAGGAACACTTTCTGAATGTCCGCCACGTTTGCACAGCTCTGGAAAGATGATAATGAAACATTTTGTCGGTACGTGGCTGTCATCTTCTGTAGAATTCGAACGAGACATTTTTTCAATTGAATGTGCGGAACAGATTTTGGGGAAGGTTTTGGTAGCCATCGTATTTGGATTACCTCATTCTGAAATACGTTAGTTTAATGAAGCAGAGAAGACATACTAACAGAAAACGGAGACACTCCCCCCGAATGTGAACGTCGACTGAACGTACTGCGCTCCATGATCCGGGATCACATCGAGTGAGTGGAACAGCATATTCGCGTTGTGAATTTTGGGCACTGAACGGACCTCCTGGATTCTGGTCTGGAAGAAAACAGTGTACGTTTTTGTAACCGCCAATTCAGTAGTTTCTTACCCACAGGTGGCGTGTAGTCATATGGTACAAGTAGTTCTCATTGGAGAGATGCTCGCGTGTCAGAAACCGGCTCTTTGTCAATTTGTGCGCGTACTGCTTCGCGAACTTCTCGCACTCTCGTTCCGTTTCACCTGGCGGTCCCCACATAAGGCTTGTAGCAGAGTTGAGCGGAAATGGAATTTTGAAATACGGAAGACGGCAGACGGTAGACGGAAGAAAATGTTTTTTACGGAACACGGAAAACGGAAGACGGAAGAAATTTTTTCTCACGGAAGATGGCAGACGGAAGACGGAAGAAAACTTTTTTCCCGGAAGACGGCAGACGGAATACGGAACAAAAAATCGTCAATTCAGAGCCTTTTTTTCCGGTTTTTTTTTGAAAAAAATAACTAAAGCAACAAAACTTTTGGATCTGGGTACTGCCCGTGGAAATTCGCGTTCTTCGGGACTAGTAAATGGTTTTTGAAAAGCTATTACTCTTTTACGGTAAGAAAAAAAAATCCCGGAAGACGGCAGACGGAAGACGGAAGAAAACTTTTCTCACGGAAGACGGCAGACGGAAGACGGAACAAAAAAAACCACGGAAGACGGAAGACGGAAGACGGCAGACGGAATTCCGCTCAACACTGGCTTGTAGCAATGATGAGACCAGATGTGAACTAACACAATTCGCCATTCACAACCCCGTATTGGACTAGGTTCTCTAAAAAATTGTAGATTTTAAACAAAAATTTACACAATACTTACTAAAAGTCCATTCTCGTCCTAACGAGTATTACCCGGATTCTGCTGGACATGAACACCTGGAGGCGCGGTATTCCGTCTATGTTCCGTCATGTCGCGTTTTTCGAATTCCGACCGCCTTCTCCGTTTCCATGCGTTTGCCGCTCTTTTCTCACTTCCAAACGATCGGCTTGCCTGGCTTCCGGTATTATATTGTGCATTCCTGAAAAATTACCACTGTTGGTTCTTTAGAAGAACTTTGGTTCGATCGCTCGATTCCATTGACTTTACATTTTACAGTCTCCAAACTTCTTCACATGCAAACTAATAGATTATTCGGTTCTATTTCTTGTTGCGAAAAGGAAATAATTGCTATTGCATTCCACGCTGACTAGGGAATGATCAATAGGTAAGTTGGCCTTATGGGCCGTGACTGACATAGTTCGATAGCTTATACCAAGAGGATAAAATGTTCTGTTGACCATTTTTGCTGCCGACATCTGGATTTCGAGAAAATGGCGCCGGAAAATTTCCACTGAAATACTGTATTTTAGGCAATTTTCCTCCCTCGTAACAGTCGCGTGAACTCCCTTGATATCAAAGTATTCGGAAACAACTGAAATCGTCGGTTGGATGGTGCAGTGGGTATTGGGTTCGACTAGTAGGCAAGAGGTCTGTCCCCACTCTCCATAAATTTTTTTTGTTTTCTTTTGTCGACTGAATATCTGGGTCAAACGAGGTTTCATGATGATTTTTACACATTTGATGACTCTCCACAACCGAAGCAACTCAAAAATCGAATAAATAGAGTTTTGAAGAAATATGCATTTTCCATTAAAATCTCCATACAAAGTATGGACTTCGAAAAAATTTTTTAGTTGGTCAGATTATTATGTCACTAGATAGAGCATTAAAAGTTGTACACGTTTGCAGTACATCATTTTTCTCAAAAATCACAATTAGGGCCTGATTTGAGGCCTCAAAGTTTCTATCGTCAAAAACTCCCTCATCTTTGGAGACCTATATCTTCAGAACCCACCATCAATTAAATAAAAGATCAACTGGAAAGTTGTTGCAAATTTTGTGTTGAACAACTTTGTAGTTGATCATTTTATACCAAAACACTTCATTCTCATTTTATACTCTTGTTTGTAACCTCTATTTTATCTATTTCATTTTTCAAAAACTTGCCTTTTTTGTGAATTAGAAACAGTATAAAATGAGAATGAAGTGTTTTGGTATAAAATGATCAACTACAAAGTTGTTCAACACAAAATTTGCAACAACTTTCCAGTTGATCTTTTATTTAATTGATGGTGGGTTCTGAAGATATAGGTCTCCAAAGATGAGGGAGTTTTTGACGATAGAAACTTTGAGGCCTCAAATCAGGCCCTAATTGTGATTTTTGAGAAAAATGATGTACTGCAAACGTGTACAACTTTTAATGCTCTATCTAGTGACATAATAATCTGACCAACTAAAAAATTTTTTCGAAGTCCATACTTTGTATGGAGATTTTAATGGAAAATGCATATTTCTTCAAAACTCTATTTATTCGATTTTTGAGTTGCTTCGGTTGTGGAGAGTCATCAAATGTGTAAAAATCATCATGAAACCTCGTTTGACCCAGATATTCAGTCGACAAAAGAAAACAAAAAAAATTTATGGAGAGTGGGGACAGACCTCTTGCCTACTAGTCGAACCCAATACCCACTGCACCATCCAACCGACGATTTCAGTTGTTTCCGAATACTTTGATATCAAGGGAGTTCACGCGACTGTTACGAGGGAGGAAAATTGCCTAAAATACAGTATTTCAGTGGAAATTTTCCGGCGCCATTTTCTCGAAATCCAGATGTCGGCAGCAAAAATGGTCAACAGAACATTTTATCCTCTTGGTATAAGCTATCGAACTATGTCAGTCACGGCCCATAAGGCCAACTTACCTATTGATCATTCCCTAGTGAGCGCGCTATGTTTGAATCGTGATCTCCAGTCCGGCGCCAATTAAAAACAGCTATTCCTTCCAGAATTCTAATGAAAAACAACCCAAACTTGTTTGTTTTTACAAATTTAGGCCACGGAGCTCACAAAAAGACGATTTTCTCAACAGATTGCATTCACATCCATTTCGTTTCGAGAATTATTTATATGAACAACTTACGTATGTCTTTTTCACGGTATCCGGCCGGTAAATCCATTGCGACGAGCCTATCGAAGGATCCCGAAACAGAATTTCGAAACTTTCTCCGAAAAAATTTGTCAACAACCAGCAACGAAATGCGTTCCTTTGCGCAACATCTGTCGGCGTCGTCTCCGTTTTGGCGCATTTTCGATTTTGGGTGTCTCCTCTGGTAAATGGATTGCGATTTAATTAGAACTCATTCACATCTAATTCAAGAAAGCACGATTTTCAGATCTAGTTAGAAGTTTTTCAGGTTTAATTTGAATCTAATTAGATGTGAAAACAGAAATTCGAATCTAATTAGAAGTTGGACTTTTCACATCTAATTAGGAGATTTTGGGATCTAATTAGAAATGATGCAATCTAATTAGAAATGATGCAATCTAATTAGAAATGATGCAATCTCTGCGCACCGCGGAACAACTTTTTTTTCTTAATTTTTGAAATGTTCTCCTCGTCTTCTGTTGTTTATTGCATTTGTATTCAACTGAGAATATCCACGTGTGTGTTCAGTGTTGCAAGTGCGCACCATTGACAATTCTTCTGCGCATAACATTAATTAATTATTAATTAATAACTAATTAATTAATTAACATTAATTAATCATGCTCACTCGTTTGCTGGCCTTAATTTTTAGCTGATGAAGAAGATGAAGAAATTATCGAAAAGCAAGGAGATGATGAACTGATCATTGACCCAAGTGGAGGCTACAACGTATTCAACGAGTTGGACGGTGGCACATCGGAAGCGGGCAACAAATCGGCAAGAAAAACTGGAACGGACGGCATCTGTCCGTTCGTCATCGGTGAGAAGTTGATCTCTACCTCGATAGAACAAATGGGATTGCTGAATGTGAGTCTGCATTAAGCCTGATATTTGCATAGTTTCTTGCATGCTTGTGATTTTACGGCTCGGCCCGGACGGTGCGGATTCTGCCTGACGATCGTAAATTTTGGCTTTTTTCGTCGGTTTTCATAGTTATTAGGTAGGAAATAGCCTATCCCTGTCAACTTCGACATCAATATGACGAACCGAGATGAAAAAAGCCGAAAGCATACTGAAAACTTGAAAAAACACTAGCTGAAATTCGAAATTTTTCTTCCGGGGCGGGCCGGTGGACATATTCCTATGGCCTGGTCCGGCCCGTGACAACAATGAATAATTTTTCTAGAAATCAATCTGGGACGCCACACGCGGACGACTCCAGTTCGACTACCGCACTATCAACGAACTGATTGAGAACAGTACTGGGGAGACAAAAGCTGTTCTGATTGGGCAATCCGGCATCATGAAAACTGTACAATACACTGTGTGTTGTTAAATGTTTTTTGGCTTTCAGCTTGAGGTTCTGTCCGAAAAAGTGCCGAACAGCCAGACGAAAAAATTCAGATCGTCGCCAACAAATGGCTGACCGAGGTAAGAATATACGACGAATACACCAAAACGGTATTTCTTTCAGATGATTCCGGACAACTTACGCCACAACTTCTCTGTCAGCACGAAACCACAAAAACCACAAGTTTCCCTTCCGAGTCGATTCATTAACTCTCCAATCGGTATAAATTATATCTGAGATAGTATACTATGCAATGTTTTTGCAGCCGTACTCAGTGGAGCGATCGAAATTCACGGATGCGACAGAGAAAAGGTGGCGATCACTGTGGCGCTGCTCTTCCAGCATCACTTGGATTACTGCTTGTGAGTCGATGCGAAAAACAACGTTCCAATCTACTTTTCCAGCAGTCACGCCCGTCATCGCATGCAGAAGCAGAAAAAGGACGAGAATGCGAGTGCTTAGGTGCTATCCGGCGCTACAACGGAATCCGGCGCTACAACGGAAAAATTTCAATTTCCCTCACTCGTTTCATTGTCTTTTTAAAATGCTTCCCGTCAGCACTCGACATGAATGTTTTGTCCTTTACATTGTTAATATACACGAAGAAGCCGACTGTGGAACATGGGGAACATGGATCTAATTAGGAAATTTTGGCATCTAATCAGAAGATTTTCACATCTAATTAGGAAATTTTGGCATCTAATCAGAAGATTTTCACATCTAATTGGAAGTTTTCACATCTAATTAGAAGATTTTCACATCTAATTAGAAGATTTTCACATCTAATAATGACATGTTAGGCGGTAACAGACCTTAAATTAGATGTGAATGAGTTCTAATTAAATCGCAATCCATTTACCAGAGTCTCTCGAATTCGGAAAAGACTGAAGCCATCTGATAAGTTTGTATCATAAAAACGTTGCCTTTCCCTTTTTCTAATCAGGGACTTTATTGTGAATTTAATTGGTAGCCTAACAAGCCACACAAAGCGTCCGAAAACGATTATAAAGTGAAAAATGAAGTCAATTGCAATTCATAGGGTTATTTTGGCCGACTGGAACGGATGGAGAATGGGAGCAGGATAGCATATCACAGAAAGTTTTCGGAAGCGAACAATGGGGGGCTAACTATTTACATCTATTACTTTAAACAGAAAAATGGGCGGGGAAATGAGTGGGCAGAATATATCCTAAGAAACTAGTGAACTATTTTGATCAAGAGAAAGGAAGACACGTCAGGGGTGTCGGAATGCACTTCCGAAGGGGGCGGGGCTAAAAAACAAGAGAAGAGGGAATAATTATTGCTGCTTCTTCCAGTAAAGATCCAGGAATTCAATGATCGAATCGTAGATCATGAATGTGATTCCGACATCGAGGCAAACGCGAGACAAACGAGGAACTGTTCCCTTGTAGAAACTGAAGACAATGAGATATTTCAACAATTTAGAAGTCAACTCTTACGCGAAGAAACCCTCTTTTCTCCAGATTTGCAGGGCACAATCTAACGTATTCTTGTACTTTTTCGCTTCAAGACCCTGCATACGTGTCTTGACCACATCGATCGGAGTGTTTCCGTAAACGGAAGCAGCTCCAGCAATGGCTCCCATCAGTCCGACTATCGGCTTCGAGATCGGTTTGGTGTTGTCGCCGCCGCGATACCAGTCCTTGAGTGTCTCCATGACGAAGAAACGGATCGCCTGATTGGATCCCTGCTTGGCCATCGTGGCCGTCACTCCTTTGTAGATCCCTCCGAGTCCTTCTGCTTTCACGATGCAGCCGACTCCGTGCACGAATCCCTTGTACTTTGGCTGAGGGAGTCCCTGGTCGTGGATGAACTTCACTTTGACCGTTTCCATTGGAGTGACGGCGAAAACGGCTTCCGAGAGACCGGCACCCAGTCCGCAGAGTAATCTCATCACGGGCGACAGATTTCCTCTGTCGTCGGCGGCTTTCGATTTGAGATACTCAAACGTTCCGAATCTGGAAAGGAGAAATGAGTAGGGCAATCAGGAGAATAGGTATTTACCTGAAAGAAGACTTCGGAATGGATCCGTAGAGGAGGACGGAGAGTCCTCTGTAGAGACCGAAGAATCCGTGTCCTTTGACGGTCTGCTTAACACAGTCAATTGGTCCCTTGAACTTTGGCGTCGCGGATCGCTCGTCGAGCTGCAGCTGGGTCTTCACGTATTCCGTTGGGAATGTGATGCAGATCTCGATACCGCCCGTGATTCCTCCAATCACGATTCCACGCACAGTCTTCTCCGACGGTCCGTACTGCTGCCACATCGACAATGGTCTGAAATAGACGAGAAATTCTCACGAGAGTTAGAAATTCGCTCACTTTGCACCCGGCACTGGCTGAATTGCTCCGCTCATTTTTCGAGAAAACACGCGGCTCGGATAGGAAGGGGACCCTGCAAAATCAATGGGATTTCGATGGGACGCTGACGCCAAAAACGAAAAGAAGTCGAGGGAAAGAAGAAGTGAGCACGCGGCTTTTCACAGATTCCGAAAAGGAAGCCACAACAAAAACGGCAGCGAAAAAGGAGAAGAAGATGCGAAGGGAAGGAAAAGGAGAAAGAGAAGAAGGGGTGGGGCCGGATGACGAACACGTCAAGGCACGCGGGCGGCAGCGAGGAGCACGAGGAGACTGGAAAAATGCGGGAAAAGAAAAGGAAACGATGAAAAATGGACGAGGAGGATGAGGCGGAGCGGGCGAGGGAGCGATGCATGGTTTGCAGCGAGTGATGGCAGTGTTTCCAACTTCCCATTGACAAACAAACAAATAATACAAACTTGTTCGAAGCGAAGTTAAATGACCGGCATTCCAGCTGCGGTTATCTTTTTATTCGTATTTTAATTCCAAAAGTTGTTTTGTAATTATATTCCCTATAATTTCGTATAATATATGCCGACTTGAGCCGGAAATGAACCATGCTCAATAGCAAATGAACCATGTTCAAAAGCAAATGAACCATGATCAATAGTGAAAGCCGTCAATGGAAAAGAGAGTGACAGTGGTGTGAAGTGGGGAGAACTGAAATATGATCTCGGAGCACGGAATCAGACCACTCACGACGCACTCTCTGAAATCAGAGTACTTGTGGCAGAGTTCGCCGATAAGGAGGCACGGATGGCACGAGAAAGTGGGGTGAGAGAGGAGAGAGGAACGACTTCGGAGGGGGCAGCGACCTCGTCGATCGAGGCACAAACAAGCGACGGTATCGATCGGGTGGACTGGATTCAAATCGGAATAGAAGGGATCATTGAACACAATTGCGAAGACCACAGCAAAGGAAAAATTGAGAAATTACATGGATGGAACAGAATGATGACTTACAAAAAGTCAAACAAACAGCAAGTTCAATAGCCGTTCAAGTAAAAAAAAAAGAACTCTTGATGGTCTCAAGTCTTTCCTTTGATCAGGTACGCGGGCACGTAGATCAGTGTCTCCTTCCCCCAGCAAATGGGCGTAGCCTAGACGGCTTGCAGGGTGCAAACGTGACAGAAGATATCGAAAGGGCAGATGTGATAAGGAAGATGATGAGTGATATTGGAGGACAAACAACGGTGTTTGTTCGTTTTTCGGTGAACAAATAAACAAAAGAAAAACACGAGGAGTTCAATGAGCCACAAACTTTCGTGACGAGACCTTTTCGAGGTTACGGAAGGGTTGGGAAAGTGGAGTGACAAATAGAATTGATAAGGGAAAGCGCGGCGAGAAGAGCTTGATAATGGCGGAGAGGGAAGAAGGCAAACGACGATTCAATCCGAGGAAGACGGCCAAGGTTATTGCGGGAAGGAAGGAGGAGAAAAACGGATACGAAAGGGCGACAGTGGGGAACTACACGTGGGTACGGAGAGATAACCGACTAAAATGGGGTCAGAAGACGTCGCAAAAGTCATGCTTGATACGAGACCGGCGAGGAATCGGTTTGGGAATCGAAACGACGTTCTCCCAACTTGAAACGGCTAGAGAATAGCATATCGATGAGTACACGGAGCTCAAAAAAGATGACTCAATCTGAGAAACAGCGTTTTCGAAACTTTACATTAAAATTCAAGCGATTTCATTTCAAACAACACTAAACTTGCAAAACTGCTAGTGTTTCTTCTCGTTCTCACACGATTTCTTTAAAACTATGAGAAGTTCTAGAAAAAAGCAAATTAATTAAAAAATGTTCGAACGCACCAAAAAAACAGTGAAAAGAGCAAAGGAGTAAACTACAAACAACGGGTTTCGCGGGAGAAAAGAAAACTAAAACATGCAGATCTAAGAAGATTCAAAGAAGACAAAGTTCTCTGACATGTTTGCCAGCATGGAACTAAATTTTGTAGCTATTCATAAAAATTAAAAAAAAAACCTTTTTTAAGAAAGCGAATCCGTCGAAAACTACCGTAAACAGTTGGGAGAAGCCGTCTGCCAGGTCGAGAGCGCCCGCACTGTTTGCCGGCCCCGGGACTAGGAATCGCACAAATGTTTTCTCGGCCGCCCCATTCACTTCATTTTTTTCCTTTTTTCCAACTCAGAAACTCACGTTTTTCTCACGATTTTCGTTAATTTTCCTTGCAATTCGAATTCAAAGACTTTCCCACCTTTTTTTTAGAAAATGTCTGGAGTCTTGAACCGAGCTGTATCGCAGGGAAACTCTGTCATCAGACAATTCCTCGCCGTCAGGAACCCGATGTGTCAGGAAATCGCCGGATTCAAGGTTTGTCTTCTATCTTTTACTACAAAAAAGTGTTATTACTAAACGCGCTAATAGTGCTTTCAAAAAATCAAAAATTTTGAAAGAACTTCAGATTGAAAGCAGGCGCTTTTCAGCATAAAATTATGAACTGTCAGCGTTAATTTACGCCGTTAAAAACAATTGGAAACTTTGTCGTTGTCTGCTAGACGTAGCGGGTTTTCGGTCTTCGAGAATACGTGTGAATTTCTTTATTTTTACGGCTGTTCGCCCGCCTGCGCACAGTCATCTTTCCCACATTCGGTGTCTAGCAGAAATTGATCTCTCAGTAGACTGTGTTCTGAATTGAAAAGAAATTCCTCAGCTAAGAAATCGGAACTTTCGAGTTTCTCCGTAAACCTCTGTAACTTTTGAGCAGAACTTCAGCAACGTTTGTCCAAAGTCTGCTCGAAAGTTACTGAACTGTCGTTCAAATGCTGCTAAAGTATTGTTCAAAAGTTGACGTCGCTGAAGGTTTCCTCAAAAGTTGCTGAAATGTTGTTCACAAGCTGCTATCACCCCAAAGTTTGCTCTAGAAGATGCCGACATTTACCGAGTTATTTCATGCTGTACCATTCAAAAAAAAAGTATGCTAATTTCAGGTCAAATCGCGTCTGAAGCTTCGCTGTCGCAGCTGCTTCTTCCTCCGCGTCGACGGCCGTCTTCACGTAGAATGCAACGAGAATCCGCGGCACAAAGCTCGAGAAGTGTTTGACGTCAAGAAGCTCTGGTGAAGCGGCGCCATCGCCTTTCCCATTCTTATTACCTCTGCTGTTTTTCTTTGTTTTAGGTCGTTGTAGCACTAATGAATATTCTATTTCCAAAGTGTTCAAGCACGATTTCATGAACATCCGAGAAAAGGTTGTGTCCCCGGTTCAAACGTGATGTCTGCAATAATTTAGAGTATGCGGACCTTTCCTCTTATGTTTTTGTTGTTTGATTCAAGTTCCAACCGGAAATGATAAACTGATACGTGCGCCACTTCCTTCGCACTTTTCTTATTATCCAAGTGACTAATATTCCGCACATTGTTCGCAAAGTACCATTCGTTAGGCTCTGGTCTCTTGAACAGTAATTCAAGTTCATCATCATTCATTTTCAATAAATTAAAGTCAAATTATGCGGTTCAAAGAGCCGTCAGAAGGAGGGTAACCCGTTGGAGGAAAAGACGATCAGGCGGTGATGAGATGACGTGGCAAACATAGAAACGGAAAGGCTTCACCGGCCGGGCCGAGCGTTCGAAACGATCTTGTAGTTGGTCCGATAGTCATCGTAAATGTCGGCGACGACGGCACCACGGCCACGTGTGAATGCTGAAAAGAATCAAACTAGAAACGAGCGCGGGTCGGAAATGATTCACAAGAAAGAAAAACAGAGGGTTTCGAAATGTTGGAGTTTGGTTAACAAAATTTGAAAGTTATATCAAAAGATTATGCTAAGTGTCAATCTTCAAACTCACATCTCAGTTTCTCAATGTGCGCCTCTTTGTCCTCGATCTCTTTGCTCAATGTCTCGACGACCCTCTCCAGAAGCGCCTGCTCTTCCTCCAACATTTGAAGTGATTTCCTGAAACAAAATACAAATCATCATAATGATTGCTACAGTAATCCCTTTTCAAGTCACTTCATTTGCGCCGCGTCAAATGACAGACGTCATTTCGTGAAAGCAGCTAATAATTCAATAACAGTTCGAAACCGTAAGCCGATTAATCGAGTCAAGGTTTCGGTGAAATGCTCCGGTTTCGGAGAATTTCGTTGAAACGAAGGGACAAAGTGCGACGTTTTTGGATGCGAATCAGATTTGGCACGCAAAATGGAGCTGACGGAGACTCTAGGTGCATCGTGTCCGCAAGTACTCAAGATTCTGCTCCAGAATGTGACCCTCTCCGCTTCTCTGCGTCTTTCCGCTCTTAGAATTCCAGCGGTTTCTCCCAAAAGTCACGTTGTCCACCTCAGCTGTTTCAAGAATTCGAGCGATGCGGCCGGCCCGAAATACCCGTTGTGCTCTTCCCCTAATAATCCGCTCACAGTACGTCCGTCGTCCCGCTGGTCATCGCGTCGGACTTTGGAACCTTTGTGTTACGCAACAAGTAGACCCCCTCTCTCTCTCTCTCTCTCCCTCTCGACACATCGTTATCGTGCCGCCCGGATTAGGACGGTAAGACGGTGTGGCTCTAACTATAGTCCTCGTTTACACTTTGTCCTGTTTTCAGATGTTTCGGATTCTTTTGGTTGCCTGGCACTAGACTACTTGAGGAAGTGCGCTCTATTGAACTATTCGGATTAGCACGGTGTGACCGCATTCAAAATCCAAACATCCAAAAATTATTTAAATTTTAACAAATGTCACAGCACTAGTCTGCATTGCACCCGAAACGAACCGAAACGCATAGAAAAACTGTGTAAAGTTGTGACAAACGTGACGCATTTCCGACTACCAAATATGAGAGAAACAGCGAGATAAAGAATGTTTGGGACGAGGGGAGCACGGAATTTATTTGCCCAAAAAGGCCATAAAGTGACCGCCGAAGACACGTGATCGAGCGGCGAGCGACCTAATTTCAGTCCATATTTGGCTACTAACTACTCACTGTTCGTTCTCGAGCATCTTGACAATTTTGTGTTTTTCGGCCACTCCGATCGGTCCGAATACGGGTTTGGCATAGCACAGCGAAAGTGTGAAGATTAGGGATGATAAAATGAGCAACGACGTCAGATGACGCATTCTGAAATGGAAAAGAGGTGATAAGATAACGATGGAGAAGAAGAAGATTCGAATTGCAGCAGAGATCAGGGCTATACAGCACAAAAAGGAAATAGAGTGATAAGTGATAAGAGTTACCATAATAAAGTCATAGTAAGAAACCACAAAATGATGACAAAAGAGGGGGAGGAGGATGACGTGGCACCGGAATGTCTGAAGCTGTGTAATTTGCATCACAATGATAGGGGGCAAGTCTGGAAGGAGAACGTCGTAAAAAAGGGGGTCTGGTCAGTGGAGGACATTCCAGAGAGTCTTCAAAAGACGGGGCCGCCGCTGCGTGTTTGCATGCTCTTCTGCTCGCATATCAGTCGTCTGTTTGCCTCGACGATCTTTTCCGAGTTCGGGGCGGGCTCCCTCTTTTTCTTTTACAGTAATCTGCTCGAGACGTGGCGCCGCCCCCTTTCGCCCTCCCCCTCCGAAAACGACGACACGCAGACACGAAGACGGGCACGATAAGGCAAGAATGCGAAGAATGAAGAGGGTGCACCCGGGACTTCGTTTTTGGAAAAATTTGTGCAAATGATGAGACATCTTTTACTAATCAAAAGACTCAATTGATCTGATTCAAAGTGGAAGAGAGATAATTTAGGGAAAAAGTGATCGAGTTTCAATCTCAATCCATTGATCAATTCCCAAAAAACATCACACTGAAATGGCTATTTTCCGCCGTTTTTATAGACGATGAATTGCGTGTCAGTGAGCCTGTAAAACGACCTCTGGCGCTGCCCTTTTTCGGCCGAAATTCAATCTCCGCCGGTCACCTGATTCCCCTGAGAATGTTCGTCTCCGCCCGTCCCCAAGAGGACGTTCCGAGCGAATGAATGACGAGAAAAAGAGAATAAGCGGAAGGAAACACTTCCGACTGTTTACGAGTGATTGCGTACGTGACACCACTTACGAGTCCTTTCAGATGCTCACTTCTCTTCGGCTCTTTCGCGTTGTGCTCCGATCCTTGATCACACCACAATTCGAGACGAGCCTAATCGAAACGCCACACTTCACAGTCTGTGAATCACAGTTCAGAAAGCTGCTGCTCATTCATCTCTTCGACGGAAATCGAAACCCATTTTCCGTTGGTCTTGTGATTGTTTTTGGAATACAAACGAACAAGGGAACGATTTGTTCGGAGGAGCTCAAACATCGGAAAGAGCAGAATGCACTCTTGAGGTATGGTATGATAAAAATGTTATTTTTCTTTGGTAGAAGGTCTTTCTGGACTTTTCCAACATTTTATTCTTCTCTAAATCAGTACTAGGCTCAACTTTTCCCAAGCTTCGCCCAGTACAACTATTAGGTTCAGTACGTAGTATCATCAATTCAAAATTCAGTCTCATTTTAAGAACTTTATAATCACACCAAAAATCCTCATTGATTGTGCAAAAATCCGATCTGAACTGAAAAAGAAAGACTTTTGAAGCTTCAGGACATTCGGGACAACTTTCAACGTTCCGATCGGATCGAAACTTTACACGATTGTCAGTCTTGGATTGGAGTATCCACCCTGATTATCTGATCTGGAATGATTTGTTAAATAATTTGGAGCCGGGCTCAGAATATATATTTTTAGTCTGAAAGCCAAGGCCCGTGGAACAACCCCTCCGCGTGAGATCAACAGTTATTTTTTTGCGTTTTATTCCGCCCAATCGCAGAATTATACTACGAACATTCGAGCCGGGCATTCCGAATGTCCACCTCCGCTTCCTCGCAACTCGATCCATTTGCGACGCCTTCTTTTCGGCAACGTGTCAATTCCGAAATGGGATATCTGGATTTACGCGAAAACAAAAACAAAAAACACTTTCAGACGTTTTGATTCTGTAAATGAATGTGAACTGAGCTCGAAAAGGCTCTGATCTTTCTTTCGTGGAGAGAGAGGAAGAATCGAAACAAAACACAAAAGAGTGGAAGTTGGCGGCCAGAAGAAGAAAGGCGCTAATCCGATGCTGATAAAGGCGACGGCGTTTAATCATTGTTGCAATGCTGAAAGTGTCTTAGAACATGTGTGTGTATTTATGGAAACATTGAGAATACAATTGATGTCGGAGGCGATTTTCCGATCAAGTAGATAATACAAGTAAATAAGATTTAGTTAAAACAGCGCTTGAGTGGACACACACACACGTGTGGTAAAGATTGAAAAGAACAGGGTATTATGAGAGACAGATAGTTCATGAGCACCGCCGCTGCTCTTCGGCAATGACTTCTCGTTCTTCAGCCGAGGAAGCACGGGACACGTAACTGTTTCTCGAAGTAGAACAAGGTCTTTCGATCGAATTCACAGCCATGTCGAACATTTCTTTGAGCGGAAGGTAGTCTTGATAGAATGTGAACTTCAGAACGGATTGATCACTTTTCGTTATGTGACTGGAGGAGAGTATGTGTGACAAATAATTGGGCATATGTTTGAGCACGCGGTTGCAGACTTTGCACGAGTCCTAAATTATGCAAAATTGGAAAAGTTATCGTTTCGTTCAGTACTGGAATGTTCCATTTGGAACAATACAAAAACAGCATGGCCCGTTGTCCTTTTGAAAGATCAAGGTACCTGCGCTGAAGCACGGAGACCAATTCCAAAGCGACACACGCTGAAAACCGGCAAGTACATTTTCATTTTTTTTCACTTTGAAAGTTACGCTTCAGCTTGATGTGCCTTTTTCTACCGTGTCCATCGTAGAACGGACGGTATTCTTCTTGCGAACTCGCCGATTTCGTCCGAGATTTTGATGGCTTAGTATTAGAGTATGGCTCGGATCTGACGGAAGAACTGGTAGATTGCGTCCGCATTTTACCCAATTTACTGTCGTCTTTCCACGTCAGGGGCAAATCCTGGAATTCATTCTCGAATACCAGTGGGACCATTGAAGTGCTACCTACCGGTCCCGCAAACATCTCGTTTAACGGACTGGCCGAGTCCCCGACGTCTTCTTTATCAGACTCCCATCCATCTGAGCTTTCGTCGTTCGGTTCTACCAACAAGTTTTGCATCGGCTGAATCTTCGTCTTCTGGATGGAGAATCCGCGGAAACTGATGTCCTTAAGATGAGTCGGTATCGGCTTCTCCTCTCCGTATCTCTCTTTCAGCTCTCTCAACGTCTTCTCGAGCGTCAGTTCCTTGCCGACTCTCATTCCGTTGTCTGTGAATCTTATCTGGTGATGATCGGAGAAGAAATTCTTCTGGCACCACTGCAGCATTGTGGTCGCTGGGAACGGGCCTCTGAATTCGAACGGAAAATGCTTGAAAGCAAAGGTCGAACTCACTGATTTTGGCCATGATCGTCGTTGTAAAAGCACGTGAGCTCATCGTCATCGCTCATCGTAATTCTGAAATTAATCGAGATTTAATTGTTGGGGTAACGGTGAAAAGCAGAATGGAGCAGCTGTTTATCATTTATCAGGAGAGAATGGCAGACAGATGAAAGCAAGGAAATAGGGTAAATGATAAGATATCAGAAGGAGTTTCTGCAGGGGGAACCATCTCGAGTGGGAAAAGAAGCAGAGCGGGCCACGTTTGAATTCCAGGTTCGCTGGAGCGCCTGTTCGCTTGTCAGCACAAGGGGGATTCATAATTTGCATGATACTTTTTTCAGGGAAAAATTTGCGGAATACGCTCCTCTGGAACCAATAAGCGGTTCTAATATGAAATACGAAAGTACAATCTAGATCAGGCAACAGAAAAATATAAAAATAGATCTCAATTCATCTTGGCGTAGCATTTATTGTTTTAGTGAAACAAAGAATAGGGAGCGGCCAACGAAAAGAAACAAGGGGAACACTAACTGCAGGAACAATTTTTATAAAGATTCGAGAGAACAGTTTCGTCTTCTCTTTGCCCTTCTTGAGCAGATTGCGCTTCAATCGATGGTGATCACTTCGATTTGTTCACACGGTTTCTTGGCGGGTGGCTCAGTGGATTGCGGCTCGGCGTTTTGCTTTTTGGGGGTCGCCAACAGACGGACCCACGACCCAACGACTCCTTCGTGGTAGAGCATCATGCTCGTGTTTTCGCGGTGCAACTGGCTACCGATGTGAGCACAGAAGTCATAAAATGTGCTCATTTTAATGTTGCAGAATTTGCAATCATTCTGAAAACTAACGTACGTAGTTTTCTGTTTTCTGTTAGATCCAATTATTTTCCCTTACATATTTTTCGTGCAATTTGCCGTAATGGCGTAGGAAAGGTTTCTTGTCGACTTCTCCAATGAGATTTTCGACGACCTCAGAGAGGAAAACGCCTGTGAGCTTGCTTTCTGAAAACCAAGAATTGATTGTTTCATAAAATAAGGAAATTGTACGACTTGGCCGGAGTGCCTTAGTTGAGACGTATTGAGTGGCAAGCATCACGTCCGCCGTAACATCCAAGAACTGCGATTGTTTCACCACTCTTCCGACAGCTGAAATGATAGATTGCAGTTTGGAAATATTCTGCTACTCACTCAGTTTCCTCGTGAAACCTTTAGTACGATTGATAAAGTCGGCGACAGAATCAGTTGTGTTCAGAAGTACATCAGGGGTGAAGCCGGGAAGAGTCAGAGCAGTTGTAGGTGCATGTCTTATTACATCTTGGACGCGATCAATCCAGAAATCCACATCATTCGTCGAGAAAACGCAACTGGAGAGCCTTCCCATATGTTGGCAATTCACCAAATGAGTAAACATGCTGAATCCGGCCAGGTTTACCTTACAAAACTGACAGCAGATAATCTCTTTACTGTAGGGCGAGAAACAATGGGCCTTTTCCGGGATGGTGATGATCATTTGATAGAGAATGAACAGTTTGCGATGAGCCACATCTGCAAATATCAACACTGTTGAAGGAAACAGGAAAACTAGAAAACCTGGCTTCATGAGAACGGAACCGGGATCCGAAAGGCGCATGAGCGGAGGGGAAGAGTAGAGCTCCGGATTGAACGGTTTCGCCTGCGCGGCGAGAACATCTGCGTTAATGGAAGGCACGACGGGAACGGGTTTGGAAACAACCCGACTCGGTATTTTCGCGATTGGAGCAGTAGTCGGCGGCATTTGAAGAAGTACGGTAGGGATTGAAATAGGCGTATTCAAAGGGTAGGAGAGCATGAATGGCATAGTAGGAGACTGCAGACTTTGCATGATCCTATATTGGGGAGCTGTGTGTCCGGCAATCTGCAGTCTACCTTCCGGCTTCCCATTCTGCTGATTCTGCTTGACCTTGAACTGTTCCGCAGCGATGGTTTTGTTGACGTCGGCAGTTTGAAGACCCGGCTCGACTTCCTTTTCGATAGCTTGGTGAAGTTCTTTGGGTTGATCATGAACCAGCGACTTTTCAGACTTTTCTTGCTCGGCGACAAGATAACTCGTCTCTTTTACAGTGTTCTCTTCAGCTTCCAATTTTTCTAGAAAACTTTTTCAATTATTAAACGAATAATGCAGGGAATAAACCATGTTCAGCGGAAGCTAAATGAATCTTCTGATTTGCAGATTCTGTGATTTGAGCACCAGTTTGTTCGACAACCTCGGCGACGGCTACCTGGACGGCATCATGAATCTCTGTAAAATAATTTTTTTGTTGATATGTAAACAAACTTGCTCACCGTTTTTCTGGCTTTCTTGTTCATCCATCTTCACGATTACTTCCGCCTTTTTCGAATTACCGATTTGCTCGCCTGTCTTCTCTTTTTCAGAAATTTCTTCCAAAGGTTGTTGTTTACTCGATTCAGGGACCAAGAATGGTTTAGAATGTATCTTTCTCAGATCTCCTAAAATATCAAACTTCTATCAGTCTTATTTTTTCTCACACCGAGCTTGAACTCTTCTGCTTTTCCATCTATTGAGATACGGAAAACAATAACATCGTTATCGAAATAAAATCCTTCGTCCCATTTCGCCATAATTGTGCCATCGTAGGGACCGCTACAATCAAGCTTCGAAAAACGAAAGACCTCCGTAAAAACTTACTATTCTTCTCCCTCAAGATCTATATATTTGTAGGCAAATAACTTTTCAGTTGTTTCTTCTTCAGAAAACGGCATTTATCGTTTGTTTGGCAGAAAATGAATGCCGTTTAGAAGCTTTGATAAACAACGGTAATGTATCGGAGAGTACGGCAAACAAGTACGCAAGCACTGATGTGTATTGTCAACCGTATCTCAGAAGCAGTCTAAAATCAAAATAAAAATTTGAATTTGCAAATTCTCAATCGAAACACCGTTTGCTTAGGTAAATAATGTAAAGTTCTTACACCTTATGCGTGTCATCGCAGAAGCTTATCTCAATCCCTCTTTTGTCACCACCAAACACTCATCGGAAAGTTGTCCGAAAGACGCGACCGGGAGTTTGCAACTCATCCCGCCGTCGAGCTGATCTACCGCGTCGCCGCCGACACGACGACCGAGGATTCAACGCCTGAGCGCTAAGGGATCCGGCAGCGAATTGTGAGCACTAAAAAGGCGAATTGTCACCCAATTTGCTTTTCTCCCACCCCGTTCTTCTTGTCCCCTTTTGTTAATTGTCCGATTGGACGCGCAATAAAGCAGTGAGTAACCCCTAAACCTTCACTTTAACACGTGTCCTCTCGGATTGTATTCTGGTTTTATTAAAAACGACAATTCCATGAATTCTAAATATCGTAAACCAATCTGACTACTAGAAATAGTAAGTCGTACTCGTTTCTGATTCTCTGTCAATTTGGAAAGTTCCACGGATTCATTGACAATTTTCAGATGTCCGTGGCCTGCGCAGTACGTCTCCGACCTGCCGAGGAGGGCCCGAATGACTGGGTCGTCACGAGCTCTTCCACAATTGCGTCTGATGGAAGGGAACACAGATTCGGTTTGTTTACAGTTCGAAAAGTCAAGTAAAAAAATAATAAATTACAGATTTTGCATTCTCCCGTGAAACCAATGGCCAAGTCTTCAATATCTCGTGTCGAGAAATAGTTGAACGAGTTATCGAAGGATTCAACGGGACGATAGCTGCGTATGGACAGTCTGGATCCGGAAAAACGCACTCGCTCCTCGGAAGCAACGGCGAACAAGGGATTCTCCAGCTGGCCGTGAAACACCTCCTCAACCTGATCACTGAGGTCTCTTTGGTGTCCTAAAACGAAAATCTATTTTGCTGTTCAGAGAACGGCTGTCCAATACATGGTGAAGCTGTGCGCGTACGAAGTGTACAATGAGGTTCTCAACGATCTTCTGGACGACTCAGGAAACGGAAAGTGCAGATTGCTCAACGGAAAAGTAGTGGGCGGAACAGAAGAAATCGTCGAATCGTTCGAACATTTCAGAAAGATTTGTCAGCGAGCACAGGGTGAGAGAAAATGATTGTGATCTCGTTTCTATCAATTCTGCAGATCGTCGCAAAGTGGGCGAAACAGCATTGAATCAGAAGTCATCGCGGTCACATGCCATATTCCAATTGGTCGTCGAATCGTGCGAACTGAACACAGTCACCGGGAAGCAAGTCACGATCGTTTCTAAGCTGGTCGTGCTGGATCTGGCCGGAAGTGAGAATGCGCAGACGATGACCAATATGGTGCAGACGGCCGAATCCAAGAACATCAATCTCTCGCTGCTCGCGCTGAGCCGAGTCATTTCCGAGCTATCGGAGGATGCGAAGAACAAGTTCATCCCGTACAGAGACTCGATGCTCACACGCATTCTCAAGCCGGTGCTCGGCGGAAACTCGCAATTCCTCCTCATCTGTTGCATTCGGAAAGCGGCAAGCTCGGAAACGTCTAGCACAATCTCTGCGAGTTTCTGAGGGTCTCGAAAGTCTATTCACGTCTATTTCAGTTCGGACAAAAAGCCAAGAAGATGCCAAACCACGTGGCGAAGAACGTGGAGACTGGAGATGCGGCACTTCCGGCACTTCTGGCCCAGATGAACGAGCTCAGGAGACAGCTGGAGGAACAGAAGAAGGAGACGCAGGAGCAGGACAAAAAGCGTCTGGAGGATCTTCTCAAAAAAGTTCTCAACTCGAAGCCTGAGTTCGATCCTCCGAAAATGGAAAAGAAGAGACGCCACTCGTTTGCGTTCGGAGCGAACAGCTTCTCGTCGGAAACGAACCGACGTGGTCGTCAGTCGGCGGAGCCGGACTGGAATCAGTTGATGCGTGTCGAAGAAGAAGAGCTGCTCCTCGACAGTGGAAGGTCCAGCAGAATGAGTGTGGACGAACGGTAAACAGGTTTTGCAGATATACAGAGTACAAACTCTTTTCTACAGGCAGCCGACCCCAGAAATGGACATTCTGGAAGAGAATCGCGACAATGAAATCATCCACATTCCGAAGTGCACTTACGACTGGCTGATGGCCGAGTGGGAGGGCGCGAAGACGCTTATTGTGAGATTGACTGCCGATTTGGAAGAGCGAGAAAGCGAAGACGCCATGTGGCAAGAGAAATTCGTGACGCTCCAACAAAAGTGCGAGGATCTTGAGAAGCAGTTGATCAGTCAGCAGACAATGGGAGAGGCGGCTATTTTGCAGAGAAAAGAGGAGAGCGACAAAATGATGGCGGAGCTGAAAACTGAAGCTGACAAATATGTATGGAAGTACGAAGACTTGAAGAAGCGAGGACTCGAGATTCTCCAGGAGAAGAGTGCGGCAATGGAGAAGTTGCAGACAGAGCTGAAGGCGAAAGAAGAGGAAATCAATGCCCTGAAGGAGGAGTTAAGTCAAAAAGTCGCGACTCTGAACCAAAATGTTGAAGAAGAGAGAAAGAAACGGAAGAAGATCGGGGACGAAATGGAACGAGCACGTCGACTGGTGGAAAAGTGTTTGGAAGAGGAAAGACAGTTGAGAATGAAGGCGACGAGCGAGCAGCTGATGGAGCAAACTGAGAAGAAGGCACTTCAGGAGAAGCTGGACGAACTGGTGAGTGGGAGTCATCGTCATGGTGTTCGACTGTTTCCGCTTTCAGAAGTAGAAGACTTGGGAGGACGGGAATTAGAATCGAACTAGTTGTCTTACCATAATAAATGACTTCAATTCTCTCACCTCTTCAGTTGTTACAGACATCTGCTGCCAGAGGAGTATCGAGTACGATGCCCCAGCACTGCGCGAACCCGATCCACACCGAACTGCTGCACAAAGTTGACGTTCTGGTTCGTCAGCGGCAGCTTCTCGTTGACAGAGTATGCATTTCTATTACTCGTTCCTCATCCCATTTATTCTTTTTCAGCTTAACGAAAGGGACACAGATGTGGCCGGTAAATGCTAGAATTCGGCTATCCATTATGAATTTCCTAACTAGTGCATTTCTGTACCATATAATAAATTTGCATGTCAAATAAATAAATGTGACTAGATTCGTTCTCGTATACGTTTACTAGTTCATTTCTTTTTGGAGAGACGGGAGCAAAATAAGAAGGAATGCGGATAAACTTTCGAGAATTGCTCGCTGGACGGACTGGAAAAGACGGAGGAGAATACGGACAAGAAAGTACATACAAATGCTAGCAAAGTATCACAGGAAACAGAATTAGTAGTTGGAAATAAGATGGAATTGTAGGTGAGAAAGTGGTTTTGAGAGTGAAGTTTTTACAGATAATTTCATGATTCTTTGGCTAGCTACTCGATTGGCTGCTGGACTTCCTCGCGGTAGAACGTCGGCTGAAACGAGAAGTGAAATGACATCGAAACGAACTCATTTTCACTCACCCGGCTTTCATTGGATCTTCCGCTCTGATTCGCCTCCTCGTCGCTGTCAGAAGAGGAATCGTCGTGGTGCAGACGGTTTCCGGTGGTGGGCTCCGATGAGGACCCGTTTCCAGACGTGCTCAGACTGTCGAAACACTGGAAAATGCGCCAGTTCGTTTGTGAATTCATCAACTATTATTCTCACATGATCACAGACGCGCACGGGTTTTTTGTTGACGTTATCGATTCGGAACGTCTTTGAAGAGCACGATCCGCAGACGACGCGGCCGCAGTTTCGGCAGTGATGACGTCGTTGGACGAGGTTGAACTGCGTCTTGCCGCACATCATGCACTTGACCGCTTCTCCGTCCGGCACCCAGACGGCCGCGTGAGCTGTCGCTGCCCTCTTGTTTCCTGGAAACACAAATTTGGAGCCGTTGAGTGAAGAACGCGAACCTCGTTCGAGCAAATCGGAAACGCATCTCTCTATATGCAGCATCCACTCCCTTTTCTCGGTTTCCGTGGCCGCGTACACGGCGAACGACTTTGCCGGCGTTTTGATGATCCATCCGTGTTTGAGTGCGCCGTCGTCCTCCAAATCTTCGACTTGCACGCCTTCCAACCGCAGAATGCGCTGCTTGTTGTATCGCTTTTTCGATATCACAATGTTTCCGTAGACGAGAATGTCGTTAAAGAGGAAGAATTGTCGCTGCTTCGGCTTCTTGCGGCACATCTTCACGAGCACGCCTTCTCCCACGAGGACCCGTCCGAACTGGGCCAGCGATTCGCCCATTTTGCCGAAACACTGCTCTACGTTGGCCATTCGACGTGCGTTCACTTCGCTGTTCACTGAAAAAAGAGCATAACGAGGAAAACTGTAACTGAAATTTTATTACTCACCGAGTCGATCGACCATTTTCTGTCCGGGTGGGAAAAGTGTCGTTTGGCTGGAAGTTCGCTGGTATTTCGATGAGAAGAAACGAAAAAAGACAGGGGAGAAGAGACGAGAGAAAGAGTGGAGGACACAAATGAAATGATGAGTCATCAGTTACAAAATGGTGCAAACAAAGAGCAGACGGGCGGACCGACGGAAAAGAAGTGAATGGGCGGAGAACGGACGGACGGCGCCCGACGAATCATTGTGATGATTTGTGTGCGGGGGAGCCGCGGAGCAGCACTGACTCGGCAAAGAGATAGATAGTGCAATTAAAACTGAAAGTTATTCTGGACAAATTGTACTGAAAAATTCTGGAAATTGTGGGAGAAATAGTGAGGAGATATATTTGGGAAAGACCGCGGGAATGTTGTTTGCCGGGCGGACGGACGGGAGTGGTGAGACGCAGAGGGCGAAAGAGGAAAATGAATGATGACCAAATAGAGTGGATATTTGGAACCATTGGAAAGGAAAACAGTGTAGGCGATAAAGACAAACTGTTTATAGAAACAACAAGGCAATACACTCAAAAACCAAAAATTGTAACAAGTGTATTATAGGGGCACCGCACAGAAATGGCGCTCTGTTGAGAAACTCTTTTTGCAGTGCAAATTGAGCGACCTCGGGGCCGAGTTTGAAAAGTTAGGCCACGTTTTCAGTGGAAAATTACTTCGCGGCCTAGAAATTCTGCCAGATTGCGAACAGCGCGCCCTTTCTGTCCGGTGCCCCTATAATAACAAGTGTAACGGGAGGTCACGTTTTAGTTTAGCGATGATCATGTTCCTTCTTGGTTTACTTCTTCTTTTTTTTCTTTTTCTTTTTCGGTGAATCGGTTGACTCATCAGAGTGCTGTTTGGTAACAGGTGGAACAGATTGAACCAGAGAAAGGTCCGGATCTCCCTTCTCGTCACGAATGCGCTTCAAAGAATCCATCATCTTCCGGAAGCCTCCTCTGTTTACAGTCTCCTCGTTCCTAGCTTCAAACGGTTGAATCCCAACTGCAAATGCTTCGAGCGGAACCACCGGAATGACTGGTTTGCTGAAGACGGGAGTTCCGATTGTCCGAATCATTGACTCTCCCATCTCAACAGTCTTCTTGGCGGTCGAAGGAACAACAGAGAGTGTTTCCGTCGAAATACCATTTCCCAGAAGCAGAACGTCTCCCTCTTCTCCCGGAGTGCAGAATTTGTCCGTCGGTCCTTCGTACTCGACTATCATTATGTCGTCGTCATCTTCATCGAATCTCTTGTACTTTGGTGCTAGAACAATCCAAATTATCGATTGACATACTTCTCTCCAGAAACTCACTTTTTTTGTTGGCCATATTCAGTTGTCCTCTTTGATTTGCTTTCTTTATCCGTTCGTTCTCTTGCTTTTCTCTCCGTTGCATTTTTACGAGTTCGTCTGTGTACGCTTCGAAGAGTGCGGCTTTCTGGGGCACTTTGAATACTTCTAACTGAAATATCCTTTTTTGGCAGATCTGATTTTTGAAATTGCTTACGTCATTCAGTTTTGCGTTGTCATTGTTGAAACCATCGAACCAGAACACTTTCGATTCGTCCAACGACAATGGCTCATCTTTTTGATCTGAAGTGTCAGATGTATACATTTTGATCAGGTCTCCTCCTTTTATTGATCTGGAATTTTGAAAAAATGTTTTTTTTATGATTTCCCGGTATACAAACCTTTTCAGCCAACCCGGTGGATATCCCTTCACAAATCCGAGTCGTCGCATGCGATAAACCCACGGCGGAATATCGTTCTTCTTCAATCCTAAGGCTTTTCTCAGTCTATCACTTATTTCTCCGGGTTTGAATGTCTTCTTCTGCCTGTACGTCGAAATTCCATTATTATTGAGCTGATGTCTTTGACGTCTGCAATTCAATTATTTAATAATTATCCGTTATTCAGTTTGTTTCTGCTCGTACTGTTTTTCATCGTTGGCCCTCTTTCCTCTCAGAATTCTCATGTGATCCTTCGGAAACGGACAATCGCCGACACTGTGCTCGCCATCGCAATTGAAACATCGCTGTAACGTTTTAATTTGAATTTTTGAAATGCCAATGATGAATGCACCTTTCTGAAACGATTGTTTCTCCCTTTCTTCTCGGGCTCTGGTAGTGGCTCGGCTCCCAGGAAAGAGCTTTCCAAACGCTTTCTCCACTCACTTGTGCTTCTGAACGTACAGAACGTATCGATTTTCAAGTTTATAGGCATTTTCTTACACTGTTTGTTCGCTTCTTTCAACATCATTCACATTCAAATTCCTTTGAAGGGTTACAGTGCGATCTATGACGTATTCCTAAAAAAGTCAACATTTCGTAGTTGTTGACAGTGGCGACTCACCTCAAATTCCGTCTCTGTCCCTTTCATCGTTTGACTTTTTTCAATTAAACCGGACAACTGCCTTTTTCTGTGAAGAATCAAGGATATATTCGATTTAAGCGGTGAAAAAATACTTTTTGCTCTTGAAACTGGCATCTTTTCCGTCATTGCTCTTTCTGTTTCTGTTTTTTGGCTCAATCACTTCCAATATTTCAATGTCTGACATATTCTGAAATACTCTTGATAAGAAACTTCGAAAACAGTTACTAAGAAACAGAAACTTTGGAAATTCGAACACTTTATCACGAGTTTGATAATTAATCCAGCAAGGTACGGTGCGCATTTGTCTGCAGTCAGAGTGTACGCAAACGCACTCGGTGTCTTCTCACCGTAGCACCTTTGTTTACCGGCGCCAATCCCAAAAAGAAAACCTCGAATTTCAACGCGTTCTGGCGGTATTTCTCGTCGCGACCGCTGAAACGCATTCTTCCTTTCATTCCTTTGACTTGTCGATCTCTTTCTTACCACTTCCACTCTTAATGCTATTGAGCGACATTATGCCTATTTATTTGAGCCAAAATGACAAATTTTGCACCCAAATCAGTCTTTAAGAGAATTAGCTAATGGGGCTATTCAGCGCATGTTTTTTTCGTTTTTTTGTTTTTTACATCGCTGAATTGGATTTTTTGACGTAAAAAAACGAAAAAAAAAGAAATTGTTTTCACTGCCCGAATAACCCCATAACTCGACGACAATTCTGCGAATAGCTAATCTGCTTTTTTAGTCAAGTGTGAACTGCTCAAACTTCAAAGCGCATCAGGTCCTTATGTAGTAACATTAAGGGGTCTTCCCAGAAAAGCAGAAACACGCGACGCAGAGAAGTCACACATGCATGCAAAGACCGCTAGCGCTGTCATACGACAGTGAAAGCGGTGAAAATTGCAGCTAGCGGTTATATTGCGCAACAGAGTGGTAGGCGCGCTGAGTGCGGAATCGATTGAATAGTGTATTTCATAACCCCGCGCTTTCTGCTTCGTTTTATTGAAAAACGAGCACACAAGCGAACTATTTAAGAAAAGGCAACGCCTTACTCTCGTTACGCGTCATTTCCGTCGCACAGTATTTATCGCTGACTTAATCAAGTCTGATATGACTACTCGTCTTTTCAGTGCAAACTTCATTCCGACTCGAAAATGTGCAAGGTTCTGCTCGCTATCCTCGCATTCTTCCTGCCGGTAAGAATCTGACATCTATGCTCAAAACCAAATGCTTCCAGCCAATTGCGGTGCTTCTGGATCAGGGATGCACGTGCGACCTGTGCATAAACATTCTTCTCACGTGCCTCGGCCTCATCCCAGGAATCATACACGCTTGGTACCTCATCCTCTGCAAGGAGAAGACCGTAGTCACCAACGTCTACGTCCAAGCCGTAAGTTCGAGAATAAGGGGAAGGAAAAACGATGACGATGCTTTCAGAACCAGAATAGATACCCATAGAAACACATGGTAACTTGTTCATAATGTCCGTTTCACCATCTTTGGGGTCGAAGGGAGTAGAATGAAATAGAACTTCTTCCGGTTGTTTCGGACACGCATGAGTCCACAGAGTTTTCCTTCCGTTCCCTTTGTCCAGCCACCCAGAATCGTCCGAATCGAGAATCAACCATAACAGTTTCAGGGCAATCACGGAACCGCTCCGCCCGCCTACCAGGCCTAATAAACAACTCCTCGACAACCAGCTCTCCGTTTTATCACTTGCAATGTCTTTTTAATTTGTCACCTGTAATTCTGTTTCGTTTTCTGCTGTACCCCCCATTTGCAATTTGACACAGCCACTGGTTTCCCTTAAAGATTTACTCCTTGCCGAAGGTTTTCGATCACTTCTAGTTTTCACATTCCTCCCGGCGTTCACCCAGCAATAAAGCATTCCTCGAGGAACCATTCCATTCTATTCTCTATTTCGCCCGGCCTACTCATCCGATCGATCTATTTTTCCTTGTTTGTTCCACCTATCTTTCTTTTTTGTCTCGTTCTGCTGTTTTTCTTTGGTCGTCGCGCCACCGAGGCTAAATCTATCGAAAACAAGAGCGAGGGGGAAGGGGACGCCCTCCGAGTGTGCTCATCTGCGTCTCTGACAGTCGCGTGCTTCTTCTAACCTCGCTGTCACGTGTGGCGTCAGCGCAATTGTATAAATACAAGTATAGAGCGATCAGTACCGCTCTGCACCTCAGATTTATCCGATTTTCGCATTCATTTTTTATGAGATGCAGGTTCAGGTAATTCCGTATCAAATCGAGCGTTTTTCGCAACCGGTAACTGCAGAAGCTTTTTACCTTCTGATTTCTCATTTTCACTACCAGGCAATGCACAGGGTGAAGCGAAAGTTGTGCCGAATAACCTTACTTTTTTTCTTTCTCTTGAAAGCCTCTCGATTGTTTGCGTATTAAAAAAAGGAAAATAAAGTAGGAAGTCTTGATGCAAGTGCGCTCTACTGCTTCCCGTGCCATGGCGATTCAAATGAGTCCGCTCATATGATGCACTGAGTTCGACGCTACGCCCTTCTGATTAAAGAATTAAAGAACTGGCTACTCGGTTCGAAATGACGAATTGTATTGTTGTCGAGCGAGCGAACCTGGTTTCTGTCTTGCAATTGTGACCTTACTTTTTTCAAATGCCCTTCTATCTACTGACTTGTGAGAACGTTCCGATTTGTACGAATCATGTCGAAATCGAATGTTTACGATTGGCAGCGCAATGCCAAGGCCGATAGCATGGCCAACGACCGATCGATTTCGTGCGATAAGCTTTGAAAACATCAATCTCCCCCGACACGTGATCAGAATGTTCTCAAATGCACTCCCGCCACCTACAAATTCAGCTGATCTCCCTCTTTCCCGATCTGCGCTCACAGCGCCGCGGGATGGTTTTTGGTTCGTCGTTCGAATGGGCGGCCTTCACAGCGTCCTGTGATGCCATTCTTTTGCTTTCTAATATTCAAACGACTCTTTCTTCTTCTCCCGCCTTTGCCTGGCTGACCGATGCCACTCGTCTGCCAATCATCACCCATTTTCCAATTGATAACATTGCTGTTTTGGACGTTTTCGCTTCGCTCGAGGCCACTCACTCCTCTCTCTACTTGTCGCCCTTCCACTCACTTTTCATTTTCCAGCCTATCAACAACAAGATGTCGTCGAACGCTGAGGCCCTGGCTGCCGCTTTCGAGCAGGACGGAGGACCGGTGAGTGGATCGGTGATGTACGGTCAGTCTGATGTCGTTCATTTCAGGATTTCGCCACTGGAACTGGCAAGCGCACCAAGTCGGACAGAGCCGAGCACAAGCACGCTTCGCAGCCGGGAGGAGACACTCGCAAGGTGGTGCAGACGGCCGTCAACGGAGAGACGAAGAGAAAGGAGAAGTGGTGAGCTAGTGACTGTATTTGCGCACCAGCACAACCATCGCCTTCTTTCCAGATTCGCTCTCCTCGTACATATCGACTATCTCAGACCGACTGCCCACACCGATCCGTTCCAACTCGCAACTCCATCCACTTTTTTTCGCTTTTTGTGTAATTCGAATTGAGACCCATGTAAAATGCTTAGCAAACTATCTTACTAAGTTGTAAAAATCCACCGGCTTTAGCCCTTCACTTCTCGAGTAATCTTCGTTTTCTCCGAATAAATTTTGTAACAACTGTTTCCGTTTTTCACCTTCCATCAGCGTTTTTCTCCGCCGCACTCAGTACTCTAACTGCACGATTAAATCGATAATACTCTGCGGGCAAACCGTTGCCGACCGCATTCATTCGTCCGAATTCATCGATCGATTCCAGAATGTCGCGACCGCTCGGCTACATGGGATACGAGTTTCAGAACGAGGAAATGTTCGTGCAGCAGATGCTCGAGCAGAAGCGCAACAATTTGGAACAGGAAAAAATGCTCGGTGAGTAGAATCTTGTCGCTTCCGTTTATTTGCAATGTTCGACTTGCAGAACAACAGAAAAAGATGCTTGAGTGCAAGGAAACGCTGCCGGAGGACGAAGAGCCGGTACCCATGAAGTGTCTCGACTTTGAAGAGGCCTTCAGAAGCGGCGACGGCTACGAGTCGCCGTACAAAACTATTCCGTTTCTCAAAGACGACGTGCTTACAGTCAACAGTGAGCGATCGTCCATCGAGCAGAGCAAAATGACAATTTTTCAGCAATGAGCCACTGCTCGCCCGACGACATCGCCAAGCTAATCCGGAGTATTCAGAACTCGGTCTACACGCTCGGAATGGAAGAAGCTCGTCAGTGCCGACGTGGAAAGCTGCTCAACGTGCTCAAAACGACAGAGACCGCGCCACGTCTTCTGCAGCCGACGCCGCCGAAAATTGTGCCGCCGCCATCGAAGAGAACGGAAAAGAAACAGACAACGGATAATCACTAAGCAGATCTCGTCGCCTATTGCATGAGTTAAAATTAATACAATGGAATGAATTCTATTCGAAAAATTGGAAATGGTTTATGGTATGGAAATGGGAAAATGAGTACTTTTCACATGAAGTGATTTGAATTTTAATAAAGAAAACATGGAATTATTGATAAGTCATTGATCACATTGAGAAGAAACGGGAAAGAAGAGCATTCTGGCAAAGTTCCGGGCAATTGGTGAGCAAGAATCCGACAAGTCACAAGTTGTTGGCAATCCACTCCAGCGCTTCGGGCAGTCCTTCTCCTTTCGTGGCGCAGCACCCATTGATCTGCCACCTGCAATCAACGTATTCTCGTGACAGAACCATTTGCCAACTCACTTCCGACCGCGCAACTGCTGGAGACCCAGTTGAGTGGAAACTTCTCCGGGATTTAGCGCTCCCGGAAGATCTTGTTTGTTGGCGAGCACCAGAATGTGCGACCGGGCGAGATCCTGAAACGAATGCGCGGAGATTAGGGAAGTGCGAAAGGAGTGGAACCTCGTGCTGAAGCATCTGATGCAGTTGCTCTTTCATAATCGGCAGACGTGTCGAGTCGGAGCTATCAATCACTGAAAACGGATTGAAAGTTCTTCCGACTGTTTCCTGATCGTACCGACGATCACAACGTCCGTCTGCACGTAGTACGTGGCCCACGACTTGCGGAGACTCTCCTGACCGCCAATGTCCCAGATGACGAAGTCGAGATTCCGGAACGAGACCTCTTCGACATTACTCCCGATCGTCGGCTTCGTCTCCACTTGATCCTTTGTCACACTGAAAACAGAAAGGCCGATCCGAACGGGCATTCCAAACTCACTAATTATACAGAATTGTCGTTTTGCCCGCATTATCCAGTCCGACCACTATGATTTTGTACTCTGAAAACTCGCCATTTCTCCGTCTCTCTCCTCTCAATCGACCTACTTTTGCCGGCCCACCAACTCCGAAACAATTTTGCCATTATGAGACCCATCTTCTGCAAAAAGCTCATTCACAATGGTTTCTTACAATCTCAAGTACCTAGAGGTATCTACCAATGTGGTTCGACAACACTTTTTCAGTTTTCAAAATTTATTATTTTTTTGGGGCGGTTTTTGTCGGGTTTGAATAGTCATACAATTTCAACACAGAACACGGACGTCCTGGTGATCACAACACATGAAAAAGAGTATAGAAAATAGTAATACAAATAGGAAGGCATAGGAAGAGATAACGGGGTAATTGTAGTAAAACAACCTGCGACAAACAGCTCAAAACCTAAATGGGATGGAGTATTGAAAACGTGGATACTTGACTAAATACATCAAAAAAGAAAAGAAAAAAAAAGAGGATTTGTGAAGAAAAGTGAACGAGGGGACAGATGGAAATCGACTACCGAGAGGAAGAAACAGGAGAGAAAAAGAGGAAGAGAAACAATCCAACACATATCGGGAATTCTATCGAAGGGACAAACTTACCGTACGATCTATTGGTCTCGGGAAAGAAACAGAAAATGGTTAGGTTGGGAGAAGCAAAGATTCAAATTATGCAAGGAGAACGGGGACATCATGAGACAAGAAGATATGGAACAAGAATAAAAACTGGCGGAGATTAGCGTGGGAGCAGATGACGTGGCATCATGACTTGCGAACTGCATAGCTCCCGGAACGACTTGTCCAAGCATCTGAATGAGGGTTTCACGTCAAAAGACTCTGGAATCGTCTCCTCACTTTTTCAGTGTCGCGTAGTCGATGATGATCTGCGTGTCACCGCCTCGCGCGACCATCTCTATCTTCTCCAACGATCCGGCATCCAGTTTGTTTAGACACTGCACAATGTGAGCCATGTCGAGCCACGGCTTCCCTTGCTCCGTGACCTGATGGAAGATGTAATCGCGGAACAGTTTCAGCATGAATCGATCGCCCGTCTCGGACCATCCCTCGTCGATTCCATGTCTAAAGGGTGTAAGATTGAGCTAAAGGCAGAAAAAAAAAGAATTTCAATTCATCTTACTCGACGCGCTCCAGAACTGTATTAATCTTGGCCAGAAGTCGGAAGAGCCGACCATTCTCGAGCTCTCTGCTCAGTTCTGCCTCTATTGTATCGTTGCGTGCTTGCATTGTTTCGATGACGTTGAAGAAGCGATGACCGATCATTGGCAGCACTTCCGTGATCGTTCGTGGCCGCATTTCGTTGTTGGCGCTGTGGAGGTGACTAAAAAATTCACGTTTTGATAGATTTCCAGTTTGAAACTGACAGAATCAAATTCTTGAAATCAGCCGAATAGGATTCGCCAATCTGTTTCATTGTTCCGTGATACAGATCCTTCCGATACCCATTCGGTTTTCCAGACGCCAGCGCCATCAACAAATTACCGAACTGAATGAGATCATCGGCCTGCTGATGTTGAATGCTCTGCGGATCCGGGTTGATGACGCTCTGGATACCACAAAACGAGAGCATGATCTTGCTTCCATACGTGATGATCTTGTTGAGCTCAATTGTCCGACAGGCGAGACCACTCGAATGGATAGCCCGTAAACCAGCCACAATCTGCACAACATAACTCCAAATCACATTTTCCGGTGCTCCAGTTCCGGTAATCGGCATCGGCACTCCCATAGGAGAAGTCAGACGGAATTGGCTGTTCGGATCGTAGAAGTTTGCGGATTTACTCTCGAAATGTCTCGCCATCAGCGTTTCAGCAAGTGGATAGTAGTCATACACGAAGATCAGTGCTGAAAACACAATAAAAAACTGGCAAAAATGAATTTACTAACAGGAATCATCGAATGCTCGACAGTTGAGTAGAATTTCTCGACAAGGCACAACGTTTCCGTGAGCCACCTTCTTCCACTGCTCAATTGGAGTCAACTGCTTGCCAGGATGCAAAATTCGGAATCCTAGAAAATACTTTTCGTATGCTCATCTCCTCATCGTTGCTACGAACCGTGAATTCTCCGAAGACAATAATAACTGCCATCCCGGCACGAGAATGCTTTGTACGTGGTTTGCGACTGATTCTGGAGGCCAATGTTCTCCAAGGGCACGAGGTTCGAGTAGTGCTCAACTGCCGGCGGAATGCCCGGATACATCTTCGGGTCGAGTTTGGTATCAATCGCCAGCTGTCGATTTATGAGCTCCTGACGCATTTCCGGACTGATGAACTGTGTTTGCAGATTATTATTGGATTTCCCCCGAAACCGCGACAAATGAACAAGTGGAAGTGGAGCAGTGTAGACGGCAGAAGTAGGCATATTCTACAAGAGGTCAGAGTGGTGAGGAGAGAGAAAGAGAGAGCGATGTTACCACAGGTATCGCGTCGTCCGGAATATCAATGTGTTCCGCGTCATAGTGCTCTTGATCTGCCTGTCCCGACTGGCCTTCACCGGAGAAAAAATACATGGTTCCTCCGACGTTTTCCTGCTGGTACCGTGCTTGAGCATCGTTGAAATGCTGTGGATGGTCGTACTGCGGCGGCTCGAACTGTTGCTGGGCGAACGGATGTGGTGGTGGCTGATGCACGTGCTGGATGTGATCTAATTGCATTTGCATCGGATGCATGGACATCGGATGATGATGAGGATGCATCGGAGGTGGCGGCTGACTCATCTGCTGCTGCATCTGTTGGTACGGCGGGTGTGGTTGCAGCGAAGCGGCCTGATGCTGGTGGAACGGCACCGACTTTGGATTTTTCATTTCGTGAATGCTCAGTTGTTGAAACGGCTGAGGAGGTGCCGGAGGTGGTGCCGGAGACTGTTGCTGCTGACTTTTAGGTACGAACACTGGCGCCTACAGGTTTCAATTTTAGGAATTTTTTATAAAACCACGAGATCTTACGTTGATGTTGATAGGAGCGCCGCCGATAAAAGTAGGTGGTGGTGGCGGCGGTGGCGGTGCTGGAAATCCACCTAAAGATGGTAACCGCACCAATAAGAGCAGAAAACAAGGAGCTCAACAAAAACTGATGCTTTGCACTTCTGGGGAGCCTTTAACTCCGTCCCAGAAGCACGATGATACCTGCTCTATTTTTGTAGCCCATGTACATACTGAGCCGCGACCCAGCAGGAGGCTGCTGAGGCTGTTGCTGTTGAGCAGGCGGTGGTTGCTGCTGTCCTCCGTTCGAGTTTGAGGGGCCGACGTCGTATTGGTACCCTTCGCCCGGCTGCATCTTGCGGTTCTACAACAAAATCCAAATTTCACGGAAACAGCCTTAAAAGGGCGTTTTTCACAAACGAACATATGGCATATCGGCAAAATGAGCGGTCGGTGCCGCGATTGGCTTAGCGCCACGGGAAAGGCGGACGGGAACAGCGACAATAGGAGGGAAATGGCCCCGAAGAGCTTTTCAAATCATTCGAACGGTTAGATGTGTGCAAACACGGCGACGCGAAAGCGCACTCGGCGCCGAGACACGTGAACGATGGCGGCGGGCGCGACTTGAGAAGAATAACAGAGACCCTGCGAGACGCGTCGAAAGGACACAGCGGAGATGGCCGTAGGCGCCATTTTGATGGGTGATCCAGTTCGGTTTAGGACACCTCGTGATTAGTCGAAGAACTTGTGTTCGGAGATAATAATCTTGAAACTACTTTTACACTAGGAATTCTGTCTAAAAAGGAGTTTGAAGGTCGTGATCATTGGATTTGGGGTACTACATTTTGGAAATTAGGGAGGGACTGTGAAAAATATTTCACCCTCGTTGGTGCTATGACCGCCGAATAAAGAGAAAGAGGAGCTTGTTCGTCTTCCTCAAGTTTTGAGAATTGAGAACATTAGACCGAAAAACGTGCGCGAGTACGAATTTGCACTTTTGCGGAAACGAGCGGCGGGTGAAAGTGATACGAGGCAAAAGCGAAATCGATAACATACATTCGTTCCCTGACAACGAATCACATGCGTCCTGATAGCTATATAGTAGACCAAAAAAGCGACTGCGAATCTGCCTCCTTCGAGAATTGGGAAGTGCGCTTCCTTATTACGCCCGGTTTTTTGTGAATTTCAATAAAAAATTTGATGATGTCTGCAAAAGGTTTTGAAGAACGAATCTGTCATGAAAATTATTAATCCTTGAAATTCTTGCAGGCTGATAAAAAGCGCGCGAAATAAAAAATTAAAGGTGCCACCGTACTCCGTACTAAAGGCGCAAATTGTTTTGAAATTAGGTCTCGCCACGAAGATACGACTCATTCGGATCGTTGTCATTTTCCTCGTCTGTTTTGCAAAAATGTCGCCTAAAAGTTTGTTCACTTCAAGTTTAGGAGCTCGCTGTAATTAACTGACATTTCGGCGCTCAAATGTCTTTTTTTCCGTTACTTTCGCACTGTGCATCTCACTTTCCTTCAAAATTGTACGAAACTGATGAAATCAGCTCCCGAAAGGCGTTTTCATAGTTCATCTCACATATCGCCACTTATTGTTCACACTTAATTTACCATACTCGTTTTGACAAAAAATTGCCAGAAAACTACTGAGAAGCAAAGAAATTAAGAATTGAAAGTCAGTTTGTGTCACTATAGAGCTCTTACGAGTCCAAATTTACTAAATTGTCCTCTCAATGCGTAGAAAGCGACTCAATTGTGTGACGAACATCTGCGTGTGCCCTCTCAAACCCTTCCTCAATGCCAGCATGACGGGCAGCTGCATCGTGAAAATCTGCGCATGAGCCCGTCTCCACTGACCCCACCGGTTCCTGGCTTAATTACAACGTCGTCTGTTGTTGCGCGTCGCCCTATATGACCGCCCGTGCGTTGTCCTCTACGCACTCCGCATTGAATATTCTGCTCTCACTCGTACTAGTTGGTAGAGGGCGCTCTAGCGACGCTGCGAGTGAGTGCGCCCGTTGAAGAGACACAGACAGTCGCGCTCTCGCACATTCTTTAGCCACAGCGTTCGTCAGCGCCCGCCTAGTTTCACTATGCCGATTGTGGCTGCAATCACTTCTTTCCACTTTATATTCCTGGCCTATTTTCTGTGTTAACTCTCGAATTTTGACTTGATTCTTGTTTTCTGCGTGCACTTCCTTCGAAAATCAATATTATCTTGTCATTCACACACCCTTTTCTCCATTTTCGCCTTGTGTTTTGCAGGTAACCATGGTAAACCGAAAATGGATTTTCGTGTTCATTCAACTCTTGTTAATCGCCTCCGTTCGTGCTGATGACGAAGATTTTGGTGACGAAGCAGAAGATATCGCTATAGTTAGCGACCAGGAAAAGTTCGTTCCATCGTTGTTTGTGGCTCCAAAACTGAGCGAAAAGTCGACCCCTAACTTCTTCGATTACTTCCCAGTTGGAGCGAGAATCGGCCAAACTTGGATTAAGAGTCTGGCCAAGAAGGACGGCGTCGATTCTGACATTGCCAAGTACAACGGAGAATGGAGCATTGGGGCACCATCCAAAGTGGCGATTGAAGGAGATCTCGGACTTATTGTGAAGACAAAGGTGAGCACTGCACTTCTTATTTCAATGAATACGGCCTCTACGTTTTCTCAACAAAAGCGGAAATATCTTGTGCTTTCCACTTCTGCTAATGAGGTCCATATGACCTAGACCACACTTCACCCTTTTCACTTCAATCCACGAGTGAAGAGGATTTATCGTTGGCTGAATGAACGATAACTCACTTGCAAACAAAATTTTAACGCTTTATTTTATTTTGTGTGATTTCGTATTTCAGGCACGTCATCACGCAATCGCAGCCAAGCTTGATACTCCGTTCAAGTTCGACTCCGACAAGTTTGTCGTGCAATATGATGTCAAATTCCAAGAAGGACAAGAGTGTGGAGGCGGATACCTGAAACTGTTGAGCGAGGGCGCCGAGAAGGATCTGGCCAATTTCCAGGACAAGACCCCGTACACCATCATGTTCGGCCCGGACAAGTGTGGAGCCACCGGACAACTGCATCTCATCTTCCGCTACCGCAATCCAGTGAACGGAACTATCTCGGAGTACCACGCAAAGCAGCCGACGACTATTGGTACCACGTACTGGGATGATCACAATACTCACATGTACACTCTTGTTGTGAAATCAACCGGGGAGTACACTGTCAGCGCTGACGGAAAGAGTCTGTACTACGGAAACATGCTCTCGGTGAGTGGTGGAATCACCAATAGCTTTCACACTTTTCGTATTTCAGGACGTCTCGCCATCGCTGACTCCACCAAAGGAAATTCACGATGAAACCGATCTGAAGCCAGAGGACTGGGACGAGCGCGAACAAATTGACGATGAGACCGCTGTGAAACCAGAAGATTGGGACGAGAATGAGCCGCAGAGCATTGTGGACGAATCCGCCACGAAGCCGTCCGATTGGAATGAAGATGAGCACGAACTTATTCCAGACCCGGAGGCACAAAAACCAGCTGATTGGGATGAGGATATGGATGGAACGTGGGAAGCTCCACTCATCGACAACCCAGTTTGCAAAGGACTCAGCGGATGTGGTCAATGGAGCGCACCGACCATCAAGAATCCAAAGTACAGAGTAAGTAAATCGATGAAAAGTTTTCTCATGTTAACCGGGCCATTCTTCTTTTTTCTTCACGGCACCCTAACTTGGAAATAGGAAATTTATTCGCGCGTGATACCTTACCGTATTTTCCGTCCTGATTAGCTTTTCAAATCAACTGAAAAACGGTTTTTCCAGCCGTTCTAGGTCAAATCTTGTGAATTTGAAAATTGTTTAGATTTTCCAAGCTCTGACCGACTACGGGTGGAAAAATCGACTCCCCGTCGGTTTTGAAAGCTATTCAGAGATGAAAAAACGTGAGGGCGACACGTGCGACTAAAATTCCAATTTCCAACATAGGGTGCCGTGATATGAACTGAAAGTGCGGATACTTCTGGTTCATTGAAGAATGGCCTATATGATCTAGACCGACCACTTCACCCTTTTCGCTTCAATCCACGGGCGACGAGGATTTACCGTTGGTACAATTCCTAAAACATCAATACTCATCTATTGCTTCATTTTGATCAACAATTTGGTAATTGTAGGGAAAGTGGGTCCGTCCGAAGATTGCCAACCCGGCCTTCAAAGGAAAATGGGCTCCGAGACTCATCGACAATCCAAACTACTTCGAGCCGAAGCCATTCGCTGGCCTTGCTCCAATCACTGCTGTCGGAATAGAACTGTGGACGATGAGCGAGAACATTCTGTTCGGTTGGTCACCATTTCACTGAATTTAACTGAATCAATGTCTTTCTTTCAGATAACATTCTGATCACCTCTTCCGAAGAGGACGCATCGGACATTGCCAAGCAAACTTTCTTCATAAAACAGACGGAAGAGTACCGATTGGCTGCCGCTTCTGGAAGCGTTTCTGGATTCCTTCAGCAGATCATCGACGCGACGAACGAGAAACCGTGGCTATGGGCTGTCTACATTCTCTGTGTTCTCCTTCCGGTCATCGCCATCGGCGTTTTCTGTTTCGGAAAACAGTCAAAGGCGACTCCAAACTTTGCAAAGAAGACCGACGCATACTCCCAAGACGACGATCATGTCCCGAACTTGGTAGATGACGACGAGGAGGAGGTGATTGAGGAAGAGGAGGAATACGACCAGCCAGGAACATCAGGCACTCAGAATCAACCACTCATCGATGATAACGAGGAGGAAAAACAGCCAGGATCAGCTTCGTCCAAAAGCGAGGCTTCTGCTTCATCGAGTGCCGCGGAAGAGGAGGAAGAGCCGCATGTGGTGCACGAGAACGAGCCAGTTGTGCCAACTGAAGAGCTCGCCAGAAAGAGCCCAAAGAGCAACGCAGGCGGAGCTAAACGCCGTACCGCTCGCCGAGGAGATTAATCCGTAACAAATTGCCAAATCATAACAAATCCAAAGATTTTATTCCTCTTTTTTTCTGCCCCGTTCCATTTTTATACCGTAATGACATTCTTGAGCTCGTGCAGTTGTGAGTCATTGTGACCGGTTTTCCGATAAGTTTCCCCTTCCTAAGCAGCTGTGTAATGTCTGTTGAAAATCTCCACGAGGATCTTTCTTTTTTGCCACTTCCCAAAAAGCTCTGATATTTTCGCTCTTACAAAAGTAAATTATGTTTATTTCAAAACAGGTAAACAAAACATCAAAAACAAGATAGGAATGTAGGTAATTTTCTATTCAATTTTCGAGTTGTCGAGCTCTCGGAGCAACTGATCCCTCTCCTTATTCTCCTTTTTTCGTTGCTCCGCACTCGGCTTTGTCCACTTATTTCCCTCGCCCGTCTTCCGATTCCCCTTCCGATCCTTTTTCTTCTCCGATTTGCCAGGAGAATGTCGAGAACGATCAGCCGGCAGGAATGCGATTTCCTTGTCGGAAGAGCATTGCATACTGGAAAAGGTAGAACTTGAGAGAGCTTGAAAATGGGAACGGAACCTCATGCAACTGTATTCGCCAGGGAACGGATCACGCGAAATGACGATGAAAATGACGGGCACTTCGACAGTGACGCGGATGCTGAAACGGAAGATGTCAGTTGAAACCTAGGCCCCGCCCACTCACTCTCGCGGTCCCTCCTGTAAACATTTCCACAGAGCGATCCTTTTCGCATAAACGACACGTGTCCACTGGTACAATGAATCCTGAAACAGTCCTTTTATGTCGATTCCGTCGAAACGCTCACTTCGAACTGTTGTTTGAGCACTTCCACGCACGAAATCGCCTTTTCGGTGGCTCCGTTCGTCGACTTGAACACGACGAACCGATTCCGATCCGGATGTTCGGCGAAATACTCGCGGACGTGTCCGTTGATCTTTGCGAACTTGCTTGACTTGCTCACCAACATCACTTTCGCGTCGTCGGTGTTGTAGGGAGCGGGAAATGGATTCGACGGCTCTTCGACCGTCTCGTCTGACGGAACGTAGTTGTCCATTCTGATCTGGAAAGGGGAATAGTTTCGACAAAGTCTCAAAGTGCAAGTATAATATGGAGATACTTGAATTGGTATGAAAGGACCAGTCAAAAATAGAAAACGATGGAATAGGCGGTTCCAAAGATCGGATGGCTTTATTATGCGTTTCGATGAGTACTCGCAGTGAAAGTGAAAAGTGACACGAAGCCCGTAGTGAAATGATTCGGAGGAGTCAGTTTTATATTCATTTACATCAATAGGATCGGCAGCTGAGATCGTCAGAAAACGAAGAATGCGTCGATTTGCGGCCGTCGGTCTCGTCTCCGCCAATCTCCAGACTTCTGTAGAGAGCGTACCGCACGTGGTCCATTCGGCATTCTTAAGCGGAATTGACGTTTGAGGGCAACGAAATATGTGACTCACGATCTAGAAAGATGAGCAGATTCGCTTGGAACTGCTGGTACTGTTTGTCTGCTCCGACGGCGTCCCCACCAACGCACGCCCGCGATGCCTGCACGACGCTGGCCACCATCTGAATCAGAAGTTCAAGTATGCTTTCCCGTGAATTCGATCCCTCACCAATCTGATGACTCTTCCGGTCGTTCCCCTTCGCAACTTCAGCATCAACGCATTCGCCACCTCCTTCGAGAACCGTCTGTGAGCCTGATAACAGACGTTGAGCAGTTCGTGCGCACTTCTGTCTTCAGAAGATTTCTTGAAATTTACAGTCTTCTGAAAAACGTTACTTGTTTTGTTTTTAATATTGTTGCAATCTGCCCCTTACCATAAATGTTTCATAGGCATCTTCTATCAAACTGAGCATGTTCTTCCGAATCGCAAACACCGTCGTGTTCATGTGAAAGAATGCGTAGCGAAGACGTGGCTCGCGGGCTAATGTGTCCGAATTGTGCGTCTCAATGACTGCTTCAAGGGCGGTATGAAGCATGTTGAGCACTGAGAACACTTGCGAATAAATGTCCGTCACGCCAGGCGACACAAAGACGTTGAGAGGTTCTGGAGGTGTCACGGTCAGCTTCGAGTCCTCCATTGTACTTTTCATGTCGTATCCGATCGTCTTCAGAAAGTCCGCATCGAATCCTTGTCTGTGCATCTTTTCTCTTTCAAAAGGATCCAATTTCGATTGACTTCTGATGAGACTTTGAAGGTGGATGTATGCCGAAGTGAAGAACTGTTTGAGGAATTCGAAGAAGTGTACAGATTTCCTGAGCACGACTTGCGAGTACTTCTCTACAAGCGACGTCGTCGGAATCATCGTGAGCAGTTTCTCGATGCACGTGCTCAGCTCGTCTAGACTGTCGGTTAACGCATTCACGTCCAATTTGTTCACAATCTCATCGATGGTCTTCTGGAATTCAGGAGTCTTCGAGAAGAGTTCCAATTCTTCCGCGTCCTGAATATCCGATTTTGCGAATGTGCTCCCGTCCATCTTCTGGCTCTTGCTCTTTTTATCATTGACGAAAAACTGATATCCGATGATCAGGTCGACGACTCGGTTGGCCAGCTGCTCGTCGATGCACTGCGATGACTCCATTTGAAGCGGATTCAGGCGTTGCCAAATCGACGGATTATTTATGAGCTTAGCATCACCGGCATCAGTCAGCAGCTCCATGAGCTCGGCGTCTGGCGAAGTGAGCATTTCGGCCAGTTTGCTGGAAGGAAAGTCGTTTAGAATACTTGGATTACTGTTATTCACAAACTTGACGATAAAGCGCGTGAGTGCCACGTTGAGCCGTCGCCACATGAGTCGGGAATACATTTGAGGAGCGGATTGGGAACCGATGAATGACATTTCATTGAGACGGATCGGCTGAAAGGACAACTCGTTGTTTAGTATGACTGAAAAGTGTCACACACACTGTAGTTGTTAATGTTCCCAATAACTTCGTTCATTTCCCGAAGAACGTGGTAGTAAGCACTGACGATTTCGTACAGGTCATCACAGATTTCAAAGCGATTTGATGAAGGGTCTCGGACTTTTAGTTCAGGAAGAGCACTGAAATCAGGTTGAGAAATGTGATTATCAAAATGGATTACTTGATGATTGCCGTGAATCGGAACTGATACTCTTCTGAGTTCGTCCGGAGAAGCCACTCGAAATACTCAGCGAACAGTTGTTGCTCGTCGACCAAATACTTTTGCATCATCAGCCGAATCGAGTTTTCCGTTCCGGACACAAATCGCTTTTTCAGTTTCTGTACGACGTCTGATACTTGATTTGCTAGATAGACGTGCTTCTGAAGGATCATCCGCGTCATCGTCAGATTCCATTCCTCCACTCGACACGGTCTTGATTGATAGAAGTGACCGACGCCGTCGAGCTGCAGTAGATCAGAACTGATCCCTCGGTGCATGTCAAGAAGGTAACGGAAAAAAGCGGACGAGTGGAGATGAAAGAACTCGACGGGCTGGCCTTCTCTGGCACACAGACGCAGTTCCTCGCACTTCAGAATCGTTCGAAACTCTTGTGAAAGAAGTCCCCATTCATCGACCGGTCTGATGTTTAGGAGATTGTTCGCTATAAACGAAAACAGTTGGTAATAAAGAAAAGGACTCACGAGGCTCCGGTTTGTCCTTTTCAGCAATTTTCAGCTTTTTCAGAACAGGACTGATGTCCCACACGAGATGTGGCACATTGTTTTGCACGATCGGCTCGGAGTAGAGCCTGTGCTTGTACTGACCATCAATGCGAATCATCTGAAGTTCGATTATCATTTAATGGAAATCCAATAGAATCTCACCAGGTTTTGATTCAAAGTGAATTCCTTCAAACTTGCTGCGAAGCTCTCATTTGGTAATCGAAATGTACTCACAAGAACGAAATAATAAAGAGCGTCATCGTTTGCATTTAACTTCTCTGAAAGTTGAAAATCTCTTAATTTATCTGCATTTAATCTTACCCAGAACATCCGATACGACAGGTTCAAATGCCTCCAAATCCAGCTCAACCAGCCGTTTTTCCAAGTCGGTTCTCAGGTATTCAGCAGTAAACTGAAAACAAATAACGTAGTTTATATATATTCATAAACTTAAATAGATTTTTTGAAAACATACAGGATTTCCATTCGAGTCTCTGATTGGTTGGTTCTTGTTCACCAAATACAGACATTCCAGCTCTTCCAGGCGTCTATTTTGTTGTTCTTTGGCTTCCCCGTAGATCAGAAAGCTCAATGTGCTGAGCATTTCTGAAAATATAAAATGTTCAATTTTTCAAGCGATTTTTCAGAAAATAATTAAAAAATTTCAAAGAGAATAAATGGCGCTACAACGGAATAGATAGATTTATTAGATCTATTACGATTTGGAACTCGCAACGTTAAAATACAACTGCGAGTTTCAAATCGTAACAGTTCCATTCCGTGCGAGTTCTACTTCGCTGTAGCGCCGTAGCGCCCTGTGTGCGATGTCTGCGATGGAGCGCACTTGCATATTTGATTAGCTGCGCTGAGTGCGCTCTTTTTTGACAACTTTCAGACGTGGCACATTGATTTCATTGTTTTCTGAATGTTGCGTTGCGTTACGAGCATGTTTTCTGCTGTTTTATTTGCAAAATAGATAGAAATAATATCCCTTCAAAATCTTGTGTTTATAGATACTAAACCAAAGCAGAATTTCGCAACGAAACTTCCGGTTCAGATTTTCTCAATGTTTTCTCAGTTTTCTGATCGGATGTCGTCGCCATGCGGTCTCCGTTCATCGTGTAAATAATCATCGGGAGTGCGATCATCACTAGGCGTCCTTCTTTCCGCTTGCCTCACTCCACTCTACTTCCCACCCATAAATAACTGTCCGATGTCGCCCTCTTTACATTTTTCTGAAAATTTATGATTCTTCGGCGCGTCAGTCACGTTGACGCAATCTCACACGCGCACTAGCGCAAGTTCCCAAAAAAATGCGGCCCAGGTAGTTGTTTTATAGTCCTGATCTCATCGCCCGCCTCCTGCGCCTCCGACACTCGCCGGTATAAATGGATTCTGTAGTTTTCAGTTCAGACGCGTTTAGCCGTCGTCGTCCTCTTCGCGATCAACTTGTGGAATGATGGAATCGTTTTTCTTTTGTATTCTGTTCAGTCACGTGTTGATTCGAGCGCACGCGCATTGAGAGATCGCTCTTCTCCCCCTTCGTTATCTATCTTCTTATCATTCTTCGATCGTTTTCTTGATATTCGCACGAACGTCTTTTATTCTCAGATGCTTCTAAAACTCAAGTGCGCTGTGAACAACTACGCGTGGGGCTCCAAGGGAGATGCGAGCATGGCCGGAAGCCTGGCCCTCGACGGCGGTCATATTAGTGACCTGGACAAGGAGAAACCGTACGCCGAAGTGAGTGCGATGACTTCCGTTCTAAATATAGCGCCCTCAGTGATTTCTGACCTTATGTCGTGACTTTCGAAGATTGCGCGAATCACCTGACTAGGGCGACCTACATCACACCCAAAACACGTTATCTTTCATCATCTCTTGTCTGTTCCAGTTCTGGGTCGGGACTCATTCGAACGGACCGGCATACGTCATCGAGAAAGCCACTGCTCTCAAGCAACTGCTCGCCACGACATCTGGTCTCCAGGGGAAGCATGAAAACGGTATTGGACTTCCAAATCACATCAATCTATTGAAACTGTTTACAGGGAACCTCTCGTATCTGTTCAAAGTGCTCTCGGTCAGCGGTCCCCTCTCGATTCAGATCCATCCGACGAAAGCGCAGGGCAAGTTGCTCCACGCAAAGGATCCGAAGAATTACCCGGATGACAATCATAAACCGGAGATTGCCATCGCATTGACTGATTTCGAACTGCTCTCCGGGTTTCGGCAACATTCACAAATCAGCGATTATCTGAAGTGTGAGTGAAAACTGAAGTAGTATTGACGGAAATGTTTAGAAATGCACCCTTGCAGTGTACTCGGAAATTCAAGACCTCCTTTCCGAGGAGGAGAAAAGCGAAATTGACAACTTAGGGTCGTACGGAGATAGCTCTGCTCAGGCTCTCAAGAAGATATTCTCGAGAATTTGGCGCACGCCGAAAGAGCAACTTCAGGCTGCTGTTGATAAACTGGCGAGACGGATTCAAGGGCAAGGTATTGTATACAAACGAATTGGCCTGCATGACCAATTCCTATTTCCAGAGAACAAATCAGCTCTAGATGAAATCATCGTGTACTTGTTTAATCTGTACCCGGGAGACGTTGGAGTCTTCGCTCCGATCTTCTTGAATTACTTCAAACTGCAGCCGGGAGAGGCCACATTCCTGGAGCCGAATATGCCGCACGCCTATCTAAAGGGAGACTGCGTCGAGTGCATGGCCGACAGCGACAATACTATTCGTGCCGGTCTCACTCCGAAGTATATCGACGTGGAATCGCTTGTGGAAATGCTCAATTACAACGAGACATTGCTTCCGAAGTATGTGCCGAATGAGTTGGACGATGGAACACTTCTGTTCACTCCGAAAGGAATAGATGAATTCTGGGTGCAGGAAGTGAAAGGACCTGCTGGACGAATTTTCCAGCTCCCATATTCCGAATCCTGCTCCGTTCTCACCGTGCTCTATGGCTCTGCTATCATCTCGCTGGCGGAGAGCGAACAATCTCTAAGCCGAGGAGAAGTAGTTTTCATTGGAGCTGCTCATTCGACAGACCGCCCGAAAATCCACGTGTCCGACGACTTCCTCGCATTCCGCGCTTTCACGCCTTCTCCAAGAGCACTTGAAGGTCTTGCGAATAAGAATTTGATAATTGATTGAACGTTAGAGGCCTCTATAAAGGGACCAATATATCTTAAGCATGTATTTAACAAATCGCTTGCCATATGATTCTGTGAATTATTTTAAAACAAAGTGCTAGTCGCTACCGCTTCATTTTATCTAGGGATGCTCATAATAAACTTTCACCTTCTCTTTTTCCTCTTCTACCGGGCTTGACCGTTTTCCAAACGCCTCATTACTTCTCGTCAACAGAGCGCATTTACAATATCGATTGCGAAATTTTCCACCATATTGCATTCTTAGATATCTCGTATTAATTAATGCATTCTAGTGATTGAAAGCATACTTTTAACTTGTTCAGAAAGATTGAGATGGTGCCGAAACGTAGGAAAATACGAAAATTGCGAATGCCAAAATCGCGGAAAGTTTCTTGATAAACTAGATTTTCTAACCACCTTTTTTTCTATGCTATCAAGGCTGGAACAACCGTTCTTCGAACTGGAAATCAAAAAAGCATCCGTCCACTTGCCACTATTTTATCATCCGCCATTTTCTTAATTTCTGACATTTCGGCACCAGCTCGAAAAGTTCGGAAACGATGGCTAACTGTGACAACAATCCGTGGAAAAAGAATGCTTGGGGAAAGAGCGAGGTTCGTTTTTTGAAAGACATTTGTAGTCCTTCATAAAGAATGTTTTAGGAGAAAGCAGAAGAGCCCGTGGTCTGCTTCGCGGATGTGATGAGCGAGGAATTCATAGAAGGAATGAGTCTGCAGGAGAAGCTGGAAGAGGATAAATACTTGAAAGTATCCCAAATTCCAAAGAAAAAGGGAATTTAAATGAAATTACAGCAATTGGCTCAAATGTACGGCCCCACCTCGACCTCGGACGATCAGTTGCCGATCAACACGGAAGGGATGACAGACGAGGAGGTGGCACAGGCTCTCCAACGTCATTTCGACCGGGAGGCAGAGGTGGCTCGTGCTGTCGCTTCCTCCAGTTCGGTTCATATCGCCCCTGACCGATACCATCCTAAGACGATGCAAGAGACCGATTCGGAAGGAGAAGATGACGATGCGCTGCGACAGGCCGCCACCGATATGCTCTACGCGAAGCTTGATGCTGAGAACGCTATGGAATCGCGTCTCCGTCCGGAAGGGCAGGGAATCTCGCGCACTAAGCACGACATCGGGGTCAGCGGGCGTCGGAATGCCGATAAAACATTCAATGTAAGTACGGCCACTTCGCAACTGCTCATCCGTTTTCCAGGATCGTAACTCACTTCCAACTGGGGATATGGTTGGTGACAACATCAACAACAAAGTGTTCAATACACTGATGGCATTCGGAAAAAGCGAGTCGAAACGTCAGATGAGAAACAAGGACAAGGAGGAAAAGGCGACGATGGACACTTCGGTAGACAGCGACACCCGTCTCCTTCTGCTCAAATGGATCAACCAGGGCGTGTTCGATTCGGTTGATGGCATCATCGCCACCGGAAAAGAGTCGGCTGTGCTCCACGCCGCTCAGAACTCGGCCACCAGTTACGCCATCAAAGTGTACAAGACGACGTTGTCCGAGTTTAAGAATAGAAGCGAGTACGTGAAAGACGACTTTCGATTCAAAAACCCACGCGGAGTGCTCAAGATTTGGGCGGAGCGAGAGTTCATGAATCTGACGAGAATGGCGAAGAACGGTCTTCCGTGTCCGCAGCCAGTCAAAGTCCGCCGCAATGTGCTCGTGATGTCGTTCCTCGGACACGACGGACTCGCTGCGCCGAGACTCAAAAACGTCGAATGGGCATTTTTCACGGACGAGGAGCGCCGATCTGTGTACGATCAAGTGCAGACGGTGAGAGTTCTGATGATGAGATCAGAACATGACACTTCTGATTTCAGATTATGTGCCGTATGTACAAAGAGTGTCTTCTGGTGCACGCAGATCTCAGCGAGTTCAATCTTCTCCTGACGCCAGACAACAAAGTGCACGTGATTGACGTCTCGCAAGCGATGGATCTCTCCCATCCGCGCAGTCTCCAGTTCCTCACACGAGACATCCACAATGTCATCGCCTTCTTTTCGCGCATTGAAACTCCGAACCTCCCGACTAGCGTGCAACTTTTCAACCTGATCACCGAGTTGGAAATGTCCGAAGATAACGATCTTTTGGTGCAAGTGGAGCAGTTCTCCGAGGAGAATCGGTCAGTTGACCTGCGACACGACAAGTCTCGTCCGGCCGATATGGAATTAAAAAAGTATAACGAAGAGAAGAAGGCGAATAGAGGAGTGTCTCCCGCCCGTGAATACAATTGATTCCTGCTTATCTCGTAATCATTATTTTTTGTTTCTGGGATTATTTTAATAAATTGTTGTCAGTGCTATCAATCCGAGATCCATAGATCCATCTCTTCTGTCATTCGGGCACTCGTTCCCTTTATCAACCCACTTTTCCTCGCTGTGACCTCAATCAATATATACATGCGGAAGGGAAAGGAAACGCCAGACAGGCAGACATTTCGCAACTAGGCGGACGTCTCGCAAACATGTATTTCGCAACCGGCTGGTCTAACGTGCGCCTTTCGCAACCGAAAGTGGCTTCAATTCGACTTTACATTTACTTTACGCGCTTACCAGTAACTGGCATATAAGTTTTATATTTCTCTAATATTCCAGAAATGTCAGATGACGGGGTCGAACAAGAGGGATTCTTGATTCAAGTGAACGGACCGAAGCCCTACAGAGATGCCATTTTCGCGTATTTGGTCGGTTTCTTCAACTCAAATTCTGAGGAATTCAACAAATCATTACAGACGGGACAGTCGCTTGATCACAATCTCTTCATGGAATTACTGAAAGAAGCGACTGTTCAACGACTCGATTCTGAGATCCTTCAAAGTATTCAAAACGAGAATGTTGAAGGCGGAAGCGTTGGAAGCACGGACACTGCGGTCTGTTCCGAACACTTCGAAGAAGAGACTGTCGAACAGCCTTCGATGAATCTTCAGTCGATCCTCTCGAGAATTGCCATGGCAACTGCACGTCCGCCAATTCCGATTAATGAGAATGTCTTGAATGAGCTTGCCGAATACGAATTGAATCCGTCTACGATTCAGCCGGCGACGTCTTCTGAAACTCCCGATACTTTTATGGGTCTCATAGCCGCACTGGAAAACGTTCCTCTTCCGGCGAAACCGAAAACAACGCGGAAAACGCTTCCGCTCTACTCGCACGACGGATTCCTTTTCCGATTTGTGAAACAACTTTCGGACGGATCAGAACTTCTTTATTGTGATAAAAGGTAAAAAAAAACGGGAAAACACATTTTACAAACTTGTTCTCATCTCAAATAACTCATTTCCCTGATTTCAGAAAGACTTCGGTCAAATGCACGGCGATCGCAAATCGGAAAAACGGAATAATCGAAATCAGAAAACAGCATCACGGACACGATCGTCAGGATGAACACGTGAATGTGAGCTACAGTCATGTAGTTGTAAAAATACAATCACATTCAGGCTAAATTAGCGAGGTATCGGATCCGGGAGAGAGCGGCGATGAACAGGAGGATTCCGTCGAAAGAACTGCTCCAGGAAGCCGAAATGACGTTCGGACCGATCTCTGGATCGCCCGCAGCTCTCTCGAAAATGATCAGCCGCGCGAGGAATCGGAATCAGGAGGAGGTGGAGAGCGCTGAGGTGTTCGACGGTCAGACAGAACAGGGTGAACAAGAATACGGTGCGAATTCGTTGTAATCAATAAACTTCTAATAGTGTTGAACAAATGTTGTCATACGCTTTTTTAAAGCGTCCGACTGAAAAGATTCCGTGATGCTTTCACAAGCGTTCATTGTTTCACAAAATAAATTTTTAAGATCAATAGTGATTGTTCCTTTCACAACATTTTCAGTACTTTCCAGCGAACTTGGCTCTGAGAGCATCTTGTTTGGCGGCTGACTGCTCGGCGTTCGGAGGCATCCACGTCGAGTACTTTTCCTCCCGATCCTCCACGCCGACTCCGTAGTCCTCCGCACCGCCTGTCTTTTTCTCAATGTCACGTTTTCGGACTCTCGCCGTCTTTTTCTTCGCTTCTTCTTCCGCTTCCAACTTCTGCTTCTTCGCCAACTCTTCCTTCTCGGCCTGAAATCAGTGATTCTTGCTTCTGCCATTGCCCCTATGTTTACCTCGAGTTCTTGTTCCCATTCGGCCACTCTTTTCAGCACTTTGCTTCCAAACGCTTCTTTCGGAGCATCTTCCTTCTGTTCTGGAGCACCTGCCGGTTTCGGTTGCTCCTCCTCTTTCACACATTCGTCCTGTGGGCTGCTCACCGGTTTCTCCACTTTCTTCTCTTCTGCTGGCTTCTGCTTTCTCTCTTTTTTCTCGTCTGAAGTCGTTGGAATGCTAGCTGAAGGCCCTTGAGCCGGCGTCTGATCGACTTCCTTTCTCGCTCTCACTCCCATCAGCTTCTTCATAAATGCTTGTTTGTCTCCAGAAGCCGTTCCCAACTGTTCCAATCCTTTTAAAGCCGCCGGTTTCGCAATCTTCACCAGCTTCTCTAGTTTCTGTGATTCGTGTGTCGCCGCCACGAGCTTTTGTCGCCACTTGGATTTCTCCATCTTTGTCTGAAACATCTCCATTTAACTCTGCTCCTCTTCTCCCTTTCCTCACCTTCGGATCATCCCCAGTGCCTCCAGTCTTCTCCAATTGCCTGATATAATCGTCCAAAACGTCGCCGCCCGTCGCCGCAGCAGCCGCTTTTCTACTTTCAGTCGAGAGTGCGTTCAAGTTCTTCTGGCACTCGGCAATCTCTTTTTTCGCCTCTTCCAGTTTTGCGCACAGACTTTCGTACGTGTCTTTCTCCGGTCTTCTATGTCCGAATCCCTCCTCCGCCCATTGTTTCCTCTTCTCCCTCTGCTTCTCCAACTGTCCAGTTCTGTCCAGATACAGGTCGTCGTCTTCATCGTAATAGTCATTCGCCTCCAGAGTTTTCCGTTGCATTCTCAGCTTTGTGTTAGACTTTCTGAGCACGTTGTAGGTGTCCAGAATCCTGCACGCATCCAGGGCGCATTGAGCTTGCGCGTCTTTTTTCGACGTGGAAACAGTGGCCGAAGCAGTAAAGGCTCTGTCGACGCCGTCAATTTCCACGGGTAGTCTGCAAAGATTTCATTAGAAGATGTCATTTTCGTGGAAGCTCACTCAATAGAGCACACCCATTTGTGCGTGTGTCCTTGTCCTTGCTCGCTAAACTCGAAGTTCATATCAAATCCCTCTCGTTCGAAGAACTTTTGCAGGGCCTTCTTCGGATCCTGATTGTAATAAGCCTCCCGATCCTCCATGAGATGGGCGTCAGTCTCGGTCGCCAGCAGCGGCTTCTCGTCTTCTCCGTAATCCATTCCCCATCCACACCCGTCCTCTTCGTCCGCTTTCTCTCTTTTCTCGTCTTCAATAATATCCTGCGCGGCTGCTGCTCTCAATTTCGCCTCCAACTCTCGTTTGTGCTTTCGCAACTTCATTTCGGTCGGCGAGCAATCCCACTCTGGCTCCGAGTCTTCCGCCGGTCCCGTCAGGTTCAGAATGCGAGTACTTTCTCCGAATTGGAAAATGAAGCCGACTCTCGTTCGAATGTACTGTTTGGGCGGCAATCTGTTCTTGTTCATCCGACTGCCGTGCGTGCTTCCCAGCTCGAAAATGTGCCATCCTTTGCCGGTTTTCGACATTCGATCGTCGCCGTACTGAAGAATGCAGTGATATCTGGAGATGGACGGATGCTCCATGACAAGGTCGCATCCCGGCTTGATTCTTCCGATCACCACAAAAGTCGAGTTCTTTCGTTCCGACAGATCGAACGAACCGATCATTTTGCCCTCTTTCAGAATGTCCAAGTGGAATTTCAGTTCAGGATCGGGTTCGCACGCCCAGGGAGGAGGCTCGTAATGAAGAGTCGGCGCCTGAACGGAGATCTTCGACTGCTTCTCCGCTTCAACTTCTGCCGTCTGCAATTGACTTCCGTTTTCCACGTCCGATTGCTTTCTCACCTCGACTTCATCAATAACTTCTTCTATCGGTCCTTCTTTCTGCTCCGTCACCAATCCGATTTTACCCGGAGACGAAGGTTCCGGCGCGATATTCGCATCGTTATGAGCTTGATGGTGCGGGGGCGGAAGAGCTGGCGATTTGAATATTTCTTCTTTATCACCCATCTGAATTTCAGAAGGATTCAGAGAATATGAATGCAATGGAAAAAGATTTCGAAAAAAGAAAACTACTTTATTCTCGAGGAGTACACGGCGTGAATTCTAGTCCGCCGAAAAGATTTTGTGAAAGCAAATGGGTTTCAAGCTATTTTCAAAAGGTTAACAAGGCAAGTCAAACTGGAAAAATACCGCATTGTCCGTATATTTACAAGTCGGCTCCGTATTGGCAATGGTAATGAAAGTTCATTCACAAAAATTTGTTGAAATACTCAAATTGATCGCAAATAATGAGAAAAAATAGTGCGTTGATAAAACATTGATAAAAGAATGAGTGGTAGTAGCGGATAAGAGATCAAAGCACAGGCGGCTATTCAATTATTCATCGGCAATTACGTAGTTCGGATGGACGCAGAGCTTCGGGTCATCTCCAGGCACCACCTCAAGCAGAATATGGTCCTGATGGATGAGACGATGGATGACTCTCTCGCAGATTGTCTTTTGGACGGTGTAGTCTTCCTCTGTCTCCAGATCTGTTTCGATCGTCGACAAATACCTGAAAGAGTGAAGATAAAATGAGAATTATTGTCATTTGTGTCTACCATTCGACGAGAGCACTCTGCTTCACTCCATCGTACTCTTCCTCTCCTTGGCTGTCCTCATCAGCACGCATGTGTAGAACGAGAACGTCGGAGAGCTGCTTGTACTCCTGGAATGAGATCTTCAGCTTGGCCGGATCGATCTTCGGGCCGTCGTCCTTCTCTCCATCGTGGTCCATCGTGTCGTCTCCTCGCTGGTTCTCTTTGTTTGCTTCGACAACTGTAACCGGATTGTCAAAATCATCCTCATCGAGAGCAATGTCGGGCTGTTCAACTCTCACGATCGACTTGTTCAGAAGTTCGGCAGCCTTCTCCACGTGGCTCTCCAGCACTTCTCTTCCGCAGTAAAGACGAGCCAGCGCCTCTGAGAGACGAACGAGAGATTCGAGCTGACGGACAGTGATTCTCCAGGAAGACGTGGCAGCGTTGTTGCTGTCCGACATACGCAGCTTCTTGTACTCACGAACGAGAGCGACGGCAGCCTTGTCCGAGATTTTCGGCTTGAAGCAGCGGGCGAAAGCAATGTACTTTTTGATGTCGTCAATCTTGTAGGCTGTTTTTCTCTCAGTGTGCTCGTTGATGCACCGATGATTGTCGAGAATACGACGAGCGATCGCATAATCAGTCACTTCATTGCATTCGTCGACAAGGACGAAGAACAGATCGAAACGGGACATGATTGGAGCGGACATCTGGACGTTGTACTTCAGAGGACGGCTTCTATCGTACCGACCGCCGACCGGATTGGCAGCAGCCAGAATTGAAGCACGAGCATTCAGAGTGGCCTTAACTCCGGCCTTGGTGATGGAGATGGTCTGTTGCTCCATAGCTTCGTGAATTGCCACTTGATCCTTCAGGTCCATCTTGTCAAACTCGTCGATACAACACACTCCGTTGTCCGCGAGCATCAGAGCTCCAGCCTCGATGACAAACTCAAACGACTCCTCGTCTTTCACCACGGCAGCAGTCAATCCGGCCGCAGAAGAAGCCTTTCCGGAGGTGTAGATGGCTCTTGGACTGAATTCTTCCACAGCTTTCAGTACTTGGGACTTGGCCGTGGACGGATCTCCAACAAGACACACGTTGATGTCTCCACGGAGCGTCGTTCCCTCGTCCTTGCTCTTCTTCGCAACGCCGCCGAGCAACATCAAAAGCACTCCGAGCTTCACTTCGTAGTTTCCGTAGATATTCGGGAACAGCGACTCGACAATGTTCTTCTCGATCTTCTTGTCATCGCTCATTTTCTTGAGAGTAGCACGGTCTTCTGGGGTCATCCTTTGCCACAACTCGAGATAATCGGATTCTTCGATAGCTCCAGATGCATCAGATCCAACCAGGCTCTCGGTTTGTTGTATGTGACACGCGAGGAACGCCATTTTGTAAGTGAGGTCGCGGACTCCGAGGGCCTTCAGTCCGGTGATTCCCCCGCTCTTGTCGTTGGCTCTTCCTGGAAAACAAAACGTGGATTAATCAATTTTTCGGTCGCTATGCTCATTGTCAGAAACCACATCTGCCCACTTCCTTGTGCCGCCGATAATTGTACCAATTCCATAAAACCCATTCGCCCTATTTCATTCCATCTCATGATACTCTCAAAATCCTATGAATTCTTGGGACAACCCTATTTCTAAATATTCAGTCCTTCGCAATTCATCTTTCTACCAAACGAAATGGAGGCGGCTGTCGTGAAACGTATCGCTCTCTGGGTTTACGAAGCGGCTTCTGCATTCAATTTATTCTACTGTATTACCCTTTCACTTGCCATCAAAACTTCAAAAAACAGTTGACTTTAATAAAAACGACCGAAATTACCATTTTGATTTTCAGAATCGCTTCCAGCCACTTACATCTACAACATGGCAATTTCCAACGCGTTACTGGTCACTTTCGGAATAGCCACCTACATAGTCCCTTACTACATGGATGACAAAACATATAAAGGTTCGCACGACTGATTCCCTCTCGATCGCTCTCTTCTTTTTTAAGTGTACCGGGACACCGTTGGTCCGCAAATCTCAATGTGTGTCACATTTCTGTACCTTCATCCAATGCTCACTCTTATTCTCATGACAATCAATCGAATTGCCGTGGTTGTAAGTATGCAGGCTTCCAAGCTTTTCACTGCGAACAAAATTTGGGCTTACACTTCTCTTCACATGGTGAATATACTCCTAGCTTTACAATATTTCACTATTGAAGCTCTCAGATTGCCAACTTCGTATGTCTTTTGATTCCTTACCTCAGCGACTGTCAAATCAATTACAACCAGCGAGCAGTGGGATTTTCATCAGAATGTGCACCAAACAGACACCCGGTTTGTGGAACATTCTTAGAACTGTATTCCAGTTGATTTCAGATTACTACGTTCTCCAACTACTATTCTGTATTCTTCCCCTTCGTCGCGTTCTTCTTCAATGTTCTCGTTATAATCAATTTCAAACTCCAACGCTCTCCCACTTATGCCAAGATCAAGAAGTTCATACGAGGCGGAAAAGACGATAGTTTCGCAACAACAATGCCCTCAGATGTGTTGAAAGCGAAGAAAAAGACGGAACGAATGCTGATGATACAGGCTTTCATCACTGCTTTTTACCTGTCCGTTTACGAACTGACTAGTCTCGTTCTTCGCGTCGCTCCGGTAATCTATTCCTCTTTTTACTCGACTTCTTCAGTATTTAGGAACTATTCACAAATCTCTCAATTGATGGAAGAATGGCATTCACCTACTTCCGCCTCGCTCAGATTCCTTGTCACGTATTCCTCGTCTACTTCATTTTCACTCCCGTCACCCGCAAGATCTACGTCGACTTCATTCGAACACGCTTGCTTTGTATGAAACCTTCTAGTAACAAGAAGACGGTGAAAGTGTCAGCAACGAGCGTTTCAATAAAAAAGAAATGACATAATTGCCGCGTTCTCGCAATAAACCCTTTTTCCATTCACATCCCATCTCTCCTCACCTCTGTTTTGGTTTGAAGTCTCCGCACGTAGACCAGGCGTGCTCAGCTGAGCGATATCGGGGATGACGATCAGAGTTCCGACGATATCGCACTTGTCTCCTGGCTGCACAGTCTCCACCATCTCTCCTCGAACGACGACGTCGACAGTTCGTGGAATAGATCCACGCGGGAGCTCAGCTTGCGTCTCCTGGATTCTAATCTTCTGGAAGTCAACGAATGTCGATGCGTTGACATCCAAACTGAATCGAGTGCGGTTTGCGCACTGCGGATTCGAGCATTTCGTCGGCTGAAAAATAACGTTTCGTTTAGGTAGCAGGACGCAAATACGGTACTTGAGTGTATCTGAACTGCTGCTGAACGTCACGAGTGGTGACTCCGCAGTCCTCGCAAATGAAGCAGGCTCTTGAGAGCTCCGGATGAACTGGATGGGTTCTCACAATCTGTCCCGCAATGCGAACGAGACCTCCGACTTTGTCAGCAGAAAGCTCGCGAACGGCCGTCTTCGCATCAAGATGGAAAAGCGAGACGTACAGTTGCTTCTTGAACATCTGCTGTCTCTCGTTTTCATCACATCCGTCAAGGGTCGCCAGGTGAAGGGCTTCGCACATGTACGGATAGACTCTGAAAAAGGAGGAAATTCAGAATTTCGCAACGATTTCCTCAATAATCATACCGGTAGTATTGAAGTTCGATGGTGGTGGCCAGATTATTGCTGAACAAGTACAGATGTTGCATGTCTACAAAAATAGTGTTTCTCTCTGGTTGCACCAAATCCTTCATGGCTTTCTTGTACGGCAGCTCGTTTTTCGAGTCCTTGAACGTTTTCAAGAACTTTGAGAACTCGTTCTGAACCCGAGTTCCGTCGGTATCCTCGACTTGTTGCGCCTGACCGCCGATGATGTTATCCATCCTGAAAAGTGACCCGATGATATTATTTGAAATAAACGCAAGAAAAGCAAGAAAAACTAGAAAAATGCGATAAGAGCGAGAAAAGAGAATGCGGTAAAAAGAGGACGAGACTCCCTCGTCTAAAATTCAAACTGTCAGTTTTCGCGCGCTCCGCCGCCGTCAATTCGGAGTGTCGTAAATGGAAAGACTGTGTCGAATTGAGAGACGCAAACAGTTTGGCGCGGAGAAACGTTTGAATATTGAAACAAACTGGTTCTGATGAATGTGCAGAAATTTATTGAGACTGATTGGGTGTTTGCGAATATCTCAAAACCAGCATATATTCCCCTGTGCTGTGCGAAAGGCGGACCGCCTTTTTGTAGGCTAAACTTTTGTCCCAGGTACTTTTCCCATTGAACCCAAACTTTGCAGGCTTCTCTAGTTTAGATTGAAGTATATTGGGTCCAAGTTTGAGACTTATCGGATTATCTGGTCTGAAAATGCGTGGATCAGATGCCGAAAAAAGTGCCGTTTTCGGTCTGAAATCGGTCTCAAACTTGAACCCGTTCAATCCAAGCATAAAAAAGTCTGCAAAGTTTATGATTGATTGGAAAAACTGGGTCAAAAGTTCAAGCCTCAAATAACCTGGACCGGCCAAAAACCCTGCTTAATATTCAGGTAGTTTATCATTTACTCCCATTCGATATTATCCATATTCAAAAGCTAGTTCACTTCAGCCAGGCCTGGTGTTTCGAGTGACCATGAGATCTCCAAGTCTATGCTGATCGGCGAGAAGCAGCTTCGTGTCCAATGAGACATCGGAATCGGAGCATCCGATCAACGCCCGCTCACATCGTTTCTTCAGGTCGGCCACGGGGAAGTGGTCAGCGAGCGTCAGAATATCAGTAATGAAATCGGCTGAGAATAAACAGTTGCTGATATTCACATACAACATTAAAAATAACACACTCTCAATTTCGGCCAGCAAGATCTGAAAGGCAGAGGCGTCGACGTCTTATGATTTCTGGTGGGCCGGTCTCTTTGAACTGTTCGGCCACCGAAAAGGCGTGAAGAGGAATCCGATTTAATCATCTCAATCGGCTGATTGTAATGCAACATTCGATACTAATTGGGACTTTCTTATTCCCGCTGTTTGTGCTCGTAGAGCGGGAGTAAGAGAGTTTCTGACTATTGGTCTTCCGGATGTTATTCAGATGATTCCCTTGGACGTCGGTTATTTTCGTCTTTCTGTTTCGGTCAACGTGAAACCATTCAGCGTTGATGTGGGCCCCTAAGCGCGCTTTGGATCCTTGTTGGAGCACGAGATGCTTAGACGCAGGATGTGTGTTTTATCTGACACGTGGCAAGCAACCGTCCTGCAATTGTTTTTCTTTGATTAATGGAAACTTGGTATCGTCTTGAGTACCAGTCGGCTCGGAAGTATCTTGTAATTGAAAATGTTTCGTTCGGATACAGATTTTGTTTCATCACAAAAGAACGGCTCATTTTTAGTGATTGAAGCCACGCGAGGGCGATAATTGAGGAATGAATGACGTTGGACACTTAATTGAAATGGATTATATTGCCATGTCATTTTTTCAGTGGTACAGTAATGATATTGTTTTGCAGTTAGTTCTAGAGGGGTAGACACACACTGTCGAATGAATAAATATTCGAGAATGAGTCACGTGCGCAACAGGCCGAGGAAACTTATGCGAGAAGGCGTGTTTGCTTACTTTCTGGGCACCACTACAACTTCCACGCTTCGGCCAACAGAAAGTACTCTGCTTTATCGATAAGCTATGGTATTCTCAATCACAACTTTTCTATTACTATCTTTGACCTCAAAAGGTAACTCAAACATTGTCGTGCTCCTCTTGGCAAGTACTTCCATTCCAGTTGTTTCTCAGTCCTACAATGATGTCATCTGCCGTCGTCCATGGTATTTCAACACTCCACGACCTGCTCCATTGTCAGATACTCCTTGAGAAACTCTTGAGTCCCAAAGATCTTCAATTTCAGGAGATGTCCCACGCCTTCATTCTTCACTTTCTATGAGTGTTGCGGTGAATTTCTGGAGAACTGTTGTTGGAGATTCCGTCCAGAGCCCATGTAAGTCTCCCAATTCTCTCGCTCTCTAACTTTCTTCTGCTCAGAATCATCTCGGTCATTCTGCTCGTTCTACTGTTCCTCCTCTGCTGTTGTTGTTGTATCGGCTGGCTTGTGGCCGGCAAAAAAAAGCAGAAGACGTCACCGGAAAAGCAGTCGATTCCCTCGAAAAAAGACTCTCAAATCCAGACAATTAGCAGTGCGACGATGGATTCTGGCACCCAATGGGAACACGGAAGAGTTGATGCAGACAAGCGACGTTCGTATGCGGCGGCACGCGACCGCGAGCTCGACTATCAGTACTTTTCGTGAATAAATCTTTTCCAAACCTGCGCCCCCGTTGTTGCTCTCCGCCGCGACGTAATTTTGCCCGTAAAGGTGTGCCACGGGGCTCTGCAATTTTCTCAAATTGCTCTCCTCCTCCTTCTCCTCTTTCTTCCCCGTTTACCCCCCTTCAAAACACCTATTGTGGCCGTCTCCTCTGCCTTCCTTTCGTATGTTTGTAATTCAATTCACGGACCCGAAACGTGGCTCTTTTCCTTTTTTTTCTTGCTCCAATTGCCCATAAAACCGACTGCTGGGCGGTGGCTCGTCGAAATGGGCCGGAGCGGCCAAAACAAAACATGTTTATTTTACCCAATTTGCCCAATGGAACCACTTTTCATGTTTTTCTGTCATCGTCGTTGGTTTGGACGAACAGAATGTCTCGTACAGATTAGAGAACAAGGATTACGGTAAGGACATTTCTGGGACCACTTGCTCTTTGTACCCCGTGCTACCGTACCCTCACTTCTCATTTCCCTCTTGCTAATCCACCCGATGCTTCCTTTCCTCTTCATCTTCATCTTCTTCTTCTTCTTCTCCCTTCGCGTCGTCCTCATAATGTGCATCCCTTTCCCCAATGGGACCGCCCTCTTTTCTGCCACTTCTTCTCCCATTCCTTTTGTTGTGTTGCCTCGAATCAAAAAGAGTTTGTCGTCGAAAAAACCGGGAAGTGAGGGCGAATTGCATGTCATTCATCTGTTTTTTTTTAGTTGAGATGATGAAAAGTCGCAGTCTTGTTTTCAATTGTACAGTATTCTTTTATCTCTTCCATTTCCATCATCTTCTCAAGTCGAAGAAGCCTTGCCACGTGGCGATTGTTGTGCATGATTGCTCTTCTCCCCTACCGCCATAGATCTTCGCCGCGCCTTCCCCGGAGACGTGACGTCCTCCTTTTCCTTCTCTTCACACTTTTTCTTTGAATGTTCCTTCCTTTTTGACACTGCCAAAGTGTGGCACGTTTCCGGCCGGCCCCATCCACTTTTCCCCAATTTTCCACTCGAATCTCTCGCTCACCGATCCGTCGGCTTCATCTATTTTTGACAGCTCCTTCTCTCTCTCTCTCTCTTCCTCTCTGTCTTCCCCTTTGGTCCAATTCAACTCGAAACAATGGCCTCTTCTGGCGGACGAGATAAACTTCGCAGCCGGGGACCGCGCGTGTTTGCCTTCGGAAGCAGCACGCCGCGCGACATGAACAAGGTGAGAATCCCCCTGGGGAGCGATGAAAGCGTCGGAAGAGAAGGGAGTACAACTCTCACTTCAATTAGTTTTTCGATCAACTCGCCGTACCCCTCATCCCATAAAAAGCGGCCATAAAAATTGAATAAAAAGAGCGATGGGAGGGAGGGAATTCCAAAGTTTGTGAAAGCGAATTCGAGGGGTTTCATATGCAGGTTACACCGAAGCTCCGGAACTACGATGCGAAGTCGGTTGACAAGGCGGAAGCTCCGAATCTGCACGACTACATCCTCAAGGCGAGAAGTCTCTCCCGAGAAGGTTCCTTCCGCTTTCCCTTTCCGATCCTTCTCACCCAGATTCCTTCCAGCCGGCAACTCCCGTAATCAGTTTGTTTTCGGCTCCTCCACTCCTCGAACTCTTGCTCATTTGGATAAGATTCCACATAAACAAAGAGTTTACGATGCGAAGATTCCAAAGAAAAGTGCGACGCACAGTGACTTCAAGGCGGCGCCCATCAGATTCAATGCTCGTGAGCCCACTCATTCCGTATTCTCTCTTCATTCTCTCTCTCTCTCTCGCTTTCCAGCTTCGGCGCCCATCAGCAAACCGACTAAAAAGGAGGAAATCCGTCATGTGATCACTTCGAAAGACGACGATATCGCATCGGAACCGGATTTTGTGCAAGACCGTGAAGAGTTTATGAACGAGATGAGAAAGCACAAAAAGGAATTGGAAGCGAAGAAGTCGATCGGAAAGACAGATGAGGCCCCGAAAGCCGCCGAGTCCCGTCATGAGCACGTGAAGTTCGCGCATGCTCCGGAAATTGCTGGAAATGCTCAGAAGGCCGTTCGAATCCGGACGGAAACGCAAGAGGAAGCTCCCGTCGCCGTGAAGAGCTTGTCGGCGAACAAGATGAACGATCAGGTGCACTCGGCAAGCACCTCTTCTCATTCGGTCCCTTTTTCAGATCGAAGTGAGCCAGTTGATGAACGAGATAACGCCGGAAAGTGTGCCAGCGGTGGAGAATCGCGACGGTCATAAGGGCGCAAATGTGGTCGGCGACTTGCTGGCAAAAGTGCAGAAAGTGGCTGGAGACACGGCTGATAAGGTGGGCGGAAGGGGAAAAGAAATGATAAAGAATTGAAATTGCAGGAGGCGAAGACGACGATCGTGGATGACGTGGCAAAGGTAAGAAAAAAGAGAGAAAGAGGTAGAGAAGGAGATCATTTTCAGACAATCAAAAAAGCGGAGGATGACGTGGGAAAGGTAGTAGCACAAAGCTTTTTTAGCTCAAAAACGAGTCACCAATTGAAGAAAATGAATAAAATTGTTCAAGAGACGAATGCAACTGTAAATGCGACAAAGCAAGAAATTGAGAATGTAAGCAACCATATTCGATACGATATATCTCAGCTACCGGCGGAGATATCAAAAATTTGGCAACTGATAAAATGTACACAATGCCTCAAAGGGATTAGTTGACAATTTCTTGATAATTCTACCCGCAGCTGAGATATATAGTTTTGAATGGAAGATATCTTTTACTATTCGTTTTTTTTCTTCTAGAATATCGCCGAGAAAGTGGACGATATCACAAAAGCGTTGGAGAAATCTGCGAAAAGTTTGGAAGACGCCAAATCGAACGTTGAGGATAAAGTGGAGAAGGCGAGTGCGCCGAGAATGGCCGATTGATTTGAACTGATTTCAGACAGGGGCCGACATCAAAAACGCACTTCTAACAGCTGCGGAGAAGACTGAAAAAGTTCGTGAATGAATTGGATATTCTCCTAGAGAATCTGTGTTTCAGGGAGCATCGGAAGTTGTGAAGGCGGTGGAATCGACTGTGAAATCTGGAGAGAAAGCGGTCGCCGGTCTGGCTTCTGACGTGAAGAAGGTGCTTTGCTTTGAACAGACCAAGTTCATCCAGTTCTTTGCTTTTTACAGACACTCGATTCCACCGAACAAAAGATCGGATCCACGTTCTCGAAGATCGGATCGACGGCCGAATCCGCTTTCGACGACGTCAAGAACGGACTGACTCTCCGCAACTTCTAAACCATCATCCATATCTCAATTATCAATCAGTTTATTAGTCAAAAACAGTCTGCATTATGATAATAAACGACAATTAGAACACAGAAATGACCTGAATAGGGGGTATACACAACCACAGAAGCTCGATGAAAATAGACTAGGAGAACCGAAAAGAAGGAGGGTTCACAACCAATTTGAAGAGAAAGACGAGGGGATTTATACACGGGGAGGAAATACAATCACTCTGAATGGTAGGGAAGAAGTTCACTTGAGATGGAGACTGGGAAGGGTCGAACTGACGCCGTTCACCCAGAGGTTCGCACAGGTTACATCGAAGCACTGGCCGCCGTAGTCGATGGCGTTTTGGACGGGTTGGCAACAAATTGCGCATTTTCTGAAAGAATTCTGTGGGAACTGCTCAAGGAATCAATCCTACCTGTCGTCAATAGCATCTGCTGTTCCTTCTTGATCTTTCTCCAAGTATGGCTCCCAGTTTCTTCGCAGATTACGGCAGTATTCGGCTTCTTTTGTCGACTGAATGGAGAGAAGAACTCCGGCCGACTTGCAGACTCTTTCAAGAGTGTCGAAGGCTTTCGCCAGGCTTCGGAAGTAAACGACCCCCTTTTCCGTTTCCGCAATCTCTTGTATCACATCTTTTTTGGCATCCTTCATAATCTGGTTCGCCTCCTCGATGACAATGTAAATGGCGTGCACGGTCTCCCGCCAGCACGTTTGTATCGGGGTTTCATTCGCATCTTTCACCTCTTCCTTCAGTTCCTCGCCTCCGAAATCAAGGCCTGCCAGATCATTGGCTGCTCCTTTCGCTGGCGAGTTATGAGCCGATGCTTCTTTCGAATCCGGCTCTTTCTTCTTCCGCATACTTCGTCTCGGAAGCAACGATGTCGGAATGAATGCGGACGGCTTGATCCTGCAATTCTTATGGGAATAAGCCGCGGACGCCCGAGCTACAACTGCTTACTTTGCGAATTGAGCGAACGAAGAGGAAGTGTTAGTGACGGGAGCCGGATTGGAAGCCGTCGGAAAGGCTTGCACTGGATTCAAATAGGGGATCGGAAGGGAGTCCATTGCACAAAGAGCCGCCAGAGACTCTCCTTTTTGTGCCAGCGCGATGAGAGCGAGTAGGGAGAAGAACTCGGGACGGGTCAGCTGACCAGGCTTCGCACGGTTTACTGCCGACCAAATGTGCGAGAGAACGTCTTTTGGAAGGCCCGAGGTGCCCATCAAATTGTACACTGAAATGGGAGACTGTGTAATTTACACTGTGTTACCAGGAGGGACTTCCGATTATGAAATATCGATTGATTCGACGTCCCACTCTCAATTGCCCACAATTTCCTGCCGTTTTGACTCACCGAGGCCAGTGTTCGGAAGAGCGCTGGAAGTGGTTCCTCCGCACGCGACTATAGCGTCCAAATAAAACTTCGGGACTCGTGCTTCGTCGAGAAGGGCGGGAGGAAGAAGTCCGCCGCCGGCGCACAGCATCCCTGCAAACATAATCCCTTTCGATCAGTTATTCCGTGTTTTTTTTGTGGTTAAGCGCCTTCTTTTCTTTGTTTCGCAAACGTCGCGAACATTCATTTTGATGGATTTTTCTGGAGACGCGCGGACGTTTTCTTTTCGCCGACGGGATTATTCTGGGCTCTTTTTTAGTTTGTTCAATGTACACCGAAGGATGAAAGCAGAAGAGAATGGGAAAAACTGCAATTTCCGGAATCGCGGCGTTAGTGCAGCCGATTCGCCGTGCTTTTCCATTTTGAAAGGAATGTTACACTTCATGGGAATCTCTCGTTTCCCGTCGATTTCCAGATTTCCCAAGAATTGCAGACGTACCTGTCCTCCCGTGACACGGAATGTTTCCACTTCGCAGCACTTCGTCGAGTATCTGGCTGTCCATCGAGAACTTTCCGGCCATCTTCAACAAGAAGTCAGTAATCCACGTGGCAACTCTCTCATAAAAATATCCGACGTGGAGATCGACCGTTCCTTGCTCTCCTCACATTTTTTCAAAAGTTAACGCGAATGATTTATTGTCTACTTATGTGCGCCGAAATTCGGACCAAGAACACAACCTTTCAAATGAGAAAGAGAGCTCTAGTAGCCATGGTGGGGGATCAAGTGTTTATGATGATAGACTAAAGAGGAATAGACAAGTCGTAGGTTGGCAATGTTAGTACACATTGATAAGAAAAAGGGATCACTAACAAAAATGTGAGGGAAATCAGCAGGTGGTGGAAATAAAAGTGAGTCAACTGAGATGTGTTGACTGTGTTCGGTGGGGTACTGATGAAAAGGAAAGGAGGGTGGCTGGGGATTGACTGGAAGGAAACGAGGGAAAATACATTTAGACGGGAATCCGGTACGGGAATGGGGGGAATGAATTATGTGGGAGGCAAATCAGCAGACACTGAAACGATTTAGGAGGTTCCGAGGATCAGAGCGACGATCATTCCGTAGAGTCCCAAGACCTGAGAGAGCAAGATTTAGTTGTGAACAAAAATACTTCTGAATTTACCTCGGAGAAAATGAGGATGAGGATCATTCCGACAAAGAGTCTTGGCTGCTGGGCAGTTCCACGAACTCCGGCGTCTCCGACGATTCCGATGGCGTATCCGGCTCCAAGTCCGCACAATCCGCAGGTAAGTCCGGCGGCTAAGTGAGCGAATCCCTTGTTGAGGTCATATCCTGCAGAGGCAGAAGTGACCTTTCCCTTGAGAACCATGGCCACGACCAATCCGTAGATACCGATGATACCTGAGGAAGTCGATTGGAAAACTGAAAAATGTCAAGAGGAACTTACCAGCCATAATGACTGGAATGACGGACTTCATGATGAGCTCCGGTCTCATCACTCCCATCGAGCAGATACCGACGGCCGACTTGGCGGTTCCGTAGGCGGCTCCCAGGACGGTGAAGATCTGGGCCGAAGCGGCTCCCATGTATCCAAAGAACGGCGCATAAGCGGCTTGTTCGGCGGTTTGCAAGTCGTACGACATTCTGTAACGGTTGTTGATTGAGACAAGTGATTCGTCGCCAAATCACGACGATAGGTAAATAAGTGCGATAAGAACGCAGCGGATACTAATAGAACAAACGGCGGAGGATGATACGGGTCAATCGAATATCGGTTTTATTGGAATGTGGGGAGACGAAGGGAGGAAGTAAAATATTACTAGAACACTAACGAAATGTACATGAAACGAGAGAAAAAAGACGAGAAGCGAAATGATGCGAGGATTACTATGAAACAGAGAAAATTGGAAGAAGCTAGTTGGGCATCCAACGGGTAAAACCGGACCGAGCGGGCTCGTCGATATTTGTTCGACGTTGACTTTGTCGGTACTGGATGCCTATGCTCGAAAGGATTAGGAAAAAGAGGCGAATGTTTTTGCATTTTTTGACAGACAAAAATTAGGTGGCAGCCAAGATAAGGGCGACGATCATACCGTAGAGACCCAAGACTTCGGCGAAAATGAGAATCAAGATCATTCCGACAAACATGCGCGGTTGCTGTGAGAGGGCCCTCACTCCCGCGTCTCCGGCGATTCCGATGGCGTATCCAGCTCCGAGTCCACAGATTCCGCACACGAGTCCTCCGGCAAATTGGGAGAATCCAGAATTGATGGTGTAGTTCTGACCTCCTGCCTCAACCTTTCCTGACACAATGACGGCGACGACAAGACCGTAGATGGCGACGATTCCGGCCATAACGACTGGAATAATGGCCTTCATGACGAGGTCCGGTCGGGCAACGGCCATCGAAGCAATTCCCGTGCCTGCCTTGGCAGTTCCGTAAGCTGATCCGGCGGCGGCGAAAGCCATGGCAGAGGTCACCCCGAGACTTCCGAAGAACGGTCCGTACATAGCATTTTCGCCTTCGTAGGAGGTGTCCGTCGTGGCCATTCCTGAAACATCTGAGTGGACGTTATTTTCTATAACAAACTTCAGATCGAACAACGAGACAAATGAGAGTGAGTCAGCAAGTATTGTGAAATAGAGTAGCGCCTGACAGAGTATCGATCGAAGGAAAAAGTTCATAAAACGGATAAACCGCTGAAATTGCATACTTCTGATGATATCTTAGCTGATAATTCGATTCTGCAGAAATTTTGCCGTCTCCCGGAAGCTCTAATAAAAAACCGATATATCGACTTTTCGCGTGGAAGGCACGAGAAGCCTCATAGGAACTGGTGCGGAAATGGAGGGACGCAACAGTTTTATACGGATGTCGAATTGACTTGTACAACGAAAAAACCGAGGTTGAGGTTGAGACCGAAAGACTGTGTGACTGTCCGTCACCACGGCCGAAAACCGAAGAGCAGCTACCGTAGTGCCGTACGACCAAAAACCGAATAGAGGGGCGCGTGCGCGGTCGCGTCGCGTGTGTCAGCTGGGGCGCGCTTGCAGCCGGACACATTTCATTTTTGCCGCAAAGCTTCAGAATAGGAATCCGGGCGCGAGAAAAGCTGAAAAAGTCACAATCTATTGGTCTGAAACAAAATTAATCAGGTTTTTTGTTTGTAAAAATTATGGAATACCAAAACTTGAGCTGAAAAATGAATTTTTGAGACGAAGCATTGTGCTCTCTCTTCTAGAAGCTGGGTCAGTCAGACATTAAAGTACATTGAGCTCCGAGGGAAGTGTGCACAAGCGAATCAATGATTGCCCACCAATAAACTCTGCCAGCTCACCGCGTTGAATGTCATCTGGCCTCTTTGTTCACGTGGATTTCCCATTTCCGCAGAAATTTCCGTTTATTCTTCCGCTGCCAGATGCCATCGGCAACTGCACTTAACACACACTCCACACGAATTATCCTCATTTCAGAAGAAGCCATTCGATCGCCTTCTTCTCAACTACAAATGCGATGAAGCTGAAAACACGGTTAATCCTCTCGGGAATAATTTTAATCTCGTTAGCAGTATGTTACCTCTTAGTTTTGCTCATTCTCGATCTGGATCTTATGACTGATTATGAGTGAGCTTAAAAAGCAAATTTCCATCTAAAAAAGTGCGCGAGACGTTTCAGAGACCCCCGTCCAGTGCGGATCAAAAGACACAAGCTTTGCGTCGTCGTGCCGTATCGTGACCGACTTCAGGAGCTCACCGAGTTCTCTCCGCACATGGAAGCGTCAGTTTCATTTGGATTTCAGCATGAGCCGTTTTTTCCAGATTTCTTCTCAAGCAAAATGTCACTCATCACATTTTGATTGTCAATCAGACAGATTCGTTCCGCTTCAACCGAGCATCATTGATAAACGTGAGATCTCCTCAGTTCCTTCGTTTCATCTACATTCGTCAATCGTTGCAGATAGGATGGAATGAAGCGGATCGTCTCGGTTGTGACTACATGGTCATGAATGACGTCGATCTTCTTCCGGTCAATCCAGAAGTCCCGTACAACTTTCCGGGCGTGGGCGTCATCCGGCACATCACATCACCCGAGTACCATCCAAAATATCACTATCCGAAGTTTATTGGTGGAATTCTGATGCTCACGTTGGAAGATTACCGAAGACTGAACGGAATGTCCAACAAATACTGGGGATGGGGACTCGAGGACGATGAATTCTATTTGCGAATAATGTGAGATCCATATTATCGCTTTTTCAAAAACTAGCTTATTTTCAGAGACAGCAAACTGAATTTGACTCGAGTGTCGGGACTTTCGACGAACAGTTCGAACACATTCCGTCATATTCATGGTCCGAAGCGGAAAAGAGATTATACGGCGAAGAAAAAAGATCAGAAGCAGTGGGAGATAAAACGAAAACGAGATCATGTAAGTTTTCGAAAAATCCGAAACGGCTCCCGTGATTATCAGTGTTTCCACTCCGACTTTTGCAGATATCCGGTCTCGGAAACGTCCGCTACATGATAAACAGTCGGCGGTTGCTCGAGTTTTCCGGCACAACGGTCACTGTTATCGACGTTTCGTTGCTTTGCGATTTGAGCTGGACACCCTACTGCAAACCATAGTTCCTTTAGGCTTTTGTTAACACTGGTTTCTTTCTTTATTTCAGAGTGTTTTTGTGCCTTTTCCTCCCCAATCAATCCGGTTTCCCCTTCAACTCGGGTATTGTTCCTTCTTCCGTGGCCTTTCCCAACAATTTTCTTGTGATTCCCGATCTAACTTTATTATAATGCCTTGCGAAAATAATTTATTCATAAAATATACAAATGATTACATTTTTCCTCCATTTTTCGGGCGAAATTATATTTACATAAATATATAATAGTAATAATGTAGTGGTAGTTCTAGGCGACAATACTGCAGAGAACCGTAATCCCCCGTTTAGTGTGGTCAAAATTCAATCGGAAATCGGGATGGGACGGGCGGGAGGAAAGAGACAGAACGACTCGTTTCGAATGGATCGGGACAAATTAGACCTATTTGGAATCTTCGCTAAGCGGAAAACAAACATGAAACTATGAACAGATTTCACGCCGAATGCGTGCTGTTTTTGCTCTTGTGGTTGTGGTTGGGATCGTCGGCCGCGTAGTTCCGTGCCTGATAGAACAGAATGTACGCAGACTCGGAGTTCTTCTGCGGCGACGACTGGTTCCCCGTCGGCATCTGCGCGCTTGTGTCGCTCGACATTCCGGAGAACTCTTCCATCGACGACACTTCCAATTTCTCGACAATGTCGTCGTCGAACACCAGCCAGAACGAATTGCTCTTCACTAGAGTTATGTAGTGACCGCGATTCGGAGTGGCTCCACAGTGAACAACAGTCGCCACGAGGTCGTACAATCTGTCGCCGTGCTCTGCGTCGTCGCTCTGAAGATAATCGAAATTAGCGATAATCAGACGAAAAAACAGGCGCTCACCACATTGAAAAGTCGCAGTTCCAGCGGAAAAACAACCCGATACGACAATTTTGTGTGACGATTCAGAGTGTCGACGTACTTGAATCGTTTCAGATGAAGAGCGAGAAGCTGGGGCGGTTTCTTGATGCGCATCCGTTTTTGAGCCTCCTGCTTCGAAGAACACGTCTCGCAAAAGTATTTCTGGTCTCCGCAGAGCGTTTCCGTTTCGCTGAACACTCGGAGACAGTGCGTTATTGAAGTGTTCTGCTCGACGTCGATCGACAAATCCAAAAAGTCTTCGTCCTTGCTGGAGACGGTTTCACAGCTGAGACACCTCGTTTCGTTCGTCAGTATTCCTTGGAAGATCTCGTGTATCCACGTGGTTCCGCTCCGATCACTTCCATGATCTTCTCGGAGTCCGGCAGTCGCCGGATGCAGGTTCACCGTCACATTTCCTTTCTTGATTGTGTTCTGACGGGATGCCTTCTCTTTTTCGGCGTTCTTCTCTTCGATCAATGTTTCTGATATCGTGTTAAGCAAATAGTTGAGGAATTCGTGAGCGTCTTGTTGCATGTAATTGTCGAAGAGTTCTGCAAGGAATCAGGCGATTGAAAGTGTCCTGACCGCCTGGAACTAACCATTTTCCTTTTTTAATTTCGTTATGAACCTCTTCGGAGCAATTGTGCCGACTCGTCGTTTTTGATTGGCAATGTTGTGAAAGAGATCCGCTAGACACGTCACCAGATTCTCTTTTGTGGAGCCTGCACAGAAAATATGAATACAAATCATTTTGATATGGTGATTCACGTATTTCATAACATTTTCGGGTCAGAAACTGGACTTACCCGACTTCTTCAGCGTTTGTTTGTAATTCAGAATTTTCTCGCGAAACGGCCGACAGAAGAAGAGTGCCTGGATGACCGAATTGCAGTAGCACGTGTTTCCGAACTGAAAATGTCTAGTATTCGCACATGGATCACCGTCGTTTAGCCTACGTTGACCAGCCCGTAATAGTGCTCGTTGCTAGTGGTGACCGAATCAGTCGTGCTGATCTCCTTCTCCAACTGCGATGATCCATTGGCTCCCATGGATGCGACGGTTCGCAGCGCCGACGACTACCTTTAAAAAAGAGAAGAATTTGACTGGAAATCTCTGAAAAACGAGCGGCAATAATCGGAGGGACGGCGAGAAGGGAAGCGGGCAGTGGCGAGAGCAGAACTCTCTCGTCGTCTCCGTCTCCAGTCGCTCCAATCTTTCGCGCGCTTTCTCTGTCGCTCGCTACTTTTGCGCGTCTGCGAAAGAGCGCGGACCAGCCGAACAAAAGGGGAAACGGAGAAAAAATAGAGATGATTATGGCAAGAGCCACGCGTCGTGAAGACGGTTTATGAGGTGTGCAGAAGACGTCGCGCGGAAGATTGAAAACTTCTCCTCGCCGGTGGGGCGCGCTTGCCAAAGCTTTGCGAAGTACCGCTAATCCCGTTTCGAACGGAGAGAAAGAAAAGAAAATATGCGGATTGAAGGCATGAAAAAGTATTTATTCAGTTTTAATACTGGAAAGTTAGATGTCATTTATCACATTCATTATTCACGCATTTGAATCGGGCAACAAATTACAGTCCACCGGAAGATCTAAAAGAATCAGTTGAAATGAAAAGCGGGAATACAAAAAATGTTTCCGAATGAATTTGAATGGTTGGGTGTGAGCTCGTTTATTTACGGAATGATCCATGGCTTGACGTGCGGATTGGGTGCCGCGTTGTCCGGTTGTCCGACCGCGAGTTGTCTGAATCGGTCCTCCATGAATCGGTGACCGACTTCCGCTCGAATGTTCATGCAATACGGGACGTTGCAGATCAATAGCTCACAAGTCCTACTGTGCGGAAACACCAACTCCAGGATTTTCGCGCACAACACACACGAGGCCAATCTTCTGCTGCATCGCTTGAAGTGAAGTCCGTGCTCTTTCATTCGATCGCAAAAGTTCCGATCGCATCTCGGATCCGTGCAGTTGGCGGCGTGAGTCAGTGTGTTGGTCATCTCGCGGACGACGATCGGAGAGTAACTTTCCGGAATGCGACTCAGCCGATGAATACTCTCTCTTTCGCCCATCGATATTGGAAGCGGGGAAAGTTCGTCGGAAAGGCTGAAGGTCATCTGAGGCAGGTACGTGGATTTGTAGGTGATCAGCTCCTTCATTTTCTCACAATCCCAGCACTGTCCGCTCATTCTCCTCATGCACAATCTGAAATGTTTCACGTCGTACTGCTCGTCGTAGCACCAGTCGTATCGGCACGCGCTGTTCACGCATCGGACGGCGTGCTTGATTCTATCGATTCGGAGGATCATGTCCACGTGGCGGTCGCTGATTTCCGGGTCATCGGATGGTCGTGCTGGGTCGGCGTGCATGGCGACAATCGGGACCATGTCATGCCAGTGGTTCGTGGAAAGACGGCACGGATGGCAGAAGAAGTGGGAGCACGACTCGCTCGTGCACTGCCATTCCGCCCATTGCTGACAACTGACACACACGTCCATTATTCTGGAAAGATAAGGCATTCAGGAGGGTAACGCCAAACTTTTGAAAGACAAAAGTTGGTCAGTGCTGGGCACAAAGTTAACTTTCGACGCAGTTAAGTAGGACTACCGAATCGAATGTAACTTTGCACGAATATCAGGAATGGAATGGAGTATTCACTTTCAAAGTTTGAGCGCGATAGGATTATCTGATCTGAAGATATTAGCGCCTTAGCTTTCTGCCAATGGCGCTCTACCGCAATTCCATATGAAGACCAGGCTGCGGCCGCGAGCATCTCACAGCAAATCCGCTCTGCTGAGAAACTCTTTCCCCAAATCACAATATCTCCAGATGAGGCAATCCGATCAGACTGAAACTTTGAAGGTAGGTACTCCATATCAAAACTCATCATCTTGCAAAGTCAGGGTCCGATTCGATATTTTCAACTGTACTTTAGCCCTTTGCCCTATCTCTGCAACAGACTGTGATTGGAAGGTACACCTCAATAGGTTAGCTCCGACCTCAAGCGGTACAATTCTGTCTGATCTGAGAAGAAAATGAATACGGTTATGTCAATAAATAATAAACATTTTTATTTTCAGCTCCATGAAACAAAAGTGAATTTGAGTATAATTTCACGGGAGCGTATTTTACAATAAAATAATCGAGTTGAAAAATGGGTCAAACTATTATTGTTTCAAGAAAATAGTATTGTTAGAATGGAAAAGGGTGCATGAGGGAAGAGGGAAAAAAGAAGATAATAATTAAGAAGGGTCAGCTTGAAACATAGACCCCAGAAGTGTACACATATTCTTTCCTTTGGCTGGACGCGCGCGCGCCGGGACTGAAAGAGTTCGATATGGGAAAGCGTGGCTCCGGGAGAGGAGGTCGAGTCGCAAAAGGGGGCGGAGCGACTCGCGGACCCGTGAATTCGGTTTCTTATTTCTAGATTCAGTCTGGGCAAAACGTGAAGGGTAGGACAGGAGAGGAAGAAGGTAAAGAGACCACCATGTGAGCGTCTGGCGCGCGGAAGAAGGGAACACGTCGGAATAGACTGATTAATTCACAATTTTTAATTGTTAACGGAAGAGCAGAGAGTACATCTAAGACGTCTATGTATCATTAAGGTGACACGAAAAAGGCCAAAAAGAAATATACGAGATGAAAGATTATGAATTGATAACAGTTAAATGGACTGGGGAGAGACGGAGCGATTCCTAGGCTAGAAGAGACGAGAGAGGGCGGTCAAGAAGTCGGCGACACATCGAAGAGATCGTACAGAGGGGGCGGGATCCTATGTGTCTGGCGCGACAACTTGCACTCGTTTTCTCCGGCATTAAGAATAACAACTTAACAATGACCTAGTTTGAGAGAGAGAGAAAGAGAGAGAGAGAGTTCATGGGGACTTGTAATTAATGCGTAGACTCCAATTGAGCGGGACTGAGCATGGGCGGGAAGTGTCAAAGGAAAGGGGAGCGGATAAGAGAGTAAAACAAGTTTCTGATGTGGCGTTTGCATCACGGCTAGACAAAATGCCCGTATTCAAGAGACAGGGGATTAGTTAATCGGGGGGACAACGAGCGGCGCAGCTGTACAGACAAAATTGGGGGGATAAAGAAGTACATTTCAGAGCATCTACGATCGGTTTAGAGGGTGTACACGTACATTTTTGGAGGTATTTACTGGGTGCATGAATGATGGAGAACAGAAACGTCGCTATGGTTCAGAAAAAAGGACAGATATCGCAGAAAAGAAGTTTTTGACAAGAAGCGGACGAGATGGAGATGTGTTTGTGTGGCAGAGGGTTACACGTAGACGGTGAGATGAGAGTAGGAAGAGGGAGGTGGAGGATGAAAACATTGAGAACAAAACGAGATTAGGAATGAGGGAGGGAAGAAATCAACAACGGGAACGTGAGCGAAGAGTTGGCACGGTCGGAAAATGATCGACTACTGTTTTCCAGCATTCGAAGGATGTGGCTGCTGCTGCTGTTGCTGCTGCATCATCATCATTTGTTGCCGGTTCTGGAACTAAAACAAAGTTATTAGATGTCATGTCAACACAGATGTCAGGGTAAAACAATCGACTATAGAACTTGGTTGGTTATTCCAAATAGAGGTTATTGAAATATAGACGAACGCACGTTGTTTGGTTGATTTTTTGGAATAAATATAAAAAATTACACAGATAGCTAAGAATTCGAAACCGAAAAGCGTAAAAAGTTCACATCGATCGATCGTCATCGCAACATAAACATCCTTAGACCCCCGGAGCGTAACCAACCTGTCCGTACTGCATCGAATTCTGTGGCATGCTGCCGGGATGCGGTTGCCGTTGCTGCGCCCAGCCTGGTTGCTGCTGCTGCATAGATGGATTCATCGAAGCAAACTGTCCGCCCGGTCCTCGTGGCTGATTGCCGTTTGGTCCGGGGAAGTTGCCGCGCATCTGAGCTCCTTGTTGCTGGCCCATTTGTTGTGGATTCTGTCCCATCGGATTCTGAGGACCACCCGGCAGCGGTTGACCCATTATATTGGACATATTGGCGAATTGTCCGTGTTGCGGGTTATTCTGTAAAGACCGACCACGGGTGAATAGGTTAAGAACAGGACTGAAAACATTGGGATAAGATGTAAAAGCGGGACTTGATCACTTTGGAAACAGGGACACAGACGATCGGCTTCTTAAACTAAGGATGTCAGTTGAAGCAAAAACTCAAAAAAAAGCGATCCGTCTCTCGAAGTTTTCAGTATCCTAATGTTAGTTAAAACCACGGAACCCAAAATAAGTTAAGTAGGTTTAGTGAGTAGTTTCGAAGACATCGCTTACTCTGAGCCATGCGTGGAACAAGTGCGGTGTCTTCTTAAGATCGGCGAACACACTCTCCCGCTCCTGTTGGGTCTTTGCATTCTTTAACCGTACATTGATCTTGGTTATCTGTGGCTGCAGTGTAGGATCGGATTGTTGCTGCTGCTGAGCCTGTTGTCCCTGCATGTTCATCATGTACATCTCCTGATTATTTCTGAAAAATTTTGAATGCAATCAATCAAACATTATTTCGATTGGAATACCTGAACTGCTGCGGATTCTGTCCCATTCCAGGCATGGCGGGTCGACCCTGTTGCTGTCCGGGAATTCCCTGCTGTTGCCCTTGTTGGTTCATTCCTCCTAGTCCGCCGTGGCTCATTCCTTGCCTCGACATATTCGAGTACATGCTATGCTGTGCATTCGGTCCTCCTGGCCCTCCAAATCCTTGCCCATTGGCTTCTGAAAGCAACGAAATCATCTTACTGTTGGACCGAGAGACAACTTACGCATGAAACGCTGATTTCCTCCCATGTGTTGATTCATTCCAGGAAGTTGTCCATTCGGTCCGTTCGGTCCATTCGGTCCTGCAGCGCTCATTCCAGTGCCTCCAAAACTGTTCATCTGCGCTCCCATTCCACTAAGCGGACCCCTTTGCATCTGCATCTGTCCAACACCTCCTCCTTTCACAGCCGCCGATGATGGTGGTCCGGCACTAACTGGCGGTGTTGGAGCACTCGTATGAGCTCCATTCGTCGATGCACTTGGGGTGGGCGGGGCTCCTCCAGCTGTGGCTTGAAGTCCTTCCATTCTTCTTCTCATCATCATATCAGCACGACGTTGATGTGAGCGCTTCTGTTCGGCGAGCTTCTGTCGAATGTTCATACAGAATGGTACGGAGCACGAGTCACGAGTACAGTGCTTAGCGTGGTAACAGCAAAGGGCAATGAGCTGCTTGCACACCGGGCACGTTCCGTTGATCCTCTTCTTGCAAAGTTTCGTGTGCTGAACGACACGCTTCATCTTGTGGCAAGACATACGACGGCAGTTGGCATCGCGGCACTGGCACGCGTGAACCAACGAAGCAATGCACCGCTGGATACTCTCGTATCGACTTCCGTTTCCATTTGAATCTTGGTTGGAATCAGGGAGGAGTAGCGACTTGATCTGTTCCATCTCATGCTGATGCGGATACTGTGGCTTGCATCCACCGCAGAGATCAAAGTCCTCGCAACTGTTGCAATGCCATTGAGCCGGTCCATTGCACTTGTTGCAGCTGTACTCCATTCCCTTGGAATCTGTCTCGTGGAGAGAGTAAGCGAGACAGAGTGTGGAGTATTTGGCTCTCCTCAGAGAAGAGAACTCCCAGTGCTCCTCTCGGGCCTTCGTCAAGAAGATGTCACGTCCGTCCATCATATCAGAAGGCATCAGACCGTCAGGATCGTTGATTGGGCTTTGAAGAGCGAGAGCCTCGCCAGCGGCATTGACGAGTCGAATGGTGAAGAAGACTTCCTTGTGCTTTTCGAACTGCGAGAACAGCTTGTCGGCCACTTCGTTTCCAGTCAGGCTTCCAGCTTTCTTCTTATTCATCTTCGCGTTCTTCTTCAGATTGCTCTTCTTGTTCTTCGAACTCTTCTTCTTTCCAGAGTCTCCACTTCCGCCGAGTCCTCCGTCTCCATCCTCTCCGTCGTCGTCTTCATCTTTCACTTTCCGTTGAGCCTCTTCATTGGATGCTTCCCGAATACAATCCTCAATCACATTCGGCCAGAAATCTCCTTCAAAGTACGGCAATTGGGTCGGCGAAGTGAGATTGTCGTCGCGAGCTTGCTTGTAGATGTCTTTGAACTCAATGACTGTTCCCTCTTGAACTCCTTTCTCCAACATCTTTTTGTACCAATCCTGAAGACGTTTCGGCTTCGGTATCTTCTGCTCTGGCGGGTGGCAATGGAAAATGTAGTCGTCTCCTTCCGAAGGAGGACAAGCCCAGATGTGAGCCATTGTGTACCCGAGCTTCTTCGCGTAGTCGAGGTATCCGAGTAGAATTTCGTGATAGACATCAGTTCTGAGCTCTCTCGGTTGGAAGAAATGCACCGAATCGAGATACGCGATGTATACTCTTCTCGCGTTCGGAGCTGGACACTCGCTACCGTACTCCTGCACGTGAAGACCGAAAAAGCACACTTCGACGCCGTCGATGATCTCGAAAGCGAACACGGCTTTCGTTCGGTAAGGGAACTTCTCCGGGAACTGATTGCTCTCCACGTACTTCGATTTCATCTGCGGCTTCACTTCGGCGTCCTTGTCCTGCACACAAAGTGTTCGGATTATGACAGGATACTTTGGAGCTTCCGCTTGCAACTGTCGTTTTATGAATCCGTTGACACGGTCCTCGAGGTATGTCGACAGTTTGTTGGGAGGCAGCTTGCTCGCGAGATACTTGTTCTCTTGCTTCGGATACTTCTTCGCCGTCCTGCAGCTTGGGCAAATGAATCCTTCCGGATAAACCTTCTTGTCGTGAAGTGCACAGATCTTATGCCATTTCCGCATACAATACTTGCACCGCTCGAATGGTTCGTACTCGATCAGACTGTTTTTCATCTCCTTGAAGTCCGACTTCGGCGCCATGTTATTGCGATCATTCGGATTCTCAGAAAGTGATATTCCCTCGGGCGGAAGCGCATCGAAACACTTCTGACAGTAGGTATACCGCTCGTTGACAGTCACATTGAACTGAGTAGAACTCTGTTCGTACATCCAATACACCTGCTCTCTGGCGATCGTGCACATTGCTGCTCCGTAACAGAAGAGGGAGAGCGGCGTGAATGCGAGCTTCTTGGCACAGCAATAGCCCATCGACTTCATAGTGTCAGAAATCTCGGAAATGAACAGTTCGGACAGCTTGACTCCATATTTGTACACTTTGCTGTTCTTCCGATTGTACAGCCATGCGTTGTCGAACATCAGCCAGATGTCGTCGCAGAACTGATGCACGTTCTGATACTTTCCACCGTTCAACTTCTTTTGAATAGTGTCCAGGTCCATTGGATTCTTGATAATCTGATGGTAGTCGGGAATGTTGAGTATCTGCGCGTCAACAGGTATCCGGAATGGAGCTCCTTCTTCCGACGTGTCAAGTTTCTCCCAAATCGGCATGAGTCGCTTGACCAGCTCCTCTTGCGAGAATACAGAGTCTTCCGCTGGTGGTGGCGTCGGTTCTCTTTTCACACCGTCCTTCTTATCAGTCGAGCTGGATCCAGCTTCTGTCTTCACATCCTTCGGAGTCGGCGCATGGTTGGATGCCTCATCGTCTTCTTCCTTCTTCACTCCGTTGAGAGTAGGAGCCGGTGTGGACGAAGTGCTCGATCCCGCGAGTCCGGCGGCAGTGGCTGGTCGAGAGCTCATCGAATCCGCATTACTCTCATCCATCGGTTCAGTTTTCGGAAGAAGGGTTCCACTGGTAGCGGATGATCCTCCGATGTTCGGCGTGCTGTTTCCGCTGGCCGGGAACAGAGCTCCATTGCTGTGTGGCGGAATCGGACCGTTGGATGGCATCTGCTGTGACTGCATGCTCGGAGCGCCTCCCCATTGTTGGTTCTGTTGGCTCGGCGCAGCTGCCATACTGCTGCTCCCTTCCATATGAACGTCGCCTCGATCGTTGCGACCATCGACTCCCAGCATCTGCGCGATCTCATTCGAAGGCGGAATGTTGTTGTATGCTGAAACTAAAACTGGATTATTCGATTCAGACTGAAATTAAACTCACGGTCGTGATTCGCATTTCCTTGACTCAGTCGAGAGTTCTTCTTCTCTTGTAACTCCTTCTGTATCTTATAGATCTTCTCGGCAAGTAGATGATAGTACTCTTCGCGGTCGTTGGCCGACTCGAACATCTCCTTCTCGACCTTCCGTGCATATGCTATCAAATCTTTCAGACGATTGTCATTCACTGCGTTCGGATCTGGTTCTGGGAAGATTGCCTTGACCAGCTTGCCGACAAGATGGTTGCGTAGATCCTTGGTGACTTGATGATGCCATTCCTTTGTGCAATCCGGCATGTCTGGAGGTGGGAGATTCGGAATATCTCCGTTGCTTCCGCCCTGTGGTCTCTGTCCTTGACGGTTCGCTCCGGGTCGAGAAAACGGATCTCCGTTGAATCCTTCGAAAAGACTATTCGTCAGATGTTGACCGCGTTGGAGTGAAGGTGATCCGAACTGTCCCATTCCGTCACCTTCTGCACTTCCGTTCGAGTTTCCGTTTCCGCCGATGATGTTAGCGAGATCTGGCACTGAAACTATATTATTTGTAAAGTTTGAGTTAAGGTGGGACAACTGACATGAAAATTGCAATGGCGTGTCCTGTATCCTCTTCAACGGCTTACACACTGGGCAATCCTCTCGAGCACAGTTCTTCCAATGAGCAATAATTTGACGGGACGAAGCACAGTGTGCAACTGAACATTTTTTTGTTTGATTGGTATCGGCTGAAAGAGATTTCAAACAGTGGCCAGAGTGAAGCGGATTGGAGCGGGAGCAGCGCTTCTCACTTGCTGATTTGTTCGAAACTCTTTAGAGAAGAGTGAAAGAGAAGTAGGTAAAAAGGAAGAGAGAAGCGACACGACGAAGAACAACACTTACAAGGGCACGATCTTCCGACGTTGCAACTCGTCATGTGCGTTAGCACGTCCTTCATTGTTGAACAGTGTGGGAGAGTGCAGGCGGCATGAGGCAACGGCTGATTCTTGGCGGCAAAGTCCCGATTCTCCTGAATCTGTAGTTTTTGAGAGGAAATCAGTTCCAAATGCACTCACCTTTTCACGTTGTGAGCATTTATGTGCATGTAGCAGAAGAACCAACTGTTGCTGAATCAACTTCCGTTTTTCTGGGTCTTGATGTGTTGCCAGCATGCTGGATCCAGGCGTTGTTGACCGTGCGGCTCCGTTCCGTTGTGCGGCCGCCGCTGCAGCAGCTTCCTGCTCCCGTTGCTGTTGAGCTGCGGCTTGAGCTTGAGCCTGAGCCTGTTGTTGTGCAGCATGATGAGCGGCTGCCTGGGCTGCATTCTGTCCTCCTGGAGGCACGTGCTGTATACCCGGGTGTCCATTGTTCATCATCATTGGCCTCATGGGTTGTCCGTTCGCGTCCATCATCATCTGAAATTACAAGGTAAACTGAAACATCCACAATGGGAGTACAAACCTGTTGTGGATGCATCATAGGCGGGTATCCCGGATTCGGCCCTCGACCGTACTGCGCATGCATGAACTCCGGTCGTTGTCCTGCGTACTGCTGATGTTGCATGAAACTCCTTTGATCCATCATTCCAGGCATCATCTGCTGTTGATTAGGAGCCATTCCGGGCCTTGCCTGTGCCGGCATCGGTCCGTTCCGTTGCATTGTTCCATTAATCATCGCTCCTCGTCCCATGGCTTGTCCTGGAGTCGGTCCGCCCCGACCTGCTCCAGGATAGCCTGGCGGTGCAATGCCTTGTGCTCCGGGAGGTCCTGGCTGCGGGTATCCAGGATATCCTCTGTGCATCATCTGCGGGAACTGTTGACCCTGTGCTCCCATCATCATCTGCTGATCCCCGCCCGGTGGGAACATCCCAGGTTGACCTGGTCTCAGCTGTGCTTGTCCGGGTCCTTGTTGAGGTCCACCAGGGCTCGGACCAGGAACTCTGCCACTCATGCTCGGCGGAGACATCATGTTCGGCGTTCCATTATGCATCGACGGACTCCTGTTGAAGGCGTTCTGCTGTCCGGGTGGGTATCCAGTTGGCCGTGGCGAGTTGTTAGCACCTTGGGGTTGGTTCATGAGCAACTCCTGAAGCACAGAGCCGCCGGCGCCCCCCGCCGCGGTCTGTTGCTGCTGTGGTTGTGCTCCCGGCTGTCCCGGTTGCATGTTGAAGCCGCCATTTGGTGCTACCGGCTGCGGTGTGCCTTGGGGAGGTGGATGTTGAGGAGTCGAGCCAGAAGGACCGCCCAGTCCTCCAGCCGAAGTACTCGGATTATCTACCTAAAATAGGAACATGCGGTGGCGGAATGAGAGAAGAAGGGTCACTTACGTCTGAATCCTTGTTTGATGTTGGGAGCGGTTCCAGCTTGTCGAGTTCGGAAAGCGCGTCGAGTCCCGAATCATACTCTGCAATTATCGATTTTTGAACATACGAAACGATGTTTCGCTTTTACCGCTCTCAGCGCGAGATTTTTTCGATGGTGGCTCATCCATCAATTAGTAGAATGTGTGTTTGACGAAAAAGAGCCGAGAACGTGTGCTCTTTATTTCTCTCTGACAGCGGAACTTTTGTAGAGATTGAATTGGTTCAAGTAGCCAAAACAACCACTACAACATCGGAGTTCCCGCCTTCTGGGTTAGTTTTAGCAGTACACCAGATAAGCGATGTCCGTTTCTGTAAAATGAACCGATTAAATTGAGGTGCTGGATCTGTTCTAAAAAAAGAGAGAGAGGGAGAGAGAGAGAAAATGAAAGAAGCGAGACGAACACTGCTGAGAGCCGCCGCGTGCGGAGGGTGCGAGAGAAAAAGAGCAGAAAGAGCGCGCGCGACTGAGAGAGGCAAACGATGAGACGGAGACGACGGAAAATCGATATAGCGAACGAGGGAGGCGCGCTCTGCACTATTTGGGTTCATGCGTACTGTTTTTGCAAGATTTGAAAAAATAAATCGGGAACAGGAGTGGATATGAGGATAAGATAATGCCAAGGAAAACTTTGTGAAAGGGTTACGGATTACGGTAATCACTTTAAAGCAACTTTTTATCGGTGTTTAGATTTTTCACTCTCATTGTGATAATTTGGCAACTACTGGTCTACAGACCTCAAAGAATTACCGCGGAGGTCACTTCTATGAATCAGAACAGTCTGAGTCAATTTTTTACAAAGGGCATGCGTGCCATGTCAAGTAGAACTTTTTTGCGCAATTGATCCCCCACTAGGAGTCTTTAGGTGCTAGCAGTCTCAGATATGGGCCTGAACGTTCCGATAGAGATAGAAGCATCGATGATCAGAGGGACCATCAAAAACATTCTGTGGATGGTCCCGATCAATAATGTCGATTTTAACAGTACTGATCAAGCTGATCAGGTGAGCACAGCTTGTCAGGTGAACTTCCTTGATGCAGATATGGTTACTGACCCGATCCCCAGACTGTTTCCCTGCTTTTAAGTCTCGAAAGTTTTCCACGTGATAGATATCATAGAGTTATCGAGCGTGAGAAGCGCAGAACGGCGTTCACCGAAATATCACTGTTCTGAGCAGAGACGGCAGACGGCACGACTCAGCGACCCACCAGATATTGTGTGTTTTCGAGAGGACGCCGACAGAGGGTGTCTCCTCATTGGCTGGAGTCTCGCCACGAAAGCCGCGTTTGCCAAGGTACGGTAACGCACTGACCGCACGCGACACGCACGCGGCCGAGGTAACTCGCAACTCAAACGCGTTCCATTTCAGCCAAGCTTATGGTCCGGAATCAGGATTTTTGCAAAAAATTCGGGCATGATAGGAAAGAAAATAACCAATAGCATCGAATTAGGGGAGAATCATGGTAAAGTGGTGGCATTTGACCGAGAAACTAGCAATAGAAAAAATAGGTCACTTTGAAACTTTGACAATGTTTTAAAAATCAACCATGGGAGCTAAAAATACAAAATAAGCATGAATCGTGAGGAATCGAACAGGGAATGGATGAAGAGGGTGGATTAAGTACAGAAGTCCCTGATTTATAAAATAATCGATAACAAAGATGGTACATGTTTCCAGGCGATTTTCGGAGACGCATGTAGGAATTAGGAGGCAAGCAAGGCTTCAATGGATAGAGAATGGTCGAAAGTACCAAGAGATGGCTGGAATTTGAAAATAACTGCCGGAGAAGCGCAAAAAATGAAGAGGACGGATGAGCGGCAGTTCAAAAAGTGCGAGGAGGCGGGGCAACGGCCCTCCGCCCGACTGTCGATATCACCAAGCGAGAGGCGGGGCCGACAGGGTGGCGGGAGGGTGGTTTACCGGCGGTCCTCGCTCTCCGGCAAGACTCCTGAAGTCGTCGGCATCACCGACGACGACTCTTTCGGACGCTGACGCCGTGCTGCTGTCCTCAAGATTGTAATAGTGTGGCCGAGAGGGCGGAGCCTCCGTTTCACACTCTTCCGCTATGCGCCCCTCTACTACTGCTCAGCGCCGGGCGTTCCGTCCGTCTCTACCCTCTCGTTTCCTTATCTCTGTGGTATCGAAGGTGCGATCGGCGATCTGCATATACCGTAATCTACACATACGGTAGTGATGCGCGCGATACCATTAAAGGGAATTTTCTGCTGAGCATTCGGGAGAAGGAAGCACGGAGAATACAGTAGCACGGGTTTTATCGAGAAAAGGATGGTTAGACTTATATAAAGATCAGAGACATGGTTGACTGAGGCAATGACGGGAAGAATTTACGGAGGGAACGGCACAGAATAAAGTGAGGTTAGCGCAGAGGGCATAATTTAAAGTAAGGATGAGCGACAACGGCGAGAAGCCTAATTAGTGGCCTCGCCGGCGTTGCCTTGACGATCTCGATCGGCTCGTAGCCGGAGCAGTGTACACTTAACGGAAGAGCTATCATTTTCGGAAGGACTGAGCAGCGGAAAAGACAAGATCAGAAGAAGTGCACGGCAACGGGCGCCGACCCTAATTGGGCTACTTCACGACTTCCGCGACAGCGCTGAATCGCCTGCACATAAAATTGATGTCCTGAACATTCAACTTTGACTAGTCAATTTTCCCAAGTGAAGGCAAAAAACTTGTAATATTCGAACTGTGAGAAGGAAACTGGAACAAGGATCCTCACACTGCTCATAAACTCAACTACCGTAAAACCTTTATCAGAAAGCCATATTGCTTCACGGTCCAATCCTCTGTTTTTTAGATGTCATAAAACTTAAAATCATGTGAAACACCCATCGATAACCGCCTAAAAGCGGCATAGGAAGCTTTTCGGATTTGATCGGAAGCCTTCTATTGGAGGTTTTATGGTAAATGCATTTAACTTGCGAATAACTCAGTAAAAAATATGCGAACGGTTGATATCGATTAACAATAAAAATGTTGATCAGAAAACAATTTAAAATAAAATCTCGCTTGGATCTGATAGACCGAATCGCAAAAACGGTTTGGAACGTAACGTGGCATTGGAAGAAGGAAACGTGGAAAAATCGATTCAGAGCACGACGACCACAAAATCGAGAGAAATAACGAATGAATCGGCAAAAATGAGTGAGAGTGGGGCAAAGTGAAGATGTTCGATTATGTGCACTATCCGAGGCAAAAATTGTATACGCGCTCGAAATGGACGTGGAAGAGGAAATGCGCCGATCTGGCGACCGCAGGCCACAATTCGTGGCAATTCTCCAATTTATTTCCCGCTTTTCCCGATCTGTCTAGCATTGAATGCACTAATTAACAATTAATACTTATAGTTTTCAGGATGCCAACTCCAGAATCCTCAAAATCCCCGGTGCCTTCACCCGGATCAGCCGGTGGAGGTGGTAATAAGGTGAGCTTGAAGATTGAGCTCGACAACTAAATAAATAATGCATTTCCAGCTTGATAGTCTATCAAAAGATGATTTGGTAAAGTTCGCGAAAAAGCAGGTCACTCATTTGGCGGAGATGAAGAAGAATCAGAGTGCTCTAATGGAAAAGCTGGTGAGCACTTGAAAATGATAATCAAACATAAAGTTGGGTTTAGAAAACAAAAATAACAGAAGTTGATCATCTGAGAAAGGAGTCGGAGAATCTGAAACTGGTCAACGAAAAACTCACCTCTGATGCTGCTCATAAAGTGGAGGTCCACACCAAATTCATCAAATCTTCGACAATTGCTAATTTTCAGAATAACCCAACAGAGTGTACCGAATGTATATCGAAAAGCGGAGTACTTTTAGAGCTCGAAAAAGAAATAGTGGAATGGAAAGAAAAGGCTACTCGTGCAGATATGTTCTCGTTAGAATTGCGTGATTTGGAGTCGAAGGTCGACCAATTGAACAGAGCACTTCGTGAGAAGACCGAGGCGTTGGTTAAAGCACAGGAGGTTATCACTGAAAACGATTTGACTGTAAACAGCATGAGGCAAGATAAATAACAAGAAAAGTAGTGAAACAGTGTTGTGTTTTAGAAAAGAAACTACCACTTCAAAGTCGTCCATCGATAAGTTAACAGAAGAAAATAGCCGTCTAACGAAGGCTCTGCAAGACGAAAAATGGAAAAGCGCTGATTTCGAGGCTCAGCTTCGATCCGCCAACTGCAGAATCTCCGAGCTCTCTGACCAACAAGGAAGCGAAAAGCTGGGTCTTGCTCGAAAATTAGCAGAAAGTGATAGTCGTGGCAGAATGTATGAAAACCTCCTCAGACTGAAAAAACAACAGTTTTTCAGTCTCGAAGAAGCCGTCGAAGTCTTAAAGAGCGAAAATGAGAGACTGGTTGCTCAGAGCGAAGAAAGTACGACGAAACTGGAAGCCGCGGAGAAAGAATTCGCCGAGTTCAAGGTTTGAATATCATTTAAAATTTTAGTATGCATCCATGCTTCAGAACAAGGCTCATTTTGTTTTGGAGAAGCGTGGTAAGCAGGAAGATGAAACGCGGAAAGTGGCCGATCAGTTGGAGACTGCAAAAAGTACTATTCTGGAATTAGAGCAGCAGGTTGATCAGACGAGACAAGAGCATTTGAAAACTGTGGAAGACTTGGCATCCTCGCGCGACAAAGTAGAATCTCTCGAAAAGAGCCTTAAAGCAAAAAAAGTGGAGCTTGCTGAGTCGGAAAAGAATAATGATACTGCGTAAGTGACGGGATTATTGCAGCTGAAATCAAATATCGACTATTCAGAATGGAAGAATTAAGATCTAGCTCTTCGAAACTCATTCAAAGACTCGACGAAGAGCTCCGATTGATGCGCTCTTCACGTGACTCCGGCGAGCAGAAAATAAAAGATTTGGAAATGGCAAAAGAAAAAGTGGATCACTTGCTGCAGAACGAACGACAGCGCAGTGAAAACGAGAACGGAAGTCTCAAGACCAAACTGACCAACGCTTCGAAACAAGTACACGCACTGGAAAAAGAGGTTGCAGAGCTGAAGGCAGATTCAGAGAATCGTCGCCTTCAAAGCTCACAGCATCAGCAGCAAAAGGCAGTCGCCGCCGTCGTTCCCCAGCAAATGCACATTCCCGAGCATCCGGTTCCTTCTCAACACTTCCAGAGACCGGCAGTTGCACCGTCCGATTCAGTGTCTTGTTACGACGAAACTGCCACGCAGGTTTGAGCTATTTACATATTCATTTAGTCGGATGCGAAGGCAAAATACAAATAGTTAGTTTAGCACTTCTGGAGAAGGGCCTTGCACTCCTTGAGAAGCTCCTCGTCGTTCGGCGTCTCCATTGGGAGCTCGACGGCTTTGCTGAGCAATTCGCGCGCCTTCTTTTTGTCCTTCTTCGCAATGTGGCATTTCGACAAGAACAGCATGTTCTCAATCCAGTCGGCGCGCTGCTCATAGGCGGCTTCGAAGTCAGCCCGCGCGTCGTCGATCGTTGCTTTCGGCACCTCGTTATAGAGAACGGAAGCGGCCTAGAAACACTATTAGTCACGAGAATTCATAGAAACAGTTCACCTTTCTCTCGATCCAAGACAAGTTGGCGATGGTGAATGAGAACCGGGCGCGAAGGTGAAGAAGGGCGAAGTCGGTCGGGTCGAGCTGCAGAGCCTTGTCGAGCATGTCCTTAAGTTTGCCGCCCTCGTTGATCTTCTCCTTAGTTGGAAGCTGATCGACGACAAGTCCGAACACAATGGAAGCCCACTTGGCGGCATCGAAACAAGACGGGTCGAGCTCCATCGCCTGCAGTCCGTAGTCGCGACCTTCAAGCAGAATTTGGCGTCGTTCCTCTCCGCTCATTGTCGTTGACAACTCGTGGCAAAAGCGGCACTGTCTCCAGAGCAGGTCGCACGATTCTTCTCCGCCTTCACGACGTTTCTTCAATTCGGAGAGTCCTTTGACAAATTCGCGGCTCTCGAAGAGCTTGTCTGACGAGGCAAAGGATTCCTGCGAAAGGAAAAACGTTTTTTTTTTCTTGGAAATGAAAGATACTTACCATGTTACGGGCTAGTAGATGAGAAGAACGATGAAAAACGGAAGAAGTCGAGGAAAATGCCTGAAAAACTACCCTTTATAGTCACCGACGGCTCGTTTTCGCGCGCGCGCCCGACATAAAAGTCACAGAGATTCAAAATATGTCCGACTACGATAGAATTCAAAATTTTTTTGAAATCGAAATTTAGTGAAAACGAAAGAAATTATCTGAAATTTCTCAAGTTTGTTATTGTTTTGTTTCTAAGGAGATGAAGAGCGAGTGGATTACATGTGATTGTGCCACGCGCTGCTCGAATTGCACAAACTAAATATGACGTTTTCTGCCCCTCCTCCAATCCCGATTTTGAAAAAAAAACTGATTTCAGCCGGACCGATCACTGGAAGATGTTTTATACGGTGACCTAGGAGATGAGTACAGTCAGTGGAATGTTCCCAATTAAAAATTACGAAATATTGTTGCAGGAGTGGAAAGTGACGAGCTGTCAGAGGAACGATTTAAGTCTTTGATGGAACAGCTGGAGAACTTCAAGAAAACGAATCATCACGTGGCTGAGCTGCTCAGTGAAGCAGAATCGGCCAACGGAAGACTTGCAACTCAGGTCGGAGAGCAGAAACGAAATTTTAGAAATGACTATTAATTGCAGAACTCTCTTTTGAAAGAGGAGATCCGACGATTGGAACGAGAAGAAAAGCGAGAAGCGGAGCTGTCAAACGAGAAGAATATGGAATACTTGAAGAATGTATTCGTGCAGTTTCTCAAGCCAGAGAGTGTTCCAGCTGAAAGAGATCAACTGGTCGTTGTTCTCCAGAGAGTGCTTCATTTATCCCCGAAGGAAGTCGAGATTCTGAAGGCTGCATCAGGTAAAAAAGAAAAGGAAGCAAAAGAAATGTAGTGGTGTTGATAAAGAATGTAGTCTCTGCAAAAAATTGCTGGTCGGCGACAACAGCAACAAAAACATCAGACCGCCCGCCCATCTTGCGTCATAAAAAATTCGTTTTCAGCTCACATGGCGACTGCTCAAGCTGCTTCTTGGTCGGCATATTTCTCTGGATGGTCTGGAACTGCCTAAATGTTTCCTTCCTTTGTACATTCCTCTCTTATTTATTGCATGATTACCGGGTTTTCTTCATTTTCTTGTGTGTGTGTGTGTGATAACTCATTTCCTTTCATGATACTAGTGTCTTTTTGTGTGCGTGCCTACTCTTTCCACTTTTCACTTACCAATAAACGCGTTTATTTAGTGAACCCATTTGAACGACAATGCGTTTCCACATCGCGCAAAAACTACTTGTTCTAGAATATGTATTGTTTCAGCTTCTTATCGTTCCTCGTTAAAGATAACACAAAAATGGAAGAGCCAGCAACCAGCGCGTTGAAGTTGTCCGAAGAGGTGATGACGGAAATCCAGGACATGTGCATCACCGAGTACTGCAGACCAAACATGAGCTTGATCGCCCAAATCAATGAGCTTTTTCCGACGGAGCAGTCGCTGACCCAGTTGGACTCTGTCATTGCCGCCGTCGAAGGCGAAATCAGCGAATTAGACAACGAGTTGGCTTATCTCGTGGAGACAAACGCGAACGTCAGCGAGAGAGGCGAGGAAGCTCTAAAATTGGCACAAGATGCGATGGTAGAACTAGAAAAGAGCATTGGGAGCATAAGGGAACGAACGAAGTCGTCGGATGAGATCGTTCGAGAAATGACTCGAGATATCAAGCAGCTGGACGTAGCGAAACGGAACCTGACTGCCTCCATCACGACTCTCCATCACTTGCACATTCTGCTGACCGGAGTGGAATCCCTCGGCGCCTGGGTTGACAAGAAGGATTACAGTTCGATCGCACGACAACTTCCCGCTATTCTGAATGTTCTGCAATTGTTCGACGGCTACAAAGAGTCGGAACAGATTGCGAATCTGTCACAACAGTTGGACAAACTGAAAGCGAGCTTGACGATTCAATTGGCGAAGGATTTGAAGAATGCGTTCCAGACAGGACAACTCAGCGAACGAGTGACCGACATGTGCCGAGTGGCCGCTGCTCTGGAGGGGAATGTACAAGAGAACTTTGTGAAGTGGTTCATTGAACAGCAACTGAGCGACTATGTGATAATCTACGCGGACAACGAGGAAGGCGCGTGGCTGGATAAAGTGGACGACCGTTACAAATGGTTTGTACGGAAGTTGACTGACTTCGAAAGAGCCGGTCTATCGAAGATATTCCCGGCGGATTGGCACATGGGAAGGCGGCTGACGAGCGAGTTCTGCACGTTTACCAGAGACATTTTGTATCGGATGATGACGCGAAGACGGCAGGATCTGGATTGGAAGCTTCTCGGCCACGCAATCCAGCATACGAAAATGTTCGAAGCACTGCTCACCAAGCGGTTCCCAGAGAAAGACGGAATCACATTCGAAAAGGCGATCTGGAGTGTCTTCGATCCGTTCCTCGATGTGTTCATCAATGCGCAAGAAAAAACTCTAAATGGTTTTCTGGATACTTGCGCCAGCAAAATACGTTCGGGCGAGGAGAAGCCGAACCGGGAGTCGTCATCACACGCAGTGCCGTTCCCCTCTTCTGCCGACATGTTCCTTCTGCTCAAGAAGGTTATTACCGAGTCGAGTAAACTGAGCAGCGAGCCGGATGCCCTGATAAGGGATGTGATTGGAGTGGTCAGAGTGTGCCTCCGAGGGTACGCGACGTCCTGTCTCATCGCATTCCTCCCGTCTCTCGGATCTCATCAGTCGGGGGCCGCCAATCTGTTCAGTCTGATTCGGGAAGAGGTGGCCTATCCGAGACTGACTCCCGATCAGCAATTCCTTGTGTGCTGCATCCTGGCTACCGCTGATTGGTGTGCAGAAACGTCTATTCAACTGCAGGAGAAGCTTTCGCAACGTATTCCTGGAGTGGACATTTCCCAGGAAACGGAGGCGTTCTACTCTATCACCAGTCAATCTCTCTTGGTTTTGGTCCAGGATGTAGAATCTACGTGTGACGCGGCGCTTCAGTCAATCAGCAAAGTCAAGTGAGAACTACATGGTGTCATTAAACTTCCAAATGTTTATAATTTCAGTTGGAGTGCAGTTGACTGCGTTGGCGACGAATCCCCGTTCATCGGAGCGATGCGAGCACACCTCCGGCAAGCCGTTCCTCTGATCCGTGACATGCTCTCCGATCGTCGCAAGTACTTTGCTCACTTCTGTCTAAAACTCGCCACGCAGCTTGCTCATAAGTTCGTGGGCGCGCTCTTCCGTTGCCGAGCAATCAGTACGCACGGTGCCGAGCAGCTCCTCCTTGACACGCATTCTCTGAAAACGTTCCTGCTCAGTGTTCCTTCCATTGACAGTGTGATCAATTCGAAGCCACCAACTGCGTATGTTACAAGTGTCAACGCGGCGTTGACAAAGGCTGAGATGATCCTGAAGGTAGTTTCGTGAAGGAAACGAAAGGTTAGAATAACTGATCAATTCAGGTGGTCATGTGCAGTTTGGAAACAGTGGACGATTTCGTGGAGCAATATGCCAAGCTACTCCCAGTCTCAGACGCAGCTGAGATGCAGAAAGTGCTCGAGATGAAAGGAATCAAACGGCAAGAACATCCAAGCATCCTTATCTCTTACCGACTCAAAATGGGCGTTTCCGCGTCGGACCCCATTCCTCAATCAACTAGTCTCACGTCCCGAATCGGAGGAGCTCTCCCGACCGTCGGAAGTGCTGCGTCTGTGTCCGAAGCATTCAACGCCGTCGTCTCGATGGCAGCCGACGGACTTTCCGATCAAGCGGTGACGTCATCAATTGATAAATTGAAAAGATTTGAAAGACTAGTCAAACGCCAATTATGATATGCCAAAAAAAAAGAGTTGTATCGAAGTATTTATTAACTTATCGAATTTTTCATACTGAGAACCCTTGCATAAATAAAAGTTGTTATACCGCATTGAATATCTGAATCTCTTTTTTATCTGAAGACGGTTCGAGTTTCCTGACTTACTTTCTTGAGTTCTAACTATCATTTTATGAAAAGTCAAAAACGTGGCCTCCTCCTATTCTGCCAAACTTCAAGTTTTCTATCACTTCACTGATCATTGCGTGATCTATAGTCCGAAGGTACCAATCAAAAAGGTAGGCTAGGTGCTTTTGCTCGTTCTTTTCCTGATTCTCTTCCCGGCTGCTGATCTTGAATCGTAACTTACACATTGTGCTCATCTGAATCCCTTCTCTCAAATCTTCAGAATTCTGAAGTTCACTGATCACAGTTCACGCAGTGTGCTCTATTGTTCGTCTCTCTTTTGTTGCCTGCGTCTTCCGTTGTATCTTTTCTCTCGCTCCCCATCTTTCTCCTCCCCTTTGCTGACCCTTTCCTTTATTTTCTGTTTCATTTTCAAAAAACATCCACTTTTACTATTCTTCTAATTTCAGAAGTTAAAATGATGCGCTTCTCGTCGATGCTCGTCCGCAACGGAAAACTGTGCGTCAATGTGAACCAGATGCAAGCTGCTGCCTTCTCGAGCAAAGTTCCCGAGATGATCAAGGTGGAGAAGGTTGGAGCCAAGCAGAACGTGGCTCTTATCAAACTGAACAGACCGAAGGCCATGAACGCCCTATGCGCGCAGCTGATGACCGAGCTCTCCGAAGCTCTGAACACCCTCGATTCGGACAAATCCATCGGAGCCATTGTGATCACTGGAAACGAGAGAGCTTTTGCCGCTGGAGCTGATATCAAGGAGATGGTGAGTAAACGCTATATTGAATCTCTCAAATCTCCCTTTTTCAGACCAACAATGAATTCGCGGAGACGTTCTCCGGAAGCTTCCTTTCCAACTGGACCACCGTCAGCAATGTGAAGAAACCAGTGATTGCCGCCGTGAACGGATACGCTCTCGGAGGAGGAAACGAGCTTGCTATGATGTGCGACATCATTTACGCCGGAGAGAAGGCCCGCTTCGGACAGCCCGAGATCAACATCGGAACGATTCCAGGAGCTGGAGGCACTCAGCGCTGGGCTCGCGCCGCAGGAAAATCCTTCGCCATGGAAGTCTGTCTGACTGGAAACCACGTGACTGCTCAGGAGGCCAAAGAGCATGGAATCGTGAGCAAAGTGTTCCCAGTGGATCAGGTGGTCGACGAGGCCGTAAAGCTCGGAGAGAAGATCGCCGATCAGTCGCCACTCATCGTCCAGATGGCCAAAGAATCTGTGAACAAGGCGTACGAACTGACTCTTCAAGAGGGTCTCCACTTCGAGAGACGTCTCTTCCACGTCACCTTCGCCACCAAGGACAGAAAGGTAAAAGAGACGCAGAAGACGTGGTCGGAACAATGAGAAGAGACTGTTGATTTCAGGAGGGAATGACTGCGTTCGCCGAGAAGAGAAAGCCGCAGTGGGAGTCGAAGTAGACAAGAGATCTGATCGATCGCCGGAATAGATGAACAAGAATTGTGTGTTTTATTGTAATTTATGTGTTTCTACGGTTTCACCCTTTGCCTATGTATCACCTGGAAAATATAATAAACGAGCATAGCGTGGACTTTCTTTACAAACCGAATGTTTGAATTCTACATTTTAGTATTTGTGATTTGAGACTTATGATGTCGCGTAATTGATAAAAGAGGTTACAGAGTAGTCTCAGATGCCCTTCCTCGATTGGATCTTTCCTGTGGGTTTTACTCCTTCCGCTTCTTGTTCAAACCGCCAATTCGGCCGACGTGCCCTGCCTCTTTCTGTCCGTCTCCGTCCCGTTTCCTCTGATTATCTCTCGCCTTCTTACCCCTTATCGGCCGAACGATCACCATGACGACGGACTGCAAATGCATCTCAGAAGCCGCTATACAACAACCGCGTGCCCGCAACCTCAATCTCAAGTAAAATCGCTTCGTTTCCAGATCGAAATGCTCGTCGTCGGGCTGAGCGGCGGAGTGGCCACCGGGAAGAGCACTGTGTCGAGTGTGTTCCGTTCCCACGGAGTGCCCATAATCGACGCGGATCTCGTCGCGAGACAGGTCGTCATCCCGGGCACTTCCACGTACAAGAAGCTGCGCAGAGAGTTCGGAGACGAGTATTTCGACGATGAACACGGCGGAGTGCTCCGCAGAGACAAGCTCGGAAAGCTGATATTCAACAATCCGGAGAAGCGGAAGACGCTCAATCGAATCACCCATCCGGCCATCCAATGGGAGATGTTCAAGCAGTTCCTGAGCCTTCTCATCACCGGAACCAGGTGATTTTCAATATCTTTGTTATTTCTTTTCATTTCAAACTTGCTCAGATACATCGTTTTCGACACCCCTCTTCTGTTCGAGAGTGGCTATGATAAATGGATCGGCACGACGATCGTGGTGTGGTGCGAATTCGAGAAGGAAGTGGAACGGATGACGAAAAGGGACAATGTCTCGAGAACGGACGCGGAGGCGCGCATTCACGCGCAGATGGACATAGGTGAGAGAGAGAGAGAGAGAGAGAGAGAGAGAGAGAGAGAGAGAGAGATGCAGACGGAAACTGAAAGCGATGATATTTGCAGAAGAGAAGAAGAAGCGGGCTCGGATCGTCATCGACAACAACGGAAATATCGACGAGTTGCGGGAGAAGGTAAAGGAAATCATTGTGCAGCTGGACAAGTCGTGGAAGCCCTTCATCTTCCGTCTCGTGTTCGGAATCATTCTCGGCGTCGTTCCCTACTACTTCTTCAAATATACTCGGTCCTGAACATGTTTCATTCATAAATGTTATTTTGAATTTATACAATTTGTATTTGTGATCACTGGACGATATGCTCGATGATCCGTTGACGTACTCGATAAATGAAACTGAAAGTGAAACGTATTCAGATTGAACGAAGTCAGGCTCCGCCCACTTTTGCTTTTTAATAAGCATTCCGTCGTCGGCGGCCGACTGGAGCATCTTCTGATTCTCGCGAAACCGCAGGTACTCCTCCGTGTGATCGTCCTCTTTACCATTGTAATTCACGACGTCGTTCCTCGTCAGCGTCCTTTCGTAAACTTCAGATTTCAACATCAGAATAGACTCTTTCGAATAATTTATATGATTTTTCGGAAGTATTGCTTCTCTTTCACACTCTGGTTCATACTCGATGAACCAGGAACGATGATTGAACTCCCAGTACTTGTCATCCAGCCATTCAACAATGGCCGGGAAAAAGTAGAGCGCGAGAATTATCTGAAACAAATCTCAAAACGCCTCCATAATTGGAAACTAACATTAGCAGCGTTGCATAATGCGATGACGTATGACGGGATTACCGCAGCGAGCATTTTGAGAAATGAAGATTATTCCGGTTTACACGTCGAAGAAACGCTTTTCAAGCGGATTTCATTACAGCAGAACACACACAAAGAGGAATAATAATAAAAAGCTAGAGGTCAAATACACATCGCACAGTTGAATTGGTGAATGGGCCGTCGGATAAAAAACAGAAAATGGGGATACTTAGTCAAGCGGGAAAGATGGATATAAAATAGAATGATTAAAGCACGAGAATAGAGGGGAGAAGTGAAAGGGTTTAGTCGAGTACTAGCTCTCCGCGATAGTCGCCTGCCGGCAACTTCGAAGTGTCGATGTCATCGAAGTACGCATGATTTAGAGCCTTCTTCGAGCTGATGCGGAGAGACGGGTCGTAGATGAGAAGACTCTGCAAAAATTATCGGTTAGTTACGAGTGGCTCAAGTTGATATTACCACAAGCAGGTCATATCCGGCTTCGTCAATCAAGTAGGTTCCTGTTTTCTTGTCGAGGAACTTGTCGCGGAGATAATTCTCACGCCACTTCGGGAATGTAGGCTTGTAGTCGGGCAGCGACTCGACTCCGTTCCATTCCAACTCGGTCGGCGTTCCGAGCACTCGGAAGATACGGAAGAGCTCGTCAATCTCCGAGTCTCCCTGGAACAATGGTCTCTTCGTCGCCATCTCAGCAAAAATGCAGCCAATAGACCACATATCGACACCCATTGAATAGCGCTGAGCACCCATCAAAATTTCCGGAGCACGGTACCAGAGGGTGACGACCTGAAAATTAAAGTCTCCTTTCTAAATAGATTTATTCGTTGTCACCTCGTGAGTGTAGACGCGTATCGGAATTCCGATAGCTCTGGCGAGACCGAAATCGGCCAATTTGATGGAGCCCTTGTTGTCAACCAGAAGATTTTGAGGCTTCAAATCACGATGGATCACACGGCGCTGGTGACAGAAGCACATCGCTTGCAGGATCTAAATAGCAAGCGTTTTTTTACTCTATAAAGCTGACGCTTGCCTGGAATGTATAGCTTTTGAGAGTTTGATGCGGCAAGTACTCTTCTTTTGGGAGTTGGTCCATGAAGCGCTTCAAATCTGACGACAAGAACTCGAAGATGAGATAAAGACGATTCTCCTGCATAATGACAGCCTCCAGTCCGACAACATTAGGGTGCTGGAGCTCTTTGAGCAGGCTGATCTCTCTGACAGCAGTCGACGGCACACCCTCAAAATTAGTTGTATTACTACACAAACAACTTTTACTGTGGTCTCACTTCGTCCTCGCTCTCCAATCGAATCTTTTTCATGGCCACCATCGCGTTCGTTTTTCTGTTTCTTCCCTTGTAGACGACTCCATAAGTTCCCTCGCCAATCTTCTCCAATTTGGTGAAATCGTCCAGAGTGTAGGTCATCTTTTGCTTGCTGACAGAGCTCATTCGGAGAGTGAAACTAAAATGAGAAAAATTGAGTGAAATGTGAGCAAAATTGCGCCGAAAACAGACAAAGCAAGCGCGGCAATATTTGAATCGTAGCACTTGCCGCCGTGGGGAGGCATGTCGTTGCGAGACCCGCAGGAGAAATAGCCTGCGCCTTTGAGGCAACGGCCTTTTTTCAACGAGTAACGCAATCTGTTAATTGGCATGAAAAATTGCATAACATTGACACGGCAATTTTCAGTAGAATGTTTATCGAAGAGCGGAGCACTTTTAGAGCTCGAAAAAAAAATAGAGGAATAGAAAGAAAAGGCTACTCGTGCAGATGTTCTCGTTAGAAATACGTGATTTGGAGTCGAGAGACCATTGTTCCAGGAAAACTCGGAGATTAACGAGCTCTTCCGTATCTTCCGATCTTCCGAGCGTGTAAATTTGAAATCCACAATCGGTCGGCCGACATCTTTCGAGAAGAACCGACAAATCCAAGAGGCGGCCGCCAAATTGGGCATCGAAGAGTACTGGATCGGCGCGACGAACGTCGATAACGACTGGGAATGGCTCGACGGGTCCATGATGACGTATTCGAACTTTGACGTGGCAGCCGGATATCCGAAGAAGACAGAATCGCAGGTGGGCGCGGTCTCGATGGAGTCTCTTTTCGGACTGTGGTACACGAAGATCGACGCGATGGCGCTGCCGTTCGTGTGCGAGTTCCAGGCGACGGAAGACTATTCCCAAGGTATTTTCTTCTTCCTTCCAGACAAAAGAGAAAAGAGACGGAGGATTCCGTGAATGTGAAGTCCAGTCAACAGGCAACGGGATCAAGTGGAAACGATAAGGGAAGGGAGCGGTTACGGTGGAATTGTGGTCAGGCGACTTCGTTTTTGCGTTGAAAAAACAGGAACCTTTTCTGCATCCCTACAGGGACTGCACTGACCGAGGAACTGAATTCCAACTCTAAAGCGAAAAGAGAACGCGATGAGAGTGAGACGCTCCGCACGAAAATTACTAATATTCAAAGAGGATGACAGTTTTATGTTGAAATGAATTCGTTGTTCAATACTTATGATTTCGAGTTGATACAAGAAACTGAGAAGCGGCGGATGACGGTTTTGTCGTGATTCGCAGTTTGAATTTCGATGGATTCAATCGTCCTCGACTGACTGATAATCCACGTATGCTCTCCAGTCCTCCCAGCAATTTCATTGTGATTCCATAAAACGTTGATCGCATTGTCCGATTCGCAAATGATTTCAATTTTACCCAATGGTATCGAATCGAATGTGAACAGCCTGAAAACCTGCACATTCTTACGTGAACTGTAGTTGAAACTTACGGAAATATCCGGTTTCTTCCGAACAAAACTACGCCTTTCCCGACAATCGGATGGCAGAAAGCGCTGAGATGCTGAGGCTGCAGCTCGAGTGAACTCAACCGGAATCTCCAGTTCTCTTCCATTCCTGAGCAGAAGTTGGTGGAGAAATTGGCAGAAATGAGGGGACGTGTCCGAATGTGAGGCTTCAGCTTCTCCCAGAACCTGAAAGCACGCCCCTGGATAGTAAGTATTATTTAAGATCGAAACGAACCGAATTCCCATTACTATCTGATTCTCATCGGGAAACTTTTCGTAGATCCATCCGGGTGCAAACAGAGCGACAGAAATGTGGAACAGTTTGGCGAGGGCGAATGATTCGTGGCAGTGGAACTCTCCGACGCATCCGCGTGCCCACACATCGATTCCGACGAAGATCCGATCGAGACGGCCGAATTCGGCGGAACGGAACAGGTCTCCGTCGGTCCTTGTTGTAGTCCGAAGTCCAGTCAGACTCCGAACCGTCCGTCCTCGAGCAGCTCTTCTGAAAAGTAAAATTTAGTACCGAAATTCTGATTTCTAAAAAAAATACCTGATACAATAATCCCCTAGTCAATTTCGTAAAGGCCTCAATAATAAAAAGCAATATTGATATACATAATTAATGACTGTTAATATTATTTTTCTTTTGAAGTTATTGCTCCGCCCTGGTCGGGATCGGCGTCTGCTCGTTCTGTATGGGTCTCTCTGAAAGTAAGCACGGTGAAGAATTATGTGGCTATTCAGCGTATATTTGTTTTCCGTTTTTTACATCGCTGAATTGAATTTTTTGACGTAAAAAAATCATTTTTTCACAGCCTGGATAACTCCATTAAAAACACTGCCGCCTAACCATAATGGGGATATTCAGGCTGTGAAAAAAAACATTATTTTTTTTCCGTTTTTTTTACGTCAAAAAATCCAATTCAGCGATGTAAAAAAAACGAAAAAAAACGGTAAAAACAAACATGAATAGCCCCATAAACTGGGAGATTGCATTGTCCTCGACAGTAACCCGGAGTGTAATGCGACACGAGCCGATCGTTCATCAATTTGAGAAACTCAGCGACCTGCGGCCCATTTCCTTTGTTTAGAATGGATGCTATCGAGTGTTGAAGTCATACAAACATGAACTTGTGCCAGTGAGGCTAGTTCATGCCGGAAATCGCGGTTAAGTGCTTGTAAACGTTGCTTATTATCGTTGTTGGTCATGATGATTATCGTTTGTTCGCCAGGCCCTCTCTGGAAGTGGGTAATGCAACATAATTAGAAAAGAAGGAGATGAAGAACAAACGGAGGAAAAAGCAGAATAGTTTGTTTTCCTCAAGGCGGGTGAATTGCATTAAAAATCACAAAACAAGTACTAACAAAACATTCGCGCCAAAACTGGTAGTTCAAATCTGCTCCACTCGCAATTTACCTGAGTAGCGACTCGTTCACCATAGCGATACGTAGCCAAACAGTCCACCAACTCGATTTTAACGAACTTCCCGGTTTTTCGAAAATTTTCGTTCAAAATGCTCACAGATTTACTATTTTTGTTTTCTTTTTGAAATCTACAGGTTCACATTTTGACATAATAGCGGCAAATTGATGCTCAAGTGTTCTCGAATGCTCAAAATTCATTATGGAAGCTTAGTGATAATGGAACTTTAATTTAGGCGTTGTTTTTGTCTCGTTCTCAATAATGTCTTTTTCAGAATGTCCGAAGATCACCACGACGAGGAACAATTCGAATCGGCCGACTCGGGAGCTGCTGCCACCTTCCCGAAGCAATGCTCGGCTCTTCGCAAGAACGAACATGTCATGATTAGAGGAAGACCGTGCAAGGCAAGTGTGCTAATCAGACTTCTGTTGGCCAATCGTGTTTTAGTTGACGACACTCGATCTACTCCAGTTTCACAGAGCTTGCTTTTATAGATTGTCGAGATGAGCACCTCGAAGACTGGAAAGCACGGACACGCCAAAGTGCACATGGTCGCCATCGACATCTTCACCAGCAAGAAGCTGGAAGACATCTGCCCGTCGACCCACAACATGGACGTTCCGGTCGTCAAGAGACGCGAGTACATCGTTAGTGATTTTTTTTTTAAATTTTAAAGGTTACACTTTTTTTTTAGCTCATGTCCATCGAAGACGGCTTCTGCTCGCTCATGGATCCTGAGACTTGCGATATTAAGGACGATCTGAAGATGCCGGAAGGAGACCTCGCAAACACCATCCGCGAGGCCCTCGAGAAGGATGATGGAAATGTCATGGTAGGAAAAAATAGTGGAATTATTCTTGAAACAGTATAATTAAAGGTTCAAGTCGTTTCGGCGTGTGGTGAGGAGGCCGTTCTCGGGTACAAAATTTCTACCAAGGAATAATTACATTTCATATGCACTTTCACAATAAAATGATAGTCAGCTTAATCCAGTCGGTGTCTTCGTATAACATCGAAAACATTGCGGCGGCAAACAAGTGCACATCCGATGGAGGTGTGTGGGTGTTTTCTATGCCGTGATGATTGTGATATCTGCTCACCGGACGAAAATGAATTGATTGCAAACCGCGAGTGACACATGTCTGGTTGACTTCTTTTTCTACATCTGAAGATTCACGCGGATTTCCATCAAATTGTTTGCATAACAGGGACACACCTACCGATGTAATATTATTGGACACGGGTCGGGGGCGGTTCATTCTCCGTTCCTATACTTACCTCGCTGCAGCTTATTGAGATGACCCCAGGTTGGTTGGCCGAGTGCCAACAGGTCTGTTCACTTTAAACTGTGTCGGATCAGGGAGCACTCGGCTCGCAAACCACGATGTTATCTGGGTCCAGTATCAACTGGCCACCCTCTCTTACTCGCTCTCATTAAATTGCTATTTCGCATCAATTTCACAGTCAGATTTCGTAAACTCTTCTTCTTCTTCTCGCCCGAATCCTTCATCATCTCGCCACATTTCTCACCTCCCGCTCCGTTTACACCTCGCACTGCTCTTTCTTTCGCTCTCTTCCGGATTGTTTGCCTTTCCTCAAAACCACACACATCCGTTCTAATCCAGCTTACTGTAGCGACGGATAAGAAGATTGAGAAGCAGAAGAAGAAGGCACCTGTCCTGTTCCGTAGGTTTCATTGTAAACAAAGCCTGGGAATCAGATGAGTATTTGTTCGATCAGTACGTTTTCCGTCTTTCCGTAAATTGACCAAGTTTTCATTTATCCCACTATTTCCATGTCAATATCCTCAAAAATGTGTATTTCCTGATCGGACCTCCCGGGTCATTGCCTTTCTGCTCCGACTTCTTCTCCCGCGAGAGCACCTGTTCGTACCAAGTTTTACGAGCTCGCTCCGGGGTTGTAGGTGAGCCATTGCCCCTCTCGGACGGAGCGTCTCAGTTTCAATTCGATGCGGACGCGAGACGGCGCGTTACGAAATCGAAAAACCTGGGTATAAAACGAAACAGAAGAAGAAGGAGGATCTGGGTGCTCCGCGGAAAAAGTGGACACGTCGTCCTATCTCTCTCACTTTTTGCTGCTCGGCTCTGCTCACCACTTCGCCCGTCCGGGAGCCACTTGTCGTCCCGTCGTCATTTTGAGTCGGTCCCCGGCACGGGAGAGAGCACGTGGCAATGGGACACGCAGTCGGCTCTTCATTTTGCGTGTTTTAGTGCGGGAAGGAAGGCGATGGATGGGGGGAAGAGAGTCTTCACAACATGTCGCAACTGATTCATCACTTTGGCTCTCGACACAAGCCGCGAGCCGGAGAAGCGTTTTTCAAATTAGTTTGTACTAGTCTAAGGTGATAACCAGAGTTTGCACTTTACTTTCTGTTTCTCGCTTTACGTTTCTCAGGGTTACTGTAGGTTTCATTTCTTCTCTCTCTCTCTCTTTTTCTTCTTCTACTAATAACCCATAGTTTCTATCACACCCCCGATTCAGAATGAATTCCCGGATACTGTTACTCCTTCTCATGTTCGCCTTATACGTGGGCCTCGTCAACTGCGGCGGCCAGAGTCTTGTGTCGCCCCAGACCGCCTGTAAAATCAGGTAATTACCGAAACTTGCCGAACGCCGATCACAAAACACGCCAATTATCAGATGCGAGAACGGAGGAATGTGCGTGTTCGACTTGGACCGCCCCGACGTCCATTCATGCATCTGTCTGCTGGGAGTTTATACCGGGGACCGGTGCCAGACTAAAGGTGATCTAAGGAGGGATTGGATCAGATCTGAAATCTCAATTTAATTTCAGTGCCCACTCCAGAAGATTTGTCGACTACTGCAGCTCCGGTGGATCCGCGGACCGCTCCACGTGAGTCTACATTCAATTTCTTCTCATTTATGAATCTTCTTCAGAATCCGACGTCGAAGAAGCTCGGCGACGTGACGAGGAACGGAAAAGAGAGTACGAGAGACAGGTGGCCGAGCGGACGCGCAAACAGAAAGAGGATCGGGAAAGAGTGTCGGAGGAGGAGAGACGTCGCCAGCAGCACGAACAGTATTGGAAGGAGGTGAGTCAGTTGTCGCCGAGCCACGGAGACACTTGTTTTGAACACATTGGGCGGTCCGGGTTGATTGATCAAAGGGGAATTGGAATTGGGTGGCCGCGATAATGGGCGAAGGGTGTCTTGACGAATTGACAGGAAAGATTCTGAAGTCAACCTACCCACTTCCAGGAAACCGCCCGTCGTGAGCAGCAAAAAGTTGAAGCTGAGCGTCGGCTCCAAGAGCAAAGAGTACGGGATGACGAGAGACGCAGACAGTACGAGACAGAAAGAGCGAAACAAGAGGAAAGACGCAGAGAGGTTCGGAAGTAACTCAACCTGCCTACCGTACCTCCTCCATTTCAGGAAGAAAGTCGTCGATTGGCTGTTCAACGAGAAGCCGAAGAAGCGAGAATGCGAGATGAAGAGAGACGCAGACAGGAATCGGAGAAGGAGTTGGGAGAGAAGCGAACGGAGACTGTGAATGAGCAGTCCGAGTACGAAGCAGAGGACGACTATCCGCAAGTGGCCGAACGGGAAGATGAGTACGACGAAGGATACGAAGAGACGACGACGACAACGACGACGGTAAAGACAACGATGGAGATGGAAGCGACGACGGGGCGATCGGAAGGCGACGACGGAAGTGATATGGTGATGGAGAAGGACGAGATGGAAGAAGAAGAAGAAGAAGGAGAGCCGCTGCGGAAGGAGGACGAGCAGTTGGTCGATTCGATCAAGCACGTCTTCGATAAGGCCGTCGAGGAGACCGTCAAAGAGCATCCTATGTGAGTTTCTTGACAACTTTCTGGATGAGTTAGAAGTTCTACAAAATTGCTATTGTCATGTTTCTCTCCACATTTGATCAATGAGTGTAGCTCTAAGTTTGGTGCGTATTCATTTAATTGGCTGTAATAGAAGGACGCTCCAAAACCGTTTATTCAGCTGTCTGTAGAGATTTCAAAATATTTTCAACTGTACACTATGTTTCTATGAGCAATTCGTTAGTGGACAGCTATTGGATATCTTCACTGGCAGCTGAGATATATACAGATGAGCGGTACTGGGGTGTCCTTTTTATCCTTATTTTTCCAGCGAAGAAGACGAATACTGGGATGACAGCTCCAAAAAGATGGATGATGCTGAAGCGACTGTGAAGACTGAAGGTAAGGAAGGAATGAAAATGTTGAAAAGAGAAAAAAAAGGAATGTTCAGAAGCGGAAGAGTACGGTATGGAGGAAGGAACCGAGGGATGGATGATGGTGAAGAAGGAGCACGAGAACGTCGGCTCACGGAGCACAATCCTCGCCGCAATCGTATTTTCTCTGCTTATTCACCTCTTCTAAATGCGTCTACTCCACCGTTTCCACTTCTAATTTCCTCCCTGTTCTTACTCCGCACTGCTTTCCATCACGGGTCACCCTTTTCCTTTTGCTCCTTTTTCAATTCGCCTTCTTACTCATATCTCCTCACTTTTTCTTCTGCCTGTTTTGTTAACACACTAATAATTATTGCTTTTGCGTTAATAAACGATGACGTAATCCGCTGGCTAATTACCGTAATCCCGCAGTCACCTCATCCAAAATTCAATTAACAGGAACAGGTGAAATTGGTGTGCGAAAGCAGAGAAATGGCAAAAGTCACCGCCTGTAGTCGGCTCTCCCGACGCTATTCCGGCAGCTGAGACGACGGCTGAAGCGCTCGAAAGGTGAGAATTTTCAGATGAGTTCGCAAGTTTCAGATGTAAATGAAAGTATTTCAGAGATAAAGGGCAATCTAAAGAAAAGGGAGAGGAAGAAATGCCAATGGTTGTTGCGAAAAGGAACGCGAGAGAACGGACCCGCGTGCACACGGTCAACCAGGTACCCAGGGTTACTGTGCTCTCCTTCAGTTCACTTTCAGGCCTTCCTGGTCCTGAAACAGCATCTTCCGAGCCTCCGTCAGTTCACGAAACGAGTGAGCAAACTGCGCATCCTGAATGCGGCCATCAACTACATCGAAGCCCTTCTCAAACTGATTCAGTCCTCCGACGTCATTCCCCAGTCGACCATTTCGGCGACTCTCGGTCCCATCGTGCCCACTCCTGTCCGTGGTTTTTCGAAAGTCACCAAACCCGAGATAATGCTCACCTCCAATCACTCCCGACACCTTGCTCCGCCACCGCTTCCACCGAGGGAACTTCATCTGTCCGCGCCGGTTGCCACGTGTGCTCCCGATCATTCTCTCGTCGACTACCGTCCGTCTCTCGCCATGACGCTTGCTCCCGTTCCCGTACAGATGCCGACGGTGTTCGCTCCTCAGCCGACGTTTCCGTACATGAAGAGTCTTCTCGATTACCCCACTTACCTGTACCAACCGCCCCCAACAGCCACTGCTCCGAGTGCACAGTCTCACATAATCGTCAACAATCAGATTGTGCCAATGCCTTCTTATCAATGTTTTTAGAATAATAAAGTATTCTTTCCCCCGTTCGTTTTGCCCAAAACATGGAAGATCCGCGGCACTGCTGCTCGGCCGCTCCAAAACGTCATTTCTCTTGTTTGACGATCCGCGCGTATTTGCCTTTTCCGTTCCGTATTCGGTCGCGTTTCCGGTCCTTCCACGTACTTTTTGCCGTCTATAAAAGAGCCGTGAGATGGGCTCTCCGCCCATCGCTCTTCCGTCCTCTGATTCAATAATATTTACCTGCAAGTTCTGGTTACTTTTCCTCTCTGTTTGCCCGTCATTTCAATCTGTTTTTTCAGTCTGTCATGTGGAAGAAATCCCAATTTTCGTCCTACAAGAAAGTGGAGAATCAAGAGGAGAATGTGAAGAGCCACACGTTCAACTACCAGAAACTGAAAGGTGAGCCCAAATTGTGGTGAAATGACGTGGAGTGTTTCAGAGATGGAAGCCGAGGAGTTGCCGAAACAAACGAGTTATCCGAGTGCTTCCGCCCAAAAGACGTTCTTCGTTCCGCCCGTTTTCGCCGTGATTCCACAGAAGTTTATGTTTTTCGGTTAACCAATCCAGGATCTTCCTTGAGAAATCGTACTATTTATTTTCCGTATTTGAATGAGAAAAGAGAAAAGAACAATAAATTATTTGCTTGAATGTCGTCGCGATTCTTTCAGTTTGGATTCTCACTCTCCCATGCCATCAAATGACCTGATCGGCTAATACTGAAAGGCAAACAAAACCGAAAAAAAAACACATGAGAAGTTTTTGAAGAGAGTACAAACAGCGCGATTTATACAAACACTCCTCTTCCCTTTCAAACAAATTACGGCGTTTCCCGTCATCCCGTTTTCTCGCCAGTCTCGTCGTTTTTCGAGGTCATTCCGAGAGCTGATCGTATCAAAAGATACTTTCATCAACACTCAACCCAAAGTGAATCAGCTGAGCTTCCTTTCATTCCATTTCACAACCCTTTTCCCGGCGCGCAATCACATGTGATGAGAGGGGAAAACGGCAAACCGGTTGCCGGATCGGACGGTCATTTCCTTCCGATTCCCTCTTTCTCTCCCGCCGATTTCGCACTCGTCAATCTTCGTGTCCAACCTGAAATAGAAAAGTGTTTTATCGCACAGTTAGATACTATCGTTCAAGTTGATTTTGATGGATCGTCCCGCAGTATTTCATTGAAACCTAGTGGGCAACGTTTCATTTGAATATGGTGGGACACGATCAAGGTTGTGCAGGATTTTTGACCTCTAAACTTTTGACCCAGTGTCAATATTTCGACTTGGAGAATGCAACGTTAAGGCTATCCTGGCTACAATCATGAAAGTACATTTCCTACCAGTGCGTGACCGACAGTCATCTCTCTTCTTCTTCCTCTCTCGTCGCCCAATTAGTTCTTCAGTAGTGACTGTCATTCTTTTTCATTTTTCACTCTCTTCCCTTATTTTCCGCCTTCTTCTTCTTCTTCTTCGTTCCGTTCATCTTTTGAATGAATTCATCAGCATAGAGGGAAGCAATCATAAAAACGCAATTACATACAAAAACACAATGTTTTCGTGGGGCGGGCGCCTCTCTTCGTGCTTCACTTTCGTACAATCATTTCCGTTTCTTCTACTGAATCGTCAATATCAGTATGATTATATTTTGGGAGTGGACACTTGTAGTCAGTTGGTTTTCGGCGCTCTCACTTTACATTCGGACCTTCTTTTTTGTGGGCTTTGTTTCCGTTCGTCTTTATTTTTCTCCGTCTCCGTTTTCGCTCGGATCACACTCTCTCTCTGCTCGGCTCATTTGGGTCCATCGTTGGGACGGAAGGGAACCAGTTTGACGAACCAATTAAAACGTTTGCGCTCGCTTTGGACTCTGTCGCAGTCCCTTTGGAGAAGGCTGTCACGCAATCGAAAGTGTCCTTTCTGTGCAATAATCTGTACTCGTTCTTGTCAACCTCTGCCCACCGGGACAGTTGTTTCTCATCCGATTCACTTGAAATCATGAGCTCTTGGTCTCCTCCTCCTCCCTCGAACGTTTCCCTTGTCAAATAATTAGTCATAATTCCGAGACGACCGTATCCGTTGCTCTTTGTCTAATTATGTGACTCAGGGCCCACTTGAGCCCGAGTGCTTCGCTTTTCTTTCTCTCTCTCTCTCTTTCTGTTCCACGTCGTTCATCCGCATCGTAAAAACTTGCTAAAAGCGCTCTCAGTCAGACCAAAAACCTCTTCTCTCGGCAGCGAGCTCCCCCGGGAGTGGGCTCACTTTCCGGAGAGGAATCTATCAAATGCAACATAATCTGGGGCGGCGGCTCGCTTCCTCCCGCTGCTCATCCATCAATCAACACCCCCGCGGACCGTCGGACACCTGTCGCCGCCGTCCCATCCGATCCGAATCATTTCGACACCTTCGGCATGCTTCTGTTTGAAATCACCTGGAAGTTTGACTTAACGGGTACACCTGCCTGCCAAAGTTTCCCTTCGCTTTGTTGCTCTTGCTCTTTTCTCCTTTGCTCCTTTGCTCGGGCCACCCCGAATTGATCTGTGCGTGCAAATTCGAGCTTCGGTCCCTCCACTGGCGCCCACTTCCTCCAACTTCTTGCCGATGATTTCACGGTCGGGGCGGCTCTCTTTATTCACGCCTTCCGGAATTGGGTCGCCGCCTCCACTTATTTATGACTTTTATACACACCGGGTAATTAGTGACATGTGTCTGGGCGTGCCACACGCGAGCACCCGAATATGCGTCCCTCCGGAGAGCCGCTGCCCCCGTCGCCGGACATTATTTTTTGCGCGTTTTGTTGTCGTGTGTCGTGTCGCTGGCGATCCACGGCTGTGTACATGATTCTTCTTCTTCTTCTTCTTCCTTTGCTTATTTGTAAATACATTTACATTCAATTCGGACGGCCACAGGATGATGTCGGCCCAAACAAAACAAGCACCTCTGATCTTGGATCAGGGCTCCGTGAGCCCTACCGTTGCTCGTAGCTAGTCGTGCTGGAGCAAGTTGCAAAAAAAAACAGCTAAAAGATATAACAAATCATGCTCTCGCTCTGCACCCATTCAAGATTTATGTGACCGACTGCACTACTCTCCCTTTCTGTCTCTTTTCAAAGAGTTTCCGTTCTGAAAGTGACACTCTTTTGTCCGCTTCCATTTGGTATTGGTACGTAGTACAAATGTCTTAGCGTGTCATTTTGTCGCTTCCGATTGTATTCTGAATGCGTCAGAAAGTGCCCAGTTCATTAAGTTCAAATTTCGGCTCTTCGTTAGTATTCCGTTTTTCGCCACTTAGAATTCGGACCCATGATCCTATGTTGCGATGAATGACTAATCGCATTCTCGTGCGCTCCCCATAATTATTGCGTGTCCTCCGAGAAAACTGATAATTAATGTCTGGTGCCGGGCCGCTCAGACCTTTTTGAATGACTGCTTTTTGCTGGAAGCTTCAGAAGCTTGATTCCAAAGACTACCGTACTCTTTCACAGCGTCGCCAGGGTAATCTGACATCTTCTTAAGACAACGTCTGCCGATTCTGACCTCATTTTGTACCTTCTCGTATCATTCTCCGAATCCATTCTGCCCTCTTCTAATCCATGTCTCATTCAAAAAGTACACCTCTTCTCAGTGGCTGATAATCTCGACGCCCGCCCGGATTAATCGGCTCTGAGTCCCGTGAAAACCCACCCAGTTGGTGTCCCAAGTCCATTCTCTTTTCTTCCTTTCTCAAATATATATTCATAGTCCTTCTCGCCCCCTCCACAAAATGATTTATGTGCTCCCCCCGTACGCGATTGGCTCTCCTCCTCTTCCTCATTCGAAGCACCTTTGCAGGAGAAGAAAACTGATGAAGCCCACGTGGCTTCTGATTGTGCTGGCCGTCGTGCTCTTCTCCGCATGTTCGGCCAAAAAGGGAGGAAGATCGTCGTCACACGCCCGACATTATTCTAGAAGTAAACCGTTTTTCACTAGGAAGTGAGTAACTTTCATTGGTCCCGTCGGAAATGGGAATTGCTTACAGATACTCGAAGCCCGGCTCAATCGAGCACACTTCCAACTTCCGTTCGTTTGTGTTCGGAGCCACTTCCGGACTGCTCATGTTCAACGCGGGAAGACATATTATCCAGGACTCTTCGGAACCTATTTCGTGAGTTTGGTTGTTTGGTTGTTTTCAATGGTTCTTTTCAGCTTCGGAAATAGAAAGTACTTCTGGGGAGAATCCGGCTACGTGCCTGACGAAGATCTTCCCGTTCAGTGTATAAATCGAATCGATCCGCAAGATCCACAGTTCGGAAGAGTGAGCGTTTAAATGGTTTCCAATTCGCTTCTGAAAGAATCACTTTCAGGTGTACTTTGACAACGAATCCCGACCGCAGGAGATCGTCTACGCCTGCCCGGCAGATCACAACTGTTGCGGGTACGACTGTTGCACTGAATCCACGTTCTTTACTTCCATCTTGTAAGTTCCCGCTCTCCCGAACACATGACAACGTTTCCTCCGATTCCAGCAGTCTCCTGGTGATCCTCCTCGTCGTCTCCGTCCTCAGCATCTTCGTCATCGAATGTTTACGTTGGTGTCTCCATTGTACCTACTTCTGCAAGCACGGCCACTCCCGTGACTTCGAGCCCCTCAGCATCTGAATCCCTTCATAATATTTCCCTTGTTATCAAGTGCCTTCTCTTCCCCGAATACGGTCTTTTCCACCCTTTCCAAATCCCAACTTCACTTGTTTCTCCACAAAATCTGCGATAACTTTTCCCCCCTTCTGTGTTCACTTCTTCAGTTTTCTTTCTTTCCTCGCTACGGGTTTATATGCAAACATAAAATGCGAATAAAATCGAACCGTCTTGTGGAAATCGGCCGGAAGTTGCGTGTCAGTTATGCTCTTCCGGTCGCTACTTGTCCTGTTATTCACATGGAATACGGTAACTGGCTTCTGCTATTACGGAACCGCATTCAAGAATGTCACCGGGTATAAGCATTCAATAGTTCATTGAGTCGTAAGTAATTTCACAATAGCTAAACTTTCAGATGTTTCCAGTTCTTCCGAACTCCGTTGAACTTCACTAATGCCGTCCGAGTATGATTTTATGATTTTCCACTCTCTTCTCAGTGCCATAACCCTTTTTCTTCAGTTCTGCCGTGTAAATTTGAAGTCCACAATCGGTCGGCCGACATCTTTCGAGAAGAACCGACAAATCCAAGAGGCGGCCGCCAAATTGGGCATCGAAGAGTACTGGATCGGCGCGACGAACGTCGATAACGACTGGGAATGGCTCGACGGGTCCATGATGACGTATTCGAACTTTGACGTGGCAGCCGGATATCCGAAGAAGACGGAATCGCAGGTGGGCGCGGTCTCGATGGAGTCTCTTTTCGGACTGTGGTACACGAAGATCGACGCGATGGCGCTGCCGTTCGTGTGCGAGTTCCAGGCGACGGAAGACTATTCCCAAGGTATTTTCTTCCTTCTGCCATCCTCTAAGACTCTCGAAAGTGCTTCAGGAGTGCTCTACCGTGTCCCAAAGACGCAAAGTCTTCGTTTCCCTCACGGCGGCATCAAAGCCCCGATCGTTTTGGTCCAATCCGCCGATCAATCCGTTCTTTATCCGGCCGTCGGACCAATTCAGAATGAGGTGGACACTGGAGAAAAGGCGTATATGGAGCCGATAAACATGACTGCCGGAGCATTCCCCTCGATGGGATTGAGTGGACAACCCGTGGTTATTCTGAATCCGCGAAGAGTGAGGGTGAAGCTGAAGCCGGTTGTTGTGACGGAGACGGAGACAGAGCAGAACAGATCGGTGAAAGAGAAGGAAGAGACGGAGGATTCCGTGAATGTGAAGTCGAGTCAACAGGCAACGGGAGCAAGTGGGAACGGTAAGGAAAGGGAGCGGTTACGGTGGAAGATTGTGGTTTTCCAGGGACTGCACTTGCCGAGGAACTGAATTCCAACTCTAAAGCGAAAAGAGAACGCGAGGAGAGTGAGACGCTCCGCACGAAAATTACTAATATTCAAAGAGGATGACGGTTTTATGTTGAAATAAATTCGTTGTTCAATACTTATGATTTCGAGTTGAAACAAGAAACTGAGAAGCGGCGGATGACGGTTTTGTCGTGATTCGCAGTTTGAATTTTAATGGATTCAATCGTCCCCGACTGACTGATAATCCACGTATGCTCTCCAGTCTTCCCAGCAATTTCATTGTGATTCCACAAAACGTTGATCGCATTGTCCGATTCGCAAATGATTTCAATTTCACCACATGGTATCGAATCGAATGTGAACAGCCTGAAAACCTGCACATTCTTACGTGAACTGTAGATGAAACTTACGGAAATATCCGGTTTCCTCCGAACAAAACGACGCCTTTCCCGACAATCGGATGGCAGAAAGCGCTGAGATGCTGAGGCTGCAGCTCGAGTGAACTCAACCGGAATCTCCAGTTCTCTTCCATTCCTGAGCAGAAGTTGGTGGAGAAATTGGCAGAAGTGAGGGGACGTGTCCGAATGTGAGGCTTCAGCTTCTCCCAGAACCTGAAAGCACGCCCCTGGATAGTAAGTATTATTTATGATCGAAGCGAACCGAATTCCCATTACTATCTGATTCTCATCGGGAAACTTTTCGTAGATCCATCCGGGTGCGAACAGAGCGACAGAAATGTGGAACAGTTTGGCGAGGGCGAATGATTCGTGGCAGTGGAACTCGCCGACGCATCCGCGCGCCCACACATCGATCCCGACGAAGATCCGATCGAGACGGCCGAATTCGGCGGAACGGAACAAATCTCCGTCGGTCCAGTTGTAGTTGAGGTAAATGGCGTCGCAGGCATCGTAGAATCGACTGGAATTCGGAGGAATTCGAGGAAGAATCAATGGAGATGTTACCAGTTTTCGGCATTCAATGCATTCTGCCAGTGAAGTTTCCCGTTGTGAAGGACCGAATCGTACCAGATCACGCGAGAGTTCTCATTGGACTCTCTTGATTTCTTCGTCAAACTGGAGCAGAATCTGAGCAGCAATTCAATCTTCTTTTCGTCGATTTCATTCTCGATGTTGATGAGCCATCCGTCGAATCCAAAGTGGTTTGCCACGGCGACCAAGCAATTCACTGTCTTCTCCACGGATTCCTCACTCTCCAAAATCATCGCACAAATCTCTTTGCCCGGAATCCATTCAGTGATGAAAGTGCCAAGAGAAAGGACACCTACAGAGCGAGAATTGCGTTTTTCTGAAGACGTTCCTCACCGTGTTGATGAGAAATTCTCGTGTATTCTGCCGGCGGAATCGTCACAAAATGATGGGAAAAGTAGTTGAAAATGTCTATTTGCCACCAGTTGAGCATCATGTACGGATACTTTCCCTCCTCGAACTGCTTTCCGCCGTTCATTTCCTCCTCCAAATACCCTCCTTTCATATCGTGGCAAACGAGCACTTGGGGACCCGAACGAGGTCTGAAATGCACGGAACGGTGACTTTGAATCGGGAGCGACCCTACTTGAAATTCACTAATTTTTCCGTGTATTCATGATCCACATCCGTTCGGTTTTCCCATTTCCAGAGGGCATCGAGACTGTCGATCGGGCAGATGTCCATCTGAATCGGCATGTGAGGAGAAGAAGAAGAAGAAGGAAAAGAAGTTAGACCACGAATGGGATGTGGATGGAACCGATTTTGAAGACAGGAGAGTTACTCAATTTCATTGAAATTATTGAATAATTTATGAACTTAGAACACCAACAAAAAGTAATAAATTACATAAGGCTACAAGTAAAAATGGTTCCCGCGTTGTAGACGAGTATAAAAAGACTAGAGCAAGTTTACAACTCTCTATCCATTTCATCATCTGGAATATCCGACAGATTGAGTGGCTCGTCTTGAAGCGTCGGCTCGTTCGGAGGCAGAGCAGCCACGTCGACAGCGGAACACACTCCTAATTCGAGCTGGCAAAACTGCTTGACTGGCTCTTCGTGGGCGGTCTTCAGGAACGTCAATAGCTCGTCTTCGTTGGCATCCAGGAAGTCGTTGCACTGGAATTTATTAAATATGTTTCGTTTTAAAATGAGCACCATAAACTAACGGCATTCTGAAGACGGGATCTCATTTTCGGTGACTCGTCTCCCTTCAAATATGTGGCATCCTTGTGCACGTGGACTGCTTTTCCGGTCAACGTATTCACCACAAGTTTGTACTGTTTCGCCTCGTCGCACACGTGCTCAATGATTTCGGTCAGATGGGATTCCGAGCGCGCGTATCCGATCTCCTTCAGTCCCTTCTGCTCGCCGGTCGGCGAAACTCGGAAGCTGCCCACTTCGATTTTCTTGTTCGGATCGACAGCCGCGATTTTCATCTCGAAATGAGTGACGAGGAGGGAGCAGGCTGCAAGGATTCATGGGAATTCGGAAGGGGAGCACGAGGGAAATTACCTCCGCATTCCAGCGATTGCACAGAAGCCGCGACGAGAAGAGCTGGAAGCGAGGAGAAGAAAACGACGACGCAAAGGGATAAATGCATTCTGAAGGAGAAAAAATGGGTAGGAAATGGATGTTTGTACGGTGAGAGTGACCCCCGAGGAACGAGAGAGAAAAGAGCAAATAGAGAGTCAGAGAGAAAGAAAGGAATGATATTCGGACAGTTATCCAGTTCAGGCGGAGAAGCAGTAGAACGATGAACAGGTAACAGATTCATTGAGGTAAAAAAGAAAACAAGATGAGATTCAGAATGAAGCGAGATTAGATAAAGTCTCAGCGACGAGGTACCACGTCGCATAATTTTTGTCTGGAAAATGAACGATTTCAAATTTTCAAGCATTGGTCACTTACTCAAATTTGTGTCGTTTTCTTGTGTTCAACTCCGATGGAACGTCTTGCTCTTTCCTGAGCAGCACCTCGTAATCCTTCCACGTCACATATGTCGCCTCGGGCATCCGTCCTCGCAACGGACCCACAATTGTTCCAGTTTTAATGCAGAACGGCATTTCACGGATCTCATTTCTGAAGAACATGTTTTTTTAAATGATAGGATGAGGTAATAGACTTACAAGCAATCAGTGATGCATTCACGGAAAAAAGCATAGAGTGGATCCTTCAATTGACACAACTCCAGATATTTCAGCTCTTGAGACCTTTCGTCCATTCCGAGCGATTTGAAGAATGGCGTTGATCGATTGAGGTCTTCGAAAAGCGTTGATCCATTTCCGATTCCAGTCAGATCGAGAAGAATGCCTGAAAACCAAGTTATTTTTGTGAGTTATTTCATTATCATAATTCATACGCAACAGAGCATTGACGATTTCACTCGGCAAATTGAGAATCGCTTTCTTGTGACTGTTTCCGGTCCTTCGAAGAGTGTACCTCCAAATCATGCATCTGGGACGGCAGGCAACGATGAAATAGGCCTTGAGAAATTGCTTCGTTTTGTTGAGAAGCTTAGCGTGGTGACGGAAGGTGAGCATGTTGAATACGTAGTACAGATCGCCATTTGTGAATACACCAGTCGGCGGAATTTCGTATTCTTTCGAAGCATTTACAATGTTTGAGGCAGTCAGATCGAAATGGTCGAAGCGTGGTTCCGTATACGACTGAGCCGTTCTCATCATGATCGAGGTCTTCACTTCACGCATGTTTGCTTTCAAAACATTCCACATCAGCGCATTTCCAGTCATGGCAAATCTCGGATCGACAATTGCGGCAGTAGGAGACATGAGTCCGTGCACGAGAGCCTCCATTGAAATGTCGCCCAGGTAGGCGGCTTCTGATACTCCCGTTTTCACAGATTTGTCCAGAAGCGCTTTATTCAGTGAGTGGTCTGCAGCTCCCATGATCAATGTTCTTCCAATTTCTGTGACATCGATTTCTTGAGCAGAAACTCCTAGCCGAATTGAGTCTGGAAGAATCTCGTTTTTGGATTTATTTTTTAGACCGAATAACTGACCGCCTCTCTGTTCTCTTCGTCTAACATGCGGATTCTTCGATTCTTTTGGTTGTTTTTCTTCGACTTCATCTACAACTTCCACGTAAAAAGAATCATCTTCAATTTCTTCTTCAATTTCCACTTGTTCTTCGTAAACTTCCACGTCTCCGTCTACTGAAATGTCGCTCTCCGGGGTTGTTTCCACTATCACTTCGGTTTCGTTGAAAGGGACGTTTTCGCAGTAGGTGTACACTGAAAATCAAGACTTTTTAGTTTTTTAGAAGTCTTTTCGGCTCACCTGGCTCCGTTTCTTCCATTTTGTACTTCAGAACATTTGTTTCTTCTGACTTCTGTCAGAGTTTCCAATTATTCGTTCTAAAAACCGTAATTTTCTCTGCGCACTCCCCGATTCCCGTTTTCTCTCCGTCTCCTCATTCTCAATAGAGCGCACTTCCATCGGAGCATTTTCGCGACAAAGCAAACTTTAACCCGTTTATTTCAATTCCAAACCAGTACATTATCAAGAGATAGTCCAATAAATACAAAAAACGAGATGTAAATAAATACAAGGCAGAATGAGTGAGCCCGTCGGAGATAGAACTTTTGAGTCAGCATTGCTGAAAAACGGGGTGTTAGTGCGTGTTCCTTCGTAGCCTGACTAACCGATAAAAGTGAATATTAATGAGATTCCGAGGAAGAGCATCAAAAGGCGATATGTGGGATTGATCAGCATCTGAAACTCGCTAGTGAGAACTGTAAAAAATGGGAAAGTACTGACAGATATCGACTTTCCCTGAATTTTGGCAATTGTGAATGGTAATCCGAAACCTATCAGAAGATCTGAAAAGCTTGAAAATGGAAAGATAAGAACTGGAACAGAGTTTACTGAAAAGTTGTCCTCCAATGGCTGCGGCCATTGCCATCCTCGGATACCCCTGTTTGACGACTGAAACGTCAGCAATCAGGTCGCCGATACTGTTGCTCCACGCGAGAATTGTGAGCCCGAGAACCTGAAGTACACGCTGAGCACAAATTGGAAACAAGCGGATACCTCGTGGGATATTCTGGAAACAACTCCGAGCATCGTCACAACATTCACGACTTCAGATGAAATCAGATAGATCCACGCGATCGACATCAGGAATCCGACATACGAAGTAATTCCCTGAACAAATCCGATTAGAAAACAACTTCAGAACACAATCATACTTTGTAGAACTGTGGTTCATCGTGTAAATCTGTGAAAAAGAAGAGCGAGACCGCCAAAAGGACGGAGAGAATGAGAGCGTAAAGCCAGAGTCCGGGGGAGCCGGTGAACGGAGAGATTGTGATGACTGAAAAGGTAATTGAGAGGAACTGAAGAAAAGAAATTAGGAGACCTTGAATGCAGAACAGGAAGAAAACAGGACAGGTGAAGCACTGGAGAAGGGACACTGGCTCGGACCACGGCTGCTCGTTCTGAGGGATCGTAAGTTTGAAGAGCAACGTCGGGACTGTCTGAAAGTGCACTGCTTAGAACATCTTCTCCATCTCTATCAAACTCACATTCACAACCGAAATGGTCTTCTGGAACATATTCATCTCGTGCCAATCTTCCTTCTGTGGCCATGGTCTCAGGTGCTCTTGCAGGTCACCGATCACTCCGCGGACCGTCCATTTGACCAGCGGCTCCGTCATCACCGTGTTCCCTCTGCTCTTCAGAATATCGTGAGCGTGAAGGACGTGGTGGCCGTGGCTGACGTAGATATCTTCGTCGTCTTCCGCACTGGTGACCGACACATTATCGGCTGGCTTCGCTTCTGTTTCCTTTCGGGCTTCATGCACTTTCTTCTGACGATGATGGAGGACTTGGGAGCAGATTACAGTGCAAACGTAGAGTAGGTAAATCCCGAGAAAGGCTGGAAATGAAGGGTCTTCTAGAAAAGTAAGGGAACAGACTGATAGGCATCCAGATCTCGACATGATCGTACAAAATGAAACAGAATGCCAGAAACGCCAGAGCGAACACATAGAAGGTAATGTCTCGAATTGAACTGAAGACCTGACAAAGAAGAAATTTAGAAAGAGCGATAAAAGAGTGATAAACACATACTTCTGCCACGAAAGGTCGACTGAAGATAGTGACTGCCAGCACCATGGTCGTCACGAAAAGCCCTGCTCCGAAGAGCTCTCCGAGAGCGAGGTCGGCCTTCGGAGTGGGACTGCTCAGAACGGAAGCGATGGATCCGAAGACGTCGGGCGCGCCGTTGCCAAATGCCATGAAGGTGACGCCCTGGAAGTGAGAGAGAGAGGGATTGAGAGGGACGGAAGGAAAAGGAACTGACGGCCACAGATTCACTGATGCGGAGATGGGCGACGATGGAGGAGATGGAGGGCGAGAAGAAGTCGTCGGCTGCCGCACTGACCATCACGAACAGAATGAGCATGTAGATGACGCCGACGACGATGAGAAGGATCTGAAGGACGGAGGGTTCGGGGGAGTGAAAGACGGAGAGAAAGTACCCGAGTGGCGGGAGAAGGAGCACATTCCACGTACTGCGTCCACAGAAGATATCCGCCGCCTTCGCAGTTGTCAGCGTTGCACTTCACATACTCGCAAACTTCTGAAATGAACGATGACAGTAGCTACCGTAGTCCTGGCCAGTGGAACCCACGTGAACTCGTCCAGTTCTTCTGAACACTGCACTGTTCTCCGTCGTCCAGTACGCAGTGTGCGTCCGTTTCGCTCTTCCACTTCCGAACCAACTTCCCCACGTCAGCCTGCCACCCGTAACAACCACATGTAATGATAACAAAAAGTAATAATAGTCTCATCTGAATGTAAATATTTCAGCTCGAATCAAAATATGGTCAAGACCAAACGAAAGGGAAACGGAGGGGAAATCGCATGAGAAAGGCGGGGGCAATTAAATTTTTTTGTGTGTCTGCGATAAAAATTCGTCGATTATGATGGGAGTCAACATTTTCCGAATATTTTATTTTATACTTTACAGCTTATCACATAGGAAACACCCGTTTTGATCGTGTCGAAATGAGAACGGAACGCTCGAAAGTTGTACAGAATGGGCAGTGTTAATTCCAGACGAGAACGCCCGTTTCGGAGAGGAGAACGAAAAGGATGAAAGTCACATAAATGGTTATGAGGACGGCGGCATGAGGCCTTTGAAGACGGAATTTCTGCACCGGAATCCCTGAAATCATCGGGGTTTTCACAGACATTTCGGACAGTTTCTCACCTATCAGAGTGGCGAGCAGCGAGATCGCCAAAAATACGATCAGGAGGCGGTACGTCGGATTTATAGTCATCTGAAAATAGAAAGCGATCATGAGAAGCCTTATTAGAAATCGTCACCGATATATATTTTCCCTGTAACTTGGCTATGCTGAATGGCAATCCGAATCCCATCAAAAGATCTGAAATTCAAAGGTTCCCGAGCACTTCGCTTCTCTACTCACTGAACAGAGGACCTCCGATCGCTGCGGCCATTGCCATCCTCGGATACCCTTGTTTGACGACTGAAACGTCAGCAATCAGGTCGCCGATACTGTTGCTCCACGCGAGAATTGTGAGCCCGAGAACCTGAAGTACACGCTGAGCACAAATTGAAAACAGGCGGATACCTCGTGGGATATTCTGGAGACGACTCCGAGCATCGTCACGACGTTCACGACTTCAGATGAAATAAGATAGATCCACGCGATCGACATCAGGAATCCCGCGTACGAATATAATTCCTGTTATTAACGTATTTTACAGTATTCAGAACGATAAAAAACCTTATAATACTTAGGCTGAACTCCCAATTCCGTGAAAAAGATGAGGAGCGCAGCGAGAACGGCCGAGAAAATCATTCCGTACAACCAAAATCCAGGACTTCCAGAGAACGGAGATTTGAGCAAAACTGAAAGGAATTTGAAAATTTACATTTTGTCGTTAAAAATCTAAAAAGTCAAGTTGCCTTTTCACCATTCTCTCCGTTTTTTCTCTATTCAGGTCGCAGGAAAGGAGGCGGAGCCAGCGGCAACAGAAAAGATAGCAGCGAGCGGAACCCGTAAAGTGCCGGCTGCTGCTATGATACACTTTTCGCTGTTAGTGCTGCCGCACTGGCAGTGAAGAATACTTTTCCCAACGCTTGGAATGAACCGATGTGATTATTTCCAATCCTTTTCTGAGCCAAATTTTCAAAGTGAAATGGTGAAACCTACATTGAAGTGAGAATAATAAGAAGGCGGGACAGGTGAATGCGTGGAGGAGAGCCAGTGGCTTCGACCAACTCATCTCATTCAGCGGTATTGTCAGTTTGAATAGTAGAATGGGAATTGTCTGCAAAGAATGACTTGAAACAAGTAAAAGAACGTTGAGGAGTACACTTATGATGCTGAGAACTTTCGAGATGATGTTCATTTCTTCCCATTCATCGTCATCCGGACGGGGATCCAAGTGTTCAACCAGATCGGTGAACACATCCCTCGACTGCCAACTACTAATTCTCCTCGGCTCGGGAACGATACTGGCCGCTCTGCTCCGTGCCTCGTGGCCTTGGAATACGTGGCCGTGGATCACAACGAACTCTTCGTCCTCGTTTGATAGTTCGCTTTCTGGAAAGAATCAAATGATCGAATACATAAGCCGAAAGGAAAGTAAAACCTCTCCGAGAGACTCCCAAATGTCCGTTGGAATACGGATGGAGAGAGTTGGTGTGCCCGTCTCCGGAAATCATGTACGACGCTCTTTTTATGTACCGCCTATTCGATTGGGCCTTCTCAGCCATGTGCTCTTTCAGTTTGTCGATTGCTTCTGTGACAACTGAGATTTCGGGGAACGGCGGCGCTGAAGAGTTACTGTATTCAGGCACAGAACTTTAGAGGAATGAATATGTTCTCACGCTGTCCCTGTACTGAAATCTCCGGAACCTCGGGAATCGGAGCTATCGAGTGCAGACTCCGCCTACTTCTCTGACTCCGCACACTTTTCATGCTGCTCTGCTTCTGCATTGCTCTTCTTTTCCGATTGTGTACTGCCTGTGCTCCGAACACTGTGAGCACGTAGAGAACGTACAGACCCAGAAAGGCTGGAAAATGATTGTTGATCCAATGAAACAGGGGAACAGCTAACTTAAGGGCATCCAGAGAGTCACTCGATTGTAGAATATGAAGCAGAAACCGAGAAATGAGAGCGCGACGAGGTAGAAGAGAAGATCTCTGATGGTACTGAACACTTCCACGTCGAACGGAGAAGTAAGCACGATGGTGGAGACGACCATTGTGGTGACGAAGAGGCCGCCTCCGAAGAGCTCTCCGAGAGCGAGGTCGGCCTTCGGAGTGGGACTGCTCAGAACGGAAGCGATGGATCCGAAGACGTCGGGCGCGCCGTTGCCGAATGCCATGAAGGTGACGCCCTGGAAGTGAGAGAGAGGGATTGAGAGGGAGGGAAGGAAAAGGAACTGACGGCCACAGATTCACTGATGCGGAGATGGGCGACGATGGAGGAGATGGAGGGCGAGAAGAAGTCGTCGGCTGCCGCACTGACCATCACAAACAGAATGAGCATGTAGATGACGCCGACGACGATGAGAAGGATCTGAACGACGGAGAGTTCGGGGGAGTGAACGACGGAGAGAAAGTACCCGAGTGGCGGGAGAAGGAGCACATTCCACGTACTGCGTCCACAGAAGATATCCGCCGCCTTCGCACGCGTTGTCGTTACAATTCACGTAATCGCACACTTCTGCAAGACTTTTCTTTTGCTGCCTGCTCGGAAGCTGACATTCTTTCGAGCACACAAAGCGTGAGTTCTGCTCCCGGAACTATCACACAAACACACAAACAGACAGACCGTGATCGGTGGCCGAATCTCGAGTTTGATGCTTTTTACCTTGCTGGCTCCAGTTCGATTTCAGTTCGCACTTGTCCGCTTTGCAATATGTATCGTCTGTCGCGGCAGACAGCGCGTTTTTGAAACGAGCATCGGAGCATTGGAATGTGAAAAAGAGGAGGACTACGGTAGAGGGGATGAAGAGATATTTGGCCATAACATAGATCTGGAAAGGAGAACTTTAGGAGCAGTTCTCCGCGGAAAAGTTATAGAAAGAATGGGGAATGTGGAGAAGAGAATAAGCGGCAGTTCGAAAGTTTGCAAATCGGCAGGAATTATAACGTTTTTGGGCAGCTGATAACATCACAAAGCATAATGATTGAGGATGATTAAGAGGGCCAAAAAATAGAGAATAGGCGGAGAGGAGAGCAAAGAACGGTGAGTACTTCTGGATAACTCTGGGAGCATGTGTTTTGAACTTTGGTGTTTTCTTACTCCTTTTTTTTCAATCCAATTTCAGTAAGTACATTCTGACCATCTTTTTAATAGTTCAATAGCAGTTCAGTTTCTTTAACAGTGTCAGTGTCAGTTTTTTGATTTCTATGCATAGAAAAGGATAGAAAACCAAAAGAGCAGTGGTTGATCGGTTGTCACGAGACATTCAAAAAGCAACATGATTGCTTGGTTATCAGCATGGGTGCGGTACTTTTATCAGCACTAAACACTCGGAACCCTTCTGAAACACCAATAAAGCATTTCTGATCACTCGCCGTTTCTTATCTTGCCACACACAAACTGTTTTCCGTTTCTCTCGGACATTCCTATCCATTTCCAGGAAACATTTTCCTTTCCAATCCTCTTATTCACACCTTCATATCCTGCGATTGTTCTCGTTCTCCCACCTCTTCTTCTTATCATTCTGCCCATTTTTTTCCTGGCTCTTCCCATTTCTATTTGCGTCATAGTGCTCTCTGTGGCTCCCTTGCTCGCACAGTCTCTCCGCTTGCTGTAAACGTAATTTCTGGTTTATCTTGACTGATTTATTCGGTGCTAAATACCGAAAAAGTGAGTGTCGGTAACGAAAAATCATCTCGAAATGTTTACAGAATTCTGTACTGAATGGCATCTGTCTGGAAAGTGCCGAACTCTGTTTCAAAACTCATTGCACAGTGCTCTGGAAAGTGAAATTAAATGAAAAGACTAGAACCGGCAAATTCGGAAATGATCAGCACCATCTGCACCACCTGTACTAAGAACTGATATGTCTGCATCGTTAAAATCATGTCTGGGCGGTTTTTATGTGAGAAATTCTATGAATTTTTAAAATTCTCAGAAATTACATTTTATGTGCTTGGCCGTGCTTATGAACATTTTTTATTTCAGACCGATCAGTTGCAAGTATGAGAAGTCTGCTTTTTTAAAAAAATTTTTGTTTCTTTTTAGGAATTATTTTATTCGGAATATGAAAAAATTACAAAAGCTAAAATCGTGGCGAGACCCGCGTGATGATCTACATTTGCGTGCCTTTAATGTTGTCTGTAAACAATTTTTCGTAGCGAACGGGCATCCCAAAATCGGACGCAAGGCAACATTTCGATGGCCAGCCGCAAGCATCAAGGAGTCATTTCTGGTTCCCTGTACTTCAACAAAAAAGAATATGTAGAAATCTTCGACAAGGAGTACAAGTATCTTTACGGATACATCGACGATCTCTTTGTGAGTTGTCGATACAATATTTCTAGCTTTTTCATATTTTTTCATGTTCCAGGTCAACTATGGCAACTGGGTCGAGTATAATATCGTCGAAGCTCCGACGGGTCACCCGCAAAACTGTCGGTACCTTGCGAAAAACATTTGCTACGTGGACGGGAAGAAGTCGATGGCGCCGACAAGCGACGAATTCCGAAGCAACGATATGAACGTGCGCGACTATAACAAAGTGGATTACTTCGAATATGAAACGAATGATAACGTCTTGGCTGTCAGTTTTGTGTCAATCTCTCGAAATCAGGGCTGGGCAATTGGCCGGCACGGGCTTTTCGTTGGCCGGCCCTTGACCTGGACTTTTGAACCACATGCAATATTCCGATCGGACCCAAACTTTGCAGGCTTCTTGGACATGGGTTGAAGCATATTGAGACCAAGTTTCAGCCCGATCGGATTATTTGGTCCCGAGAAATGTGGATCATTGGCCGAAATTGACCGGAAGCCCGGGCTTTTTGGAAAAAATCGGCCAATGATCCACATATCTCGGGACCCGACGATCCGATCGGGCTGAAATTTGGACCCAATGGCCCTCAATCCAAGTCCAACAATCCTGCAAAGTTTGGGTCTGATCGGAATGTTGCAAGTGGTTCAAAAGTCCAGGTCAAGGGCCGGCCAACGAAAAGCCCGTGCCGGCCAATTGCCCAGCCCTGCTCGAAATACCGTTGGAAATTTCAGCACAAGAGCACTATCCAAAGAGATCCTGGTCGTCACAACCAATATTACAACAACTACTATGGCGACGTCATCGTTCCCGCCGATGTTCACCGCCGTCTTCTCGAGCATAGAATCGACAAACTCGACGTTAAAATGAGTTTGATTCCATCGAGTGAATACACTTCCGGTCCTCACTGGCAAGTCGTCCATTACATTCACCAAGGAAAACTGTATAGTATTAATGGATATGTCTGTGTGCACTTGGCAGAATTCTAATTTCAAACCAATTTCTGCAGCTCTCGATCACCGGACATGTGCTCCGAGGACCAGGCGGCGTCGTCCGTAACCGCTCTGAAGTTACCGTGGCGCCGGATGCTCTTCGTCCACGCAATGCTGTCTCCTCGTTCGGAAATGCTCCAACTGGCTCCAGAGGACTCGGAGCACTTGCCGCTTCCCGCGGATTCGGTTCTTCGCCGCGTGCTGAGCGCCTTCCGATTTCTCCGATGCAGGTAAACAACTTAACGTTCTCACACGTACCGGTAATTTCAGGAAAAAGTGAAGCAAAGGCCGCTGGTGAAAACCGGAATTCTTGAGGCCAGTCTCGGTTCGTCAAGAATGAGCAGGCTGAAAGCTGCTAACGCTGACGATTCGTTTTGGGGTGACGCTCACGGGGAAACCACTGACCCGTTCAATAGAGAGCTTGCGGTACTAACTTCTTGTTATCAACGAAATCTACACCTTTTCCAGGACTCTATATCGCAAACAACCGTGCACTCCGGCCGACTCACTCTCAACTCTACCACGATGACTACTGAGCACGGATTCGGAGGAGGAAGAGGATTCGGTCGTGGCGGCGGCGGATTCGGAAATGGAGGAGGATTCGGAAGACGTGAACCTATCGGTCTTGCTCGCTTCGGAAACGCCCAATTCTGAGTCACGTCGTCATCCTTTTGTTTTCTCATTTCTTACCACTTCGATTTACCAACACGTGTACCCATTTTCCTGTCTTTTCCAATATCCATTTTTTAGATAATGAATTTCTGCATTTAATCTCCGCCCAAGGGTTCGCCACGGCAAAGAAATTAGTCACTTACAACTTATGCAAATTATATCAACATGGAAGGAATTGTTTCGTACAAGAGCAACTAGTCATTGAATAACTATAGCACACGAGAGTAACGAAGATGTCAAAAGCAAAGAGAGAAGTGAATGGAACAGGGGCACAATAAGTTAATCGACTTGGTACAAGAAGAGGGAATCACTGGTCTTGGGTCGCAAAGAACGGCTTCGTGTCTCTGTTGAGCAGTGTGTGACACACTTTGCACACATTTGCCGGCCGACGCGACGGTCCGCTTGGCACGGTGTCTTTGAGGCAACTTGTGCAAAATATCTTTCCGCAGTGCAAACAACTGAAAATCAATCCTGTACGGGTTGTTTCACAATATCCCGTGCTTACTGGGGTTTGGCTTTCAATCGGATCAACGAGGATTCGCAACTGGAGCACTTGTCCACGTCTTCGTCCCATTGCCACCGCACTTCCTGTTCCGATTGTCTGATCTTCTCCAATTGGATCTGCAGACTCTGCGACAGCTTCACGAAGTCTCTTTGGACGACTTCGGAAGTGTCCAACTCCTGCTGCAGACTCGTGCACCGTTGCTTGTAGTTCTGGGCGGTTTGCTCGACTGCCGCTCTCTCGTTCTGAACCTGCTGAACCTGCGCTTCCAGTTCGGCGACAGTTGTTTGGAGGTCTCTGATCTGTCGAATATTCGAGTCCTGATCGGCAAGTGTTTCCGTCGCGACAACCATCTGAAACCCTCGTACTTGTCTATTTCGTCTTTTCGCTCTCCACTCACCTTCTTATTAACCGACCCCAACTCCGCTTGCAATCGACTGATCTCAGCGGTGAAAGCGACTTCTTGCTCTTCGCGATGAGCTCGTTCTTCTTGAATTTGAGCTCGGAGCACGGCGACCTCATCCCGTAGCTGTTGCTCTTGGTGCTCTTTCGCCGCCCGTGTTTCAATCAATTCTTCTCTATTTTTCAAGCAAATAAACTGTAATTGATCGACATCCGCGGGGAGATCGATCACTTCTGACCGGAGCTCTTGAGCTGATTTTCTAGTGGATCCGAGGAGCTTCTGATAAGAGGACAAAGCGTGAATTCGGTGAATTCAATTGTGTTAAAACCTTATATTTCTTGCCAAGAGTGATAAAATCGTCGTCGGCCTGTTGGAGTTTGCCACGAGCAAGATTGAGCTGTTCAGTGAACACTTCTATCGACTTATCATGCTGAAAAACAATATTTTTGAGGTTCGCTCATAAAATGTTGCATTGAGTCCACAAACCTTGGCCCTGAGCTCATCCAGCCGCTGCTCCGATTTTGCGTTCGCTTTCGCCGCTTCGTTCACCTGATTCAGACAGTTCGTGGCAACCTGAACGGCAAAGCCTCTTTTTGGTATTATAATTTCATTAAAATTAGCTTACCTCATTCATTCGCTTTTCCAAATCTTTCCGGTAGTCTCGCTCGTTGCTTAGATCAACCTCGTATCGTTCCGTCAATTCCATCGCCGCTTTCACTTCGTCTTTCAATTTCCGTTCGTTTTCCTGCAAACAAACGACTATTCATGAGTTCCCACGGTCGTTTCTCACCTGCATCGCAGTCAAATTCACTTCATAGTTTTGACACATCTCGCATTGAAGCGCCGTGTTCGGCGACACTTGCGAAATCTTCTTTGTAGCTGCTGATGGATCCTGAAATATCTGTGCTGGTTTATTGATTGATATTAGTTACGGTTTTCTTACCTCTTTTTTCACTTCCGAGAGCACTTCTTCGCTCGCCGATGGCTCGGACATTGTTCTGAAAAGGACAATTAATTTTATGAGCGTTTTTAAGGACGAGTCAAAAATGTATGAAATTAGCACTCCGCGGACTAGTTAGGAAACCTAGGCCATTTGACGATGATTCTTAAAATTCAATAGAATGACTTTATTTTTTGTTTCTGTACTATTCTTGATAAATATTATCGTTGTGCTTTTATTACTAGCTCTTATTTGATCGAAGTTTTGGCGGTCCAACATAATAGAACTGCGCAGAATAGAACCGCGACATAATAGAACTGTTTTTGTGTATTTATATGAGCATTTTGTCCGTTCCTTTCAATTAACTTTTGCAAAATTTTTCGTCTCTCAAACAATTAAGCAGAAAACCACAGTTTAAACCTAGAAAATTGGTTTCCTTTCGTTTTTGATAGTACAATAAAATTATTTTCTGTGGGTTTTCGAAGAAGAGGGATCACAACGAAAGTGAAATTAATGAATGCAATAAATCGATCACGAGATTCAAAAATTATCTTTTTCTACGAAACAATTATTCTACAGAAAGGTTTAAAAGTCGCTCCAAACAGTTATATTGTGGCCGGTTCTATTGTGTCGCGGTTCTATTCTGCGCAGTTCTATTATGTCGCGGTTCTATTCTTCCCAGTTCTATTATGTTGGACCGCCGATGTTTTTATCACTAATTTCGAAAAGAATATTCAAATCAGGATTCTTGACAAGAGAACACAGAAAGTGCGGCTAAAATTGAGTGTACTGAAACAAGTTCAGAGTTCCTGACTACGAAACAACCGGAAGCCTGTCGAAACTAAAAAAATGTTTGAGTAGTCTCTTGTCATGAACCAACTTTACTTGCTATGCACCTTTAATCTACCGTAATCGAGTGCCACGTCACTCGTCAACTTTCATTTCCCATCTTTTCCTTTTCCATTGCTTTCTCTCCCTCTCTTTCGTATTTCACTTTTGATTCTTCCATTCAAACATGATAAGTGCGGACTGATAACCCGTTTGCTAATCAAACACCGTCGTTTCACTTCCAATTTCTGCTAAGATAGTTGGGAAACCGTCGAGTTTAGACCACTGTTTTGTTTCAGTTTCAAATTTGCAACATTCTTATCTCTTCGCTTTCGATTTCCCTCCAGAAAGTCATAAAATGAAAACCGTTAGTTGTCGTCTTTATCACATTCTAGTAGAGAATGACGAAAAAGTCAACGACAAAGCTTTCTGACAAACTGAAGACCGTGTGTGGGTGCTATCCCAAAAAAAAGTCTGACCGAGACGACTGCTATCAAAAGGTGCTTGCTCCTTTCCCTGTTCTTGTCTGTCTCAATTCGATTTCCCTCTTCATAACATCAAATTATTCTTTTTCCAGATGGCTGCTCTGAAACCGAGTGCTCCCGAAATCCGCAAAGCTGCTCAGGAGTTTGTCAGCTATCTCAACAAGGCAGTAACTCCATTCCATGGTGGGCAACCAGATTTGTATACTTTTCTAATTTCAATACTTTCAGCCACACAGGAGGTGAAAGATCGACTCGTTCAAGCTGGTTTCAAGGAACTTCCGGAAGCGGGCCACTGGGACATTCAGCCAACGAGCAAGTACTTCGTCACCAAGAACCGCTCCGCCATTCTCGCTTTTGCCGTCGGCGGAGCGTACAAACCGGGCAACGGCTTCTCAATTGTCGTTGGACACACCGACAGCCCGTGCCTTCGTGTCAAACCGATTTCCCATCAGAAGTCCGACAAGTTTTTGCAAGTGGGCGTATCCACCTATGGTGGCGGCATCTGGAGAACGTGGTTCGATCGGGACCTGTCCGTCGCCGGACTTGTCATCGTCAAGACTGGAGAAGGCATGCAGCACAAGCTGATCAATGTAAAGAAGCCTGTGCTCTTTATCCCAAATCTCGCAATTCACTTGGAGACTGACCGGTACCGAAATACGCTGTTTGCCAAACTTGAAAAAGACTTTTCAGGACGACTTTCAAGCCAAACACTGAGACGGAACTTCGTCCGATTCTCGAAACGTTTGCGGCCGCAGAGATCAACGGACAGAACAAGGAAGACCCGAAGGTAAAAGAAAACTGTTAATCTGAAGTCAAAATTCGGTTCAGAAAGAGTACGATCCTCGTAACATCACCGGAAACCACCATCCACAGTTCTTGGGACTGATTGCAAAAGAGGCCGGATGCCAGCCAGAAGACATCGTCGATCTGGACCTCTACCTCTACGACACCAACCCAGCGGTAAATTTAGTTCCTTCTTCCAAACCAAAGTTGTGTTCGATTTCAGGCGATTGTCGGAGTGCAGGATGAGTTCATTTCGGGCGCCCGTTTGGATAATCAAGTCGGCACGTACACTGCAATCAGTGGACTGCTCGATTCCCTCAACGGAGACTCTCTCCAGATTGACGAACAGATTCGCATCGCCGCCTGTTTCGATAATGAGGAAGTCGGCTCGGATTCTGCAATGGGGGCATCCTCCTCTTTCACTGAATTCGTTCTCAGAAGACTTTCCGCCGGCGGATCGGCAACCGCGTTCGAAGAGTCCATCGGCAAGAGTATGCTCATTTCAGCCGATCAGGCGCACGCTGCTCATCCAAACTACTCGGCCAAACACGAAGAGAACCACCGCCCGGCCTTCCACGGAGGAGTCGTCGTCAAAGTGAACGTGAACCAGAGATACGCGACCACTTCGACCACCCACGCGGCTCTCAAACAAGTCGCTTTCGAGGCCCAAGTGCCTCTGCAAGTCGTCGTCGTTCGCAATGACTCTCCATGCGGATCCACCGTCGGTCCGATCCTTGCCACTAAACTCGGTCTTCAGACGGTCGACGTCGGATGCCCACAACTCGCAATGCATTCCATTCGGTAGGTTTCCAGCTTGACTGACCATTGCATTGTTTTCTTTTTGTAGCGAGTTCGCCGACACTTCGAGCATCCTTCAGGCCACCACTCTCTACACAAAGTTCTTCCAACGCCTCTCGACTATTCTCTCGAGCATGCAGTAATCAAACGAGTCGTCTCTTTCCTTTCCCACATCATTCTACATTTCGTCTATTGTAGTCACATTTCGTTCTTATGTAAAAACTAAGTTTAGAAAAATATTTCAGAAACAAATAATTTTGTATTCGTGTGATTTTTCCAATTAAAGACAAATCAAGCAATAGTAGAACATAATCTAAAGCTTACAATTGATAATATCGATTCTGGACTTGATGGACGGCTCGATTCCGACTGCTTTCGTCAGGAAATAGAATGTCGCTTCGGTGCTCTCTCGGATGACGTCTCCACTTCGGAAGCCGTGTCCTTCTCCGTCGAAAAGCATTAAGGCGGTGGTCACTCCGGCTGCCCGCATCTTCTCGAACATCGAGACCGACTGGTTCATCGGCACCACCGTGTCTTCTTTTCCGTGCAGGAACGCAATCGGAGTGCGGATTCGATCGATGTGATAGACGGGACTTCGTTCCTGATAAATGTGCGCTTCTTCCGGGTACTTTCCGACCAGATTCTCGTTGTAACACTGCTCCAGTTTGTGCGTATCCTCATCGAGAGCCAGAAGATCGGCCACTCCGTACAATGAGACCGCCGCTTTGATGATGTTGTCCGGAGAGATGAGACAACTGAGGATCAAGTATCTGAAATAAGGAACTGATTGGATTCGGAAGTTCTGAGGGATGATTACCCTCCGGACGAACTGCCTGTGATCAAAACTTTGTCAGCGTCAACTCTGCCCTCCTCAATCAGTGCTTTTGCTCCGTTCAGCATGTCATTTCGATCGACAATTCCGCAGTTCTTGTACAACATTCTTCGGAAATCAGTTCCGAATCCGGTTGATCCACGGTAATTCACATCAAACACGGCGATTCCTCTCGACGTGAAAAACTGTTTCTTCAGGTCCAAATTGCTCTGAGCAGGAGCAGTTGGTCCCCCGTGGCCGAGCAGAAGAACAGGCGGCAAAGTGCCCGGAGGAGCGGTATAGGCGGAGTTCTTCGGAGGATAGAAGAATCCGGAAACATTGACACCGTCCGATTCAAAGACAAACTCTTCTGGCACTGAGATCTCGAGAGCGTCGATTTGAGTGGAATCTCTAGATTCTCTGTGCACCTTAAGAGGGAAATCGGGAAGACTGAGATCGATGGAAATGACACTGGAAGCACGATTTGGTCCGGATGCAATCACGAAGAGCTCGGAGCCGTGGGGGTCGAGGGACAGGTAGGAGATGACTGTGTACTCGGGCGTCGGGACTTCCACAATGACGTCGTTCGATCGCACATACAGCACTCCGTTCGCATTCATCACCAAATACTTATTATTAAAAGCATAGTTTCTGAATCCGAGTTGCCATAGCGGATAACTGATCTCCTTCTGAATTGGGTTCAGATTCTTGTCCTCTGCGTTGGGCTCGGCAGCCGATTTGTACAAGTTCCACCAGTTCGTGCTGTCATTCACTGTCAGCAGATGGTCATTTCCATCCCAAGATGGCTCCGAATAATTTATCTTCTTGCCAGCTCCATCCTTCAGAATCACTTCGTTCGTCGCTTCGCCATTACTCACACTGGCCATTCGGATCGAGGTTTCGTCCCATGGCTAAAAAGGGCATAAAGAAAAGAAGACAGTTAGTGAATAAATACCATATTCGGATGACTCCATTGCATCCAGACGAGCTTCTTTCCATCGGGCGAAATTCTCGGGTATGCATAAAAGTCGGCTCCGCTCGCGACGACGTTCTGGTTTTTGGTGATACGGTCAATTGAAATCAGCCGGTTTTCCGGAAACTTGGCGCTTGCCTGATGTGTCTCGTTGACACAATAAATGTGCGAGTCGGTGGTCGAGAAGTCAGCGAATCTGGAAAACGAATTATTTCGATAGAGTGCCGTTTCGTTCTCACCGGAACACACGATTGTTGCCTTCTGCGAGCTGCTCTACCCCGGAATCCGGCGACTTTTGATAAAAGACGCCTTCAACGGTGGCGAACAGAACTGATCCGTCGGTGAGAACATGAAGGGCGCCTCCTCCGTACTCGTGAACGGCCGTCTGCACGGAGTGTCCGTCCGCCCAGCGGGTTCTCTCTTCTCCGTTCGTCGGCTTCGAATACAGTTCTCTCTTGCCCGTCACCGCATTCTGCTCCACCCAGTAGACGGTGCTTCCCACGACTTGCATCTCGCAAATCGCTTTGCAATTGCATTTCGCGAACAGATCCGGAGTGATCGGACTGTCCCAGCTGCCGTACGCCGCTTCGGTTGCCATTTTTCTTATGCTGAAGTGGAAATGAACATTTGAAGGGAATATTGAATAAATTGTAAAATACTCACCTAGGAACGTAGACTGCTCGAAGGATTCGGAGAAAAATCTGGAAAACTTGCTTTTATCGTCATCGACAATGACAAAAAGTGACGAAATTGTGACGATTCTCTTATCAATCTGAGGTACTTTCGGCTTCTGACCACTCTTTTAATCGTCGTTGTGACTGTGAAGCAGTGTGTGATTGCGAAATCAGCCTTCTTTCGAATTTCATACTTCCGAAATCACACACTGTTGTGAAGTTCAGTGCACTTTATTATGAAAAAAATTGGGGAATCTGAACGATGTAGGGGAATCACAGATGAATGGGATTGCATTATGGCACCACAAAACATGGAAATAGTACTCGCAATAGAAACAAGACATTATGCTACAGAAGAAAGAGCAATCACAGAAATCACATAAAATCTACTCGAACTTGATTCCCTGAGCAAGAGGGAGATGCTTGCTGAAGTTGATGGTGCACGTCGACCTGAAAAGATGCTCAGATTATCGATGCGTCTCGTCGTCTGCGTCTCTACCGTCTCATGTACTGTCTCCACGAGTCTGAGCCCGATTCACGGCCTCCTCCGGTCTCTTTCTCTCCTCCGAACGCTCCTCCGATCTCAGCTCCAGACGTCGGAATGTTCACATTAACGATTCCACAGTCGCTGCCTTTAGGTCTGAAATAAGTTGTGCGAGTGTGAGTTCAGCTCAAATCGCTCACCCCATCCATTTGAAAACGTTCTGAATGTTATTGGTGAACAGTGAAGAGCTCAGTCCTTGAGCTACTTCGTTGTTTATCTTGATGGCTTCGTCGAGGTCCGAGAACTTGAGAACGTACAAGATTGGAGCGAAAGTCTCGCGGAGAACGACTGGAGAATCGTGCTGCAGACCAGTCACGATGGTTGGCAGCACAAAGTTTCCGTCTCTCTCGAGCACTTTGCCACCGTACTCAACCTTGCCTCCAGATGAAACAGCCTCAGCGACCGAAGCTTTGTATTTTCCGACCGCCTGTTGATTATGAAGAGGTCCGATAATTGTATTCGATTCCAGTGGGCATCCGATTCTTGATTCGAATTGAGCGTACGCCCTCTTCAGTCTCTCGAGCACTTGATCGTACACCTTCTCGTGGACGATCAATCGTCTCGTTGTCGTGCATCTCTGGCCGGCAGTTCCCACTGCTGCGAACACTGTCGCAGGCACCACCATGTTCAAATCGGCGTCCTCGTTCACGATGATTGCGTTATTGCCTCCGAGCTCCAAAAGCAGCTTTCCGAAGCGAGCTTGGACCTGCTGGCCGACAATCTTCCCAATCTCCGAGGATCCAGTAAACGAGACAAGATTGACTCGTCTGTCTTTGACGAGAGCCTGACCGACTTCTGATTCTCCGCAAACGAGAGAGCAGAGGGCTGGATTGACTTGGTTAGCAACAAGAACTTCCTCGACGAGCCTGGAAATAAATCGTTCCATGTTTACAAACGGGGAAGGAAACTTACTTGGTGACAGCAATGGCGGTGAGTGGAGTGGAAGGAGCTGGCTTCCAGATGCACGAGTTTCCTGTCACCAGGGCCAAAGCATTGTTCCATCCGTAAACGGCGCACGGAAAATTGAATGCCGAGATGACTCCGACCACTCCGAGTGGGTTCCACTGTTCGAGAAGAGCGTGCCCAGGTCTCTCGGACGGGAAGATCTTTCCTTCGAGAGATCGGGAGAGTCCAGTGGCGTAGTCGCAGATATCCACGTACTCTTGAACCTCCCCGACTCCTTCTGCCGAAATCTTTCCCATTTCGAGTGACACGAGCTTTCCGAGGTTTTGCAACTGAGTGCGAAGCTTGTCTCCGATCTGACGAACGATTTCTCCGCGACGTGGAGCTGGCACTTCACACCAATCGTTGTAGGCTTTGAGGGCTTCCGCAATGGCGATCTCGTAGTCTTGGACATTTCCGTTTTGTACCTAGAACTTTGAAAAGGTGGATGTAACGGTGAGAGTTGATTGAATTACATTTGCGATTGGAGAGTTCGAAGCGGGAGCGAAGGATTGAACGACTTGCCCATTGGCCGCCCATTTTCCGTGGAACACTCCGGAATTGTTCTCTCTGAGACCGAGCTCTTTGAGGAACGCGTACTTCTGGTCGTTGATGAGCAACTGGGAGGCCATTCTGCGCTGCAACGTGGCAAGCATTCCTGTGCGCAAGAACGAGCTCATCTGGAAAGAAGAGGGGAATTGTTAGAAAGAAAAACAGAAAGAAGCAACCGAAGAAATGCCACACGTTGTTAGTAAAAAAAAAGGGAATGGTGAAATGGATTGCGGAAAGGGATGGGATGGGGAGAGGGGCGGGACGAGACACGGGAGATGTTTATGATGACGAAAAGTGAGCGGATTGGTGTTAGTGATAACCAGAGACAGGCAACGAGATCTACATCGGTCATCTCCTTATGATGTGGAAGTCAGACTGAACGCCCTTGATTTACGATCTCGTCGTATTTAGCAGCCCGTCGTGGTCAAAGATCTTCGAGACAAGACTCCTGCCTGATTCTGAATTATCATCTCATCGTTTACGACCACGTGGTCTTTTGACCGATTATCTCCGTTTTTATCGCAAGGCATGCAGCCGGTTGATCGAACCTAATCAATGTTACGGGAATAGATGCAAAGCGAACAACACTGTCAGATGTAAACAAACCGAAGATTGCAGATTTGATGGCGGAAACAAACGGATTTGATGCTCCCTGAACTGTGTAAAGCAGTTATCGGTGAGCATGCCACGATCCGCATCAAGGGAACTAGTCGCAATCAACAAAAACATTCATTTAGTACTCTATCGAACTGCTGATTCACAAATCTCAAAATAGCGACGTCCCAACTATTTCCGCTCCAAACTTACGCATTATCAATCCTTTGCCGCCGTTATCGCCGCACGCGCTTATTCTTCAAATGCTTTCCCACTTCCAAAACATCTTCATTAATCTTCGTTTTTCGGAATTGCTATACCTTTCAAGAGAGCTTTTATTTCCGAGCCGCACGATTGACAACTGAATTTTTCATCTCCGTAAATCGTATCGAAAAGCGTAGAACGCCTCATCGTGGCGAGACCCGACCGGGAAAATGCATGCGCCTTTAAACAAAAATTTATTTTCCAGAACGAATTCAAAGCGCCGATCCGTTTTCCATCGTTTTCCTCTCGATTTTTGTAAAATTTCTCTCCAAATTTTGCAAGTTTTGTTTTCGAGAAAACACAAATCAAACGCTCTATTGATTTTTGGTAAAATACACTGAAACAGTCGAATTTGAGTGTCTTTTGCAAACTTTTTTCTTTTTCTTCGTTTAAGTTGCCGTTCTTCGACGAATTTTTAGAATTTCAAATGTTTCAGGTAATATGTCTTCTATCCAGTGCCTGAATCCAAAAGCGGAGTTGGCTAGACATGCCGCTGCTCTTGAGCTCAACATCAGCGGAGCTCGCGGACTTCAAGATGTTATGAGATCGAACCTTGGACCGAAAGGAACACTCAAGATGTAAGATATTTTTCTGTTATCCAGTAAGAAGGATTTAACAAAATAATTCAGGCTTGTTTCTGGTGCTGGAGACATCAAACTTACAAAGGACGGAAACGTCTTGCTTCACGAGATGGTTTGCACTCGTTTACACAAAAAAATGATTCACGTGTTTTCAGGCTATCCAACACCCGACTGCTTCGATGATCGCCAAGGCTTCGACTGCACAAGACGACGTTACCGGAGACGGAACAACGTCGACTGTTCTCCTTATTGGAGAGCTTCTGAAGCAAGCCGAATCCCTTGTTCTCGAGGTAAGAACTCTTTGACATAGATAATGTTTTTAACTATTGCTTCAGGGACTTCACCCGCGTATTGTCACGGAGGGATTCGAGTGGGCAAATACAAAGACGCTTGCTTTCCTCGAAAAATTCAAAAAGGAACTTCCAGTTGAGCGTGATCTTCTTGTTGAGGTCTGCCGCACTGCTCTTCGCACTAAGCTCCACCAAAAGCTTGCCGATCACATTACGGAGTGAGAAATCAAGAATTAGGCGCAAAGTTCTCACCACCATTATTTCAGATGTGTTGTCGACGCTGTCTTGGCGATCCGTCATGGTAATGAGGAGCCAGATCTTCACATGGTTGAAAAAATGGAGATGCATCACGACAGCGACATGGATACCACCCTTGTGCGCGGATTGGTGCTCGATCACGGAGCTCGCCACCCGGATATGCCGAGACACGTCAAGGATGCTTACATTCTTACTTGCAATGTTTCACTCGAGTACGAGAAGACTGAAGTTAACTCTGGACTGTATTACAAGACTGCTGCTGAACGCGAGAAGCTTCTGGCTGCCGAGCGCGAGTTCATCACTCGTCGTGTTCACAAAATCATTGAGTTGAAGAAGCAAGTGGTTGACAATTCACCTGACGGCAAGAACAAAGGATTTGTGGTCATCAACCAAAAGGGAATTGACCCCCCTTCTCTCGATCTGTTGGCTTCTGAAGGTATTCTGGCTCTTCGTCGTGCTAAGCGACGCAACATGGAACGACTTCAACTTGCCGTTGGAGGAGAGGCTGTCAACTCTGTTGATGATTTGACTGCCGATGATCTCGGATATGCTGGACTCGTGTACGAGCATTCGCTCGGAGAAGAGAAGTACACTTTCATCGAGGAATGTCGTGCCCCGAAATCGGTTACCCTGTTGATCAAGGGACCGAACAAGCACACCATCACCCAAATCAAGGATGCTATTCACGATGGAATGCGCGCAGTTTTCAATACTATCGTTGACAGTATGTTCAAAGATTCTAGTATCAATACACAAGACTCTTAAAGCTTCGCCGCTAGTTTCTTTCTCATAACCGTTAGAAAGTTCACGTGTTCATTTCTTAATATATCCGTCATAACTTTTTTGCTTAAGAAATGAAAGTGGGGACGGACAAACGGAGAAATAAACAAACAGTCAAAAATGAGGATTAACTCAACGAGAGTTATATTAATATAAATGATGATTTTTTTCAGAGGCTGTTCTTCCGGGAGCTGCTGCCTTTGAAATCGCCGCCTACGTCATGCTGAAGAGTGAAATGTCGAGCTTGAAGGGACGCGCCAAGCTTGGAGCTGAAGCTTTTGCTCAGGCTCTTCTCGTCATTCCTAAGACTTTGGCTGTGAATGCTGGACATGACGCCCAGGAGACGTTGGTCAAGCTGATCGAGGAGAAGACTGCTGCTGGACCAGATTTGGCCATCGGACTTGACTTGGAAACGGGCGGAGCTGCTGAGCCACAAGGAATTTGGGACAATGTGACTGTGAAGAAGAACAGCATTGCATCGGCCACAGTTCTCGCCTGCAACCTTCTTCTTGTCGATGAAGTGATGCGCGCCGGAATGACCAACTTGAAGCAGACTCAGCCAGAATAACTGATGCACTATGCATTTCCTACTCTATTTTACTCCCCCAGTGTGTCCGTTTCTATGATCTGTTGCCGTGTTCGATAATATCCCCGCAAACTCGAGAAAGCTTAACGTTTCTTCAGCTTTCTTTAAGCGATAATCAGTAAGGAATGATCTGTTTTTCCTTTCCTCTCCCACACAAATTTTATCAAATTCTTATTTGAAAACTTTGTTGATTTGCTCTGCACGTTTCTATTGATTTTTTCACAATAAATGCTTACGCTTTTTCCATTCCTTGTTTACCCGATTTTAGAAATCAAGACGAAGCTACTCAAAAGATAGCAACGCTGGCTTTTTCTGAAAAAAAAAACGACTGATTTTCACATGATGATTTGTTAACATACTCACTGGAAGGATCTGCTCAAAATATTGCCAGTTTGATAGAGAAATTGACGGGGAATTTTTAGTTGTAGACAAAACTTCTCAGTTTCATTTTCGTCTCTTAATAAATTTTATCTGCCACGCACTCATGACCACGGAATGCGTATTAAATATTTTTTCTCCCAAAATTGAAAGCGCAAACTATAAATTAAATTCTTTTGAGCGCTCGCACTCAATCGAGCAAATTTTGCGCAATGGCCGTGGCCGAAAATCCGAGGTGGCCGCCAAAAGGGAGAAAATTTCGAAAAAGGCCTACGAACGCATGGCTTGCTTCTTAAACTTTTCCCATGTTCTTTTTTATATTTTACATCCGCTTCACAGTTGAATTTTCAGAATAATGGCTGCCGAACCGCCATCTTTGGAAGAGCTTCTCGAGAAGAAAAAGAAAGAAGAAGAGGAATTGGCCAAGGTTTGTGGTAAATGTCTGACTCCTCATTATAACTGAAAATATTTACAGCCAAAGTTCCTCTCGAAAGCTGAACGCGCAGCTCTGGCTTTGAAGCGTCGAGAGGAAGAAGTCGCAAAGATTCGTGAAGCTCAGAAGCAAGCGGAAGATGCCCGGAAGAACTGGGGACGGAATGAGAAGCCCGCGGTCGCTGTGGAGGAGAAGAAGGATCGAGATCATGGAAGAGACCGTGCAAACGAAAGGGACAGGGATCGAAGACGCGACCGTCGGGACCGGAGTCGTTCTCGTGATAGGAGAAGGAGCAGAAGCCGAGATCGGGAGAACAGAAGAAGAGATCGCAGCAGAAGCAGAGATCGCAGCAGAGATCGTAGAGATCGAGATCGGGACAGAAAAGACGATCGAAAAGACGATCGGAAAAAAGATCGAAACGAGGAGAGTGAGCCTGAAGAGGCCGAAGGAAAGATGGCTGATGCTGTGAAGGATAGATATCTGGGAAAGCAGAAGGAGAAGAAGAAGCGAGGAAGAAGGCTTCACGAGAGAAAGTTCGTGTTCGACTGGGATGCCGGAGAGGATACTTCCCAGGATTACAACAAGCTCTACCAGAGTCGTCACGAAATCCAGTTCTTCGGAAGAGGATCAGTGGCTGGAATGGATGTGAATGCGCAGAAAAAAGAAAAGAATTCGTTCTACCAGCAAATGGTGGAGCATAGAAGAACTGAAGATGAGAAGGAGCAGGAGAAGAACAGACTGGAGAAGGAACAGAAGAAGGAGAAGAAGGTAGCGCATGACGATCGGCACTGGAGAATGAAGGAATTGTCGGAGATGACGGACAGGGACTGGCGTATCTTCCGCGAGGATTTCAACATTGCCATCAAAGGAGGCAGAGTGCCACGTCCGCTGCGTAACTGGGAAGAAGCCGGATTCCAGCAGGAAGTGTATCAAGCAGTACGGGAGATTGGATATCTCGAGCCGACTCCCATCCAAAGACAAGCCATTCCGATCGGACTGCAGAATCGCGACGTCATCGGCGTTGCGGAGACTGGATCTGGAAAGACGGCCGCATTCCTGCTTCCTCTTCTCGTTTGGATCACTTCGTTGCCAAAGATGGAACGTCAAGAGCACCGCGACATGGGACCGTACGCTATTATCATGGCGCCGACCAGAGAGTTAGCTCAGCAGATCGAAGAGGAGACCAACAAGTTCGGAAAGCTTCTCGGAATTCGCACCGTTTCGGTCATCGGAGGAGCGAGTCGCGAAGAGCAGGGAATGAAGTTAAGAATGGGAGTGGAGGTGGTCATTGCCACACCTGGACGTCTTCTTGATGTCCTCGAAAATCGCTATCTCCTTCTGAACCAGTGCACCTACGTCATTCTCGACGAAGCCGATCGTATGCTTGACATGGGTTTCGAGCCAGACGTCCAGAAAGTTCTCGAATACATGCCGGCCACAAATCTGAAGCCGGACACTGAAGAGTTCGACAACGAGGAAGCGTTGATGAAGGGATTTTCGACGAGAGAAAAATATAGACAAACTGTGATGTTCACTGCGACGATGTCATCTGCGATCGAAAGACTCGCCCGCCAATACTTGAGAAGACCTGCGGTCGTGCACATTGGATCGGCTGGAAAGCCAACAGAAAGAGTTGAACAGGTAGGTTATTTTGAAAGAAGTCCATTTTTCAGTTCATGTCTACAGATTGTCTATATGATTCCGGAAGAACGCAAGAAAAAGAAGTTGGTGGAAGTGTTAGAGTCGGAGTTCCATCCCCCAATCATCATTTTTGTGAACCAAAAGAAGGGAGCGGATGCGCTGGCGAAGGGTCTCGTCAAACTAGGCTTCCATCCGACAGTTCTTCACGGAGGAAAAGGGCAAGAAGCGAGAGAGTACGCCCTGCAGGCACTCAAAGACGGATCCAGCGACATTCTCGTCGCCACCGACGTTGCCGGAAGAGGTTCGTTCCATTTGTTGTCCCAAACAATCTGCTAGAGTGGAGTGGGACAACTCGTCGAGGATTAGGAGTCACTCGCTTTGCCAACTAATTTCTATTTTTCGTTTTCAGGTATTGACGTCAAGGATGTGTCGCTTGTTCTCAACTATGATATGGCTAAGTCGATCGAGGATTACACCCACAGAATCGGAAGAACTGGTGAGTGATTGTTCCATTCATTCCCGCATGCAATAAGTCTTCCATCTACTGAATATTTTGTCGTCTTGACGACGATTCTGCTAGTGTGCAGGTGCTCCTTCAGCCCTGACTCATCTAGTTCGCAGCTGCCCTTTCGTATCAGGCATTGTCTTTTCTTTCGGCTTCTTCCGCTCCCTATCCCTTTCTTTCCACATTGCACTCAAGCGGAAAGTGCTCAGTGCGCTTGTCAGTTTCGACGTAATCTTCCGGCTGAAAAACACGCGGAGCATAACTCGTAATAGGCCGGGCACAGGCTCTTTCTCTTCTCTCGATTGCACCTCTCCAGGCTTCGGCGCTCTTTTTTGTCAATTTGTGTGCATGTATGTGTGTGTGTGTGTGTGTATAGACGCGCATTTTGTTGCCATTCCGGCAGCCGCTCCTTCTCCTCCTCCTCCTCCTTCCTCGCTGAGCTCTTTCCATTTCTCGAGCACATACACACATATTCAGTGCTCTTTTTCTTTTTCTCTTCATACACACATACATAGCATACAAAAAGAGATCCGTGTACACCAGTGTATCCCACCACTTTGCCGAGTTTAAAAAGAGCCCATGTGTGACAAAAAGTGGAACTGAAATGGAGCTTCAGTTAGGAAAAAAAGAAGAAAAGGAAGAGGACGAGGGGGAGCCACAAGGGATTCGTCCAGCTGATTTCGTCTGCAATGGAAGAAAATGGACGCGGGAAAAGCTGAAAAAAAACGAAGCGCTTTTAGAGATAAACTCACTTATTTTTGGTAAAATGGACCTATTTCCTTATGGATGAAAAACTTTTCGGAATCCTTTTAAATCAGATTGGAATACACTTTCTATTTCGTCTGCCGCAGTGAAGTTCCTCATAAGGAATATCGATAACAAATCAATACACAACCAGAATCACGCGACTTGGCACTTAGTTCCTTCACAACCGAAACGACTTGACGACGAATGAAAAATGACAATTAGTGCTTTCACTTCCGAATTCGTCATTCTATGGGAGTAGCGTGGTCGCTTCTCTTTTTCCGCGGCTGTCATTCGGGCACATTTGTCAATCGAAACGGGAGCTGGAACGATTGAGAATAATGGAGAAGAGAGGCGATGGCTCGTGTTTCTCCGCGATGGGGACTCCCGCTCTCAACTGTAGGGAGCGGCAGCACGTGGTCCCAGTCCCCTCCCTCTCCGCTTCAAGCATGTTGCATCTCTTCTCAGCGGCAGCCAGCCCATCAGAGCGGGCACATTTTCAACTTTGAGCCTCTCTCGTCTTCCTCTTTTTTTTTTTGCTCCGACCTCTTTCCTCCGCCGCCGCCGTCTTCCTGCTACTCTTTTGCGTTTTCTCTTTTTCTGCTTCTGCTGACATTCCTTCGTCTTTTCTCTTTGAAACTCGATTTTTCTCACGAACTCTATGTGTCTGAGTCGATGCTTCTTCTACATTTATTTTTCTTTCTCTTTTCCTCTCCTATTTTCTGTCAGCTTCTCTCTGGAAGCGTGCTCGCGTGGGCTCCCTTCTCTCGTCACCTCAGTCTCTGTCGTCGCCACCGCCACCATCGTCGTCGTCGCCATCGTCGTGTTGCTCGAAATGCACATGGAGCACAAAAAAGCTCACTTCCCCTCTGTGTCGGCGAAGAAACTCGAGTCGACACGTGCGGCACTGGGAAAGGCGAATGAGAGCGTGTGAGGAGCGAGAGAAGGTGAACTCCTCCTGCTCTCGTTCCGCCTTCGTCCTCTCTTCATTCCTTTTTTCTTTCTTGCTTTCTTTCTTTCTTTCTTTCTCCTCATGCCACGCTTCCTTCCTGGGAACGCTGCCTTCATCATCATCATCATATAAAAATCGTATCATAAAAATTAGAGTAGTCTAGTGTAGGATGGATAGTCCTGACGGAGGCGTCACTCACATGCGGTGTCCGTCTCGAGCACCTGCTATACGAAACATTAGAGCAACAAAGAAACTATGTGAAACATGGGGCTCGGTGCGTTTCTATGGAAAATTTTCATTTCAAACCGCTGCACTCTCTTCATGTCTCGTCCTTCCCGTACTTTAGCGGTCCGGCAACACCAACTCTGAATTACTGTTGTGTTTAGTTGGTGGCTCTTTGTTAATCGGTTATGACTCCATTTAATTGTGTCCATTATTATGCTGGGCAGGATGTCCCAGAGTAAATATTCGCACTCACGTCCTCTTTTTCAAATATTTTGCGTTGAAGTGGGGTCTTTTTGGGATGCTCTAAACGTTTTTTCCACTAAAAAGTATCTTCTGACAATCAGAATAACAGAAAGAGACTGAACATTTTTGTAATCCACCTTCAATTCCTCTCATTACTCGTCCGTCCGCTGATGCGTACTGTCGGCTGGTAATCCCTTGTCCAATAGGTGCGTGGATATTAGATGTAGACGGTGTGCAAACACCCGTTTCTCTTTGCGTGCTCCTCTTTTGGGCCCTCTTTCGTCCGTCCGGCGAGTCCTCTCTGTTTCCGTTTTGTTTCGTTCGTCGTCGTCGTCTTCTTCTTCTTCTTCTTCATTTACTCGTGGGAGGGCATAATATCTGTGGCCGAAATATGGCAGAGACGGCCTATAATTATTTGGGTAGTGGCGGTGAAGCGAAGAAACTGGAGGGAGAGGCGGGAGACGGAACCCATATGCCTGATAATAATAGACCAAAATGCGTCTCCCCTCCTCAGCTTCTCATTTGCCATCACCATCATCATCATCATCATCTAATTGCATTCGCATGTCAATTTTCAACACTCACACCGGCAACAGAACCCCCTCCCCGTCTTTTTTTCGATTTCCTTTTCGGTTTCCATTCAGTATCTTTTTGATTTTCACTCCTTCAATGACATTGATCGTTTCTCATGCTATTGGACCTCAGCCTCGTGGAGAACCTGAGTGTTCGCTGCTTGATTTCTACTGAACTTTCTATGATACGCCACGATGTTCACCTGGAACCAGATCACTGTTCACTTTGAAGACTTAATTCTAGTCTGAGGTAGAATGCAAGGTTTCTGCTTTCTAGAGCATTTCTTAAAAATGCTTCTGGAAGCATTTTTAGTTATGTCTGTCTAGCCGCACTCTTCTCTCGCTCGCTCCTTCTTTTTCTTTTGGTTCTGTTTTCAACCCGGGCGCACCCATTCCGAAATGAGTCACGTGTTGTTCTCCGTTTGCGTCTATTCTAGCCGAGCGTCTTCTTCGTTCCCATTCTTCTCATTTTCAGTTTAGTCTAGTTATGAGGTGCTGTCACCCACAAAAACCCAGACAACCTTTTTTCTACTTTGGACAAGGCGGCAGGCAGGCGTTGATTGTTTTGCTTTGAGTTTTGTGAGTGTGTACGGCGCTGCTGAGTCTCAAAAATGCAATGTCCTTCGTGTTTACGCTTTGGAACGGAGTGGAAGGCGACTGACGGCGCCAGAGAAAAGTGCAGAGACGGCACTCGGACCCTAGAAACGAAAAATTGATGTATAGGCGAGTCGAGAAAAAGCAGTCAGCTCAAAGTGTAGTCGGAAGGCAGTAAACACTACAGTAATCCTTCTCCCGGCGGGGGGGGGGGGGACTTTTAGATCTTCTCGAGAAGAAAGGTTAGAATTACACCCCGACGGCCACGCTGAAGGGTAGGTTTTCATTCAGTAATACGGTGGCGAGAGTTTGTTCTCACAAACAGACACACACGGGAATCGTCCTGTATTTGAACAGCATTTGTCGCGTGCGCCACGCGGGCCTTCCCGTCCTTCGCTATTCGGGCTCTCGGCGACCGAATAGGTCGAGTTGTTACTCCCGACGACAATGACCGACGGACGGACGGGCGGATAGAGGAAGAGGAGGAAAGAGTGCACAAATAGTCTCTTGCGGTTATGCTTTGCTGCTGCTGCCTCAGCTGGCTGCTGCGCCCAGTTTTCGAGACAGAAGATGGGAAGATCGGAGAGGCAACCTTCGAAGAGCAGAAGGAATGAGCGACCTGTTCCGCTGCTCTTTGCAACATGACATGTTGACAAAAAGTGCCCCTTCTCCCGTCGGAGCAAGACCAACCAACTGGTTCCGAAACAGCTGGCTCCTCTCTTCTCTTCTGTCGGGGACCAATTCTTTTCTCTTCTTTCCAGAATGTAAAGTACGTCCTTTTGTGTCAATTCGAATTGCAAATGATGATGATAATGATGGATGTGACAAGTGAGAGCAGTCAAGGCTTTGTGTTTCATCTCAAATCAGTCCATCGGTAGTCTGTATTCCGTTCATCCCCATTCCTTTTCATTTCCGAACGGTTTTCTCTTTAGTCGAGTGTGTGCCACCACATGTATTTTTTCTGCTCTCCGTTTCTTTCTGAGACGACACAAAATCTTCGTCCCGGTACCCTCACTCTTTTCCCCGTGTCTGTTTGAATAGTGTTCTTTTGTGAGTCTTTCTCTGTGTGTGTTTCAAATATTGGCCATAGTCGTCTCGTCGTCGCTCTCGTCTTTCTCCTGGCTGCCGTTTCTCACCGCGCATTCCGCCGCTCCTTCCGATGGCAGCAGTCCCTTTCCTTCGGCGGCCCCATTGTTCCATTTCCTCCCTACTTTTCGCCCTTTCGTTTTTTTTCTCAGTCGCTTCTCCCCTATCTCTCCCCCGTCCTCTGGGTACTATTTAGTTTGCCAATGTATCGAGTGCCAGTTAACAATGGGAAGGTCGAGTGAGAATTAGAATCTGAATGACGACCACAATGATAACTAGGATGTCTCTTTTCCACTTGCTGGTCCCTTCTCAAGGTAACCCGATACGTGTCTGCTGCACTGGACCCGTCCCTTCTTCCTCTTCGTTTTCACTCTCAAACATGAATTTGTACGGCTGGCCGTGAACCGATCCGAATCTTTTCGAGATTTCCATCGCCTCGCCCGCCGTCCACACCCCGTCGCGCTTTTGTTCCGTTCAGTAATGGTGGAGAGCCGACTACCGAAGTACAATAGAAGGCCGTCCGGGCGGAATAACTTTTAGAGATTAACGACAAGAATCATATGTATCGCAACCTTCTTCGGTGCCGAGATGATCTTCTCCGATTATTCGTGTCGTCTTTTTCATTTTATCCGTTAGAACTCAGCTCGCTCTGAATCTGGTTTCTTTTTTGCAGTAGTCTGATTGTGGGCTAGCTACATTGCCATTTTAGTCTCGTCCCTTTTAACCTATAATTGGACAACAGGTGGAAAGTCGTTTTGTGTTGGTCGTCGTAAAAAGAGACCGGTTATTTGTTTCATGTAGTCAGTTAGTCGCCTTTCTCGCCGTCAGTCAACCCTAAAACTACAGTAATCTTCCGATCGAGACTGATGGCTGGAAACAGCGGCTTTCCGTCCCTTCTTGTCCATTAAGTTGCCGACATCAATCGGAAGATTCCAATCGGAAACCGATCACGTGTCGTCGCTCGGCGTCTCTCGACACGCCGAACTCTCTCCGGTCAGGTGAACAATTGCCGATCCGTCGATTTTTTTTGCTATCAATTTTGCTGGCAACACGCCAGCCTGCTGGTTTTTGCACTCAACGTGGTTCGGGAAAATGTAAACGTTGGAAAGAAAGACAGGAGAAATATGTCATATTTTTCTGAGCATTAGAATTTGTATTCATAACATTTTAATCCTCATAAAGCTCCCCGCGGCTTTTCCTTTCCATATCTTGCCGCATACGTGTTGGACTACTCATTAGTTGAGCCACCGTCCAATTATATATTGCTCGAGGTACTGCTGAGCTCATTACTCTTTTCCTCTAGTGGCACCATCGGTTTTTGCTATAAATGTGGCGAGAAATTTCCCTGGGAAATTAGAAGTTCCAGTCACTTGGCGAAGCGGACCGTTGACAACAGAAGAACACGTTTAGCCCGCAGTCGACCCGTCGCACATCCTATCCGCCGCCGTCCGCATTTCCCCTTTCGTCGTGGTCTTCCGCTGCCGCAGCAGCTATCGATTCGATCCGATTCTGACCCATCTGACAGTTTCTGTTTGTGTGTATGTGTTTTCATCCGCCGTTTTCTTCAGACGACCTTTATGCATCGAAACAATACCTTATCATTGTTGTCGCACTGTTATTGTCTCTTTCCCGTGTTTAACGCTTTCGTTGGCGGTCCTCTTGTCCATCCGTCACGCCTCATTCATCGCTCCGCAAAAAAATTAGCGCCATTTTTGGGTCTTCTCAAACACATTGCCGCTAATTACAGTCAATTGACAGGCATTTGACGGTGCAAAAAGCACGTGGCAACGGCAGATAACGTCAGAACGGCACATTCCCGAATAGTACGTCTATGAACACGACCGCCAGATCAATAGATGATCCTCAAAGTGTTTTGCCCTTCTTCTGCCCATCCCATTCGCCTCTCAAATCTGCTTCGAGATTCCTAATCCGTGTCCGGCTCTCCTGCTTCCCTACTGCTCCATTTCCGTTTATTTCATAATCGAATGTGATTACATGTTATACACACGTTGAGTATACGTCTTGGCTCATTATCGGTTACTTATGCGCTCTCTCGACGCCTATCATTTCGTTTCCTTCTACTTAACGCAAACTCTCGTCTCCGTTATCATGCCATTCTCTCGTCGGCTTCTCAGAGCCTTCTCGAATTTTCGTCTGTTTTCCTATGCATTTATGGGAGTCGCAAGCCGCACTTTTCCCTCTCTCTCTCTGCCCCATTCAGAGAGAGAGAGAGAGAGAGAGAGAGAGAGAGAGTTTGCTCTTTTCCATCCGTCATCTTGTTTTCCTCCCGGCTCTCTGCTGAATCTCCCAGTAGCCTGCATTCTTCGTTTTTCTTTCATGAAAGTACACCGTTTCCGCCATACTTGTTCTCCTTCTCAGTCCTCTCTTCCATGATGGCCTTTCGAGATAACTTTTCGATTGTCTATCCGTTCTTTTTCCTTTTTCTCTCCTTCTCCTTCCTCTTTTACTCGCTCTTTTTCCATCCACGATGGATTCTATTATTTTTTCACCGGGTTCAAAAAGTGTCTGTGACTGCTCGCTTGCTTTCCTTCTCCTTCTCTAGCCGCACATTCCCCCACGTCTATTTCCTCGTCTTTTCGTTCCTTTTTCTCTCTTGCCACTTTTCTTCTTGTTGTTGCTACGTGATGTTCATGTGCAAATCATGTGAACTAATCTTGCCAAAATAATAGCGGAAATAGTTTTGTCGATATGTGTTAGTTGATAATTATGACCTGAAATTTGAGGTTCATAAAGAAGTCTTTATCATTTACCCGCTTCTCTGCTCTCACCCGACCTGCTAATAATTCGAATGATATTGTTTCGTTGATGTACCTGGCCGCTCCTCTCACCCGTAACTGTAAACAATCCTTGTCAATCGATCGATTTATCAACTCAAATCGTCTTAAACACTTTTCCGACGCCATTTGAAATCAAATTGTTCAGTTTTTGTCTGTTCAAATTAGCCATTGGAACACAATTAGCTAATCACATCACAACAGAGGCGACTTGAATGGCATTTTTGTAAGTGCATGTATCCGCCCGATTCCTCGGCTAGTAAGCCTTTCCTTCCTGACACGTTTCTCTGTTTCTGAGCTCGGGATTATGCGTGCTGATCTTCGCGATCGGTCAGGTGCTCTTCCTCTTCGCGTAATGCGTTTTTGTTTATTCTCCCGTCATTTCAGATAGCGTTAGTATTCCTTTCTCGAGCGAAAAACCCATTGTTACGTCGTTCAGACGTATGATAATTATTTATGATCTATTTTGATCTATCCGATGAGAAGTTCAGTTTCATCAAAGAATCGAAAATTCCCTCTCAATTCTTCGTTTCCCATTCGGCGTTCGCCTTCTCCTTTCCCCTGTCACTTTTCGATCCAAACCGTTGAAAATTGGCTGACGGACAGGTCGCGAGCGAGTTTCTTCTTCTCTTCCTTTCGATGTAAATCGTCTCCTCAGCACGTCGCCAGCGTGTCGGTCTTCTTCAATTAATGGATGTTCTCAATTGACCCCCTAAAAGTACTTGCCCGCACTGTCCATCCATCCTTCACCCCATTCAAAGTTGTCGGCGGCGGTTGCGGCCCTTCCGATTCTTGCGATATTTCTCGTCACCTCCATCTTATCCTAAAAATTACCCGGGCCGTATTCTTTCGCATCTCCGTCTCTTCGGAACCGTCGCCATCCTATCCTCTATCGTCTTGTCCGTCGCACCGTACTTGTGCGGAACAATGCGGGCAATTGCCGCCGCGCAATCTTAAGAGAAAGAAAGAAAAGATTCGTCTTCTTCTTCTTCTTCTTCTTCTCCTCCTTCTCTGCCAACGTCTTCTCCTTCTCCCCTTCACCGCACTGTTGCTATTTATCTTTTCGCTCGTTTCTCGCTTCGTTTCTCTCTCTTTCTCTCTCTCCGTTTTCATCTCTCCTCGACCCACCAGGGAGGAAGAGAAAGGCCGACCCGAAATGTATTTACCGTCGAAAAAATCGGGCACAGCAGAGTTTCAACAATGTTCCCTTTCCTTCCCACATCTCTTCCTTCTTCTCTGATTCTCTCGACACTCTTGATCTTTTCGTGTCTCGCCCGTTTTCCGCTCTCGGTCCGATAGTTTGATCAAATCAAATGATTCCCGCCGCGTGGTGGTATGTGTGTTGATCGAAGTATCAAAATGTGCCAAGGGATGGCGAGAGCGAAGGATAGAAATGCTGACAGTGCAGAAATCAGCTAAAACTGACGGAAACCCTGTTTGAGATTATTATAAGCGGAATCAGAGTAGAAACTCCTTACTAGAATTGGATTATTGCAATTAGTCACGGAGGGCCACAGTATCTCTCTCTCCACGCTTTGCTCTTTAAAAATCGAAAAAAAAAACGAAAATCCTAACCAAATAGTTAGTGCAATCCGCTCAGCCAACTTCAAGCGAATCTGCTGCAAACTCCTGCTCGTGAAACATTTGTTTGTATGCATTTACACAGTTTGCCTTCCTTTTTTGGCCTCAAAACCGGACAGCTGACTCCGAAATAGACGGGACACTTGGCGCCGATTGCTCTCGTCAATTGCTCCTCTTCTATTACCGAGAATGAAGGAGACGAAGAAGAAAACGAACGCCGCCGTTTTCACATAAAATGGCTTCCCTTTCAGTCTCTGAATCTCTTCTGGATAAGTGAAAGAGTAGGATAAGATAAGTTACGGAAGCCATTTGTTCGCGTGGATCATGTGCTCTTTTCTTTCATCTTCTTCATCTTCGTTTTCCTAGCGACGCCATGTGCTCCGAGGTGTGCTCCTCATCTTACTGCTCTTCTTGCTGGCACTCGATGCAATTGACAGTTTGAGCAGAAGATGAAACGACGGCGAGACACGAGATGTGTTTTTGCTCCGAGCCCCCGGCCGCTTTGCTCTTTCTCTCACACAACTTTCAACCAGGACTGCCTCAGAGTGCACAAACGTTTCCGCAAACGACCGTAATCTGCGTGGCGAGACTTCAATTTCCTGCTTGGTACTTGCTGCGTACGCTCATTTCGACCCATCCACGTGAATGGTTTGTTGCAAACACTCCTTCTTTCCCGCACTCCTGCGTCTCTCCAATCGTCCACTCTTCCGTCGTTCTTTTTGTCTCTCCCTCTTCACGAGTGCCATCGCTCTCGCTTTCTCTCTCTTTCTCTTTCTGTCGGTGTATTTGCCACACGCTTTCATAAAAGCATTTTCCAATCATCGATACATACGATTACGGCGCCGGGTCGACCATCGGCGTGAGACACGCTCTGGTTTTTTGTGAGGAGGCAGCAGTAAATCGAAAAAATTGGAAAACGATTTCACAAAGTTTGCACGGTGCCTCCACTTCTCGTGTCACCTCGCTCACTTGTTCATAAATCTTTTCAGAATCCGATTTGGACAAAAAATACGATCAAATTGTTCGCAAGGTTATCGACTCGAATCTTGATCTAGGTGCACTATCGCTTTCTGTTTGATTTATTGTGTTTCTACCTGCCATCGGTGCCACACACACACACACACTGTTGTAACAGATGTATTAACAAAACGGAGAGAGAGTATTCCCCCGAAAGAGGCACATAACAGCTTCATTCGAGCATACGGTTCGCAGGCCGGCTTGAAAGAACAGGCGCCGAAGATACTGACGCTTGAAATTGCAAGACGAGATGGTTAGTGATTACGACCTGTCCGTGCACCATCGGGGTCATAAAAGAATACGGTGTCATCGCTGCAGAGATAGATGGTGTTGATAGGGGCGAGCGGGGTCTGTCCTCCCTCGTCTCAGCGAGTTGGATGCGAGCTCACCGTGTCTGTGTTACCGTCGGTTCGCGCACTCTCTTTCTCTCCCCTTCCCAATCCCTCCCGTTACCGTCCTTCGTCCCTCATCCTTCCCGTCGATTCACTCTCTTTTTTCCACGCTGTGATCGTTTTTTTCTTCTTTTTCTATCGCAACGTGTGTTTGTTACCATTTTGAGAGTTTTTGTCTTGCAAGAATACTGCAAGTAAACTTTGTGATAGCGGCGGTAATCACGCCATTCGGATAGAGAAAAAGAGCTATTCCGACGGTTTATGGTGCTGAAAAGTGCACGTTCTGAGTTGTTGTGACCAGTCAACACACAGATACCGTTAGGGTATGTACATGGCACGATGGTCGTAAGAAGGGTGTCTAATATCGAATCTCGTTGCCCGCAAATGATAAGAATTTCGATAAGCACGTCGATCGTCTCCGCGCCCGACACACACTCAACGCCGTCATTAACTTGTGTGTCCGTCTACGGTATTATCAATCATTTTCTTCTTCTTCTTTCCCTTCCCTACCCCCTTCCTCTTCTTATTTCCCTTCCACAACTTCTTCTTCTTCTTCTTTTCTCCTTCTCCTTCGTCTCTTTCTTCTTCTAAATTCTGAATTTGTCCGTCTTCGTCGTCGTCGTGTCACCTGCCGCTGCGTCTCTATCTGTCTCCGTCACCAGTTTCTCGCCACCGGTGCTGATGGGAATGAGGGAAAAGTTGCCAGTTGCTCGGGGGCTCCGCGTGCTCGAAGCGTTTGCTGATAAATGAATGCCCCGCTTCTCTCGCCGGTTTCACATTGTTATTGCACTTCTTCCTCCATCCCTTCAGACCTCCAATTTCAAACATTTGCAATTCTGCAGTCTTTCAGGTCGTGCCGGCAAAAATGGAAAAGCGATCACGTTCCTTACTCCGGACGACACAGCCGTCTATTTCGACCTGAAGCAGGTGAGTAAAGAATCCGTCACGGCGAAAGCCCGTAATTGGTTCTATTGCACTAACCGAATTCTTCTCCTCTTTCGGCACTTCACACATGTGTGTTGGTTGCCTAATTTCGTTTTTCGCGCCCGCACTTGAGCTAGTTCTCTAGAGGCGGAAAAGAAGTGGCGTGGACATTGACGGATTCTGTAAAAAATGAAAAAAGAAACAAAATGTTTATGGAAAAAAGTCTGAAACAGTGGAAGGTCAGACGGTGTAAAAGAAGTAAATACGAGGCCATAAGGTTCATCGAGTGACGTGTGCGGAACGATAGATCACTCTGTTATTGCAGGTTCTCGTGGATTCGCCGGTCTCGTCATGCCCGCCTGAGCTATCCAATCATCCGGAAGCACAAGGAAAGCCGGGATCATTCACTTCGAAGAAAAGGCAGGACGAAACATTGTTCCTGAAGTGAGAAGAGCACCGCTCGAGCTTTTTCCGCGGTTCGTTCCGATCGGTTATCTTTACGATCTTATTTATTCCAATATTGTCAAATAAACGTTCGACTATTGCGTCTTTCCTCCTATCTTACCTCAAAAGACGTTGCTCTTGCTCGTTCTCAATATCTTATCTGTTTCCAGTTTTTCTCTCTATTATGTTGTCTCAATTCTCGTCATTCTTTTTGTCTCTCAATTAAACCACGCCCATTTGTTGCAGGATAAACCGGGGAACAAATCGAAAAAGTGTTTGCCAGCCGCAGCGACGCAGGCTCGTCTACGTTTGACGAGAACATCAGGTAAGCGTTCTTTTTCCAAATCATTTCCAAAAGAGGAAACTTTTTGATTCCCCATTTTCGAAGGCAACTTTCTCCATCTCGTGTTTTGCCTCTGTTCCTCTACAAAATCACAAAAGAGGCCTCCACGCGGACGGCCTATGGAGGACATTCAACCAAAAAGTTTCCGATTGTTGCAGAAATCGAATTGTGTTATTTTTTGTTTGTCGAGTGTCGTGCCAACCACAACACCACAAGCCGCCACGTTGACGTCGTCAGTGGTAGATTCGCGCGCGAAAGCACCGTTCCAGCAAGAACAGCAGAACAACCGAAAGATGAGCGAAGAGGACTGGCCGTCGCCCAAATTTCGAGAGCATGTGATACAAAGACTGTAAGCACTCACTCCCCCTTGAGTACGTTTCTCATGCGAACATATTTTCAGTGAACCCGAATTGGCGCGGAATCGGCAGAATGCACCGAATCTTCCGGTGCCTGGCGATGCCCGGCAAGTTGAGGAATACGTATTTGCCAAGTGTATGTCAAAAGATGAATACATGCGGACGATTGCAAAAGTGATAAATGCTATCAATTGCAACAGCAAGTCGGCAGCAGTTCCGTCAGTCCTGCAGCCCTCGCAATTCCACAGTCCGCCATGCACGACTGCAGGCAAAGGAGCGACGACACCAGTCGGATCCACGTCTGGCTATCGGGCACCCGTTCCGCCCGATCCGCAGCCAACTTCGGCTCAAGCCCGGAATCCGCCCACTTCTACGGTGGCGACCACTCAAGCCACAACGACTCCATCGTCTCAAAACACGGCTGGAGCAACTGGAACCGTGTCTGCAGCCTCTGCGGTTGCGGCCGCCGTCGCATCGTTCCCGTCTCCTGATGCGGCTATTCGTCCAGGAGGACAGACGACTCCAGCTGCCGCGGTTGCTGCTGCAGTCGGGGCAGGAGCGCCTCCTCCGGGAGCATCTTTCTCGAACGGATCAGCTGGAGGTGCTGCTAGTGCTGGCGGTCCGATGAACGGAGGACCACCGATGGGACAGCCTCCACCGCAGATGGGTACTCCGAACATGGGAATGGGAGGTCCGCCTAATGCCTACGGAGGCTATGGAATGATGAATGGGCCTGGAAATGGTGGACCGATGGGTGGAAACCCGTACAATCAGCAGATGAAAACGCCGAAAGAGGTGAGTAATAACAAGTGACACCGTGTCAGATGATAGCGCAAAAGTTCTGTAGCGGCTGATAAAAATATTTATTCTCTCACAGATGGACCAGTCTCGTGCGTGGGATCCTCAAGGTCACATGTACCAGCAGCCGCAATGGGGAGCGATGCCGCCACAACAAGGACACGGATACCCGAACGGACCGATGAACGGACAAGGAACGACACCAACTGGCAATCCTTCAGTGCTCGAATCACTCATAAATCAGCCACAACAGTATCCGAGTCATCACAATCAGATGGCACCACCAGCCGACAGAAATGGACCGGTACGTGGTCAACAGAGACCGGGAATGGCTTCTGGACACCAGCAAGGAGTGATGAGTGTCGACGACCAGAACATTTACAATTTGAAGTTGAGGAACATGCGTGGCAGCTGCGAGAGCTTGAGGTGGGTTGTCTTCATTGTGAAAGGACTCATTCTCACAAAGAAATTTTCAGAACGAGAGCCAGGCAGTGTAGACACGAAGGCAACCACGAGGCAGCTCACAAGCTGGAAGTGATGCTCAGTGTGCTCGAAGGAAAACGAGTCGTCAGCTTAGAATACCTCAACCATCTGGAGACGTGGATCGCCAGGAAGCAAGACTTCTTGAACATCACCCCCATGGCCCCCAATCCGAATCACATGGGAATGGGCGATCCAGTTATGAATGGAGAGCACGGAATGATGGGCAACGGACAAGTGCACAACCCCTATGGAGGACATCCCGCATACGGACATGGCCAGTACATGGGCGCTCCGCCGCATCACATGCAAATGCACCAGCCCCCAATGTGGCATCAACAGCAGCAACGGATGATGCAGCAAGAGCATATGATGATGGGTGGACCGCCGGGAGCTGGAGGCCCGATCCATGGAATGTACCGGGGAGATATGGGACACGAACAGATGACTTCGCCAGTGAACAATCATCGGCACGCACCGTATCAAACGCCGATGATGAGGAACAACATGAGAGCAATGCAAAACGGACCGGGACCGGTCGGAAGAGATCGCAACTCAATGAGCGGTTCCATGTCCGGACCGAGCTCCGCTTCTTCGATAAACCCGATGGGAACGCCGGCACCGAAAATGGGAGCACCTGGATCCATCGGTGGAATGTCCGGACTGGACGACTTCGGATACGATGACTTCCTTCCTAACCCGATTGATTCTCTCCAGGCAACTATTCCACTCGGCAATCCAGCGAATCAGATGAATGCTGGTCAAGCGGTGCAGCGAGCAAACTTGAACGAAGCAGCACGGACAGAGTTGCAAGCTCTAGACGCCCGTTTCGAAGTTGATCCGAACCATCAACGTCACGATGCCAACCATATTGTTGTGAGCGTCAAGATTCGCAACCAGCCGTTCCCACCCCTTCGGCTCGTCGTCCCAACCACCTATCCGGCTGGAAGTGTGACCGTCGACCGGGCAGTCATCGACTTGGACGCCTATCTTTACGATGACCTTCAAAATGTGGTCCACGAGCGGTTATCACGACCCGGACTCACTTCACTCACTGACTATTTGACTGCATGGGTAAGACAATGTTTGCATGATACACTTTCATTATTTGTGACAAGATTGAGGCTGCGCGGGCCGAGCTCACGCGTGGCTCCGCCGCTTGTTTCTTTCTCATAATTGTTTGAAAGGTCACGTGTTCATTTCTTTATTTTTCCTTTACTACTATTTCCGCTTTAGAAATGAAAGTGGGGACGGACAAACGAAGAAATAAATAAAATTTATTTAATAAATAAACAAACATGAGGACATACCCCTCCCCTCCCCCCAAAGGGTTATATTAATAAGAATGATAATCTTGCAGGAAGAACAAGTGAACCAGTACTGCCAGCAGCAAAATCAGTCCAACGGACTTGACACGCCCTTCGGTACCGACTTCTTCTACGACAATCTTAATTTGTGAGTTAGGTAGTGCTTTCAGTTTCTTTTTTTCTGCATGCTCTTCGACACGAACGGATATCCTTCCTTTTTGTTTTCAAAACTTTGCTGTTCAGTTTGAAAGTGTACCTTTGCGGTTTTCGTGTGTCACCATTCCGCGTTTTCTCATTATCAACTTTTTTAATTTCAGGTCGAATGCATTCTAGCCGTTTCGCTGCTTGGCTGCTCATCATCGTTCAATTTGCTCAGTTGCACAAAACATGTACAAAGTGACCTCAAAAGACGCTGTTAAGTGGATCAGTTGTTCGTTCTTCCTTCGTCAAATTGCCAGTCTCGCTTGCCTTCGCATATCAATTTGTTTCGTTCTTCGTCTGTCTCTCCACGTCGATTCCTAGTCCTTAGGCCCCACCCACATCCTCATCGAAATACGGTTCAAAAGCAGTCCTTTTACTACGTTTCACAAAGTGTAGCCACCACCCTCCAATCGTATCTGTCTAGAGCTATTATTCCACCTCCATTTAAATGTGATAATATCAGTCCGAGAGCATTTCTTCTTATGTGCCGTTTCAATGCGATAGAAGGTTTCCGTATTAGACGGGTTCCCTGGCATTGCCCGGCTCCTGAAGCTGAATTGCTCTTTCGACCTCCTCCCTTCATCGAGACGTGTGCGCCCCTGTTCTTCTTCCGCTGAGATTTCCCCACCCCCACCTGAATACCTCAATCTTCTGTGTTTGTGTACTTAATTCCTCTTAGCACTTTTATATTTATGCCAAAAGTATAGTGATTCTGTTTAGTCTTGACTTAAAACGCGTTCATTTACCAAAATCAGGGATTTTTCATTTTTTTAATATGTCCTCTGCATATAGAACATGTATAATCGGAATAGTAGACAAATGGATAGTTTTGTGTGTGTCCTATCTAGTTTTATTCATCCTCCTCCTCGTTTCGAATCTGTGATCCGATCTTCTGTCTGCAAAGTACGTTCTCCCCCCAACTCCCCTCTCCTACTCCCCCGCCCTGTTGTTGTTTTGTTTTCCTTTTTCAACCGTCCACGGTTGATCCCCACCCCCGTCCCTGTCCTGTGTACATTTCTTTTGCACTACCATCCAGTATGAGAGAGCAACAGATTCTAATAATTTCTGTTTTACCCTACTCCCTCCACCGTTTTTTGATTATTTCATAATTCTATTTTATTTGTCTCCAATAAAGAATTGAAATCAAAATAATAGTGGAATCATGAGAAAACGGGTGATATGAAGAGTAAGAGAATGGAAGTTGAGAAGTAGAAGGGAGCGAAGTACCGGTGAGGGATGGGTGGCTAGCGACATTGGAAGCACAGCGCGAAGAATGCTCCCGCCACGAAGCCGATGCCTGCGATGCTGGCCGGACTGAAACGGAATGAGCGGTGAAAAAAGGCAATGATTTCGGAAGTGACTCACTAGACCCAGTACCGTAGTCTGAAGCAGCACTCGTTATCGCAGCACGTACCGTACGAGAAGAACGTGTCGGTTTCGGGATCGGCGCATCTGAAGTTCGTCGTTTTGCATCTATACGAAAATGGCGCTTCTGCCCTTTTCGCATAGTTCACCACCAGTCAATCATCACCGTTTTTGGTGGGCCGACCCCGTCAGCACCCTGTCCTTCTTCTCGCTTTTCCTTCTTTTTTTCTCTCTTTTCTTATCCATGTCGACTCATTCTCCAGGGAGTCTCAATGCCTTCTTCGCCCAAATTACCCGCCATTTTTTGCGCCTTCCGGAGCCAGTCGAGAAATGGAATAAGGGAAAGAAGAAGAAGGAGGAGGAAGGAGAAGAAGGAAGAGAAGCGAAAGATACAGAAGGCAGTCCTGGGTTGAATATGGCCCAAATTGGGCGGGAATTTGAATAATTCTGGACGGGAGGCGCCCCGACACACTCAAATTCGATTTGCAGGACGACGTGGCGGAGACAAGTGGAAGCGCATATTTTCGGAAATTTCGGAAGGAAGGAAGTCGCCGTCGACGACGACGATCAACAAGCAATCGAGGGGAGACCTTCGCGCCGTGCTGACCAGAAGGTGTTCGCGGAGCATTTTCCCATGCTCGCCTCGCTCAGTCATTATTCAACGGGAAGAAGAAGAAGAAGCGGGTTGGGTTCAATCTAGGAAAGTGAAAACGTCGCATTATCCGACTTCTCCGTTAATCTTCCCTTCCGTCTTCAGAAGCCATTTCTGCTCCGTTTTCTGCTCATCTTTCATCAACGGCGCCTCCTCCAATTAATTGGAAAATCGAGAGCTTCTCCTTCTTCTTCTTCTCCTTTTTCTCCTTCTTCTTGCTGCGTGTGGAGCTCCCACGTAAATGAATGAATGAAGCGCGAGCAAAATGGAAAGTATTAGCCTTGTTAGTGGAACCGATCGGCTGATTTATGTGTGCTCTTGACACATTCTTTTTTGCATCCTGCTCTTTTTCTAAGCACGATTACGAAGAATCTATGTTTTCAGCGCACAATTATTTTGTTTTCTGATTGGCCGTAGAGGCACTGAATCGCCGGGTGTGTACGAATGTTTTCGATGGACTGCCATCAACTTCAGGAAACACTTTGTGCAAGGTTTAGAGCGGGACGCCACCGCCAGCAGAAGCAGCCGTTCTGCCACGTCCTCCTTCGGACCAACTACCAAAGTTCATTGGAGCGCACTTGTAATTGAATCCAACACGGCGCCATTGTTCTCGAAAGTTTCGATGCGCTCGAAGGAATCCTCGCCCAATTTGTTGTATATTATACGATCATTCATCAAAACAGCACTGAAGCAAAGCACCGCCCATTTTAATGCATAATAGATGGTGTGGGAGCTCTTCCGACGGACGCATTGGCTCGAGAGAGACAGCCTCGGGGCCGGGCACATCATATCATTTTGCCACGGCTCATTTGTCACTTACACGTGGTCCTCGTCACGCCAAATTGGAAAGGTCTGGTCAGAAGAGCCCCCGCTCCATCGCATCAATTATCATATTGAGGCTCGTTACTCGACTGAAGAGCTCGTGGCTCCGTGGGAGATGAGCAAATTGGAGAGAGAGAAAGAGAGAGAGAGAGAGGAGTCCCTCCTCCGGAGAGGATTAGGTTTCCAATTATTTCCAAGGGAAAAGAAGAAGGAAGCGGTTCGGAAGTGACGGAAAAGTATCTGCGTCTACCGTACTCCGTTTTGGTTCTTCTGGTTCCTGGTGAAAAGTGGTTAAAAGGACTTTAGTTAATTTCATTTACACCAGGAACCAGTGAGGTATGAAGATGTCAGTCAGGCTTGAAAAGAACTCACGTGTCTGGGTAACATGTCTCCGGGACGATTGCTGCCAAGACCGCGGCAGTGACGCAGATCACAAGAAGTAGGATGCTCCGGAGCATCCACTCAACATGGAGCAGTGCCACGTGGCGATGGACGAATAACCTGGAAGCAAGGGATGTGCCGGAAGGAAGAAGATGGCAATCTCGGAATGTGTCGGACACAGGGCGGAGTTCGCGCGGCGACGAAGAAGAAGAAGAAGAAGAAGCCGACGACGACGAAGAAGAAGCAGAAGAAGAAGGAGAAGAAGGAGAATAGGCCCCGCCCCTTTGGATGAAGCACGCGGCGGCCGAGCACCGAAGACCCCGAAATTGGATTGTTTTGATGAGAAAAAAGGCGGCTAGGACAAGGAGGAAAAGAGGAAGAAGAGGTGTGTGAGGACGGAGACAATTTACAAGTAATATGCAGACGGGAGGTATTCCCCTTCGCTGAATTGTGTTTATGTTTTCGCGCCGCCCGGAGTGACGGAATTCGTCCAGCAGATGTGAGAGAGTGGAATGGGCGGAGCCTCACTCCTGGAAGGAGCAGACGAAGGGCTCTCTCTCTCTTAATTTTCGCAGCAGTTTATGAGTTTTGAAAGCAGAAAGCTGACTAACGGGATGTGACATCTGGGCGTGCGGCAGATGAAACCACTGTAGTCACTTCTGATTCATGTCAGGGCGCATTCAGGGTGCTGGCAGTTTGGTACCTTAACCAGCTTCAGATCTTGTGTACGTTATTGTTGGTTGCAAAAGCCAAAAAAGAAAGATTCTGCCGAAATGTGGAATGTGCCCATTATCTTGTCAAAGAGTACCGGGATCTCAGTATTTCCAGTCCAAGACAAATAAATAATAGAGTGCTCAGGCTGGAAACGACGAAATGACGCAGGAGAGAGAGTGCTTCTTGTTGGCATCTTTCAGCGCGGCAACACAGCAAAAGAGAGCTTGTTTTGGAATGTCAAATGAGCCATGCGTTTGGGCTCGAGCAGCCAGCAACACCAGCCTGGAACCGGCTCACCAAATAACAATCCAGGTTGTGATTTGTCGGGGCGAGCACTGAAACGGGAGCAGTCGCAGAAAGAGCACTTCTTTGCTAATCTCTGCTGATGGCAGCGACACCGCCGGAATGGGCGAGAAAGGAAGAAGGGTCAATATGATTTATTGGGGAACATGAAAATGACGATGAGCACAGAGCAGAGCCACCCCGTTTCTATCGTTTCTTCGCTGCCAAAACAAAAATATCGGGAGCTGCAAAATCGTAAAAATGTGCGGTGGAAGCAGAAGAAGGCGAAAGAGTCACGGCTTCTGATTTCGAATGAATAGATGACGTGTAAGGGAAGTGCGTGAAGCGAAGTGCATTCAGATGATTAAAGGTTAGACGACGAATTGGGATATTATGAACTTTGAGGACTGACCTGGAAGTAATGATGAGTATATTATGAGAACAATGAGGGAAACATGATTTTTCCAAGAAAAAGCGGCTGCGGAAGAGTACGGATGAAGCACTTGAAGCTGAGAGTACCACTTTCAAATCAAAAATTCAGAATTTTGCAATTTCGAATTCAAATTCAAATGTCTGAGAAGCGGAGGTTGAACAAAACAAAAGTTACTCAAAAAAAAGGGAAGTACCATAAAAAAGAGTGGTCGTATTGCAACATTCGGCCAAAGCAGGGACAATAAAAATGATAGTGTCAGACAGAGAGAGCTCGCGGAGCACGGACGAAGCGGCGGCGCGCGACACCGACTTATGGTCCTCGGGGGACATAATTCAGAAAAAGTAGGAGGATTCGTCACACTTCGGAAGACCGTTGAGCCGCCTTTCGCCTTCTTCGATTTGGAAATATTTATTTGAGAAGATGTAAAGTAAGTACAAAGAGGAAGTAATTACAGATAAAAGGAATGGGCGGAGGCTAGACGCTTCCGAATTGGTTGCTATTTTTGAGAAGTTGGTCGAGCAACTGCAGCGGGCGATGGAGAGTGACTTCGATCCAGCAGGGGGTCTCCTTGAAAAGGAAAAATGATAATAATAATACGTTCGAGTCGTCACAGTACCTTGATAGTTTTTCTCTGAATAACATCTCCCCAGGCTTTGACAAAGGAAATTGCGATGGTGCAAAAGTCGCGTCGCATTCTGTCGACTCCACTGTCCGGCATGATTGCTGGCATCACAGACATCTGCAAGTTTATCATGAATAACAACTTCTTCTCTCTATCACTTATACCGTATTCCTAACCGGCGCGTAGCCAGCCACTGCTGCCGCCTGTGCTCGCACCGCCTCGTTGCTCGACTCACTGCGACGGAGCATTTGCATGTACGCCCAGCGGATGTCGAAGATCTGAAAGAGGGAAAAGTTGAGAACGAGAAAGCAGATGGTGCATTTACAGTGAACGAAGCCTCGTTTGGAGTGAAACGGTGCGCTTTGCTGCTGTACTCGGCGCCCTGCGTGTAGTCCAAGTAGCCGGAGCGCACGAAGATCTTGCAGTTCGATGTGATCGACACGTTTCCGTTCGCATGACACGTCAGTTCGACACCTCCTCCGATGTGCATTCTGAAGAGAAACGATGAAAGAGTGAAATAGAATGGAGAAAGTAGCTCACCTCGCCTTTTCACTTGCTTCTGTTCTGTGCACATTGGAGAGGGCTCCGAGACAAAAGCGTCCCTCGTTCTCTCCGTGAGGATCCATCCCGCCGTCGACAATCACCTTTCCATGATCGAGAGCACTGACCTGAAAATGAGATCATCTACGATCTAGTCAACATTTCGAAACAAGCCTTGAAAGTCTCTCCAATCTGAGTGTCGAGCTCATAATAAATGATAGAACACCAGTTGTCCAGTGACTGTGAAGGAGTCGGCACATTGATTTGGGTGAGATCGACGGCAAGTTCGCATAAGGAAGGAGTGATCAGTTGCGGAGGAGTGTGCTGGATGTTCGCACCTGTGAACCCTGTAAGAAGCGACCGTTTCCTTCCCCGTTCTTCCCGTTCCCTCTCTTACCATTATAGTTGTTGTCCGGAGGAGTGCTCGGCCAATCGCCGTACGTCTCGTGCATCGGCTGCTCTCCCGCGTACTCGTAGTCCTTCTTAACCTGCGCACCGTCCGTGTGCAATGACGCTTCCGCACTGGCTATCCGATTTGAAACGACTCTTTCGTAGTGGTACGGATTGATGCAGATGTTGTCCGGATGGTCGGTGACGGTCTGGCACTGAACGAGCTTCACCAGTTCATTCTTGCTCACTTTCGGCCATCTCCAGATTCTCGCGTACACCACATGAGGCACTCCCTTTCGACCGGCTACTTGCAGACGTCCGTCCAATGATCTCTGAACTTTTTCTATAATTCATGAAGATCTTCTTCAATTCCTGCTCACCTGGATAGTGACACATCCCGTCGGCTGCTTCCCGTTCGAAGTGATTGCCGTGATGAGCGCATCCAACTCGACCCGCTTGTCCTTCAGCTTTTTGACCAACGACTCGATGGCTTTCCGCACAAACTCTCCGTCCTCTCCGCCCTGAAATGAAAGTCAAATTCCGCAGCTATCATGGCGCCTACAGTAGCCTGTTTGTGTGCGGAAAGTGGGTGGACAAACTCCGATGACTCAAAGCTAATACCTGTTGATAGCACTGGAGCACATGCGAGATTTGCTGGCACGAGTCCATGGCGGTGGTGAGCGCGGCTCCCGCATTCTGAGAGATCGATGTCGAGGCGACGGAAGGCGTCGGCTGTTGTTGTGGTTGAGATGGTGGAGGCGGTTGAGGAGGCTGAGATGACGGGGCAGGAGGGAACACGTACGGATGGTTGTTGCTGTGGGCGATCGTGGGAAGTGTGGGCAGGAAGGTGCCGAACGGCGGCGACTCGTCGAGACTGCTGACGGTGTGCATCAGCGACGGATGGGGCACCGGATAGTGAGGCATGTGGGCGATGGGCACGGGGAACTGGAAGGACGCATTCAGATGCAAACGGCTGAATTTAACCGACCTGGTACCGATTATGCGAATTGTTAAAGTATTGCATTCCGCAGAGCAGATTGGTCTGATAGTCCATCGGAGTGTACTGAAATCCGCCAATCTCACTTTTCGGCGCTTTCTGATCTCTTCTCACCTGAACCATCTGCTCTCCGTACAACTGATCGTAGTACATGGGGTTCGAGGTGGATGGCTGGGAAGTCATCCCTGGATGAAACATGATTGTAAGAATGAGAAGTTGTGATGAGAAATGAAGAGAGAAAGAGAGAGTGAGATAGCAAGAGAAGAAGTGGGCGGAGACTGCAGAGAACACGGGCGGAGCTGTGAGCGAGAAGAGAATGGGAAAGAAGAAGAAGGAGAAGAAGAGCTGGATGGGAAAAGAAGTGGAAGGAGGGGAGGGAGGAGGGCTGGAGCGGAACGGCTAATGAAGAAAGAACGGCGTTGTGATTCGAGGTGACAACGAAGGATCAGTGGGCGAGATGTGTCATCGAAATCAAACAACAACGCTGATCTCGGAAGTTGTTCTAGACGTCGAGTACGGTAGAATTGATACTATAGGTTTCTTGCTAAAGCCGGAGAAGAGAAAATGAATGATAAGCTAAACAGAAAGTGTTCGGAGAGAGTGGTTACTGTAGTTTTTAACTTTGAATTTCCCAAACCATTCATGAAACGGTTCGAAAGGCGAGAGGAAGTATGACTGAAAAGTGAAAAAGTGCATAGAATTAAAGTATTAAGAACGGAAATCGAAGAATTACATCAACAAATTCCGTTGCCAACCGAACAGTCGTTAGTCCTATTAACAGTACTTTGTTCCAAAATGTCATCTGACATCAGTCAGGCCATACTTTTCCAGACAGTTACTGATAAAAGTACACAACAGGAAGACTAGAGAGACCGAGAAAAGCGAAAGAGTGTGACGTGGCGGCTGGCTGTTTTCGGACTGTCCCGTCAGTGAGGACGGCTCATCGATCAACCTGATTCGAAGCCGTCACCCCTAATTTGTGTGTCCCAATCAGCCGCCGAGATGTGCCCATATGTGTTCTCTTCCTCCCTCCCCCACCTCCGTCGTCTTCTCCATCTCAACCGTCGTCTCGTTTTCACTGCGTCTCGTTCCTCGTCTCCACTTCGGCGCCACTGTTGGGTGGTCACATCAAACGGACGCCGAAGACTTCGATTCAGTCTTCCTCCTCTCAAATCAACGCTTTTTTGACACCCTCACGTAGGGAGACGCACGTACAAATAGGGGCGAACAGTCAGGAAGATGATATCATTGAGACAAGAGGAGGAGGGAAAACACAAAAAAACGGAAATGAGGTGGTTGGAGAGCTCTGATGAGGGACGGTCGTATCGATTAATTGGGTTATCAGTGGGCGAGTCGGACGAGCAACACAGAGCGCATGTCACTTTTTGGAGGGAAACCACTGATACGGTGGAAGAGGTGGAGACGCAGACGTGGCGGTTCGAGGAGTTTCAGAGAGGGAGAAAGACGTCATCGGCGAGTGATAAGGTCCTTCTGGAAAGGAAATAATCAAAGAGATGCCTTCCGAGTCACTATCATTTCTAGGGATGCTTCAACGAAAGATTTGTATCAAGTGACAAGATCACGGCTTTGAGATTCAGAAATATTACGATACTTGGCTTCGATTTGGCGAGAGTTAGCATCTGGGATCTTCAGAACAGAACTTTCGCGAAAGTTCACTGGAACCGTACTTCACAACCATTCCGCGCTGATCCGGCGGACGAGGTGTCTCTTTAGAAACGGTCGTAAAAAATAGAGAATTGTCTGTGTCTTATCTGTGTCGTTTCGGGTGAGTTATGGCTGATTTCGCACCCGTCATGCACGTGAACAGAACGACCATTCGGCCGTCCGCGGACTTTCAGCTTCTTCTTTTTCTTCTTTTTTCCCTTTCTCTTCCCGTTCTTCTGCCTTCTTCTTCTTCCTCTTCTTCTTCCTCTCCCGCTTCTCTCTTGATACAAAACGATTTCTTTTTTCTTCTTCTTCTCTTGCGGTGGCGCAAAAAAGTGTGATGAATGACTGCTTGATAGCCGCGCCAACCAATCAAATCACCGGGCCGCAAAAACAAATAGAACAAGAGCGTGTGATACACACACACACACAGCAAGAAACGGCCGAATGATTGATCAACTTTTTAATAAGGCGTCGGCAGAGAGTGCGGTGAAAGGAGGAGAAGGACGGGCAAACGGACGATTTGTGACAGTGTGTAGGGAGGAATAAAAGGATCGACCTGATATCGTACGGGGAAAGGTCGGGAAGGATCTGAGATCCGAGGGCTGGTAGCAGAAGATCAGATCGGAAAGGATCAAAAGGCGAGGTTCGCAGAAGTTCGAAATATAATATGTGAGAAGTGACAAGAGCCGCGCAGACAAACAAATCATTCGAAACAGATGTTTTGCGGAGAGCCTACCCCGTTCGCTCATTTCAACAACACAAAATCATAAATTATATAAATGTTTTCTGAATTCGATCGTAAATACTCGAAAGGACGTTCAAACAGAAGAGTGCCTTTGATTCTGCATTCTTTTCGTTTCCAGCTGAACAGTTGATGAAGAGCTGTGTGTTTGCAAGACGTGTAGGCGAAGTGAACACTTTGGAAACATGGGCGAGTTCAAACAAAAATGATGTCAGACGTGGAAATTTTCATTTTAAAGTTAAAATTCAGATAACCTTGGATTGAAGATCTGAGCAAGAGTAGGCAAGAAACAGTCAACACTGATCGGAAGGGAAATTACTGAGATCAGTTCAATGTATTTTGGTCAGAAAACGTTCACGTGATCTGCAGCGATTGGGAGGGAAGCTCTCAAAAATCATATGTCAATGTTGCTCGAAGGACTGTTGAGGAGAAGAAGCCACCACCCCGATAAACAAACCGAGAACGATGTGGTTCATTTCGAAATGAAAAACTTCCTCTGCCGAATCGATTTCGAAAGTATTCATCAGCTGCTGCCGTGTCTATGTGCAATTTCAACATCAAACTCTCAAGGTACACGACTTTGAACTCTCTCAAAGGGAAACAGGAATAAGGAGATGAAGGAAGGAAGTGGGGAAGGAAGGATGGAAGTCACAAGCCAGCCAACTTGTTAGTAGTATGAACCGAAGCGTGAATAATTAGTAACAAAGAGAGAAGGGTGTGAGAGAGAGAGAGAGACGGAGACACACAGAGATACGGTTTGGAAGACAGGCGCCCGCAGGCCCAGAGGCACTCGGAGTGGCGAGCACCGAGGAAGAGAAGGTGGGCGAGGGGGAGAGTGCAGGGCTCGAGCAAAAAACGGACAGAGAGTGTTTGCTCGACGAGCCAGACGGGAAGGGGACTCGCCCGGATAATGATATTAATGGGAAAATGCTACCAATGCATCCCAGATGAGCCCCAATGTTCAGATTAGCACGAACTTACTGGGTTTAGATCGAGAGGATTCCCTTCGGAATCAGAATACTGTAGAGCTGGAGTACTGTAGAGGTGAGGATTCATTCTAAATTCACTTCAAAAAGTTAATCATAAGACTCAGAAACCGATTGCCAAAGGCCCAAAATGAAAAGAAGCCGTCTGATTTGTCGGCAGAGATTCTTTTGACTGATGGCCCATTCGAGGCTCGTAACGGCCTCCGAACGACCGGATGAACGGACGGAAAACGGCGCCCAATTGGCGCAGATGGCCGACCTTGTCTCGCTTTTGGCGCCACCTTTTGAATCGAATTCGACACCAAAAACAGAAGAACGAATGGGGTTCAGAGTAATTTTCATCACAATTGGAACGGTACCCATTTGAGGCGGAAAAGTGAGGGAATGGAGACGACACAACCAAAGAATTCGAGTCAAATGAAAAGTGGCCTAAAGTAAATACAAAAGAAGGAGGAAAGAGCGACACTAGAGCAGTTGAATCTCCCGACCGGTACAGTTTTTGCAGCAGGAAATGGTCAGATTTGAATATTTCGCAGCGATCGGACGCACTCGTTCTTCGCATGGCGAACGATGGAAAAAAGAATGGAGATCGAGTTGGACAAAGTGTCGGATCTCCTCTGATGTCACACTGAAAGTGGCTTTACTTTAAAGCTTCAAAATAGAACGGACATACTTTTTAGTTTTAACAGCCTGTTGCACTCCAACCAACGTCTTTAGAAGATATTCGTTCTTTGACGCCAACTCATTGCACCGAATGGATTGTGCGAGAAACTTGCACTTCCAAACATCGCGATCTATTCGTAATCGATCCGATTCTTCGTCTTCTACCATCAACTGAAATGTGAAGACGGGAATGAGATAAATTGTAGCCGACTGACTTTTCCCATGTACTCATCAACTCGATGTGCGAGACGGACCTTGTCCTCCGTCAGTGCTTCCACTTGTCCCTGAACCGTATTCGAATATTATACTCAATCCTATTCTGCTCACCTGCAGCTCATCGTTCAACGTAGCAATCATCAACCTTTTCAGTTCCGAATTCACTTTCTGCTCCAAACTGAGCTCCGTCCTCATCAGTTCCAACTCTCTTTCCAGTTCGGTTTCCCTGTCCGTTTGTCCTCCCGGCTCCAGACTCTTTCTCTCTTTCCTCCCGTCTCTCAACTCTTTCCGCAATGTCACATTATTATTCTGTTCTGCTTTCGTGTTCATTGCGTATGCGATCAATTCGGGCAGATTCTCCGGGCATGTATCTCCTCTTCTGTAATTATAAGTTCACTTATCAGTGCCATTTCGTTCAAGTTGCAATGGAGCGCACTTGCTCTTTAACCTATGCTGCAGTGCTTACTTATTCGGCGCCACGGCCGCTTTGTACGGTTCCCACGGCACAATCCTAGGCTTTTTCTGTTTTCCTCTGCTCTCAGGTGTAGAGCTCTCCGTGCGAAGTGGCACGGCTTCAGGGCTCTCTTCTTTGCTCTTCGCTCCAAAATGCACTTCATAGTTATCCTCATTGGCAAGGGACAAATCATGGGCATGGTAAAGATCGAGAAGATCCATTTGGGTGCATTGGAAGGGCAGATATAACCGGGTGGAAGGGGAGGAGGGGGACGAATAAAGAGGTCGAGAAGCAGTCAATAAAAGGAGGGCGGTGGCCGTCAAGACCCTCGGCCGGGCGGGCAAACGGCCATGTTATCGGGAAAAGGCGATCGGTGAGAAAATGGAAGGAGACGGTGAGAGAAAGTGTATTTGAACAGTTTATTTCGATTGAGCAGTCAGCACAGAGTCGTCTTCCACCAATTCGATGCCGTGGTTGAGGATGAACGTCTGAAAGCACTGAGCAGTTATACTGTTCTCCCATGGGATTGCAGTCGAGTCACCTTCACTTGCTCGGCCAACTTTTGAGCTGCCACGTCAACTCCCACGTCTTTCGGAGCACGAAGCGCCAGCCTTTTCTCACTGAAAACCTTGCTCAATTCAAACACTTTATAATTTCCCATTACTCACTAAACTCCAGGATCACGAACTTTATTCAACGTCATCTGAGTAGATAAAGGAGCCGGAGGCAGTTTCACATTTTGCTGGAAAAGTGTTGTCTACTTTAGATGACGTGGCAAAAGAGACGGTCAAATTGTCGCAGGCGCCGGCTGGCACCTCATAGGGATACTTGAACGGCGCCACCCGCAGGAAGACTGCCACGTGACACACCTCTCGGGCAGACAGCTATGACGCATTACGAAATTTTAGTATTTCCCATTTCCCACCTTGATCACCACCAGCTCCTCGCGCTTCTTCCGCTCCTTCTTGGCGCCTGTCGTGGGAGCGAAGCCGCCCGTCTCGCACAGTTTCCGAAGTGCTCCGTACCTGCGCCATGGGTTGTTCGTGCTCCGAGTTCCCTGCTTTCGGAATGTGGGCAGCTCTCCGAACTGCGCGAATTCCACGACGGACTGAGATTTCACGATTCGAATTGAGGAGTAGGAGACCGGTTTTAACGGTAGAATGCACGGCTCTTTGAAATTTTTGAGCGCGATGGAAGAGTGCGAACTTTCGGATGCTCTGGCGTTCAAATGCGAGTGAGCGCCGAGGTTTGAGAGCTGCGAGCACAACGAGTGAACGTCTTCCGTCGAGATTCGGCTGTTATGGCTGCTGTCCTCCAAACGATGAATACGCTTTCCGGAAGTATCGATCGGACTTCAAGCAAGAAGAAAACTCAGTAAGGAATTCAATAAAGTACTTACTGCATGACTTCAAAAAGTTCGAAGGATAAGAAAACGATAAGGAAGAGTAGAAATGAAGAGGGTTTGAAAGAGGATTGAAGGGGACGTGAGTTCAGAGCACAAATAAATTTTATCCTTTTGAAGATCTGATACATAAAAGTGGGAAACGGATAAGAATAAAGTACAAGAAAAGAGATCACATAGAACGGCATTTGAAGCTACACTTTTTTACTTGAAGACATTGAAGTTCTGTTCGGAGAGCGTTACGGGGGACAAGTTTTCTCCGTCTTCCAGGATGCTCGTCGTGTTGAAAGTGTAGTCCGTAGGCAGTCGACCGACGAGAGCACTCTTCACGCGGCTCTTCGCCCGTTCTCCAGCCGTTCGCTTTTCCAAAGAAACCTTCTGAGTCTCTTCAAACAGCTCAAAAAGGTACTCGTACTTGGTCTTCAATTCGCGGCACTCCTGCATGGTCTTCGCCACTAATTCACTGTGAATGTTCTTCAGCGCGAGTAGCTCTTGTTTCTGAAATTACTTTTTTACTTCGAGTGCTTATTCTCCGATCTCAACCTTCTTTTCAATTTCTTTCGATACATTCGGCTGATGTTTTCCCATCGCTATTATCTGTTCGGTGATCGCCTCAATGTTCTTTTTGAGCATTTCGTTCCTTTGCAAATGCTCCTCTCGCAATTGTTTCTGCATTTCCGCCTGCTCGATCATCCGTTCGTGCACTTTGTTTCGCTTTTCGGTCGAGAATTTGAGCTCTTCTTCCAGGTCGGTTAGTTTGCGGAGATTGCTATGCACATTATCTTGCAGTTCGATTATTTCCTTCTTCATGGCCGACCACATATTCACTTTGTCGACAATAGCCGGAACGTTCTTCGCAGCATTGATGCAGATATCAATGGCTTCGGCCATCGCCTGCTGGCTCGCTCTGCAAAATAACAATGAAATAAACCGTTGACAGATATTAACTAACTTCGACTGCTTCAAACAGTCTCTCAACTCTTCGATCTGCTTCTTTCTCTTTTCAATTTCGTCTGCCAGCTCCTGCGGAGACGAGAGAATCTCTCCATTCAAATGTTCGATCATTTTCTTCCCACTGATAATTTCGCTTTCCAATCGGTCAATCTGCTGAAGCGCCTCGTCGTGCTGTTTTCCTATCTCTTCAATTTTCGCGTTATTCGCCGTGTACTCTGCCACAATGTCATTCAGCTGTCCTTTCACAATATTGTGCTCGTTGATCAGCTCGTGCTCCCGTCTCTTTCTCTGACTTTGCTGTGAAAGTAGTCCATTCTTGCGTTTCTCTTCTGCAAGCAGTTCTTGCTGCAACTGCTCCATCTGCACCTTTCTGTCGCTGAATTCTTCGCTGACTTCTTTGAAAAGCGGATCGGCAATCTCGTGGAGCCTCATGAAATCGACGAGAAAACTTGTTAATTTTCGGAAACGCTGTGGAACTTTCGCCGGGGCCACCAAGTCACACATTGTCAGATCTAGTTTCTTGCCCGAGTCGTCGATGATGAATGCTTTCCTGAATAATGAACGTTTACATTGACCAAAGTAATATATTTTACATACATGCACTGGTAGAGGATAATCAGAGGAATGCTCTTCCGGTGCATTTCAATGTCGTGATCGCAGTCGACGGAGACGGGAAGAGTTCCCAGAGAATGTTCGGGCACGTTTAGAATTTGAACAACAAAGTTGTAATAGACGTCTCTTGCAACCTCAGCCTGGAAAAATAAAGAAGCGTTTTTCGACGGTTAACTGGGAAACTGACTGTCGGGTTCAAAATGTTGTCCGGAGTCAATCCGAGGTGCAGTTTTGAATTCAGCCATTTGACGATCATTCGTGTATCGTACATAATCAAGCCAACTGATTTTGACTTCTCCATTTTTGCTGAAAATGCATAAAATTTATTGAAAAAATTGAACAACAAGAAGATAACGAGAAAACACGTTTCAAATTTTGACCGAGCGCGCCGAAACCCGAAGAAATTCTAGGCCACAGAGGTTTCTAGGCCGCGGACAAATTTTCAGTTTTTCAAAACAAGACCGTATTCTAATTGAAAAACAGGACATTTCAGCATGAAACATCATGGAGGCAGCTGAACACAGATTCCCTAAGTGGGTATCGTCAAAAATTATTGATTTTTATGCAGAACAGGTATCGAAAACGTGAATCTGAAAACTATTGCGAAAATGAGAACACTCAGGGAATCGAGCGGTTGTTTGAGTGGCAAATCAACGTTCTGAATGGAGCCATCAAGCATTGCGATCAAAACGTGGTGTTTAGTGCTCCGACAAGTGCTGGGAAAAGCATCGTGGCGGAACTTTTAGGTAATCGCATTAATCACAAAAACTCAACGGATCCGTATGGATTTTAGCATGGCAAGTAGCCGTCGCTGGAAAGAAAGTTCTCTTCATACTTCCGTACATTTCCGTGGCTCGCGAGAAGCTTCATCAGATTCAGAAGTGCTGGCGACGTGAGGATATCGCCGTTTGCGGGTACATCGGCCCACAGGCGTCGAACCCGAACGAGTGGATCGGCGCAGTTTGCACAATTGAGAAGGCAGCCAGCCTAACAAATCGAGCTCTTTCTGAAAAGTGGTTTGATGAAATAGGTAGGCACTGAATTTGACGCATTCGAAAAAAGGCAACTCGTCAGGAATGGTGGTGGTGGATGAGTTGCATATGGTGTTCGATTCATCAAGAGGAGCACATATCGAACACATGATCGCTAAAATTCTCCTCTGGAACAAGTAAGTTTTGAGATGAATATATAAATTCTGATTATAGACGTTTAGAACCGCAGAAAACAAAGTTCGAATAGTTGGGATGAGTGCCACAATTCCAGAGTTGCACCGGATTGGTCAATGGATGGAAGCTCAAGTCTATGAAGCCAGTTTCCGACCGATCCGCCTCAACAACAACATCATAATCGGATCCGAAATGCGAAAATTCGAAAATGGGATTGTCTCCGATCAGATTACTCGCGAGTTTCCTGATGATCCGCTCATTACTCTGGCTGAAGAGAGTTTCCGGAAAAACTATCAGGGTCTTGTAATGATTTCGTCAAAAATGGAAGCCGAGAAGACGGCAGTGAACATTGCGATGAGGCTGCACGAACTGAAAAAAGGAGACGAATCGATTATTAATCGACTGAGAGAACGGGCCGACGGACTATTGTTCACGAAGAATGGATTGCAAAGAAACGGCTGCAAAGATCGGAATCTGATGGGCACTCTGGCCTGGGGAGTCGCCTTCCATCACGCAGGATTGACTCTCGAGGAGCGAGAATGTATTGAACTGGGATTCCGGGAAAAAAGTATCATCATTCTGGTGGCCACGAGCACTTTGGCTTCCGGAGTGAACCTCCCTGCCGAACGAGTAATTATCAAGGCTCAAACACGTGGCCCTTCGGCTCTCACATCTCTAAGTTATCGGCAGATGGTCGGGAGAGCCGGTCGGACAGGACACGCGACACGAGGTGAGTCGCCCCTTCCTCCCACTAATTGTCCGCCAAAAACGTACTTGACGTCTCCGTCCTTCCGCTGCCGCCATCGCTGCTCACTTCCGTTAATTGTTACGTTGTTTATTAGAAAATCGAATTCGGTACCCAAAACAGAACATTACAATGAGTTGGTGTAATCATGGTAGAGCTTCAGCGAACTGTTCGCCGGAATCATTTGGGCGGTCGGGAAATGTAATTGGGAAAGGGAAGAGGTATCAACAAGATTCACGTCGAAATTGAGAGTTGGTTGTTGATGAGAGACGAGCTCCGCCGAGCGTTCCGGAATGTTCGACGGCTGAAATGATTAGGCAGAGCATGAAAACGAAACGAGAAGATGTAGCTCACCTTGTACTCCTGCTTGACCGACATGTGATGAGTCGGACGCTCGTCGTCGTCACTATCCGAGAGATCACATTTCTCAACGCTTTCCAGACATGCTGCTGCTTCCAGACTCTTTTTGTGCATTCCTGAAAGTGGCTTTTGAGCTCGGACAGGTGCGTATTGCGCAGGCGTTGTTGCGTTGCGTTCCAATTACATTGACACTACATTAGAGAGTAATACGGAGAGGTTCTCGCCATTTAATTGTGATAATTCAATTACAGCTAGGAAGATTTGGACATGGTAAAAAACCTAACCTAAAAGCCATGGAGCAGCGCTTTGTTGTGGATCCGACGTCTCCGCACTTTTCGTGATCGTTTCCGGAAGAGGAAGCGAATGACGAACCATCGCTCCGTACAGTCCGTACTCTGCCATTATCGTGCTCTTGCCCCACGTTTTCTCTGTTTTGCGCCACTTGGCTCTTCGGTTCTGGAACCATACCTGAAAACAAGAGGCGAATGTGTTTAGCTAAACAGAATGGTGTTTGGTTTCCAAGGGACCGTGTGAATTTGTTGGGATAGGGTTAATCTTTCGGGAAGGGTTCGGGTTGCAGGGTGTGCTGAAGCATCCGGAGAGCGTGTTTCAGTCAATTGGCAGTCTCCACACGCAGGAAATTCAATTGACACTTCCCTTCGCCGTCGTCCCTCCGTCAACTTTGAGACGAGACAAAGAGCACTCGGGAAATTAGCGCCAATAAAAGCGCGCCGATAAAATTAAATAAAACGAAATGGAAGCACGTAATTGGTTTTGGAATAAGATCCCAACTGACCTGAATCCGATCCTCTTGAAGTTCCGTTTTTCCGGCCAACACTTCGCGTGCGTACACATCCGGATAATGAGCATCTTGGAATGCTTTCTCGAGTTCGTCGATTTGGTATTGAGAGAAGATGGTACGATGTCTTCTTTTCTTCCGTTTATTTGCTTTTCCTCCGCCTCCTCCACCCCCACCGTTACCAGAAGTGTTCGAATTGGAAGCGGACGAAGAATTACTCGTCGAGCTGATCTGAGTCTGAGATTCCACCAACGGTAACGATTGAGTCGTCTGGGTAGGCATTCGATACATCAGAGGAGCGGCCGTTTGAACGTTCCCGAGACCATCGGTAGCACAAAGAGAACGATCAAAACTGGAAACTCCACAGGAGCTGATGTCCATGAAATTCGGTTGATTTGTGAAGAAAGTCCCTTGAGGACAGTATCCATGGGAAAGGTACGCGTTTCCCTGAACAGAAACAGTAAGGGAAAGGTCAGAAACCCAGTGGATATCACCTGAATTCCGAGAATCTCATGAATAGCGAAGCTCATTCTTTGCGAATTGCTCATCTGCATCGAAGCCGCCAACTGCATGTCATCCACTGTCGACTGCATATCCGCTGCGGTCATAATATGTCCAAAAGTTGCAAGTTCTCCGGAAAAGTAGCTGAAATGGACAGAAGATTACCCAAAGTGGAAAAGGGGCAATTGGGAGAGGCTGATATAAAAACGAATTGGCCTGACACAAGAAGAGACGCGAGAAGACGACAAATGATCCAATTTCCAACGAATCGTTGTGCACGCTCCGCCCTGCTTCCATAGAAGATACTCCATTCTACCGTAGTCATTCGGATGAAGTGGGCGGGGCTTCGGACGAGTAGACGACTAATTGTTTTGTGATGAGAGAGAGAGGCAGCGCCGGGCGGAACATACAGGAACATTCAAGTGTTTTGGAAACGGTGATAATTGGGAATAGGAGAGAAAAAGCAGGCTGCGACAGTGAAGGCGGAATATTATGGTTCACTCTTTTCAGGAGAGAGCTACTTAATTGTCAAGAAATGTGATCGAGAAGCGGTTCAGAAGATTCTATCGATTCCTATAGATCAAAGCTTTAAAAGGAGACCTCGAGACATGGAAAGAGCCAATTTGAGCAGGTTCATTCTAGAGGTCGGAGAAATGAATCGTCAAAAGTTTTGCAACCTTGTTTTCAGGGTATCTGTACTTCTCTCAGCACCACCAAAGCCCAAATCAGCGAGTTGTTCTCTTTTCTGCTCATCGACTCCGACAATCTGAAACGGTGTGATTTGACCGTCAATGCGCTTCTCGACAATTCGTTCATATCAAGGGACGGAGAGCTGCTGAGCCCAACGCAGCTCGGCCGAGCTGCCATAGCTTCTTCTCTTCCCCCAGAAGCTGCGCTCGCCATTTTCGATGATCTGAATCTCGCGAGTCGGGCGATCGCTTTGGATACGGAACTTCATATGCTTTACTTGGTGCCAAGTTTAATACCTTTCCACAGAAATAACCTGAAGTATTGCAGGTAACGCCTATAAATGTGAGCGTGTGGCAGGAGTGTGACTGGCATCATTTGTTCGCTCTCTTCTCCAAACTGCCTCCTGATCATCGAAGGATAGCGAAGCTCGTTGGAGCCAGTGAAAAGTTCATTCTGGAGCAGATACAAGGGCGCCGAGACGATGGACAGCTCCAGGTGCACACCCGATTCTTCTCGGCTCTCGCGCTCTTCGATTTGATCAACGAAGTTCCCATCTACGAGGTTGGAATGTGTCAAACTAATTGAAACATCAATTGGTTCAGGTATCGCACAAGTACCGAATTTCTCGCGGATGTCTCCAAACCCTCCAATCGCAGAGCGCCACTTATTCAGGTTAGAACGAATCGTTTCGGGTTCCGAAAGAAGGCGTCATATGTCCGAAAGCCACGGGGTCAGCACTGATTGCCTCAGTTTATCCGTTTGCAGCGATGATTGTGGCGTTCTGTCTCCGATTGGGATGGACGTATCTGAAGGCGTTACTCGACGGATTCGCGATGAGATTGATGTTTGGCATTCGATCGGAGCTCTCGGAATTGGTGGCGATCGAAGGGATCGATGGACAGCGGTGTGGTGACGAGATTACTGTAGACTCAACTAGTCGGGTGTTGCAGAGCTCGAATCCTGCACGAAAAGGGAATAACGTGTCTGTCGCACCTTTCCGCGTGCGAACCATCCAAACTTGCTCACTTCCTAACACTCGCAGTTCCTTATTCTAGGTAAGAAAAAACGAAAAACAGAGTGTGATCGGCGGATTACTGTAGCGGGGAGTGTGTTGCCGTTTCTGTCCCCCTTCTCCTTCTCCTCACACAAATTGAGCCAATTTGTGAACTGCGTTTTGTGTTGATTAGGCAAAAGATGAGGAGAGGAAGAAGAAGAAGACGACGACGATGATGATGATGGGGCAAACATACACAAACTGACTGACTGAAGGCCTTTCTCAATGCTCCACGGGGACGAATTCTGACCTCGAATTGGAAACAATAGGAGGGGGAGGCGAGAATGCGCCAAATTTGAGACACAATGGACCATGAAGACAATATGTGATCGGATGAACGGCAGTAATTGGTTTTGACGCCTTCCGGGAGTCGATTAGACCGATTAAGAAGTAATGGAGAGAAACAACTGATAGTAGGAAATGACCCTCGGAAGGCTGTCAATAGGCATGTCCTCATTATCGTCCGTTCCTTCGACTCATTAGCACGTGGCATCATCATCTACCACCTCGTCTCCTTCCCATACTATCACAATCCGGATGGTATTGCATTGTTACGTCATGACAGTTCACTGACTCTCATGTTTTGTCAACACCAATTATGACGCCATTCCACCAGAAAGCACCTGCTTCTTCTCTTTCGTTGCAGCTCGAATTCGAACGATGGACTTGGCGAATGGTTGTTCGGGGAGCCACGTATGCGTGTCGAGGTGGCAGCCATGATTCTGAAGGAACGGGCGAGAATAGTCCTGCAAAGAAGAATTCTGGAGCTCGGAATCCACGTCGAACTTCCGAAGCACGAAGAGCAAGAGAGTTGTGATAGTGGACTTCCGGACAGTTGCACGGATTCAGAGATGGCTGAGCAGGAAGAGGACTTGAGGACCGTGGAGGAGATGACGAAAAGTGTTACGGAGGTATTCATCAGGTAATTAGATTTTAAAATAAAGTTGTTTGATTTCAGATGTCTCTTGTGGATACTTCGAGTGATGAGGAAGATAAAGTGAAACGGAAAGAGACGTGTACACCCGTAAAGATGGAAGAGGGCGACAACGACGTAGAAGTCGAGGAGACGGTGATCGAATGTCTCGAGACTTCACTTTTGAGACTGAAAGCATCGAAAGACGAGGTTTTTCTACGCAGACTCTCTCAGACATTCTCTCCAGCCCGCAGAAGAAGGAGTATTCTGAACGACTCCCTCTGTGAAGACTCTTTCGATCGTCCCGTTCCCGGGTCGATCCCCATCTCATTCAAAACACCTCTGCGGAACCATGCAGCCACGTCATCTCCAATGGGAAGCTCTCCGTATTTCGAAGATTCTTTTGATCGTCCCGTCCCTGGATCTATGCCTCTTTCTGCATTGAAGTCAAAAAGACAGTCCTTTCTGAAAACCGAATCAGTCAGCTCTCTCAATTCTTCCATTGGTACGTGAATTTTTATTAAAAAACATTATTTTCCCCCAATTCAATCATTTTCAGTCTCTGAAAATAAGTCGTTCGATGTATTTGCGACGCCGCCGATAAAAGAGGAAAATGCGAGAACCGCGATAAAACACGGGCGAATCACTGATTACATAGACTCTCCTTTGTCCGCTTTCACGTTTTCTCCGATTCTGAAACATGCGAAGTTGGATCCAAATCGGCTCTGGCTTGAAGACGTATGCTATGACGTGGCGTCTTGGAAAAACTGGATCCAATCGGCAGTGTCCGCAGCTAGCTGTTCAGTCAGTGTGCACAAAAACGGGGTCGCTGTGAGCACTGGCATCAGGACGGCCTTCATTCCACTAATAAAAGAGTTCGGCGGAGGTACTCAGAATCAGTATCTTCAAACTAACAAAAAACGTCGAAATTTCAGTCGCGAGCCCGAATCCATCAATGTTCGCAACCCTCGGAAGATGCGTGATTCCTTTGGAAAGTCGTCTGCAAAGCCTAAGACTGTTGATGCAGTCCGTGGAAACGTTTGTAATGTCCATGGAAGACGCCTTCTACTTGTTCGATGAATATTCTCTTCAGGTACAGAAACCGCACGGGCCGGCAAAGTATACAGGGGACTGGAAATTGTGAAGCTGTAACTTCCCACATAAACCTTACATTTACCTCTAACCTGACTCATTTTGAAGAACACAGTAAAATTTAACTTTCATAAAAAAAAATCAGAGGTCTCCATGTTCGATTTCTGGAGATACATTTTTAAAAAACGATAGTCCCATGTATGAAAAGCCGGTCCGTGGAAACTGATTTTAATCTGATAACATTTAGATTGCTCGGATAAAAGTTATCAAGGTTGAAGCTCACCTGAATCATTTGATCGAATGCGAAAAACAGGACAATAGTGACTGGTTCCCGATGCTTCTCAAACATGTCCCTCCAGAGATTCAAACAGCCTACGCAGTCTCGCAAAACGAGCACAAAACGGTCATCGAAGCATTCGCGATGAAGAGAATCTTCGAGAGCCTTCAACACTCCGCAATCCTCTGTTCTTCCAAGGAGAGTGTCCGTCTGGAAATGTCTACCTGCCAGACTGTTCTCAATATGTTTTACGCGGGAATTTCGTTCGATCAGTCTGGCTGCTCATCTTTTGTCAAGACCATTCGAAACAAACTTGAATGTTTGGAAGAAGAGATTTGGAGGTTTTCTCACGGAAAGTTCAACTTGGATTCCCCATACGAAGTCTCGAATGTTCTCTTCCATCGTCTTGGTCTTGTTTATCCGGAGACGTCCGCTTGCAAGACAAAACAACGACATTTTCCGACTAATAAAGCGATTCTGGAGCAATTGACAGAACAACACGTGGTGGTCGGAAAGATTCTGGAGTACCGTCATATTCAGCATACTCTCACACAATGTCTCCTTCCACTCGAAAAGTGCAAACAACGAATTCATTGCTGGTTTGAAATGTGCACAATGACTGGAAGAATAATGACGATCAGGCCTAATTTGCAAGTGAGATTAATAAAATTTCATTATCGAAACGGAGCTGTGAACTGTTTCAGAATGTGCCAAAAAGAGTGTCCTCCGAAGGAATGTCCGCCCGTCAGTTGTTCATTACCAGTCCTGGAACGCTATTTATCGGCGCCGATTACAAACAACTTGAGCTACGAGTTCTAGCGCATCTCAGCCAAGATCCGATTCTCTGTGACCTGATAGCTCAGGATCGGGACTTGTTCGGAGAGCTCGCCACCGAATGGAAGTTCCCGCGGGACGCCGTCAAGCAGCTCTGCTACGGGCTCATTTATGGAATGGGAGCCAAAAGTTTGGCAGAGTTGACCAAGATGAAAGTGGAAGAAGCAGAAAAGATGCTCAAGACGTTCTTCTCAATGTTTCCTAGTTGGTTTTCTATACGAGTTTTGTAGATAAATTTTGAAATTCAGAAGTGAGATCTTACATAAACGAAACTAAGGAGAAGGCGGCGAAAGAAGAGCACGTGGCGACAATCCTGGGGCGGAAAAAAATGATAAAAATGAGTGTAATTGGAGAAGAGAAAGCGAGAATGGAACGGGTCGCAGTCAACTACACCATTCAGGGATCTGCCAGCGAGATATTCAAGACGGCAATGATTGAAATTGAAAAGAAAATTAAAGGTTTGGGAAACCGAATATAAAGCTTCAGCATTTTCCAAATTTTCAGAATATAACTCTCAAATCGTTCTAACAATTCACGATGAAGTTCTAGTCGAAAGTCCTATTGGCCACGTGGCAACTGTCTCCGACATTGTCCGTGATTGCATGCAATGCTCACTTGCTCACTTGTTACGGGTTCCGATGAGGGTGTCTCTGAAGACCGGTCCATCATGGGCGGGATTGAAATAAACTATACGGGTCATTATCTCGAATATATGTTTAACAAATCTTGGTTACAAAGATTCAACAGAGTATTTTTGTGTGTATTATTCTCATCATTTTCGTCGTTTACGATCAGATGAAGTTCTGCATCCGAAACTTCATTTGCGAGCACAGTCAGGAAGTGCCCGGTCCTCTCGACACCGTGTACAATGGACGAAAGAACAAAGTGCCCGTGCTTCACATTTATGGCGTCACAGACACCGGGCAGAAGGCGTGCCTCCATTTGCACGGAGTCCTTCCCTACTTGGTCCTTCGGGTCGGCGGAAAGTCCTCTCCGATCGTTCTGACTGCGATGCGCGCAAAAGTGAATAAGGGAATCGAGCGGGAGATTGAGATGACGACGGGAAAGAAGAACAAGTTCGCAGTTGACTATGTCTACAAAATGGAGACTATCACCAAACGGTAACGGAAAAACGGAAAGCCAAACTATTAATAAAACAATTGCAGACCAATTTATGGATATCAAGACGAAGAAGAGGATTTCGTAAAAGTCTACTTCTCCTCCCCGTGGTACCTCCAAAAAGCGACGCATGCACTCGGAAAAGAGGTGCTCCAAAGGGCCGTTTTCCAACCGTTCGAGGCCCATCTTCCGTTTCATCTCCAATTTTTCATTGACAATTCCATATTCGGAATGGACAATATTCATCTGAAAACTGTAAAATTCAGAGTTGGACCTTCGGATTCAAATAACGGTGATTTTGAAATGCAGATTACTGAATTGCGAATCTTTCAGATATCGCGTACAGCTCCCTGACTTTCCGAGAAGTGAAGGAGAATGGAACACTTCTTTCTCCTTATGAAAGAGTGACAAAATGTCACGTGGAATGTGATGCCGTCGTCAGCGATATTCTGAATGTGCAAATGCATTCGAGCAATGTGCACTCCTCGAATCCAGGTCTAGAATACATCTGGAGAGAAGAGAAAGAGCGGTGTGATGCACAGGGAATTCTGCTGGAAGACGTCTTCAATTCATGTATTTAAAGTTTTTACTTCTAGACATTAAAAAGCATTCTTCCAGACGAACCGCGAAAAGCAACGACGTGGCCACAAGAAAGAGATATGCTCAGAAATGTGAGAAAATTGGCAAAGCGACTGCGAAATGAGAGGAATATGTCGGAACAGCTGGAAGATCTGATGCAGACGAGAATAGCTGAGACGCAGAGTTCGACACAATCCGCTCCTTCGGATGTGACCATTTGGGAACGAAGAGAAGAAGAGAGTATGGAGATGGGAGAGACGCAGAGAGGAAGAGAAAAGACTCCTGATGAATTGGATGAGGAACGACAAAACGAAGAAGATCGAGAAGAGAACAGAGAAGAAGATGAGGAGGAAGATCCAGCGATTCAGGAAGTGGAGATGACGATGGTGGTAGACACTCAGAGAATGGAAGATCTGTCGGAGACGGCGACGAACAAGGACGAGCTGGCGGATGGGACGGAGCTCAGTTCAGGAGAAGAATTGGACGACGAAGAGTAAGAACAGCTTGGAAAAAAGTATTCACATTCGAGCGTTCAGAGAAGTCGTTCAATGGATCACGACCAAAAGTGCGTTTGAACAGAAGTTTATCAGCATGAATGAACGGCTGTGTGAGAGTAATCGACCTCTGAAGCAAAGAGCTGATCTTGGAAAGTAAGATCGACAAGTAATCGTTCTGGAAGTTCTCGTTCTTCTTCACAGATCGTTCTCTCGCGAAGTCACGTCGTGCTCCACAATGACCGAGGAAACCGTGGTCGCCCCTGCCGATTTCTCGCAAACCCAAAACGCTAGCAAATTATTGTCACAAACGTCAATGGGTTTGGACTCACCTTGGCATTTTCAATTCACATGGTTTCAGAAATACCTCCTCCTTCTGAAAAAAGCGGAGAATCGGACATTGTAGGTCTGTGTGTCGCCAGCCTGGAACTGCTTGTGGAGACGAAAAGGCCGATGCCTGATGTGATGGTAGGCAATTGAAGTTGTTGGAAACTCAGCGTGTTTTCAGTGCGATCCAATCGTCTCCATCTCCATTGCTATCTACGACGATGTCTGCCGGGATTCCTCTCCCAAATTCCACGCTCTTCTCACTGTCCTTCCGAAAAGCCACGCTAATTTCGACCAGCGAGTTTTGGAGATGAAGGATGAGACGGAAATGATCGAGAATGTTATCAGATTAGTTGTGCAGTTTGACGTGGACGTATTAGTTGGCTATGAGGTGATCCGACTCTCGTGGGGATACTTTCTACGAAGAGCAAAACTCCTCGATATAACTGAGACGATGGATCGAAGAAAAACAATTCAGTTCGAAGAGCAAAGGAAAGAGGAGGAAGAGCCAGTGACTGCGCCGAAAGGACGCCTTCTGGTTGCCGTCTGGAAAGTTGTTCGCAGTGATCTGACTCTTCGGAACTATGATTTGGGTAGCGCCGTGGCCCAAGTTCTTCGGAGAAAGATTGCAATGCTCGACAACGCGACACTTACCAGAAGGGTTCAATCGGGGAGATCGGCAGTCAGGAACGACGTCTACACTCATCTTCTGAAGCTCTCCACTGTCAATATCTCTCTTCTCACCGAAATGAATTGGTTTCTGAAGAATGCGGAGATGGCGCGGGTCTACGGAATTCAGTTCCACGAGGTTTGGACACGTGGATCTCAGCTGCGGGTCGAGTCGATGCTTCTGAGATTGGCGCATCGAATGAACTTTGTCGCTCCGTCCATCACTCATCTGCAACGCAACCTGTAATTAGTCATCTCGAATCTCTAATTGACCACATTCATTTCAGAATGACAGCGCCCGAACAGCTTCAGCTGATTCTCGAGCCTCAGTCGAAAGTCTACTTCGATCCGGTTATCGTCCTCGACTTCCAGTCACTTTATCCGTCAATGGTGATTGCTTACAACTACTGCTACTCAACAATTCTGGGAAAGATTGCCAACTTGGCGCAAATGACGGAAGCGAATTCCGATAAAGAGGAGATTGTGTTGGGAGCGCTCAAACATCAACCAAATGTGACTGGAAAATCTCAGAAAATTTGATGAACTTGCATTATTCCAGAAGGATGATTTCGTGAAGCTAGTGGCCTACAAACAAGTCTGCGCATCCCCGTTAGCTGCGTTGTTTGTGAAAAAGGAGAAGAGGGAAGGCATTCTTCCCCTTCTGCTCAGAGAAGTTCGAACTCACTGTGCAAATTGAACCAGATCGCTTACGTCTTCAGATTCTGTCTGCACGAATAATGGTGAAGAACGCTATGAAAAGGGCGAAGAGCAAGAAGCTCAAACGGATTCTCGACGCTCGCCAATTGGCTCTGAAGCTCGTCGCCAATGTCAGTTATGGTTACACTGCGGCGAATTGGAGTGGAAGAATGCCGTGCGCAGAATGTGAGCGATTATTTGAGGAAATTCTAAAAAATGTCAATTTTAAGTGGCTGATGCGATTCTAGGAAAAGGGCGGGAGACTCTGGAGAGAGCAATCGAAATGGTTCAACGGGGAAAGTACGGCGGAGCAGAAGTGATCTACGGAGACACTGACAGTCTTTTCGTGCTCGTGCGTGGAGCCAGCGTGGCAGAAGCATTCGCAATCGGAAAACAAATTGCGGACGACGTCACCAACTCGAACCCAGATCCCGTCGTTCTGAAACTGGAGAAAGTGTACAAAGGATGCGTGTTGGAGACGAAAAAGCGCTACGCCGGCTGGATGTACGAACATGAAAACGACGAGGGAAAACTGGATGCTAAAGGAATCGAGACGGTTCGCAGAGACACGTGTCCCATCGTGGCGGAAGTGCTCGAGAAGTCTCTTGAGCTCATTTTCTCGCAGAACTGGAGGGCTCTAGCCACCTATCTCAACACCACGGTCATCTCGTTGCCACGAGAAAACTTTTCCAAGTTTGTCTTCTGCAAAGAGTACAGAGGAGACTACTCACAGCGGGCGATGGTGCCACAGAAAAAAATTGCAGAGTTCGTTCAGTTTTTCGTCGGAAAGTTCATGTATTCCATTCAGAAGCCGTCTGAAGCAGTGTCGGTCCCACGTGACACTCCGTGGGGAGCGAGTTCCGTATGTGATCATCGATGGAGTTCCCGGATCTACCGTCTACTCGTGTGTCAGACCAGTTCACGTCTACGCAAAGAATCCTGATTACAAGGTGGAGAAATTGAAGCGTTTTGTTTTTTTTAACTCTTCGCTTTGCAGATCAACGTCTACTACTATCTGAATGCTCACATTTTAGCTGCTCTCCGGCGAGTGACCGACCTTATTCCGTTGCGGATCGATCTTCTGCCACTGACTTCGGATCAATGTTTTGTGTAAGAGTGAGAATAAGGACTTCTGTAATCACATCGGCTTCTAGAACGGATTGTGTGCGACTCGGAAAGTCCCCATGGTGCGTGGAATGCGAGAACAATCCAGAAGAACTCGGACTAGCTTTGGTCCAAGCTGGAAGGGAAAACAGGGCGAGAGCAGAAATACGGCAGATTTGCAGTGGTTGCCAGTCGTCGAGCTGTCAGATCCGAGAAGAACAAGTCATCGAATGCGCCAACTACTCGTGTCTTCTGAAGCAAACGTGGGCGATAATGGACAGAGCACGTATGGGAGAAGTTCTCTCGGCACACAAACATTTTCAATGTAATGAGTAGAGTTGAATGAATTTATATACATACAAACAAGAACAGAAAAGAGGGAGGAGAAGAAGGTGGGAGGAGGGTGAAAGAACGGAATGGACCCGTGGCGGAGTGAATGAATCGAGAGGAAGGTGACATTTAGGAGATATCGCAGTACTTGACAGAGTCTCGTGGACGGATGCTCTCGCTGAGCAGGACGTTGAGAGTTCTGAAAGTATGGAAGCATCGGAATTGCCCGTCCGGGAAGTGCGTACCTGGTCTCGACATGAAGAGTCATATAATATCCGGCCTTGGTCTCCACAATCTGTCTTCTCGATCTGTTCTTCAGCTCGATCTGCCTCTTCCGAATCTGTTTGCTCCTCCACTCGGCGGACATCATCTGCTCGGCGGTCACACTTCTCTTCTGACGCACCGGGATCACCGGCGTCTTCTTCGGACACTTCGGAGGGATATTCTGATTGCACGTCGCATTCGGGTCCTTCATGTTACACAGGGAGATCTTGCAGTGGAAGAGAAGGTCTCCATCTCCCGGGAATTTGAAAACGGACATCTCCTGGAAGACGTACGCGTCGTCCGGGAACTCTTTGAATCGGGCGTAGTTGGGGGTCTCCAGGAAGTGCTGATCTACTTCGCAACTGGAATGAATGCAATGATTATTGGCGAATCGAAAAAGTTTGGATTTTACCCATTTGAGTCCAAAATCTGTTGAGTGTGCTTCTCGGATTGAACGAAACAGTCGTGAACGAGATAGTTGTATTCTGGCGCTGAAATGATTAAATTGAGGGAGAGGAAAGTTTGATCAGAATCAACAAACGGCAATCGCATTCCCATCGGTGATAGAGAGTCTCTCCGACCTTCGCATCCAGAGCCACGCACTGTCCGGGACTGTATCTGCAAAATCGGCGAGGGTTACGGTAGCTGTGCACACGGGATACTGTACCTATGGAGTCTGTAGACACACTGAGTGTCGGCGGCGTTCTTGAACACAGCCTGATCCAACTCTTGACGAGGAACAACGGACGGAACGAAACAAGAGATGTCGAGTCCTTGATCGGCTCGAGTGATGATCAGAGGATGGAATTGGAGGATTACGGTAATGTTGAAGTGGTAGCCATGGCCATCCTGAATAATTTGAACTCTTAAACTGAAAGAATAGTCCAACACAAACCGCGGATGGAGTCTTCACAAGTCCGCAAGTTCCCTCCGTGAACGTCATCTGAATTTCGCGGCTGTTGTCCGTCTTTCTGATCATGCACTCCGGTTCGTCGTGGTAATTGTGGGCGTACATGAGTCCCTGAAGAGCCCGTTGCGTCCGGACGACGATGCTCATCGAGTGCTCCGTGCACTTCACGTCCGTGGCTCCGCGGACTTGCGGCTTCGCATCTGGTGGCAGCTCGATTCCGTCGCAGCCGAATCCCACGTACTTCATGAATTCCGCTTCGAAATCCTGAAAAATGGGGAAGTTTGAGTAATTGGGTATCACAGAGATATTACATGTAAATTAGGCGGCGTGAATGCTCTCTTGTGGTCTCCTGCGATCAATTGAAGTTCGGCCTCATCGACCAATGGACGGGGAGTCACACTGACGGCGACCATGATGATTCCAGAAGCACGCATCTTTTCGGAAATGTCTTTTGGAGACCTGGAAAGCAAAGAATTCAATTGAATAGTTTTGTGTGAGACCCACTTGTGAGAGTGTCCATCGGTCAGCACCAAAGCCATTTTCGGCACGCCTTCTCTGATTCCGGTCGATGGATCCTTCGAAGTGAGAAGATCGAACGCATCCATGAGAGCCACGTTCGTAGCCGTCGTTCCCTTGATAGACCTGATATTCTTTACGAATCCCTGCACGGAAGTGTTGTTTCCGTAAAGGAATGAATTGAATTTGAAGTGGACGAACGATTGTCCCGAATAGGTTATGAGTGCGACACGAACAGCTTCTGGGTGGATGTTGATGTTGCCCAGAACTCTTTCCACGAGGAACTTCTTCTGATCACTGAACAGATGATCGAGGGATTCGGAGGCGTCGACCACGAGGGCCAAGTCGAGCGGTTTGTCGGATCCTTTCACACACGCTGAAAAGTTCAATGAAGCGCAGTTTTACTTTCATTCGTAGGTACCTGGTTGCTGCTCGCAAATCTCGGTTCCTCTGTACCGTTCGAACTGCGGCTCCAACTTCTGCAGGTTCAGATTGGTCACTATTTTCTGTTCCGATTGCGTGTAGTTCGCCAACGCGGTCATGGCAACGTAGTCTCCAGTTCCATACGCCCAAATGTCGACGTTTGGGATTTCTCTGGAAAAGTCAACTGATATCAGAGGAAGGGAAAGGATCGGAACCTTCTGAGAATGTCCGACATTTGCCAGTCTTTCGGGTAGTCGTGGGTGCGTCCATCGGAAAGCAAATAGACAATCTTCGGAACCGTGCTGTCCCTCATTCCCTGCAATCACTCATTTCTACCATTTTCCACTAGTTTGACTGACATTTTCCGGATTCTTCAACTTCTGCAAAGCGAATTCGAATGCTCCGCCGATCCTGGTTATGCCGGACACGTGTCTGAGCACGTCCAGAGCAGCCTGGAGCTCTTCCCGGTCGGTGAACTTTTCAAAGTTGAATTCAAGATGTTGGGTACCACTTCAATAATCAAATGCATCACAGTAATTGAAATGTTTAGTTACCTGAACTGAATAAGCATCACTCTGGTCGCAGTTTTCCCGATCGTCACGTGTTTGATGATTCTTCTGATGATGTCAATTTCATCCTAAAATGATATTCATTCCTTTTCATTTCCAATTTGTTCGTTTTTACTTGGAACTTTTCTCTGAGCGAGCCCGAAGAATCCAAAATGAACACCAAGTCGAGGGGCGGCGCGAAGACTTTGCATCTGGCTGAAAGTATGCTTTGAACATTTTCAGCCCCGGACCGTAGCTTACGTTTGGTCGAGACGGGCGTGTGGACGATTTCGGGGGGCGCGAGGCCGTTATCTATGATCTTGACTGCTTGTGTATCGAGAATACAGAAGGCCAATATGAGTAACGGCAGTGCGACTAAACGTCGCATTTTGCTGAAAACACAAAGAGATTATTATATTAGCAGATCAGTTGAAGACAAATGTGGTTAAGCTTTAGGGAATTGTTTTCAAAACATGTTATGGATGCGGAGCGACGACACGACACATTGATCACTTTCAGATGGCAATCATATAGTGGAACAGACAATAATGTCACATGCAGAAAGCCAAAAAGGCTGTGAAGAGAGTGGGATTCACAGGTGAACTGCTATTATTGCATCCTACTGGACTGAACACTCGCGGACTAATTATCCGTTAATATTGTAACAATTGATAAACCCGCGAGCGGTTGATCAATCCGCGACTGTCCGGCTCGCGGGTTGATGTATCATTCGTCTATCATTGGTGAGGACCATATATAACCGCAGTGCACCTTTGAAAGGGACTGGTGCCTTGCACGGACCGCTCGGTCATCTCTCCGACGAGACTTGAACAAGGGTAGAGTGCGCTTATCTGCCCGCCACAGCAGGCACTGGCAGCGGGCGACGAGAGTGAAACGATGGCATTGTGACAAGTGAGAGGGGTCAACAAAGGAGTTGGAAGCAGAATGGACACAATCACGCGGAAGAAATGGAATTATGAAAAGTTTGTTTTGAATTAATTCCGGATTTTCAGTCTTTGTACGTCCTTTACTACACTACTGTTTTCTAAAAATAACAATACGCAGAAACCACGAATGGATTTAGAGAACGTCCGAGTTCCAGACCATAAGAGATTGCACAAATCACAAGAGAATTGAGACTGAGTGCGGATGGGAAGAAGAGGAAAGAAGTACGAAGTGACAAACAAACAATGCTGAAAGGAGAGGCCGCCGATGCAAACGAGTCGAGGCTTTTGTTTCCAAATTGTAATTATTATGCATGCCCTCCTTCCGCCGCCCGATGCCTCCAATGCCAAGAAGCAAAACTGTTCTCATCAATCATTGTTGAAACACTCATTGTCTGTGCGGCGGCGAAGTGACTGATGGCTGGGTCAGCACCGCTTTTTGGCATGGTTAGAAGAGGTCACCCGGGGAGGAATTGAGTGACGACGAAACAAGTAACAACTTCTAGTGCAGAGGGTGCTAGATGGTCCTTCTAGGTTCCGAGCTACCGTATTCTCAACTGGATAGAAACGGGACGTGCATTTATAGAAACAAACTGTAGAAACGAGAAAAGTCCAAAGTGACGTGGCAAAAGAAGAATAATCGGGGTTCGAAAGAGAAGAGTTTCGCATATAATCAGTGCCTGACGGTCTCCTTTTCAAGGCACAGAAGTGTACGAAAAAGGAGACAATGGCCAGGTTGTAAGGAAGGAATATACCGAGTAGACAAGGGGGACGACATCAAATAACCCGGGACACCACAGTTTTGGATTAGTTTATGACAAAAGAAAGTAACGGAAAACGAAACTGGTTGATCCCGAATTGAGACAGAGAAGGACGATTAGGCAATCGGAGGGAGGCAAGTGAAAGCGAGAAAAAGCGGCGGGCAGACACAGATGATTGGCGCATTTGCATTGGCGGAGAGGTGAAGGTCATCTCATCTCGTTTCTTTTTTCAGCTTCCGGGAATTTGTACCAAAACGTAGGTGGGGGCATAAGGAAGTTGGATGAAATGGGAAGGAAAGTGAGAGAGGAAGAGGAGAGGGCAGGAAAAACATTGAGCTTCAAACCGCTTCTGTTCAAAGTCTGGAAGTAATAGAAGGGCATCATATAACCGTTCATTCAAAACGATGTAACTCAGGTGTCGGTAGAGATATCAAAAAGTGATCAACTGTTAAAATGTGTAAAATGTTTTAATGAGCAATCTATTAGTTGACATTTTTTTAAATATCTATACCGACAGCCGAGATATATAGTTTTGAATGAACACTATTGACGTCCTCTTCTATTACGGTATTTAATTTATGTTTCTCGAAAATTTCATCTAAAAGCTTTGAAATTACCGTGGGATGGGTCAACTGCAACACCCGATGAATCGGCTGAAGCTCTAGAAACTAATCAGCTGAGAACACCGACTTCCCCGTGACACCATTCAACTTCTTCTCCCCAATACGATTTCTTGATGATGTACGGTCTCCGATCACTTCGTGGATTCAGAAGACCAAAGGGGATACTGTAGTAGTCTCTTTCTCTCTCTCTTTTCACTCGCACCACTAATTATGACGGAGTGCCGAAGGGAGACAATGCGATGAAAGAGAGGTCGTCGAGACGCGATCAAAACGAAAAGCATCTGTGAACCGAACTGTTTGCGTTTTGCTTCGGTTGAAATTCCAATTATGCGTCAGAAGAGCGAGAGAGTGCGGCGTACGGATAGACGGCAGACACGAGGAGAACTTCGAAATGAGTTACGTAATGAGTGGAAGGCTTTAAAACAGTATGCAAATGGGAAGGAGTGCGGAGGAATGAGAGACGCAGACGAGGTGACAATGTTATCTGATCGGAGGGCAGAGAAGAAGAAGAAGCGGACTAGAAGAGGGAGCGAGTGGAAGACCAGTCAGGAGGTACCAAAGTGACACTTCGAACATACCAAAACAGAAACATCGTACCAATAATAACGTATTTTTGAGAATATTGTACGTTCCAAAAAACGAGTTTTTTTTTAAAAAATAGTTCGAACACTTTATAGTGCGGGACTGGTCCTCTGTGGCGCAGTTCAAAAATCTAAAAATTGTGACGAGGCGAAGCGAACAGCAGTTTGAACTGTACTTATTGGTTCGATTGGACAGTTTTATATGAATCGGGAAGAGAGTCGTAAGCCTAACGAGAGAGAAAGAAAACGGTGTAATGACATTGTGAACGTTTACTTTTTAGTTTTCAGTCTGCTGAAACTGAAACTGGTTGAAAAAGACAAAGAAACAATCATTTGAGCCACAGAATTCCAGCAATGGCGCTCTACCGCTATCCCACGTGAAAACACGGCAGCGGCCGCGAGTTCGCACTGAATTTTTGGTGAGAGCGTTAGAGCGCGATTGTCAGACTTCTGAAGCAAAGTTTCTCAGCTTAAAACCAACCTGAGGACGACAAAGCACATTGTAGCAGATTCAGGAATATTCTGAAGGATTCCGGAGATGCGGAACTTGCGAATCCTTCCGCCGGACATTGTTTTATACAAGCCGTAGGGAGGGCTATTCCTGTAATTTGTATTTGCATAAAAATTAGTTGTTGAAACTTTGAATGGAGCCAGTTTTGGGGTGGATGGACACAGAAACAACAATGCGACAATTTTTATTCGGATCTTCTTCGGCATAATTGGAATTGATGTGTGCGTTCCTTTGCTTGGGAACACTGGGCGGCGACTGGTGGTTCAATTAAAATGGGGACGGGGGACGGGGGTTAGGGGATATGGGGACGGATAGTATAAAAGGGGAAAAGGGGGCGAAATCAGCAATGAACTCTCTCTTTTTGGTTAAAACGAAGTTGAATGTGAATTAAAGGGGATTACTGTGCAGCGATGGACTTGAGAAGATGGTTGACTTCTTGGGCGACGCAGCCGTAGACGAGCTTGAACTGATCTCCTGTGGCCACCATTCCTGAACACGGACAGATGAGCAAACAGAGAACCACTACGGCAGACTCACCATCTCTCTGATCTCTCAAATGTTCGACAGTGGCGACGACGTCGATCTGACGAATGCCACGCAGGAGACGTGCGCAGAGCACATCCACTGCGCAGTAGACTCCAGTCCGGCCGGAGCCGTCCCACGAATGGACGAGCACGGCAGACGATCTTCCGCGGTACGACTTGTTCACTTTGCGACGGAACTCGAGAATGCTCTTCGCGCTGGTCGGCGTCGAATCCTTCTGCCAGGACAGGTAATGGAACTGGGTGATTGTGCGCGTCTGGCTATTTTGCAGGTTCTGAAATTGAGCAGTACATACAATCTTCTAGCAGAAAGAAGAAATGCGAACCTTGAGATAGAAGGAGCGGACGAGGTAGTCATCGGACCAGATGTGCTCGGAGACGAGATGGATCTCGAATGCTCCGTGCACCTCGCTTCCGGTATCCGGCCAGTAGTTCTTCTCGTGCTTGCATTCTTCCGGAGTCGAGAGGTTGACGACGAGGCAGACTCCGTGCTGCCAGACAGTCTGCCAGAAGGCTGCAATCTGATTGCTGGCCGGAGTCTGTGCGGCGATGTAGACGGCTTGTCTGAAAGCGTTCCGATGTTTGAATGTCTTCTAAATCCATTTGTACTCACCTCGGGTCATCGTCATAAATGAAACTGGCGTTCAGGTAGTAATCCTCGTTCTCGGCGTTCTTTCCGTCAATCTCCACAATGTTGTCGTCAACTGAAAAAACACCGAAATGAGAAAACGAAGGAAGTCGTGACGCCATTCAGTCTCTATTCACAGCTTTAAACACTGACGTCATTCGAGTGACCCCTTCCCCGCTTTTGTCCGTTTCTCACGTACATGGAAGGATCGTTCTGTTCTGCGTCGCAAACTTTTCCGCCTTGCTCTTCGACCGTTCCTCGTTGTGGTAGTCCTTAATTCCCTTCCATTGAGCCTCGATCTTGGTCGGCTCGGACAGATATTCTTGGAGGAAGTTCTGAATGGATTGCGGTACTCGGAAGGAATCTCTCAATGATCTCACCAGAACTACGTGTCCAGTGGAGATGTCAATGGTCGGACCGGCGGTTTCTTCGCACCATGAAGACGTGGAACTCGACTTGGAAGCACGGCCTCCGTCGGCTCTCTGTCTGCACAGATCCTGATAAGCGAACGAGTTCTTTCCGTCCAATTGCTCGGCAATCTGTTGGATGTTGTCCTTGTAGTGACGGCGAGAACGCGAGATTTGGACGGCGGCGACGAGTCCGAGGGCAGTGACGGTGAAGGCGCACACGAAGAGAACTGGCATCAGAAGCCAGTCCCGCTCCGACGATTCCACCGGCAGACTTCCATCCTGAAAAGAACGAAAGGTCTCCAGAAGTGCTCCGAATTCAGAAAGAAGCGCCGAAGCGCGTGATGTTTTCTTGCTTCATGTGATACGTTCTTGGCGTAAACAATAGTATAGCGTGCGTCTCCATTACTAAGCAGTTTGCCTTTTTCATCTCGCAAATTGTTGTTTGTTTGCCTTTTCTTTACACTGTGGTCTCTCTTTATTGAAATAATCAGAACAGCGCGCATCGGTGGTCCACTGATTAGTGGTATCACTCTTTCTCTTTCTACGCATATAGAATGAGCGCCTGCCACGCGGACGGCCTGGGTTCGAATGACGGTCGATGCATTTCTTTTTTTTTTTGGTCGAATTCACTCACCTCTCCACTTCCGATTCCAGTTTCACGGACGTCGGCTCCCGAAAGGCGAGCAATGTCTTTTCGTCGTTTGTCTGAAAGAGACGAGATTACAAATGGGAAGTGGTAAACAAGAAAACGAATGACGTACAAACTGCCGAAGCGACACCTTCCACGGAGTCGATCCGCTTCTCGGTCTTCGGTTTCGCTCCTTCCAATCTGGAGATTCTCATCGAGAGTTGACCGTTTTCGAACCTGAATCGGAATGTTTCAGAAGTGGAGGTTTTTGGACACTAACTGGAAGTCGTCGAAATAGAGATTGTTGGGGATGGCGATGGTGTTCTGGAGGAACTCGATCAACGGCATCAGCTGCTTGTCGTCCTTGAGATGGACCTTCAGGTAGACTCGGTTCGCGTCGACACGTGTCACCACCTGATCCTTCCTTCCCTTCACAATCTTGTGCTCCGTGTTCTCAAGACCTTGGTTCAGCTCTCCGATCTGTTCGATGTCCTTCTTCAGAATTGCCTGCTCTCGCTCTTCAAGATCATCCAATGGTACTGCCATCTCTTGCTCTCCATTTCCAGTCAACACTTGCGACTCTTCGTTCTCAATGTTCTTCTTGAGGTTCACGAGACGGCCGATCAGAGTGTTGAGTTGGGCGTCGGAGAGCTCGGAAAAGTCCGGATTCTCGTTGCTCACGATGGCCTGCACGTACTTGTCCAGAATCTCATCGTCCACGTCTTCATTCTCGGCGTTTAAGGCCTCTGAAATTGAATTATCTAACTCGATTTGTTTCATTTTCTGGCCTACCTTCCACGTCTTGTTCAGACGGTTGCGAGGGCTCTTTGAGCTGCTCGATGACCTGAGCAATCTCCTCTTCGGTCACGTTCTCCGGGTTGACGTCCTCGTCGAGAAGGGTCGGATCTTCGGAAAGTCCGGTGTCGATGAGTTGGATGAGTGCCCACACATTGGCCGGTTTACGTACTTGACAAAAGTCCGGATCATACTGTAGCTGGTAGAACATGGACATTTTGAAGTAGGCGAGCACGCACTGCGTCTCCTCATCTCCCCAATCTTTGTCTTTTGATGCGAGTCTGAAATATTCGAATTGCTCTCTTAATTCCCTTCCAAAGACAAACCTCGTGAGCTCGAGCTTCAGCAATTCCAACTGAGTGTCATCTAAGTCTTCTAGAACAGTGGGCGGCGGCGATCCGCTCTCCGAGGAGTAGCACTGACCGAACACGCCGTCCGGGTAACACGATTCGTCATTGTCGCATAAATTTTCACTAAGGTTGCAGCCTGTGAAGGAAGAAGTTCTCAGTCTCGTTTTGTACTTTTGTTATCGGAATGCTTTTAATCTCAACTGCCACCGAAACCGAATCACCTGCTTGGAATTTATTGGAATTGGACTTTGTGAATACATAATATGCTCTGAGAGCGAATGAAAAACATGCGGGCGGAGGAAGATGAGTGTGCTTGATCAGAAAGATGAATCATAAAATTATGAGTAATTGCCCAACACGGGGTAGTGACGTGTACATTGACAAATCAAATTTTAATTTAAATTCAAATTTGAATTAAAATTTTTTTAAATTTCATTAGAGCGCACTTGCGCCAGTGTACCTCGCCACGACTCCGTGCTCAAAAGAGCCTTCGACCATTCTCATAGCTGATTCCCTTTATCACTTCCTCATCTTTTGAATGATTTCACCTGCAGCACCCAAAGGCCTCTAATCGTAATAAGCCCAGCGAGTCCCTTATTATTCGCTCCGCTTTCCTTCACTCTCCGCCGCTTTTAATCTAATTCGGAGAGCACCGCCCGTCCGTATCCCTCCCTCCGCTCTCCCTCTTTCTCTTTATTCATGCGGCTAGGATGGGATGGGATGAGGCGGCGCACTGCCAAAATAGAAAATAAAACTAGTGGAGGGGACGCGTCCAAACAGGCTGGTTTTGGAATTAAGGCACAAAAAGATGCTGCTTCGTTTCGGACCCAGCGGCCATTGTAATGTTATCGAAAGCAGGGAGCAGTTATGAGACTGCAAAAACATGAATGTCTGATGAGATGTGCCAAGGATGGATTCCCAGGATCTATTAGTTCCAGGAATAGGCTTCGAGATAGATGAAAAGAGAAGGATCAAAAGTTGAAGTTTTTGTTGTAAAAGGTTGCGCCGACCGGGAATCGAACCACCGGCGCCCTGATTTCACATAGTTCCGAATGGAGTGAGAACAACGGCGTTATCAGTGAATGAATGTAGTCTACAACCAGTTTCCCTGATAAACAAATACTTCGGAGAGGCCTCGAAAAGTGTTCCCAATCAGCTGCTATTGAGAGATATCACGTCTACCACCCTCGCAGTTTATCAGATTAGCCACGTCATCGGCTGGAACTATTCAGAGAAAATACAGAATTTAATCTATTGCGGTGACCTTAAATCTTCGGAAATCCCTCTGAATTCGTTGGAAAACAAATGGCTCGTCGCTCTTTCTGCCCGTAAGAACGTCATTCTAATCCCTCTCATATGTTATACAGCTTCTCCCTTTCCGCTTCTTTTTTTTTCGAAATGACATGTACATTATGTTTCCACTCGTCGTTTTGGGGATCAAGTTACGCCTTTTCTCGCCCTTTTTCCCATCCCCATTTATGGGAAGTTTGCGGAACGAAAATGAATAATCGGTCAGCTGATGAAGGACGGCGTAGGAGGCAAAGCAAGGAGAAGAAGAAGAAGAAGAAGAAGAAGGGAGCACCAAACATCGGTGAGAACGATGAGCTCATCAGATTAGAGCGGAAAGAAAGGGCACTTCCGACGACGGTTATGAATCAGAATTCAAAGGAAACGAAGAAGGGCAGACTGAAAGTCTTGAAGGAAACACGCATTTCACAGTCTCCTTCGACAGTCATTTTCAAATTTACAGGCGCATGCGGGGCACTGCGGATGCATTTTTTCGAAATTTCAGACCCCGCGGTATCTAGAACCGCGCAAGCACTTGAAACACGCTTCCGTTTTGAAATTGACTGTCGCAGGAGGCTGTGCGTTTATATAGTTGGAAGCAGACTGGCCCAGACTTTTCGAAGTCTTCTTGATGCCGAAAAAACGGAATTTTTAGTCCCAATTTTATGCATCTCCAGAGTAAATAATCTTATCGCTCTGAAACTTGGACTAAAGACACTTCATCCCAAGTCCAACTAGCCTGCAAAGTTTGAGTCCGATCGGATAGGTAAAGTTCAGCCTTCAACAATCTTGGGTCCGCTTTTTGCCTAGCCCTGGCCCTTAGACGTCGTAGACTACCGTAATTTCATCCAGTCCCGGCGTCCGCACTTTCTGTCCCTTCAGACGTATAATCGGAGGGGAAAAGGAGAAGCGGGAGCTCTTATGCGTCACCACACATCGCTCTCTTTCGGCCTCATCTCCACTTTCATCGTCGCGATAATTACGTCGGAAAAGACTAAATTGACACTCGGGAGTACGACGTCCGCTTCTCGAATCACCCTTTGTTGTGCTCCTCCCGCCGACTCTGAATATAACTCGTTCTTTCTCTGAAAATGAGTGACGTCATGTGTGCGATCTCTCACTTCTCCGCACTCTCTCGGCGCCTCATCAGCTGAGCGCACACACACATTCGTCATTTCGCTGGCGACGATGACGAGAAACGGAAAGAGAGAAGACGTCGAAAAGTTTGCCAAGATTTGCATCGAACGATTTGTTATTCCGACGAATTAGTTCGCTCAGAGAACGGCAAAGGTTCGCTTGAAATGGCAGCGTGCTCGGCGAGCAGGTGATCGTTTTCGAGTGCTCGAAAGCTCGGAATCCGCGTGCAGACACTTCACTTTTCTGACATCATGCTTGCTGTAGGCGTGCGAACGTTGTCCTAATTGAATATTCGATCGGAACCTATGGCCGTCGTCGTCTTCTTTGTGTTGTTTTTCCGAACGAAAAAGAAAGAATCTCATCTTCTTGAGAGAGTTCGCAAACAAAAAGTCACGCAACAAGATACGAGTCAGACTCGGTAATAAATGGAGCGGCATGAGATGACGACGATGATGATCAAACGACAACTTTTAGAACGGGGACTGCATAAATATGACGTCATGTGGGGGAGTCAAGCACGACGCCCCGCAGAGTATTTTTAGGTCGTTCTTTTCCGGTGAGCATCCAAATAGAATCAACGAGTGGACAAGAGAAATGGACACACTTTTAGACGGATGACGTCTTTTTGTTTTCCACTGATTTGATCTCTAAGATTCTTTTATTTTTTGCTTTATTTTTTGTTACCTACTTAGAAAACCAAAGATTGCTTAACCTATAATTAGAATTCGAGACAGATCAATTAGAGCTGATAATGATAGTGTTTCGGAGAAAATAAAAAGAACAAGTAACGGAAAATTGTCGAAGACGACTGTAGATTTCCAAGTCAAGCTCAATGAGTGAACACGTATCCCAATTTCGAATCGGATTAAAACGAAGCTGGGGCTTCGCTCGTAAAACGAACTCGAAAGGCCAAAGCGGCTTCTCCTTTTCCCATTTGAAACATTTCCGCTTTTCTGGCTCTAACTAGAATCACACAAATTTGAGCGAAATGGGGGTTGCGACTCGGAAAGCCGACTCTTGAAAATTAGTGCACTTTGAGCGGATCAAAGAGCCTCGAGGGCCTCGGAAAAATGAATGACAAAGGACATTTGCCTTCTGATGCTTCTGAAGCCAACGACGGAAAACAAGGCATGATTTTGGAGGTGACGGAGGGAAAATGGGGTAAACAAAGCGAAATGAGAAAGAAAATCGGAATCGCGGATAGACGAATACACTTGGGACCAGAAGATTAAAGAATTCTGAATACAATCTGGATGTTGTACAATTCCAAACAGCAGTATGATTCGGTGGGGCTTAGACAGAAAGGTACAAAGGGAATAAGAACAAAAAAGAAAAAGAAGAAACTCACCGTACAACAGGAAAGCAGGTACTGTAGAAATGGAGAATAGTACAAAAATAAGATGGAAGAAGCGCATGCGGATGACACAGAATGCTGCCCGCTACTCCATAGGGCGCGTGCGCGATAAAGTGGCGAAGAGAAGCGGCGGAGGGGCGGCGAGGGGGTGGAGCACGACGGACTCGACGTGCCGCCCTGCTCTCCTCGCTTCGTCTCCGTCTCCTCTCTATCCACGAAGCCGACGCCTTCTTCTATCGATTCGAGAGGGACTGGAAGTGGGGGTGGTCGAGCGACGGGCACGACTACTGCTAGTAGTAGTAAAAAAACCAGGAGAAGGAGGCGAGCGGTCAGTCAGTCAGGAAGCGAACGGAACGTTGTTGTGGCACTGCCCCCGCTCGACAACGACGGGTTTCTTCGAAATTAAAAATAATGACGGATGTACGACGACGTCGTCGGAATGGCTCTCGGAGAGAACTTAGTATTCAGGAGCACTTGAGAAAAACATCACTGTTTTTCTCATGCGTCGTTGAACAAGAGTACACTGTAACTGGATGCCTCTCCCGGTTGGCACAGATCCAGAAGAGGTCGGCTTCTTGTTATGAGATTAGGAACACACAAACGTCAGAGCTGCTTACATATTTTCAGCCGACCTGCTCAATGGAATCATCTAGATCGTGCTCGACTTCCGTCTCTGACTGAAAGCTTCCCAGTCACAATGTGTCACTTCTAGTCTATAATCTTCAAGTGAACTCAAACGGAAGTCTTCGCGATTAACGTCTTTCAGCTAATCTGTCACTTGTTCCTGATGCTTCTCTAGCCGGAAATCCGACCGATCTCCAGTCGTCATGCCTCCCTTCTGACGTGGATGTTTCGGTTTCAAAGTTCAGGTAGCAATGTGTGAACTCTGAGCCTACGTTCTTCAAATCCAATCTCGTTTTCGGTTCATTTTCTTTATCGCAGCCAATTCGCCTAAAAGGCTCCATTTCCATCCATTTCGCTCGCCCGTCCATCAATTCTCCCGCTCTTCTCATCTCTTTTTCTTCCCGTTTTTCGTTCCGCTCTCTGAACGTTAACTCGTAGTCCGCGCGGCGGCGTTTTGCCTACAAATTCACCTTGCGGTACGACTACGAAACGAGGGTCCGGATGGGGAACTTTACGAACTATACGAACTATAAATCCGACGAATTCTTCTAGAATCTTCCATCGGGCTTCGCCCACTTCCACGTCAGAACAGTAATGCGTTGCGAAATGACCAAGTAAATAGTTGCTCCGGGGGCGAGCTCATAAACTACCATAGTCAGGCTCATTTCCGTGCAATCAAACGTGCTCGCGGCTCCCCGAAATCTATTCTCGGAAAATAAAGCTTCAGTCCTTTGAATTCGTCATTTCCCCGCAATAAATGATTCCTTCACTCACTCGTATTCTTTTCTTTTCAAACTTTTTCTCAGGGGGGGGGGGGGATACTCTGATCTGATTGTCTGATTCATTCGGCCGTCTACCAGTCTGCTCATTATCGACAGCTTCTTCCGTTTTCTCTCTTTTGTGTTGTTTGCATAACCCAATTAGAATTATGCGTATTGAGGCGTCTGAAGAAACATGAAAGGAGAGGTGGACACGAAAATATTTACTCGTTACTTTTATTATTATGAGAGACCGAGATTATGACCGGAAAAGTAGTGATGGCGAGAAAAAGAGAAGGTTTTTGTTCAGTTTTCCAGAGAAGGCGTATTCGTTCGGAGAGCCTTCCCGAGTAGAGTTCGTAGACCGACAACCTCAAAACAGGATAGAAGAAGTGCTGGCAGAAGTGGGGACGGCTCACCTGCTGTGCCCACACTTTCCGGATTCGCGGGTCAAACAACAGACCGCACAGGGGCTCAACAAACAGCGCCAATGACCTGGAACAGAATTCAAATAAAAATTTAAATCCTTTGACATTTCCTAGAGATTCGCATTCTAAATCCATCCAAATGGCAGGAACCCAATCAAAGCGTATGATTGGATCGTGCTCTTTCCATTCTTTTTTAGCTCTTTTCAGTGAAATCTGCCGCCGTGCACGTACCCATTGCTCACATGCTCATTTGGCCGTTTGGCCTGACTACTCAGCGATAAATTGGTCAAGAGAATAATCGGATCTGCCCGGGGTGGAAACGTTATGAAACCGACCAGGCAAGCGTCTGGAACGAAGTCATTACAGCGAGGAAAATGAGGTTATTGGCTTGGTAGAAGTTGGAGCAAGCAAGGATGGAATCATCTGGAAATGATCTGGAAATGGGGAGAAGGAGCAAGAATATTTTGTAAATAGATAAATCCAAATTGAAAGAAAGCCTACCTACGGCTACTCCGACGACCATAGAAGATGGAATCGCTTCCGTGAGACTTATCAAAGTGAACGTGAAAAGAGTCCAGGCAAGACGGGTTCGGGCCGACGAGGAAGTTGAGCGGTCCATTGTGAAGTTGCCAATCTGAGAGCACAGTTGAAGAAAAGTCCGACTGAAGACACTCACACTTTCCGCTCGACTCTTGTGACAATGCAGCGTTACGAGAACGAATGTCAAAATAATTATTGGAATGATGAAAGAAAGCACAATGATCACAACTGCAAGTAAAACCAAATTCACTTATTTAATCTCTAACTTAATTTCCTCACACATCACAATGCTGATCACAGGTTGACAGCGCTCCACATCGCACGTGAACGGTCCTTCCGAGTACATCGCCGCTTGGAATATGGCCGTCGTGACCTGGTCTTGAACAGTTGCTTTTTGATACTCGGCACATTACTCACTGATAACAAGATTGATCCAACTAAATTTGCAGCGGCGAACGCGTAAATCGAATGAACCGAAATTTGCAGATTGTAGTAGATCGGACGAACCGTCGCTAGATAGAGCAGGATTGCGGAGCCGACGTATGAGCCTGAAAGGGGGAGGTTGGAAGGAATCAAGAGGAACGAATGGACTTACCCAAGAGACTGTAAAAACTGATATCATCGATAATAAAGATGAAAAAGTAAGTGGTGAAACTGAAAGAAGCGAATTGAAATATACGGAAGAGCAACATAATCGAAGCGGCGGAAATCGAAGAAACGGCTCTGCTCACGACGAAAACGTACTGTTTCCGGGTGCTGAACGTACTCATTTCGAAACATTTCACAGTGAAAACTCACGTGTCATTCATATGAATAAACTGAGGGAAAAGGATGAAAAGGAAGTAGGTGTTGAGGAAGAACGAGGAAACGAAGAGCACGAGCGGAACGATCAAGTTCAACCAGAAAAGGATCGACATTATCGTCTCGATATTCTGAAAACGGCCGGCACGTTGAAGACGGACCCTTCAGAAAGCCTACCCGAATGAGCGAACATTGGTCGGTTGTATTTGTGCAATCGAGGTAGTAATGCTCGTATTTCGAATGATACGAACAATTATCGAACAAATTCGACATCGAGCAAACGGAGAAAAAGAGACACGGAGAGCCACCTTTTTGGTCTTATCAAAAAGGAAAAGATTAGTCGCACCTCGCGAAAAGAATGATGAATAACTTCCAAAGAAGATCATAGTGACGCGGAGAACAGCACAGTCACTTCCGAATATGAAATGACAAGTTTAGGTTTAAATAGGTTTAAATAAAAAGTTTAAATTGTTTTAATGTTTCATTGAAAGCAACAAATTATCAAACTGAGCGAGTTTGATCTATGACAAAAAGTGAATGGAGGCAAGATTTATACGTAATTGATTTGAGATCTACTTCTTTCGATCAGAGACGAGAAATTCGAGAAACTTTGCAAAATAGACCTTTGCTTGGTTGACCTGCTTGACGAATTCGGACGAGACTTCCTTGTCGAGAATAATGTTGGCGACAGGATCAATCAGAAGAACTATTGCCCTGAAAATACAACAATATTGGCTAAGTTCTTCTTTTTTTTTCTCTCACCACACAATTGAATCCAGAGAGGTGAATATGGTGACGTTGATGAGTTTGTCAGCTTGGTAGAAGTTTGTACAGGTACTCAACACGTTATCCGCTTTCAGTCCGAGCAGAAAACTAGACGGAATGCCTTCCGCCAAGGAGATGAACGTGATGGCGAACAGAGTCCAAGCGAGACGACTGCGAGCATTATGGAGGGTTTGCGAGGAGGTGTAGCTGTCGACCCGCTTGGCTCTGTGAATGTGGCAACTTAGAGCAATGAGCACGAACGAAAGGATGAGAATGGTGGTGAAGAAAGCGATGCTTACGATTATATCTGGAACGAAGGAACGGATATCAAAGTTCAGGTACAAAACTAAAGCTTACAATTGATCAGTCCAACGAGGGGGCCGCACACTTGAGAATCGCACTTGATAGGGCCGGAGACGTAGGTGGCAGTTTGGAATAAACCCGTTGGCACAGAGATCACGGTAGCGAGGACCCAGTTGGCAATGGCAAGCAAGTAGATTTTACGAAGAGTGAGACGAGCGGAAAAGTACATGGGATGAATAACTGCGACGTAAACAAGCAGAGCCATTTCGATGTACGCACCTGGAAAGAGAGGTTTGTTTGTTTGTGGGAGTGTGAGTCAGCAGAGAAATTCACCTTGAAGACTGTAGAAACTGATGTCATCGGCGATGACGACGAGTACGTAGAGGTAGTAACTGGAAGTGCCCGGAGGGAAGTAAACGTAGAGAACGCATCGGAGGACGAGAAGAGTGGCCGCCGCGGAGATTGAAGAAATGCACCGACTGAGGACGAACACGTACCGCTTCTGATGCTCTTCGTCCATTCGGAGGAACAAAGGGAGACTGATGGACAGGTTGTAGGCATTGAAAATGCCGGCGAGGGAGAATAGGACTGTGGAGAGGTAGTAGTCGAAGATTACGAGCAACTCGGCCACTATAGCCAAGTCAGAGATCAGCTCGCATGGACGGGTTGTGTTGGTGCAGTTGAGGAAGTACTGCTCAATGGGATAATGATTGGAGCAATTGGAGAAAAGGTCTCCTTTGGGCATTGCACGGAAATGACGGCGGAATGATAAGGAAAGGGAGAGATTAGCGCAAGAAGTGCGGAGGAGCAGGGAAGGTAGAAAGGAGCTCTTTAGGGAAGGGCTGCAGCTGACACGGGGCACAGGTGCAGTCTCTCGCGGAGCCATCGGAACTGAAAGAATATTGTAGCCAGGCTTTCTTGTCCTTTCACCCGTTCAAACAAAGTGTAGAAGCTGAGCCATTTGAGGATGGAGTGGTCGAAAGGTCCTGGATGAGTTGGCATTGGTTGGAAGTGTTCACACACTTTTGGAAGTTGTCTTCGAAAGTGAAATGTCGGGTACAGTTCTCAAAAAGACCACCACTTTTAGCCATTTGAAGACAAGACTGCCATCGAAAACCCTTAGATTGTCAAGCAGTTTCAAGTCTGATAGCATCCCTTATAAAGCAACGGTTTTGGAAGAGAATAGAGTGCGAATCCACGTCATCTAAAAATGAATCTTACGAATAGGGAGTTGAGAGTAGGGCTCACGTGTCTTTTAACTGTTTGAGAAATGTTTTTATCGAAAAAAATGTTCACAATTGGGTCGGTGAGGAATACCAGCGACCTGCAAACGCACAGAATAACTTCAGAAGCCCATGTCTGAGTGTGTACCCAACTAACGTCTCGAGAGAAGAGACTATGGCCTGAACAAGAAGTTCGTTGGCATGATAGAAGCTATCGCAGCTGGACAAGTCATCTGGAATCGGAATTTAAAAGTGATACATATTGGGCAGGAAATTGCATGCTTTGATTGAATCCGATGAGCATTCCGACCGGGAACAGCTCGATGAAACAGATGAGAACGAGGGCGACGAAGGTCCAAGTGAGTCGGACACGGGCACGGTCAACGGCCCCGGAGACTTTGATTCCGTTCTGAGAAAGATCTAGAATCTCAATTGAGAAAAGGAATGTGCTGACCTTTTTCGCCTGATAATGATGCCAATAGAGGGAGACTACTACGAATCCAGTGAGAAGAACGGTCATGAGCAATGTGAAACAGGCCAGGGAGACTGAAATCGGATTGAAAAAGAGAAGAGCTCGACTGATAAATAACAACTCACAAGTAATCCATTCGACCACTTTTACACAATAATGCAAATCACAACTGACCGGGCCAGGCACATTAGCGGCTGCTTGGAAGAGGCCGAGAGGAATGGCCAGGCTCAGAGAGACAATCCACGTGGCAACCACGGTCAGGTACAACACCTTCAAAGTCAGCTTCTCCTGGTAGAAAATTGGATGTACAACTCCGAAATAGGTCATGAAAGAGACAAATATATAGGATACTGTAAGAAAGGGATAAGGGAAAGTGGCTGTGCTCGACTGACTCAATAGACTGTCCAAACTGAAGTTATAGAAAGAGAAGGCGAATGCGTAGAAGGTGAAGGAAAAGGGAACTTCTTTGGTGAACAGGGAACATTCGAGGATGAGAAGGGCACAGACGGTCAATATGGAGGAGAGCATCCGACTGAGCACGAAAACGTAATGCTTTCGGGCACTGAAAATCTTACGATTCAGAACGAAACAGACAGCGGTTTTACTCGGAATCTAGCGGAATGTATGTGTAGACGGCAGTGATGAAACTGTACACATTCAGAATAGCAGATAGGAAAAAGATTGAAGTCGAAACATAAAGAGTGACCCATTCCAGAACCAGGCCTGCCGACGAAATGTCCTGAAAGTGTTCTCTGATAACTGATAACCGATCCTCGCTCACCTTTATCAAATTGCACTGATTGGTTGTGTCTGTGCAGTTCTCAAAGTCATGTTCAATTGAAAACCTCCGAGTACAATTCTCGAAAATACTTGGAGACATGACATTGGAGGTCGATCGATCGATAGTAGGAAAATGAGTGCTTAGTGCTAGTGATGAATCACTGATAAGTGATTCGAAGTTTCTTCTGGCCAGTGCCTCACCGAGATTTTCGATTTTAGAAATGAAACCTAAAAGATAATAGGGTTGTTATTCTCATTTCACATTTAGTACATGTCGGCTGAACTGACGAGAGAAGATCGGATCGAACATTATTGTGAAAATGGGATCGAAGAACAGACCGATGCCCCTGAACAACTTCTGATGGATGCAAGATTCGGCTCAAAAAATGAGTAACTACATACCATAAAAGAGTGAGGATGGCGGAAAAAATGACAACTTCCAGGCGATATCTACTGGAAGAAAGTATGTCGCAGAGAGAAGTGACTGCAACATTTTTGGGTTAACTTTCTCAGATACTCAGATCAACCCAACTCACACTCATCTGTGACACTGAACACACACTGAACGAGCATAACAGCAGAGGTGATCTCGAAGACTGCCATCATTCCGAACACGAAGAAGCCCGAGATCAGCCTTCTTTTCACTCCCGTCATTGCTCTAGTAGTGCTCGAAAAGTCACCGCGTTCTTTTGACTTTTTCTCGTGACGGAAAAGAGAAAATATGACAAAGGACTGAATTCCGAGAGAGAATACGAGGGCGACAGAGATGCAGGTGACTGGAACATAATCGTTTAAAGCTTTATCACTTGATATGAACTTCTCACTGGCAAAGAACAAAACAGGCTTCTCACACGTGTGATAGTCGCATTCGAACGGAGAGTTCTTGCCCATGAATGCCGCCTGAACAGTGCCACATCCCACCTGAAATACAAACTACATTCATACCGAACACAACAATAATTCTTACCGCCACAATCACAGAGCAAACCCAAAACACTATGACAAGAATGACACACTTGTGATAAGACAGTTCACGACGGTAATAAGTGGGATGGACTACAACAACATAAATGGTCACAGTCGTTCCCACAATGCCTCCTGAACGAACTCGGTCACGGTCTCTATCAAGAAGGTGCACACCTAGAAACGATAAGAAACTGAGCATGTCGAAAATGATGAAGAAGGCCATAAACCAAAAGTTATAATCAGTCGCCAGGATGGCTACCGGCAGAAGAACGATCGAGATGATGGACATTGTGGAGGAAAGCGCACGACTTATCAGGAACACGTACCTTTTCTTGACCCTGAAATTGAATGGAATAGCTGAGAGGAAATTGGAAGGGACCGTCAGAACCTGTCATCCATTTTCCGGAACGCTGGCACAATTACATAGAAAATGTAAGAGTTGAGAAGAAAAGTGACAAAACAGATTGAACACGGAACAATGAAAATGGCCCATTGGAGAAGTAGATCAATGGTGTGTAAATCCTGAAATCATTGTGCAAATCTACAATCAGAATATTGAAGCGGACCTTGATATGGCTGCAAAAGTCGGTGACATTCGTGCAAACGGCGAAAGGCGCGAGATCCGTGTGATAATACCCGGAGCACTTTTCAAAAGGAGCCGGAGCAGACATTCAAGACGGAGAGTAAACTAACGAGGGAATAATCTGGGTTAGTGATAGGGGCGTGCGGCCATTTGATAAGGTGGAGACGTTGGGAGTAAGCCTTTCTTCAGAGATTTTCCAGAACGGAACACCCTAGGATTATCGTTTTGCGTGAAAGAATAAACAAACCGAACGTGTCCTAAAAATGCTCATTTCCGAATTTAGAACAACAACAACTTCAGTCTCTCCGAACATGGTCTTGAAAGTATGTTTCGCCCGAGAGCTTTCTTCTGAATCCATCTCCATTTCAGAAGACAATCGAAGAGGAGAATAACTCGGAAGTTGCTCAGAATCGGAAAAGAGCAGGAATCGAATGGTCGGCGGACATTGAGGACTGGATCTGTTGCTTTCCGCAGAAGTACGCGCTGATGGGCCTCTGCGTGTCTCTCGTCATCATCTCGATCATCAGCTGGATCGGTTCCGGATACTACGCCTGGACCATCTGGACCGTGCTGGCGACTATCTTTTTGGGTCTCATTGTCTTCATTCCCGACTTGTTTGGCAATCTTCTCAACCTTTGCCTCAATTTTGTTTGCTGGGTGAGTGTTTGAGTCATTTACTACTGAAAGGTATTTCAGGTTGCCTTTTTCGTTCTTCTCTTCGTCAACTTCATTCAAGTGTTTGTTTGGAAGGGATGGGTGACAGACTCGAATTTGTCGAATGGTCAGTTTCGGAGAGATCGTATCCACAACGGGGTAGGTTCCAGAAGAAAAGGAAAGGCAGTGGAGCCATCTCAACTTCATGCTCGCGTGCATTCCCCTCGAAATGCTCATCACCGCCGCCATCTGTTTCTTCCTCCTTCGCTTTGTGAAGTTCGCCTACGACAACCGATAAGCGCGGAAAAATCCAGAAGAACTGGTTCATTATTTGAACAAAAACAAACTTGAAAACATGCATTAAAAGTATTAGATCACGCCTGATTCGAATTGGAAACGTGTTCAGTTCGATATCATTCTGGCTCATTTCCAGTTCGTTCATTAACAATGAAAAAAGACACAATTATCCGCGTGGATGGCTTCTCGTTCCGCAAGAATGCAGGCTTCGAAACGGCCGCCGGACCGGACGAGCCGTTGCTGTTCGTGCCTCAGAAGTACTGGCTTCTCGGGCTCTCCACCTACTGCATGCTCTTCACAATCATCGCATTCTCGACTGGACGCATATTCTATGCCGGAATTCTATTTGTAATCTCTCTCTCGTTAATTGGCTCTTTGGAGCCCGTCTGTTTTTCAGTTCTTCCCGCCCATTTTCTTCGCTCTCATGATCTTCGTTCCGAACATTTTCGCGCATCACATCCATTACAGACTGCAGTTTACTCGCTGGATCGTCGTCAGTTTCGGACTCATCATCTGGTTCCTGTACGCCGTCATTTCGCTAAAATCGAGCAAAGCCGAGGAAGAATGCGGCAAAGGACCTGGTAAAGCATACGACGAATGCAAAGGTACGGTAATTATGATCAGCAAAAGAGAAACTCCACATTCACAGCAAGTTGGGACGTCTTCTTCAACTGGCTGTACGCGTGGCAGTGGTTGTGCGAGCCGGCGGCCATCATGTGCACTTTCATCCTGTACAGACTATGGGCGATAACTGGAGACTCCTTGTAAAGTGGCGCCTCCAAAATAATGATTTAAATCTAAATAAATACATTTTCATAAAAAAAAACTATTCAAATAAGAGGAAAAGAAACATAATACACGGTTGGAAGAATATCCCGTTTAAAATTTGACAGAAGGTGCTGCCGAGACAATCAAAAAATGGATAAATTTTTGTGAGGGGAGAAAACACGCAGTCGAAACTAATGTTTGGAGGAGGGAAAGAGCGAAATCGACATGTCTGATATGTGTTTAATACTGAAGAAAATGAGCACAACTAGGAGAAAACAACAAAGAGAAAGTGAGTATTCGCTGGAGAAGTGAGAACGTAAGTAGATAGAGAGAAAACGGGGAGGAACGGGTAATTGAGATCATTCGGGTGTCGACCATCGGGATGAATGCTCTCAAGGGATCACATCGGCGGCCCCATCTGATTTTGTGAGCGATTGTTTTGTTGGATTCCGAGCTCCCAGATCTCGCGCAGCATGTTTTCTGAAAGTAAAGTGAATTTGTACTTCGACTCGTTTCAAATATTTCTTACGGATTATCGGCGACTGCCGTTGCAGACTCATGAAGAACTGATCGCCCACTGAAGCGGTCCGCAGTAGGTGAAGTAGGAGGCCTCGTTCGAGGTTCTCAGGGGTCTTGCACAAGCCCAAAATGAATGTGAGACATTCGGTCAGGACGGCGTCGCTCATCACTCGCATTTCAAAGTACGTAAACGGGTTGAATCCGTTATTTCTGAAAATAAACTTTTGCTGATTTGAGTTTTTCAAAAAAAAAATCAAGCTTACATGATTCGTGTCATGACAGATTCAATGAATCGTGGATTAGCCCTTGTGCACAGGTTTGTCAGGAGACCGAACGATCGCTTCGCTATTTCTTCGTGGTCTGTCCGGCTTTCATCGAGCTCCCTTCGTTTGCTCGGCTCCAAGGTGCTATTCATGATTTCCGCGTTCTGTGACAAAATATTTATTGGAATCAGTAAAAAAAAATTTACTTACTATTTTCTGCCATTCAATGTGACTTTCGTATGCTCTCTGGAGCAGGAGCACCGTGAGCGGATCATTTGATTCTGTGACCAAATCTACAAATGGTTCGGCGAACCGGGGCACCGTCTCTATGACTCGCTTCATGACTGTCACTGTTATCTTCCTGCACTTCTGGTTGCCGACATTGAAGAATAGAAGGAGAATGGAAGCCGCGTCTGCATAATTGGCAATCTGGAAAACAGAAGTTACGGCAGAGTTCTTTTGTGTTGTGAATGTTACTCGTCGACATGCTTCCACTGCCGATGCCTTGTTTTCCTGCGGACCCATCGACGTCACGTTGGAAAGGATCGAAAAGCAGTTCTCGTAGACAGACTTGAGCAGAACACGCAATTCTTCGGGATGAACTGAAGAACATACTATTATCTTGTTTTTAGCCCTTCAACTTACTCGGCTGACTTTTGAATTGGGCGGCCATCTTGAGCACGTCGAATACGTGATGCGTCACGTTCTTTTGCACCATGATCACTTTGTTCATCTTGTTGTGGAGCGCAATGTTGCGAAGTGTCCCGGTTGCACCGTTCACGATCACAATGTCCGAGGATCCGAGCACTTGCATCAGGGTGTGGATTGATTCGGTCATATCGTGCTCCTGGATTGCTGGCAGGTCGGAAAGATAGCTCAAACATTTGAGAAGCTCGTGAATCAAGCGAGAAGATCCATGGGTCAGAAGCTGACAGAGAACTTGGACTCCGCCGAGTCGCACGAAATAGTCGCCGATGATAGGATCTTTGCAGAAGACTGTCAGTCCTTGCACTGTCGACCAGATCAGATCCTCGTTGATGTCGCAATCTCGCATGATTTCAAAGAATATTTTAACGACATCCATACTGAGCGCCGCCTTTCTTACATGTTTGCTCTTGCTCGAAAGGGTTCGGATAATCGAGACGGCGAATCCCTGACACTTTGAGTTGATATTCTCCGAACGGATTTTCTGCACTGCGAACTCGATAATCCTCCTGGCGAGATCGGAGTGGAGACTGCTGCAGAAGAGGTTATCCGAAAACACTTTTTTCATCAGATAATGGTCCGAGCACATGTGGAGCAGCAGGAGCGTCGCCCTCGTTTCGTACGCGGTCCCGACAATTCTGGCTCTCTCAACGACCGCATCAAAAATGCTCTGGCTTCCTTTGTGAGTCTTAACTGGTTGCTTCATCCACTTTGTGTTGATCGAATTAAAGATCCTCGAGAATCCGAACTTTCCGAGGTGATCGGTTTTTGAATGAAGCAATTGAAACAAGATCTCAAAAGTTTTTCGAATCATCTGAAACTTATGAGCGTATTTGGAGGGGTGAATAAGAGCGAAGTTTCGCATACTTATTGTGAGAAAATCGTATTTTGCGTTTCAAATGAATACTAAAGGAAGGGAAAAGGGCTAGAACGCTCATAAAAGCACTGAAAACTAACGGGTTCGTTTTCCACAGGTCGAAGAAGCAGCTCGAAAAGTGCGGCGATGATGTCCGTCAACTGATCCTTCGGGTACTTGTGATCCAATTGGGACGCCTGAACGATCGGACCCAGCATACGGAGCGCCGTTCTCTGATTCTCTTCGTCGGCCGATTTGAGATTCTTGATCATGTCCTGCACGCTCATCCGCATTTTCATAGGATCCTGGTTCTCGGTCGTGGTGTAGGACACTCGCAGCATTCTCTCGTGCGGCGCCGGGTTCATCCACATGTCCATCTCTGTGTTCACCGAGAGCATGCTCATTCCGCCGAGTGTGATGTTCGTCATTCCTGACATGTTGGACATATTCGTAGCTGTGGACATGGTCGATGCGTTGGAACCCATCTGAAAAGCGAGAAAAGTTAAAGAAAACTATAAATTGAACATTAAAACGTACATAACTTCCTGGGCGGGGTGGTTGCATCTGCCCTGGCGGCGGTCCATAACCGTTCTGCATCCAGCCTGACATTTGCGCTCTTCGTCCAATAGCAGCTTCTCGCAGTTCTTGCAGCCGCGAATTCGCCGGCTCCATGTTTTGTGCGCGGAATGGAGAACCTGCAAAAAAGAGCAAAATGGTTTTGTGACTGGTCGTCGGGTCGGGTCAGGCCGGTTTATGGGGCAGTTTTAGAGGAGAACGCACGAGACACGAAGAAAGGGAAATGCGAGTGATAAGGGCGCGGAGGCAGAAAAAGGAAAACGCATGTTTTCGAGGCAACGGCGCCAATGCGCGCCAAAACAAACGAAAGAAAGTTGGGCGGTGTTCTCGAACAAATAGGTATATTGCAACACTGACTGGGATAGGGACGAGACGACATTGCAGACATTTGGGAAGGCGGGCGAACGGGCGTACCGATTCGCGATGTGGACGGAGTCATCGGATTGTACGATTGCGGTGTGCACGGATGGGACGATGCATGATCTGAAATTAACTGAAATTTCCCTCGACATTTCACCTTCCGATTCAAGAAGTTTTTAACGTTCACTGCAGTAAAAGTGCATAGCTTTTACCCGCACTTTTTGAGAACAATGCTCTCAAAAACAGCAGCCTTTCCGGCCCGTAGAACAAAAGATGCTCCGGCCCTTTCTTTCTAATTCTCTGCCAATTATATCTGCCTTGACCATTTTCTACCACGCAAACAGACAGGAGTGGACACTGAGATGCCCTCTTGTCTCCCGTTTCAATATTGACACTATTCGAGTACTTTTTGACACTTCCCGGGAATGCTCACCTGGTTCGGAGCCGCCTACTTGCATTCTTTTGGTTTTGCTGTATTCCTGGCCAGATCTGTAAAATGAAACGGATCGAATTCTTATTCAAAAATGTTCAAAAGGAAGAATAGAGGAACGCTAGGGGGTAATGAATGCAAATTGTCCCAAGTGGACCGATAAATCAGTCCATGGGGCCACTCGGCAGGGGGTGCCGAACGGAACACTCGAATGTTAGTCAAATACGAGGAAAAGAATAGGGAGAGTGGAAGAAACAAGGTAAAATAACAGTCGATTCTACCGGTTGTAGCTGTCGAATCGAACAGGCGAATGATTGATTTCGGAGGCAAACGATCGGATTAAGATTAAATTAGACGATAATTGGGTTTTCGTTCTATCTTTTTGCGACGAATCGTGACAATCAGAGAAAATTACGTATTCAAATTTATCAGTTTCAACTGATAACATGTAAAAATGAGGGAGATGGTCGAGGCCGTCGCCGCAGTGGCCTAGAAAACTACACTAGCGCGAAGACTGGAATTTTGAATTTGAACGTTTCCGCTTTCTCTTCTTCTTTTTGAAGGGGCTTCTGCGCATTTAACCAGGTCAAACGACAGAAAAAGAAAACAAGGAAGGTAGTGAATAAATCAAGAGTTATAGCGTTTTGTACGCTGTGATTTATCGGCGACGGGCGCCGTCTAGTCGAGACGGTGAAAGGTAGCAGGAGGAAACTATTCCGCGACGCACGCTGCTCGGGTTCACGCCAATTACGAGACATCGTGCATTAAAGAAAATAACGAAGAGAGGAGAAGCTGACGGCGGAGGGATAATATGCACCTGCTCTGCGAATCGGTTTTTGTTGTGTACACTCTGAGCAGCTCGGAGGCAGCCAGTAATCAATCAATTGAGCACATTATTAAATCATCAGGCGTGTCGTGTCATGACGAAGAAACATTCGAATCTGAGAATGTGTCAGTTTGTGAAGTGAGGCAAACACGAAAAAGAAGCCGGAAGGGAGAGAAATCCGAGTTTTTGAGAGTGGAAAATGTGGGAAAAACGTTTTGAGAGGAAGAAAAATTTCTAGAAAAATTTATTGCAAATGGCAGTGTTATTATCCGTTTATCCGAAGTTTTATGTCACGACCAACGCTTTTTTTTCAAATTTTGCTTTCTCTATTAGAAGATGGATGGGTAAAAAGTTGAAACAGAAGCCATTGTTATGCAAATACATAAACAGTTGCACCTGTTCGCCCTCCGGAAAACATCTGTCTCCATGTGTTTGGGAGGAGTGATGAGAGAACGGCTTCTGCGTGAAACCAAGGACGACTTTCCCATCGAAACATTTTGAAAGTGATGATGTGGTGACACGGTCAGATCATCCAAAGCACACAAAGCCACGTCTAATTGGGCGAGGCGATAATTGGGAGCAACGGACGAAAATGTTCCCAGAGGGGGGTGTACGAAAGGTGTACGAAAGGGGAGAGAGACCACCAAACCGAAGAACGGACACCCAGCAGAGGGCGAATGAATGGGCGGCCAGTTGGGAAGGTGACGGTGCGAAGGCGAGAGAGTGTGCGGAGCGAGGAAACTCAGAGCGGGTGACGCAACGACAGGCTATGCACCATTCGTCCCGGCCAGACACCCCCCAGACACCAGTGGAATGGAATGGCCACGGAATTTGAAAACGGAAAATTGGGATGTGGCTGGCGCCCGCGGGGGGCGATTTGAATTCAATTGACCCGCAGTGCATAATGAGAAGGAATCGGGCGGAGCAGATCGGTAATTGGGGAAGGGGAGTGGGAGTGTGGAGTGTTGTACAAATGAGGCCAATTAGGTAAGAGCCGGATGTGCACATTCCTCGAGTATTTCTCTGTTTATTATAGATGTGGGGTTATGCGGTGGTAATACGGTCATGAGGGGTCACGGGAAACCGGAGATAACTGACCCACAGTAGTTCAAACTTTACCCCCCCTTAAGTTCAATGGAGCGTGATTGCATCTTCATTCAATTCAAATGCAGCATATATTCAAATCTCCGTCCGTTTATTCTCCCATCAATGGCCATTCTGGCGTGTCATTTGTTCTAGAGCGGAGGGCCACTTCAACCGTAATGCTAATGACAATGCACAGTGCTTTCCTAATAACACCCAATTGACGTGCCACGTCATAAAGCAGAAAATATACGAGTGGACAAGTGAATGAGGATGAAAGTTGTTTGAGTAAGGCAAAAAAGTAGAAGACGTGAGGAGATCGGATTGCATGCGCAGTGCGAATTGCGCAATAATCCTCTCGGATATCCCCCATCTCAAATATTGTCATTCATGAGAATGAATGAATGAAAGAAAGTCTGAACCATGCAATTATCCACCAGTTTATTAACCCTATCATTCTGATTATTCACATTAGTTTTAATTAAAATTAACATGTGCGCTCTAATGCTCAAATTCAAACCGACTTCTTTTCACTCAGGGGGGGTTTCAAATAAGCAACCTTATAATTTATGTGCCCAAGAGACAGATGGCTGCGAATAGTAATCGCTTGCTCTCATTTCCGTTTTTGGCAGATGAACAGGAAATCGAATACGTTCGAATCTTTCGGCCGTCTCCAAAACCTTCACGACAACTCGAAGTGACAACAATCTGCCAAACAAATCGGACACAAAAACGAAAGACAAAGTTTTTCGAAAACCTGCCCCACTAGATCGGCCGAGCAGATACTGTCGGAAGGGCCGAATCGATTGATCGCCAGAAGTCTGGTCTCGCCACGAATCGGGGGGCTGACAAGTGTGCGATGATGAATGGCCACGCAGCAGGCCGAACGCACCGGATTATCCGACCTCGTAATCATATAAACGGTGGCCATTCGAACGAGCAGCAGCACGCGACGCAACTCGAGGATTACCGTGATTGTGCAACCGGGAAGAAGGACATTTATTCCGTTCCATCGGATGCTTGTGTATGTATTCGGACATCCTAATTATATTTGTTCACTAGTTGTTACGCAGTTCCGTTCCTCTCTTCCGGACTCTATACAGATCCCAATCAAGTTCGTCTTCTTCTTCTGGTCCTCACCTGATTAATCGCCTCGTTAAACTGTCATCTGTCATCTGGATGTTCTCCTCACTTCGAGTGTAATCGCACCTGTCGTCATTCTTCGCACTTTCGTAACAATAATTTACTCCACGAAATTGAAAAGAGAGGAAGAAAAGAATACGCCACCATAAAACGGAGATGATATGCGCTGCTTGAAGCTGCGCATAGAGAAAGTAAGAAAAAAGGGTACGGATGAAAGGAACCTTCGAAACGGAAAAAGGAAGCGAATCTTGGAGAGAAGGGAACGACAAAGGGACGAGATTTGTGCGTGGTGCAATCCAAAATCACAAAAGTGGGGAGGAAAAGGGAAAACTTGCACACAAAAACGGAAGAGACCACCGCCGCCCTCTGTATTCACACCCTTTTCTCGACGAAACTGTTTCGAAAAATAATGAGATGGAGCGAGGAGCGGAGCGAGAGAAAAGAGAACGAAATAAGTTACATATTATTCCCGTCAGGTGCGGTTCCAAATGTAATCGGATAAGAAAATGGTCGTTTTCGGGGGAAGGAGGGAGAAATAGATTTGGAGAAGAGGGAAGAATGGAGAAGAAGAAGATGGTGATCAAATTAAAAAGCCTAATGGAGACACAGAGAGTGGGGAGTGAAGAGAGGGTCGAGAGAAACAACGGAAGAAAAGGAATATGAAGAGGGAAAACACAAAAAGACAAAGAGAGACGTTTATTGGACATGACGTTCTTGATTTAAGATCGGTTCTTGAGTTGGTTGCTGAGCCAATCGAGTCCCTCGTACAGTCCGTCTCCCGAGGTGGCGCACGTTGCCTGAAGAATAACATTGAAGCAAGAAAACTAAAAATCAAGGTGCCAGCTGTACAAATCATTCATTTCAACAGAACCCAATTATCTCAAGAATGAAGCGGCCGCCCTTCAAAGCATCTGCCGGCGTCTCATACGGTGCAATCCCATCAAATGACTCATAAAATGTGGCTCATTTCCTTTTTTGGAGAGGCACTCTTTCATTCTTTCTCCGCTATGCGCCGTCTATGATTCTTTACCCCTTCAGGATCGCATTTGTTCTACAATTCCTTACCTGAATGTACCACGATCTGTTTCTCAGTGAGTGGAGGCCGAGCTTGTCGGTCACTTCCGCGGCGTTCATGGCCTGTGGCAGATCCTGCTTGTTAGCGAACACGAGGAGAACAGCGTCACGGAGCTCATCCTCTGCGAGCATTCGCATCAGCTCTTCGCGAGCCTCTCCGACACGCTCACGATCGTTTGAATCGACGACGAAGATGAGACCTGTAAGAAGGCGATTGAAAAGATTGAAAAGGGAAATCAAAGAGGTTGAGAAGGATGATAAGAGGGTCTAGAGACGGGTGATAAGCCCATCTGCAAACCGTCGACGACAGAAAGAAGGACGGCTGACCTTGCGTGTTCTGGAAGTAATGCCTCCACAGCGGACGGATCTTGTCCTGACCTCCGACATCCCAGACAGTGAACGAGATGTTCTTGTATTCGACAGTTTCGACGTTGAATCCTAAAAACTCGAGTAAGAAAAATGACAACCGAAAAATCAATGCATTTTATATTCCGAGAGCGGTTTCTCCGTCCGTATTTCGCAATCATTCGAATAACTCACCGATGGTTGGGATCGTAGTGACAATCTCTCCGAGCTTCAGCTTGTACAGGATTGTCGTCTTTCCGGCCGCATCCAATCCGACCATCAAAATGCGCATTTCCTTCTTGCCGAAGAGGCCTTTGAATAAATTGCCGAACACGTTTCCCATTCTGAACTTTGAAAAATGGTAACTGAAAACTCTGCCCGAGTGCGCGAAAAGGCAAGAAAAATCAGAAATCATTGAGAGTGCAAACAGGGAAAGCGGAAAAGTTTCATCTTCCGAAATGCGAGAAGCGTCCAGGAAAAGGAGGAGACGGCGGTTGGAAAGAGAGAAAACGAAGGATGAAACGTGGCAGCGAGATGGATATCTATAACAGGCGGGCGAGAATCCAGCAGCAGCAACACCGAAGCATCGACGTGTCACCAGCACAGCAGTCTCTGGCGACCGGCCGACGGCGCGTCTCGTCCCTCTCTTTCTCTTGTCCCGCTTTTTGTCTTGTTCGCTGGACGCGTTGCGTGCGACGCGTTGCGGTCGTGCAACGAAGGGAAGAGGGAGAGGAGGTCAGAGAGCGGAGCGAAATGAGAGGAAGACTGGCGAGAGAGGGAGCGAGAGTAGGGCAGCGAACCGTCCATCAGTCAGTGCAGGACAGAACACACACAGAAAAGGAGAGAAGAACGGAAAGGGCGAAGCCGGCTGCTTCCACGTCATCTGTACTTTTCGTCTGTCACAAACGGGATTGATCGATTGAAAAGCCTAGGTTGAACTTAGACTGAATAGATGAGGAAATGAATGTCACAATCAACGTAGTGGGAAGAATTTCCACTTAATTGATAAGAGTGATCAAGACGACGGCTAGAATTTTCGAGAGAAGCCGAAACGGAGGAGTATAAAAAATTTCCTATACTTCGCGTCCGATCGGTATTCCGAATCTTCACGAGAATATCGAGGATGCTTCCGATTCTCGAGATAAACAGAACCCGCTAAGGAGAATGCGATTCAAAAAACGTGGCTCCCAAAAAAAAATAGACTTTGAGCTGCGGTTCCGTTGAAAAAGGACACTTCCTCTCTAGAGCATTCAAACACGCGATATGGCCGGCAACTGAAAATGACGCAATTGGGCAGCAGGCGGGGATCACGAGTAAGCGAGCGGCCGCTACGAAAGTACAGTTAGAAATGGGCTGATTGATACAAAAGGGAAAGGAGAAGTCGAAATGAATATTGAAAAGGAAAAGAGAGCGACGGAGAGATGAATTTCGGTGGGAAAGGGAAGCGCCACGTAGACCGTTCTGCCCTAAAGTGGCCGAAACGGAATCGATCAATGCGCGCGCTCATCTCGGATCAAATCGACTTCCCGGGAAGCGGGAATTCCGTAAAAGTAGTCGACTACAGACGCTCTCAGATGACTCATTTACACCGCTTTGCACAAGAAAGGAGCCCGCCGGTCACTTGTTTGTGCTCTCATATAGAAACGGAACAACTGGGGGAGCCAACAGCTTATGGGCTGCCCGAGAGAGTAGTTTTACAGAGAAACTTACGTTTTTTTTTATAAAGCAAGAGAATTGAATGAGTAAAGGTACGATTTGGTCGCCGAAAAACGATTTAGATAAGAAAACAAAGAACACGAACAACACGCAAAAAAGAAGAAAAATCGTTTATTTGTCTGGCAATTCAAAACTAAGAAAAAAAAAGCGAGAAACAAACCCATTTCAGCAATCAAAAAAGGCAAGGGCACAGACCCGTGTGCAGGTGTTCGTGTTAACTCGTATTATTATCTTCACTGGGGCTCTTTTTATCTACTCATCATATTGTACATTCACTTTTCAGTGGCCCGTTAGTTCAATTCTTTTGAGATCATAATCATTCTTTCTTTTTATTTATTTTCTCATTCAAGTGGAGTCAAATGCTCTCTTTTCGTATTCTTTTCTGATCTTTTCGCAATGAATTATCGAAACAATGGAACAATTGGAACATTACAAAAAAGAGAAAGCGAAACTCGGCAGGCAGTCAGAATGGAAATTCCAAACGATGACCGCATGCCTCGCACGAAAAGTTATTATATCTGAACCGTCAAAGCGATGGATTGACGGCCACACTAAAATAGAAAAGGGAAATGATAAATAGACAATGAAATAGAAAAATTGGATATAATATAAAGGCAAAAAGTTATAGGGGAACTGAGGTAACTTCTGCGTTTGGGAGAGCACTTACCAGGCGCACATCAAAATGAACCAACAAGTAGGGGAAGATCACCAAGATTACTTTGAGATCGTGTCTTACGGCTGCTAATTTAATCATTTAGAATGTCGTCCTCTTCGTCAGACTGAAATGGAGAAATAGTTTAATGAGAACCTGTTTTCCGGATCACTCACCTCGAGACTGCTCGGAATGGCGGCGAGCAACTGATCGGCCGACATGTTCGTGTCTGTTGATGGAATCTCCTCGATCCGTTCGGTCTTCAGCTCCATGTCGAGAGCGACTCCGTTCAATACCTTTCCTTCCGTCATTACCTGAAAAACTCATTGTCATCGTAATTAAACGGAGTGAATCAGAAGTACCTTAAGCGCATCAGACGTTCTTTTGAACGGGAAGATTGCGGTGGCTAGGCCGTCTTCGACTTTGACGCTTGTGTCGAACACCTCTCCAAATTGTTCCATGTGAACCATCAGATCAGTCACGAGCTCCTCCTAAAACATGGCTTTGTTTTTGTTAGTTGTGAATGAATTCAGGATACCTTCACATTTTTCACCATAACCACACTGCTCATTTTGGTCACGGGCTCGCTTCCTTCGCTCCCTGCCTTTCGTTTTCTGCTGACATCTTCCAGCCTATTCGGGTTTTTGAGTGCTTCAATCTGAGCAATGGTCTCATCCACGATCATCGACTTTTCCGAGATTTTGAGCAAGATGCCGTCAACCTCTTCCTTGCATTCCTTTATTTTCTTGTGCAAGTGCTTCACAAGCTTCGTCGCATTCTTTTTCTCAGTCTCGTCTGTAGATCCTCTTGCCTTGATCAGAAGCTCTTTCTGTCTGCCCATCCACTTTTCGAGAATCACATTATGTTCATTCTGGGCTTGGACCATCGCTGACAACGCACTTTTCTCTCTCGCCAACTTATCCTTCGCGTCTTGCAGTTGCTTCCGTTGATTCTGAGTTTCTGCGCTCACAAACTTCGACTCTTTCACAGTTGCGATTTTTGGTTTTTCAGCTGGTTTCGGAGGAGATGCCGGTCCTGTCTGTTTTCCATTCGCCCCTTCAGCACCTCCTTCGGCGCCTTCTGGTCTGTGCCAGAACACCTTGATGAATCGATTGTTCAAGACCGGAGCTGGAGATTTGTATGCCTTCATAGCGTCAAACTTCGACGAATAAGTGACGAGGGCAGAGTCAATTTCACCATTGTAACGGACTTGTATATTGTCGACCGCTCCGAAACTGGCGAAATGCTCATTCAACTTTGCTATGTTGTTGAGCTCTGGTGGAATCTTGGCGACCTGGAATGAAGCGAATATAAGGAAACCAATAAGAATGGAATACCTGGAGAGTACAGTTGTCTCTGTTTATTGTTCCAGTGAATCCACCACGTCCCAGTCCTCCGCGACCTCCTCTCGTGCTTCCTCTTCCACGGAAACCACCCCGGAACGTTGTCGGTGGTGGAGGAACGACTCCAGTGACCGGTGGAGGCTGGGAGAAGTTGCTCACAGGCTGGGGCACGTATTGTGGCACTTGTGGCGGTGGCTGTTGCCATTGAGCCGGGAGCGGCGGTGGCGGAACATTGTAGTTGGTGACTGTGAGAGCAGGAGTCTCCGGATTGTATTCACCGGCCGAGACGACGACGCCTGGTGGCGGCGGGTTGAGCGGATTGTATCCGGGAGGAGGCAAACTGAAACTGGGGAAGGATAAGTCGGACAACGACACAACATCCAGAGGAAGAGTCGTGTTAGGGAAGCGAGTGACGTACGAGAAATTAGGAGGAGCAGACGGGATCGGAACCATTGTACTGAGCGCATTCTCGTCGACCACCACCGGATCAGGACCATGATAGTAGGGGCATTGCTCTCCACGTATGCAATAGCCGCGCTCTTCGAAATCCTTGCAGCGCCGACGGCTTCTTGGCTTGTATGGCGGACTTCTCGAACCACTGTACGACCTGAAAATGTTAAATAGAACCCAGTTAGAAGCGTTGTTATTCAAAAGGAAAGAGTTCTGTTAGATGAGAAAACGAACAATCCATCTCACCTGGAACGAGAACGACGCCTGCTGTAACGATCACGATCGCTCGAAGAAGTGCGTCCGCTTCTGGAAGTTGTCTGTTTGCCCCGGCGATCTCTTGGAGATCTCGAACGACGACGTTCCACCTTGTCACGGGATGACTTCTCCTTATCTCTGCTGTCTGGAGCCGGCGGACTGATCCGCTTGCGAGCCGGTCTTGAGTCTGATTTATTTTGGCTTGAAGATCCGCTCGATTTCTGAGCTGGAGGAGCAGCTGGCTGAGCAGGACTCGTGCTCTCAGCGGCCTTTGTAGACTTGTCGATGGGAGGAGCGGTTTCCTCTTTCTTGGCTCGTTTCGTATCGAGAACAGGTGCACTGGTAACATGCGATTCGGCTTCTTCCGACCGCTCGAACAGGTAACTCTTGCTGTGAAGAGCGGAGAAGATTCTCTCGACGAGGGGAGCAGTGTCTGAAAACGAGGTTTTTTAGTTCAAACACTTCGCGATAGTACTTACGTTCGGCTAAAAACACAGTGAGTTGTTCGTTCGTGAAATCCTTCAGCTCCTGAGCTGACTTGTCCGGCTTCTTGACTAATGCAAGTACGTATTTGGCGAGCGCACTCGGGTCCGCATCGGTACTGAAAACGGTAATCTTTTTGATAGTCCTCGATTTATAAAAATGGAACTTACATTGGTGTCAGCTCATTAATGAGCCAATTGCTGAACGCGTCAGGATTGTCGACATGCATCGTTGAACTATTAAAAATTTTCGAAGTACTTTTCACAGGTTTTTACCGAGCCTGAAAACAAAATTTAATGAGTTTGCAGTGAAGGATATTAGTTTGCGAGACACGGCCCGGCTGTTCATACATGAGACTACCGTTTTTAAAAAAGTCATTTCCAGAAATGGAACATAGAGGCCTCTACTTTTTAAAAAAAAAAAGTTCAATTTTAGTGTTTTCTTCAAAATGAGCCAGGTTAGAGGTAAATGTAAGGTTTATGTGGGCAGTCACAGCTTCACAATTTCCAGTCCCCCGTATACTTTGCCGGCCCGTGGCGAGAGAGAAAATGAGAAGGTGCGAGAAGCACGAGAACGAGAGGGAAGGGGCGAGAGCATAACGGCTATAGTATAATTACATCGAGGCTGAATCCCAAATGAAATGAAAACCCGCAATTCTATATCTCACACAATTCGAACAAATTTGAAGGAGAACAATGAGTACGTTTTTCAGCCTAATGAGAAGGTTATTATCATTCTCTACGCTGATAAGAGGCACGAACAAAAAGAAAGCCAAAAAAGAAGGAACCGGTGCGATAACGATCAGAAATTGGCAGCCTATGCGTCGCGTCACAGGCGACAGACACAGGAAACATAAGCGCGCGTACAAACGGGGGAATAGGGGAGCGGAGACGGGCGGCCACAAACTGGTCTTTCCCCACCGATGTTTTCCGATCTCCTTCGGACAAGGATTCCCTGGTTACCGTACTTCAGAAATAGGAATGATTGATCGGGAAGAGAAACGGAGGAGTTGTCTGATTGATGACCGGATCACGAAGGAAGACAGATGAGATGAGAACAAAGTGCGAGTTTTGAAACTTGGCTCTGCTTAGAATCAATTTCGCCATTTGGAATCGTAAACCTAGGAAATGTCGTTTTTCAGCTGTCGGAATGTTGCGGGGCCGGCAACTACAACTGCCGTCGACTCTGCCATGCTCGCCGAACCCAATGAGCTCCCGGAGAGAAAGACGCAAAAAGCGGCATGTGCACTCACGGACGAGGGGAGAGAAGAACTCACAAAAAGCTCACACTCATTCATTTATCCTCCCGCCACCATCTATATCGTTCCTATTTACTTTCTTTTTCTTTCGCCTCATTTTACAGGTACTCGGAAATACTTTTCGTTTCACCTGCTCTCTTGACAAAGGCGAGTAGTAGTACACCAAAAAACGTCACTCACTTAGTTGCACTAGACCGAAAGTCAGATTATTTCGGTTTGTTTTCGATATGTTCTTTTCGTTTGCTGTTTCTCAGTCTTTCATTTTTCATTTTTCTGGGCTCCTTCAGCCACTGGCGGCTGTGTGCTGTTCCGCGTGTCAATCTAGCTGTCGCGCTTTACATAACAGCATTTTTATTTTCTGTCAATAGCTATATTACAATCAATTTTGCATCAACTTCAGATGGTGACTGACATCGCAAACTCGCGAATATTCCGAAGACGAAGCTCCACGTTCACCGACCCAACTAATGTTCTGGCTATTCACGAACTGAGATCGAGAATACTACAGGTGTGTGAGAGCTTGAAAACTAAAATGAAACTAGTATGTGAATCTCAGGATCCCGCAGCAACAGTCAAACATTCCCCCGAAGACATTCATAGAATAAGACACGAAGACTGGTGGCTCGATAGGTTTTTGAATTCAGTCAATTACGATGTAGACATTGCATATGCAATCATTTTGGAGTGTTTGAAATGGAGGAGAAACTTCGAAGTGGATAGTGAGTGAAGTGAAATCAAAAGTAAAGAATATTTGATTTGAGGAATAAGCCTTTTGTCTCTGAAGCCACTGCTGGACAACCAATTGATGTACCTTCACGAAAAAGACTTACAAAACCGACATATATGTGAGAAGCGAGACGAAATGAAATGAGGATAATGTGTTTCTGGTATTCCAGTGTGGATCATGATGAGCAAATACAAAAACGGCGACGATGGTTTTGAAAAGCTGTTCACATTTTGGATGGAACGACACTACATGGAATACAGCGGCTGTCAGCTACTGACGGTTTTCATTGATATGAGTGGAACAGGCCTGAAGAACATGGTGACCCGTCAGGAAGTGACGTTAATATTCTTGGATGTTGCAGAGTTTCGACGCCATGAAGTTTATTATTCACTCTTCTAAATACTATTATCCGAATGCCATTGATGCAATTCTTATTTTCGAAAATCCATCTATTCTTAACGCTTCGTGGAAAGTAGGATTTCAATCACAATTGTTTCTCTTGACACAACACGCCCTATTCCAGGTAATCGGATCTTGGCTCGAGTCGTCCGCAGCAACTCAGCGCCACGATTTGCTCACATTTGTCACCAAGCTCAGTGTCACTCACTACGTACCAAAAAGTCATCTGTTGGAGCATCAAGGAGGCACCGTAAGACTTTTTCTTCTTCCGTCTCTCTTCCACTCGCTCTATCCCATTCATCAATAGCGCGTTTCCATGAAACCCTCTCGATTTCTGTCATCTCCCGGCTGGCGTGTAGGGGCCACTTGTGTTTAACACTAGTTGCTGAACCCCACTGGCGATACGAGAATGAACTGAACTCTCTCCTCGTTGTAACAGCCGGCCGGCTCTCGGCCGCCTTTGTGACCAACGCGCTTCTCTTTCTTACTTTCATTATTTTTGTTGAAGGATACTTTCAAATTCACGATGGACGAGCTGGCCAAATGTCTTCCACCGCCTCCGCCTCCGAAACCATCCCCGAAACTGTTGCAACAACGGATGCATTCTATCGACGACACAGCCAACAACAACGTCACCGAATTTGACTTTTCCTCCTTCCAGAAACGAGTATGTCTCTTCTATCAAAGTTTGAATTATTCTAACTTCCCATAGGTTATCATCTTTTTAGTCACGGAGCTATATTTTTTAAAGAAACGTATCAATTTCGCGGCGAGAAATATTAGCACAGTGAGTCAACTGCTCGCATTACAGAATGTCAAATTCGACGAGGAGTCGACCACTAAACGGGCACCTTCTCTGTCTCGTCGATCGAGTCGCGGACCGAAAAACAGAAAGTCACACATTCCGCCTTCGCTGCGGCCACTCATCGAGAACCGAGTCAACGCACCGAACGACGATTGGTCGTCCAACGACTTTGTGTCAATAACGTGAGAAACAGTCGAGCTCCGAAGTTTCAAGACAAAGTTTTTACAGGCCCAGGGATGAACTCTGCCTGGAAAAGCTCGAGGGAGAAAACGATCTACTTGATGTGGTCCTCGTCAAGAATCAATCGTCCGACACGCCAATTCTGTTCAAGTTCAAAACTACTTCACCGGAAAAGTTCCGAGTGCGACCAAGTTCTGGAATAGTTCAACCTGGAACCACTGAGATCATCAGAGTTTACCTACAATACGGTGTGTAATAATTCGGGTATGGTGAATTCGAAAGAAATATTCAGAATACCGTCACTCATGGAACAAGGAAAAGTTCCTCCTTCTCACAATGGAATCGTCGTCGACCGACCTTGACAGCTTCGCTGATCATTTTAAATCCGCAATCAAAAAGGCCGAATTCAAGTTCAAATGCAAGCTTTCCGAAAACGTGAAACTAGATGAGCCAGAAGAAAGAAGATCCAGCTTTCTGCTGCAACAACAGCAACAGCAGCATAAGTTCGGTTCTTTTTCGGTCAGCGACTTCAACATTAACCTGCCGCTAATTGTTTCCGTTCTGTTCTTGTTTCTCATGTTTCAATTCTTCTACATACTTCAAGTCAGATCCGATAATGCCGTACTTCGCGAAACACTTCTTTCGTTGTCGACTCAAATGAAGGAGAGCAGTGCTCCGATTCAGGAAACTCTTGCCGAAGCGGCAAAACAGGAATTGTAATTGTTATACTTGGATAAAATAAATATTGATAATGTTACTTGGAGCGGAAATAACCTTGACACTGGGAATATAAAAACGTTTTGAAAGAAAAAAGGAACTACGAGGAACTGCGAAATTACCATCTCACAAACTTATATTATGAAAACAGAAAGGAAGAGAATCAATCATAAATCAGACATTAATTATTATTAAACGTGAAAACTTACAATTATGCACTCAATCCGAGAAGAAATCGATCAGCTTTTCAGAAGAAATATTTTTGAAAAACAAGAAAATAAATCGATGTTCCCCCGTAAATCGTACCGACATTGACGGGTCTCACCACGATGGCGCCGCAGCCAATTCGCTGGCTGAGTATCAAACGCTAATACATGTACCCCTCGCTTTATTTTTGCCGATAACGAATTTTTCCAAATTTTTTCTTTTTTGAAGCGATTTTTCGAGGAAATTTGAGTGAAAAACTTTCAAATTGTTCGAAAATTTCAGAAGTTAACATAATCTCAACTGGCCTATACGTAAAATTTGCTCTAAAGTTGAGATTTCGTTTTACTTTCTCATTGAATTTTTTTTCTATTTAATTCTCTTTTTTAATTCTCTTCGCTTATTCATTTTTTCCACATATTGACTATTATCTTGTTATTTTGTGTTTTTTGCAGGTAACATGTCGAAGAGAGGACGTGGAGGAGCTTCCGGAGCTAAGTTCCGCATCTCCCTTGGTCTCCCAGTCGGAGCCGTCATGAACTGCGCCGACAACACCGGAGCCAAAAACATGTTCGTCATCTCCGTTTACGGAATCCGTGGACGTCTCAACAGACTGCCGAGCGCTGGAGTTGGAGACATGATCGTGTGCTCCGTCAAGAAGGGAAAGCCAGAGCTGAGAAAGAAGGGTACGTTTTTTCATTTAAAACAAGCTTTGAATTTAGAAGCTACACAAAAGGTTATACTATAGTTATCCAATTTTAGTTTTGTTCTAAATCGTGTGCAAGTTTTCTCGTAAGAACACTATAATTTTCTTTTTTTTTCAGTTCTCCAAGGAGTTGTCATCAGACAGCGCAAGCAGTTCCGCCGAAAGGACGGTACCTTCATCTACTTCGAGGATAACGCGGGAGTTATCGTCAACAACAAGGGAGAAATGAAGGGATCCGCCATCACCGGACCAGTCGCCAAGGAGTGCGCCGATCTCTGGCCCAGAATCGCAGCCAACGCCGGATCCATCGCCTAAGCTGTTGTTTTTGTTGTTATAAATGAATATTAATTCCGTTATCGGTGTATTGGGGTTCATACAGAGCAATGTTCGGGACATTAGAATATTTCCATCAATGTTGAGAAAAACACATCGGAGAGCATGCTTTTAGACAGAATGGGAAGTTGGAATCGTCGAAATCAAGTCAATAGCAAAGATAATGAAGAAGTAAGTGTCGTCTGAACAGAGTCGATCAAACTGGTTCCTGGTTCAGCAGTACAAAGACTTGCTCGTGTTTGGATACACTTCGACCATCTTTCCGAACGATTATCAATCCGAGAGCATCGCAGAAGAGCGGCACATGGTTCCTTGTCTCGGAGACGCATCGAATCGTGTCGATAGGTAGGGGTCCTTCCGTCTTCGAAAAACTTGGAAACAACGTCGAAAAGTGGAAATGGGGAGGCCGCCCGGCTTTTACAGACAACGAGTTCGCGTCTTGTTATCGGACGAATTCATTGTAACGGATCGATTTCTGACATGGTTAGTTTTTGTTTACTTCAAAATAGGTTGAGATCTGAATTAGGGAAGGAAATAGCTTACAGAGTTTGAAATTTCAAGCTGATCTTCGTGCTTTCCCACTTATAACCTTATCTTCTAACTTGCGTTTGTACCAAAATAAGCAGAAATAACCCCCTTTCTAGTTTTTGTTCCAGCAACTGGTTTTTGTGAGTTGTAATTAAGAGAAAAATGTTTTTATTTTCAAATGCCTCACTTTTGTTTTTAGGTCGGACGAATCAACCTCGCAGAAAATGTGAAAACCCGTAAGTAGCAACAAAAATATGTGTGGAAAGTCGAGAAAAACAGTGCAAAAGAGACGACTCGATTACGGAAGCACTTTTCAGGTACGACTGTCGGCTTCTGCTTCCATCGATCGAATCGGCGCTGCGAAGAAGTGGAACACCACCAGAACAGTGCCCGACTGAGGCGATGGAAGAGGATATGTGCGAGGAAGAGCGGTATCTGGACATGCACAAGGATATTCAGAGTATGCGAGAAGCACGCGCAATAGACGAGAATGATAACTGTTTCAGGAGAAAAAGATGAAGAGGATAGAAGACAGAAAGAGCAAAGAAATGCGATTGGTTTCGACTACGGAACGGGAACAGTGAAAGAAGAGAGTGACAGTGAAGACGAGCCGTTCGAAGTGCCGCAAGGGGTGAAGTTTCCCGTTGGACTCGAATTGCCGCCTAACATGAAACTGCATCACATCATCGAGAAAACTGCCTCGTTCGTGGTCGCCAATGGAGCACAAATGGAGATTGTGATCAAGGCGAAACAGCGAAACAACGCAGAGCAGTTCGGATTTTTGGAGTTTGATAATCGGCTGAACCCCTTCTACAAGTACCTTCAAAAGTTGATTCGAGAGAAGAAATATGTGCCGGATCTCACCAAACGAAAAAAACTGTCGAAGACGGCACCCTCCACTTCCAATTCAAAGCCTGTTGTGTCCACTTCACTCGCGGCCATCGCAGCAGCTCACGGATCGGATTCTGATGATTCGGATTCTGATTGCGAGCTGCATCCATCGCTGTTATCAGGAGGTGCAAAACGCCCTTCATCTCCCGAGAAGCCAGGGATTATCGGACCAAGTAGAAAGCCGGTTGTAGAAGAAAAACCTCCTGAAATGAATACCTTCGGAATCATGGCTCAGCGGAATGACGTCTACGCGGCACTCTTCAAAAATCTGGCTCATGTGACAAGAGAGGCGAACGGAATAGAGGAGGAGGTCAAGAAAGAGCCGGAGCCGGGGCCAGAGAAGCTACCGAATCCGCCACAACAAGATCCGTCAGTTACCCTTTTGTTATTCACTTTTTCAAATTTTCCATTACAGAGACGGTCGACTCGACGATTCTGATTATCGGGAATGGTACGAAATGTTCTACGGCCGTCCGTGTCCGTGGATAGGCCCTCGGCCCATGCTCCCGCCTACTCCTGATCTCGAACCGATTCTCAACAGCTACGCGGAACACGTGGCCCAGAAGGGCGCGGATTTTGAGGAGAGTCTAGCATCTCGAGCAGATCTCCAACTTCAGTTCATGGATCCGAAAAGCCCTTATTACTCGTATTACCATCACAAAGTCAGTAAATTCGCCATATCTTTTTCAGTTGACGTCAATTGACATTTGAGTTCAGATCCGTCTGCACCAATGGCGAATGTCTCAGGAGTATGCAGCCTTCCAGTCGCCCACAGTTCTTGGTTCTCCCGTTCCTTTAATGTCCGATCTCGTCCTTCCTCCACCTCATTCCAATATCAGCTCTCCCGGACCGTCCCATCTGCTCGGAATCAACGTCTCAACTCCCCCAGAACCCCCGCTCAATAGAAGGCAGAGGCGACGCCTTCTGGAGTCGAGCCGTGTTGACGAAACCATCACAGAACCCGGAATTTATGATCCGCTGGGCCCATCTCAGATACTGATGAGTTCTTCGACTCCAGCTAATCTGACCAGTTTGGAGAATATGAAACCTATTTCGTTCAGTCTAAGGCAGGAAGAAGCAAAAGTTACGGACGACTCTAGCTTCCGATTTGACCCGGATCTAGAAGACCTGGAAGTGCCTTCCACCTCAGCCGACACAAGTATTGGAGCGCTGTTTCCTCCCCCGACTCCTCCGATTCTTCCGAGTTCCACTCAAATCGATAGAAAGGAGAAAGCAAGAATCTTCATGGAAAAACTGTTGTTCGAGAAGAAAATGAGGAAACAACAGGAAGACGAGGAGCGAATAAAGTTGGAAGAGGAAACGAGGCGGAAAGCGGAGAAGATATCCGAGGAACTGACTGAGAGAAAATCAAGTCGAGAAGGAGAAGGAGGGGAAAAAGCTCCGAAGTCACTGGATGATATCATAAACAATCGGATAAACAGTTTGCTCTCCGAATCTGGATTCCATCCAATTGAAGAGCCGAAAAAAGAGGAGGAAGTGAAGGAGAGAAAGAAACCTGTAAGGAAGTGAGAGGCCATGTACAAACGTCAGAATTACCATTTCAGAAGAAAAGAAGCCGTTCGCGACGTCGTTCTCATTCTAGAGGATCCAGGGAGCGTGACAGATCGACCGATCGGAAGCGACCGCGCAAATCGGAGCGGCGGAACCGTTCTCGCTCGCACTCGAGAGATCGTCATCGCCGGAATCGCAGCAGAAGTCGCGATAGAAGCTATCGTCGGTGAACAGACATGAATCATTTCATTCTATGCTTTTTCTATGTCTCATCATTTTATTTCTGTTCCTAATTTTCAATGTCAAAAAACAGTTTTCCTTTCGATCATGAGTTTCACGTTTATTTATTGCTTTGTAAGTACGGGAAGTATCACTAGAACTAAAGGCCAAATGTAAATAAATACACAAAAAATACGCCGTATCCATGAATCATTATGCCAAGTGAGTTGAGCTTTTGGTTAGATCGGAACAGGGAAAAAAGGGAAGGATCAGATCAGCTGGGACCGCCGGAAGAGGCCACCATTTCTTGCATGTCTCGGATGATCGTTCGGGCCACTTCCTCTGCGATCTCCTCTTCTCGCAGAGCATTCTTGTCGAGATACTTGCGTAATGTCGACCTGATTCTAAAATGAATTGTTTATCTTTCTCTGTTTCTCTCCCGAACCTCTGCGGTTTGTGCGTGTGCGAATGCGAGTCGTCGTACAATGCGTGGTACCTCCCCATTTCGTCAATCTCCGCGAGTCTGCTGCTCCGCGGCGTCCTCGGAGTGCTCTTTTTCGACGGGCTCGGCGTGCCGGTCGGAGTTCTTTGGTCCCCGTCGGCCAGCTTCTTCTCCAGCACCTCCAGATGCCGGCTGAACACGTTCGGCAGCGAATCGGTCGAGGAGGCGACGTCCGAGCAGCTGCCGGTGGCCTTGCGGTCCCTGAAGCGCCGAGGCAGTTCCACCGTCGAATCGATGAAGGCGCGGAGGTCGGAGAGGTAGTTGCGGAACGCCGCCGATTCGGTGAAGTCCATCAGGTATTTCTGAAACGGTTTCAGACGAATCAACGCTTTGTTTACGCCTTTTAACGTTCGTTTTCAGTCCCGTTTTATGGCCGATCATGATCAGAAACGTGACTTTTTGCGGGAAAGACAACAGAAGCGATCGCTTGGAAGACCGACTAAAAGTCAGGTTTATTTGAAGATTTGGACTTAAAGGGCATCTAGCCTCCGTTTCAGATCAAGCCAGAGCTAGGCAAAATACCTTTTGATCTACTCCCGATCATCCGATCATACCCTAACTTAACATGATTCACAGTTTTGGTTTCGAGCATCCAATTTGAAAGTTTCAGCTCGATTGGATTATCCGATTTGAAGATATCTTGAAGCAAAACCGAAGAGCCGGGCTTCTGTGAGGCCTCCATGTCAGAGAATCCAATTAAGATGAAACTTTCAAGGTGATTACTCTAAACTAATACAGATACTCGTGACAAGTTTGGGAATGCGTCAAACTCGAAAAGCTTCAGAAGCACACATTCTTAAACTTACATCTCTCAATCGATAAACGCACGTGGCCCACGCAGTCTCAAAGGCTTTCCGATTGGGCCGTCCCGATTCTTCACAGATCAACGATTCCATATCCGCTCTCGCAGTCGCTCCCAACTCGATCATGTTCGTCGCCTGCATCGAAAAGTACTTTTCGTAGAGAGACATCGCGTCGCCGAGTGCCTCTCCGTCCTCCATCAGATCTAGGTTCGCTTCGAAACTGTCGCATCCGAGCAGAAACTGCACCATGTCGTGGTCCTCTTTCTCTTTGATAAACTCGAGAAACGAGAGGAGCAACGGCTGCACTTTGAGCACGTCCATCAGTGTGCACTCGTCGGAGAGCGCCTCCAATTCGTGCTTTTTATAGTAGACACTGCTCTGGAACTCCTCAAAGTATCGATATTCGAACAGGGATTTCACAAAGTTCTGCGCATCGTCGAAACAGTTTTTCTCAAGGGGAACTTTGGCCATTTGATCTGAATGAGGATTGAATTTGGATTGTGAAGAAATTCGAATGCTCACTACCGTCTACAATTTGTTTTATTTTTCGAGGAAGGACGAGTGAGCTGTTGGAGCCCTCGTCCACGTATTTGTCGTAGATACTCTTTGCGTCGCGGAAGGACACTGAAAAAGAAACGCATTTATAATAAATATTTATTGTTTTTTGGTTTTCTTTCCCACGCATCACTGTCTCTCCAATCTTTGAACATTCAGAGGAATTCACAGTAGTCCTTCTTTTTCAATTAAACCGAAAACCCACACTCTTGCGCTCCTTTGTGATCTTCAGTGAAACTCGATTTGAAGCAGTCGACGTGCATCCAAAACTTGATCAAATTGAGTTTATCCACCGAATCGAGGTACTGAATAAAGTAGGAAATGGCGGAAGAATCGGAGAGCAGACGATCGAGGGACCACGCCAACTGGGCCTTCTGTCTGATTTGAATGCCCTCGTGGTCTGAGCCACTTCCTGAAAACATTCATTTCCTTTTTTGTCTTTTGCAATGCCGTTTTAAATTCGAATTTAATTAGGAATTCAATTGTCTCGGATGAAGAGACGAACCGATATCAGCCGAGAGCTCCGGGACCGCCAAAGAGGAGCTCTGTCTTCTTTGTCTCGAATCGGGAATCAAAATGTGATCGTTGCTGAGCGAGCTCCGACGATTCGTCCCATTCTGATACTGTTCCGGATGACCTGGATTAAGATTATTGATTCTCGTTCGTTTGAAACTTTACAAACCATTCGGCTCTATCTCCTTTTTCCTTCGAAACTTGCCAAGAAAGCTCATTTTCAGCAATCTGCTCTAGGTCATTGTTGTCTTCTGAATGAGCGCAAGTAGGATATTATAGTATTGACGAGAATGTTGTCTCGGTTTTATCAACTTCTGCGCACTCCGTCTCCTCGTCTGCGTCTCGTTTCTCCGTCCAACACGACAAACGCGTCAACGGCCACTCGAGGAGGATGAAACGGGGGAAATGCTTATGGAGCGACATGTCAGCTGCGTCCACACTCAATTTTTGCTTTTTTGTTTCGCAATTTGAGCACTGAACCTTTCTGAATCATCTTTGATTACTGTAGTTTTTATTTGAACTGCCACGCTTTTTTCCATTTTAAAAGATTACTGTTTTCGTTGTGAAACACGCCGCCGAAACTTTTGTTGTGTGCCTTTAAATGAACATCGATTATTTGTTGTTTTTCTACAGAAAATGGATCCATCGGCATCAGAAGGAACTAAACCGATGACGCCTGCGGAAGAAGTCGTCAAGAAAGTGGCCGAAAAGAAAGTCACCGTGTCGCTGCAGCCGGTCGCCGACGCACCAATTCTCAAGAATAAAAAGTTCAAAATCGGAGCAAGCACTGACATTGCAAAGTTTTCTTTGGTAAGCTTATCGTAGCAAAACCTCTATTTCGAAGCTTACTTTTCTCAGACCATACGAAAACTGCTTAATCTTCCCGCTGACAAATCGCTTTTCTTCTATATTTCACACACATTCGCCCCTTCCCCGGACCACACACTTGAGGTAATACTTCAGTTTTCTAAAAAAAAACCCACTTTGTTTTCAGCTGCTCAGCCAATGCTACGCAGTGAAGGGCGGCGGCGAAGATATCCTCCAGTTACAGTACAGCACGACTCCAGCGTGGGGATGAATTACTCAAATTAACATGTATTTATAACAATCCATTCTGAAACGGGTCATTTCTTGTTTATAAATGTGCATTCTGAAAACCTAAATAAATCATCATCTTTGTGTATTCATGTTATATTTATGGTCAGCTTCGAAAAGCGATCCTTGTCTACTTTGAAGAGAAAAGGAACACCGAAACTAAAAATAATTACAGATCTCTGAATAAATTTACGCGCAATTCTGAAAAAAGTAGTCATGAGCAGAGTAAGATTAAATGCAAGGACTTTGTGATCAATTGAATTCTTCAGAGAATTGATCACGACGAAGATGGTCGTGATTCGTCGGAGTACGAAGAAATGGATGACGAAGAAGAGGAGGTTGAAGAACCAGAAAAAGAGCACGTCGTCTATGTGAAATCGCAATTCGAACCGGAAGAATACATTGAAGAGCAGGAGCCGTCGACCAGCCAACACAATCAAATGGAAGAAGAAACAGTACCGATAAACATCGAATATGAAGGTTTCTCAGAGAATGCTCTCTGTTCGAACTGAAACTCTTTCAGAAGTGTATCCGCACAATACTGTGCAAGTGGTGCATCCACATGAAATGGTCGAAGCGGAAAAAAATTACTATGAAAATGAAATGGAAGGTATTTTTAAGAATAGTTGTTCTCGTTAAAACTATGCTTCATTCCAGATCTAGTTTATCACGAAATTTACGGCGAAGGAAGTGATCAACAGAAACTGGAAGTCGGCAAAAGGATCAGAGATTCAGTGGGGACAAACGCCACGTGTCTTGTCTGTCAGCGATCCGAATCGGAGAAGATCCGACTGTTCAAATGGCCGAAATCGGAGGATCTGAGGGAGCAGTGGCTGCATTTCTTCCGCATGCCGACCAGCGTTTTCCACTCGATGCCGGAACCCTACATCTGCTGCTATCACTTCTCCGCCGACACGTTCGTAATGGTAGATCGTCTTCATGCGAACGTCTTCAGTTCTTTCTTTTGCTTTTCAGATGGATGATCGTATCTTCTGGAAGATGACCGCCGTTCCGAAGTACCGTCAACGTCGTCCCGGGCTCGCGGAGCCATTTCCCTGGGAGCCAGCGGCCAAACTGAAACTGGACCAGCCAATGATAAACCGAGCGAATACCACCGAATCGTTCGGCTTCAAAATACGCTACCGTCTGCCGTACAATAAGCACAAAAATCGGAATGTACACCAGGTGGCCGTAATGATTCCGATCGCCCAGCCACATCTCTACTACGAGTTCCATTTCAACCGCTACGGACTGCGTAATACAAAATTTTATGCGTGCCTGAACTGTCGGAAAGCGAAGGCGGAGAGCGGAATTCGTGACGTCATCCGGACGATTCATCTGGACGGAAACAAGTTTCTGAGCAACGGCGATCCGTTCAACGGGCACCATTTCGCATGCCGTCCTCACAATATTTATGATTGCAAGTAAGAGAGAACAACGAAGAACTATTTCATTCACTGAGTTTCAGATCTTCTTGGCGTCCAATGCCAGGTCAGACGACGGAAAATCACTTTCTGGATGATATCGTTTATGTGGACGAACGTGGAAATTCATTAGAATGGGATACGGTCACCCGTCCAGCTGACGAGGCGATCACTAAATTCGAGGATACAGAGCGGAAAGAGGAAGAAGCGCAGATGGAGATGTACGCAGCGACCTTCGACGATCCGATGTACGAAGAAGTCATTCGGACGGTCAGAGAATGCTTGAATTACTACCAAAACTGTTCAATTTCAGGTGGACGACCCGCCAGTTCTGGATATGGAATACCCGCAAGAGGAGACGGTTGTCGAGACAAAACCGGTGAAACTCATTCGGAAGCAAAGCCGGATAAAGTGTCATTTGTGCCTCAAAAACGGATTTTCATCGACTCACGGCCTTGTGGAGCACTTGCAGAAGCACATTGCCGAGGAGAAGAACTGCAAACGATGCTCGAAACGAATTTCCTGCGATTCTCGAACTATTTGCATTCGACGAGGAGTTTGCGAAAGCTGTTATACAACTTGAACAATAGCCTTGGTTTTTTTTTTCAGAAAGAAATGTTTAATGATTTATTCATTCTTTTTCAAAGCTTGGAAATGATCAAGAGACTGAGACAGAGGGTTATGCGTAAGAGATCTAAATATATACTTGAGCTCTACTCGGAAAGCTTTGAAACAGTTGGCATCGACGAGAACAGAGGGGAACGCCTAATCGCTCTCGTCGTCGTCATCGGCTGCAGCACGGGCCACTCTTTTAGATGGTCCTTGTCCTGAAACTCCTTGCAGGAGACTCGTTTGGCGACCGTCGCAAGCAACGATTTTGAGCCTGGAACATATTGGTTTCAGTCCCTTTTTAAAGATGTTTGCTCACTTTTCGATTGGATCGTCAAAAGATCTCTGCGGATCCTTCAAAGTGACGTTGTTGAGAATGAACGTCCAGACATTGTCGCAATAGCGATAAGTGAGCAGCTGGGTCGCACAGAAGTTCATTTTCTCCTTCGGCAAACGAGAGATCTGCTTGTTCATGCTCTTGTCAAACTGTGTGAGCACTTTCGAGACGAGCTGCTTCGGCAGAAGGCCCTCCTCTTCCATATCATTAAGAGTCTGCTCGAGTGCCTGACCGAGAGTGGTCCCACGATACAGCGCGTACGAAGACATGACTAAAGATTGATTGAGATTTGCGGGAAAAGAATTAATGAAATAAAAGGTAATGAAATCGGTATATACCGGGAATTAGGAAAGCAATAAACAAAAGAATTAGTTTATGAGAGGAAAATGGGAGCATTACAAAGTTAGATAAAACGAGTGAAAACACGACTACGAAAAATCGCAGAAAGGGTCGGAATAAATGGATACAAAGAAACCGTTTCGAGTTCGATACATTAGAGATCGAGTGATCGTTATTTTACAGATAGTTAAGGTTTGGATTCAAGAGCTAAGTACGGATTGGTTGTGACGGCGTGTCCGTCCGTACCCTCGACAGTGTACATTTCTTCGACTCTGAGGATTCTGTACTTGCGATTCTGACGGCACCGGAGCAAGCATTTGCGAGCTGAAAACAATGAAATTAGCTCGAGCTCGAAACGTTTTCAGCTCACATTTGCAGTTTTTGCACGGCCAATGACAGCCAGAGCAGGTCTCATCGAGGCAGTCGCACAGATCGTACGATACTTTCTCTCCGTTCACAATTCCCGACAATTTGCCCGTTTTGTCATGACGCAGTCCCTCTTCTTTCTCCTGCTGAGCCTGAGCGGCGGCGGTAGCTATACGCTTTCCGCGGTTCGAATTGATCCAATCCGGTCCGTCCGGAAGCATTTGAGACATGGCGGACCCCGGATTTCTAAAGTTCAGCTCGTTGAGCTCACGTGCTCCGATTCCTCTGCATGCCTTGCTCCGTTTCTTCGCTCCGACGTCATATCTCTCAGGGATAGGCTCTTCGATCTGAGATTGACTTTGACCTTGTCTTCTCGTATGAAACAATGAGTACCTGTTGCTCCGAAACTTGGTCACTGTATACTTCAACGTCGTTGTAATTCACTTCTTCGCAATCGTCGAAAGTGCTGTCCCGGACTACTATGTGCTGAAAATAAAAACAACTAAAAACTAGAAAGCAATTCGAACAAACCTCGGCTTCACTAGTCAGACCAGCTATTTCAGCAAGTAAATCGGCTGCGCTCATAGTGGAAATACGCGAAAATAAGATTAATCTGTCTGAAATTGAATGACGGACAGATTAGAAAAATCGAAACAATTAGCGCAAAGCGCGTGCACCTCTCTTGCAATTCTGCGCGCCGCACATTGCGTCCTCTTGTTCACCAGGCTCCGCCCCTCCATTATTCACCGTCTTTCATTGATAAGTAATAAAAAGAAGCTTTCTTTTGATATTGTTTTAAATCTGTTTTGTTTCAGGCGGTGCAAATGCATGCAGAAGGAGGAATGAGCATAGTCGATTTACAAGAGTTGATTGACCGAAGAATTCCGGAGCATAGGAATAAGTTGGAGACCTCTCACGAGTATTTGAAGTCCTTGGCAAATCAGTGTGAGCAAAATTATGTAATTCATTCAAAGGTTAGTTTTTTCCCCCTATTCTGAAATATCCAAAAAGAACATGTTCAGAATCAATCCCAAATACTGGAACAAACGAAGCAGGCAGCCATTGAGTCGGTGGCCAGTGTTGCTTGGCAAATCCACAGTATGACCAGGTTAATTCCTCCCAATAAATCATTCATTTCATAACACGCGTTTAGAGACTTTCTCGATATGCTAGAGCTGCAAACGGACAAAGTTAACTCCTTGACGAATCAAGTGCTGTATGTGAGTCAGGTGGTCGACATTCACAAGGAAAAACTGGCAAGACGAGAAATCGGAGCTCTTACAACAAACAAAACACCTTATAAGCAACCGAAGATCATTGCTCCTGCGGTACAGGTTAGTTAAAAAGATTATAAAACATGAACATACGAAGAACTCATTTCAGGAGCCAAAAGAAAGATATCAACGAAAACCGATAGATTTCTCTGCACTGGATGGATTAGGACATGGAGTGAGGACATCAGATACATCGAGAGCCGCGCTGATCTCTCGAGCTGCTTCTTCAATATCTGGAAGTTCTCCATCTCAATTCCACAATGACTCTCCTGCGTACGGCGTCTATTCGGGCGAACGTACTGCCACCCTCGGCCGTTCTATAATGCGTCCCTACGCTCCGTCGATCGCTCCGTCTGACTATCGTCTACCACAGGTATCATTTACATTCTCAGATGGTGTCTGACGCATGCAAACATCGTCACCATTCATAAAGAATTCCGACAATTCGGAACAAGATAATCGGATTATAAGTGGGAGATGATTGCAGGTGGCACCACTGCAGGAGTCACGAATGACCCGCCAAATCAGTCACGGATCAGAGTTTGGTGAGCATATGAGTGGCGGCGGCAGCGGAAGCCATCACGGATCCTCGGACTACAATCACAGCTACCAATCCGATCGGTACGGAACAATTCGTGCCGGTGGCGGACGGATGATGGCCGATGGTCCGAGACTGTCTTCCGCGCAAAGCAGCACGGGAGGAGGGGAGTCTCCGACGTTCCCACTTCCACCTCCGCAGCTCTCGACACTGCACTACAATGGATACGTGGCACCAGGAAGTGTTGTTCAACAACAGCAGCAACAACTTCAAATGCAGCAGCAGCAGTACGGGACGATTCGGAAGCAAAGTGTGAACAGACACGATCTGCCACCTCCACCGAGTTCCGTTCTGAGCGGAGGACCGAGTAACCTCGCACACCCCGAAGACATAGACGATCTGCCACCGCCGCCCGCTGACCTCGGAGGATCCTCCGCTTATGGGGTTCTCGGCGGAGGCAGCAGTCTGACACCGACTGCCAATCTTTTCGATGCTTCTTCTGGATGGGTACCGCAGGGAGATTATATCGAAAAAGGTTAGGAAAGCAAGAAATACGGCAGTCTATTACTGATCTGTTTTCAGCTCGGGTATTGTACGACTACGACGCTGAAAAGGAGGACGAGTTGACACTTCGAGAGAACGCCGTCGTTTACGTGGTCAAGAAGAACGAGGACGGATGGTACGAAGGCGTCTTAGACGGAGTCACCGGGCTTTTCCCCGGCAACTACGTGGAAAAGCTATAATGTATACATGCATATTCATATATTTATTGCCTTCGGAATCCGTGCAAAATAAACGATGTACTCAATCGGCAGAGGAAGAAGTAGGGCCCAGCGGAGCGCGTGCTAAAAATAGCCGCTCTGTCTGCTATTTCGAGTCGTCCGACGCATTTCCTGAACGCTCTCTTTCTCTCCAATTCTCTTCTGAATGCTCGGCGAGCAGCTCGCCTATTTAATGAGATTGCTCCTTCAGTTTCCTAATGTGTAGCCTTCTTTTTCTATTCTCGAACTTTCCCCCTCCTTTTTCTTTTTCCGCTCAATAATTCATCCTCGTCGTGACGCCAACCGCCTTCTGAAGAAGTTTGCAACGCGTGGGAACCGTTGTCGGTGGGCGGAAGATGGGAATCGGAGGAGGAGGAACAAAGGTCGGGTTGCCACGCACAACGTGGCAGTTGTTCGGGTGTTCTTCGCAAAGAGGATCGCCAGTTGTTCGTTTGTGAACTTCTGCGAAGGCATTTCAGAAGACGTCGACGAGAAAACACGCTTTTCTGTCTGAATATTCGTGCCCAATTAGTCATTGTTTTCCCGCAGCTTTACCAGTTTTTTACCCCTCCCAAATGCGTTGGTGTTTGCCACTTGAACTGTGATACGGACTCGTCTGCTGCGATAATCAAAGCACACATCGGTCCGTTCTCTCTTCCTCCTCCTCCTTCTCCTCCTTCTTCTTCTTCTTCTCGCTTGTGTCCGTCCGTCCGTGACGTCCGAGCGCTCCTCTTCTTACGTCTTTCCCGTGCCCGCCCGTCGTCGGCGTCTCGTCTGTCCCGTGAGTTCTCGTCGACCGCGAGAAGCTCTCTCCTGCTAACTTGTCTTTTCTATTTACATATTTCGTCAATCTCTCTCTGTCTCATCTCCTTTCTCACAAAAGAGAGAGAGAAAGACCGCCCAAACCTTGTGTCCACCGAAATAGTATCCACGAACGAGTCACGATAAAAATAGACGAGAGATCGGCAGTCGAAAGAGAGTTCCTCTTGTGCCTATTCACCTGTTTTCATTCTTTCCACTACCCGTTTTCATTTTTCATTCCAAATTGTCACCGACTTCGCTGGAGCGCACTTGAATCTCAATAGAAGCCTACAATATTGTCTCATCTAGTGCTTTGCAAACACTGGAAAGTTCCGGCCACTTTATGATTTACAGATCGGGCCAAAGAGCCTGGATTCTGAAGCATCTATTGTCATGATATTTAGAGTGTAGTATTGATTGCACAATGCGATTATTGATTGCACAATGCGATTAACGTCGATGAATTCCTCTCGTACAGTGAAGCGCGGTTGTGTCTTCGTCGCCGACCAAACTAACAATCACATGCTACCTCGAATGGTGTGTCGCAGACAACTCTGTGCCTTTCCAAACGTCCAATTAGCGGCAGGGAAACGGGCGAAAATCTCGCATTTCCTCGCTGATAACCGCCCGATCGCGATAACAAAACAAGCGCTTCGTTTTCGCCTCGTCTTTCGAAAGTCGTCGTTTCCTTTCTGTCCTATTTTTGACGACGTCTTCTTTGGTGTCTGGCAGATGTTCAATGCTCACCGCTTTCAGGCTCAAAGATGATTTCCCCGGAATGTTTTCGTTTTGTTCGTGTGCGTGTGCTCTCGCTCCTTGCTCTCCTCCAATATCGTTTTTTATTGCATTTCTGTGTGTTGACACTACCCACAAATCTTTGGTATTTGAGAGAGAAAACGATTGAAATGAACTTGCGTCATGAGCCGTCGCAAAGTACTCAACGCATTCTTCTCTTCCATGCGACGCCCATTCCATTCCCATTCGGCCGCCCGTTGTTGCTCCACAATTTTCTTTCTTTTCTCTTTTCTTTGAACGAACAAAATCCCTTTCTTTTTTTTCCTCTTCGTTTCACATTCGTCAAAGTTGAACTCGAGTTCATAGTAAACATACAATTTTTGTGGTGGAAATCCTCTTTTCTTTCTCCGATTTCATTGTGGTATGAGCTCGGTGACCGGTCGCCACCGTCCCGAAGGTTACTGTGCTCTAATGAGAAACCCATTCAGAATATTCGCCATCTGCAAAGTGACGAATAGGTGTCGAATGTGACGCCTTCGCGGAGTATCAAAATATCTGCGCGGGCTCATTCTCTCTCAAATTTCGGGTCTATTTCTGTCGGCTCCACCTCATCCTCCTCCTCCGTTTCTCTTTCCTTTTTCCTTTTTTTTCGCCCCAAACTCTGACCGATTCGCATTCTACTCGATTGCCCGCAGAGTTCAGAGGCGCAAGTTACGACACGATGTCCGTCCGTTTTCCATATTCAAATTCTCTCCGTTTCTATTCCATTTGCATTTGCATTTTTTCCGTCTTTCCATCTCGAAATTGCGTCAGTCGACTAGCAATCGCGTTCTATCGCACTCTAAGTTCTCACCACCGTGCCCAAGTTTTCCATTTGTATTGCGGTATAGCGCGATTACTGTCTATCTGAAATCTCAAATAGTCTTTGGGCCGCCGCGTTATATTCCATGCCTGGTGTGTAGTGCAACGATGCTTGGTGACGCTGTAGGTTTGAACTGATCGTATTAAGTTCGGAGCAGTTCCGCAAGCAGCTCCTTCTCCGCCATTACCGTGTTCTCGAATCTCAAAAGCCACGTCAGAGGGGAGTCACTGTTCGTTCAGTTTCACCGGCACGTGAACAAACAACGCAGAAATGACATCAGCGGCCAGTTTCGCGTTTTGCCGACCGCGCGGATCAGAAGAAGAGAACACAATGCAGGAAGCCTACATATACGTCCTTCCGCCTCTTTCTTCTTGTCAATTACTCACACGCGTTTCATCATTTGCTTGCCGCAATGCAAATTTCGAAATTTTTCAAATAAGGCGTTGTTCCGGGCGAAGAGCAGAAAATGGAGAAGAAGAAGGAGAAGAAGAAGAAGAAGAAGAAGAAGAAGAAGAAGAAGAAGCAGTTGTTCGGTCGTGATTCGATTACGCCGTCCGAGTTGCTTGTAAGTACCACAAACTTTCGGCTTCTTCTTCTTCTTCTTCTTCTCCATTTGCTTGAGGTGCAATCTCGTGCGTATAATCATCATTCTTATTTATATAACTCTTCACGGGTTTGTCCTTAGCTCCGGTTTCAAAAGTCTTGTCTTCTCTTTATAACTCCTGAGATTCTATTCTCTGATGCCACGTTAAGTATCTTTCTATTTTGTTTTGAATGAAGTTTAGTTCCGCCGCCCAAAAGCTATCAGTCATCTGGAATTCCCCCGATGACGTCGTCGTCGTCGTCCCAAATCCCCACAAAGGTGAAGAGTGCACACTGTCTCTGCGTCTCGCCGCCCCCATCGATCGGGGACCCTTTCGGTCCCCGCCGGCGCCGGTTCTTCCGCCCGTCCCCCGCTTTCCTTTCCCAACTCATCATCTGTTTTCTTCGGTCGAAATTGTGCCCTCCGGCACCGATTTCCGTCCGCCTCTCTTCTCGCGACGCCCACTCAGAAGCTCGGAGAGAAATGGAGTAAATTCTTTCATTTTTCAGTTTTTTTCGCATTCAAAGACGAGGAAATGGTGGCCGACAACTCGGAAAAGTCGACAAAGTCTGTGGCCAACGGATCGTTGATCAGCACAGTTTCGTGCAAAGACGAACTGCCGAATGCGATCATTGTGACTCAGGTGCCAGAAGACGTGAGTTCGGTAGAGCGCGCTTCCGTTCTGAATGAAATCAGTTGCAGGTGTTCGACAACAAAGCAGATAAGGCCAACTTCTCCTCGTTGTTCACACAAATCGAAAAGGACATCCATTTCGATTTTCTGCGCAGTTTCCGACGAGTCCGTGTCATCTTCAGGTGAGTATTTCAACGGATACGTGCAATTTCCCCCGACTCCCGAACGCTTTTTGCCAAATTGTCAATTTCCCGTTTCTTTCAGCTCACCGGAGAACGCCACCGCCGCCAAACTGATCGTCCAGGGATTCTCGTTCAAAGGACACGAACTAAAAGCGTTCTTCGCGCAGAGGATCTACATGAGCGCCAATTCGGGACTGATGCTGCAGCCGCCGCCGCTCGAGAAACAGTTTCTGATCTCTCCGCCCTGTTCGCCGCCCGTCGGATGGGAACAGACCAAGGAAATGGCTCCGGTCGTTTGCAACTTTGATCTGATGGCCAGACTCGCTTCGTTTGCGATTGACGAGAAGTGAGTCGATCCCGGACCGTTCTCCTCGATTCCATGCGCTCTCTTTCAGATACGAAGTGCACAACGGCGACGAGTCGACCCCCACAATCGTGGTGCATCCGTGCGAGACCCCTCTGGACATGCCGTCCGCAATGGAAATGCCACGTACTCCCCGCCCGTCGTCTCCCACCGAAGACGCCGAATAAAGCGTCCCGTGGACAGTTCGTCCTTCCCTTTCTCTCCAGCTTTACACCTTCTCTTCATTCATTCTATTTGTGTTCCACTCCTCATCCTCATTCAATCCGCAGAGCCCTTTCCCCCCGATCGGGAGCCGTCTTCTCTGCCGCGGGTAGATGTCTCTCTTCTTATTCAATCACCATCTTGTCGTTCATCTTTTTCCCATTTACACCTATTATTTGTTCGTTTTTGTAAATAACCTACGAATACCCAACACTTTCTTCATGAAAACCACAAAAAAAAACATTCAAATAAATTATTTGTGCGAAATATTAGTGTTACTGGGAAAGTTATCACATAAAAGCAAGTTACCCGAACCCCAAGGAATGAGCTATTCAGCAATAAATATAATCTAAACCATCATCGCATCCTTTCGAATCACTGATCCTGTCCGATACCCCATGGCCCTTGCCACGAACTTCCGAATGATCGTATCCCACGAGGCTTTGTTCTTGCTGTACAGATTCAGATAAATGGCCAGCATAACGACTGCTCCCGCGTACAAATACTCGATTGTGAACGGTTTCGAGAAGAGCAGAAAGGAGAGAATGATGGTGAGCGCCTTCCGGAGAGTCGTCACAGTCACGGCGACGAGAGCTCCGAACACTTTGATGTGAGTGAGCACGACGTTGACTCCGAGGTATCCGAGGAACGAGAAGATCAGTGCGTATCCAAATGTTTTCCACGAGTTCTGCATGAAGAACGGAACAGCGCTGAAGATCTCTCCGGAGAGAACGACGTAGGCAAAGATGAAAGTTGATCCGAGGCCGTACGAGTACAAGACCTAGAATGGCACTTGACGGGAATTCGAGTGAAAAGAGGCTGAAAGCTCACCACTTCGTTGCTCGATCCGCCGTACTTCTTCATATTCTTCTCTTGAATATTTCCAATGACGGCGTCGGCGAGCAGTGCTCCGCAGATCATTATGTATCCTCGCGAGTCGAAGTTGGGAGCGACTTTGTTGTCGGCCAAAGTGAACATGATGATTCCTAAACAACGAACTTTCTTGCCGCAACGAGCTGCTCCAAATCTCACCCAAACTCATCAGAATCGCCGCACTAATATCGATCCAACCGTAACGTTTTCCTTGGATCAAAATGCCTCCGATGAGCACTGGAATCAGTTTGCAGCACTTGAAAATCACTTGCGTTGGATAGTTCAGATAGCCGACCGAAGCGTTTGATAATCCCATTGTGGCGACTGTGAAGAAGGCGATGACTCCATAGATTCGCCATGGAATCCTGAACGAAACTTCAAATGGTCTTTTTATGATTTCTCAATTACATTCTTCTCGTATTGTGCCAAATGACGCCTTCTGTGTACCCGCATCCACTATAAATCAGGAATTGAATGAGAGTGAGCGTCCAGCCGAACGGCTTCATTCCCGGCAATTTGAATATCAATTCCTGAATCCTTTATCGTTGAAACAATTTTTATCAATACTTTTATGTACCTGCATATACCCGTATCCTACATACAAAACAAAAATGGCTCCGGAAAGCAGGACGAACTGCAGCCATCTTGGTCTGAATTCAACTGATAATTTCTATGACATTTCTAACGCACTTACTTCCTGGCAATGTTAAATCCTAACAAATGAATCGGTTCGACGTCCTCCTTGACATGACGTGGCAGCATAGGAGAACTACAATTTTGTTCAGTTTCTGATGATTCGCTGGGATGCATTTTGCCACGGAACGAAAGCGCGCAAACAGGGAGAGAAACGATGCGAGATGAAGCGGATATCGGAGATCCAGGACTAAAAGGGACTACAAAGCCAATAGTCCATTTAGCATGCAGCGCGGGCGTTTACATTTTGAAATTCATATCGATCGTTGCGCGTCTCGCTGGCTATTGACCATAGAAACAAGCATCTTGTTCATGTGTTCGCACGTTGAACGTCGCGACATCGAAGGTATTGCCGTGACAAAATATGATATTTGTGCTTCGCGTGTAGTAGTGAACGATTGTGTTGGAAACAATAACAATTTATTGGAAACAATGAACAAATCAGTTCTTGGAGTTGAAGTAATCGGTAAGGATGGCGCGTCCCTGCTCTTCATTTCCCCAGGCGGTGACGACGGCCGAGGAGCATCCGACGACCTTGCGGGCCTTTCCTTCCTTATCGTACTTGCACAGTCCGCAGTATTCGCCGATGATCTTCTTGTCAGCGACCTTGATGAGTGGGATCTGGTGCTCAGCGCAGAGAGTCTCGACCAGCTTGACGTAGGCAGTCTCATCGCAGTTCTCGGCGAGGACGCAGAAGTGAGCCTCACGCCTGAAAAATGTTCGTAAATCATTGGAACCCATACCGCTTGAAGCTAGTACACGTGTGGCAGAGAAACAACTTATCTACCAGCTTATTCGGTTCACATGACTTTCAGAAATCAGCGAAAAATTATTTTAATAAGTGGAACTAACCAAAAATTTAGAATACAAAAGATGTACTCACTTGTCAAGAGCCTTGCAGGTCTCGTGGAGTCCCTTGGCGAGTCCGTCAGCGTGGTGAGCCGAACGAAGAACAGCTCTCAGAGCAGAATCCTTGTCCATTGGTCCCTGAGCGATGGCTGGGGCCACTTGAACATCTCTGAAAATATCTTTTTACAGTCAGAACTTCCGTTTTCAATCAAGAATTGTTCGAACAACTTTGGAACCAGTACAGCTTATTGGCCAGTACCCGTGTGGCAGTAGAACTATTTTTCTTGCACTCCACAAACTAGAGAAATTTGATGACAAACTTCTCTCTTGATCTCGGTGCTAATTTTCATAATTTTATTTTGAAAATACGTACCCTCCTGCGTCAGACATTGTTGTTTTAGCAAGAGTCCTCGATGTGTTTACCTAAAAAATCAATAAATTCAAAAAACTTGTATTCGGGAATTAAAAATTAGGAAAAAGTTAACAAAATTTGGGAAAATCCTCGAAAACTGAAAAAAAATTACAAAGTTCTAATGGCTCTGTATCCTCCTCACACAAATGAGTCGCTACGCTGCGAATGTCTATTGGAGCGCACTTGCTTAGTGTCGATTTACGGGCCGAGAAGCGCGAACATTTGATTTTCAACTATTAATTCATGCTCTTGAACCTTTACACGTTTCATTCTGATCAATTATTTTCAGATGAACGAAAAAACATTGAATCACGTTCTCAATCATTTTCTTACAAGGTACAAATCCATTCAAGGCGATCAGTCGCCTGAAATACTTGAAAAATTGACTCTGACCCAATATACAGTGAGTTTTTAGTCTTAGAAAATAAATACAGGTAAAAAGCATTGCAGAATTTAGCGCGAATAGATGTTGAAACGAGCGCGGACTTGTTCGGACTGCTCAATAGGTATATGTCGGATTATTTAGAAGTGCTGCATCTCGAGGAAGAATTGAAACGGAAGAAATGCTTGCTTGCACAATCGCTGAAGACGTTAGATGATAAATTTTCAAAAGCAGCAGAAAAAACTAAAGGTAGTTTTTATTTTTATTTTGAGAGTATTAAAATATTACTGAGAATTTTTTTTTTCAGAGAGGAATGAAAAGCTAAAAACCGACGACATCGATTTTCTGCAGTCCAAGATTATAGTCGATAAGCCGACGTTCGCGAAGCCTGTTGAGCCGAAGAAGCCAACTCCACTCGTGGAGCCGACCTACTCGACACGCGTGATTCGGGAAAAAGTCAGTGCTCCTCAGCCAGTGTTCGACTCGATCATGAAGCCACCGACGTATTCCTCGAATATGAAGTTCGCTAAAAGCGAGAAAAAAGAGAATATGCCGACAAAGCAATTGGAATCGTTTAATTTAGATGATTCGTTGATCAACGATCCTGGTTTGTCTGAAAATATTTCGAAAAACAACAATAAAGTTCCAGATTTTTCGGTTGTCAACGAAAACCTCGCTGGAAAGCTGAAGTTCGACGAGATGGAGGACGAAGAGAAAACTCCAGCGAGGGGCCGAAAAGCCCCTGCTCGCCCAGAAAAGAAACCTCTGGATTTGTCCTCAATGCCCCCACCGCCCGTTTTCTCGTCGAGCACCGGCCGTGCCTTCAATCAAAAATAAGCTTTACTCTTTGATTAACTGAAGAAAACAGTATGTATAAATGAAATGTCTTCAAGCTTGTGAATAAAAATAAACTGTTTATCATTTCAAAAACGCCATAGTTCGTTTGATTGAAAAGGCTTACTTTTTGCCACTGTATCTTCAAGTGTGTCTTTTTGTTTCTGTATCCCGTTCTCTTCAGCATAATGGGAGGAGAGGCGGCGTCGGCGGGAGCGGGGAGAGCTCCTTCGTTCGTGTTGGAGCGGGTGACCCAACACAATCTGAAGGCCGTCCAAACTCTCGTACGGAGCATTTTCCCCGTCACCTACAGCGACAAGTTCTATCAGGAATGCGTCGAAAACGATTTGGTCGGCGTGATTTTGCGGAACGGAGAAGCAATTGCGATAGTGGCCGTGAAGCCGGAGAACTTCGAATCCGGTCCTTGTCTTTATATTCGCAGCTTCGGAGGTTCGGAATGGGCGGGAAATTCGAGGAAATTTTGTGTTCATTTTGCAGTGCATCCGCTGTTCCGCGAGAAGGGAATCGGCCAGTTCCTGATGAACTTTGTCGAACAAAAACGCGCATCTCTGAACCTTCCGACCGCAATGCTTCATGTTCAGGTACTTTATACATTTTTGAATCAGAGCGGGCCGGAATCCCGATCGGGGTCACACTTTCCCGAATCTTGAAATTTGGTGATTCAGAGCCGAAAAGCATTGATTGTTCAAAGTCCTGGACATAATCCATTTCCGCTTCCAGACTTCCAATAACACGGCCATTCAATTCTATACAAATCGAGGATTCGTCATCGAAGAAATGATACCCAAGTATTACCAAAGGGTCGATCCTCCCGATGCGTTCGTTATGCGTAAATTTATTCGGTGAATTATTTGCTCAGTGAAATATGTGATTAGAAATAAAAAGAAAAGAAGCACCAGATTCATTTAGCCAATAAAATTCTGCACATTCTTTATAAAACAGGAAATTGTTAAACAGGATAGGGATTTATGAGACTGGGGATCGGGAGGTGGATGAAGACAAGTATTAGAGGGAGGCTACTAAATACAACAAAATATAAGTTTTGAAAACAGAGAAAGTTATGATCACAGAGTCTATTTGACAGGCAGATTATCACGAACAATGGGGTACCGTGGAAACAACGACACTCAGAGTGACGGGATGGCATTGAAAATAAAATATCTGGGCGGGGGAATTCGAACCGGTAGTGGTGTCACAAAGTGAGTGCGAAAAGAACAATGAATAAAGCTAAAAGTGATCTGGCACTAGAATTTCCGTGAAATCGGAATGACTGTGTGTTCGTTGGACGTCGGCGTCGTCGTCATGATAGAGGAAGTGGAGGGAGGCAGCAGACTGTTGAATAGCCGAATGTTTTCGTTCGAATACGGCAGGAAGAACTCGCTTCGGGTCACTGCTTCTCGATGAAGCTTCTTACGAGCTCTGGAAACAAACAACTTTGTTCTGATGCATAATCATCGAGAGACTCACCTCAGCGAGATTCGCTCGTTCGCCGACGGACTATTGTTATTATTATTTGGCACAGGCCGCAAATGTACAGAATTTGATAATGGTTTAGCGGTTGAAGAGACTCTCATTGAAGAGGCGGCAATTGGGAATCTGAAAATAACTTCGTAGCTATTCACAATTGTCCAAGGCTAAAACCGACCTAGTACTGGGGAAAACGATGATTCGGCCCGTTGTCTCTGCGCCGGAATTGACTCGGCGAGCCGGTGGATCCACGCGGGCCCTCATATCCGTCCGGAGAGGCGCCGGAGCCAAAGTTGGTGGCGAACGCCGCGGCACTGAGTCCTCCGCCGTGTCGAGGAATAAAGAGTCGGGTCGAGCCACCGTTGAATTGTTTTCCAGATCGAGCATCCGCATACTTCTCCTTCGCCGGTTGATGACCACCGGATGGTCCTGCGGTAGAGAGGGCCCCGCTCGAAGTGCTCCTTCCGCGGCGGTCAGTGGATGCGTCGGCGAACGACTCACCCCGATCGATGGCGGTGGCGGCTGCGATCCGGACCGGCGAGGATCCGTACGCGGACTTGAGGAGTGGTGCGGCACCGACTGCGCCTCCGCCAGAGTACGCGAACCAGGAGTTGAACATGTGATGGTAGTCGCCGCGGCCACTGCTCCCGCCCTGACGGTACCGGGCAGCCGGGGTGATGTGCTGGTAGGTGGTGTCATCGTCATAGTCGATGGGATAGGCACGACGCATCGAGGCCGTCGTAACACTTCCGCCGGCCGGTGGTGGTAATCGGGCATCGACGTGGTACGCATGAGTTCTGAAAAGGACAGATTTTTTTCGATGAGGTGAAAATGAAAGACGCACGTTGGTAATCCATAGTTGACATAGGACGACGGGTTGAGCGAGGAACTACTTTGTTGCCTGTAGATGTACTCATCATCGTCGATCCCTCCGCGTGGATTGTAGCGGTGCGCCGCGTATCGGTCGTAGAGCTCAGAGTCGGCGTACGACTCGTATCCGGAAGCCTGAACAAATTACCGTAAAATGAAGATGATTCGAAGTGATTGAAAAGGGGAAAGTGATTATGGTATGGCCAAAGTGTTAGTGATTATTTATGAACGGACAGGACGCGACAGGACAAAGGACGGGTGGAAACAAAGGTGACGGCTGGCAGGGATCCGGTTAGTACCTAGCACGCTGAGTGATCGGCGGTTCGCGGCAACTCGAGTAAAACTTCGAGTTGCCCAGACACATTGGCGAGGTGGAGACTCCGATGGCTGATGATGGCGGTGGCGATTCATTCTTCACGTATGAAATGAGACGAATACCTTCTGGGGCTGTGGCTGCGAGAGTCTGCGACTGAAACTGATTACTCAAAAAAGAAAACGAGAACAGAAATGTAGCTAGACATGTAAAAAAGTTATTTTGGTTATCATGTTGTTTCGGGTACCATCCACCACACAAACTACTGTTTTCTGACAGTTCGACCTACCGAATTGTGCGGATATTGTGGAATCATTCCGTACGGTTCTCCGTAATCCACGTAGACACCTCCACTTCCACTTCCTCGGCGTGGACCTTGATGAGGTGGCGGAGGGGGTGGCGGTGGCACAACCACCATGTTCTTCAGACCTCGTTCTTCGTTAACCGGTCGTGGTCTTTCGACTGATGTCAGCTGAACCGGTGACTTTTCAGGCGATGTGTCTCTTGATTTGCTTCCGAATCCGAAGAAATTTCGCATCTTACTGAAAGGGCTACCGGATTGGTGAAGGGGCAAACGCTCGTTCGGTCTACTCACTTTCCAACACTTTTCCGTCTCGACTTGTCTCTCGCTCGACTATCTTCGCTCTTCAGCCGCATCAAAGCGGTGCCCGGCGGGAACGGATGCTGATCAGGAGCCGCTCTCTGCATGAACTGGACCTTCGAACTCGAGTTCTGAGTCACTTGGCCTGTTCCGCGAAGGATACTTTCGACGGGCCGGTTGATGCTCTCCATACTTTGTGATCGGCGATTAAGCATATCTGCAACAAGGCGGATTAGTGAAATTATCCGATTTCAAAGAAAAAGGTACAGTTCAAACTCATGCCGGAAAGCAAAAGGTGGAAAGTGACAAGGGAACTAAAAGAGAATATCAACGAACCCGACTCGTCGACGGACAGATGATGATGTGGCATCGTCGATGCGGGCGGAACTTGTGGGATGTCAATCGCTTTCAGTGGACTACGGTAGTTGCGCTGCGAAATCGAACGTGGCTGCGATTTGCTGCGCTTCTGAGTTGACGACGTCGGTGCTGAAAAGGGGAGAGAAGCGTGAGGAAGCCATAAAAATGAGGAAGAAGCTGAGAAGTAACACTCGGGGAACTGAGAAGAACTAGAAAAGGCAGAGGAAGGAGAAGTAACCGTAACCGAGCTCACCACTATTCTGCCGATTGTGCTTTATCCCCTGGTACAGCTTGATGTGCTGTGGATCCGCAGCTGCTCCCAATCCTCTCTTCTCGCTCAAACTCTTCCGTCCGGGTGCTTCTCTGTCGAACGGATCCGAATCGGGCATTTCCGATTCGTCAAGTCTAGTCGTATCCGAAACTATTGAGTCTCGCTCGTTCTGCTTCGAGGAAACCGGTACTGACGATGAAGATGACGATTGCCGGGAATGCGAGGATTCTACTCCACTGGATGACGTGGCACGAGTTTGGGGTGACTGAAGAAGAGAGTTGGGAGCCGTGTTAGAGGACATTCGGGAAGATGGCGCTGGCGAGGAGGCATCTACAGTAATCCGTGATGAATCTCGCGAGATGGCGCCCGGATGATCGTCGTTTGTCCTCACAACTGTCAACCGAACACACGGTCGCCCGGCAGCTCCGATTTCCTTCAGCTTTTTGGCCAGCGCGTGACTCGCATCGGTGTTGCTCATTTGCTCGAGATTCACGTCCTCAACTCCGACTATTCTGTCGTTTTCCTGCAAGTGTCCTTGCTTGAAGGCCGCTCCTCCGTGCATCACATTCTTGATGAAGATGCCACAATCCTCTTTGGATCCATTCGACCTTTTCGACACTCTCGCTTTCAGACTGACTCCGAGGCCAGCCGATCCTGTTCCATTGACTGGAATGTTGAGATCAAAGCGAGAGGAAGGAATATCCCTGGAGGCTGGAGGCGTGAGAAGTGCCGGAAGAGGTATTTTCTGGGCCTCTTCTTTCTTCTCATCTTTTTTCAATATTCCTTCCGTTTCTTTATTTTCAGAAGATGTCGACGTGTTGCCTGACGAAGTGCTTTGCGAGACCCTCGAAACCAAAAACTTAATCTTCTCTCCGACCATCGTCTCTTTCAGCTTCTCGACTATCTGTTGTTGGGTCCATTGTCCAGTTGACTCTCCGTTAATCTCCAAAAGGCGATCGCCAGTTTTCAAGTGTCCGAGAGCAACTCCGTACGGTTTGACGGTTCCGATGTAGAAAAGACGCTCTCCTTTTGACGTTTCTCTACTCGTCACAGTGAAACCGAATCCATTAGCACCTGAAATCCCCGTGAATTAAGTACAATGTCTCGACTTGTCTTCTTACTTTTTATCAATTCAACAACGGCCGTGTGTCCGATGTATTGCGTATTGGCCTGCTGAAGAGCCGAGAGGATGGGTTTTGATTCGGCAGCGGCCTTCTCTTCAGCTTCTTGCTCTAGGAACGATTCCAGAGAACGAGTGACCGTAAGAGTGACGTCTCGGTTGGCCGGCAGTTCTCTGATCCACGCACGAGCTCTGATAATTGACATTTCACGAACCGGTCGCCCGTCGATTTCCTTGATGCAGTCGCCAACTTTGATGCGGCCGTCCTTTGCCACTCGCCCGCCTTCGTCAATTTTCATTACTTGGACAGCAATTAGCTTGGGACTTGACGTGCTCGGCATGTTCAGAATCTCATCGAACACGGCGTTCAGTTCGATTCCCATCTGTCTGGCGTCGTCGCTTTCTAGTTTATCATCGACTAGAGGAAATGTGATGATTGTCGTGTCGTCAGATCCCTCCTCGATCTTTCCTCTTGTCCTTCGAGGGGCCTTCGCGTCTTCATTCGCTTCTTGTTGCTCCACAATTCGTTCTCTCGCTTCTAGCAGAGCGTCGTTAATTCTAGACTTCCTATCAGATCCTCGATTGAAACGTCCCGGATTCCTCTCGTAATGCCTCCTCTTCTCACTTTTCTGTTCTTCATTCTCTTGCTGTGCGAGCCTTGTTTCAACTTCTGGACTCAAAGTCACTCTCGGCTGCCTTGTAGGCGTCGTTTCATCAGTTCGATTGCCAGAGGCTTCTGTGCGGAGTGACGATCTTAAGATGGGCCGATGCTCATCGTGCAATTCCTCGGCCACTCGTTCTTTTGGCGTGGATACTCGGAGACCTGGCGGAGGCGCATTCTCGAATCCGTTTACTTCAACTACAGAATCTCGACGCTCTTTTTGCGGAGGAAAGTCTCGATTGTTACTTCTGGCGTAGCCGACATTGTAGGGAGATGCCGACCGATGTGCTTGGTGGTTCACAGAAACGCTTCCTAGAAAAAGAAAGTAATGTTTTCTTCAGTTGTGCGATGAAGCACTTACCAAAAGCGCTGGCAACAGGAGTGGATGGGCCTTCGAGTTTTCTCGAATAAGGTAGTGGCTGTGCGTAGTGATGTTGCTGATTCTTCTGAATGGGCGTGTAGGTTGGAGTGGCCGATCCGCTTGCTTCATCGGTTATCGCCAGTATCTGAAAAAGTTGGATTAGCAACATTCTACTTTGTCTTTCAAATCATTCTTCTGCCCATTCTACCAAACCTGATCGTAATTCAAATCAAACACTTCTTCCAGCACATCATCCATATCCAGAATCCCACCGTCTGATGCGCACTCCAATCGGAGCACACGGACACATTCTTCGTTTGCCTGGAAAACCCGTCCAATTTTTATCTCGTCACTAACCGTCACATTATCAGTGGTTGTGGTCATTTTGGGCGAGTACATGGGTGGTTCGCGGCTCTTCAGATTCTGCTGCTGTTGCACGACACGTGGCGGCGGTGTGTGCACATGCTTGAAATGATATGGCGGGGGCGGAGGAATTACTGATGTTTCGTATCGACTACGACCGTTTTGCATTCTCTAGACCGCCTAATTGAACATCTAGGAGATGCTGAAATTGCAGACGGAACTTATTGCGGAGTGTAGAGCACGGAGAAAGAGAAAGAGAGGGAAAGGGAAAAGCTGAACGGGAAAGGAAGCCAAGCAATGAAGAGGGCAAACGAGATGATGACGATGATGGAGAGGACCGTGATGATTATAACAAATACCTGGCGGTGTGTCCGTCCGTATTTGGCAGAGAGGTCGCGTCCCTCTTTCCGTCTTTCTCCCTCCGGCACCCACTCGTTCTTTCGGCCGAAACGAGAGCATGGTCATTGCGCGCGGAGTGACTGCGTCTCCGCAAGACTCCTCACTATCTCAGAGGCTGTTCATGCACCTGCGCAGGTGAAAAAGAGGAGTGAGAGGGAAGAGGAAAGGTCTCTTCTGATGATGGACGACGCTGGTGAGGACATCGAGGATGACGCGGCAAAGGAGCAGACGGACGGACGTATTATACTGTAGGAGCGATGAAGCAGATGGGCAGGAAGGGGACACCTTGTAATGAGCAACGGAAAGCCGCCTAATTAGAAAATACATGGAGCTAGTTAATCGGCTATGGAGAAAATGGTCTGGCGACCCGATTGTTAACGCTTCAGATGCGGTTCGAGGAGAGCTAATCTTTAATCTGATAGACAAACGATCAATACATCCACTTTTCGACTTTTCATCGTTTGATGCGAACATGCAATTGACAGAGGGACGGACGATGCCAGAAAGAAATAATCGCATTACACAATGTATACAAGGGACGCCGAAAATAATGTATTCAAAACCCGACGACAAACGAGAAAGAGAGAGAGAGAATTGTAGTTGAACCAGCACATGATTCGAGATGGGACAACTGGTACTAAACCCAGATGCTATGATTTTTTCAGGATAAATGACAACTCGAGTGTCCAGCTGCTTGCATAAATAGTGATATCACAGTGTGTGGGAGTGAGAGGAATGAGAGAGGAGTAGGAAGAAAAGTACCGGCGATGCAGGAACGAACAAAAAACAAACACGAAGAAACGCGGGGGACTGTACAAGTTGCACTACTTTCTCGAGTGGTCATGACGAGTATGTTCAGATGCCTCCCTGTGATACCTAACGCCCTCTACCGTACTTTTTTGAATTTTGATGTGCCCGCTGCGCCCGAGCGATCATAAAGGACAGGTAAGCAAAAGACCAATAAGACGTGGGAACTAGAGGGCCGAATGATGCAATAATACATTCAGCACGACGGACCGAAATGAATGACTCATCGTTTGCGTGCTCTTCGCTCCAGCTACAAGTAACCGACCCGAGAAGGAAAGCGAGCGGGGGAAGAAGAAGGAGGCCGTCGGATTGCGCAAGGGGGTAAAAGGCAGATGATCGAAATGATAAAGAGGGGAGCGGCAGGCAGCGGATCGAACGACAAATAGAAACAGACGCACGCACTCTCACACATTGACTAAACTTTTCCTGTCTACGTGTGTCTCACTTCTTATCAGAATGAACAACTTCAAATAAAGTTTTCAAGTGTACGTGTGTGTGTTTGTGTATATGTGTTCACAACAACATGCTGTTTATCAGCTGGTAACGGCGAAAACGACCGACCGATCGAGAAGAGGAAGTCGCGCTTAGCAGAAAGAGAGAATGATGGCGGCGGCAGGAAAAGCAAGAAAAGAAATAAGATGTTATGACGGATGCTGATGATTATGATGATGGGGATGAAGCGAATGGCAGCACAAGCGGATTTTCAGTGAGAGAGAACACACAAGTGGCCGAAGGAGAGCTATGAAATAGAGGAATGACGGCTAAAAGTCGTGTTTAAAAAAAACCGGTTTTTAAAATTTATCCACCACTGTGGAAGACTTTCCAGATAAAGATTGGATTACAGCAGTTCCTAGAAAACTTAACTGTAAGAAACGATCACACAATCTATTGCAGACAGAGTGGGAGGTTGGCGCCACATTTCCTATCACAACATCAGAACCTAATATCATTCAACTCGTAATGAATGACTCATTACTACAGCGATAATTACTCAGTTTCTGTTTGACAAATTCCGAGCGACATAAATTAGCAAGAAGGTTGTAAAAGATAAATGCCAAAACAGATAAAGCAGTGTCTTATCAGGTTCTGATAAAGTCACGTCGGGTCGCCCGAAATTACTGTGAAAGCTGAGGGATTCGTACAAAATCCGCCTGGTCTGCTTTGGCGCAACGGAGATGCACGTTATATAAACAAAACCGACGAAGCGCGTCGAAATCAATCCGTTTATTGCAAAATCGCGGATGAAACGACGACGAAGATCGTCCGGAAGCCAGTGGAATTCGCGCCGATTAACGCCCAATTTTCTGTCCATTTCGGAAATTAATCGGAAGGAATTCAGAAGAACAAGATTTTTCGAATAGGAAAAGAGGGGGAAAGAGTTGGAGAACGAGCTCAACACCAGCTGAATTGCCTTCCGTTTGCTCGAAAGCGAGAAAATGAGGGAAAAGAACATCAGAGTTCAGGCGGGAGAAGAGAGTTTTTGACAGTCAGCGGAGGCAAAAGAGGACAACCAAACTTATTATTTACAGTGTGCCACACACACAGACACTGCCTGCGAGTCTCGGAATCGCGCACTCTTTCCGCTGGCGAAACGGCTTATTTGGTGAACGGACGGAAGAAAGACCGTATGCGGAGGTATTCCGCGGCCTTGTTCTCAGTCGAATTAACCCGTCCGGGCGGGAAAAGGAAGAGAGAATGAAAGAGGAATCCATGGGTCGCCGCATGTTGATTTTCTGAATTCATGGGAAACTATAGACGGGCGCGACAGTAAATCATGGGAACCTTCCCTTCCAAAATGACCATTAATCCACTGATAACCTATCTTTCGCTTACCATTCCTCTCGCTCTTTTGTAACGAACGAGCGCAGCTTCTGCGAGTTGGCCTACTGTCGAATCCTGTGAGAAAAGGGTTTTTTGAAAAAAAAAAAAACAACGGAACGAAGTGCGAAACAAACCGATTCTTTCCACGGCACCACTATTTTCATTCGTCCGAACTGCACAGTTACCCGACGGGTTCCATTCAACGGCAGCGATTGATAATGGCTCTGAAATTAGAATAAATTAGAGAAGAGGGAATTGTAACAATACTCGGTTAATCTCTGTATCTTTTGAGCAGAACTTCAGCAACTTTTGCATAAAATCTGCTCAGAAGTTGCTGAAATGTTGTTCAAAAGCTGCTATCACCCCAAAGTTTGCTCAGAAAATGCCGACATTTACCGAGATGCTAGGAAAGGTTAACAATGAACGAATTTCACTATTATTCGGTGTGGACTGACAGTCGATTGGTTCGTTCGTAAATCCCAATCCGTCTACACTTTTTCCCCCGGTCACTCACCCGATCGAGCGTCGACATCGAGGAATCGGCGTATCCGCCTGCTCCTCCCACTCCCGTGCCTCGTTCCGTGAACTGTTGCATTCGCTTCTTGTCGCCGTCGTCTGAACTCTTGCCCGGTTCGCTTTCCTCTTGCGAGGACGACGTCGAAGACGATGTGGACGAGGCCGACATGAGCATGCGATCTAAATCGGTGAGCTTTCGAGGACTCGAGTGGAGGGGGGAAGGTTACCAATCAACACTTGCGTTTCGTTTCGCACCTATTTGCTCTGCGTCGTCGTTGCCGTCGCGTCGTTTTTTGATCTGCAACTATTGAAAGATAGGCGAGTGATTGGAGTGCTCGGAACGATAAGCGGGTCAAGAAAGAGGCAATTAGGAAAAGAGGAAAGGAGAAGAAGAAGAAGAAGGAATGGATACTTGTCGGACGGACCCGGAGAAGCCAGAACAAACAAAGGCGTCGTGTGAGAACTCGAAGGAGTCCCTGAGAAGGGAGGGGACACCGCCAGAAGAGAGGTTATCCAATTACATTTCATGGATTCATCCCGCTTGGTCAATTTGTCAAGTGTAACAGAAAAGGAGGCCATAATAATGAGCATTTGAGAGGATATGAGAGCCCCTGTGCGCTATGGAAAGTTCGAAGTGACATACCGAGCAGATGTTCGGGAAGAGGCAGCTGGCGCGAATGTGAAATATTTGAAAACTTGAAAAGTTGTTGAGCAGCCGCGGCTCTTTGCCTAAGTATTACTGTACTATGCACAAGCGGCTTGTATCAATGGAACACAAAGCCGCCACATCTTGCGCACACATACACAATGTCTTGCCTTAAAGTTCAAAAAAGGTGAGTCAAAGACGTCCGAGATAGAGGAAAAGAGAGAGAGAGAGAGAGCAGGCGAGCGCCCTGGCTCTCATCGCATGTGCCATCAGCATATTTGATTCTTAACCATGGGAAGAAACGACACAAATTATTAGGTGGTCGTCGTGCCAATCGAGCGGCGAATATGTTTACGTAACGAAGTGATATGAAGTGGCGGCAGGCGGGAACGAACGGACCGACGGATTGGCGCGCGCGGGAGAGCAAAACAGAGTTACTGGCTCGAGACGCCCGTGCCGCCACTTGTCAAATTGAAACGTCAATTCGATCGGAAGAAAAACGAAGTGAAAAGTGAAAAGCCAGCAAGCACGTGAGAAGGACTGTTCGATGCCCGCTCGAACGGCACAATGTCTCTCCTCGTTTGTCCATCCCAAACGGACGGTCAATTGACCGATGATGTTTGTGTAGGGGAATGCATGCACGACGTCCCCTGCGGCTGACCTTGCTCGGTACTTTTATGGCCACTCCGTTACCTGTGAAAGGGGCCATCGCGCGCGGGCGATGTTGGCCGGTGCGGTCGCTTTTTAGATCGGAAAAGCAACGAACACGTCGTTAACACGCGACAGTGGAAAGTGAACGATGGAATTGTGACTCGGCTGACTTTCCTTAGAAAAACAGGTTGGGAAGGGAGAAAAGGTGTTCCCGGTGTGTGCCAGACTGTTCTTGACGCTGAGAATGAGTCAGTCAAACGAGCGGATTAGGCGGGCACGCGTGGTAGTAGTAGAATACTACTAGAAACATTTTGGAATCAAAATTCGTGAAGGAAAGAATATAAAAAAAATAGGCCAAAGTACTTCAGGTTTAGTAAAAAAAAAATCAAATTGCTTGGTTCTTCTCAGTTTCACACTGTGAAACACTCGGCTGTCAGCAGTACTACTGAAGGCGGTGCCGTCCGAAATGCATAACAAAATAGAAAAGTTTGCAGCCAATAAAACGTAGGGGCCAACAGGAAAGAAACATATGCGGGCACTAAATGCGATGCGGAAGTGATGTTCGCGAGAGCCGGCAGCCATCATTTGCATCGGCGGCTTCTGAAGGTCAGTGCGGATTGAGGGCAGGGACGACGACGAGAACCGAACCAGAAACAAATAATGACCGGGCGAACACGAGAAGAACATGACAAGTGGCCGCAAGTCGAGAAGGAGGAGTTGCTGAGCATTTGATGGCCTTTATCACTCAGAAGAACAAGATAAAAACAGACTTGGGTGAGGATGCAAGGGAGGAGGGAAACCCGTTTAATTTCTTCGCAGCTTTCACCTAAATTGTTACGCAATTCTGTTTTTGGCGCAGACTATGGTCACATCGGTATCGCATAACATCTAAATGACTGTGGTGTATACGAATCTGCTTCTGATATATTTTTTTATTCACCCTATTAACTCTGAGCTAATCAGACTGAAAAGGCAGGCGGCACTGGCAACGAGAGACGGAATTGACATTCCTTTCACTCTTAGGTAACTCAAGTTAAAAAATGTTCAGTTGACGAATCTTTTCAGATCTGCTATTACTTGTCTGACGCCTGGAATCAGAGAAAACATATGCCTCGGCCCGAGAGTGCAAGTTTTGAAGGAAGAACGAATTGGACTGACGAACAGGCAAGAGAAAGCAATCTGAACAAACAAAAACTTTTATTAGAACTAGAAAAAAGAGTTCTGAATTAAATGTGCGGCTGAACTTTTTTTTGTTAATTTCGCAGGAAAGGCGCAACCTACGGTTATCACAACGGAGTTGACATTCGGCTTTTACGAAATCATAGACTTCCTCTGATAAACGATGACACTGAAATTGGACATAGCATTGGAGCGACAGTAGACGTCACGCCACACGATGGAGCACTAGAAGTCGGAGCGAGAGATAAGATCTTTCAAGCTTGGAAGCACAATAGGTAGAATTTTACACGTAAGCGAGAAAAGAAACGATTCTCAGAGGAGCGTTAGTCGAATGGGACCGTCAGGGAGCTGGAGTCGACATTGGTTCGAGAGCGTCTGTGGCTGATGACCTCATTAAACTTCGGGTAATAATTTTTACGCCTTTTTTAAACGCTCTAGTCCTTGCAGCACACACTTTTCGGAGTCAATGTCGGTCCCACCACAGGAAGATCGATTGTAGGGCCATATCAAGTGGGAGAAACCAAAGGACAACGTGAGAATTATTGAATTGTTTTGTGGAAAATTTGAAAATGTCGGGAAAAAGTTCAACATTTTCGCCACGCGTGCGTATTTACGTGGTGGTGTTTGCGTACATTTAGGATTAAATTTTGGCGGGAGATCAAATTTTAAATTTTAAATTTTAGATCTGAAAACTTACACGCCGATTCAATCGCTCTATCACAATTACTACGCGGGAAGAGGAGATTGGTACAAAAATCAGTTCCGACGGCCTGGCGACGAGTACAGAACGAAAGAGCAAAAGGCGTGTCCTTGGTGCTTTGCGGTTGACCCCTCATACCCGACGCAGACTATATTCAATCCCTATTTTGGATAAACTCAGATCTGAGAAAATTGAATTTTAATTAACTGTTAAGTTCAAACACTTAAAAGATCTCCTAAGCGTAACGTTGCGTATTTAACAATAAAGTTTGGAAAGTGTCTGGGACTCTATTCTTTTCCTTCTTCGTCGTCTGTAACAAGACTTTCTGAAACAGGGTTCGCTGCGTGGTTTTGTTTGTTCTTTTCAGATCAAAACATGCTTTGATCAAGTTCTAGAAGTGTCTGACAGTCTTTATCTGCTGAATGAACTCGCGTTTCTACGCTTTCCGTTTGAAGAACGTATTGATCAAGTAAGTTTATTGAGAAAGAAATAAGGAAGAAATGACAAGAAAGAATAATACACCAGTATGAAGAGCACAAGAGATCACAACTTATAGATAGAATAAGAAAACAAAGAAAGGGTAGACAGAATTAAACATAGACCTGGCGGGAAATGCTCATGATGGTCTCGTCAGAACAGAAGTTGCTGTAAGCGGACGGCAGCGGCGGCAGCAGGATGTCCTCGCTGAGATCCACATCGTCAAAGTCGAAGTCGAAGAACGAAGGCGAAATTGGGTAGAGGGCCCGGTCGTTCTCGATGATTTCTTGCTTCTCGTCGAACGTGGACTGGTAGAGGGGAGCAATGGCGGAAATTCCGGACTCGAGAGACGGGCACACTCTGACTCCACGTCGGAGTTTGAGATAGCGATGGAGAACGCAGCAGAAGGTGACGAGGAAGAAGCAGGAGAGGAAGAGGAAGACACTGCAGGCGATGAGCAGATTCTGCTGGGTTGGGAGGGCCAAGGAGACGGTCTGGAAATGAACGCATTGAAATGGGGGAGAGCGAGAGGAGTAACTTACAATTGGAGCAGCAGTGGTGGTCGGGGGAGGACAGTACGGGCATTTCTTGTCCACTTTGACGAGCACTTTGGCAGTGAAACACTGGGATTCGATGACGATAATGCGGACGGAGAGGGTCTCCATGACATTGACGGAAGACTGATTGAAGACAATGCTCGGATGGAATCCTTGATCGCACTTGGCAACGAGACCGAATGGATTCACCGGGGAACTGCCTTCGATCTGGGCGGTTACTCGGACCGACTCGAGGGAACCGTGCCATTGACTGATGAACGAGGGCTTTTCAGTCTGAAAGTGAACACGATTAGAAGTGGGATTGGGGGAAAAAAAGAGAGAACTTACCGATGCGAGCACATCTTTCATTGGCCAAGCACGGGAAACGAACTGGGTCGGCTGGTTAATGTCAGTGGAAATGCGAAGAAGAGGCGATGGGCACGCGTGTGTCTCGTTCCAGAACACGGCACACTGGTCACGAACTTTGAAGTCGGACACGACGGTGGTGAGCCAGAATTGATCCGCCGAAACGGTGGAGAGAAGGAGGAGGATGACTGCGAACAACATGGTACTGAGAGAGAGCAAATGAGGAGTCACCAAACAGGAAACGACTCAAAAAGCGAATGACTGCAAGAATGGACGGACGAGCCAGTAGCGAGGGAAAGGGGCGGAGTTTGGGTGGAAGGCGAAAACTGAGCACACGTAAAGATAGGGAGTAAAATGGGAAGATGACAATGGGACACCTGCGATTGTATACAGTATACTGTCTGAAATAGCGGAAGTGAATGGGGAAGGGGCGCAGATGTAACCGGCAGTGAGCAGGGTAACGCTGCTGGGAAGAAAACAATATATGGGAAAACATGGGAATGAGGGAAGGATGCGACGAACTGATCACTACTGTTGATACGTTGATGAATACGCTGAACCCTTTTATTATTATTATTATTTATTGAGGGGGAGAATAATCATAAATGGGGAATCTTCAGCTACTTGCCAACGCAAAAGAAAAAAGATCATCATTTCACAGATGCCTGTGGCAGATTCATTTTAGATAAGACTCTGTGAGTGAAGAAGTTGTGGCTTAGTTTAGATTTTGGAGTCTTCCATCGGTAAACGTGACTCCGTCTAGTAAAGAAGTCATTGGGATTGATGTCCACTTTGTTAGCTAACATTTTAATTAAGAACTTCTTCTCTTTTTTCTCTTTTTTTGGAAACTTTCTTTCTCTAGTGTCCTTTCCTCGGGAGATAAGAGACTACTGACAACTGTGAGAATTCTAACTGTTTGGAAAGCTCAGTATTTTGTTCACGTTGGTTATTCGGATAGCTAACGGCAAGAAATGAATCTGCAGGCGCAACAAAGGGACCATGGCCTGCCGAATTCTCCCCGATCGCGCCAGCGCATGTTTGAGGGCCTGTACCGAGGTCCCCAAATGACGTACCATACCCAAAATGTTCTAGTTTATGTAATCGGCCATGCTCAAAAACAGTCAGCTGGATGAAGACTACTGGATGATTAATTTTTGGTAATCTGACAAGAGAGAACAATTTATGAGAGAAAACTGGATACGCAACAATACTCGAATATTAAAAATGGAATGAATGATGGTCCGGATTAACAAAGATAAATCGTGGCGGATTCATTAGGAATTGTCTATGGGTCCATAATGGGGCATGCGCCACCGCGGGCCCATAATGCGTAATCCGCGATTCACCTGTGAACGCTGGAGCCCCCGACAGTTACTGTATCACGAAATCTCTCGTTATCTGTGTTTCTCTTTAGTTTGACGTGCCCAAGTGCACATAAACAAAGTGTGACTAGTAGGTAACCAAAAGAGTTACGGACAGAGAACGTCATCAACACACAATTTATTTGCCTCCTGCTGTTCTCATCCCACGTGGCACTTTGACACCTTCCCATTGCGAGCGTGCGAAAACGCAAACAGGGTGGTCGTCTGGAGGCGCTTTCCGCCGTCAAACAAAGGCGTCAAGAGGGTGATGGATGGGGTCTGAATCTTTAAGAAGATCCCTGGCAACACAGATATCTGATCGATAGGTCTTTGAGAAAACGGCTACATTCTGGTTGATGACTGAATGATTGATCACCGCCTAATTAAAAGAGCACTGTCCATCGAAAGTTATCGTAATACTTGTATTTGTCTACAGTTCCTAACAACTTTTTGGTTTTGTATTTATCAACGTATCAACAGTAGTGATCAGTTCGCATCCTTCCCACATTGCCTTGTTTTCCCATATATTGTTTTCTTCCCAGCAGCGTTACCCTGCTCACTGCCGGTTACATCTGCGCCCCTCCCCCATTCACTTCCGCTATTTCAGACAGTATACAATCGCAGGTGTCCCATGGTCATCTTCCCATTTTGCTCCCTATCTTTACGTGTGCTCAAAAAAAACTGCCTTCCACACAAACTCCGCCCCTTTCCCTCGCCACTGGCTCATCCGTCCATTCTTGCAGTCATTTGCTCTTTGAGTCGTTTCCTGTTTGGTGACTCCTCATTTGCTCTCTCTCAGTACCATGTTGTTCGCTGTCATCATCCTCCTTCTCTCCACCGTTTCGGCGGATCAATTCTGGCTCACCACCGTCGTGTCCGACTTCAAAGTTCGTGACCAGTGTGCCGTGTTCTGGAACGAGACACACTCGTGCCCATCGCCTCTTCTTCGCATTTCCACTGACATTAACCAGCCGACCCAGTTCGTTTCCCGTGCTTGGCCAATGAGAGATGTGCTCGCATCGGTAAGTTCTCTCTTCTTTTCCCCCAATCCCACTTCTAATCGTGTTCACTTTCAGACTGAAAAACCCTCGTTCATCAGTCAATGGCACGGTTCCCTCGAGTCGGTCCGAGTTATCGCTCAGATCGAAGGCAGTTCCCCGGTGAATCCATTCGGTCTCGTTGCCAAGTGCGATCAAGGATTCCATCCGAGCATTGTCTTCAATCAGTCTTCCGTCAATGTCATGGAGACCCTCTCCGTCCGCATTATCGTCATCGAATCCCAGTGTTTCACTGCCAAAGTGCTCGTCAAAGTGGACAAGAAATGCCCGTACTGTCCTCCCCCGACCACCACTGCTGCTCCAATTGTAAGTTACTCATCTCGCTCTCCCCTATTTCAATGCGTTCATTTCCAGACCGTCTCCTTGGCACTCCCAACTCAGCAGAATCTGCTCATCGCCTGCAGTGTCTTCCTCTTCCTCTCCTGCTTCTTCGTCGTCACCTTCTGCTGCATTCTCCATCGCTATCTCAAACTCCGACGTGGAGCCAGAGTGTGCCCGTCTCTCGAGTCCGGAATTTCCACTATTGCTCCGCTCTACCAGTCCACGTTCGACGAGAAGCAAGAAATCATCGAGAACGACCGGGCCCTCTACCCAATTTCGCCTTCGTTCTTCGACTTTGACTTTGACGATGTGGATCTCAGCGAGGACATCCTGCTCCCGCCGCTGCCGTCCGCTTACAGCAACTTCTGTTCGGACGAGACCATCATGAGCATTTCCCGCCAGGTCTATGTTTAATTCTGTCTACCCTTTCTTTGTTTTCTTATTCTATCTGTAAGTTGTGATCTCTTGTGCTCTTCATACTGGTGTATTATTCTTTCTTGTCATTTCTTCCTTATTTCTTTCTCAATAAACTTACTTGATCAATACGTTCTTCAAACCGAAAGCGTAGAAACGCGAGTTCATTCAGCAGATAAAGACTGTCAGGCACTTCTAGAACGGAAAAGAACAAAGGGAATAAGCCAAAGAACTATTATAACACAGGCGAAAATGATGGAAAAGGGGGAAATTCGATGTAAATGAGATCTAAAATGAGGTGAACCGGTGATAAGGAGAGGGAGGGAAAGGGGCGGGGCTACTGGCGAGCCGATTCGACTTTCGGTTGCAATGCTTCGTCGACTTTCAGTGTCAGACCGGAGAGATTCATTTCGATGCACTTTATTTCCGGACGATCCACTCTGAAGTACATAGGTTTACAGGGAAAGGATAGAGATCACCCACTTCATGGAATTGGAATTGTTGTTCGCATTGGCGGGAGGCGAGTTAGGCGGGGGCACGTAGGTCGGATCCTTGACCGAAGAACTCTTCCGTCTGTCTCGAATGCTTGACTGAGCACTCAACTTGTTCCTGAAATCAAGAATCAGAACCCTTTTTGAAAGTGATCGCTGTCTTTCTCTTACCTGAACGGGTTTCCGAACCTCTTCCGATGTCCCATCGCTTTCACGAGAATCAGAGTATCCAACCGTGGAATGACTCTCACACAGTTCTCAATTTCTTCTTCCGTTACCGTAACGAGATGACAGTTCTCTTGCTCCGACGACATCATCACAGTTCCTTCCCTGGTCACCCAGGTGTGCACTTTCACTTCGTGGAGCATCAGACGATGACCTGGATCCTTCTTGAGCATTCCCAAGATCAAGTCTTGGAGCGCCTCGCTCAGAATTGGCGCTTCCGGAAATATGATCGGATCGTTCTTGATCTTTTTATGGAGAGCAATTATATAATTCTCGACGAAAGGAACCTAAAAGTTAAATTTGTTTTGAAATATAAGAATCCAAATTCCAACTCACAGTTCCGATGACAAAAGCGTACAAAGTGATTCCTAGCGACCAAATGTCTTGTGCGCGACCCGAATAGAAATGATTCGCCCCTTCGGTCAAAGCTTCTGGAGCCATGAAAGCTGGCGTTCCGGCGGTTCCGGAGAGGAACGCGTCGATGCCTTCGAACTCGCACGACACTCCGAAATCGGCGATCTGAACGAGAGAAGTACGGTAGGGCGAGGTTGCATTTCCATCCAACTCACTTTCACTTGTCCTATGTCAGTGAGCAGAAGATTCGACGGTTTGATATCTCGATGAACTATCTTTTGATAGTGCACTGCAAATGATGGTGAGCTTTTGAATGAAGAACACAAACTCACAATACTCGAGACCACAGAGCGTATCCCGGAAATAGCTCCACGCAGTATCCTCATCCAAAGGCTTATCCGTCGGGATTTCCAGAATTGATCCCTTCTCGACAAACTCGAACACCATGTACAAATAGTTGTCATTCGGGTCATCCAGCACCTGAAAAAAAAGAGTTCTCATCTGAAGTGGGAGGGAAATCTTTTACCTCTACAAGTTTCACTACATTCGGATGCGACAGCTTCTTGAGAATGGCAATCTCTTTTTGCACCAATTGAAGAGGATTCCTGAGCACAGACGGCGCCGCGTTCTCCTTGTTTCTTCGCGGAGGCGGCTGACGGAAACACGCAAAGTTCTTCAGAAGTTTGATTTTATCCAGAACTTTGAGCGCGTACAGGTTTTTGTCTTCCTCATTGTACGCCAGTTTTACAATCCCATACGAGCCCTGGACGATTTCGTGATATTGTGAGGCTACGAAAATATAACTAACCTGTCCGATTTCCTCCATTAGTCTGTACTGATTCAGTTGTATATAACTCTCGCTTCGCTGCTGGGAGACGGACTGAAAAGTGTGCATTTACAACGAGCGAATCGCCCATTTTCGGCCATCCCACAGCCGTTCTAAAGAACTCTACGGCTTCTCCGTTAATGCAAAACAAATTGACACTCCGGAATGACGTGGCAAATGGATGAAAGAGGCGAAAAATAGAGTACTGGGAGGCCGAGAAAAACAGAGCAAAGAAGTGAGGGGAAAGGAGCGAAAGGAAAAGAGGAAAACGATTTCCGTTCGCTCGAACATGTTGCTTGGAGAGGGGGTCTAAGTGAGGCGGATTAGTCTCGCTGACCGGCTCTTTTCGCTCTCTTCCTAGTGTGATTATTTTCCCTTTTCACTTTCATTCTTCTCAATTTCTGCTTCCGCGAGCCGGTTGCCAGGCAATCGAAAGGGACGGCTCCGATTGCTTCCATTCATGAAAACGTTTCAAGTGGCGATGTCACGTCATCTTTTTTTTTGCAATCTATGAAAGACTCTACGTGACAAGTCAAAAACGAGCACAAATGGCACACACACGGCTTTCTTCTTTTTGGGTCACGGCTTCTGAGAATAGAAATAAGAGGAATGATGTTAGAATAGAACATTTTAGTGCACACGCCACGTAGATTCTAGAGTAAGTGGCTTGAAACTTCTCTCGGCTACCGTACCCCTTCCCTTTTTGCCCTCCGAACTCACCTTGACATATCGCGTCGGCCTTGATAAATTGGGTGACATTGTGGCGGAGAGCTGGAATGAAAAGTGGTTTGGAGTGCACAGAAAGGAGCGAAGAAGGCGTTTGATATATATATACGCCTCCGTCGACGTCGTTTCGATTTATGCAACCTCGTAAAAGAAAGGCGGCTGCTGGTAGAGACCCTTTTTTCTCATTATTCTCGACCACCTCTCGTGCACTTTGATGGTCCCATTACAGTATGGATTTACGAGTCGAATGGAGCGGATGACGTGGCAAAATGAGAAGAAAGGAAGAGAGAGAGAGAGAGAGAGAGAGAGAGAGAGAGAGAGAGAGAGAGAGATTGTCCGATGGAAGGAAGACACCGGGTGGAAACGGAGGATGTTGCAATTGCGACAATGTTACACACACGAGATATGCAGCAGTGGGAGCACACGGAAGAAACGAGCGCAAGTGGAGTGGACGCGGTGCCGGCCGATTCGATTCGAAATGACACCATTGAGCGGCCGAGGACACTTGGCTTTTATTGCAATGGAGCACAAAAAAGAGCACCGCTTCATGTTCCGAATCATGATGTGAGTTGAAGCCTATCAGGCCAGACGTTCAAGAAGAATAGGATCGGATTGGATGAGCCCACACACACACCTCTTCTAACTTAATCTTGAAAAATGATGGGAAAAAGTTCAAGAGGTCATCAACGCCGTCTTCTCCGTTTTCATCGTTTTCACTTTTCGTCTTCGGCTCATTCCAATTATGATATGGAAACGAAGCAAAAAAAAAGAAAAGAAGAGAATAGGCCGCTCGTTTTGTCAGTTTCCATAATTTTAATTGACTTTCTCTCTACCTCTCTCACACTAAAAAGGGGAAATCGGAAGGATGTTCTTCGATAAGAATGGAAAACACTGCGGATTGAATCGGTGTGCTCCGGCGTGTTCATCAGGGTGTCTGGCTTTCGGGAGCCAAGAAAAGAGATGAGCTCTCGTCGTTAGAAAGTGTGGCGCAGTTCATCGTGTGCTCACCCCCTTCTTCTTCTTCTTCTTCTTCTTCTTCCGATGCTCCCCGGGGAACAATCCACGGCCATTATTAGCGACGAACTGGTCCACGGCACGCAGAGAAACGGAAAGAAGACACCGGTGATAAGTGATCACGAGGTGGAAATGGGCCAATAAAATGGAATGACTCGGCTTCGAGGATTTGAAAATTCACACAAAGTCTTTGGAAAAATCGCCTTTCAGAGGGAGACGTTTTCAAGTTTCGCACGAGGATTACCTCAGCATTGAAGGCAAGTCAACTGATTGGTCAGCCGACTTTAACTAGTAAGACTCGAAAAGATGATCGAAACTTTAAAATGAAATTTTCATGGTTTCCACCCAGAAATCCACGCAGAAAAGGAGCCGGATACTCATGTGATATATACTCGTTATCAGTGGGAAACTCGTTATGAAATCTGCGTCACGCCACTTTTATACACAATTAGCCGAGCCCAAGTACGTGATTCTGAGAAGACGTGGGAAGAATGAGTTAGGTCGGAGATCCGGAATTCCCGGGAGAAAAGTGGAATGAGCCATTATGGGAGGAATTTCGAGAACATTTTCAGTCACAGCTCCTTTTCTCACGAGATCTTTCCCAGTCTGCCGATTACAAGGCTCCCCGAGGGTTAGCGCCGTTTTGAATTCGACGTGGCATCAGAAGAAGAGTGCAGAGAATCAGTTTGACGACGTCACAGAGATTCTGATTCAAAACTCACATTGCTACTCGAGTGCAGGCCGGTTTCATCGTCCTCCTGTACTGCTCTCGTCCTGACAAGCCTCCGAACTCCGGTCGTGTCCGATTGCTGCCGGACCATCGAGGCGGCCGACAGAAGCGATCTGCGGTCGATGGTGGCGGTGGAGGTGGAGGCCGACGAGGAAGGACCGGGCGAATCATCTGATGTGTCGCCGACCATCCTGAACAAAACGATTATGAATAGACGAGACGAGAATGGGTGTTGAGCCACGTGAGAAAAATGAACAACACATCAGAGTTAAGGCGATTTTGGGCGGCTATTTGCGGAAGACGCGCCGTTTATCGCCGGATTTTCGGCAGAAAGGTACAACGCGAGTGGGCAGAAAAGAGAGAGATCGAATGGGGAAAAGAAACGAAAGAAAACGGATTGGAGAAGCAGAATAGTTCCGGGATTGAGGTTCGGGGAAAGCTAAAGATCCATCCGTTCAGGGAAGGAATTAAAATTAACAGTTCCAGGTTAGCATCGAGTTTTAATCTTACGACGTCACTTTTGTAGCATATGCGCACAATCTTTTCGCTCTGCCAACTCTCGGAAAGAACACAATCAAATGAGAAAAAGAGCACGCTCCAGTCGACTGTGACGTGGCAACACTACACTGCACAAAATGGTCCAAGCGGGAAAACAAAGATGAAAGTCCGCGATAGAAAAAAGTGGTGCGGACTGGAAGAAGATGAAGAAGAAGCAGAAGCGGCGGAGCGGGTGAATGAATGAATTAAATAGTGAATGAAACTGGTGGGCTCGACAGCGCGCGCGCGGGCTCACATGCTCCCCGCGACGAACCATGAATTATTCAGAGAGCCCCGTCCCACCGACCGACGGCTCCGCATCCGAGCAACGCGCTGAAACTGCGCTGAAATCGAGGTGAGAGCGGCAGAAAGAGTTCTGGGAGGCAAGTGACGATGACGGACGGACGGAAATTCGATTTCAGTTAGTCAAGTGGAAAATATATGAGGGAGCAGAGGGAGAGCCGCAACGTTTATGGAGGAGCCGAAAGAAATTGATTGGAAAGTTCGGAAACACGGATGGAGGTCCGACAGAACTGGCGGAGAAGGAGCGCGCAGGTGGTTTATAGTAATGTCTGTGGTTTGTGATGACATTTGAGAGACAAAAACGAACCTTATTTTAGAGTTGAACTTCAGATTCATCTGGTCAGGTTCAACGAACAATCGCACCGGGAAAGAGCTCGTGAGAAGGGACTCTTTGGACTGGAGGTGTCTGCAAACGAGTCGAGGCCGCCCCGAAAGATTCGATTAATTCGGCCTTTTCCATCGCGAAAGCCGCTCGGAGCCATGCGCATTTTTGTTTTATGTTGATTAGTTTTCTCTCTCTCTCTCTATTTTCGATTTCCTTATTTTCTACCCCCTGTCCACCGGAGTCACTTTTAATTGGCGTAGATTATGACGTCCGAGAACCGAATTAAATATCTCACTTGTTTTGTTTTTCGTCGTCAAACTTGGACTAGGTCGGAAAACAAGTGTGCTCAGGGCTCGGAATGAATGCTCGGCGGATCGGAAGAGATGAAGAGTGCACTTTGGATACGGACATATTCAGGACTTTTTTGGGGGAAATGAGAATGTAATGCATTTTTGGGCGCAAAAGAGGAGAGGCTTCTGTAATTGAATAAGTTAGAGGTCGAAAGAAAAGAGGAAAAATATCGAGGATTCCAGAAAACAAAAAGAGGAAGAGAAAGTGGAAGGACTTTTAATTAGCTGTAAAAGTACGAAAGCAATTGGGGAGGAGACGGAAGTTCCCTCTTTGATCGCTCTCAAAACTGCATTCGTTTCCGGGACGGTGAGAATTGTGAAGAACAAAAAAAGCGGAAGGGAACGGCTGAAACAATTTGAGATTTGCAGCAAAAAAGACAAAGGAGCACGTGGAGACGCAGTGGGAACGGAAAGAAGGGATCTGAGAGAGAGAGAGAGAGAGAAGAAGTGAGTGGGGGCGGGATGAAAAGCATTTGTTTCTTTTCTTCGTCACATGTGCCACACGCACAACTGCCAATGACACTACTCTTTCAACCAAAAAGGCAATTCGAGAGCGAGAAAGTAAGTGCGCGTACGGGAGACGCAGACGGGCGGAATGGGAAAGAGCCGGATGAGGGATCCGAAGGCGACGCGGAGACGCAGAGAACGGAGCATGGAGTCGTGGTGGAAAAGAGAGCGAAACGGGCGGAGAGCACGGGGCACACGGAGGGCCGGAGGCTGGAACAACGGACTGTGCGGACTACCATTTGAAGCAGTAGTAAGAAAAAAGTAAATTTTATTGAGATATATAGTCATTTACTTCATTCCTGGCCAACATCTATAGAGCTAAAGACGTACTTTTGGATAGACTTTGGAAAATTCTGGAAATAATAAGAGTGGTAGGCTAGGATGATGATGTGAAACGTGATGTCAAAAGTTGTAAAACAGTGTCGCCTGATTATGTACCAAATTTGAAAGTGAACTCCTGTACAACAAAAATGAACATGCACAAATTATTTGCTGATTTGTGTACTACAGGATTTGACGTTGAAAATTGACAACTTTTGACTGCATAACCTACTGTATTGTATCATCGTCAGAATTTTCCAAAATCTTTCCAAGAGTGCATTCAGAAATATTCCTAGAAAATGACGAAGAACAAATGAGGATGAATATCTTGAATCGCAGAGATGCTCTCATATTCCACCGCCCGATTTCTTATCCTAATATCCGTGATTGGTATGGAATTTCAATCTGCTTTCCTTTTCGGAATGACTAAATAGAGGCCAGTGCACGATTTTATGGCGACAAAAAATGAAGGGAAGAGGAGGAAAGCGGCGAAGAGAAGCACAATTATATTATATTATTATGTCGGTGCATTTGTGTGTATGTGTCCACTAAATGCAGACAATCAAGGATTATCGAGTGGATTAGAGGCGGGATGGACTCGAAAAAGCGCCACGGGCGGTTGGCAAAAGCGCTTTCAGATGAGGACTTTTCTACTTCCCGGACATTCTGCACTCATGTTTGCAGATCCGAAAGAGGAGAAATGAATATTGTGTGTGTCTGTGTGTTTGGAGCATTATGAAAGATCAGACGAGGACTAGTTATGTGTCTGGAGGAAGATTAAAGAAGATTTGTGAATGCATTGATCATGAGGTCGTTTTCGTCATCCTACCCAATCATTGTTTTTTTATTGGGCAGTGGACTCCACAGTAATGCTCACCATTCATTCCACTGTCGAAGGTGGGCGATGACATTCTCCGGAATGCTGGGAATAGTGAGCGAGTAGCGTGCGAACGCATTCTTCATCTCGTCGTTCTCTGGAAAACGAATGGAAGAATAACGGACGCGAAGAGGACGGATTGCGCGAGCGAAAGCGGAGAAAGGGAGTGACTGCGGAGGGCCGACGACGGCTGAAGTTTCGAAAAACACATGAAAACAACAACAAAAAGAACAACAGAAAGGGCGGAGAATAGCGAGAAGAAAAGAGGACAAGAGCAGTCAATTCTGGAGAAGGGAACCACCGCCAACTGTTGTGACATGGTAATTGGAGGAGGGACGAGGAAGAGGAACTGCTCCGGGACACAATCTCACGGATCGCTGCACTCTTTTTAGGGTAAGCGAGAGATTAACGGCTACGAGGAGTCAGGAAACGGGGAATGAACCTCAAAAATCAAAAAGAGATTGAAATTCGTATAGAGTGCATTTTGTTGCGTAATCCCGAAAGGCATGCGATTCTTTTTTAATGCCGCGTCCAAAGTTTAAAAAAACTCGGAGATCCCGCGGATTCTGCTGTCCAAAGTCGGCCGAAATTTCCTTGAAAAACGGGGTGCGCACAGCTGAACGAATGTTACCGTACACCACTAAATTACGGTATTTTTTTGAAAGTTTACCCAAGTCATTTGAATATTTTCAAGTATTCTTAAGAAATTTGAAAACTGCGCTCTAACGAAAATTGACGACGCCATCCTTCGAAAGTGATCTTCTTGCAAATTAGTTTGAAATGAGCAAAAAGTTGGAAAACTGAAAACAAAACGGCAAATTAGTTTAGCTGACAAGGTAGCGAGGAGCAGGACGAAAGGCGGTTCCGACCCATAAAAGTTGTATTGTTTTGGTGGTCGGAAAAAGGAAAAAACGGACGGGAGGCAGACTTGAAAACCGAGAAGAAAGCCGCCTCGAATCTGGCCATTTCCATCTCCGACTGGTCCGAGTTCGAATTTCGAGACGGGCTCTTTTGCGGCGGCGGAGAAGCAATCGAATTCGTTCGCACGCTTCTCAATTCGACACAAAACATCAAAGTCTCGGGAGAGAAAATGGCGGCGGAGACGGCAGACGCGACAAATATGATTGATGTACAAGAGGAAAACGAAGGAGCCAAATTGCGTTTACTCACTAAGAATAGATCGGTCCGAAATTCCGAAAAAAACGAGGACAACAACGGACGGAAGTGACTGCGAGGCGCATTGAAAATAAGAGACTTACAGCGGGTTTCAGTACAGTTTGCATATATTCGAAGGGCACCCGATCAAGCAAAAATGACAGTGGTCCTTTTTGAACATAGGCACCGGGAGGAGGAGGAAATGGAGCGAGGAGAACATAGGCATCAAGGTTGTCCCCATATACAAAATACAGAAAAGCAGCTTTCTTTTCCTGCACATTACAGAAGCCAGAAACACATTGACACCAGAGTTGAGCGGAATTTTGAAATCCGGAAGACGGCAGACGGCAGGCGGAAGAAAATGTTTTTTACGGAACACGGAAAACGGAAGACGAAAGAAAATGTTTCTCCCGGAAGACGGCAGACGGAAGACGGAAGATAACTTTTTTCCCGGAAGACGGAACAAAAAATCGTCAATGCAGAACCTTTTTCTCCTGTATTTTTTTTGAAAAAAATAACCAAACAACAAAAATTTTGAATCTGGGTCACTGCCCGTGGACATTCGCATTCTTCGGGGCTAGTAAATGGCTTCAGAAAAGCGATTACTCTTTTACGGTAAGAAGAAAAAATCCCGGAAGACGGCAAACGGAAGAAAAAATTTTTTACGGAAGACGGCAGACGGAAGACGGAACAAAAAAATCCACGGAAGACGGAAGACGGCAGACGGAAGACGGAACAAAAAAATCCACGGAAGACGGAAGACGGAAGACGGCAGACGGAATTCCGCTCAACTCTGATTGACACACGAGATGAAATATGCCAGAATCAGAAATTCTTCGTAGTTCCAGCAGAAAACCTTTGGGAATCAGGGATTATATTCCACATTCGTAGATTCCTCTCTGGCGTTTATGCCAAATTATCTGTGTGTTGAGAAAAAGTTGAAAAACAACGTTTCTTTCGAAAATCTACAGTTAATTGTACAAAGTGCAGCATAGATATGGGTTATAGTATACGTATACAAAGAAATACAAAGTTGTGAATGTGATGTGAGTGGGGGTATCACAGGCCAAAAAGTACAGTGTATTGAGGTAAGAGTGGAACGGTGAGATCTTTCTAAATACGACCAGAAATCGAAAGCGAATACTTCCAGCACAAAAGTGTGCACACCGGTGTTAAATGAGACCGAAACGGAAAAGAGAATAAGAGAAGGATCGGCGCCTATTGTGGGACGGAATGCATTCTACAGAGATCCAGAAGGCGTGGGCGTCGAGGCTCGAGTGTTCACTTCTTCCGCTTCCTTCTCTTGCTCAGCTTGTTCCTTGGTGAACCATGTCGCCTTTTGGATGTCGAAGATCTTCTCCACAGGAGACCATTCCGACGATGTCTGCTCCTTAATTTCTTCGCCCTCTTCTCCATCCGGTTCTGGGAATGCGACGCCTGAAAGAATGTTTCCAGCCTTGGATTCTAGTCATTGTTCCTCACCTAGTTCTGAGATATCCGGGAGTGGCGGGATCGGAGGACAGTTGTCGAGGTAAGGATCGGGAGTGGGATGGGCTCTCGTCTCGGGCGAGTTGTGGTACTTCACCATCTCCTCAATGTCTTCGGGTCTGTAGCTCGGCAGCAGTGCCGGCTCTTCTTCGCTGTCATTCGCCTCGTCCTCATCGTTCAGCACCTCAATCTCGTCCTCGTCGTCACTATCCTTTCCTTTCACACTGTCACTACTGCCATAACCCTCCGATCCATCGTTCGGATTCTTCACAATATCCCAAACACGCGCGAAAGCACAGCCAGCAGTAATTCTAGCATAAGATTCAGCCTCCCACATCTCCTCGGCCACCCTCAAGAGACGAGAAACGTGCGCGTGATCACGGTGTTCCTGTCTCCATGGCGGTCGCATTTTCTTACTTACAACGTGGTTGCGCATGTATCCTATGGCGGGATTGCTTCCGACTTTATCGTAAGGAGGCAGGTAATCGGGTACCTCGTCGTTTTCATCCAATTTGGTTCGGGTGATCACTTCCCAGGTAACCAGTCCCATCGAGTAGACGTCCATCGACTTGAACGCGTTCGCCGTGAACTCGGTGGCGCCCTCGAGCACTTCCGGGGACATGTACCGGCGAGTGCCCACTTGTCCCAGTAGATCGCTGGCCTCGATGTCAAATCTGTAGAGGCGGGCGAGTCCAAAGTCCGCAATGCAAGCCGTCATGTCCCTCTTCACCAGCACGTTCTTTGACTTGATGTCCCTGCAAAAACAAGATACGTACTCTCGTCATCAGCAAAACGACGCCCCGGTCGGACGTGACTTTTATCACTAGGATTTGCGGCAGAGCTCTCAAAATACGAAAGAGATGATACATATACTCAGGGTCGTAAGCCAATAATCTGTTTTGCAGCCAACTGACCTATGGATAATGGGCAGTTTGGGATAGCCGAAGAAGAATGGGCGGTCGTCGTGCAGGAATTGGAGGCCGTCGAGCATCGTAAGAATGATTCGGTTCGCAGAACTGATGCTGATGATGTTCTTGGTGATGAGCTCGTAAAGACTGAGTCTCTCGTGGAACTCTGTCACGATCCAGTATTCATTTCCGACAATATCCCCGTAATAATAACGAAGAACGCCCGGGTACCACTTTGGCAGCAATATCAGTCCGTCGTAGATCTGCTTCTCCGCATCAAAAGATATTTTATCGCCCAACTTCAGCTTCTTGACTGCCACGTCACGCGACACTCCGTTCTCCGTCCACTTCGCCTTGTAAACCCTTCCGAATCGGCCACATGCAATCTGTTTGAAGTCAGTGATTGGTGGCCTGTATGGTTTGGGCGTTTCGAGCAACTCGAGCAAGGTCTGGTCCACGAGCGGAGTGTTGCCGGCCTCCACTACACTCGTTCTCTCCTGCAAGAAAATGTTTACCTCCCGAGCAGAGCAGGGGCTCTCACCGTGTTAAACTTTCTCTTCTTCTTCTTCTGCTGTGACTTCCAGGCAAAGATGACCAACAGAACAAGAGCGGCGAGGAAGATGCCCGCGAGCACGAGTGTGACGAGCCAATAGATCGGATACGCGTCTGAAAATCAAGAAAGTAATCAGATTGATTTATTGTGCAGCAACTACGAAACGTTTTGTTGTTGGCTCATACTTGCTGCACAACTACTCATTTCCCCCCGAAAGAAGCGGTGCTAAATCCCAAATACCCCCCTTTCTAGCACGATGACGTGGCACGGTTCCCCTTCCGCCCACCTAAAGAGTCGACGTCCTGGTTCGAGAACGGAGTCGTCATCCATAAGAACGAGTCCCGCGAAGATGACTGGTCTGAAACATTGTGTGTGTGTGTGTGTGTCGGATGGATTGATGGTGACGTCGTCAAGTATTTTGTGTGATGTGTGCGTGTGCGTGTGTGTTTGTGTGAGGTAGGTGCCCGTGGTGCTTCTGCTCTTGTTGCTCTTGCTTTCAACACAGAACGCAATGAAAAACGAAGAGAGAAAAGAAAAGTGGTTTACTCGCCGAAGCCACGAACAGAACGAAAGATAAGAAAATTAAAAGGTGAATAACAGGGGGCACATAACGGATAGAAGGGATATGACATGCTGAAGCGAGTCGGGATCGAAAGGATAGAAAGTGGTTACGACGACAGTGAGCACTGATAGCGGTCGCGTATAAACAAGGAAGGTTGGCTAGAGTTACATGTGCGGGGACAAAAGTGCGGGTGTAGACTGACCCTTAAACGCCGGATTTTTCATCGAGATGAGTCCGTCGGCATTGCAGTCCGACTCCGTGCAGCAGCACATCGAGATTCCGCTGCGAAACGGCGGCTCTTGCACACACTGAAAGCCTCAAAGTCTCCTTCGTCAGAAGCACGTCTAACTCACCCGAGACGTCTCCAAACAGTTCATGTACTGGTCGTCCTGGAACTGCATACATCCGAGCTTTCTGATGTGCTTCTTCGTGGCGATTACGTGTTTGATCGTTTCGTTGTACTGAAAGTGTATCTGATTCTTGTTATTCACTTTGGCTGGCGTTCACAATACAACCCAACGCCAAATCAAACGTCCTAAAGCGTTCTACAATTTCGGAATCACGAGAGCGATAATCCCTGTCACAAGAAAGTCAGAATGTCAGAAGTCAGAAGCGAAATGCCGGAAGTCGGTCATGAATAACGGATGAAACAATATGAGGCCTCGTGACCAGAAGAACACAAAACATGCCCACGTCGACTCACAACGTCATCCTTGTCCCAGCTGAAAACAGCGAGACATCCGAAGAACTTGAGATGCTTGTCGGCTCCGCAGATCTCCTTAGTGATTGCACACTCTCCATTTCGAATACATTGATCATCGTCGTAGGACTGAATGACAAATTATTAACTGAGAACAAGTGTTTCCGATGTTTCCGACTTACATAGCATTCGAGGAACTTTTCTTCCTCGCCTTCAACGGTCGACATCGACGTGTGCGGCGGTTGCTCATTCTCGGCCAAGTCCTCATTCGCATTCGCCTCACTCGACCCATCAGATGTTCTCTTGACGAGCTCGCTCACCCACTGAAATATTGGTGATTATCTCACGCATCGCCGCGTTTCGCTCACTTCTTTCTCGGCAGTTTCAGTCAGAACGCGTGTCACTCTGTCGTCCAGCGTGGCCGGAGTTGGGGTCGCGAGGACGGCGGTGGCGAGAGCGAGCAAGATGAACGCCTTGAGGCGGACGGTCCCCTTCTGATCAGTCTGATTCATTCTGAAAACGAATCGATCAGTTGAGGCGATGGCGAAGAAGCGAGAGCAAGAGGAAATGGAAAAAGAGGAGGAGGAGGAGGAGGAGAAAGAGGAAGAGCAGCCAACGACGGAGCACACTGGTCACTTTCTACCCTTATCACTTGCACCTCCGTGCGTTTCGCGTGCCTGTTGACAAGTGGCAAAACAAATGACACTCGGTTTTGCAAAGTGACGTGACGTGGCAACGCCGCCGAATAGCGGAGTGGAATGAGAAGGAAAAAAAGGAGGACAGAAGCACGGAAAGCTCGGGCCGTCGGTCGCTCTTTTATAGCGCGTCGGCTCGAGAAAGTGGGCGTGGCGAAAGGACGGGAGAAGAGCGGAGGGAGAGGTGCCCGAACGGATCGGACTCATGTAGAAGGAGGGTTTAACGAGTCATCCGTTTGTCACAAACAACGAGCAAGGGAGAGGAAGCAGGAGGAGAGAAAGGGAGAGCCGGAGAGCCGGAGAAGCACAATAAACAAGTTATTTTGAGTGGGGCCAATGTTGGGATCGGACTCATTAAAAAGTCATCTCGCTTCATTATCGACGACCACGGGGGACAAAAGGTTATTTCCGTCTCGAGACTCGAAACTTCGGGGCCAGTTGATTACAACGCACAAGCTGGCGTGTGTCTATTTTTAACAAAATTGTACAACTCGGTGACATGTCTCTTTTTAAATTCGTATCACCCCGTGCACTTTGTGCCAACTCGCATCCCAATGATCCCGCTGACAACCTCTCTTTTCTGCTTTCGTCACCGGTGTTTTGTGTAATGTGAGTGATTCCAAAAGGCGGCCGCCCTTCTCAGAACAACTCTCTCTCGCTAGCGTGCTCACTCATTGCGAATCAGTTCTGCTCGAAAGAAGGCGTGAGCTCACTCGCTTCTGGAACGTGTCGTTTTTGACAACAAAACAAGTTGGACGAGTGCGAAACTGCGAATTTCCATGTGACACCGCGAGCCCGTGGTTGCAGCCCGCAGAGACCAAAGCTCTTCTGCCGCTTTCTGGAGAGAGCACGCGTTGGGAGGAGGGCTCGTGCGCGTGGCTCACACCTTGTGCTGGGGAGCCGAGTAGGGCGGCAACCGACTTGAAAGTTCTTCTTTCAGCGCGCAACTTCTAATTGGCTGTTGTGGTTTGTTTGAGGTATGGGCCAGCCGACTCGCATCAAACATCTGCACCTCGATGCTCTGAAACTTATCTTTAAGCTCGAGAGGATCAGCCGAAATGAGAGACGCTTCGGTGGATTTCTTGCGCAGAAATTTGCGCGATTGCAACAAGGGAAACTAACTTGGTCAATGGTTGGCGGTGACTCGTAACCAGATTTCCGCGGAAATGAAAATTATTTTTGTGGAATGCGGAATTTATGGGTTCAAATACTGACTCTTTGTTTGTTGAATCCGCAAAGTTGTTTTGTGGGATCCGCGGATTTCTGCTCGTCACCACGATCAGATTATCCAATTACTGTACTAGGAATAGTTGAGTGCTCGTAGGGAACACTCCGGCTAACCCAATTATAACTACAGTATACTTCCTCGACTCTCCGAAAGTGGTCATCGTGTTTTTCACATTCGATGCCCTTGACAAAAAGAGAATGATTTTTGAAGCAGTAGCCGGCTACAGAATAATCATACATTAAAACGCGGGGTTTTCCGGTTCGAGGTCAAACATCACGACTTGTTTGCTTTTGTTCATCCAATTTGCCCTCGAAAAAGAGAAAAATAGAAGGAAAAGGAACTCTCTCTCTCTCTCTCTCTCTTTTTTCTCTTCTTCGGTGATCGGCTTGAGTACAGTAAGAAAAGAGGGACCGATAAAATGCGGGAGAACGATGCGAAATGATATGGTCAAAAAGTGCGGAGCGGACGGACAAGACGGAGAGGAGTCAAACAGAACAGCTGTTGGGCGCATCTGTCAGCACAAAGGTTGGTTGGAAAAAGAAGGAGAAAAGCGTCGGGGGAGAAGAGGAAGTAAGATGAAGAAGAAAAAGAAGGAGAGGAAGGAGAATACAAGGAACAAAAAGAAGGAAGCGAGTAGTTGCTATGGGAGCCGAGAGCAAGTGCACGGGAAACGCGGTTGAGATGTTCTCCACGTTTTTCGCGCATTTCCTCTCTAATCATCTACTCGGTGTGGTGGCTGTTTGTGAGCTGTTCGGGGTGTTGGGAGAAGGCTATCGAAATAGAGTACGGGGCGGCGGAGGGTGCCGACGGGCACGCGGAATTCAATGTTTGACGGTCTGCGTCTCGTCGCCAGCTTTCACTTTCTGCGCCCCCGAGGGCCGTGGGGGCCACGCACATACACACCGCCCATCTCGTCCGATTCTCTCGCTCTGCCTCTTCGCCCCTGCCTGTTCGATTTGCAGCGAAAAATTGGAATTTCAGCCGACCAGGCATCAGGCGCATTGAAAAGAGAGAGGGACGGGGGGGGCATGTGACCAGATTATGCGAAGCTTAGAGAGGATGGGTGAGGGGGATGGAAGAAGGCACGGATGGGAGAGGTCGTTCACTCATTGAACACTCTTTTCAATTGGTTACGATCGGTACGCATCCTCCTCCGCCACGAGAATGAGAAGACGAGTGTGAGTATCGGTGCGCCAACCAAACTACAGTTCTCCAGTTCTCTTGGAGACAATATCGCTCGAATGAGAAGTATCAGTGAAGCGAGATTACCGTAGTGGTTCGATGAGTTTTGCACTTTGCCACCCCGTGTTTACCGTAGCGGGCAAACATCGAAAACACACCCGAATGCTAAAGCTGGAAGGACATTTGTTCGCAAATATTTGGAAGTTTTGGAAAGTTCTGAAACGCTCCATCCGTCTATAGGGATAATCGCCCAAGAGACAAAAATAAAGCTGTGCCAGTCACCGCTCAGCTTCCCCCTCGTCTTCCGCCCTATTCACGTGCTAATCCGTCCCCTGATACCTGGAAACGACAAAGTGCAACACGGAACTGCTCCGTATTCTCCGCATCGAATCGGCTTCCAAAGTTCAGCGCGGGACAGATGCAATTTGCAGAGTTCGCGTGTCGCACCGAGCAGTTGCCAAAAGTTCAGCAAGCTCAGAAAGTTCGGCGTGCTGTCCAAACAATCCGCGCGCGCGGATGCGTGCGAGAAGGCAGCCGATCTCGTCCGTCCGGGAACACTAATCCGCGTAACCGATACGCGTGTTGCGTAAACTTTCGCGCAGAATCGTATAATTGCAGGGCGACAGGTGTCAATACGATCTTATTCGCTAATGCCATAATCACTTTTTGAACAGATCGTTGGCAATCTCGAATATGACTTTCTTCGCAAAACGGATGTCTTCTTCAGTCGAAATGGGGCTGTTGATGGAAATGCGAAGGATGAAGATGCCTTTGACCTGAAAAAAGGGAACGTGGAAGGGAACGTGGTTAGAAAACGGATACCGTCGCAGGCACCAGATGGATCCGACGATCTCTGTTGATTGCCGTGCACAATCTTTCATTGTCGGCGTTGGAGTGCTACAAAATACGAATATTTGTCAGGTTAACGAACAATTTAACTACGTTTTTGAGACGGAAAGTGGCCAATCCGAGATGCGGAGGAGTGAACAATTCAAACTTTCCGTCTTCGACGATGATCTTTGAAAAGAACAACGCGAGTTCGCACATCTGAATCATTAGGGTTTCCGCTTAATTCGATCATTTCGTCTTCTAGTTGTAAACAATTCCCATGAAGGCCAACCGAAACAGCAAAATCTCACGTTTCGTTGATACTCTCTAATCTTCTCAACTCCGAGATTGCGCAGCGTAAACCACACTTTCAAAGATCGGAATCGACGGCCCAGCGGGACTTCCAAATGCTAAACAATCTCCTATTCAAGTAGTCAGTTGTGCTGCTCACTCTGTAATCCGTGCCCGTCGACTGATACTCGTGTGCCAAATAAACGGCGTCTACGTTGAAGTATCGGGAAGCGTACGTTCCGTTTCTGAACCACAGAGGCGAACAATCAAAATTAATCATTCCCGCTTTGTGCAGATTCAGATTGTACGAGTCGGTGTATTCGAGACCTTTGATCAGATATTTGAACTCTTTGCAGAAGGCGAAAGAACCTGAAATCAACTGAATTTTGCGAGCGAAGGAGGGCATTCGCTGACCGGCGTACGCGGCATCCACGTGTAGGTAAAGCCCTTCTTTCTTGCAGATCGGTCCCAGTTTGTCGACCTCGTCCACTGCACAAGTGTTCGTCGTTCCGACAGTACACACCAGCATGAACGGAACGTATCCGCGAGAACGGTCTTCCTGGAAACTATCCGAATGTCTCCGACTCAAAAGAAAACTCTCAATACCTTGATAGCACTCCTCAGAACATCCGGGTCAAGTCCGTAATTTCCGAGGTAGCCTTTCGTGGATTTCAACTTGCGAAAGAGAACTCCGGCAAGCATTCCTCCCTTCTCAATCGACGAATGTCCCTGGTCGCAGAAGTACATCACAAAGTTTCGGAAGACCGTCGGATCGTGGTAGTACGGAGTGATGACGTCGGTAGAATCATAGCTCGGACGGTCCACTTTGTGCCAGTAGAGCAGATTGCGCAACGACTTTGCGACACTCGTTTCTGCCAGCCATTGGTATAACGTGGGCTCCGATTTGATCTGCTCCACTTTGCTCGCTCTGGCCGTCAGGATGGCGATGAGGATCGAGTCGGAGCCGGAACTCTGAATGATTCCGCATCCGGGGCCCGGGTGCGAGTTCTTGAAGTATTCCGGAAGACTCATCAACTCGACGAGCCAATCCAACGATCGTTTCTCGAGTTCCGTGATGGCAGGGCAGGCGATCCAGCTGAAGCCGACGGAAGAGAGTCCGCTGCTCAGAATATCGGCCATGATCGAGTGGTAGGTGATTCCAGCCGGGAAGTAGGCGAAGAAGTGCGGGTGATTCCAGTGGGTGCTTCCACTCCACACCACCTTCTCCAGGTCATTATAGATTTTCTCCCAGTCTTCCGGCGCACTCGGAGGATGAGCAGGAACCAAATTAGTGATATATCCTGGTTTGACATCTGGAAGCGGCTTGCGAGATCGAATGTTCTCCCAGTAGTCGGCGACGATGTCTATCATCTTTTTGCCTTCGACACGAAGTTTGGCCGCGTCCATTTCACGATAGTCGCGTTTTCAAAAAGAAAAAAAAATAGAAATGACGTTCCTCACGCCTGACTTTTCCCCGCTGGCATCTATTAGCCAGATAATGTTACGGTAACCGAGCACGTGTTCCCGTATAATCCTAATTTTTCCGCTTCGGGACTTGCTTACATCACTTTAACTTCTGAACAGGTGCTGCTTCGCCTTCGCGGGAGATAATTGGCCAATTATTATTCGAAAGCGCATTTATAGAAAAAAGTCGAAAGCAAGCAGGAGAGAGAGAGAGAGATGCGGAAAACTGGGGGATAGAACGGCAAATAGAAGGAAGTGGTTTAGAATGAACGATCGGTGATTTCGTAGATGACGTCACGCGCGAGAATGACATCATCGAGAGTGGTGAGCTGGCTGCAAACGACCATCCGGAGGAAGTAGGTTCCGTGGACGGTGGAGGGCACCAAATGGATGCGACGGTCCTCGTTGATCGCATTGCACAACTTCTCGTTATCCGCGTTCGTGGACTGAAATAGCGCTAGGTACTCTAGAGAAAATGTGCAGGGGATTGTATACATTCTTAAGACGGAAGCAAGTGAGTCCCAAGTGCTGAGGGACAAAGTGCTCGAATCTTCCGTCCTCTAGAATCAGCTTCGAGAATTCAGAAGCCAAAAGTTCGGTCTGAAATCGAAGGATACAGTGACAAGGGTTCTTGTTCGGTTTCTCACTCTTCTCAAATAGTCTCTGATCTTATCCGCTCCCATATTTCTGAGCACAAACCAAATCTTGAGTGATCTGAATCGACGTCCGAGTGCCACTTGCAGGTGCTGCAATTCTCTCACTCTGTTAAATATTATCCGTCCACCTTTTCAAATGTCTCACTCGGTAGTCGGACGCAGTTGACTGATACTCGTGAGCCAAATAAACAGCATCCACGTTGAAGAATCGCGAGACGTTGACTCCGTTCTTGAAGAACATCGGAGAACAGTCAAAGTTGACCATTCCCGCCTTGTGAAGATTGAAATTGAAAGAGTCGACGTGCTCCATTCCATGTATCAGGTACTTGAACTCGTCACAAAGCGCAAACGTTCCTGCGTAGGCGGCGTCCACGTGCAAGTACAGTCCTTCCTCCACACAGATCGGACCGAGCTCATCGACCTGATCCACTCCACAAGAGCAAGTGGTTCCGACGGTGGCCAAGAACATGAACGGAATGTATCCGCGGGCTCTGTCTTCCTGCAATTCATTCGAATACGTTCGGACTGTTTCCTTTTTCTTTCTCACCTTTATCGCATTGCGAAGGGTCTCCGCAGAAACGCCATAATTGCCCAGAAACCCGCGAGTTGCCTTTAGTTTTCTGAGGCGAACCGCAGAGAGCATCGCGCCCTTTTCGACGGAAGAATGCGCCTGATCCGAGCAATACATTATGAACTTTTCGAAGACCGTCGGGTCATGGAAGTACGGGGTGATGACTCCAGAAATTTCATCTTCTGTCTGAAAAGGAAAGTTTGCGGATAATAAACACAGGAAAGTTCTCTCAAACACAATCACAATGTCCCACAACTTACTGTTAAAGATGTCTGAGCCACAAGAGACTGAAACGTTTCCTCTTTCTCTCTCTTTCTCTCCAATTCACCATTTTCACTCACCTTGTTCACTTTGACTCTGTCCAGAATGTTCTTTAAAGTCTTTCCGACTCCAGTCTCCGCCACCCACTTCATGAAGGTCGGCTCCGCTTTGATTCTCTCCACGTGCGAAGCTCTCGCCGCCATAATCGCCACCATTGTGCTGTCCGACGCGGTGCTCTGGATGATTCCGCACCCGGGTCCGTCGTGCGAGTTCTTAAAATGCTCCGGGAGCCCCATCAAATCAACCACCCAATCTAGGGAGGACATTTCCAATTCGGTCATGGACGGGCATGACTTCCAAGTGAATCCGATGCCTGCGATTCCGCCGGAAAGGATGTCAGCCAAGATGGACTGATAGCTGAGAGCAGTTGGAAAGTAGGCGAAGAAGTGGGGATGGTGCCAGTGGGTGGCTCCGTTCACGACCACGTTCTCCAGGTCGTCGAAGATCTTCGCCCAGTCCTCAGGTTGAGTGGGAGCAACTGCTGGGACCTACAAGAGTTTCTGTCACCGACAAAAGAAACAATAAAAGTGCCTACCAGATCCTTGATGTACCCTGGCTTCACATCCGGAAGCGGCTTCCTCTCGCGGATGCCGTCCCAGTAATCGGCCACAAAGTCCAGCATCTTCTTTCCTTCGCTTCGAAGTTTCTCCGAGTCCATGGCAGTATTAGAAAGAGTAGAGTGACTAGCTGAAAAGAGGAAGAATGAGAATCCAGGCTTCAGTTCCCACGACTTAGCAGCAAAACAAGAGGAGAAAATGGGAAAGAGTGACGAGGTTTTCTCTATGGGAACCGCAGCGCACATTTCCGATACCTATCCATCTGTTGCTCCGGAAATGGGCGTCGCAAACGAAAAGAGAAGGGCTCGTTTGATGGATTTGGATGGGGGGAAGGGGAGAAGAAGGGGAAGAAGAAGAAGAAGAAGAAGAAGAAGAAGATGAAGGTGAAGAAGGAGATGGAGATGAAGGTGGGAGGGAGTGGGAAAGAGACATTAGTGCAAGTCACAGTGATAACACGAATTCTTATCGTCTTTCGTTATCAGTTGGTCAGAGAAGTTGTATTGCTTTACAAAAAATTCCGATGCCGTCAAATCGATCATCAATTTGATCATATCGGGTTGTTCTGACAGATCAAAAGTGAGGAGACTCTTGAGGAACATTTTTCTGAGCTGTGATACATCCGAGTATAATCGAGAATGTATGTGAGCATAAAGAAGACGTCATAGACTGCACGTCTCCTTCCAGAAGACGTGGTAAACCAATGCCTGAAGAATAATAAATGTTTCGCCCTCTTCTCCGCCCCCGTCCGTCCGTTTCTAATTGAATGCAAACACAGACGGTGAACCGGAATGCGAGGGTTCTGACGGGGCAGAGAGCACACTCTGATAAGCAGTTATCAAATAGCATAGTCAACCGGTGATAACGAACAGTCTCCGACACAGTTTCTCCCGAAATCACTCTTCCTTCTTTCCCCCTCAATTCCAATCGATTCCAGGCATGCTCTGGCTGTTGGTCGCCGGTGGAGCCGCCTATTTTCTGGTGCAGTTTCTCGTGAAACCGGATCCGGTGAAGCTGTTGAATATCTACGGACAACCTGGAAAATGGTAAATAAACTGGTAACTCAACAGCTTCGAAGAAGATTGTGCTCTTTTGAGGTATTTTCTGAAATTCAATCTCATGAGATTCATAATTGATCGTCGCCAAAAGAAGTCGAAGAGAGAGGCATCGAAGAGCGATGAAAAAGAGAATTTGATGAATTCGCAATGGGGAGGCGACGGCGGTGTGAGGGACATTGACGAAATGGAGAAGAAGCACGATATGGAGACGGTGAGGCTGCATTCGGACCCTTCCGATCTCTGCGATTCAGGAGTGGTCGGCCGACGCCGTGTTCTTCGACGCTTCGAACCGGGACGGATGGTATTTCACTTTGGGCACCGCCCAGAGACCCAATGACGTCATCAACCTCTTCTTCATTCTCACAATCCCCGGCGTCGGAACTTTTGTGAACGAGGAACTGCACACCGATACCAACGTCAAAGTATTCCTTTTTGACGGGATTCAACTTTAAAAAAAAATTCAGAGCATAAATTCGTCTGAAAAAGAGTGGAGAACGGCCAGTGGATTCGTCGTTTCTTGCGTCGAACCGATGAAAAAATGGAGGATCCGGTTCGACGGAAAACTCGCTTCGTCGCCAGGAAAAACCAATTTCATTGTGAGAAAAGAAAGAGAATAGTGTTCAGATGAACATATTTCAGAATAATGGACCGGAAGAAAAGCAAGCAAATGTGGAGGTGTTCGATGCGAACATTGACTTGACATGGACCAATTTCGGTCGGTTTTCCATCAGAATTTCATCAAAAGAGCAGGGCTAGCAATAGGCCATAACAGACTATTTGAGGCCGCCGGTCTCTTGGGCCACTTGCAATTGCCCGATAGGATCCGGACAACTATCAATCCTGGATTGGAAGACTGATAGTTGTTGGGTCCGATCGGATGATTGCAAGTGGTCAAGTACTCCGAAAACAGGGCTTTGCCAAGCCCTGCGCAAAACTGTCTTGCAGGCGGTCAATTCGATTTCGATAAAATGTGCTCTCCGACCGCAATCGCGCATTCTCTGGCCATCGAGCCGTGGAGCCGCGGATTGTTCGACAAAATGAGAGCGTCGCATCAGACGCACTACGAACAGTTCGGCACGTTGGCGGGAGACGTGAGAGTCGGAGGGAACGAGAGAAAAGGGATCAGAATGACGAGCATGCGGGACCACACGATTGCAGGACATCGCAGGTGGTCGGACATCAGAAGGTGGGAAGTGATCGGGACGTTCCGGACTTGATTCCGTTCAGATACATCATGATGATCTACCATTTGGAGGACGGCACTTGCATCCACACCTCGGTCATTTCGATGCCGGAAACTGTCTTCAGCCATCTCGAATTCGGCTATATTGTCACTCCGTTCGCATCTTTTTCTTTTCCCCAGTAATCCCATTCTTCCAGAAACGGAGAGACGAAGCCAGTCGACCGAGTCCATTTTTCCCTTCCGAACCACGGAGAGGATCGTCACTTCCCCGACGATTTCCATTATTCATTCGAAGTCGGCGGGAAGACTTTCCATGCAGATGTCCATATCAAAGAGGCAGTGTCTTTCAAAATGGGATTGGAACAGGCGTGTCAAGTGAATGAGGGAATGGCCGAGTTCGTTGTGGATGGGAAGAAGGGGTGGGGATTCGCCGAAATGGAGTATCGCATTCAGCCCTATTGACCGTTGGCAATTTTGTTTAATTTAAATAAAACATTCATTCTGAGCCAGCTCAAATGCAAGACATCCTAGCGATATCCGGCATCCACGAGCAATAAAAAAGTTGAATGTACAATTTAAGTAAAAGTTTTTGGGGAAAGCCCTATAGGAGAGAAAAACAAGGATTGTCATCTAAATGACCGGGGTGTACAATAAGAAACTAAAAGATTACAAAAGTAACAATTATGCTTTTCCGGCAACTTTTTCCAAAAGGAAATCGGTGACTTCTCGAACGGCTTCTTCGATCTGCAAAAATCAGGCAAACTGGGCGATTTTCATTCTGATTTTACCTCCAATCTCTTGCTCGATCTCAGCCGACGAGTTGATACTATTCTCGTCTTTTTTTCCTCTGCGAATGGCTTCTCCTTCCGAGGACGGCCTCTGCGACGATTCGAATCGTTCGACGTCTCCGGTTTCTGTTCCTCTGCGATGCCTCCGTTCGATGTCTTCATAACCGGAACTACGGTCAATTTTGGTGTTGTTATGGCAGTCTTAGGAGTGGATTGACGAAGAATTCTCGGACCTTGAATCGAAGACCAACGGAGCACCGTCTTTTTGAGAGGCATAGCGGGCACTGACGACAGAGAAGAAGAAGCGCCAATTTGCTGCTGAATAAGTGGATGATGCCTGAAGAGGAACGATAAAAAGAATGCCAAGAGTACACGATATCCCTTACTTTCTAGCCTCTTCTTTCTTCATTTCTTCAGCGTCTTTCTCTTCCGCCGCTTGCAGCAGATCTCCAGATGAGTGAGGCTGTGGGTCCGACAATTTCAAATATGCCGGGTTTTGAGACTTGACTGCATAATACTGGCTTAGTACGTGCGGCGTTCTCATGGATTGTCCGCAAAACTTTTCGGCGCCAAAAGCAAGTTTAAGGGAAGCCAATTCATTCTTCTGTAGACGCACAATTTCAAAACATAGCTTTGACGACAAGAAACTAACTGAAACTCCAATTCGATCAGCACATTTTGGAATAATTGACAAGTTGGCAACGTCAATGCACCTGCGGACAGTCGCACTGCAGAATCCGGTCATTTGGGCGGTAACCTCATCGGGCTTCTGCCAGATTGTTCCATGTGCTTGGTCGCCGAGTCGCCTCGCGTATTCTCTGTTGAAGACGGCTGTTCTGGCAATCATGACACGAGTCTGGTCGCAGAGATGTGCTCGAACGGCCACAACACTAGAATCTTCGAGGAACTTGAAAGAGCTCATGTCGACTGGCGGCTTCTCCCGACAACGGAAACATCCGACGCGCGGCTCTCTCAACGTGGAAATATTTGATGATTTCTGAAAAGTAGAAGATGTTATGCCAACAGTTAACTTTGTCGATTACGTAGAATTTGGAGTAGAGAGTGATTGGGGCTTTCTCGGTATATGCAGGTATTTGAACGCTTCTGGGAGCCACAGTCATGTTCTTCGCCGTGCTTTTTGGAGCTGGAATCCGCTTAATAGCGTGTTTCGTCATCTGAATCGCCGCTTTCTTGCGTTCCATAATAGACTTTGAAAGGGGAAGAATAGGTATCGCGCTTTGTGAAACCTTTGTTTTCAACATCTGCGTCGGATCGTGCTCGGCCAACCTAGAAAATGCTCGCATAAAGTGAAAATGAGCGGGAAAAGAACCCTAATCGTCTCTCGAGGTCCTCGTCGTTAATTTCCACCGGAAGAGGATCTTTTTCGATCATGTGAATGGTGTTCAGCACGTTATTTAGGCCATTCATTTGCGGTTCGAGACGTGGCGGAGGAGAAGAGCTTCGAGTTGATTCATCGCGCATGTCATCGTCCGAATCGAAGCCACGGCGATTATAATATTCTGAAAAGTATGTTGGAGTCATTTTTATGTGCGAAAACAAAGTATTCACCCACCTTTTTTCTGTCTCTGCAGTTCGAAGCGTGATCCGAGAGGTCGTTGTGGTGGAAGATCGGGCGGTTTCCCAGATTCTAGCACTTTTACAACTCTAAAAAATACTGCCACTTTTTTCTAAAAATTTTAAATCAAACGTCTCATCGTCGTCGTCAATCCCAACCACATCCACTATTTCGTCTTCCGAATCGGAATCTTTTGATTCACTCTTGACAGAAGTTTTCGGTGTCGGACCAGAAACACTGCTAGATGGACGTTTACGGACACTAGTTGGATTTATAATCTGATAAGTTTTGTTCTGCTGAGAACTTTCATTATGCTGAGATCGTACAACGAAGACTTCTGAAACCATATATTCAACTTCCGAATTCTAACATCACAAACTTCTCTTGATTGTTTGCTGTTCTGGAGTTTTTCTTGCAGGTGGTTGTATAGATTCTCCGAAAGAAGCCCATCCAAGGTGCGCCTTCGGTTCGTACGTTTCACCACCTTGACTCGGTTCTCCATCGACAATCATAAAATCTCGAACGTTCATATTCTTCTTTGATGAGGAAGAAGAATTGGGAGAAGACACAGGTGAGTAATCTTCAGAATCATCTTTAAGTAAAAGCTTCTGGAAAAAGTGCGTGTCTTCCAACCCGTTACAGAACACAACTAACCGCCATTTTCTCGTCATCTCCTTCACTTCTGTTCGTGCTTTCAGGAGACATGGAAAAATTGAATGCCTCTCTTTGCTCAGGTGGCATAAAAGCGAACGAAAGCGGCGAAATAGGCGGAATGGACGGCGGAGGAGACTTCTCCTGTTTCTTCCACCACGAAGTGTCGTCCATAGTGAGGTGATCGTCGTCTTCTACCGGACCCAAACTGCTTGATTGGACTGAACAACCGCTCATTCTGCGACAGACAAAATTAATTTAAATTTAAATTTACATCAACGAGAGATTTAGGCCCGCTTTAGACAGATAATTATTTAAAAAGTGAAAAAGAAAAAAAACAAAATGTTGTTTATTAAATTTTGAAAGTTTTTGCGGGTTACTGTAGTATTATAAGGTCTCGAAACGATTTCTGTCTGCATTCTGCAAACTCGTTTGTAATCGCTTACCGTAATCTTAATTATTTTTTGTTTTCATGTTTTCATTTTCAGAAAAGCCGCTTTCAAGGTTCGCTTTTTATTGAAAAACCGCAGATTTCTATGTCGTACATCCTGAAAACAATTTGTTCCACATTTTTCTCTTGATTAGGACCTTTTCTAATCATTTCGCTTGCAAAATGTGATAATTAAAGAGTCGATCATTTTCAGCTGATGTAGTTTATTCCGCCGAATGCTTACTTGCATTAATCAACATTTGGCAAAGTATCTCTCCATTTGTTCTTGTTTTATTCATATGGTTCGATTTCAAAGTGCCTCTTTCTCAGCTCTCCTTTGAGTTTCTCTTTTGCTTCTCGCATTACTACTTGGCTATCATCTCTGAATTTCTCCTTCCTTTTCTGCCTCCTCTTTCGCTTTTCCAAGTGTTTCCCACGCGAGACGCAGAGAAAATGGAGAATAAAGGCGCATGCGGGACGCCGTGGCCTAGCGTCCCACCACGACCGGCACTCGGCCATGCGCTCTATCGATGTTTTGCCGATTTTCGTTTGAATCTTGACCGCTCCGCATGCCTGTTCCGTTGCGGTTTCTGAAGCGTTTCGGTAGCGTCGCGGTTCCCGACTCCGCCCCCTTTTCGAGTCTCTGTGTCTCTGTCTATCACCTGTGCGACCGCACTGTTCTTTTTCCTCTCTTTTGGTCGGCTCGCGAGCAACATGTTGGTGACGCAGAGATGGTAGGTGTCCTGGAACGGAGGGCTCGGGAACCGAAATGCACCCTACGGAACAGAAATGTTCAGTGAGAACACTTTATGTTAAAATAAGCACCGAAAAATATAGCACAGCATCCGCAGTTCACTCTTCAGGCGATTTCAAGCAGACGTCAATCCGAATGGACGACGGACGACGGCTTGCTCATGATGATTTTCAATTAGCTGGGCAGTCAATATCAGGTGAGGAAGACAGCGCCGTTCATGGAAACGGAAGCCGATTATCAATACCTGGATTAAAAATGATTTTTTTCGATTTCGCTTATCATTTGTATCTTATAGAAGCTAGGGATTTCCGACTTTCTGGGAGTAAGATGATTCAGGCGCGTCATCCAGTTCGCATAACACCCAAAGGTCTGGAGACGTGTTGCAGCCACAGTTCTCACGAGATGACGCTGTCACCAAAGAGACTCAGTACATTCTTGTGAGTAAAAATTGCACCACTGATTCAGTTAGTGATATTTCAGCTGCAACTAATTTCAATGGTCAGAGATAATCCAGTTCTTTACGATGAAGATTTGCAAGCGACTATTTCGGATGCAGAGCTGAAACAACAGAAGAAAGACGCGTGGACACGAATACGAACGGACATGATGTGGCAGGATATGACTTCCGTTCAGGACGTTTGGTCAGAAATCTTTGAACAATACGCCCGCAAATCAGAAGATCTCACGGAAAGTTTGCTGGAAGCGATGCGCTGGACAGATCCCATTCTGAACAAAAAGAAATGTAAGTTTTACAAATCTTTGCAGAAATTGAAATCATTTTCATTTCAGCTGATTCACGGCCACCTTCACAATTGAATAACATGTCATCGTCACTGGAAAAAGACTATTTCGCCGACGTTCCTCTTGCGGAGGACGTGCTCGTGTCGGGTCAGAGCATGGAAAGCCCCACGTCGTCGCTGAACATGCTCCGCGAGTACGTCGTCATTCAACCAGCTCGAAGAATGGAAGACGTCGAAGTGCATCACGGAAGGCCCAGTCATGAATCAGTGCAACAATGCTCAACCTCGTATTCACGCCGGAAATCGCCTCCACGAGAAACAGAAGCCATTGTTCGGACTTATCCATTATCACTAAAACGAGGGAACGCCGTAAGTCATCGTGAGAACTATTATAGGGGCACCTCACAGAAATTGCGCTCTGTTGAGAAGCTCTTTTTGCAGCGCAAATTGTGTGGCCTCGGGGGCCGAGTTTGAAAAGTTAGGCCACATTTTCAGTGGAAAATTACTTCGCGGCCTAGAAATTCGGCCAGATTGCAAACAGAGCGCCATTTCTGCGAGATGCCCCTATAATACATAACGCATGCCCCTTTCATCGGTACTTGTGCGCGCGTATAAATACACTACTGCGCCGCCCCAACGATGATGCACGCGCGGCCGACAGGCTAGCAGCCTTGGCTGTTAAGTGAGAGGTCGCAAGTTCGAAACAGCTTCGTGGTGCACTACACTTTGCGTTCTGCATTGTGTGCGCGACTTGTGAAGCAATACCAATATCTGCAGTATCTGCTCATCCGCTTTGTTGTAGTTGATGAGCTCGTTGTCCGATAACACTTTTGCATTTTCAGACTCGTCCCGAACAACAGATGCCATCGGTTGAACAGAAATTGTCGAAAAGATTACTCGGTGATGCCAAGAAAGGTACTGTGATGATTTATTCCCGAGAAGCACGCACCCTAATTTTCCGCACGGCGCTTGGATGTCCGTGTCCAGATTAGATCAAAAATTTTGAATTATTAAAAATTGTATGACAATCTTTTTCAGAGTACAAAGGCGATCACCCTTCCACTCAAATGAGTTTCAACCGCCACAATGTCCTGGTTGACGTGGAACACAGTTTCCCTCCCTCCACTTCGAAAATGTTTAAAGTTACTTCTCCTCAAGCTACAACTTCTGTCACATCGACGAAAAGACTGGGCGGAGTTGTGAGTGTGAACCCGATTTGAGTGAAAATTATCGTTAAACTTCAGATGCACAGAGGAAACTCTCTGAACTATGAGTCCGTTCCCCCAGAACCGCTAATCGAGACGTCAGTTCGAAAACTTCACTTTATTTAGAATGTTGAGTTTTTCAGGCCAGATAGTCCCACAGAGCAGCCGCCGAAGAAGAAAATTGTACTGAACGTGGACTCGGACCTGCGGCATCACCGGAACCTTCCGATTGTTTGTTCCTCCTCGAGCGGTCACCTGCCGAAAACTCGAGTTGACGAATGTTCGATGCCTACTGTACTGCTGTCCGGAACCAGCGCCTCCGATAAGATACTTTCCGACGGAGTTCCAATCGCCGACGACGAGATCATTCTGGAGGCGACTGGAGAGTGCAAACCGCTTGTCGGCAGCTCCGGTCTCATGATTGGAGGACCTTCCGGAAGATCCGCGGCTCAGCAGCTGAGATCTCCTACCTCACACGAGCATTCGTCGAACATGCCGTGCACTTCAGGTGATGCGATCCATCACTATCATCACCCGGAAATCGGTGAGTCCCGACGTATTCTGATCAAAACTTTTCGTTGAGCAATGTTTCTAGAAGAAGGCAACGTCGAGGACATTGGAGAGCAGGTGGTCGTGGACGGACAAACCGATGATATGGCGATTCAGTACGACGAGGATCTCGCTTTCCAGCAGCACATAAACAGTGTGCTGAACAGATTAACCGATGACGACGTCTGTTTTCGTCAATGTAAATCGTTTTATAAGTACCTTTCAGAAGACCGTCATGAAATTCAACCTACAAAAGATCATTCTCGACGCGAGATTCGGTGCCGGAACAGCCCGCTCGATGCTAAAACACGATCAAATGCTGGAGCAGCACATCGAAATCGATCAGCATCAAGAAACTAGCGACACGTCGCTCTGAGCGTCGATACAACCACGAAAGAACTCATGAGATTCATATCAAGCAAATACGAGATCAACACTTTTTTCTTCCAAACAAGTTTTCACTTTTCACCTGCCTGTAATATTCCGATTTATATTACTTATTTACCATAAATTTGTGTCTTTTTGGATATGCAAATTCTGAAGATGTTTTCTTTTAGGTCGGATGACCTTTTAACATATCTTAAGTGTTGAGTAGTAAATAATTAGTAGAGAAAACTCTATTTCAGAGGGTCAATGCCACAGGAGAATGCGAAAGACACGGCGGAGAAAGAGAAAGTGATGCGGTCGCGGCGGGGAACGGTCGACACGGAGCTGAGTGCGCTCCAGAATTCTCTGGACATGGACGACGCGCCGTACAGAGCGCGCCTTTATCAGCTGTTCGGACTCATCGAGAAGGAGTTCGACGGTTTGTATGCGGAGAATGTCGCATGTCGGTTCAATCTCACTTTTAGTTTCCCCTTGACCCAATTCCAGTTTCAGTGCGTGCTCGAATCGTTCAATTGACACAAACTGAAGGCGAAGTGGCGAATGTGGTTGCGCAGGAAGTGTTCGGAGCCCAGGAATCGGCCAAATCCGGTCGGAAGGCCATACAAATGGGCCAGAAACTCCGGACGGCTCTCCGTGGACCACCCGTCTTCCGCGATGGTTCCAAGTTCCGACTGAGCCGACTGCTCGAAGGGCACAAGGACGGAGTGTGGCACGTGGCTGCAGATTCGGCGAGAAACGTTTGTGCAAGTGCGAGTGCCGACCAGACCGCCCGCGTGTGGTCGCTGGAGAACGGCTCCTGTCTGGCCACCTACCTCGGACACACCGGAAGCGTCAACTGCGTCGCAATTTCCACAAACTGCGCGATAGAAACATCAGACGGATCCGGCCCGGCTGCTGGACTTTTACTGGCAACTGCGAGTGGAGACGAATCGACGCACATTTGGAGAGTTCCGAGCAACAACGCCCCGCTGGAGCACAGTTCGGAGGAAGAAGAAGAGCATCACGGAGGGGGCGGCGATCCGAACAACCTGCTCGGACTGGAGCATAATAGATTCTCATCGACGAACGAGAAATCGGACGGGCACCGAGTACGTGTCCCTGTGATGAGACTGACCGGGCACCGGGCGCCCGTTAGTTGTTGTGAATGGTTGGCTGGAGGACAGCAAATGGTGACTGCTTCATGGGACAGAACTGCCAATGTTTGGGATGTCGAGAAGGGAGAAGTCGTCAACATTCTGAGTGGTAAGCAAATGGCTTCACTGTGTTCGCATAGTAGTTTCTTTGGTAATTTCAGGCCATGAAAGCGAGCTGATTCACTGTGCAACGCATTCGAACCACAAGCTCGTGCTCACTTCTTCCAAAGACTCGACGTTTCGTCTCTGGGACTTCCGCGAGTCGATACAGTCCGTGGCGGTGTTCCAGGGGCACCAGGACTCGGTGACTTCAGTCAGCTTTAACACCGACTACCGCATCGTCTCCTCGAGCGACGACGCCACCGTCAAGATTTGGGATCTCCGGAACATGCGTACTCCGCTCGCCACAATCCGTCTCTCTTCTCCAGCCAATCGCGTGGCAGTCAGTAAAACACACGCAGTCATTGCCGTCCCGATGGATAATCGCCACGTCAGAGTGTACGATCTCAATGGAAATCGCCTTCCGCGAATGCCGAATCGCCGGTGCCACGAGCGAATGGTCACGTGCTGTGCTTGGCTCGACGAGCATCCGGCCAACAACCTGCTTACTGCCGGATTCGATCGAATGGTTGCCGCGTGGAAGGTGAACACTTCCACCTCATAATTCTTGTCATTCCGTTTTATTTGTCACAGATGTAATATAATGATCATCGTACAGAATCAGAAAATAAAAGCAGCTACAGAGTGAATAAGATTCAATTCCGGCAAGCCGAGTGGCCGAACCCTCAAAAATAGTACAAGAATGCAATGAATCACCGTTAGTTGAGAAAATACATTTAAAAAGGACTAGAAGAGAACCGACTATTGCTTAAGGTTCATAACTTTAGGGTTCAGACGATCCGAAGGAGTTCCGTAGTCACTTTCCCCCTCAATTCCTCCGAGATCTCCCGTCTGTAGCTGTCCGAATTCGAACGATCCGCTGCTCATCGCCGCCAATTTCTGTTCTACTTCATTGATCATTGCATCGTACTCGGCGGCCGTTTTCCGTGGAGCAGACGAAGAATCGGCTGGCAACTTTGCGATGGCTTCAGAAGCGAGAAGAGCCGCAGCGGCGGATGGAGGCGTCGAGCTGCTTGCGTGATCATCGGAACCATTCTGGAGAGCCGGAAGGAAATCGGCGCCGAATGGGTCTGAAAATGAAGGTTTCAAATGCACTACGAAAAGAAACAAGTCTTACTGTAATCGGCTGGCTCAGTGACACTCTTCTTCTCTCCGGCTCTGGGATCGAACGAATCATCGAACACATTGCTGTTTACTTTTTTCGGTTCACCCAAATCCAAACCGTCCAAACCGGCGGCAATTGAACTTTTCGGCGAAACAACGGGATTCCTCCGTGGAGCAACCGGAGGAGGCGGAGCCAGAGCCGGTGGGCGCGGCGGAGGAAGTGAGGGCGCGGGACCAGACGGAGAAGTTGAAGAAGGAGATGAAGAGGCAGAGCCGCCGGTGGAGATCGGCGGGAGACGGGGAGCCAATTCAGTGGGCGGAGTAGACAAATCATTGAGACGTGGCATGGAATAGATGGACGACGGCATGTTGGGAGGAGGTCCTTGCGGCATCGGCGACAGCGGCAGAGCGGGAGGAAATCCCAGGCTACTCTGAAGAGACTGAATGTGAGAATTTTGATTCCGTGCAAAGAGACTCACCGAATGATCCACGTCGACTTTGGAGTTCCCTCGAAGAGCAGCAGCGAGTCTTTCGATCAGCACTTGATTCTCCGTCTCCAACTCGGCGATCTTCTTTCGGAGAATGAACACTTGTTTCTGATTTTCCAAAGATGTTCTGTTCTTATCCAAAAATCGTTTGTAGGCCAAATCGAACGCCTCTCCGATCGTCAGAGTGATGTCTTCCGCCAGTTTCTCCGAAGTGAATGCGTAGCACGAGTGCTTCGCTTCGGATCCTTCGGCTCTTGCGATGAACGAAAACATTCTTTTATCCTGAAAACGTCCCGTCATCACTGTAAATCGCTCGTATTGCCACTCACATCCTTGTCATCGGCACAGAAGGATATTCTTCCCAACGGAAACGTGAACATCATCGCTTTCGTTTTCGTGTCCGTGATCACTACGTTATCAATCGATATTCCAATGTCGACCTTCTGAAGTTTAGCCGTCTCGCGGGACTGCTCCGATCTCTTCAGATCTCTTTGGAAGCGGATCGCGTGGATTGCCTCCCGGGCGACCTCACTTCCGTGCGGCTTCGCAGTTTCCACGCATCCCATGTATCGAGCGACATATTCGACACGTCCGTTTATCAAATAATCTGTAATTCATTAGATGCTTTTAACTGTTCAAGTATAAATATTTCCAAACCTGGAGGATGTATCCATGTTCTTCCAGAACCGCCTCGATATTTGACATGTGCCCCGCTTGTGGAAGGGTTCGACGAGCTCTCGCCGTTGAGATTACTGCTGTTTCCGCCGGCGATTCCAGATATCGATCGTTTGAAAGTTTTGTAAATGTCTTTTGCCATCTGAAATGTCTCAGAAAATGGATGAAAGTTGAAAAGAATCAAAGGATGAGCAAACTATGTAAACACGAAAAAGAGCGGAGGGTGGAGCGAGCCGATTGATAAAAATGATGAGTCAGCGGGAACAGAGGGAGAAAAAAGAGAGCGGAAGGAGGACGGAAAGGTCCGAAATGAGTCAGAACGAGGGCGAGAGGACCATTAGTCGCGGATAAACAATCGGACGAAACCAAAGGACGGGGAGGTCTGAAGAAGTCCATTCGATCAGCAAACAGAGAAAGAGCCGATGGAGAGCGGAGACGCAGACAATCGGCAAGAACAACAAACAGCTGAGGGTTTTGAACGGGCGGAAAAAATAATGGAATACGCAGAATAAGAAGTTTCGAGAAGGGAACAATGTCACAAGACGGACGGAAAGCACGGAAGCATTGATTGGAGTGGCGTACTCGTGATCAGTGCGGACATCAGAGAAATGACGAGTCAGCACACTGGAGATGTATTCCGAAACACTGTGATTCAGACGCGTTAGCCAAAATGTTGAAAGACGGCCAACCGGAACACCTTCCAAATGAGATGTTCGTGGGCGGCCAGTGCAGTCAGTGACGATTCGGTAAGCGGATAGCCTCGGTTTGTGGCTGACAATAAGTGTGCGAACGTGGTCAAGGCCGGTCAACAGAAGGGAGAAAAAGTGCCGCCCGTCGGGAGACACAGACATCCTTTCCGTCCGATTGGAAGGCTGTCGTGTTTTTTTTTCACCCGGGGTACAATTGAGGGCGCTGATTCGGTTATTGATCGAACAAATTTGATGATGAAACGAGGCGACGTTTGAAATTGGGATAGATTCTGAAGGTCGTAAACAATTTTTGCACTTACATCTATTTTGTCGTACTACGTAGATACTCTACGATATTGGCGGTACCGAGACGCTTTTTGAAAGAATAATTTCAGCTACAAGTGCGCCAATCGTCAATTCATTCATTTCGATCCCGACCGTGCAAACAAACAATGCTACACTAACTTAATAAAATAGTGGAAAAACTCGAACAGAAAAAAGGTTCTTCTAAAAATTTCTTCGAATGGATAGAGATGATGAAGGAACAACGAGAAGTACATAAGGAATACGGTGGGTGATTAGACGACGGCGACGCCAGCACTTAGAGCGTGTTCTCCTTCCGCTTACAATCTCCACCACGACATGCCGGCGCGAACATGGGCGTAGTTCGGGAAGGCTTCCGTGCGTCCAACTCCGACGGCAGCAAGGTCACGATCGTACACGTGTCTGGAGATGGCCTCGCGGATAGTTCCGGCATCAACCTTCTGGATTTGAGCCTCAAGCTCCGAAAGTTGTCTCAGGTTTCCGCTGTACAAGAGCTGAAAACAATATTGAAAAGAGAAAATGAAGACATATTTTACCTCCTTGGCGTTGAATCCGGCCTTCTGGGTGTTGGTCTCAAGGTTTTGGTACAAATTGGTTCTGAATTGGTTCTTGGCCAAAACGACTTCTTCGTCGGTGGCAGCAGAGGCCAAATGCTTCCATTCGTGGGCAACGGACTTCATGATTCCGCTGGTATCGTTCAAATCGTGACCATCAGCAACAAAGTAAATTCCGAACAGTCCAGTGTCCCTGGAATGAATTCTTCATGTGAACAGAAACAAACACGAGATCGCATACTTGTAGTTGATGTTAAAATGCTGGATATTCTGAAGTCCGTGGTCATGTCCGATTTTCTGGACAAGACGGGAAGCGGCGGTTCTCGAGGTGGCGTGAGTCACATCCCATTGTCCTAAAACAAACATCATTGGTTTAAAATAGAAGGAAGAAAGCGAACCGATGAACTGACTGGCAATTTGAAGAGCGAGGGCATCCTTGTGGGCATATCCGACTCCCTGAAAAACGGTTACATCATAGGTGTTTTGAGTTGAGCGCCGGCAGTTTGGGACAGGCGAGTCGGAGGGGCCGGTTCGAAAAAAATTTAACAGCCGTAAGGCTGCCAAATTTACCCGGACTGTAACAGGTTGTCAACTTGTTCTAACTGTTGGGTTACATTCAAAAAGTAATCAAATATTTCTTTTTTACCTCAACGGCGAAGGCAGCATACATGTGCGGCACATTGTCGTTGCGGTATCTGTACTCAGATCCGGTGAATCGGGTTCCTTCGGCTTGTGGAACCTTTCTCGGATACTCGTTGCTCAGATCTCCGAAGTACTTTTCGGCGAGGCTTGGAACGTTCGAAACTCCTCCTCCGACGGCAGAGAGGACCATGCGGACTGGTCTGTAGTGATCCTCTTGCCACTCTTTCAGCTGTTGAGCGGTGATGCTCTGAAATAATATAATTATGAGTGGAAATACATATTAATTTACTGACCGGAATGCTTTCGCTAGTTCCGAGGACGCTGAGAGCAAGAGGAGTTCCTTGATAAGCGGCGGCGTGAAGCATATCGAAGAGAACAAGTTGATGGTAGTCATCAGAGGCTTCCAGTTCCTTCAGGAGAACAGCCTTCTGGGAATCAATTACCGCAGAATCGAGCTTGCTGTTGCGAAGGACATCAGCAAGAATGTCGACGACTGCAAACTCGTTTTTACTATTTATATGTGCCTTTCAGTTACGAATTTTACCTTTTTCAACGTCTTGAGCTCCGGTTTGAACAAAGACAGCGGTCTGATCACGCTCGGTGAAGGAGTTAAGTTTGGCTCCGATGGCATTGAGCTCAGATTCAAGAGCGGCGGATGCTCTCTTTCCGGTTCCCTTGTGGATGAGTCGCTCGAGGAAGTGGGCGACACCGTTGTTCTTCTCGTTCTCGTATCGAGATCCAGTCTCAATCCAAACTCCAACCTGAACAAAAATCAATGTTTTTCAGAATGCAAACACAAAACTGACAGTGGCGGTGGCGGTTCCGTTGTCTTCGGTAACAACACGGAATCCGTTCTTCAGGGTGGTGACCTCAGCTTGTGGAGCATTGGCGAGCACATCTTTCACAGAAACAGCCGAAGAGGCATTGCGAACCTGCAAGAAACATCAAATTCTAACCCCAACTGCCCAGAACATATTTTATCATCCGTTTCAAATAGTTCATCCGTTACTTATTGACAGAAACTCTTTTTCTCAAAATGAATTTCATTCCAGAATTGAAATAATGTTTTCCTTCATTTTCTGAGTTTTTATAAAATATTCACCTGGCTGTTAAGAGCCGGACGCAGAGCAGAGCTGACAACGAGTCGAAGAGCCATTTCCCTCAAGTTTTCCCTTGTTCTCTGCAAACAGAACAACTTCAATCGGGTATCATTCGATAGGTAATTGTCCAGAGAATTTCACTTAAGCTTTAAAAATATCTGAAACTCCATATTTAGTGCACAAAAGTATTAAAACCGTATATTCCATGAAGCCGCCCAGTAGAAAAGAGACTCAGACAGAGAAATCGTTGCGAGACCCGTCGCCTTTTTAAAGGCGCAGCGTAAATCGAGCGACGACTTTTTCGAAATATTTTCCCAGAAACCCAGTTGTTTCGCTTAATTTCGTGCCTAATTTGCGTTTTTTTTGCAATTCGTCATTAGTTCTGATTCGATTATATTCTTAAAATCGTCTCTTTTCGAAAACCATTCAAATTTCCTCGTATAGAACGTTTAATAGCTCAGAACCTAGATCCTACATTCAGGAGAAACTTGCGATGTCGTCAAGACACCGATTAGATTTGGATGGGACTGGACGTGGAGATCGGAGGAGGTCTCGCTCTCCGCAGAGGCGTTCCCGGTCTCGCTCTCCTAATCGACACTCTTCTCCTGACAGGAAACGGCAAATTGGAGCAGTTGGTAATATGAAGGTAAGCCTAGAAGTTCAATGGTCGATGCAAACTATTTTTTCTGCAGATTCAAATCAATCCGTACAATAGTCAACCATACAGCAACCGTTATTGGACAATCTGGGAGAAGAGAAGTCAGCTGCCAGTCTGGGAGTACAAGGAGAAGTTCATGGAGCTTCTTCGCAACAATCAATGCATCACACTCGTGGGAGAGACTGGATCAGGAAAAACTACTCAAATTCCACAATGGGCTGTCGAGTTCATGAAGCAGCAACAACAGGGATTGCCTCCAAGTCAGGCCAGACTAGTCGCCTGCACACAACCTAGAAGAGTTGCTGCAATGAGTGTCGCCACTAGAGTTGCCGAGGAGATGGACGTTGTACTTGGACAAGAAGTTGGATACAGTATTCGTTTCGAGGATTGTATCAGTGAACGCACCGTTCTGAAGTACTGTACCGATGGTATGCTGCTCAGGGAAGCGATGAACAGCCCGCTTCTCGATAAATACAAGGTTCTGATTCTCGACGAAGCTCACGAGAGAACCTTGGCTACTGATATTCTGATGGGACTAATCAAGGAAATTGTGAGAAACCGTGCTGATATCAAAGTCGTCATCATGTCTGCCACTTTGGACGCCGGAAAGTTCCAGAAATACTTTGAAGATTGTCCGTTGCTCAGTGTCCCCGGAAGAACATTCCCTGTCGAAATCTTCTTCACTCCAGAAGCTGAAAAGGATTATTTGGAAGCCGCTATCCGTACTGTCATTCAAATCCACGTTTGCGAAGAGACGGAAGGAGACATCTTGCTCTTCCTAACCGGTCAAGAAGAAATTGAAGAAGCGTGCAAGCGGATAGATAGAGAGGTCCAGAACATGGGTCAGGACGTCGGAGCACTCAATTGCATACCTCTCTATTCGACCCTTCCGCCGGCCTCCCAACAACGCATCTTCGAACCTGCTCCTCCAAATCGTCCGAACGGTGCCATTGGTCGCAAGTGTGTTGTCTCCACAAACATCGCTGAAACCTCTCTCACAATCGACGGAGTCGTCTTCGTCATAGACCCCGGATTCTCTAAGCAGAAAGTCTACAATCCACGAATCCGTGTCGAATCTCTTCTAGTCTGCCCGATCTCAAAGGCCTCCGCAATGCAAAGAGCTGGTCGTGCCGGAAGAACGAAGCCTGGAAAATGCTTCAGATTATACACGGAAACCGCTTACAAGTCAGAAATGCAAGATCAGACTTACCCGGAAATCCTCAGATCGAATCTCGGTTCTGTTGTCCTTCAACTGAAAAAGTTAGGAACGGAGGACCTCGTCCACTTTGACTTCATGGACCCTCCAGCACCGGAAACCCTGATGAGAGCTCTAGAGCTTCTCAATTACCTTCAGGCGATCAACGACGACGGAGAGCTCACAGAGCTAGGTAGTCTGATGGCCGAGTTTCCTCTCGATCCTCAGTTGGCCAAAATGCTCATCACTTCAACCGAATTGAACTGCTCCAATGAGATTCTCTCGATCACTGCTATGTTATCTGTTCCACAGTGTTTCGTACGGCCGAATGAGATGAAGAAGGAAGCCGACGAAGCGAAAGCCCGATTTGCACACATCGACGGTGATCATCTGACACTTCTGAATGTCTATCACGCATTCAAACAGAGTAAGTCCGCATCTTCCTTATTTCCCATACAATTTTTGTTATTTTCAGATCAGGAAGATCCACAATGGTGCTATCAGAATTTTATCAACTACCGTACAATGAAGACTGCTGATACCGTCCGTGTGCAACTGGCGCGTGTTATGGACAAGTTCAACCTTCGCCGAGTTTCAACGGATTTCAAGTCTCGTGATTACTACCTCAACATTCGGAAGGCCCTCGTTGCCGGCTTCTTCATGCAAGTCGCTCATCTGGAAAGAAGTGGACACTACGTGACCGTCAAGGATAACCAGTTGGTGAATTTGCATCCGTCGACGGTTCTCGATCACAAGCCCGAGTGGGCACTTTACAACGAGTTCGTGCTCACCACAAAGAACTTCATCAGAACTGTCACTGACGTCCGTCCCGAGTGGTTAGTTCTTACTCCTCAGAGCGTTTCCAAACTCTGTCACTTTTCAGGCTCCTCCAAATCGCCCCTCAATATTATGATCTCGCAAACTTCCCCGAAGGAGACACCAAACGAAAGCTGCAGACTGTGATGCAAACGTTGCAGAGAAACTCAGGAAGAGGATATTGATCTCTGCACCTATACATTTTACCTGTCATCACACAATTGTTCCTATTTGTCTTAACCACTTCAAGTAATTCCTTTTTCCAGTCTGACTTTATTTTTCAGTATGTCCAGTGAAATAATCATTCATACATCAATGTTTGAAAAAATAAAACGAGAAAAAATAGCAAATTAATTAAATCTTTCTTCTTCGTCGTCTTCATCTTCATCAGTATCATCCCACGGATAAAACTCCGCATCGAGCATATCATCTTCATAGTCACTGCCATCATCAAATGCGTCGTCGAGCTCAAAATCGTAAAGATCCTCTTCGTCGTGGTCGTTGAAATGATGAACTCCTTCGAACAGTCTTCCGGAACATGTTCCCTGAAAAGAAAACATATTTCATTAAAGCCTTATTTTAATACTTACATCTCCCTGGAAATGCTTGTACGGATCCTCCTTATTGAGCCCTTCGGAGCACAGCCAACAGAAGTAAGTGTCGCACTTTGTGCAGTGCATCTTGTGGCATCCCTCGTTTTTCTCTATCCTCACGGAGCACTTCGGACACGCTTTGCTGTTCGAATCGAGCCATTCCTCGTTCAGGAACCTCTCCACCAGCACTTGCACGTGTTTTTCCCCTCCGAACTGTCTGATCATGTCCGCCCGTTCGCTGGCTCCGCCCTCCTGCCACTGTTTCACAAGTCTCGTCTTGTCGCCTTTTTTCCACTTGCATCCGGATATTCCGTGGAAGGTTTGCTTGCACAAATTACAGAACGAGAACTGACAATACGAGCATTCGCCCAAGTTTCGTTCTCTGGAAATTGACGTTTTTCAGTCTGAAAAAGCGCTCTTTTTCTTTTTACCTATCGGTGACATAGGCCACTTTTCGGCACAATTCTCGAGGACATTCTACAGTGTCATCCATCTCACGAATCGCCTTCTCCAACATTTCCGTTTCGTACCTTCAAACACGACTGTTTTTAAGTGAGATAGAAACTTGGCGTACTTGGCGTAGAGCTCATCCCCGAGAGCCTCCTTGATAACGCTTTGCGGCGCTTCACTGCTGCATCCTTCCGCCATACATTGCATCGCTTTCGACTGAAAACTCTACAACTTAAATAAAAATATCGAAAATTCAACCTACCACTAGTCCCTTGGCAACTGTTCGATAATAATCGTGAGTGCATGATTTGCAGAAGACGTGCGAGCACGGATGGAACTTGATGCATTGATGACCGATCAAACTGTCAAAGCACACCTGAAAATTGTTACTAATCTAGTAAAAATTGAATGTTTTGCTCACTTCGCAGTCGTATAGAGTATTTATAAAGTGCTCTTCGGAAGCTTCTTGTCCTTTTCCCAGAATTCTCTTCTTGAGGGACCCGATTGTTTCTCCGTTCTTTCCCAATGAATGCGCTTCGTTCAAATTTATCACCTTTATTTGCAGCTCATCAACCTGTGAATGCCTTCCTCATTTTAGTCATGTTATATTCTTACTTTATCAATGATTGCTTGATAACAAAAGAACAGCACCGGCATCATCTGATTTTCCTCGCAAATCTTCTTTATTTCAGTTTCGCACGCTCTTAATTGATCTTCAGTCATCCAATCGCTTTCGAGAATCAAACTGGGAGAAGAGAGAGTCGGATAATCATTTGGAAGTCGGAATTTGAGTTGAACGGGAGGGAGAATATCGAGCGGAACGGAAAACTTTTCTCCAGACTCGGAAACACCTTCGACAAGCACGTTGGGGTCCGAAATTGAATCGAAGCCAGCCTAAAACTGAACTTTGTTCATTTTAATAAAGTCAAAAAGGGTCTTACCTCAACGAACCCTTCGATTTCAGCCTTCTCATCCGTCCAGTCACTTGTTTTTGTCAGTTTGTTTTCTCTGAGAACGCTCTCCAGCGCTTCCAGCTCATATATTTGATTCTGTCGGTTTTCATCGGTCATCTGCAAATAATAGTGATAAGTGATACGTTTTCGTTCAATAAATAGTAAAAATATATAGTTGCGAAATGTTGCCAAAACTGATTAGAAATTGTTGAAAAATAGGCGAAACCTCGTGACGTCACATGGCAGCAAGCGCGCGCTGTCGAAAGAAGCAATTAGCGCGAGGTTCGAATTCTTTAAAGGAGAGCTTCAAATGAGTGGAAAGCGAAACAATTCTAGAATAACTACACAAAAAACAAGAATTACGAAGACAAAAAACGTGTCCAGATTCTAAATACGCATCGAATTATTCTAATTTCAAAACTTTTGGCTCAGTAGCTTCTTGTGACATCGAAACGACTGGAAGAATCCATGCAGTCATCACATTTTGAGAAAAAACATGTACTTTTCCCCGTGAACCCGACTTCTCCTCAGTTTTTTGTCCCTCTGTTTGTTATTTCTCTTCCAAAATGAACAGCGACAACGATGTGGAGAAGCTGCTCCGCCAAGAGCACATCCGTCCGGAAGACCTGCTCACCGACGGCCCCAACAATCAAAATCAGCACATCGAGACGGAGGACACGACGGTGGCGAACACGAAAGGAGAGTCGAGGAAGGCGAGCCAGCCGGCCAACGCTGTCCGCGTTCGGCGCCAGTTGCGTATAGAAACTCACACGTTAGTGGCGAAACAGAGCGAATTCGATAGTGCCTACACTTCAGAGACATCCACGACCTATTCATGCCTCTGATAGTGCTCGGCTACGCGCTTATCGCCTTCTGCCAGGCCGTCGTCGCCGTCGCCATCGTCATGTTGTGATGTTCGACCGTTCTCGACACTTCATTTTTCCCAGAAGCTCTCATGAACATCATATTTTTCATTTGCATTAATAAAGATCTAGAAAATTCTTGTGTCGCCAGTTTCGCACCCGATGGTCTTCGGTTCGTGCAGCAGTGCAAAAACAAAGCATTTGTCCGTCTTGTCACCCGCTGATATGTGCACTTTTCGTCGCTCCGCTGCGTGCTCTATCGCTCACAAAGTTGAACGTAAAAAGCCGGAAATGGTAGGTAGCGGGTCGAGAGTCGTGTGAGCCCGCCCATCGCGGGAGACTCTGTTTACCCCAAACAGTACGCGGAGAGCCGCGGAGATCACTCTCTCCTCTTCGTTTCCCTTCGGACACTCGACCCTACGCCGTCCCTTTTTTACTCCTTCCACTATGCAGAGCGTTCTTTTGCTCGTCGTTTGTACGGCGGCTGCTAACGCCTTCTATTTCAAGCGGACACTTTACGGAGACGCGAATGAAGGTGCACAGGCTCCGGATTATGTGAATGCCTATTATGTATGTTGGATAGAAATAAGATAGAGAGACGGGGTTGAATGTGTTCAGGGATTCCCGTCAGCTCCACCACAGGAACCACGCCGTCGGCCTTCGTTCAACTTGTACCCTCCTCAAGGATACTTCCGCAGAGAGCATCCGTTCGACTTCGGTCCTTTCGGACACAGGAGTGAACAATCAGAATTCAGAATGGGAGAAGCCAATCTCGGTGAGAAGACTGATCGTGAGCGTGCGATGGAGAAGGCGAAGCCAGGATTCTGGAGACAAAATCAACGCGAGACGATGGACAGAATCAAGAAGATCATTGAGGAGAAGAGAATGGATATGGAGCAGAAGCACGTGCAAATCAGAAAAGTGCTTGCTAGCGAAGGAGCCGAGATCAGAGTGAGAAAACGATACATTACTACAATAAGTTTTTATTATTCCAGTCCAAGTTTGCCGATCTCCACAAGAGACTCTTAATGAAGAACATCAAGATGGCGTCTACTGATTCTCCAGTGCCGGAACTCAGCCGACAGGCGAAGAAGATTGAGAAGGAAGCCAAGAAGATTATGGAAAACGGAAAAATGAGTGTGGAGAAGAAGCAAGAAAAGCTCGACAAGCTCATGCTCAAGGCTCCAGAGTCGGTGAAAGCCGAGCTGAACGCCATCAATGACTCCGGGTAACGCGGTCTTCCGAATCCCTCATTCCGTCCTTCTTTCCAGAACTTCTTCCGCTCCTGCTCTAGTCGTTTCTCCTCCTGCTCCACTGCCCTCTCAGCTGGAAGTTCTCAATCGTTCTCAGCAGACTCAAGCAGTCGTGGAGGCTCGTCAGATCCGAGTATCCGAGGACGGCAAGACCGTCGAATTCTAATCTCGTCGCTCCCTTTTCATCTCCATTTTAGCGTCTCTCAACTGCCCAAACTCTTTCCTTCCGTTCCCTCGTTTATTCGCCCCCAAGACCATTCAGAAGCGACGAGCTATCTGACTGCCAAGTGATTTCAGCTCGCCGTTTGCCCTCCTGCTCAGTTCGCCTTCTCCGTTTTCTGTAAATAACCTATTCTCATTCAATCAACTCTCAGAACCGTATTATTATTATTATTATTATTGTACTTCTCTTCAATTGTTTGTTCAAAATAAACCATTTATTTGGGGTGGGAATGCCGCAAAAATAAGTGAACATTGAGGGGGGGGACATGGGATTTCCTGGTAAACTGTGAGCAAAACAAGGTGATGGCGGAAAGAGAGGGAGAGAAGGCCCGTAACGGAGCGATTAGACACGAGTCGCGTCGCCGAAGAACACGTCTTTTTCGTCGTTTATTATTTTTGGTGATCGGCTTATGGATCTGAAAATAAGTGAGATTATGGTGTGAGAAATGGGAATAATTGGTTGTGTGCGCAGCCAAGAAGTTATCAAACATTGAAGTAATAGGCTTTGGACTCGAACTTGGAAACTTCACATGCGAAAGATTCATAAGAAAGGGCCAAAGTTCCGTCTCCGAGTCCTTTAGAAGAAGAGAATGATTGTGAGCAGATTTCCATGTTAAAGTGACACGTGGGAAGAGTGCACAGCATGGAAATCACTGACAATCAGACCTGCGAAACTGACTGCCTCTGCGGATGACGCTGTTCCGCAAATTGTCCATCGCCCTCTCCACACTCTTCCGCCGCTCCCGCGTCTTCACATTTCCACAACACCTGAACGCACACACGCAACCTCAAAAAATATTGTGTAAGCTAAACGGAAAAAGTTGAGGTGCCCTTACATGTGATGAAAAGAGTCAGACCGACTGCGAGCGCGATGGACAAGAGAAGCGAGAGCGTGCCAGTGTCGAACCGCGGCTCGGGTTCTCCGTTCAGCTCACTCGAGATTTCTTCTGAAAATACATCTTATTCGGATTTTTCTTTGAACTAAGACCGTACTGATAATCATTGACAGTGCGGGGAACCAGTCGTCAGTCTGTGCATAATCGTTCACTTTCGTCAGAATCGCCTTCCTCTCTTCGGCTGTTATGTACTTCTCAGCTAGTCGAGCTGGCCAGATAACCATCTGAAAGACCTTCGTGACAGGCTTCCTAAGGATTCATCCGATACCTTTTTGTAGTGTTGCCACACGAAAACGATGACCGAATTTCCGCAGTCTCCGAGCGCCCATCGTCCCTCGAGAGCTCGGCAGAACGCTTCTGCTCTCTCTGTTAGTTGCCTGCAATTTATTTATATATTTATTGTTTTTTTTACATCGTCAATTGAGTTTTTTGACGGTAAAAAAGCGGAAAAAAAACGACGCGCTGAATAAACCCGAAAAACGTACGAGATGTTATCAGAATGGGGGCAGTCTCTTTGTTGGCATTTTGTTATTTGACCGCGGCGTCTACTAGTCAAGGAAATGGAAACTTCTGAGAATCATGACGATCTTCAGTGAGTTCTCCGAAATGCGTACTGTTCCGAACGAGAGACGGCTTCAGAGTGGTCCACAAAGGCGTTCTGGTGCCGGCGGTGAAAAAGTACACTCCGATACTCAAAGATCGGAACGGAAGCGAACTGCTGCGAAATGACGAGCTCTTCCGCGGGAAGTTTCATGTGAAGGTTCGATCCTCTCCGTTGAATCGCTTAATTTGACTCTTCAGGGTCTGATCGGCCGTGGCGGTTACGGACAGATCTATTACGCGTCGGACGCCACTTTCCCGGAAGAGGTGGTCATTAAGATAGAACCGACAACGAGACATGGCAGCAAAGCGAAGCGGATGTTTCTGGAGCACAAGATACTGTACCGTCTGCAGGGAAGACCGCACGTTCCCGTGATGTGCGCTTCCGGACACACTGATCAGCTTAACTTCATCGGTAGAGATTCCGATTGGACTTCCAGCCAATCTTCTTATTTCAGTGATGCAACTACTCGGTCCGAACATCGGAGATCTGAAGAAGAGGAGTCCAGTGAAACGTTTGAGCCAGGCGACCGTCGCCCGCATCATCATTCAAGGGATCGCTGCGCTTCGCGACGTCCACTCCCTCGGCTACATTCATCGAGACGTGAAGCCGGCGAACATGTGCTTCGGAATCACTCAAAATGTGAAAACAATACTCATTTCCGAATTCTCACTTCTCAAAACGCTTTGCAGACTCGCCATGTGCTCAAACTGGTCGATTACGGGCTTGTCCGCAGATACAAAAATGCGGACGGAACACGTCGGAAACCGAGATGTAGACCTGGATTCAGGTGAGGAGAGTAGAGGAACTTCCAAAAAACGTCCTGTCCAGAGGAACTCTCCGTTACGTGTCCATCCGAGTCCACGATCGAAAGGACCAGGTCCCTGCGGACGATTTTGTGTCCTTGGCCTACTCGGGAGCCGAACTGTTGCTCGTGAACTTGCCGTGGAAACTACTCCACCCGGATGACTTCAGACAAGCAAAACTGGACTTTGTATGGATTTTCTCTCAGTGAATACTCAAATTACGACTGCAGCACGTGCCCAACTCCCCGTTCCTCCAACTGACTGGCCCTCACTTCTCGGTCTTCTGCGGCGCCATTTTCAGTCTTCACTCGAACGATGAGCCCGATCACTCATCGCTGCAGGCTCTTCTTCTTGTGAGAATCGAACAATATCTCCGATGAAAGTTACCTTTTTTCTCAGGAGATGACTTGTGGAAAATCGCTAAGAGACGCCTACGACTGGGAGGAAAACTATCGCGATGTGACGGGCAGTTCCACTTCGGAAACGAGCCAGGCAAGAGGATCTCCAAAATTTGAATTCGATTATTGACAACTTATTTGTGAAGCTAATAAAGCTTTCAGTATTCATACTCGACCATTACAACATCCCATTTGATCTAGGTCCGACCCGTAAACCCGGGAAGCAAACATGCAGCGACCCGTTTTCTCTTCGTTATTTATGCCTCCGGAAAACAAAAAACACGGGTGAGCCGTAGCTTAGCTCATTTGTGCTGTTTGAGCCGTTAGTCATTTGTGGTTACCTCCGCGAGCAAACAATTCGCCGGGTCATTTCTTTTTCAGATGGGAAATACTCACGTGTCACTGGGCGAATGCATATGCATGTAGAGATTTTTGACGATGGCAATGGAGACGATGAAGCCGTGGAGTCCTTCGTTGCCCGGACTTCCTGAACGTATTCCCACTCGTTCGGTGCTCTTTTCTCTCCGGATTTACCTTCAATTCCAGTGGTGCACTGCGACCTCCTCTGGCAATGGCACGGCGTCCCAACTGCCAATTCCTGCAGCTGGATGTTCAATTGCATGGCTGCAAATCGCTTTCTCATTCTTCTTTCTCAGTCATTTTCCTCATCTACTACCCTCAAGGGCCACATGTTCTCCCCCTTCAGCCCTCTTTTATTACTATGCTCCAGTCTTTGTTCTATTGAGGAAGAGTCCCCTTGCCGAAAGTGTGCTTTGGCACGGATCGGATCGTGTACCTTGGGTGTTGTTGAGCATATGATCGGGGTCGCAAACGTAGAGCTGCTGCTTGTTCCGCGGAAGAACCGAAACGCATTGATTGACTGTCGGACCGCGAAGATCGGGGAATTGAGAAGAGGTCCATTGCGACGAACTGGCGGAGCGATAGAGAAGAAGTAAAAGTAGAAGAGAGCAAGAGAGCATCTGGAAGGAGACGTTATAAATGACAGGAAAAGTGTTATGATATGGGTTATTTTGAAAAACTGCGGGTGGCTCGTCGAAGCAAGACGAATTGTTACAACTGAAAGAAATCGAGACGACAGGAGCGGAGAGCGAGAGGCAACGGAGCACGGGAGCAAGACGGGCGGAGAGCCTCGAAATTAGCAAGGGGCCATCAAGTGGAGACGGAAAACGGCTGACACGGCATTCTGCCCCACCACGTGCACTTTTGGAAGGGGGAGGCCGGAAGGAAAAAGAAGAATAAGAAGACGTTATGTCGGAAGTGAGCAAAGCGTCACGTGGCAATGGCTGCCGGAGGGGCGGGCTGTAAACAAACCTGCCACACGGAGAAAACAGAGGGAGACGCTGACAAAGTTCAAATGTTTTTACAACGGAATTAATGGGTTTGAGTGAGGAGAGCATGTGCATTCTTGCCGGAATTACGGTAATAAAACCAAGACGAGGGAGCAAGTTGTTTATGAGGAATTTGGAAAAAGCTCAAGAGAATGTCTGAGGGCTGCAGTGTGAGAAAGTGATGGGAAGGGTGCGAAGAGGGGAATTCCTTCCACATCATAACGACGGAGCATTCAATATTTTCGCGGGTACTTCTCATTAATCTTTCTCTTTCTTGGGATTGAAGGCTCAGCAGAGCGTGACTTCTGAATTGACCATTGTTCAGTTTATATTCAAATGCACTTGTAGGAACTAAAACGAAACATGCGATGACTTTCTTAAGACAGTTGAGAATGGCTCCCGGAACTGAGTTGAAAGGAAACAAATACGAGGAGACACTATGATGTTCTGAGCGAAAAACGGCGTGAGCCTATCGGCTGATTCTCGGTCGAAACCGACCAAAACATTGGTCGTTGCCGAAAATGAAGGATGGGTCGGGATTAGGAAGAGGCGGAGGAGTGGTTACTCGTGGATTAGAATCTCAGAGAGCGGTGCCCACATGCGAGACGGGCGCCATTTTGGAAGAACGAATGCGAGTGCTTGTTGTCCGCGGACGCATTCTTTTTGCTCTGCTGGTGACATGTTTTCGAGTGAGTTCTGGGATTGGCGTCGTCTCGTGGGAAACACAGCTCGCCGAGCACGGCGATGCGTGAACAGTGGCTCGGCGAGCAACCTGAATGCTGCTTTTGATCGATCACCTACAACAAGCGGGACATGCGACCTTTGAGAGACAAACAAAAGGTGATGCATGACATCTTGAAGTTGATTCCGGCGAGAGGGACTTCAATGAAAAATTATGCACAAATTTCTGATCTTCTCTTCCCACTTATTTAGCTTGCACCCATCATTCCCACGCATGCAAATCAAAGCAACTTTGAAATCATGTTCGAAATGAAAAGTCACGGAATATTCAAATTCTCGAGAAAGCTTGTCAGAAATTGTCCCAGGAATCAGTGCTTCACAGCTCCAAAATGACCTGTGTTTGATCCGAACTTCCGTCTTTGTCTACAGTGAACTTTCCCGTGCAAAATGCAAATTATCTTTTTCAATTATTGAGAAAGATTACTGTACTCTTCCAAAAGTTGTCAGTTGCAACTACAAATGATTCGAAAATCGAAAGAAACGAAGAATCGAATCTAGCCTAGTTTCCCGGACACTTTTCTGGTTCATCGAAGGATTGAGAAGTTATTTATCATCGGAAAACATTCCCATTAACCACCTTCCGTTCCGATTCGCACTTTCTCCGGACAACTGTTCCCTTCTCTCTTTCTTCTTTTCCCTTCACATTCCGCCGACTTCTTTTTGAACGTTTTATTAATATCAGAAAAAGATACGAAAGAATTGGATGATATAAAAGAAGATTTGTTTGCTGAATTTCTGAATTGAAAATCAGTTGAATGTGTGGAGAAAAGGAAAAAAACGAGAGAGAAAACGGTCTGCAATTCTTTTCCAATTCGGCAGAAAACGGGATGCACGGACGACCTCTCTAGAGCGACGAAGAAAAGAAACGGCGAAAAACGACTAGACGATGGGTTTATACACAAAAGTAGAACATCGTTAGAGAGAAAGAGAAGAGAGAGAGAGAGAGAGAGAGTGAGTTACACATTCGATAATAATTGCGGTGGATAGAAAGCATATAATGAAGAAGATGAAAACATTATGTAGCACAAAGAGCGGAGGGGTTGCTCAGGTGTTGGGGAGCAACGATGAAAGGCGGCGTGACAACAAAACAGAGCAGGATCTTTAGTCCTGGTCTGGGAATGGACCGGCCAAAACCTTCTTGATGAAATCTGCAAATGATTCGGATGAGAACCCCACGCCTTCTTAGCTTTTCGTGCTCGCTTACCGTCGTATTTGACCATTCCCTCTCCGTCTTCGATTCCCTTGAGGAGCTCGTCGGCCTCGTCGGCGGTGAGTCTCTCTCCGAGCGCGAGGAGGATGTGTCTGAGCTCTGCGCACAGGATCTTTCCGGACTCTTCCTTGTCGAACACCTTGAGTCCCTCGAAGAAGTCGGCGTAAGTTCCCTGCTCCTGCAAGATTCTCTTCGTCAGTCGGATGCTCGTGGATGGCATGGGGGGAGCGTTGTTACACTGCGGCGGCGGCGGCGGCGGCGGGGGATTCTCGGGAGTCGGCTCTCCCACACAGAAGATCTTTCTCTCTATCTCTCAGCGGTTATTGATTCGGTGTGTGGTGGCATGTGCCGTCGGAAACACCGATCTGCGGGGAGCGGCATGTTCGGAAGAAAGATGATGATGATGATGTAAAGAACATCCATCACAGAAAACAAACATGCCACGTCATAAAAGAAACGGTATGGTTTTTTAGTGCGACCGCAAATTTTGAAACAAAAGGATAACAACAGTAGGTTCTAGAATACTTTGCAAACTCTTTTCTTAATCGCTATTCCAAGAACCTACAGTCTGACGCACTTGCCTACCAGTTATCAGTGTTTATCTAAGCCGATAAGAGAAGATATCTGTCTATTTGTGTACCACTTGGCGCCGCCGCCGCGGTTTCACTTCTTCTTCTTCTTCTTCTTTTCCATCTTCACGTACCTTTTCCTTGGAGAGCTGCTCGTAGATCGGGAGCCACTCCTCGAACGTGATTCTCTTCTCTCCCTTACGCTTGAACTCCTGTCCGGAGGCCTTCACAACCATGGCCTGAGTTGGCTTGAGTCCGGCGGCGCGGGCGACATCTCCGATCTGGGTTCCGTCGATCTTTCCGTCGAGTTCCTCGTCGTAGAGGTTGAAGATCTCCTTGAGGGCGTCTACAAACGCGACGGTAAGGAGAGAGAAAGACACGGAAGGTATGGGGGGAGACTGATAATGTGAGCACCGAAAAGGAATGGCCCTAAAAGGAGGGGGAATCGGGACAGGAATAACTCACCTTGCGATGGAGCTGGCATTCTGTGATGTGTTGGCTCGGTGAAAGAAAGCGAGTGAAAGAGGGAAGAAGCGTCGACGGCGGGCCACCCGAAGTGTACACTGTGTGTGAGCGAGTGCCTTCGTAGATCGGGGGCGGATGGGGCGGGCGGATACGGCAGTGAATCTCCCGGCGGGACACACTCTCTCCGCCCGCGGGAGCCCCATCTCGAGAGCCGAGTCGTCGGGATGTAAAGCCGCGGAGAAGAGAGCGTGCGATTGGGGGAGGGCTTCGGGAGCGCCAGAGTACGGTAGGTTCATCGAGACGCCAGGCAGGGAGCCGAGAGCTGGCGAGTAACTGTTTCGAGGAGAGAGCCGCGCTGATTTGCAAACACATCTTGATTTCCAGTTTTTGCCGTACTTCCAGTGCAAATGCGTAGACAAGAATAGAAAAAAGAGGTTTTATATAGAAGTGGCTAGAAATCAGTTGATAAAAAAAACGGTCGTTGCACTTCGACTGCGCTCCACTGAATTCTTCGGAGGACTATGAAATCTGAGGTTCCAGCCGAACTTAGCGGAGAGCAGTCATTCCACAAACGGAAAAAGCTGATAAAGATGAACAATTTGAAAGTGTCTAACAATGGTCAACAACAACAACAATTACAAATAAGAATAACAAAAGAGAGAGGTTTAGACGGCTACTCGGTGTAACGAGCAAGGTCGAGTCGTGGGACGATGTTCATGGATTGGAGCTCCTGGAAAAGAAGCTTGCAGGCGTACGGGATCTTGATATTGGCCATCGACTTGCTGGAACGACACTTCTGACACCATCCTTTCGATCCGATCACACCACAACCCGTGCAGACGTCCACCTGCAAGATAAACCATGTCAAATTGGTTCGAGCTGATTTCCTTGAATAGCAATCTTTGTGTTTTGACACTTCCGCAAAAAGTTCATTGGTTCGCGAACCCTCCGATTAATTCGTTGTAAACGCTTGTCGCAGCTCCTTTGTACCCTCTTACTTTTCGCACAATATTTTCTCTTCTCCCACCGCGTGTGCCACTCCAATCGCACATTTTCTCGGCATTCCACTCCTATAAGCACAAAAAGCGCAGAGCACCCACCACTGCTGCTCTTTTCTTCTTCTTCTTCTTCGTCTTCCTCTTTCTTTTTTTCGTCTCTTCCAAAGCTGTTACTTCAGAGAGATCCAGGGAAATGGTGGCAAGGGTACGTGCCGATCAGCGGAGACGCAGACGTCGCTGCCGTAGGATATACATTGGCGAAATGGCAATCAAGAAGAGATCCCCAGCTAGCCGTCTGTGCTCTCCGCTTCCTGAGAACTCTATTCCGTGCACCGCCAACCTTTCTCCCCGATTCTTTGACTATTTTGCGAGGGAGAGAGCAAAAAAAAGTAGAAGATGATGAAAATGAGGAAGATGAGGGAGGGGAGAATGACTTTCCATTGCCACTTCGAAGACGAATGGATCATCGGAGAGGGGTCGCACAGTGATAACCTGGATCTTTGGCGCCATGCAGTATCGAGTTTATATGCTTCCTCATGTTGTACTCTGACTTTTCAGCACAATCTCATTCATACAAGGAGATTGCAGCTTCCCGCCGACCAAACTATTTCCAAAAATGCCAATGTAAATGGCGGGGGTTCTCAGAAAAGTCGCCCGCGCAGTCTACCCACGCAGTAACATTGGGGCACTGTGCTTCTCTCTGCGGGAGCACCCTCTGCAACAGTTTCGCTCCTCTTTTCGAATCCCCCACTTGAGTGTTACGCTTGCGAGGGGCGCCGGCGACCTAGTGTAATGATGAGCAAAAATTGCGCACACAGAAAAAACGCGTCGGATGCGGCTGCTGTGGATAGATAAGGATGGCGGGGTGAAAGATCGTAAATATACCTTGAACTCGTCGGAAGATACCATCAGCCGTTCGATGAGCAGCATTGAAGCTCCGTAGGCAATGAGACAATCTCGTTCCATTTCTCCGAGTCGAAGACCTCCTTCTCGCGACCTTCCTTCGGTAGGCTGTCGCGTCAGAGCGGCTCTGAAATTGGAAGTTGGAATGGAAGCGGCCAATCGATTCTAACCTGGGTCCTCTGGCACGAGCATGCATTTTATCCAATACCATGTGCTTCAGCTTCTGGTAGTAAATCGGACCAAAGTAAATGTACGCAGACAATGGCTGTCCAGTGATTCCACTCGTCAGCATGTCCTTTCCCATGTAGTTGTATCCACGTGCAGCCAACTCCTCGCAAACTTCTTTCACTTGATCTCCTCCGAACGCCGTTCCATAATGGTAGGTTCCATTCATAACTCCGGCCTTTCCGGAAAGCAGCTCCATTAGTTTTCCGACTGTCATTCGAGACGGATATCCGTGAGGGTTCATGATCATATCGGGCACCATTCCGAGGTCGTTGAACGGCATGTCTTCCTGCTGAGCAATCAGTCCACAGACTCCCTTTTGACCGTGTCGAGACGAGAACTTGTCTCCGAGTTCCGGACGACGAGTCTGCCGGAGGAGCACTTTGAACAGATGCGCTTCGTCTTCGTTGTAGGTGAGAAGGACACGCTCTGCGTAAGATGGCGTCGGTGTTTTGTAAGTGATGGAGACGTCTTTGTAGTCAACTTGACGGCCAGCGATTCCGACTGAAAATGAACAAACTAAAAAAGGAACATGATGAAGAAGAACTGACTAGCGTTCGCAGAAGCAGCTCCTGGTCCGCTTTCCCCACTGACAACTGGCATGTGCTTGTTGATTATCGTTTGTTTTGGAAGAATTCTCGCTCCTGCGAACACGATACCTTCTTGATCAAGATTTCTGTGTTTGAAAATTGGTTTCCTTGTGTTCGGATCGAGAGCAGGTCCGAGAAGACGATCGAACGTCTGATTCGGATACTTTTTGGCTGTTCCCTTCACGTGCTTATACACTAGGCACCGACCGTATCCTCTGTCGAGAGAAGCCTTGTTCAAAACGAGAGCGTCTTCGATATCATATCCACTGTACGACATGACTGCGATGATTCCGTTCGCTCCGGCTGGCAGCTTTTCAAAGTTGGTCAGCTCAATAGTCTGAAAAGAAAGTTTACAGAGCAAGAGTAAAATTATTACGCATTGAGCGCATTGAGAAGATTCCCCTAGCGTTTTTTTTTTATTTCACTTGACCTATAGCTATTGCCATCCAATGGTCATTTTAACTCATTATTCCTTCCCCCCGCCCATTACTTTTATGTTCCTCTTTTTATTTTCCTGTAAATTTTCCTACGTGGCAGGAGTGAATAAGTGAATTATTATTACCTTCGACTTAACGAGAGGTCTTTGTGGATAACAGAGTAGGTACATGATGGAATCGATTCTCTTCTGCTGGTTGTAAGCAATGGTTCCCATCGCCTGCTTACCCATAGCACATTGATAAGTATTACGGGGTGATTGATTATGATGGGGGTACGGAATGAGTCCTGCACACACACCTAGAAGAGTGAACGGCTCGATCTGAAAACATTTGTTTGCTCCAGAATTTTGGCTGAAGACGACAAACCTCGAGATGAGTGGTTTCAGGTCCGATTTCTTTCTCGTACACCGCAATCAAGGCATCATTCATCTCGTTCACATCCAGATATTCGACAATTCCGTCATCGACAAAGTCCTCAAAGATTCGTTTTCCCTCTTTCAACTCCTGCACGTGTGCCTGCGTGAGCATAGGAACACCGCCTTGAACAATGATGTACGGGCGGCACAGACGTCCTCCGTCAGACGAAATGAAGACGGAACGGTTGGTGAGAGAACGGGAGACTGATACGAATTCGGACAGAAGACCGCTTCTTCGTACGTCTCTCACGGCTTTCACAACTCTTTCCGGGTCAGTCGCGGTTCCGATGAGCACTCCGTTCAGGAAAATCAATGTGTTCTCTCTGAAAAAAAGAAGCTGTATGAATGGAACAATCGTGATATTCAGTACTTACGGTTTGTTCACATGCGAGAAATGCACATTGTGCAAATCTTCGACGCCAGAATTCAGAAGGAGGCGGAGCACTGGTTTCTCGTCGGAATCGGTTGTGATATGACTGATAAGTGCAAGATTCTTAACGAGACCGCACGCTTCTCCTTCTGGAGTGTCACTCGGACACAGCATTCCCCACTGAGATGGCTGCAGTGAACGGGGACCGGACACTTTTCGGGTCTTCTCGAACGTCGAGTTGATTCTGGTCATCATGCCGAGCGCAGAAATATAAGACAGCCGACTGAGCACTTGAGTAACTCCCAGGCGTTCCATTCTGAACCTCTTGATGATCCAGTTTCCAGTCGACATCGCATTCACAATAGTATTCGTGATCATGTCCTGTCTCATGTGCTTCACAATGTCCAACGGCGCCGCCATCGTCTTCATCAGGGCATTGTCGGCGACTCTTTTCAGTTCGGAATTGAATCTTTTGAAGACATCTTCGAAAAGCAGCGCGAGCAGTGATCCGGCCAGTTCGAGACGTTTGTTTCCGTAGAAATCTCTGTCGTCCAGCTCATTCTCTTTCAGTTCCGTCTGAATCAATCTTCTCGTCATCAACCCTAAGTAAATCGCCTTCATCTTGAAGTTTCCATCTGGACAAGCAATGTGAGTGATCATTGAACTGAAAATAGGGACTATGTGAGGAAAAGGATGGAAAATTCTTACTTGGATAGGAAATCGACAGCTTCGTGCTCTTTCGGAGGCGTCAGAACACTGACAGAAGTGCCCGGCAATGAACCGAATGGGACGAACTTGCGAGCTTTTACTTTCGAAGTAACGTAGGCGAGAGCTTGTTGTTGAGTGTAAATCCCATTGGCAATGCACTCTTCAAGGGTTTGGGCGAACGCAGAGACGTACTTCTCCTCGTGTCCGATTGTACTCACGATATCGTAGTCCGATTCCACACCCATCGCTTTGAAGATGATGGAGACGGGGACGTCGTCAGTGAGCTGGTTGTGTCTCACCGAATACTTTCCTTTCTTGACCGTCACATACGTTTTACTCTTCCTCTCGGAAGTCGACGAGAGCACCTCGCACTGCAACTCTTTGCTCGAGTTTTTTCCGACCATAATACGATTCTTGGAGAGCTGCTCCTGGATCAGAATGACCTTTTCACTTCCTCTGACGACGAAATAACCTCCCGGGTCGTACGGACATTCTTGTACTCTGGCAAGCTCTTCCTCGGCCAAATCACGGAGAATGCACTTGCTCGAGCGAAGCATAATCGGCATTCGACCGATGATCAGATCTTTCTTGAACACTCGCTGATTTCCACGCGTGTATTCAATGTCCACAGAAATGGGCGCCGAATAGGTCATGTCTCTGAGACGGCATTCTTGCGGTGTGATCTTGTCGTGAGTCATGTTGAGTCCCTCCTCGCTGCTCGGTTTCCCAACACGAATGTCCAGGTATTTGAGATAAAAGTTGGGGTTGGCGTCCGAAGTGATTTTTTGGTTGGAGAGCATGATGTTGCGTATTTCTTCGTTGACAAAATGATCGAAACTGACGAGATGCTGCTTCCACAGGCCCCGCACCTTCAGAAAAGACGGCACGAGAAGCCATTTATCCTCCAGTGACATGCACTTTTGGTCCTTGCCGCGCTCCGATTTGATGCGAGTGCGGCCGTTGGAATGGCCAATCGTCATCTGAAAACAATGCATTGAAAGCTGAAACAGTAGTTTCAGATGACTTTTGAAATATGAAAAGAGGATGGAAACAATTATAAAGGATGACGAAAAGTGAAAAAGCAAACGATTCATTAAGACTATTCACACAGTGAAATGGAAAAAAGGCACGAATTATTTGTACACCCGGACAATTATAATTACATTGATTTCTAATAAAAACTAATAAATTTTGGTTGAATTCATAGAATGCTTCAGAGCTTCAAGTCGGTGTTATTGGGAAGAGGAGAGAAGTAATGTTCGACGGTGGTCCCTTTCACTTCTCCGATAGTGGCTGGATTCCATTTCGGATTACGATCCTTGTCAATCAAAACTGAAAAAAAGTGCATAGGTGCGGGATGTTTGTGAAACGTTAAAACGCCTGACGGCTGCCAAATTTTTTTTGAACCAGGCCCCTTCCACTCGCCTCTTTAGAACTGCCGGCACTCAGCTCAAATAACTTATGAAAAAGTGTTGAGGATAAAAGATGTGAAACTCACTAGCTCGGCATCCCTCGTGGAAGTCCTTGTCGGCGAGGAATCTCTGCGTCAGGCGGTACTCCATCGTGAAGATCTTAGCGTAATTCATCTTGCTGCCCTCAGTGATTTGACGGTGGGTAACTTTCAAGGAGGTTGGGCTCACTTTCCCGAGCGTAGCCGCCTGCTTCTTGGCCCAATCCGATCCGTCCTTATCCAAATGAGCGAAAATTTCTTCGACGCTCCTGAAAAATTGATGAGATAATCCAGAAATTGGAAAAAGTGCTCACTTTGCTCCGAAAGCGTCCTTGATTTGAGCTAGATGCTTCGAAAGGCTGAACTCTGGAATCTTCTCTGGTTCGAACGATCGAATGACCTCATCGACCGTGTTTTCATTGACCTCCTTCAGACCCACGAGCTCTTTCTCGAGCTTTCCGAGTTCTGCAGACGGCACGAAATGAGTTGCGAGCCCAGCATGGAAGGCATCGGCGCCGAGAAGACGGTACCCAGTGAGGGCCAGGTACATTCCGAGATTTCCCTTCAACCGGGAGAGGAAGTAGGATCCTCCGACGTCTGGGAACAGTCCAAGAGCTGTTTCTGGCATCGCGAGCATTGTTTTTTCGGTGGCCACACGGAAACGGCCATTGACCGACAAACCACAACCCTGAAAAGGATGAATTAATGCAGTGTGTGAGGAGTGACTTACTCCTCCCATGACAATTCCATCGATCAAACACACATATTGTTTGTTGAAAGTGCCGATCAGATGGTTCAGTATGTATTCTTCTCGGAAGAAGTCCTTGTGCATCGTGCACTCTTTCCCGTTTTGCGAGTCCTTGTAAGAACGGACGACGGCGAGCACGTCCCCGCCGGCACAAAAAGCTTTATCTCCGGAGCCTTTCAGAATGACAAGATCCACATCGGAAGAGGTGTTCCACTCTTTCAGTTGTGGATAGAACTCGCGAACCATGTTGAGGTTGAGAGCATTGAGAGCTTTCGGTCGATTGAGTGTCACAACCTTCTTGGAGCCGTGGCAGTCGACAAGCACTTCCGATTTGACTGCGGCACTCATCGAGAAGGACATTTTGTGACAAACTTCCTACAAACAAGCATTTTCAAGATTTCAATTGTGACAAAACGTGTTAGTAGGATAGTCAAATCATTGAAAAATGAACCTTCACATTGAGTCCGCGGAACAATGCGGGCAAGTTTCGGACAGAGCTCGTCATGCCTGTAAATTAGGTTAATCAATAAAATCGAGAATAGAAGAAGGATAAAAGCGAGAATAGAAGAAGGATAGTCAATCGAAATCTGGTTCTAGAAGACTTTTATCTTGTTTCCGACATTTTATATCAGAGAAAGAAAGACATCAATGATCACGGGATGGAGTTTGCACTTTGAGCTACTAAACGTGAAAGCTGATAGAACGAGATCATTCGTGTGAAAACAAAAATTAAAAACAGAACTAAACTATTCATCCTCGAAGAGGTTAGCTAGCAACTTTCTAGTTGACCTAGACAATTCCTAGTGTTTTCTCTTTTAGCAAAAATGGGCATAAACGAAGCCTATGAGGGATAGATTCAACTCATTTTTTCGAAAATCGATTAATTCGAATTTCATATAAATTAATTGTACAATTGTACATACAAACATCAAAATAATTAGACTCTGCCGATTGCGTTTCGCAAGTCTCAACGAACGGTTTAGAACTGCAAAAAGCGCGAGACTTCTTGTAACTTTTGAGTTTCATTGCAACTTTTGCACTTTAGACAAATTGCGGAACTAATTTGCTGGAGGATTAGGGTTTTCCGCCAGATAAAAACTTGGAGGCGGGGCCAACTGGCAAGACCGCAACTACCGCGCGCGATTTCGCAATTTTGCCGCACGCACTTTTGCGATTGCCTATGCAATTCATGAATTGTCTGCTGAGACTCTGCTCGATGCTCTGAAATCGAAAAGAACTGTTTTGGATTCAGCAGTTTTCAATAAAAATCGAGGGGGAATTAATGTGAAACAGCCAGAAAAGATAAAAATAAATGAAAGAAATACAAGATTACTTTTTCAGAATCCCTATAAAATTTATTCAGCTTCTTCACAATCTCTTTCTGTTTGAAAATAGCGTGGAACTGTTACCGGAGTGGCTGTTCTCCGAGCACCCGACGATGTCATAGTGGAATTCTGATGGGCAAGTATTCTGAGACGCATGGAGAAGGCTTTTGAAGCCATCTGAATGCAGGAGAAGTCTGAAGAAGGTACGGAGGGTTTGATGAACTGGAAGGATCGCACGGCAGTGCCTCTCCTCGCTGGCAGAGGCTGCCGTCCGATCGTCCAATCTTCTCAATGTGGAATTCTAATGAGGAGGGATTCAGGGCGGTCCAACATAATAGAACTGAGCAGAATAGAACCGCTACATTATAGAACTGGGCATAATAGAACTGCGCAAAAAAGAACCGCGACATAATAGAACTGTTTTTTTCAATTGAGCAGAAGACCACAGTTTATACCTAGAAAATTGGTTTCCTTTCGTTTTTGATAGTACAATAAAATTATTTTCTGTTGATTTTCGTTACCGTAGAGAAGAGGGATCACAACGGAAGTGAAATTAATGAATGCAATAAATCGATCAGGAGATTCAAAAATTCTCTTTTTCTACGAAACAATTATTCTACAGAAAGGTTTAAAAGGCGCTCCAAACCGGTTCCGGTTGTGGTCGGTTCTATTGTGTCGCGGTTCTATTCTGCCCAGTTCTATTATGCTGGACCGCCGGATTCAGAGAAGCCTGGAGAAGGCAATGGACACCTGAGAGCGACCTAACAACGAAGTCGTATCAAAAATAAACGGCGAACACCGAGAGCTTCTCTACGCTGTTAGTTGTTTGATACGACTTCGTTGTTAGGTCGTTCTCATTGTCTGAATATCTTCCTTTTGTCCTTGCCCTTCACTTTTAACTCAATTTGTTTTGTATGCCTAAAGCCCTAAACCCGTCCACGTAACACAATACACTCAAAACACCAGATTTCTTGTATTAAAACGATTTATTTCTGTACTTTCGGATCTGGGCTCCCTTTCTCTTCTCACGAAGATCAAGAGCCAGACGAAAGGTAATGTATGGGGTGGACCGAAGGATCTGTTAACGAAGGGAACGAAACAATCCTAAAACGAGGGGTAAACAACTAGAGTAACAACCAGCGTGAAAATTATGTGCTATTGTCGCGTGACGCGTGACTGTTACAGTAGGCCTCATGCGGCGAGCAGCACTTAAAAACGGGCGGCAGTTCAAACGAGGCGCGCAGCTTGTGGCGCGGCGCGTGCCGAAACTCTGGAAAAGAAAGAATTATTGTGACTGTTATAGGGCTCGTGATAGAGTATCGTTTAGATAGTCGTATTCGCGACACTCCCGGGGCCGGGGGCGTTAGGGTTTGTATTCCCTAATTCTTTCTCCACCACTGTTGGTCCTGAATCGTGAGTCATTTGGCAGTAAAAGTAGGTTGTGCCCTGCTTTGCCGCTCGTGGTAGTGGTGCTCGGCCTCTTATGGGCTGCTCTCGGTGGTCCCTATCTGCTACCGGTAAGGTTGGAACATTGTCTTTGAGGATCTCGGATCGTTGTTCGGTGGTTCTTTCTTGGATGTCGGGATGTTCCTCCTCTCGGTGCGAGTCTGTGATTGTAGTGCCACATTTTACCTTAACTGTCCTGATTATTCCACTTTCGTGTGGGTATACCTCTAGAATGATGCCTAGTGGCCAGTTATGTCTTGATTGTAGTTTTTCTTCTACTAGTACAATCTGGCCTACTTTAGGGGGTGTGATTGAATAATGTTTCACTTTCTTTTTTGCCTCTTTCAGTTGTGTGAGGTACATATCTTCCCACTTGTTCCATAGATTGGATAAGTGCTTATTAATGTGTGTCAGTTGCATTCTAGTCAACCTTTCTAGTTCACTTCTGCTCTCCAGTGCGTCTTCGATATCGGGCACTCCGATCGCTTGGTAACGGGCGATTGTTTGCTCCTCGGCTCCTTGCTGCTGTCGGACGAGCTCCTTATTCTGGTTGATGGCGATCTCCAGCTGCTTGTAGCGCTGCTGCGTCTCCACCTTCCATTTCTTGATGCTCTCGTCCGTAAGCCTTCTCCATTCCATGTTGCCGGCTTTCTCGGCCTGTGTTAACGATTCGATCGTCGCCTTCAGTGCCTTGATCGCTCCCGACGTGTTGGAGTCGACTTGTTCCAGGCGTTGGAGCACTTTGTGCATCTGTTCGATCTCATTGTAGATGACCACTTGGTGCGCCAGTGTGGCTGATCCGGTGGTAAAATGGATTTACCGGCCTTTAAGTTTTCATCGTAGACGTGTTTCCTGGAAGCACGAAGGGTAGCGAGTTCTTCAGAGGTAAGGTCCCGACGGATGCGAAGAAGTGATTGGATAGAGGAGGTGGAGGAGTCGTTCGTCTTAGCTCGATTGAATCCAGACAGGAATTTATCGCGGTCGGAGGAGGAGGAGAATTGGATCTTCATCGGTCTGAATTTGCTGGCGCATTTGTGTCTGAAGGCAGAAGAGGGCACCGGGAGTCCGTGTCGTTTGGCGAAGGACTGAACGAATTCGATGTCCTTGAGGTCTTGGTTGGAGTCGGAGTGATCATCAGGGCATCTTTCAATAACGGCACGGGTGGCTTTGTCGAGGAGAGTTGCGGCCTGCTTGGCCAGTTCCAGAGCGGACGGGGCGGAGGCGGTTGACGTGGGGGCGGTGGTCGAACAAGAGAGAGCGGAGAAGGCGGGCGGGTTGAATGGCGTCGAAGGCAGGAGGTCTGGGAGCATAGGGATCGCAGGAACGAGGGACTTCACCTTGTCATTGAGCGGTTTAGATCCTCCGGTCACGATGGCTTTGTGGAGGAGATGATGTCGGTGAGGGCGGCGACGTGATTGTAGAGCGTTCGGTAGTCGGAGTATGGCACAGCAGCGGTAGAGGAATAAGTAGTAGAAGTTGACTGAGGCGGGGAGTCGGTGATGGTGGCGGAGTACGGCCGCTTAGAAAGCGGTTCGGACATTTCGACCGACATTTTCGAGAAACGCGAGAAAATCTATATGACTTTGTGCATCTGTTCGATCTCATTGTAGATGACCACTTGGTGCGCCAGTGTGGCTGATCCGGTGGTTGTCACTTGCGTGCCGAACAGCACTTGCGGCAGGGCCTTGCTTTTGCTCTCGAGTTGGGCGATGGTGGTCTCGAGCTGCTGCATCGTCGCCTCCATCTGCTGTTGCTCCGATCGCGGCTCCGGCGTCTTCTCTCTTAGCATCGGATCTTCGTCGATGATCATGCTCAGGGCGCTGTCCGAGAGCAGAGATGCGGCCGGGCTGATGACTCCCTTGCCGTCTTCCTCCGTCTCCACTTGCTCAACCCTCTCGTTGATCTTCTGCTGCTCTTCCTCTATCACTTGGATGATTTGCACTTTTCTCTTGCTGGACCCGACGTTTTCTCTCTATTGCCACATTCTGTTGATTGTCGCGTGACGCGTGACTACTACAGTAGACCTCATGCGGCGAGCGGCACTTCAAAACGGGCGGCAGTTCAAACGAGGCGCGCAGCTTGTGGCGCGGCGCGTGCCGAAACTCTGGAAAAGAAAGAATTATTGTGACTTTCATAAGGCTCGTGATAGAGTATCGTTTAGATAGTCGTATTCGCGACACAATTGAGCCCACTAGGATACCTGTACCGAGCCCGAGACTCTGGGAACTCAATCGCAATCTAATTAGAAAACTTTGCAATCTAATACGAACTCGTTTGAAATAGAATTTACTTCAATTAGATTGCAAAATCTTCTAATTAGATTACAATCACTGCAATTTTTCTAATTAGATTGCAATGTTTTCTAATTAGATTGCAATTTTTTCTTATTAGATTGCAATTCCGGAAAAATATATTGTAATCTAATACGATTTTACTGGAACTTCAATTAAATCTGATTAGATTGCGAAATAGAGCTTTTTCTTATTAGATTGCAAACTCTTCTAATTAGATTGCAATCGAGTTTCCAGAGGAGTCGGAAATGTCCAGATTGCTGGTTCATTCTATTTCGCCGTCCTCTCCGTGCGTTTTACGCGCTCCTGCTGCAAAAAATACTCTTGTATTTCTTCCATTCATTTTTATGTTTTCTGGCTGTTTCACATTAATTCTCCCTTGACTTTTATTGAAATCTCTGTCCAAATCCAACAAATGCCACTTTCTGCTAAACAAGGCGCAGTACGATGCTTCAAAAACCGGCGGGTGTCCGCCGGGCCTCCACAAACGCTACTTAGCTGAGCTGAAAGCCTCAAAATGGGCGCTTTCGTGCAAGAATGTGGCTGCAAAGGCGTCCGATTCTGTGCTCTTTGCGAGACGACAGAACGAGTGAAAAAACTGAGGATCGAGGAGGGAAAGTACACCAAGTACAAGGTAATACGAAAAGAGAAACTAAATTCATATTTCCTTTACAGGTTTTCATCTACGATCACCTTCGTCAGCTTGCCATTCCCACCAGTAATTTGGACTCCAAATCGTCTTTAGAAGAGATTATCAAAGGTTCGTTTGCTTGCTAAGACTGTCCGCGGAATGGAGAATGTTCAGAATCCGAAGCATGCCACTTTGCACCGGCCGACGGATCCATCCAAATCGACGGACTCACTCTCATTCGTGATTTTCTATCGGACAACGAAGAAAACAAGATTCTAGACATGATAGAAACTGTCGAATGGGTTCAGTCGCAAAGTGGCCGAAGAAAGCAAGTAAGTCCCGAAAACAGCGTCAACCTCATCAATATGACAAGTTCAGGACTACGGACCGAAGGTCAATTTCAAGCACAAAAAGGTGAAGACGGACACGTTCATCGGAATGCCAGAGTACGCCGACATGCTTTTGGACAAGATGAAAGATTACGACGAGAAGAAACTCGGCAACTATCAGCCATTCGAAATGTGCAATCTGGAGTATGAAGAGGTAAAGAAGAGTGCCATAGAGATGCATCAGGACGACATGTGGATCTGGGGAAACCGTCTTATAAGGTGAACTACGGTGTGCTTTACTGTATTGTTTGACGCTGTAATTTGCAGTATAAATATGATCAATGGCTCTGTGATGACTCTCTCTAACGACGCGAAGGACTCCCTCTGCTACGTTCTCATGCCGCATCGCTCTCTGATTTGTATGGCCGACGAGTGCAGATACGATTGGAAACACGGCGTGCTGGCTCATCACATTCGCGGAAGGAGGATAGCATTGACGATGCGGGAAGCAGCGAAGGACTTCCAGGAGGGCGGAGAACTCTACGAAAAGTACGGCGCCGAACTGATTCGTCTCGGAAACATCCGCGTTCCGCTTTCTCAAAACACCGCGTGATACATATTTCGTTATTATAATATTTGGTCTTTATCATATCATTCTTGATAGCTCGACGCAAATCTTAAGGAAATTTTTATTACGGTCCAAATGCAGCCAAACGATACGAGGAGATCAGTCGGTTAGAGTCCAGCTGCAGAGGGTCAACATTCAGGATTACGGTCCGAATGCAGCCAAACGATACGAGGAGATCAGTCAGTTAGAGTCTACGTCGCTCCTGCACGAAAGTCCGTCCATCTGAACCGAACCGTCACCTCCGAGTCATTTCCTTCGCATTCTGAGCCGTTGCCATTGATAGGTCGTTGCCAATCCATGCAGAGCTGCGATTTGACCACAGATGTGTTGCTGGCGTTGTTCCGACCCCTTCAAACGAACCGCCGCTTTCTGCTAAGAAATAGACTGTCCCAAACTGATCTGATTCTCGTACTAACCCTATTGTTGTTTCGTTTTCACCCAAATAAATTAAAGTGACGTTAGTGTTTGGTCTCTATGTAATTATGGAACACTTATCGACCGACCGCCGTCAACACGTGTCATCACGGGCGAAAACAGGTCGGTTTGGTGGTTGTGACGTCCGTGTTTGGGGAGAGCCAGGACGAGGACAAAGGGTGGAAAGACCATGTGACGGGCTAGATAACGGGGGAAATGGGAGTTATGATAACGGCCGGACGGGAGCGGAATGACCGGTGCTCCATTCGAATTGAATGTAATCAGTTGAGAGACGTTTTTGCAGACGAAGCGCAAGGACCGACGTAAGCGAACACGCTCTATCAAATATCAAACGAGTCGACGCGATTGGCACAATGCCCATTTCAACATTTCAACTGGAAAATGGGGGGAAATTGAAATTACACGGGGAGTCGAGCACGACGTCGAAGGCTGAAAACAAGTTGAACCGGTAAACAACCGTCGCTTTCCCTCCCTTCCTCCCAAACCGTTTCAATTTCTGATCAATGTTTTTGAAAAGCGGAAATAATTTCGAACGAAACAGAAAGTTTTCGGTACCCCCCGTTAGATAGCTATCTGGAAGCTGTTTCTCATAGAATCTTCTGCAGAGGTAAATTAAAGGAACAAACAGCGAAGGGAACTCTCGAGAGCACATTAATATGCCACACAGTTTGTTTAGTCATTCTGTTGTCATCTGGGGTTGATTTTGTGCACTCGATGGATACTTTCCTGAGGTTCAGCGGAGATGAAACAATCTGTGATCATCATAACAATAATTCAATCTCGATTATCGGCAATTCTTGAAGCGTTTTTGCTTTCAATGATCAATAGAGGATCCTAAATCAGAAGACTCATAGAACACAATGCAACCGTGCCTTTTCCACATTCGTCGTCGCTGATCGATGTGTGCTCGCTCTCTGTTCCCCCTATTCTAATCACCCTGATTCCCGCATTCTCGAATCAAAAAGCACGCAAAGTACGTGTCGTCGTTTCTTGCTGCGTCTCTCCAGATCCACCGTCCCCTCCGGCACGCTTATCTCTGTCCACCTCGTGGTTCTCTGCGTCTCTTTCTCTCGCCTGCTCTCTCTCTCTCTCCCGTCTTCTTGTTGTTCTACAGTTTATTGCGTCCTCGCCCCGCCCCTCGAGTCTCTTCTCACGTATTTTTTGGCCGTCCGCCATCTGGCAGTCGTCGTTGTCTTACCGGGCAGGTCCTCCTCTTCCCCCGTCTCCAGATCACATCTCCGTCGGATTTGTCCGGGTCACTCTTCCTCTTCTTCATCCTCCTCTTCCTTTCCTTAGCCTAAATACACTTCCAATTCTTTCAGATACCCATAAACATGTGCGACGAAGCCGCCCGTCTCGCAAAGATCGGTCGTCAGGAGTACGACCTCATCCGAATCCACGACGCCCCAGATTGCGATGAGCAGACCAAGTTCGAGTGTGATCTCGAATTGGCTCGCTTTCAAATCATCCGCAGTCAAATGGCTCTGGTTAGTTCGCATTGAAACGCATCCCTTCCAAACAAAACAACTTTGCAGAAAAACGTCTACAACGAAGAGTTCGTGACTCCGGCCAAGCTCCGATATCTCCGGGATGACCTAGAAGCAGCCGAGGAGCACCTGAAGAAGCTGCTCGAGTCGGCGCAGTGAGATTGGATGCAATCCAAAGTGTACATACTTTTAATATTGTTTTTTGTTTGCCTAGAATGAAAAGCGAGCGTCTTGATAAAATGTTTGTTACAGTAGACTGTTGGAATGGAATGGCACTGGAATGTTGACTAGAATGGGATGGGGTTCGAAAAAAATGAAACTAGAATCGGGTCACAATTAGGTCGTCATCATCTTCCACGTCTTCGTTCCCTTCTGCTTCTGGCAGTTGTTCGTTCATCTTCAAAGGCTTCTGAAACAGACACACTCAGAATCAATCGATCATGTCCTAATTAGTATTCATCTGTGTCCCCTCCCGTTCCTCGCGCCATCTGTCTCAGTCAGTCACGTTGTTTGCCTCGTCGAGTCGTGTGATCTCTCTCTCTCTCTCTCTCTCTTTTCAATCAACAAATAAAAGTAAAAAGAGCGAGAGAAAAGCAGACACTGACTATAAGATCAAACAATATAACTGCCGGGCCGCCCGTACTTTTCCAGGGATCTCTCACCTCTTCCGCCCTCTTCTTCTCCTCGCTCCCTTCGTTTTCCTTTTCGGTCTTTGCTTCGATCACTTCAAACTCCTCCCCAATCACGTTTTCCGTCAATTCGCTCTCCTCGATCAACGGTTCCGTCGACACCTGCAAACATTCGCCTCTGATTCTGATTCTTTGCCCTTTTCAATGTCACCCACTGATTTCTTCGTTCGTGGCTTCGGAACTGGAGGCGGTTCGTCAATCTCTTCGTTTCGTACCAGAACTTCTTCGTCGTCGCCAACATTAGAAAGCATAGCACTTGAGAGCGCGTCCGATCGAGATGAAGTGGTTGAGACGTCGGTTAAACCAGAAGATGGCGTCATTCTTCCGAGCGACACTGGCATTGTCGACGACTTCACTCTTTTATCCTCCAGGAAACGAGCAATCGCCGGAGAGACTTCGCCACTAGAACGCAGATCCAACGCATTCTGTTTTGTCAGAGCTCGTCCGTTGAGCAATACTGCTGCCGGCTCATAGGCGGGAGCATCGAAGCTCGGAGCATCGTAAGAAGGAGGAGGCCGGTTGGGAGGCATGCTGACGGGACGGGCCGAGAACGGAGGGATCGACCCGACGCCTTGGAACGTCGGCGACGAGGAAAGGGCTTCTGGAGGGAGACGCGGAGCCGGCGCCTTCTTCTTCCTCAGTCGGATTGTCTCCGGCTCGACGCCCAGCTCGTACTTCTCCACCAAATGCTTCATGAACGCGCGGTCCTTCTCGAGTGCCAGTGTCGGATATCCGCTCTCATCAGTGCTGATCGTCGACAGTTTCTCTTTGTCGTCATCGTCCAAATCATCCAGCCAATTGTCCAAATCGTCTAAGATCTGTTTTCCCTGCGCAGAAGTGCTCCGAATAGTCGACATGTACCCGTCTTCCTGGTATTTCGGAGGACTGCCAGGCGTCAGAATGGGCGTTTCCTTCGGAATGGCCAGCGGTCGATGGATGGGCGAGAGAGTTTTGAGAGGAGAAGTCTGTTTGGTGACTGGAATGCAGTCATCCAGTCCGAAGTTGAATGCTCCCAGCTCTCCGGGTCTCTCGATGACCACCGAGTTCTGCTTGGGCGCTTCGATTCTCTCCGGAGTGTGGATCTTCGGGGAAGGAATCGGCTCGGAGAGATTGCCGCTTTTGGAGATTGATCGGAAGACGACCGGCGGATCCGGAAGGATCTCATCGATCAGACAGGGTTTGGCATTTCTGAGGTGTTCCGTTGGGAAACTGAAAGAGGCGCTCGGAAAACTCACTGTGGGGGAGGAGTGGGTGGCGCCGGCGCTTTGTACTTTTTCGTGCTAGGCCGAATAGGCTGCACATTCACGTACTGATGGGAAGTCGGCTGATTCTCGTATCCTCTCACCACCTCTTCCTCATTTTTTGCAGACGGAAAGACAACATCCAGGAGCACTCTCTGAAAGTGTTGGAGACCAGGTTCCTCAGATCTCACGGATTTCAATGTGTTATTCGAGGAGGACGGTTTGATGTAGTAGCTTCTGGAATCAATCGAATCAGAAGACGAAGAAAAATGGAGAACGAACACTTCGTTGACGGCCTCGATGACATTGTCGCTGTTGCGAATGTTGTCGATTTCAGAAGGCGTTTTAGGACCGACGTGTGCGAGATGTCTGAAAAAGGAAGAGCTCTGCACCGCCCTTCTCATTTGCAAATACCTGAAGTCCGAGGGCAATGAGATCATGGTTTTGTCCAAGTGTTTCTGCTGATTTCTCGGCGGTAACAACGGAATGTCATTGGGCATTTTGAGCTGCGTACCGCCTGAAAAAACTCGAAACTGAATGACAAAACGCCCGAAAATCGATGGTCAAACCGAAAATTGTTGCAAGATCGGAGGAGAACAGCCGGCAGGAGGCCGTGCCTGATAACAACGTGTAAGAGGGGAAAGGAGTCTGATAAGAGGAAGCAGCGAGCGAGTGACTCATTGCCGCACCGACTTGTACGGACTCCCGACCCGAATGCAAATGTCCTGTTTGACGGGGCGCTGAAAAATAACGACTGATCTGACAAGAGACACAGAATAAGAGAGAGAGAGAGAAAGAGAGAAAGAGAGAGCGCGAAACATGTGTCGATCTGGTGAGTAATCGGACTGACGGAGGAGACTCCGCCGCTTTGTTATGAACCGAAATTGTTCATTTCAATAATAAGCATCATCTTTCGTTTTTGTTTCCGCACTAATTTCGCAACATTTGCACGGTTTGACCCAAATAATTTGATCAGCTGCAAAGAACGTTCGAAGATTACACTTTATTGACCATTATTATAAAAGCTTTGAAGCATTACATTACATTACTAGAGAAATTATCAAATTCCTCGCTCCATCGATCGCACGTCATCCAGAATTCCGATCGCTCTGCTCAGAATCTCTTCCGCTTTCTTCGTCTTCGTTGCCACGTCATCTTTCAAATCGAGACTCGTGTCCGTGTACATTTTGTAGTAATACGTCAAACTGAACACCGTCGTCGCATTCACAAAGTTGAAGTGAGCCGAATAGGAGAGGAGAAGCTGGTTGAAAGAGAAGGGGACGGTGTCGGAGTTGTGCGCTTTGAAGCTGTCGTAATAGTGTTGGAGGAATCTGAAGAAGAAAAGGTACGGTAGCATCAGGGGTACTGTAGTTCACCGACCTAACAGTATTATCTCGTCTGTTTTTGACGGACAATCCCAAACAGAGAATTCGAATGATATCGAACGAAACGGCGCCCTTCGCGACGTGCTGAAAGTCGATCATGGCTTGGATCTGTAATGACGCTGTTAATTTCAAAAAGTACATTTAATTTTTTCAATTACTCGTCCAGTTTCCTTGTTCCACAATACATTCGAGGCGTTCAAATCATTGTGACAGAGCACAAACGGAAGGCCCAATTGCTCATTGAGCTCATTTGAGTTCCGAACTCCGTCCTCGTCGAAAATGTGCTTCACGTCCTGAATTCTTCCGGACAATTCATTCGGACACATTTCTTCGAACTGAAGGGAGTCGTTGTACTGAAATGTGAACCTGTTGGCATAATTCCGCACGATTCCACTCACCAGCATGCGAATGTATTCTTGACTATACAATGCATTACTGTAGTGCTCCCAGGGCACTTCGGCCGAGATTTTGACAGTTTTTGAGTGGAATCCAGCGAGAGCATCGAGCAATTGCAGAACTTGGGACTCACTGAATCCTGGGATGAAGTCGATGGAGCCGGCGATTCCGGAGAAATCCTGGCACACGAGGCCGGCCATCTCTTCGTTCTCGAGCGATTCTCCGTAGAAGAAGCGGGGAAGCGGGAAGGAAGCGAATTCGAAACGGGCAAAGTCTTTGTAGAACTGCACTTCTTGCTGGAAAGGAAAAAAAGGGAATGAAAAGGAACGATAAGGGACTGTTACCGCAGTCAGAGTCCGCAGAATTTCATTGTTTTCCTCCGCGTTCTCGGCATCCAGGGCAGCGTTGATCGCAGAGATTCGGGGGATCTATGAGTCAGTTCAGTCTATTTTAAATGTTATTTTCTGTCAAACCTTAACAAAAAGCGGCGAAACGACATTCTCCTTATATTTTTCCGAGTTGGCAGACACTAGCACTTGATAACATTCCGACCAGAAACTTCTGGAGTTTTCCAGAAGTTTGATGTTGATATTGAACTGAATAGGGTTTAATTAATGACAATGATAACTTTTCAAATTCTCAAAACAAACCTCCTTAAAAGGTTCAGGAACATCTGAGAATACTTTTGCAATGATTTTCGGGACAACTTCAGAAATCTCCGACATCACGGGAAACCTGAATTCAACAATAAAAGTACGAAAAGTTATTGGATGGGAAAAGTGAATTGTACTGTTTGGTGGCGAACAAAACCCTTCTTATCAACTCCGAGACCGCAGACAGACAGGAAAGTGAAAGCAGGAACTTTTCGACGGTCGGCCGACCAGAAACCGATCGGAATAATGCGTACAAAATGGTCGGTCTGAAAATGTGATCACGAGTGGTCTGTATTTATTCTGATTCCGTCCGAATCGCATTACACTGTACCGTACATCTTATCGTTCTGCCATAAAGTTCTGCCATAATCAAATAACCCAACAATGTAGTGAACGTGTCGAGACCAGATCGGTGCAAAGGGGACTGCGCCTTTAAAATGAAGTTGGAGTACGGTCGCACTCGAGTGAAAGTTCAACCTATTTTTTTGAGTTTTCAAATAGAAAAAGCGACAAGAGGAGCGGAAAATAGTCGGTTGATGCGTCGAAGCGATGGTTTTTGTTGTAAGTTTTCCTGTTTTTAAATAAATATAGCGACAAAAGCATAAAATCTGAGAACGTCCTTGAAAGCATTGCTTTTGTCTTGAGAAAGTTTCGGTGTCAAGAAGAACATTTGTCTGCTTATCCAATCGCCAAATCTGTCCGTTTGTAATTGCGTGGTGTAACAGACTGTGTGCACAAAACACGGTATTTCGATCTGGTCAACCCGCTGTCCCTGCCGTCCTGTGGGAAGGAAGACATTTCAGTTAGAGCTGTTTGTTTTGGAACGTCACAAGCTGTATGTATTATATTATAGGGGCACCGGACAGAAAGGGCGCGCTGTTAGCAATCTGACCGAATTTCTAGGCCGCGAAGTAATTTTCCACTGAAAACGTGGCTTAATTTTTCAAACTCGGCCCCGAGGTCGCTCAATTTGCACTGCAAAAAGAGTTTCTCAACAGAGCGCCATTTCTGTGCGGTGCCCCTATAATAAGTGCAGTCAGCTGTGGCTACCCTTTGGCGTAAACAACAGTTGCATTCCGACTGTTGTTTTCTGTCCCTTCTGTCCGATCTCTCTCTCTCTCTCTCAGTGTACTGTTTCCTCCTGGTCACCACGACTCGCTGCGCAATGTTTCATTTCTTTGTGGCATGGACTCGTATGACTGACGAGTGAGCCACAGCTCTCCTATCCCCTCTGTTTCTCACTCGTTCTTCTTCTCTCTCCGATAGACATTTTCTCACTTGTCGATATGAGCATTAGCCGGTTTCTTTGTTTCTAGTTTCTTTTATTTGCATAGAAAGTATACAGCGATTCTTTGCGAGGGTGCAGAGAGGAGAGGGAGAAAGTTCGGACTCCGTCCCCTGAACTGTCGGCTGCTTATTTCGCCGGCCGGCGGCGCCCTCTTCAAGCCTTTTCCGTGCGCCAGAACTTCAGATGCGTGCTGCACGAGCAACCATACTTCGAAAAAAGCAGTTTCTGACATTTCTAGACATTTCTGCGAGTTTCTCGTTGCTGCTTGCGGGTTTCCATTACAATGAACTCATTCCTAATGGGGCTATTCAGCGTATGTTTGTTTTCCGTTTTTTTGTTTTTTTACATCGCTGAATTGGGTTTTTTGACGAAAAAAAACGAAAAAAAAACAGAAAAAAATCATTTTTTTCACAGCCTGAATAACCCCATAAAAAATTAGGAAAAATGAATCAGTATTCTGCAAACAGCACGCATCAGAAGTTTTGGCGAGCGGAAAAAGTCTTGGAGAGGGCACCGGGACAGGGACCGAACCTTCTCCCTCTCCTCACTGCACCCTCGCAAAGAATCACCGTGGAAATACATTATTCTCACGCTTTTTTTCCGATTCAGCTGTCCATTCGAGTTTAAACTGGATGTCTTCGCTGACATAAGAAAGCCATGGCAAGAAGGAGAATGGTAGAGGAATTTAGTAGCAAATATCATAAATTACTCGTCCTCTACACTTAAATTGTTTTATATTCTTCAGGCTCTGGAGGACGAAGATATCGAGGATATTTTTCTAAATGTTGCAAAGCCAATGATGCTCGATATGAATGGTCAGTTGAATTCGAGCGAAACCATTCAATTATTTTTTTCCAGGCATATACCAGGAAAAGACACTGGAAGAGGTGGAGAAAGCAAGAATCAGAGAGATGCCAAAGTTCGAAAAGAAGTTTTACAACGAAAAGAAAGACAAGCCTGCTATGTTCGATTCTGATAATTTTTTTTGTAATGGTTTCGGCCTTGCAGTGAGCAGCAAAGAGTTCAATATTTCCAAGTAAGTTCTGATCTTCGTCACGTTTTTTGAAGTGTATCAGTAGTAATCCTATATATTTTTTTTTTTTTCAGAGATGATATGGAATCGTACAAGACTGGTCCGGATCCCAAGGCCTCCTGGTGCACGCTACCGATTTCCATTCCGATTGGAATATTTGCACCCAAAAAGTCAATCAAATGGGCGAATGCCGAACGAGATATGTTCGATGATTCGAGTAGGAAGCTGACGGGTTTCCTGAAAGACAAGGGTATGCCGAGAGTTCCGAACACCCTGAGACGTATCGCTAGGGGAGAAACATGCTCGTTACGTATGGCAAGACTCAGTGAGAAATTCTCTAGACCGAAATTACTGCATAATCCTTACATTCCAAACAGATGAATGCCGACTGGAGAAGAGACTGAAGAAGCAAGTGGCTCGCGGATACGAGAACTGCTTCGGTTTCCGCGGACTGATTCCGTTGATGCTGACCAGCACGGCAGAAGACGAGTGAGCCAATTAAACGAAAATTCGATTGGAATAACGTTTTATTCCAGAAGGAAGAACAAATTAATCATGCGCCTCCGCGAACACATTGACCCTGATAACGTCCCTGATAACACATTGCAGGAACGTTTAAAGAATCAACAGAAGGAGCTCTATGAGTTTCTGAATTCCCCTGAAAATACAGCTCCCAAGGTTCTGTTGCCCCCGCCGACCGCGCCTGGCAAGATATCTCGCCATGCTCCGCCGAGAAAGACGACAAAAAAGATGGATGGATTGCGATTGATTGAAAACGAATTAGTTAGCCGCAAAAGAAAGATGTCCGTTTCGAGCGTTACTACCGATGAGGGAAGCGTGAAGAAAATGTCGGTCGGACCTTCTTCGTCGGTCACCAGCCAGGAGAAAGAACATGAAACCGTTCTGAGACGATCGGATTCAGAAGCGAAGAAGAAGATGGATTTGAAAGCGAAGAGGAAGAGAGAAGCGGTCGAGCAAAAAGAGCGAGAATATGCAAAGAAGGCGGCCAGAGATGCAGAAGAACTCAAGAAGAGGCTGGAGTTGGAAAGGGCCGAGTTCGAGAGGAATCAGGAGAAGATAAGGATTGAAGAGGAGCAACAAGAAGAACTTCGCAAAAAAGAGGAGGAGACGATGCGGGCGCAGTTGTTGGAGGCTAAACAGAGGAAGGAAGAAGCAGAAAGACAGGCAAGAAGTGCGGAACAGGAGAGAATGAAAGCTGAAGAGCTGGAGAGACTCAAAAGAAGCATTGATGCGAAGAAGAAGGATGTGTTGAGGGAGGAGAAGGTGGTCGAAGTGGTTGAAAAACCCGTCCCAGAAATTGCGCACCACAAACCCCTCCAGGAAAGTTGGAATTTGTTCCAAATTTCCATGCCAATCGATTGGCTAGATCGAAAAAGTAGGCATACGCCCGAGTTTGAAACTTTCAAACAAATTAGCGTTTTCAGAAAAGTTCTACGCTCATTACGATATGCCCGACATCGCCGAGCATCGTCAAATGGAACGAGATCAAAAGCGGGGTGAGCACAAAGACGGGAATCCTCCGTTCATCATTCCACAAGAGAACAACGCCTCGACTCAGGTTTTCGCCACTCTAACGGTCCCGAAAAAACAGAAGAAAGTGGAACCACCGAAGAAGGAAATTGCGAAGCGAGCTGTCATTCTGCCACCGGTTCCGATGGCTGTGGCTGCTACTGACGCCGAACTAAAAAAGCTAGGGCACGAATTGGCAAATATGGTCAACCGGAAAAGAAATCTGTCTAGCCTCTTTTCATTGAGTGAGTACTACATGTTTTTACTATCTCAGCTGTTTTTTTAGAAGACGACGAGATCAATTACGACGATCCGGATAAGAGGCTGATCGACTTACAAGGGGCGTTTTCAATTCCGTTTAGACAGTCCGACGGACAGTACTGGCCAGTTTTCTGTGGAATGGACGGAGTGTCTCACGAGAATCACATTGAGGCCATTACTGCGTGCCACACATTTTCGGGAAAGTTCGCTTCTTATCTTCTGTTGACCACGGCGTCGGAAGATGACTGCGTGGAGAAGAAGTTCGAGGAAGCATACGAAAAATCGGATGGCGAGTGGGAGGATTACAGCACGAAGCCAGGCCGATTCATGGATCGAAAGGGCTACTTGGCCAAGGTGAACGCTTCCAACGAGTCATTCGAGGTGCAAAAAGAGCGTGCTCGCGCAAAGCATCAGCAGGAGTGGCAAGATGAACAGAGAGAAATGGTCGAGTTCGGAATATACGCGGAGGAGTACCAGAAGAACAAAAACGACGCCGTCGGTTTTACGGAGCGGCTGGATGTTCACTTACAAGAACTTGTCAGTGATGCTCGTCTCGACGTTTATTCGATAAAGGAAAACTTCAAAGATTACGGTATTTCCACGAACCACAATCATCCGGGAACTCGTGAAAGTCCTCTCGATCCACGCTGGCATAACCATGGCTATTATCGCTATCAGAAGAGTCGTAACAAGGCATATGCCGACTTTATGGAAGACAGATGCGCAGATTACGAGCTTTATTTGCCCAACGGAAGCAAGGAAGACTTCTTCGAATGGTGCTTCTCCCCGATGCTCGCTTCGCTTTATTATCAAGTCAATTATGATCAGTTCCAACTGAATTCGTCAGAAGATCTGAAGAAAATGGAGGAAAGACGCAAAAAATACATACAACTAATAAACGAGAGACGATTCGTTCTGGCACATGCAATGGACTTGTGCAAACTAACACACATCGACGAGCAGCAGTGGACCATCTTGTACGATCAGCTGATTGCTCACTTCAAAGATTTCCGTAAGTTCTCTCCATTCGAACATTATCGATTCATCATTTTCAGCGGCCTTATGTATCATTATGTACAATCCAAGAATGCCATTGATATCATGCGTAGCAAAGGCGATCAACACTGCGATGACCACCGTGTGTATGGAGACGAGGAATAATTGGATGTTGGACCAGTCTGCTTGATTGCTTGATTTGTATTTATTTTTGCAAACGTTGCCTTGATTTTCGGGTTTCCTTTGATGTTTACTTCCTCTTTTCCCAATTCTTTCACAAATACTTTGCGGTTTTATTCAAATAAACGCATTTTAATAGTTTGGTAAATATATACTAAAAATTATCCCGTCAATAAGCGAACGCTAGTCAATCGAAAGAAAACGAAAAAGGTTACAAAGAAATGATTGAAGTGAGGAGGTTGAAAGGCAATATCTCGGCGGAGAAATTTTTATGAACGAAAAAAAACGGATTTATTAATGGAATGACTCATAATCTGACGCATTCGATCAGAGTGGATTCCGACGATGATTTCTGAATCGGAACGGATTACGGTAGAACAGGAAACACGCAGAAAGAGAAACGGTGGGAAACGGAGAGGAATGAGCAGAGGTGAATGTCACGAAGAGCACCGGATTACTGTAGCAGTTGGGCACCGACTACAGTAATCCCTGAATTATTAGAAAGAGGGAAGAACGCCTCGGTGAATTGAGTGAGTAGTCGGCGGGTTGATTAATAGTGCCCCGCGTACGTGTACCGCTGAAAATGAGGGGCGATCGAGTAAGAATTGGGAGTCAAACGAGGCGACACACCGTCTGATTAGTATACCCGTTGTTAACGAAACTCGGCGGAGACTGGCGTTCCTGAGTCGACAGCCGCGCCGGCGAGTGATTGGAGAGCGGCTGGAGGTTCCAGTAGCTACCGTACAGCGACACTTTTCCCGCCTAAAAACACACCACACACGGGTCAGTTTACAGATTATTTAATGAGCGGTTAGACACAAACCACACGTCACTCCGGACAAGAGAAGAAGAAGAAGAAAAGACGGAGGGGAACTGACCTGCTGCCCGGCAAGAGCCGGTTGACCGCCGAGCCGCGCCGCTCTCTCCAGATGGTCCTCGTACGTCGACTCTTTCCGCTTCGACTCGTACGCAGTCGGACGCACTCCGTAGGCCGCTCCGTACATTGCCCTGAGTTGCGACGCCTCGCGAGAACTCCGTCGTTTGCAGCAGACGACCGCTCCGATGCATACGAGAATGACCAGCCAGGCGAGGATGATCATGACTGGAAGCAGGATGGCCAGTTCTGGAAAAGGGTCGTGGAATCGGGGGGAACTCGGGGGAAACTTACTCGGCGACTGCTCCTCCGCGTGACCCACATTCACAGTCTGCTCGTTTCTCTGTTTGGGCGGTGCTGTCAGAATAACTGATGGCTGCTGAACAAGGATCTTGCGAGCGGTGGTTGTCGTGCTCGGACGTGGCTTCTGAGTGGTTGTGAAGACGTGGATGGACGGCGGAGCTTCCGTCGAAATGGATACATTTTCTGTTGTGGTCGTGGAAAGAGTTGTAGTCGTGGGAGGAGTCGTTGTCATTTCTGTTGTCATTTCTGAACTTTCGGTTTCCTCGGAAGTCTCCACGACGTGAGCATCTCCGACGAGTTCGTCAGAAACATCAGTTGGCGGAGTGACCGACAATTGAGGTCTCTTCTTCGTTGTCTCGAACTGAAAACGCTCTCTTCGTTCTGATTTTCTGTGTTCTTACTCACCGCCCTGGCAATAGCCTCCTGTTCATTAGTGAAGTCGAATGACGAGCCCGCTTCGAACGGCGACGACGTGTCTTCATCGATCGGAAGGGAAGGTCTGGGAGGAGCGGCGGCGGAGGCGGTGACACGGGAAGAACTGGCATGAGTCGTCGGTTCTGTGGACGTGGACACTTCTTCCTTTAATGGCTGCAAAAAATCATTTCATTTCATTTCTAAATTCAGAATTCTCTTACAGTTCTGATGGAGAAGTCTGGGAGCGGTCTGGACGTCGACTTCTGAGATTGATCGCCGGTATTTCTGGTTCTCGGATCGGGTCGGAAAAGTTTAGGCTGAACGGTAACAAACGGAGGGAAAGTGACTTCGAAAACATCGGGTCCGATCGCAAAGTCTTCGTCGGACAACGAAACGATCGGGCGATGGGGAGTGCTCGAGAAGTTGGGCCGCGGCCTCGTCGTCGCTTTGGTCGTCGGTCTCTGCGGAGGCTGATTGGCCAGCGGAGAACTGGTGACAACGAGCACATTCCGTCCTCTCGATCCTTTTTCGTCTTTGTCCACGAGCGTCGGAATAATAATATCGGAAGGCTGCTGAATGAGGAAAGCTCCTGGCGATGGGAGAGTCAGATCTTCCTTCTTCTCCTCAAGAAGTTTGGAGGAAGGCAAACGAGGAGCGGTGCTCAGGAGACGATCGCAGTACGGAGGGACCTGGATGGGCTGAGCACATTGCATCAGCTGCGGCTTGTCGATACGGTAGAGCCACGTGCCCGGCTGTTTGATGTTACTGTTCTTGACTAATTGGGAGATGGCCTCAGTTCCAGACGCGGGGAGTAGAATGGACGAGGAGCCGTCGGTGGAGAAGATTCCCGCTTCTGCTCCGCTCGCCCAGGGAAGATCTCTGTACATCAACTCCACGAACGTCATTTTCTCGTTTCTCGCATTGTTTCCGTCGATGAGCAATGCTTGGAACGTATTTCCTTTCGCCTGTCTTCCGTCGGTAACATTGGAGAAAGTGACGACGAGCGCACTCTTCGCCTCGAAGCTCGGGTCGTTGTAGTTCTCCGAAATGGTTCGAGTGACTCTTCTGAGCACTTCGACGTCTTCCACCTCTTCTACACTGACTGCTCCGTTTCTGGAGAGATCGATGGGTCCGAAGAAGGGAGCGATTCCGATGAGTTGCATATCTTCCAACCGTCCTCCGTCCTTACTCAACTCGTTCACAGCAATGAGTCCAGTTGATGTGACCGTCAGTTTCTCGGTGTTTGCTCCAAAGATTCGCATAGGTTTCTTAAGACTCCATTCCATTTTCGAGTTCTTCTTGCGTGGAAGTTGGCGATGAGTGTCGTATTGGAAGAGGAATGATTGAGAGCAATCGGTCTGTCCGTCTCCGCTGAATCCCTCTTTGCACAGACAGAAATAACGACCCGGCGTGTTGGTGCACACGGCATTCTTGTGGCAAAGTGTCGAGTTGGCCGAGCATTCATCGACATCTGAAACAGTTTTAAAAAATTAGAAACGGAGAGCTGACATGTTCCCAGATACCTTCGCAATGCGAGTATCCATCTCCCTTGTACCCATTCAGACATTGACATCTCTGAATGGGCTCTCCGCATCTGTCGTAGTCGCTGAACGAAAGAGCATTCGAAGCGCACTGCGTCTTCGTTGCGCACTTTTCCTGCCTTGTTTGACAAGCGATGCCATCCCAACAGGTGGCACATCCACGTGGACAGTCCCCAGTGATTGGATGGCAAGTGCCTTCGGAGCAATGGCAGCAGTAGGCACAGTCGGGTCCCCACTCGCCGTTCGAGCACTCTTGGTCACACGTGTCCCCCTTGATGCCCGATTTGCAACTGATGACTCTCAACTCGGAAAGTTCAAACATCCACTCTCCGGGGATTCCCGTGTTTCCGTACTCCTCCAAGTACATTATGTTCGGGGTGCCAGAAGTAGGCAACTTGAAGTGATTGGTTGCGTCGCCGGCGTTGAACCCTGCCTGCAATGTTCCCATCCATAAATCATCATTATTTTGAGGCGACGCTTCTCTCGGAATGGGTCTCAATTCAGGTTATGGAAGATGAAAATCGGACGGAAGACAATCGAAGTGTCGCCCGATTACATCGGCCTAATCTCGATTTATCCCCCCTATTGCCCCTCTATTCTACAGTTATATCTACTTGAAAATCTTAATTATAAATTTGTACATGTTCATTTTATATACAAACCTCGGCGCCTTGCGTCCAGCCGATGTTACTGTAGATGAAGTTGGCGAAAGTTCCGTTGGCAGTGATGAAAATGGCCGCTTGGAACGTGTTTGTGTTCTGAACGGGCACGATTTGAAAGATTTTGATGCAATCAGAGTACGAACCTCTTCTGGAAGAGCGGCAGTGTTCAGTGGTTGCATCTTGTCCCAAGTGATTATCAGAGCAGACTTCACTTTGACATTCTTGTCGTACTGATAACGGATTTCAGATTGACCTCGTTCCAAAACTCTTCCTTCTGCAAACAAATGAAACAGTGGGTGAGGAGAAGAAAAAACTCACTTGTGACTTCCCGATAGAACACTTTTCCACCGCTTCGAAGATCATTCCGGTTCCAGAACGGAGCCAAAAGTCGTGTAGTTCCCGGCAGAACTCCCGACTTGTATGACCTGGAGGACGCTTCAAAACCGACTGCTCCATTCGAAAGAATCTGAATAATGTATTCCTTTGAAGAGTCTGCGAGAGTGTGACAATCCCGTAGAAAATTCGAAGCCCGTAGATTATAAAACCCGTAGAGTCAAATCCCGTAGAAATAAGTACGCAAAATGCAGAAGACTCAGAACATTGGACTCCTCATGGCATTTTTTAATCGTTCTGTCTAATTTTCATGTCTCAAATGAATAGTTACCAAAAGGGCGAAAAAGGCAAAAAAAAGAAGAGAACTCACATAGATCGTTCTGTAGTCAGATCCGAAGAATGAGATCGGGTTTACGAGGTCGAGCTTCTTTCCGACGTCGAGAGCCTGCGGCAGTTCCTGATCTCCGGAGTTTGTGCCGTAGTCGAAAAGCCTACTGGAGAAGAGTGGAGCTGTCACCTGAAATTGTATTCTTTTGTGATTTATGTGAAACTGTTTACAGTATCGCTCGACCCTTTCCCTATGATTTTCTATAGGTTGCAACCTCATAATCCCACCGCTTCAAAAGCCCCCAATGCCATAAATCTCGTGGGCGTGCCGGGTGTAATCCGTGGTGCCGTTTCGGCAGGTGTCGTCGTCATTCGAACAGGCCGGTAATTGATGAAAGCGAATGCATCTGTGCAAACAGACTGTCCACACGGAAGGTCCGTTTCCGTTGGTCAACAGGCTCGGTAGACCATCGAAAAAGCACTCACTTGGATACTAATCTCTTTTGGCTGAATTTGCCTTCCTCTTCGTGATTTGATTGACTGGAAGGCTTCCAGTTGATCCCATTTCTCATCGATTCGGAGTCGGGCTGCTATCCGCTCGGGATCGAACTTCATGCATTCCGTGGAGAGCAGAAGTAAGAGGGGTGGCAGTGCCCCGAGAAGGGCATGCCTGTGCATCGGATTGCTGAACGAGGAAATATGTTGAAAATGTAAATATTCGGATGAAAAATGTGTAAAAGTGAGGCCGGGCTAAACGATCGCAAAGGAGGTGAAAGCGTTGCGACGCGAGATTCTGATGGGGGATAACGGCTCGGAAATGGAATGAAAGTCGGCGCGAGAAGAAGGCGAAACGATGATGGACGGGACTGATACAGACTGGCAAAAGACACTGGCTGCTACTGTGGCGGAAAAGGCGAAAGTAGTAGATAAACAAACGGTTTGAGAAAGCGAAAGCATACTGAGAAGAAGGATGGGGTTGGGAGTTTCCGGGGAGGAAGACACGGGCTGGAACCGGATTCTGGAGGGAGAGAAGACAATTGGAGGGGCAAAACGAAAGGATTCGTGAAAAGGAAAACAGCTGAGAGGAGAAATGGGCTCGCCAGCTGGAAAGGTTATAAAATGCTCGCGAAAACCACAATATGAATTGAAAATAGTTCATCATATGATAAACCAACAGATCGGGATGGTTCTAAGCTCAATTGAATCATAGAGGCTTTCGAATATACACAGAATATGACCAATATCCTAGTAAACCCTATCGGAATACCAAATATTGGAAGAAGTGGGCCGGCCCGGTATGTCATTCATATGCGGTCGATTCGCACAATTGTGCACATTGCCCCGGTGCCAAACAAAGGTCCGAGGTGGCAACACATGGAGAGCGGGAGGGAGACACGGCCAAGACACAAAGAGCCTGACCGGAGGAATGCGGTCCGTGCAAGGTCATCCATCGGACCGCGCGTGCGACGGACCCACGAGGATAATTATCGATTTGATGAGCACCTGGTCAGGTTATGATCCCTTGGAAGCCCGAAGGTCCCGCCTGTTTGTACATGTGTTTGCCCTCGAAATTGGCTGCCGACGACCTTCTTCAGAACTACGAGAGCGTCTTTGTTTCAATGGGAGGGCGCTAAACGGAGAGGGCGCAGACAACGTCTAGTATGTACTTGCACACCGGAAAGGGGATACCGTACCGAGAAGTATTGACTACTCGGGCGGAAAAGAGAGGCGGCGACCGAAAGCTTACAATCACGAACATGCAAAAAGGCGGCGAAGGAGGAGGGGATAATGAAGAGTAGGAGGGCGAGGAAGGAGGCACGGAATAACAAGATTATGATTGGCGCGCGCCGTTGCTTCTTCTTCTGCCAAAGACCGTCTCTCACGGGCGGAATGCGTTCGGCCACACACATACAAAACACCTCATTGTACACAAGATTACCATTAAAGGGACCTGATAATGACGCATGGGAAAGTACTCATTGTTATGGAGAAAAGTGAGGCAAGGGAAAGAATACGCGGAAAGTGGACGGGTTATGATCGGTCGTAGTGTATGGGACCGAGAAAGATCGGACGGTACTTGAGAGTGGACAGTTGAACTAACAACTTATGGTTCGCAGGGATCACACGGGTACAAATAGTGAAAGAGTAAAGGAGATCTTGGACTGGAACTCGGGATTCTCAAGATGCGAGTTTTTCTGATCATAAGAAGAAACTGAACACCTTCACTTTCAGAGTTCCTGAGGGAAAGTGACAGACAACCTCCTCCGCCCAAGAGATCAAGTCCTTCCGACAAAGTGTGATAACGTGATAAGCGAATCGGAGAAAAAAGCGAGCAGACTGGCAATCGAGGTGAGACGAGGACGGGAGGTAATTGGAAAGGGGAACGGGCAAATGAGGCAATTAGAGAGTCAAACAGCCGGCGGACATGGGACAAACCGTTTTTGAGCGAAAACGGCAGAAAATATGGGCGAAGAACAGAAAACATTGAACGGATACGGTATGCGATTGGGATGCGGGAAAGTGTGTCAAACGAGGCGAAAAGCACGGAAAGAAGGAAGGTATTAATGAATGAATAAACACACAAAACACTCGAGACGACGGCACCTCGACACCCGGATAGGGCGCCGAAAAGAAAGAGCTCGGATTACAAAGAGAGTACTGTTCTCGGAAAGGGAGGAGGAGGAGAAGGAGGAGGACGTGGCAAAAACGGGAATGGGAAGGAGAGGGCGGGTGATGTTATGACGGGAAGATCAGCAGAAAGATATGCAGATCGGCGCAGGAGCTGACGGGAATTCGGTGGAGAACTAGGCGGAGGCGGAGGATATTCATCTCATGATGCGCATATTTGGAATGAACTGGAATTCGGAATTTGGAATTATTTGGATGAGGAATGAAGATGACGTGTGAACCTACACTTGAGCAAGAAACTCTTCAGACTGGAAGGATCGTAGAACTGCTTGAGAGTTCCGTTTTGGCAGAAATGAATCCGAAAGTGTTCTTGAGGCGACGCCAAACGAACACGAATTGAATGATGCGGGAGCGGGAGGAAAACAATGAAGTGAACGGTGGACAAATGAAACCGTAATGAGGGAAAATGGGCATCAAAGGGGCGAGATTCGGGATTCCAAATGGCGGCTAACAATGATGAACATACTTCAGCCACTCATGACTAATCCGGCCAATCGTCCAGCACTCAAAAATCGATGCTATTCGCCTTCATCTTTTACTTCTTCTTCTTCTTCGTTCTCTCAGTCGGACAGTCATGTCACTCATGATGAAACGAACGAAACTTGCGTTAGGGAAAGAGAGAGAGAGAGCAGGTCGCCGACCCGAAGACGACACCGACACCACCGCGTCCAATTATAATTCGGAAGAGGAGGAGGAGGAGGAGGACGACGACGACGAAGACGGTGGAAAAGCATTTCGAGAAGGTCATGCCATGTGTACATACTTATACCATTATTTATGGAAACACTCGCCGACCATCCGATTATTACATTTTCGAATTTGCGACAACTGACCGTCAAACATCGTAAATTGAGGGTAAAAAATGAGGAGGAAACGAGTGAGTAGAACGGCGCTAGGTTTGACCTGATCACGAAAAGTACAGCAGAAAGGGGGAGGGCGTTTCCCTCGACGTCTTCCCTTTTCCTCGGCAGGTACGTGAAGCTGTAACGCCGGAAAGTAAACGCCCTAGTAGGTGTGTATAATGATAGGTTACTGTAGCATTCGATGCTTCTTCCCAGCCACGACGCGCTTTGGCAATTCCGATTCGTTGAATTCTTTTGGGTGCTTCGACGCGGAAGAGATAGAAGACGAACGCGGCAGTTGGAAGAAGAATATGCCACGTCACAGGCGGCAGTTACTACTAAACACAACAAAAACAGCTGGGCAAAGACGGTTTTGCCGAACATCCGACGAACGAAGAAGCTAATCGACTCCGGCGACGTCGGAGCGTGGAAGAGGAAGAGACGCCGATGCGCGACCAGTTGTCAGGCACTTGGGAAAGATGGCGAAGAAGCCGCTAGACTGTCCCCGCGGCGCCCGCCGTGAATTAGAATAATGAGTGAGTGAGTGGGAAGACGTCGGTGACTCAATCGATGACCGAACTAATTGCGAAACCGTGTTGCAATATGCTTCGGGCGGAAGCGTGGGAAGCGGTAATTTGGATGGGAAGGGAGAAGGATGGCGGACAGAATTGGAATTAGAAAGTGAGGTTGGAAAGTGGGCAAATTACAAAACTTTTCACTTCCATTACAGTTCACTTCTTTCTTAGTCTGTTCATCTTTCAGTGAACTTTGCAGGCTCTCTACTGCAATTGCGGCATACTCCGGAAGAGCTCAATTTGCTCGGGCACATTCTTTCTGCAGAGCAAACTTTTTTCTCGAGTAAGAAAACGAGTATAAGCAATAAAATGAGTAATAACTCACTCTCACTCAAAATGAGTCGGCTAAAATAGGTTGAGTGGGAAAGAGAGGAGGACGGTTATTCGTTGGAAAAGCAAAGGATCGGATCGAGTGAGTGAGTAGCTGGTGCGCAAAAACACAAGGTCAGACTGAAGAAGTTGGTCGTTTCGAGTAAGAGAAGAGCGGAGAGGAGGCCTACTTATTCATGTCGAGGACGACGATCCACTCTCGAAAGTACACACACTCATCCGTCCCGACACCACATTCTCTGATTGAATGAATGAATACTTACCACAAACCGTAGCAAAATCGTCTCGTTTTGCGGAAATTTCAAAGTGATCGGGAATAAGAGTGGAATGGCAAGGAGAAGCTGGGCAGGAAGGGTGTGACTCGGGTACAAAACCTCAGCGGGAGACGCCGATCCGATCCGATCCGATCCGATTCGTCCAGGCAAACGGACTTTTGAAACGGTGGAGACTGACGGATTGGCAGGTGTCCTGTTGAAAAAAAATTGGCATGGATGACCTTTCGGGACGGAAATTGGCATGGAAAAGATCCAGGTGGACGAGGAAATGGGTCATCTGTAGCACCGGAATTATAATTCTGGGAGTGATTAAGGAAGAATGGATATGGAAAAACGGATATCATTCTGGGTAACAACGTCGCTGTTCGATGTTTCTTTCTATTTCCGTCCCTTTCGCATCTAATTCCGTCACTGGCCCGTGATCTTTCAGCCTTCCCCAACATTTCTACGTCAACCGTTGGCTTGTGTCTTGAGAAATAGGCACCTTTCAGAGTGTGCAAATGCGTCAGATTCGCAACTTTTCCAACTCGATTACATTCCGCCTTCCGGCCTCCTATATAATTCCAGCTGGCCCTGCTTGCTCTTGCTCCTCTCAGCCGTTTTCTCTCGTGCATTCTCGAGCCGTGTAACCACGGAGATGTGCTCTTTCTCTCTCTCTATCTCGGCATCTCGCGGGCCTCTCCTTCGTGAATTTCGACATAAAAACGTGCCATCAAGAAAGCCTTTGCTCTCTGAGTCTCTCTCCGCCTTTTTTCACGTCTTCCGAGTTCATTGATCCGCTTTCAGACGATGAGACGATGACGGAGGAGGAAGATCATCCGCTGATTGAGTCGCTCGCATCAGTCAAACTCGGAGATCCGTCATTCGCGAGGCAGGAGTGCGAATTGCTGTCCAAGTTCTTGTAAATTGACACTTTCGATCTTATATGTTGGAAGTTGTTCAGGGAGGAACAACAAGAGAGCAGTTTGGACAGTCTGAGCATTCATTTGCTCTGCACCAATCTTATCAGAAATCGGATTTGCAGCAAGTGAGTTAGCACGTGTTCATTCTCATTCCCTTGAATGTTTCCTGCCTTTTCCCAGAGAGTTCATTGAAAGCCGTCCGGCCAAGAAATGGCTTTTTCTGATCTTCCGCGTGGCTCGGAATCTCTTTCGCGACAAATCCAGAATCGCTACATTTCATTCCGCCGAACTGCACTCCAACTTTGTCCAGGCAAGTCTCTTTTTCCCTCCTTTCGTTGCCTCTCCAATCAGTTTCCATAACTCGTTTTCTCATTTCGAAAACCAACTTTCTTTCGCCTTTTCCTTCCAGACGTTCCAATTCATTGCCTCTCGCTTTCTGCGCAACGAACACGATTGGAATGTGGCCGTTGTAAACTGTTTGAGTACGCGTTTGGTCCTTTTGTTTGTTTGTTGAAGAACACTGTTTCAGATGTCACTCAGAAGCTGATAGATAGTGGCGAAAATGCGCAAAAGTTCGTGGAGTATAACCTAGAGGACGGCGTTTTGATGCTGTTGGGGACGAGGCAGATGACCGTACTACAGCACTCCCTCGAGGTATCAGGAGTTGAAAATGGGAAGAAGTTAAAAGAAAAGATGTTCAGATATTGGGACGGCTATCAGATTGGTCCACGTCTTGTCGGGAGAGTTTGTGCGAGTCGAACACAATCGACGTCTGTTTGCAGTTGATTCCCGACGGAGATATTCTCACTCAAAAGTAAGAACCGACAATATCTTCTTTCTACGCATTTTCCTTTCAGACTTTGCGTCAGTCTTCTCCGTATTCTCTCATGCGAAGAGCAAGCCCGCGAACAGATCAGGATCTACGACGGCGTTCCCACTCTTCTCGGCCTGCTCTCCATCAAGAATTCACGTCTCCAATGGCACGTTGCCTGGACACTGGCCCAGCTCGCCGAGCAAGTCGAGACTTCTCTGGAGATTGCCCAACTCGGAGGAATTAACCTAATAATTGCTGCCATCGCAAATCCGAAGCCACCCGGAAAAGCGATCGGCGACTGGGTGGCCATGCTCACAGGACTCACTGCGCTTCTGGCTCAATTGGCCCAGGCGAGCAGCAATCAGCAGATGATGTGCAATGCGAATGGAGTGTATATACTTGGAAAACTGTTGGCGATCCGGAAACACGTTCAGACGGAGGAGCCGATCGATTCGTGGCACTTGCTGCAGTGTTCGATATTCAGAGTGCTCAGGTTGATGTTCACGTTTGACAGGGCCCGACAGCTTCTGAAGAAAGTGCTGCCAACAGAGATTCTAGAGAAATTTGTAGACGTCGGGAATTATAATAGTGTGCTGACGGACTACGGAGAGATATCGACGATGTACGACAATCTGATTGTAAGTTCCGAGAGAGTGCATTGGAAGAGAACTGAAGTAGATATCTTTAGGAAGAGGATATCGACGTGATGAAGGACTGGGAAAGTGTGAACGAACGGAGACAGGCAGTCGGAGAGGTGGGAGAGTTCGAACTGCTGGATCAGTTGGGAGCCGGGGCATTTGGATGCGTGTACACGGTGCGGAAGAAAGCGCAGAGTCACACGGAGACGCCAGCGAAGTTGTTCGCACTGAAAGAGATCTTTATGACGAATCTGAACGATCGGGAATCGGATAAGAGCTTCGGTGACGTGATCAGCGAAGTGAAGATCATCAAGCAGCAGCTGAGACATCCGAACATTGTGAGATATCGGAGGATATTCGTGGAGAACCACCGATTGTACATTGTGATGGATCTGATTCAAGGAGTTTCGTTGCGAGAACACATCATAACGATGAAGGAGAAGAAGGGAAATTTCGAGGAGACAAAAGTATGGGCGATGGTGGTGCAAGTGAGTCAGAGGAGCACAAACGGAGAAAACGGAAACGTTTCAGATGATGTTGGCACTTCGATACTTGCACAAAGAGAAGCAAATAGTTCATAGGGATTTGAAACCAAACAATATAATGATAACGACTGACGAGCGAGTTGTTATAACCGACTTTGGATTGGCCAAACAAAAGGGACCGGAATACATGAAGTCGGCGGCGGGCACCATCATTTACAGTTGTCCCGAGATTGTTCAGAACTTGCCATACGGCGAGAAGGCGGATATATGGTCTTTTGGTTAATCGCCTTTTTATTTATTTCTACGAGAATACTGGTTTTTCAGGATGTTGTGTATATGAAATGTGTCAATTGAAACCCGCCTTCCACTCCACCAATATGCTCACTTTGGCGTTGCAAATCGTCGAAGCAAAGTACGATCCGTTGGAGGAGTCGTGGAGTGAGAACCTTCGAACTCTGGTGACTTCGTGTCTCGCCCCGGAGCCTTCTGAACGGCCCGACATATTGGCAATCTCCGGAATGTGTGGGCCACGTCTTCTAGAGTATTTGGATGACGTGGCACGACAACAAGCGACCACTTCTGATATGACCTCATCAATCTCTAATTACAACAACAAGTTCGACGAGTCTCCGTCGTCGCTCAACTCCTCCACCAGTTCGTATCGGAGACCGAGCAGGACAAAGTACTCAGCCAACGGATTCTTACCTCCAATCAATCCTGCACAAAGTAAGTCCGAAAACTGATTAGCTCCAACCAATTGCACTGTTTTTCAGGACGAAACCATTCGATGTCTGCCGGAGAGACTCCGCGTGCGGCCTCCGTCAGCGTCGTCCTTCTTCCTCGCATCACCGACAAATACTGTAACATGTTTCCTTCCGCTCCGGCCGCCATTCCTAGTCGGCGTCGAGTGCAAACGTGCTCCACCGAGCATCCGACACGCAGCTCCTCCTCCACAGATCTCAAAGTCGCCAAGCCTTCCGACGGTCTCTCCGTGAGCAGCAATGCTCTTCGACAGATTCAAGACCCCGTACTCATGATTCTCAATCAAATCCATCGGATTATGGTGGTAACTGACAAGGAAAGCATCTCAACTTCAATGAATCATCAGAAGAGATTGGTGGAGATGTTCAGGAAGAACATATTGGGAAGGGAAAGTGATGCACTCCAGATGAAGACCCACTTGAGGAAACTGGCCGTGGAGTCTCCCGAGGAAATTAACATTAATTTGGGTTTCTCTGATTTCCGTCCAGCTCTCGTACAATCAAATTTGAACGGATATCAGAAAGGTTCCCACTATTTGCTCATTTTCATAAGAGCTTTTTGATATTTCAGATCAGAAAGTGACGAAGATCACGTACGAACAACTGTCCGGTTGCATTCAGAGCCTGATCTCCGAGAATCCCCCGGTGAACAAGTGAACTTGTTCGTTTTGCAGCTTTCCAATTGCATTCTCATATTTTGTGACTCAATGAATGTTTCTCAATCTGATCCAATGTCTAGAAACGATTTCAACAGAGACGTGATGCGTGCGAAGTCACGGAAAAAATGAGCACGAACAGGTGGCCAAATATCGAGTGGGGCGAATCCGAAAAAGTCAAATATTTTGGCACTGTTGGCACAAACCGCTCCCCGCGCTTAACGTGCCCAAACTCAAAAAATCATGATTCGTCTACTTTTTCTGCTTGGTTATTTCGTTGGAACGGGTATAGATAATTGGTTGATCGTCGGATCTCTCTTTTTCCGTTTTCAGTGCTTTCCCAATGCCCGCCCGGTCTTACTCCTGTTTACTCAAATTCCAACTACAACACTCCGCTGGTCAGAGTGCCCATTCCTTTCTTTGAAAGTATCTTTCCCTTCCAGACTTGCACTCCCCAAGACTCTTGCAGTTGCTACTCCGGATCCTCGAGATTCGGTTCCATCTGCCAGTACGCCAGCCAGTACTCCAATTACATCTGCTGTTATTCCACTAACACACGTAAACCGATCTTCTTCCATCCCATTTCCTCCCTAATTTGCAGAGTGTGGATCTAACTCGAGCCCTCAGATATCTGCTGCCGGACAGGTTGTTTCCTGCTCTCAAAGCACTCAATGCGCCTCCGGATACACTTGCACCTACGGAATCTGTTGTCCGAGCACATCCACAAGTGAGTCAGATGCACACCTTTCTGATTCTCGTTCTCTTCCAGCTTCATGCAGTTCGACGGGCAACAACGGTTGTCTGACGGGACAAGTTCTCGTCAACGGGCAATGTTACAACTCTGTGCCAATTGGCTCTGCCTGTCAGAGCTCGCAACAATGCACGGGAGGCTCTACATGCCTCTCTTCGGTGTGTCAATGTCAGAACGGATACGTGAATGTCAATCAACAATGCGTCATCAGCAACGGAGTAAACTGTCAGCTGGGAACTGTCTCCTACAATTCGCAGTGCATTTCGCTCGCTTCTCCCGGACAGTCTTGCGTCACCTCTTCGCAGTGCATTGACAACTCGATTTGCAGCAATTCAGTGTGCAACTGTAACAGCAACTAGTAAGCTTCACAGCAGATACCATAAGGGATATTCAAACTTTTCAAGTCAATTGGTCTACGGTTATTGTGTTCCATACACCTCTGGAAACTGTCAGAACACACAAACATTGATCAATGGACAGTGTGTTCTTTACTCGATCGTCGGAGAGCAATGCATTGCAAGCAGCCAGTGCGTGGGCGGAGCGCAATGTAGTTCGGGAACCTGTCAGTGCATTTCCGGAGCCACGGCAATGTACGGATACTGTATCAGCTCTTCTTCCACTTCCTGCAATTCCAACCAAGTTTCCATCAACGGACAATGTTATTACACGGTGCAAGTCGGCGGCTCTTGCACTTATTCGCAGCAATGCCTGAACAGCGCAGTCTGTACAAACAGCATATGCGTCTCTTCGGTGTGCAACATCCAGTGCTCCACCAATCCGGTGAACTTTCGCATCCCTTCACACCGTTCTAATCTGATATTTGTTTTCAGGTTTGTATTTCGAACCAGTGCTACAGCTACGTTTCAATTGGCTCTCAATGCGTCGGTTCCCAACAATGTCTCTCGAGTTCTCAGTGCACGAACGGTATTTGTCAGTGTCCGCAGGGAACTCAACAGACGAACGGAGTCTGCACTTCTACGAACAACAATAACAACAATAACTGTCAGTCCAATCAGGTAGACGTCCGCCGCTTTGGAGCCCTGGGGATACATAATTGTTTGTAGGTGTACTACAACGGTCAGTGCTGGAATACTGTTTCCATCGGACAGCAATGCTCAATCACCCAACAATGTCTCGGAAGTTCGCAATGCTTGAACTCATTCTGTCAGTGTCCATCGGGAAGCAGCAACACTAACGGATACTGTCAGAGTTCTAATGGACAGTGCAACTCTAACCAAGTAAGATCTTCAAAAAATTTGTATCGAATAGTTTGCATAACAGGTGCTCTACAACAATCAATGCTGGAATACCGTCTCGATCGGCTCGCAGTGTTCCATTACCCAACAATGTTTGGGCAACTCGCAATGCTTGAACTATTACTGTCAATGCCCATCTGGATCTTCGAATGTGAACGGGTATTGCAGTGGCGGAAGCAGCGGACAGTGCACCTCAAACCAGGTTAGCATACATTCACAATGATATTTTTGTAGTTTCTGATCAGATTCTGTACAATAACCAGTGCTACAACACAGTTTCCATCGGTTCTCAATGCACAATCACTCAACAATGCCTCGGAAACTCTCAATGCTTGAACTCGTTCTGTCAGTGTCCATCTGGATCTTCCAACGTCAATGGTTACTGTAGCGGAGGGAGCAGCGGACAGTGCACTTCTAATCAAGTTAGACTCGCAAGTTCTCATCTTTATTTAACTTGTCCCCCTTAGGTTCTGTACAATAACCAGTGCTACAACACTGTCTCTATCGGCTCTCAATGCACAATCACTCAACAATGCCTCGGAAACTCTCAATGCTTGAATTTGTTCTGTCAGTGTCCATCGGGAAGCAGCAACGTAAATGGATACTGTCAGAGTTCTAACGGGCAATGCAGTTCCAACCAGGTGAGTAAGAAGCCCAAGTCCGTAGTATTATATATCTGTTCAGGTTCTGTATAATAACCAGTGTTACAACACCGTTTCCATTGGCTCTCAATGCACAGTCACTCAGCAATGTCTCGGCAGTTCGCAGTGCACGAACTCCTTCTGTCAGTGTCCTTCTGGATCTTCCAACGTGAACGGCGTCTGTTCGTCTTCCACGTCCACTTCGAATCTGTGCTCCAGTGGCCAGACTGTGCAACTCGACTCTTCCAATCAACCGATCAATTGTCTCGTTTCCGCGTGTCCCACCAACTCGTTCTGTCAGTATTCGCAAAGCGGACAAAGATATGTGTGCTGTAAGAATACGTCGGGCAAGAAGAAGTAAAAGAAAAACTGTAGAGAAAAAGGAGAACAATAGACAAACTATTTGATCGAATCTGATGAGAAAACAATGAAAATAAAGGTTATTTGGTCATTTCGATGTTTACAAATTTGTTCATTTGCTGAAAGAAAAACAAATAACATCAACATTTTATTGTTCAAAAATAAATCTTCATAGATCCACATAGTGAAGCGGTGCTCCAGATGGTATAAATAAGCTTCTCAAGGGGGGCGAAGTTGGTCAGACAATACATGGAGAGTTGTCTCAACTACATTATTCGACAGATTACATATGGAATTTGTATTAGTATTAGGTGGAGGGGGGAAAACGGCTAGACGACAGTTTCTACCTTGTTGAACAGAAGAATGGAGATGAAGAAGTGATAACTCATCGGGCGAGGGGAATATCTGTCGCGGACCGGCCGCTGTGGTGGAAAAGAGTGTGAGAACAGAGGGAAGTGAAGGGAAAAAGGAAATTTACTATATAAAAACTGCTGGCTGGTTCGTTATCTTTGCCTAAAATAAGAGGACCAGCCTGCTTGAAAAAGGGGAGAAGCCATTGACACGGTGGAGCACAGCGGACAATCCGAGGACGCATGAAGATTTCAACGAAATGCAAACACAAAAAAGAAGTGTCGGGAGACGGCTTTTTTCTAGATTAGTGGTGGTGGTACGCAGAAAAAAGAAGAACTTTATGAAGCCAACACAAGTGATGTTTCGTGGCGGTTGGTCAGACCAGTGTTAATGGGACACGGTTGGAGAGGTAAACGTCGATTAACACGGAGTAGGCTGAAGTGCCCGGGGGGCCGGCGAGGTGATATGCTCGGAGGCAGAAGAAGAGGGGGCTGGGGAAAGGGGAGATGGGCGATGCGAAAGCGGGCCGTCCGAATCGGTGTCGGTATCTTCTCCGTCTAGGTCGGCGAGCAGATGGAACGTAGATGGCATCGGAAGCACGTGACGGCCCCATAGGTTGGAGATCTTCACGCGACACCGGTTGACTTCGCTCATTGGAATCTGGAAATGGAAGGCGTAATAAAGAAGCATCAAACAACAAAACGGTTTCAGTAGAATCTAAGCCATTTCTTACGTGGGAAGAAAATTAATTTATAATTGGAGATAATCTTTTTATAGGTCATCAGATGAGGAGTTTTATGAAAAAAGATTATTCATCGTATTCCCAATCCCTTTTTCTCTTAACTGTACCTTGCAAAGTCTCGCCAGCGCGTTGATCGGATATTGCCAGTGCTTGTTGGTGGCTTCGACGAGAAGAGACACAGTTGACAGGGCGAGCACGCTCCAACGAAAGTTTGCTGCCAGATTGGAATCGCAGAGCAGAAAATCCATGTGCTTTCTGAAAGAACTGACAAGAGATGAAAGAATAATTATGGATAAAATTACCTGATGGAAGGCAGCAGTAAAGTTGCTTCGAGTTCCGACAACAGACACTCGACGAAGCGGTTCAGACTTGGAAGATGAGCGTCCCAACGGAGCACCTCGAGAATCTTGATCTCCATGCGTTTCAGTTCTTGCGCACTGTACTCGAGGCGGAGACGTCCAAGGAAGACAGGGGCGTCCTCCTCGTGGTCCTCACACATCTTCTTGGCGATGCTCAGACTGCCGACGGCGACACAGTTGACGTATTTGCACGGGATCTTGACGCTGGTCACGACGCGGTCGAAGATGGAGACTGCCAATGAAGCGGCGTCCATTCCGAGTCCGATTCGCTTCGCAGCAGCGCACATCCACGCGCACTCGCGGTTTCGTTCTCGCCAGCCAATCACGCCCTCCCCCTGAGCCAGACTTAGCGGGTAGTTCTGAAAGTAAAGAGTTAAAATATCAGATGGATAAAGCAGTTATTTACCTGATAAAGAAGTTTCTCTCTTTGCAGGAGCATTTGGAGCAACTGCGTTGAAGAGATCCCATCTTGCATCAGCTTTCCCGCCGCAGCTGAGGAGCCGCTAGTCAACCCTGAAAAATGACAAAAATAGGCATTGGAAGAGAAGAATAGACGTCGAGAATCATTCGAGCGCATCGGGAAACTCACTGAACTTCACGAATGTACGGGTTTTTGACATGGCAAAGAGGCGAAGAGGGAAATAATGCTAACGCGGCAGAAAAAACGAGCTATCGCCGAAATTCAATTCGCAAGCGTTTCGAAAAAGAATGTTCTCGCGTATCATCGCCTGCACAACGTTACATTTCGAAACTATTTTTTGCACGCATATCTCTCACTCTCTATGCCAAAAGGGCGAACGAGACGCAGCAAGGGAAAGGATCGTTTTAGCCGAGAGAAACTTTATAAGATTCGCTGTCGATCAGAAGCGTCACGAGGAGAATTTAAACGAAGTCAGAAACTGATTCCGATTAGAATACTGCTTCCGATTGTGAAGCTGAGCAAAAATGTAAAAAACAAGCGAGGAAGCTTCGGGTTTTTTTGGTTGCAGGTCTTGGCGCGCGCGCAAAAGTTTACTGTTACACTAGTTCAAACTGTGCGGTCTATGCTGGTTTGGAGCGGATTTCGAAAAGGATCGATCGGCTCGTGTATCTAAAGTTAGTGTGCAAACAACGCACATTTTTCGAGAGCTCTTGAAAAGTAGAACAAAAGATGGATGAAGACAGTCAGTCGGACGGTCTGCTGACCCGAAATGTCCATTGAAATGCGGGACGCGCACACACGAACCGACGGAAAGAGACCCCTGTGACTGGCCCGCTGGACTTGTCGTTTCTTTCCGTCGCTTCGCCTCCTCACAAAACACTTTCTCATTTCAGTCTTGTCGGCCGACGCCCGGCCAGCCAGCCATCGCTCTCTGTGTCTATCCAAAAGCGCCGCTCTCTGAGACGTCTGTCTCTCTGATTTCTCTGATCTCTGTTTCCCGAGACACTTGCCGTCTCGTCCGTTTTTACGCTCTCTAGAGGGTAATGGCTCGCACTGATTTCAAGCGTTTTTCAACGACATCTGAATGTGCATAATGCGTGAGACAAAGAGACAATGGGAGAGAGGGCGTGGTGAGATGCGATGAAGCGAGAGACTTTAAAAAAAAAACGTCCAACAACATCCAGATCTCCGGGCAGATCACATCATTCGTCTTCTCAGAAACGTCGCTTATCAGTCGCCCGGACTGTCAATCCGTGAAGCTTCTTATCAGCGGTCATGCGGTCACATGTGTGCTGTGTGTGCGATAATCGGTCCAAGACGCAATCGATGCGAAAAAGAGAGGCAAAAGGGCAGAAACTGGAACGTGCGTGCTGCCCGGTACACGTTTATTTATATTCGAGGCAACTGCGAATTTCGTCAGTTGACGACACGAAGCAGAAGGGCTGCGAAGCAGTCGAACAGTCGAACGAAAAGGTCGGCGAAAATGGATAGGACAGAAAACTGGGGGAGTTCACAGACGGTTCAGCTATTTTTGATTGGATAGAAATGCTGTACTGGGAGCTAATATCTAATTCAAAACAGTTGTGATTCCTTGCCAACTGCGATCTTCACTCGGTTCAGATGTTTAGATTCAATATTGTACTTTGATTACGACAAACAGAACATCAAACCCCATCTGAAAACTTCCTTCTACCTATTCAATGATAAACATCGACAGAAAGAGAACTGATAGCGAGTATAACGAAGACGTGTCTCAGAAAGCTGTTCAATGCCAGCCTAAAAAGCATGTTTGGTGAGAAGTCTGCATTTTTGGTCAAGGACGGACTGAGAGATGAGACATACGAATACTGAGAATGAGGAATGAGATTCTAGAATTCGAATGCACATTGTGAGTCACTCGCTCGGAATCACACATCAGAGATGAGTGTTTTGGTAGGGGAAAGAAAGGGCAGTGAAAGTGCGAGAACAGAAAGGGAATCAACATGCACTCACCGTCTTCGTATTCGTCGTCGCTCATCGCCCTCCCTGTTTTGATGGTGTCGTTTCCTTCAGAATACGTCGATCAGATGCTCCTCGCGTGAGGAGCTCTTATTCTTCTGTAACATGGACAAGTGGGGATGTTTGACGAGAGTGTCAGAAGTCGCGGGAGGAACTGTTTACTCGACAATCACATGGCCGGTCACATGGCCGGTCGTGTGGACGGAAACGGACATATATTGAATGGGAAAACGAGGAAAAAAAAACGAATTGTGAGCATCGATGATATGTGACGGATTATATGGGCTCTTCGACGAGCACACAGCAAAAGGACTGACTCATTAGACTTGCGTGCACACGAGAGACGGCGAGGCGACGGAGATGCTCATTAATGCGAGAAAGGATTCGCGGAAGAGAGTCAAATTTTGAAAAAGGAAAGAGGACACGGAACATGCAAATCGACAGCAGATGAGTCCAGCAGATGCGGTTCCTGGTCCAGCCCAACAGATGGTCCTGTATCAGTCACAGCTGTCCAAACTGCGTTGAACTCCGAACGCGCATATCTTGTGAAGCAGAAAAGGAAGAGGGCAATCGATAGAAAAGGTGGTGTATCTAGTCCCGAAACCCATTTCCTCCGCTCGCAAATGAGCCAATCTCACTCAGAGACTCCCATAAAAGTGGCTGGGCTCTCGGAAGTAATCATAAGAAACGGAGTAGTTTGTATTGTTACCGTAGAATAATCGCTTCGGAGCAAAGATAATGTCAAAACATGCAAATACGTCCGGAGTGTTGTCGTTGACAGAAACCGCCACAACAATGGAAGGGCCAGTCACGAGGTTTCCGCGTGGACCACGCGGAATCGTAAATGACCAGGCGGAAAGAGGGAAGGCTTTGCGGGAGACCCCGTTCACGCCTGCTGGGGAAGAAAGGGAATTTCGTCAGGAAAGGCGAAAAGAGTTGAAATGAGTCAGTGCACGCGCCGAATTGAAGGGCTTCGAAAAGAGATAATTGCATCACAACCAAAAAGAAAAGTTATGAAACAGACGCTGTGTTGTCGTCGTCAGTGGAGCATGTGATGGCAGACACGAGAGCACAAACAGCCCTCTGTCGTATGCGGACCTGACAAATAAGGAGAGATCGGCGCCCGCCCCTTTCTCTCTCTCACGCGCTCTTATCCATTTGCTTCCGCAGATGAACCATTCCGCAACGCATGCGAAGAGACGAACGCTCAGTAGAAAATGGCAGCGATTGCTGTATAATCTCAGAAGACGTCGAGCTAATAAGCAAAACATGCCTATTTTATTGGACCAGTGGTGAAGAATATCTTATCACCAATAACAATAACAAAGAAAAATCTATCTACTTGCGAACGAGGAGGGCATGGGAAACGAACAAAGAGGGTGTGTTACAGCTCGACGGCAGCCCGTCGCGACGTCTTCTTCTCGCTTACTCGTCTCTTTTCATGTAGGCGGTGCTGAGTTGCGACGGCGGCTCTCTAAACTTCACAAAAACATGTGATTTTCAGATAATTAGACGTTACCTCTCTGAGAATCTTCTCGTCCTCATCAGTTGTCAGCCTTTTTCCTTCCTCCCTCTGAATATCATAAATCGCAGTCCGCAGCTTGTCGAAGCAATCGGCGACGTTCAGATGACGTTCACGAGTTCTATCGCTGTCGATGATCAGCTGAAATGTCAAAATGTATACATTTTAAATGCACTTGAACTAACCTCTCCGACCGAGTTAATTCGATGGGACAACTTTTCTTCAATGGACGTCCGCAGTGATTCAGAGAGCCATTCCGCTTCGCTCACTTTAAAGCGAATTTCGACTTTAGTGGCATTTTTTTGCACATTTTGTCCTCCTGGTCCACTGCTCAAAGTGTACCTCTTCTCGATTCTTTCCGTCGGGATGAAACCGTTGAAAGCGGCGGACGAAGAGGCAGCGGAAGCCTGAAAAAGAACAATATAAATGAAAATATTTTAAGGCGGGTCTGTTACCTGGATTTGACGAGTAGTTTTCACCACGAAAGATGAAAGATTGCGGAACATTTCGGCAGAAACAAATTTATTGTGCCAAAAATTGGTGTACATTTACGATAAACAAAGAGCGGAGGCGTTATTTCGGCGCATCGTATTGCGATTTTCGGCGGTTTTTCAAAGAAGTTTTTTGTCAAAAAGGTCTGAGACGAGGGCATCCGTTTTCCTAATCGGCCGGAGCAGGCATTCTGGCCATGTCTCTTGCCTTCTCCACGATAGGTAATTTGTATCTCTCCGCTTGTTGTCCTCTTTAACAGTATTCAAGGCGTCGAAATAGGCACAGTTCTGGCTATCATTTGCGCAGGATTCTCGTTGAACACGGGCTTTCAACTGGGATTGATGAGGCAGATTCTAAGAACGTTTAATCTGAAAAGGAAGGAGAACTCGAAGAGGGAGAATCTTTCGACATTCAAAGAGTTTCACAACGTCTCGTCCCTATGAAAAACGGATTTCTTTCAGAATATTCGGCATTACTCCTATTCTCGTCTTCAACATTATTTTCAATTGTATGTTTTCCCCCACAAAGACCTCGAGATGTGTTGGGAACTTTCAGGCCGAAAATCTTACTGTAACCGGACTGGATCCTAATGGATTCTGCTCTTTGAGAAACTTCTGATTATTTCAAAACATTTATTTACTGCAGATACATCTATTTCAATTGTCATCACGAGCATTTCCAGAAAATAAGATGATTGATTGCATCCGTTGAGGGGTCCTGAGTGGCTGTTCCGTCGTCGAGGCCTTCACCGCAGCTGACGAGCGTTAACTGAAAATTGAAGTTGTTTTAGAAGAGAATGAGTAATACAACGAACCAGGGAAGACTGTTGAGCGGGAACGTTCAATGAACTTCGCTTTTGTTTCCGAGAAGTATGATTAGAAGAGCAGGGACTCTGCACGGGAAGAAGGATCCGACACGGGCCACTGTGGCCGACCTCGCAGACATTGAACTCAGGTATCGGCTGAGATTTGGCTGATTGAACGGCTGCGGAAAGGACGAATCCTGCGGAAGTTCCGATCCACAAATGAGAGCGAGCGACGGTGAGACACGAGATACGCAGACATCCCATCTTGTGCTCCCGGAGGATGTGCTCTCTTCCGGATAACTGAGATCTCACGAAGGAAGCCACGTTGAACTGGTTGACGACGGAAAGATTGAATGCGTCGATGACGAAGATTACGGTGGACTTCCGGCCGGAAACGAAGATGTGCTGCCCGGATACCGCCATGAGAGTGACGGCGTCGCCAGAAGGAAGCACTTCCGCAGGCGGCTGGAACTTTCCGGTGTCCACGAAGAATGCGTGGAGCGAGTTTCCACTGGCCAGTATGACCCTCCGTCCAACGTGTTGCATTGCTGTTATCGGCGAATGACAGACGTGTCCCACCGTCTGCGGGTTCTCCAAATCCCAGTTACCATCCGAGGAAGGACGGAAAAGCAAAAGTTGCACTTGACTGGAGTAGGAAGTCGCCACGAGAACGTTCCCGTTGGCCGCGCAAATCGAAGTGACACTGTTCCGCAGCCGGGCGAGACGGTCCCTTGCTCTCGATCTGACTCGTTCCGTTGAATTCACAACGAACACCTCTCCATCGTCGTTTCCGATCCAAACTGTCGTCTGTCCCGCTGAAGACGTTCCTTCGTCGGATGAAGATTCCGAGTCGGAACCACTGCTGTTGATCTCCATTATCGCTTCTTTCTGCAAATGTTCCAGCGACTTCTGCGACTTGATCTTTCGCTTTCTCGCTTTTCTTAAAAGAGTCTATTGAGAATCTGTAATCGAATGTAATTCGTACGTGGCTGGAGGCACTGTGCACATGGCAGTCACTGCCGCATTCCCGATCGCCGAACAGCTCTCGATCGTCACTTCTCCGCCGTCCAAAGCCATCACAGCCACTTGGCCACTGAACTTGTCGCTGGCACAAACCCACAGAAATGGCATACTGTCCACTCGCTTTCCAGGAACTACTGTAGCCGTGCACAACTGGAAAAGAAATTGCTCGTTGTGCAAGTAAGAAGACGGCAAACCTGCAGTCCGGGTCTTGTCTGATGTGCGATGATAGTCTTGAGAATGCAGGAGGGAGCGGCCGTCTGATGCTTCGCCAACGTCGTTTTCGCATCTTTGAACGTCGCTTCCCATACACTTCTCTTGTCGGCATTCGGGAATTCCAACAAAAACGGCTCGAATCCATTTCTGTAAACCAGTTTTCCTCCGCATAATGCGTAATCCCTTCAACTCACGCTGTGAGAACTTCGAGATGGACTGCGCTCAGATCGGGGTCGGAGCTCATTTTCTCGGTGAGCTCCCGGATGTTCATCGAGTTGTCCGTCTCCATCGTCTCCAACATGTCAAACAGCGCCTGCAAACCGGTTTTTTGTTACTTTATCATATCAAGGTTTTACACCGTATCAAAGATCTTTTGCATTTCAATTTGTTTCACTTCCTTCTATCTCTGGTTCTCTCTCGTCTCGTCAAAAACTAACACCGATTTCAATGCAAATCGGAGTCAATTCCCCGTTTTCCATTCTCTTTTCGACATTTTACTCGTAGAGTGTGAGAGAAATCAAAATCAATCACACTGATTTGTCACTTGACTCCGCCCCTTTCAGTATCTTTCCCTCGTGTTGTTTGTTTGTTTTTTTCTAATTTCTTTACAATAACAAACACACTTCTTGTTGAGGGTTGAACCAGATAAATTCAAAGTATGGGAATGAGCAAGGTTTGGTCCAAAGAAGACGTGAGTTGTCATTCGAGATCAGTTCCTTTCTCTAAAGATTAATGTTTTCAGGACATACGAAGGAAAGCTTCGCATGTGAACGAGAAGGGAATCGGATGGATCATCGCCTCGATCTTCATCATCGGAGAGACCGCAGGAGGTGGCATGATCGCCCTCTCCTATGCGCTCACTTCCATGGGACTCATCCCCGGACTCATTCTCCTTTTGCTTTGTGCCCTTTTCTCGTGTTACACTGCTTTGGAGTTGAGCTGGACGTGGAAGATCATGCAGAATCGGTGGCCCGCTTATAGAGATCAGTTAGCTATTTCCCCATTCTTCGGAATCCTCATTCCTTTCTTTCAGCTGCCGCAAACCGTACGGAGAGATGGCGTACCGGACAATCGGCCGGAAGATGCGATCTTTCATTGCATTCATGATCTGCATCACCCAAATCGGATTCGCCACTGTGCTCGTGCTCCTCGCCGCGAAGAACCTCTCCATCCTTCTTCACTTTTTCTTCTCCGTTGACGTCAATCAATGCTATCTCATTTTGATCGTTGGATTGGCTGTTTGGCCAGCCACAATGCTCAAATCCCCTATGCATTTCTGGCAGGCGGCTCTGTTTTCTGCCGGCTCGAGCACTTTCGCCGTCATCCTCGTCGTCATCGGAATGGCCCACGATGCTCCCGTCTGCTCTCAAGACGTTCTGCACGAAAAGCCAGACGTATTCAAAGCGTTCATGGCCTTTGGAACATTTGTGTTCGCCTACGGAGGGCACGCCACTCTCCCGACGATCCAGCACGATATGAGGAAACCAGCTCACTTCGTCTACTCCGTTCTCTTGGCGATAACGTGTAGGTCACTCTCGTCCTGCATCAGAGATAGTTTCCCGTTTCAGTCTGCACCGTTCTCTACCTCGCGATCGCAGTCGGCGGCTACGCTGTCTACGGAAGCTCTGTCGGCGAGGCGATCATTCCCTCTTTGCAAGTGAAATGGATCCAGCAGACAGTCAACCTTATGATCGCCATCCACGTCATCACCACCATTGTCATTGTGATGTCGCCTCCGATTCAACAAGTCGAACAGATTCTTAAAGTTCCTCACCGTAAGTAGCCCTCACTTTCCTGCACTGTTTCATAGGATACTGTTTGAAGGATTCGGACTGAAACGATTCCTTGTCCGGTCGGTTCTTTTCTGGTTCGTCATCTTCATTGCTCTCTCCATCCCCCACTTCGGACCATTCCTCGATTTGGTATCCACATTACTATGACCACCATCTCAACGTCTTTTCCCAGATCGGAGCGTCAACGATGGTTCTGATGACACTCATTCTTCCTCCTATCTTCTATCTCTCCATTCGGACCCAAGAAGTGAAATGGCTGACAGAGAATGGGAAATCTGACAATCCGGAGACCCATCACGAGAGAGCCACGTTCAAAGAGTGAGTGAATAACGCTTTCGTCAGGATTCGGTGCTCTTTCAGAATAATCCGTCTCACACCCAAGCCGATCCTCATCCTCAACGCCGTCGTTCTCATTTTCGGCATCATCGGAGGAACCCTCTCCACCATAACCTCGATCATTCGACTCGCCGATTCAGATATGGCCGCTCCGTGCTACTGGCAATACTTCACCAAAGGACTGCCCTTCCACGGAGACAACAGCGGATCCGTCAACTGTTGCGGAACTTACCGTAACCTGACCGTATCCGGCGAAGACCCACTTGGATACTGTTCACTGTCCGATTTCTAGTCACCACCTTCCCACACGAGTAAACTCACCTTCTTTTCACATTTGAGTAGAGAGCACAGCTGAGTCATCTTCTTCAGAACTCTGTCGTCTTCCCGAGAACATTCCAGTTTCCGTTCCACTTCTTCCAGCTGCGAAAGGGTGTCTTTGGAGATTTGAACGTCGTCTAGAGCAATTTTGAAGAGCAGCTTGAACCGATTGCTCTCTAGAAAGTCCATTGATTGAGATCTAAACATTTTAGATCTTTTGAAGTTCTTCGAAATGTTAACTGACGCTAGTTTGTTGTACATCGTCTTCGGCTTCTTTTTGACGCTTGTGACGAGCAAAAGGTCGGAGAGCATGAATATGCAGCGCTCTCTGTCCGTTCCTTTCAGAGTTATGATGTCATGCCTTAGGAGGGTTCTATCTTTTGTGACCAACTGAAAACATTCCCATGAGCATGATGATGTTTTTATTCACTCACGTCATCCAGCCCGTCGACGATCGCTTCAATTTCTCTCAGTCTCTGCTCCATCTGTTCACTTCCATCTTTGTGTTGATTTATCGCAACAGCCATGCAATGAATGTGCCTCTGAGCACGGAGCAACCTCTCCCGATCCTCGTGCTCCACGGGGGTGTGCTTCAACATCTGCTTCACTATCAACTCGTATCTGAACAAAAAATATACTTTTATTTTTCAAGATGAACCGAGAATAAAACGTACCTGGGGACCCGTTGGATTGGCGAAATGAGCAACGCATCTAAATCTAGTTTGTTCGGGTGATCCCGGCAACATCTCTGAGAAATTGGAAAAAGTTGTTCGATAGAGAGCACGCCACTTACACTGTAATACTTTTCGAACGCGTGTTTCTGTCGGGCCTGTGCTATTGCCGTTTTGGCGAATTTGAAGTTGTCTACGAATGCGATGAACGTTTCTATCATGGATTGTTTCGAGAACTGAAATATGAGAACTGAGATCTCCTCCACTTTCCACAGACTTACGTGAGCCAACAGTACGTCTCCAATGATTGCGTCCTTGTGCCACTGCTCAATTCTCTGGCTAAGAGCGGCAAGAAGAACTTGATGATGAGCGAGGATTTCTGGAACTCGGTAGAAGATTTTGTCGACTAGAGACGCTTCGATGAGTGTGCATTCCAGCGGCTGACGGAGAGGGCGCATGTACTTCTGGAGATGACGATTTCGAGAAAAGAATTCAGATTGAGTCGCCTACCGTAACCAGGAACTCCAACCCTTCCACAAATGACTTTTCCGTGTCCAGCAACTCCCTGGCTGCCAGATGACGTACACTGTAATGCCTTCGCAAACTGGCTCGACTCCTTTTCTTCCACAAAAGAATATCCGCTTCGTGAAGTGAATCTTCCATTCCACACGACTCCAGAGCTTCTCCGCCGTCCGAGTAAACGTAAGGATTCCAAGAAATCGAAGGATGTTGCTCTGGGGAAGTCGGTCGACTTCGGAAGCTGTCAAGCAACTTTGAAAATCGATTGACTCCCGCAAGGGTTTCAGACGGTCGATCAACCAGAAGAGAAGCTGAAGAAGTGAACATCTCGTCCACGATGCCACGTCGTCTGATGTACGATTATTGATTAAGTTCTCCGCTGATCCTCTAACCTATTTCTAACATTGGGCACTGGCTCCGATTGCAGCTCGTTGCTCATGAATCCATCTGGAACGGACGACTTCCGGGAGACACTGTTCCGCCGAATCTCAGAAGTGGGCACGAACTGATCATTCCTGATGGAAGGAATGAATTGCATGACTCCCCGGGGGTGTCCCAACCGAGTGGAAATGCCAGAACGGCGTCCGTCCGTCGTGTCCGTCGCCTGTGACGATTCGTCGACGTCGGAGAAGACTGAAGACTCAATGCAGGGCTCAGCGTGATCAGGCAGTCGTCGGTTACCTCCGCGATCGGAAGACACTTGCGGCGGGTACGCGAGCACTCTCTGCAGCGACTGAATGCTCTTCGCAGCGTCCTTCAGCTCTTCGATTTCGGTCGTCATCTCACCGCCAGAATCGGAATCGTGGCGGTGATTCTGAAGATGACGTTAAGCTCTTGTGAGTTTCTAATGAGACCTACAATACGTGATCTGGAGGCGGACGCGAACTTAGGAAGGGAGAGCAACAGCTTCTGGAGGGCTTCCACGTCGATCTGAACTAGCACAGTAGACAAGAAGGAAATGATCATTACTGGAGGCATATCGACGTTTGGCTCACTGTTCGTTTTCCTCAGTTTCTGCTGCGATTCTCTTCTCGATTCACTGCGTTCGCGGCTCGCCCGGACCATGCTTCTGCGTCTCTCCCGTTGGCGTTCTCTCTCGTTGAAAAAGTTCAGGTTGGCATCGCTGCGTCTCCTAAAGATCAGAGAACAATTGGAATCATTCGCTCAGGAGGAGCCATCAAACCTCGAATTATAAAAAGAGTTTCGTGTGCTCGGGGATACGGTAGCTGAGCGCTTGGGTCTCGAAACGGCGACGGGCGGCGACGAGTCTGTTGAACTATCCGAGTCATCGGCATCGTTCGGGTTGAGCATCGGGCTGCCGGAAAGCTATGACGAAACAGTGTGCAGGTGGGAGAGACGACCGACACGAGGGAATTTGAGCTTGAAACGTTGCAGCAAAAACGACGAAAAACTGAAATGTCATATGGCGTGGTGAGAGAAGGACAACGGATAGAATCGATGGAAACAAAGGCGAGAGAAGGAAGACACTTCGAACTTTCGATTGGGCCAGGTCTAAGGAGCTCCCCGAGCAAGCGAAGGTACTTTGGACGGGAGGGATTCATGGAATTGACAGGCTAGAACGGACCGGGCGAACAAAATCGGGGAAGAGAGGCAAGATGAAAGATGTTTGAAAAAGTCGAAAATAACATTCGAAAGTGTTTCGATGGAAAAATGTTTTGACTGCAACATAGCATTCTCTAAATCCAACATTTTCCATTGACTTGGAGAGGGATCGGACGGAAGATAAATCAGCATTGATAGAGCATTCAATGGGTCTGCTGGTCACTATTACACCTGGAAGAATCAGAAGATGAGAGTGCCGTCACGGACCAACTTTCAGAGATCGGCGGACGAGGGTGGAGACTATCGGTACTTCCGGATGGGATATGAAAAGGACCAATGAGCAGGAAAGTGACCAATCAATGCGTAGTCGGGTGCCCCAACTTGATGTCGGCTGGGTAGTAAGATGGCAGCTGACGGACGGCCGTTCCCGTCTGGAGCATACCTGACGACGGGAGACGCAGACCGCCTTGACAAGACAATCATTCACTCGGGAAGCAAAGAGGTCAACTTGTTCTCTCGAAGGAATTTCATCCGGTTCGACGGTTTTAATTACGTTACAAAATGAACACGTTTAGTTTTCTCGTGCAATCACTTCATTATACAGAATTTAGTGCAATATATACAGGCAAAACGAATGTTTGGTGGTGAATAAGTTAGTAATTCAAGATGAGTGATTTAATTTAATGACATTGGAGGAGGGACGAAGCGTCGACGCACGTGGCCTCGGCAACGGAGAAGACGGCGTTCGAATCAGCGCAGTTGTGGTGGATGAGTTGGCCGTCGACGCATTTGTAGTACGAATGGGAGCAGAGGGCATTCGAGAAGAGTCCGTCGACCGAGCAGTCATAGGTAGTAAAAGCGGGATCGATGAGCACGGTGTCTGAAAAACGCTATCATGAAAAATAGAGAGAATGGGATATACCTTCAATGAGGCACTTGATGGAAGTCTGTGGGTAGTCGCAGATGAGCGACTGCTCGTTGAACACAAGGCTTGGCGGGCACTCGAAGATGTCCTCGTGACCGTTCTGACACGAAAGAACACGTGGCGAACATCCGATGGCATAAAGTCCGTTCTCCAGGTTGGTGCACGGGGTCAGGTGTTCTCCAGATCCAGTTCCGGAATACTCTCCAGAATATTCTCCAGAATATTCTCCAGAAGATTCACCAGAACCCTCCCCGGAAGTCTCCCCGGAAGTCTCGCCAGAGGATTCTCCTGAAGACTCTCCAGAAGCCTCACCAGATTCTAAAATGAAGAAAATTCATAGAGGCGCTTGCAAAATCATTCAGAACCTTCTCCGGAAGATTCCTGGCACTCCAAAACGTTCTGATCGTAGTCGCACATCTGGTTCTTCTGCGAGAACTTGAGCCCAGCTGGGCAGAACATGACGATGGCGCGTCCGTTGGTGCAGGCAGTGAACGAAGAAGAGCACTGTCCGAACGAGAAGTATCCGTCCTCCTCACAGACTGGCTTCGGATGTGGCAGACCGGAGCACTCGAGGACGTCGTGTGGCCAGTCGCAGACAAGAAGACGTGGGTTGAATGCGAGAGAAGCTGGGCAATCCATCAAACGAGCGATTCCACCGGAGCATGTCAGGAAGTTGGTTTCACATCCTCCAATAGCATAGATTCCGTCGACCTTTCCGTCACAAGTGGCAGTGAGCTCTCCGCTCCCCTCTCCAGATGAATCGTCTCCAGACCCAGATCCTTCTTCAGATCCAGACCCAGATCCTTCTTCAGATCCAGATCCAGATCCTTCTTCAGATCCAGATCCTAGCCCGGACTCTTCAATGACAACGACTGTATCGTCCTTGCATTCTTCAACCAGAACCTTCCAGGTGCACTTCTGGTTGACGGCGTCGTAGAAGAGTGGGGTCGAGCAGCTGAGGAAACGAGCAGAGTACGAAGTGCAGATGAAGTAGAAGCTAGTGCACCCTCCAGAAGAATAGGCACCGTCCTCTAGGCCCTCGCACACTGAAGTTTAGATATTTGGATGAAAATAGCATTCTAAGGTTTACCGTTCTCGAGCAGATCGTCTCCGGATCCGCTTCCAAGTTCTTCTCCGGATCCAGATCCACTTCCTTCTCCGGAACCTTCACCGGAGGCTTCTCCGGATGACTCGCCAGAAGCTTCACCAGAAGCTTCTCCGGAAGATTCTCCCGATGCTTCTCCAGAAAATTCTCCAGATTCCTCTCCGGATCCCTCACATGCGAGCACGTTCTGTCTCCAATCACAGATTTGCAGACTGGCATGGTAAATCAGATCGGCCGGACAGTCCATGATACGGGCGATACCACCGGAGCACGTCAAGAATTGCGTTTCACAATCACCGATCGGATAAAGTCCGTCTAGGGCGTTTGTGCAATCTTGAAGGAACTGCGCATTTGTGGAGGCGACAGCGAGTGCCAGAAATGAGAGAGCGAAGAACGACTTCATTCCCTGAAAGACGTGCGAATGAGAGATAACTTGTTGGAGAGAATGAATGTGGAAACTGACTGAATGATCGGAACGAGGTGATGAGTCATCAGTGCTGACAAACAAACTGAAATTCGAAGCGGCTTGACGTAGGTCAAAGCAGACAAAGCCTGCGCATCAAACTATGCTGGCTACTGTAGTTGTTCCGAAATTGCATGTCTGAAAATATTTTTATATGATTCATTCCAATTTCACATCAAGACTTTATTTATTTTTTTTTATGTAAAAACTATTGTTGCTGTATTATTGTTCTTTAAAGTCCGAGTTAATGAAATTATAATAAGATTCAATGCATGAGCCCCGAATTTTCAATAGTGTTTCAAAACGTATCTGAAATCCTCACTAATCTTGCTATTTCAATTATACGCAGTTTTTTGTTTCTGTTTGTTTCGTTTTTTTAGTTTTTCAGTCAGTTTTCCAAGTTTTCTGAACATCTCAACGTACCTCGCCACCTGCGAGCAAGTGCGCTCCAATGCGAATTGGTCGAGAACTCGGGAGGGGGGGGCCGCTACAACGAAATAGAACTCGCACGGAATAGAACTGTTATGATTTGGAACTCGCAACATTAAAACACAACTGCGAGTTCCAAATCGTGACAGTTCTATTCTGTGCGATTCTTTTCCGTTGTAGCGCCGAGAACTCACCTCAATTTTTGGGCGCTAGAACGGATTAGAACTTGAACGAAATAGAACTCCTACGATTTTGAACTCGCAGCGTTAAAAAACAACTAGGAGTTCTAATTCTATTCAGTTCTATTCCGTTCAAGTTCTAATCCGTTGTAGCACCCAATTTTTGCAAAAAATCCACTTCTTTCCATGATTCTTCATTCAATTTGCTCAAAAACTCAGAAATTATCGTTTTTTTTAAATATACAATTTCAGATGGGAGACGCACCAGAAAAGAAAAGAAGGAAACTTACGACAGCTCTAAAAGAAGCGATCGGAGCGCACGCTCAGAAATCCGAGGAGAATATCGAAAAACCGTTGGCTCTGGCCCTTATTAGTGAGTATTTTCAACCTGATCTCAATAAAGACCTCATCTAGGTGATGACAAATCGGCGCAAGATTTGCTGAACAAAATTCAAGCGAGCCGTCGCCCGCAAGCTGTTCTTGAGGCTACTTTGATAATTTGCAAAGAAAAGGTAAACAGTCTACAAATAACACGCGTAAAATACAAAATGGTCATTTCAGAAAGCAGAAGCCCATGTTGAAGAAGCCTTCCTATCCATTTTCCGGAAGCACTTTTCAGTTCTAGGAATAGATTCTGCTATGTCCTGCTGGAAACTGCTCGAGGACCATCTCAACAAGTCGGATTCTTTGTGAGTATTTACTCGACATAATCAATAATTCGAGAATCTGTTTTTAGAAATGAGATCTTGATTTCTTGCGAATTCATCGGCAATGCGAATCTTCTTGGGCACGGATTCGGGAAGCTTCTCCAAACTATCAAGGCCGGTCTCCCCGCAATCATTCGTAACGTCTGGAATCAGGACCGAAAAGGTATCAAATTAAAAGCGGATGGCATCGTAAAAACTGTAATTTTAAAGCGGATTCTCTTCATCTTGCCTACTCGCTCGTTTGCCTTATTCTTGCCGAAAATGTCTACGGAGACGACCAGTCAAAATCTCAATCTCCGGCTACATTCTGGAATGAAAATGTGCTCACTGAGAAGTCGATGAAGAAAAACCTTGGAATGCGAATGATCAGTGCACTGGCAGGAAATGAAGAACGGCTGGGTTCTCTCGCGACTTCCACAGAAATCAGCGGAGAAAAGCTCGAATTTCTTTCTAAAGTTTTCCTGAATCATTTTGAATTCTTCGCGGCAAGCCTTCATAAATCGGCCTCCATTCAGTTCCTCGTTACGAGCATCGATTCACATTTGGCAAAGAATGAGGTCAGCTTGAGAAACGAACAGTATGACATACAAATATCTTGATTCCAGCTGAGACTCCTTGCCATTCGTCTTGAATCTGCAGAAGCTTCGGTGACTTCAAATCTCTACTACGCACTCATTTCCGTGTTGCGAACCAATTTCGAGCTGTCCGAATCGAATATAATTTCAATTGAAGAGTTGGAGACCTTGAAGTGAGTGCCATTATTTTTCTTGTAGACACAAATCATGTTAAGGTTGAAAGAAGTCGCCAAATTTCTTCCATCAGTCTGCGAGATCACCCCAAGTTCTCAAAAAACGTTATCCTCATCGAAAAAAGTGAAAAAACTAAACGACCTTCTTGATTTCATCCGAAGATTAATCGGTGAATCGGAAAACAACAGAGATGCGGCTGCTTTCTCGGTTTGAATCATTCGAGTTTTTCATAAACAAAAAGATTTTTAGTTGCTCGTTGTCAATATTTCCGTGCTTTTCGAAACACCTGATGAGCTATGCGAACAGATTTTGAAACAAGCTCCGAAAGAAGTTATCGGAAAGCTGGTTAAAGCAGGAAAAGGAACAGATGGAAAAGGAATCGGAGTACTGAAAAGAGTGAAAAAGTCAATTGAAGAGGAGAACGCGCAGAGCAAGTTTGTGAACCGATCCGCAGCCGAAGTGAGGAAAAGGTTTTCAGAAGGCTCATATGAAAAGGTTTGCAGGTTGTCGACGGGCTGGCAGTTGCGGAGATATCGGTAGCCGATGCGATTAAGCTCATTCAGGGAGTCCACACTGCCGAAATCAGAAAAGAAGTGTTTGATTCCATTGTCAAATTTGTTGAAGATATTCCGGGAGGAGAGAGTTTGGATGAGATCAGACTGTTCAAATTGATCATTGAGGTATTCAGAGCCCCCGATTCACATAAATTCCGTGTATTTCATTTCCAGATGTACGGAGGCGGGCCGCTTGAATCTCTGGCTCTTCAAGTGATCCTCTCGCGTGTGGCCACCGACGGATGGACTGAAATGGATCGGACACCTGGAACGGATCAATCCGAAGAATCCTGGTTCCGAGTGCTCGTTCAGATGATCGACCTGCTTGAGACGACTATCAAATCTGCGAAAAACTCTGTTCTCAAATCATTCACGGCCCTTTTCTGTCAGCTTTTCAGTCAAGTTCTGAAGAATACACAGAAGTTTGCGAGGCACAGTGCGACCGCAGTCTCGTCGCAGACATTGTCCCCGGAAGCGACAACTCGATGTGTGCTCCGGAGACACAAATTGATTCAGGACGTGGCACGGCTCGTCGACGCAATGAAACGCAACGAATCATACTTTGCCATGCTGACGGCCTCGATCATCGGAGACGCGGTCTTCTACGGATCCGACAGTCTGCTCGCCATGTCAAAATTGCATTCACTGGCTGATAGGAACGCCTCCGGCTTGCTGGCAACCAATTTGCCCGTCGTTGAGCGTACCCGATACAAGAAGTTCCTCTCAACGATTACACGCGCATCTAAAAGAGTCTATTAGCCGTAATTTTGTTTGTTTCGTCTTTTTCTTGTTGATTCGTTTGTTATAAAACCGTTTGTTTTTTCGTACGCAATCATTTATCTTGTTTGTCGTGGAAAAGAAAGAAGAACAAGGAATTGGGATTCTCTCTTTTCAAAAGTCTCGGTATCACCTATACACACACGAATAAATAATGCAGCTGGCACCCGTTCGGTAAACAATCCAAAATCATCGGTTATAATCGGAGGGAGGGAACGAATGTACACAGTCTTCTCAAGTCTTCTGAGGGCGTCCCGCTTCTACTCAAGCCCTGAATCGGAAGTCGTCATTCTCGGCGTCTTCGGCCTCCGTCTCGTTCGGATCGACGTCATCTGAAGGGCTGCAAGTCGTCGTCGTCGGAGCTTCCGTTGAAGTCGTCGACGGCGTCGTGGGCGTTTCGTAGTTCTTCGGCATGTAGCAGAGGCCTTGGTAACAGGCGGGAGCATTAGCCGGACAGTTGGAGCAGCGGCTGTTGTCGTCAGTGGCCCAGGTGAAAGCGGGCATCTGGAAGAGAGGAAATGAATGATTCAAAAAGAAGATGGGTTAGAAATGAAAAGGGGCGAAGCCCTGCAGAAGGACAGAAAAGAGCACGGAAGGGAAAGGACGGAACCGATTGCACTGCACTCAGTTAGGCGAAGCGTTTGGGTTAGACGAACTCAGAAACGGAGGACGGAAGGTCGCTTCGGACCGACGGGACAACGAACCGCATAAAGCTGTCCTCTGCCAGTGACGAATACCGTATTTCCTTGCGGGTTGTAGTGGCACACGAAGACGTTGCGATGGCCGCGTCCCCAGACTCCCTGCACGTCGCGACAGCGGGAGAATCCGCAGCCGACGAGGTTGGTCTTGGCCCAGACGACCTGAGAAAAAAGGACCAATTAGGGAGGAGAAGCCAATTGAAAGAACCTGAACGTAGTGTCCACAGCAGTGTTTGTAGGCGTGATTGCATCCGCACCGAGGGTTGTGGACCTGAACGGATTGCGGGTAATTACGGGAGAAGGCGGCGGGCGCGTAGGTGTTACCTCGTTGAACCAAATGGAGATGGCGTCCGAGTAGTTGCTGTAAGGCGCCGCCCAGATGTTCTCGCCGACGTTCATTCGTCCGCGCGAGTGCCGGAAGTCGCAGGTGTCTGCGTGGCGCTGAGCAGAGGCGGCGAGCTCGTCCGACCAGTAGAGCATGTTCATGTCGGAGGCGGGAACCTGGAAGGGTAAGCATTGAGAGGGGGCAGTTCTCGGAAGGAAATACCATGCGACGGTAGCGATTGTGCTCATGGACAATCCACTTTTTGAGGTACTCATTCGGGTGCTCCGAATGGGCCAATAAGTTATTATCGTAATGTTGTTGGAAGTTGGAAGGGAAGAAGTATCCACGCTTCTCTCTTTTCACTTCGGTATCACCTCGCAACTCTGCATCTTGATCGTGTGCTCCAGAGTGGGAAGTGACGGCTTCGCCTGTAATTCTGAGAGTGGGCGGAGCCAAGACGTCATCGGCTACCTGTGAGGAAGCCATGAGGGACATTGTACGCGAGCGCCGGAGCCAGGAGAGTGAGCAGAGTGAGGAGGAGCTGGATCATTTTGCCATATGAGGGACTTGTGTAACCCAATTGTTGTCGAGGGGGCGATCTGCAAGCCTCGAAGAGTGTTTTGTTGCAAGGCGAAGAGAGATATGGGCGCGCGGATTCCGAGAGATCGGGCCGTCGAAAGGAAGGAGAAAAACTTTGTATCAATCGGAGAAGTGCGCTGATTAGGCGCTCCGCCGTCAAACGACGAAACCAGCCAATCGACGGGCGGTACGGACTGAGAGGATATATCGAAATGAAAGGAAGGAAGCACCTAGAAAGGGGCGGGAACAGAGGGCACGGGGATTACAGCGGCCGAACGAAAGAACGATAATATTACTGTAAAGAAGCTGTCAAGAGGAAGAAGAAGAAGCCGTTCAAAGAGAAGGAGAAGCGATGATCACAAATCGGTTACACCGGAAATGAGGTGCCACGTCAGAGGGGAAGCCAGAGTGCAAAGAACGGGGGGCGCCACGGATTACGGTAGAAGAGGGGGCGGGGACGAATAAGAAGAAGAAGAAGAAGAAGAAGAAGAAGAAATGGAGGAAGGGTTGAACAAAGTGATCGTGCGCGTTATCCATCATATTTATATGACGAATGCTGCAAGGGGGTTGGGTGCGGGACAGACATTCTGGCGACACAGGTCTCTCTCTTTCTCTCTCTCTGCGCAGACAAAAAACGGATAGGGGGGAAAGGAGATTGAGGGGGCGGAGCGTCAGGCGCCGCGGATTTGCGCCTGCGACGACGGGCGGTGATTAGTTGAACAAGCGAACATTCTGCGAATTCATTGGGTGGCGATGATGAGACGGCCGGAAATGGATAATCATTTGGGGAAGGGGGAAGTTACCTCACAGAAAGATCAGGAGGGAAATGAGTCGAAGCGAAAGTGCTGCGGTGGTCACTCTTCGGACGTTTCGGTCTTTGCCCGAAACTTGATGGGCACTCTAATTGAGTTGTAAATGGACGGAGAGATAGATCGTCTGAGGGTCTGCCTTCGGGTTGTATCCACTATCAAAACGTTTACTGTAGAAGGGGGATACGAAAAAAGTCTTCGTGAGGTGGGAAGTATTCACTCAGAATAATCGAAAGCGAATGAAATCGGGACTGCTTCGGGCTAATTGGTGCGGGCATCGATAGTACTTTTCACACGTACACCGTCCTATGGTACTCTCGATTTGGGAAAAAGGAAGGCAACAGCTATTATTCGACGATGAAGACTATTCAGAGGAATCGAGGTCTTTCCCATATTAGGAGAGGGCCCCCGAACATAAACCTCAATCTGGTAAATGAATCTGGCAAGACCTAATTCCGCCTCAACTAACACCATCTGCATCTAGTTAACCTGAGGAGAAAGAGTACAGGTGACCATCGGGATGGGCCGCCTTTATAGTCTGCGAATCACTTGGCGGGTATTCAAATTTAATGGACCGACTCCCGCCCCCTTCGCCTTCTTCTCCTTTTCCGAGGCAACGAAGAGAGACCTCCCACGCACGCGTGATTTACGAGTCGTCCGAGCAGCTGCCTTCTCCATCTTCTTCTTCTTCTTCTTCTTCGGGAAACGATGAGCGTCGCTGCTTCCGAATTCCGCGCATGCTTCTGCTTAGATTTACGACGGCGTGCAGGATCGGATGGCATCGGCATCTGAACCTTTCATCTTGACCCATTTTATGTCGAGGGGGAATTGCAGAGAAAGTGGTGATTTGCAGAGAAATGCGCGCGAAAGGCAATCCAAGCGGCTCTGAAAGTTCGGGGATGATCAACCGGTCTTTATAGGGAACGGATCTAACCAATGTTGCCTTTTCGTCGGAATTCCAGCGTTTTTGCGCGAGCGACACCACGCCCGAGATGCAGAGATAGTCGACGGGAACGCCGCCGCAAAAAGGTCTGGAATGCGGACTGCGCGGCGTGTCCAGAAGAGCCCCGCCACTTCGTGTTTTAGTCCTCGATTGGCCAGAGAATAGTTTGAAGTGCCCAGAAACCGGCCCGCACACTCTGCGTTTCCGGTCTTCTCAGACAGAAGACGTTCCAAGTTTTTGACCTTGAGAAGATCACGTCAAGTTTTCATTTCAAGTTGGTCGGCCCGATGTGATTGGATTACACGAACACAAAAATGTCCGCTTTGCATTATAAATGATAAGGGTGGCTGGTGGTGCATCCGACGGAAAAGGGCACTTCTTGAAGGAGTGTGCTGCAGAAGAGAAATGAACTTTGGAGAAGAGAATTAGCAGAATTGGAAGTTGAAATTAGAACAGAAAATGCATGAAATGACTACAGTGGATGAGTCAGGTCGGCGGAAGTTTAGATCTGTGTGAGTTCTGAGATTGTAATGTCAGCAGGCTCGGAAGTGCACATCATCTTGAGATCTCTTCTCTTTTTCTGTCACTTCCGCCGATCAGCTGTGTTTGGCCGGTCTCTCCCACTTTCTCCTCTCCCCCCAACTATCCCTTTTCCCTTCTGCAAAACCGTTCGGTTCAGTCGGTCGTTCGTTCATCAAAGATCTGAGTACTTGTCAAAAGTTCGTCGTCACTCATTCGGCAGTGAGTCACTTCTATCTAATTCAAATTAAGAGTGGACGACGGATGGTCTTTGGAGAGGATGACTTTGAGAAGGATGCTTCGTCATTCGTAACGACTATTCGGGATCGTTCCGCCTATAAAGTACGACGTGTCGAGAGATCAGTGCTAACCAGAGGACCGCCTTCGCCTTTTTAATCCAGCCACGGCTATCAGTTGCCGAGTCGAGAAGTCCGTGCAAATCTGGCGAGATCGGGGCGCCGCGACCTTGTCCTCTGACCACGGATGCGCCCGACCGAGATGATCGTATTCTTTTCTGCGGCTTTCGAAGTGCACGAGAGATATTTGAGATTTGGTCGTGCGGGGGACGAAGAAAACGTCGCGAATATTTGGGAATTCAGGGGTGGGGCACAACTGCAAAGGGACGTCGAACGGGCGCAAAAGCCGTCGGCGCCGATCAACAATCAGAACGCGCCGGAAGTCGGTGGGGTGGTATTCCGCTGGATGACCCCAATGATGACCAGTTGGTTATACTAGGACCGGGAAGCATCTTAATTATCCGCAAATATTGATAAGCGGCGATATCGGGGCCGCCCCGTCCTTCACGAAAAGAACGCACTACGCTGCATCGTCGGAATGTCGAGATGGCTTTCCAAATCGGAAGTGACGACGCGCGATTCCTTTTCTCTCTCTCTCATCTCTCTGTTGACTGATTCGTTTCTTATAACCCTGCCGCATTTTTTCGAGAGATGTATTCCTAATCACGATAATCGGCAACGCCCGATTTGTGATCGAAGTTTTGAACGGCGTCCGCAATCGTTTCATTCAACAATCATCACTATCATTCAACAAGAAAAGAAACAAAAACCGATGAGATAATATGAGAGATCTCAATTGCAATCTATGAGAATGATGGGGGAAGAAGGCACGTGAATCAAGCATATCCGGCCAGCACATTGAAGAAGTGGTACACCTCGTCGCTGTCCATCATGGCGACGAGAGTCCCGCACGAGGAGCACTTCACCGGAGTGTACAGATCCGAGTCATCGGGCAGCACCGGAAGATTCACCTGCAATACAGGGGACAGGTGGGTGTCGACCTTCAAAGAGCCAATTACTTTTCCTGATTTCTTGGCCTGTTGACGGTCCCGTCTTCGCTCCTTTCCGGTCTTTTCGATCGTCATTTTCTGGGCTTCCAGCTGGCAGTTTGACACGAACATCGCTCTGCAAACGGAAGCAGGTGAGGAAAAGAGGGAGAAGAAAAAGAGTGAGGGCACCTGTATTGAGTCTTATAAATTTCATGTCTCTGGCAGTCCCTTGTTAGCTCTACCATGCATCCGGGGCACGAGAGAACTCCATCAGCCTCGCTTTGTACAACGTCTTGTCTGAAAAATACAGAGTCTGTCGTCACCACGTTCCATTTTCCTACCCTCTGACTATTTTGCGATGCTCTTTCACCCATTTCTCATTGTCCTCGTCCTCCTCGTCATCGTACAACAGCTCGTCGTTCTTCTCGATTTCCCTCAGTCTCTCCATGGCCGCCTTCTTGATCGGATTCGTTTCCTCTTCGATCTCTTCCACCTCATCCGTCTCCATCTTCACCTTTTTCTCCTCTATCTTCATCTTTTTTGGCGACTTTGTTGGCTTTTTTAGAATTGAGGAGAGTGGCTCCGATGCTTTGGCTGTTTCGTCGTATTTCTTCTGAAAACGAAATAATATTTACACGTTCAGGGTTATCCGCCAGTAACCTTCTCAGGACGCTTGTTCAAGACATCGTTCGTTGCGTAGGCGTCGACAACAGTCTGAATCAGTACCTCGCGACGTTTCTTTTCCGGGAGGCGAGAAGCGGCGATGCGTTTGCGACGTTCTTTCTGACGCTGTCTTCTCTCTTGCACGTCGAACTTCTCCCCGTTTTTGCAGCTGTACATCAGCTTTATCGCTTTTCCGGTGTAGTCTTTGAGCACGAGAGCCGGCATTTCAGGATCCACTTCGCTGTCGGTCAAATCCACGTCATAAGGAAGAAGCTCTAAAGCGGCCATTTTCATCTCGACTTCCTCGGTTTCGCGGCGCCACAGCTCATCTTCCTTGCGACACTCCTCCTCGTACGCCGGATTGTCGCCCTCTTCTTCCTTCTTTTCCTTCTTCACTTCTTTTTTCGGAGCTTCATCAATTTCAAGGACCTTCGGATTCATACCCAGATGCTGATTCGCGTACTGCGTGATGCTCCGGTCGAGTTCCTCGTCCATTTCGTCTTCGAACTCGGATCGTCTTCTGCGACGTCCGAACGCATCCTTCGTTACCTCCTTCTCGATACCGGCCAGTTTTCGCAAATGCGTTTTGACCTCATCGTCCGAACTGAAAATACACATTTTCTTTGATTCACAAAAAGTGCACGTGTCCGAATGTGTTTTGGTTTGGTTTTCTGATCTCGTCTGTCTGTCCACCCAATTCCTCCGCCCACCGTCTTTCACACATTCACAGTGCGCTCCTTCAACGCCTATCAAAACTTGAACCATTTGATGAATGGCCGTAGAAACTCGGAGAAAAGAAGATACATCGGGCCGGGTGGTTCCGTGTATCATTATTTCTCTATGACGCACTCAAATGAACACGTATTTGAGGAGACGTGCGTGCGCGCGCGCTATTCGACCACCTTCATATAGTTTTTCGCGGGATTTTCCCCAAGTTTGTAATAAAGATAAGTGTGATGATAACAATGATAATGCGGAGAAAATTGTTTGGCCGCACAAAAATCGGACTGAAGGACAAAGTTCTCGGAGAAACAACGGACTAGAGTGTGTTTCTTTTTTTGATCTCGAGTTCCAACCTGACTTCATCCTCAGATTCGAACACTTCCTCGCCGACGGCTCCGCCCAGGTAGTAGTCGTCGTCCATCTTCTCGAACGCGAGCCGACGCATCGCAGACGCGGTCACTTCTTCCCCGGGCTGCTGGTCATCGAACGCTTCATCGTTGATCATTTTGCTGCTGAAAATAAAACACATTTATTACCCACAACCGCGCCAAAACGATAAAGAAACAAAGAGATTATATAAGAGGAAGGAGGCGGAAAACCCATAAAGATGCATATCACAAGAAGCGAAACGATTTAGATGACGATGTACAAACTAGTAATACAAATGCTGGGATATGTGGATCTTTCTACAGTACCTGCAAAGATGGGGGAAGAAAGAACTGAATCAGGGGGACTGTACTGTAGAAAAGATCCACAAAGAAAAAAGAGCACGTGAACGTGAAAGGGAACAGTTCAAGAAGACACTTCAGAGTTCAGTTCTGAGGGCGTCGCGGGCGGCGGCGAGTGCGTAATCTCCAGCGATGCGTCCGAAAACGACGCATTCGAGGAGGGAGTTTCCGGCGAGTCTGTTCGATCCGTGAACTCCTCCGGTCACTTCTCCGGCCGCGAACAGTTTCTCAATCGGACGGTCTTGCTCGTCGAGAACACGGGCGCGCTCGTCAATTTTCAGACCGCCCATGGTGTAGTGAATGGCCGGAGTGACGATGGCTGCGTAGATCGGTTCGGATGGAGAAATGGCGGCGACTGGGAAGACCTGTATATGAAAGTGTTAACGAAGGCACAAAACTGATTCCGATTGACCTTCTTTCCGAACGGGTCCTCGATCTCTCCTTTGAATACCTTTTGGTACTCTTCAAGAGTCGCCTTCACAACCGATTCGTCCACATTGAGAGCTTTTGCCAGTTCTCCTGCGTTTTCGTATTTAGCTGGAAGTATCTAGTATTGGATGACCGTTTTGAAAGATTTCTAACCAAAGAACTTCTTCACAATGGCGTAGAAGTTGAATGCTGGTCTACCGAATGATTCAACATTTGCTTCGTTCATCAGCATAATAGCCGAGTTCTTTTTGGCGGATCCTCCTTGGAAGTGCTCTCCGATCGGTGGTGCCTGCTCCAGAATACGTCCAGTCAAATAGTCACGTCGTCCCAACTCGTTTCCAAACCTCTTTCCTTCCGAATTGATCAGAAGAGCTCCCTTTCCGCGGAGAGCCTCAGCGGCCAAGAACTTTGTGCCAGCGGCGGGCTCCTTTGGATCAACAAAAGCAGTCGGATGAATTTGAATGCGACTCATTCCGATAAGTTTAGCTCCGATACTTCTGGCCAATTTGACGCCGTCTCCTCTGGCAAATGCTCCGTTTGTTGATGGGAATTCCAATTTGTCTCCGCCGAATTCAACGAGAAGTCCGTCCGGAGCACGATCTGCGGAGAATCCTCCCGTGGCAAGAACGAGAGCATTTCCATTCACATTCGACTTTGTTCCGTCTACGTTTTCCACTTCGATTCCAACGACAGCTCCGTCCTTCCGCAGGATTCCAACCATTTTGGTTTGGGTGAGAAGACGGAAGGATTCCGGATCCTTTTCTTGGATCTCATTCAAACGCGTTCTCAGTCTTTTCATGATTTCGAATCCAGCGGGAATCGGTCTTCCTTCCTTCGGCGATGGAATCCAATGGGTTCTGGCTACCGTGTGCCCTCCGCACAGATTCACATCGGTCAAATCGACGCCCACCTGAACATGCAATTCATAGTTATTTTATTCATCGGAACTTTAACCCTTACGTTTCTAAGAAACTCGACAGCAGCTGCCGATTTCTCAGCAAGGATACCCACGAGTTTTTTGTCGTTCTCACCGTCTCCGGCGCTCAGAGTGTCCTTTACCAGAACTTCAGGCGAATCGACGAATCCCAGTTTCTCCTGAGTCTCTGTGCCGGCTCCATTAATTCCACTGGACGCCTTCGCCGAGTTTCCGCCCGTATTGTTCTCTCCTTCCACAAGAAGCACTTTTCCTCCGTTCGAAATTATCTCAATCGAAGCGGAAAGTCCAGCCAATCCTCCACCAACGACAACGACGGTCGGTTGAGCGGACAGTGGAGAAGCCATGATTAAAAAGGAAATGAGCACCCAGATCATCAACTTCTGAAGGGGATCCGAGTTGCAAATGGAAAATTTGATTGAATAAGATAGGAAATGGTTAAAACCAACCAGAAAAAGGAGTGAGAAAACGAAAAAGAATCCCAGAGTGCTTTATAGGCAATTGGAAGAAAATTAAAGCTGATGGAAGTGATGGCCGAACAACCCACTGGAAATAAACGAAGCAATCGGGGGAAAGCAAGAAGAAAAACTGCAGAATAACCGTAACTCTGTCTATACCTTATTATACAAGTTTGACTAGAAAAAATGACAATATTATTAGCTAAGATGACAGATTTCATTCATCATCATCTTCTTCCTCGTCTTCTGAATTCGTGCTAAACTTGGACGAGTACGCCTTCTCGTTTTCTTTGAAGTTCGCCTGCGAATCCATTTCGTCCAAAAAATTCTTTGTCAAAGTTTCGAGCTCCTCATTGGATAATTCATGACCATCGGAATCGACGAGTTTTATTGACATGTCATCTGAAAAACATACAGTCTCTCCATTTTCTATAGTGTTTCCACTTACCTTTATTCAGCATACCCGCTTTTTCCAGAAGACTGAACACCTCTTTCATGTCGCCCGTTTCAAGAAAACTGTCCTCTGGCAGGTCGAGTGTCAGTTCCTCTATCAAACTCTCTGAAACTGGCTTTGAATTGATTCTTTGATAGTTTTCCTAACCTCTAGTCCCTTCTTTCATATTCTCGAATATGTCCTGAATCGTTTGCCACAGTATGTAATCATCTTCCCTCTTTTTATTGGCTGCCGACGCTTCCGACTTCTTTCTGCTCGATGTTCCGCCGAGAGTCTGGAGTGTTCCACTTCCACCGGCCATCTCCAAGGCGCCGAGCATCAGATTGTGTAGAGCTTTCGCCTGTTTCCTGTATTTCAAGTCTTCAAGCCAGAATTTGTTCTGCCATTGCATCTTAATCCTATTCCACTCCCTCTGAATCGATTCCTGCACCAACCGAGGTCCTTCTTTCGCGAACACGTTTACGAATGCAAAGTCGACCCGTTCCACGTACGGCTCTTTCCATTCCCTCTCATATATCTTCTGAAGACTTTCCCAGTCTTCGAAGAACTGCTCAGACTCGTAAGCTTTGTCGGAGCCTTGTTGAATACGGACAATACTGAAATGTTCCATAAAACGTTGTTGATCACTTTCTGGCATACTGTTTCAGTTTCGTCAGCGTTGCAATCGCCAGCATTCTCGAAAGATCAATCAGGTCGCGCGCGAGATTCATGTGGAACCTGTAGTCGTCGGATCTGACGTTCTTCAGATGAACCATTGAGCGTGGATAAGCACTGAAGTAGGTAGGAAGTTTCGCTTGGAAATATGCAATCTGAAAGTATTTTGAATAGGAGTGTTCGCTGACAGAGACATGTCACTTACACTGAACAGTTGATAGACAGGGGTGAGGAGATCCTCGTATACCATTTCAAGATGTCTCAGAGTTTCCTTCTGATTTGGAACAGAGATCTGCCATACGAACTTCTTTTTGATCTCCCCAGTTGCTGGCTCGAAAGTGACTGTTTTGTAAATAACTTCCCTCTTGATTGAATTCGGAAGTTTATTTTGCACGTAGCTGTCTTTCCTCTCGATGAGAGACAAGTGAAGCTCGAGTTCAGTGAACAAAAGTGAAACGAGATGTTTTCTGCAAACGAAACGCTCCGAGTGTCTCAACAGATCAACTTACCCGTAGCCGCCCATCGGATCCACTGGTCCGTCGTCTTCGGGCCACGAATATATTTCAAGTAATTCATGAACAACAGACTTTCTGGTACGCAACATATTATATACGTAGAACCGCCAACTGCCGTCTTCGTACTCCTTCTCGCGAAGATAATAATGATGCGCCATTTCCTTGAATATGGCATCTCCACTGATTAACATCTGATATTTCAAATCGATGTAGCCAGTCATCACCGTGTCTGCCAGCGAGTTCACCAACGGATCGATGCCTTCGTATTTGTACTTGCGCGTTCTCAAATTCATCCGCACTTCGTCAATGTACTTACTTTCCATCTGAATCTTTCTATTAATATACACTCTCAGTATTCGAAACTCACCGCTGCCGCATTGATATCTTTCGGAAATTGCGATTTTGGCCACGTCGGCTCGTGGAAATAGTACCACAAATGGCCGTTGTTCTCTTGTGTGATGTCATCGTAATCGACTGAAAAACAGAATTTGTTCGCTTCTGAAATGTCTGGAACTGTTACTGTAAAGGAGGTAATCGGAGAGATCGGAAGTCTCCAGGAGTGTCCATATCGCGTCCATCTTTGTTTTTGTGATCGTTTCCTTTATCAGCTCTGTAACTTTTCGTTCGTTTTATAATAAACTGCTTCCAGCCCTCACTCATATTGATCATCATCAAATTGAAGTGTCCTGCTCGATAATCCATTTCCGCCAGATCTATTTTCACAGTGTCGAACCCATTCATCGACCGTTTTCCCTTCATCATCGCCGTGAATCTATCGGCTGTCACTTTATAATAGTGCCTCGCTTCGATAGCTTCCTTCTCCAACACTGCCTGTTTTTCCTTCTCTTCCAACTGCTTTCTGAGCAACCCTTTGATGTCCTCCAGACTCAGGTACGGCTGGCATCCGATGTCGTTCGTGTTCGCCTGACTGACGGGCAAAAACTCCGGGAAGTGGCACAGAGTGCCCACTTTGACAGTCATAAGATACTGGCACGGCCTCTCTTCGACCACTGAGTGCACGTACGCTTCGTTCGTGCTCAGTTGGGCGTCACATTCGTACTAAATAATATTTCATTGACCTTATTTTTAACTTTCTGTTCACTCTCTTCTCACCCGAACTGTCGTCCTTCTCGGTTCTCGATTATCGTTCAAATCACAGAAAGTTCCGCTCGAATACGATTCTTCCACGTAAAGAAGGCGGTCTTCCGTCGATTCGTGATACGGCGGCATCGTGAAAGTACCGTCGAAAATGCCGAGAATGTTCTTCGCGTATCCCTCTTGCTCGGCTGAAAATTCTCGTCATCCCTTCCGACGCAACGGGAGACTCACGTTCTCCGTGCACTTGCTCGACCGTTTGTCCGCGGCAGAGAATGTACGCCCACCAGTTGTTACCTCGCAACCGAATGCACTTGTCAATGTAGAAGGAGGCGGCTAGCGCGTCCCCGTAGATCTTTGGATTCTTGCTGCTCCGCGGCGCGTCCGGCTTCTTCAACTCCTCAACGTCTGGCAAAGAGCACGCGAACTTCTGACCTCCTTTGCTCGTCACAAACACATAATTTTCCTGTGATTTCTTTGGAATTCTTTCCGCAATCTGTTTTTCTAAGTGGTCGATGTTCTCAGCGGAAACCTTCCGGATATCCAGCTCCGGGGCGAACCACAGAAAATCGTCCCCGATTTTCGCATCGTAACTGACTCTTCGGAACTCGGTCAAATCGAAATGACCGGCATTTGGGGTTGTGGAAACGGGAGAGAGTAAAATGAGGAGTGGATAGAGAAGGATCATTGGGACATACTAATATCTGCAAACGAATCAGTATTCTCCCGACATTCAAACTAAATGCGATTCCAAGTATCTCAGAGTTTGGGAAACACTATTTCAGAGACAAACGTCTCTCTAGGCACTCACAATGACCGTTTATTTTGCAAAAGATAGATGAATTGTTCCGATGGAAAAAGAAAAATAATTTTACGAACAAACGGGGGGAAGAGTATGTGAAAAATGTGTTGATTGTGTGGAAACGAGGAAGAGTAGAAGAACGAGAGGGGAGGTCGCATAAATTAATGGGGAAAATGTGGAAAAAAAACGTTTTTCTTCTGGTTTAGAACTACAGTATGGATAAAGGGGACGTGTCATCGGTGCGGGGCTTCTAACTTTTACACATGAACAGTAGTTATGGATGAGACACATCGATGGTTATTTGTGCTCGGAAACATGAGACATACAGAAACGAAAAAGAGCGAGAGAGAACGGACGAAACGAAGAGTGAGAAGTGGAAGAAGAAGTTGTTAGGAGATTCCAAATTTGACTAGCGATATGTTCGATTACAAGCCCAGAGCTGAAATTAGTCAATTTAAACCTGATGATTAGGCAACAGTGGCATACCATTTTTGGCCTCTTCTGCAAAGTATCGAACGTCAAAATCAGAGTCTTTTCCGAGTTTCTCGAGCAATGGCTTCACTTCGGTGGTCAACGTGCTGAAGATATTCCAATATTAAATGCAAGAGGAAAAGATAAACTCACTTGGCCGAAAGGTTCTTTCCGATTCGTTTCAGGCTTTTGGCGGCGTTGAATCGGACATTTGGCACATCGTCCTCAACGAGCTGAAAAATTTCTATGACTACTAATCCTTGATTCTTCGTTTCCTCACATCTTTAACAATTGGCATAATCTCCTTGAGTATTTGCTCCGGGGTCATCGCCTCGCTCAACGTATTCAGGCAGAACAGGCACGTCATTCTCTGAAGATAGTTGGAGTCCTTCTGAAGCTTCTGCATTTTCGGAAGGATGTTTGTGCTGGCCCACTGTCCTCCGAATTTCTGAGTCAGCTCTTTCATGATGATAGTGGAAGCCTCACGAATGGAGAAAACTGAAAACAACTAATATGAAGCAATGCAAGTAAAATTGTAATATACCGTGATCGGTCAGCCAGTTTAGGCAGAGCGGCAGCAGTTTCTCATCAAAGAATTCTTGTCCCTAAAATAATGATTACACAAGATAAACCTTGAAAGATACGATACCAGTTGAGCAGCGAGAAGTGGCATGAACTGCACGATGGCCAATCTCACTCTCCACTTTCCGTCCTCGGCCAATCCAACGATAGCAGGAAGCAGCGAAGTGGACAATTGAGCGGCTCCGATCACTTCGTTCACCTTGTCAAGGCTGGTGATTATATTGAGACGGACTTCGGGTGTTTGATCGTTCAGCAATTGCATGTAGATTGGCAAGAGCTCGGACACCGTATGCTCTTTTCCAATCAGAGGGGCCAGGCCCATGATAACACCGGCCAGTTCCGACTTGACGAGCTGATTTCCATCGGTGACAAGTTCCTTGGCAACTCCGAGCAGGTTGTTGCAGATGATCGTTTGACGCTTGTCCTCTGGCAAGTTGGCGGAGAATTCTTGGAGGCGCTGAGTGGCTGCGCATCTGACCTCAGCTTCTGGGTCCTTCAGAAGGTTCGTGTAGTAGTTGACGAGGGAGTTGACATCCATGTCTTCCCCGAGGACGTTCTGAATCTCAATGAGCTTCTCGGCGACCATATAGCGCACACGCCACGACTTATCGTCGAACAACTCCATGAGAATTGGCTCCACCAGCTTCTTCTTGCTCGCCTTGTCGAGAAGAGTTCCGAAGGCGATGGCAGATTCGACGGTGAGAAGACGGACCGAGTCCTGCTCGTCGACGTGTAGGTCGGTGAGACTGGAGTGAAGTCCTTCCACGACGGCCGTCTTCTCGAACACTTTAGCGAACTCGCCAAGCTTCGAAGCGGCGGCGCGACGAACCATAGGAGTGTCGTCACGACACAGTGTGCGGAACATGCTGAAATAAAGAAAAAACTAGCGTGTCGCTCTGAATCATGCAATATACTCACCTCTTAAGATCGGTCTTGATAGCCGGACTGACACGCGGATAGACTACGGAGAAAAGGCCGCAAGCCGACGTACGGGAAGTGAACCAGTCTCCAGTGGCAAGACGGCGGAGCATCGGCACGAAGTGCTCTTCGAGAGAAGCCGAACTGTGCTTGTCAGCAATCTTGCGAAGGCTCTCAACGGCCTTATCACGGACAACGGTCTCCTCGACAGTGGCCAAGTTCTCGAGCGGCAGGAGAAGGCAATGAACGTGATCTGGACCTCCGACCTGGAAAATAGTTGTTTAGGCAGTCGATCTCGATAAGCTAAACTGACCAGCGGTGTGAAGTTTCCCAGCTGTTCGGCGAGGACCAGAAGCACCTCATCCTCATCATAAATGGTGTCAGTTAAGAACTGTATGAGCTCGTTGCGTGTGCGTTCCACTCCGAGTGCCAACGCAATGGTGGACAGCTTTCGGATGCTGTTAAGACGGAGAGTGACGTCCTCATTGCGCAGCTCATCAATAAGCACGGCGATCGGGTAGAGCGACTCATCGCCAGTTTCTTCGATAGCCGACATGATTGAGAAAAATGCGCTAAAAATAGAAGTATAATTGGAAGTGAACGATATAGTGTTCTCAACGCGGAGAAAATTAAGAGAGTAGCGAGACGACGAGAGGAGTGAAAACAAAAAAGGAGAGTGAGAAGGAAATGGCAGCGGATCGATGGGCGACCAGTGATAGTCCGGCCGGCTCTCTCACGTAGGCAATGCTCAAAAATGGAGAGCTACAAGGATTATCATTAAATCCGGGAGCAATGCATTGGGGATGCTCGAAACGATCGATTGTCCCTAATCCCCGGGCGTTTGATGAGTTAGTACAGAAGACAATTTTCACTTTTTTGTACTCAGCGCAACGTGGCACTGCGAAATGAAACTAAATTCGATGCCAGCAATCGTTCATCTCATGACAAATCACACACAAAACACATACGCATACGAAATGAGCGCAAAAAGAGACCAGTGGTGCGAGCGCAGACAAGCAGAGAGCGGCCTTCTCTGCACAATCCGTCGGCGCACGTCGTGAGCCACTATCGATTTGTCGTCGAGTTCGATGCACTGGACGCACGGCGGCGATGAAGGAAGCGAGTGAGAAGGCGCGAAAAGGCCATGAATTACGAAAGTGCCGAAGGGGAAACAAGGCACGTGGTGTGGTGACAAAGAACAGCGAGAGAGAGAGAGAGAGAGAGAGAGAGAGAGAGAGAGAGAGAGAGAGAGAAAGAGAGAGAAACGGAGAGAACTGATTTCAGAGAACACGAACACTTCACAAAGCCGACAGAGGAAGAATGATAAGGCGAAACAACAACAAAAAAGAGGAAAGACCTCTAGTTCAGCTTTGTGCATATTCGAGTGGCACTTTTACAAATTCGCTTAGAAACGAGGTGCTCACGTCAATGGTTTCAAATGGAATATTCAAGAATGACACGCCGCGTCTTAGTTTTCAGCTCCATTTTTCCGCAGAGACTCTTCACGACTTATTTTTTACTTATCACTGTTATTCATTGATGGGAGACGGCGCGAATGTTTTCAATACATTCAGTTTCAATAAATGGGCGGATGGCAAGCGAGAAGAGGAGATAGACAAGGAGAGCAGACGGCGGCGTGCCGAGCAGGTTTGTTGCTCACCAAGATGCGCGCAGTCTAACAAATCTCACAACAGATCAAGCGGCTGAAAGAAAGGCTTCGAAAGGAGCGTGCTCTGCGCGAGGCGCAGGGTGACGGAGACTTGGACCTGGACGCGCTAATTGAGGCTATACAGCAGGGCGAGCTGATCAATATGCGTAGGCGGAGCAGTAATTTCCAGTTTCCTTTCCAAAACGGGTGATTTTCAGCCAGCCACACACAGGTGACTGAAATAGAGCCGGAAAGGAAGAGAAGAGGTGTGCCAGATGAGCTTTCTGACGATTACATTTTCAATGAGATCAACCTTTACGCGAGCCGGGCGAACGAACTGAAGGCTACTGCTGAGCCGGTTGATATGCCGCGTTCAAATGAACTCTTTCAAAAACTAGGCATGTCAACAGTCAGATGTCAGGCACGACTTGGCCTTGCTCAAAAAAAGAGGTGTTCCGAAACTGTTTTAAAACTAGCGCGTTCGATTTAGAAACGAATTGTCAACAAGCCCTACGCCTAACGCGTGGGTGGCATTGTGAATGTTTTCGTCATTGTCGTGTTTGACATCGCGTGTATGGAAATTTCAATTTTTTTTTCAGATCCTCTCTCGTTCAAATACAACAGACGGAACCAAAACAACGAAATGGTCGACAATGTTGGACCGAGTGCAGTGAAGCCACATAACAATTTCAAATTCAATCGATTGATTCAAGATATTCCGAAATAAACTACTTCTGAGTGCCTGTTCAAAAATCGTTTCGAATATTTCAAGAAAATAAATACATGGTTTACGAGCCAGTCAAAGGACTTAATAACGTTATTCCCGTACGGGAGAAAACGGCGGTGACTCACACATTTCGAAATTTCTACCTAAAGATGTTTTTATCGACGATTCGTGTAGAGGAAATGTTTTGAATTAAAATTTTCAATTAATTTCTGACTGAATTTGAACAAAAATAGATAAACAGCAAAGAACTATCGAGATCAATGCATTGCAATGCGAAGGAAATCTCTGCGAATCGTTCGAAAAATGGAGTGCGGTAGAGCGCGTTTGCATTGACGTATTTTCGCGGCAAACTTGAATCCTATTTTGAAGGCGGTTTGCGCGCGCTCCGAACCTTTGGAGACTGCTCTCAATCTCTGTTTTACGCTCATTACAATGTCCCCTGTTATTGGACGTCTTCCATCAGTTCTTTACGAAAAAGAGTGTCCAGGTAACGAAAATGAAGTAGATACAGGTAGAAACGTGCTCTGTGTTTATATTCATCGAGATCGTTCCAGTGTTCACCGATGAAAGCCTTTCTATCTTCCCGTGCTTTCCGCTTTTTTCGAAAGAACAATGTCGGGAGGGAAAGTAAGAGACTTATTTTAGTGCCCCTCTAACTCGAAAACATCCTTTTCAGCTTCACTCTTCTGAAATCGGAGCCCGACGAAAAAGAGAGAGAAGTTATTATTCCCCCGATCAGAAGAAAGCACGCAGTTCGTCATCTTTCGAATCCGTTCGAAAAGCATAATGTGCCGGATCTGGTCCTCACTAACATCTTCGGAAATCTCAATAAGAAAGATCTGTGCTCAGTGATGCTGGTGTGCCACAAATGGCGCAAGTTCAGTACGATCTCGACTACGTGGAGCGTGACGGATCTTGCCGAACGTCCAGTTTCAGAAGTTTCCCTCTGCGCGCTCATGAAAAGGAAACTCCGTGTGTTCAGACTTGCTGGAGCAAAGGTTCGCCATTAGATTCACTAATTCAGAAAGATGCAATTTTCAGCCGAATCCGGAGGCTATGATCTCGCCGCCCGCTTTCCAAATGGCGTTGTCCGTCGTGAGCCGCCTCGAATATCTCGATCTTTCGCGCTCCAATCTGACCCATCGCCAACTGATGATCGTGCTGAAGCCGTGCAAGAAACTGCAGTGTCTTTCCCTCGAGGGAAGTATTATCGATAACGAAATTGCTGAATGTATTGCTCAAAACAAAGATATAAGGGAACTGGATTTGTCCATGACTAGTGGAATCACAGCCGAAAGTGCCTTGGAGATCTTCAAAAACTTGAAAAAGTTCTGAATTTTTATGAAAAACAGTAGATAAATTGAGAACTTGCAGGCTAGAACAACTCAATATCTCTTGGTGCGGCGTCGATTCGCAGATTCTGGACATTCTGCTCGAGAATATCCCTTCACAAGTTTGCAAACTGAACATTTGTGGAACCACCCGAAATAATGGCCTCACCGATAAACGTACGGCAAAACACGGGAGAATTCTTTGAAATTATATCTCTTGAGATATGCGGATGCTCACCACCGCATGCCCGAAACTGTTGGATCTGGACTTGTCGGACAACGTGGACATCAGCGGATTGATCATTTCTCTCATAATGGATAACTTCGAGAGACTGCACACTCTCTCGCTCAATCGCTGCTACGGAGTCGATCCGAACATCATTGTGTAAGCCCGGAAATCCAGTGATTTAACAGAAGATTCATTATTCTTGCAGAAATCTAAACTGCATGCCTTCTCTGCAATTTCTGAATGTGCACGGATGCATCACCGACAGCAACATGGATCTTTTCCTGGATTTCTGCAATCGCCTCAAAATCAACTGCCAGTACTTCAACTTCACCGCCAAACCGGTTGCCAACACGAATAACAACACGCGAATCTGGGGACAACGCGTCAAAGAGCGCTATTGAGCCCTTTCCGTGTCCCGCTAACCACATCATAAGATTTACTCGCACTTATTCATTCATGATTAACTTCCTTTTTATTTTTTACGTTTTCTGACGCGTTATCACGTTCCTTAACTTTTTGAATCTTGTTGAAGACTGAATGAAAATCAAACACATCAAAGTTCATTGACATATTTTCACAAGTACAAGCTGCAGGCATAAATAAATAAACACAGACAGCGTAACCAGAACAGGACACGACAATCGGGTATTAAAGATAATTATAGACGCGAAGAGATCGTTGTGACTACTCCAGCAGCAGAGATCCTGTCTCTTTCATGTCCTTCAATGTAACTTTGAGCAGATCCCGCTGGTTCAACGTCGGACGGCTCATTGTGGCGCTCACTTCGACCTCTTTCATCGGAGCCAACACGACAGTGATGACGGTGCACATCTGGATGACAGTACTGAACGCAGCCGTGTTGCCCCGCTCGGCGTTCGGATCGGCGGGCCATTCGAGGGTCAACTGCTCCGCCTTTTTGTCGTAGATCCTTTTCATTTTCTGGAAAAGAGTAAATGAGGCAGGCAATACGAAGATAACGCACGTCAACATAAACTCTTTTCACCACGCCGTAATCGACAATGAGCACGTCGAACGAGAGATCCATGACTCCGAGAACGACCGCGCTACACGTCATCTTGCCCGTCTGATGGATGAAAACGCCGAAGTAAAGAAGGGCGGACGCTTCCGAGGCTTCCTTCGACGCCTGCTTTGTGTCGTTGGATCGCTTGCACTGAAAGTGAAACATAGGCTTCAAAATTTCACACAATTAAATCTAATCTAACAATGGTCTCGATGTCTTCCGCCACTCTTTCCGAATTGTCGTGGCCTTCAAGTGCAGCGGCTAGCTGACGATGAACGATGACATCCGGATAACGGCGGATTGGAGAGGTGAAATGGGTGTAACTGAAAGAATCAAAAGCTAAGGAAAGTAAATCTGCAATGGAAACTAACTGATCGACATTGAGAGCATAGTGACGGAGGAAAGAGGGCGATTTATCGTTAGTGCAAATGTACTTGGCCTGTTGCATCGGTCTGATCGTCAGCGATGAGATGACTTGGCGGATGCACATGTCGAGACGAGACTTTCCCGCCCATTTGCGGAGAGAAGTCGACAAGAGGCCAGACGTCTTTCCGTCCAGCGGGAATCCGATCTTGGCACACTGTTCAGCCACGGCCGCCATCATCTTCTCCTTCGGCGGCGGATGATTACGAAGAAGAGCGTGATCCGGGAAGGATCTCTCGATCTTCTTTGCCACTTCCATATTGGCCAGAAGCATGAATTCTTCAATCAGCTTGTTAGAGTCCTTGATTTCATAAACAGAAACAGCCTGTGGTTTCTTCTCCTCATCCAAAGCGAATTTGAGTCTGGGCTGCTCGATGCGCAGTGCTCCAGCTTCTTCTCTTCTCGCTCTGATAAGCTGAGCCAATCTATGGAGCATCAACGTCTTCTCTTTGATTTCGTGAGGTGTGTTTTTGTCGGAGATCTCTGGAAGTTCTTCCGTCGTAAAGTCCTTCTCCGGGTTCTCGATGAAGTCCTGAGCATGCTCGTAGGCGAGCTTGACACGGGAGCGAATGATGGTTCTTCCAAACCAAACATGCTTCAGCTCTGCCTCGTAGTTCATTTTGAACACAGCCGAGAAAGAAAGACGATCGACTCCCGGATTGAGTGAGCACAACTGCTCACAGAGAATACGCGGGAGCATCGGAATGACCATTTGAGACAGATATGTACTGTTTCCACGATCCGCTGCCCATTTGTCGAGCTCAGTTCCCTCTGTGAGGAAGTAGGTCACATCGGCGATGTGAACTCCGACTTCGAATCCTGGCGTACCGTCACCATCGCAGTCATCAATGTGTTTTACGTGAAGAGCGTCGTCGAGATCACGAGCAGTTTTAGGGTCGATTGTGAAAACAATCTCACTGCGGAAATCGCGCCGTTTCAAGATCTCATCCTCTGGAATCTTCCATCCTTCGGCAGTGGAAATCGGAAGCGATTCGAGGCATTCTTTGCTGAACTCTCTGTGATCGATCTGGTGCTCGTACAGTATTTTCTCGGTTTCCGTTTCAATCTCCCCAGACATTCCCAACAACTTGACGAGCTGTCCGTCGGCGTAAACCGACTCGGCACGCCAGTCCAGGATTTTCGCCGTGTACAAAAACCTATCGAAATCTTTCGGACGATTAAAGAACTCTGGATCCACTTGAGACTTTGGAATCAACATTCTCGGAACTCTGGAATCAGAGGCCACGAAGAGGACATTCGGATTGGCACTGTTCGGCATCAACTGAAGTTTTCCAGCGGCCACTCGGAAGTGCTTCTTTTCGTTTATTCTGACGATGGCTCCGATGGCGATGAGACACGATTCCGGCACTTCGTCTACAGTCACGCCGTTGTCCTCGATTTCCTAAAGAGCAAAACATTTGCATTGAGACTTTCCGAGCATCTAACTCACATTTCGAAGGCATCTCTTCTCCACTTTGTTGGTATTGTTATCAGTAATAGGGGCTTTCCGTTCCGTTTGCTTGTTCAGCCCCCACCATTTCACGTATTCTACGTAGTTGACGAACCAGTCCTCTTTAGCCTTCAGCTTAACCGTCACGACGTCTCCTTGCATAGCACGGTTCCTATCCTGACCCAGAACGAGCACGTCTGGATTGTCAGTGCCTTTCGGGTGATCCAGGAAACACTCTTGATAGTTTTTCGGATTTATTCGAAGAACACTCTGAAAATGTGGAAAAATATTGACACTCTTCTGTACAGCGATAAAACCTTGAACATACTGCCGTTTTTGCATCCTGCCACTGATTCTTCCTCGGAAATATACTCGGCGAAGATTTTTCGTGGCGGATTTTTGTTGTTCATGGCATTTTTGTTGTTCTGATTCGGGATGAACTTTTTGTCGTTAGTGAACGAACTCTTGATTCTGAACACGGTTGGGTTAGAAGTTTGTTTTTTATTAGGTGTGTTCTCACGGTGAAGCTGCACCGAACTGCTCTCCACTGGCCGTCTCTACGAATCCTTTCGCTTTCAGCGGGTGGGAGAGTTCTGTTGGAGCTAGAACGAGCGGGTTTTCGATTTCAGACATCTGTAATTTGTGGAAAAAAATCTGTATGAAATATTGAGAGAGAAAAGTAATTACAAAAATATCGACCCATATAAGCAGAATAAAGTATAAGTACGAAACGGCGGTTGCTTTTTATGTGTTCGGAACTTTATTGCGATGACTTTCGCAACACTTTTGCATTGAAACCGCGTTTTATTTTGTTCAATTTTATGCCACAATTCGTTTTTTCAGTATTCGCGTAACCCATTAAAGCATTTTTGTTTGGAACTCCAGGGAGCTAAAAGCCTGCCTGTCGAGCTCAAATTCGCTCTTGTCGTCACTTATAATGCAGAGACCGCAAACACTGTTCATACTCAGAGAGCGACCGTAGTCATATTTTTATTCGTCTGTCCTCTCCCCTTCTCGGCAGCGGGGTTTTCAAAAATTCTTCAAGAAAAAACCATTTTGTTCTCTATTTTTATTCGTTTGAAGTTCAGTTTTTGCACCATGATTATGTCAATATCAAGCGTCAAAAATGTGTCACTTTCTTTCTGAGCAATTAAAAACTCATTAGTTATTGATTTTCATTCAGATCGCTCCCGGTTTCCAAACTTGAAAAGCGACCTGGTCATCATGGCAGCTGAAGGACCTATCGCTTCATTCCCAATGGATAAAGTGGTAATTTGATGCTCTTAACTGTAATATCAGACAAAGTAGTATGCCTTGCAGGCCGCCGAGGAGGAAATCGCTCTTTTGGTCCGCAAACCAGGATTCGACGAGCTTACACCGTCTGATATTCTTCGACACATGAATGTAACACCAGGGAGCAGAAAAATACAAATATGTATTCGTTTTCAGAATCGCTTCAACATTAATTTCGACTCGTTCAAGATGCAAATTAAGAGAATGGTCATGGAGGAAATTAAGAAGAGAAATGAAGAGAACGGAAGCTCGGATAGCTCGAGTGAAGACGAAAACGACAGCGACAGTGATAGTAGTGACGATGAGAAAAGGTCGAAGCCCGAAGAGAAAATCGCAACTGTCGATACAGTAGAGGAGGAGACGAAGAATAACGTGAAGGTCAATGAAGTTCCTAAAAGCAACGCGGATACTTCTGATTCGGACGATGGTATTGTGGATGATGAGCCAAAAAAGAAAAGAGGCAGAAAAAGTGCCGCGCAACTGGTTGGAGACATGATCTCGAATGTGAAGTCATCTAGACGCGCGGCAGCCTCCAATGCTATAAAACAGATTCGTAACACTTCGGCTGGTGGCAGATTCCAATCGTCGAAGAACAAGAAACCGAAAGATCCGAACGAGGACAACTCGGGACGATTTGGCAGAATGACGAAGCTGTGCTACATCAGTCCAGAACTGCAACAGGTGACCGGCGACCAGTACATGAAGCGTTGCGACGTCGTCAAGTCCTTGTGGGATTACATCAAAGAGAACGATCTGAAAGATCCAAAAGCCAAACAGTTTGTTCTTTGCAACGACGTTCTCGAGTCGATTTTCAAGAAGAAACGCGTGAAGGGCTTCGGAATGGTCAAATATCTAACGAGACACATCATCGGACCGAGCGACATGCCCGCTGATATTAGAGCTGAAAGCGAGCGCGAGATGGAGAAGCGCAAGGCCGCTTGGCTGGTGGGTCATTCAAATTGAGATTCTCGAAGAGTTGTTTCTTTTTAGGCCAGAAAGCGGCAGCGTGAGGAAGCAGAGATGGCTGACGATGCCGCTGGCGACGGCCCTTCAACAAAGAAATCGAAAGAAGAAGTCGAGGACGATGACGACGACGACAATGATGACAATGAGGAAGGACAGTCGTCGGACAGCGACTAAGTGCTCCTAATAATCATTTACTTGTTGTCAACTGCCCGTTCCCCATTCCAAAAGTGCTCTTCTCTCAATCCGTTTCATTTCCCGACGACAGGTGGCGTACCTTCGTTCGAAATGCAAAACTTGTTCATTTATACCTGCCCGTTCTCCCGCTCTCTCTCTCTCACTTTTCTAAACGCCGTCCCCTATTTACGTCTCAAAACCTCTCGCAGAACCTCAATTGTGTACATTTATTGACTGTTTTATTCATATTCTCGCAGTGTTTTTAGTCATTCAATTGTTGCTCTCCCCTCTCCAATCCTTTTTCCGTAATGTGTTTTGCCGATTCAATCGGCCGTTGTTCCTGGTTGTCCCGGGCATTCGCTTCTACTCTCTATTCAACTTCGTTTCCGGGAAACAATTGAATGACGACTTGCAACTATATAAATTTTAATTAATTCAGTTTTTTCCCTTGTTTTCAGCTCTCTTTCTCGTTTCTCACGAGTGTTCAGTCTATTTCAAACTCTTTTCTTCCTTTTTCTCTTCTCACGAACTTCTTTCGCAGCGCATGACATGTCGGATAGAGAATCTAGAAGCAAACCGAAAAAGACGGTGATCGGCACTTTTTTGGGCCGATTGAGTCGGAGCAAAAGTCGCGGAGTCGATGGAGAAAAGAAAAAAGAGCAGCCTGCCGAGAACGGGAAGCACGTTCCCGTCTCGAAAAGCGACGGAAACATCATGTCGGCCAACGATCGGCGCTTCTCGGCCACTTCCCACCGAGGTTCCCCTTTGCCCCTTCGGCCTCTTCTGATTCCTTCAGTCGTTCCAGAAGCCGCCGCAAATATTCTGGCAGAAGAGGCGCGGATGTCGCCCGCGCGACGCCTTCTCAATCGGTTCTCGACGCTACGATCAACTGGAAGATTCAGGGTGAGGGTCCCAGTGTTTATTACTTGTTGACACTTGGAAATTTTTTTTCCAAGTCTCAAAATGTTTCATTTTCTCATTCAAGAATGAACATTTCTCTTTCTCTGGAGTCCATATGTTTTCAGTCGAGTTCCCGTGCCTCCAGCGACAGCCTCAACGCGACCCCGAACGCTCTATCAAGTAAGAATGCTTTGTAGTACACACACACACACACACATTTTGAGGGGTGATTCATGCATTACTAAACACATATCTCATCTTCCTTTCTCTTCTATTTGTGTATAGTAAACCCGTGGTGATTACAGCCAAAACGCCGTCAGAACACGACCTCCATGCCGTCGTGGCAAAGCCAAACAAAAGTTTGGCGCCGCCATCTGGAGTGCCGACAGGAGCACAATCGGAAACAGATCTGCGCTTCGTGACGACACGAGACAGCCATGTAAGTAGCATGTGGAAAGTGCATTTGAAAGAGAAAGAGTAGCGCTTGCAGAGAAGTATTCCACTGAACGAGCCGTTTGGATTCGGAGACAAGTCCCCACGTGTCTTCATGTCGGAGAACGATCTCACTTCGGGAAGCGCCGACTTCCCGGAAGTCAGCCGAACACCGAGCTATCTGAGGATCTCATGTGCTCTCAACGGATACACAAAGTAGGAGATTTGAACGGAAGTGAAAAGTGAACGCATAGTTTCAGGTCGCCAAAAGCTGATTTGACGCCGAAAGTGGCGCACGGAGAAAGTCTTGTGGAAAGGTTAGTTCATCCACGTGGCCATTTTCTATTAGTGAAAACTCGTCTGTTTCACTTATCTAATTGACGCGTAAAAACGTGTCGGATAATTGTAAGAGGATTATTATAGAAGACAACGGATGTTCGAACATCCACAATTGCGAAGACCTGATCCCGGATTCAACAGTCCGATTACAACGAGCAGCAATTCGAGGACATCGACTTCCGAATGGTGAGTGAAAGAAAAAGGGAAAGAAAACTTTCCGTATCGCGTCGGCCTGATTGCCTTTCGTCTCATCGGTATCATTTGGAGAGGAGGGCGCGCGTTCAGTTACCGAAGTATCAAGTGTAATTTGATAAGCCGAATTAAATGTAACACGAGAGACTCGTCCTTGCGGGAGAGCGTTCGCCTGCTGCTGGCCTCATCGGTCAATGACAGATTGGCGCACAAGTGCGAACACAACAAACGGACGGACCCTCCCGAACCGACACAATTACCCGTCGGTTGACCGCCTCCTCTCCGCATATACACGCGCTCCCCCTTTCGACCCGAAATTTTTTGTATACTTTTCGGTTGCACCTATTCGAAGGCGAGGGCGGTGGCTGCTGCTTGAGGTGTGAACATAATTGCAGGCCCCAAAATCGCATGCCTTCAGAAGGCGTGCTTCTATGACTTTTTTGGAGTGGAATCTGAAGTGAAACTAGTTTTTTATTAATCTGCAAGGATTTAGGTGACGATTTGACACGTTGTCGCCTGGTTGTCCGCAACAGTTTTACAATCTGTTTCCTCTCGCTCGCAGCTTGTTTTTACGCGCGTTTCGTCCTTCGCTCGACACGATAAACTTACTTCCTCCCGGACCATATCCGATTTCTCTCAACTGGTCTCGTGCTGTTTCTCGAGAGCCTCCTCTTCCCTCATGTGTCGACCCTAATTATTCATCTCGTCGAACAGCCTCTTGTGGTTTGTGTGACGTGCGGACCTCTCCCTCCTTTCACGCGTCTATTATTCATGAATAGCTTTGGGCTTCCAACCAGAAATTGAGTTCACGGGTCTGTTCCCCACGAAGAGACGCTCTTCTTCCCGCATCGGACCACCTGTTGTCGCTTGCGCATCGGTTTTTGGTGCTCTCCCGTTCCGACTTCGTTTTTTCCGTTCCTCCGGTTTTCACGGGCACCTGTTGTTGCCGGCGCTTCTCGGAAAAGCGTTACAAATGATCATGTTTCGCTAAATGATGAAAAATTCGAATTCGAATTGTACAATACGTGTACAATCTGGGCAACCTTTCCTTCAGTTCGGTCACTCCCATTCGACCGTCCGTACAGTAGCTTCTTCTCCCCTCTCACCACTCCCTTCTGTCTTCTCATGGTCTCTTTCTTCCTATAGTCGTTCTCCGCTTTTCCATTCTTCTCATTCTCTACTGGTTGCCATCTTTTCTTTTCATTCGATTCAATCGAATTCCCTATAAATCCATTCTGAGAAAGATGTTGTTTGGGCTGACAGAATGGCCTCGTCTCTCCCCTTTCTGATGAATTACTGTCGAGCCAAGGTTTCGACCTTCTTCCGCTTTGTCGCCAGGTGGCACGTATTCTATTCCTTTCTCCGATCTGTTCTTCTCAGGTTTTTCTCCCACTTCATTTTATAACATTCACTTTCCTCGTTCTGCCTAATTTATGACGATTATTTGGATAACCGTGTGTATGTTTGGAGGAACCTAATCCGCCAACCGAATCGGGCCTGACCTCCTCCCGATCGAACCGATCTAGATGCTAATCTTTGTCGATTCAGACGGCTTTGGTTGAATTCTTCCGAGAAAAGATGTCCGAATTTTCACTTCGACAATGGGATTATATGCCTGGATTAATAACTCTGGCGGTCGTCAACCCGGGCACCCGTGTCATGTTTGCACTCGGTGTTAGTACAAATATCAACCAAGCGCCGAATGTTTTGTGGAACCTTATGACCGTCGGGCCGTCACACGCTCGCGCGAACCGTCCTTACTAATCAGGGAGTGGCCGTACCGCCCGGTTAGCCATCCGACAGAGTTATTCGCCCTTTTCCGTCGTTCCGCGGTTTTTGCTTCTTTCAATTCGATCGGACAACCTTGGCACACTCATGGAGGATATCCCCTCTGATCGCTGCACGATTTCGATTGGCTTCCGCCCATGATAAGCTTGCCCGTTGTTTGCCCTCTTTCACATTTTGTCCGCCTCGTTCGCGCTTTCGGTTCCGCACCGCTACTCCGTCCGACGGCGGTGGTGGCGGTAGCCAGTCGTGTTGTTGACTGTCTCCAACGCCATTTACCTGAACAAATGTATCATAATAGATGTCAGTGGATACGTTGTCGATGACCAGTGCCTCCAGCGAGCCTTTCGTATCATCTTCTCGTTCGCCGCCGATCCTCCATTCTCTTCCTTTCTCTTTCTCTCGTACCTCTTCTCGACTACAAGCCCTTTCGTTTTTTACACGCCCAGTACACTGATAAAATTCCTGTCATTCTGAAACCCGCACTGTTTCCCAATCGTTTACTCATCACACGTTTTTCGCCTCTTCACCCCTGCAAACAGAAGCTCTGAGAAACATTTGAACTGTGAACTAGTTCCCTTGATAAACTATTTCCGTTCTTACAGCTTGACTCCGATCGCTGTCGCTCCACTCCAAAGCAATCGGCTCAACGCTTTCCAAAACGAGATGGGCAACAATGTTTCGACGCCTGCACCCATCAGAGATCTGATCAGCAAGTTCGAACAGCTGGATCTTTGCAGTGCTCATAAAAACGAGAAGGAGGGTGTGGAGAACATCGAACCACATAACTTCATTATCAATGAGCAGCCGGTAAGTCGAAAACATTTATCATCATTCTTATTAATACAACAACAGGTGTTCGACGAGATTGATTTGAAAAAGGATTCGAACGGGAATGAAGAGCAGAAAGAGTCGGAAGAGCCGAATCTGAAGATATCGACAGACGTCGAGAGTGACAGCGGTATATCCGGATCCTCCCCAGCTAGCTCGAAAAAGAACGTTGAAATTCTGAAAGACACGAATGATGACAACGAACAAGAGGTTACGACGACGACGCCGTCGGACGGGTACGAATTCAGAAACCTTCATGACAAAGTGAAAGCTGAATTGGAAGAGAAGATCGAAGCGGCGAGCAAGGACCTGGAAAGAGTGGACGAACTGCCTGAGAAGTGCGCTGATTCACTGAGAGCCGCGCACGGAAATGCAAGTCTGCTGGTCAGAAAAAAGTTCCACAAGTTCAACGAGTTGATCGACAAAAATCTGGTAAATCTCATGAAGAAGTGTTTTTTTTTACACAAACCTCTTGTTTCAGAAACCAATCGCCGATGATCCTATGTCAGTGAGCGTGCAAGATTTGGAGGGCTTCTGGCCGACGATCACCATGGAGCTGAAGGGAATTCTCGAAGAATTTGCAAAGGTCGAGAAGTATCGCGCAGCGAACTGGGATCCGAGTGCCGTCGAGGAAGAGGAAGTGGTCACTTCTGTCCCAGTCGTTCCCAAATCGAGGCCCGTGACCGCCAGAAAGAAGCAACCAGCGATGTCTGAAGAGACGAAAAAGAAGCTTGCTGAGCAGGTAAGAAATATTATTTGACGCTCCTAATAAACTCAAAATATTAGCATCTGCGAATGCCATAAATACGCCCTAACTGACACAATTATTCATTCTTACTTAATAAAAAGGTAACGGGGTCTGTCCATTTCTTTCTTTCTTTCTATCTTTCTCCGCTTGTTCGGCCATTTTTTCATTTCTAAAAGCGAAACAGTTGTAACGGAGAAATCAAGAAGTGAACACGTGAACGTTCGACGGGTTATGAGAATTCAAGGCCCAGGTGTACAGTCTTGTAGGATAATAATGTGCGGAATCTCTATTCAGTAGCTCTGACCAACGGTCTCTCTTTTCAGAAAGCGCAAGCGGAACAAAGGCGAGCTGAAATGCGTGCCCAGATGCTCCAGAAAAAGAAGACGATCAACCAAGAGAAGCCAGTGCTCGGAGCGTCCGAGGATTGCTGACCCCCCAAGACTGTCTCTTCCTTCTAGCCTTTTTCAATTTCATAATCCAATTGCTTCTACCTAATCATCTAATCACCCCCGAATCCACGACACATCCTGTAAAATGCTCAGAAAATGACTGCGTTCGTTGATGAAAAGCCTTTTCGTAATTGACCAAACAATTTGAATGTTCTTGAACATTCATCCCGACGATATCATTGTGTTCTCTCTCTCTCTCTCTCTTTATTTCTCTGTACACAGTGCAACTTCTCCCTCGTCAGCACTACTCTCTATTCATTCTTTTTGAAGTTCTATTTGACCGAACGCGGGTCATCGCTACGTTTCTCTTAAAACATTTGTAAATGAAGTGTGACAGATCACTACAACCCACAAAAAATTCGCATAATAATCGGGTTGTCCGTTTCCCAAGGGACAGCGACGTCGACTTGTTTTTCCATCTTCCGCATCTAAATATTCGAAGTTATGCGTATCAAAGAGCCGTCTGTAAAGTCACGAGACTTTGTTTTCGCTTGGACACAATGACGTGGCAGAGCCGGAGGGAGCAGAGGACGTTTCTGGAAAAGGAAAAGGGCGAGTCAGATGATCGGCGGGACCACGCGTCCACTTCCGTCCGTTTCGTTTCTTCGAGAATAAGGATTGCACTCTTCTCGTTTCCAGAACTTTGAACATCCGCCGGCCCGTTGACAATTGGGCTCAATCTGAGAATGTACTTGACCACTCCCCATTTCCGGCTCCGATACTTGAGAGCGTCCGTGGGCTCTCGGCGCCCCTTCCTTTCTGACATTTAGAAGACATCTATACGAATTTCTTTCGTTTTTCTTCTTCTTCTGCTCTCTGCAATGTGGTCACTTTACGAGGGGGGAAATGTTTTTTGATGAGAGTGTATATTGGTGGCTGTCCCCCTCGTGCACTTTCGTTGAGAGCTCCGAGAGCACCTTCTGGACAACTGGACAACTCATATTCGATTCTGGAGGACTGAGGAGCAGTGAAGTTTGGAAGACAAGTACAATTCGTTTTCTTTTTCCTCGTTTCATGATGCACATTGTCTCCAATTCAATCTAAAAGAGCACGCGAATCCTCTTAACCCCCGGGAGAATCTCTTTTCCTTCTGATTACCCATTCACCTCTTTCCAATCCCTTTCGCCCGACTACAAGCCCATTCCCTTCTTCTTCTTCTTCTTCTTCTTCTTCTTCTTCTCCTCCTTGAGCTCTTCTCCTCGGCTATCAGCTGTTGACTATCCTCTTATTTTCAATCCATTCCCTCATTCACTCGCTCAATAGTTTCTTTCCGTGCAATTTGCATCTTTGCATGATTACTCCATCTCGGACTCCCCGCCGTGCCGCCGATCTTCTCCGTTCGGTTTGTAATGCGATTTGTGATTTGCGTTTTGACACTGAGTTCCCCCTGGATTATATAAGACGCCTATCAGGTTTCCGAGAATACGCGCCCCGTCATTTTTTGATCTGCGGAGAGCCGCAGCTCCGCAAGTAGTCGGAGACTCTCTGGTGGATAATATTTAGTAGTCGCAGACGGAAAAAAGGAAGATGGACGTCTTCTGGGCACAGAAAAAGTGACATGACATGTGCAAATAATTGAATCACGATTACGACGTGTGCACCCGAAGCATGAAGATTAGGTCGAACTTTCGAGAAGAAGAGAACGGTAGTTTTTGAGCGAGAAAGAAACCAAAGATTGCCACCGATGTCTCTCTGCTAAGCTGATTCGGATTCCCGTCATGATCTGCTTGTCGCCTTGTTTTTCCGCCGCAGTTTTCTTCGGCTGAATGCAGTTGGCGTCAAACACTTTGCAGAAACATGTCGAGTGAGATTGAGAGAACAGCAGTCCGATGGGGTGGAATCAAGGCAGGCCTCCCCCCTCCGACGACAAGCACGATCATATATCTATCACACAAACGTTTCGGGTGATTAGGGACTGCCGAACGGGCGGCCGCCTGGTGGGGTGACGCCGCACACGCGTAATTCGATGATTCTTCGTCCCGCCAAGAGCTTTTCATCGCCGCGACCAAAAAAGTGCGTGCGTGCGTGCGGTTTCACCGTTTCAAATGCCGCGCGGCTGCCGTCCGGTCGGTGGGCGGAGTGCTCTTTTCCGCGCGTGGGGGCGCTCATGCGCACGCAAGCGGCACGTCCGTCCCCACTGAAACAAGGCATTTGCCGGCCACCATTTTCACCTTCTCGACGCTTCCAAACCTGTAATCTTTGCGGTTTTAACGGGTGTTTCTTTTCGCCTACGACGCCCAGTTTTTTTGGAAGACGACGTTGGCAGCACTCTCGTCTTTTTCTTCTTCTTCTTTTTCTCTCGGACACGCCCTTTCGCCCCGTTGACCAGTGATGGCTGTACTGTTTCGATGGCAACTGCGCCAGAATCTCAATCTTCTTCACTCTTCCTTTTCTCCATGTGTCTTTTTTCGGTTTCTCAACCGTACAATAGTAGTACAGTTTGCGTTCCGAAACAGAAAAAAGTAGTTTCCGGCGGAAAGTGCAAAGACGCCAAGTTTACCGGGCAGTAGTAGCAGTATCCAGTTCGTTTCCGATCCGATTAGTTTTGCTACTGGCCCCGTCGTTCCACGTCGTCGATTTCTGTGATTCCGAAGTTTTGTGGTGGCGATGGTGACCTGGGAAAGTGTACTCCGTTCTCATCATGACTTCTACTTTTTCTTCCTCCTCTTCGTTTTCACACAATTGTCCATTATTTCAGATACTTGAGAACCGGTCATTGAAAGGGCGGCGATGGGGTTGAGTGGGTCATGAACACATTTTGTTTCCGATTGTGTGAAGTTCACACTCACTTCGTCGCTCCCGTTACCGTTTAATATTCTAGAACTTTTCCACTCATTCTCCCATTTCCACGTCACACACCGATTCGACCGGCGGTTCTGGCGGTTCGCGCATTCGTCATAATGTCCACATTGGCCGTTCCTAATCCCTCTTATGACCGAAACCATGTCATTTCCTTATGACCGTTGCCACGTCATTGTGTACATCTCCAACTGAATTTCGAAACGTGGCACCTGGCACCACGTCTTCTGCCGAACATGCCCTACATCGGTGCGTGATCTCTTTTGGGGTCTTCTTGCGGCGGCCGCCCTTCTCCATGACAGATTGATTGACCGCCGTGGGCGCTCCCGCTGGCCTTGAAGCCTTCGGTCGCCGTCAGTGCCACCCGACACTCGGACCCTTCTTCCCTACAGTCGTTTCTCCTTTCTTGGCAACATTCCAAGTGTGTTTGCTCGCGTGTTCCGCTCTGTGTGCTGAGGAAGTCTCTGGCGTCTCAGGGCGACGCGGTACGACTGTTTGCGGACGGAAAGCGCACGGAACGCGGAAAGACGAGGCGCCACATTCGTATTCTATTCATAACCATGCGTATATCAGTTATGCACGCACATATTTTTGGGCGCCTAGTACACAAATATGTGTACTGCTTCGCAACATTTCTTCTCCCGAAGTAGAAAAGTGGATTCATTCGCCCGTCCATCTCGTCCGATTGCGGACAAGAACAGCTGTTCGGATCGGAAACGGAAAGAGAGCTGACTAGTGAGTCCAATCCAAACTGACGTGGCTTCGCTTTGCTCGCCCATTTTCTTTTGACCTCTGCAATTATTCCCGCAGACTTCTGACCCACATTACTTTCGTTTCACTTCCTCATCGAGAAACCAGTAAGTTCTCTCGTCACTGTTCTCTTCTTATTCCTTGTTTTTTCCCACGTCACAAAAAGTTAGTGAAGTCCGAATCTAGTTGAGTGGATCCAGGAGGAATCGGGGGCGCCCATAAAGCAATTAGGCTTTCCTGGTCGTCACATGAACGAGCGAATAATTATGGACGTGTCGGAGGGCGCCAGATGTCTAAAGTTCGGAACAATGGGAGGCGGGCGAAAGAAGAAGAGGAAGAAGAAGAAGAAGAAGAAGAAGCGGCCGTGTTCATCATCATCATCATAATCTGATCTTTTTGCGTCCGGAAGAGAAGATCCTTCTCACTTTCGTTTCCTCGCACAACCTATCCCAATTATCGACCCATCAGGGTTCAGCGACGTCTGATTGCTTCCAAATCTTTCCATGTTTCTGCTGTAATGTGTCTGTGTCTCCGGCGATCGGAGGCAGTTTCGCTTGAGAGACAGACGGCAGAGACGAATCGTGTTTTCGGCGAAACACACACTCTCATATACCCGGCCAAGAAGAAGGAGAAAAAGAAGAAGAGGACGAAGACATACGCTTTCTTTTGTTTCTGTTCATTAATTTATTGTCGTCACTCTTACTACCAACTTCTTCTTTGGCGCGAGGCGGAAAACAAAGGTGCCGATGACCTCTTGACCGTCTTTGCCACGTCATTTCCCTTATCGAATGCGTCGGTTTGCCGCCCCCTCTTTTCTGTTGAAGCGACTGATTTATCAGGTAATCACTCCCAAAACGAATGCAAAAGACACTCATTCCGCCAACTTTTATGCACTTTCCCTTCTCCTCGTTAAACTGCATTCTGAGTGAGCGTTCTCATTCTTCCTGGGATACGGTAGGTCTTCTACGAAGCCTACAGTAATCCAGTCCCACTGTCTCCCTTTGAACTCTATTCCGAACAGAACAGCTGTCGATCTCGTTGAAATTGTCACTAATGCTTCCGTCCTCTTCAATAAACACTTTAGTGCTGACCAATATACTTTTTGCGAGCTGAGCCCAATTCGAAAGAGCGCATCGTGGTCGCAAGTTTCCCATGAATCCATCACTGCGAGCTAATGCCTTCTTCACTTTTCACTTCTTTCCGTGTGCTCAATCAGTCTCATTCCATAATCCCGTAATAACTAAACAGTTTCAAACCTTTGATCGCTCCTCCTTCTTATCAACTTTTCTCCGTCTATTTACCAAAATATTATTTCGTCCCTTCACATCGGTGTTTGCTTAAAATGTCAGAATCAGTACGCAATTCAATTATCATGTCTCTGTCGAACTGATACGGCTTCTTCTCCTCCAATATTGACAAGCGGTGACTAAAATGGAACACGGAATAGTATCGGGTCGACAACTTTATTCTACATTTTCCCAATAGTAAAAGTGTATGCAAATAGGGACGGAGCATCGGGTTTCCGGTGTGCCCGACCAACGGTCTCCTACTTTTTCTGTGTTTCCAGCCGTGTCAAAGTGGTCGTAGTTGTGCATAATCGACCGGTTTTTGCCTTCTCTCTTCCTCTCCGAAACTTTCTCTCGCTTACTCCCGTTTCACTTTTTCACCGCCGCCCGTGGTTACTGACTTTTGCAGCAACCACAGGAGAGAATCTCCATTTCTGTTGGCAGTTGCGATTAGAGCCCGTCGTTCGTCGCCCTCTCTTATTGCCACCTCCTCCCCAAAGTACGGAAAATTTTCAGAACGCGAGATGGCGCCACGCGAGGAGTCTCCCTACACGACTCTCGGCATCTCCTCCAACTCGGACGACGTCGAGATCAAGAAGGCGTGAGTGGAAGCGGTCGCCCCGGGTTCCATAGCATTCCTTCGTGATTCCAGGTACCGTAAGCTGGCGTTGAAGTGGCATCCAGACAAGCACACGGACGACAAATCAAAGGAAGAGGCCGAGCAGAAGTTCAAAAAGATCGCACAAGCCTACGAAATACTAACCGACAGTGAGTTCGGCCGCAGACTGTCTGAGCACATAAAAAAGTACTGAAACTCGGTAAAGCACCTGTGTGTTTTTAGTGCGGAGAGCTCGTAAAAAGTTTTTTGATATCGAAGGCGAGGAGGAGTACAACTAGATTATTTCCGGTCAGAGTCTAACCGTGAGAAGAGCCACGTCATAATGATTTCACTGGTCTTCTCGGATATTTGTTCGCCTCGAATTACGTTCCCGGAAAAGGAGAGCAGGGTGGCAAATGAATGGATGAATGGCCGATTGTCTTTGGATTCTGTTTATTTGCCCGGCGCTCTTTCCGTTCTTTCTCACTTGAACTCCACACAAAAACAGTGATACCGAAGCGATCGCATCGCCTTTTTCTGTGTTGTATTTGGGTTGCGGATGAGCGAACACGCAATAGAAACACAAAAACAACAACAAACCGCCGATCCCCTCTCTCGACGCTTCGTTCATTCATAATTTCAACACTTTCAAAGCCGCAGAGAAGGGAGAGAGAGAGAGAGAGAGGGAGAGAAAAAGAGAAAGATGTGTAAACTGGTGTATTGTTGTGTAACAATCAGTCCTTCAAGCACCTGCTCTTGAGAAGTTTGCCAATTAGTTGTCGAAAATGTGTGGCTGGCGGCAAGAGCGAGTGGCCGTCACGACTAAAGAACACCGTGGGGAATGAGACGTTTTCAGGGCTCCGAGGAATACAGTAATTCTTTGTTTTTTTGCAGAAAAGAAGCGTGCCGACCTGGATCGTTCCGAGAATCCGGGGCTTCATCGACGCAGAAGCGCGCCTGGTTTCCGAATGCACAGTCACGACATGTTCCGCTCGCCGTTCGATATTTTTCGCGAATTCTTCGGACACCGCGACCCGTTCGAAAACGTTTTCTTTGACGATTCTTTCACATTTCCCGATGTCGACTCGTACGCATTCAAGAGCCCTCCACGATCCGCCGACTTCCAGACGAAGCACACCTACCACAGGTTCCCGCCGAGCCGAGTGCACATCTTCTACGACGACCAGAAGAAGGAGAGAGACGACAAGAAGTGAGAGAAAAGAGAGAGAAACATTTGTCATTAAAGTAACCATTTTACAGTACATTCTCTACCGTAATCCGATTCTCAAGTCCAACTGAGCCCGGAAAGAATGCGACCGTCCGCAAAACGTCAACTTCCACGAAAGTCATTGATGGCAAGAAGATTGTAACGAAAACGGTGGAGAACGGAGATGAGCACATCGTCGAGGTAAGCTGGAACTTGCGGAAATGAAAGATTAACACTGGAATTGTAGATCCACGAAGACGGCGAGCTCAAGTGCCGGACAGTGACCACTCCGCCAGCCTCGCCAGCAGTTGTCGTCTCAGCCTAATACCCCGTTTTTCAATTCAATCCCTGAATACTCGTTTCTAGTCATTTTTTTTTGGGTCCTCTTCCTATTGTTTCCGTCCCCGAAAGTCTTTTCTCTTTCTCTCTCGCTCCCCCTGTCCTTTCTGTCTTCCCTGTTATTTATATACTTAAATCCCCACAACTTGCTCTTTCATTTCAACCATTCACCCAACCCTTTCCATGCCGTTTTTCTCTCCTTCGGACCCACTTCATATAATGAGCGCTCTCTCTCTCTGGACTTGAAAGTATTATGAATCGAATTCTGTCTTGTACATAATGTGGTTTCCTCATATAATACTTTTGAATATTGTAGGTATAGTTGTTCTTTGAAAGACACAATAAAACATGTTTCCACTGACAAGTTGTTCTCTCTTCCAATCCAGGAAACGATCTTCGTCTCGGATCAGTTTCAATCATGTCGTCGCAAATATTTGACATAAACTGTACATAAAGTGTTTGTTTGTTTGACCTGCTCATATCCTCCACGCGCCCTCGGCTCCAATGGAACCGGAAATTCCGGTCGTTGAATCTGTGTGACACCGAAACAATACACCAGCAGAACTACAATAATGACGAGAAAGAAGGGGAAATGGAGTGATATGGTTCTGGTTGAGAAAGAGAGAGAGAGAGAGAGAGAGAGAAAGAGAGAGAGAGAGAGAGAGAGAGAAAGGGACAAAGAGTGGCCTACTTTGAAGTGAGGGACGAGAAGAATGGCAAAACAAGGAGAGAACGGGTAAAGTGGCTGAATTATGCATGTACTCGGTTCTGGATGAGTACGGAACGGGATCCCAAACAATGGTATAAAAGTATGCCGCCCGTCTTCAGTAAACCATAACCATTTCAGCTTCTCCTCTGGTTTCTGGTCTTCTATCGTGATCCACTGATCTTCTGCAGATGACGTGGCCGACAATTAGCGGGAACATAACTACACTCTCCCTGTTCTAGATTCACTAAAGTTTACAATCACTGACTCACATTCCCGTTTATCCTTCTATTTAAACCCTCAAATCTTCTTGGTTCAGGACCGTCATCGTCATCATCATCATCAGAATGCTCCGTCTCGTGTTCGTCTCCGCTTGCATTGCTTCCTCGTCTGCCTTCCTGTTCCCAATGACCGGAGGAGGCGGCGGTGGTTGTGGATGTGCCCCACCACCTCCACCACCGTGCTGTCCCCCACCGGCTCCGTCGTGCGGATGCGCTCCACCTCCACCGCCACCACCGCCAAGCTGTGGATGCGGATGCGGTAGAAAGAAGAGGTAAGAGGGATAGGGAGCAGGAAGATCTGATGGATCTTTCTTCGATTGTAGATCAGCTGAGGAAGCGGACGCAGTCGAAGGCGTTCTCGACATGGACAGTTCTATGGAGTGCAACAGCGACGAACTGAAGCAGGTTCTGGAGCAGGTGAGTGGAAAACTGGAAAAACGAAAGCACTCAAAAGATTCTTTTCAGAACATGAAATCCACTCCTTCGGACTCTTTGCTCTCCGTCCGTTCTTCGCTCCCATCTGACGATCACCTTGTCTCGTGCACTCACGGACTGACGGCTTATTCCGCTCCCCCTGGAACTACTCATTGCGCTGTTCGCAAGGAGAACCACTTCTGTCAAATATTCTCTCTTCACGATCATTAATCCAAGAATAGAAACTGTTTATTTGTAAATTTCTGTGCTCAATGAAATGTATTAATCCGACTGAAATCTTTCACAAGCCATCCGCAAGGAGGTTGTCGTGGGTCATCTTCATTCGGTCCCTTCGCGTCTTCTCCGCCATCACCTTCTCCCTCGCCCTCAGATTCTTCTCATCCTCTCCGTCCGTTTCAATTATGCAATCGAGGAATCGTTCGACCAGTTCTCTGCAACAGATTACTGTAGCAGACGGTCTCTTGTCACGGCAACCAACCCAAAACTGGGCCGATCCATCGGCTGCTCTCTCATGCAATCCATCGAAATCTCATAGATTGTGTCCGACATGTTTAATCCCTTCTCGTGTCGGAACCCGTCTTTCAAGAACTGGCAGAGGTTCGTCGCCGCCACGAGGGCTCCGTACGGCTCGCCCATCTTATCGCACACCTCGAAACACACAATCCCAAACGCCCAAACGTCGGTCTTGAGGGACAGTGTCCGGCTGCTGAGCACCTCCGGAGGCAGCCACTTAAAAGGGATTTTATGCGGATCGTCGTAATCTGTGAAGAGCTCTTCGCGACACGTCTTCGCCAGTCCCAAATCCGTGATTTTAGCAATGTATCTGAAAAGAAGAAGCATTTGTAGAGGAAAAGAAAGCGATACGAACTTTTTGATGTAAACGGGATGCTTCTTCAGGAGAACGTTCCGTGCCGCCAAGTCTCCGTGAACAACGGGCGGTGTTCGTGTGTGCAAGAAGCTCATTCCGCGGCAAATTTGCGCCAGAAGATCTAGTCGCTCGTTCTCCGAAAGAATCGCATCCGATTTATCGACGAACTTGTCAAGGGAAGTGTCCATGAGTTCGAAGAGCAGGTAAAGATTGTCGTCGTGCACTGAGAATCCGTAATAGAAGACAACATTCGGATGGGCGACCATCTGAAGCATCGAATAAGCAAAAGAAGGGAAGGCGTTGGCACCTCGAGAATCTCCAACTCGTTGAATGCCTGGTCCCTGTCCTTGTTCTGATTCTGCCGCAACCTGAGCCTCTTCACTGCAACCGGCATTCTTTCCCGTGCACTTTTCTGCACATGTCCTTTGCACACTGTTCCAAACGCGCCTTTTCCCAGTTCTCCGCCTCCGCAATCCTGAAAAAAAACTCAATTTGGAAGATTGAAAAGTGAAAGGAGAAGCGCTCACAATCTTTCCGAAATCCGTATAGAAGGGCGAGAAAATGCGAATCGATGTCTCGTGTTGTGGCATTCTTTCCCACAGCTTCTCCGCGTTCTGGAAGTTCTACCCCATTCAGTTCTGATGCGGATGCCTCTAACCTTGTGCTGCGCAGTCTCCGGCAGTTCGAACTTCTTCAAGTAAGCCCTCATTGCTGCCCTAGTCTGTGGAGACAAGTTCAGTTTGTCCGCCACTACCATATGTCTTTTCTTATCCGGATCGAATATGGTCTTCGTTGTGAACAACGTCTTCTCGTTGCCTTCCACTCTCCTCGTCACCTGATCGAAATGGCTGGCTGCCCACTGCTCAATCGTCATCGGCTGACATCGTAAATCCTTTTTGAAGTTCGCAGTAGGAGGAGGAACTACATTTCGACCGACGACGAGCGGAGAAGAACGGCAGTATACCAGTTTGTGGGGGAGTGCTGTCCGGGTGGTGGCCAGATGATGGACGAGGTCGTACAGAGTCTCGTACCGTATTCCCATGAACTCAAAGTGTCCCATTGATGACCGATGGATGGGGACCACTGCCGGAGCGAACGGCGTAGTTTCGATCTCCGAAATGAACTCGATGTGCTCCATTCTCTCCGTTTTCTGCTGCAGCAAGTTCTCGGGAAGCATCTCTCCGAAGATGTGATTGATGGAATCAGTCAAGATGCCGTAATCTGCAACATCCTTCTCAGCAAGAGTTGATATCTTTCACCCCACTTCCTTTCTCGATCTCAATCAGTTGTCCCAGTCGTTCGTCGTGCTTCTTGTCGCGTTCCAGCAGTATCATCAGTAAATAACACCTCTGCTCGTCCAGATCAATATTGAGCCATGCTGGAGAGAAGATGGCGAACAGACCGGGACAGAGCGCGGAACGATCACTGTAAAGCTTGCCGATAACCTCGTGCACTTCGGCGTTTCCGAGATACCAAACGGGCCATTTGAATAGAAGTGGGTGATCTAAGAAAGAAAAAAAGGTGAGAGGGAAAGAGGCGGAAAGGAAGGCTCACCGTCATAGAACTGTTTGGAGACGAGGTAGTGGGAAGGAATGAGTCCGAGGTACGGATTGACGGGCCGATCCGATATCCAACGGCCGAGCGACCATTGGAAAGGAAGACGCAAATAATTGTGCTCGTCGGTCACTCTTACTCTACAAAATTCTCTGTGATAGCATTAGAAAGGTTCTCCGTGGCCTCTCACTGAAACTCTTCTGCGACGACGAAGACGGTATCCCCCGCGTGGACGTTCAGATCATCGAAGTTGTTCCCTCCGAAGTAATCCCAGAGAGCAACACATTCCATCTCGTGCGGCTCTCCACAGGAAATGATCGTCGAGAAGAAGGCGGCCTCATCTAACGTCGGGAACATCGCGTCGTCCGGGAGATTTGTGCCGTCCACATCGTATCCGTAGGTGTCCGCTGCTCGGTACAACGCGTCAACCATGCTCAACCTCTCTTCCGTTGTTGACTGCGGCGTCGACAGATGTTGCTCGAACGCGAGAATCTCGTCGACGTCGTCCTCATCGACCACGTCTTCTTGCATCGAGACGTCGCTCAGATCTTCTTCCAAATCTTTGTCCGGAGGGAGCAATCGGGTCGGCAGGAGGAACACGTCGTGCTTGCAAAATTCAATGTCATCATCATCTTTGGAAGGTAACCGTCGCGACATGGGACTAGCGAAATACAAAATACTTTATTGAGATGTGGAAAATGAGATCGGAAGAAGAAGGACGTGGGAAGGGCGGAGTCAGTTCACGTATCTCTGCGAGAGAGGCGGAAGAGAAGCCTCGTCGTCGTCGGAGACGTCGCTGGATTCGAACACTTGTTCGTTATATCCAGTGCATCCGCGGATGATCAGTTTGGGAGGTTTGAAGACCTGAAAACGAGCTCGAACCTGTAGAAAATCAAAAAATTTGAAAACCATGAATCGGAACTCGTAAGCGTCAGTGAGCAGGAAAACGGAGAACGCAAAGTAGCAGCACCACTCGTAAATTGCATCGATTGCCAGGTATTGCTTCGATGGATCGGGAACCCAATTCGCTTGTATCACTGATTATTATAGATTGGAATCTATCAAGAATGGACAGAGACTTACTGGCTGCAGCCAAAGAAAGAACCACGGAAGCCAACGAGACACGGACGAGGAAAAGGATCAAACGGGGAACATTTCCATCGCGGATTTTAAAAGAGAGAAAAGCATGTACCCAGATGTAGAACATTGCGAGAACGAGGGCAAGTTTGTTGCCAACCAGAGACACATGGTTGATCTTTGTAGCCTGGAATCGAGGGTTTCAGAATAAAAAGAAAGCGTTTAAGATTTGTACCGGAAAGTTGACGGCCAACTGATAAGAAGTGAGGGCAGCGAGCCCGACAAAAAGATTGAAACGGCTCATTCTGATGTACGATATCGAAATGTTGGTCTGACGGAAAAACGACTTCAGCTCTCTGTACTTCAAGTACATCCACACGGAAACTGAGGAAATAGAGCCATTCAGTGGAGAGCTCCGTTCGAGAACTTACGCATCAGTAAAATGTGATTCGTCATAATTGTGTACGCGTTTTTGGCAGGAATATATTTGGTAAAGTCACTGAGATTTCCTTTTTACTAATCCCATTTATCAGCACCGCAGTTTATGGCAACGGCGCTCTACCGCTCTCAACGTAAATTCAGTGCAGAAATTAGAAAATCTCGCGGCCGCGGCCGGGTTTTCAGGTGGGATTGCGGTTGAGCGCCGTTGCCAGAATTCCGTGGCCGAAACAGTGAATACCTTAAATATGGCCAGTGACCCGGAAAATGGCGCGATGAAATCGATAACAAAACGCTGAAAATTTTGCATCACATTTTCTCTCGAATTGTTTTGACAGACCAAACCAGAAGACAAACAATGGAATAGAGGGAGATCAGAAGGGGAAAGATCCAAATATTGATGATTGCCATCGAGACGTTTATCGGCGAAATACGCTTGCCGTCGCTTGCTATCAGCACCTTTTCCGTGCAAAACTCTCCTGGTTCTCTCTATTTCTCACTCTCGAATGCTTGTTTTCCTCCTAAAACGTGGTCTGTCCTTTTCTTCCGTTTTACAATGTAAATATTGGATAGGCCTCATGCTCTTCGAGTTTCAAAACAAACTGCTTTACATTGAGCAATAAAATGTTCTCATTCTCCACTCTCTTCTCTTATCACCGCCGCTGTGATCATGTTCACAGACCCTATCGAAAATCGATTCAAGTCACCGCGCTTTTTGTGTCGCGGCCGACATGGCGTGGCCTAGAATTCACACCGCGTGACTTCGTCCCCACTCCGCTAAATTTATAAATGTTTTTCAGACAACTGAGAAATGCAATGCAGATTTTCTGTTGAAAAGCATGGATTAATTCAAAAATTTATTTAACTTTTAAAAAGTATCTTATCACATACAACAAATATGAATTACAGTTTATGGAGGTAGGAGAAAATGTGCGGAAAAAAGCGTCGTCGGAAATACGTTTCGCTGAATACGGTAGGAGTGTTGAAGATGACGAGGTAAACTCAAGAAAAACATTGCTAATCCTCTCGTCAGTTTCTTTTCAAGGAGCCGACACAAGAGAACAAACGTGTCATCGATTTGGGCAATCCGGTGGATGCAATGAGCCTGAATAATGAGAAAACGAAGATTGTTGTGGCTGGAATTCGGGGCGGTAAGAGATTAAGAACAAGACTTTTAGCTGAACAGCAAATTACAGTTCTTCAAATTGTAAAAATCCAGTATTCCCCGACAGACGTTATAGATGGACCTTCACTTATCGAAGATTTAGACTTGAGAACGTACCGGAAAGGAAAAGTAAGCATTCTCTATTCTGCGCAGAACGTCAAATGGAATCAGCTTTTCGGTTTGTTTTCAAACTAAAAAAAATGTCTGTTTGACCGTTTTTCTCAGAGCAATATATAGCCACGACATCTGCAAATGGCTCTGTCGTCTGTTGGAATATAGACCGGAAAAATAGTGAGTTCCCGAATACCGGAAGATGTCAGATGAAACATTTAAAACTGCAGAAATCGTGTACAAACTTCATGAAAGGTCGGCTACTTGTGTCGATTGGCATGCCGATGCCGGTTATTTGATGATGTCTGGATCTCGTGATAGCACAGTCCGAACTTATGATCTCCGTTGTCCCACGACCACCAAGAATTCGTTGATTTTCTAGTAGAAAATCCATCTCATACCATGGAAAACAATTAATTTTCAGTGACCGAACCTGCGAAGGGATTCATGACATGACAACTTGCAAGACAGCAGGTCTCGCCGACTACTTCCTGACTGGCGATGACTGCGGCGTTCTTCGTGTCTGGGATATTCGAAATCCTTCCAAGTGAGCGAGGGGACATTTGCATCCGCTTCCGCACGAATCTTAACTCACTCTATACAACCCGTGTTACCCTTTTCGGCGGCCACTCGCTGGCTTTCGCGTCATTCGCCGGAGGGGGAAGACGGGCTCGTCCTCCCGCCCGGCTGCGTGTGAATAGTTCAAATGTGCAGAGAGCGAATCCAATTTAGTAGTTCCTCCTTCGCTTCTTCCACTCGTGCTTCACGAACACTCGATCGCTTATTTCAGATGTGTTCATCAAAAAGTCGCGCATCGGTCGTTCATTTCCACAATCGCGATGAGCCCCACCGACAAGGGGATAGTGGCAACCGGAGGTGGAAGAGACAAGATGGTTAAAGTATGTCAATCGATTCTATTTCTTTTTTCATAGTTTTTATGCAGATTTGGGACTGGTCAGCACACAGTATAACCCGCGTGGGCCTCGTAGAAACGACAGCACCACTGGGAAGAGTCGTATGGAGACCGGAAAAGAGTTTTCACATCGCCACGTGTGCAAGTGAGTCAAAAAAGAAAAAAAGAAACGAGAAGAATATCGAATGTTTTGTTCTTCAGGTGTAAATGAGACTGCAGTCCATGTGTGGGATATCAGAAGGCCTTACCTTCCGTACGTTACGTACGACGAGCATGGGGACAGTGTAACGGACGCGTGCTGGCCCATTTCCGACTTTGACGTGTTCTTGACATGCGGAAAAGACGGGCTCCTTATGATGCACAATATGGACACGGGACATGTCGGTTTTTCGAACTCGAAACCGGAAAGACGCTCTCATTTCAGACTCCCTTATCATATGCTTGCGATGTTTCGTTCGATGTCACTCCGGACGGCACAATCGGAATCGCGGTGAACTCGGAAATCCACGAAAAGAACGAGTCAATTCTGGAAGCACAGTTGCAACTTCAAAGACAGAAAGGGGCGGGAGGGCCTCGGCGGCCTGTCCCCTTCGAATTGTTCAACAGGCCCATAAAAAGTTTGGTTGCATTCGGAATTCCGGAAGCTCTCACTTACAGCCTCCCGCCCACGCACTTTTATGAAATTGCCGAGCAATACAGAATTGGCGGAATGGAGATTGTGACGTTGTGTGAAATGAACTCGAAAATAGCTCGGAAGGCGGGCTTCGAGCACGTGGCACAAACTTGGCGACTCGTCGAGGCTCTTTGCGGCCAGGCGAACATTCAGGAAGTCTACGATCAGCTGAGCAAAGAGGAGAAAGAGCGGGTAATCAAAGCGTGGATTGTGTGAGTGAAAATACGATCGGTGCGTGGGTTGACAAAAAACTAATTCAGGAGGAAGAAAGAGTTGGCCGACGAAGGACGGCGATGGATGGCGAATATGCGCGACTACTACGTGGATGATGTGAAAAAACGTGTGGCAGAGCGACTGGAAAACACTCAGAGTGTGACTGCCTTCCTGAATTTCTCATCCGAATCAGATGGGTCTGACATAGAACCAATCAGGAAGAAGAAGAAAAAAGATGGCGAAGAAGAAGAAAAAGGAGAAGGAGAAGATGATAATGAAAATGAGAAAATGAATTTAGACGAGGATGATATGCCAATTCCCAAAAAGAGAGTTCGGAAGAAGCGGAAGAATTTAGCGATCGATTATTACTTCGGAGCCGGCGAGGCGAACTACAAAAGTGTAGAAGGGAAAAAGTGAGCGAATTCCTAGTCGTCATCTGAATCCGAGTGTCTTCAGAGAAGTGCTTCATTCCAACGAGTTCACGGGTTTGCGAAATGAGGCGTTCCACCAGAGAAATGAGGAAAAAGAGGCAAAGTTCTTCTGCAAGGCTAGGAAACAGCCTACGAGTTAGCCGTTGCTCTGTTTCGAGATGATCGTTATTCACATAATTCCAGACGCAGACGAGTACGAAGAATACATTCGGGAGTACGAGGCAGATTTCCGCGCGTGGTCTCCGATGCTCGAAATCTACCGGCTTTTGTTATACCATGCAGAACAGGGAGACATACAAACGTGTGCGAACATTTCGATGGTTTGTGGAAAGCGACTCTTGGATACGGTTGATCCGTACACTGTGAATGGATGGGTCTACTGTTATATGGGTTAGAAGTGAAGTGAAACTCAATTTACATATCGAAATTTATAGAAATGCTTGATCGACTAGAGCTCTACCTAGTTTGTGCCAAAATACGAAAGTATTGTTCTTTGGATTTCATCAGTTCCGTTTCTCGCGAGAACACAACAATCCAATTGTCTCATGCCGACTGCGACGCTGTGATCGTCAATGGACGGTGCACGAAGTGTGAAGGTCATGTTCAGCCGGACTGTACCGTTTGGTGGGTTTATTACAGTGAAAATCTGAAACTCAAAGGAAGTCCCGTTTTACAGTCGTGTCTCGATTATCGGACTGTGCTATCAGTGCCACGTGTGTGGCCACGCAATGCACGTCGATCACGCCTTCGAGTGGTTCCAGAAGACGAACGAATGTGCTTACGTCGGTTGTCTGTGTAATTGTGGAATGACCACGTGGCCAGACATGGAACGGACGTTCATTCCGAATCCGGGAGTTCCGAGAAAACATCGCGATTTCAGTAAAGTCCGACAGGAAGACTACGAACCGGATCCGAACCAAAGTAAGTACACAAAAGTTGCAGGTTACATAAATACGCGTATTTGAACAGGAATCGACGCCTCTCGGATTGATTCTGACACAGATGACAACGGTCCGGATGAAGACGATGACGATTTGCCTTTCACCACGAACAAGCTGCGAGACAAGTTCGGAGTGCCAAGCACCGCGGAGTGGCAGAGACCGTGGGCGAAACACTTGGCGAGGCTCTACACCGAAAGATACAAAGAGCCGTGTCCATTAGACGACGTGGAGACGGAACCTCCTTTGAGTCCGAAATCGATAAAAGAATGGAAAAGAGAGCAACTAGTCCAAGCGCTGGCTCACGAGGTTAAAGAAAAAGACGAAGAAATTGATATCGCTCTAGATGTTCCGAACGAAGGCGATGTGGCTCATGATGGTGTGGACAAGGAGCCTTATACTCTTGCTTGCCTTTTGTCTGCAGCCCTAGAAAAAAGTGAATCGGAAACGACCGAACAGAACACAGAATCGAAAATCACGGACGTTTTTTCTCCGACTGAGTTCTCCGACCATCTAGAACTGATAGAAGAGCAGAATCAAGGAGGAATTGAGGATTATCAAGATGAAGTCAATGGAGCTTACAACAAAGAGGTCTACCAGCAACGAAAGTTGATGAATGACGAAGAGCAGTACAATGGCGAGAAAGAGCAGTTCGAATATCAGTTGGATGTAGGGCAAGAAGATGAACAGTTAGAGGATGAGCAAGAAGTGGAAGAGGAAGTAGAAGATGAAGATCACGGGCTCAATTTCGAAGTTGAGCAAGCGAATCTGGAAGATCTGGACGGCTATTATGAAGAACTGATAGGAGTGGAGCAAGAAATGTATGATGACGAACTCGACGAGGAAGCGTTTGAGAATGAAGAAGAAGAACTGTACTCCGATGATTACATCCAATCAATTGGCCCTATCGGTCTGCAACCGCATCAGCTTTTTTCCGATAACGAGCGTGTAACTTCGCCGTCGTTCGGGTGGAATAGAAAAGAATTCGTCGACCGACTTACAAAAGTAATGTTCGCGGAGTCGTCCGATAGTTCTGAGGGTCATGACGTGGGAGAGATTAAAGTTGAAGAAATCTTTGCAACAAGCGAGAAAGATACGGAAGGACGAGATCGTGAGAAAACATTGAATATCGACAAACCGTCGATGTCGGTGAGGGAGAAAGTGATGGCCGTTTTGTGCATGGTAAGGAAAGCCGGGCGAAACACCGCGATATTGTCATTTTTCAGAGCAAGAAGCAAAAGAAACAGATGAGAGCAAAACGCCAGAAGAAAATGGACAAAGCAGTGCTCACCGGAGAAAGTGATGTACATGAAGACGCTTACGATGAGTTCTGCGTTTCCACTTCTGATGAAAATGATTTCGAATCGGAAGGGGCCTCTTCTCCCGCTGAATCTTCTTCATCTCCCACGTCGTATTCATCTTCTGAATTGTTCGTTCCTGTCCCCGCAGAGGTTGAATATTATGAAGATGAAGAATGCGTCGAAGACAGCGAAGACTATTCCGGCGATGAGTCTTCTCACTCGGACGAAGAGACATATTTTTCCGATGAGCTGGACATTCAAGATGACGAACGAGAAGTTTCTCCACCGGCCACTGGCGACTTATATGAGAAAGAACCGAGTGTAAGATCTTGTCATTTTGGCTTGACTGAAATTGATTCCATTTTTCAGCCACTACGAACGAAACCTAGAAAACGGAAGGTAAGGGTTTCGTTCTACAGGGTCGAATGTGCAGAAGGGACGCCATGTCCATTCCGATCGCAGTCCCCTCGGTCAATATCGCCCATCTCAACAATACCCTCACCACGATCGCCATTCAGTTCCCGTACTCCTTCCCCGTCGCCGCCCCGTACCCCGCCTAGGTGTCCATCGCCTCCACCTGCACCAGACCAGCCGCCGTCACCGTGGAGACTGTCCCCGGTTCAAGAAGAACCAGAAGATGTGTCGGTTGCATCGGGGTCCTGCTACTTTCTGCCTCCAGGATATTCGTCCACGATCACCTCATATGCTAATCCGCTTTTCGCGAGAATCAATAGCAGACCTGTTTCGAATCCTGTGCCAATTGGGACCGGTGGTCAAATGAATGGGAATCGGTGGCGTACCGAGTCGTTGATGACAGTTATTGGTGACCGGGAACAATTGGGAATGAACGCCTTCAATCCTCTCTTCCTATGCAGTTCGTCGTTGCCGGCTGGTAACAAATTTGCATCTCCATCGTCCAGCTGGAAATCTTCATTAGAAGAACAAACATCATTCAATTCGGACGACTCATCCACGTGGGACACGTACCCAAGCAGTCCCCCCGCAGCAGCGCGAATGCTAAAGATGGTTCCCGGGGAAGTGAGGGAACATAAGAACTGGCCCAAAGAGTCTCCGCCTCATCATGAACCCCCGCCGCTGGATGCTGTCCCATTTGCACGATGTTCGGATCCTTATTTGTTGCTAGCTGACCACATTCCGGATAATAGGGATCAAAACAGTCATGCAAATGATACAATCATTCAGAAACTAGACGCAAAACGACGCAAGGTACAGAAGGAGGAATCCGATCAGTCAGACTCGGATCTGTTCTCGACCGACGAAGAAGAGTCCTCTGATCCGTCCGATCTAGACGATGAACCCTTCTTCCCTGCAACCGAAGATTACCCGTTACCACCAAGAACTATGCATCCATGGGAAACCATGGAACAGTACGAAGAACGACTGCAGCGACAGAGAGAGGAAGAAGAAGCTGAAGCGAAAGAGAAGGAAGAAAAAGAAGCAGCGAAGAACGAAAAGGAAGAGAACAGGGTCAAGGAAGTAGAAAGAAGAGCGAGGGAGCAGGTAGAAGCTGAAATATCGAGGAGCGAGAGAATGAAGAAAAAGTTTCTGGTTGAGCAGTCATTTGAAGATCCTGAACGTCCGAAGACTCCGATGATGAGAGAGCTGGAGAGGCTGAAAAAAGAAGAAGAACCGAAACGGAAGATCAGGAAGTGGCCGACTCTCAAAAGAACCACGTTTGATAAAACGGACCACGAAATTGCTCTCAACAAGGCAATAGGGGTAGGAAAACGAAATGGAAGAGAAAATTCAGAGTCAATATTTCAGAATCTGAAAATATTAGATCCAACATTTGATGAAAACGAGCCGGAGATTATCAAAAATGTACGGGAGAAAGAGAGATGTGTACGCTGTAAACACGAGATAGAACAGGACAAGATAGAGAAAAAACACATACGGCATATCAAGAAAACGTGAGTAAAGCGAATTGATCCGGAACCTTAATTGAACTTTTCAGAATTGATGATGGACAAATCATCCTTGCGAAGTCGCTGACTGATCCGTGTGTAGCCTTCCAATTTCATTATATGGAGTCAGTTGTTCGATGCTGACGACTTTATCAAAATCATACATTTTTAGCTACGGTAACTTCCTGACTGACGTGGAAGAAGCGAACAGGACTGCAGCCAACTTCGTCGAGTTCATCCAGTTGCTCTATTTCGTCAAATGGGAAGACTTGCTGCGTCCTGACAGTGAATTCATGCTCAAAGAGATTTACGAAATGTGGCTGGATTACAAGAAGAAACGACCAAGAATGTGCGATTCTCACTATGAGGATTTCTCATTCCGCTTCTACGCAGCTTCGTATGCTCCACCCTTTTAACACGAATCCTTAATTTTTTTTTCAGAATCACTACGAAGATCATGAAGCAGATGTACAAGTACGAGCCTCTCCAAATCCAACAAAGAGCCATCAAATACGATTGGCTACACCCGAAGCCGTGTGTAATCTCAATTGACGACGACCCGCAGCTCATCGACGAAATGATGGAGACGCCGGTCAAAATGAATCGTTCTTGGTCGGGCGAAGAACGGACGGCGGCGAAAGAGTACTGGAATCTATTCGGAAATGTTCCTCTCCACATTCGGACGGTCGACAGGACGAAAGCGTTGCCGGCGGCAGACGAGAAACTCGAAATCGGGGACGACACCAACTACTGGACGAAGAAAATGATCAGGAATGCTGCGTATCAGTCGCGTACTCACGGAATCAAGCTGACATACACGAGGGTGAAAGAGCGAGACGATCTTTTCCGAGTGCAGGACAGATCGGTGGGAGTGCTCAAAGAGCGCTGGAAGGCCCGTCTGAATCAGATGAAGAACGAGACTCCTCGTTTCGATTTCTCCACGAGCAGTTTCCAACTCAACACGCGCTCTAAGCTGATTCACACCGTCGACGCTCACAACCCGTGGCCCATCTGTCAGATTCAGGACCAAGACCATCTCGTGACTATCCGTCCGTTGGTCACTCGCAAGTTCGTGGAGCTCAAGTCCCGTCTCCGATCGAAATTCCACGTCCGAAACAGCTTCGTCGCTCCAAAAACACTCAAAAATACAAAGATTACGGTAGCTAGAACTAGATTATCGTAAGATCCAATATGATCTTTTCAGATGGATGATATTCGCGAAACTCGTTCATTCAAGCGATTCGAGCCCAGGTTGAAGAAAAATGAAGAACTACAAAAAAGTATGATTGAGACTTTTCTCTGCAGACTCAAAACTCAAAGTTTTCAGTGATGGCACGTCATTTCAAAGTTGTCGACAGAACGGATTATCATAGGCGTTACACTCTGTACACGATCATTGAAGAAGAAGACGAAGTGTCGCTGATTGTGGCGATGCTCGAGGTACAGAATTTGGGAGAAACAGAGAAACTGGATCCGGAGGAGGTGTTCGCGCAAAGAAAGGATATCAGAGAGCGGGAAGAGCGGCAGAAGCTCGCGAAAATGAAGGAGGAGAAGTACCGGAAAGCACTGGCCAACACGGAAAAGTTTGAAAACGACAAGATGAAGATAATGAGGAACCACTGGCAGCCAAAGTTCCGGAAGACTCTTCGGACGGCGCGAAAGGTGATGGAGATCGGTCGATTGTTGCATGAAGAGGAAGTGCAGAAGTGGATGGAATTCCAATACGAACTCTCGTTCGCACAGAGAACACGAAAAAGAAAGTCTCTGATCACGAAGAAACAGTGAGTATAAATCCTATTCTGCTCATTTCAAATCCTTTATCTGATTTCAGAATGCTTGAGAATGTTCCGGTAGAATGGAAAGATGCCGTTGAACTTATAAACTTTGAGGAACCAGTTAGACCACCTTACGTTTCACCCTGGCCGGAATTAATCGAAAGACCACGGTCTCCGGACTTTTTGTTCAATTCTTCGTCGTCTGAAGAAGATGAAGAAAGTGAAGATGAAGAGGAGAAATCAGAAAAAGAGGGAGAGGACGGAGAAAAGAAGGAGAAGAGTGAGGAAAAGAGGAAAAAAGAGGAGGAGAAGAGGAAAGCGAAGGAATTAGCCAAAAAACGAAAAGAAGAGGAGAAAAAAGAAGATCCACGGGAAATCTTGAACTGCGTCAACCTCACAAAGGTTGCCGAGAAGCTGCAGTACGACGAGGAAGAGAGAATTGCGCTGGAGGAGAATGACGAGGATTGGGAGTACTCGGACGATTCGACCGTGTCCACGTGGTTCGATAACGACGTGGACGACGTGATGAACAGATTGGTGAATGTGAACTACGTGGACGAGCACATGATTTTGAAAGAACGCGCGAAGGGAGCACTCGGTCAAAAGCTTTTGTTCGTGTGGGAGGGCAGGAAAGAGGAGGATCCATTGTCCGATGACGAGGAGGATGCTGCGTCACTGGAGCGAATCGCTTTGTGTGTGAAGAAATCGGAGAAGAAAAGAGCCACCGAATTGCTGGATGAGAACTACACATTCAGAGATGCGGGAGTGCCGGAAGGAGACAGAACGAAGGAGTTGGCAGAGGCAGAACGGGAGATGGACCTGGACAGATACGACCGGAAAGAGTTCAGACGAGCAGAGGTGGACCAGCTTCGATTCTTCTTCAGGCAGTACGCATTCGATCATACTAACACTATTCGTGGGTTTTTTCGTAAATGTTCTGCAGCTAACCGTATCTTATTCAGCTCCATACTCATGGGATAACGCCCTCCATGAACCAATCGCATCCCTTCATCGTCGGGAGCTCCGTCGCGTTGCGAATCGAGCTCATAAGAAGATGAAGGACGAGTACGAAGACATGTGCGCGGAGGAAGAGATTATTGTGAAAGCGATTCCGACCGATGAAAACAGCCTTCTCTACAAAATGATCAACTTTTTGTTGTTCCGAGAATCGGGCGAGAATTTCCAAACAGCATCCAAGCGAGTTGACGAAGCCAATAGAGTGTTGAAGCCACTCAAGAAGTACGAAATGTTCTTTGGGAAAGAAGGGCTCTGCAAACTTCAGCTCCTCGGGGAAGAACTGAATGTAAGCGTAGCAAGCGTTAGAAAATTGAAAATGACTTGTTATTTCCAGACGTCGAAAGACCTTCGTTCGTCGGTCACGTATCTCATTCGACAATACGGAGAGAACATGGAGATTTCAGCTGAAAGATTGGCGAAATTCATTAAACTCTGGTGGTACAACTCGCATGATTCTCTCGAGCGTTTCATCGGATGCCTAGAGGAGACACTAGACACAGAAGAACGAATCTGGGAGGATGTGGAATTCTTCGACTCCCTTCCACAGAACATTGAATTCGTTAGAGACACCATCGATCAGTTGGATATAGCCAGTATCGTTAACGAGATTCTCTATACCGTGGAGGCGTATGTGGAAGATATGGAGCTTTTGTACAGGACCGCACAGCTTCCTGAAGATCGGATGGCGGGCGCAAGCATGAGCTTATTCGATTGGCATCGCTGGAAATCCATAACACACCGCTCGGTAGAAGCTGACCCCCGCAGACCGCGATTCGATAAGTTGTTCGATACTGGAGTGTGGGTCATGGAAACAGAGTCCGATTCTAAGGAAGGTGTTGTCGAGGGATCATCTGGATCTACGGAGAAAGCCGCCGATTCTCCGATGGAAGGCACGCCGTCTTCTGATGACGCACAGATTTGCATAGAACTGAGCGAATCGAGAAGGCCCTCGGAGACTGGAATCATTGGAAGTAACGAAGACATGCGAACACTTCACAAGCCGGGCAAGTACGGTAGTCTGAACGAAGAAATGATGGCGTACTACAAAGCGGTCTACGAGAGTGTAAAAAAGGCAGAGGTGCTGAGAATTCGGAAACGGACGGAGGAACGAGCGCAGGAGTTGATGAGGAAGTGGGGAGTTACCGAACAGCAGAGAAAGTGGGACGAACAGGACAGGGAACGACGAGTGCACGACTACATGATGCTGAATTGGGCTGTGAGAGAGAAGGCTTATGCAGAAGGGATTCTGGAGAAATCGGATGACGATGACGATGAAAACTGGGAAGAGAGAATAGAAGATTATGAACGAGGATACAAGGAAACTGTGGATGTGGCCATGTATGCGAGGCAAGGAACGACCCGATACGAAATACTCGAAATGTGCGGATTGCCAGTTACTCTCGATCACGAGATGTTCCGTGTTGAAATGGACGAATGCCAGTCTGCTGCCACTTCGGTTTCCGATGCACACGAAATTCGTGACCTGATAGAGGAAGACGTAGAGGACGAGGAACTTGAGTTGCCAACCACCGATATCGACGAAGACGCGCAGAGCTACTGCTCGGTCAAGCACGTTCTCAAACACGAGTTGTACTTCGTAAGTTTATATCTATTTTCCCACATAAACAGACGGAAACGTGTTTACAGCAACGCGAAGTCGTCGGCCGGTACCTCCCCTCGTGCATCATTCTCTTCGCTCCGTCCCAATTCTTTGAAGATCCTGTAGATTGCGATTGTGAGTACAGGAAATGGAGAAGAATTATCGAGGGCAGTGACTCGCCGTATTCGTTCAACTGGCTCGTTCTGCGGGAGAGATTGCTGCGGATGTGCCGAGATGAGTTCTGTCCTCTGCTTCTCGAAAAGTACTTTGAGCCGGAGGAACGAAATCACAAGATGATCATGGAGGTTTGCTAATCTTTTAGAAAGAAATATAAAGTAGTGGTTACAGGTTTTCTATGGCCTCACAATTATTATTGTTGTGGACACTGAAATGAATCCATGGACGTGCCGAATTGCCTCTCGTCACAGCGTAGCGAAGCCTGCTCACGATCGGGTCTCTGAAATTCGGAAAATTATGGTCGAAGAGTATGGTTTCATTCGGAACTCGGGCTTTTCAACGTTCAAACATTTCAGCTCACAAAAAGATCTGTTCAACTGGTTAGAGCAGTACAAGATCGACATGGATGTTTATTCTCGTTGTCCGGTTATCACTGCTCGCAGCGAACCGCTCACTCCGGAGCACGCCGCGCAATTCTCGAGTATTCTGATGGATGAAGAAGTCCGCGACAAGTGGTTGATGATAACCAAAGACGAAGGAGTTCGTGCGTTAGATGTAAGCGGGAACAACTGTCTTGCAGGCTACTGATCTTTTTGATTTAAGGCGATCATCAGAATGCCTCCGACACCGGAGGACAGGCTTCCGGCGTGCATGGCGATCTTCCGTCCGATTTATGACGCGTGGTACCACACATGGAAGGCGATGAACGATCAGAAGATGAATAAGACGGTGGTTAAAAAGAAGAGAAATCGACTGAAGGAGTACTTGTACAAGACTAAGCTCATCATCAACTACGCGCATCAGCATTATCGTATGAAGAAGTTCGATATTAAGAACAAAGATCCTTCTGAATATCAACGTGAGTAATCAACAATGTTTTCCTAGTAACAACTAAAAGTTTAGTGGACCGAACCAATATTCCGAGTGCTTCTCTGTTCGACAGGCTCGATGAAATCGTCACCAAATTCTGTAATGAGGAGTCTAGTGAGTTATCCCGCAATATCACGCTGTTTTATTAAATGTAATCTATTCGCAGAACATTTGAATGATGCAGACCGGACAAAGGTTAAAGACACGCTCATTTCACTGGCTACCGGGAAAATTCCTCATTTCACAATGAACTATTCCACCGCTATAGATCCCAGAAAGACGGTTCGACATTCAGATTCTCATGATCATGCACATACATTTTTTTTTCCAGGAAAATGGCTACGATGCATTTTGCGAGGAAGATGACATAGAGAGCACAATGCCAACAGTTGTGACGTTCGAAGATCCGATGCCGGGGTCGTCTCCGGCTGTTGCGTTATGTGACACGGAAAAAGTAGAAGAAGAATTGGAGTGGTTAAGGTCTTTGTACGAGGACGCAGACATGCACAGACGACGGTGGATGGCCAAATTGCTTTTCGAATTGTATGAAGTTTTCGCGTTTTCACAAAAACACGCATTCATTTCAGGGCTCAAAAAGCAATGTTCCGATTCGCACCGCATCTAGCCAATTTCGAAGGTGCGCAGAAGAAGTTCGAGCATTTGCTGACATTGCATGCGAAGCAGAGACCGCTTCTCGATATGATGCTCACGAAAGTGAGAGGGACCTACTTTATGGTAATGCTTACGATAGGATACTCGGACAATAATGAACTCTTTCAGCCTCTCGAGACGAATCTCTTCTTGTACGACCAGAAGCTCATCACATTCAGCGAGCTGGTTGATTCGGAAACTCACCCGAAAGATTGGAGTAAAAGAAAAGAGAGCTTGGAGGAGAACCGGCAACAGGAACCATCGGATCCGCAGGAACTTCTCGACTTCTTACACCCGAAATCAGACGCAGAATCTGAATCAGAGCCGGACGAAGACGGAGACGCAGACTCGGACGCAAGCCCAGAGTTCGATTCAGACCTCGATTCCGACTCCGACTCCGATGAAGAATCCGTATCCATATCCGATTCTGAATCTGGATCAGAAACAGAATCCAATTCCGACTTCGACTCCGAATCGGGCACCGAATCTGAGTCCGAATCCGAATCGGATTTAGTCGAAAGTGAAACCCGGGTTCTCTTAGAGTCGCCTAATCCTTTCGAATCCGCAGAATCTTTGAACGGTCCAAAACAAGCGGGGCAGGATGCGACGATAGAGCAAACAGGTACACCCAAACTAATGATGATCAAACTGATCTTCAAAATTTTTAGATATTCGAATCGTAAAAAGGCGTTCGAAACCCATCAATCCAGATGTGATATTCGCCGCCGAAAAACGAGCACTTGGGCCGTTCAAATGGAAAGTGCGACGGGAGCTGAACGACGTTCTCGAAGGCATTGCTGATCTTGACAAAAGCACGCTGACAGACAAATTACCGCCCAAAAAGCGTTATCTGCTGGACTACGTTCAAAATCTGATTATCAACTTCTCGGACACCGCCCATTCGTCATGGGGAATGCTGAAAATGAAGACGCGTATCGGATTGATCCCTTCGCCGAGTCGGTTGAAAGCCAGGCATATCAAGAGAATCAGAAAGGGAAAGGTATGATTTGAGAATTCAATTATACTTATGCAGTGAAATATCCATGTTTTTTCTAGAAAAGCTACAAACCTCTGAGGGGGCGTAAGCCAAAGATCGATCCTCCGGCACCGATTGGTCGCGTTCAAAAGAAAAGATATAAATTCTATTAAAAATAACTTGTTTTATATGTGTTGCATGTAAATATTCTTGTTTAATATTGATGTTATTTTGTTATAGACCATGTTCAGTTGTTTTTGACAGCCATTGAAAATTTGGGTCAGCCAGAGTGCTTTCATTGTGATTTTTCTCTCGAATTTTTTTTTGTATTTCTCATTACGGTCAAACTAAACACATCCAGGAATTTATTAATGTCTTTTTAAAAATTATCTTAACTCTGGTAACTTGCCAGTTTAATACTTTATCATCTCGGAATCTTTTTTTTTATTCTAATCTCTCAGATATGATACCCGGTTCGGCGCGACTGTTGCTCTGCAGATGTTGGGTTCAAAATCGAGCGCTTTGTTCGAAGAGCAGTCTGCCGAAGTTGGCGGTTGCGTTCGGCGTCGGTACTGCTTCTCTCAGCAAAATCCGGCGTCTTCGATGCGAAACGGAGCAGCACGATCCGTGGCTTTTGGTCCCACAAAGAGTGCGTTCTGTTCGAATAACAAAATATAAATCGAGAAGAACAGGTTGCAGAAGATCATTCCGGTTAGATCAGCAACGATGGGAATCATCAGTATGCCGTTCGCACTGATCGCAGCCGCTTACACTGCCATCAGAAAGGCGTTCAGGTACTGTAAGCACTCCAAATGACCTAATATTGATTGTGTTCAGGTGCCTTGGCTTGTTCCTCCGGTTCTCACCTCTCGTTCTCACATATCCGCTCACAAGAATTGAAGCAATTGATGACCTTTGGTGGAAAATGCTCGTGTGGGCTTTCGAGACCTCCGGACCTACTTTTATAAAATTGGGTCAATGGGCAAGCACCCGACGGGACATTTTCAGCAAGAAGTTCTGTGATAGAGTCAGTGGATCATGTTCAATCACTCTAATTAAATGTTTCTCATTTCAGCTCTCGGTACTGCACATTCAGACGAAGAAGAAGCGGCTTTTCCGCGATAAAACGACGGTTTTAGAAGATGTGTTCGGAGAGGGATTTATGAAATTGCACGGCGACCGTGTTTTCATAGACATCGAGCCGTACTCAATTGGCTCCGGATGCATTGCGCAGGTCTACCGAGGAGTCGTCGACGTTGCAGAATTTGAGAAGGCCACGGAAAAGCAGATTCCGGAGCTAGAAGGGAAGGCGACACAAAAGATCGCCATCAAAGTGGCCGACAAAGGAGTTGAGCAGCAGATTGAGTTGGATCTCTCGATTCTGAGAACGGGAGCGTGGTTCATGCAGACTCTCGTCCCTTCCCTCTGGTATCTGGACCCTACTGGCGCCCTCGAGCAGTTTGAAATGGTGCTGCGACGACAAGTTGATTTGAGCAACGAAGCGAAGGCGCTCAAAAAGTTCTCGGATAATTTTCACTCGTCAGAAACCGGAATCCGATTTCCAATCGTCCTTGGATACACGAAAACAGCAATTGTGGAGACATTTGAAGAAGGCATCTACATCAATCGTCTGGTCGCTGAAGAAGGACAACCGGAGGTGAGGGGCCGCAGTTTGTATTCATTGTTTACAACTTTTTCTTCAGTTAACAGCACGCCAGTCGATATCCGTTCGACGTCGAATCGCATTGATGGGAGCCAGAGCACTTCTCAAAATGATCTTCGTGGATAACTTCGTGCACGGCGACCTTCATCCCGGCAACATTCTGATCCGCTTCAACGACAACGAGAAGACGTTGAAAGGAGTGCACAAAGCTCCAAAGGCAGACGGCGTCGTGAAGAGAGGATTCGAATGGTTCCGTTCTCTGATCAACTGGCGGTCGACTCCGCGTCTTCGCTTCACCGATTCTCCCGATCTCGAGGACGAGCCGACGCTAGTCCTTCTCGACACCGGAATCGCCATCTCTGAGACTCCAAAAAACTTGCACAATCTGAAGTCGCTCTTCAGAAGTGTCGTTGAGAAGCGGGGCTACGACGTCGGACGACTGCTCTTGACTCAGTCACCTTTTCAACAATGCAAAGATCCGGAACGATTCTGCCGTCAAGTGGAGAAGTTGGTACTGAAAGCGAGGAGTGAAAAGAGTTTGAGAACGGTAAGTAGTCATGTGAAATTCAAAAGTATTCTCGTTTTCTTTCAGTTGAACATCTCCGCGTTGCTCTCCGAAATGTTCACAATTGTTGCCGAACACAAAGTGGAACTCGATTCAGCATTCACAACTGTAATTCTTTCGGTGATGGTTCTTGAGGGATTCGGGCGGTCCCTCGACCCCGATCTCGACCTTTTCCAATGCGCCAGGCCATATCTTCTGAACGTGTTTGTTTAGGATCACTCAATTCACAGAATCCCGAGATTACTTCAGCTTTAGTTATAATTTTAAGTAGACGCTTTATCGTTGCATTTTTCAATAAAAGTTTGTATTTTTCTAACTGCCTTCATCTTCCTCCTCTACTTTTCACTGGTCTCCATTTCCAGAAGTATATCTTTGATAGTGTGCTGGTTCTTTTGGGTATGTTGACTTCTAGATGCCTGCTGTGATGCATGTCTCCTTGTTGTGCCGTGCCGGTATGTCTTCGTATTCTGTATGGAAATTATGGACCCCCCTCGTTTCAGATGGCGTCCTATCAAGTACCGCCTCTTCGTGCCGAAGGAATGGCCCATGGCAAAGAATCCCGTTCTTGGATGGAAGATTATCTGGAAGGAAAGGATGAAATTCTTCTGTATATAACGGCTGCTCTGGGAGTTCTTATGCCCGGATTCGTATATTTGCTCTTCCACAAGTGTCACGCCTACTACGAAAGATACGCAAAGAAGAAGGAAGAACAGCGTCTGGCGGAAGAAGTAGCTCAATCGGAAGCCGTCGTAATTGTGCTCGGATCAGAAGACGGACTGGCTGCTCCGTGGGCTAAAGTGATCCACGATAAACTATGCGATGAAATGGTTCGGAAGCCGTTGATCTATTGGTCCGACTCTATGGACGTAAAGGAGTTGATGGCATTCAAGGGATTTTGCGTGTTCATCGCAGAAACGACGGCTGGCGGACATCCGACGCCTTCTTCCGAATGGTTTCTCGAGTGGTTAGAAGACTTGGCCGCCGACGCGAAGCTCAAAAAGAAAGCAAACTTCGACAAGATCCGTTTTTCTATAGTCGGCTTCGGAAGCAGCGATGATGGACACACCGGATTCAACAAAGTGGCACGGACTCTCCTCAAAAGACTCAAAATTGTTGGTTCGAAGCAAATAACTGAAGTTGAGCTCTTCAATACAACTGATACTGGTCAGTGTTTGTATGGCATCTAAAGTGCAAATATTCGTATTCCAGACAAACACATAATGGAACGATTCGTGGAATTCTCGTTCGAACTGCTCATTCAGATGGACAAGCATCTGCCGGGAATGGGCGGAGAAACCGATGGATCCGAGGGTGTTGAGTCGAGTTCCGCGAGTTCAGATAATTCTGACGAGGACGAAGAAATGGAGGAGCACCACAAGAAGTCAAAGTGATCTCAATTTTAAACTATTAATGGCATATGTATTCCAAACTGTAGTTCGCATCTCATTTCAATTAAATTTCGCTTTCTTATGATAACACTTTCAATAAAGAGTTTATGTATCATTGTCAAAATCCTGCGGGATGGCTATTATCAATTTCAATGAGCGGTTTTGCTATGGGGTTACCCCAAACGGAACTACGCCAAATCAGAACCAGTCACAACAAGACTATTGCAAGACATGTAGATTGGTTCTGATCCGGGACAGTTCTGGTTCGAGGTAGCCTCAACATAGGACGTAGATCAAACTACTTGGCACATGGAGGTTGTTTGATCAAGCGATGTGATTGTTTCACACGCAGCGGACAAAGTCAGTCCATTTTGAAGGATCGGGGGCGTAGGAGGACCGCACGATTTTCAGAACCAGATTTGCTCCTGAGACTGAAACATCGATCATTGCAACTACTCGAAGAATACGATCTCGTGGTTATTTAACTGCCAGAGCATGACATATATGTTTTCATTGTTTCTCCTGTGGAAATTAATTCCGTATTTCAATTCTTTTTAGAAATGTAACATTTTTCTGTCAGCAACGTGGCATTCTACATGCATTACTGTGAGTCTCTTCGAGGCTTCGTTCGTCCAAGTTTCCACGTAAGTTCTGTAGAATAAATGCTTTGTCAGACGTTTGTTTAGGCCGAGTCTCAACGAACGGTTTTGGAGCTGCAAGAAGCGCGAGACTTCTTGTTACATTTGAGTTCCATTGCAACTTTCGAATTTCTCATTGCAACTTTCGCACTTTCGACAACTTGCGGAACGAATTTTCCTGAGTTCTTCGACTCCGTCTCCGACGAACACCTCACACTGGAGGGTGCAAACGCGCTCCATCGCTAATGTTTCCAGGCACGAGTTGCACTGCTGTTTTCTGAGAAAATCAACATTTATCAGTGATCTTTCTGAGGCTTATCTCTTATCAAACGTCTCTTTTCCTCTGCTCTTTTCAACGCTATCGATTTTTATCGCAAGCCAAGAGTCGAGAAAACAAGGCTTTCCGTTCTCTGCTCGTCTCGCCGCTGGTACACACTCATGTTTCTCTCATTCTCTTCTCCTCTTCATTACTTCATATCCAAGTATCCATATTAGTATTTCAGCTCCAATAATGGACGAAGAAGACGTGGAATCGGCGCCGCCCGCCGAATCGCAGAAACTTCTCCAAAGGGGGAACCGAAATTCGTTCGATGAGGTTAGTTGGCCACGCAAAACGTGCGCTCGAATGAAAACCATTTCAGAGGGATATGGTGATGGTGTTGGACAACGATGAGTTGATTATGGAGAACCGGAATAGCAGCGATCTGCAGAGCCCGTTGCGGAGCGTCACTGTATGTTTTTGACTCAAAATTTGCATATCATTTTCTGACTGAATATTCGAAACCCTCTTGTTTGTTCTGTTCTCGGTATTTTGCATCAACAAACAATGGAAAGAACTTTGGCGGTCACACTAATTTGATGTCAGCAGTTGAATCAAATTACATTTTCAGGATGTGCTTCGCGAAGCCGAAAACATCATAACAGACGGACCGTTGCAACAGGCAACTACCTTGGAGAATCAGAATGTTATTGTGGATCAGGTCGACGTTGAATTGTAAAAATATCGATTCGAATCTTATTCGCAAATTAATCTTCATTACAGTCCGAATTCGACTCCCGCCGATGGACAACGATTCGAAATTATTGTGCGACACAGTAAAGTTGTCGAGCAGCCAGCTAACCACCAGAGGGACGATTCGATTTATATTACCAGACAGAACAGATTGGCCACAGTGCTCGAAGGTTAGCGTTTACTTGTGGAGTAGTTTAAACGCGGGAAGAGAGGAAAGACAAAAAACTTCACTTCCTCCATGAAATTCATCAATTTGCGGTGAGAAATGGGATGTGACTCGAGTTGACAGAAATGTACTCGTCCTGTTATTTATCGTCTCTTGCCAGGCGGAAGAAGGAGTGTCTTCGACGTGAAAATGTAGTCGTCGTTCCATTCCTTTCCCGTTCTCTCCAGAATGAATCCTTCCCATTCAGGCATCGAGATAGACGGAGGCGATGGGCCGTCCACGTCGTCAAGCGTTCCCACGTTCAAGAAGGGGCACCGTCGGGCGTGGAGCATGCCGAACGCAAAAGGAGAAAAAATGACGGTGGCAGTGATCCACGACAACCACGAAGAAGGCGGGAATCAGCATCGCCGTCGCATCGTCAAGTATCGATTGCATCCTCAGAGACGCGCAGAAGATTCTGGATTGCACAAGCAACTGAGATTTGTGAGTGCCGCCGGACGGGATGCCGAAATTCATATGGAGCACTCGGATGACGATGACGAGTTGGAAGTGGAGATTAACGAGGAGGAAGTGATTATTCCGAACGAATCGGGACAGGGAGCGAGAGCAGTCATCAAAAGAGTGAGCTAGATTGATGACCTCCGCTGTTACACTGTTATTTTTCAGTTCTGGGAGGCCCGCTGGAAAGCGACCAACTTCGAGACTCTTCCGGAATGGCTCCAGGACAACGAGTACTTGCGCACCGGACATCGTCCTCCACTGCCGTCGTTCAGCAGTTGCTTCAAAAGCATCTTCGCTCTGCACACCGAAACAGGCAACATCTGGACTCACATGTACGGATGTGTCGCCTTCTTCGGCGTTGGACTGTGGTTCCTGACGCGCCCGCACGATCAGATGCAATGGGTCGAGAAGCTGATTTACTCTGCATTCTTCCTCGGAGCCGTTATATGTCTCGGAATGTCATTCCTTTTCCACACGGTCGCCTGCCACTCTATCGAAATGAGCAAGCTGTTCAGTAAGCTCGACTACACTGGAATCACGCTGCTTATCGTCGGCTCTTTCGTTCCGTGGATCTACTTTGCATTCTATTGTCGGCCACAGCCGATGATCATCTACAATGCGATGATTATCATTCTTGGAATTGCGGCGATGGTGGTATCCTTGTGGGACAAGTTTGCAGAACCCAAATTCCGGCCGGTTCGAGCCGGAGTCTTCATAGCAATGGGTCTCTCGGCCGTCGTTCCTGCATTCCATTTGCTGATCGTCGACGGAGTTGACTACATGATGCAGGAGTCGCAGGTGCACTGGATGATTATTATGGGAGCCATGTACATCGGAGGAGCCACTCTCTATGCTACTCGCGTTCCCGAAAGATGTTTCCCGGGAAAATGCGACATATGGGTATGTTTATTTCCTCCGTTCTCTTCATTACAGTGTTCTTTTTCCAGTTCCAATCTCATCAGCTCTTCCACACATTCGTCGTTCTCGCCGCTTTTGTCCATTACCATGCTATCACTCAGATGGGCATGAACAAACTGATGAAGGGCTCCTGCCCGGAACAGTTGCTAGCTCGTTATGGGAACGAGCGGAACCCTTCGTGGCTCGGCACTTTGCTCGGTCTCGATGAGCCCGATGGAGTCACAGACTGGAATCCCGCGAAATTCGGATTCTGAGGACAGGTAGAGCGATCGAACAGTTTCGAATCAGCAATTCGCAAATTCAGAATCCTTCACTTGTGTATAATTGCGTACATCTGCTGCCTTCGTCATATTCTACTCCCCAGCTCTTTATTCGTTCCCAATCCCTGGTATTGCCCGTTTTCGAAACATTCTATCCTTCTCCATTGTGATATTTTCTTTGATTCCCTTTTCGTGTGTTCTACGTTGCTCTTCCTCCCTCCTTCTCTAAATGTGTTTTGTGTTCTTCTCTTCCCCTCACTGAGCCATTCTTTTTCCGTCTCGTACTTTTTTGTCTAACGGTTCTCTGTGCAACTTTGAATTCTCCCTTTCCCCGAGCTTATTTTTGGCATTTCGTCAAACTAATGATTTCTTCTAAAAGATTTGAATTTTATTCATTAGTATGTCATTCTTTATTTCATGATTTCCAGTCCACTCACATCTGTAAGTAGTAAATACCGCAGTTCAGAAGTCGTCAACCTTTTGATAATAAAGAAATTTTCAGATTTGTTGCAGTGGTTCTCTTGGATTTGTTCATTTATGCATTTTGATACTTTTACACTTTTTGACATAAACGTCCAGCAACCAACTTTCCTGTCTCCTTGCTGTCGTTGCATCTGCTTCCTCCGCCAGTTTGTCCGCTCTCTCGTCCTTCCCATCGCCTGCTTGTTTTTGCGTTCAACGGGCGCTTTCGTTTCTTTCTTAGATTCCATTTCTGATAAAAACACAATTCGATTTATTGGCTACCAACTTGCTCCGATTCGTCTTCTTTTTCTTCTGTTGTCCTAGTAGGCTCGGAATAATTGAGCGACGCCGGCTGGCAGTCGAACGACTTCCGCTCTTCTGCAAAAAGAAACGAACAAATTTTGGGTCTGGCCGAAGAATACTAAGAAGAAAAGAAGAAAGAGCCTCACTTTAGTCTTTATTGTTTTCCATCTTGATGAACACATCCGTGGGAACTTTCAAAGCTTTCCTGTCACTTGCCGGATAATCAGCTCATTCCGCTCCACTTCACATCTCCGTCTCTCTTCCTTTTTTCTCAGAATCGTACTGTTTTACTCTCAGCTAAAAACATTTTGTTTCTAGAAATCTAGTTTCTTCGTGTTATGTTGTTGCTGTTCTGAAGGTTCGACCTGCTAAGTCTTTTCGAATGCAAAGTATTATAGGGGCACCGGACAGAAAGGGCGCGCTGTTCGCAATCTGGCCGAATTTCTAGTCCGCAAAGTAATTTTCCACTGAAAATGTGGCCTAACTTTTCAAACTCGGCCCCGAGGTCGCTCAATTTGCACTGCAAAAAGAGTTTCTCAACAGAGCGCCATTTCTGTGCATTGCCCCTATAATATGACGACGACCTAGTTATGCATTTCAAAATCACATGTTTGCGTTTGGCCGCTATTCGTAATTGGAATAGGAATGAAACGTTCTGTGTCTTTCGTGAGAGTGAGAAGAGAAAAGAGGCCGACGAACCAAAAGAACAAGGCTGTTTCTCTCGCTAATTCGTTCGTACATCATCGATTTGGAATACTGCGCTGAAGTTCCCATTCAGTCTTGTTGAATGTTGTTTCTGTTCCTCTGTTCCATTTTCGACAGACATTTGTTAGTTCGAACTGTGATCTTCATCTCTTCCGATCTACTTCCTTCTCCCGTTGTTTCATTTTCTCTCATCCAATTTACTATCATGCACACACTGTTGACCTTCTGACTCGTGATCGTGAGCCCTCTCCAACTTTGCTCACCCAGTTTCGTATTTTTCTAAACGAAATATTGAAATGTGGAATGGAAGGTTTCGGGGGCGAAAATATCTCGTCTTCTCTCGTTTTCTCGTTTGAATTTCGCAGCCTTCGTCGCTCGCTCGCTCTCCTGTTATTATCATTTCCACAAGCCCATCGTCATCTTTCGAGTGAAACGAGCCTCTCTTTTTGCCTTCCTTCCCTCTCTCTTTCCCTTTCGTTTTGAGCAACACAAATCGTTGAAGCCATAATAGTCTTTTGGAGACTTGCCCCTGCATTTTGTCATTTCGGGAAGAGAGCGACGGGCGGCAAACGCGAGAAAGTCTTGTTTTCGAGGGAGGCGACAAACAGTTCTGTCTGTCAACACAGATCGGGCGGCACTGTGATGTCACTTTCGGTGCCATCTCTTTTCTCATTGACCCATCCGTGCCTTTGTTGCCGGCGGCGATTCGCTCGGAGCAAAGCTGCTCACTATCAATTTCACTGTGCGTCACGCGACGACTTCTTTCTTCTCTTTCTGTCGTCGAGGATGCGTGCTCCTTCTTTTTCTTCCTTGCCTTTCCTTTTTCGTCTTCTTCTCCTCGCATGAACGCGTGTTTCCCGACTGTGAGATGCAACGCAAATGGCTGAAAGTAGGGGCGCGTGTGCGTAGACATCAAGAGGCGCCAATTGCATTATTGCTCGTCTTGCCCGCGAAGACGGCGCTCGACCACCCACTTCGTCGCCACTGCTTCTTCTTCTTCTTCCCAGCGTACTGCTGGACTCTGTGGTTCTCTGCGACTTGTTTATTCCCTTGCTGCACATCTTTCTATACATGCAGCAGCCGTCTTCTCGCTATGAACAACACCTTTCACATTTTCACTTCCGGCTCTCATTCTCGTACCGATTATTTTTTCAAAATTAACAGAGGTTCATCTTTGTCAGATAATCTGCAAAGCGTCTGAATGCGAGACAAAAAAGTTAGAAAACGTTAGCGCGCGTGCACGAGAATTGTCATCAATCACGATGGATCTACTCGTGGCTCTCTTTCTGCGCATCTTTCGTTCTTCAATCACGACTCCTTCACCGCAGAAACTTCTTTGTCCGACACGCGTCCTTTCTCTCTCCTTTCCAGTTTTCTAATTAATTCTTCAGCATTCCCTGCTCCTTTCTCTTTTCTACAACTCTCCAGCCTTCTTCAGCATCTTCAACATCTCTCGCCAATAGAAAAGAAGTAGCGCTGTAGGAAAAGATCGAACCTCAATTTATTCTGAATTCATGTTACGTAGCAGTGAGTACGAAGTTCTGAGCTGCTTACAGCAGGATTTTCCGATTTACTCGGCTTCACTTTTTTCTCTTTTCTTTCAAGTATTTGTTAAGCTGCACTGTTATCATTATGCAACTTGAGATATATCGTTCCTACGCTCTTGTTAACATTCAAGTCAGCATTCTTACAGAAAATGGCATCGCCTTCGGCTTCTTTAGACGACGTCAAGCTGACTGCTGACGGCAAGATTTGCCTCGATGATCCTGCCGAGTTCCTCAAGAGAAAGCCAAAGAAGAGCATTCTGAAGATGAAACAAGACTCGTCGCTCGAGGGCAAAGACGGTCGCGCGCACTTCGACGAGATGAACATCCTTGCCACGTATCATCCTGTCGACAAAGACTACGGGAGTATGAAAGTGAGCATATTCGGAAACGAAACAGAATAAAACTGATTTTTTTCCAGATTGACGAACCGAAGACTCCTTACCATCATTCTGATGGCGAGAGTGAATGCGGCGACGAAGGACTCGGGGCCCCATCGACCCGCGCGAGAAGAGTGTCCCTCGGAAACGCGGTTGATCCGGAGAAGCTGGCCGAAGGGCTCGTCCACCCAGAGGCGACCAGACCAATCTCGTCGGGTGAAAATTCCGAAGACGACGAGGATCTGACTGAAGAGCAGAGAGGTAGCCACTAAGTTTCATAGTATTCCGTCATTCTTGTGATTTACAGCCCATCGAAACGAGTTCGAGAAGAAGCGTCGTGCGCATTACAACGAGGGAGCCGCTCTGAAAATGCACAAGGACCTGGATGTGGAAGAGGAGGAGGACGAGAGCAAGATGGAGCACTAGAATGGTGTGGCTCGTCAGTTGTCGGATTCCGATTTGTCTTTGATTCGACGAACCTGTTATGTGCAATTTGGGTGTTTATCTCGTTCGTTCCCACACTCCTTTTCATTTCCTACTATCGTTGTTTATTCTCTTCACTACTTTTTACAATCCCTCCACCCAAAGAACTTGAATTCTGAAATATTTTGTCAAAAAAGCCTATTCATTTTTTCTGAACCTTCTATTCTATTGTTAGAAGGCTTTATAAATAACTTCGCATTCAAAAAGAGAAATTTGTTAAAACAAAAGAGGCATATGAGCTGGCCACATGCATTCTGAAACTCAGGGAGCAGCAAGGCCTGCCATTTGCTTTTCGACTCGTCAAACTTGTTGTGGGCCAGTTACTTGTTTATCTCGTTCGCTTTCCCTTTTCTCTCATTCTGTTTGTCCGTTTTGCTACTATCACTTGCAGAATTCTCGAGTCTCCCTTCAAGTTTCGCTCGCAATTTCCAGCTTCTTATCTACAGACTGATCCGACCGCTTCACTTTCAAGATGAGCAAAGGTACAACGTACTCGATTTCAAATATGTCATCATCCATCAAAGTACACAAAAAATCGGTCAGATTCCGAGAATTGTCATCAAAAAGCAATGGCTGAGGGCCGTTCGCGCGTACTACACTGTAGCCTGGCCGTAGTTTATCAGACCGCTCTCTTGTTTACTCGTTCGACATCGCCTGCCTTCCAATGCAATTTCACCCCCAAAATGTTGTTCCTTTTTTCATTCTTGTGCCGACGGCCGTTTCGTTTTCCTATTCTCTCATTTTTCGATCTTCGGGCGTGGTAAAGAAAACACAGAAAAGAGACTTTGCTCGAAGTTAAATATTAATAAACCGATTTTAATTATTCATAGAATAATATAAATTGAATCTAGATACCCACGAATGTTTTCTCGAACACAACACCTTTCGCCGTGACTCATTCTCTATTTTTTCAGCCATGTCTCTCGCCGGACAGATTGCTATCGTCACTGGAGCGTCGCGCGGAATCGGTGAGTACTCTCGATTCTCCCAATTCTAACAGATGTGAGTTCAGGCCGTGGAATCGCTCTTCAGCTCGGAGAAGCCGGCGCCACGGTCTACATAACCGGTAGGAAGCCGGAGCAGAGTCTGAACAGCAAAGTGGGACTGTGTGGACTGGAGGAGACCGCCGACGAAATCACGAAGAGAGGCGGAAAGGGAATAGCCCGATTCGTGGACCACTCGAACATGGAGGAAGTGAAGAATTTCTTCGATGTCATTGAAAAGGATCATCAGGGACAACTCGACATCCTCGTGAACAATGCTTATCAGGGTGTTACGGTAAGAATCGGGAACAGGTTTGAACAGTTTTGATGGGAGTTGGACATCTTCAGGCCATCTCGGAGAACATGGGCAGACCGTTCTACGAGACGGATCCCTACATTTGGGACACAATCAACAACGTCGGACTCCGCAATCATTACTTTTGCACGGTGTACGGCGCCCGTTTGATGGCTGCCCGCAACAAGGGACTCATTGTGAACGTGAGCTCTGGCGGAGGACTCCGTTATCTTTTCAACGTGGCTTACGGAGTCGGAAAGCAGGCACTCGACAGACTGTCAGCTGATACTGCTGTCGAGTTGGCGGTAGGCTTCGGATGGAAATCCATTGAAATCCTTACGAGAATTTCAGAAGAAGAACGTGTGCGTCGTGTCGATTTGGCCAGGAGCGGTGAGAACAGAGCTGGTCGACAAAATGTTCAAGGATGCGGACGGAAAGCCAAAGGCCGGAGTCAAGAATGCGATGGTGTTCGCCAACGGAGAAACTGTCGAATACCCGGGCAAAGCGGTCCTGTCCCTGGCTACAGATCCACGCAAAATGGACAAGACCGGAAGAGTCCTGATCACTGAGGACCTCGGAAGAGAGTACGGATTCGTCGACATTGACGGTAAACAAGTGAAATGTTGCGAGCAATCTTAAATTATCTTTTTAGGATTGACTCCTCCGAACTTGCGCTCGGTCAGCTTCATCCTGGAACATCTGGGATGGAAAACCACTGCCAACTTCGTTCCGAACTGGGTCAAACTTCCCGGATGGCTTATTTGGGCTGGAACCAGCAGATTGTAATCGCATCTTTTTGTACTATAATCTCAAATCCACGACGTACATACTTTGATCCAGTTTATCGAGAGACACATTAAATATAAACCCGTACTGTTTTGATTTTTGATTATTCACTTTACAAATTGACAATTTCGTCTGAACTTCCATCCAAGAACACAACTTTCGGATGGGCAGATAACTTTCTGAAATGGCAATGAACATATTGTGATGATCTTGAGATGGATAACTCACGATATAATAAACCGGTAATACTCTTTGAACATGCTCCGATATGGACGAAAGCAGCAGATTGCGATGATCGGATTCAGAATGTTGATCGAGCTGGAGATCGTTCCTGGAAGTTCGAACTTTAAAAAAAGGGGGAGGAGAAAGAAGTGACGAACCAAGGAAATATTCCATGAATTGAGGTGGAAGAAGTTCCATTTGACAGAAGAAGAAAATGAGAACGTCGGCGAGAAGGAACAACGGAAGGAACGCCTTCATCGTGGAGACTTTCCGGAGTGTCGAATGCATTCGGAGCGTCGTCACGGACATTGTCCGTCGTTTCAGATCGTGATTCTGTTTGTGACGGAAGCAGTACACGAAGAAATAGTGGGGAATGTTGGGCACGAGGAGCATTACGAGTGTGAACGGCATCGGTGAGTTGTAGAAGGATTCGTAGCCACTGACTGAAGACAAAAAGAGATAATCAGGCGGAAAGAAATATAGGACTGACCGACGCTGTGAGAGAAATCTTCGTCGTAGCAACGGTGAATCAAAGCGAGAAGACGGTCCGGGGAGAAGGTGTACATTATGTGGAGGACCTGGAATTCTCGAATCAATCGTGATCATATCTAACTTTGACTCACGAGTGTGACCCCGCCAGGAAGCCACGCCAGAATACAGAAGGAGACCGTCTTCTTGACGGAGAGGAACGACTGCACAGAAGAGAGCATTGCTGTTCGGAAGCCAATCAGGAGAATCTGGGAGAGAATCCAATTCTGAAGGGCGTGCAAATGAATTGAATCGAGGACATGGCAGAATTCCGGAGAAACGAGGGAACACGGACCGAAGTAGACCATTGCAACGGTCTCGTGACATTGGACGATTCTGCAGATCGGATTATGGAGGAAAATGAAGAAGGAATGGATCAACTTACCGTTTGAGGCAAAGCAGAAGAGTGGTCGAGATGAGGATGTCATTGACGAGAGTGTAGGTGAGCAAGATGCTGAACGTGGTGTGCAACTTGCGAATGTTCTGGATGATGAGCCAGAGGAGCAAGCAGTTTAGCAGGAATCCGACCGAGTTCAGAATGATTTTGATGAAAAGAAGGACGAGGGCGAGCAGTTCGGAGAAGGTCGGCGCATGTGGGGATGACGTGGCATTCGAGAAGGACGGGAACGAAGACGCATTCATGAAGGGAAGGCTGTAAGAAGAGAATGAAAGGGAAAGGCAAACATCGGAGCGGTAAACGTTTTTGTGTATTTTTTAGGTCGTAGTATTGATGCTATCTTTGTGTTTCGGTGTGTCGCGGGGGAGGAAGAAGAATGAGAGAGAAGAGACTTATTGCTCCGATCACTCTGAACGGATAGAAACATTTGCATGCAACACAGAACTTCCAGAATGACGTCACGTGGCAACAGAAATATTTGTGAGGCCGCGGATCGGTTTCGGTTTTGTTTGACAACGCACTCAAGTGCTGACGTGGGTGACAAAAGTGATTCGGAGTGCGTAGACGCTGGTCACTTTTTCCAAAAATCAGCTAGTGAGGAACGGGCGGTCCGCGGAGGGAGCCCGGCAAAAACAAGAGAACGAATGAAAAACACGAAGGGCGAAGTTGAATTTGACAGGGGGAGACAACTCGATTGGAGCGGCGGAAAAGAAGCGAAAACAGAGTTTAAATTGCCTGCAAAGTTGCGTTGAAGACATAATTTAGGCAAGATTACGAGTCGTCTCCCTCTCGTCTGATGTTTTTTTTTCGCTTTCAGAGAAGGCTGAATAATAATCCGGGCGGCCATTGAAGGAAGCCAGTTGTGGCGGAGGAGAGTGGGATCAGGAGGATCCAAATGAGAAAGTGACAGAGTAACTGATGATGTCGGTGAGAAAGCGGTCTTTTCGTGTTGAAGGGAGGTTCATTTCCTCCGGAGTTACACGCCGAAGAGTATATTATTGCGGAAGAGAGAGCGAAACTGAAGGGGCAGTAGAATGGGAGCCGCTCGCCTTCCTAATGAGTTTTTACGTTCTTTGGAACTCTACTTTCAGGCTCATTCTCATTTATTGGAGGGAGCATGACTTGACTTTCGATTATGTGCCCGTCCGAATGCTTGATAATTTCACGCAGTTCAGCTGTTTCTCAGGAAGACATGTTTCAATGATCGCGAGACCGTCTGTCGATTTATACTGTTTTCGTTAAAAGTGGAGCGTGAAATAAAGCGAAAAAAACGCCAAGAAATGCTCAATTCCGTCGGACGATTGAAAGTGTTTTATCTGTAGGCTCCAGACGACTTTGTAGTCGTTTCCGGCAGATTCACACGGAGCAAATGAATAATTGAGGGGGACAATTGCGAAGCCGGCTACGAAGATCGAGTTACTCCGAGAAGGGAGTCCACTTGAAGGATCGCTCGCAGCCAGAGGATTAAAGAGATAAAAGACAGAGAACAAATTGGCGAGAATGAAGTTTTGAGGAGGAAGAGAGGGAGAGAAGTAGCGGGAGAGAAAGATTTGAAATGACTCCAGCAGGCGGCTTCCGCTAGTTATGCAATTGAGCTATTTCGCCATTGTTGCCAGCATCAAAACGGAAGGAATCCTTATTTGTCTCACGAGACCATCTCGCGCATTCTACCCAGACGTCTTTGATCCGTTTCCGAATTGTCAGACTCGCTTAATTCATTCGAACTTTTGTTCCCGCGGGGACGTCTTAATCAGGCTCTCTTGAATCGTAAACAGAAGTGCATAATTCTCCAATTACAGCGGACCCTCTCTAAATAATGACTAGCGCTTCAGCCAGAAAACAGAAAACTTTTTCCGTTCACACTCCTGAACAAATTAACGCCCGCCGTTTTTATGGATGGGGAGCAGCCAGAAAAGCTTCACGCGTCCGATTCCCCGCCGCTTTTATGATGATTCGATTAACTGCGATCGAATAAAACGGGCGGATCCGTCGTGTTTCCATCATTCTCACAATGCGACTTCTCGCCGTTTTCTTGGTGCTTTTCGTGCTCTTCCAAATGGCCGAAAGCAGAATCCCAGCCGGATGCACCGTAATGCAGTGCAAGTCCTCGAAGGGACCGTCCGAGTGTCCGGCCGGATACCTCCACTTCAAACACAAACGGTGCGGAGCATTCTTCCTCAAGAAGCAAGAGGTCTGCTGTCCGTCTGCTCCGAACTCTGCGCCGGCCGGTCAACCAGGATCCTACCCGGAACAGGCCCCAGTCGACTATCAGGGATAACACTTTTTTCAATAAATCGTTGCATATTCCGCATATTTTTTAAAAAAGCTGGGAGTCGGAAATAGACGAGACTTTATCTATAGAACCGCCGGGAAACCATGGAAAAGCTGAACATTATAGGCTATAACACAAGTTTAATGGGCAAGGTAAACATGAAAAGAAGAGGTAGAGATTATCGGCAAGCTTAGTATTTTATATTTTCATTCAAGTTTCCAACTAATTCAGTTTATTCGTGTGGCGAGTTCTCCCCGGTGCACTGCGCAATGGCTTCGAAGAGGTGGCCAGAGTTTCGGAGGGCATCGAGTTCCGTGAATCCGCCGACGAAGCGGCCGCAGATGAAGATCTGAAAAGAGTGGATTGAAAATGGGTTTGGGGTGGGGATAACAAAGAGAGATGAAAATGAATGCAGATTTATGTCAACGAAAGGAAAATATTATTCGACTCCGGAGAAAGGTATGACAAATGAGGAAATCCCGGTGAACGCTCTGTTCAATTGGCTGAGAACTTATTTTGCTGGGGGCTCGACAGTAGTTTCCGGCGTAGACGTGGTGATTTCTGGCGCAATTTTCATGGTGTTTTCTATTAAAAAGACAATGCTGATAAGCTGGATACCAGATCTGAACAACATGAAGATCCTCGTAGATGCATAGTAAAGCTCACGGCTCGGGAGTGAATAGGACCAGAGAATAGGGAACAAGTATTGCGGGGGCATTTCTTCAAGGAACGAATAATGGAACAGGCGGGCGGAAGGACAGAAAACTCTTTAGAAACGGAAGAGGTTCTCATCGGGAAAGCATGGGAATGAGAAAAAAGGTTCAAAGAGCACAAACCTGCGGGACACTGGTCTGTCGGGTTGTGTAGACGAGTCCGTTCACAATTCCAAGATATTCTTTCGGCTGTGCCTCCTTCAGATTGTCCAGATTCACTTCTTTGTATGGAATTTTGATGTCGGCGAACAGATTTTTAGCCTTGTTGCAGAATGTGCACGACGTCTTTGTATACATCACAACTGGCTCTTTTTTCACCTGAACGTCATTTGAATTAAATAAGAATTCTGAGAACTTGAGTACCTGATCTTGAACGACGTCGACGTTCACTTTCGAAGTGACACCTCCCATTTTGGACGAACGATCTACCCTGAATCATACTTAGGATCGTTTTCAATCGAATCAACTTTCGATAAAGGGAACCTTCACCCCGCACCAGATTTAATTTAAAAAGTAAAAGGAAAAATAACAGTCATTCATTGATATCAAAACACAAGAGATCAGATGGAAAATTAGGAGAGGTCGACGTGCTTAGCGAGAATAGTCAACTGCTCTTTCAGGCTGTTCTCATCGTCGACATAATCCGCTTCGTTGTGCAGACGTTCTTCGATTTCTTTGACCGTATCGTCATTGGAACCTTCTGGAGCGACGAGACCGAAGAGTGCCGTGTGACGTGGATAATCAGCAGGCACAGATATGAATGCAGTTAGTCTGAAGAATAGCTTTATAAGTAACATCGCAGGCTCAATGTCTCACTTTTTGTTTCCCGTGTCTTCCAACTCGATTTTATAGGAAAATCTGTCCGAAGAATTGGCTTTTGCGATAGATTCAGACAAAGAAATCGGGATGGAGGCGATGAATGCCTCGTCGTCGCACTGCTTGAAAGACACGATTTTAACGTCCGATTCGATATTGAGGTCGTCCGTCTTCTTTGATTCGAGCATTCTGATGATGTTATCAAGCACGAATCGGTTGGATATTCTATCTCGAATCGCTTTGACGACCTTTCTCAAATGCTCAGTAACAGCTAGTCCACCCGTTTCTCCATCGACTCCGGAGAGCTCTTGGACGAATTTATACGGTTTTCCGACGTGTTTGGCAGTGGAATCGAAGTTCAGTCTGAAGGCAGAATTTTGAATCTTGATGAAAATGAAAGAAACACTCTCACTTGAGATGATCAATTTTCAGTTCTCCCACTTTGTTCGGGCATTTGTCTCCTGTATCTCCGTCGAACAGATCGGACATGAGAGTGTCCGCCGAGAAAAGGGATGATCTCCTACTTCCCGTCGAACTTTCGTGCGTCTGCCACTTGGCAGTGGTCACTTTTAATTCGGTAAGATACTGAATGATCATCGTCACTTTCAAGTCATCTGAAACATTTTCATTTGGAAGTTTTTCTTATTCATATTTTTACTGTTGGCCGACTCGATGTCGAACTCGAGACTCATCGGATGCACATCGAACATCTTCGCAGCCATCTCGTTGATTTTCTGCTGCGTTGTCTCGTCCTCCTTCCGTCTTCTCTTCGGCTCCGAATCTTCCTTCGACAGCTTTACCGAATCGTTGTTGCCAACAATACGGAAGTCAAATAGTCTGTCTGAAAAAAGGAATTGGACTGATTGCACTAGAACTCTCTTTACCATCGTGAATTTCTTTGTAAGCAGTCGCATGGATGTGGGTGACTGCGAGAGGAGCCGGAAGAGTCAGTGAGAGTTGTCTCTGTTCCTCGCCAATGTTCAGGTCCTTGAATTTGGCTCCAACCATATCGAAGACAGGTTCGGCGACTTTCGCGAGATCTTCCAATTTGGGCTTCAATCCCTGAAGACGTACTTCCTTGCCTCGAATATCACTCTGCAGCACGTTTCTTCTTCCTTCCAGTTCTTGAAGATTTGATAACAAACTAAAAAGCTCGATGATTGTATTTGCTAGTCCACCGATTTGTTCGCGACTTACTCTCTTCTCTGATCGTTCTCAAACTTCAGTCTTGCCATGTACTGCTCATGCACATTTCCCATAGTTTCTTCCCGTTTCGACAGAGACTCGGGTGCTTGCTGATAGAATTCCTCGACAGAAATCAGCTCGAGGTCCTCGTCGCCGGCGCTAAAGTCCAGACACCTGTCTATTTCCTTCTGAATGTGCTGCACTTCGCTGGTCACGTTTTGCAATTGTAAAAGCTTCGCATCCACCAGCTCCATTCTCTCGGCCACTTCTTTTCTGATTTGAGCAGTCGCATAATGGCACAGTCTTGTGTTTCTGCGAAGACGAGCAATTTTTGCGATGGCTTCAGTGCTCGTCGGCTAAAAAGAACAATATATTCTCACTGAATTGCCGATATTCTCACCTTTCCCTCCAAATACTTTTCTACGGCTTCATTGAGATAGGCGATATCCTCTTTGAACTCCTCGTATATTTTGTCATGTGTCATATCAACGGCTATTTTGTCTTCGAGGTTGAACAGTTTTTCGGGCGAATCCATTTTTTCAAGGCTTTCCAAGATTTGAGACGCATTTTCTGATATTTTCACCTCATTCTCATTCTTTTTCTGTTCTTCTGCCAATCTTTTCACAGGTCGGACGTTGACTGACATTTCACCTTCTGCAAACAGAACGAAACACTGATGGGAATGACGACAAACTGAAGATAAAACGAGAGGGCGACAAAATAGCGGAAAACCCAAAAACCGCGGAAAAAATGCCAAAATACATTAATGGTTCGAGTTCGAAAACACTCTTGTCCTCGAGGAGTACACCGCAGGCGGCCGGGAATTCGCTGCGCATCACCGGCCACAAGGGAAATTTTGAAAGATTAAATCCTAAAATTTTTGGGATTAGCTTTCGACCCTGCATTTGAAAACGAAACGTCAGTAATCTTTGACTGTATCTTTATTACCAAAAGAGTAGAAGAGAAGGATACAATGGAATTGAGTGCGGTACAAAGGTGGATCGCAGGCTTTACTACCGGGAGGTATTTACAAAAAATATAGGGCCTAGAGTAAGCATGAGACAATGGCCACTATGATGAGAGATTCATGGGGGGGAATGGGACAGACGGTCAAAAGACAATTTAGTGAGTTTAGTCGGTGGCAGCGGCCTTCTGGGCTGGAGCCTTCTTGCTCTTCTTGGCAGCTGGCTTCGCGGCAACCTTCTTCGGCGACTTGTTCTTCTTTTCGATCGGAGAAGCAATAGCAGAAACAGCAGCAACCGCCTGGAATGAATAAAATGCACAATCAGATCTGTCTGCTAGTAATCCTCACCATCTTTTTGATAGTCTTCTTCGGCTTAGTGGCGACTGGAGTGGTCGGAGAAGAAGACACGACGGGAGCGGCAACAGGGACGGTGGCACTGGTGGCAACCTTCTTCGGGGTATCCGCCTTCAGACGGAAGCGTCCGTTGGCTCCAGTTCCGCTGGTCTGAACGAGAGCTCCGGAGGTAACTCCTTTCTTCAAAGCGATGTTGAGACGGCTTTTGACCTGGAAACGGAACATTGAGAAATTTTATTCCAAAATTCGGAATCCTACCTGCTTTTCAGTGGTCGATCCCTGCACGACGTTAAAGTTGGTCGACACGTGCTTGAAGATGGCCTGAGTTGAGGCACCCTTTCTCTCCTTGAGAGTCGCGATGGCTTCCTTAATCATGATGATGTAAGAAGGGTGATCGGCCTGAGTTCTGATCCTCGGGATCTTAGTTGGAGCTGGCGAAGGAGACGCAGTAGCGACAACAGCGGAAGTTTTCTGAAATAAAAATACACTGAGAAAGTACTCCCTCGCAAAAACAATTGCATTAATTTTAAGTTCACAGAGAAACCCAACAGACCGCCCATTTTCTCGTTCCTTATTGAAAATTCTCAAATTTTTAGGACCAACTAACCTTAACGGCAGCGGCTTTCGGGGCAGCGGCTTTCGGGGCAGCGGCTTTCGGGGCAGCGGCTTTTGGAGCAGCAGCTGGAGATTTCGGAGCGGCAGCTTTCTTTCCTCTCTTGGCCGGAACCCTCCTGGTAGCCGGAGGATCAGCGACGGCGGCTTGGTCTCGGTTAACAGCAGCGGTATCAGCCATTCTGTTGCGATGAAAAGCAGCGAAATGTTACGAAAATGATAATTTTGCAGCTTATATACTTTGTGCCGAACCACCCTGCGGGGACACATTTCTTCCGGTGAAGGGGCGTTGCTGGAGGTCCCGTCTGGAAAACAAAGTTTACGCGCGAAATTTAAAATGGAAAACTGTTTTGTTCGTAAGCTCGTCAATCTGCGTCCGAACATTGGCAACCGACGCGTTTCGAGTTCAATCTCGCAAAAATACCGTTTGGACACTTTCTGAATATTTTTTAGCTTTAATTCAAATATACAGTCTCAAGCTTATTTTTAAAATTTTTGATCAAAATGTCTGAAACTTTATCAGAATGTTTGCATAAACTGACTTTTTTCGTTCCACCTCGCTGAAGAAATTCATCTTCAAATAAAGAATACTGAACTGTGACTTCTGATCATTCTATGAAAGAAGTTGACTAATTCTTGAGACTCTAAACCAATATTTCGAAGAAATCGTGCAAATTCTGCTTTCAAAATCCCAAAAAAAATTATTCAACTCAAAGTTCACAAAAGAAACCACATAGTTAAAGAGAAAAGAGGAGGGAGAAAAAGCGGAAGATGACAGGGAAAAACTACAGAATGACTAGAGCAGGAGAGGTCGAATCCGTACTTTGAATCGTGTGCATAATCGTAATATTCCGGATGTTTGGCGATATCGTCTTATCACAAGCTACAGCGGGCTAAAAAGGAAAGGAGAAAAGAGCGACAGATGGGGGAAAATAGGGAAGATTCTGAATCTTAGCACAGAATCGGAAGAAAAAGTATATACAATTCTCCGAGAGGGTTATGATTGTTGTTCCTCGGTCTTTTCGGTGTTACTTCCAGAGTCCGGCTCCTGATTCATGCTACCGTATCCACCGTCAATGCTTGCCTGAACCGTCGTTCTATTTCCAGAAACCACAATCCTTCCCTTTCCGTTTTCACTCACCTTTATGAAGCTGTTGGCAGTCTCCGCCTGATGGCTGGATGCATAGCCCTGCTGTTGTTCCGGAATAACAAAGTGACCGACAGGTGGGAAAGGCTGCGCTTGCACCGGATCCACGATGACTTCCACTTCCGGATGGATCACTTGTGGCGCATATTGCATGTACTGGGGAGGCGGCGGAGGTCCGTACATGTACTGGACGCCACCGGAAGGCGGGCGCCGTTGCTGGTGATGGTAATCGTGAGGGAGATAACGGACGGGACGAGTGTATTGGGGCGGGGAGACGTACTCGTAGTAGGTGCCTCCGGGTGAGCACATTCCCGGTTCGGGCTGGTAACTTGCTGGAGACATCGCCATCTCATCGAACACTTGGTATCCGGTGTATGATGCTTGTGGATGGCCGTGGTGGTGATGGTGGTGGACCATGACGGACGGGGGCGTCTGGCAGACCAGAGGGGCACTTGCTTCGTAGCATCCTTGAGCCATTCCATTGCCCATTCCACCAAAACTCTCCGCTTTCTGCAATCATACCCAATTGAGGATCCCTTCGAGTTCGCGATGCTTACCCTCATCATCGGATGCTTTCCAGTGCACAAATATCCATTGTTGATGCAGTCGAATGATCTCTGCTGAGCCCATTGCGGCCCGTGCGGTCCGCTCATCGGAGCGCCGACTACGGGCTGCTGCGGGCAGTTCAGTGAGAGCTGCCTCATTGGAAGTGCTCTGACGGGTTGTGGCGGCTGCATGACTGGAGTGCCGGTGACTGCGGCCACGTCGAACGATTGTGCTCTGCGCATCATGAGCAAGTCGTGATTGAGACTCGCTTGGCTTCCGAACTGGCTCGTCTGCTCGAACGATTCTCCGTGGTGAAGCTCCTTCCGGGAACCGCCCGTGTTCTGTCGTTTGTAACGGTCTTCCGCGTAATTGTCATGCCGAATGAAATCGCTGAACGACTCGTCCGGACTGAATTTATATAATTTTTATTTTCTGACGTCGTATTATGTTTCAACTAACATCAACGTTTTCTCCGATTTGTTGACGACAACCTCCGTCTGCTTATTAGTCACATTGTGATCTAGTCCGAACCAGGCGGCACACCGATGAATGAGCATCCGATGATAAGAGGAAGGAAGTTCGAACTTGCGAGATTGAATGCTATAAACACTCCAACTACAGTAGTCCCCCTGCGGATAGACTAACCTTTCGTCCGTAATCATAGCTTTCAGTTCCTTTTCGAAGGCCAGAAGATGATTGCGATCTTCTTCGCTCTTGTGAACCGTCCGATCAATGAATAACCTGAGATCCGTGCCTGATCTGTCCGAATACTCCGTTCCGTTCGACTCGCGACTCAATGACTTCGACATCGACCACGTCTTTTTCTGGAGTGGAACCGGCGGACGGAGCTTCGTTCCGTCTTCCGCCTCGATCTTTCCCTCTTCCTTCCCTTCTTCTGGATGCTCCTCAATGCTCGGGACTACTGTATCCGCTCCTTCCGACGGAGGATCGGAAATGGAGAGAAGAGACAGTGGCTAAAACAATAGAAGAATGATTCCTAAGTGTCTGTGCGTTCATACCTCTTCAATTGTCGCATTCTGTTTGGATAGTCGTCGTCGCATGCTTCCGTTCCTCCGGACACCGGGCACTTCTCCCGACGATTCCGCTGGCATCGTCACATTCATCGTCATGATGACCGTCGTGGACCGACGCCGTTCGGCCTGCTGCTCTGGGTTCGGAGAATCCGAGCTCACATTTTCAACCGACATATCTGCAAGAGACCAGATTGGCAAATCAAAATTTAGAAAAGAGAGGAGCCGGAGCAGCGGAGCACAACGACAAAAATGGAGCGAGGAGAAACGAGCTTACCGGGGTGGAGATAGCCCCGCCTCTTCCCCTTCTTCTCCCACAACTCCGCCCTTTTTTGAACCGAAAAATGGAGAGGAAATAGAGATTTCGCAAGAGGGCTCGGGAGCCGATGAAGAGTTGTTCCTGTTTTCGGTGTGGCATGAGTGTTCCATGCCCGTTCTGATCTCTCTGCGGGGATAATCCAGTAAGACTTACCGTAAAGGCCTCGTGAGCCGTCGCTTGTTTGGCCGACCTTCAAGTCACGCGGAATTCGACTGAAACACGACGATATGAGCATTAATTATCGGAGCAAAATGACAAGATACCGAGTGAAATGGCACTCGAAATAAGCACTTTCTACGCGAGGAAAAGTTGAGCTCAGAGTCAGATCAAAATCATTTTAAAGAAGGATTTGTATGGGATTAGAAACTGAGGGGAACCGGGCGGCGGCCATGTGAATAATGTTCGGAAATTGAAGTGGAAGAGGAAATCGAGTAAAATGACGGGCTGTTGTCAAGGCGGCTCATCTCCGACGCCCAACTTTTCAGCTGTTTTTCAGATGTCTTTGACGTATTCTGCTCTGTTTCTATATGACGCGATTTGCATAGAAACGCATTGAAAAGATTTGCGACGGCGTGGGCGGAAAAGTATTTGAATAAGAAGATGGAGAGACAGGTGAAAACAAAGTTGATCAGAGCTTTTTTAGAAGGGGGAAGAGGGCTCTTCGGGTGAATTCATCCAAAGAAAGTGATCAGAAACATTTCGCAAGGTGATCATTTTCCAGGTGAGTGGTTCCATTCGATGAGTCAGCGGAGCAGTTTGGACCCTCGAAATGTTTCCTCAAATGTTCATAAATCAAAAGTGATCCACACCGCCAATTTTGATCCCTCCGTCTCGGCGTCTCTCAGTCTCGAACGCTGCTTCGCCCGCTCCGCCGAGTTCGTTCTTCTCTCCCTTTCTCTTCTTTTTACCCCGTGCTCCAACCCAACAACCACAACTACATAGTAAATATAAAATGGGGCCGCCGCCGCGCTGCGGACAGCCGAAGGCAAGTATTCTTTGACACCATAGTAACAGATACAAACAGACGTCTTCTGGAGGGTCCGGGTAAAGTTGTTTGGGCGGCGAAAAACGAGAATAAAAAGAAGGAAGGGCACGGATTAGGAAGGGATGAATGAGCTGGGAAATATTCGAGGCTCACGTTCCCACAGATCACATTTCCAATACTTTCCACTTTTCGAGTTGGCAATTAATTGTCTGAGAATTTCAGAAAAAGTGCTTTCAGCCGTGTCCTTTCGAGCTGAAAGTTTGTGGCGAAGAAAGTACACAATGCTCCGGAATCTCTCGATGCAAATCTGTGGAATGAAGTGGAACCGAAAAGAAAAGAAATGGGAAAAGTCGAAACGAGCGCAATTGAATGGAGCGTAATTGCGACTGAAGGTAAGTGAGCTCTTCGGAAGGACTCGAATTGCTCGGAACAGAAAGAAGAAAGAGGGGGAGAAGGCAACGACACCTTTGAAAATTGTTTGGTGTAGAGGAATGACGTGCTCTCGGAGCCGCAGGTGCTTCCCGAGAAGCCAGCCATCTGGTGTACTTCTCGTAGGTTGGCTCGATAAATTTCCGCAATCTCATTATTCCGATGGATCACTTGCCCACGTGGCAGGCATACCGTAACCCGCCGCCTTCCTCTCAACCTATAATTTGGCTTTGGAAAGCCGTCAATTTGATCGTGTCTCTGATATCATTTCATTTGTTTTGCCATCCATTCAAGAGGACATAGATATTGAGGAAGTGACGGAGAAGAGAACGGAAAAGAAATCAATCTGACGGGCGCCGGGGACTCTTGATTTTATGGACCAGTTTTGTTGAGCAAAATGAAAAGAAGAACACGAAGAAGAAGAACACGAAGAAGAAGAACACGAAGAAGAAGAACACGAAGAAGAAGAAGAAGAAGAAGAAGAAGAAGAAGAAGAAGAAGAAGAAGAAGAAGAAGAAGAAGAAGAAGAAGAAGAAGAAGAAGAAGAAGAAGAAGAAGAAGAAGAAGAAGAAGAAGAAGAAGAAGAAGAAGAAGAAGAAGAAGAAGAAGAAGAAGAAGAAGAAGAAGAAGAAGAAGAAGAAGAAGAGGAAGGATTGACGAGGATGTGTATTTTATAAGATTTGAAAGAGCCGATTGAGCCGACGGAACGAACGATCACATCATCCGCGAGGGACTATCCGCTTTCACATCTTTCCCGTGCCAAAAGGAACGACTTAGCTTCGGCTTAAAAGATTACGGTACTTCCCAGAATGGTTTAGCTCCCAGGACTTCAACGGACGAGCACGTTAAAAAAAACACGAAAGAGTTCGGAAAAGCATCCGATTCCGAGGGCTCAGTTCTCACGTTCTCGCCTCGTCTCGCTCTCAAAAACCAAAGGCTAGACGACAATTTTTGGAGCAAATCAAATCAGTCTGCGCTCGTTCGGAAATGAGATGTAGGGGAAACAATAGGATTGCACTTTACCTGGATGCTTTCCAACGACGGAAATCGAACCTTTTCTACTGAAATTTTCAGCGGAAAACTTTTGGAGAAGCAGCCGACGAACAGAAATAAATGTACGACAGAAGGGGGTCATAAAAGGGGAAAAGGCAAAAAGTTTTATGAGAGGAATCACCGACTGAAATGGGAGTGTTCTGTTTTTCAGATTTCATCGACGAAATGAATGATCTCTAAATTTGAAAAGGGAGATTTTTTTCTTCGAAAATCTTTGCAAAACAAAGTCTTATGAGGTTTTCACTTTGGAAACATGAAAACTTTTCTGTTCAGAAACGCATTGAAATGGAAAATGTGAGGTGAACTTGTGATAAACAAAACTGGAATTTTCGAGTCGAGCGTGCCGATAATAACATGGTATCTAGGGGGTTTTATAAGACACGGAATCTAAACGAAGCCACAAATTGATGATGCGTGGGCGGGGGCGACCCGAAAATGACTGAGATGGGATTGACTGCGGGCGGATACAGCTCGATTCGTTGCCCCCGAGTCAGTGACAGACAGACATGATAAGTGATAAGAGAGGAGCAGAGAAGAGACAACTGCTTGCGAGACGCCCGCCCGCCACACACACACACACACACACTCCAACCTACTTACTCCGAGAGCTTCTCCCCACCGGGAGCACAAAGTAACTAAGTACACGTGAGTGATTTTGTGACCGCTTTGGATCCGATTCGGATCTGTCATTTCCGATTGGCATAGCTCGCCACTAAATCGGGCTAATCCGCCGGCTATTTTCAGAAGTGATATCATGCCCACATCTCGCAAATAGAATACTTCACGTAGAGAGTGATCCCTTGGCGACAATAGTGCGTACTTCCTTAGCAAAGAAGACGTCAGTTTCAGAGAACAGAGCAGGGTTTCTTGGGAAACAAAACGTTTGTTTCTGTTTGTGTTTCGGTTCTTCTTGGTTCTTTCGGGTCGGCCGTGCGAACAAGAAAGAAGAACACTTTGTCAAATAACGTTTGTGTTTGCTTTAAATATGGGGATTGGATCGGAAGTGAACTTTTCAAAGTTGACCGGAATGGGAAATTAACAGTTAATCACAGAAAATGCAGACTGATATGAAGTACTTGAAATAATATACAAATTAATTTGGGATACAATATTTACAGACAAATCATCAGCACATGAGACGAATTGCTCCGTGACTCGAGCCGATTAGGTAGGAGCAGTTGAGAGGGAGTGGCAGGATGGCGGTTGGAGTTCCCGGCAGCTCGTCCGGCCGCATTTTCGTCTCGATCTGCAACTCTCCGGTGTTCCTGTACACTCGGAGCATTGATCCGTTTTGTAGAGTGACCAGGGAGTCCTTGGTGAGAGCTGCGACGGCTATTGGGTCCGGCAGCTTCCGAGCTATGTGTGCTCTCGGATTCATCTCCAGAAACAGTCCGCATTCGTCCGCATCGCACACGAGAAGTCGACTTTCAGTCATCCAGTTTATCTGAAAACGCACCTTTTCGAGGAAGACGTTCAATACTAATTGGGCACTGCAGCCATGTGCGTAGTGGTTGTGTTGAGCAACGGAACTTGCACTTTGAAAGCTGCCAATTTGAAATATAAAACTCGAGAATTCTGAGAAACGCCACTGATATTTAGAATTTTCGATTAGTTTTCCGTTTCGAAAAACACCAAGCATTCAAAGATCAGGCAAAGAGAAGACGTCCCGTCGAAGTGGCTAAAGTCGGAATCGGAGAGGACAAAATGACTAACCGAGACGGTGTGCGTGGAATTCGTTTGAGCAAGAGAGTTTATCTTTCCGTTGCGAGCGTCCAGAATAGTGAGGGTTCCGTTCGAAAGAGCGACTGCCATTTTGTTGCCATTGTCGCGAACAGTGAGCGCTCGCGTCAGTCCTTGTCCCGGAGAGACCTTCAGTTCGCACGTCCATCCGCCGACACGGCTGTCGAAGAGTTTGACGGTCGAGTGGAGACTGCAGATGGCCGCCAAAATGTGCCGGTCAACGTTCTCGATCTTCATGATGTTTCCGCCACTTCCCTCTTTCGAATCCCATTCCATCTGGGCGAGCAGAGTAGTCCGGAATGGGTCCCAGACGTGGAGTATTCCATCTGTGGAAGCGATGGAGTTGTCAGCCAGAATAGCGACGTCATGAACCGATCGCGTGTGGTTCGTGTACGTCCATTGACACCCGATTTCGTCCAATTCTGACTTGATCGACCATAATCTGAAAAATTATTTTCCATTGATATTCTGGAGTATTTCTCACTTGACGGTCTTGTCGGCCGACGCTGAAACGAATGAGTTCTCATTTGAAATGGCAGCCAGCTTTCGGATTTTCTCCTGATGGCCAGTGAAGTTGCACAGGGAAAGATGATCGAAGCGGTAATTGCTGGAAAAAGGTTGAATGACGAGAGATACCAAGAGAAATGGGCTCACTCGACTCCACACACTGCTGCTGAAACTCTAGCACACCAGACAGCGCTCAGGGCTCCAGAATCACACAGACTGAAAACGAAAGAGGATGAATAGAACAGTTTTTGGAAATACCTCATTCCTCCGAGATTGTTAACCGAGCTAACAGGACTTGAAGCTGACAGTGAGAACAATCGATTTCCAGAAGACAGACTGCTGAGTGAATACGCAGCGAATGGAGCCTGAGGAGAGTGCGCGAGTGGGATGGAAGCGTTCGGAGAAGAGGAAGATGCCGGGTTCGAGACGAACGGAATGAGGAAGGCGGGATCGTCGCAGAATGAGGAGAGGTACGGGACGCCCCATTCTTTCGCGAACTTTTCGATGACGTCCTCGACCACCCACAGGGGTACAGAGTACACGGTCTTAAATGGAAGGTGAGAATTAAAGAGTCAATGACGACGAATACATTTTCGGGTGGCTTTTGTCGAACATTGATTCGCAGTTCTTCGTTGGTTTCGTAGACGGTGGAAAACGTGGAAAAGAGGAGTTTGAACGGCTGACTGGCATAGATCCTGGTGTTCTCCGTCCCGATCTTCTGAGTGATAGCGTGAAGAAGTTGACAAATCTGGAAATGCAACATTATGGAGACTAAAAACGTTTGAGGGAAACCTTGCAAATGATAAGATTGCGAACTCTGGTTGATGAGAATTGAAAGCTGGAGTCGAGCATGATGGTCAGAACTCGAAAGATGACCTTCTGGATTATGAATTCCTGGAAAATGAATATTTCTAATTGAAGTTGAACTTGAAAAACATGCCTCTAAGTAGTTCATGAGCTGGTGATCTGACATAGATCTGATCGAGAGTTCGACTATCCGAAAGACAGAAACGAGTCCAGGTTCAAGTTGAACGGACGGTCGTTTGTGGAACTGTTCGATTAGATCGACACAGAACGGAAGGAATTGGACGGTGATGAAGGTAACACTGTAAGTGAGCGCGATCTCCGAGAGGAGCGATTCGATGCGAGAGCACGTCTCGTCTCCTTGGAGCACTATAGAGAACACGTCCTGAAATAAGGAAACATTGTTTTGTTCGAACAGGAAATGAATTTCATACTATCGCCTCCTGCGAATCTCCGCACAGCTCAAATCCTTCGTAGCAACTGGCCATAATTCTGAGGAGATTAGAGGAGATGAACTTGGCGCAGATCACCGGTCCGTATCGCTTTGCAAGCCACATAATGCTCTCCTTCGCCACGACCGACCGGTCACAGTTCATCGAGGCGCACGCTTCGACGATCGGAGGGAGGAACAGGTCGAGGAAGATGTGCGTGCCGTAGCAGATGGACACGTGCAGGAGGAAACGGCGGTCGAGAAGCTGCGATAGATGCCGTTAGGTTGATCAAGTAGTGGAACTCACTTTCACAGATGTTTCGCACTGAATCAGCTCAATCATAGGGTTGATCAGATCTTCGAGTGCTTCCTGGCTCAAACTGCGAGTGATAACTGGCATCAGCCGATGGACCGCCTGAATGCACGCCTCTTCGTCTTCCAGAAGCTGTTGGAATGCAGCGACCACACACATTTCCATGTTTTGACACAAGCGGATTGACTTCTTCAGACTATCAACTTCTTTCAGTAGAATTATTTGGGATCTTTTGGAGAACGAGGGAACCACATTAAGTTTTCTGAGGAGGTGCAGAGAGACACAGTTTGCAAACTCATCAGCAAAGTTTGATATCTGGAAGAAATCGCGAATAGTAACAATTGAAAAAAGTCTATCGATTACTGTCGTCGGAAGGTTCAGCCGAACAGTAGCGAAGAAGGCAAACTCATTCGGATCCGGAAACTCTTGTTTCGAGTCGAGGAGATAATCGAAAAGGTTGCGAAAGTTCACGGGGATCCGACTTGAAAACAGACGGATAATCCGCCGGATGTGGGTGGTATCATCGAATCGGCCGGACAAGTGAGGGGCTAAAACGATATGAGCAGCCACTTCCATCAAGGAAACCATTGACGAAAAGTAGATCTTGTGGCGGAGACGCTGGAAGTGTTTATATTTTGGAGAGGATCAGTACCACACTCACCCGGATCTTTTTGATTTTCTGGTAAATCTCAAAGTGACTATCTTCGTCCACTTCGTCTTCAGCTTCGTTTCTTTTGACTGGCGAATTGTTCATTCCATATCCGAAAGACTCCATTTGCAACTGATAAAAGTCACTTTTCGGGTCATAGTTTAAAGGAATTCTGGTCGGATGCGGTCTGTCGAACAACTGGACCATCCCGTTTGTCCGCAGTCCTCTTCGGTTCTTATCGACAAAGCAGAGATGCAGGTTGAGAGAATTTTTACTGTTTTCTACGGACAGCTGAAATAGAGAAATTAGACACGGAATCAATCTCACTTCTCACATTAAACCCAAATACCAAGTCGATCCATCTGTGCAGGTTCATCGAAACTTGCTCATCTTCCAGCATTTTCCGGTGCCAGCTTACAAACTCTTCCGGAGACGATACAAATTCAGGGTATTGTAGATCCGACATATCCGGATGACGGGATTCTGAAATCAATGTGATCGAATTCTGATGCTTATCAGTTTCCCCTACTGAAAATAGACGGATCGTCGTAGAATTCAGGAATACACTCGTCGGGCGTCCATTGGAATATTCGACGCATAGTTGACGGATACTCTTCAGGAACCCATTTCCGGCGAACGTGGCGGCAGAGATTCTCTTTCGGCTCGATTCTCGCGCGGTACGACATGTAGCCGATGTCGGAGAGAAGTTCGGGAACGTGATGAGACGGTTCTCGTGAGAACATTTCCCTTAAAATACATAATGATTGGGAAGAGACACCACGGCTTCAGGGTTGGTACCTCAACTGATCGTCTCCTTTGCATAATCTGTATTTCGTTCTGTTCAATGGCCGAAATCCGGAATCTTTGGAGGTGAAATCGCAGACCCACGGAAAAATCGGATGGTTGTGAACTTCTCCCCTCACTCTTCCGGCCATCTCGTTCAAATAGGTCAGATATTGGTAGTTGTCCCATCTTCTGTACACCCAATGAGCAGTTGCCTCGTCTAGTGTAGTGTCCGTGCTAAAAAAGGTGAAACTGTAACTGTATGAAATGGGCAAACTCAGACATACATTCTCCTCGGCTTGCACCCTTGCATATTTTCGAATATCGATCCGAAAAGATCGTATTGCAGCCAAAGGGAGGGCAGGCAGCGGAAGTGCTTCGTTTGGAACTCTGGCGAGACTTGCCTTGAGAACAATTGGGAATACAGGTCGAGCAAGTTTTTGGTGAGGAAATAGATTGTCTGAAATAGAAGGATGTACTCAGATCGGGGACAGAATGCACACTTGAACACTTCCTTGAGGAATGTTGCTGTACGAGTGCCGGAGGACTGTCTGCAAGTCGATTTCTTCCTTGTGATTCCTTCGTTTAGCGTACACAACTATCACGTTATTAGGTGTCGTGTGGGCAATAACAAGGATCGGAACGACATTCGGAAGGATCTCGATTCGACTGAATGTCACGGTGTTTGTGGTAGTCTGAAGAGAGCACGTAGTTTCGCGGAATATAAATTTCAGGTTACGTCGACATGCGAAATGCTCAGCTTCTCCGCAATCTTTTTCCATTTGGATATCCAATCAAATTTGCTTTTCGCCGGAGATCCTTCCTCGCTCTTCACTCTCTGATGTTCCTCATAATCCATCAAAGGGTCGAACGAGGTGTTCAATCTGCGAATGGACAGAATATAATATGTTTCGCCTTCCGGAAAACCCATACAATCTCTCAAATTCACTTTCAATGCCCTCTCGGTCCGAAGTTTCCGTCACTCTTCCGATCTTCGCTTCCAATTGGATCTTTCCCAATCTCAAGTCATTCTGGCCGTTCCCGGCCGCCCATCCAGGAAAAACGTCGGCGAGCCGACGGAGTTCTGCTTCGTTCCATTCGAACTCCGACTCATTCATGGGCTATCTGCAAAGCGAAAGTTATTTTGAAAATAGTTAGAAATGGCCCTGCTAGGTCGAGCGAGGACGTGATTTGATTTGTCTAAACAATACTCCTTTTCAATTTTGTTTATTTAAACGAAGGGAAGACATAGAATGGGTTTACATCCCGTTTGTAAAGTATAACACATTCGGGGTTAAAACCGGAATTCTTTATCTTTGACGTGTCACAAGGAACTGAAAGAAACAAAAAAAAGTCAATAAATCATACTAAAAATCCTAAAAACAACTATAAAATCACAGTTCGAATCGAATGGCGGATGGAATAAACACTTCGATTTTCTTCTGAGTTCCACGGATTGTCACCTTCTTGTCCGTCAGTTCGGCGTCTTTCGCAGTGGGAACACTCGACACGTAGAGACGATGAATGTAGGTCTGAAAATTACGAAATAGAGGAGAAGAAGGAGACGAGTATCTGACCGGAAGAGCAGAAATCTTGAAAGAAGCGGAATTGGCGAGGAAGTCGGTCGAGTAGAATCCTTCGGTCGTGCTTCTTCCCACAATTCCCTCCGAACATCTCTTCCATCCGTCCGCAATCACACCAGTCCGTCCGGCGTCCGTTCCGCCCATCCGGAAACGGAGTTGCGAGTAATCGCCCATTTGCTCGTTCTCAATGAGCAATTCGGTTCCTTTCGCTTCCAATTCGTGCTTTTCTCCGCACTTTTCGTTCACAATTCCGGTGAAATCTCGGACAGCTGTAAATTGAACTTGCTTTCTTGCCTTATTTGTTAATTTCCCAGTGCTCACCGTCACTGTTCTTGTATTTGGGCGCGCCAGTGAGGACGTGCCACCATCTCCACGTGGGCGCCTCGAGCACTGGCTTCGGACGGCACTTCTCGCATCCCGCACAGGTTTCCTCGTATTCCACATGGCACTCGATCGGGGCAGGCGATCTCTTCAGCATCTCCCAGACGTAGGCCCAACGCCGTTTGAAGATGGAAAAGTACCAGAACTTCTTGCGCGTGTCCTCAATCTGCCGGAACCATCCGGCACTCACGTCTCCCAGTCCGTATTCGGGCGCTTGTTGCGAGTCTTCAGTGTTCATCTCAAAAGCGAACACACTCCGTTTCTGGTCCTCAATGACTGCCATCGCTGTCTCACACGCGTGTCGAACGTCTTCCGACTTTTCGAACACGGACGGTACCATTCGCTTCAGCCACAGATTATCAAACCCGCCCGGATAGAATCCCACTGGAAGTTGCGCTTTGTCACTGAAAAAGTTTGTTCAGAAGCGGAAAGGATGAACTGGATAAGATTGTACCGATTTCTGAAGATGCCCGTCACCACTTTTCCGATCGTTCCGTCTCCGCCAACAACGTAGAGAACATCGGCCTCTTGCGTGTCCACAGCTCCCGCCAAAGCCTCCAACTGAGCTTCATTGTCTGCCTGAATGACTTCGACTTTTCCCGTAATCCTTGAATTCAGAATGGCTCACTTTCACGACATCAACTTGCACACCAGCCAAATGGAAGAGTGGCAGCGCGTTTTTGTTGAATGCGTCGAAGCAGCTTCGAGAGTTTCCCTCCACGTTCACTAACACAAAGATCCGTTTCGGACGGTCGTCAGCTGAAATTGCATATTTTCCACGGCAATTCACCACGAAGGCACGAACGCGACACAGTCTTTTCGCCGTATTGGACAGCGATCTCCGCGTACTGCTTCCGAATTCTCTGATTCCGATTCCATCTGTAAACCCAATCGGCGCCGAGATATCCGAGAAACGAAAAGAAGATCGTCTTCTTTTTGTGCTCGTACAATGTTTTCGGCAGTCGGGTTATTTTTCCGATTATTTTTGACATCGCTAAATTCTAATCTAAAAAGTTGTTTTTCATTCAGCCGGCACGCTCCCCAAAAACCAAATAGGGCCATTGGAACCATTTTCAGTCGGAAACTAATTGAATCTCCCATCAACAATTCATTTCGCGGAAATATATAATGGTTCAAGAGGAACAAAAAACCAAGAAGGGCGGAAAATACGATTATTATTTAGATACTTATGGAAGACTGTGTATATGGAAAAATTAAATTACATTTGAAAACATAAAGACAAATTAAAGTATTCTTGCTGATCTAGCCCAATTTTAAAGCCAACAAAGGGGGAGCAAGAGAGCAAAGCAACTAAAACCAACCAAGAAAAGCGGACTGACGAGATTCATTTCATGGGGTACGCCGGGGTGAGGAAGTGAGAGGGATTATCGGGACCCAGAATAGAGAAAAATGAAGTTTAAGAAGGGGAAGAACGTCTTCCCAAAGATTCAGGGTTTTTGAGACCGAAGAAAATGAGATCTACGCAGGTACGGGCGTCCTCGAGCGAGTCGTGGCCGAGAGCATCCTCATTGTCGCCTTGAATCGTTTTCGAGAGATGTACGGAAGACAGCGTTCTCAATGCCTTCTTGTGCTCAGTTCCCGAGAACAGAATAGCCGTATCGATGACATTTTGATGAACGATTCTCATCGCTTTCAGGTCGGACTCGAGGGAGTGTCCGATGAGAATGGTTTCCGAATTGACGAAACGGAACAACTTCTGATAGCACTGAAAAAGGCGAGAGTAAGACCAAATCGGAGGTTCGACATTACTTACAGTCTGCAAAGTGTCTTCCGCGTTCTGAATCTGGTCCATAGTGAGTCCGGAGAATTCAGTGTTCGGATCGAGAACCTCGGTAGGCGGCTTGATGAAGACGTCCAGCACTTTCACCGCTTTCATGTCAACCATCGTCAGACGAGCGAGAGCAGGTCCGGCCACAGTGTACACCATTTCACAATCGAGAGCATACGCCTAAAACGAAAACGGTTGGGCCTGGATGTAGCCGAGAAGCAACAACAAACCTTCATGGATCTCGGATCGTTGGGTGCTGATGGAGCCGGCGTCGAGACGAACTTTCCGAGTTCAGCCTTGAAGAGTTGATCGAAAACATGAACATCACTGAATTTGCAACCCGGAGCCACGTTGATTTCCTCGTTACAACAGTGGTAGCGTTTGCTGAATGTCTCTGAAAATGATAAAGTTGAATAAAAATTCGAACAGAGCGTATGTTCAAACGAAAATAGTATTTATTCGATAGTACAAAAAAACTTACGCTTCTTTCCCTCTCGAACAATTTGTCGGTTGTGATAACGGCAGATGTCTTTCTCGCGAATCATGTTGCCGTCCTTCGTCAGACTGAACTCCTTGTTGCACCGACTGCATGTCCTCTTTCTGTCGAATTGCTCCAAAAACATTTTCTTGTTCTTGGTATAAGTCGTCTCGGCGATCTCAGCGATTCTTGTGTTGTTGACAAAGAGCGGATAGGCATTTTGCTGGAGTTCGCTCGCCGTCAATTTCAGTCTGACGAGATGTGGATGAAGATCTTCGGTGCTCAGCTCCTGATGCCGCACGTGAGTCTTTCGGCCTTTGAGAAGTGAGAAGTTTTCTTTCGTTCCGCCGGCGATGATTCTATCGTGGGAAATAGCTGGAAAAGAGAAATCGTTAAGAATTATTTGTCAATAGCACTATTTTTAAAAACATGTATTGAAAACGCTTGTTTGTGAGGATCGAAGAAACTTGCTTCTAATTGGCTCATTTTGGCGAGGCGGTGGTGTTTGAAAAGCGACCGGTGACGGCATTTGGGAATAATATGGAGGAGCATACGGCACGCTCTGCGGGTAGGGCACTGGCATCGGCTGAGACTGACGTGGCGGACATTGAGCCCACACCGGATACGACATCTGCTGTATTGGCCTCTGATCAACGACAACATATGTGGGATAGACTGATGACGGCTGATAACAACCGAAGGGCATAGAAACAGGTGGAGGATGAGTAGGGGCCGCCGGTACGCACATTGTCTGCGAAGGCGCTGTTATCATCTGATTTCCGATGTTGCGGAATGGCGGACCGGCAGCGTAAAATACGCCGGCCGGATAGCCGTTGTTCATGCTCTGCAAGAGAACCTTGGAGACAGACAGACGGGAATGGAAAACAAGACGGTCGACGGGAAAACGAGAAAGAGACGCAGATGCGCATACGAAGGAACGCGAATGGTTTCGAAAAGACACGGACGGGAAGGAGTGCCCGCCGCACACGAACGTCCGTGGGTGACCGCGGCAGAGAGGCGAGGGAGAAAATACGGCTGTTATCAGTGCCTTCTCTCTCTCTCTCGCGAAGGAGAGAAACATGCGAGCGCCATGGAGACTGCCAGAGAAGCCGCATAAAAGGAGGGGGTAAATCGATAAGGAACCACAAGTCTTATCGAGTCACATGTCTTTTGAAGTGTTAAAAAGGCAGTGATACGATGTGTGTTCAATGCAGAAACACAATGCCGTCAACGACGACCGTATCCCATTCGAAAAATGAGACGCGCAGAGAGTGGTAGTTAGAAGCGAAAGGTCTATTTGGTAGGGGGATTTATGATGTCGCTGTTTTACGGGCAGAATAATCCAATGATACCTTTGAACTGTTGGTTCTCCTTGATAAACATACATTTCTGGGAATGGAAAGCGAGAGACCAACAATATTATATTGTGTTTAGAATGACGCAATTCTATCGAAACTGATGGAAACGAGTCGACGGAAAGCAACGTCTGCAGGTGAGTGAATGGCGGGCGACTCGCTCGTTGCCAAGTGAGAAACAAAGACGAAACAAATTCTGGCTCGCGCGCCCAGAAATGACGATGGATACACTCACAAACGTACACACACTCGCCCTCAAGGACGTAGATTCTGACATGTCTTTTCCCCTTCCATCTCACAGCTTCCTAATTTGTTCTTCACCCTTTCCTCATATGCAAAAGAAGACCTTTGTGGTCATTTTTTTGAAACGACCAATTTCTCAATCATTTGCTCAGTGCTTACTCACCCTTCGGGTTCACTTCAATAATGTCGGCTGGTTTTGTCCTTTTTATAATGACACGTTCTTGGCATCCTGCCTTCCAATACTTTTCCTTTCCTGGATTTTTGTTCATCACTGACAGTTCAATTCTCTGAGCTTCTTCAGCGGCTTTCGGATGTCCAATCTCGATAAGAGCCTTGAAAAGGCCCTCAATTAAAGTCTTTCGAGTGCTATAGAATATCTGAAATATTTAATTTCTGAAGGTTCGTCTGTTTTCGCTCGAACTGACCGCTCCTTTCGACTGATCAAGAAGGGGAGGTGGTTGTGCTTTTGGCGGCTCTGGAGTCGATGTGCCCGGCTCCTTTTTAATTACTTTTTTGACGAAAGTGCTGGTAGACGGCACCGAATTCACGGCCCGAGCGACTCTTTCTGAGCCCTTCTGCGCGGATCCTATTCGAGATTTGTTCATTCCAAACTGTTGTTCTTGTGTGAGGAACTTCTGAAAAAACACTTTTTTAAACTTCTCTCTTTCTCATCAGCACTCACATTCTTTTTCAGCTCTTCGTTGGCAGCTTGCTCTCTTTTCTTACGTTCTTCTGCTTCTCTATGACGTTTTTCATCCAACTGAGACTGTGTCAGACGTTTGCTCGCTGCAGAAGTAGATGATGTTGGCTGGCGAATCTTGGCAGGGCCAGGAATGGAGTTCGAATGAGCCATTCTTTTGACCGGCACGTGCACTCCTTCCAGATCTTCGACTGAACTGAAATCAGCTGTTCTCGGAGCCGCTGCTCTTTTCTGTGTCGACGATGACGGTTGCTGGTGCCGCTCATCAGTTCGATTCTTCCGCTTCTCTGTCGACAGATTACGTTCCCGCTGCAATAAAATTATCGTTTGACCCCTGCGAGCTGAGATTTTATTGGAACATTCATCTCATTTATTGTCATAGATTGGTGTTAGGAAAAAAGAATGCAGAAAAAAAATCACGAAACATATACGGTTAGTAACATGAATAGACGCGGGTTAGACAAACAGGAGGATTTTCAATAGGTGGAAAAAATAAAAAACCGATGCACAGATTGATCAACGCGGTCGTCTCACCTTGGACGAACTGCTACTTGTCGTTCGAGCTGTTTTGAGCGCGTCCAGAAGAGCTGCCGCCAATGGCTGAGGCTCCACCGTCGCAGCATGAGATGCGCGAGTTCTTCGCATCTCGCTCACGGTGAATTCTCCCGGATTCACATTCATCCTCTCCTTCATTTTCTTCATTCGGTTATCCTCAGACACTTGTGCTCTTCTCTGCCTTTTCAGGATATTTTCCCTTCCGATTTCCTCCTGAGTTTTTAGAATGGCTGAAGTCGACGGCAAGGATTCGGATGACTGAAGTCGATCGGATGTTCTTGACTTTACTGAAGAATCTCTTTTCTGCGATTTCCTATCGTCCTTTCGAGACAAATTTCTGCTTTTCGATCTTTTCGGCGAGAAACTATTCGATCGGGACGACTCGTGCCGTCTCTTTCGTGGTTTTTCGTATTCGATCGGTTCGTCGTCGCTGGCAATAAAAGAGCCCATACTGTCTTCTTCTTCGTCCTCTTCAGCAAATTCGTCGCAGGATTCATCTACGGAAGCTCCGAAGGTGGTTTCATCGGAATCCTCAGACTGATGCGCATTCCATTCATCGTCGGAATCCACTACTCTTACCCTCCTTCTTCTCACTTGTTGCGTATTGACGTCGTCGTCAGAGTCGTCCTTTTCGTCAGCACGATTGCGCGTATCCCTCTTCCTTTTCGATCCGGAAGACGTCGACGGTTTTGGCTCAACCAGATTGCTTTGAGTGGTTGGAGCACTCTCGTCTTCGTCAGATGAAGAAATAACCACCTTCTTCTTTCCCTTGTGTATTGGCGTAAAAATCGATTCGGTAGATGACGAACGTGATTCAGTTCCGATTGGCTTTTCAAAGGGGAGAGCCACTGTTTCCTGCACTGCATTTTTTGGCACGGTTTGCTCCAAACGTTCTTCAAACTTTTTCTCCACTTCCGAAAATATCCTGTCCTCAGCAGCTTTAATTTTGGCAACAAACATCTGCTCCCACTCCATGCGTTCTTTGGCCATTCTCGCAGTGCATGCTTCCATTTCCTTTCGAGCAGATTCCGCTCTTGCTGCCTCGGTAGCCTTCTCCGCCTCTGCTTTTGCAAGTGCTTCCTGCATTTCAGCAAACAGCTTATTCTTCTCTTTTTCTGCTCTTCTCATTGCGGCGACTCTTTGTATCATGTCATTTTCGAGATCGACAGGCTCCTGTTTCACAATGCACCGTGTTCCGGATGTTGAAGGACCGTCTGGATAATTTCCAGACGAAGAAGACACTTCGTCGACTGGCTCAGCCTTGACTCGAATCGCTCGCGACTGAGAAGGCGGTGCAGAAGTGGGATGTAGTTCGTCATCGTCGTCCATTGTGATGATATCTGTAAGTATTGAGGTTTATATACTAGTATACTTCAAAATTTGAATGCACTCACCGATAGTTCTCTTTTTCTTCTTTTGTTGAGCTTCATTCGATTTTCTCACGGTTACAGGTTTCATATCGACTTCGTGATCCGGATCGGCCAGGTTTTGCTGTGGAGAATGGGCAGATGGTGGCGGTGACTCATCGGCGGGTATTCCGAACATTGAGTTTCGGGGAGCTTCAGCAGATACACCGACCGATTGCGGCGCTGACGGTTGAACCGTAGAGGTAACGTTCTGATGCTGAGTCTGAAGTTCTGGTCGCTGACGTTGAGCCGGTTGAGGTTTCCGCTGCTGTGGTGTACGCTGCGCTGGCCGTGGCGGTGTTCGCTGTTGAATCTGCTGTTGAGGTGGGGCAGCTTGCGTCATTTGATGTTGGCGCATTTGCATGTGCATGTGGTGCATTTGTTGCTGAACTAGCTGATGTTGGTGCATGATATGACCAGCTGGTCCTGGTCCGAAACCCGGTGGCGGTCCTCCGGTGTTGTTGAAATTGTGAAGATTCATTGGATGCGGTTGAATGCTTCCCGGTGGAACTTGCGGATGGAACTGCGGAGGTGGTGGCTGTCCTCGTCCTTGATGAAACATCGGTCCGGAAGGGGCCATTGGTATCCCTGGCGGAATTTGATGCGACTGCATAGGAGGTCCATTGAAAACTGGCGGAAGTACTCCTTCTTGTGGTGGTCCGAATATTTGATTCGAGTTCCCTTGATTATAAGGAGGAGGGTTGAGAGGACGCGGCACGTTCTGTTGAGGCATGAATTGCGGGTTCTGTGACATTCGGTTCTGAATGATTTGGAGTATCAAATTACGAGCATGAAGTGGCAACGTGTGAATGAGTTTCTGACTCGGAATAATTCCCATGTGCAGGAAAGCTTGGCAGACGATTTCCGCTGGCAGAACATCTCTTCTGAGCCTAACGTGGAAGGGAGGCAGCATGTTACGCGGACTTGAGAATTCCAGCCATGTTTCGATCACCCGTGGCGTTGATGTTTTCAGCGCATCAGCTATCGTAGCTTTGATTTTAAGCACAGCATCGTTATTCACATTCTCCATTGGGAGTCCCTGGACGTTAAAATTTTGCATGAGCGGTCCTTGAGGTCCATGTCCGTTAACTCCAGATGGCGGCGGTGCGAAAAAATTAGGGATCCCGGGGACCTGTGGACGTTGTCCTGCTCTCGGAAGGCGCACCGGCATTTGAGACACTTGTCTGAGCTGCTGCTGCATTAGTTGCTCCTGCTGCGTCAGAAGGGCAAAGGCATTTTGTTGTGGTGGTTGCGGTTGGTCTGGCTGCTGGGCTGCACGAGTTGGATGAGTCGTTGGATCCGGCTTCGCTCTGTTCTGACCTCGTCCAGACGTTTGCGACGGAACTGTATTGTTAGCAGTCGATGAGCTCGGAGCGGCCTGAACGGGCGGCAGGAGATTGCCCGCGCTTGCATCGTTACCCTGAAGAACACCACACGGAATGAGCGACAATGTAGAAGTCTTGGGTGTGATCAGCAAATTGCCGGCACAGAATCCACACAGAACGTTTGAGCAGTAACGCTTAGTTAGTATGTGAGAAACAGAGATGGGCATAATGAAACAATCGAGAGACTGAGAGGATCGGTGCATCACTAACTGGCTTACGGGGTGACATGGATAGATACAAATGAAAAACGCTTACATTTATGGGAGTCGGTACGTACGGTGGTGCTCGTTCGAACTCTTTTCTCAGCTCCTCAGTACTTTTATTCCTCGGATCTGACATCTGAAAACGGAAAACCATGAAAGATAGGGAACACAGATAACCAACCATTCGTTCCGTTCGAGCGGCAGGCATATCCTGTTGTCCACTGATTGATTGAGAACGGCTAGCTGCTGCATTTTGCTGCAAGAAACACTATTGTACAGATCCTGCTAGATCCAGCGAACCATCGAAGGAAAAAATCTTCTGTTATCCTGGGCATGATCTGAAGAAGTGGGCTGAGGCGGACGCGGAGCTTCTGCTTCTACTTGCTGTTGAGTAGGTTGTGGCGTAAAGGCGGGGAATGAGTCTGAAATTATTACTTTATAAGTGAATTAATTTCAGTGGAATAATTTCGCAAATACCCAATGGATTAGATGGTGCATAATCTTGAATGTTGAATGAACCACCTCCGTAACCGCTGTACATCTATGAAAACAACAATACAGCACTTTCGAAAGAGGATAAAGTAATGGGCGAGATAAATGCGGAGCGGTTGACGAACCGAACGATCGATGTGAAAGAGAAAAAAGGCGAACGAGATAACTTTTATTTTTAAATTATTTTCTGGCAAAACTCCGGTCCATGTACCCGTGCGATCGCTGCACACCGCCTTTCCGGCTCTGCAGCCGTTTTTCGACGGTCATGTCCTCGCATGCATCCCGCATTTGACTTCTGAAAAGATAAATAATAAAGACCGTATGGGCAACAGTTTCAATTAGAAACAGTTGTTCTCTCGTCGTTCGTTCTTACGAGCAGCGCGAAAAAGCCTAAAGGCGTCATAGGGCGACGATGCGCTCTCTAACCGTCTACGTCTCTTGACGTCATGCGGACGGATGGGAGGCAGATGCCTTTGGCAAACCGCTTACTGCCAGGCGGTGTTGAAAAAAACGTGCGTTAGCAGAAACGAGGAGCTCTCTCAGAAATTCATTCTTTCTTTCAGATAAGAAAAGAAAAAAAGCGAGCTGCTGCTTATAATCAAAAGGATTTGACCGAAGCTTGTTCTAGCGCTTGCACTGGTCTGCTACACGGGAAACGTGCACAACAGTCGGACACTTAATCCGCCATAATCGACTATGATTGCTACCTGATAAACGAGGGCGCGTATCCGTTTTTGTCGGCTTCGTCCTTCTCCTCCTCGTCTTCCTCGCGCCCTTTCTCCACGTTCTTCGCCCGCACTTCGTCTCTCCACTTCACATTGTCCTGCTGCATTTCTGCCAATCGAGCGGCCTTTTCCTCATCAGTGAGCACCCGACGCGGCTCCCGTTTTTTGTCGCCGCCGCGACCCGTTGGCAGTTTCACCAGTTTGAATTCTTTGCTCGGCGTTCTCGCTTCTTCCTCTCGTTCCTCGGCGGTGCGCTTGCGCATCTGAGGAATATATCCTTATATTTATGAAGAGAAAGCAAGACAGATGGCCGCATGGCACTGATATATAACCTCTATAGATGTTATAACAATGACATAAGGACGGAGGAAAACACGCGTAAGCAGATGTAATAAAACACTACATGCATCAATCAAACGTGGATGAAAGACAGATCTTAACGAGTGAACATGATTACCTCAACCAAGCCATACGCTTTCTTCCTGGGATCCTGCCTTTCGTCGTCACTATCATGTCTGTGAGAAGGGCGACGTTCGGAATCGGAATCAGAATCCTAAAAGAAAAGGCGATATGAAAAGGGAAAGCAAGGGATTTTCTCACTGAAGAATGCTTCTTTTTCTGCAAGTGATCTGGAATGTGCGAGTCGAATTGCCGGTCAGACTTCGACCTCGAGGAAGATTTCCGATAAGAATCGGCCGATCGAGATCTCGATCTTTTGTCTTCTTTTCTGTAACAATGTCACAACCCTACAATGTATCAATATATCTTATCAATATCAATATATATCAATATATCAAAATCTTATCAATATATATTAACCACCTATCTACCCGGCTAAGGAGTCTTGCACATATACTCTCAACATTAGACTCATTAAATATATTCCTATATATAATATAACCAATGTAGCGTATAACAACATAAAAACGAAATTGTTTGTGCATATAAAATCTTTCCCATCACAAAAAAGACGGAGATTCGCATTTTCAAACTTGAAAATGGAAGAAAAAAGCGTTTACCTGTCGTCTCTACTTGTTCGTTTAGGGGAACGACCGTTTCTGTCGCCACTCTTGGATCTCTGACGTCGTGGCGATCTGGAAGGTCTTCTGTGTGCCCGGTCTCCACTTCTTGACCTCGATCTTTGCTTTTTTGGAGTTCTCTTTTTGCTCCTTTCAACACTCCTCGATCTAGACCGTTCTCGTCTTGGAGATCTCGATTTGCGGCGGGAACTTTTTCCTCTCTCGACGCTTCTGGATCTAGACCGTTTTTGAATGCGACCGTCTCTTTTTCGGTCACCACTCGAATCTCTCCTCCTGCTGCTTCTCGGTTCTTCAGGTCGATCACTGTCTCTCCTTCTTCTTTTAGGTGACGGGGATCTTCTCTTCTGAACCTCTTTTTTAGGACGTTCTTCGCTGCTGTCGCAACGTGAGCTCGAGGAACTTCTCGACCGTTTTTTCTTCTTTTTCTTATCTTTTTTTTCCTTCTTGCTCTTTTTCTCCTTTTTCTTATCGATCTTCGAAGCCATCATTGCCTTGAGAGTGTTCTGCAGTTTCATCTTCATCAACGGATTGTCCATTATCGCTCGTCGTTTTGTTTCTTCGCGGACTCTCACTGCAACCAAGGGATCCTCCGATTTGATAATGTCTTTCTGGAGAGATGTCGTCTTCAAACCACTTGATTCGCCAGATGCGAATACTGTTCTAAAACACAAAACATTGAAAATCGTCACTCAATAAATGTATTCAGTTACCGCGTGCTCACGATTGAATCGATTGCCTCGGCTTTCTGATTATTCACTACATCGGAATATTTTTCAAAATTCTTGTCGATCTGAAATAGTAATGGTTGATTAAAGTTAATAAAAATTGCTAACTTTCTTTCCAAGCAGGTAATCTTCTCGATGCACATTTCCCTTTGCACCTTCGTACATCCATCCGATTGACGGGTCTTTACTCATTCTGAAAGTATTAAATAAAGACTGCGTAGTAGAACTGAAGTAAAATCGAAATTATACTTGGAAAAAATACAACTTCAACGCAGACCAGAAGACTTGAGGAAATCGCGAAAACGATCTGAGCTTTCCCGTTCAATCAATGCAATTAGTTCGAAAGGAAAACTCGGCCAGATTGGTTCGGCCACCACTTTTTCTAGGCCATCGATTGGAACCGTAAAATTTGAGCATCTTGGTTGCTCTGCATTGTGTTTTACAAAAACCATAGTCCATGGAATGTCAGAAAACAGAAAAATCACAGTTTACTCAAAAAATAACAAAAACGTGCACACGTCTCCGGATATAAAGATAAAGTTTGACTCAATGCCGGGCAGAGGGAGAACTCACGAGAGGTATCAGGAATTGAACAGGCGATATCTGGAATGTTAAGATTTCAAGAAATGTGGTGAATGGGCAAAGTATCCGGAATACCAAGGGTGTTGGAATTGCTATGAGTCGGTTTTCGGACCTGAAGACATTCCAAGGTGAATTTGGTCCGTCCGTGGTGATTCTCTGTCCAGTAGAATAATCGTCAACTGAGTTCTTGCTTCTTGTGCCACATCCACTTCTTCGATCGACTTGGTCATGTATTCATCAATTGCTCGTTGTCCTTCGTCATCTTCTTCTGGCACCTCGTCGGCTGCCGTAAGATACTTTTCCATCGCTTTTTCCGCAATTTCCAATTTCTTTTCGATTTCGAGCATTCTGTCTTCAATTTCCGATATTTCCGTTCTGAGCTCTTCCCCAGTGGAATTCTTCCATCTTTCAACATCCTCCAAATTCTCTTCCACTGTTCGAATCAATTGGTTTTTTGCCTTTGTTGCGCTGGCTTGGACGTAACGAAGTGAAGCAGACATGTTAGTCGATTTTCATGCAGGTGTACAAGTCAAATGGGTGCTTTGGTGAGTTAGGGCAAGGTCCAGAAATTTGGCGAAATGATTCCCACCTGATTTCCTCTTCCTTTGTCGCTTTGCCACGCGGGTCTTTCCTTCATAACTTCTTCTGACGTCTTCCGGCTTCGATCGACTGTCGATGCACCATAAACGGGTTTCCAGTGGGTCCCAGCTCAAAACAAAGCCTCAAACTTGGGTAATTAAACCTTTATCTAAAAGCTTTAACAATTAATAAATAAAGACATGAGTAAAATAAAAGAAAAGGTGACCGGCCCTGGCCGGTCAACAGAAACAAAATGGGGACGAATGCCCTCTGACAACATAAGAAAAAGTGGTGGGGAGGCGTGCCATGCGGAGTCTTTTATACTGTTATTGTGTAACATTAAAGAATGTGCGGAGGATGGGGGAATCCAATCATATTAATTGAATTCCTGCCGCCTCCACACAGTGCTCATCGAGCACACCGGAATACCAAGGGTGTTGGAATTGCTATGAGTCGGTTTTCGGACCTGAAGACATTCCAAGGTGAATTTGGTCCGTCCGTGGTGATTCTCTGTCCAGTAGACCCACGGGTGACAAATTAAGAGAGAAGCAGAAATGGACTTTTTTCAGATCTCAAATTGTCCCAGCTGTTCTTCAGCGGGACCACAAATGAACACAGGTAGCATAATACATTTGTTTGATTTTGATTAATGAAACTGAAACTACCCGTTTTCCGCCTTGAACCAACTCGAACTCAATAAAGATCTTTGTTTTTCAGTTGCTAAAGTATCAAAAAGCAATCAGATTAGTGTGAACCGTTTAGTTCTCCCGGTAGATCCTCCTCGATAACCTCTTATTTTGTGCGGTGGCGCCGGCGCCCTTCCAGTCGATCGCCATCCTTTCCGTTCTTTTTCTCCTTCTTTTTCTCCTTTTCGCCGGTTTACGACGACGTCTCCGATCACTAGATCAATCGATTGACAGTTTCATTTGGTTTGTCCAAAAGCTGTAATCGGAGGCGTCGAAACTCGTTCTCTCGCTTGTTAACAATGACACCCGTTGACCGCCATCATCGCCTCACCTGTATTCTGTTTGTTTCAATTCAGTCATTCGCACACTGTCTTCTTCCCTTTCTGATAATTCGCGCCGTGAGTAACCCGCGAGTAATTCCGTTTTTCTTCCGATTCGGCCTCGTTTTCCCCGTGGTTGTTACCGTTGATCGAAACGAAAAACGAAACACTAAAACTGCAGTTAGTGTAAAACTGTTAACCTTTCTCGGGTGGTGTGGTTCTCGACGAATGTTCCCTCCACGATTTCAATGAACATTCTAGAAGTCTTGAACTTTTCAGCAGATAATAAATCAAAAGTATCAATCTGTCTCTTCATTTTCATCGGAATACCGTGATGACAAGAAGTTAGTTCTCAAAAACATTCCGATTCGGTCATTGGCTCAAGTGTTTTTCCAAGTACACTCTTCCACATTCCGCCTTCGATTATTTAAGAATTTCCGTCGGTTGCCACCCTCCACTTCATAAATCTTATCAATTTTGTGTGACGGTATGTAATGTTCGATCTGCCGCTAGTCTGTCCATTTTCTATTCTTCGCCCCGCCCCTTTCTTGTCATTCTTTGGTGTCCTTCTCCTGCGATCTTCTTCATTCCCGCATGGTCACCATGTGATTATCAAAACCGTTTATTGTTCGAACCAATGCGATCAACTCTTGTTGCTGGGGACGCACATGGAAACTGAACTTGGAGACGAAGGAGAATGATGGATCGCCATATTTTGACGGTGAAAAGATGAAAGAACGTGACGCGAATCATCGAATCAGGCAAGGAAATGAAGAAGAAAAGAGAGAGAGAGAGAGAAGAAGGATAACGTACCGCGCACGTAAAAGACCTCTGTCATTTTTTGATGACTTCGGAAGACGGATTGAGAGGTATTTTGGTGAATGAAAATATATTGAGATATGCCCTTCCGTCTGGGACCGATCTAGGCTACAAATGTCATTGACATCTTCAAAATCTTCGATACCTTCTACAACTTCTTCGTCTCATTCTGCTTCTCCAAAAAAGAATATGACGTGGCGTATGCGTATCTGTTTCCCGCCCCCCGCCCAGTAATGAAAACGTCTTTCTCAAAACAGACCGCTCGTAAAACTGCAACTGTATTCCCACTTTCATTCCCGGGAAATCACGCCTTCACATTTTGATTCTCTCTTTTCCTAAATGTTGCCCCAAAATTGCATTAAGCGTACAACGATTAGCCGCGATTGGCGCCCGCGGACATCACTTTGGGGCAAGGTTAAAGATGGTCGTTCCCAACTGTGTTTTCCCCGCATATTAGTTGAGAATACCTGTTCTTTTCATGTTCAACTTCCCGGTTTTCACAAATCATCGTCGTGTCTGGACGATCGGATCGAAGGTCGCATTCCCCTGGAAGAGGTCCTGGAAGTCAAGTTCCACCTCGGGAATCTGTGGCATCACGAACATTCAGTCTGTCCTTCTCCGTCCGCCTCTCTCTCTCCCTCTTTCTCTCTCTCTCTCTCTCTTCTTCATTTGACTTGTGATAACTTTGTCATTTTCACTTTTTTGGGCAGAAGAGACCCGTGCCGTCGCCTCTTTTTCTCTTCTTCCCAGCTGCCAACAAACACTCATCGTTTGTTTTATTTGAATAACAAATTCGGTTCCCTTTTATGAACGACTACATTTTTGAATCGAGTCATCATCATCATAACATGTTTTCACACGCTGACCCCCTCTCTCGTGTTCCTTCTAATTTATTAACAAGTTTCAGATGGAGAAGCACAACGTGCACGACTTCGAGGAGCCCGGCGAGAATCTGAAGCACAAGATCGAAGAGGAAGATGATTCGGAGAAGCTTCTGTGCGGGTTCGGAGCGTGCACTCCTTCGTGGCTTCAGGGATTCCACAATGCAAAGTTCCTGCTGTTGGTCCTCGGAATCTGTGCTTTCATACAGGTATGGCTGCGATACAGATGAAACGGGTTCAATGAACAATTCGCAGAGTTTCGTAGTCAACGCTATCTTCCCTGTTGGTTTATCAACGCTGGAAAGGAGATTTAAGATGACGAGGTGAGAAGGAAAAAGAGAGAAGACAACACAAACTGCCCATCTTCTTTTAGTACGCACACCGGAATCATCTCCAGTTGGTACGACTTCGCAGTCCTTCTCGTCGTCTTTCCAGTCTGTCACTGGGGAAATAACGGGCACAAGGGGAGATGGATCGGCTGGGGAGGCGTCGTTATGGCCCTCGGCTCTCTGATCTGTGCTCTTCCGCATTGGATGGTGGATATTTATCATCCGGATGCCGACACGCTTTCCAATCAGACCGACTTTGGACAGTGCACGAACAGAGACGACCCAGAGTGCACCGGAAAGCCCTACTCTTCCTACTTCAATCCTTACTTTTGGATGTTCATTCTGGGTACGTCTACAGCCACCTGGCATCTCTATTCTTGTTGCTTTCAGGTCAAACACTTCATGGCGTTGGTTCCACTCCTCTCTTCTCCATCGGAACCACTTACATGGACGAGAACGTCTCCCAGAAGGCTTCTCCGGTCTATCTGGCCATTCACGCTGTTCTCACCTCTTTCGGTCCGGTCATCGGAGTGTTCGCCGGAGGATTCCTTCTCAATCTCTATGACGATTTCGACAGAGTCGACAGGTAGAAAATTCTTGTCTCTTTTTCCAATAACCTTCTTCCATTTCCCCAGAATCCCAATGGAGCGGTCGGATCCCAGGTGGGTGGGTGCCTGGTGGGTAGGATTCCTCATTTCCTCCATATCCGCTCTTCTCATCGCATTCCCGATTCTCGCGTTCGCCCGGGAACTGCCAGAAGCCAAGAGACACAGAGCAAAGGATGTGAACCAATGCCACGCGGCAAACGGGGACGTCAACGAGAAGGCGCCACGAGATCTGACCAAACTTCCCGCCTGCGTCATTGTCAGTGATCCTTTCTATCCCGTTTTCTGATGCGTTTCAACTTCAGAAGATCCTCCGTAATCCCACCTTCCTCGTCTGCATTTGCGTTGGAATCTTCGAGTCGATCATCATCAACGGATTCGCCGCATTCATGCCCAAGATTCTGGAGACTCTTCTGTCCACGAATCCGACTCTCGCCTCCTACCTTTCATGTAATCCTTCCCCCCCGTACTTCCGATATCCAAAGGTTCTCTGTTCCAGCCGTCGTTATCTTCGCGGCCGCCACTGGAGTGATGGTGGGGGGCACTATAATCCGTCAACTGAAGCTGCAGGTAGTGTGTCACGTTTAATGATAAGCCAACCACAAAGAACGGGCAGGCCTTCTGTTTATTTGTGATTCGCGAATCGCCACGCGTCGGTCACATGGCTTCGCCTTCTTGATCCCCAAAACCATCATTTAATTGTCTCTTCCAAATCCAATCATTCCATTAGTGAAGAGAGAGAGAGAGAAAAGAACAAAAAACTTGTTAACTGGACCGGCAAAAAGAGTCTGTAGCGATCCAAAGGTCATGTGAGACATCAGTGGTAATTGAAGTGTTTCAGGTGGGCGGGATGCTCAAGATGATCATCGTCTGCCACGTCGTCGCTCTCCTCTTCACCACCGGACTTCTCAGCCATTGTCCACAGCGCGAATTTGTCGGAATCAATCTGGGATACGATGATTTGTAAGGAGAATGAACGGGAATGGGAAGGACTGAAATGACTGTTCAGGAGCATCGACAAAGGGCACGACTTCAGCATTTCTTCGCAGTGCAACACAAATTGTGACTGTAAAATGGAGTGGAATCCGGTTTGCGATCGGAACAACGGACACATGTACTACTCGGCTTGCCATGCGGGGTGCACCGCCATGACGAAAAATCAGGTAACTGGCGGGTAAACAAGTGATGTCTGACGGTAATCAATTTGCAGGGATCAACCGAATGGTCGGGGTGCGGCTGCCTCACTTCCAACTCGACGTTCCACAATCTGATCCACGGAGCGAAGGCCCATTCGGAGGTGCTTCATCAGGGGTACTGCCATCAGGATTGCGGATCGAGAGAGTACATTCTCATGGTCACTCTCTTCGTCACCGTCGTCGCCAGCTTCGCGTCCGGCATTCCGACTCAACAGATCATGCTCCGCGTCGTTCCGTTCGACCAACGAACCCTCGCTCTCGGCATCAACTGGACGTTCGTTCGTCTCCTCGGATTCATCCCCGGCGGAATCCTCTTCGGAGTCATCATCGATACGGCGTGTCTCGAGTGGGGAGAGAGCTGCGGAAAACCCACCTCCTGCCTGATTTACGATCCATTCAAGCTCAGTTGGACCATTACCGGACTCGGTATGACGCGTGCAGTCTGAAACGTTTTCCTCAAACTTCACTCATTTAGCAATCGTGTGCAAGCTGCTCTCAATTCTCGCCACAATCATTGGATACATGACGTACCGCCCGTCCGATCTCGACAATGCCGGTGAGTTTTTGCGATAACCTGTTTGAGAAAAGCTGAAGCCGTGGTAAAAGGGAATACTGTAGGGAAAGGTGCGTGGCGTCGAAATTTACGGAAGCCGGCGGCGAACTCGGGGACTGGCGAGCCGCTTCTGAGGCCAGTTTAGAGGGTAAGAGAGTGCTTCCGCTAACTCTCGCCCCCTGTCCTCCGACTAATTCGTGTGCGGGATCAGATTGGAAATGAATTTGTTTGCAGGCTCGATCCAGACAGTCGACAGTCACTGCCACACGGCCCTCCATCTCGTTGTAAACGACGATCGCCTTCCGGAGCAGGCCATCATCCACGCGAGTTACGGTCACATTTGAAGTGCTCATTTTCGTTGTTTTCTGGATAAGATACGGTAGCAGACTCTCCCTCAAACGGGTCTTCATTTTCCCCCAGCCACCCGCATTATTAGTGCATCTCTACCGTAAATTATTGCACAATCAGGTTGTTCCCTTGCTTTATGTTGTGCCTTTTCTCATCGTTTCTTTTCCCTGTGTACATATTGGTGGATCATGATTCATGAATCAATTTTATTTTCCAGTGAAGCGGCAAACGTGTTTCAAAATGAACTAAAAATTTAAATGCGCATAATTTGAATCTCGGAATAATCCGCGACGGATTCTTGGTTGCTGAGCTCTCCTGCGTGCATGTTAATCGACATCTTCACATAACTTCCAGTGTGTCCTTTGGCCAGCGTCGACGAATTCACGAAGAGACTTTGTCCGACTACTTTCGCGTACGGAGCCAATCGAGACGGAACGAATAGAATGTGAGGACTGGCCGATAGCGTTCCCACTTCGAGAAGATCTTCCAACGACGTGGGCAGTTCTGCCGGCTCCAGTGGGTACAACGACTGTTGCGTCAGCAAATGACTGTTCAATCGGGCCATTCTGTCGTTGTTCTCCTGATCGGCTGATCGGTGGAATTCTATGCTGCTCAGTGCTTGAACCGGTTCGCTGCTCGTCACTGCTATCTCGAGACCAGACCGTCCGATCCGGAGGACACACGGATCAGGCGCATAAATAATATCTTTCCTGATACTGTCAATCTTCTTCCGATTGAGGATGAATGGAGCAGTGGGAAAGACGGGCGGAACACAGAGATCACGAGCAGCGGACGGTTGGATGATCACTTCTGTTTTCGTTCTGAAAAAAACGGCATTATATGACTGGGAGCGCCAGAAATAGCTTACTCCTGAAGTTTTTGTTTGATTTTCATAAGCAAGTCTTCGAGTAGGTTATCGTAAGTGTTTGTGAATGCCGCACTGCTCAAGAAAGTGTTTCTGCGATCAATGAACGGACCCGCCAAGATGAGAATATCCGGCTTCTCCAAGACGACCTTGTCGAGGAGTTCGCACAAATGCTCGTATCCACAGTTGTCCATTGCAGTGAACGGACCCGATGCGAACCAGATTTCCTCTGAAAGTTGTTCTTAACCTGAATCGACGATGTTACGACATACTTGTCGTGTCATTTCCAATTTTAGAAACAGGAAGTGCGGGTGGTGTGAATACTTGATCGACCCACAGCTCGTCTCCAGTCTCATTGAAACCTCGGACGGCAACGATTTGACCAGGGAAAAATGTGAACTCGGCAGTCATTTTGCTCACGTTAAGATGGACCAACGTGCCGTCCTCGTCGTCTGAAAGCGAAGTATTTATTTTGAATTCTTATAACATTTAGATTACTGATCATGAGCGCAACGGAATGCTCTCCGAATTTGTTGTCCTTTGACTCGTCGTGAACAATCTGTCCGTAAGTGAAGACTGCATCCACTGATGGAATCAGTGGATTTCCCCAATCGACAATCTCTTCGAAGGTATTCTGGAGAAGTTGAGCAAAGTCTCCCATCCTTTTGGACTTTGCTGAAATGGCAACGTTGATTTTTTCGCTCGAGAACTGTTTTACTCACCTTGAATGACCATTGACGATTTCTCTCCTCCGTACAAAAGTTTAGGATCTTTCGAAATAACGGCCACTTTTTCTTCCGTTTTTGACGTTGGTTTAAGCCCTTTCTCAGTGTATTTCTTTCCACGAGATGTACTGTACACACCGCCCTTTTCCACTCGTTTCAAGAATTTCATATTCGCTGGAGATGACCTAGAACAAGAACCATTTTGATATAAATTTGAAATCAATCCTTACAAGAAGGGCGAAAACTCGAGAAAGTGTCCTTCGAGTTTCGACACTGCCGACGACGACAGACTCAGTTGGCCGGTCCTCTCGTCATCCGGGGCTCCACTGAGTGTGAAACCACTTCTTTCGGAAAGAGGAACACGTCTAAAGCAAGTTGAATGTTTTATTTCACAGTCGTTTTGAACAGCTTACGCAGGCCTCTTCGTGGATTTGGGCGTGTGCGCAATCTTCTGAGCTTCTTTTTCCAACACTTCTTCCAGCTGGGAAAGGACATTGGAGTCGACTGTCGCCTTTTTGCTGTTTTCCATAATTGAAATAATATCGTCGGAAATTTCTTCCATTGATTTTTTGTATATCTTACATAGTCCTTCTACTAGAAAAAAACAATTTCTTTTTAGAATACTCTAATTATGATCAACTTACATTTCTCAATTAAACTTTCATTCTCTGGACATTTCATTTGGAACGAATCCAGAAACTTATTTAAAACCTTCAAATCGAACTCTGATGTCATTTTATGACGGGACAAACGAAGAGCAATCACGAGCAAGGCGAAATTGCAAGTGAAAAAGAGTAATTTTTATAACACTCAAATTTGGCGCGCTCTTTTGTTCGCAATGGAGCGCATTTGCAGCAACACCAACAGTCCGTTTGGACTGTATACTCGGAAGAGAAACAAACAGTAAAGAGCAACACTGGCATGTGGGAGCCCGTAATAAATAAAGAAACAATAATGGAAAGTGGGGCTTACTGGCAACTCGGAAACTGGTTTCTCTCTTCCTCCACAGGTCGCTCTCCTACGCAAACCCTTTGGAGCCACCCGCGGGGGAATTTTTGCACTTCCAGTCCTCCCCCCACTTTGTGTGTTTATGTCACTGACGGGTGTTCTTCTCCCGCTCTCCAGTTATCATTGGATTCGCCCTAGCTTCTCGGATTTTAACTAAACAATATCCCTCTCGGATTGGAGGAGCAGGGGCGGTCGGGAGAGCACGCAGACGGCGAGCTGAAGTCTGCCGACGGGAGCCAACAAAAAAGCAGTGTAACACGGCAAATGGGACCGCGAGGAAGTGTGGGAGCCGGAGAGACAGAGAGGACAGGCGCTGCCCGCGGGAAGCGAGAGCATCTCGGCCCGAAGGCACCCGCAAATCCTTGCATATTTACTCCTCTCTCCTCGCTTTTATCTTTCTCCCGCTGCAGAGAAAGTTGCCGAATTTCAGATCGGAATGGCTCAAATTGTTCGACAAAGCAAGTTCAGACATGTGTTCTGTAAGCCAGTGAAGCATGAGAGCTGCATGTCCGACATTAGAGTACGTGCTTCGAATATTCACAGCGAAACTTTCTTCTTTCCGTTTCTAGGTCACTGAGATCACCTGGGACTCTCTATTCTGTGATGTCAATCCAAAGTTCATCGCTTTCATCAACAGAGGCGCCGGCGGTCCGTTCATGGTGATTCCCGTCAACAAGGTACGTCTTCCTTCCCTTCCCACACATGTTTCCTATCTATTTAACTGCTAGCGAGGTATCATGTGTGCTTGTTGTTATTTCTGTTTTGCCCACACACCAACTGCTATCTAAGCGGTCATAGAACACTTTTCCAGATCGGAAGAATCGACAAGGACTATCCGTTCGTCGACGCCCACAAGGCGCCGTGTCTCGAAGTCGCATGGAGTCCTTTCAACGACAACGTCATCGCCTCGTGCTCCGAAGACACCACGTGCAAAGTTTGGGTCATTCCGGACCGAGGACTCTCTCGCAATCTGGTCGAGCCAGCCGTTGAGTTGACGGGACATCAGAAGAGAGTGAACACGATTGCCTGGCATCCAGTGGCCAACAACGTTCTTTTGACTGCGGGTGACTCGCGGCATTCAAAAGAACACTGTTAAAATGAGCGGTTGCAGGAGGAGAGAATGTGATGTTCATGTGGAATGTGGGCACGGGAGAGGCTCTTCTTGAGATCTCTGGACATCCGGATCAGATCTGGAGCATTAATTTCAATTACGACGGAAGTCAGTTCGTGACCACTTGCAAGGACAAGAAGATTCGTATTCTGGACTCGCACACCGGTGAAGTTCTTCACGAAGGAACCGGTCACGAGGGAGTGAAGCCTCAAAGAGCCATCTTCGTGAAGGATGGACTCGTTCTTACAACTGGGTAATAGAAATAGAGCTGATTTGAACATAAGTCTCTCTTCAGATTCACGAAAAGATCTGAACGTTTGTACGCCCTCCGTGCTCCAGAAGACCTCTCCACTCCAATTGTTGAGGAAGAGCTGGACACTTCGAACGGCGTGATGTTTCCGTTTTACGACGAAGACGCTGGATTGGTGTATCTAGTGGGTAAAGGCGACTGTGCCATTCGGTACTACGAAGTCAACAACGAGGCTCCGTTCGTGCATTACATCAATACGTACACAACGAGTGAGCCACAGAGAGCCATCGGATTCCAATCGAAGAGAGGAATCACATCGGAAGAGAACGAGATCAACAGAATTTACAAGTTGACCACGAAGGGAGTCGTTGATATTCTTCAGTTCTTTGTTCCTCGAAAGTCAGATCTGTTCCAAGTGAGTGTGCTGCTTCTTATCATTAGCATCCGAAAGGGTTTCAGCATGATCTTTACCCAGACACCCGTTCAACCATCCCTGCGTTGACGGCCGAGGAGTTTATGGAAGGAAAGAACTCTGCTCCGAACCGGCAGCCCGTAAATGCGGCCGCCGCTGCAGCTGCTTCAAAGCCGAAGGTCCAGGTGGCCAAGAAGGCGAACATCCTGAGCACTCTCGCTCCCACTACGTTAGTTCTTTTTCTTACTGTGAATTGTAGTTGTTTCAAATTCAGCGCAGAGAGTGCTTCTTACTCGGAACGTCCATCTGCCGCTTCTTCTGCCGCCCCGTCGCCCCGTCCGTCGGCTTCCCCGAGACCTCGTCCAGTTGTCGTCGACGAGGATATGGGAATTGTTCCGATGCGGGAGGCTCCTCCGAGCAGACCGGCTTCTTCCAGAGCATCTAGGACTGAGATTCCTCCGAGAGAGGAGAACAAGCCGGATCCGATGAAGCCGAAGCAGGCGGTAAGATCCTCGCCCACTTCTCGCCGTCTTCAGCACAGCTTTCCTCCGCCCAGCTTCTTCATGCATGCTTCCTTCTCTCACTCACTTTCCCTTCTTTCAGGTCACACTCAAGTCCCGAGCTGCCCGTGATGAGCCGGGAGGTGAAGGACAGACTGCTGGTCAGAGAAGAGCGGCCGCCGAGTTGGAGAAGATCAAGAGGTCCCAGGGGGGAAACGCCGATGAGGACACTTTGGCTCCGCCCCCTCAGTCGAGAGCTTCCGCCTCGCCACGTGGCAGCATTTCCTCTGATGCCGGGGCACGTTTCACTAACTTTCCTTCCCAGGGCTCTCAGCTTCCAGCCTTACCGAATCCAAGTTCCGCGTTCCCATCTCAATATTTTGTTTACAGCACGTGCCGCAGAATATGGACGAGCTTCTCGATGATCTTATGAAGATGAAGGCGGTGCTCCGGCAGCACGAGCGTCGCATCCGAATGCTCGAGGAGGAAATCGCCGACCGCAATATGAGCAACGCCTACTCCTTCTAATTCGCACTGCTCACTTCTGTTTGTAAAAATGTTTGATGACCCATATTTCAAGCAATAAAAGAGTAACTACTTGGCGTCTCTTTCCCATTCCCGGCGGGCAGATTCCGGTTATTCGGCGGGTGTTGTTAACCACGCGTATCGCCTTCACTTACCGACACTTTCGCCCGCGCGCTATCCGATCTGTCCCCGTTGTTATCATTGTTTCTGCCCGAATCCGTCCTCCACTAATCACTTTCCGCTGTCCGCTCATCCCTTTCTATGGCTCTTCTTTTACTCCTATTCTCACTAATCTTCTCGCTCGTCGGTCGTCCGCCTGTCGATGCCTTCCTCGCATCGGCATTTTCTTCGGTTTCACAAGCTGGAAAGACTTCGAACTGCCACGATTGGAGTGAATACGGACCGTGCTTCAGGTAGCTGTTTGTGTTTTTCCACTGTTGATCATAGTTCATTCGGAACTTGGCCTTCAAAAGTTCCTATCATCTTTGTTTAAAAATTCTCGTCAGATGACCGTATGATCTTTTCTAGTACCTCCGATCGATCCTTCTGGCACCGTCTCCCCCAACAATGCTATCAAAACCGTTACATGTCTGTACGTGACCGGTCTTTCCGTTCTCCCACAATCAATCTTTTTGCAGCTGATAACCGGTATCGGAAATCCGATTGTGCAGAAAGTGATGGACTACGCGGAGCTCTTCAACAAATCGGCGGATGCGTGTGGAATGTGCAACGTGCAAGTCGCCTGTTCGCCCCGTTGTGACTACGTGACCGGGTAACTCGAAAAACGGACGAGACAAACAAAAACGAGGATTCAGAGGCAACTCGTTCGGCGTCGTCGACCGGATTTGCGACTTGCCGACGGAGAAACAGGCGTGTGCGATGACTCCGCAGGCGTTCGACGAAAGCAGCGGACTGTGCAAAGTGTGGCCGCCCAGGTACGTCTTCTCGAAGAGCGGCACAACTCCTCCTCCTCCTCCTCCTTCTCCTTCTTCTTCTTCTTGATGCGAGATTCAGATACACAACGGCCGTTGACTTCCTCGGAGCCCTCGTTCCTCCGAACATTCGTGACCAAGTGTGGGCTCTGAAACCTCTCAACTGCATAAGCATCAATGGAAAGTGCTACTGCTGCTGCTCGCCGTACACTCCGAACCCTTGCGACGCCCAGTGCACTCTTCATCCGTGCTCGAGAAGACAGTCGTTCTCGAAGACGCAGATCAAGATTCTGCGAAGGAAATGGCTTCAGAAGCAAGAAGAAAGAGCGGATCGAGAGGAGGGAGCAGAATGAACAATTGGCGGATGAACTTAATAGAAAGTGTAATAATTAAAAATGAAACAGTTGTATTGAACTTGATTTCAACCCGAATTATAACAACCAGAGTTGAGCGGAAATGGAATTTTGAAATACGGAAGACGGCAGACGGCAGACGGAAGAAAATTTTTCTTACGGAACACGGAAAACGGAAGACGGAAGAAAATTTTTCTCACGGAAAACGGCAGACGGAAGACGGAAGAAAACTTTTTTCCCGGAAGACGGCAGACGGAATACGGAACAAAAAATCGTCAATTCAGAGCCTTTTTTTCCGGTTTTTTTTTTGAAAAAAATAACTAAAGCAACAAAACTTTTGGATCTGGGTACTGCCCGTGGAAATTCGCGTTCTTCGGGACTAGTAAATGGCTTTTGAAAAGCTATTACTCTTTTACGGTAAGAAAAAAAATCCCGGAAGACGGCAGACGGCAGACGGAAGAAACATTATTTTACGGAAGACGGCAGACGGAAGACGGAAGAAAACTTTTCTCACGGAAGACGGCAGACGGAAGACGGAACAAAAAAAACCGCGGAAGACGGAAGACGGAAGACGGCAGACGGAATTCCGCTCAACACTGATAACAACTCGTGAATTTGTCACCGTCAAAAGTGAACACATTTTTTGTGTAAATTCCTGAGATTCTTTTCAACTTCTCGGTTTGACTTTCTATTTCTTCGGACGTTTTTCCAGTCAGTTCCTTCGGTTTCTCTTCTGAAACGTGGCAATCTTTTTTTCAACATTCGCTGAGATATCGTACCTTCCACTTCGTCCAAAAACTCGAAATTCTCGAATGGATCCGTCTGATCGTCTTCTTCGTCATCCTACAACATGTATCTTTTCCCTTTCCTTTCTGTAGTTTGTATTCTGTGCCCTCTCACCTCTTCTTCTCCGTTTTCTCGTCGCAAGTCGATCACTGCGACGGCCCGTCCGTCGTTCGAATTGCAAAAATGAGCCAATGCGGCCAAAAGAGATCCCATTTGCGAACCGTTCTTCGGCACACTCAACGAGCAGATTATGGCGGCGACGTCACAATCGATGCTTCCTTTGACAGCTTCATCGATGCAACCGAGCAGAAGATTTCTGCGGTTGTATCCGAAACGAATGCGACGAAGAGCCGCCACTTTCGACGACCAGTCCACGTCGATTTCGGGAATTCTATTTAACGCCTTCCGTCTAGCCCAGAACACAATGTCATTCGGATTCTGATCAGCCCATCGGATCGCCTTGGCGAACAGGTGGTCTTCGATCTTTGGGGAATCGGTGAACACAACCGATAGGGCATCACAAAGTTCGGACATCTTCGGAAGCTTTTATTTTTAGTGCAAAAGTTGAAATAGATAAAATCTAATATTTAAGAACAGGTTAAAGTACCCTGGATGTCTAACGTGAACTCAAAAAGCTTTCTGTAAACGTTTATTAATTCTCGATTTCAAACATCAATGTGAATGGTCCACAGGTCATGGAGAGTGAATCCATTGCGGATCGGTTCGATTGCCAATCCGAGTTCCGGATTCAGCACCGGCAATCTCTTCTCGTCGGTTGTGCTGTGATGTCCGTCAAAATAGGCGGCGAACGGATCCGGACGGACGTTTTGCATTTCCACGTCGTCTTCAGTCGTGTCGATCACATCCACCTCCTCTTCGTCCTGGTTGCTGGGGCGTGTCTCTGGTTTCTGAAAGATTGGAACATAAAATTGAACTGGGGAATTAGCTGCTTAAATACATCTGACTTCTCTCTGACATAAGAAACGCCGAAGATCGGTTTGAGAAGATGCGCCTTGTGTAGGGATTGAATGGTCTTCAGAAGGCTTTGCAGTTTCTCCTGCGGGTCGACACGGAATCCGAGCACGTATTCTCCGCTGCTCGAAGTAGTTTCCAGAACGAGAGCCATTCCAAACTTGGACTCGCGGACTCTGGCCGAGTAGAGAGTCAGGTAAGGGACGGAAACGTTGTAGCCGATGTTCAGTTCGGCGTACCAGACGATGCGGATGTTGGTGATTATGAACACTCCGAGGCTTCCCTGCAAACACTTTCCCATCGCTCTCTTCTCTTTCTTTTCCTCTTACCGTTTCGGTCGAAAGATTCCACACTCCGCCCACTTTCTCGACAATGTTCTCTTGTGGCAGAATGCGAAGTGTTCCGTCGTCTCTGATGAATATTCCTCTCATTTTCAGTTCTCTGTACATTTTTGTGGTTTCATAAGCTCTGCTGATCGAGGAGATAACATTGAAAAGTTTGGAATGAGAAGACGTGCTGGTGGTTGTGAAGATGAATTCGAACTTTGTGGTCGACGAATTCACTTTGGCCAGCACGTAGATTGCCTCGTTGGATCCTCCTCTGTTCCGTTGCAGCAACTGTTCAACAATTCACTCATTCCCTTCTGAACCGCCCATTTCGCTCACCGACGTGGCCGTCTTGCTCTGCACTCCGGTTATACAGTTCCATCCGATCGTAATATTGATTCTCGGCATCGAGGCGGCGTGCCAGATCATCCGCAGATTCGTCACTTTCATCGTTCCTGCAACTGCCATTCGAATTCTCATTTCATTTTCTCCTTTTTCACCTCTGTCCCCGTTGTTTCCCTTCGTATCTTCCACGTTATCCACTCTCGCCACAAGGGTCTCTCCATTGATTAGTTTGAGAAGTCTGGAAGTGATCGAAGCTCATTTTGATGAGAGTTGAGAACTTACTTGTGATCCACGTCGAATCGGATCTCCCTGTCGTGCCAAATGTCCTCTCCGTTAACTCGTTCCATTCTCGGAGCTCAAATGTCCTCTTCTCGGCGTAGTGCGCGCGAGCTCTCTGGTTGCCATAGAGACGGGCCGACAACATGAGAAATAGAAGAGGGGAAAGATTTATGAGAACGTTAGCAATTCGGAATCATCACATCGGGAGGAGTTAGGGAATAAAGGACCAATCAAATCACATAGGATCGCTTCCCGAAAGAAGAGATATGGAAACAACAGGAAAGAATGCGGAACTTGGTCACAATGATACAACGAGGGATTTTGAAGGAGGAGAACGTGGTAAGATGAGTGGCTAAGGAATAACTGACAAGAAGAATATATAACTATGCATATTAGAAGTGAGCAAATTTAGCTGGCAACGCCTTGCGAGTAGGTTCCAGACGGAGGACGAAGCGCTTTGGGAAGAAAGTGCATTTGGAACGGACTGAACGAGTAGACCGGCTTTCCCACATTCTTCCGGCAGTTCTCGCGACGAACTCCGTCTTTCCGGAGGGAACTGACAACCTCCGATATCTGAAAAAAGTAAAATTTTTATAGTGGAAAGATTGTTGACGTGGCAGACCTGTGTAGGGTTGAACCCGCATGTCTCACGAAGCACTCTTCCTTGCTCCAGAGTCGATGCCATTCCAGTTCGGTCTTTCCCGCTCTGAAATGTTGAAGTTTAATAGTGCCTTCTGAAGAAGTGTGTGCACCTTGCAACAAATAACTGACTCTCCGCCGAGCTGCTCGCTAGCCATCATTGCCCATTCGAACATGGCGATGTTCTTTCGGGACGGCTCGCTTGTCACCTCGTTCACCACTTCCATTACGGCTTCTCTTGCTCGTTGATTCGCCTCGTTCCGGTTTGCGAACATATTCAGCTTATCAGCAGCTTCCTGATTCACTTGACTCTCGATGGTAATTCCGCCGAAAGACTGGCCGAAAGTTGCTTCATGGTTCACTCCAATGTTGAAATAAGCAGTGACCACTCTGAATTCAGAAGTCCATCTTGTGTCATCCGGAAGAGCGTCAAAGTAGTTGTGTGGAAGAGGAATCGACACTTTCAAACTGCTTCTGGATCCCTGCACCATTGGAATGCATGTTCGACAGACTGCGGAAGGAGCACGGACGAGACGGAAACGAACTCGTTGTTCCAGACATTTCCATGCTTCGATCGCATCCTCTATCATCCCTCTTTCGTCTCCATATGCCGAGAGGAATGAGAATATTACAAGGAGAAAATCTGAAAGAAGTAAGAGTAAATGAGAAATGAATAAGTTGCCAACCTTCTACAAATGGTAAATTTCTCTTTTGGATTCTGTTCAGAATGGCTGTTGTGGCTATTGTGATAGCTTGCGAGAGAACGAAGTCAGTTCGGATCATAATGTGGAAGTAAGCGTGGGCAACAGAGCTCTTCTGAAGCGACTTGACGAGAGAGAACAATTGCGATTCGAGTATGGAATCGGCGAGTGAGAGAAGAATGTCGAGACACGTGGATATCGCCTGTCGGGTGTTCTTCTCGCACGCTTCTCGTTCATGCGGAGCTTCGTTCAGAGTGTCAATGACAGCGATCTTCGTGTTCAGACTGACACTCATCGCATCGATCCTGTCTATTTGGTTTTGGATATTATCGTAAACTCGTGTGTCTGGCATCTTCAACCCTGCCGCCTCCCGTCGTTTTTCTTCTTCCAGCAGAATATCAGAGCACCTTTCAATATCAGGAAGACTGGACAGGACGTCCTTCAGGCCCTCGTACACCTGCTTTATCCCTGCGTGCACTTGCAGACAGATCTTGTCAGGACTCCCGAACTTTGCAATCTTCCATTCCTTTTCAATCTTGTGACTCAGTTCACCGATTGTTTTCTTCAAATCCAAAAGTGTTTGTCGCTTGTTCCAGAATGTGTAGTCGTAGTTGTATGACTCAATGTCCAGAAGCGAGTACAATTTCACGAGACCACCGTTCTGTAATAAACTGAACGTTTGAGCAAAAAAGACAAAAGAGTTACATTATAACGATAAGGAATAGCAGATGCGGTCCCTGCCGTGATAAAGTCTCTTTTGTCACTCGCGTTGATTTCATATCTGAACAGGACAAGAGCGTCATTACCTTCACATTTCTTGCTAAAAGACTCACGAATGAACATGAAGATTTGTGGGAACGAGTCCGAATGCCACTCGATGCTTTTCTGTCGACTTCCGGAAACTTGGCCCGGAATAAACGTCGACGAATTCAAAGCATTGCTCGTAAGTTTCTGACATTTCTCTCAGCTGTCTCATCACTTCGTGCAGTCCTCCTATGGTTGAATGTGGCCACACTTTTAGACGACTTTCCAAAAGTGCAGAAAACCTGCAATTTATCACAATATTCCTGATAAAAACATGTTGGAAACACTTACTCAGTTATTTTCTTTTTGTTTAATTTGATAATCTCCTTCGGGATAATTAAAGATAGTTTTGTCTCGCACATGCATTCCTCGACTATCACACGCCTTGCCGGCAGGTTGTTCTGTTGCGAAATGGCAAAATTGTGAGATATTCTGAGAGGAGCAGTGAGGTAGAAGTTCTGGAAAGCGGACGTCTTCGTATCGATGACACCGTCTAACTCTCCAGAAGCGGAAGGCGACATCGTGTAAAATTTGTAGGCGAGTTCGTCTAATTCTGCTCGAGCCATCTGATGAGAACACGTGGCAAGCTGTAAAACTAGAAAAATTTGAAAAAGTGGGGAAAGAGAAACTACTTTTATCATCCACTGTTCCCTGATCTCTTCACTTTCCACCGTGATTTCCAAGTTTTCGGACGCGTCGCTGAATGTGAGAACGAACGAGAATTGGCCACTTTCTTGCTATAAAACAGATCTGAGCTCAGAACTGAATGAACTGAACTCACGTTGTCTTCAAATTTCTTGATGATGACTCTTTCGAGCAGAAATATGAGAGGTACGCAGGCGGTGACCGCTTCTGCGCCGCTGCACTCTTCGACGCAAAGAACGTTGCCATGGAGAAGGACCTGAGGAAGACGTAAAAGACTCTTTGATTTATTGGAACGGACACTTACTCTCGCAGAATATGATTTCGTCTTGTAGCATACGGTAGCAGTGCCGGAGAGGTCGTACTCGACGTTCTGCTTCGTAAACGCTTTGAAGATCTCATTCGCGTTGTCTTCGTCCATTGTTCCTGCAAGAAATGGACATGGCAAGTGGGAGACATGAAGAGAACCGGTTTTTGTTTCTTATACATCATTTTTTGACTATAAATGTGTCATGTCACGAAGGAAACATCGAAAGACATGTGCAAAAGTACGCGAGGCGGACGAAGAAAAGAGCCTCGTTTTCTCGGCCAGCGGCTCTTTTCCGAGAGAAGTACACAGTTTTTTTCGATGGGACCAGTCATAAAGTGACTGCTCATCTGGATAACTTGAAGTAAAATTATCAAGATTGCTTACTAAAGTAATAAAATAAGGGTTCTTTTTCAAACTTAACAGAAAAAAAGCAACTCCCCCTTCTCTTGAAAAATTGAGCCCGATGAGTCATCGGCTCATTTATCGAATTTTTAAACAACCAATACTTTTGCAGCTGTTCCGGCCAAACTACCAGAATGCTTTAATCTGAATATGTTCACATCCACAATGGGATTTCCGTCGACGCCACTTGAAGCCAAACAAGCTCTAGGAATCTCATCTGTCATCAATGCCGGTAAGTTTCATTGTGAAACGTTTTCAAAAGCGCTCATGCGCCTTTAAAGGTATCGTAGTCGCTAGACACGGTAGAAGAACAGAACATCCGCAAAAAACTGCGCGAATCGTTTGAAAATCTAACCAAATTCGCCCGCCAATTGAATGTATTCGCTGACTCGGCACTTGAGTATTCGCAAGAAATCGGTTAATGGAGGTGTAAAAATCAATTCTCAGCAGCGTTTTCAAAAAATTTTCTAAATTTCAGTCTCATCCGGCCTTCGCGCGGGCAGTCCCATGCTATCTTCCAGCTATGAGCCACAATTCTCGTTCGCCCGGTGTGTCGAGCAATGGAAAGGAAAAGAAATTGCACGATGGATTGAAGGTTTATCGATTGGAATTAGAAGAAAACCTGAAAACGTTCTTTAGGACTTGGTGACCAAATGAATCCGTATTTGGGCATGATCCGAGACAACATCAGAAGTGGGAAACAGCTGGAAGTGCTCGACGACGATTCTTTAAAAAAGATTGGCATTTCGGCGCTCGGAGCGAGAAAGACTATCCTTCAAGCAGTTTCTCTCCTGTTGTACTTTGTTAGTTCTTTCAAATTTGAGATTGTGAAAAGAGGAAAATTTGCAGTGCTACGAGTCAGAAGAAGAGAATCTACAGCGGCTTGCCCAACAAGTGAAGACCTCGTGCCTCTACACAGAACGAACGATGATGTCGGCGATGAAAATGCGCGAGAAGGCAATTCGACGGGCCGAGATTGTCAAGATCCTAAACAATGTCTCAAATGCCGTTCTTCAACTTGCCGAGCACACAAAGCGACTCGTCTTCTGGCTAGACCGTGCTCCGTACGACGAAGAGCCCATGTTCGTGGAGGCAAGAAACAAGATCGCCTCATTCATGTGGAATCTTCTTCGAAATGTGAATGTCCAACCTAAAGCGCTCTTTGAAACCGGAGGTCACATAGTTCGAATGTCCAAAGAGCTCGCCTACGAGTGTCAGAAAGTTGTCGACTATGAAGATCCACTAGTTTTGTATGCCTGTTTCGTAGAAACCGCTCAGTTGCGTCGCAGAGGAGCCAACATAAATTGGGTTTGATTTCCTACGTATTCGATAGAAAACACTTGTGTCTTTTAGGGTTTGAACATTCAATCCTCTTATCGAGGCGTACATGTTGTCAGTGAAATCAAAGAAGGTTCTCCGGCCGATGCTTGCACCAAAATCGACGCCGGTGACGAGATTCTGATGATTAACGGACGGGCGGTCGTCGGATGGGATCTCACAAGAGTCGTCGAACGCATCGGAGCCATGGACGTTTCCGATCTTTCCCTGGTTATAAAGCGACGTCCGAAAGAGCCGATGCTACCGAAAAGACAGTCGAAACTTCGAGCAATTGCTCCATCCAGCCAGGCTGCAAAAACCTATTCGACTGACGACTACGATCCATTCGGGCAGTCGGAACCATTAAAAAGACACCGTAGTTGCCACGTTATCTCCGAGATAATCAAGGAGAATGAAAAGAGGACGTGAGTCTTTAAGAAAACGTTTTCAAAAAGAAACTACGTTTGCTTCAGAAGAACGAGTCGCCGCTTGATTCGCCGTTCGTCGATCGCATCGGCATGTCCGCGAAAAGAACGGAAGAATATGGATGAACCGTCTGTGGACGAAGATGAAGACGACTGGGACGTGCACGAATTCATCCGCGACATCGACGGAGAAGAGGAGGCTCTTGTGCCACGTATCGCCAAGAGAACTCGCACAATGAGGCATCAACCGGACGGATACGTTCGAAGTTTCATCGACAATAAACTGGTGACCGATATCGAAGATGACGTGGTCAATGATCAACTCACTTTCAATGTCAAATGTAAGAGAAGATAACGCGTCGTCCAATAAAAGAACGTTTGCTTTTTAAGGCCCCAGCGAGTTTGCGCAGATCAAAGAAGTGGACCGTGAAGAGCTGAAAGTGCTGAATCTCCCGGAAGCCAGAATCTCGGACGATGAATGGAAAGCTCCATATCAAGAGTTTGCGACTCCGAGTTTCAGATTTGTCGGAGACTCGAACGTGTCCGGCTACAGCCTCGATTCTCCCCGATTAGTGTCCGTAGCAGGGTAAGCATCCTGTCTCGTCCCTTTTCAACCCCTTTTTCTAGTCGCATGACCTCCTCCATCGAAGAATCCGCTTTCGGCGTGCTGCCGAGCCCTTCCACTTCCTCCATGAACAGTGTAAGTAGTCCTGCTCCGTTCGGAAAAGTGCAGATGACGTCGTCGGAATGGTCTCCTCATGCCGAAGACGTTCCCGGATCTCCGGTCACTGCTGCCTATGCGGGAATGGAGAAACTTTTCGAAGGATGGGTGAAACGTCGGAAAACGAGAGCAGAACTGAATGCGAACGAAGTAACGAACAAATGGCCTAAGTGCTGGATGTGTCTGCGTGGGCATTACCTGCTGCTCTCCCAGAATCAGTTCGTCAAACGTCCTGATATGATAATCAATCTCTCAAAAGCTACCATTTCCGATTCGACAGATTTGAAAACTTCCAAGAAGAAGTGAGCTCAGGCCATGCATTTCATTCTAATCTATCTTTTGTTCAGCATCTTCCGCATCACTTGCCCTCCTCTGGATTACCACTTCTCGTGCCTCACTGCGATGGACTGGAAAAAGTGAGCAAACGTATTTCGAACAACTTCTGATTTCTTTTTTCTTGTAGTTGGATTCAAAAAATGAAAATGGCCAAGGAGATATACGGAACCACCAATCAGCCACGTGTCATGTCACAGTGTATGTCGCCACTTCTAAACGTCCGATGCAATTCACTTCATTTCAGCCGTATCCAGCTACAACAACGATCTTTCCGACCAGAATCATTTTTTGGGACACACGCAGATGAGTACCAGCCAGGTATTTGTCTCTTTTTGTTGCAGCCTAACGTCTGTTTCAGCACGCGGAATTGAGTGCATTGTCTAGAGGCACCACAAATGGAATGTCTTCGTCAAAGTCCGGCTCGTCGGGCTTCAAAAGCAAATGAATACTGTTCCATCCTTCCCTGTCGCATGTGAATATTCTTGTTCCATCCTGTATAATTACTCCTCCCCCTTTCTCTTTCTCCCTCTTTTTCTAATGCTTTACCTTCCTCACTCTGTCACACATGGCTTTTCTTCCCGCTGCAATTGGATCCCCGATCTTACCCTTTTTTTCTCTCTCTCTCTCTTTGTCTCTGTGTCTCATGATCCTCCTTTCTCCTAATTCAGTTCTAGTCGCACCCCCTTCTGATCACCCATATGAAGAGAACTTGTCCCCCATATCTCTAATACAGCTGACTTCTAGATGCCACTTTGTGAATGGTGGATCACTGAATTAATAAAGAACTCTGCACCAGAATGTTCGAATTCGAATTCCATTCGCGAAAAATAGGCGCAGCTCCTGACAATATCTCACAAACATCTGAATTGTCATGCAAACGCCGGCATTGACACTCGTTTCTTCGATCATCTCACTTTTTACGATTCCTCTCTCCAGATGTGGTTATTCTTATTTCTACTGGTAATAGGAGCAGTTTCATCCGAAAAACACACGGTGTCCCGCGTGGATCCCAACAAATACTCGATAGTCGTCGAGAAGATGTTCCTTCTTTACGACGTCAACTTCGGAGAAGGCTTCAATCTGCGGAGAGACGTCTATATGCGAGTGGCGAACGCTGTCCGTTCGCTGCGAGAATCCGGACACAACTACGTGCTGGTGCTGCCTCCGTGGGGACGTCTTCAGCATTGGCAGCGGATGCAAGTCGCCCTTCCCTGGCGCCTTTTCTTCGACGTTCACAGTCTGAATCGGTTCATTCCGGTCATTGAGTTTGAGGATTTTCTCGAAGAAACCGAGAATATTCCTATCGATCAGGTACTTTATCTGCAGCATTACGAGGAAGGATGGGGCACTGAGTTCGTGCGGAAGTTCGACGAGAGACCGTGCATTCACGCGGCTGACCAATTCTACAGAAAAGACGGAGACGAATGGTGAGCAGACAAGAAGATGTTCCCTTCGAAATATTCGTTTGCAGGAAAGGATGGTTCTACTCGTACGGAGACGTTCGCGCCAGAAACTTTGAGTGTGTATCGATTCAGGGCGACTCTGACACTCTCAAAAACCTTCTGACGCACGCGAACTTTTCGCGAATGACGTCGGTGTTCGTCGATCGGGCAGAGACGATTCTGCACGAACACTACGGAGAAGTGGACTATTGGAGAGCGCGACGGAGCATGCGGTACAGTGAGCAACTCGTGGAAGCGGCGGATGCATTCAGAAGGACACATCTAGACTCGGATGACAAAAGGGACAAAACGGAGTTGGTGGAGGATTGGACGAAGGAAAACTCGAGAAGGACGGCGATCGGGGGACCGTACTTGGGGATTCACTGGAGACGGAGGGACTTTCTCTACGCCAGAAGGGACCAGTTGCCGACGGTGAAAGGAACGGCTGCCCTGCTGCATAAACTGTGTGAGCAGCTGAAGTTGGAGAGGATCTACCTGGCTACAGATGCTCCTGAAGACGAAGTGGACGAATTGAAATCGTATCTGAAGGACGGGTTGGAAGTATTTCGATTCACAGACGCGCAAAAGTTCAATGACGGACAAATAGCGATCATTGATCAGGTTGGCAGTCAGTATAGATATACAGTATGTATAGTTCTTGAACTTTCAGTATCTCTGCGCGCACGCCCGCCATTTCATCGGAAGTCACGAGTCGACGTTCACATTCCGGATCCAAGAGGACCGTGAGATCCTCGGATTCCCCATCGCCTCCACCTTCAACAGACTTTGTCCGGATCACAATGCCGACTGTGAGCAGCCTGCCAAGTGGAAGATTGTCTACTAATTCTTTTCTGGTTCACACGCATAATCTGTTCACGGGTCTCGGAACCTTGTCCATAATAAACTACCGTCTATCCCTTCCAACCGTGTCCGTACAGTGCCCTTCCGCAACACTGATTCCGAATTAGCGTCCTTTGTCCGATGGCCTTTTCCCCCGTCCGTCACATTCGGAAACGAAGAGAGCGAGAGAAAACGTTTGGATAGATATGCGTAAAATGTTTGCGCGTCGCATAATTCCCTTCAGGTTATTCGAGCCCAAACCGAGCACGAGAGCATGAGTAATCGGGCTCAGTCGGGCGGCCGGCCTAATGAGAGCTTCCACGTCACGCTCAGAAGATTTGAATTGTAGATTTTGGCTGAATCTGTAGGTGACGCGACGGAAAAATTAGGTGAAGAGAAGTGAATATGTAAATAGATATTCTTGGCTTTCGTACTACGGTAAGTTCTCTGAAAACATTTATTTCATAAGAAAATTTCGGTTCGTTGGTGACGGAAGTCCCAAGTGAATCACCAAATCTGTCGCCTATTCATACAAACATTTCACTTCTCTCTTCAAAAAGTTACGAAATCACTTCCTCCGGGGGCATTCGGGGCATTTCCCGACCGGAAAAGATGGAATGAACCGTTTTTTAATCGGTTCGTTCCGCCCTTCCTTCTCTTCCCCGTTTTTCAGCACTCTCTTCCACTCCGTTTACGCACTTTTTTTAGTTGCATAATATTCAAATACGCGCCTCTCTCTCTCTCTCTCTCTCTCTCTCTCTCTCTCTCTCTTTCTCCCTTTCCTTCCTCCCAGTTTTTTCTTTATTTGCCCCCCTCCCTTCCGTGCTTCTTCTCTTTCTTCTTTTGCCCTTTTTCATACACGCATATTGATTTCGGCTTCTTCTTCTCTTCTTCGAAGCAGATGAGCTCACAGAGCAACAGCAACCGCACGAGCTCTTCTTCGTCGCGCAAAAAAGAGAAAAGGATAACATGACACTCACGCACAAAAACTTTTCATTAGATTGATTAAATTTATGCGACGGGTTCTTCTCGCTTTGAGCTTTTCAACGGCTCCGTCCGAAAGAAGAAGAAGAAGAAGAAGAAGAAGAAGGGATTCGGGAGGACTCGTGACGAGATCGTGTGCTTCAATAATTAATGAGATGAGATGGGGATAGGGCCGGGCTCGCGGATGAGTTGATTCAGATTCGCGCCCGTCCCTCGGGAAGCAAGGAGCCGTCCCTATTTCGGGCAGAATGACATCCTTTTGATCCCGTCTTCTTTTTACGATTCTTCAACAGAGTTCGACTGAGTACGCTTCCAACTAGAATACACCCCGAGCAGATGTACAGCTCAATGAGCTCTTGCTCTGTGAACATTCCACCCCAACTAATTCCACGTTTTGTTTCTTCGCGGTTGCCCGGGCAGCTAATCACCACCTCGATGCACTTTCTCTTCTTCTTCTGACTCATGTCATTCTGATCTCTAATCTCACTGAAAGAATAGCATTGGAGCGCAGTAGCTCGCTGCCTAATAATTACCCGAGATGTTGTTGGCGGCGGAGTCGAGTGACTCTCGAGTCAAGTTCTCCGAGGGACGCTTGAATTACTTGCCAGAAGTGGGCAAAAGCCTCTCTTTTCTCTTTTCCGTTGGCAAAACATTGCTCATATCGGGTTTCCGTGCCGTCCTTTCTAACCGTTCGTTCACAAAGGTCTTCTAATTTTCAATGAGCTTTGCTGCTTCTTTTCCCTCTTGTTATTGACACCGAATAACCGCTAATGAGAGTCTCGGGAAATTGAAAGGGTTCTTCGCCTCGTCTCGCTAAAAGAAGCCATCCCGGTGCTTTCTCATTTCTCTCCAGAGCCAATTCATCAGAGACAACGTATCAAAGTTCAAGAGTGTTTTGACTGCATTTCCCCTCGCATAAGCCCTCCTGCATTCCGCTGATCCCATTAGTAATCAAGTGGTGGCACACCGGCTGGAGCTCTCGTTTCCCTCGCTCTCTTCGTTCTCTTTTCAATGCGATCCCATTCGCACCTCAAGGTTCCTCTTTTTTTTCTTTTTTTCTTTTTCATTTTTTGTCGTGAGCCTCTCCTTTTTGCTCCCTGCCCGAAAACGGAAGAAAGATAGAGACGGGCGACACAGACGTCGGGTCAGTGTGTGTCTTAATGAGAATTCTGCCGCTTCTGGCGTCTCTCTGCAAGATTCCCGCCTCTCCTCCATTTCTGGGATACGCTCCCCCATGCTCTCTCTCTCTTTTCCCTCGTGAGCACGACGTCTCCACTTCTCTTCTAGCTCTCACCACACGCACTTTGTCTCGCTCTTTCTCCGTCGTCGTCGTCGTCGCCGCCGCCGCCGCCGTTTCGAATCGGACAGCGAACCCCTGCCCCAAAAGAAGACGTTTGGCACACAACTTGATGACGTCGTTGAGCTGTGTCCGTTTGTGCTAAAAGATATCTATCTAGCTATCATCAAGAGGAAATTAGGAACACAAAAGTGCACGAGGAAATGAGCGACAGCAGCAGGCTCTTTGTGCTCATTTCTGTCTACTCGATCGCCCGTTGAGTGATAGGATGTCAATGAACACTTCTTCTCTCTTTTCTGATTTTCTAAGTTTCACCTATCATTTACTTCTTCGGCTCGTCCCACTGCAGCAATTCCGATCTTTCACACTTGTCGATTTTCCGTTCAGTTTCTGCGCTTTCTTTTATACAAATTGTTCGCATGCGTCATTTCCTTTCTTCTCATCGCCTTTTCTGTCAACTTGTACATATATCGTAATACGAATGTTTTGGCGCCTGATTCATTGTTTTCTCAAGTTGGCGACTCCGTCCGCTTCGTTTTTCCAGCTCTCTCTCTCTCTCTCTCTCAAGTTTTCCGTTTTCGTCTCCGCTTGCCGAAAATGCCAATTTCGTTGCTCATTTCCGATCAAACACCAGTTGTTGCATTCGGCCTCTGAATTCATCGCAAGCCACTTCCCGAATGACCCAAAACTGCACGGGCGAAGCTTTTTTGCTCAACTTCTGCCGCCCTATCTATGTGTGATCATTTATCATTTTTGTTTTCCTCTCCCCCTCTAGTTCTGCTCCGAGAAACGATGGGAGTGGGACGGAGACGCAGACTCGCTCGGACTCTTGTTTTCTCGGGACCGCCTGGACGAAAGGCTCTCTCTCTCTCTCTCTCTCTCTCCCCCGGTTCGCCCTCCGTTGTTGTGGTTTTTCCAATTAACACTGACACGACAAACTGACTCTTTTTTATTGATGAGATAACTGGAAAGTCAATCAACAGCACGACGTCTTCTTCTTCTTCTTCTTCTCTCTCCCTCTCCATCTTCCCTCATTTTTCTCCATTTTCCAACTTCCTCTCTCTTTCCTCAAAATGATATGAATTGTGTGCAAATGGAAAGTATTCGTATTCCTTGTCCGCCCACACATGCCGTCTCTCTTTCTGTCTCTTCTTGTTTTGGCACGTCGCCCGTGAATCAAAATCAGATTTCCCCCTAGCCCCTCATTTTCAGAGAATACGAGTGTTCTAGAGTCGCGTGCTCGTCGTGCTCCTATCGACTTTTCTCTCGACGTCGTCGACTACGACGCCTCGCGGTGATCACGACGACGACGGCCGTCAGCACGACGATTGCGGACTCTTCGGGGCCGCGGTGGTCGACGGACTCGATGCGGTGCAGTGATCTCAAGGTGAGCAACATCGATAGACACTCCGCGAACTGGCGTTCTTTCCCAGCGTGCCGTTGAAGACGTGGTGCTTCGGCCAGACGAGAATCGTCTGACAGACATGCAGCACAGAGACACGATAGCGGCCCTCGATCTGTGCCAGCTGGAACCATCCCCATCTGCGCCTCGTCCTGATGAAATCACAGTCTCTGCTATGAATGCGTGTTCCTGCTCCAGTGAAATCGTCGGAGTGCAGACTTCCTCGACCGTCATGGCCGACTCGTCCCGCCCGGCGCCTCCGCTCTGTGCTAGTTCCTCCCTCGACGCCATCATGTTCCGGCAGCAGCCGATCCCTTCGCATCGTCATTCCGCGAGCGGATCGAGGCGTCAGTCCAGAGTCTATGCCAATTTGCATTCGAAACGGAAACGGAGCAATTCACTAACCAATTACAATAAAGGGTAATGAGATCTTGAATGTAGAACATTCTAATTTCAATTTCATTTGTTTCAGCCAATCCTTATCAGTCTCTCTTCCTCCGTCCGCTCGCCACACTCCTCACCGTTTTGTAAACGAAGAGGAAGCCTTGAGAAGTAAGAGTTCTTGTCGTAAATCAGTCACGTGCGCACTTCCAGGCTCTCTAGCTTCGTCTGATTCTCATTCTTCGGTGGCTCGCAGTGACGAGTACAACAATGGCTACGTGCTCGAGGAGGAGGAGACGTCAGTCGGTGAGTGGGGGCACTGGTACGAACTGGAAATTAGGTTGCATATCCTACGCGACAATAATATTTACTACTTTATTTGCGGGGAGAAGAAACGAACCGACCGGAGATGAGAATGTGTCAACTTTGGGGTCTTTCAGGCGTCCCTCACGAGAATCCGTCGCTGCTGCACTCCAATCATTCCACGTGTTCGTCGTCATCTTCATCCAATCCATTCACTTCGTTCCGTCAACCTCGAAACGATTACGACGAAGATATGATGGATTGTGACTGACTTTCCGCCTTTTTTCCGTGCTTCTCCTTGCCTTTTTCCCCACGCAGACCCTCCCGAATCGTAGTTTTCCCTTTCCAGATTCTCGCCCCTATCACCGGTCGTTTACCCTGTCTCTTCGCCCAAATCTGACCTTTTTTGGCTGGGTTTCCTCATGTTTGTTTGCTTCTTTTTGTGATGCTGGACCACTCCCCGAACTGCTGCTCTCCGAATGTTTTGTTTCGCGTGCAACTAGTCCCGAATTCTTTGTGATAAAATGATGAATAATGAATGAAACATTATTGATTTCTCTGCCATCTTCTTTTGTTTTCGTTCACATTTCAGATTTTCAACTTCAGCGCCATCTTCTGAGTAGAACTTCAGCAAATCTTGCCCAGAATCTGCTGAACTGTCGTTCAAAAGCTGCTAAAGTGTTGTTCAAAAGTTGACGTCGCTGACGTTTGCTCAAAAGTTGCTTGAATGTTGTTTAAAAAGCTGCTATCACCCCAAAGTTTGCTCAGAAGAGACCGGCAGTTACCGAGTTTTCACGTGGAATTACAGTAGAGCGCCATTGCGAGAAAAGATTACGATTTCTCGAAAAACTGTTTTTTTAGCCTAAAAAAATTCGACAAAACACGGTGATCGTGAATGAGTGAAGGCCGCAAACAAATCACATTTCTGCTACTTACGCCATAAATCGACTCTCTCCGACCGAAAAGACATAAAGAATCGATCGGTGAATTGTTCATTAAAGATCCCGTTTTATTGCAAGAAGTGACCTGGAGAAGGGGTTAAAATGTTCCAGAACGATGTTTCAGATTCGGAATTCCATCAGATTTCGCGGTTGCCGGCGGTTTTCTTTTCTTCCAGAACTAGAGTAAACGGAATGGAAAACGGGCAAGTGTCACCGTGTCGGCCTATCAATTCGACGGCCTGAATTCATCGAACCGCCCAGCTGATATCTAATCTCTGTTGATATTTGAGAGATGAGAGTCCGTTTTACGAGAACACTTCTTACCATTTTTACGACTTTTCGCGGTATCTTTGAAAGTCTTCTGATAGTGTCTGCGTCTTTGTAAGTTGTAAAGTGCCCAAATTATGCAGTGATCAGATCAGTCTGTACCCTTTCACGTATTCTTCTTCTTCTCCTTCTTCTTCTGAATCCTTTCACTTTCACTCATTCTTCGGTCACCTTTATTTTGTGTTTTCTTTTCGGATTTTTTTCAGAACGACTATATTTGGTGCCATATTTCCGTCTTTCTTTCTATGACTTATCTTCTTTTGTCAGTGAAATCGTCTCGCATAATTAATGATAGAGTACTTTGGATTGCGGCTTCTTTCTGAATCATCCGCTCACGTGTAGCAGACCAGTTTGGGAACTGTGTGGAGTCCGCTCTATTTATAATCAGATCTCGGTTTGGGGCAGTGATGCAATTGGGATCCGTATCAATCGGCCAGGGAGGGACAGATGATCAGTCAACCAAACGTCACCGAAAGTTGAACTTTCACCGACATTCCTAGAAACGTCTTCTTTGGAGATTCTCACGATACAAAAACACGAAGAGGAACAGAAATCTAGACTACATACACACCTGCATACGATCTTCCGAAGGCGTGATAATCAGGCTTTCTGACACGTTTCGGAAGGGATCTCTAATCAGTCCACGTATCGATTAGACCACGAAAAGCTCACGGTCGCCGCCACGTAATCTTCGCCCTGAATCTGCGGCAGTTCATCGACCAGCAATCGATTCTTCTTCTTCTTCTTCTTCTTACTCTTCTTCTGCTTGTTTTCCTTTCACACACTTTCTTTCGAACACAATGGCGGCTCCTGTTTGTAGGGTGATTTCAACGTCACCTTTTCTCCGACGCAAACAAATCACTCTCTTCCCCATTCATTTCTCTTTCCGTTCGTTTCCGTGGCAGCCAATGCGCTTGACTTCGTAGCTGATTGTGAGTCAGTTACAGTACCTTCTTTTCGCCGAATTCACTATCACTTCTGGTTTCCATTGTTTGATTTCTCTCTCTCTCTCTCTCTCCTCGTTTCATTTCGTGCTGTCCACGGACTTTCCCGCCCCCGCATTCCTATTCTTCTTCTAGTTGATTCTCAAATTGCTGCTCATCTCGATGATATCCGATCCGATTGCAATGATCCCAATTAGTCCATTTTGTTGTCGTCTTCCCATCAATTATTCGCCGGCCCATTCACTCATTCCGTCTTTTTGCAATCGTGTGTAACCGACGTCAACTGTAGGAATCCTTCCTTTACAGCAGAAAAATTGTGGGAGGACGAACCCATTGATTTTGCGATCTTTCTTCTCCTCTGATCATAATTGATCATGTGATCATTTCTCGCTGCCGTTCGGACGGTGATCTTCAAAAACCGCTCCAAGGCTACGTGACCTGTCATCCCTTTTTCGTACGGTCAAGACATTCCCTTTTCCTGCGTTGTTCTGGCCGGCGGATGTCAGCTGCATCGATTCGTCGTCCGTCGCTGTCTCCATGACAAGACGAACCAATATCACCACTTTCGGGGGGACGAAACTTGTTCCCACGCCTTTTCCCCTTCACTTCGCCTTCCTATTATCTCCCGTCGTCTCTAATTTTCATCTCTTTTTTCCTCTATTTACGATCCAAGCGCCTATCCTTCAAACCGTTTTCAGGTCGATAATAATAATCTGGAATTGCAAGTATTCTGTACATAGTTTGCAATTAGTCGGCCCCAAACATGGTTGGCAAATCTCTGAAAAAGTCGGCGTCGGCCATCTCGGATACTGTCCGTCGCACGTTCTCCACCAAGACTTGGGAGCACAGAGAGCAACTTCATTCGCTCACTGAAAATGTTAGTTTGGTTCAACTATAAGATGTTTCAGCTTTTGATTTTGATTTCAGGACAAGTTCTTCCTTCGCAAAGTGAGGTGGCAGATTGCGCTTCTCGCCCATTTAGGATTCGCCATTTCCTTCGGAATCCGATCAAACTTTGGCGTCGCTAAGAATCGAATGGTCAACAACTTTACTGATGCATACGGATATATTCATGTAATTGAAATAATGAATTCTGATCATTTTCAAAGTCAATTTCAGGAAAAAGAGTTTTACTGGACGGCCACTGAGATCGGAATGATGGAGAGCTCCTTCTTCTACGGGTACGCCGCTTCCCAAGTGCCCGCCGGAGTGCTCGCTGCCAAGTTCGCCCCGAACAAACTGTTCATGATCGGAGTGCTCATCGCCGCGATCATCAACATCCTGACGGCCGTCTCGCTCAAGTTCCACCCGTTCACCGACGTCTTTGTCATGTGCCTCCAGACCCTCCAAGGTCTAGCCCTCGGAGTCACTTATCCGGCGATGCACGGAGTCTGGAAGTACTGGGCGCCGCCGCTCGAGAGATCCAAACTGGCTACGACGACGTTCACGGGCTCGTCAGTCGGAGTGATGGTCGGGTTGCCGGCGTCGGCGTACTTGGTATCACACGTGCATTGGAGTGCTCCTTTCTACGTGTTCGGAGCTCTCGGAATCATTTGGGCAATGCTCTGGGCGTATGTTTCTGGATACCAACCGGCGACACATAGTTACATTTGTGAGGATGAGAAGACGTACATTTCGGAGAAGATCGGAACGGTCACGGTGCAGAATATGACGGTCAGTTCTGGAACATTCCGTCAATTAAATATCGTTTCGATTGCAGCTGACCACTCTCCCATGGCGTCACATGCTCACTTCCCCAGCCGTCTGGGCCATCATCATCTGCTCATTCTGCCGTAGTTGGAGCTTTTTCCTTCTTCTTGGAAACCAGCTCACCTACATGAAAGACGTCCTTCACATTGACATAAAAAACGTACTCTACAACGCCTGTTCCTTCTTCCAATTGATATATTTTCAGAGTGGTTTGATAGCGATATTTCCGCAGCTCGGGATGACAATAGTGACATTGAGCAGTGGACAACTGGCCGATTATATAAGATCGTCCGGAAAGATGGACACATTGAACACGCGCAAGCTCTTCAACACTGTCGGGTTCACAATCGAAGCGGTCATGCTCGGATGTCTCGCTTTCGTCCGAGATCCGGTCATCGCCATCGTGTGCATGATCATCTCTTGCAGTGGATCCGGAGCCTGTCTTTCCGGTGAGCGGTCTGAAAGAGGGGTCAGAAAAGAGAGAAAGAGAGAGATTTGTAGGCTTCAACGTGAATCACTTCGATATTGCTCCAAGATACGCTCCGATTCTGATGGGCATTGCCAACGGAATCGGCGCGTTTGCGGGTGCCGGCGGAATCATCACAAACACGTTGACATTCGAGGTACCGTAACGAGAAAGTGCGAAGACTGATAACGGGCTGGTGTTTGAACGACTTCACAGTGTCCTCTTCACCGAATTCGAACAAGTTATTCGATCGAACATCAGTCAAGTTCAAGCGGATTCGTTATCAGTTTCAAAAAATAGATATCAAAGTTTCACTTGGAACACCTCGCTTTTTTAGAACCCGGACGGCTGGAAGTGGGTGTTCGTTCTGGCGATGTCCGTTGACGCTTTCGGAATCATATTCTTCCTTGTCTTCGCGAGAGGTGACGTTCTCGTAAGTCTAGGCATTCCTTTTCCACTGATCTCCTCTATTCTTGCAGTCTTGGGCTCGTGAACCGGAAAAGACGGAGACGTTCGACGAATTCGTGCGGCGAATGTGTACGTTGCTTGGACACAACTTTTCAATGAATAAACTGTCTTGTGTTTGATACTAACCCCTTTGTTTGTGTCCTTTGTTTCGTTTCTTTTCGTTTTGTTTCCTCCCGAACTTTACACTTTTGCAGCCACCATTGTGAGAAGCATCTCGAGAAGAACAAGGGCTCGCAGCACTGACACCGACTACGCAAAGTAAAAGAGAACGGACTGAATTGAAACGAGAACAGAATGATTTCAGAATGGAAGACGAGCGTCAGAACTCTTCGGAAATGAAGGCGTGCAAGAAGACGGAGGGTTCGGAAGACGGCTCCGTTCACGAAACGAAGGCGATCGGCGGGGGTGCTCCTCTCGAAGTGGTGCCGGAAGAGCCGACGCAGAAGAGTCTGAAGACCGACCGGCCCGAGATCTGAATCTGAATCCCCCCCTTTCTCGTGTTACCTGCCTTCTCCACATCTCCAATCCCTCTGTTCGCTTTCTCTTCTATTTATATCAACCGATCTCCCGTTTTCTCCCCAATAAGCGAGCCCTGACTTGCGGCCCTTGTCGCGTTGTTTGCAATTTCTCTCCATTTCTCTTTTTGTACTTTTTTCTTACATCCACCATCACAACTAGTCACTTCTGTACGCTTTCTCTCTAAATAGCATAAACGTTCATTCTATGCTTTTGCCACTTTCTCGTCCAAGCTCTTTGGGCTTGGATTGAAGTATCTCGGGTCCAAGTTTCAGACCGATCGGATCATATGATCTTCAGATATGTGGATGGGAAGCACTATCTCGGGTCCAGATAATCCGATAGGTCTAAAACTTTGATCTAAGGTAATTCAATCCAAGTCCAAGAAGTCTGCCTAGTTTGGGTCGGGCCTCAAAGAGCCCGCAAAAGAACGTACCGATCACTGTTCTTTTCCGTGGTTGCACTGATAATCCATTCGCCTTTTTTCCATTGCTAACTGTAAAATTTTGTTGTCAACTGAGTGACATCAGTTGTTACCTTCGAACGTTTCAAGTTTTCGGTGCAAACAATTTCAAACTGTTTTACCGAACCATCGACCACAAAGGAAGCTCTACTATTTCCTTGATGTTGTATGGTATAGATCTGTTGTCTCATAATAAAGCAGTGTCTCACCCAATCTTTTGTTCCCTCACACGGACATAACACTTGACTATGATTAAAATGACGGAAGAATTAACAGTGTAGATTGTCTTATCAGTTTGCAACTTTTTGTAAAAATTGGTGATCGAAAAGATAGGACACTTTTGTTTGCAATTTTTTATGTGTGAAACAGAAACTGGCGAAAGACTAGAGTTTTGAAGAACTGGGACGGACAGAATGAATAGCAATTCAACAGTAGACTCAACAACAGAACAATTAGAAGAAAGAGTTCAACTTCTGGATCTGGAAGACTCCGAATCTCTGTTTTGCCTTTTGAGAAACTCGATCAACTGGTCAATCTTATTTCTTGATTCCGTCGAGAGTTCTACAAATTGAGAATACGGTACATGGGTCCACTTGAGCACATTGGACAGCTGAAACAAGTCTGGCTCGTGCATTTGCTCCAGTTGAACCGACCAACCTGCCGTTTGACACATTTGATGAGTTCCCTCCATTTGTTCAGCCTTCTGATTTCGTGGTCTGACTTGATTACTTCGTACTCGTGCTTGGCAATATTCATGCTGTGAAGAGCGCGTGACTTTCTCGAGCCGTAGGTGTTTGTCTTCGTCTGAAAGTGGAGATGTCTCTTGATTTTCTCTCTACGCCATTCTGAACGAACCCTCTTAGTCCTGATATCCTTGCTGGCATCCTCGAACTTCTTCCTCCTGAACCGTAAGTTCGAGTGCAACCTCTTCAGATTACTATCATCGTTCCTTAACGTGGCGGCTTCTCTGTTGATCCTCTCCTTCCTCTCCTGATAGACTTCTTCCCGAATGTATTCCCCTTCTTCCACTGACAGTCTGACGGTTCGGATGCATTCGTAGCACTCGTGCAGCTTCCCTTCCGCCCTCTGATTCTCTCCTCTCATCCTCCGCACCATTTCACTTTTCTCATCCATCTCAGCAGCCAGCTTCTGCTCTTTCTCTTTCTTGTTTTTATTGTAGTTCTTGCTGTTCTTTTTGTTCGCTTCTTTTCTCCTCTCATCCAACTGTTTGTTTGTCATCTTCCGTTTCTGCTCTTTTCGAAGACGTTTGTGCCGTTGTGGCAGTAGAGATTCACTTCTGTTTCTGTTGTTATCTGGAATTGGTACAATGATGAAGTCGCTGTATTCCGATGAACAAACCTCCCGAAGAAGAAGAAGAAGAAGAAGAAGAAGAAGAAGATTCGTTGTCGTCTGATTCGGGGGAAGAAGATCGAGAAGAATCTGAAAGATTCACAACTGAACTGTGTCATAGATACAATACAAAATGCCGTCACCGCTTTTCCCTTACCCAATAATTCCCTATGAGATGAGCACAGAACTCAACAATTCATTAACTGCTATTGTGAGTAAAGTATCCGCGCACTTTTATATTTCTGTTCTTGTCATGAGTCAGCGGTCAATCGGAAATGCTGATAATCGTTACAAGCAGTGCCCATCGCGGTTTCCAATTTCTAGCGAGGACGCCTTCTATGAGTCACACCCATTCTCACCTTCTTCTTCTTCCTTAACTCTCCGTCCGCTCACTGTTATGTGATCCATTCCTGCTGCGACTGAAACTGATTTGTTTTGTTTTCAAACTCAAAGAGCTCATCAAGTTTGGTCTCTTCCGTCTCCCTAATATTTAAACTCACTGTCTTCACGGTAAGTGTAGTGCAATGCTGTGGACGGTCGGGAATCTTGAGAGTCCTCGGACGCGGCGGCTCTTCGTCGTGCTCCATCCTCAGAAGCCGTCTGATAGCTTCGTCGCATCTTTTCAGTGTCTAAAATACAAATGAAAATACAAATGACCGCTCACTGCCTATTATCTTTTTTCTTGACGCCTTTTGCTCACTCTTACTCTAGGTTTCCTCAGCCTAAGGAACAGTGGGCGGAGATTTTCATGGAAAGGTCGTTACTCACAAACCAATTGGTTTCCTTTTGGCTCCGTCGCTGGATGCTCCACAAAGTTGTTGTTCATAACTTCCTCAGCTTGATCTAGTTCACTTCTTATCACCGGAAGACAGGCAGAATAAGTGATGAGTTCCATGTCTTCCTGAGAGATTACTCTATCAAACTCGGTCTGAAATCCTTTTGAATTATATTGGTTCAGTCAACAATCTCTCGGATATCTGCCCTACAACCGACCAGATTTCCCACTTGCTGCTGCAAAACATCCATAATATCAACCAAACACTCATTTCGATTGTTTAACATTTTTGGAGTCTGCAGAAGACGTTGTGCGTGCAAAAAAATGGTGGAAGAGTGGAGTGGGAGTGTGAATGATAAATTGAAAGAAGATTAAGAATCGGACAGAACGCAAACGACGGTGATTGAAGACGGAAAAGGCGATGAGCAAGAGTACCTGGTTTTTTAAAGGAAAAGAGCGAAATACTGGAATGAGTCACTACTCAAGCCGGTGCTGAAAAGTGATTATTTGAGAAGAATCAAACGGAAATGACTCCTGGAAAACAGATCTTCACGCAGTTGAGCAACGGTTATCAGTAATTTCGAAAAACGGTCATAAATGAAAAAGAAGAGAACTCATAAGTACTATAGACATTTAGTGTATTCGTAAATACAAAAATGTTAGGACAGATTTAACGCACGTCTCACTTAGCAATGTTTTTCTCATTTTCTCTATAATTTCTCGGCCGTTTCTATCTTCTTTTTGATTTGCAACAATTATTTACGCGGTTCAAATGATCTCGCTGATTCATTCGGAATCATATGGAAACGACGTTTTCAGACAGAGAGCGAATATGGGATTTCAAAGTGTTATTGTTCAATTCGGATCAGAGATATTTCTGGAAAAATAGACTGAGCAAGTGTTTAATTCAACTGATCAGCTCCAAAATGACGTTGCCTGAAGAGAGGAAGAATCTGTCATTATCAGAGGAAGCAATTGAAGAAGAGCCGTCTTTGGTTTCAGGTTTCTTATCGCGGCAGACTAGAAAAAGGCCCATTGTTTGGACAAGCAAACACCAGTGCAAACTTAAGTTATTTATTTTCTTTTCAAAGGCAAAAAGAGGAAAAAGGAAACAAGACACGTTTTACACACAATCGGTTAGCTGTTCGCAATTCGGCACACCATGCATTATAGTCATTTTGAGAGCACTCACACCAAGGTTACACATTTTTTACAGTCTAAAGATGTACAAGCACATTCAAAAGCCAGATTATTTTTGAATAAAACAGCGGTCTCTTAGTGTTTAAAGGCCGGTGTGTTGGGTGGCAAATCGGTGCGGTTCGGCACGGGAATGGTAGAAGTACAGAGCTGTTCTGGAAATGTTCCAGCCAGCGGTTAGAGTGGCGACAAAGAACATAAAAATGAACGAAATCGGATAGAGGAAGTATTGCGTCTTGTGAAGAATCGGAAGGGCCGTGTAGCCGAGGAACGTGATGTAGACGTAGTAGCAAGCGGCCAGGAACCAGATGGTATTGCCGAGCATTATAGACAGAAACGACAGAGAATCGATGAGAGCTGGAAGATTATTTATAAGAGACAGAGGGAAAGGTGAAATCTCACTCGGATAGAGGATCGGAATGATGACATGTAGTAGAATGAGCATCGGGAAGAATGCATTGAGATGTACATCGAAGCAGTATCCCCACTCGACGTCTTGATCGCGAACCTTCCGGAGGAACCTGTTCGACGCCCACCAGAGAATTGTTGCGATCACGACTCCAACGGCGATGCAATCGACCAATACAGACCAGAGGAAGAAAGTGAAAAAGCCCGTGGTGGACAGGCCGAGAGCGTAAGCATAGAACATTGATGAGAATAGCAGAGAAAGTCTGGAAAAAAAACTAGTGACATGGCTACGGGAAAGGGGGACTTACGAGAGCAGCACGAGGAATGCCGGGTCATCTCTTGCAAACTGGTCTTTGGTACCTGTAACACTCTGTTTCCTATGTTCACCGGGCAAAGAAACTCACGTTTTCTGTATATAAAATTTTTGTAAACTTTTGACGGCTGAATGAGCAGATAAAGCATTTGCCAGAGAGCAAACTCGAAGTCCATTTGCCGAATGTGAACGAGACGGCGCCCAAAGCGCGACACTTTGGCTAAAGCCGACATTCTTACTGCGGTAAGACAGCCGACGCGATCAGCAGTTGTACTGAGATTTGAGAAGCTGATACTATGTATCTCAAGAAATCGACTTACCTGGTAGAATAGGTGGAGTACTGTCCCGGAGACGTGTATCCACTTCTGGCCGGTTCGTATCGGTAACTGCGTTGTGACGTGGGAGATGTGGCTGTGGCGTACGAGGGACCTGGCTGGATTCCTGGAATCAGTATCACTTGAAATCACACACTACGAAAGCAGTTACCAGTTCCACGTGGCTGTGCGCTCATGACATAGACAATCGATTAAAGGATCGATTCTGAAGACGTAAGTTTGTTTTGATTGTTCAGTTATTTTGCTGATGCAAGTATTTGAGGCGTTTCTAACACCAAATTATTTGAGGAAGATCAACAGTGGGCAACAATGAAATAATTTATTTAAAACGGAGTTAACCCATTCAGCGAAAGCGAAAAATTATTTTGGTGCTGAATTCGTACGGTTTGGAAGAAATTATCACATGAAGAAGGCGAGCAGCAGGATTCTGGAATTAAGAAAATCAGAAGTTTTCGGATCGGAGAGACACTAACCGTTTCGACGTTTACTTGTTCTTCTGGTTGGCATTCAAGTAGTGGAAGAGAACGACGAGCATCAGCATGGCAATGCCGAGAATATTGGCTGCGATTCCGAGTTGAACGTCGCTGATCATGGCTAGAAATGGACGGATTCAGATAAAAAACACGAGCGGAAAGACACGAAATGACGGTGACGACGGGGTTGGCTGGGGCGCACTTGCATTGCCAAGCTGGCGGCCGGACTCTGCGTCTCTAGGCCTCTCTTTCGTATCGATCGGGCATCTGGTGCCCTCTTCTCGACCGGTCACTCTCTTCTCTTCGGGCTCTTCGCAGCAGCCGTCTTCCTTCTTCTTCTTCTTCTTTTTCTTCTAATCCACGTTACAACCGATATTACGATGAGCGAGAAGATCGAACAAGACGACATCCCGCTCGCCGACGATGGTAAGATTCACTTATAGGATCTTATCAGCATTCTAGATCTTGTTTCATTGTTCCTTTTATGCTTCGAAATTGCAGACATTTCTTTTTTCAGATGATACAGTGACGATCATCAGTGGAGGAAAGACTCCGCGGGCGGCGCAGCCATTGCCGAAGGAAGAGCCGCCAGAGGATCCAGAGGAGAAAGCAAGACTCATCACGCAAGTGCTCGAGCTCCAAAACACTCTCGATGGTACTTATCACCTTTAAACACGCTGGCCTACTAAAAAGACCACATCGTTTTCAGATCTCTCGCAGCGCGTCGAATCGGTGAAAGAGGAGAGTCTGAAGTTGCGGTCGGAGAACCAAGTGCTCGGGCAGTACATTCAGAACCTGATGGCTTCCTCGTCGGTCTTCCAGTCGTCGCAGCCTCCTCGGCCCAAGCAGTAGGTGTTGTGTCGTCCTTCCCACCCACTTCCCTGTTTCGCCTCAGTCTCTTTTGCCTATTTAACTCGTTAATTTACCCAATCCACGTGTATCCGAGCTTATCGTACACTCGATTGTCTTTTAATTATTACCGAATCCGAGAATCACTTTCCTTCCTGTCCCGTGCATGATTTCATACCTACTCTTGTCACCCACTAATCCCGCTTTAAACCCTTCAACCTTTTGAACCGCCCATTCTTGTCATTCAGACTTTAGGTGACTGTGGAGTGCGCCGAGCGTAGTTTCCTACCAAAGTTGTTGAAAGCCATCCCCCCCCCCCCCTATATACCTTAACTTACTGCTTAATAAATTGTTCAATTTGTGAAGTTTCAACACACAAAACAGTAATTTTGCAGAGCCGATTCAGTTCACGACGACGAGTTTGGAGACTACGAGTACTAGTCGATTCGGATAGATCACTGTAAATAATGTTCTAGTCTTTCGCTCCATTTATCGAACTCAGTTATTTTATATGAATGCTTCAGAACTAAACCGTTTTTCTTATCTTTCTTGTAGTATTGGCTTGCGGAAATGTGTGAAGTGTGAAAAGATTTTTAATCGGCATTTGCGATTGTCAACATTTTCGCTGGGTCGCCGTTGTTAACTTGCATATTCAACGACGCCGCGGCGAATGAACAACAGCAAAACATTTCTATCATGATCATGGGCGTCTGTTCCGGAATTTTTAGGAGTTTTGAATACAAAAATTGTCAACTTTTAAGAATTTTGCGCGATATCGCGCGATCGATTGAAACAGTACGCAAAAGTGCGTAATTTGATGTGCTCGCAGTGTGGAGATTCGGAGAAAAATTGAATTTTTTCGCTTCTCACTGTTCCATATTTCTTTTTGCTCAAGCAAGTTATGTTTAACTTTTTCAGAAAAAATTAGCGAAAATGCGCGAAAATACGGATTTTCCGGCACCTGACAGTGGCTATCCGACCCCAAGAGACGACTTACCAACGTCGGTAAGCATTTAAAATAATGGGGTTATTCAGGCTGTGAAAAAAATGATTGTTTTCCGTTTTTTTTTCTTTTTTTTACGTCAAAAAATCCAATTCAGCGATGTAAAAAACGAAATAAAACGGAAAACAAACATACGCTGAATAGCCCCATAAGACTTTCATAAAATGTGTTCATTTTCAGTCACGGTCGACCTCCCCGAACAGATCTCCAGAAAATGTCATTCCGATGACGTCGACGCCCCTTAGACCTGGAAGAAGCCGTCAGTTGGAGAATGTTTTCGTCGGGGATGAACTTTCGTTCATCGAATCTTCAGGAGCGGACACTTCCGGAGCTATTCCGCTTAATAACAGAAGTCTTGTTCTCGGTATTTACATGTCTATTATTAGGTAGTTTTTAAACTGTTCAGAAGGCGTGAAAACCTTGTTGGAGATGTCTAAGGAAGTGAAAAGAAAGGACACTGAGGCCAAGATATTGCAACAAGAAAACGAAAGTCTTCGTGAAGAAAACAGCACTCTCCGCGAGGAGTCGAGAAGAATGGAACTGGAGTTTGCAAACGCGTCGCTTCATCACAATCCCCCGTTCATTCCGAAACTTCAACTCGGCGATTCTGCACCATCCGAAATTCAAAAGCTGAGCGATCAAATCAAAACAGAGATCCTCTCGTTTGTCAAAGATGAGAACGACCGAACGACAGTTGAAATGAAATTGGACCACGTACGTTTAAAGTGAAGGCTTTCCAGCACAAAATCGAAACATTTGCAGATGATTAACGAAGTAAAACCTCCGAAAGTGTACACCGCGTCGGCGACGATTCAAGTGAACACGGAGATGATGGATGCAGATGCGCAGACAGAAAAAGACGATCATGTCAATGTTATCAACGCCAACCTAGAAATCGTTAGTTTTCAAAGCATTCATTGATTTCGCATTCAACAATTTCAATTTCAGGAAGTCGAAAAGCTGAGTTCCCAAATTGAAGAGTTTGAGAAAAAAAACAGCGATCTTGAGGATAGACTCTTCGATTTTAACCAGCTAAAGGCGACGTTCGAGGAAGACAAGGATAGGCTGAGATCTGATCTCGAGAAGAAGCTCAAAAGCAGTCAAGAGAAGGCAAAACGCCTGGAAGGAAAAGTGGGAGAGTTGGAACTCCGACTCAACAACAAGCGAAAGGAATTGGAGGAGATTATAGCGGAGAACAGACGAATGATTGAAGATCAGAAAACGCAAGTGTTCGAGTTTGACGAGATGAAAGTTCATGCGGATGAAGTGGAGAGACAGAAGAAGGAGAGTGACGAAAAGGTCGAAATACTGAAAAACAACTTGGAAGAGTTGGAGTTAAAGCTGGAAGAGGAGAAGGAAGCAAAGATTGAGATGGAAAAGGAGGCAGAGAAGATAAAGATTACCTACGAAGAGACGATCGAAGCGTTGAAAAAAGAATCGGAGGAAGCAACGCAGAAGGAGATCGACACGTTCAAACAGCTCGAAGAAACGCAAGTCGAAAATGGGAAGTTGCTCAAAGAAAATGCGTATCTCTCTGAAGCTGAGCAGACCCTTCTTGGCAGTGAAATGGGCCTTAAAAACCAGACGATTATGATGGCTGCGAGCCTGCGAAACGCAGAGCAGCAAATAGCTCAGTTGACGGAAAAGGCTGGAAAGCAAAGGGAGAAAATTAAGAAACTGGAAGGCGGAATGCTCAGTCTGGAGCTGAAAAATACACAGGTGAGATAGAACCCGGTAGAGTTCAAAACAATTACTACTCCTTCCAGCTAATTGAAGAGCAACAGAATGCTGGAGAGCTTCTGGCAGAAGTGACGAAAAAGCAGGAGGAGATCGAGTGGCTCAGAGGAAACCTTCGTCAAAGGACAGATGAGAACGAAGAACTGAAACAGCTGAGGGGACAGCTGAAAAAGAGCGAGGAAGAGGTGGAGTCGCTGAGCAAAAAAGTGACGGCTGCAATGGAAGAAGATCTCGAGCTTAGGAAGCAGATCACCGAGTACGTTCGGGCAAATGCGACGAAAGACGCAGAGTTGGAGTTGCTCAGAAAAGAAGCGACTAATCAGAAGACAAACGTGGAAGAACTGGAGAAAGAGAAGAATAAGGAAGAAGCTGAGATCGAAGAGCTGAAAGGATTGGTCGTAGCTTTAGAGAGAGAGCACGAGGAGTTCAAAGAGCACGCGAACATGCAGTACCTGAATGATATACAGGTTCGCGACGAGCAAATCGCCCTTCTGCACGACCGTCTCGTAGAACTGGAAACGTATCCGGGACAGACAATATCCGTTTCACGTCAAAATTCTGCAGCACAGACAGAAAATTCTAAATGTGATGCCAGCGAAAAAACCCAGCAATTGGAGGAGAGCATCCGACAAGTGAGGGGGAGAATGGAAGAGTACGTGAGCGGACGCAGCATTCTGGAGCTGGAGCCTGCTTCTCAAACTGACCCCTCACCCGAGTATCACTGCATTGAGACGTTTCGTCAGTTTGCAATCATTTTGAAGAAAATTTTAGAAAATGAGAGTATTCCGATTGCACGAACCGAAGAATTCTGGAATTCGCTTTTCGAACGGATGACGCAAGTGAAACGGAAGACCGACGAGAAACTGGAGGCTATGAGAGAGTCGTACTCGAAAGACCTGAAAGCATTAGAGAAGAAGCATGAGGCGACACGAGCACTGGAACTCGGCGACTGCGAAAGAATGCTGGAACGAAAGACGGAACAGTACGAGCGAAGGATACTGGAGATCGAGCACCACACGAAAGAGAAGCAGATGCTAGCGGACGCTCGTCTCCAAATGGCCAATGAGTATTCCGAACATTGCACCGTGAGTGAGATCCTAACAAACATAATTCACCGTGATCTTTTCAGTATGAAAGTGAGCAGCGTGAAAAATTGGCTGTGCAGCTAAAAGAATTGGAAGGAGCGCATCTGGAGGCGATCTCGAAATTCGAAGAAGATGAGAAGGAGCTGCGGGAAAGACTGGAGCGGGCAGAGCACAGAGAGCAAAGGTAAGTAAAGTGGCATGCAATTTACAAAAGGACATAACATTCCAGAACTATTCGAAATCATCTGAAAGCGATCGAAGAACTGGAGACGGAAATGGAGAGTCTCAAATCGGTGGCTCAGCAAAGAGAACGGGATTTGGAACAGAAACTGGAGAAAGCAGAGCGGGACATCGCCGAATTGAATAAAAAACGAGTCTACGACAAGTCGACAATGGATGATATGACAAATTCGTATAATAAGGTCACCGATCAGTGTTATTATCTGCGTAATCGGAACAAAGCCCGACAGGAACTTCTGGAGCACATGAACAAGATGCTGAAGAAAGTGAAACAGGCGACGGACGCAGATGCTCCGCGGAAATGTCTTGATGAGATGCAAGTGGAACTCAATAGGGTAGGTGCTTTTTCATTTGTTCCGCAATTACTTCTCTGCTCTACAGTCGGCTCTTCTGGGCAAAGAGAACTCGAATGCCGATCACTACCATCTGCTCTGCCCGGAAAGAAACCGTGACGGCCGCAACGTGATCCCAGTGGAGCAGCTTAATAAAATTATGAATGAACGAAGAAAGGAACAGTCGAAACCCGCCTAACAGATTTATTGTTCCTCATTTCAATTGCCTCGATTACAACTAATACATTCCATGACAACGTGCCATATCTTTTGTTCATCTAATATCAAATTCTACTTATTTTCTTGTTTAAAATTTGATAAAGCATCCTTTTTCAGTCGCTGCGAAAGAACTTTATGCGTATTACATTTTGTGATGCTCATAAATAAGAGAGTTGAGATTGTAGTATTAAAGAGAAAAGCAAAAGTGAAATGCAGTGATTATTATTATTATTGGGCTCCGCGATTTCCGGTCACGAGAGCGATGAGTCCTTCTTTGTAGGCTCCGGAGCAGTCGCCCTTGATCATATTCTCGAGCGTGGTGCGGTACAGTTGTTGGAACATGTTGCGAATGTCGACCATGTCGTATTCGGCGCGCGTCACGCACAGACGGATCAGATCGTTGTCACGGGTTCCGAGTCCTGGAAATAAACGGAATGAATGATGGACCAAAACAGTTTCTGCAAAGTATATTACCTTTCATGCTGTCATTAAGCAGCTTGGCGAAGTAGGCGGGCCGATTGCGAACGACGGCGATGACGGCCAAAAGTCCGTCGCGGACGTCTCCACTGAACTCGGCGTCGATCGCCTTCTCAATCGGATGATTGGAAATCTTCTGGTATTCCTCGAAGACTAGTCGCAACTGCGCAAAATTCTGGCTGGCCAGGATGGCATTGAACGTCGATTCGTCAGTTCCGAGACGCTTCTCACCGGCCTGATAGAGGCGGCGAGCATCTTGGTTGGCACGAAGAGCATCCGTTTGGTTGGATTCGTCACGACCGCCGGCACAGAGGGAAACGAGAAGTCGCTTGAAATGTCCGCTGGTCTCTCCGATCAAATCCCTCTCGAGATCCTTTTTGTAGAGCGCTTTGTAGGCGTCTCTCACTTGCTGCGTCTGCGCGTTCGTCCTCGAAGTCATGATCTCGATGAGCACGGATTCTTTCGTTCCGAGTCCTTCCATCGCCCTGTGCAGCTGTTTCGCGTCATAAACGGCCGGAGCATCGAGAAGAGCAAGGATGAGATCCTCGAAGTCTCCGTGCAATTCGCCCTTCAGTTCCTTGATTAAATCCTTGCCGTACATCACTTTGAATGCGCGCGAGATCTCTTGACGCTGGTAGTTGGTGCGCTGACAGAGCACGCTGATCACTTTCGAATTGTTGCATCCGAGGCCTTTCATTGCCTTCCTCAGCACCTCCGCGTCCGCGTTCGCATTGAATCCGGGCACGGGAACGAGAGATGGGTTGCCGATCATTACTGGAAACGGCAATGAAATAAATTGTTGTGGAATTCTGTACGTCCCCTCAGGGCGGTCGATGATTGCCGACCTTGGTCAAGTTAGGAGAATAAGAAAATGACGGAAAGTGTTTGATTAATCGAGGGAATGGTACAGTCGGAGAGGCGTAGAGTGCGAGGGTAAAAGGGACGGACAAAAGTAGTCGGAAAGAGCAGGGGGGAAACTGTGGAGAGGAAGGGAATTCGATGTGGATGTCTACGTGATAATCTCTATTTGTGCGCAATTCCGGGGCACGAGATGATATGTCAGAACACGAATTCTAGAGCGGAATGACGTTTTAAAATATGAAATGAGTCGTCTTTGCAAACAGTTTCCAGAGAACTCATAAACAAAGCGAATGACACTGACAACAATTGGGGGGAAACACCGACTGGTTTGTCATATTTACGTTCTCTCTTCCTCGCCCGCCCTCCCACTCGGAATAGCCGCCTCTTTCGTAATGTGTCCGATGACTCATCGGAATATTGAAGTACCCCTAGTACCTGGCTGTCCGTATCCTTGATTCGGAAAGAATTGTCCTCGTCCTCCGCCCATAGGTGGTCCTTGTTGCGGGTACGATTGCTGTTGTTGCGGGGGATATCCTCCCGGTTGCTGCTGCTGCGGTCCTCCAGCAAATCCGTATTGCGGGGCCTGTGGATATCCAGCACTCGGATATCCGGGGCCTCCACCTCCTGGATAAGGTGCCTCTTGACCTGGATAGCCACCCTGGTTCCCTCCCGGGTATGGCGCGTTCTGCTGTTGCGGCTGTTGCGGCTGGCCGTATGGATTGTACCCGGCGTTTCCGTAGCCGGGCTGTTGAGGCGGCATTCCGTAGCCGGCGTTCCCATAAGGTTGTTGAGTTGGGTATCCTGAAAACACTCAGATGAGCATAATCACTGAGAAATGCGAACCTCCTGGATTCATGTTGTAGTCTTGTTGCAGGGGTTGCGAAGACGTCGAGCTCGAGCTGTTTTGCTGTTGCTGACTGTTGTTGCTCTGATTATTACCGGTCAGTCCGCCGAGCTTGTTCTCCTGAAACCGAGCCGATGAAGTTGAGAGGAAAAGACAAATAGATAGAGCAAAGAGTTTTCTTCTGGCGCCGCCGACGGAAATAGAGAGACTAAATTGATAAACTCAGACGAGCAGAGGATGCGAGATGAGCCCTGAGCAGTCCGCAGAGGACACGTGTTCAGGCGAAGCGGCGCGGGCAGAAGAGGCAGGGCGCGAGAGAAAGAGATGTTTGTACATCGGAGAACAAACAATTCGGCCGACTGACTCACAAAAATATATTGATATCGACTTGGTTTCCGGCGTACGATAAGAAAATTGAAAAAAAAGCGAAGCGAATTGATAGCGCTGTTTGTTGTGAGAATCGAAAGCGACGGGAACGTTGTTCTGTGAACGCGCGTGAATTCAAATGTAAGCAGAGCTACAGTAATCGATTCGATTTTTTCTGAATTTAGCTGTCATTCGACTTACCAAAACGTCCTGAATACCGGACATGACAAATTTTCTGAGCGACATTGTTGAATAGTGGTGAGTTGTTCTGAAATGAAAGCAATAACCAAACGAAAGGGGCGGAAGAAATGTGAGGAAAGTGGGAACGCCCTGGAAGAAAAGAGAAACTGATCGAAAGCGAAAAACGAAACGAAAAGGATAAATGTGTGGCAGCAACTCCCGTTTGTTCGGTTAAATACGCACTGTTTTGAGTGGGAGTCGCGAGGGACGAAGAAACGGAGAGGAGAGAAAGGAAAACATGAGTCATTGCAATGATCATCATTGGGAAGGGACAGAGAGTTGCGAAATGGGAATAGAACAATTGAGAAGCAGCGTGATGAGAATCTTGTGAAATTGCAAAGAAAAAATAGAAGGCAAAGGGAAAAGGGCAAACAGAAGTGAATGACTGACTGGTTGGGGGTCAAATTGTTTGTTTGGAAAGTTTGTCATGTGACGGATTCAATGTGGCAGCCGGTAAATACCGTTTGGTTCAATCAATTTTTATTTTGAAGGGATGAATGTACAAATTCACAGATCTCATTCTTGTGGGTTGACAGCCAAGACGGCCCTTGCGAGTTGCTGACGGAATTGTGAGAAGGAGTCGATGTCGAATTCCAGCTGCTGGCCTTCGTTCGTTGGCATTCGGATGTTGATGACTGGCCGGAGACTCTTGGCCACGTGCGAGTTGCCGACCACTGAAAACCCTCAGATATGAAGTACTTGTTTTGTTTTTCAGTTATTTACCAATGTTCACATTCCATTCAACTTTGTCCTCGTTTTTCGCCGCTTCTCTCAACTTTTCAGCGACAATCTTCTGCAAATGTTCTTTTTCCGTTTCGTTGATCTCCTCCGTCTTCTGAATGATTTCGGTGGAACTGCTCGAATGACAAGCTTTGAAAAGCTCACCTGTACAAAAAATGATTAAAAACGTTTCGCCCGTATTTAGAAACCTTACCGTACTTGATGATCGTGCTCAAATCGGTCTGATCGTCAGCGAAATCGAATGGGAGCCGTTTCGAAGTCGTTGCGCAGTCATAGAGAATCGACAGACGTTCATCAGAGAGCATCTGAAAACAGAGAGTTTCGATTGGACATCGGTATGAGAGCAACTTAGAGATAGCGAGAAACGACGGAGAATTCAAGTTGTTGAATGAAATTGAAGCATTTAGAGCAGAAATCGGTAGAACAGGAGCAAATGGAAAGAATGGAAGCGTGGCAATCGGGAGAAAGAATGCAATGCCAACTGGAAAAAGGAGAAATGATCGGATGGTGTTCAGGAAAAGAGAATGTCTTACATGTCGGCCCCGTGGGTATGACAAGAAAATGATTGAGCCGCAAGTACTCTCGAGTCACGTACAAGTTCACAAAGTTGTTCAAATTTTGTCATGTTAAGTCTCGCGTCTGCGAAAAGGACCAGCTCAACTTGTTCTTCGAATTCATATTCGGAAAACATCCCACGACAATCACGCAGCTCGTGCCGCACGTCTTTCACTCTTCGACTCAAAAACTCGTACACGAGACTAAGATTTGTACTGTTCATCCAGTTGTGATTAATCGGAATTGTATCAGTCTGTAACTTTGAGCATACACCAAAACCTATTTCCTTTTGTACTACCAGGTTGTGAACTTGATGATACCAGTTGGAAGGAACGAATACGATTTCGCCTGGTTCTTGGATGAACGAGAGAACTCCGCTTTCTTCGAATAGTTCTGGGGAAACTCTGATATCGTCGACAAATCCTGACTCGGACGATGCGCTTCTGAACAAATTCTCGCTTCCAGGAGGCATCATCAACCATTTTTTCCGTCCACAGATGTTCGCAGACCAACTGTGCGAGGAGACGACGTCCGAATGAAATTTTGTCCTAGAAAACGAGAAAGTGAGTATTCAATGGTAATTCGGAATAACCATGAACCAGCAGCACCAAAATAAACAAATCGATAGTCGTCTCCGAACGGATTGCGACTTTTGTCAGTAGTCCAAGTTTCGCAGTTCACAAAATCGCGTGAGAAAAATGGATGGAGAGAGTACATAGAGGTTCCGAATCTGCATAAGACGGAGAAGATACTTAATTAGTACGATCAAGAAACACTCATACTCATTCTGAAAGTGCCAGTCTTTCAGATACATTTCTGGGTCTCCAAGCGTTTCCAAATACTCATTCAGAGTCGATGTCTCGTAGTTGCAACCGCCGATTAGAATTGGCACTTTCGAATTTCCTAAAGAATTTACTCCTTTTGTTGACTAAAAAGAAAGTCGCACCGTAATGGGCCTTCAAAAACTCGGTACTTGGTGAGCCGTCTGCGCGAATCCAGTCTCTCCGAGCTAACCACTTTTGAGTGCTCCAACTGCTGAGAATGAACGGTTTGTTTTGGAAACCGAACTTCACGAGCAGTTCGAGCCATGGCGTCTCAGGATCGGTGATTCGAAAAATTTCAGTGTTCATCTGAAGCCGGCGACTGTTTTGGTAATGAATGAAGAACAAATAAATAAGAGAATCGCTGTTTTATAGAGGGAACAACCAATTGAACTACAAACTTTTAGAGAAGAAACGTTCCATATAGAGTTTCAGACAGTTATAACAAATTTTTAGAAGCATAAAAGAGATTTGAAACTGATAAATCGGAAAAATTCAATTTTGCAAAAAAATTACATCAGGGTCATGCTTCAGCCTGCTGACGCATTTCTTTGAACGCGCGCCTCAGCTAGCGGTTTTGGAGGCCCGGCGGACACCCGCCGGTTTTTGAAGCATCGTACTGCGCCTTGTTTAGCAGAAAGTGGCATTTGTTGGATTTTGACAGGGATTTCAATAAAAATCAGAGGAGAATCAATGTAAAAGAGCCTGAAAGCATAAAAATGAATGAATGGGATACAAGGTTACTTCTTCAGAATCCCCATAAAATTTATTCAGCTTCTTCACGGCGAAATCTCTCGCTGTTTGAACATAGCATGGAACTGTCACCGGAGTGGTTGCTCTTCGAGCATCCGATGGTGATATAGTGGAATTCTAATGGGCGAGGACTCTGAATGCTTGGAGAAGAGAATAGAACCATGTTGCAAGCAGGAGAAGTGCGCAGAAGGCAGGGAGAGGACGGCGAAGAGGAAAGATCGCACGCCTGTGGTATCCGCTCGCGTGGAGTGCCTGTTCTCCGAGCATCCGATTATGATATAGTAGAATTCTAATGGGCGAGGACTCTGAGAAGCCTGGAGAAGAGAATAGAACAATGTTGCAAGCAGGAGAAGTGCGCAGAAGGCAGGGAGAGGACGTCGAAGAGGAAAGATCGCACGCCTGTGGCTCTCATCGCTTGGAGAGACTGCTCTTCGAGCATCTGATTATGATATAGGAGAATTCTAATGGGCGAGGACTCTGAGAAGCTTGGAGAAGAGAATAGAACCATGCTGCAAGCAGGAGAAGTGCGCAGAAGGCAGGGAGAGGACGGCGAAGAGGAAAGATCGCACGCCTGTGGTATCCGCTCGCGTGGAGTGCCTGTTCTCCGAGCATCCGATTATGATATAGTAGAATTCTAATGGGCGAGGACTCTGAGAAGCCTGGAGAAGAGAATAGAACAATGTTGCAAGCAGGAGAAGTGCGCAGAAGGCAGGGAGAGGACGTCGAAGAGGAAAGATCGCACGCCTGTGGCTCTCATCGCTTGGAGAGACTGCTCTTCGAGCATCTGATTATGATATAGGAGAATTCTAATGGGCGAGGACTCTGAGAAGCTTGGAGAAGAGAATAGAACCATGCTGCAAGCAGGAGAAGTGCGCAGAAGGCAGGGAGAGGACGGCGAAGAGGAAAGATCGCACGCCTGTGGTATCCGCTCGCGTGGAGTGCCTGTTCTCCGAGCATCCGATTATGATATAGTAGAATTCTAATGGGCGAGGACTCTGAGAAGCTTGGAGAAGAGAATAGAAGAATGTTGCAAGCAGGAGAAGTGCGCAGAAGGCAGGGAGAGGACGTCGAAGAGGAAAGATCGCACGCCTGTGGCTCTCATCGCTTGGAGAGACTGCTCTTCGAGCATCTGATTATGATATAGGAGAATTCTAATGGGCGAGGACTCTGAGAAGCTTGGAGAAGAGAATAGAACCATGCTGCAAGCAGCAGCAGCGCGCAGAAGGCAGGGAGAGGACGGCGAAGTGGAAAGATCGCACGCCTCAAGGTATCCGCTCGCGTGGAGTGCCTGCTCTTCGAGTATCTGATTAGGATATAGGAGAATTGTAATGGGCGAGGACTCTGAGAAGCTTGGAGAAGAGAATAGAACCATGCTGCAAGCAGCAGCAGCGCGCAGAAGGCAGGGAGAGGACGGCGAAGTGGAAAGATCGCACGCCTCAAGGTATCCGCTCGCGTGGAGTGCCTGCTCTTCGAGTATCTGATTAGGATATAGGAGAATTGTAATGGGCGAGGACTCTGAGAAGCTTGGAGAAGAGAATAGAACCATGCTGCAAGCAGCAGCAGCGCGCAGAAGGCAGGGAGAGGACGGCGAAGAGGAAAGATCGCACGCCTGTGGTATCCGCTCGCGTGGAGTGCCTGCTCTTCGAGCATCTGATTATGATATAGGAAAATTGTAATGGGCGAGGACTCTGAGAAGCTTGGAGAAGAGAATAGAACCATGCTGCAAGCAGCAGCAGCGCGCAGAAGGCAGGGAGAGGACGGCGACGAGGAAAGATCGCACGCCTGTGGTATCCGCTCGCGTGGAGTGCCTGCTCTTCGAGCATCTGATTATGATATAGGAGAATTGTAATGGGCGAGGACTCTGAGAAGCTTGGAGAAGAGAATAGAACCATGCTGCAAGCAGCAGCAGCGCGCAGAAGGCAGGGAGAGGACGGCGAAGAGGAAAGATCGCACGCCTGTGGTATCCGCTCGCGTGGAGTGCCTGCTCTTCGAGCATCTGATTATGATATAGGAAAATTGTAATGGGCGAGGACTCTGAGAAGCTTGGAGAAGAGAATAGAACCATGCTGCAAGCAGCAGCAGCGCGCAGAAGGCAGGGAGAGGACGGCGAAGTGGAAAGATCGCACGCCTCAAGGTATCCGCTCGCGTCGAGTGCCTGCTCTTCGAGCATCTGATTATGATATAGTGGAATTCTGATGGGCGAGGACTCTGAGAAGCCTGGAGAAGAGAATAGAAGAATGATGGAAGCAGGAGAAGTGCGCAGAAGGCAGGGAGAGGACGGCGAAGTGGAAAGATCGCACGCCTGTGGTATCCGCTCGCGTGGAGTGCCTGCTCTTCGAGCATCTGATTATGATATAGTGGAATTCTGATGGGCGAGGACTCTGAGAAGCCTGGAGAAGAGAATAGAAGAATGATGGAAACAGGAGAAGTGCGCAGAAGGCAGGGAGAGGACGGCGAAGAGGAAAGATCGCACGCCTCAAGGTATCCGCTCGCGTGGAGTGCCTGCTCTTCGAGCATCCGATTATGATATAGTGGAATTCTTATGGGCGAGGACTCTGAGAAGCTTGGAAAAGAGAATAGAACCATGCTGCAAGCAGCAGCCACTGGAAGCGAGCTGAGCCACTTGTGTGCGATTGATTCGCTTCGCCGTCCTCTCCCTGCCTTGTGCGCACTTCTCCTGCTTCCATCATTCTTCTATTCTCTTCTCCAAGCTTCTCAGAGTCCTCGCCCATTACAATTCTCCTATATCATAATCAGATGCTCGAAGAGCAGGCACTCCACGCGAGCGGATACCACAGGCGTGCGATCTTTCCTCTTCGCCGTCCTCTCCCTGCCTTCTGCGCACTTCTCCTGTTTCCATCATTCTTCTATTCTCTTCTCCAGGCTTCTCAGAGTCCTCGCCCATCAGAATTTCAATATATCATAATCAGATGCTCGAAGAGCAGGCACTCCAAGCGATGAGAGCCACAGGCGTGCGATCTTTCCTCTTCGCCGTCCTCTCCCTGCCTTCTGCGCGCTGCTGCTGCTTGCAGCATGGTTCTATTCTCTTCTCCAAGCTTCTCAGAGTCCTCGCCCATCAGAATTCCACTATATCATAATCAGATGCTCGAAGAGCAGGCACTCCACGCGAGCGGATACCACAGGCGTGCGATCTTTCCTCTTCGCCGTCCTCTCCCTGCCTTCTGCGCACTTCTCCGGCTTCCATCATTCTTCTATTCTCTTCTCCAGGCTTCTCAGAGTCCTCGCCCATCAGAATTCCACTATATCATAATCAGATGCTCGAAGAGCAGGCACTCCACGCGAGCGGATACCTTGAGGCGTGCGATCTTTCCACTTCGCCGTCCTCTCCCTGCCTTCTGCGCGCTGCTGCTGCTTGCAGCATGGTTCTATTCTCTTCTCCAAGCTTCTCAGAGTCCTCGCCCATTAGAATTCTCCTATATCATAATCAGATGCTCGAAGAGCAGGCACTCCACGCGAGCGGATACCACAGGCGTGCGATCTTTCCACTTCGCCGTCCTCTCCCTGCCTTCTGCGCACTTCTCCTGCTTGCAGCATGGTTCTATTCTCTTCTCCAAGCTTCTCAGAGTCCTCGCCCATAAGAATTCCACTATATCATAATCTGATGCTCGAAGAGCAGGCACTCCACGCGAGCGGATACCACAGGCGTGCGATCTTTCCACTTCGCCGTCCTCTCCCTGCCTTCTGCGCACTTCTCCTGCTTGCAGCATGGTTCTATTCTCTTCTCCAAGCTTCTCAGAGTCCTCGCCCATAAGAATTCCACTATATCATAATCGGATGCTCGGAGAACAGGCACTCCACGCGAGCGGATACCACAGGCGTGCGATCTTTCCACTTCGCCGTCCTCTCCCTGCGTTCTACGCGGTGCTGCTGCTTGGAGCATGGTTCTATTCGCTTCTCCAGGCTTCTCAGAGTCCTCGCCCATCAGAATTCCACTATATCATAATCGGATGCTCGAAGAGCAGGCACTCCGGTGACAGTTCCATGCTATGTTCAAACAGCGAGAGATTTCGCCGTGAAGAAGCTGAATAAATTTTATGGGGATTCTGAAGAAGTAACCTTGTATCCCATTCATTTATTTTTATGCTTTCAGGCTCTTTTACATTAATTCTCCTTTGATTTTTATTGAAATCCCTGTCAAAATCCAACAAAAGCCACTTTCTGCTAAACAAGGCGCAGTACGATGCTTCAAAAACCGGCGGGTGTCCGCCGGGCCTCCAAAACCGCTAGCTGAGGCTCTTGACGCACTCTCGGTGCGCGCGTGCATTTTTGAACGAAAATTTTATCGGGTGTTTTGCCGTGCACCGCCCTGTTTGTCAATTGAAAAGTTGAATTTTCTGGATAGAGAACAGGTCAAACTTTCAGGATGATTAACATTCCGAGCTCAATCCTTTGCCGTATGGCCGCTAGATCGCCAATCTCGCGTACCTTCGGAACATCAGTCGTCACCAAGGTGAGCATTTATGCATTGTTTACTCGTTGGAATACCAGATTCGAACATCTCACTTTAGTGAAAAAGAAACAACAAGAGCATTATTAAAATCGATAATGACCAGAACAGCTTACTTTTCTCTCAGTCACTTAATCGCACAGAGCAATTGGCTGGCCGTCTAATTCCCCTGTTTTTTTGAAAACAACTATATTTTTTCAGTCCGAATCTAAAACGCCAATCCAGAAGCTCGGATGGGAATACCTGCTGAAGCAGCGTGCCAAGAACCGCCCAATCGCCCCGCATCTTACCATCTACCAGCCACAACTCACTTGGATGCTTTCTGGATTCCACAGAATTAGTGGATGTGTTATGGCTGGAACTCTTCTTGTCGGAGGACTCGGATTCGCCGTTCTTCCACTCGACTTCACTACTTTCATCGAATACGTCCGTGGATGGAACATTCCGGGCGCGGTTACCGCCGTCTTCAAGGTAAAAACATGCAAGTTTTTCTAATTAAAAAACGAATGCTTTGTTTTCCAGTACATTATCGCTTTCCCAATCATCTTCCACACCCTCAACGGAATTCGATTCCTCGGATTCGACCTCGCTAAGGGAGTCGACAACATCGGACAGGTGAGTGTGTTTACTAAAATGTGAATCTTTAATCTGATTTTCAGGTCTACAAGACCGGATGGCTGGTGTTCGGAGTATCGGCAGTCATCGCCCTCGCTATCGTCATCAACTCGTGCCAGAACAAGAGCAAGGCTGTCAAGAGTGCATAAGCACCCGCCCACATCTTTTTCTTCTGCCCTTTTCTCCCGTTACGCCCATTTCTTTATTGCGCGCGACTCTTCTACTCTCATTTCTAGGTGTCCGTAAATCCACGCCCCATCGTTCCATCCGTCCACCCCCGAGTCCGTCGATTTCTTCACCGTTGCTCTTTTCTTCGTAGATTAATCGTTTCTCCGTAGAATGTATATTATGAAAACGAATAAAATTTTAGATCGATGCCAAGTGACGAAATGATCGACACAGAGGATATGGCGCATCCGCATGTTCCGTATCGGAGGAGAACGATGGCCACCGCCGAGTTCAAGGAGTTCATTTCGACGAAGGGTTCGGAGCCGAAAGACTTTGGAATCAATCATTCCATTCCCGATTGCGCCCCGCCAGCAACCTCATCGCCAACGACGACAAGAAGAATGTCAATTGGAGAGTCAATTAATGGAAAGATTTACGATTGGGAGCAGCCAAGACTTGACATCGAGGGATTCGTGGTAAATTTTTCAACAAACCTATATCTTTTCATAACTGTTGTTTTTCAGGTTGACTACTTCTCGCATCGAATTAGGCAGAGTGGATTCGAATGGTTCGATGCACCGAATGTGCCATCCGGAGTTCAGCCAGAACACGAGATGATGAGGGTGTTGGGATCCATCTTCGAGAAAAAGCACCGCGAACAGTTTGATAACTTCGCAGAACAGCTCCTTGCAGTCCCCAGAATAACGTTTTCATTGTATTCGGAAGTTGTCCAAGCCGTCGGAAATTCGAGCGGTCCGTGTCCAATGTCATACGGACGCTTGGTACGAAATATCTTAATCTTTCTGATTCATGTAAAGCTGATTTTCAGATAGGACTCATTTCGTTCGGTGGAATGCTCGCCTCGAGAATGATGGGCAATCCAGAGTTGCAGGGACGAGTGAGAAACCTATGGACGTATACGGCGTTGTTCATCAAGACACGTATTCGACAGTCTTGGAAAGAACACAATCGGAGCTGGGTAAGAGGAGATATTTGCATAGACATTAGCAGGCAATGTCGGTGAGACGAAGAACCCTTGACTCGGCGGGAGGTGCCGTTCTCTTGGGTGTCTGTGATCCGATAATTGCTGGGTTGGGAAAGTGAAGAGGGTTATGTTAGAAAGGAGGGAGCAGATGGGAACGTCTTCAAATATGTTTCTATTCACGGGAAGATAGGGAGCAAACAGATTGTTTCAATTGCAGGAAGATTTCATGATCCTTGGAGCGAGCATGAAGGCTGAAAACGAACGCGAAGAGCTGGAGAAACAACTACGAGAAAAGAAGAAGAACAGGAGATGGTCGGTCGGAGCGGGAGTAGCTGCCGGCGCCATTGGACTCGTCGGAATAGTCGCATTCGGAAGAATCATATTCAGCTACAAGTAGCCTTCTTTCCTGTAAATATTCCCTGTACGTACCTTTTCCCTGCCTTATGCACATTTTTCCCATTCTTTCCCAATAATACAGTACCTATAAAATCACACGGCATCTCCCCCTTTCATTTCGAATCTCAATCCGATATAATGATTTCACCTCACCCATGTTTTCTTGGTCTCTTTGTACTCGTAATTCTCTCGCATTGAGCTTTCCATTGTTTTTTGATCTTTTTGTATAAACCACGGTTCTTTTGGGTCGACCGCCATCCCTCACGGGTAATTTTGATAATAGGCTGCGGCAATCGAACCCCTATCCGGTTTCCTTGCCCGAACACGTCATACGTTATTTCTGGGCGAAAGTGATTCATATCTCTTTCGAACTTCTAACACTTGCCTTCTAAATAAAATGACGTGGCATCTGACGGTTTCGATCGAATGGAGACGGGCGGTCAATCGATGGCCTTTTCGTCTCGATAGATGACCTTGTTCTCCCCCGGTTGACAGTTTTGTTTAGAGTGTAAAATGCCGTCTTTTTGTTTGCCCCCAAGCGCCGCCCCTATCTCGCTTCTGTATAAAATGAAGGGAAATTGAAACGGCGGGAAGTCTTGTCAGACCATGCGAGCCCTTTTTTTCACTTCCGCCCTCCTTCTGGCTCTTGCCTTCGTCGAGGCCAAGAAGCAGACGATCACTGTGAAGGGGACCACGATCTGCAACAAGAAGAGAATCCAAGCGGAAGTCACTCTTTGGGAAAAAGACACTCGTGAGTTTGAAACTGCCTTCTGCCCTTAAGTCTACAAGTTCTCTAAGAATGTCTCGATTTCAGTTGACCCCGATGACAAGCTCGCCTCAGTGACGTCTTCGAAAGAAGGAGAGTTCTCGCTGGTCGGATCCGACGACGAGATCACCTCAATCGCCCCTTACCTCATCATCACTCACAACTGTAACGTGAAGAAGGCCGGCTGTAAGCGCATCTCCGAGTTCGTGATCCCGAAGGACAAGATCGGAGGAACGTACGACATGACCTACGTGACTTTGGACATTCTGTCGGCCAAGGACAAGGAGAAGTGCTAGACTCACTCGATTACACAAATAAATATTTTAAAAAACCTTGATTTTTGCGTGGCCATGCACTGAGAAGAAGAAAGATTCGCCCGACTGAAAGATGTCCCTCCGTCCGATCTTTGGTATTAGTGCTCCATCAAAAGATGACTTTTATGCCGTGAATTTGATCGATAAGGGGAAGAAACGTTTAGAATTTCGGTCGCAAAACAAACAAAGCAAATAAGTAAATTATTTTTATTTTCATTTTAGAAAAAAGGCAATATTTCCACGAACAGAGTTAAGAAGAGTGGACCATCTCCAACCACTCGGAAGATGAATGAGGCCAAACAATGAAATTGAACGCGTGCATGTCCAGTCCGTCGCAAGGATAACTCTCGATCGTCGCTTCCACACCATCTTGCCTCACAATGTCCAGCCCACCCGAACAAATCCTCTTGATCGGCGGCATTGCATTTTCTTTCCTGAAAAATGAACAATACTCGGAGACCTCAGAGCTAAAGATTATTTGTGAACTCACACTAAATAATGTCGTTTGACAAGTTTATCAATTCTGAGGAATTGAACACCGTCCACTAAGTCCAATTCATTAACCATCACGTTTGCTCGAATATTCCTGAATATAAACAAATTCTCCAAACGGGGATTCGCTCCAGCCATCCAGAGCTTGACGAATCGGTTGAGGTCTTGTTGTGTGAACTCTGCATGTTCCAGCTGGATGATCGCACAGTCCATCGAGATGATATTGTCAATTGTTAACCAGTGTGAAAAGCGACACGTCAAACTACTTGCAACTAGGTTGACTTGATACCGAAAGTCTCGCGGAAGATTGAAGGTCAAAAAAATGTGATGGGTGGCCTTACAGTTGTCTAGAATGAACCGAGCATCTTCTTCATTCGGACATTCACCGAGGATTTCGAATAGATCAAGTACGAAATTCTGGCGATTGACGTGATTAATAATGTCCCGAACTCCCTTTTGAAAGTGATCATAACTTATTACAATCCCTTTCAAAGGAGTTCGCAGAGCTTCTTTGTAGTGCTCCACTTCTGCTAACAGCTCCGATTGCCGTACTTTCCAATAAGATTGAGGTCTTTCCACTCCCATTTTCAGATCATTCAAATCTTCAAGTTGACCAATATGCAACGTATAATCATCGTTTAGATTCACTCCGAAACCAACTACAATTCTGAATGGAACTTGAGCATAAGCCATAAAAAAATTGATTTCCTTCTTCAATGACATGAGAGCTGCCTTTGCGGTCTTTGAGCATTTCGAGAAGCTACATCTGAGAATTGAAAATCGAATATTTTATTTAAATTGGAAGGCTCCGCTTACCGCTCAATAATGCCGAACATTCCCAGACATTTCAAGAGAGGAACGGAAGGAAGATCCAGAAGTCGGAAGGCGCGTTTTCGACGTATTCTTCGTATCGGTGACAGTTTTGAGAAAGCGCCGTTGAACAGGTCGCGTAGCCGTTGCATTGCGCAGTGAATGAGGAAGGCAGATGACGTGGACGGGCGAGTTGGGACTGAATGACACGCAAACGACAGCTGTCGAGTCGATCGATAATCTCAGGGGTCAAAAGGAAGGTGTCCGCCTAAATATATATATTAAAAAAAGTAAAAACTGTATTATAACGGTACCTGTAATAGAACGGCACCTGTATTTTTTCTTGAAAAAAATAACTAAATCAACAAAAATTTGGGATCTGGGTGTCTGCCGGTGGAAATTCACGTTTTTTGGGGCTTGTAAATGGCTTCTGAAAATGATATACTCCTTAAATTTAAGAATAACAAATCCCGGAAGACCGAAAGCGGAATTCCGCTCAACACTGAAACATACGATGAGTGATCCTCGTTGAAGTTTCATTCGTTTATTTATCAAGGTAAGAAATACTAATGGGTCTATTCAGTGTATGTTTGTTTTCCGTTTTTTCGTTTTTTTTTATCGCTGAATTGGATTTTTTGACGTAAAAAAACGAAAAAAAAACGGAAAAAAATCATTTTTTTCACAGCCTGAATAACCCCATAAGAAGACCTTACCGGTGTTCGTTGGCTCTAGTTAATAAAGCTGCAGACAAATTCGCTCCACTTTCTTTCCATATAATTCTCTTCATTAATCGGACCTTCTTTGCGGCAGTAGACCAACTCGTTTTTTCTACGAGTATCCTTGCTCTTCTCCTGTCCGGCGATTCCGGCTTTCGCTTACATATCCACGAATTTGGACCAGTTTCCGGTCACGTTGTCGCTCCACCGCTCCCGTGGCTTTCCTCTTTTCCGTCCTTCGATCCTAGGATACCACTCCGTTGATATCTTAGCCCATCTAGAAGGGTTGCTTCCCGCCCATCGTGCCTTTCTGGAGCTGAGGAACTCGGAAATTCGCAAGTTCGCTGCGGTTGGATCCCATGGGACATCCTTGGATCCGTCTCGAAATTTCTTTGTCCGGTGATCCAGTGAGGTCTCCATCGGCTCAGATATTTGCATCCTGGCTGAATCGGGAGAGTTGATGGGTGATCTTGGGCGGAGCTTCTAGAACGACATCTGTTATGAAATTGTGAAATAAGTTTGCGCTTTTTGACCCCGCTCACCATCAAGTTTTGCTAAAAAATTTTAGCGATCATCTCCATGTAATTACAATAGAAATGCGTCAAAAAGCCCTCCCTTAATGCCCAAAAAAAAATTTCAGCGTGATTGGACTTCTAGAACCATTGGATTCAGCACAAAAGTTAGCACAATAACTCACTCAGACTCTCTCTCTCTCTCTCTCTCTCTCTCTCTCTCTCTCTCTCTCTCTCTGTTTCTCGCTGAAAACGTTGGAAAAGAGAGAAAAATGTTCGTATCGCTTTGACCTGTGGCACTCGATCTCTGCCGCCTCTCTTGTCATTATTAACCATACATTGGAAATTCTGTCTGCCAAGGGCAAGGGGAAGTTCTAGATTCACTACACCAAATATTTGAAAAACCTTAATTCATGCGTGACCATGAACTGAGAAAAAGAAAGGAACAGACACGTTGATTCGATTCGCTCAATCGGAAGATGTCTATCCCTACGATATTTCTCCTCTCTTTTATCGGTTTTGCACTTTCAAGTGAGCAGTCTAAGTTTAATGAAAAAAATCGCGAAAAACGGTTTCAGGTATTGATGGTATCAGTGAAACATATTATGAATTGAACAATATCTTAGAGCCACAAGGACGACAATTACCATATCCGAAAGTGCAAAGTGGGCCTCCACGTGGATACAGTCATTCCCTCTCTTGATTTCAGATACCGACTCGTGCAAGCAGAACAGCGAATGCCACGAAATAGATTCGATCTGCGACCGATTCTTTCAGAAACAAGAATATCCAATGAATTCCAGTTACCAGGGGAGTTTCTGTGTTGACAGTGAGTATTCCAATCGACAGAACACGTGGAAACGCATGGTTCTCCGCAGAACCGAGATTCGAAGACCACGTGGAATTGGTGACGAACTCATCGGGAACGGGCATTCGTCGGTGTGCGAACGACCGTTTTTGCGGGAAGGACGAGATGTGTCTGACGGCGAATTCGGTCCGTCCGTCCGATGGATTCTGTGTCAGACGTGAGAAGAGTCCGAATTAGTTTATGAATAACGTGTATTCTCAGTGAACGTCTGCTCCCGGAGCAAGCCCGCTTCACTCATCAATGGCCATCATTCCTGCGACGAAACCAAGTGTCAGAAGTACAATGATCTGGTGCCCGGTCAAGTTTGGAAGTGCGTCAATCACACAGTCTCCGACGCATTCCGCTTTCTATTTTTCACGAACAGAGCGGAGGAAAGCAGCCGTGAGATCAGCGCGTGCTGCCTTGGTAACAGATCAGTTTCTCACTTCTTTGCGAGGAATGCGTTTTTAGAATCAGCTGGAGGAACCTGCCGTTTTGGGAGCGTGACAAGTCCTCCGAAACAGTGCGTTCGGAACGCCGACTGTTTTTCGAGTCCTCACGAGCCGGCAGAATGGTGCGATGGAGTGACGAGATTCTGCTGTTCTGGTTCCTTGATACCTGTCCCATTTGGCCACTGAACGCCTATTTCAGATGCATCAAATGACACGAGTATTCAGTGTCCGGACGGTACAATGTACCCGTTCGTCGAGCAAAAGTGCGACAATCACAACGAGAACCTGCCCATGTCCGGCAACTGCAGTGTCCCGAATGTAAATGCCACGTGTCTTCATGGTCACTGCTGTCCGCTGGGTTTGCCACGAAGCTCAATGATTGCTCAAAATCGAAATATTTCAGTGTACAAGAGAGACAATCAATTTGCATATTATCTAACCACGTACCAAACCAACATTCCGTGCGATCCGAAGCAGCCGCTCCGTCGGTTCTTCTGGGCATTCTGCGACCCGCTGATCCGTCGAGTCATCGTGCTGCACAGCAACTTGCACACTGAAATGCAGAAGACCAAACAGGGAAAATGTCGGAATAACTTGTGAGTGAGCAAAATGGATCAAAACCAAATCGCCTCTTCTTTCAGAGAATGCGCTCAGAATGCGACGTCGGTCTGTGTGTGGGACATCTCCTCCGAGCAATCGGACGACAAGGACTTGGGCACCTGCATGACGAACCCGCTGGTCAGTTTCCCGGGAAATAAGGTTCACATATAGTACTTGCAGGCACAGCTCTCCGCGCCCGACATATCTACCGCCTACTCCCTTTTCATCTTCTCCGTCATTTCTACAATCGTTTGTTTCCTGGCGACCCTTTGGTTCGCCCAACGGATGGATATTGAGCAAAAGAAGGAGAATGGCTGATAATTGATTTGTATTTCGTCGCCGATAAACTGTTTTGTTGTGGGTCGAATGCGAATTGACAGAAGATGAGCGATGTATAGTTTGAGCATGAATTAGATAACGGATTTATTAACGGCTTGAAAAGCGGAAAAAAAGTAACAATGTAAGAGAATAAAAACAATAATGTGTGTAACCATGAGCCGAGGAAAACGAAAGAGTGGTCGACAATTTAAAGTAAGAATTGTAATAAATGAGAAACATTTCAAAAACTACTAACTTCTTTTCCGGAAGCCCATCCTTCGTCGATGGGCTTTCGGAAAAGAAAATTGCCAGCTATAGTTTTCACTCTGAAAAGCCCATCTGCACTCTTTAATCATCTTTAATGAGATGTTTCACAGTTTTTTTCGACAATTTGAAAACTTTATTTATATGGTATATGGTGAAACTTTTGGTGTTTTCGGTGGCAAAACAGTGAAGAAATCAAGCTTTGCAGGAACAGAGCTAAGAAGTATGGTCAATTTCTAACCACTCGGAAGAGGAATGAGGCCAAACAATGAAATGGAACGCGTGCATGTCCAGTCCGGCGTAAGGATAACTCTTGATCGTCGCTTTCACACCATCTTGCCTCACGATGTCCAGCCCTCCCGAACAAGCTATCTTGAACGGCGGACCCCCTTTTTCATGCCTGAAAAATTAGCAATACTCGGAGACTTCAGAGCTAATGATATTAATTTTAAACTCACAATAAAAAATTCCGCTCGACCGTTTCATCAATTTCGACGAATCGTATACCATCCACCACGCTGAACTGGTTAATCCTCGTTTTTGCTCGTATATTTCTGAACATGAAAAAAAACTCCAAACGGGGATTCGCTCCAGCCATCCAGAACTTGACGAATCGGTTGAGGTCTTGTTGTGTGAACTCTGCACCTTCCAGCTGGATAACCGCAGAGTCCATCGAGATAATGTTTTCAATTGTTAACCAGTGGGACTGAGAGATAAGCACACCCCTCGCAACTAATTTGAATTCATACCGAAAGCCTCGGCGAGGATTGAATGACAATATGAGGCTGTTAGTGGCTTTGCAGTTGTCCAGAATGAATCGAGCATCTCCTTCATTTGGACATTCGCCAGTGATGTAAAATACATCAAGTACGAAATTCTGGCGATTGACGTGATCAATAATGTCCCGAACTCCCTCTTGAAAGTGATCGTAACTTATTACAATCCCTTTCAAAGGAGTTCGCAGAGCTTCTTTGTAGTGCTCTACTTCTGCGAACAGCTCCGATTGCCGTCCTTTCCAACAAGGTTCAGGTCTTTTTGTTACCCTCCTCCAAAATGTGGAATCTGTGGGGTTGTCAATGTAAAAAGTGCGATAATTCTCTATATACACTCCGAAACCAGCAGCTATTTGGAAGCGAGGATTGAAATAAGCCAGTAAAAAAATGGGTTCCTTCTTCAATGACATGAGAGCTGCCTTTGCGGTCTTTGAGCACTTCGAGAAATGGCACCTGAGAATTGAAAATTGAATATTTCATTCAAATCAAAAGATTCCGCTTACCGCTCAATAGTACCGAACATTCCCAGACATTTCAAGAGAGGAACGGAAGGAAGATCCAGAAGTCGGAAGACGCGTTTTCGACGTATTCTTCGTATCGGTGACAGTTTTGAGAAAGCGCCGTTGAACAGGTCGCGTAGCCGTTGCATTGCGCAGTGAATGAGGAAGGCAGATGACGTGAACGGGCGAGTTGGGACTGAATGGCACGCAAACGACAGCTGTCGAGTCGATCGATAATCTCAGGGGTCAAAAGGAAGGTGTCCGCCCGATATGGAGCAAATCTCTGGCCCAGGTGACAAAATGGTTGCAAAATATATCAACTTTAAGTCCGAAAATAGGGATACCGTAGATTCCCACACGGACAAGAAGGAGGCCTCCTGAACGGGCTCACCGACAAACCCGAGTTCATCAAGGACGACAGGCGAATCACCGTGGCACTCACACGAACCAAGGGATTGTGCCTTCTGCTGGTCAATCTCCCCATGGCCCTCCATTCGACGGAGACCATCACGGCAGCCGTTCCACGCGAAGCACGTCATCGTGCCTCAGACACACTCGCCCGCCTCGGATAAGAGACGAACCGTCGTACTGAGGGAGTGATCCACTCCTTTCGGTTCTTCGGTCGGTCACGGTAGGTAAACTTTTTCTTTTTCCCTTTTCTGATAAAAAACCAGGGACGGCCCTCGCTTAAGGGGGAGGTGTAATGCCGCGTCCAAAGTTTAAAAAAAAGACCCGGAAATAACGCGGATTCTGTTGGGATTTCCTTTAACTTTGGTCGCATTTTTTAACTTTGGACGCGGCGTGAGAGATAGGTCATTCCTTGTTAGGCACATTATTTCACCCATTCCCAAGCAGCTTTCCCAATCGCGCTTTGCCCCATGACACACGCATTCCTGAGACCAGGAGGCAAATCCAGACGCGTTCCGCGTCTCCCACGCGTCTCCGAGCCCACGCACGCTGCGCTTGGCTTTTCCTCACAAAAATTCACTGGAATGCTTTCAGATCAGATCTAATCGAAACCTCCAGCGTCCGACATTTCGACTGATGCCGCCCCGACATCCGGCTGTCCCGGCTCCGCCTTCACCAACGTTCGGAACGCCGACTGTTTTTCGAGTCCTCACGAGCCGGCAGAATGGTGCGATGGAGTGACGAGATTCTGCTGTTCTGGTTCCTTGATACCTGTCCCATTTGGCCACTGAACGCCTATTTCAGATGCATCAAATGGCACGAGTATTCAGTGTCCGGACGGTACAATGTACCCGTTCGTCGAGCAAAAGTGCGACAATCACAACGAGAACCTGCCCATGTCCGGCAACTGCTGATAATTGATTTGTATTTCGTCGCCGATAAACTGTTTTGTTGTGGGTCGAATGCGAATTGACAGAAGATGAGCGATGTATAGTTTGAACACAAAAGACGCGTGGTAATACAAGTGCTAATGCGGCCAACATTATCCGATCTCTTGGTTCTTACCTCGTAGAAGACTGTAACTGTAGCTTTATGGGAATTTAACGCGTTAACCAGAAGATCATTTGGAGAGGATTTACTCATTCCACCTTTAATCGTATCTTAACAGAAAGGAAGGCAATCATCATTATGGTGAGCAGATCAACTTTTAGTAAAGCAATAATGTGAGATTCAGATCTACGGATAGATTCTAAAACATTGTAAACTACTCCGTTAAGATAACCACTGGATGACCGTAAAACTTTTTCTTCCCAGATTCTCGTGCTCTTGTAAATCGTCGGTGTCTCAGTGGTTTTACGACACGTTTCATGAGTATAGTGTCTTTTAAATCAGTCCGTTCGACGTACTGTTTTGGGCTCTTTCGGTCTAAGACTCTCTCGGTTTCCATTGTTGGCCCCGAATGGTTGGCGTTAAGGCGATCTGATGATATCACGGATACGGTTTACAATCAGGCGATTTATGGAGACGACAGCTGATTAATCGGTGGATCTGGAACAAGAGTGGGCCAATGGACGGGCCAGTCTGATCAGCGGAGAGTGTCAATTGAACATGTGCTCGCAGAGACTCCACGTGGCTGAGGTGCGAACTCGTCTCGCGTGTGTCGTTGTTTTGTGTGGTCGGCCTCTTGAAAGGGATCGCACCTTTTCCATTCCAATATATTCAGACTAATTGAAGAAGTGAAAACAAGAAGATGAAATCAGAAAGTGCGAGATGGAGAAGAAGGCCCGTCGGCACGAGAAAGTATCTCGTGAACGGTGTCGGGCATTGCGTGCTCGTCTGAAAGTGAACCGATGCTCGGCGGCAATTACGCAATCAACCTGGTGAATGCGAGAGAAATGTCTGGCGCACTGCACGGGCGGCACCTCTTCATCTAGTTGCATAACACGGGAGGATACGGACCTCCGATGATCATAAGACAACCGGGACCGTATTACAGTTAGCAGCCCCCGTCAGCTGTGTTGGTCCAATCGACAGTGATATGGGCGGCGGAAGAAGGCCACGTCACCTGGATGATTGAGCGAAAAAAAGACTGCGGTTAGCCAGTAACATCTGTATCGGATCGGCATGTTTGTCTTTTGAGCGAGGACGTAATCCCCGCTGTTACTCTTCCTCCTGCCACTCAGGAACTCTTTTCCAATTCCGACCCGCTAGCTCCCCAAGCAATACAGTTTTTAGATTTGTAAATTTACTAACCGAAGAGAGGATGAATAATGAATGGAAAGGAATAACAATAAAAACTTAAAATGAGAAGACATTTCAATGGGAAACCCGAACTTGGAATGATAACCTATTTGGGAGGGACATATTAGAATAAAGTAGAATCAAGGATACGTCTTCATTCAGACGACGTCAATCTCTGGCTCAACTTCTTTTTTTGGCTCTTTCAATTCTTGAGTACTCATATTGAGAACTTGATTTTGGAAAGGAAGTGGGAAGCAAGGGAATCCCAGAGGGAACGAAAACGGAGATGAAGCCAGGTTCGCAGTGGCCAGCTGGGACAGGAATGGGCTGTACAAAAGTGGGTTGAAAGTGGAGAACATGTTCGCTTGAGGGAACATTGTCGGTTGGAAGCGGGGAACGATTGGAGGAGAAGCGGAAGACATGCGTCTTTTTGGTTGAGGGGAAGACACCTGTGAACATCCTTCTTCTGGAGTGGAGTCGTCCGCCGACGGCGACGTTCTCTTCCGATCTCCCTGACTTCCCTCGCGGAATCCCTTCGCGAACGGGTTGTATTGGATCTTGAGCTTGATGACGGCCTCGTTCTGCAAAAGGTGTGAGTTGGCAGCAGAGGGACAACGGGAAAATAGCGTTTGAAAACAAAAGACACGTGGTAATACACGTGCTAATGCGGTCAATATTATCTGATCTCTTGAGCTGAGATGATCTCACCTGGTAGGCTGTGACCGCGATGAATTCGGTGTACGGGAGTTTGACACTGCACACGAGACGAGTGGAGACCTGCGGATTGAACGGGCTCTCGGAGGGAGATTCGTAGATCGAAAGGACCGGAATGTACTTGTGCATCGAATTAAGGAAGATCTGAAAGAGAACGGGTGAGCAATTCAGTAGGGAACGAATGAATGGCTTACATGTGAGGCGCTGTTCTTCTCCACGTTGTTCGTGATCTTGACCCTCTCGAAGCAAATCTGGCTGGACATCCACTGCTTCCCGGTCATCACTCCGTCCGCGTGCCACACTTTCTTCGGCTCCACGTGCTTCTCCGCTTTGCCCGACTTCTCCCACTTGCCCGAGCTGAACTTGTATCTGCTGTCGTCGGCCGGCTCGATGTGCAGCATCATTGCGTAGAGCTTCTCCGACACTAGACCCTTCACGGTGTATTCGAGTTTAGGGAACATCTTCCGTCCTCCTTTCGTCACGATCATTTCGTTCTGGTTCGTAGTGAACAGTCTCCACAGATCGTCTTGTTGCTTGGCGAGGGAGGCTAGCACTTGCTCGGACATTCTTCTGAAAATCGGAGATAAGATTGGAAAGGAAAGAAAAGAACGGATGAATGAGATGAATGGAAGGAACGGCAAAAGTGATCGGAACAGAAAGGTGAGCAGAATATGAATGCGTTCATCTCACTCTGATGCCATGCCACGCCCCGCCCCCTTCCCGAGAGGAGGACGTACGCTACGGTAACGCGAGGTATCGAGATGGAATTGGCGCTGAACTGAAAGAATGGCTGGGAGGCGTGGCCCCGAGAAGAATGCCACGTCACGCGGAGATGACAGAAAGGAACAAAAGCCCAGGTGATAAGGAACTTCACAGGACAGCAGGATCCGGAGGAAACGAAAGTAACATGGCAAGTGTGAGAATCCGAACTCATACATCATCTCAATTCTCCGTTATCACCAAAGACCGTGGATACGGTGAACAGGACAATCGTTAAAATGTCGTTAAGTGTTTAATGTACTACCGTATCCAAACGAAGTGAATGATTATGATTTTATTGCCGATTTGTGGACAACGAGATCCGGGTATTCGGGTGAAGAAGGTGATAAGTGTATTTGTGGAAATCTTGCAGAGAAAAGGTAGAAAGTTACAATCCTGAGAAGATTCTCCAGCTATTAACATTCTAATTGTGACTTTACAGTCAAATCGCAACCAGATTAGCTCAGACCTCCACGCCATGAACCATAAAGAAACCGAGTTGCTCGTCATAAGAGTTTGTTGTACGATAACTTCTTCCCAGATTCTCGTGCTCTTGTAAATCGTCGGTGTCTCAGTGGTTTTACGACACGTTTCATGAGTATAGTGTCTTTTAAATCAGTCCTTTCGACGTACTGTTTTGGGCTCTTTCGGTCTAAGACTCTGTCGGTTTCCATTGTTGGCCCCGAATGGTTGACGTTAAGGCGATCTGATGATATCACGGATACGGTTTACAATCAGGCGATTTATGGAGACGACAGCTGATTAATCGGTGGATCTGGAACAAGAGTGGGCCAATGGACGGGCCAGTCTGATCAGCGGAGAGTGTCAATTGAACATGTGCTCGCAGAGACTCCACGTGGCTGAGGTGCGAACTCGTCTCGCGTGTGTCGTTGTTTTGTGTGGTCGGCCTCTTGAAAGGGATCGCACCTCTTCCATTCCAATATATTCAGACTAATTGAAGAAGTGAAAACAAGAAGATGAAATCAGAAAGTGCGAGATGGAGAAGAAGGCCCGTCGGCACGAGAAAGTATCTCGTGAACGGTGTCGGGCATTGCGTGCTCGTCTGAAAGTGAACCGATGCTCGGCGGCAATTACGCAATCAACCTGGTGAATGCGAGAGAAATGTCTGGCGCACTGCACGGGCGGCACCTCTTCATCTAGTTGCATAACACGGGAGGATACGGACCTCCGATGATCATGAGACAACCGGGACCGTATTACAGTTAGCAGCCCCCGTCAGCTGTGTTGGTCCAATCGACAGTGATATGGGCGGCGGAAGAAGATGATTTGAATAAAAGTTTGGATTGCTGAATTTCTTCTCACCAACTTGGCATTCAAGTCACAGATAAGAGTTGCTGTTTAGATGCGAATTGACAACATTTCGATATCCGTGGTATTGTCCAAGGACGGCGATAAGATTGCACCTCCCATCCTTTTTGCGAAATGCGAGCAAGATAAGACAAGTCAACTACTCTGGAGCTTCCTATCTACCGTAACCAGCGGTCTGTATCGGATCGGCATGTTAGTCTTTTGGGTGAGGACGTAATCCCCGCTGTTACATGAACTCCCGCTGTTACTCTTCCTCCTGTCACTCAGAAACTCTTTTCCTCTTCCGACACGCTTATCGATGGATATCTCGTCCGGTTTGAGGTTGTAAAGAACTTCTGAAGTATATAGAAAATGATAAGCCTTATACTAAAATCACTCCGGGCAGCACAAAAAAGGGGTCCCATTTATGATCCACGGTCGCCCTATCAACGCTCTGATTATCGACTCGCCACGCCTCTCCGATACCGTGCAGATCGTTATCCACGCACCAACAAATAGGAACGGCATGTCCGGTTGAGTGGGTTGCGTCGGACGACGCACGAGCCAGAATTGACATGTCAGCGGAGATGATATCAAAAGAGAACCTGTGCCGTGTTTTGATAAAGAGACCTTTTCTCTCGGACCGTTTCCGTCCATTCGGATTCGGAGCACTCGGGGAACGGAAGAAGAGCGGTACGGAATGAAGACAGACGGGTTCTCAGACGGTCCCTTCAGCAAAAGATCTCTCGCTTTGAACGTAATGGTCTCGCCAACTCAACATCACACTTTTTCTCATTTCATTCACAAATCGTACTTCTTAATGATGACGTGGCAGCGAGTTAGACAGCGCCGCCAAGTGGTGTGTCACCAGCCGAGCGCGCTCCTCCCTCTCTCGACGGTTTGATACAGTTTTGTGTCCTCTCGGCTCCCCCTTGTCGGTCTCATCATCAACGTGTTTATTATGGTGGGTCTGGAGGCGAAGTGAAGTGTGTGTGTGCGGATTTGCATAACACGCACAACTGTCGGTGCTTGAAGAGAACCGCCCGAGATACGAAGTACAGTCGGCCATGTTCGATCAGTTAGTTCACTTGTTTCGGAGTGCTCGTCCCACTTGAGATACGTGCCAGAGGAGGAGCGAACAAACGCACAGACACACGTTATTTCGAGATCTCCCGGGCTTTTACAAGTTACTCGCCACGTTTGACACTTTCTTTCTCTACTATTTACGTATGCCTGGCTTTCCTGCGAATTCACATAAACATCACTGATGAATATAAACATTCTCTACTCATTTTCGAAAGTGTATCGATATCTTTTTGTATTTAGTTTCTCTGGCACCTATAATTTGAAGAGAACGTTCCAAAACGTATTACAACCCGTTTCCCATTGCACTTAATTTGTTCTCTGGTTCTGTTCCCCCTCGTGCAGGCTTCAGCAGACTCTCAAGCGTGAAACGATAAAGGCGGGGACCGCAATCAGTAAAGTAACGATGTTCATGCTTGTTCAGTGACTGTTTGCTCTGCGGATCAAGGCTCCCACCAATCATTTGTTCGCTCCCGGTTAACAGTGGGTTTACGGAGTTCAAACGTGTTTCTCAGATTTCCGGATGAACAAAAATGTTTTCCTCGAAGTACTCTGAATTCTTTATTCGATACGTTTCTCTTGTTTTTGCTGTTTTGCAGTCAATTCAGCTGATCTCGTTGGTTTTTTTAAGCATACGGTAGATAATTTTTTCCGTGTTTTTACGTGGCCGTGTTTGCGACTTCGCACGGTCCCCTAAAATTTGAATGTCCCATTTTTCTCAATCATTTTTCTGTCACTTTTCTATCAATTGCGCTTTTCCGTTCGCCCATTTTTGCACACTTTCGGCCACGTTCTCATGCACATGCAACAGCTGCTGGTGGTGGCTGACGACCGAAACACGCGCCTGTTTTTCGCATACTGTTCCACATTTCGGGTTATCTTGGCCACAAAATCTAGCCACTTCTTAGAGATCGCTCGCCGGGCCGTCATCGCCTTCCCTTGAAAAACCTCAGAGATTATACTTTTTTCGTTGTCCGCCCGAAATATCCGTTGAAATCAGATACCCTCTAGTTTGGCCCTCTTCCTTTTCAGTTTCCGCACTTTTTTTTCATGTTTTGTTTGCTTACAGATTTGTGAACGAAATACACGACAGTATAGCTAATCAAAACCATCGACAACAATGACGGATTCGCAAAGGTACGGTGCATGGCCCTTTCTGTTATTGGCTGCAATTTTGCTCTCCTTGTTGCATTTTTTCGCCCGATTGTGTGGGAGTTTGAGAAAATTGAGACGTCCTCTCAACTGAAAGTGTTTTATTTGTAGTAGAAGATGATGCCGACAGATGTATCTCAGCGTCTGTATCGTCTTTTCAAACATTCCGCCCATTAGACCGAGTAGTACCAGCGCTAGCCGGCGCCAGCTTGTGCTCTGATCAGACAGACCGTTTTCTCATCTCATTTTGTTTATTTTCAGCACCCAAATGGGTCGCAAGCAAGCGCGACGAAACAAGAGCACCGCATCTGTCGGAAGCAAAAAGACCCGATCTACGTCCTCATCGATCATCAAGTTCCAGCCTAATGTCGTGAGTTTTTATAATGTTTTTTTCACTAAAAAAGCATTTCTAGGATGGGTTCAGCGCCTTTTTGGTGGCATGTGCGAGACTAGGCAAAAACGGACACGAATTCACGTGGCACGATCTCAGAAAGGTTTACCACAGAGAGACTCAGCGGCAACTTACTGTCGAAGAGCTCAACGCACTCTTCAGCACTAGAAACCTTACGAAGTTAGTAGAATAAATCTTCAATCTTCATCTTGCTCGAACACTTGCAGGAAACAAGTATTCGAAATGCCAACCGTGAAGCGTTTCATCGAGTCGATGGACGGGAGTATGATGTGCCGATTCCGACTAATCGGCGATCCGGAAGAGTACAACTTCGATGAGATACCACCGCTCATGACTACGTCTATGGAAAGCGACGGTGAGAAACTTTCAACGAATGGCTCAGAAAACAATAATTTTCAGTGGTCACGCAATCGGCTCCTTCTACGGATCAATCTCATGCCGTTTCACCAGTTCCGGATGGAAAATCGATTGCTATTTCGACGGACTGTGAAGCTAAAGCTGGGCCCACTTCTGATCTGAGCAAGTCGGAGACATCGCCGTCACAACGTTCCCTATCTCAGCAAGCATCCGTTCAATCTTCCATGACTGACGATGAAGGATGGGCTTCCGGAAAAGAAGTGAGTTAACAATTAAGGATGGGTTTATTCATCAATTATGTCAATTGCAGGCCCGCTCCGAAAATTCGTCTCCTATGGTTGCCGATGAAGGAAAAGACGAGATCGATGGAAAGTCTCAGAGAAAAAGCATTGACTTGGAGGACGAAGTGTTCGAAGATGAGCTGAGAATTGCCGCCGGAAGCGATCAAATCGATGGAGCTGTTATCAGCGACGTCATGTTCGTCGATGAAGCGAGAGCGGAAGACGTCTTCAGACCATCGCCGCCATCTCGAGCTTCGCCATTCCTCGTGACCGAATCTATTGACGCCGCTTTCGAAGCCGTTGTTCAGACATACGTGGACGCTAAGAAGACCCTTCCGGAAACTCAGTGAGTTCTTTTCTTTTTTAATATGCTGATCGCACTCGTTTAATCTCGTTCTCTGTCGTTTATCTTTTGTCCACATCTCTCGACACTTTCGTTTTTTTTCAGAAATGCTTCGGAAGAGGCAAAAGTACAAGCGACGCCGCGGAAAGTGTTTCCCGCTCCTGTGGCCGCGGAGAGAACGAAACATAGTGAGGAACTGTCTTCCGGGCCACCGATCAGGCATCTCATTGAGAAGTTCGACACTGGTGTCAACTTTTCCGGACACAGAACGAAGACTGAAGAATCGCCGAGCAAGTCTATCTACACGCAAGTGCTCGAAGAGATCGGAGAGACCGAGAAGCAGATCGAACAGGTGTTCGTGTCGCCGAAGAAGAACCAGCATGAAGAAGCCGAGGTTACCAACGTGATATTCCGGAGCACTTCGACTCACAGCAGCATTATCGCACAAGGAAAGGAACAGTTGGCCGCGTTTGTCGCCGAACAAGAGGCTAAGCATCGTGTGAACCCAGAACCGACGGCCGATACAACGACTGAGGAAACGGAAGCGGCGTTCGGTGTCAAGGAGCAATCATCGCTGTCGTCATTGGATCGGGAGTACTTCGACTCGAAAATGGTGAAGAACGAGGATCTTTTTGCTGAAGTAGGATCGGGAGACTTCGAGCAGCCTTACAACAACGACTGTTTCTTGCAGCTTGGTGTCGAAGATGCCGATGGATTCCAGTTACAAACCACCGGATCGAATAACTCTTCGGCCGACATCACTGACAAATCGGGAAGCAACGACACTCCTCCGGAGTCCGCGGAGATCATCACTGTCATCGAGAAGAGTGCCCATCAGAAGGTGCTAGACGAACTTCGTAACGGAGCCGATTCCATTGAGGTACAGAACCAGATCTTATTTTCAACATTAAACAAATTAAGAGCGACGCCGACGTTCCGTATTCTCTGTGCAGCGAGGACGAAGCAGAGCCGATGACGATGATCGACAAATCCATGAATGTATCGCAGAGTGCCGAGCAGTTGACGGCTCCGAAAGAAGACCATAAAACGAGAACTGTCGTCATAAATGTGGAGTTGGACGCGAATGCAAAGCGCGAAATCTCGGTCGATGTTAACAACACATCAGTCAAGGAACGAATCGCCGCTCTGCAAGCGGTCGTATCCAAGAAGAAAGTTCCGATCGCGAAGGTGGACAGTGTTGACGAGAAGGAGGAGATGATGGTGCTGAACAGAACGGAAGACCTGGAGCAATCTGTTCTGGAAGTGAGACCTCAATCCAACGTGGTTAGCTGTGAATAATGCAGTCATCAGTCATGAAGTGACGTATTTACAGATAAACTCGGACGGTTCGATCCGACGACGCCAAGTCAGATTCATGCGGGGATGCTGCGTCGTGCAGTAATTGCATCCGTTCCACGCACTCTCCATCTCGTCTAATGTCTCATCATCTCTGACACGTGTCAAGTGCTCAATTGGTGCTCTATCTGCTTCTAAACCATCCTGTAAATGACATTATCAATCGCCGCACTTCTTATTTTATCTGATCAGCTTTTCCCTTGGAAAAATAACTCTTTTTTTCTTAAATTTTACCCACAACCACTCAACGTAATCACAATCCTACACTATGTCGTCCGGTTCCTCTTCCCAATCCGGACAGTTTCTCCTTCTAGTTGAATTCCAGACGTTCTCAGGATAGCTGAGAACGGCGAAACTAGACACTGACCGTTTGACCAGCCCCGCAAGTGTTTTCTCTTCTTTTTCTCCATTTTTTAACTCTACTCTCTGCTAAATTTTTGTTATATTTTTTTTTTTTGTCAAATCAGAAAAAAGAAATAAAATGAAGTGATCAGAACAAATAGTTAATTCAAGAGGCCGTGATCCAGATATGCTTTCTTTTTCTAGATTTCGGTACTATCTTCATGCCACCTGGACGTGAGCTTTACTATGGAACGGACGCCTTCCTTTTTGTCCCTGAGATGTTCTGGAAGCCTCCTTCTTGCCAGTGTGGGGAGCCTCCTTGATTTCCGAATTTCATTAGACTCTCTACTTCGAAGCGGCGCCCGATGTTACTCACTTGTGCTTCTCCCCACACAACTAAATTCTTCTCCCAAGTTGTTCCCATTTGGAACGCAATTGTTGTCAACTGTCCCGAAACAGTGTGTGAAATGATGAGACACAGAGAGACATGCGCACTGCCGTAACTACCGTCATATGTTTTACTCGATAATTTTTGGTTACTATAGGTACAGTACTCCGAAGACCCTTTATGTACATCCACTCAATTACCCTTGTTATGCACTCGAAAAAGGACCGATGCTGCAGTAATCAACACCAAATTTCCATAGTAACCTTGCAATACTCTAAAGATGTTACCATGAAAGTTTGGTCTCGTTTTGTGAAGAGCTCCGAGAGGCGATATTCAAGTATGGGACACATCGAAAACCTTTATTCGTTTAGTAAGAAGAAGTATTATCATGAAAGTTCAACAGTTTTTGTCACCTGAACCAGAGATTTGCTCCATATCGGGCGGACACCTTCCTTTTGACCCCTGAGATTATCGATCGACTCGACAGCTGTCGTTTGCGTGCCATTCAGTCCCAACTCGCCCGTCCACGTCATCTGCCTTCCTCATTCACTGCGCAATGCAACGGCTACGCGACCTGTTCAACGGCGCTTTCTCAAAACTGTCACCGATACGAAGAATACGTCGAAAACGCGCCTTCCGACTTCTGGATCTTCCTTCCGTTCCTCTGTTGAAATGTCTGGGAATGTTCGGTACTATTGAGCGGTAAGCGGAATCTTTTGATTTGAATGAAATATTCAATTTTCAATTCTCAGGTGCCATTTCTCGAAGTGCTCAAAGACCGCAAAGGCAGCTCTCATGTCATTGAAGAAGGAACCCATCTTTTTTATGGCTTATTTCAATCCTTGCTTCCAAATGGATCTTGGTTTCGGAGTGTATCTAGAGAATAGTCGCACGTTGTTGTATATTGACAAGACCACAGATTCCACATTTTTAAGGAGGGTAGCAAAAAGACCTGAACCTTGTTGGAAAGGACGGCAATCGGAGCTGTTAGCAGAAGTGGAGCACTACAAAGAAGCTTTGCGAACTCCTTTGAAAGGGATTGTAATAAGTTACGATCACTTTCAAGAGGGAGTTCGGGACATTATTGATCACGTCAATCGCCAGAATTTCGTACTTGATGTGCTTGGCATCAGTGGCGGATGTCCGAATGAAGAAGATGCTCGATTCATTCTGGACAACTGCAAAGCCACCAATACCCTTATATTTCTATTAATATTTCCCCGATACTTTCGTTATGAATTCAAATTAGTTGGGAGGGGTGTGCTTATCTCTCATTCCTACTGGTTAACAATTGATAACATTATCTCGATGGACTGTGCGATCATCCAACTGGAAGGTGCAGAGTTCACACAACAAGACCTCAACCGATTCGTCAAACTCTGGATGGCTGGAGCGAATCCCCGTTTGGAGAATTTATTGATGTTCAGAAATATACGAGCGAAAGTCACTCTTAACAAGTTTGACATAGTGGATGGTATACAATTTGTCGAAATTGATGACACGGTCGAACGGCATTATTTAGTGTAAGTTTACAAAATAAAGAGTCTTTGAGAATAGTTCATTCTTCAGGAAAGAAAAAGCAATGTCACCGCTAAAGATGACTTGTTCGGGTGGGCTGGACATTGTGAGGCAAGATGGTGTAAAAGCGACGATCGAGAGTTATTCTTGCGACGAACTGGACATGCATCTATTCATTTTCATTGTTTGGCCTCATTCATCTTCCGAGTGGTTGGAGATTGACCACTCTTATTAGCTCTGTTCGTGGAAATATCGATTTGTTTACCGTTTTGGAGTGATATTATAAAATCGGTTGATTTTTCCATAACTTTTCCTATGTTCTCTGTATTGTCCAGGGTATTTGACATCGTTTTTTGTGCTAGCCTGATTGAATTTCCATTTGATTCCGACAAAAAGCATTTACAAACACTGATAAGTCTAAGAATTTGTGGAAATAGGATGCACAAAAATCGATTTCTCAGCCGAATCGGCAATTTTCAGAGGTTAACGGGGCGTGGCTTGGCGGTGACAGTCGATGGTTCAGCTGAAATTCGTGGAAATTATGTGCTGGCTTACAAAACAATCAAGAAACAGTTTGTGCGAAAGTTAAATTTCTTGTAACTTTCTTACCTCCGGAAGCTTCCGACAACTTTCGAAGCAAATACGCCTGCTCCCACAGTACTCCCTGTAAATACTGCATTAAAGGCGCGTAACAAGTTTGTTGCGATGGTCCCGTAGCGATGGTTACATTTTCACTTGACGGTAAATGCAATCAACCTAGAACATTCTATTTTCGGAAAAATCTTTTTATTTAAAATTTTAAGAAATCAAAAAATCAAAAATGCGTGATTCTGATGCTCAAGAGCGTCATCGTGACTTAAAATCGATCAGAATTCTATGTTAACAACACATCAGTCAAGGAACGAATCGCCGCTCTGCAAGCGGTCGTATCCAAGAAGAAAGTTCCGATCGCGAAGGTAGACAGTGTTGACGAGAAGGAGGAGATGATGGTGCTGAACAGAACGGAAGACCTGGAGCAATCTGTTCTGGAAGTGAGACCTCAATCCAACGTGGTTAGCTGTGAATAATGCAGTCATCAGTCATGAAGTGACGTATTTACAGTTAAACTCGGACGGTTCGATCCGACGACGCCAAGTCAGATTCATGCGGGGATGCTGCGTCGTGCAGTAATTGCATCCGTTCCACGCACTCTCCATCTCGTCTAATGTCTCATCATCTCTGACACGTGTCAAGTGCTCAATTGGTGCTCTATCTGCTTCTAAACCATCCTGTAAATGACATTATCAATCGCCGCACTTCTTATTTTATCTGATCAGCTTTTCCCTTGGAAAAAAATAACTCTTTTTCTTAAATTTTACCCACAACCACTCAACGTAATCACAATCCTACACTATGTCGTCCGGTTCCTCTTCCCAATCCGGACAGTTTCTCCTTCTAGTTGAATTCCAGACGTTCTCAGGATAGCTGAGAACGGCGAAACTAGACACTGACCGTCTGACCAGCCCCGCAAGTGTTTTCTCTTCTTTTTCTCCATTTTTTAACTCTACTCTCTGCTAAATTTTTGTTATATTTTTTGTTTCTGTCAAATCAGAAAAACGAAATAAAATAAAGTGATCAGCGAAGAAAATGGGTCTGAAAGCAGTTAATGTACAAGAAAGCGAGAAATTAGCAAAGATCAACGTCCTTGCAGGCCTTTTCCGGCGACTCCTTGTTCTCGATGTCCTTCTTCAGCTCCTTCTTCACCTTCTTCAGCTCTTCCTCGCACTCGTGATGGAGCGGAAGGAGCATTGTCCAGCAGAGAGTGCCGATGTTCACGTCGAGCCACGCGTCCAAGTCGTCGTCCCCGACCTTCTCGCCGCCCTGAAAGCATCCGATTGTACGTGGAACCACAAACGGATCACTCACATCCACGAGGGCCTTGCACACGTCGCACATTGCTCCGTGGTGCTTCTTCAGATTCAGCGGATTCGCCGGAGAAGCGAGGAATGGAGAGGCAGCCAAAAAGACCAAAAAGAGAGAGGAAAGGAATCGAGACATGTCTGGAAAGAGCCAGAATTGGACAGAAAACCGAGGGGGAAGACTGCTGGAGACGGCCAATCGAATCTCTTTTATCGGACTGATAACGCCTTTGATTCCCAATTCGATTCCGATGTTTAGCGGGTGAAAGAGCAGAATACACGCGGATTTGCCGTTCACAGATCAGGCGACAGTGGAGAGAAAACGGGAATCGGAGAGTGAAAAAGAGGAGATTAGAGCGGAATGAGCGGGGCGAATCGGTGCTCTTATCGGCCGAATCGAGACCACGAGGTCGTCTGATTTCTTGATTCGCTTTGATAAAAACGTGCGAGAACAAATAGTTAATTCAAGAGGCAAAAAGGAATTGGAAATTTATCCCTTGGCCGTAATCCAGATATGCTTTCTTTTTCTAGATTTCGGTACTATCTTCATGCCACCTGGACGTGAGCTTTACTATGGAACGGACGCCTTCCTTTTTGTCCCTGAGATGTTCTGGAAGCCTCCTTCTTGCCAGTGTGGGGAGCCTCCTTGATTTCCGAATTTCATTAGACTCTCTACTTCGAAGCGGCGCCCGATGTTACTCACTTGTGCTTCTCCCCACACAACTAAATTCTTCTCCCAAGTTGTTCCCATTTGGAACGCAATTGTTGTCAACTGTCCCGAAACAGTGTGTGAAATGATGAGACACAGAGAGACATGCGCACTGCCGTAACTACCGTCATACGTTTTACTCGATAATTTTTGGTTACTATAGGTACAGTACTCCGAAGACCCTTTATGTACATCCACTCAATTACCCTTGTTATGCACTCGAAAAAGGACCGATGCTGCAGTAATCAACACCAAATTTCCATAGTAACCTTGCAATACTCTAAAGATGTTACCATGAAAGTTTGGTCTCGTTTTGTGAAGAGCTCCGAGAGGCGATATTCAAGTATGGGACACATCGAAAACCTTTATTCGTTTAGTAAGAAGAAGTATTATCATGAAAGTTCAACAGTTTTTGTCACCTGAACCAGAGATTTGCTCCATATCGGGCGGACACCTTCCTTTTGACCCCTGAGATTATCGATCGACTCGACAGCTGTCGTTTGCGTGCCATTCAGTCCCAACTCGCCCGTCCACGTCATCTGCCTTCCTCATTCACTGCGCAATGCAACGGCTACGCGACCTGTTCAACGGCGCTTTCTCAAAACTGTCACCGATACGAAGAATACGTCGAAAACGCGTCTTCCGACTTCTGGATCTTCCTTCCGTTCCTCTCTTGAAATGTCTGGGAATGTTCGGCATTATTGAGCGGTAAGCGGAATCTTTTGATTTGAATGAAATATTCCATTTTTAATTCTCAGGTGCCATTTCTCGAAGTGCTCAAAGACCGCAAAGGCAGCTCTCATGTCATTGAAGAAGGAACCCATCTTTTTTTATGGCTTCTTTCAATCCTCGCTTCCAAATAGCTGCTGGTTTCGGAGTGTATCTAGAGAATTATCGCACTTTTTACATTGACAAGCCCACAGATTCCATATTTTGGAGGAGGGTAACAAAAAGACCTGAACCTTGTTGGAAAGGACGGCAATCGGAGCTGTTCGCAGAAGTGGAGCACTACGAAGAAGCTCTGCGAACTCCTTTGAAAGGGATTGTAATAAGTTACGATCACTTTCAAGAGGGAGTTCGGGACATTATTGATCACGTCAATCGCCAGAATTTCGTACTTGATGTGCTTGCCATCAGTGGCGGATGTCCGAATGAAGAAGATGCTCGATTCATTCTGGACAACTGCAAAGCCACCAATACCCTTATATTTCTATTAATATTTCCCCGATACTTTCGTTATGAATTCAAATTAGTTGGGAGGGATGTGCTTATCTCTGATTCCTACTGGTTAACAATTGATAACATTATCTCGATGGACTGTGCGATCATCCAACTGGAAGGTGCAGAGTTCACACAACAAGACCTCAACCGATTCGTCAAACTCTGGATGGCTGGAGCGAATCCCCGTTTGGAGTATTTATTGATGTTCAGAAATATACGAGCGAAAGTCACTCTTAACAAGTTTGACATAGTGGATGGTATACAATTTGTCGAAATTGATGACACGGTCGAACGGCATTATTTAGTGTAAGTTTACAAAATAAAGAGTCTTTGAGAATAGTTCATTCTTCAGGAAAGAAAAAGCAATGCCGCCGGTCAAGAGGATTTGTTCGGGTGGGCTGGACATTGTGAGGCAAGATGGTGTAAAAGCGACGATCGAGAGTTATTCTTGCGACGAACTGGACATGCATCTATTCATTTTCATTGTTTGGCCTCATTCATCTTCCGAGTGGTTGGAGATTGACCACTCTTATTAGCTCTGTTCGTGGAAATATCGATTTATTTACCGTTTTGGAGTGATATTATAAAATCGGTTGATTTTTCCATAACCTATGTTCTCTGTATTGTCCAGCACGGTCTCCAGAGCTTACAATGGGCGCAAGTGCGCCCCGCCCAATTGAGCGATACATTGGCGCGAAATTCAAATTTTAACAGCAAATTTTGTGTGTTTTTGCCAAATTAGCGACGAAAAACCGATAATTTCTCATTTGCCTCTCGATAGACCGATTGTATAGGCTATTACGAATTTTTTAAGCGCAAGAGCGTCAAATTTGATCAAGTCGCAAACGGTTCGAGCGCTCAAAATGCTTGTATTTACGTGATTTATCATTCTCAAAACCAATTCTGTCTGAAAACGGTCAAGAAAGCGAAAAATGAGAAGTGCGGCGATCGGCGGCGAAGACGAAAAAGCAAAGTCAGCGAAAAATGGGCCAAAACGTCATTAATTCTGAGAATTAGTGTGTTTTCATGTCGAACAATCATTTTCTATCGCCTTTGACCACAAGAATCAGAGAAAACCTGCTCAATTCATGAAAACGCCATTTGGCCGAGGCCACGCCCATATTGTCAGATCTGGAGACCGTGTCCAGGGTATTTGACATCGTTTTTTGTGCTAGCCTGATTGAATTTCCATTCGATTCCGACAAAAAGCATTTACGAACACTGATAATTCTGAGAATTTGTCGAAATAGGATAGAAAATCAGCGAAATCAGCACAAAATCGATTTCTCAGCCGAATCGGCGATTTTCAGAGAGTGATGTGGCTTGGTCCCAGTATGCTCCAATGTCGAAAAAAGTGTGAAACATCTAATTAAAGAGTGCAGATGGCCCTTTCAGAGTGAAAACTACTAAAGTTGGCAATTTGTTTGCAGTTGGTACGTACAGTACTCGCTAGAAATTGATAGTCTTGACTTTTTTGTTGGAAACTGACAAGTCTTTTGTTAAAAAAAAATTTATTGGCCGAGAATAACTAATTGAAATCCAACGGAACATTCTGGAAACCTCCTTCTTGCCCGTGTGGGAATCCTCCTTGATTTCCAAACGGACAGCAGATTGCCTTTTGTTTGTTCCACATGCGTCCACAAGCAATGTTTTTGAGAAATGTGAATCCTTGCGGGCACATCGGCGGAGATCCTTTCGGCATGCATTTTTGAACGAAGCAACCGCCGGGAACCCTACTCTGCAAAATTAAGAGATTATATTGAGAAGATTCGAAGTACGCTGAACTTACGATGAATGCTTGATTCGACTGGAAGAGCACGAAAAGGACGGAGAGAAGGGCGAGAAGTCTCATGGTGAGAATGGTGGGAACACGACGGTCTTCTCCCTTTTATCCGGTCCCAGTTAATCGAATTATCATGAAATTTTGATGGCTTCGGACGCGTGGAGCTTTCCGCGGAAGTGCTCAGTTTATGGTTGGGAACTCTCCGTTCCCAGGTTGATTTGATTAGCTTCGGCCGATAAAAGACACAGCTTCCCTTCGTTTCCACCATTCTCGAAATGCGTTTCCTCGTTGTTCTCTCCGTCGTTTTCGTGCTGTTCCAATTGAGCGCCGCCCATTTGGTGAGTCCAATCACATCCGATTCTTCCTTATTTCATCAATTTGCAGGGTCGTCTTCCGGCTGGGTGTGTCTACCAGCAGTGCTCTCCCCACAAAGGACCGTCCACTTGCCCCCAAGGAACACAGACCTACAAGCACTCAAGATGCGGATTTCTTTGGTTGCAGAAGCAGGAGATCTGCTGCCCTTCCCTCCAAACTCAGCCCGGAGCACAGGTTGAAATCCCAGCTGCTGATTATCAGGGATGAACATTGAATAAACAATAAATCTTATGAACAAAGTAGTAATACACTCACAAAGGAAAAAACAATAAATTAATAAAGACCAGAATACACTTGATAAACTATCAAACATCATAAATAACAGAAAATGTGTGGAAAGATTGTGGTAAAAAATAATTTAGTTGACAGTTTCGTCGTTCTTCGTCAATGCGTCCCAAGCAATTTGACGGTATCTCTTGAGCTGCTGGACCGGTTCGCTCGACGACGTGACTCCTCTTCCGACGATGATGATGTCGTTCTGCTGAACGTCGATCGCCTCGTCGACTCCTCGCCATTGCTGTCCTGCAGAATCCGACTTCGCATCGAGATTCACTCCTGGAGTCCAGTTCAAAAAGTCGGAGAGTTCGCAAACTCTGGTCTGAGCGATGAATCCAGAAATGACGTCACGATTCTGAACCGAAATCTCGGCGACACTGTTCGCGTATCCAGGAAGAGCAGTGAGTGATCCTTTAGTGCTCAATTGAGCGATGAGAAGCACTCCGCTGAGACGATACGCGGGATCATTGATAAGCTCACGGAAGACTCCAGAGATGCTGTCGGCACCTTGCACGGCATGAGCAGTCACGACATCCGCCCACGTTGCAATCTTCTGGAATCCTTTCAGTTGGAGAACAGTCGTGTTTCCAGTGTCGGCGAATTTTCGGTCTTCGAAGATGACAAAGTCCATGTCGTTGGCCAGCGTCGTCAGCTTACGCGTGAATTCTTCATCGAAATCGGTGATGATATCCGCGTGGATCTTGATGGCCATCACGAACGGACCGGCGACTTCGGCCAACTGAAGCACCTTCTCAGTAGTCGTGTAGTCGATGGCGAGACACAGATTCGATTTCTTGTTGCGCATGATGGACATAATCTTTTTGTTCAATGGCGAAGCTGTGAGCGATTCGCGGTCTTTCAACGGCGTGCGGAAAGAATCGACGAACGGAAGACTGTCCAGATCCTCGATTTCGTTCCCGATTTCCAATTTGATCGGCCTGTCGTAGGGCAGATTTAGAGCCTGAAGCATTGATATTCGGTATTTGGCATTTCAATCTAGATTCCTGCTTACTTTCACAATTCCGTGCCATTGCTCCTCGGAGACGGCTCCCGTCGAGTACAAGAATGTGAGCACAGTGTTCATGTCGAGAAGACTGTGCAAATTGATTCCGGCGTCCTTCAGCTTCTGACGTCCACCCTGCTCTCTGTCCAGAATGCAGAACACATCGGACGCAACGAGTCCCTCCGCGGTGAGAGTTTCGACGACAGTCAGAATGCTTCCGCCAGTCGTCACGACGTCTTCGATGAGAATAAGACGATCTCCTTTCTGATAAAGTCCTTCGATCAGTTTCTTTGTTCCGTACGCCTTCGCCTCTTTTCGCACAATCAGCAAAGGCTTCCTCAAGTATTGCCCGGCTGCCACGGAAGCATAGGGAAGGGCGGCGTACGGGATTCCGAGAACTCCTTCATACTCTGTTCCGTTGGCTTCGACCGACAGCGATAATGCTTCCGAAATGAGCATCTGAAACAGAACGTTGAATATTTTCTGAATTAGAAAGGATGAAACGAACCAAGAGTTGATAGTGACCGAAGCACTCGCGGAGATCGATGTAAATCGGTGAAATTTGTCCGGATTTGAGCTGGAACTCTCCGAATTTGAAGACGTTCGCCTGGAGCATTTGCCGAAGGAGGTTCCGCTTCAAAGCGGCGCTTCGCGTTTTTTCGACGAGGGTGCTCATTTTCCCTGTAAGGAAGAATGTTTGAAAAGTAGTACGATTTTCGTAGGAGTGAGAAGCGATAAATGCGAGAAGAATCGGGAGATAAGAGAATGATAACGGCTACTTGGCAGCCAAAGAGAAACTGAATGGAAAGCAATACAGCGATAACAAGTTTTGAATCGGAGCGGGAGGAGACAGTTTGCAAGAGCGAGGAATCGGCGATAAGCGAAGATTGATCAGTTTACAACGGGATTAAAAGTTATGAAAAGTTTATTTTGTATTTATGTGGGCGTATAATACGGTAGAAATAGAGCAAACAGACCAAAGAGGAGGCTCGCGGAAGAAAAGGGGAACGCACCGAACGCGGAAATTGCGTACGGTCTGATGCATTGTGTGCCAACGTACGTGAAACCTTTTCTGAGCGGCTGTTCAAAAATTATTTTTTCATTCAATGAAATTATGATTGTGCTATAAAAAATGAAGTTCGAGCAGAAAACCGTTCAAAACCTTTTTATTAAAAACTCAAAAAGAAAAAGGTAAATTTCTGGAGTTGGTCATCACAATGAAAACTAAGAAATTCAGAGGAGAGGGTCTTTGGTGAGCTTCGACAGTATCTAACTGGGCGTTGTGTTTCTCTGTGATATTTAAACCATTCCAAAATCGTGTCACGTGAATCCATTTATTTCTAGTCTCTCCTACTTGCTACCAAGAAGGCGCTCAAACAATTATGCGTGTTCTTGTAATTGTAAGGTATTATAGGGGCACCGCACAGAAATGGCGCTCTGTTGAGAAACTCTTTTTGCTGTGCAAATTGAGCGACCTCGGGGCCGAGTTTGAAAAGTTAGGCCACATTTTCAGTGGAAAATTACTTCGCGGCCTAGAAATTCGGCCCGATTGCGAACAGCGCGCCCTTTCTGTCCGGTGCCCCTATAATAGAATAAGATGATATTTTTTTCTGTGTTGCAATCATACAATTTGCCATAACCCTTCGGCTTTACTCTTTGATCAGATCATGCTCGTTTTTTTTCGTTTTCCGGGAAGTCCAGGTTGGCGCTGACCTTCCGCTCTTTCCCCGTTTCGCCTCGCCTTTCTGCTCAGTGATGCGTTCTCCAATTATGAGCAGATGACGTGTCCGGCAAGAGCCGTGCTCTTTCTCTTTTCCCGGACAACATAAGCAACACGTACACTCACAATTTTCGCAATTTAGTAAATTGAGTGTGTGGAGCGAGTGTGTCGTCGTTGGCGCAGAGAAAAAAGAGAGAAAAGGAAGAGGGCCTTCGGATGCATGCACACTCACTCATTCCGCCCTTCAAATTGGTTCCGCCGGAGTTGGCTCGGAAACCGACAATTCCGAACTTGTTTGCCGTGGGAGTGAAGAAAGTGTCTGGGAGCAGCGAAAGGACACCGGAGCGCATCAGACACCAGAAAAGACGAAGAAGAAGAAGAAGAAGAAGAAGTGATGGATCATCTCGTCACTCGGTCCGATGGACATGACGTCGACGATCAAAGTTTTCGGGAACGACATTTCGTTCTCTGAAAATGTTTTTCGTCGAATGCTCCTTTTTCGAAAACGAATTTGAGAAATGATCAGACTTCTCGGTCAACTTGTCATATCTGCCATTCGTGTCTTTTCTCTTGTCAGTCGGACGGATCTCTGACCTTTTGTTAATCCACCCGAACAACGCCTGCAATCCCTTCCAACTCATTACCAGAAGCTGTTCTCCAGATTGCTCTGCTCGTCATTCGCCCTTTCCCCTGCTCTTCTCGAGCCCATAATTGCCGCTCCGTCAATGTTTTATTGCGTTTTCTATTCCATTCATTCTTCCTCTTCCTCCTCTTCCACGTCATACCAATTATTCTGCACACATTCATTCATTTTTTTCTCTCTTTTCGAAACCTCGTGATCTGTTTCGTTCTAATTGATGCGTTGCTCGTTTCCTTTCGCCCACTCAGAAATCCGATCCGAAACGTTTCTGATTCCTGGCTCCTCGTCAAGAGCATCTGCTCTCGACGAGAAGGCGCTCGGTAGCACGCGTCGAAAACGACTAGCTGTTTTCGGGTGGCCACGGGATTTTGATTAGATAAGTCAACAAGATGATGTGACTCTCTCTCTCTGAATCGCCTCGTTTCCGGGCGGCCCTCGCCCCTTCATCTCGCCCATCCACTTCTCGTTTTTCTGTTGTTTTCTCGTTTTTCTTCGAAGCTGTCTCGCACTTGGGTGCAGCCCTTTTGGGAATGATGCCATCCAACTTACTCCCATCGCGTTTCCTTTTAATTTCCGGCGGATTAGTGACATTGAAGCTGTTAGTGACTCTCTCAGCTTCCAATTTGCAAGTCTTCGGCCTGGTTGATAATCAGATTTTCCCCGTTCAGCTGCAAAATATTAAAACATTCCTGTTTTTTTACTTCATCTGGCGGATTCATAGAATTCTGGCCATGTCGCTCTACCGAAATCCCACGTGAAAACCCGACTGAATTCACGTCAGAGCGCCGTTGTCCGGATACTGCGGGCTGATATAAACATTGGAAAAAACCGCATTTTACGAAATGTTTCAATGTTTAGTTTTGACCCAGGCAGTTCCTGGATTGAGAATGCACATTCCACGTTCCCGAGAACCCATTCCGTTCTTTGTACCGACCTGATTTCTCGGCATTATTTCGCTTATTTCGCCGGCCGGCGACACGCTTCCGAAGCCTTTTTCCGCGCGCCAAAATTTCTGATGCGTGCCGTCGGAAGAATACTGATTCATTTAACTTGAGTTTTTGGGAATGAGTTCATTGTGATGTAAACTAACAAAGAGACATAAAAAGCACGCACGAGAAGCCATTTTCCGAAAAAAGCTATTTTTCAGTGACCTATAGACATTTTTGCGAGTTTCTTGTTGCTCTTTGTTAGTTTTGATCATAATGAACTCATTCTCATAATGAACTCATGACAATGAATAAGATGAATCAGTATTTCTCTGGCGGCACGCATCTAATGTTCCTGGAACGCTGAATCTGAGCCTTCGTGGACGACCGGTTGCCTTTCGGCCATGTTTTGTCAAGTTTTGCCAACCAAAAGTAAGCCGGTCGGAACTAACTTTTTTTTGCTGTTTTCTTTTTCAAAGAAAGCTTTTAAAATTTAGAAAAAAAGTACGTTTGTGATTAAGAATTGTACGTTTCAGTTTTTGAGAAAAATCCGAAAAGCCGGAACGTAGAACGGCGATGGCCGCGGAGGCCAGAGACTAGAAACCACCGCCTCGCTCCCAGGAAAAGTCACCGTGAAGCAGATTAAAACGCGAGAGCTAGAGTATTTAAATCTCCTCGGAAACTCGCACACTTTACCCGTTCGTAAACTGTTGCCCACCTCGGTTTGTGCTCTTCTGCTTCCAATCCGCCTTCTGATTCTAATCCGTCGACCTGCCAGTCACTTTTTCTTTCTTTTTTTGAAACCCTTCCTTTCCTCCAACCAGAATATGAAAATATGCATCCGTTTTGCGATTTTGTGCATCGTATTATTGTTTTGGAAAGGGGAGCGACAACCCGAATTTCTTTTCCCTTTTGTTTTTATTTGGTCGCTCTTTTTCCCTCTTCCTCTTCACGTCTTCTTCTTTTTCTGATTCTTTTCGAGTGTTCGCTCTCAGAGGACACCACCAATCGGAGGCCTCCAACAAGAGAGAAAGAGAAAGAGAGAGAGAGAGAGAGAGAAAGAAAGAGCGAGAAAAAGGATATCTTGTTTTTTGGGCTGCTCTCGGAGCAAATGCTCCGCCGGTAAACTCATTTCGGCCGAAAGGTAATCAGTCAGTGCCATGAGAATTCCCCCGGAGACTGCACGTAAAATGCTCTGGCAACAACGTCCATTCTGCAAATCCTCCGCTTCTGGAAGCCTCAGCCTCATTTTCTGTCGTCCTCGAGAGACCACAAATTCTGAGAATCGGAAATGAGAACATGAACTTGTTTTCGGTTCGCCGAGTGGATTTAAGAGGAAAAGAGCGTCGGAAAGTTGTTTGATCGATCCGCTGAGAAAGGCGGCAGAGAGAGGCCGGCGGGAACAGGTGTTTTCCGTTTCATTTCACTTCGTTTTTCGTTTCGTTTCATTTGTCGCTCTGAACTTTCACCTCTTCCAAGTTGCTCTCTTTCTCATTCCTACCGTACTCGCGGCTCACGTCCACGTCAATAATAACAGCATTCGCGCCGCACAAGAATGCTGCTTTGCATTATTCCCCCAGATGATTAATCCCCTTCTCCTCTTCTTTGCGCATTTTTCTAACCTACTGTACTCTTTCCTCTCACTCTCTCGCCCTCTTTATTTTCAATGAATAACACATGCATGAAGGGCAGACACAACTCAATTTGATTTTTCGAAAAAAGAAAAGGAGTGAAAGGAAGGGCGGCTCCTCAAATGAGTCTCTCCGGCTCATTGAGCACGAGGGTTCTTCTTGTGACTTCCTACTGTAATCCGAACGAATCCCGTCAGTTCGGTGCAAGGTTTCGACGTGCTTTAAACTAATCTGCAAATAAAGAATTGGGGTCAGAGCGCTGATCAGTGAACATTTCCTCGGGTAGTAATTTGTCAAGTGAAACTCTGCACGGCTCCCCCGGACAAGTCTGATTTGTGAGCATCCAAACTAGAGCGTGAGCTCCACGAAATCCGCCTCGAAGTGTGCTCTCATTTGAAATGCACACAGGCGGGGCACTCGCTACGTGTAATTCTTCAGATGTCGTCGTCGTGTTCGCGAGGACGTCCGTCCCTGACAAAAACAAGCTCGGTGCTGCTCACTTTCAGGCATAATTTGAGTGAGATGCACACGAGCGACTGCTTTCTGTTCAGAAGGAAGTGTGGGGCACCGGAAGAGGACAACTCATCAGGCCTTCTTTATGGTTTCTCGAAACTCTTTCCCCTTCATTGCCCACCACCGAGCATGTCCTTCAACGTTTTCGCTCCAGGACAGGTGCCACTTCTCGAGAAGCGGCCCCTCTTTTTTTTCTCTTTTTCCTCGTTCCGATCTCCGATGGCTGGTCTCTTGCTGTCTCAAGCTGCTGAATATTCATGTCGATTTCATTTTCATTTTTTGCCTCGAAAACGCAGAAGAAGGAGAAGAAGAAACGTTGGTCTCGTCGCGTGCATTTCATTTCAGAGTCAACATCACATCTTCTGATGCTCGCCGAGCATTGATTTCATGTTTTGTCTGCAGTCGAATTCAGAGAACTGTTCGTTTGCAGAATGCTGTTTCCTCCTCCCCCCGCCTTCGACCTTCCAAACTTTTCTGATCTCTCTTCTGTTTTCATTTTCTTGTCTCGTGCGAATCCGCCCCATCTTGTTATTAGGGACCGCCCAACAAACGCGCCAATTTTCCTTTCCGTCCGCCTGACTCACCGTCGCCTTCCTGTTTTTTCTCCTTCTGAATGGCAGCCTTTTCCTCTTAAATTTGCGGTTTTCAGACTGACGCGTGCCCCGATCGAACAATTATCTGGCTCCGCCCCGCTTCTAATCTCGCTCCGCGATGCAAATGTTTCGGCATTCGTCGGCCGATATGTGGCGACAGCGGAAGCCGTTGGAACGGCGATCTACAGAAGGGCGACGCAGTTCGGTGGTCGATTGGATCAACGGACTCTCGGATAACAATAACTACAAAGCGGATCATTGGGTCGAGAAGTGAGTTCATCTTCTGACAACGAGGCTGTCCCATCTTCATCCTAATACGGTGATTCTTTGCGAGGGCCCTCAGCAGTGAGGAGAGGGAGAAAGGGTGCTGCCCCGAATCGGAACTTCCCGAATCCGAACCAATTAGCACTGAAAACAGTTCTGATTCAGGAATTTCCGATTCGGGGCAGCATCGGAGAAAGTTCGGTCCCCGTCCCTTGAACTGTCGGCTGCTTATTTCGTTGGCCGGCGGCGCGCCCTCCAAGCCAATTCCCGCTGTTTTTTGTTGCTCTTTGCTAGTTTTGATCATGATGAACGTATTCATGAAGAGAATGAATAAGATGAATCGGTATTTGTCCGGCGGCACGCATTTAAAGTCTAAAAAACCGTGCCTAATAATGTTCAGACATGAAGCGGGTTGTGAACGAATGACTAGGAATGGAAGTGTGTGTGCCGTCAAAGAATCAGAACCCGACGTGCCGACTCAACACAAAGAAGTTCTGCTGACGAAATTGAAAATAGAGGTAAACGAGAAAGAGAGATAACCACATCTATCTGTAGTATTCAGATAAAGAACATAATGGCGGAGCACGGAGCCAAGAAGTATCTCAACTTGAACTCCCCCTACGTCAGTTCCCTCTGTGGTGGGTGAATGACGTCTTGTTGTCATGTCATCTTCAATTACAGTCGCCGTGGACGCGTGTCTGATGGACGGTCTCCGACGACGTCTTCTCACTCTCTTCAACAGTCCGTCCTCGATGACACTTCTTCAGATAATCGCAAAGTCCAACGGGTCCGCACAGCAGGTTTTAGAGCAGACGAAGACAATAGAGGAGCACCATACAAGTGTGATACCACTTCATTTAATATGGATTCGGGAAGCACTTTACATGAAGTCGCTGTCGACGATCATTAATCATTTCATTGACTCGAAAAGGTAATTGGATCTGGCTTCAGACTTCAGCCTACCGCAATCTTTGGCCGATTCGAAAGAATGCGAAAGTAACAATTAGAAAAGTGTTGAACGCTGTCATTTTCAGTGTCCGTCGCTATTACGACAGCAACGCATTGCTTCTGGATCCCGTGAAAGGTCGTCTGGTGGCCACTCTGCTCCGTGAGTCACTCGCCGAATGAAATGAAATGTTTCTCGGGAAGAGGGCCAATTAATCGAGTTTGGAGCCTGCGCGACTCCTCCAGCGCCAATTATGGATTAATTTTTTGTGCCCCTTAGGCGTCTCGGCTCGGCGACCACGGGTGGAAATGAGGGCCACGCCAAATAGAGCAGAGAGATGCGAGACAGGCGGTGAGAGAAAAAAGGCAAGCGCGAGCAAGTAAGAAGAGCCTGAGGAAAAGTGAAAGAGGCTCAGAGCTCAGTCGGAGCAAGACCCGGGGCAGCCGTTGTGTGCTTCTTCGTGCATCCGCGTGATTTGTCGCTGCTTCGACCTTTCAGTGCTCTTCGGACTGTCCCTTTTTAATTGGACACATTCCCGCATATTTACAAAAGAATTGCTCGTATCTTTTCTGAAAAGAGACGACGCTCAAAAAATGCAAATTGCATATCGAATTCGTCCGAAATTTTCAAGAGCTCGCCGAGCAAAACAACAAACGGCAGCCTAAATGCTCATAAATACAGAATTACGTGTTTTCGACGCCTTATTTTCAAAGAGCCACTCTGCCGGTTTTTGTGATCCCGGCGCTCATCTGGAGTCCAGCCTGATTCTCTGTTTCCAGACTAATCGAGTTGTTCGGCGCTCTGCTTCGCCGGGAGCATGTGCTTCTCGCATGTCTTCTCCCACTAATGGAGAGAGAGAGAGCAGCTCGTGGGATCTGCTCCACGAGCTGCTCGCGTTTCTCTTTCCCTTTTTCTCCTTCTTTTTTATGATACACTAATGAATATTCCTTTTAGATGTATACGCAAACCTCTTTCTCTTTCTCTTTTTCTCCCCAGCTCTTTCGTCACAAATTCGTTTGCTCGAAAATGAGGCACGCAGATGATGAGCCCTTCCCCTTACTGGCCCTTTTCCCCCCTTCATTTCCTTTCCAATCTTTCGTTTCCGTTGAGCGTTTTAGCTTGAAGACTCACTAGAGAAGCCCTTCTTCGGATTAATTTCTGAAACTTTAGAAATTTTTTTTCCAATTTTTCAGTGGCGCCGTGTATGGTAACATATCGCAGAATGAGCACCCGAACAGAAACCGAAGCGACCGCCGAAGAGCTCGTTGAAGGAGCCGCGAGGGCCAGGAACGGAGAGACGAACGGATCGACGTCGGGAGTCAGCTCGAGACCTCCTCTTTCGGTTTGTCAGTGCCCGATTTCATTTCAGAGCCGTCAATGTTTCAGATAACTCGTCAAGTATCGAGTATGGCCGTGTCGGTAGAGAGGAACGGGTCCGTGAGCCGGGACTACGTCTTCTCCCTCCATCACAGTTGCAAGTCGACCCTTCTCTACGGAAAGAACAATGTGTGCGTGGCAATGGACGGCAATGACTTTGCCAAGGGTAATGCCTCAATCTTCGGCCACTCTCCCGCATTCCTTCTCTTTAGGGTACATGTCACTCCAGAAGTTCTACGACGGAAATCTTTCTCTCAAATGGGTGCCCAATCAGCTTATGCACGCTAGTTCCCAGCCCTCTTCGGGGCACTCAAACAACGGAGAATTCACTAATTTCTGGAAGAATACGATTAACATTGAGATGCGTGACATCATCTACATCCATTTGCATCAGAAAGACGAGTCCTCTCCCGCCTGCCTCACTTTTGTCAACTGCGAAGGCGTGCAGTCGGCTCCATTCCAACTGCCGGCCGGCCAGCATTCCATCGCCTTCCTCTCCTCTCTGGAGACGGGCCTCGCTCCTCTCCTTCGATTGGACCCTCCATTGTGGACTGGCACGACGAAAGGTACGTTTCCATGGCGATCCGCGTGTTATTGTCACTTGCCCTCCTCCCCGGAGACAGCTGATTCCAGAGAAAATGCTGCCTCGTCTGCGCAAGCGCTCCACCGCCATTTCGTCTCCTGTTATGCTCGACTACGTTTTCCGGCTCGTGCGAACTTCTGGAGTCGAGCCGGCGCCAGAAGACATGGAAGAGAACCTGGCGCCCTCTCCAATGCCTCCGATTCACGACAACTGGTGGGTTCGCCCCCCCATTCCTCGAACATTTCCATTCTTTTCAGCGTCTCTCTGCCGAATTCGCCGTACATTGTCGATAATGTGGACAGCATTGTCAAGTGAGAAACGCTCTTCTTTTGTGTTTCATTCAAACGTTCTCTCGTTCTCTTTTCAGTTTTCAAATCGGAAAAGCGTGTCAATCGATGAGAAACCAGATAATGGCGCGGGCATTCTACGGATGGCTCACTTATGTCCGTCATTTGAGAACCATACGAACGCATCTCCTTCACTTGGTCAACACGAATACAGTAATTTGTGATGATGACTGTGACCCGGTGGACGAGAAGTTCTGGAAGAAATGCAGGGCTGATCCGACGGTTAGAACATGAATACACAGCTGAGAAAGAGAGATTTATGTTTTAGAAGGAAAACGAAACCGAGTTTCTGCAGAGAATTTACTGGCGGGGAATCGAGGGAATGAACTCGAAGGAAATCAGAAGATCGGCTTGGCCGTACCTTTTGGGATTGTTCGAATGGAATGAACACCCGGAAGCTAAGATGGAAGAGTTCACGAAAAGTTACTGGGAGGAGATTGAAGAGTGGCGGGTTTTGGAAGCGGAGGTGCGGCGAAGGGACGAGGAAGCGTTCCGAGCGGCCAGGGCTCGGAAGGCCGCATCGCCAGTCAGGGAAGAGTCCTGTGAAGTGTTCGAAGACCCAAACGTAGGTCACTCTCCACTGATATCTCGAATTGAGTACTTCAGGAACCGTCGTGTTCGAGTCATTACGATCGGGAGAATCTGATCTCTCTGTTCCGAGCCAATCTTCATCGAATCGACAAAGACGTGGAACGATGCGACCGGAATCTGATATTCTTTTCCAACAAAGACAACTTGGAGAGTCTGAGGTCAGTCCCAGGGGCACAGCTGCAACATTTTCAAAGAGTGAATGAATTGCAGACGCGTCATGTACACTTATGTTCGTCGTAATCTTGAAGAGGGATACACGCAAGGAATGTGCGACCTTCTGGCGCCACTCCTCGTCATTTTCGAGGACGGTGAGTGGAGTTTCCGAAGGAGATGGGGGATATTTGATTTCAGAAGCACTCACGCTTGAATGCTTCTCGATTCTGATGCTTCGTCAACGCGGAAAGTTCCCCCAGAGACCAGGAATGTCAAAGTGTCTTCTCAATTTGAGATCCCTCATACAGGTACGTCGAAAAAAGATCCTCTTATCAATATTGTTGATTTCAGGTCGTCGATCCTCAAATCTATGCCCTAATTGCTGATATTGACTACGCACAGGCTCTGTCCTTTGCCTTCAGATGGTTCCTTCTTGACTTTAAAAGAGGTATACTGCACTTGATGACGTGGCATTTCTAAATCTTGTACTTGAAGAATTGTCCTATGAGTGCACTTACAAAGTGTGGGAAACCATTTGGGCGGCGCATCGTCTTCAAATCACCGACGAATTCGCCATCTTTTTCGGCCTTGCCACCATTACCAATTACCACGATGTGCTCATCACCAACACCTTCGACTACACCGATATGATCAAATTCTTTAATGGTATTCAAACAGAATCCAGCGGTTTTCCAACACTTTTTCTCTCAGAAATGGCCGAAAGACACGACTGCTCCCGGCTGCTCTCTTCTGCCCGCACCCACGTCAAATGTTTGCAGAACCTTGTGCAACACCTCAAATAGTCATCATTATCGATCGGAATTCCCTCTTCGGGTTCAGCTCCATGTGTATGTATATCATCAGATCTCCAACATTTCCCTCACCAGTTTAGTCTTCATCACCATAATCATTCACTTTTCGATACGTTTGGATTGTACAGTAGTCGTGCTCAATTTCATAGATATTGTTTAGATGCAAATGTAAAATTTACTTCACACCCCGAGCAAACAATAATATTTCGTATCAGTTCAATTAGTTGTCGAAGCCGAGACAATGAATGCTTATTGTTCTTGTCTGTACAGCCCGAAAACGCAGCTAGTTTCCGTTTGCGAGTCGAGCCGATCCGGCCCATTATTCATACTTTGACCCTTCCTCATTGGGCCAAAACACCGGTCGATCCGTTTGCCAATTGGTTCATTTTTGGTGCATAAAACCGGCTGTTTGAAGCATCAATTAGCCGCCTCCTTTCTCGCGAATCCTTCAATTTTTTGGTCGCTTCCTTCCTCGCCTCCTCTTTTCCTAATAACGTGTACGACTGACTGACTGGGTGGCGGGGCGACCGACTGCGCGACGATCGCCATTCCGAGTGCTTCGGACATTCGTATCGTCGTGGATACCGGTCAGTTGTCCAGGGAAACCTCGGAGCACACGCCTCGGGCTCACTTTGCTCGAGAAGTGAAGCACTACTATTTGTGTGAGAATTTGCTACAGTCTGCCTCACAGATTCTCTGAAAATTGTCGCTTAACATTGTAAACTTGTTGATCTCATTGTTGACTTCCGTTTTCCCTTTTGTGGTTTCTCTTTGCAATCCACTTGAAAAGCAATAGACTGTTTTACACATCCACTCGACTCTTTCCAACCCTTTAACAGATTTCTTTTTACTTCACAACTGTATGCTTCCACCTCTTTTTCGACACTAATTCTGCAGAAAAGTGTTGCGTCCCGGGATGCTACTCGTAAAGCGCAATTCGGAGCGGACGCGCTTTTACAAGCGCTATTTGCACACCTTTATTCGTCCGTGTTCTTCCACGTTTATACTATCGTTTCGCCATTCGCGGCTATTTGCGAGTAGCATTCGAGATGGATTCAGTCAGTCGACGACTGTTCATATTTGCACATGGCCCCACCCAAAACTCACGCAAGCACATGATAACAACTGTCCTGTCGCCCTTATCATTCATTCACAGTCTAAGTCTCTTCCATTCGATTCGTTGTCATGCAAATGTTCTACACCAACGACGTCATGCGAACCTTGCCTTTCGAAAACACTTCCGGCTCTTCCTCTCTTCTGATTGTTGTACTGTACTTTGTGTTTGTAATCCACTCCAATTGTTCGGACGAACACGTCCGGGAATAGCCGAGTCACGGCCGAACAGGTAATCCTCGGGGCTCCATTCATCGACATGGCAAGACTCTTACTGTTCCCTCTTCCCGTCACCTTTTTCGTACACTTTGTTATGGAAGAAGGATGTTTTTGTTTGATTTGAAAATTGAAAAGAGGGAGAAGAACAAAAGAGGAAGACGACGACGTCGGAAATGTTAATATTGTGAGTCCTCTTCCAAATTCGGTCATTTATTCGCCAAGCCTTTCCGATTTCATTTCGATCCACCCCGATTCGGCTAAATATTGGTTCTGCTGACCAGTGCGCGGAGGCGAGACAAGCTTGTACAAAATCCGCTGATAAACTGACTGACTCGTGCGGACTCGTCCTCGAGTCTCTCTCTCTCTCTCTCTGCCTCTCTCTCGCTCTCCCTCTTTTCCGATGTCTGACAGTAGTGCCACGTCAATCTGCGCCGCGCCGCCCATCCTTTCACAATAAAAAACGGGCGCAATTATATGCGATTATTGAAATCGAAACCTTCATCCCGCGCCATGTGAAGAGGGGGATATATGTGACTGACACCCCCGGTTTCGGCCTTGGCAACTGCCAGAAAAAGCGTGTGTGCGATGCCCCATGTCTTCCGGAGACTAATTCGACTTCTCCGAAGACCTTGTCACTGGAATGACGTGGCAATACGAGATGACACAAAGGTCGTTTTTGAGCGGATTAGGGGTAAGGTTTTCGTCCGAAAAGTGTTCAGCTGTGCACACTCTCTTCCCGCCACCTGCATACATCTGGAACTTTCCGTTCGCCCCATCCAATTCATAATTAGTAGAGAGCACTTCCCAATCCATGCGAACAACCATTTTTTTTGATTTTTCGCTGAGGTGGAAATGGAAACAGTTGGCAGAGAGAGAGAGAGAGAGAGAGAATGCGAATACTTTTCGGCAAACAAAACGGTTCTGGGGCACCACTCGGAACAAGAAAATTGCAAGATTGGCAAACAGCCGAGTACTATTACTTTCGGGCGGCTCTTCCACGCCGCCGATCGGCACTTTTTTGGAGAGAAACTTGACACTCTCGTGTTCGTTTCGTCCGTTCCTCCAATCCGTGACGTGGCAGCGAGCGATCCTGATCAATATATCAATTTCTCTGCGTTTCTCACTCAAGAGAGACCGGCCCCGGGAATCGACAAAAAGCAGCTTTTCGTCTCCAAAAATGACATTGCGCGGCTGTGATCGGGAGACAAACGTCTTGGTCACTTTATCTCTCTCTCTCTCTCTTTTTTCCTCTCGCTCTTCCTCTCACATCATCCAGATTGTTTATATCCCAGAAAAATACGCGGCTTCCACTTGTATACACATAAAAACCCAACCATAAATATTGAGAAGAGCGTGTGAGTCCGGCAGACGCAGGGACAATGCCAGATGCCCGCACAACTGACGCTCCAGGCCACCCCAGAAAAGTTGCTTTTTTACTGTGTTGCCACCTTGGATGCCACGTCGGAAAGTCAACACTTGGCTCCTCGTAACTTGATCTTTCACTCGGAAATCCGTGTTCCGCAATCTCCTCCTCCCTCCTCAAAATTCAAATTTGTCATTTCGTCTCTCTCACTCTCCTTCTTCTCACTCATCTACTCCTTCTCCGCCTCCTTCTTCTTGTTCCTCTCCGTCCGTTCTCTGCGCTTCTCCGTCCCAACCGCTTCCTATTCTATTCTCTGCGTCTCTCCACTTGGCACACTCTCTCGCTCTTTCTCTTCCACAAATTCTTCTCGATGCCAGCTCTCTCGTTTTGTCGCACGAATTTCCATATTTTCGGTACGGCCAACCGACAATACGTGGCATCGTCATTCAGAGTGTTTGGAACGAGGAAACACCTCTCTCAGGGTCGACTCTTACTTTCTTTCCCTTTTTGTTTTCGCACCCGTCTCGCTAGTAATCGGCTGGCCGGCAGGTCTCGAACTGTTTCATTAATAGCCGCCGAATGGCCACTTCGGAATGACCAGGTAGCCGTTCAGATCGTCCGGTCCGTTCCGATTCTCACTCACGGGTACTGTATCATTCCAAAATTCTTTTCTTCTCAATTTGTCTCAATTGTGACCTCTCGTGAATACGTGGCAACTCAAGGTCATCCCAAACGTTACTCTTTAAGATGTACTGAAATGGCTAACTGGCCGCGAGTCTCTCCCATCGCCTACGTGGCTCTCGGTGTGCTCCTCGGCTTGACCCTTTCCATTCTTTCTCAATCGGGAACGGTAAGTCTTCGGAATAAAAACTAAACAGTTCGCAATGATTTTTCAGTCCGCCTACGACGCAGCGACACGGATAGCCATACTTCGGGCGTCGCGAGTCGATCCACTAGACGGGCACAATCACGCGCACGCAAACGATCCGCACGGAGAGGAGGACGTCGACGACAACCACGCCGACTTCGCCCCAGTGCAGTTCCACTCGAACGACTCTTCGCACAGCCACGACGGCGAGAGCAGGATCGCCGACGAAATATCGAAAAAGGTGCGCGTGTTCTGCTGGATTCTCACCGGAAAACAGAACCACGAGAAGCGAGCGAAACACGTGAAAGCGACGTGGGCAAGGCGGTGCAACAAGTGAGTGATTTACCCGCTTTTCCGCCGGATCAATCTCCGAACGTTCAGGTACGTCTTCATGTCTTCGGAAGAGGACGCCGAACTGCCGGCCATCAACCTGAATGTGTCCGAAGGAAGGGACTACCTCTGGGCGAAAACGAAGGGAGCATTCAAGTACATTTACGATCATCATCTCAATGACTTTGATTGGTTTCTGAAAGCCGATGATGACACGTACGTCGTCATGGAGAACTTAAGGTATTCAACCCTCAGAGAATGTTCTAGATTGACAAGAAATGTTTAGGTTTATGTTGCTGGCTCACTCTCCAGATGAACCCATACATTTTGGATGCAAGTTCAAGCCGTTCACTAAGGGAGGATATCACAGTGGAGGCGCCGGATACGTGCTAAGCAGAGAGGCACTCAAGAAGTGAGGACGCGAAATGGAAGAAGATGTGATGCAGACTCATTTCAGATTCATCGAAGTGGCTCTTCCGGACAAGTCGTTGTGCTCTCAGAATCACGGCGGAGCCGAGGACGCCGAGATGGGAAAGTGTCTGGAGAAGGTGGGAGTGAAGGCCGGAGACTCGAGGGACGCGGACGGACATCACAGGTGAGGAGCCATTCGAAGGGAATACTGTAGACGAGTGTCGCTTTCAGGTTCATGCCTTTCGTGCCGGAGCACCATCTCTCGCCGGGACACATCGACCCGAAGTTCTGGTTTTGGCAGTACACGTACTACCCGATGGATCAAGGACCGACGTGCTGCTCCGGTCCGTCTATTGATGCTGATCTCTTTTTGTTTCTCCCTTGGCGGCCGGTGCAAACAATGCCCTCCCCGGGAGAAGAGAGAAAGATCAATTGTTTTGCGGCTTGACTATTTGCTCTCATTTTTTCAGATTATGCCGTCTCCTTCCACTACGTCAGCCCGAACTTGATGTATGTTCTCGAGTATCTCATCTATCACTTGAAACCATTTGGTGAGTCACTTCACAGAACCACGGGGGAAGCATTGAACTTTCTGTTTTCAGGCATCGATCGAGCCATCCGAGTGCCCAAGAATGAGACTGTTATCCACACGGCGTACTCCATTTCCCGTTCGGAACGAGGCCAAGACGACGCCTTCAAGGAGCGGCCCGAAGTGATCTGATGGTCTCGTTCGTTTCGTTTCGTTTGTTTTCTTCCTTCTTCTAGTTTCAATCTACCGGGTGATTCATCTTGTTTCGTAGTGTTCCCTTTGACCAACTCCGCTTCGCTTGGGCTTTTTTCTCTTCACATTCCATGACTGTGCCGCCTGCTTTCCTTTGTTTTCTTGTTTTTATCACTTTTAGTGAGTCTAGTTTGGATGTTTATGCTTACGGGAATTCTCAAAGTTTTACATGTAAATGTGGTTTTCAACGTAAAGGCGACTTTACTGTGTGTGTGTGTGTTCTAGTCAAAAATCTTTCTTGTCTTCTTTCTTTCCTCAAATAAATCGGTTTTATTGGTAAAAAGAAAACGTTTTGTTGAGCAGAATGACAAGTACACCGTACGATATTCAGACGAGAAGGGGGGAGAAGTAGATGATAAAGCAAAGAACGACAAATTTGGCCTTGTGACGTGGAAATGAGACTTATGACACCTAAGCGTTGAGCACGAGAAGAAGCATGAAGACGACGGCGAGGAAGACGAGGAGGGCGGCGATGATGGCGACTGTCAGGGAACGGCGGTGGGTGTCCGGCATCTGACGGACTGCCGTCGGGAGCACTGTGATCGGCGCGGCGTCGTCTTTCGGCGGACTGAAAACAAGAATCACTCTCAATAAAGCGGAAATTAACTTCCAAATACAGTAATCTATATCAATCACAGTCAGAAACAATAAGCGATGACTCAGACGGTCGTACCTGATGACGATGAGCGGAGAAGACGAAGGGAATCTCGAGGAGGGAGACACCGGCACCTGGTAATCGGAGGACGTCGTCGAGTAACGGGGGCTTTCCACTCTCTTCTCGCGAACAGCTTCTGCTCTGGAGTTCAGAAGATGTTAAGAAGTTGATCTTGTTTGGGGAGCACTCACTCTTTGACAATAGACTGGTTCAAATATCCTTTCGGAGTGAAGTATCCCGCATTCGCCGTTCCACTTTCGATGGTGGCCGAGCACGGAATCGGAACGACGGTGTCCATGCTGAAAGAAGTCATTTGCAGATGAATTAGTTTTTGGAGAACGAGAAATAGAAGGGGAAGAACAAGAGGAAAAGAGGGCGACACTGTCACTTTACACAGTCTCGCCCTCATCAGAAGTCGAATCTCATCTTCAATCTTTGATGATGACGTGGCGGAAACTGAGCGGAGGGCGGCGATCATTCGACTCCGGAAAGAGCCGAAGAGTCATCTGATTGCTGCAGTTTATCGCCGATTTCGGACATAGATTAAAAACACATCACTCGCGTAAAGAATTTCAATGAAAACAAGATGTGCACAATGGGAATCGAGTCCGTGATAATCCATGAATAGGGGCGAATCCGGAAGGAAGGGCATCGGAAAACAATCAAAGGGCATCACCAATACTCGTACATGTTGTGATGTGATAAAGGTGAATCATTGAAAGAGAAAAGGAGAAAGAGACGGAGAACGAGAAAGAAGGTGAAGAAAGGAGCGAGGCGGCATGCTGTACAGTGTCTGATTGACATGCATTCCCCTCGCAGAACGAGTGGGCGCCCCGGCGTGTGCCTGTGGTCGGGTCGTTATTAATTTGTGAAAAGGAACACATCTGGATGAAGTTTTGGTAATGGGCGGCAATTGGAAGAGAATAGTGGAAAGGAGATTGATGAGGTGGCCGGGCACGGATAATGGGGCAGCAGTCGAGGAGCGAAGAGGATTAGATAATGCGAGTGATGGCGGATTGGATGAGGGTGGACGGACGCCGATGGGATTAGGCCTCCCTCTCGCTCTCTCTCTCGACTGTAGCTGGACTGTCAAGGTGCATTCTTTTCAGATTGAAAGACGGACTGGGATGGGGGATGAGGAGGATTAAGAGTCAGGGCGGAACGGAAGGAAACGAAGGTATTTTCGTTTTGAAATCGTTCGGAGAACCTTGCTCAAGCTTCTTGCAAAGACCGAAAACAAAAATGAAAAGAGGATGAATTGTTTAGAAGAGTCATGGGAAGGAGTTATTGTCGATGCACAAAAGTTCTCTTTCACAATCAAATTCCATTCATTTGGGGAACATTTTAACAGTCTCGAATGGACAATAGCGCCTTCTTCTATAACTTACTATTAGTAAATAAACAGAATAGAATTAGGAGAAAGCTTTCTGAATTCTCAGCAAATTCCTAGTAACCCGATTGTATTCGCTGACGATAAAAAACAACGACAAGGAAACGAAAACACAAGATCGACGGATGGATCAGTGCTGCCGAAAATAGTGAGCAAAGTGGCCGGATATGGAGGATTTAGGCCAAGAAGAACAACTGGAGATGCGGTGGCGAAGAGGGCTTCCAGCTGGGATCGAAGATGAATGCGAGTTTCTGCGAGATGACAAGAAACGAACGGCAATGAATCAGCAACTAATCCGGCCCGGATTCCGTCTGATTGAGCAATCGATAATGAGACTCACTTTTGTTCTCCACCGCCTGCTCTTTGTTTCCACACCAATTCCTCACGAATCCAGAGTTTTGGTGCGTGCAAAATAAAGAGTAAACGTGGAATGGAGAACCTCCGCCTCTTCTCCTTTAGGAAAATGTATAGTGACTAACGAAGACGAAATGTAGGAGGGAAACAAGTACATTTTGATGAGCGATTCCAGGTATTTCCGATTCGCGTCATTTGAATTGAGCCGATTCTAAAGCAGAAAATATTTGTTTTCGAGCAAAGACGAAGCACCGATTGCATTTTGATCTGGAACGAAGGGGAAGCCGAGTGAACTCTCGGCCGTCTGCAAGGCTGACGTCTCAGCCGACAGGCCCTCCTCACCTTCGTTACGCCATCCTCTTCAGCGTGGGAATTTCGAATGAGCCGTAAATATTTCGGGGGGGAAGCGACGACGATATCGATGAATTATGGACGGATTGCAGGCAGCGAGAGTGCCTCGCGAATCTGAGCAAACACCCAAAAGGTTCGGATTACCATTTCAACAAGTTTGAACAGTCGGTCGAAACTCGAAATGGGATTGATTGAGGAAGCGAAGGGCACACTTGGCAGGCTTCCTGTTTATGCGAAATGAGCGAGATGCGGATGGGAGAGCAGTTCGAGGAATCCAGGGAGAAAACTATTTCAGGAGTGTGAGAACGAGCACGAGAGCTCTTGAATACGATGTGTGCTCTTTGTGTGCAAAAGTCTTGATCCGTCAAATTGAATTCTTTCACGTACTCTGGAAGCGGGGAGAGAAGACAATGTCGCTCTAATGCAATCCAACGTGAATACAGGGACGCTGCCCCAACCTTTTCTAATTGAGCATGGAAGTCACGTGGAAAGCGGTAGAACGAGATTGCTAAACTTCTGCGGATGATTCTCAAATAAATCAGAGTGAAGACCAGAACTTTTCTAATTATTCGTCTCTTCATGGAATTCAGATGACGTTGAATAAAATAAAAAGTTCATAACCCAGTCGTCTGGATGAATGCTCCAAGACATAAAAAAAGAATTATTTGCTGTCCAGAAAAGCTCTTTGTACTCGCGCTCTTTTCTGTTTTCTCAGACAACCCGACGTGCTCCAGAAGTGCTTGAGTATTAGAAAACAGAAGAGAGGGAGGGACAAGAAGAAGAAGAAGAAGAAGAAGAAGAAGAAGAAGAAGAAGAGGAGGAAGTTCGGTGGCAAGAAGTGAAAGGTAGCTGCCCAGTCTAATTGTGCTCGACTGCCTGATTCATCAGTGCAAATATTTAGATAGACTGCTTGCTCCGCGACCGGAAAACGGGGGAGCGAGAGCATAGTCGTGTAAAGTGTTCATTTTTATTACTTTCGAATCGAATAAAACCGTATCATTTTAGGAAGGGAAAGCGTGGGCGGGAACTAGGCGGATCTGCACACTCCGTTCGCCTCGTTCTTCATGTTGTGTCGAGAGAAATCGATGAACGCCTGAAAGGAGAGCACTTTTCAGTCATCCAAAACTACAGTAATCCCTCTCGTCGTACCTTCGACACTTCGACGAGAGCCGCGTTGTGTGGCTCACTGGAGCTCCTGCCCGAGCTGTTGTTGTAGTTGGCACGCCTCCGATGGATGGGTGTGGAGACGAGAATCCGTTCTTCGAGTTCGTACATCGGATCACAGTTGAGTCCTTCTTTGCACGGAATGAAAACGGGCGCTGGCTTTCTGCAAAAGTTCAGTTTAGTTCAGTTCACTGAAGACATGAGCACCTGTGGAATACACTGTTGAAGTCTATCCTTTCTGTGTACGCGTGCTTTTTAATTCCTTCTAGACTAGCAATCCTCTTCTCTTTGTCGAACTTCAGCATAGTGTTTATAAATTGAATGAGATCTGTCGGCCAATGAGAGGGATACGGTATCGATGATTCACGGAATGCCACGTACGCCTGCAATGTCCCTTTAATCTACCATAGTCGTTGCTCGCCCTCACCTCCTCTGGCTTCGTCCTAGAGCTGAACTCGAACGGAGTCCGTCCTCGGAGCATCTCGTAGAAGCAAACTCCGAGAGCCCACCAGTCCACCCGACTATCGTATCCGTCCTCCATTCCCAAGTACGTCGCATATACCTCCGGAGCCATATACGGCCGTGTGCCCGAGTACGAAGTCGCCAGTTCGTCATGCTCCAATTGCGTCGCCAGATTCAGATCGGTGAGATGGGCGTGGCCCTGCTCATCGAGCAGAATGTTTTCCGGTTTGATGTCACGATGAACTATTTTCATCTCGTGCAGGTATTCGACGGCCAGACAAATCTCGCACAAATACAATTTGGCTCTGAAGGAAGAGGTCAGAAGAGTGTGCAGAAGGGCGATATTACCGATCCTCTGCGAACTTTCCCTGCTGGCTCAAATGGTATCTGAGATCGCCCCCGAGAAGCAAGTCGGACACCATGTACATGTAATCGGGGTCCTGAAAAGATTGGATGAGAAAGGAGAGATTTGGGAGCGAAATACCTGGAATGTATACCAGAGATTGACTATAAACGGATGGGAAATCTTGCTGAGAAGTGTGAGCTCACGGATTACATTGGCGGCAACTCCCTGAAAAAGCTTACGTCGTGATTGAAAACGGAAAACAGAAAGCCGGGATTACGGTACCTTCTCGATGCACCGTCGCTTGTTCATATATTTGAGAGCGAAATACTTTTTGGTCTTTCTCTCCTGCACAATGCACACTTTTCCGAATGCTCCTCTTCCGATACTGCGAATGATTGAAAAGTTCTGAAGACAGGGCGCGGCGCCAGATTTCCCTGAACTGGAGACGTGCGACGTGACGTCACTGCCACGTCTGACCACGCCCATTCGGCCTCCCATTCATCGATGGACCTAAAAATGACGACTGGCCTGAGAGGAGCAGAAAGAACATGTGATAAAGAGTGATAAGCGGAGAGGAAACGGGGTAAACGAGCACTGTTTGCATTGGAAACGAGAGTGAAACTCAAAACAAGTCAAGTGAAAGGAGGTTCCCACGCTCAAAGAGGGAGCCGGAGCGAGAGAACGGAGGAAAAGAGAGGAGCTGTTTCGGTTTCAGAGCCGTCGGAGCCCACCGAATTTTAATTAAACTTGCTCTTCCTTTTGCGCTGCTCCGTCGCCCGCGCACCCTCGCTCCGCTTCCTGTTAATTACATTCGAAAGTGGCATGATTATAATGAGAAGACCCGAAAAAGAAGCAAGTGCGAAGAAGGAGAAGTAAACATAAATACGGAGCGAAGAAGCGAATCTGAAGACGGCGAGCCGCTCCGTCGACCGCCTAATTGTCTGCATTCAACTGCAAAACGGCAAGAGAAAAAAAAAAGAACTTTGTGGTGGAAGGATAAACAGACCGAATTGGTCAGGATTGAGAAACAGAAAAAAAACGGAGTGTGGAGAGGAGGTCATCCGATTGTAAACTCGCATAAAAATGCTTCACGCTCCACCGGAATGCTCGACTATGAATCTGAATCTGGGGGCGGACGACATCCGGTTTCTCCACATGCTCTCATATAATACAGAAGAAGAAGATGGGGGGAAATAGATCAAAACGTGGTGAAGAAATAAACAAAAACGAGGGTGGACCGAACGACTTTCCGAGCACGACGGAAGCCGACAAACATGGACTGGCTGAAGAAGAAAAGGGGAAAACAACGAGGATGAATATCAAATTGGCGACTGAAATCGGACGGAAACGAGACTGCTCTCCAATTCATTGGCTCGTGTTTCCTGCAAAGGGAAAACGGACCAAAGTATGAAATGTGATGAATTCTGAAGGATACTTCATTGTTTCAAGTGATCTACTCTGAATCACCAATTAGAAATTTCATTCTGATGGCGCGAAAATGTTTCAAAATGATGAATTAGGTGTTAAGATATACCGTATTTCTTACAAAAACGCTTCCGTTGCGCAGGAGCCCATCCGTTTCAAAATGAGCCCTGAATTCTCCGTGGAGCGCGATAACCATTTCCACTCACAAACTAATTACAGTGCAATTACTGAATGCTCGAATGGCTATACCAGGTGGGTGAAGGCGGGGCGAGAGGGGAGCAGCCACGACGGACGACGTCTATATTAGCAGTGCCGTATGTCCTCATGCGCCACACAGCACGCCGCCATCGATTCCCCTTCTTCCCTCGCCTTTCTTCCTCTTTCTCTCTCTCTCTATTTTTGGCGAGCACAGAGATGAGCAGAGACAGCGCAGAGTCGTCCGCATGACGGAGAGGAAGAAGCTCAGCTTAAAACTAATCATATTTGCAGCGACGGAGGCAGGCCACCAATGCCCCCGCCGAGAGGAGCGCGGCTCGTCCGAGTGTTCACATGTCGTGCTTTGCAACGGAATTTATGTCGACAGAATGGGGCAAAATGGAAGTGAGATGCGGTTAGAAGGGATCTTGACACAGTTATGGTTTCTTGTTCGCTTCGAAAAACGTGCGAGTTTTTCGAACAATCTCGCCGAATCCGAGATGTGTCTGAGTACGGTCTCCGATCCATGCGGACAGTTTGCTTCTTGTCGATTCCTTGCCGAAGCGTTCATCGAATAGATAGACTGCCGCGTAGTCCCTCCGATGGCGGATGGCTCGGCCGATTGCCTGATTGACAGCGTGCATACACAGAGATTCGTAGAGCAGGGAACCACCGTTTGGCATCTGGCCGTCGAGGAACTGAATGAGTAATTTGTGAGAATGCACTGTTTCAAAATGATGAACCCTCATTCTCTCCTTCAATTCGACACTCGTCTTGTTTGGGTAGGGAAGTCCGATAACAATGACAGCACGACCAAGTTCGTCGCAAAAATTGATTCCCTCGCTCATTTTTCCGCCGACCACCGCGAAGAAAACGGCTCCTTTTGGAGTTCTGGCTGCTCGGCTGAACCGTTCCCAAACGTCAGATGTCGGCTGTTGACTCTCAGTGAACACACTTTTCTTTTCCTGCAAATCGCCGTTGGGGAGATCAGTTCTGAATACGTCTAACCTCAATCCGTTTCATGATTCCGAATTCGTTCATTTTCTTCTGGAAGTTATAGAGGAAGTCATATGAAGGAACGAAGATAACAACGCCGTTCGGAAGGTGCGGAACGAGGTTCTGAATCGAGAGAGCCAACGATTTGAGTGTAGCGTCGTTGGAACGGGTCTGATAGGTCAGCTGAAAAGGTTTCCCATCGACTGTCTTCTCGACAGTCACAGCCAAAAGCTGCGAATCATCGATGACGTGGGCGCACGAGAAACGGCGGATCGACTCGGGACCGATGGATCCACGGGAGAGGGTCTCCACGAGGAGCTGAGCAGGTTCCATTGTTCCGCCGACGAGGATGGTGGCCCTGCAGGACTTGACCACTTCTGACAAACGGTCAGCCGGATTTAGGAGTATGAAACGGAACCTGAAAAGTCAATTAGGGATAAAAAATGAGAGGGAAGTGTGACTTTGCATCGGACGGAGTCTTCTCAACGACGATTCTACCGTCGTCGCACTTGTTCGTCAGCGCATCGATGAAAGATTTCAGGGCGAAAAGAGGAGAAGGAACTGGCCTCGGAGGAGCCTTCTCTGGCTCTACTGATTGCACTTCTTTCATTTCTGAAAGAATAAAATAGTAAACTCCACAAAGCAAAGAATTCTTGCCCTCTTCTTTTTTAGCCATCAACTTCTGAATTCCTGTCAACTTCGGCTTTTCGTTTTCTTTTTTCACTTCCTGAATTATCTTTGTGACTTTTGACTTTATTTCCAGCACATTCTACTCACGTTTTTCTGCAATTGCATATAGAATCCATGGAATTTCTTGCACAAATCGGTTTTTTCAATGTAGGCGGCTAATTTGAAGAGATTGATTCCCAGAATATTCAGATGACGGGTCAGTTCCGCCATCGTCATTACATCTTCTTTCGATTGACTGTTCAGGAAAGTGAGCATCTTGCTCGTGAGCGACTCCAACTGCTTCATATACAAAAGGTTTTTGGCCTTCAGACGCAGCTTGTAAGTGACGATGTACTCTCGGATGAGCCGCAGAGCTAATGTCAGTGATTTAGTGGAGATCTCGGAAGAGTAAAGGGAGTTGATAGTGCTGAGAACGTTGTGTGCTTCGTCTAAAACCACCACATTGTCAGTCAGATCGATTCCCCACGCTTGTCGTGTGCCGTCGTGGAGCAGAACTTGATAAGGCAGGAGGACGAGTTGGCACTGAGGAACAGCCTTGCGAGTGGCGAAGTACGGGCATCCCAGAGACATTTTCCCCTGTTTTGTGACCTGCAGAGTTGTTGTCAGTTTGTTGGCCAAGACTCCGTTCACGACGTCTTCGATCTGCGTCGTATTGTAGAATTCACACGACGTCGCGCACGTCTTCTTCTTTTTCGTTCCATCTTCCGTCTTCTGCTTCTTCTCTCCGGCCGACCCGTTCTTTCGCAATTCCATGCACTTTTCATTGATCAAATGGTTCAGTTTAAGTTTCTTCACATTTTCGTTCACACAAAGAGTGCCCCTCGATGCACACGTGACGACGCGCGGCTGAAATCTCGTTTTGGCGAGTTCTTCAATCAGTTGCTCGAGCTGAGAATGCGTTCGCGATGCGTAGTAGATCTGAAAACGAAAACGCACTGATAGATAGAGAGGGAGCAGAAAGGGAAGGACTAACTTTCAGGCACTTCAGTGGTTTCTCTTCCTCTTCCCCTTCTGCTCTCAAGTCAGAGTGTCCTTCGCCGTCTGAATGGTACTCTTCCGACGGTGCAAACTCCTGAAAACTGCAAGATTCGTCCCGCTTAGCAATTTTTTTTACATCTTTCGGTTCTTCTTCCATGCCAAAATCGCTTTCTTTCAATGCCGTTTTCCTTTTTCTCGACACTTCCACTACTCCCTTTTTCGCCTGCTCGACCCTTATTTCCATTCTGAAACTTTTTTATTTCGTTTTATTTCATTCTCAATTCCGCACTTCTTCCTCTCTGAAATTCTCTCATTCACTTCGCTTTCTTCGATTCGCGCCTTCAACTTTTTCCTTTCCGCTTCCACGAAATCTCCCTTCTCCATTTCGAACTCCTTGATTTTTCTTTCCGCCTCTTTCTGTTTCCCTTCCAATTCATTCTCGATTCGTTTCTCTTCCTCCTCCAGCCACGTCATCGTCGAGCACAACACACTCAATGACTTTCCGGTTCCCGTTGGCGATTCGAAAATGCCAACCTGACGATGATCGATGCATTCACGAATTTCTCGCATCAACCGGAGTTGGATGTCGTACGGTTGAAATGGAAAAGAGAACTCTTCCATTTTGAATCGCGAACTGGGCAAGTTGAATGAAATAATACGGATTTATTGGTGAAAAAATGAAATAGAGGTTTGAGTTACCGAATTTATAGGGTAAGAGATTCAAGTATAATATTCATGAATTCATATCATTCAACCATTCACAATGGATTCGATTATAATTAGTTCAGAAACCGAGATGGAGACAGCAACAATTTAACCGGTTAGAAGATTCTGGGGTGTGCGGCAATGCGATCGATAGTCGTCTGATACGCCTCCATCAGTCTCTCGTACGTTTGGCTCAACGTCGAGAACTTCGTCTCCTCGTCCATGGCTCCGCACGCGGCTTGCTTCAGTTCTTCCGGCGTCAAAGCAAGATTCAGGCGTTTCCAGTCGCGTTCCGATCTTTTCATTGGTATGTAAAGACGTTTTTTCACGTCGACTCTTTGCTTTCTCAGCTCTTCCTTATCATTCTTGTTCGTCACGCGGAATCGAAGAATTTCGTAGACACGTCTCGCTTGCGCTTTCGAAATTTTCAGCGTTCTCAATGCGGCCATTCTCATGTCTTCTGTGTATCCTTTCTTCAAATTTTCCGATGAAAACTCGGGAAGGGTCATGCAGTTAACACAATCGACATAATCGCGCAGGTAGGTGAACTGATCGCCGGGAGCTTCGACGGTGATGTCGAAAACATCGGGGGTGGCGCGGAGATCACGGAGGAATGACTCCATAAACTGGGCGCCGATTCCCGTCTTTCTGTATTGTGGAAGAAGAAGCATTTGGGCGATGCGAGGTCTCGTTTTGTCAAGGTAATTATAGAATCTATAGAGACTAGCGTATCCGGCGACCAGTGGGAGAGTGCTTCCGTCGCCTTCACCAGTGTCGCACATTTCGTAACTGAAAGTAAATTGAATTGATGAATGTGGAATATGGAACGCCTCACATGAAATAATGCATCCAGTTCTCTTCGGAGTTATTGGTCAAAGAGCAGCATTCGATGTAGCTGAAATACCAAATTACAGAGTTTGAAGGCAATTATGGGACCTTACAACATGCCAAGAGTCTGAATTCTTTCGAGGAAGAGATCGAAGTCCTCAGAGGACTCCGTCACTTTGTAAACTTCGAACTTCTTTCCTTTACTTTCAAACTTGTGGATAAGCTCCCCATACGGTTCGAACTCTTTTTGTCTTATCAGTTTCTGCTGGAATTCCTCCTTTCCAGAAACAAGAACGTTTGCTCTAACATCCTGATGAACGAGCTTCTCAACGATGTCGTCAGCTTTCAGGCCCTGCTCTTCCTTGAACTTTGCAGAATAATTGACGTTGATGTAAGTGTAGAGTGTTTGAGCCGTGTGATGAACTGTCACCTCCAGGTCTTCGTATCCAAAGATCGTCTCTCTACAATTAGTGAATTGTTTCGAAACAACTCGCATAAACTTTTTCTTACTCATCGCCAAAGTGCTGATAGACCATTTCAGGAGCATATCGAGTGGCGGTGCTCATCTCTTGGAGCTCTCGAACTGAAATTATCTTATTTTAAAAAAAAGGTTGAGGCTCAAAAAAACTGACCGAAAGTCAGGATAATAGATTCCAGCCCATCCGATACATACTTGCGGGTTCTGTTGTTCACATTGGTGAGATCTTCCATTACCATTCTGTATTATTAGGACATTTTTGCTTGATTGAAATAGTTTCTTACCGCTTTTAAAACTCTTTGAGGAGCGTGTACGAATGAAATTCAAACGGCTGCGAATTTGTTTCGCGGCAAAAGCGCGTAAACCCTGCCTCACGGATGTCTCTTCCGTGCGAGACCCGTCGCTCGCCCGATTGTCTGCGTCGCTACACTCCGCGCGTGTTCTCTCCCTTCCGTCGGCCCCATCGGCGTCTCCATGATACGCGTGCTTTCTCGCCTCTGGGGTGGTCCATCTCTGGCCGTCGGCGCTTTTTTTTTTCGAAAACCTCGTAGAGTTGGCATGTTGCCAACGGCTAGTGGACGTGCCCTCGTGCGCTTTTCCGTGCCTCCGCATTGGGGCGAAGTGTTCGACCCCTGCCCGACCTATTGATTTTTGCCACTTGGCCTTATCAGCCCTTCCCCAGGGGCACTCGCGTCCTTCTGATCGCGCCAGCGGTTCTATTTCCCACTTTTTTGATTGCGTCACTCGAAATTTGCACTTTTTGAAGTATATACCTTAGAAAATCAGCAGATAATCATTATCTGAAAAGAAGAACGCCCATATTCCCACCCGGTTTCCGAAATTACCACCGAATTCAATAGAAGAACCATTCACTGTTGTTTATTTGCCATTTGTATGGGAATTTGAAATTGCAAATAAACAAAGCTATCACATTCCTCGCGTTCCCCTCTTTCTCTTCGCTTGATCCACTTCTATTCACCTCAAACAGTTTTCAGAAGTAAGAAAAACTTGAAGCTTCGTTGAAAATTTGATGGGAATACCATCAAAGAATGTATGATCGTTCGAATCGAACAGGTTAGTTCGTGAATAAGTGTTAGTTTCATTCTGAAAAAGAACAAGATTTGAAGGAGAACGTCAGTCCGCAAGCAGAGCCACTTAGTCCTTCGAATCCCTGCATGGTGTTGAGAGGTGGCACGATTCCCGCCTCACTGCAGTCGTTCCCTGGTATGGAACATGATCGGGGGCTGTACAATGGACTGTCGCAGGACCCTCCTTCTTCAAATGGCATCGCTGATCTTGCAGCGGGGTCAAACCTTTTTGATGATGAAAGAGAAATCGAAGTGAGCACATGAATAATAGACAAAATTACCAAACCGTTCATGTTTTCAGGCAGTAGCGGCCGCTTCGGAAGCACAGTTGAAACCTACGATCATCGCTTCCACAACGACCTTGGTTCCTGTTCCAGTCCCTCCAGTCATAATCCCGCCCACAGTTCCCGCTAAATCTTTACTGAAAGATACTCTGTCGCCATTGCATATAAATGTCACAGATTGTTTGAAAACTGACGCAGTGAGTTAATTGGACTATGAGTTCCAATTATCTTAATAATTTTAGGCTGGAATGTCATCTCGCGAATCTGATTTGTCGCGTAATGGCTTTTCAAGTCAAAAGAAGTCCTATCCACGTCGACCGTCCGGTACTATCAAAGAGTACCCGGTACAGCGGCCGAGCACGTCTTCTACGACTGCTCCAGTTATTATGGGTCCTCCAACAAACTCAAATGCGCCAGTTCTCCTCAGTCCAGCCGGCAATCTACACAACGGGTATCAGTAAGTGTGACGTCCGTTTTTCATTATAAAAAATTGGTAATTTTAGAAGAATATCTTCTGGAGATTCTGCTCCGAATTCTCCTGGATTTCTCGCTCGCCCAATGCCGAAGTACAATCAATCTCCCCATCCGCTTGCTGTTCACCGGTCTGCCCTGCAAAATGCTCGTCAACCAGGACCAGGTCCCTCATTATCCGTGCAATCTCGTCCACCAAGTACAGCGGTGTCTCCGCAAAACGGAAGAAAAGACAACGAAATGACGAGGCGTCGAGCGCTGGTCGACAGAATAGGAAAGTCTCGTGGTCCCGAGTACATGCACTTGATGCCGCAGGTCGAGGGGCTCACTACCACACAGACTTCTATCCTTCTAAGAAAACATCGAGGATCTCTGCAATCGAATGGAATGCCGCTTTCTCTTCAGCGACTGATTGACTGCGGAGATGAGCCGGACAGATCGACCGAACAATTCGTAAAGAAAATCAATGAAACAAATCAAAAGAGAGTCAGACACAATGATTTGGACGAATTGACTGATATCAGCGATCTGGAAGACGATTTGGAGGATTCGCAGAGTCAAGAACGGAAAAAGACTAGGGAGACTCCGCAATGGACATCGAAAAGAATGCGATATTGTGGAATGCTTTCACGCGCGGAAACGCTTCTCGCTGAAAAGATTGCACTGTTGGGAATGCTCAAAAACCAGCAAGCGGTTATGGACGTGTCATGCGGAGTGAGATTTGCAGGCGAAGAAATGATAACGAGAAGGAGAAGGCAGCTGAACGGGACATATTACTTGTATGACAAGTCCCCATTCCGTAGAACTTCTCCCGAACAGTTTGGATGTGCTCGCGCAATGCCTATCCAATCTTGGACGAAAAGGAAGCCACACAAAAATGTATTCGAGTGAGTTTTCAATTAAAAAATGCAATTACACCGTCGTTGATGTTATAGAGATAAAAAGGATGAGATGGTGCGCAATTCGATGAATACTGTGAAACCGGCACCGAACCCGAATGAGAAATGGGTGGCGACTGCCCAGTACAACACAGTTTCTCATATGACGAGCGGCGAGAAGAGAGAGGTTGCCGAGTACGACTATGAGGAGTACAAGGCCGGCGAAGGACTTCAACAGGTCAATGAACTGTCGTCTCAAGATCCGATGGAATTCGTTGCTCTTCCTGATTGTAAGATCACTTTCAATGGTTTCTCCGTTTTAATCTAAAGTTTTTAGTCACGCCGTTCGAAGAACGTCAAATTGCATACATGCACCGCCTGTCGGTTGCTCCATCGTGCGTTATTCGCAAAAAACACGGACGTGCAATCTACTTCGAGACGGATGACCGTAAAAATGCGTCGGAAGAAAATGCAGCCGTGAAGTGAGTTCGCTCGTTTCTGAATAGACGTACTTATCCAATAGGGTCAAATTCAGAAAAAAAGTAGGCAAGAAGAAAGAACGTAAGCGTCTCGAAGATGCCAGCAGCGAAGAGGAAGTAGAACCAGAAGAGAGCGGCGAAGGCACGAGTACGCGAGCTAAGAAGAAAGGACGAGGCCGACCTGCCGCTAGAAAGGTTTGAGAAACGAACCCGAACTGAACATGAATTTTACGATTTGTAGAAAAACTCTCGAGCTTCTATGTTTCCTCATCGTCACGATGGTCTTCCATATCTGGATTACTTATTTGAGGATTTTATGAATGAAGATATAAACGTCAAACAGTTGCCTACTGCAGTTTCCTACGCGGTTTGTCATTGTTCTGCCTTCTCTCGGAATTTATCTTTTTAAGCATATCCGAGTTCCTGAATGGTATAAAATTTCCGAAAACTACTGGGATAACGTTAATTTACCAAGTACTTCCGACGATAACAAACCACCCGACGACCTTCTACTTGCTGTCGCAAAAGATCATCACAAACTGATGCATCAAGAGCGCGAACGAGTAAGAGTGAGTCAAAAAGAGAGAAATTTCAAGGGCACGTTCGATTCTTTCAGAGGGAAACGGAGAAAAAGCGCCGCCAAGCCCGTTCTGCTGCTGCCACTCCAGCTTACAACTGTAACGGAGACGACGACACGGACTACCCGCCATTTGACATGCGACAGTTCCAGCCTTCAGTCATTACTTCTCGACGTCGCTACGCTTCTGTTCAGAATCCGTTTGAACCACGCAACTTTCTCAACAACAGTCATTCCCCGGAGTAGTGTCATTCCGTACCATATCCTCTATTTTCTGTATCGTTGTCCTTACACGATTTTCCCGCAACACAATCACTGAATCTCTCTTTCATCTCGCATTTCTCACCAGAGATCTCTGAAGTTCGAGGTTCCCTGAATCCTCGAACGACTTTAACTGTAAATGGCTACTTGATCCTTTCCAAAATCTATCATTATCCAGCCCGGTCGTTTTTGAAGACGGTTTATTTTATTGATGCTCTTTTCGGCGGGCCGTCCCCTTCCCATCTAAATATCTCAGTAGAATGCTAATCTCTCTTCTCAACTGATTGATTACAGGTTGAGTCGTTTTTACTTTTTCTCCTGTTGATTTGTTTTTTCTCACGCCTACATTCGACACCTCCAATTATCCGGAATAACCGGTCCCATACGAGATGTCATTTACTCACTTCCCCGTTCACTTTTTCACCGAACCATAAGTTCCTTGTAGTTTTTCACTGTGCTCATTTTCCTTCAACGTTACCTCCTTTTCTTTTTCACATTGTCACATTCAATCTGTTTTTTTTAAATAGTAAATTCGAAATCTGATGCAAACTTGATGAATCTGTTCATTCCTCCCGCTGGTCGAATTCAGTATACGTTCCTATTCTGAAATAAAACTTATTAGAACGAATTCTTCTAGATTTCTTGTGTTTGGTCATGCGACCCTATTCACGATATTTGTAGGCACGAGCGGCGGCGTCGAGGCGGTTGCATCATCGCAGCAAGTGCGCCCCACTGGACAGCCTGTGCCCGGCCGCGACATCGAGTTTCTGCTCGCCTGGCTATCATCTATCATTCCGTCCCTCGGAAGGCGTCTCATTTCTCGCCATTTCCGATTATTGCCTCATTTTCAATTCCTTGACACTTTCAGAATTACACGTGAATGCAGGCGATAAACGTGAACGTCGGCAGTTTGCTGCAAAATGCCGGCGTGCTCAGAAGCCGGAATGGTGAGTGATTCCATGTAAAAACGGGGATGTCAGAAGCCGGACTGAAAGGATTAAACTGTTTACTATGGATTCATGATGTAAACCGGAAGCACCTGGAATTTAACAGCGCGTTTTTCCAGGACTCAGACGAAATCGGATGGACATCGAGGCGACCGCCATCTCTCTTTCCAGAGCCTATTACTCAGTTTGGAGACAGCTCGGAAGCCCGTCTCCCGCCGCGATCACCCAAATGAGCCAACTTCTCAGAGGTCAGTGATTCCGGTTTCATGTCTGTTCACATATTTACGATTTCCTTTCGCAGACAGCATGCTCTCCAGAAGATGCGTACGGAAGACGGGAATATCAGTAAATTTCGACGATGCCGTCATCCGGATATTCCCTTCAACTTCGTCGTTCTGTAAGCCAGCCCAATATTTTGCACATTCAAACGTTCAAACTGTTTCCAGACATTCAGAAACGTGGATTCCGAACGCGAAAACAAACTTTCGGAGTGGGAAACAGTGGCAAAGAGGAGGAATCGAAGTCGCCGTTGACAGTGTTCTCCGAAATGCTGGCGGGAAAAAAGACGAAGAGTCCAGAAGCAGGCGTTGAGAAATGGAATCAGTATGAGGCGGACCTCAAGAAACTTCCCGATTCCCAGCAGAGAACATACACGGTCAGAAATGAGAAGATACCTAGAAACAGGGGATAAATTACAGGATGGATTCGTGAAAGGCCTTCTGTCGACCGGACCCGCAGGCAAAGACGCCAAGAAATCGAACACTCTGACTCGCTTCTACATTTTTCTCGTCTTTTGCATCTTTTTCGGATACCTAACCGGAAGTGAGTTATTTCCTTCTCTCTTCCTCTTCGGGTTAACATTTGTCTCTCCCTGCATGCCGGATTGGTGCCCCTAATCAGATTTTCTGCCGGTCTTTTTGATAATCCGAGACTCTCATTTATCCCCTCCCTAAAGGAATTCGTGTGCGTGTAGGCGATCGACAAATCGGCAATCTGTTCTTCTCGAATCCGCAAGAAGTGAATCCTGAAGACGTGCAAGTTTCTTTTGAAGACGTTAGAGGAGTGAGTGATGAATGAGCAGATAGTGTTTGAAGTTGAATTTTTGCAGATGGATGAAGCGAAACAGGAAGTGGAGGAGATTGTTTCGTACTTGAAAGACCCGGAAAAGTACTCGAGGCTAGGAGGACGTCTTCCAAAAGGAGTCCTTCTTGTAGGACCTCCCGGAACTGGAAAGACCCTTCTGGCGAGGGCGATTGCTGGAGAGGCCCATGTTCCGTTTTTCCACACTTCCGGTTCGGAATTTGACGAAGTCCTTGTTGGTCAAGGAGCCCGCAGAGTCAGAGATCTCTTTGACAAGGCGAAGGCTCGGTACGAACAGAACACACTGCAATTTGAGAGAATTTGTGAATTCCAGTGCTCCGTGCATCATTTTCATCGACGAAATCGATTCGGTCGGCTCGAAACGAGTCTCAAATTCCATTCATCCGTACGCTAATCAGACCATAAATCAGCTGCTCAGGTACTTATTCAGCCTGCAAAATCGGATTATATTTGTTTGTTTTGCTTTTCAGTGAGATGGATGGCTTCACTCGCAACGAGGGAATAATTGTGATCGCAGCCACAAATCGCGTCGACGACCTCGATAAAGCCCTTCTCCGTCCTGGCCGATTCGACGTCCGTGTCACTGTTCCGAAGCCCGATCTTTCTGGCCGAGTCGACATCTTCAACTTTTATCTCTCGAAAATAATTCATTCGTCTTGTGTAGACCCAAAGGTTCTTGCCAAAGGATCTACGGGATTCACGGGTGCCGACATTGAGAACATGGTGAACCAGGCTGCTCTGAAAGCGGCCTCTGACAACGCGGTGGAAGTGACGATGTCGTATTTGGATGACGCGAGGGACCGAGTTCTCATGGGCCCTGCACGAACGGGAGGCAGAATTCCGGATGAGGAAGCGAACAGAAACACGGCTTATCACGAGGCAGGACACACGCTCGTTTCCCTGTTCACGAAAGACGCCACTCCATTGCATAAGGTTGGTTGTTCCTTGAAATTCACATTAGCGAAATCTTCTTATTATCAGGTTACGATAATTCCACGTGGCCAATCCCTCGGACATACTGCAATGCTTCCCGACAAGGACAGTTATCAGTTGACTAAATCGCAAATGCTCGCTACTTTGGATGTGATGATGGGCGGTCGTGTGGCAGAGGAACTCATTTTTGGCGATGATAAAGTGACGACTGGAGCCGCCGACGATCTGAGCAAAGCGACGCAGTTGGCAGTACAGATGGTCAAAGTGTTCGGAATGAGCGAAAAGGTGAATCAGAGAATGAAAAAATTTGTGAAGCCCAATTCTCTGCAGGTTGGATTGCGTGATTACACAGCCGACGATAAGGACAGCTCTCTGGTCAAAGTGTCCGATCTCTCCCCGCAGACCGCAGAACTCATCGACACTGAGATCAATCGTGTTCTTCTGGACAGCTACAAACGAGCAAAAGCGATTTTGGAATCGAAAAAGGTTAACGGCGCTGTGAATGCGAACTCAAACATTCTTTGCAGAAAGAGCATCAACTGCTGGCCGAGGCGCTGCTCGAGTACGAAACTCTGTCTGCGGAAGAAGTGAAACGAGTGATTAGCGGCCAGAAAATCAAGAGACCCACTCCGGCCGCGGTCAAAAAGAGCAACGAGGTGAAGAGGAATCAGCCGTCGCTTGTGCTTCATCTGTTCGAAGAGGAAGGCCGCGGAAAACAGTGACCCACTTCTTCAGTCGCTTTGTAATTAATGAATCCCTTGATGTCTCGTCTACAGGTACCTCTTTCCCCACTCTTTTCTAGCATTCTCTCGGCTCTCTCTCTCTTTCCATAGATTTTCCGTTTTGCCCCGATTATTATTCTCTTACTTCTCGCTCTCTCTCTCTCTCTCCCTCTCCCTTTAGCTGATTGTATTTCGATTATTGTGGCGTTAAATAAAGATCTGTAATCAAGCTACGAAGTTAATTTATTCCGTACAGCCATCTTCATTTATTTTTTCCACGAAAATTCGGCACAATTGTGTGTTTCGTCCGATCACCGTACTCTCCGAAGCGTCGTTCTCAGTGAATACAAAGATTCCGTCGAATTGATCGGTTCCGATCAAAAGACGCCACGTGTCAAAATCAACGAATGGGAAACGAGGAAATCGGCGACGGAGAGCGGAGAAGTCAAGCGGGACGGGGACGGAAAGAAGGGAAAGGGAGGTGAACAGCGACTGGACGATCTGGACGGCTTCTGAATTCAAAGTAATGAAAGGAGAGCCGCGAAGACTCACTTCGTTCTTCACAAAATTCAATGGTCTTCAAATCGACGTCTTCGCTGGCCTCGGTCACATTTATCGGCAGCGAAACGACGTCTTCTCGAGAGCAATTCTGGTGGGCGACGATGAGCGAATAGAACGAAGGATTGAATCTGAATGGCAAATGGGGTAATTACATGGGGAAAGGGAAAACGAACAGTCCGTTTTGATCGGCAACTGATTTACTGTGAATGATCAGAGAGATTCGGTCGGTTCGATAAAACGCCGAAAACGGAATGGCGACGAAAAGGATGGAATTGCCTCTGAAAAGGGAAATAAGTGAGAGAAAGAATGCAATTGAAAGGACAAACTGGACGACTTTTTCCGTTTTCAGAGAGGATTCATCTCCGAAAAGAATCCAGTGAATTGAGAAATCAGCCGGAGAGCTGGAAATGCGGAGAATTCTGAAAAAGACGGGAATATGGCAATGATCGGACAAATGAATGCGCACAAATATTTGCTTGGCGCTCTGTTCTGTACACGAATTCTTGCGATAACGTGCGATCCGAATCGAAATAAGTCCATCAGTTGCACAGAAATCGACGTGTTCTCAGAGCACGGAACGGACACTTCGCAACTGAGAATCTGAAAAAACGGCGGGAGCACTGAGAACGTCTTCTTCAATGCAATCTTACGTCTCTGATGTATTTCCTGTTCTTCGCACTTTCCTTTCGATCGTTCTCGTCCTCCACTGTCCTCAGAACTTCCTTCAGAATCGCCTTCTTTGCCTCCACCTTCTTCTCCAACGCCTTCATATTCTCCTCGACTTTCTCGTCGATTTCCATCTGGCACAACTGTTTCATCTCCATTTTCGGAAAATCTCATACATATAACTTGCCAGCGACAAAAGATGGACAATCAGAAAAGAGACAAACTTGTATAAATTGTTCATTTACAGTCGAAGATCATGAGAATCGAATGAAAACACAATAAATATCTAGGCGGTCGGAAGAATGTCTTGTCCCTCCAGCAACACCGTCGTACTGTAGCAGAGATCCCAATACTGGGCGACTCCGTGCTTTTCGAAGAACTCGCGAGCCTGTTTCTCAAGCGTCGCCGTGTGCACAGTGAAGTCGCGGAAGTTGCGCCGTTTGACCTGTCCTTCCCAGATCTGAAATTACTTTTTGAGAACGAGGAAGTTCGCGCAAATTCTCACCAATTCACATTGATTTCTCTCTCCCGGAGCATCCTTCTCCGCGTCTTTCTTCTGTCCGATGATCTCATCGGACCATTTGATTCTGCTGAGCATCAGATTCTTGTAGAACTTCTGTTGCTTCGGCCCTCCTTCCACGACAATCACATTTTGTGCCTTGTGCATCATGATGGCTCCGCTCATTTGCAACTGCTTTGCATTCGTCTCAACTTTGAACTTTTTGGACGGATGAGCCAATGATTTGACACTACAAAATAAAAGCGGTTTTGAAGATTTAACAGGATTCACAACCTACCGGTAAACGGTCACATTGACGGCAGTCGAAGTGTCTTCCGCCAATTTCTTCGTCTTCTTTGCCCTCTTTTGGTCTTCTGTCAACTTTCGTTCCGCATTCAAAGTCTCGTGCTTTTGGAGTCTCTCTGCCATCTGTTTCCGCACATGAGCCTCCATTTTAGTCGGATCCTGGACGGCTTCGTTTCCGAGAACTCTCATCAGATTGCTGATCTTGACCTTCGGTTCTGGAGCTTTTTCAAGACCCAAACGAATCTTTTCAGTCTTCTCTTTCAGCACTTCCTTTCTGTTCTGTCTGCGGATCTTCTTCTTTTCCTTCGTTGTCAAATACACTTTGAGATACTGCTGAGAAAGGGGTTCTGTTGGCGGCTTCATTGAAATGGGATGCTCGACGAGCTCGGAAACCGTCTGAGAGTATCGTTCCTTGTCATCGACTGAGGGAATTTCGTCGTAGCTGAAAAAAGGATTATCGTGAAACTCATAGGTGTTTTGAATTGCGCGCCGGCAGTAGCGAAACTGGTGAATGGTGAAACTTATCGAAAATACTAACACTTACTTGACTTTGTCCAGAACCAGCATATCCCACCACTCGATGTCGGGAACTCCATTCTCCATCTTTGCCGTTCCAGTCGGTGTGACCATTGCCAGTTTGACTGCGGAAGAGATTCCAGTTGACTGCGCCGCCGACGAAACTTCGTTTTGAAGACGTTCCAACTTGGCCATTGCACGCTGTTTGTTCGCCAACTTTTCGAACTCTCCTTTCTCATGAAAGTTGAATCCACGTCTCCGCCGATCCGCTCCTTTCGCACTGATTCGTGGATCGAGGTACTCGATCAGTCTCTCCGGCTCTTTCGATTCCTTCGTGATCTGCTGTTGCACTTGTTTCTCCACTTGCTGCACTTCCGCAGGCAGAGGAGCCATCACTCCGGCAGGCCCTGTGCTCGCCACGAGGGCGTTCAGTTTCGCGACGACCGGTTTCTGGGCCAATTTGGACCTCAGCTGCTCCATTCTCGTCTTTTTGTCCATTGAATAGTTCATGAACATCGTGGCTTCGTCTCGTCCCAACGACAGCGTCTTCTGAGCCGATCCGGTTTGCGCTCCACTAATAGACTGATCGAGAGCCGCCTGTGGCTGCAGTGTTCCTGCCTGCACGGCCATTTTTCTTTTCTTCTCCTCAATCTCCTGCTGCGCCTTGTACAACAGTTCCTTGGCTCTCAGCTGATCCTCAGTCGTCGCGCTCACTTTCTTATCCTCCAGCTTCTGGATGACTGGTCTCTCCTCGGCCTTTCTTCCATTTCCATTATCCTCTCGTCTCGAACTCTCTTTCTCTCTCTCCTTTTTGACGTCGACGCGGTCTCTCTTCCTGTCCCGGTCATCATCTCTATCGTTCCGAGTTCTCTTTCTCAGTTGTGGATAATGATCGCAAACGGCCGAAATGACTTTGCTTGCTTTGTGTGAATCCTCGACGGCCGAATTGACGCGTTCCTTCAGCTTTTCGTAGTCGTATCCTTTTTTCAGACATCTTTCAACTGCATCAATCACCTTCTTTTGCTCTTCTCTTCTCGACAAATATCGATCACAAATGTCCTCCAGCTTTCCCATCTGAAAATCGGTTTTAGGTAATAAGAAAAGAAAAGAATCAGGTAACAAAGTAAGAAAAGCGATGAAACGCAAATTTAACAATATGGCCATGGAACACAGTAGTCATCATATTCATTGAATACAACCAATTTCGGACGATTTTAGCAACAAGAAATATTATTAAATCCACAAGATTCGATGCAATATGCTCTCCGCCTCACAATCAAACGACACAGATAAAATAATGTTAAACGAGAGAAAGCTTTGATAGATGAGATATCGAGGGCCAGTGAGGTGAAACAGGAATTGTTTGAGAACCAGCGATTAAAGTGTTCGGGTTTGAAATTAGGAGATCTTCGCTGAATTTGTGCTACTGGCATTGAATGACATGCTTAGAATGAAAAATAAAGAAAATGGATTAGGCGGAAGTCGAAGGGCCTTGGACATCGACGCCATTCGACGAATCTCCAGAATCTTCGACTTCGTCGTACCGCCCACTGATCGCCGATGACAACAGCTTACTGAGATCTCTTCCGTCGGGTCGCTCGTCTTCCTCTTCTTTGAGCTCTCGCAGTGCATCTGAAACCGTTGCATTCGGTATTTTCTGAACAAGAAACACTTGCTATACCTTCATCGAGTTGTCCTTTTATTCCGTCTGTCACCTGCTTCTCCAATTGAAGTTTCTTCTTGGCCAAAGCGAGCATTCCGATTTCGACAGTTCCTTTGCTGACGAGTCGAGTCACAGAAACTGGCTTCTCCTGACCCATTCGGTGACATCTGTCTTCTGCTTGTTTGTCGTTGTACGGATTAAAGTCAATGTCGTGGATGATTATGTGATTGGCCGAGGTCAAGTTGATTCCGAGTCCTCCGGCTTTCGTGGAGAGCAGGAAAACGAAGAGGTCTTTGGAGACGTTGAACTCGTTGATCATCTCTTGCCGATCGAGCACAGGCGTCTGTCCGTCGAGACGTTTGTACGAGTAGCCGCGGATGTTGAGATAGACTTCCAGGATGTCGAGCATCGAAGTGAACTGCGAGAATATCAACACTTTGTCGCCTTTCTCCTGAATTTCAGGCAACATTTTGTCCAACTGCTCGCATTTTCCACTTTTAAGAGCGAGCTCTTCGTTCAGCAGGAACTTGCTGGTGCATCGGAAACGCTCGCACAGCTGATGAATCTTTATGTCAGAAAGATAGGCGAGATCTTCAGAAACATGCTGCCACTTCTTGTCGGAGTACGATTTTTCTCGGAGACACAGTTGTTTGGCGATCTTATCCAATTTTTGATCAGTGTATTGCGAACGGCGGAGCAGCGGATGATTCGCAGCTTGGCGAAGTCTCATCAGGGAACCGTACGAGTCTCCGGCGTCTTCCGATCTTTGAAGAACGTCCACAATATCATCGTACAGCTCTTTCTGCGGTTTCTTCATTTCCACTTCGATTATCTGTTCCGTTTTCGTCGGGAGACTTGCTAGTACTTGGTTTTTGAGACGTCTCAAGATGTACGGCTGAAGAATTGACTTGGCTTCTTCGATTCGGTCCTGCTGGTACATGGCCTTGTCCTTCGAATCAAGAGCCGGTCCGAGCTGTTTGAAATGCTGCAGCAGATGTGTGATGTCCTCGCAGTACTTGTTGAACACTTTGTAGAGTACAAAGTACATGAGTGAGATCAGCTCGATGAGATTGTTTTGAAGAGGCGTTCCAGTCAGCAGGATCTTTCGTTTTCCCTTCACTTTCATCAACCCTCTGTATCTTTCTGAATCACAGTTTTTGAGCATGTGCCCTTCATCGTAGATGACGTAGTTGAGCGAGAAGTTTTTGAAGAACTTCTTGTCGTCGGATTTGGAAGTGACCATGTTGTAAGTGGTGAGGATCACATCGATCTGAAATTTGAAATCAATTGAAATAGGCAGAATAAAATGTGGGAGAATTGAAGTGACCAACTCTAGACAGTGAAAGATCATTTTCAGTTTCTTCCTTTCACTTTCCCCCATTCTAAGCCAACAGAGACTTGTGAATCAGCTGATGGAAAGATAATGGGAGTCTGCTGCCACGGAAACGAGCCCGGGCAGCGCGGCTGTTGCTCGCGCGCATAACTCCTGCTCCAAACGGCTCACGAGTCGCCACCGGCAGCCATTTCACTCACATTATCTCTCTGTTTCTTCACTCGATGCCTCAGATGCTTCCGTTCCTCTTGTGATCCGTAGTAAGTGAGTAATTTCAGACTGGGACACCATTTGTGGAACTCGCCAATCCAATTCTCGATGGTTGACGATGGAACGACAACAAGATGTGGGCCAGATTTTCCGATTTGTTTGAGGTACGAGAGGAAAGCAACAATTTGAATGGTCTTTCCGAGACCCATTTCATCTCCGAGAATAGCATTCAGCTCCTTGTTGTTCATCATAATGAGCCATTTAACTCCGACTAACTGATAATCATGCAGAGTACATCCCTCTTTCAGTAGTGAAAGTTCCAATGGCCCCTCGGTGCATCGCTCGAAGTCTTTCGTCACTGTCTTTGCGTGATCTTTGCAGTCATCCAGAATGCGTGACAGGATTCCACGTTTCTCCAGATATTCCATGTAGGCTTCGATGGCATTTGCTCCTCGCGTCACTCCTTTCATTTTGGACATCTGAAAATGATTTAGTGTTTCCTAATCTTAATTGTCAATTGATACCATTCCGGTGAATGTTTCGAACGGCCTACTGGAAATTATGAAGTCAGCAATTTTGTCGTTAAGTCTGGGCTGCTGTAGGAGAATGTCCCTTTTCGCGGAATTAAAGAACTCGCGGCACTCCCGCTGGTTCTTCGTCTCTCCTCGCTTTGCGCGACGCTCCTCGATCTGAAATTTCATTTTCAGATACGTCGAACTTGTTTTCACTAACATCACTGTCGTCCGATGGCGTCTCGTCCCCATCTGCATTCTGCTCATCCTCGTCTTCTTCCCATTCTTCATCCGACTCCTCCTTCTTCGCTTGTTTGTGCGTCTTTTCGACCGCTGCCTTCAAGGTCTGACCTTCCGGCATTGTCACTTGTTCATCTTCAGATTTATCATCGTTGATGAAATCCTCGTCACTGTCGTCATCTATCACTATTTTGCGTTTGGCAGCAGCCGAACGTTTCGCTACATTTGTTCGCATAACGTTTTTCGGCGAAAGGGAACCATTGAGACGTGGTTTTGTGAGCCACTCGTCATCACTCGAATCGGATAACGTTCTGATCCTTCTTCTGAAAAACTCTTATCAAAAAATAAATCAGCCATTATCTTACGTCTCAGGTTCAGGAGTCTCCGAATCATCGCGAGTATACTCTCGAGGCGCCGCTTTCTTCTTGCTAAATGAAAATATGATTAAAGGTCCTCCTTGGTTTTCTCACTTAGCTGGCGTTTTTCGCTTTCTTGTCGATTCCTCCTCATAATCATCGTCGTCATCTTCATTGTACTCATCTTCATCTTCACTTCCCACTTCCTCATCAACATAATCTTCGTCATCCTCTCCTTCATCCTCTTCTCCGCTTCCTCGCTTCGATTTCTTAGCTTTTTTGGCTGAAATTATGTAAATTATGAGCTTATTCACTTCAAAACTAACCTCCACCGTACTTGGTACCAGGGCCGGTGCTTTTTGGAGGTCGACCATTCCTGTTGTTTAATGAGCCATTTATCTGAAAAAGTTTACTGAAATACAAGAAGCACATGTCGAAATTATTACGTTCTGAGAAAGAGCAGCTTTCTTGGCATCCATGTCGGCTTGAAGACTCGAAGACTGAGGATTCCCCTGATGCGCAATACGCACTCTCTCCCCAGACTCGAAATTGCTACACGACATGAATCCTACAAATTTGAAAATGAAGTTCCTACTTTAGACAAGAATAGGGAGCACAAGTCGAGGAGGCGAATAGAAAATCAATAACTAGAACTTTCACGCGATTTGTTAAAATGAAGAATATCGAAGAGCATAGGACCAGGAAAATAAAATCGATGCTGTTTAGCGCGCGAATTTCGAAAACGAAAACGACAGTCAACGAGGACCGCCGACAATGAGTACGCAAACGTCACATTTGACGACAGCCCGAGCGGCGGCCGGTTCGAATAGCGAGGCGAGCAGTGAGCTATCCAAATATTCGAGAGAAAGTATTAAATATCATCTGAAAGTTCAGAACAATAATCTTATACATTTTATCTGAATGATATACGCAATTCAAGAGTGGTTAGATTGATGAAAAGCATCAAAATAAAGATAGGGAATGTAATATTTAGAATTGTTTTATCAAGCTTGATATATATATATATATATATATCAAGAAGCATTCAAAGTAAATATAATTGCATTTCATATACACGAATCAGTCAGTCTCCATCCTGGCTTCGAACCGCTTGTCCAACCCGGTAACGCTTCCCGCCACACTTCGATTCGCCCGCTCGACCACGCCGTTCCAGTCTACTCCGAACAATTCGGACTTATCCTGAATACGGAGCACCACTTGCAACGCATCCGCGGCCACCGTCTTTCTCTGCTGAGCGCAGAAGACGTCGCCTTGCTCGAACAGATTGTCAACGAGTTCCGATGCATTTACTGCCTCTCTTGGATTCCATCTGTGAAAGAGAACAAGAACATTGGCACGTCTACGCGCGCAGCTACTCACTTCTCGATGCTCTTGGCCAGCTCTACAAAGAAATTCTGTTTCGATTTCCATGCGATCGCAGTGTCATTCACATATTCGGCCACTTTTGATATCGCATTTTCAGCCTGCGCTCCGGTTTCAAAGGCCGGGAGACAGCATGCGAGAGCCGTCAGATTGAGAGTGACCAATTTGGACACGCGAATCTCTTTCTCCAAATTCGAAAGACCGTCCATTTGATCGTCCGAATCTTCTTCGTCACGCGTTCTAAACAAGACTCTAAGCTCATTTTTCTTTGATCAACCTTACCCAGTCAACTTTGTTATGTTCTCTGCCACTTTCTGGACCAACCAGTCGGCAGATGCCACGTTTCCAGAGACAACAGCCCAGACTGCAAGTGTCGATAGGCCGGAGCACGCGTAATCGGTGTTCTTCCTCGATGATTCCCTCTGAAGGACACTCACAATTTCCTGAGCTTCGTTTTGTTGCAGATTCCTTTTGAATTCATCGCCGCCCGCCTCAAGTGTCTTTGCGAGAGCCTTCAGAATTTCAGCCTTTCCGTCCCAAACTCTTCCGTTCAAATTCAGAAGGAGAGAAGAAGCTACTTTTTCTGAAAGTTATATCGATCGTGTCGTCGTTCGGTCACCGTTTCACTCACTGGTCAACTCGGCGCCCGCGTCCTGCTTTAGAGTCTCGAAAGTCTGTCCGATCACCGTGGCCGCGTGTTTCCGGACCGCCCATACTTCATTGTTCGTCACCAAATCGGTCGCCAACGCGAGAATCTCGTCCTTGTACAGACGAACGGCGGCACTGGTCGATGGCACGATCTCTGCCCACACTTCGTTCCATTTCTCCTGCTTCTGACGGGCCTCCTCGTCGCCTTTCGGCACTTCCCGACACTTCTCAAGCATGATATACGGGACAATCTGTGGCGTGTATCCGCTGAGCATTTCAGCAGAGTTAGCCGCCAAATTGCTGATCACATGGCAACAGGATAGCTTCTTTTCTTCGTCGTTAGTGAGCAGCTCGGAAACGACCGCGGTGATCAACTTCTTCATCTGATTAGGCGACACAAACTTGGCCAAATAAGAGAGTGCATTGGCGAACTGCTTGCGGATGGACGGGTTGCGATCGCGGATTCCCGGAATGAGGGCCGAGAAGAGCTTGTCGCACTGAGCAGTGTGGTCGATCAAGAGCTGCGGAGCACGAAGAGCCAATTGAGTGACAAACTGAGAAGCAGAGGAGCGGGTGGACATGCCGACGGATGATCGGAGAGTGTCGCACACTCTCGGCGTCAGGTCTATCAGCACTTCAGAGTCGATCTGAAATTAATGTTTAATGGAAGCTATTCAACGTGGAATTGTTTTACATGAGGAAGAAGATCATTGACAGCCGTCATCATCGGAGAAGATCTGGCGATCGAAGCACGTGCATCGTCGAGCGCTTCCATTTGGTGCTGGGTCGATCTCACGGCCATGTAGTTGAGAACGGGAGCCTCTGTCTCACTGATCGTGTCCATAAGGAGAGGAATTAGTTTGGAAATGTACGGTTTTAATTGCTTTCCAGCGGATTTTGTCAGTTCCAGCACCAAAGCGAGGCAGAATTTTTGGTTTCTTGGAACTGACGAATTCAGAATTCCTTTGTCGATAAGTGCCGGAAGTGCGATCGCAAAGAAATCGTTCGCCTTTTTCAGATTAGGTGTGGATCCCAAGCGCACGATAAGTTTCCCAATTGCATCGGCAGCTTTGTCCGCTGCTTCACGGGTCGACTCTTTCACGTCATCTCTGACTCGCAGAATGGCCTCCAAGTAATCCGGAATGCGCTGATGCATTTCGGGCGTGTCGTTTCCACGGAGCAAGTCGGAAAGTGCGAGACAGGCGGACTCTCGTACTCGGTATTCTCTGTCGGTCAGAGCAGGAATCAGTTCCTTGGCAATCTCGTTCGCAAACTCATCCACGACGTTCTTCCGATTCGCTGTCAGCACAGACCAAATCGATTTCATCGCCGCTTGCACTTTTATTTCCGGGTCGTGTCGGAATCGGAATAGCTTCGGCACCAGCTGACCCAAATACGGTTCGAGCTCCTCTCTGGCATTTTCCAAAAGTGCCCCGAATCCATGCGCGGCTCCCATTTTCGAGTTCCACGTCGAATTATGACGTGCAAGTTGCATGAACTTGTACACGAGATCCGGCTGATTCAGGTCATTTGCTAGAGTGAGAAGTTCTTTATAGGTGGTCAGTTTACCACCGGTAGGAGTCGTTCCGAGTTGTCCTTGAGCAAAGAGTTGCGTGCTTCCTTCCACTTTGGCCTCTGGTCGCTTTCCTTCAGTCAAAGTGAGCATCAGTGAATCGACGAGCTTCTTCCGCAACTCTCCGTCCGCCAAACTGTACACGATACCCATTCCTTTCGAAGAAATGTCCTGCGCAAATTCGTCGTTCTCTGTGAGTCCATCGGCAAATGATTCTTGCACTGCCGAGAGAAGTTCGGCGTCGTTCAACACTTCCGCTCCCCACGTCGAAAAGTTCTGAACCACAACGAACAGCCAGACGAGCTCAGCTTTCCGGAAATGTTGATTTTGGTTTGTTTTCTTCTGAAATCGAGTTCCTTTAAACATTTAATGCAACAGCTCACTTACATTTTCCAGCAAGTCTCTGATGAACGCGAAAATCCGGTTGTTGACAATCTGCAGTTTTTCAGGTGTCCCCATTCTCTCAGCCAGTACCATCATGTCCGAATCCTGCAGGTAATAGTCTCTCTTCGACATTGCCTTTTCTCCGAGAATCGCGTCAACAATGGCCTCTCCGACGGTCAGCTGGAGTTCCTGCTGAGGCGGCCCCCCTCCGAACCGAATGAGACTTTCAATTGACTGCTTGTAATCCGCTTCATCGGCTAAATCAACACGTCCACTGAGCATTCCGACTACGCGAGTAGCCAATTCTCGTGTTTTTTGAGTGAATGAATCCACGCGAGATACGGCAATCTTCTCGCAATTTTCGATAATATCTCTGATTGTCGTCTTGTGAGCAGAATGGCTCAGAGCGAGCAAGTTGTTCTGTAGAATGAAATAGAGAGATCCTAGAGTTGTCTCGAGCAGTGAATTCGGATGATTGTATCCTTTTTTGATGTACGGCACGAAAACGTCTCGGATAAGAGCGGGCACGGGAGAAGCGAACTGAGCACCGAGGACCGTGGTGGCCATCGCCGCACAGATCCATGTGAATCCGGGATTCTCGTCTTGCAACAGACTCTTTTTGGTTTCGTCGTATAAGAGAGATCTTCCTTGATGGCTGCTGTAGATGATGGCGGACAAAAGATAAGTCAACGCATGTGAGAACTCCACCCTTGTGGAATTTTTAATCTTTTGCATAACAAGCGCAATTCCAAAATTGAAACGATTTGATCGGGTAGCAGCTTCATCTGGATTCTCCACGGATGTGTAGAGAGCTGCAAGGAAGCAGGAGACGATTCGAACCTGATGAACATCTAAAACGAACATGAGAAACGATGAGTACATTTGACAAACCGTTCGAGTCCTTCAAAGCGTGAAGTGTCATTTCGGCTGCCTTCTCGATCATGTCCGGATTGTCCATGTCATGTAGCAAACAGACAATTTTCGGGGCCACTCTCATCCAATGATCGTCGCCCTCAACAATTCTCAAACGAGCTGGCCGACGGGTCACAATGGTCTCGAACAGAGCATATATATATTTGGCCGAGTTCTCATGGACTGCCTTGTCATAGTGAACGGCGTGTTCCACTTCACCCTCTGGTTTGCGGAAGTCCTTCTGTAGACTGCTCCACAGTGCTCCGATGGCCAATGGAACGGCGGGAGACGGTTTCTCGAGAGACTTCTCAAGCTGACGGAGAGCTTCCGTTCGAATCGGCTCTCTGACGTCTCCAGATACTTGCAGAAGCAACCAACGCAGATCCATGTCGTTTTCACCGATCAGAGCTTCCGTGTACTTGAGTGCTGCGAGTCGACAAGCGGGATTGTCAGATGTTATGTGTTTTCTGACAATGTCCTTCAGCGATGATCTTATATGATCATCGTTCGTTTCCAGGAAAAGCTGAAGCCACGTGGAGAGGCACACGATTATGCCCTCCGAGACCGCGTCTGCTTGGTGCTGTAATAACTCTGTAGGAGGATGCTGTCGATTGGATAACTAACGTCTTCGAGTTCGTCGAACATATTTGTAACCATCGGAATGTTTTTGGTAACCAGGTGTGGGCATTTCTTTCCAAAAATCGACAGAACGCGATAGGCGGCGCACAAGGCGATAGGAGTCTGAACGAACGGAGGGGTAGGCTCCAGATTCTAGAAACACCATCCCCTCCCATATTTAGACACTGCTCAAGTACTCAGTGACGACAGAGCCCCTCGGAGGACTCGGAAGTCACAGGAGTAAGTACATCCTGGAAAGAAACTGACCACTGTCGGTTTAATAAAGTTCCGCAGCTTCTGAAACAGGCCCGGTCCCATTTTCTGCAATGCGACGGGTGGCATATTTTCGGCGACGCGTGCGAAAAAGGACATGGCTGCAGCCTGGACGCGCGCGCTTCCGTTTGCACATCCATCTATGCAGATCTTGATGTTGTTCATGTTGAGCTGATAGGCTTTTGGCGCGAATGTTGACTTTTCAAGAAACAGGAGCACGGCAGATTTCACCAATGGATCACTCGGGCTAATCTGAAACAAATGAATCTTTCAGAAAAGTACAATTTTGAATTTCCTCTCACATATTTCATCGAATCAGTCGTCGGTTTCATATCCGCTTGTGATCCCAGATAAGTGTACATCAATTTTGCCACCACGTTGTGATCTTCAACTAATTTTTCTGTCGGCAACTTTTTTAGAAGACTCTGAGCCACGCTTTCGATTCTGAACGAACAAGTAGTTTAGTGAGAAGAGCCTTGCAACCAACTCATTCAGTCTGCACTCCTTCGCCACGATGATGAGGGGAAAAGCGTCCGCGTCGCTGAGCAGTCCCTTTTCCAGAACTTTCAGAATCACCATTTTTGTCTAAACTTAGTTTCCAGCGGAAATGGAAAGGATTAGTAAGTACCTCAACTAGGTTTATCTTTTCTGGGAACAACTTGCTTCCAATCTGAATGAATTCTTCCGGACAGAGCCCGGGGAACTTCGGCCTCGGTTGCAATGCCGGAATGGAAAGTACGTCTTCCCTAAGCGTTTCAATGTTGCGAGCGTTGAACGTGAGAATTGCTTGGAAGGCACGAGCCAAGATTTCGACATCGGCGGGGCTCATCGTAATCTGCGGCCACTTCTTTTTGTCCATCTCCGAGAGAACTTTCAGCCCGGGAAAGGCTATCATGATCAAGCTAAAACGTACATGTTATGGACAATAATAGTCAGTTCAAGCTAACTCGTAAATGTGATTCAAGTCGGATGGTTTTTTGCTTAGAGTTTTTAAATATATCGGGAGAGCGATCAACTGTTCAGCGTCCGTTATTCTGTCTTTTGCCATTTTCAGGTAGACGAGGCTCAGATTCTGTAAATGAATTTTAAAGTTTTCCTTAACACTTTAGGCTCCTACCGAAACGGTGCCATTCGGACCATCAAAAAGTGAAAGCAATTGTTCGAAGGGAAGACGAATGGTAACATTGAGTTTTGTCTGTTTATTGAATTGATGAAGAAAGGGAGTAACCTGAAGGGATAATTTGATTGAAAGGCTAATAGAAACTTTCTCACGTTGTTAAGTAACTCGGGCTTCCGATCGACAAGCTGGAGAACGTCAATCAAATATCTGTCTGTAAACTGCTGCATTCTCCCATCCGTTTCTGTCATGACCAGCAGCAAAAAGATTCTTTCTACTGAAAAGAAAAAGTGTGTTTGCATTGAACGGAACAAAATTACTGTCTTGTTCATTATTGACTCGAGAAGATTGAACTTCCTGGGTTTCTTGCGGTTCATCTACGTCCATTCTTAATGAAGAAAGTTCAAAAAAATCGCTAACAAAACATATTCAAACGAAAATAAAAGAAACGGACTCGGGAAAGCAACATGAAAAGAGAGGAAATGTCATCAAATTTGCCGCATTACGAAATGACCGAGTTTCAAGCGTGCGAGAATTCTAGTCCCTTCAGATTTGGCGGTAAACTACAAATTGAGTTAACAAAGCTGTCTTTCTGGAGACTGTCTTCTATTCACTTTAAGAACTTCTACTTGATACAGGCGCCTATTGTTTATTCCTGATTCAGAAACAATGTTACATTTTTGAATCCGAAATCTGCAAAACTTCCATTTTCATTTAAATACGCAGGCTTTTGCTCTACGAATTTGTCGATGGCGCGAATCATTCAATTTTCAGCTTCAATTTAAAATTTAAATCCCATGCTCAATGTCTCCTGTTTTCTTCACTATTCCATATCAACGTGGACTGAGTTAGAAGGCGAAGAAGGGCGAAAATCGATAATCGACGCCTTTTTGACAATTCTCGTCAGTTGATTCTCGATGATGGTGTTGCACTAACAAAGAGGACGTGACGATCTCTGTCAGTACCACATTGCTCGTCATCTCAATTATTATCTTGTTGTGTTTCCTTTAACCTTTCGGTGACTAGTCACTTTCTATTCGTATACTCGGTCCCTTACGTTCTATTAACAAATTTTTAGAAATCCTCTATAGTGTCACTGAACGCTTTTTGAGTCTATTGATTTAGGAGTCAATGCGCGTTAATGAAAATTAGACATTTCCGTTGTGCGTTTCCGAAGCAAGATGATGCGAATTTAACACATGCTGGCAATATTGATTCACAGTGAAGTTGTTCAAATTTCATAAAATTCTCTACAATCGCAGAAAAGTCATTGACTTGTTCCGGTCGATCAATTCCTCGAAAAAAAACCACATTGCAAAGTGCGCGCGGGGTCTTTGCGTAATCGCGTGCGCACCGCTTGCAATGGGCGGAGTCAGTAGTCGATCCCGACCGAACTCGGTGGGTGTCTCATTTGCCGCTGGTGCGTCTTCTCTTCCCTCGCAGTCCTCCCGCGTTTTTCAAATTTGATCATCTTCTTCATCTGAATTTCCACGCTCTCAATGAAAGCTTCGCGTGCTTTGACAGCTGATTTTTTATGATAATTGCTATACTGGAAGCTATTGTTTCGTCCTTATAGTTTCTCCTTTCTGACAGTTTATTCTTCTGGTATCACTAAATTCTATTCCACTTCTTTTCATTTTTTTGGAGTAGAGTACATTTCAATGAAAATTCGGTTAAAATATGTATTCTGTCGAGTTTTTCATCTGAGAAAAAGTATATCGACTGCGTGAATGTGTTCCCGCAATTGGTTTTCTTACTTTTCGTCTTGATTGTTCGACTTCTGGGCAATGACTCACTCTCTCGTTTTCACGTATTTCGACACCTTTCTGCTCCAAATTTCTTGTAAATCTCTATTTGCAGGTACATTCTCCCTGTACCCAAGCTGCGTTTCTGACTGCTTCTTCAACCACTACCCATATTTATATCTTTATTTGCATCTGAACTGCAAATGGATATGGTAAGCAATTGAAAAAATGATTAAATTCGAAATGTTTCATTTTCAGCCAACTGAGAGTACGGGTTCTTTTAACGCATCCACAGTCGCACCTCCAGTCCTGAGCACGTTAAATGATATGATTGTAAGGAAGTTTCAAAAAAATATTGGAGATCGTGCAACTTTAAACTTTTAGGGACGTGAAATACTGATCACCACAGACGACAACAAACGCTTCACCGGTGTTCTTACCGCTATCTCCCAAGATGTGAGTGTCACCTGCCACACACCAAGTCAAGTAATATTTCAGCTTGCATTCGGGATGCATTACGTTTCCGAGATAACAAAAGAAACGGAGAATAACTACCTGAAAACACAGAAGGACTCGGATAAAAAAGTTTTTCCGTTCAGTGACATTGCCCATTACGTTTACATTACCGAAGAAAAGAAGGGACACAAATTGAGTAAGTATTGCGAGGATAGTCGGCTTGAAACATGCGCTCATTTTCAGCTAGCAAATTTGTCACTGATCGTCAGTATCATGGAGAGCTTCCAAAGGATGATGAAGAACTGGAGCTGTGGGACGGAGGAGAAGATGAAGATATTGGTGGTTCTATCGAGGACCAGGACCACTCTGTTGTAAGAAGAAGGGTATTGAATGAATCTAACGCACGTTTTCAGGCGCAGCATGCTTCTCAGCATAGCCGTCGTGTAAATCAGAACAATGGTTCTGGCTGGTCAGTCGATGACATGTTCGCAGTGAACCAGAAAATGAACGTCGTCTCGACATTCAAAGATGACTTGACTCAGTACACCACGTGAGTTTCCTTCTCTCCTCAAGTAAGTGCTTGTTTTCCTTCATATAGTGTGGAAGTTGTCGGCACCGAAGAAGATCGGGCTCGAGCTGAAAGACTCGCCCGAGAAATCGAATCGAATCAGTCGTCCAAGTTCTACGCGAACCTGGAGAACGACGACGTCGAACGAGATCTGGACAGAACGACTCATGAAGAGGAGTTCGATAACGGAGGCAACCACCGCCGTGGAAACAACAAAGGGTAAGCTTTTTCAACGTCATCGCCGTCAGCTTCTCAATTACGAATTTCAGAAATAACAGCTACAATCAGCCGCCACAACAGCGACGAAATCCGAATGTTGCTCCAAATGGTCAGCCAGTGAATCGCAGAGCCGAGGGGCTCAGAAGTGACCGTCGGAACAGCGGCAGTTCTTCTGCGAACAACAGCCGTTACGGTCCGCCGGCTCCAGCACAGAACTATCAGCAACAGCAACAACAGCAAGTTCCGAAGGGCGGCAATTACAACAACCGTCGGCAGAATGAGGAGTACCGCGAGAATGGTACGTTTCACTACAGAGTACAGCGCCCGCGGCAATCCCTCTCCGCTGATTATTATCTACTCTCTCCTCGAAATAGCGTCTGTTCCTCTTCCTCCTCGTTTTCCTCCGTTTCTATCCATCATTTTTTGTGTGTCCGTCGTTCTTTTGTCTTGACCCATTTCGCATGACATAATGCGCACCGCTAACTATTGATGCAACCGTTTTCTCTTTCGTCCGCAAACAGCCACGGGAATGGATCGTTTCGTCGCCGGCAGTTGCCTTCTTGCCTACTCAGCTGATTTATTGACCAATTTTCAAGACATGAGATTTATCCATTTTCCACCGAACGGGAAGCCAAACCCCAGCCCATCTGCCCTCTTTTCCTGTTTCCGGTGAGTTCTCACCGTTCTCACCGTTCTCTATGATCTGCGTCTCTTTTTTTCTCTTTCCACCTCTGCTCACTTTGTCTGATTCATCGATGCAAACCACTTCCTCTCGCGCCTCGCTTATCACAAGTTGTTCTTCTCGAAACCGTGTCCTCCAATCGATTGGGGCGCCGCTCTCTCCCACTTTCCGATCGGCCGTGCTGCAAAGTAACACGTCATCGATGACTGCCTGCATCGTCCGCCCGTCCCGCTTGCGGCAACACCTCTCCGCTCTCTTTCCGTCCGCTTCTCTCCTTTTGCTCACCTCTTTCAGTTGGCCCGCTGTCCGCCCCCGCCTATTGAAAGTAACTGTTCTGCCTGCGTCTCGTCCTTGTTGCTATCATCTCTTGTACTGAATCAGCCATTCCTCTCACTGCGAACTAGCTGTTAGCGGAATTCATCTCGCGCCTCCATGTTCAACGCTTATTCGCATTTTGCGATTAGATATCTTTATCCGATTTACTCTTTTTCAACTATTTTTCGACGCCAAAAATCGAATATTCTGTCGATCTATATCAGGCAGCAAACGGACACAGTTTCGAAACAGTCCAGCGCCTATTGACACGCTCAAAGCCAAGCGTCCAAGTGGTTTGTAATACACATCACATCAGCTGATCTTTTTCTCTGTCCTTTCTCTTCTTTTGCGAACACGGAGGGCGAGCAACACTGGCTGTCCGGCAGTCTGTTGTTCAAACAATCACTCCTCGTCGCTCCACTGATTTTTTGTACATTCTCCATGCGTCAACACCATCATCGGAAAACATTTTTGTTTCAGATTGGCAAATGGCCAAGGGGAAGGGTCAGAACCAAGGTCACGATCAATCGTTCCGTCATCAACAGAAGCAAATGCTAGACCCGAGACCAAGTCCGAAACAGCCGACGAACGAAGTGGAGAAGGGCCCTGGTTCAAGTTCCCGTGTGGCGGATCTGAAGAGCTGGGGCAACGACTTCGCCATTGCCACGTCACCGAAAGAGCAGTCGCCAGCTCCGGGATCCACTCCGCCGGTGGCTCAAGGAACATCGGGCAGTGCATGGAACCGTGGACCACCGAGTTCGCTCGTTTCCAAGGGATCGTCTACCGAGTCGACTCCACCACCAGCGGAAGCCGAGACTCTCGCTTCCCAGACCTACCAGACTCCGGCTGCTGCGTCCTCGTCGAAACCAGCTAATCAGAAGAAAGGTTTTTATCTTCTTAGCAAAATTATCCACCCAAAATTAGTTTCAGAAGAGACGCCGTCTACAAGCGCTGAAGAGCAAGAAGACGAGGATGGAAAGGGAGCGGATGGTGACAACATGTCCACCACTGACGCATCGGAGACTTCGTCCGTTGTTACTTCGAAGTCCAGCTCCTTCAAATTCAACATAAATGCTCCCGAGTTCAAGCCGCGTGTGGCTCCAGCTACGCCGACTCCAACGACGCCAAACGGACCTGCTCCGAACATGAACCCTATCCCACCACAGCAGTTTGTGCCCCAGGAATTCCAACAACAGCAACATCACCCGGCAATGATTCCGCAAGGAGGACCGCCTGGTGCTCCAATGGGAATTCAAGGAGCCATGGCGCCGCACATGGGACCAGGAGGAGTCCCTCCTAACCAAACCCCGCAGCTTATGATGTGGACTCAGCAGCCGGGACAACAAGGATATCCAGGTGCTCAGCAGTTCCCAATTCAGCAGATCCCGATGGCTGGTGTTCCTGGACAAATGTACGGAGCCGCTGCCACTGCTCCATCCACTGTGTCGAACCAACAACAGCCGACTCAGCAAATCCCGACGAGTGTGACTCAGACCGATGGAAGACAAGGGAACCCACAGCATCAAAGAGAAGGAGAGTACCGGGAAGCTCAGCCATGCTTCTACCCGTACTCTCAAGGTGGACCAGCAGTTGTGCCAATTGCACAGCCGTTCTTCCATCCACAGTATCAGGCAGGAATGCAGCAGACACAGTATATGAAAATGATGCCGCAGCAAGGACCACAAGTGCCATACCAACAACGATTCCAAGCACAACAAGTGTACATGGTCCAACAAGGAGGACAAGGTCCTCAACAGAGGTATCAGGGACCACCGCAGCAGCAACCACCACATCAGCACGGTGGCGAGCAGCAGCAGCAACAACAGGGAGGGCCACAGTCGCATCCGAACAGCCAACCGACGACTCCGGGGCCACGTGGGGACCAACAGAGCATGAGCGGACCGAAAGCAACGCAACAGGGCCAGGTGAGTCGGAGGGGGACAAAATTGCATGGTTCTGCACAGCCTAGATAGTTTTCCCAGCACGACATACATATTTTCGCTCCGCTGTCCTGTTATGTGATTGTGCTTTTTTCAGAATGGAATGCACCGCGAGCCAGAAGGCGGAAGCAACGCCAGTCTCAGTGGATCGAGCAGCTCGCAGTCTGGAAAACGTAGCGGTTCCCCGCAGAACAACATTCCACAGCAACAGCAGCAGCCACCGCAACAGCAACAGCAAGCACAACAGCAACAAGGATTACCGCACGGAGGACCACCTCAGATGATCGTGCCTCAAGGACACATGGCTCCATACATGGTGGTCCAACATCCACAGATGCATACGCCTATTCCGGCTTCTTACTATGCGCAGCAGGCATGTTTACTTTACTTTTTTTCTGAATTCGAATCGTCTGGTGGTTTCGATATACGATTTGCCTAAGTCATTTTGAATTGTTTGTAAATTGATGTTTATTGCAGTACTATCCAATGATGGTTCCTCCACAAATGCAAATGCAACAAAATCAGCATGGTACATTTCTGGTCTTCTAACTCTAATCGAATTTCAGTATTTTGCAGGACAGCAGAGTGTGATGGGAGAGAGGGCTGATCAGGGATTCCCGCAAGCAACTTACTTTGACTACCGCAATATGCCTCCAATTTATCAGCAACAACACCAACCGCATCAGCAGGTCCACGGAGGACACATGTCTCGTCAGAACTCGCTTCAACAACAGTTCGGAGGCAATGGCCAAGGTAAAGTACCTCCCATCCAGTTTGTACTAACCGTCTCCCCAAGTTTTGAAGGTGTAAATCTACCGTCGCAACAAGGCCCGCCTCCTCAACAACAACAACAGCAACAGCAACAGCAAGGCGGTCTAGCACGGGATCAACAGCCACAAAGTGCTCAGTAGCCCGTTCGAAGCATCCATTCCTTCTGCACTCTTCAGTGCTTCTATCTGTTTCTCTTCTAATATTTCACGCGTTCAAACCCCGTTCACTCCCGAATTCACATGGACTCTCGATGATGCTGTTCCCTTGGCGTTCTCGAAAGTCCCGTCATTTATATCCTTTTCCGCCTCCACCCTTCTAATATGTTGCCGCGAATGGACTACAACCAAAAACTCAAAAATTTAAAAAAAAATAGCGTTCGTCGGAGCTTACAAAAATTTTTAAAAAACTTGTCCGAATTCTGAATTCATAATTTTCTACGGACAACCATAAACAAGCCTTGAAATGTGATGCTAGTTTTAGACTACAACTTCTGGAGGCGTTCCTTTTTATATGTTCTGCTGCCCCGCTGTCCTTCCATGAAGTTCGTAACACCCCCGATTACTTGTAGTGTCTACTGTTTCTCGTCACTCATTCCCTAATGTTTGACATCTTTCAGTTGTACACGAAGGCACATTGACTTCTGACTGTAATTCAAACTAGTTACCTGCCTATGCGCCGTTTTTTGCACCGTCCATCCTTATTGTACTGCACGCGCAACTTATCCCAACCAGTTCGCGCATTTTTTTTTGAGCAATCCTCTAAATTATTTGAGCAATCCCATTTTTTTGTAACCCTTCCCCTCCCTTTTTACTCCCCTTTCATCAGATCAGCACCAACCTACCCATATTTTAGTGAATATTCTGATGTAATGAAACTTTTATTGCTCAAGTTCGATTGGATCGTTCACAGGGTCAAGTACTTTTTCTTGAAGTTATTTGAATCGGCATATGGCCAGATCTTCTTCGCCATTTGAATGTCTGAATTTGGAGATTATTGAATAGTTATTAGCAGGGATTTAACTGACTGGTCGATGTTTTGTAGTCGCGTGGTTCACGTTTCTCACTTATCGAAAGTGCCGTGAACAGCTTGTCACCGCCGCCTTTGTTCAATTCCCACTCGAAACGACCGAAAAACGATCCACGGATTCTTTTGAATCCGTGGTAGCACTCGCTCCACAACCCGAAGTAATCCGGGCGAGTCTTGAATTCCAGCTTCTCCAGATACTTGTAAATGGCCTCAAATTCCTTGGGACACCCTTTCAGCAACGTCTCCATCGAGCACGCCTGCTTCGCCTCCATAATCTCCTTCTCATCGGTCAGACGACGCCACGGCAGTCCCGTGTGCAGTTCGATCATCATGTAAAGCCACGACCAGAGGTCGTCGACGCGTCCCTGTTCCTTCCGATGGTGCACGTTCAGACTGCAGTAGCGGGGAGTCCCGCGGAAGAGCTGATCGCCACCGCGCGCCCTACGGAACGTAAGCTTTCCGTCCCCCTCTTTCAGCGCAGTCCACATGCGGACCATACCTGGAAGCGGCAAGAAAAAGTTGAATTCGCTTATGAAAAAGATCACCGTAATCGATGAGATAAACGTTCTTGGTGTCGCTTCCGTTCATCCCCGTCACACAGTTTCCAGGCTTGATATCTCGATGAATGTAGCCCACCTCGTGAATCTGAGTTTTTCATTTCCTTTTACTCTCTATTGATAAATACGAATTGCGCCCAAAGTTCTATCATTCGTGCGGTCTCTTTCTTTCTCTCTCTCTCTCTCTCTCTCTCTCTCTCTCTCTCTCTCTCTCCCTCTCCCTCTCTCACATTCTTTTTCCCATGACGCTCACCTGCTTAATGGCGAAAAGTGTGGCCATCGCGAGACGCAGCGTCGTCTGGTCGCACAGCTTGGCCACATTCGCATCTCTTTTGTGGGCCATCAGATCTTTGCCCAGCAACGTCATGACAATGAAGCTGAAATAGCAACCTCCCCTCTCTGTCTCCGTCTCGTTTCTCCCTCTACCAGTATTTGTCGCAAGAGGCTCCATCAAGAAATCTTGCGCAATAGTCCATGGGAGCTAGGGCCTTGAGCACGTGCGCCTCCAGCTTGAGCACTCCTCCGTCGTCGATGTCCGCCTCCACCTTCATCGCGGCGTACGTCTGGAAGCGGGTGATGTCGCGCACTTTAAAAACGGCTCCCATTCCGCCTTCACCGAGCTTTTCGATTACTTTCCATCGTTTGGCAATTATCTGGTTGAATCGTCTGTTTTCCTCTGTTCTCAGTGCTCGATTGGCTCACTTTTCCTTCGGAGATCGCTTTAATTTCTTCCATTCTGTTCGTGTCAGCAAAAAGAGTGTTTGCGTGTGAAGCGAATTCAGAAATGAAATAATATTCTGAGCTCTCGGCGTTATCCACGGAACTATTTCCTCAAGAACGTGTACTTTCTCCTCTTCCCCGTCTTTCGCATTCAGTCTCCTGATTCTCCCAGCTGCTCCTCTCCTTTCATTCTCCTTGTGATAGTCTCGGAAGGACCCGTGCACTTGTCGTCCGAATCAAATCGATCTCCGGGGAGCGAGACAAGTCTCTGTCTCTTCCTCCGTTCCTCATCCCATTTCTCGCTGCGCTCGCACTCTTGTTCCCTTTTCTCTCGTCCTCTCGCTCTCACTGGAACTTGGCCGGCAGAATCTTTCAAGAATGCCCCAAGTTGCGTGTAAAGACTCATGTAAAGACCCCTTTTGTGGTGTTTTCATTAAAAAAAATATCTGATAGTCCCTATGTTTTTTGAACACTGCAACTTTCCGCAAGACTTTGAAAGGCCTGCGTTTCAAGCAGAAAACCTATCGATTACTCTCGTTCTGCTCACAAGATTCTCTTCTTGATGGCACACGCGATGTTTGTTCTTTTGGAGCCAATTATTTGTTTCTCAATATTCATTTTGTGCACGGCTTCAAATTCGACAAGTTCGCTCATCGTTGGAAATCCTCAAACGCGTCGCAGTGAAATTGTTTTTCATTCTGGCGCCGAATGAATTGCGGCGACGCGCCTGCAGTCACATGCGTTTCATCAAAATGTGCTTTTCGGTGCAAATTCTTAATTTTGGTTGGAAATCTGAACTTTGTGCAACGTTTTTCACAAATTCATGACGACGCACAAGAAATCGTTGAATAGCTTTTTTGTTGAAAAAAGGCCCTAATAGTTTGTCTTTAACGATCTTCTTCTCTTCTCTTCTTCGAAGCCTTTTTCAGTCATTTGATCTCCTTCCCCTCAAGTTTATCGTTCCTATGAAAGAAAATGTGTTTTTTTCTACAATCCAATAAACGGAACCCCATATTATAGTTCAGTTTCCCGTTTCAGTGAAAACTGTGAAAAGTATGTTTTATTGAATGTACTCTCTTCCTATCCAGTTTGTACCCGGTTTTTCTTTTTACAAATCTCTTTTTTCCGTTCTTGAATTGCGTTCCCCATTAATCGATCTTCTGAAACTTACGGCTGCTAACGGCGCTACAACGAAGTAGAACTCGCACGGAATGGAACTGTTACAATTTGGAACTCGCACCGTTAAAATATAACTGCGAGTTCCAATTTGTAACAGTTCCATTCCGTGGGAGTTCTACTTCGCTGTAGCGCCCTGCTGACACATGTGATGATTTGGATTGGAGCGCACTTGCACTCGCCTCTCTCTTCTTTCATTCTCTCGCAACGTTCTCTTCCTCATCTGTTTCCCGCGCTTGCGAAACTTGTTGTAACCTTTTCCCAATTTCTCTACTTAAACTCCGATTATTTATTCAAAACGTGCTCCGATCAACCGATTTTCCGTTTCCGTTCTCCTGCGAAAATCAATTATTTCAGAATGACCAATTACGAATCGAGAAGGGGGCTTATCGATCCGACAATTGTCTGGGACAGACTTCGTGAGGGGTTGGATGTCGCCTATCGGAGAGAATTCATGTCACCGCAAAATTATATGTCTCTTTACACGTATGTGAAAAGCAGAAAAAATCGATAAATGTTCCATAAAAAGCTCGTTTTCAGAAGTGTCTACGATTATTGCACGTCTGTAACTTTGCAATCAAACAACCGGAGAGACGATGGCGGTGTCCTCAATGCAGATGCTATGAATCCGATGGGACGGAACGGCGGCGCCGATTTCGTCGGGCACGAGATGTACCGGAGAGTTGAAAAATACGTTACCGCTTATGTGATGGAAGTGCTCAAGAAGGGCGAGGAACTCTCCGGAGAGGATCTACTCAAATACTACACAACCGAATGGGAGAACTTCCGAGTCTCAGCCAAAGTGATGGATGGAATCTTTGCGTATTTGAACCGCCACTGGATCCGCCGTGAACTGGACGAAGGACACGAGAACATTTACATGGTTTACACTCTGGCACTCGTGATCTGGAAAAGAATGCTGTTCAACACCATCAAGGACAAGGTCATCGATGCCGTGCTCGAGCTGATTCGCTCTGAAAGAACTGGTATTATTATCAACAAGGGATACATTTCTGGAGTCGTCGAATGTCTCGTTGAGCTCGGTATCGATGAAGCCGAAGGCGATTCAAAGAAAGATGGCGAAATGAAAAAATTGGCTGTCTACAAACGATTCTTCGAATCTAAATTTTTGGAAGCCACGCGCGAGTTCTACCAACAAGAAGCCAAAGATTTCCTAAACAGCGGCGGCAATGTCACGGATTACATGGTTAAAGTGGAAAAGAGATTGGACGAGGAGGACGCGAGATGCCAGCTCTACCTGAACTCTGCCACCAAACATCCGCTCGCCAGCACCTGTGAAACTGTGCTCATCGCCAATCAGCTCGAGTTCTTCCAGAGTCAGTTCGGAGAACTTCTTGTTTCGCAGCGCGACGAGGATTTGTCACGAATGTTCAAGCTATGCGACCGTGTTGCCAATGGACTCGACCAGTTGAGAGTGTCACTCGAGAGACACATCGCAAAAGAAGGACACGATGCCATCGAAAGAGTCGTCGCAGAGGCGAGCACCGATGCAAGGCTCTACGTCAAGACTCTTCTGGAAGTGCACGAGAGATATAATGAGCTGGTTGCGCACTCCTTCAAGGGAGAACCAGGATTCACTCAGTCACTCGACAAGGCCGCCACGTCATTCATCAACAGCAACGCGGTGACGAGACGTGCTCCCGCCAACAGTCAGCTCACGAAGTCTGCTGAACTTCTTGCCAGATACTGTGACCAACTACTGAGAAAGAGCTCGAAAATGCCAGACGAAAGGGAACTGGAGGATCTTCTCAACAAAATTGTAAGTTGATGTCTGTCATAATTATTTTCAATATTGATCTTCCAGATGATTGTGTTCAAGTACATTGATGACAAAGACGTATTCTCCAAGTTTTACACCAAAATGTTCAGCAAAAGACTCATCAATGATTTGTCCGCAAGTGATGAGGCCGAAGCGAACTTCATTTCGAAACTGAAGAGCATGTGCGGATACGAATACACCGCCCGACTATCAAAAATGGTGAACGATACACAAGTCAGCAAGGATCTGACCGCCGATTTCAAAGATAAGAAGTCTCATTCACTTGGAGATAAGCTAATCGAGTTCAACGTGCTCGTGCTCAGTTCCGGCTCTTGGCCGACCTTCCCGCAAAGCACCCTGACTCTCCCAGCACAACTCTCAAACACCATCGAGTTGTTCGGAGTGTTCTACAATGAGAAATTCAGTGGGCGTCGTCTCACTTGGGTCTACTCGCAATGTCGCGGCGAGATAACTTCATCTGCTTTTTCGAAAAAATATGTGTTTACCGTAAGTTGTACTGAATGTGTGCTTCATTTCGATGTGTCTTTTTTCAGGTGACCACCGCTCAGATGTGCACTATGCTGTTGTTCAACGAGCAGGACACGTACACCGTCGAACAAATCTCCAACGCGACCGGAATGGACGCAAAAACTACCCCTATGATTGTCGGATCGCTCATAAAAAATCTCGTTCTGAAGGCCGACACGGAACTTCAAGGAGAAGAGATTCCAATGAGCGCGACCGTCAGTCTCAACTTGGCGTACACCAACAAGAAAGTCCGAGTCGATTTGTCCAAATTGAGTATCAAACAAGAGCAAATTCGTGATACGGAGCATGTTCAGAAGAACGTCGAAGAGGACAGAAAGAGCGTTATCAGCGTAAGTGACTACCCAATCCTCATGTTTCGTATCCTCGTGTTTATAGGCGTGCATCGTCAGAATCATGAAGACCAGAAAGCGCATCTCGCATCAGCAACTTATGACTGAGGTAAGGCTCATTGAATACTTCAGACTAATAAGAAATGTGTGACTTGCAGGTGATTGCTCAATTATCCGGACGCTTCAAGCCGAAGGTTGAAATGATTAAACGATGCATCGGCTCGCTCATCGAGAAAGAATACATGCTCCGGGTAGAAGGACACAAAGATCTCTACGAGTACATTGCCTAACTCGTTTCTCTCGATTATTATTGTTTCCCTTTCCTTTTTCTTTTCCTCTTTCCTCCTTTAAATGATGGTTTCCTCCGACACCTGTCATATCTCCTGCGGAAATTCGCGCGCAGCCCTGTCTCCCCAACTTGTTCTATTCATATTTTTTTATTCGCCAAGAGCATTAGTTATCGGAGATGCATATTTTCAGCCAGGCTTCTTCATCTTTCTCTCATCACATTGACCTTCTTAACATGCATTCTGCTATAATCAACTTCTCCCGATTCCGCCGATCGATGTATTTTTTATCCTCAATTCTTCTGATCTTCTATTTTTATTTAAATTAAAGGCGGGTTCGCTCTCCTGGCTTTTTCGGTAGTAAATGTTGGAATTTTATAATTGACTTTTTTTTCCAACTTGGCACTGTATACTCGGTCCGCAATTTTTGGAAGAAATCGAAAGTTCAAGTTCTCATACATAGGGAACAATTCAGCCGTCCAAAAGGAGAAAGTTGTGTAGTTGTGTGGAGGAGACGACCGAATCGATGACGAATTATTACAACACTTGGCTGCTCTCCTTCCTCTTCTTCGTTTCTCGCTTCCAAGTGACCCTTCGGCCGCCCTCTGTTCGCCAGATGCCCTTCTCTCCGCCCTCCGCTTTCCGCACACACTCTCCGTCTGAATGAGAGCAAGTACGATTGCTTCTTTTGTTTGGAATGACGTGTCACCCATAGATCGTCTTCTTTCTTGCAGAGCTCTTCCTCCGGCGCCCTCATGATTCTCCGCTTCCTCTCGCTTCTTCCATTATTCTCCATTCCGGCGCTCTCTCTTTTTCCTGGAGCCGAGCCGGACGAAGGCGACGTCAGACATCTATATCCGCCCGTTTACATTGGAATCGGGCTCTCGGAGCACGCCCACGCAATCCCGTACTTGCTCGGATGGCTGGAGAATTTGGAGTATCCCAAGGACAGAATCCGACTCGAATTGTTCGTTTTAAGCAAGGAAGATGCCACGATTCATCAAGTAAAATGGTGAGAAATATTTGGACATCAGATGAAATTTCGGCGGTTTTAGGTGGGTGGATTCGACTAAACAATTCTTCAAACATGTCAAAATCATGGAAGAAACCGATAATTGGCTAGAAAACGCATTACGGAATGCACGACTTCAGAAGGCTGTTCGGTGCCTTCTGATGACCGGGGATACTGTGCCAACGAAGGCGAATCTGATACAGGTAAGAATTGAAAGGAAAGGGAAGGGAGATGAACGAGTGATTAAAGATGCTGTTCACTGAGAAGAAGCACGTGGCAGTCAGTCCTCTTTTCCACTCGATTGACGGATCAACGAACATCGAAGAGCCGTCAGAAGCACTGCTCGAAAGGAAGAATGTCAGAGAAGAAGTAGGGCAGTTAATTGACGGCCTCTCCATTCGTCTCACTTCAATTTCAGATTCTCTCATTCGCCCTTCCCCTCGCCATCGAACTCTCTGTGATGGACTCTTCCTATTTGACGTTCGACCGACAGAACCTTCCGTTTTACGAAGGCGCTGATGATCCGTCGGAAGTCTTCGTGACTTCTGCACAGAATATGGGAATCCCGTTGTGGGCGGACAATCAGGCCGACTACGGCATCTTTGTGAATCCGTCACTCGACATCGACGAAAGAAGGAACACAATCAGATATCACATTGCCGACTTCATCGCCGACGAACTGACACCGCCGTTCGTGTCGAAAAGCGTCCGTCCGTACCAGCCGGATCCGACGAAACTAGGAGTTGACAAGTGAGAAAACGATTCGTTCGTTCATCGGAATCATCGTTCCATTTCAGAATATACCTAATAAACCTGAATCGACGGACAGAAAGACTCGATCGAATGCACAAGATATTCGACTTGCTGGGAGTGGAATACACGGTTATGGAAGCGACGGACGGGCAGAAACTGGAAGAGTTGCCGGCCGAACTCAGGGAATACCAGATTCTCGAGGGATACCTAGACCCAATCACGAAGCGTCCGATGAAAAAGGGAGAGATCGGATGCTTCTTGAGCCATTACAGGTGAGAAAAACTCAGTATTTTAGTGCGAATCAACGCTTTTCTCAGAATTTGGCAAGATGTAGTCAAGAATAAGCTGCAAAAAGTGATCGTTTTCGAAGATGATCTTCGATTTGCGTACGATGGATTGACGAGAGTCCGCGAAGTTTTGCAAGATTTAGAAGCATCCCGGAAGCCGTGGGATCTCATTTATTTGGGAAGAAAGAAGCAGTCGGATCAGCAGGAGCTGTGGGTTGCCCAGCACAGACATCTTTCGACCGTGGAGTACTCGTACTGGACACTCGGTTACATGCTCTCTTTGAGTGGAGCACAGAAGTTATTAGCTCCGGGACCACTCAAAAAGATGGTTCCAGTGGATGAGTACCTGCCGATTATGTTCAACAAACATCCGAATAAAGTTAGTTTCTCTTGTATCTCTTGCAAAACATTCTCACTTTCCAGGAGTGGTCTTCTCAATTCGAACCGCTCAACGTGGACGCGTTCACCCTCTATCCTTTGGTCGTGTTCCCTCAAAGATACGCAAACGAACAGGGATACGTCTCCGACACTGAGGACTCTTTGATCGTACCCCCAAAAGCCGCGACCGATGAGTTGTGACGTGGCAATCCCGTTTTTCTTGTTCTCGTTATTTATTTCCCTTTTGTGCCTTCAAAATGTTCGGTTTTCTCGAAGTAAGTGCATAGTTTGTTGACACGGTTCTCAGGAATAAATTGCTCCTCTTTTTTTCAAGTGAAGACACATTTAATATTTTGTAAATATCAATGGAATATACATTCTCAATTAAGAAAAAGATCCGAACAGTCAAAGTACAGTGGCACATGGGTTGCGTTTCTTCGAAAGTGCCAGATATAATCGGAGAAGGATATCGGCTGAAAGTGAAGAAGACGGTGGCCGTGGGCGGATCGGCCAAGGTATCGGAGAGGACGGAGAAGAAAAAGAAGAGAAGAGTTTCAGATAATGGAAGTGGATCCGGGCGGAGGGAAAGCGACGATGATAGTCAAGAAGATAGTAGCGTTCAACAGAAGAGAGAAAGAGCGGGTGAAGCTCGAAGCCGAGCTGTACAGGAAACTTGAAGACAATCAGTTCGTCATTGATCTTGTCGCGCACATCACGGAAGACGTCAATCACTACTTTCTGTTCGAACGCTTTCCGATCAACTTTGCCGATTACCTGGAAAGTTTACGAAAGGAAGAGACGGTCGACGAGCTGAAACACTTGAAGTACTTCTCAGGGCTTGTGTCTGCCATCGAACAGCTTCACAGTTACGGGTATTCTCACATGGATTTGAAACCGGCGAACATTCTCAAGAACGACGACGTCATCAAATTGATCGACTTCGGATCAGCGACCAAGTATATTCATTGAGAATAGTATTTCAGTGAAAGTATGTATATTTCAGAATGCTTCTTCAAATCGAATCATCGGCGGATCATCATAAATACCGGGAAGAAGCCGAAGAGCGGTGCAGCATGATGTACCGGGCTCCCGAGCTGTTCTCCTGCGACATCGGATCCACACTGACGACTGCTGTTGATGTCTGGGTAAGTTTGCTTCCGAAGCGATCCAGACAAAGAGAGAAACACTTTAAGAGTCTCGGCGTCTGTTTGTACGACTTTATGTATCTCGAGAATCCGTTCGACAAGGTCTACGAGCAAGGAGGCAGCATTGCTTTGGCCACACAGAGTCCGCAAATGATCAAATGGGATGGAAAGTGAGTGAAGAGTTCGAAGAGAAGCCAGATGAGTTGGGGTTCCTGCAGAAGTGTGAGCAAGAAAACTGTGGATCTGATCAAGTCCCTTATGGTTGTGGAACCGGAAAACAGACCAAGTGCGGAGGAATTACGGAAGAAAATGGAGGATTTGGTGAAAAACTGGGGAAAACCGGAGGAGCCAGGGGCCAACGAAACACCAATTCGGGAGTTAACCGACGAGGAATTCGACAGAGCAATGCGGGAAACGACGTAATGAACATTATCAGGAAAGGACTCACACATTCCAAATTCATAGCAACTACCAAACGACTTCTGATTTCTATTCTCATACTTATAAAACTTCAATACTAACACCTTTTCTCTCTCTCTCTTTCTCTCTCTGCCTCTTCTTCTCTGAGTCATTGATAAAATAGTGCTTATCACATGAACTTCAAAATCGTTTTCTCTTTTTCTTTCCACCCAAAATGACTACTAATGGAATAATCAAACTGGACATCGGTGGCACTCTTTTCACCACCACGATCTCCACTTTGAGCAGATATGACTCGATGCTCAGAACCATGCTCACAACTGAAGTTCCGGTACAAAGTGTTAACCAGATTCTGCGAATTATTTGAAACTTTCAGGTCACGAAAGACGAACAAGAATGCGTGTTTATTGACAGAGACAGCCGTCATTTCCGGTTCATTTTGAACTTTCTGCGGGACGGCCACGTCGTCCTTCCGGAGTCTATTCGGGAAGTGAAAGAGATACTGGCGGAGGCGAGATATTATCTGCTCCAACCGTTGATCGAGCTTTGCGAAGAGAGGCTCGAGCAGGCGGACAACCCCTTCTATCACGTAGTTTCCACGGTCCTCGAAGCTAGAAAACTCATTTTCGCCTCTGAAAAAGTTTGCAGTTTCTTTGTGGTTTCTGAAAAAAAAGCGATTTCTTACAGCCTGTCGTGGTTCTGAGACTTCCATTGTACCTTGGAACGAAAGGGGGAATAGTCAATTACTATTTCAGTGAGCAGAAGTTTCAGGAACTCTCGAAGCAACACCACCGAATTGTCCGTTTCGTTTTAAGTAAGCCTTTTCAGAACTGGATTATTGAACTTGGTTTGGTTTACAGTCACTGAGCCAGAGTTCAATGAGGACTGCGGATGGAGTTTCTTTTTGAAAGGAAGGAAACGATCAGCCAGGATAAAGGGTCCATCGGACAGCAATCTTCTGGAGGAATGTCTTCGCGAGGTGCTTCAAGACGCCAAGAAGGACTAATCTGCTACCTGAATAATTGGATTAATGAATAAATTACTCTTCTTCATTATTAGTGTACTCCCGGAGTCCGGTTCGAAGTGCCGAGACGGAAAGTGTTCACAATTAGCGATTGACCTCGAAATGATAATCGCAGTTTCCGTCGGGCCGCTCCACTCGAATGTTGTTTTTTGTTCGTCGGCGACCGCCGTCCTCTTCATCCTCATTTTGCTTCTTCCACAACAAGTCCATCGCCAAGAAAGTGCAACCAGTTTGTCATTTCACACGCTTTGCCATCACACATATCCGTTTTGTTTCTTTGCTACGCTTTTAGCTGTACATATAGCTGTAGTCCTTATTGCACGGTTCTTCATTTTCTCTACTATCTTCCGAAACCATCTAATTTTCCAGAACGACCGGAAGATCGACAGTATCGTGAGTGCCCAATGGACTCGCCTTCTTCCGAGGTAACACATGGTTTCCGTTCGTTTGTCGCGACAGAATAGTTCATCGCAGAAGAATATTGCAATTAACACATGATATGACCTCTTCTCTTCTCTTCAAATGCCGCCCGTTCCTTACCAATTGGCCGATGTGTATTCACGAAACGAAGAAACGCGCAATTATATTTTCATCGTCGTCGTTGTCGACCGGCTGTTTATTTATCACTTGCTGTTCTTGCTTCGCATCTCATAATCGGCCCTCTTTGTTTTCCGAACTACATTCCGAGAATACTGGACGAGAGAAGCGCCATAACCATAAGACGACCGAATAATACCGTATTCCATTTCGGTTCCTTCTTCTTCTTCTTCTTCTCTTGATTCTTATAGACACAATCTGCCTGACTCCTCTTCATTCCGTTTCCATTCATGACCGTACTCCCGAGTGCTAGGCCCTCTTTGTCTTGCGATTCCTTCCGAAGTGGCCCTTCGTTCACACCTTCCCTCCATCGTTACCTAATCCTCTCATGCCCCCCAAATTTGGCGCAAGCATTTTCCCAAATTGGCAAGGTGTTCTGTCGAGATTCCGTTTGCGATAAGCAGTGATTGATCAATCACTCTGACATGAAAACAGTTGAATTTCAAAGTGAGGAGGAGGAGGATGGGTGCCGAGATAGTCCCTGTCCTCTCGAACGCATTCGTCAATCATATCTGCCCGGTATCAGTAGGAACAAGGCGCCCACAGTATTTAGGTCAATTATTCAACATTGCGGCCTGCGGCATGTTACATTTTATCAACGGGCGGGCGTCCGCCTCCATGCGCTATCCCTTATTTATCATATTGTTTATCGTGTCTTCTGGTATCCACTGAATTCACGCCCGGACTCCTCACCTCCTCGTCCGTTTCGTACTTCTGTTCCCTCGCTACTCGGTACCAGCCACCCCCCTCTCTTCTCTCCCTTATCTTCTGTTTGATTGACGACGTGGCAACGGTAGTTCTCCTCGCTTCTTTTTCGTCCTTCACCGGTGATTCTGTGTGATTCACTCGCCTCGCTTCCCTTTTATCTTTTCCCACCTTTTCTGTTTTATCTGCATGGGAACACACTCAAATAATCGTTTGTACCCAATACCCAAGCCCACCTAGATTCGTTCTCAAAAGCCGCTCACAATCTCTCATTCTTCCAGGAGATGTCCTCATACTTCGGCGCCCAATCGACCGGCGCCTTTGGTCCGGACCCCTCAACCAGACAGAGTCCGGCTGCCATTCGGTTTCAAAGAAAAGCGAGCACTGGATCAGCACCCGTGAGTTTTCAGTTTACTTTCACACGCTTGATTCACAAAACAGTGAAAATCAGCGGTATTCCATTAGCCGTCAGGTTGATTCTTGTGAATATAACTGGCAAAACAGTTTCCCGAAACTCTGCGAGCCAGTCCCAGGTGCACACTCCTGCGGACGGAATCTTCGCTCCCGACTCCTCCTTATCCGTTTCATCGTTTCCACCGCGGCACTTGTCATCCATCGTCGTCCGGTCATTCACTTCTTCTCCCCACTTCTTGTTTTTTTTATCGCTCACCGCGTTTCCCTATCATATCCACTGCGTGTCTGCCGTCGTTTTGTACTTTCTCCCACCCTTTTTCCAGCTAGTTTCGCACGCGTTTTCGTTCGGCAAAGGGCAAAAGCTGCGGAGAGGGGGAAGAAGGATGATGACACCTCGGAGAAGCGCGCCTCTGTCTTTCTGTTGTTTCTTTTCGTTCGCCGCCGTCCACTTACTAACATGATATCCCGTCGTGACATTTCGTCTGATTGCTCTAATTCCTCGCAGTCGCTTTTATTCCAATTACCAGTATCTGTCCATTTCTTCCTTTTGAGACGTCCGAGAGTTTTTCCGTTTGAAGATGACTCTTTTTCCTCGAACTGAATGAATTTCTATACTGCTCAGAACATTTCTAGGTGCCAATACAGAATACCAGAATCCTTTTTCCTTTAGAGAGCCAAAACTCTTCTACTTTTTCTCATGACTGTGCTTCAACTCGTCATTTTGAGTGAAACTACAGTATCCCATTCGACACAGTCAATATTCAATTTCAATTGATACAATCTGTTTCCTTATCACTCCTCCTTTCGGAAGCCCTTTGAAGAATTCAAAATTTCGGAAATCCTTTCCCGTCCGTCGCCCGCCTGTTTATCACCACCCGCATGCGTGTTCCTCACTCCACAGAATTGAGGTCAAGATCATTTAATCAGCATCTCTTCCTTCCGCACACTCTCTCGAGACGCTTTATAACTGTTCGTAATCAAGATGATAGGCGGAAGGGCGCACGCCAGAATAACTACTGGAAGCAGACTGAAAAAGAGAAAAATGAACGGTACGGAGAGAGAAGCGGAACGCGTTTATCACCCAGCTATTATCACCTATCAAATGAATTTAATTGTCTATCCATCTTCGAAAATGGCGATCAAAGCGACCATTTGCAGTCAGTTCCGCCGCCATCGGTGCCTCCGCCAGAGAGCAGTGCGGACGAGGAAGAGCCGAGAGCCAGCTCTAACAGCAACAACTACTCATCCACTTCCACAGTCGCCGCGCCCGGAAGGGAACCGACCAGGGTTTCCACTCTCAAAGTACCGGCAAATTGGGCGTATCGGAGAGGGAATTCAAAGTATTTTCAGAGAGAAGAGAAGGAGAAACGGCAGAAGGAACGCATGGAAAAAGAGCGAAAGGAATTGGAAGAGAGGAGAGTGGGAGAAGACGAAATGAAAAAGGAAGAGTGCACTGTACACCCGTCGCTCGAGGGACGCACCAGTTACGTGGAAGAGCCACCCTCCACCACGACGACGTTGGATCGGAAGGATCGGAGAGCCGAGAAGGCATTGGTGGGGAGAAATGACACGACCAGAAAGTTAATAAGTTCTGTTTCAGGTTCGTCGGATCACAAATGAAATGCAGCTGGCCACGTACATGGCGCCCGTTGAGTTCTCGCCGGCCAATCAGCCAGTCGGGGCCTACACGCAGGGAACGTTCCGTGTTCGGATGCTCCGTTTCGCAGAAGCAGGTCTGCGGCGGACCTTCTGGGCCGTCGGGAAGATGCTCGCAAATCATAAGCTTTTTTCCCTCGTCATTGCCCTCGTTTGCTTCGCAATGGCCCTCGTTCTCCCGGGTATTCATCGCCATAATCTGTACATCGATCTGCCGTTTTCTCATCTTTTTGGATCCGGAAGTGACACAATCTCGAACGGAATTGGAATTGCGCCCAAAAGTCAAGAATTTAATTCTTCAAATCCGGCATTTTCGTGCATGAATTGGCGGGATTCCAATCACTTTGCAGTGCTTCTCAAGACAATGTGAGAGAGTGTGAAATAAGAATACAAATAGAGCAGGGGAAAATTTCAGGACATCTCGCGACACTATTTTGAGGAAGGACGCAGTGCTGGCTTACACGGCACTCAAGAAGAAGTTGGACCACTTCCCGGTGGAGAAGAGAGAGTTTCTCGTTCAGTGTTCGTTGGAATGCGAAACGGACAAGGATATGGTGGATCGGATAATCAAAAAGAGTCCGCAAGTGGCACTCACCTACCCGGAAACGTTCGTGAGCATGAGCAAGGACTCGACGAATCTGACGAGAGTTTATCTGGGAGCAGCCATCGGAGGAGTGGAGACAGACACGGATGGGGCCATTTCGAAGGCCACTTCTCTTTTGATGAACTTCGAATTGAAGGAAGATCTCACCGGCAAAGAACACAATTCATGGCATAAACACTTCGAAGAGCAGGTTGCAAACTGTCGGATGGTGTGGAAAATTATAGGAATTATTACAGACGAGGCTGACTGCTGCCCCGAACATCTCTCTGATGGCCTGGTCTCCAGAAACATTCAAAGCGGCAGTCGTGCTCGCCCTTCAGGATCAGTACTGGTGGGTGCAACATTTATGACTCATTTGAGAACAAACAAGATTAGTGTGTGTAGTTATGGAAACACATCTAAAACGTTCTAAAGAGTCAGACAGAAATCCCATTTGCTCAGTGAGCCATTCGGGTCTTCCAGGTTTCTCCAGTTCTCGCTCGTCATCCTGTTCCTTTTCTGCCTTCTCGGATCGTTCGGAAGCAATGCTTACAAGGTATTCGCTCACTTTTCGCGTACATTCCGCATTCTCTTTGCGTTTTCAGTCGAAGCCCTGCCTCGGCATCATGATATTCGTCGCATTGCTCGTCGCTTCGATCACAGGTATGACGAAACGAGCCATGATGCGAAACCCTCCAATTATTGCCGCATTTGAATTGAAATCTAATCCTCGTCTTCCCGCATTTCCCCATTTCCGTCCATCTCTCTTTCAGCCTTCTCCATGCAGTTCTACCGTAATCTGCCAGTCGATCCGCTCGTTTATCCGATCTGTTTCGTGACCATTGGTGAGTGCTTCTTCTGAAATATTCACGCCTTTTCCCTGACGACGGGCGGCCTCTCGAGAATAGAAATCCGAGCCCAATTATCGTCGCTCTTCCTTACTTTTGCCCTCTTTCCCTCATAATCCGTCGCCTTTTCTGCAAATTAAAAACACATTGAACCCAGTTTCGCTCCGTTTCGGAGTCGTTTCGTTTTATGCGTTTCGTAAAGAAGAATTCATGAAGACCGACCGCCAGTCACTCTCTTTTTCTACTCTGCCACGTTTTTGATTGTGTACACATTCTTTTGTTGGGGAAAGACGGAAGAAAGTGTAAATATGCAAATACTTCCTTTCATTGATATTGTTCCCTTCCAGGAATCGGTCTCCTCTGGCTGTTCCAACTACACTTCAGCTGGTCCCGTTACTCGTCGGCCGCCGTCCATCCTACCGAAAAGATCGCATTCATTCTGTCGCACGATGCTCCGGGAATCGCCGCCAGTGCAGTTGTCATCGTGAGCACTTTCCGTGAGTCATTTCCATCCGTCGATTCGCCTATTCTTCCTCTCTTCTTCCAGTGGCGATGACTCTTTTCATTTCCAACGGTCACATGATTGCCTCGTTCCTCGGAATCGCTTCTTCAGTTGCCATCCTCCTCGTGTTCACCGTCTTGTCAGTACTAGTCTTTCCATTACCGTCTTGAACAGCACTCTTTTCAGCTTCATTTCGGTGTTCGTTTTCATCGGCGGCAGCCGCGAAGCGCGTGGAGTCAAGTGGTATCAGATCTTCAAAACGGGAGACACCCACTTCACAGGTCCGTTCCTCGTCTTCTTCTTCTTCTTCTTCTTCTTCGTTCCCAATTCTCACGGTGCTCTCTCTTCCAGCTCCTCAACTCGCGTCCTTCGACTCTGCATCTCTTTTCTCTCTCCACGATCGCCTTCTGGATGCCCGGCCGTGTGCCTCTCGGTTCATTGGAACGCTTGTGATCAGTCCGAAGAGCCGATATGTTATCCTGGTTTTGTGCACTGCTTTCATATTCTTCGCCATCTACGGATTCTTCAACACAGGGTAACATTCTCCCTCCACATTCGTTATTTTAAAGTTTTGAATCCAGAATTGACATCAAGGAGGAGTACTTCCTTCCGTCGGGAGCGCCCGAAAAACAATTCATCGAACAGTACAGAGAACAATTCGGAAAGACCACACAGTTTATGGAATTGACCATTGAGAACAGCATTGAATATCATGATCACGATGTTCAGAATACCATTTTTGATCTTCTGGATTATGCAATTGTGAGTCAAATGTTTGAGGTTCCAAAACAAAAAATAAGCATTCAGGAAGAAGGATACGCTTCTCGATCGGTTAACTGGCTCGCAGACTTTGCCAAATTCGAAAAGGCCAGCATTTACGATGTGAACCCGGTCAGTTGACGTTTTCAAAGATGAAGAGACCATGAATTCCCTTGCAGGACACTTTCGTTCCCGTTGTGAACCTCGTGTTCCTGCCGTCCGAAACCTACAGAAAGTATGCGTCGGACATCATCATGGATCGTTTCCAGACTCAAATTGTCAAGTCTAGAATGTATTTAGAACTGACCGACAAGGGATTCGCTCAGAGGTTGGTCTCAAAGTCAGTTGCCTAGAGACTCATTGTCCTCTTCAGAACTTCCTTCGTGGACACACTTCTGAAGAGAGCAGCTGCGAAGGGCATTCCTCTCTCCGTCGACGTCCCGTCTTCTATGTCCCTCCGCCACGACATCAGCGTTTTCTTCTCCGGAATGATCGCATTCGGCGTCGCCCTCGTGATGCTCTTCTGCGTTTCGCTCCTTCTGCTCGGCCAGCCAGCTCTCACGATGATGCTCCTGTTCACTTCCATCGCGGTGCTCGGGGAAACGATCGGATACGCCTACTACCTGTCAGTCCCAATGAACATCATCACAATGACCATGGCCCTCGCTGGAAATGCTCTCACTTGCGTCATTGTCATCGCTTTTTGCTACAGTTATTCCATGTCCGGAAAGTCTCAGATCCGCGCCGGAGTCCGTATTCAATACACTTTCCAGGTAAGATACTTCTTTTGTTCTTTTTTAATTTCCCACTGAAACGCTTCCAGGCCACCCTCTACCCAGTCGTTTTCGCGTGTGTCGTTCCCGTGATCACATTCACTCCGATGCTTTTCATGGATGTTCCTGTTGTCTGGCATCTGTTCAAGATCATCGTCATCAACGCCACCGCCTCCCTCATTCATTACCTCTTCTTCCTGCCCAAGTACGTCATCTCTTCCCGTCTTCCCATTCAATTATGCTCCCTTTCAGTATGATGCTCGCTTGTTCCGAACGTTTCGGTTTCAATTGCACTTCGTTGAACTGCGCCGAATTGTGCTGTGACATGGACGACGAGTCCTCCATCTACTACATTCCAACTGGAGGCCGTGCCATCCACCCAGAGGGTCTTTACCACCATCCCTCGTACACTTACACGGTACCGAAGCCTCTGATGAGTGCGGCGCCACCGCATTACCTGGCCATCGCCGCACCGCCCGGCAACTCAATCTACGGACAACAGGCCGATTACGCCTCCCGCGCAGAGCTGAAACGGGAGTCGCGACGCCATCGGAGACACAGCGAATCGTCGGTCGGAGAAAACGACGAAGCTCCGAAGAGAGACAGAGAATCGAGGAGACGCAGACAAAGACGAGCGGTCAGCAGAGACAGCGAGATTTACGAGGATCTTCAGACTCCGGTGAATTCCTTTCCCTCCTCAGAACCCAGTTCATCCGGCCCTTTCAGCGCGTCGTCACCTCTTCATCCCGCTCGAATTCTCCCCGTCGTCAGCAGCCAGGAAGCATGCGCCGTGTGAATCATTCGAGTGCGGCGGCCAATTTACGTCCACAGGCATTCCACTACGACGAAGGAGCGCAGTGGAGACCGTACGTGCAGCCGTCCCCGTACATGTTCTACGGAGGACCCGTTTACGGACAACAGAGACGATAACTCTTGTTTTTCTTTCAAAAACTTCATGCTCAGGGATCCATCCAGTTTCTTTTCCTTTTTCATTTCTTTCCTTACATTTGCCGTGACAAGTCAGCCATCTAGCTCCTTACTCTCCTGCCAAGTTCTTTCTTCCTATTCAAAGGTGCTATTATCACATTTTAATTTATTGAACGATTTCTAGTGATATGATGACTACATAGAAGAAAAGCGAATAAATATATTTTTGAAAAGATAATACACACAAATCACCCAAGTATTTCAGTCAGTTAGTAGAATTAGATAATATTACAATTACAAAGAAGTGTCAAACCGTTCTACAATCCCGTTAGCAACAGTATCCCTCCTCCTCCAGATTCGCAGCTTCGTTAGCCTTCAGAATCAGCCGTTCTTGCTCTTTTTGATGACGTTCATCGTGAGATTGCACGTGCATTGGCTTGCTTTGTTGTAGTTTGTGAAGAAGAGTCAGGAAGATCGATTCCACGTGATCCGCTTCCGATGCCGATTTTGCAGACGTCTCGAACAACGCCATGTTGTTGCGATCGGCGAACATCTGTGCCTCGTCCGTGGAAACTCTGTTCGTACTTTCCACGTCGCACTTGTTGCCGATAAGAATGCGTGGCACCTGTAGGAACAGCAAATTCAAAAACAGATTAACAAAATGCAATCTCAACCTCGCTGTCTCCGACAAGTCCGTGCTTCTCGCATTCCTTTATCCACAATGACAGATCGTTGAAGGATTCTCTGCTGGAAAAAGGAAGATTCCCGAATTCTAACGGCAGCGTACCATGTCACATCGTAAACGAACACGACGGCGTTCACATTCCGATAGTAATGAGCCACAATCGACTGTCGGTAACGCTCTTGTCCCGCAGTGTCCCACAATTGCACTCTTAGTAATTCGTTTTCGATGACACAACTTCGCTCTCTGAAGTCCACTCCTATCGTTGCTTCTGTGTGCTCCGGAAACCGTCCACAACAGAAACGGAAGGAGAGACACGTCTTTCCGACTGCAGCATTTCCCACTATGATCACCTAAAAATTGGAAATTTGAAGAAAGTCAAAGAAAACATCCACCTTGAAAGTCCGTTTCTGCTTGTAGTTTTTGGTGGTCGATGGAGCAAGAGCCATTCTCTTTGGGGCAGATGGTGGCGCGGCAGAGGGCTGTGGCGCAGGTGTAGGAGCAGGAACAGCTGCCGGCGGAGCAGAGGACGGGTACGGTACACGAACTGGAGTGGAAGCGATTGGAGCTGGTGCAGGATGATCTGGAGAGGTGACTGCCAATTCGTCTGGATGAGTAGCAGTCACTTGTCTCGGTGGATCGATGACTGTTGCATACGTGGAAAACTGGTGGGTCGGGATGTTAATGTGTTGCTCTGCCATCTGAAATAATGATAAGTGAATAAGAAAAAAATATTGGAATGGAAAAGGTACTTTAGTATGTTCAAGACATTTTAGTAGAGAACGAAAGGGAACTGAAGTATTGATCGTCTTGTATAAGTTCATTCATGACACGTTATTAGGAGCCAGTAATACATAAATAAATGATAATGCAAAATAATAGAACGGAGTTAGCGACGTTTTGTTCCGTAGGGTGGCCACAATGCCCCATCGATATGCAGTTTGTCGAAGGCTTTTATAATATGTTCCGGTTTGATCGGATTGCCTTCCTTATTTTGGGCTTCACGAATATCACATGCCGTCTCGACAATATCGCCCACGAACATCTGATAAAGATAACGCTCTAAAAATAAATTCAACGCATTCTTACCTTGGCCAATGTACGAATCGCCAAGACGACTGATTCCGAAGGCGTACTACCAGTAGCCTTAGTGATGAGCCTTCTGATTTCATTTTTGTTGAAATTCGATCTGGAGACAATAATTCAGTTAAAATTACGTGTCGAGTTCGCTCACCTTCTGTAAACTTCAAAGCGCGCGAGTTGTTCTTTGTTAAAGTTGCCTAATACGACCATATTTCTGAGTTGGACGTCCGATTGGATACTTTTAATCAATATGTTTTGTGCCATTAAACCTTCTGTTTTCAACTGATTGCCGAGAGTATTCATGTTGTTTCGGGAAATGGATGATGAGCACGCGATCGGAGATGACATCGGATCGCTTTGAGTGGACGAATTCGACTGGACATTAATTGGCGATTGTCGGCATTGCAGAGGATTATTTAATTCGTCGTATTCTTGCGATTCTTGGCATTCATATTCGTCCGAAAGCTGCATCGGGCTGGAATCGGAATCTCCACCGGAGGATCTTTCGAGGGCACACATTGCGCGATGGAAATCGGCATTTTTTCGACGCTTAGGAGTTTCCAATAATTGATAACAAGCGGAGCCCTGTAAATAAGAAATATGACGATAGGAAATGAGAATCTGGAAAACCTTCCGTTTGAGAAGATTTACTTGGCTCTGACTGGGAGCATCAAAGTCGATACTGTCTGAATCCTCGTCTCCCGATAAAGAGAAAACAACCTGATAAACATGCGTTGAATCTCACAGTCTCGAAGCTGAAACCTTTGCCCGCTTTTCCGGCTGAGACGATTCGATTTCCATCGTCATATGGTTGTCTCTAATATGTAGTTGCTCTTCCAATTCTTGCTGATCCATCTCATCTTCCTCATCATTTTCCTCGCTGCTGCTGCTGCTGAGTGGATAAAGTCTCGAGCAGACTTCACTTAAAGTCTGTTACCTCATCGCCAAATCCAGTCGCGCTCGTGTTGGCTTCACATCATCGATTTGTTCTTCATCGCTATCGCTGTCACTGAGTCTACCGAACAGATCTTCCTGCCCATTTTTCATTGACATTGTTTACTGGAACACTTTTCTTTCTTTTTCAAGATAAAGCAATCACCAACTTAGTAGGAAAAACTGAAGAAAATATCGTTCCAATTTAGGAACACGTCATGAAGCTGTCGGATTCTAGTCCATGGCCTAAAAAACCCCGGCTGTGTACTCCTTCCGGAAAATCTCATTTTCCTTTGTTTTTCTTTCTGTTTTGTTATTCTATTATTTAGTTATATTTATTTTTGCGATTTACCAGCAAAATAATGTTTAGATGAGCACCACCATCCCAATCACAATCGATTTTTCTGGAGGCGCAGAGTTCCTCGTCAAAGAAAAAAGCCAAAAAGTTCAAATACCAGCAGGTCAGTTTGAGCGATTCAATTTCAAGGTAAAAATGTAAATACAAAATGCCGAAGAGTTACAAATTCAAAACGCATTGCTTCGGTTACTTCTGATAAGTGGAATATCTAACAATTCCAGAATCGACTCTTCGAGACGTCCTCAAATTCGTTCGGGATAACCTCGTCACCGATGTTCACAGGATAAACATGCTTTTGAACGAGGATGCCAGCGAGGTGGCTCACGGTAAGTCAGCGTTTTTTTTCCCATTTCATTGTCGGTCTCTCCAGGAGTCATCACTCTCATCAACGAGACAGACACAGGATTGCTGTCCGAATACGATACAGTCATCGAAGCAGGCGACACTGTGACCTTCGTTTCAACCCTTCACGGTGGATAATTTATCCGGTTCTTTTTTTGCTTTGCATGAACAAACTTTCTCAAATGAATTTATTGAGCAATAAGGCATCTGTGCATCATCTAAGAATCCGTAATAAACCAATCCAAAAGGCATTTGAAAGAGATATTCATGGGATGAGATTAGTTGAGTTCTGGAGCCTCGCAACGATCGCCCTCGTGCTCACTGATGTACGGCAAGCGCTTCGATTTGTAGAGAAGCATGAGCCAGAAGATGACATTGAACATGATGAACTGAAAAAAAATGAGATGAGATGAAACGGGAGGATAAGTACCACAAGCGGAAAAGCGGCACGACTGACGATGTCGATGTGGCTGTGACGGACACAGAATCGACTCGGCTGTTTGATGACGGCAATGATGGAAGTGGGCGCCGCGTTGCACGTGCATTCTGCGAGCCGGACGTCTGAAATTAGAATTTGCAGTAGAGCGTCCCCTTTGTCTGTGTCGAAGTCAGTACCATGAATGATATCAGGAGTGGGCGGAGCCGGTTTGTGCTCCATTTTCTTCTCTCTTCGACGACGGTCCTCGTTCTTTTTCTTTGAATACGCAACACATGCGTATTCGATCAAAGCGAGGATGACGAGAATATAACAGAATCCGAGGAAGACGTCAACTGCTTTGACGTAGGCGACCGGCGGCAGACGACGATTTGTGCCGGTCATCAGATGCGTCTCAGTGAGCACCGTCATTGTGCCGATGAGAGTTCGAGAGGGCGCTGAGTCACGATTAATCCAGAATGAGATCTAGAAGAGGGCGATTTGTAATGAATGACGACGCAGACGAACGTACCCATGAAAGAACAACGACAAGACTGGCGGGAAAGAATATCTGGAGGAAGTAGAAGCCACTGTCGCGGTCAAATATGAAACTGACCCGTAGACGAGAGTAGGTCCCTGAAACCAAAAGATTATTTTTCCGAACTCTTTTTATAGGCCATTCAGAAGGACTAACGGGAAACGGGTAATCATTCGGCGCCAGCCTTTATGACCTGTTGCCTCGTTACGAGAGCAACGGGCCACAGAATGATCACCTTCCTGCGCCGATTGACTCACCCGATGAAGTGCTGGCAAGTGTCCGTTTCTGACAAATTTTGGTAAACTGGTAGCTCGACAGTTCGATGTTCTCGTCGGCTTTGACTGCGGTCGCACAGTTCGGCTCCTTCGAAGTACACCAGTTGTACTCGATTTCGGCCGTCGAGTACGCATCTGAACGTGCTCGGGTTGATTGGTCGGAACTTCTTGAGGACTACGAGAAGCATCTTTCCACTACGAACGGACACAGCTGACTGGCTAATTTCGTGAGCGAAAGGAAAAGAAAGACATCCTCTGAGACGCAACTAGGGCACACACCGGACTATTTTACAGAAGAGGGAAAGAGTTATGTACAGAAAAGGAATAAACGAGGGGGACGATTGTGTTGTTGATGATGATGAGGGGGAGGGGAAAAAGATGAACGCATGCGGAAGAGGATCACAAGGCACTGGATGATGTGGAAGAAGAAGACGTCGGAGGAGAGCATCTGGAACGGTTGTTGAGAGCACTGCAAACATGCACCGAGAACCGGGCACCGAGAAGCCGATTGCACTGGGGAGGAACAACGAGAAAGGCGAGAAAGAGTGAGAAAGTGAAATGTGGAGGAATGACTGGAGGAGAGTTATCACCAGTGGATGTGCTGCCACTTGTCGTTCTCCTGGATCTTGTCCGACGAATTCAGACTCAGATATTTCATGTACAACCAGTAGATTACTGAAAATGGAATGAATGGAAAGAGGGAATGGATAGCAACGGACTGTTGAAGACGGAGAAGGAGAGCGGGAAGCAGTACCGGCTCAGCTTGTCTATTTTGGCCGGCGTCCACCGTTGGCAGCAAGTCTTCGATGCCTGTCAACAAACTCAGTTCAGATATACTTTCTCGTCACTGACTTTTTTAGGTCGAGCAAACGGAGCTGGCCAAAGAGTGTGCGCTCCATCGGTGACCAGTCTCGGATGCTGCATCATCGGGATCGTCCGACAGTCGCAATTCTCCGGAATTTCCATTAGCGGATTCTGGAATCAGATGCGCTTTTCTTTTCCGCGCCAGTGCATTTCTCTTCCAACTCACCATTGAAGAATTGTGTCCGGCAAAGTAGAGATCAGCCTGAAAAATGAGGCAAATTGAGACGGAACATCCCTTTCATTACAGAATTCTTCTAGCCGTCTACTGTGGGACTACACACTCTGTGCTGGAAAGCGGAGCACTCTCTCACGCTCGCGGGCTTTCAGCCAGTGCTCTCAGCACGACACGACATTTACAAGGCACGGGTGGGGTGCGCCTGCGGGACAAGCTCGCTAGTACCTGCACGTAGCTCTTGGCCGGTGTCGAGTTTTGAGACATTAGTGTCATTTCGTATGACTATAAAATGGCGAATGGATTCTGTGAACGAAGAGGGACACGCTCGGCAGAAGACTCACGTTGTTATTCGCCGTTTTCGGGCTCGCATTGAACATCGGCATCTCGTTCCGTTGCTGTTGCTCAGCGGCTTTCCTTCGTTTTTCGCGACGGAGCACGAGCCGTTTGTTCATGTAACTCACGATGGCGTACTCCAGAAGCGATGCGAACACCATGACAAAACTGAAAGAGAGAGATGATTGAAAAGGGAGAAGGAAGGAAGAAAGAGATCACCAGAAGTTGAGGAACACATCCAATCCTTTCACATAAGACACTTTCGGCATCGAGTTGTTGGTCGTTGTGATGAGAGTTGTCATTGTGAGCACAGTGGTGACTCCAAGACCGACACGCGCTGGAGAAGCTTCTCGATTGAGCCAGAAGGAGACCCAGGAAATAGTGACGATCAGAATGGAGGGGATGACGATGTTCATGGTGTAGAATCCCATGTTGCGGACTAGGATGACTTCGAGTGCCAGACGAACGTACTTTCCTGAAACTCCAGAGTTCATCTGTATTTGGAAGACGCTGGAGTCACCTGAAGACGTTTCCGCTTTGGTTGTGTTCACAAAGTAAAGCGTGGGCTGGAACTGCGGCAACTGGAAAGTGTCGAACTTGACAGCGGTGGTCTCCTGGTCGGTGCGCTTCTTGCCCCAATAGTAGTCGATATCTTTTGTCTGGTACCCGTCTGCAAATCGGTTCTTTCTCAGAACTCCTCGTTTCCTCTACAGAATGATGAGTCTAAGTGGGTTAGGCCGCCATAGAGAGATTCAGATATGCAAAGATAAAAGTGGTGGTGTGATACAATGAAACGAGAACTTTTGGAACTGGAACAAGGGAAAAGTGAACGTGAGTCAGAGGATTTGGCTATTCCGCTGCTGCTCTTCGAGCTGGCTCAGACGAATGAAGTAGGCCCAGTAGCCAACATTGAAAAGAACGAAAATCTGAAAAGAGACGGACGGTACGAATGGAACACAGTGCTCTGGTTACGGAAGGGAACAAGGAACGCGAGTACTTGTCGATGTTCGACGGCCGCAGCCATCTCCAGAACCGCCCAAAGTCGTCCTCAGGAATGACGGCGGCTGAAATAGAATGGGAGATATTCTCGGAATATTCGAAGCATTCGTACTTTGATACAAATAGACAGAAGCTTGCGAATTGCTCCGTCCGAGCATCGGGGTCAGCTCGTTGGGCACTGCATCTTCATTCTGAAAGCATGCGGTTAGTGGAGCAGTTAGTGCGGTGCGTACTGCAAATATCATAGTGCGTTGTGCTTCAGGGATGTAGAGGTTGGAGGTTCGGTCTGTGGAAGAGTAGAACGGACGATAGGTGGTATTGTTGAAGTAGGAAGGCACGGAAAGTGTCCGTTTGGGAGGAGGTTCCAGTTGGGGCAGTGGAGTGAGCATTCTGAAAAGAGACCCAAAGAGTTAAGAATACGCGAAGAGAGATACCTGGACTCCTTCCTCGCTCTCACCAACTTCATTCGTTTGCTAATGTACCCGACGGCAGCATACTCCAAAAGAGAACAGAAAACCATCATGAAACAGACACCTGAAAAGCCCTCAGTTCATCAAAGTTTCCTTCGCTTCTCCGTCTACCGTCCCACTACTGTTTCTCGTTAGTCGGTCCCTTCACCACTTTAGTCATTAAGTTTTATGTCGGCGCTGTGGTGACATGTGCGTTTTTAGTTGGCAACAAATCCCAGCACATGTCATCGACAGCGCCGAAAATCTGCGTTTTCTCGCCGCTCATCCCTCCCCGTCGTCTTCCAATTTGACGTAATATTTGCCGGCAATTTGCCAGTCAATAGATTGATGACAAGTGTCTGCGCCTCCGGCTAACAGGCTCTTTCTCTTTTTCTCGAGCCCGTCCGGGAGTGACTGGAAGACGCAGAGGATGTGAAACAAGTGTGTAAGGGCCCCCACGCTCATTGGCGGGTGATGAAACGGCCGGAAAAACGGGAGCGGGCGGGAGAGATGGATCTACGATGGATTGCAACAATTTGTCGCTGGGGGCATATCAGATTGGACTATGATGAGACCCACGCAAACGAGGTGCGAAGTGATAATGACGAGGGATCGGAGATCAGACTCACCCAGAAAGATGTCGATACTCTTCACGTAGGACACTTTTGGCATTGAGCTCTGAAAAAGGAATGGTTTCTCGTGAATTGGGAGGTGCAGGCAGTACATTCGTCATGGTCATTAGGGTGGTCATTGTGAGCACAGTGGTCACTCCGAGCGCAACTCGAGCCGGCGTCGCATCCCGACTCAGCCAAAAGGACACCCACGAAATGACGACGATCAGAACGGAGGGCAGGTAAATCTGGATGATGTAGAAGCCGATGTTCCGTTTGAAAAGGAAGAACCAGCAGAGACGGGAGTACTCTCCTGCAACCCGTTCTTCTTCTTCTCCTCCCACTTCTTCTTCTTTCTCACCTGAACTCAGCTTCTGCGTTTGGTTGATCACTTTGATGGACTGTAGCACGAACTGCGGCAGCTCGTACGATTCAGTCGACACGGACTTCTTTTCATGCGACACGTACACAATGTCGAGGATACTGTAGCCGTCTGAAACCACGCAAAGCAACACGTCACCCACCACAAAAGAGTCGGTTCAAGTATCGCAAGCTCTCATTGCTGCGCCCTTTCAGACGCTGTTAGTTGTGAGTGACACGTGGCAGGCATTGGGTTAGGAGAATATGTCATGAACAGAGTAACGATAGGGTTACGATAAGGGTTACGCGAACGGTTGGCTGCGAACGGTTAGGAGCTGCGTCCAGTTGAGATGCAAACATTTCGGCGCTACGACAGAATAGAATTCGCACGGAAAAGAACTGTTACGATTTGGGACTCGCCGATGTATTTTAACGTTGCGAGTTCCAAATCGTAACAGTTCTATTCCGTGCGAGTTCTATTCCGTTGTAGCGCCAACATTTCAAGTTAATTGGAGCGCAGTTGCATTTCCCTCGTACAATTAGTACACGAACTTTGGTTAGTTTGGCATGAACGGAAAAGTGCAAGCAACGGAATGAAATGAATAATCAGAACGTAATCGTGCAAGACCGAAAATGAACCAACCTGAGTTTTCGCGGACGTATTCGTTTTCTCGAACATTTTTGGGTTTCAGAATGAAATTACAATCGAAGGGGTCAAGCAACGATGAGAGGAAGAGACAATAGAAAGGGAAGAGATGGATGGATGGATGGACAGAACGAGACCTCTTTATTTGACAATCGGAGATTCAGATTGAGAAGAAAAGATATTGAAAGAATGTGCAATCGACCCTGGATTCTCTGGCTACAAACGGCACGCCTACCCCACGACTAGGTTGAAAACACACTCGGGATTGGTGTCGGAACACCGTCACTTACAGCTCTCGATTTCCAGTTTGCAGTGCTGCGAGTCCATCGGAAACAGCTTCAGATCCATCGGACATGTTGCGGTGACCGTCAATCTGAACAATGGTATTTCAGATTCGTATTCCAGACGTCGTCCACGGGTTCATCACCCACTTTTTCTCCCTTCTAAGCCCTTTTGGGCACTACTCTTCTCGTAAAACCGAGTAAAAATGAAACATCATCTAATCCCAGTGGCCCTTTTCGTTTTTACTGCCGTACCGCTCCTTCGATGGGTGGTATTAGGACGCTATCTGATTGAGCACATAGCTTACTGCTCTCTGTCTATCTCTCTTCCTCTCAAGTTCCCTGTTTTTCACCTCTGACTTGTGTAGACCGTTCCGTCGCTGTCAATTCGCAGGAAAGAGTTGTGAGTGGTTGCCAAATGGAAAAACGATTTCTTCTCGTTCGGAAAGAACGTGTCCGGCTTCCACAGCTTCTCCAGATAATCGACGCCTACTGTCAGCGAGTCAATCTCTTTCGAGAGACCCAAATCGAGAGTTCCGAATGCGAGACGGGGATCTTGCCACGTCTGCCGCATATAGAAATCTAACGTGAAGTCCTGAAACCAGCAAGAATGAGAGTCTAACGCGGGACAGATTTGCCTACCATATCCACTTCGGATACTGCAGAAATGGAAGACACGTGTATCGTAATGCCTACGTCGACGGGCTTCTCTCCGTACCTGCAACCGCGTTCTTTGTTCCAGTTCCCTTCGCTCCCTCTTCCAGTTACCTCGGTCGTAACCGCTTGTCATACGTGGTCCTATTGGTTAGTCGGTCGAGAACTGATGAGAGGAGTGCCGTGTTGATGTGCGACTCCCTGCAAAAGAGAGATGGAGAGTGCACGTTTGCACTGAACCGCAGCAGAAACAGCCTTCTGGGGGTCCAAATCCAATTGCGACCGCCACCCCGAAATTCGGAAGAAGAGGTGTGACGAAACGAACATGAAATTGACATTTCTCGCGCAAAAATTGGATTTGATGACGATCGCAACTGGTAATGGATTCCCTCCGGAAGAGATGTTCTCTTTCTGAGGACAAACTCAATTGAGAATCGAAAACTTTCTGAAGAGCTCCATTTGGAACTTGGCGAAATTCGTTTTTTTTTTAAGTTTGTCCTGTTGCGAGAGGAAAGAAGAAAAGTTTCAAAAAGCGCAAAAGCGTCAAAAGTAGTTCGTCAAACTTACTCATCCTGACAGAGGACGACGTGAAAACACAGTTGGGCCGAAAGTAGAACGACGAAAATGAACGGTCGTGACATCGGAAAAGGAAGCGCTCGTCAGCTTCGGCAGCAGATCATAATCCGATTCGATTGGGCAGAGAATGGGAAGGCTTTCTCTCCTATCAGTCTCTGAGAGAGTGGAAGGATCCGCCGGCAGCGACAGCGGAGAGGAAGAGACGGGTGGGGCCGGCGAGATGTAAAACACGCAAAAGTTGAGCCAACACGGGAGGAGAACACGACGATGGTGGTGACGGAGGCGACGGCGATCGAGACGACGAGAGCACGCGCCGGGCACGGAGGAGCAGAGTGCCCAACTGTTCCGAGCGGCAGGCGCAGGCGACACGGGTAACGGATCGGCAGGGACACAACCTGAGACGACCCTCTGGAAGCGATTGATAACGAAGAGATAGGGTTGGTCAGTCAGAAGGATCCGAAAGGAAGAGCGGCGAGAGACCAAGCACGTCATCGGAAAGAAAGGGCGGGGCACGAGGTGGATCGGGAGCGATGGGGAAGGGGAAGAGCACTATTACAGGGGAACATGTGTGATTGTCAGAGGCGTCAGATCTCTGACATCTCTCAACCAATGTGTACAATTTAATGATTAGAAATAAGAACTGGAGTGGATGCCTTCAAATATATTATGTCAAAGTTATGAAACAGAGCTGCCACCTGTCGGGCCCGGCTTCTCCGTTTCTTCCAATCAAGCAGTCCGTTTCTTCTGAATTCCGCCGCGTCTCGTTTTCATTCTCATCCCGCTCTGACTTCGGACACGACACCTGTATCGGATTTCTGAGAAGGACGATAGCCGCGAAAAGTGACATCCGATACAGAATGCATCTCGTGGAGCTGTGCGCCGCGGCTCATGCTAACACGCGGGAGGGGAAGAGACGGAAAACACTCTGCGGGCGTCGTCGGGCGACAGACGACTCATTATTAATCAATAAAAAAGTGATAAAATGGCACGAAAGAATCAGTTGTCACCCAGAAAAACGGAGCGCTTTTTCAAAATGAGAATAGATGGAAAGAGGTAGCTGCGGCGAAGGGGAGAACGAATAAAAGATCAAGCGAAAGACGATGGGGAAGAAGAGCATCTGGAGTTCATTTAGAAGGGCGGCTGTCAACGATCCGAGCCGCGACGGATGACCAACTTTAATTGTTTCGGGTCACTAGATTCAGGCGCCTTCAGATCAACCGAAGTATTTAAAAAATGAATGCAAGAAGAGGGAGGAGAATTGGCAAACTTACCTTCTGCTGGTGGAGGTGGCACTGCCTCAGGAGAGGCCACAAACCACCGTAATCGGCATCTGTATCCTCTCAAATCTGTTTTCTGCTCACTGGAAGACTCTCGCGGAGGGCTCCTGACTCTAATTTCCGGCGGATCTCATCTCCGATTCATCCGAAACATTCTTGGTGTGCAACCGCATCCAACAAACACACGATTACAATGAATAATCACAATAAATTACGCGACTAATACCAATACCAATAATAAAGAAGAATAGGAAGTTAAATATTCTTCGGTTATAAATAAGGGTTTTTGATGTGTAGGAAGAAGAATAGAAATTATTGAACAGGGAAGAGACGAGAAAAGAATTGAAAAGGAGTAGGGCCAAGAAAAAGTGAACAGGGAAAAGGCGGGGCTTCGGGAGCCGATGATGATGGCTCCGCCCACAAAGGGCTTGCAGAAGAAAAATCGGAATGGAAGACCAGTAGGATTCGAATGAAGCCGAGATGAAGTTTAATCCGAAGCGCGTCCAAGTCGAGTGAGCTGAAAAACGTGCATAATTATTCAAATTGTCAAGAAATTCTCGAGCACTGGGGAATAGCCAACTGAGGCATGTTCTTTGTTCGGAGGCGACAACTCAAAAACATTACTGGAAAGAATAAAAGAGAAGGAAGAAGAAGAAGCTGGAGTGGGTTGGTGGATGCTAAAAAAGGAATGGACACCCTTTACGAATGTGTGATGAGAGGCGACGAAGCAGAATCACAGACGGATGGGTACAGACGTGGAGGGCAATCGGAAGACTCCCGTCAAAAAATATTTATTCGACAATAACTAAACATCAGAGCACAAAGATGGAGTTTGAACTCTTCCCGAAAAGGAAATGACCCGAAATGTAGATGGTGGATGGTTTTTGAAATGTTTAAAGCATAACCGCTTTTTCCAGCCGAGCGGCTCGCACTTCCGCATTCGAATAGTCAGCACTCTTCACAAGAAGACTTCTTCACCAAAAAAAGACGGAGAAGAAGAGACCATCTCGAGGCGAGCGTACTTCATAAGCACCAGGTCCGTCGAAGAAGAAAACTAGGCGAAAAGCAGGCAAAGACGAATAAGAAGAAGCTCAACGAGTGAAGGAGGAGAGGAAGAAGAAGAAGAAGAAGAAGATGGGCACAACCGGGCGGGTGAGGCGAAGGACAGATTGTGCAAGTGTATGTGGCCCGGCGGCGAGCAATGCTCCGCACTGAGCGATTCAGGCACTACGACGATGATGAGTAAAGTGGAATAAACTCTGCGAAGGAAAATAGGCAAACAACCGAAAGGGAAGCACGTGCTTCTTGTTTCCTGTCTGACTCTTGAACTACGGTAGCCGACCACGCTTTCACTCTTACCCACGCTCTTCCACTATCACTTGCCAGCAAAGAACCACAGTTCAAACCACTCGAGAAGCACCTCTCCTGGAGATTTGGAATCCGAAAACAGCAGGCACCGCAGAATGGTTTCTCTGAATAGACTAAAGCCGTCATGTTCCCAGCGATTTGCCCTGCGGCGGTGCTTCACAACTCTCGTTCACGAGTCATTAAATTTTTGAGTTGAGCTGACTGCTGCCAGAACACGAAGTCGTTGCCACGTCTCCTTGAATCGGCGGCAAAACGAATCGACGTGCGGCTGTCATAGATCGGAAGAGACGTATCCGAAATGACGTGCGATGTCATTAGACATCTCGTTGTTGCTGTCTTCGCCGCGGAAGAATCACGCGAAAAAAACGATAGTGCGCATGAAAATTGGTCCCTCCGATCTACTCTTGAATGATCTCTAAGATTTTTTGGTGGTTCGGAAATGAATTGGTGACGCGCGTTGGCATCACGCGAATCCCAATTACCGGAGGGGGAGCAAAGCTCCCGTTGCACTCACAATATTGGAATGGACCGGCAGAACAAGGACATCGAGGTCCATAAAACGACAAGGTTCCATCGTGTTGGAAGAGTCCGTGCAAATCCTAATCGACTAATCTGCCAAATGCATTTTCGCGCCCCTTTCCTTTTTGTGGATCTCTGGAGAGGCAAGCGAGAGCGGCGAATATGCAAATGTCAGCGCCTTGTTTAATTGTATGTGTGTTGATCAGATCGACTCCAACAAGGAAGCGGATTACGAGTAGCAGAACTGACTTCTTCCGAAAATTCTCATTACATGTAATTGTCGAAAGAATCTCCAAAAATCAACAAACAGAATTGGCTCATCAAGACTATCGTTCTGCTTTGTTTTCCGCCATTTTTTTCCAGTCAAATCAGTAATCAAGCACATCCCAATCTCATTCGTTTGTTGCTCCCCCCGTGTCTAACTAATAAAAACAATTTCAGAGCGGCAATAGTAGTCGTGAGATGGGCGGCCGCGACCGCGGCGGGAGACAATGAGCATCACGTGATAAGCACGGAGGAAGGTCTTCTCGAGTGGTCCATCTCCGACTATTTTTCGAGTTTTTCTCTTCTCTCTTACTCAGCGCCGTCCGCCTATTCTTCAAACAAAGTACGAAGAAGTAGAAAACGGAGAAGTGTCTCTTCTTCTTTTTCTTCGCGCATCGGACCCAGGGTGGCGGTTTCTTCGGGTCGGGTCGTTCAGAAACTACTTTCCTTCTCCTTCTATCCTTTTTTCCGCCACCGCCACAGAATCCACAAAATCCTTTTCACACTTACAAAGCGCGTCGCCCCGCGGAGAACAAATGAAGAAAGAAAGAAGAAAATGGAAAGAAGATGATGATGACGAGGATGCACGTCATCGGCGGAAGAAGTCGGAAGAAAAGCGGAAGGAAGTGCGGGAGGTCGGAACGCTTCTGCAACTCACTAATTGCACTTGCAGAATACTGTGGAGAGGGTGCCTCGAGCTGGATTCGCAATTATGTCAAAGACCCGTAGTTTACCTTTTCTGACGGCAGAGAGAATGCTCTGACACTGATTTGAAGAGACATAGTAGTCGTGTGGGAGAACTGCCACGTCATAAAATTACATGACATTCAGGGATTTTCTAAGGAAGAAATGAACGGAATTGAAATTCTGGGCGGTCAGACTACCGTAATTATACGGTGATTTCAAAAGTATTGTATCGCTCCTCGCGAACTCTTTCTCGATTGAGAACGTCACGTTCACAAAGGCCTGCGGCATTGGGAACTCACAAAAACTGAATAGATTAATCCGGTTAAAAAAGTGAAAAGGAAGAAAGAAAGATAGAGGAAATGTTGCAGAAACACGGACATACGGACTGGAGGAAATGAATGAACGGGGAGTCAGATGAATGAACGGGGAGTCGGCCAGAAAGTGGAACGAAAAACACTTATCGACGACGAGTAGAGAACAAGCGGGTACTCTCTCTCTCTCTCAAACCGAAGAGAAGCACGGAGCGGTGGCAGTCATTTCCTGCTCATCAATGAATAAAATATTAAACCGAAACGAGTTGGTTAGATCTCATTTTCAGTCCGCCAAATGAGAAAGCGAGAGAACGATGACAGAATCTATTGACGACAGCTTGAAATGACGGTGTTGGAGAAGGCATTGAGAAGAAGTCCATAACCCGAATTGAACGGAAGAACTCGAAGAATGCGGGCCGAGGAGCAGGGTTGTCGGCGACACAAAGACGGATGTGTTTTGTCCGCAAATGTTCGTCATGCTGCTCCTTCCATTCGAGACTCACTGGATTATGGTCGGCGTCCCCAGAGGCGTGGCGCCCACTCTGCCTGCTAACACGTCGTCCGACGCTGATGGATGACGTGTCCGGACGGACATGACACAACGCGGACGGACAGACGGAGAAAGAGGAGCATTGCGAACTACGTCCAACTCTTTGCTCATAAGAACAACAAGCTTATGTGATTTGTTCATTCGCTTCTTTTCTTCCGTCAAAGTTGCTCCAACTGCAGAGGTTGCAGCTGTGTCATCCGCTTCCGGTTTCCGACACCAACGAATCTCAGCGTGTGAAAATTGTTATATTCAACTTAATTGGAGATATGTGCAAAAACATAATTGTTCATCCGCTTGCGTCTCTCAGTTTTGTTGTCGACGTTTTTGTTGAGAAGATCGAAATTGAAGGAAATCATTCTGAAGGCCATCGAATAAAAAGGGTACCATGGAAACTGGCAACCAAATGGTTTCCTTCACGAGTGTTTTTTATGAGATGGCAATTATTGAGAAAATAACTTCTGGTGAATACTTTCTCCGTTTGATGTCTAGTTGGTGCGTTTTCACGTTTGAAAAACAGATGTGGAATGCTTTGGAATCAGGCGACAAATCGGAAGGAATGCTCGTCAACTGTCATCGCTCCGCGTCTCCAGGGAACTCCAGGGCGGACGTCCTTCCGCGCGGGAAAAGGACTCCAACACGAGAGCAAACAAGATATGAAGGGGAAAAGGAAAACGCAACACGGGCCGTTCACCCGACATGAGAGTAGCTCAATTTGATTTGACTTCTGACGAAAACGACATCGTCTCACAAAAAGAGAAGGATTGTTGCTGTTTCGGAGAGGCGGGGCATCCGTCGAACAACCAAACGCGGTCAGAAACAGTGGAAGATGGCTCGTCGGACTATTCTTCCATCTATCAAACTCTAAACGTGGCGAAGCGAAGAGTGTAAACGAGAATGGCCGAGTATTCCACAGAGGGTCAGTCTCAAGGAACGGACTCTGATTCACGGAGGTGTGTCGTGAGGGCAAAAAAGAGCGGAGCGGAGAAAGAAAGGGAGTGAATGGAAGAGGAGGAGTGGAAGGAAGGACGACTTTTATCAACGAGGTCACAGGTCATAGAGTCAATTCAGTTATGGAAATGCTAGTGGGTGACGAGCGAACGGAAGCTCGAATTTGCACAGAAACTATTGGGGCTCAAATAACTTTGAGCTACACGTCACTGCAAAACAGAAGCGTTTTCGAATCAGACAAAGACGAATTACAACGGAATGTTTTCCGAAATTCGAACCGAAAAGAGTCACAAGTCAGGCGGATTGTATGCCGTGTGTTGACGATTCTTGCTCATATTTTGTTCGTCCTGGCGGGCGCAACGCGCTTTTCTAATTCGATTCGCATCGGTTATGGACGAGGCGAAAGAGCACACGAATTCGAATGCAAACTGCATAGAGAAGAGCAGAGAGAGAGAAGACAGAGCAAGTCGAAAATCAAATCAAGCCAGTTCGAAGCCAACAGAAAAAAGGAAGAATCGCGGGGCGCGTCGCGACAACAAGGGCAAAAGGTTTTTTTTTATGAAAAAAGATAGAAAGGGACGAACCTGGTCGCAGAATTGAGTCGGATTTACGAGCTCTGTGCATCCGTAAGTCACTCGCACCAGGTTTTTCCGTTTTCCTGGAATGCGAAAGGTTTGAAAGGGGATGTTAGAAGGAAACTGATACCGTAATCCACGAGGTTTTGATATTCCACGTAGTTTCCACCACCAACAACGAACAGAATGAGGTCTTGAGCAGGCTGCTGACGGGCCATAATAATCGTTCTGAAATGAATCTTTCAATGAAAAAAGAGTCATCTTTTGTAAACACACTCTTTGGTCGGTTGATGCATGAGTTTCGGATCAAAAAAGCAGAAAGTCTCATCGACATCCGGAGCTTGCGAAGACCCTCCGATCATCTGATTGATTCCGACCGCCGACGAGATTCCTGCGGACGAAGGCGGAGTGTTCAGAGCATCGATCATCTTGGTGAGCGGCAAATTGTGCTCCTTCGGCACCAGATTCTTCACTCCTTCCATCACAAACTTCGAACTGTGACTCAGCAGTTTTCCGAACATGCTGATTGTTTTGGTGCCCGCTCCCTGGTGCTCTTCTGTGTGTGCCGAGTTGGCAGCTCGCGATCCCAACTGAGAGATCGACTTCAGCTTCTGTACGTGTTTCAGAGCGGATTCTTCGATTCCTCGTTCTCTCAACAGACTCATCATCTGATCGTAGCTGTTTTGGCTGACAGTCTCTTGGCACAAAAAGGCGATAATGAGGACACGGAGGACGTCTTCTTGATTACTGATATTGCTCAGAAACTGTGTTACGGGCTGATCTGAAAAGATGATGGTAAGCTGGTCACAATTGCGGAAAAATCTTACCAAGCTGCGAATGTTGCAGAAGTTTCTGCTCCAGCTCGAAAAGAACGTCAAGTTTTCTCTCCTTTATGACGTCCAGCAATGTCGTGGCGACGTTTGTGTGGAGATCAATCAGTCGTTTTGCTTCGAGCAACTGAGGGAGACTCGTCACAGTTGATCCCAGTTTGGCAGTTGTGTCCGCAAGAAGCGAGGTCATCGCCTCGTCGGCAGCATCGCTTTCTCCGCTCATTCCCTAAAAAACAGAATGAAGACAGCATATATTTTTTAAGTACCATCGCTTGCTTCAGTCTCTTTATCTCTTCTTCGCTGCTTCTGTAGGCATCCAGATCTTCCTGAACAGCTTCTGCTACAGCCGGGAACGCACTTCCTTTGTGGTTGTTCCACAGTTTATCTGTTCCGCCCGTTCCCATATCGTACTCCTTCTTCTTTCCGCCTGTTGCGCTATTGATTGTAACGCGATTCTGGTCAAGCTCCAGAACATCGTGCATCAATGCTTGATAAGTCCACGTGTGGTGGAGCATCGTAGCCAGATCAGCACCACGATCTCCGATGACGAGAAGGGGGCGAGTCGTCTGAAGCAGGCCCATTCGCACTCCATCCATCGTGAATAAATTGTTGCGAGAATCCCGGAGATTGTCACGCAGCTTCTGATCCAATTTCTGAATACAGACACACTTTATTCTACTTAATTTATAACAATCCCACCTTCGCCACCATTTCTGCAGCATTTCCCTTTGGGCACCTGATTATCGGGACAATTCCCATCGTCGCACAAACAGCGAAAAGGCCGTCGGCAATGGATTCCAGCATCGAATTGACGGCAAGGTCAGTGATTCCAGGTGCATTCATTGCGAAATAGGATAACGAACTGTTCTCATTGTAACGACGGAGAACGAACAGATCGTCTTCCAGTGAAATGAAATTGAGATATTGGTCGACCACCTAGAACGAATGAACTGAGAAATAAATATGAAGGTAAAAAGTTTCTGACCTTCTGAACCTGAGCAACAGCTCCTCCATGGACTGCTGCTGAAGCAAGAGATTCCAGCCGAGGCCGGGCGAGCGGAGAGATAAAGTTGCAGTAGAACGAATCGTACATCGCTTTTTTCAGGTCTTCACTCATCAAGTCAATGTTTTCATCGGTGGGCGAGACGAAGTACACTGCCGGGACATCGGTGAGCGGCTCTCGACGAGCTCCAATGAGACTGGAAAATGATTTTTAAATGCGTTCGAATAGAATTACACCGACGTACAGATGAAGTGTCACTCCGAGATCTCTCAGCTGTTTGACGGGGAGCAACGGCGAAATGATATCCTGTCCAGCTTTGTCGAGAATCAAAATCTTCCAAATCTGCACAAAATCGATACTTTTCTGTATTTTTAAAGTTATATCTACTTACGGGCTCCTTAACCCCTGAATTCACAACCGACTCATTCAGATTGATCATCGTCCGCAAAGCGACTGTAATTTCAGGACTTTTCAGGTGATCAGAATTTCGTAACATACCAATCTGCCTTGTTCGAAGGCTTTCCAGCTCGGCAGGCATGATTCTGGCTGTGAGTAACTTCTGAATTCCTCCGTATATCTTGTTGAACAATCTTATTCCTTCCGTGTAGATTTACGGCCACGTCGGACTCGTCGCCGACCATTGGAGTGTCGTAATGTCGCCCGGTTTAGCAGAAAGCGGCATTTTCAGAATTCGTTGAAGATCAGAAGAAAACAAAAGTAAAAAAGCTTAAAAACACAAGAAGAAGAAAAGTAACTATTTTACAAATTCGAGAATACATTTTCAGAATCCATAGCACATTTATTTAGCTTCCTTTCAGCAAAATCCCTCCAGCTTTCGAAAATGTAGTGAAATTTATGCTGGAGATGCTGCTCTCCGAGCATCCGAAGCTGTTATAGTGAAATTCTGATGGGCGAGGTTTCTGAGAAGCCTCGAGAAGGTAATAGAAGCGTGCTGCAAGCAGTAGAAGTGCGCAGAAGCCAGGGAGAGGACGGCGAAGCGGGCGGATCGCACGCAAATGGCTCCGCTTGCTTCCAGTGGCTGCTCTCCGAGCATCTGAAGCTGTCATAGTGAAATTCTGATGGGCGAGGTTTCTGAGAAGCCTAGAGAAGAAACACGTTGCAAGCAGCAGGAGCGCATAGGTTCATGGCTACCAGCATTTTTCAAATATTGAAGTGAATGTCCTCAACAATGACGCCATTCTGATGGCCGTCACAAGAAATGGCAGTTCAGTTCGTCCGAACTCAGTCTTCTCGAGAACGCCTCCCAGACTTCTAATCTATTCCCAAGCCACCACATCATCTGCACGAAGTTGTTCCGAGTCCCCCGTCTCAGACTGCACGCTGTTTACGTGTCCTTTTTTCATCGTACCCCGTACTCCGATCGACGTCATGCTTGTGCTCCGTCCGCCGTCTGGGCGGTCATAAAAATTTCATATTCATTTTTGGTGATTCGATCGCGCGAGTTTCTGCTGGAGCCGCGTGCTCGGAATGACTCAAATGGCCACACAACAAACGTTCTGCGGTGCTCTCCGGAGCCAGCATTATTCCATTCCGATGACCTCCGTGACTCTGTGGTATTTCGGGCGGCCGTGACGCAGTAGGCAGGCGGTGCTCGAGCGACTAATTCGCAAACGATTGCAGAAGGAGCAAAAGAGAAAGGAGAAAAACGAAGAACTTTGGGATAAATAAAGTTGGTTGCAGTCCGGTGAACACCACTTAATTTGTGCACGACACGAGGCCACATGGGCCGAACCGCATCATAAACTTACGAGCGCACACTTGAAGTACTACTACACATTCTGGAAGGAAAACCACTTTTGAAAAGTGAAAGCCAAAACGCTTCATTTCGAATGATCTCTGCACTTTGTGAGCGTTCTTTGGAGCATTTCTACGACCGGATCAGAATAGAATAAAAGTGATAAATCAAAATTCTAAATGAGTCCTCTCCCATTTTGTTTTTCTCTAATTACGTTATTCCGAATATAAACATGCATAAATCTGAAATGAATCCACGTCAGTCTCCAGAAGCTGCCGACGTCATCCGCCTGGCCCACGAGGTCCATAAAATGGGGCGGGCGTCGTTTGTTTCGACCCCAGATTATTTAAACCCGAACACACTTAGAGTTCGCCGCTTTGTTTTGGCTCCGAGTACAAACATTTCTATACGAATCCGTTCGTTCATTGATTTCTCCAGGGAGCGAAACTGTACTACTCTGTGGGTGTTTTTCTGCGAAAACCATTCCCCTGTCGTTTTCGTATTTCGAATGATGTTTCCCTTATATTTCAGAGTAAAAACGCTGTTTTCTAACAGAACGCCGCATTTCGATCCGATCATCTCCCGAATCCCTTCTTAGACCAAATCTATGGCCACTTCCGTTTTACCTCCAGGAAAACATGATCTTCTCGAAAAGACATCAAAGAGACCAGCGTTACTTTCTACAGGAAGATCCCGCGCTTGCAGCCAATTCCATTTGTCTCCCGCTTCCGTGACGTGGCATTTTTTCTTTCCTTCTGCTTCCGATAGTTCACTTCCGCGTTCCTTTCCTCCCGGCTATTTCGGACTCTTCTCGGTTTGCCTCCTCCGAAATCCGTCGCCGTTGGCGTTTCCCGCCTGACCTCGCAGCACGGATAAGTCGACGTCTTCCGCCCCCTCAAAATCAGTGATAGACGCCAGAAGGCGTCTGGTGCTGTTGATGTCTGCAACCGACATCTTCACCATCTTTTGACCCATTTATTTATACGTCGGCTCGTTTCGTATGCAACCCATTTCCCTAATTTACTTTGTCTTGACTCCATTCTATGTTGTTACTTTCTCTTCTTCTTCTTCATTTCTATTAATTACTTCATTCGCAAACTTTCTGAGAAGAACCTAAGCGTTACGTCATCGCCCGTTAACGTTTGCCTAATAAAAATGAGCTCCGTTCGGCTCCCCCGGCAACGAAACGAACGCGCTTCTGCGTGGATGGTCGATGGAAGATCGTCGTGCTCTTCGGAAGTGACGGAGCAGCTCCGTCCATTCAGATTGCAGCGCGAAGGTCGACACCAGCTCGTAATTCGATGCTTCTTCTCTCACACCCTCCCAAATTTGTTCATTGTTTTTGTGCACGGGATCCTCTTCTCCTCCGTCACAAGGAGCCGTGTAGTTTGCTGCGTGCGTTCTCGCCCCCAGGACACTTACAGTAATCCCGCGTGACTTTTTTCCGGAAAGACCAATTTCGTCCAAATTCCTGCCGACAAGATGCATTGTAGACGTAGATAATTGGCATGTTTGTGGCCGCATGTACAAGGGTCAAGAGTTTAGTGGGCGGAGTTTAGAGGAAGCCGTGCAACTTGAGTACTTTTAAAGATCCAACTCGGCAGGCCTCCAAGCAGCTATTTCCATATTTCCGGTTGTCGACTAACGCGTTTTTTGATCTGTTCTTGTTGAGTGGCAAATCTGCTGAATGGGCAGCATGCAATTGTCATGGAGAGACCCAATACGAACACAATTCCATATCAACTCTACAGCTGAAAGCCTCCGTGCTCTTTCGGTTTTCTACGTGTTTTTTTGCCCTTGGGTCCAATCAGTCTTTTGTCTGGCTTTTGTCTCGTTTCGTTTCCTAATTGACTACCAAATGCCAAGTTCCCACGGTTAAAAGAAACCCGAGCCCCTCTAAACATGTTTTGTGCCCCGTTTCGGACCGATTATTTGGTTGATTGGCACCTGTCGGATGGATTTCAGTTGAGCAGAACCACAGAGCAGAAGATCTATCTCTGGCCCATTCGGGAATGAATGCGAATGCTCCAAAAGAGTACGCTACCGTCTCTTGTCTAAATCTCTTGAGCTCCCAAACTTCGTACCAAATTCAATCTGGCTGTTTCTGCTTCTCAAGTGTCCAAATGACGATCTATGTCTTGTTTTCGACTGACTCATCTCCAAACTTCTTCACGCTCACCGAACTCCTCCGCTCTATCCGCAACGTCAGCAAACTTTGTCAGACGTTTTGTTTTGCGCGTCATCAGATCAAGTTGAGTTTGTCGGTCTCTTAGTAACTGGGCCAATATCAAATCGGCGGCCTTCAATTCTTCCTCTTACTATTTCAGTATTTCTAAAGTTCCCCCGGAAAACCGACCATCTATTCACTCATTCATCTTCACACTCCTCCGACATTAATCTTCGACAGATGACGTAGTTGGTCTGAGAATGAATTGAATGGAGCCGCGAGAACCCGGCCCTTTCGAGAAAAGACCTGAATAGGTGGCGCACGTTTCGGGGAGGGCCGTCCTTCCAATCCCATATAAATACGACGAAACGAGGTACCAATTTTCCCGTTTTCTCCCAATTTCCATTTTTATAGAAAACCCAATAAAGTGAAACGGTAGTAATTATAATAACAGCCCCCGGAACGGCTCTTCCCGTTTTGTTTTCCAGTGTATGTTCTTCTTGCTCCCAGCGCTCCAGCTGTAGGCGTTGTTTTCGATTGGGGTCTGGGGTCATTGGCTATGAAATGGAATGACGGTTCAATTCGAGTGTCTGCCCTTCTTCATTTCAGTTCACGTCATAATAATTATCAGAACTCATTAAACTCTCTCGTTCCCCCTTCCTTTTCCGGTCCCATCTCAAAGTGTTCATGCTCGGCGAGCTGTGTTCTTTTAGTCAAAAAGGCGTCACTTTCACACATTAACAAACCTAATCTCTGATGGTCCCTCTTCTTGTAATCAAATCAATCCATTCCAATTTCAGCCCATTTCCAGGCTCATGCTTCATTCATCAATCCTTTTGTTCCTCAATCTATCACCCTTTCCTTTCTTCTCAATTCTCTCTGCCTCCTCCCCTTCTTGCCAAGTGCTCTTTTAAAGAATGGGCGGAGTCTGCGAGCCCTCCGGTTCTTCTGCTTCTACTGCTCGGAGCAGTCTCAAATTTCGAGACTCCAGCGGTCCTCGCCGGCTCCTTCCACTCGAGTTTGCATACTTGACGGGTTCGCGCCACAAACAGCTGCTCGTGGTCGTCCAGTACTGCCGGTGGGGGTGGTTTTGATCTGCATCAGACTTCCGTTCGGATCCGATTACTTGACTGCTTGACATCCGACCTCTTCGTACTTCTCGCGCGGCATTCAACTGCCATTCTGATTCGTCATCCCGTCATTTCGTTTGCATCCTTTGCATCGTTTCCTGTTTTCGCTTTCTCGATTTCCGGGTTTCAGATGCTGTTGGTTTCGCTGTTCAGCCTGTTCTCCGTGGGTTTCGGAATGCGGATCGCGCGTCGGGATCTCGATGATGTGCCGACGACGTTGCTTCTCGAGCTTGGTCCCCTCGCCGTCGTTCCTTCCGACGACGACTTTCTGCTTCTGCCCGCCGACGTGTCCCGCGACAAACGAGGTGTCGATCCGTTGAGCATCCCTCGACTCATCAAAGAGCCGCCACTGAAGAAGCGGAGTGACTTCAAGCGGGGCGACGTCGTCTATCCTTCGGCCGCCAAGCAGACGGTTCCGTTGGTCCGCGTGCGGGAGCCACCACTCAAGAGAGGACAGTGTAAGTGGAGAGGCAAGAAAGAGACAATATCAGTTGAATGGTTTCAGTGTTCCTCGAAGAGATACTCCAGTTCAATGAGGCCAACCGACAATTTATGAACCCTATGCGGAGGATACGGTATGTTCCAGGTTCCCATCCCAATTCAACTGTATTTCTTTGAAGGTATGGCACGAACCGGCACATCTACTCGTGGTAGAAGAGCATCTCGAACAACAACAGCAAAACAAATTAGTGCACATTTGGGTACCACGCTTTCTTTTCCTTCTGGACTTCCCTGTAACTGAGCTCTCTCTATTCTCCTTCCCCTTCTTTGTCGAGAACAATAAACATGTGGCAGAGTTTGAAATTGTTCTTTTTGAACGTTCAGAATGGCTCGTTGAACATGTCCAAATAGTACAATAGTACAATCGGTCAGAGTGATCAAAGTGCGTTCCCATTCGATCCACTCGGTCCACATCTGTCGCTGGTGTCTGTCCCGTGGACACAACACTTCCATCATTCCTCTCTTTCCCATTTCGTCGTCTTCTCACTTGCAACAAACAGCACGTATCATTATCATAAACCACTTTGGTCTTTCGTCGCTTCGTCTCGTTCTCCTCCTCCTCCAACCCATTTCGTCGCCTCCAAGTTGTCAATTAAGACAGTGTAGGGGAAGCCATCAGAAATAGATGATACGGGTGGATGTTGTAGTCGCCACGAGGTCAGTCGAACCACGTCATTGATAGGGACGACGAGGATGATTACATCTGATGGAAGGGACCCAGTCCCGATAAGACCGGCTAGCGCACTGATTTATGGTGGCAAACAGAAAAAGAAGAAGAAGAAGAAGAAGAAGAAGGAGGAGGCCAAATGATGATGAATCCGAAGATGATCGTTGGGATGGGCAGTATTTGATCATCTCAATTGATTCGGAAGCAACCACCGTAATCCTTCCGAACTTCTCCTTTCAGACGGTCTCTTATCATTGACGTAGCATTTCTGCAGCAGTTAGTCTTCCGATCTTCAAAAATTATTCGCTCTCTATCTCGGCCTCTGCGGTCTGTGTTTCGTCGTCGTGCGCCGCCCCGCTTTCAACGAAACGCTCATAGACCCACGTGCGTTATCAGTCATTCAAGATACTATTGCATCACTATTTTCGGACTGGTCATTGTCACGTGTCAAGAGAGGCTCCGCCCCTTTTGGACAGACACCGACTGTTTTCAGTTTGTCGTCGAATTCGTTGCCGATCCGACCGTCTTCCGAACTATAAAAGGAAACGGTCGGCAGAGATTTGGGCGACGGCGAACGAGGAACTGATCTCTTTTCCTTTTCTTCAACTTCTTGCTTTTCAAATTCTTACTCTTATGTTTGCTTGAACTTTGCTGCTGTTTTTCCGAATGCCCAATTCCAAATTTTTGCAGATTATAAAAATGACCACGTTTGACAAAGGATCGAAGCCAGACATCGGCACGTTCGTCGCCTTCGACCACGTCCGTTTCATTGTCGGAAACGCCAAACAGGTTGCTCCTAGCCTCTACTCATCTCTATTATCGTTTTCTGTTTTCAGGCCGCTTATTGGTACTGTGCCAACTTTGGATTCGAGCCTTTTGCGTACAAGGGACTGGAGACTGGCTCCAGAATTACTGCCCAGCATGCTGTCAGACAGAACCGAATCGTGTTTGTGTTCGAATCGGCTCTTCTGCCAGACAACTCCGAACTGGGCCCTCACTTGGTCCAGCACGGAGACGGAGTGAAGGATGTTTGCTTTGAAGTTGAGGATCTCGATTCGATTGTGGCTCATGCGAAGGCCGCCGGAGCCACTATCATTCGTGAAATAACCGAGGAAAAGGACGAGAACGGTTCAGTCAGATATGCCACTCTCAGAACGGTACGCATTGCACTCATAACCATTCTCACGCCCTCCGTTTCAGTATGGAGAATCCGATCACACTCTTCTGGAGCGCAAGAACTACCGCGGAACATTCCTGCCTGGATTCAAGGCTCATCCGATGCCACGTGACTTCTTCCAGTCTTTGCCACATGTCGGACTGAACTTCCTGGATCATTGCGTCGGAAATCAACCGGATCTGCAGATGAACTCTGCCGTCGAATGGTACGAGAAAGTGCTGCAGTTCCACCGATTCTGGTCTGTCGATGATTCGATGATTCACACCGAATACTCTGCTCTCCGCTCTATTGTCGTCACAAACTTCGAAGAGACTATCAAGGTAAAGCATCATGATCGAATAGGAATACATTGTGTGCAACTTTCAGATGCCGATCAATGAGCCAGCTAATGGAAAGAGAGCGGTCTCTCAGATTCAAGAGTTCGTCGACTATTACGGAGGATCCGGAGTGCAGCACATCGCCCTCAACACCTCGGACATCATCACTGCGATCGAAGCCCTGCGTGCCCGAGGCTGCGAGTTCCTCTCTATCCCCGCCAGTTACTACGACAACCTGAAAAAGAGACTCGCCAGCTCTCCGATCACAGTCAAAGAGGACATGGATCGTCTGCAGAAGCTGCACATTCTCGTTGATTTCGACGAGAACGGATACCTGCTGCAGATCTTCAGCAAGCCGTGTCAAGACCGTCCGACTCTCTTCATCGAGATCATTCAGAGACAGAACCATCAAGGATTCGGAGCAGGAAACTTCAAAGCTCTGTTCGAGTCGATCGAGTTGGAGCAGACAAAGAGAGGAAACTTATACTATGAAAATGTTAAAGAAGGAAACAAGCAATAAACGAGCTACGATCAGAAATAACCAATAACCAACCCAAAAGTGAATTCTATGTGCCATGAGATTGTACCTAAAAAAAGAATGTGCTCGAAGAAGCCATCCGTTCTTCCCCTCATAAAAATCATTTATTTTCTTAGATCTAGATGAAGTAACAAGAAATGAAGCTTTGATGACAATAATATTTATTGTGTTACGATTTGTGAAACCATTACATTATCCGTTCTAAAGGAAGTCTTATTTTGTGCAGTATCGCTCATCTCCCGGGCAGATTACATGCCGATCGGGCCTCGAAAAGTACTGTTCGGCCATCAGTGAGGACGCCGAGAATATGGTGAAAACGAAGAAGGAGAGCAGGAACTGGTAGCTGACATTGTACAAGTAAATGTACGTTTCTGAAAACATAAAGTGTACCTAGCTGAGCAAAGGACCGTCTCACTTCCGTTGGTCTCTTTCGTTTTGTGGTCCATTCGGCTGAAGTAGACGCCTTGAATGGCAAGATCCATGAGAAGGGCGAGCGAGAGAATGGGAACGGAAATGGGCACGATGCTGGCGCCGAGACTCCGTTCCCACACGAAAACTTTGATCGTGGTCATCACACTGCTGCTCAGCGCCGACTTCAGATCTTCCATTTGTCCGAAACACTTGTGCATCCACTGATATCCACTTTGACCCGCTGAAATCACGGTGAATTACTGGGGACCCCGTTTCAGTCGTCGCCATTACCTTTGACATCCATCACTCTGTTATGTGCCTTCAGGATTTCGAGAAGTCGAGCGAACGAAAAGTTATCGTCACTGAGCACCCGACGACTGTTCTGTCCGGTTGTGGAGAAAGTGTACTCGCAGAGCAGTAAGAGCCAAATCAGAATCATCGTGATAATCAGAAGACTGAACGACAAAACTTTGTACGAACCAATTTCGAATAAAACTAACATGTAACATCCAACTCTCATTCGGATCGGATTGGGGAACGCCGCGAGTTTGTCACGCGGAAGGAGTCCGAGCAGCTCTTCTGAAATGGAATTCGGTTTCTTCCCAATTATACAGTTCTCATTACCATCTCCATCCGCGTCATCAGTGTTCGTCAAATGGGGGGAGCCGGCAGAATCTTAAAACATTCAAACTTTCCAAAAGCAGCCCCGACTTCAAAGTTCTCACTTGGATCGCTCGGATCGTCAATGTTTTCCTCAAGGAGAGAAGTGTCGAACAGGCGGTTCTTCTGTAAACCTCATCAGATCACAAGGCAGCATCGACGTCCAGCGTACCTCGTTGATTTCCAGTCGTTTCTCCTTCTGTTCAGTCTCGACGCACCAGTTATGACGGAAGAGTTCTGCCTGATGGATCAGTCTTTCGTTGGAAAGAAGCCGTCGGAGATCTGGAAAGGAACAGTCGGCTGGACCGGAGAGCTCGAAACGGACATATGTAGACGACGAGGCAGACAACGGTCCCGGTCAGCATGATCATTTTGAGTGAAACGCGGCGAATGTAGGTGATGCTCGCGTGGATGTCATGACCCATTGCGAACAAATGACACGGTGCGATGATACTTCCATTCGAGAAGACTTCTATTTTATTGATGGAGCGCATTGTTGGAGAAGTAAACGGTAAAATAAATATTCATTGAACGGAATCTGGGAGTGATATGACGCGTGGCAAGTTCACGCCCAGGTTCCACATCGTTCCGCCGAAGACTGCTCTGGAGAGCCCCTCTTCCGTTTGAACATCGTCTTCCAGGGCTTTTTCCATTTTTGCAGCTTCGGAGGCTTCGGTTGTTTTGGCCTGGAATCAAGGTGTCATTAAAAGGAACTTCCCCTCCTTCACTCACTCTTCCAATTCCCGTTTCTCGCTTTTCCGCTCCTTCTTTTCCCGTTCCACTTCCGATTTCTTGGAACTTTTCGACTTTTCCTCTTTCTTCGAGCTGTCTCCTTTCTCTGACTTCTCGCTCTTCGGTTTCTTCTTTTTCCTCCTCTTATCCCTTTCGGTCCCTTTCTTCCCCTTCTTCTGTACTTCCACTTCCACCGTTACGCGCCGTTCACTTCTGCTCTGTCTTCTGCTCCGTTCACTCTCATTCTTTCTGCGACGCACTCTACTTCCGTCCAATCCTCAATTATCACTCTACTTCTTCTTCTTCTCCTTCTTCTTCTCTATCCCACTCACTGCTCACACTTCGATCTTTCTCCAGCACGTATCCTTTCACCTCCTGCATCTCGCGTAACTTTCGCGAGTTCTGACTCCTCCCGCCAATCGTCTCCCCAACATCCGGATTCTTTATCGTTCCTTCCGGGAGCGGAATGGCCACTTCTGGCTCCAGAGCTCTTGCTTTTCTGCTCCTTTTAGTGGACGGATCTTCACGAGAACTCGGAACATCTGAATCCTCCCTGAAAGTTCAAAAACGTTCCTTCTACTAATTCCACCAAAATCACTTTTCCTTGACATAAACATTCCCTCTGGCGGAACAGAAAATGGTCAACGAAGCAGCGAGTAAGATTTGGATTCCACTAGAAATTATCACTGAAATTATCCAAATTAAGAATCGGAAATCGGAGAGAGCTTACTCGAAGACATGTGTGATTATATACAAACCGAAAAATGAACAGAAACACGTTGAAAAGCGAAACAAAACAGTTTATTAGTGTTTATAAAGTCAGAGAGAGGAAAGTTCCTCTTCGATGGCCTTCGAGATCAGTTCCATCAGGTTGATCCCGTTCATTGGAACCTTCTGGACTTCTTTCTCTTTCCCGTGCACCGGACACACCTTCTTCTTCTGGCTGCCTCCGCTCTCGGAGATGAGCGAATCCGAGTGCGGAATCGTTGTCATCTGCACCATTTTGCTCTTCGGACATCCTTTCTTGTGCACTTTCGATGCTTTCCAAGCCATCTCATCAATGTCCACAAAGTTCACGGTGGCAGCGGGAAGATCCAAAGGAGCATCGGGCTTCTGGAAAGGATGCTCCGGTGCGTAGTGGTGGTGGGTGAGACTGGCAGTCGAAGAGACGAGTTCCTCTGTGGAAGAGGCCTCTGACGGCACGATGTACGGCTTGCCGCACTCGATTCCCGACTTTGGCTCTCTTTTCGTTCGATCCAGAATATCAGAGACCCTGAAATAAACAGTTTCTAAAACTTCCGCACTTTCTTTTTTCACCGTCTTTTCTCGACGTTGAGCAACCATCTGGAAGCATCGAACTTTTCAATATTCTCCTCGAGCTCTCGCACGTCTTCATACAGATTCGCCTGCTCACGGATTGATTCCTCGCACTTCTGCTGCGCCTCCTCCTTCTTGCGACTCAGCACGTCTCTCCCGAAGATCGCTTCTTTGAGTCGATTCTCAAACTCGGCCTCCTGGTGCCCGATCTCCTTGCACATCGCTTTCTCATTGAAACTCGTTCTCACGATGATCTCATTCAGAAGCACCTTCAGATGGCTCATTTTGTTGCGGAAGTCCTCTCCGTAGATGACTTCCATGTCCATGGGCTCTTCAATGGAGTGCAGAATGTCTGCTCCGATCTCCGGCTCCGCCCTCATCGACGCGTCCGACAGTCTCGCCACATCCAATTCCAGTGACTCCTTTCTGAAAACAACCCGTTCTCTTTTGTTCTTCAACCAATTTCCACCTCTTCAGAAGGCGGTCCAACTTCTCCTCACTGTTCTTGTTGGCTTTTCCGAGTTTGCGAAGTTGCTCGTTCATCTGCTCGATCCGCACCAACTTCTGCCGTGTGTACTCGATTCTCCGCTGCGTTTCAACTGCAACCACCTCCGTCTCTCTTTTCCCCTTTTCGGAGCTTTTATGTGTTCGGGCCCGTCATCTATTCACTCTATTCGGCAACGATTTTAACTTTCCTCTCACATAACCATCGCCCGTTTTCCAATATATTCTCTCGCTTATTTTTGTTATTGTTCCCCTTTTTCCAGGCACCGATTCGCCATCAATTCATCGTCAGTTCACGAGGAAACAAGAAAGGAGGAACAAGTTCGCAGAAGTGACATCTTCATTCGCTCCTTCTGCCCAACATGTACAACTCGCACCGTCCGGTGAGTGAAACGTGGCAGTGAAATGCCATTCAAATCTGACAGAGTGCCCGCTCGGTCATGTGGAAACTAGCAAGTGGGCCCTAGAGACCCGCGAATTTATTGCAAACATCAAAAATGGGCGAATTTGTGTTAGGCATGCGCGCACTTACCATCCATGTTATAATCATTTGCGGCCATCTCGCTAATCGTGAATAGTTCCGAAATAATTTTGAAAATTTTTTCAGTTTTCTCGTGTACTCAATTTAGTTTTTTAGTAGAATAGTCGGGGTTACCGATTAAGATAACGTGAACGATTCAAGAGGTATCACATGTCACAGCTGTGCGCACAGGTCTTTTTCAGACGCGCAAATTTTTTTAAATACGGTACTCTTAAGGCGCAACACGCATTCGGCAGGTTTCCAATTCGTGATCGCTGGTCGTTTTTCCCTCTTTCGAATCATATTCTGATGTAAATAGTTTCCGTACAATTTTTACCAGTTGCGCACCTAGAAAAAGCGTCGGAGCGTTCATCAGATATAACAGGTATTTGGCGCCAGTCTCTTTCTCTCTGCTTCTCTCCACGCACTCGTATCGCCGTGCGATCTCCGGCCGGCCAGTTCGCTGTTGCAATACTTCTTGTCCCATCTATTCACCGGCAGCAGCATCAGTCGTCGATCCGATCCGCTCAATCAATATTGTAATGGAGGAAGCAAAGGGTCGGCGCGGACGGACGACTGGTCACCGAAAGAACTACTGGCCGCGCATTCCCGCACGGGAGACGAATGCCTCTGGACGCGGCGGTCGCAATTGGCTATGCAAACATTTGTTTGTGGCTGTCAGGCCCTATTTTTCATCATTATTATTATATGAATTGCTTGCGTCGCGCACACTTTTTCTTGCTCGTTCCGTCAAGCTCGCACCCTCTTGTCACACGAAACTCTTAGTAAATCTTGGCCGAAAAGCACGGCCACGTCCGCTCGTCCCTCTTTTTCACAGCAACGAAACTTGCATTTATCAGGCTCGCCATCATTGGATGGAGGATTACAAGTACCTATTCAAAGTGGTACTTGTCGGCAATGCTGGCGTCGGTAAAACGTGCCTAGTGAGGAAGTTCACACAGGTAAGCATTTGATTAGCTTTGAAAACGAAAAAAATGTTTCGAAATGCATTGAAATATATTTTTTCAGGGAATCTTCCCTCCAGGTCAGAGTGCAACAATTGGTGTCGACTTTATGATAAAAACGGTCAAAGTAGGGAATGATAAAATAAAAGTAAGCTGATAAGCTGATAAGGACTCGAAAAAGCAAAGTTCATTGCTCGTTTTTAGCTTCAAATTTGGGACACTGCAGGCCAAGAAAGATTCCGGTCAATCACACAGAGCTACTACAGGTAATACACTAATAACCGTCAGTTTTGATAATTCCTCTTCGATTTCAGAAGTGCTCATGCCATCGTTTTGGTGTACGACGTCTCCTGTCAGCCGTCGTTCGACTGCCTTCCCGAATGGCTCGGTGAAATTGAAAGTTACGCGAATCGACGAGTTCTCAAGATCCTCGTTGGTAAGATCGGAACAGCATTATGCAAATGATGATCGGATTGGTGTTGCAGGAAACAAAGTTGACAAAGGAGATGAACGAGAAGTGCCGGAACGCATCGGAAGAGACTTCTCCGACGTATGGAAGAGGCTTACGAACTATTAAAAAAACTTGATTTGCAGGTGAATCACTTCGATTACTTCCTGGAGACGTCTGCACTCGACGCAACCAACGTGGATCAGCTATTCGAGCAGGTCGCCACGAGACTCACTAATGACATGAAAGTCACTGATGAAAGGTTAGTTTGGCATAAAAATGGGAGAGGATTCGGACCGACTCCGATTAATTTCAGAGTTCACCAGTACCGCGCAGATGCCACAAACACGTCAGCCAACTCGGGCGGGTCGATCAAGTTAATCGACCGGGCTCAGACACAGCTGAATTCGTGCTGCAGTCGGCAGTGATCCTCTCTTTCTCTTTATTTCTGACTTCTGTGATACGAGCTTCTTTCCGTTCCCCACAAATCGTTTGCCTAGTCATCCCTTTTATCATAACTTTTTATCGCATCCTGTGCTACAGTATTCTCGCATTTCCTTCGGAAATCATCCGACAATCTCATCCCGCTCACCGTTTTGCCTTTGATTCTGCATAATTTGGGTTATTTTGCATAATACATGTCTATAAACATTATTCTTCATTCCTAAGCACCCATTTCTCTTGAAATTTGTAAATCTACCATCAACGTGCGCTTATTTTGATTGTGACTGAACAAAACACTCGAAGGCTACACGTAGGACCTGATAACTGAGTGTAGACATCAAAAAGAAAGAGTGTGGAAAGGCCAGAGACACAGAGAGTCTCCCTCGCGGCACGTTGCCCTGATAGCCGTTCTTCGTCGTCTTTTTCTTCGTTTATTGACCAAAATTACTTTAGTGTCTTCCAAAGAATCAGCCCGCCCTTCTAGTCAAATATGCATCGAGTCGGACACGCAGTCAGGTTACCTTTTTTCCTTCCGTCAATTCTTTTTTACCGACCCTCTCTTCAGAATGGCTTCGTCGTCCACTTCCAACGCGACAATCGCAGCCAGACACACCCAGTACAGCCATGCGAAGACCGGCGGCTTCAGTCAAACCTCCCCCACACTTCACAATCCGTACAAGTGAGCTTACCCCGAGGTTTTCAGTGAAACACTGCGAATTTCAGAGATGATCCGATCCTAGACCGGGCGATCCGTCGCCTTCTGCCCGAGGATCAGTACATGAGAGTGGCGGCCGATCTCACAAAGTTCGGAGATCGCATTACGTCGGAAATCGAGCAGCTGGGCAGACAGGCAGAGCTCGAACAGCCGAGACTCGAGCAGCAGGACGCCTGGGGAAAGAGGGTCAGTGAGAGAACGAAGCAAAACCATTCTGACCGAATTCCCCCATTTCAGATCGACAAACTGATTGTGTGTAACGAGTGGCAGAGACTGAAACAGATTTGCGCCGAGGAAGGAGTCATCAGCATCGGATACGAGAAGGACGTGGATCCATTCGTCCGGCGAATCCATCAAGTCGCCAAACTGTTCCTGTTCTCTCCGTCGTCGGGGCTGGTCTCCTGTCCGATGGCGATGACGGACGGAGCTGTGAAAACTCTCACTGTGAGCATATTCCTATTACCTCTCTTAGCTGAACATTACTGCCTTTTAGTCTCTGAACCTGTACGGAAAGCACAAGTTGGCCACCGAAGCCGTGGACCGTCTGCGATCTCGCGATCCGACGAAAGCATGGACGAGTGGACAATGGATGACCGAAAAAAAAGGAGGAAGTGACGTTGCAGGCGGATGTGATACGTACGCAGTGCAAGTCGATAAAGACACGGTTTGTTCCATAACATAGAATTTTGACATGGAACGAATTTCCAATTTTCAGTACCGTCTGCATGGATACAAGTGGTTCAGCAGTGCCATCGACGCTGACGTGGCACTCACTCTCGCAAGAGTCGTCGATTCGGATGGGAATGCGATTGAAGGCTCTCGGGGACTCTCGCTCTTCCTGCTCAGAATCCGTGACGACGCCGGCAATTTGAACGGAATCCAGATGGTCCGTCTGAAGAACAAATTGGGAACGAAACAGCTCCCGACTGCCGAGTTGCTGCTGGACGGAGCGATTGCCGAGCGGATCGGAGAGCAAGGCAGAGGAGTTGCCGGAATATCGAATATGCTCAACATCACGCGCATTCACAATGCAGTCGCATCTCTCGGTTACATGCGAAGGTGTGTTTTCTGTGGTGTGCACAAAACGGAATCAAACTTTTCAGAATCATTTCCCTGGCTCGAGACTATTCAACGAAGAGAGTGGTTTTCGGACAAACTCAGTCGAAATGGCCCCTGCACACGTCGACGCTCGCGAAATTGGAGGTGGAGACTCGCGGATCGATGCTCCTTCTTTTCGAATCCGCCCGTCTTCTGGGACTATCCGAAGCTGGAAAGAGCAATGACGTGGAAGCACTGATGCTCCGTTTGATCACTCCAGTTCTCAAGTTGTATGCTGGAAAACAGTCTGTCCCATTGGTATCCGAAGGAATCGAGTGTTTCGGAGGACAAGGTTACATGGAAGACACCGGATTGCCAACTCTTCTGAGAGACACTCAAGTGACTCCGATTTGGGAAGGAACCACGAACGTCCTGTCGCTCGATGTGCTCCGTGTCTTCTCGGGAAAGGAAAACATCCTTCTGGCGTTCGGAAAACGCATTTCCCAACTATTGCTCAACACCAAACTCGGTTAGTTCAGCAGTAACATGTCCAAAAACCTTAAGTGATTGCAGATGACGAAAAGTTGAAAAAGTCGAAGGAACACGTGGAAGTGGCCCTAAAAAATCTCCAGAAGCTTCTGGTGAAGGCCAGCGATTCGTCTCTTCAAGGAGAGACTCGAATCGATTCGGTCGCCCGCCACATCTCGTTCGCCATCGCCCGCATCTATTCCGGGGCTCTCCTCATTGATCATGCTTCTGATGCCTCGGTCGCCAACTCGTCTGACGTGGAAGTAGCGTACCGGTACTGCTGCGAGCAGCCCTTGATCGATCTCCGATGGGAATGGTTCGCCAACGACCGAGTGAAGAGCGACAGGGACATCGTGTTTGACAACTACCAGGGGCTCCAGAAGAGTAAGATTTAAGAATCGAATACAGCAATATTCATGTTTTATTATTTTTTCTTTGTACAATAACTATCGACGAGTCGAAAAGAAGCCAATAAAGTTTGATGTGAAAGACGTTTCGCAGTGGGGAGTTTATTGTGCACAAAATGTACAGATGCTCACAGTCGTGATTAATCACATGATTTAATATCATTCGCTTCATTTAAAGAAAACCTTGAAATGTTAAGAGGAAGACAGATGACGTGGACGAGCGAGATGGGACGGAATGGTTCGACGACACCTGCTACATGGATCGGTAATCTCAGGGACCAAAAAGAAGGCGTCCGTCGGTTCTAGAGAACTTCGGTTTTATTGTGGCCGCACAGTCTAGTCGAAGAGTGAGCTCACAATATTCACGTTTATCATATTTTCATTGTACAATGAGCAATAGAAGAGTCGAGAGGAAGCCAATAAAGTATGATGTGATGACGTTTCGGAGTGCAGAGTTTATTGTGCGTAAAATGTATAAATACTTACAGTCGTGATTGGAAACAATGCGAAACAGAACGATATACCCTTTGAACAGTGAATTGAGAAAATGAACAGATTTAAAAGAAGAAGAAGAAGAAGAAGAAGAAGGTCGACGGGAAAATGACGGAAGAGGGGAAGTTATCACAAGGCGGATCAGGGGAAAAGGGGACGATTCCCGGAGCCGGGCGACTAGAAATGGATCCTAAGAGAGAGAGAGAGAGAGAGAGTGTGGGGCAGTGAGAGAATTAGAGAAGGAGATAAAGCACAGAAGAGACGAGGAGCGAGCAGACGGCGGAGATCGGCGAACGAGCGTTGATCGACTCCTCCTGGGCCTCGTCGTGATGTTTGTGGTGGTGATGCTTGTGGTGATGGGCTGATCTGGAATTAGAACATTTCCTGTTTTCGTTTTCGTTCTTGTCAGGGCCAGAGATCATCATGACGTGGCATTACATTAATATTTGAGCTCTTCTGCCACCCTTTCCCAAATGGCAACATGAGAGTTTACATTTGACCTTTAAAGTCTTCCAAATGTGACTTTGTGACCTACTCCCTTTTCAAATAATTCCGTCATTCTTTTTGGTTTTCTCGCTTCTAGAATTACCAAAACAATCGGGCAATCGGACACCCGATATCGTTGCGGAAGAGGCGGAAAAGGTACGACATGACGCCGGAAATGGGCCGATTCTGTTTCACTCACTTGTCGGGCCACATGGAGAAATTGCAAAAGTCCGGAGCGTTACAGCCGCAAATCTTGACAGACACTCCGCTCTTCGATGTTCTGCAAGGACGGTTTCGGAGTGGAAAGAAGTGCACTCTATCGGAAATACCTGTTGTGGCAGCTGCCATCCTTCAATCCTCTCGTGTGACACGTGTAATGCACTCCCATGGTCGGGTGGTCCAGCATGAGACAAGCTGCAAGACGAAGAAGTCATTATCCCCCCGACGAATCCGTTTCATCCGCATCTTCCCCCCGTTCGTCTGTTTGTATATCTGCTATGCGCACTTAGGATTTAGGTGGCCGAAGGACGGATTTGTTTATAATAATCTCGAGTGGTGTGGCAGTCCACAAAGAATGGGTCATTGTTAATTCATCCGGTGCCGTCGCTGCCCTTCCGAAGGCTCCGTCACCTACTAATTACTTGTTTCCGACACGTACTAATAGCCCGCTCTCTTCAACTTCGACCCCATTGTGCCACGTCACTTCCATCAAATGAATGAATTTCATCACAGTGTAATGGCGACCCAAAAAAAGCTCATTAAGAGTGTTGTGGCCCTAGATTCCATTAATTATTTGGTTGTGGTTTTGCTCTCTCGCTTGCTCCCTTCCTCTGTTTTCTGTCTTCCCTCGACAACGTTTCGATGGGACAAATGCACCGGAAGTGCGGTCGACAGGTTCTCAGAACGAGAGGAAGATTGAGCCAATGAAGAAAAGGGAAGAAGACTCACAGCCGGCGTCCGTCTCGCAAACTCCATCCGTGCACGTGACTGTCTCCGACTCTTTGGTGCATTTGCATCGAACGGCTGCCACGTGCGATACGGTCGTCAAAACAAGGATCGCGGCGAGACCAAGAACACAATCGGATGGGTGCATAGTGGAAGCGAAGACTGCAAATGATGAGAGATAGTTGAATGATAATTGAGGCAATGAGCCGTGAAATTGGATAAGAAGACATGGGAGAGAATGCGGAGAGGCAGAGAGAAATCGTGTTTGAAGTTGAAGCGAAAGAGATTTGCATTGTTGGAGAACGGTTTGGAAGCGGATGAAGACGAGGAATGAGAAGCAGTATTGTAGTAGTTTGCTTGCACTCAACCGCGCTCTACTGAACATTCGTAGTACTTGCCACAAAAGTTTTAGAAGAGAGTGAGAAGCATACTCAGCCTGATTGGGAGAAATCTTCAAGATTAGCCATTCCAGAATACCAGAGAATATTCTTGGCTCTTTCCTTCGAATCTGACTAATTCGTAATTCGAATCAGAGTCTTCGGGAATGCCGTCTCTTTCGGCGTCATAAAAATTATATTCGGTTTGTGCGGGCGCCTCAGAAATATTGGCAGAAGTCTCGGGGTTCCGAAGCCATCTGGTCGACACTTTCTGGCAATAAATCGGGCGGCGCATGTGAAGAAGAAGGAGAAGAAGAAGAAGAGAAAGAAGATGATAACGCGTTCGTCACCAGCTGTGTAGCTCGTAGTATTCAGTGACAAAAGAAAAGAAGATAATGGGCAGCGAAGTAGTTGTTTGAGAAGGAAAAGACCTTGAAAGAGATGAAGAGTGAACCTTTCCGATGACCGAAAGGTTTCATTTGTGCGCAAGAAATCGAATTGAATCGAGCGAAGGAATGAGTGGCAGACGGAAGGAGTCTCCGTGGAAACAGGTACACAAAACAATGGCCGTCGGTCGGGTTTATTAGTTCTCGGAGGGAGGTCCGTGGCCCGTACGAATGAATGGAAATTATTCTCAAGTGGCGCTCGAAGCCTATGCTATACAAACCGAGAACACCTCTGGAAAGGAAAAGCAGAAGTGCTTCCGCTTCTGGGGGCAGAAAAACGAAAATCAAAACGATCTGGCGGATGGATGGCGAGAAGGCGACGGACGGAAAAAGACGAGCCCCGCCCACTTCCACCCGCCGTCTCTCGATGAAAGTTTGCCGTCTAATGAATAGAGCGAATATTTGAGAAGACGGGGGGAAAGCAGAAGATGAAGGAAAAGGAAAGAAGCACGGCGAAAATAGATAGGCAGGCAATGGAAACACTTCTGGAAAGAAGGTAACGTCATCCGATCCCACGGGTCAAAAGAAGCTCTTCAGTAGTAATCGGATTCGGAAATGCGTAGAGAGCAGAAAGCAGCGGGGATTTGAAGAGCCGAAAATGGCCACGAAGGACGGCAGATATCTTAAATTTTTGACATTTACGCTCTACCGCAATCCCACGTAAAAACTCGGCCACGGCCGCCAGCACTAAATTCATGTGTAGAGCGGTAGAGCGCGAATGCCTGACTTTTCTCTGACACGTGTTACAACACGGTCTCCCTACTGTAATACGTACGTTTTTTGTTGTTGCTGCTCTCGACTGAGTACATACTCAATGTCTACATCGCTCTTTATCAAAGGCGGTTTACTGGATCGACTTTCTTCTCAAATAAACGTTGTCCGATTTGTGCAGAAGAAGAAAACGAAAAACAAATGCGAGAAAAAGTGCGAAAACGCGAAGTGCAACAGGCCAATTTGGGCGGAAAACTGCTCGAAATGCGATTATGGTATTCCTAATTCGATATGGGGGAGTGCGTGATTCTCAAGCGACACAAATTCACGAAACCTTCCGTAGCGCAATTACCGAGGATTTCCTGTTTTCGTCAAAAAGAGACAAAGGAACACAATGGATGGATGAAGAGAAAACAGTTCTGCTGAGCAAAAGCAAAAGTGAGTAGGCAGTCTGGCAGGAGCAGCAGCAGCAGCAGAAGAAGAATAAAAAGAAGAAGAAGAAGTATTCGGATGAGGTCACCTTACGGCAGCTGCCTTCTGTTTATTCGTTCCGTGGGAGCCCCGCTTCGAATCATCGCGGGATTACCACTATTAGCGGTGACGGGGCTAAGAAATCGAGGGCGGAGGAGACGTGATTCGTGCTCTGCGGAGCGAGTGAGAGTGCGTCCGGAAATCGGAGACCGACTCTCTTCTTCTTCGATTTCACATGTGTCGAAAACGGCAGAGAAGTCAAGGAAGAGGAAACGGAAGAAGTTTCTTTAGAGTCGAACCAAAAAAACCGAGTGATCCGTCGTTTCGTCTCGAACACTTTGATCCCTCTCATACATCAAGGAGCTCGGAAAGAGCGCGCGGGTCGAGGAGACGCAGACAGAGAGAGATGATACGGGGGATTGACAATGAAACGGGAGGCGGGTGCGGGCAGCTCGAAACTCGTTGTGTTTGAGCAGCTACCTCAACTCGAACTAACAATCGGACATTGTGACGTGGCATCCCTGCTGTAGGCAGCCCGGGGTTATTATTATGTGGTTCCGGCAAGTTCCCGGATTTTGTGCGTTTCAAGTGACTCTTGCAAAGTGACGGGTTTCGTAGTGTAATAGCTGAGACCGCAATGAAAGATGACGTGACAGGACAGAAAAGAAAGAAAGAAAGAAAGAAAGAAGAAGAAGACGAAGAGCCAATCGTAAATATCTGGTTGATTACATAAAAGGTGAGTGCCGTAGCACAAGTATTCAGCCCACTCTTTCAATCGTTTTGATTGAATGCATTGCTCCGGAAGATTCGGATGTGAGAATGGGCAAAAAAGGAAAAGCATTTCAGACGGCAAGAACAGATTCCACTTAGACACCGGAAATGCTGTGTCCGTTTGTTTTTGTCTTTATTAATTGGTGTTCGTCGCGGTTTTTTTCGAATTTCGAATAATATTCCAGAGAAGAAAAGAGTGCGAAACGAAAACAAGAACAAAAATAGAACGGAAAGGGACGAGACAGCCAATTCTCAGAATGAACTCGGGGATGAACACACTTTCAAATGAATTCTGACCCAAAAGAAGGAAAAAGTGAAATCCTTCGCACGTCATTTTCCTTCCGAATCCGTTTTTTCCTTTTCCGGAGTCTCTGATGTTTGAGCCCTTCGAAACGAAAAAGACGGGACAAGTTTCAACTTTCGGAGGTGAGCGACTGACACAAACGCATTTCTAGACGACGTCTCGCCGCCCGCAAAATTAAGTTTATCCATCTCGCTGACACGCCAGTTTGCGACGAATTCAACAGAAAGATAATCAAACAATTGGGCGATGTGTTCGGGAAAACGAATGAGGAGAGCGAAAGGACGCCCACTCAATTTGTTCATTTCCATTGTCGGCCTGAATCCGTCCATGTCTGTAATTGGTCTGCACTCTCCATGAGGAACGAGGTATTTCCGAGCGACAGTGCCTCATTGACCCCGCCGAGAATGGAGTGCGAACAGAAAAATGGACAAGAGGAACATGCAGAGAATGACTGTTTTTTGAGGGAAACGTGCAGAAAGTGAAGGGAGAGGAGGACGGCTCCTCGGCCGACGAAAAAAGCGGAATGGGGCGGGTCGAGTGTGATAATCCGAAGTATGCAAATAGGAGCGAAAGAGAGGGAAAGGGATCGGTCGGCGGTCATTGAAATGGAGAAGGAGCGTCGAAGGACGGTGGGAAAGTTGCGGAGGAAAGAGCTGATGACGAGATGGGCACGTCATGGAGAATGCCGAGTGGCGGATACGGTACTTGAAGGACCGGAGAGGACTGGCGCACGAGTCAACGGGAATCAGAAGACTTCCTGAAAACTTGAGAACCAAAAAGAAGAAAAGTTTGGGGACGGACAATATAACTTGGTAACTTCGGAACCTTCCGCGCACCTTATTTGAGTAACTCGCCTTCCATTTCCATTCCCGCTGACTCACCTTTGTGTGCCTTTCCATAATGATTTCTTGTTTTTGCGATCGCGTAAGTGAGAACAATTTATACAAATAAAATCAGAGAAAGGGAAATTGAGTGGGTTAACAGAGGAGACACGTGGCACCGCACAGGTATTTTCTCTCCTCGTAAGTGTACATTGTGTCGTTGCAGAAACCGTCGTCGTGGAATTGTGGGCAACTGAAATTGGTTGGAATATAAGAAAAGGAAAGAGATTAAGATAAACTCACTTCTGATGGCGGTCTCTGCACATCGGAACACAATGTCCACACGCCTTCGGACAGTAGTTCTCCATGAGAGTCTTGTAGCGAGAGTGCTGGCAAAGATCTCTGTAGCTGCTGCAATCCGGAGTGATGTCCTCACAGTCTTCTGAAATTGGGACTGTTCTCAACTTCTGATGCGATCCTTCTATCCGCTACCTCTTCCTTCTTCAATCCTCTCCACTTCATCACATCTGTCACAAGTCAGAGAGCAGTGAGAAGCCATGACTTCAGAGAATGCAGGATGCGAGCAGAGGGAAGTGAACTCCCGGCAGTAGGTGTACTCGTCGAAGCACGTTCCCTGAATCACTGTTTTCGTGAGTGACGTGGTCAGAGAACTCGGTTCGGCAGTCGTGATCTTTGGCATCGTATCCTAGAAAACAGGGAATTCTAGTGTGCCACTTCTGAAAGAAGGATGACTCACTCTCGTGGTCCTCAGCTCTTCCAGCGTAATTTTTCGGGCAGCTGAAGTGGAATTGAAAGAGGCGGGAAGAGTGAGTGATGACGTGGTTTCATTGCGATTTCTCGTGGCGAACGTCTTCAGTGTTTCATTTGGGTCAACTGTATTGATGGTTCTAGGTCTTCTGGATCCACTAGTTGAGTTCCTGATTTGTACGTTTGTCAACGACTTTCCAGTGGTTTGTAGCAAAGTTTTCAAGTCAACAGTTGTGACATTTGAAGATTCTGAAATGGCCATTAGAGAATATAAGTTGAGTAATTTACAGAATTACCGGTCGAAGTACTGTTGTATTCCACAGTCGTTCTCTGCGTCTCCATCGTGGCGGATGTGGTATTCCATTTTAATTTGGCCCGATAGGCCACAATCGGATCGATCACCAGAGTGGCGCTTGCGGAATTCTCGGTCGAGTTGAGCATCTTCTCCCTCGGGAAGACGCACTTCCTCGGCAGATCGCACTCCTGACCGCTCGCCACTTCTTCCAGCCGCTTCTCCATTCGCTCGGCTTGGTCGAAACTGTCGAGTCCACAGAAGCCGCACGTAGCTTCGCATTTCGATTTCATCGTTCGAAAGTCAGTTCTACTCTTGCATAAATGTCTAGTCAACTTGCAGAATGCGCTTCTGTCTTGACATTTTCTCATTGATTTTTCACAACATTTGTAGGTTCCATTGAAGTTCTCACACCAATTCGTGGAAGAATTGGAAGAGGTGCATTCGTATCCACTGGAGGGGACCAGATGACACGCTGGAAAACGTGCTCACTCTATTTCAGAACCACTTCAGAATCACCCACAACTTCCCGGTTTCGCTCCATTCGAACAAATTTCCACACTGCCATTGGTGGAAATTTTGTACTCTCCGAAAACGGCGGAAAATAACAGGCAAAATAATAACATGATGAAAGGGAAAGAGATACTGAGGATCAGATCGGAGCGGTCATTCGAATATATAGTACACATAGGAGGGGCGACTAAAAATATCGGGGCGCAGGTGTGCAAATGTGACCGGACTCCGGAACGCCGTCTCCAAATGACTCCGCTTGTTTCATTCAATTTGTACGGTTGCGGAACAGTGAAATGTGATGGAGAAGAATTCCTGCAGAAGGGGAATTTGAGGAGGGGATTGTCGGACAAGCGGACCTGCTACCACTGAAACATTCAATGACGTCACGTTCGAACCGCCCGTTCTGACAGGAGCGATCGAAATGATGGTGTCGCAGAGGTGCAGAACTCCCCGACTGATACCGATCCCCTCGTCTCCGAGCACTATCCCGACGGACCTCGCAGGCTGCCATTGGTCGAGTGTTTTCGCTTTGAGACCAGCCCTTTCGGCCGCCAATGGATCACATGTGGCAACGATCTCTCCTCCATTTGTCTTGATTTTCTGAAAAGGCTTTTGAGGAATGAAACTTTTAAAAAACAGTACGAACGTCTCTGAACTCATGAAAGTCTTTGAACTGCTGAACGGGAAGATGCTCCAGAGCTCCGCACGAAGATTTGCTCATTGAAGGAGTTATGGCTTTCGGTCTGAACTGAATGTGAAGTTCGAAACAATATGTATTCTCTCACCCTCTTCCCTTCGCAAATCCGATTCCGTCTGCTCCGAAGTACCAGGCACTTCTTCCGATTGCGCCGAGATTCCCTGGATCCAATACCTTATCAACAAAGATTGACACGTTTTTTGCTTCGAAGTCTGCGTATTCTAGAGGAGAAGCATCCACGCAAATGCCCTGGAAACCAATCATTTTCTGGACATGAATGCGTGATGAAACAAACGTTGTGCAATTGGAATTCGGTGAGTCTGTCCAACTGATCGTCCGAAAGCAACGTCTTTTCAATGTGCAAACCGTCTAGTTTCGTCAGAATCTCTTTGATTCTCGAGTCGCTTCCCGCTCTTTTTCTGGAATTGTTTTTTTTTATTTCAAGTTGAGCAGAGCCTATTTTTCGCCCACTCGATAGTCTTTTTCAAGTACACAGCGTGAAAATCTCTTTTCTGGGCTCTGGTCGCTTCCAAAACGGAATGCAGTCCGAACAGTGCTTCTCCTTTCAATTCGGGAACTTGGATTCTGAATTTGATTCGGAAGAAGGACGAGTACACCGATTTCTCACTTCTTCATCACATACTTCTCCACTGATTTCCTCGCCATTTTCGCTTTTCGGAAAAGTAAATTTGGACGAATTTCTTTCGAAAGCGTTTGCGTTCGGTACATTTCTGTTTTGAAATGAATTCAATTTAATCATGTGTTCTAATTCAAAAGTTTGGTATTCTAATCGGTCTCAGAAACTCTTTGATGAAAATAGAAAAGATTCAAAGCAATAAGAATGTATTGTTGAAAACAAATTGAGAACAAAAGTGCATAGTAGGAGGGGAAGAGCAGAAAACGAGCGGAATCAGATTTGGAGAGCAGACAACGTTTCGGCGGATTTTTGAATGACGGCGAGGAAGTTGAGAACGCGGGCAGACTCTTCCGTCGCATTCAGTTCGGCAGTCGCCCATTCCAGCTTCTGAAGAACCGCTTGTTTCGCAGCTGACACTGCATCCGAAAGGCTTCTCTCTTCCGAAGTTTCCACAACTTTCTTCGCCTTGGTCACAGGAGTCGCTACTTTCGAAGGAAGCACTTTTTTCGCAGCTTTCTGCTCAGACACTTTCGGCGTCGGAACCGGAATTTCAGCAGCTTCTTTCAGATCTTCGCTTTCTAAAGAATATGAATATTGTTATCCGCCAACGGTAATCCTATCAACTTACGCAATGGAATCTCAGCGACAACGTGGGGCGTCTCGTTCAGTTTCTCAGTGTACAGCTCACAAGTGACGCAGCGACGGACTCCAGTGCGATCTTCCATTAGAATTCCCTGAAACAAACCAAATTATGTTGATTATTCCTTAATGCATTCTCACACTGCATGTCGGACAGTACTCGTCGAGCATCGTCTGTCCCTTCAGAAGAAGTTCGCCCATCCTCTTCGATACCTCGTCACGGAACGCATCTCGCAGACGGATTGACTCCTGAAACACCGATTTCAGATTCAGATTTATTCGATGGCAAATTCTGACCGAATTTTCCGGGTGGAAACCATTAATCGGGGCCATTTCGTCGAGATAATTGCGTGCTTCGGGATGCGGTGTCCTGTCGATCCAGTTGTTTTCTCTCGTTGACGTCGGATTCACAAATTTTTTGTGAACCATAAACTGAAAGTGTTCTGAAATTTGAACTTTCAACGAGAGATATTCATTTCTTCAAATGCAAATTTTGCGGAGCGACGTTAAAAAATCGGAAAATGTGCGCACACACGGTGGTTCTTTGCGAGGGTGCAGTGAGGAGAGGGAGAAAGTTCGGCCCCCGTCCCTTAAAACGTCGGCTGCTTATTTCGACGGCCCGCGGCGCCCCCTCAAAGCCTTTTCCCGTGCGGCAAAACTTCAGATGCGTGCCGTCGGACGAATACTGATTCATCTTATCTAATTTTTTTGGAATGTGTTCATTATGATTGAAACTCGCAAGCAGCAACGAGAAATTCTCAGACTCCGGTTAAATTGCACCACTTAAGAAATTTTTCGCCACTTTTTCGCCACGCCACGCCACTTTCGCCACTTAAGAAATTCTTGAAAAAGTGTAAGAAAGTCTCGAGATTTGCGGGTTTTTTATTTAACTTTGGACGCTCTCTCTCAGAACTCCAGGAAAAACAAGGGTCTCCTTAAAAAAACAAGGGTGTGTATTGTCGTTCTGTTGAGCTGAAGGAGAAGCTTAATACAATCCATTTTCTTACATGAGTTGATGCTGAAATTCAGCTTATTATTAGGACAACGACGTGTTCTACAAGCCTTTTCTGTGTGCCAAAGCTTGAAACAGCGCGCTGTCGGAAGAGTTCTGATTCATTTTTCCTAATTTTTTGAGAATGAGTTTATTATGATGGTGGCAGGTATCATTCCGGGCTGAACAGATCGAGTGAAAGTGACAGAAAAGGCATTGAGGTGTTTATGCGGTAGAAAATAACAGTAAAATACAAACAGTTCCAAAGAAATTGAGCAAGAGTCGGTTGAAAGAGGTAACAAATATACACATTTCACGGGAGAACAAGGGATTCACATATTGACAGTTATTGTACAAAATTTGATGAGTATTCATTCAGACTGGATGAAGAACTCTTTGTCTCCGTACATCTGGATCAGGTCGTGGAAGCCGACGTCCTTCTGATGAACAGTGACGTGGTCATGGTCCTTGCTGAACGGGTATCTCCAGTAGGTCCCATCGGCGCAAATGGCAACCAGTGATTGGATATATCTCGGCGTTTCTGAAATTGAAATCAATTTGAGATTTGTTCTGGTTCACTCCGAATTCAAACTTACGTTTGGTGAAGCCGAGAGCAAGAACCGGTCTTTCCAGTTGGATCTTGGCAAGGCTGCTAGTCCCCATGTTCAGAACGTTGATCTTCTTTTTCGTCTCCGAGTTGCGGATTCCGAACACGTGCAGCGTTCCCTTGTCACTGGCAACTGCGAGGAAACTGGAGCAGGGCGAGAAGGCGAGGCAGTGCAAGTGAGCAGGGACGGTTCCGCGACGGAGATCGTACAACATTGCCTTGTTTCTCGCGTCGAACACTCTTATCACGGTTCCTTTCGTCGATCCGGTGGCAACAAGCGTTCCCTGACAGTTGAGAGCCACTTGAGAGATCTCGTTGACGTGCGCCTCAATTACAACAGGTGCCTTCGATTCACGAGTCGTGAGTGTGCTCAGGTTCAAGATGTTTATCGTGCCTGTGTTGTATCCCGGGAACGCCAGGTAGCACGATGCCGTCGTTGGCTCGTAGCTCATTGCGGAGAGTCCGTTCGGGTTCTGCCGGATCTCCTCCTTCCTTATTTGTTGGCAACTCGGGAATTTGTAACAGAACAGTCTTTTCTCATTGAAAATAGCGAGACTGTTCTGGCATACTTGGATGTTGACAATCTTGCCGCACTCTGGCGGCGTCGTGATCTCAACAATATCTGCGTTTTTGCAAGTGTCGAAGACAACCATGCAGTTCTCCGCGTACTTTTCATCGGGTCCATTCACGTAGCAGACAATATTACTTCTGTCTAGCTGGCGTGCTATACGCACATTTCGGACGTTCGGAACTGAAAATAACATGGTAAGGAATGAGGAACCGTTCTGAGCTAACTGACTTTTGTCTCCGAATTGCCGTACTGCACACGGCTGCATTTCGAAGAGTTTGAATCCGAATTTTCCGGAAATCGAAAAGCCGGAGTGCTCCAATGTTACGGCGGATTGAACAACTCTGCCCATTTTAAATCTGAAAAGAACAGAGTAATGGGTACACTAATGACAGAAAGTGCAGTGAGATTGAGATTCTTCCGAGAAGATAATAATCGAACTCAGATGTTCTGCTCATATCGATTCACAGGAAGGATAGTTCACATCGATTCACAGGAAGGATAGATAAGGTTTTCAATAGACTAGAAGGGATATTGAAATGTTTGTGAAAACCATTCAACAATGCTTCTTCTCAAAGATTCTGCTGTTAAATGTGTCGCTTTCACCTTGAATAAACCTAAAGCAGAAAGGAGATATTGATCAGAGTACACAGTACTAAGGTACGGGTGGGAGACGGAGAGAAACGGCGAGAATGCATCACGAGAAGAGAGTGCGAGTGTACACACTTCGCGGTCCGCAGGCACTGAAACCGACGAGCGATTGATTCACCATCTGCCCGTTATCGGGGGCCTGCCTGTTCACATAACTGCAGCTCTACATACATTCCAGTCTAAAAAAGGGGGATTCCGTAAATGTCTGATTATTAGATAACTGGAGTTTGTTCTACACCTTTCAAAACGTTTGTTCTTACACGAAACCCTAGTTTAATGATATTATCGTTTTTCTCGGTTGTCCGTTCCTGAACTGAAGCCATATAATACTTGAAAAAAATTTAAAAATAGCTAGAATCAGTACGTCATAATTTTCTTTTGAGCTGGCAGTTGAAATAAAGAGGCTACAACGTAATAGAACTCGAGCGGATAATAACTGTTACGAAATAGAACTCTATCGACACGGTTCTGATCGCAAAAAACCAGAAAAACAGTTCCATTTCGTAACAGTTCTTTTCCGTGCGAGTTCTATTACGTTGTAGCTTCGAGATAAACACCAATTCTTAGTAATAGCAGCTTTTCTAATGATTCCAGTGACATTTTTTAAAGGTCTTTTCTCGACCGAATGAGCCCATGCTAAATTTGAATCAAAGTGTGCTGAGAACAACTGTTTTCAAGTTTTCCGTGCGAGACACTGCGCGGAAAATTTGCCTATGTGCCTTTAATACAGCTTTTTTTTGAGACCGCACACAATTTTATCATTTTTATCAATGAAAATGATTGAATAAATTTGCGATATTGAACGTTTCCATCACTACTAAAAAATGTTCATTTAATTTTGTTCGTTTTCCGGTTTTGAATGCGTTTCCAAAACTCCCATTTCCTGACTCATTTCCGGTTTCAATCAAGTGTTTCAAGGAAATGCGCTTTGTGGTTCAAATCCTGCTCTCACTGAAGGCATCATTGCTCAATCCACAATATCCGCGTTTTCGTCGGAATCAAGCCTATTTTTCGAGTTCTCGCTAAAGTCAATCTCTGCCTATTTTACTTTGTTCCGGCAATCTTTCGTATCCTTCGGAATGAGAGCTCAAAGAGCTGCCAACTCTCCACGTCCCTGCCCTTTTCCGTAATCCAGGCGCCTAATTAATTGGCCGTCGCCGCCATCGTCTTTGTCGTGCGTCTTCGTTGATTGCGTGTCCCGCCTCTTTTCCAAATCCCCCACCAGTAGCGGAGAAGTGTAAAACCGAATTAAGCTCTGTCGACTTGGTCGCCCTGCCGAGCTCTAGGCTTTAGTTTCCCTAAAAGAAATCGCGTTTTCCAGCACTTTTTTGTCTGCACGGCGTCCCATTATCCGACAAACTCAATTCCCTCTACCCTATTTTCCCGAATGATTTCAACCGAAAAAACATAAAAACAGGCAAAATGTTTATCAGCTTTCCGAGAATGACCTCTGGTTTCAAAAGACGAGAATCACATTTCAGCTGTTTCTGGGCTTAGACGATGGGAGGAGCTTGAAAGGAAAGAGAGCACGACGCAGAGAAGGCACAACTTGTGACCGGCGTTTCGCCTCGGCTCCCCGCCCGGTTCTTCGTTCATCTATAGACGGACGGGCGGAGCAACTTGTTTCCCCTCCGGGGCCCATAAGGGACCCTCTTCCTCCGTCTCCTTGTCCCCTTACGTACCACTTCTCCTTTTTTATATCGGATTAAAAAGTCTCGTATGTCATCGTTATCTGCTCGCTTTTGATCGAAAGACGGAAGTCTAATAAGTTGTTTTCAGCGGTGCAAAGTTATGGAAGATAAGCATGGAGAAGAGGACGAGAGCAAGAAGGTGAAAATGCATTTGAAGGCAAACGATCTGGTTAGTTACGACCGAAACATTTCGGAACAATAACACGTTACTTTAGTTATGTGTCAACGGATGTGGATTCTACGGCACTCCGCAGTGGCAAAATCGCTGCTCAAAATGTTGGAGAGCTCATCAGAATGAAGTGAAAAGGAGTCAAGACTTTGCCAAGAATCGGTGAGCATTTTTAATATCTGAAAACCTGTAATTATGATTATTCAGATCGTTGCTGAGCTTTGATCAATTCCAAGAAAGGCGGAAATTGACGACGGAAAGCAAGTCTCGCGGCATCAAGAGTCTGTTCAAAACGTCTCCGATTCCCGGTGAGCTCCTGCAATTCCCTGAAAAACTTTCAAATTCTCATTTCCTTCGTCTTCGAAATAATTGAAAGCCCTCTCGCTCCGTCTCAAATTCTCGTTCGCAAAGCCTGCCGGGCAAATGAAAAAGATCCGCTTTCGATTGGGAATTTCAGAAACCATTATTTTTCAGAGGGAGGAACCAGTTCGCCGACATCCACGTCTCCGTCAGGTACTCCAACCAGGTTGGTTTTCAGAAACGGATTTCCAGAGATCTTGCAATTTCTGAAAATGGTTGTTGTTGTTGTTTTCGGCCGGAGAGCCATGGCAGTGACTTCTTGTTATTTTCGAGTGCACGCATCCCCTTTCCTCCCCGAGCTGCGTATATTTATCGTCTGTGGCCACCCGAACGACGTCGTCTGCTGTTCTTCTATACGAATAGCAGATGAAGTCGACGTCTGAAAAGAGACGAGTAGCTTCGAACTTTGCACTTTCGGTATAATTGAATAAGAAATAGAGGCAATGGGCTCGCAGCTGAGCAGCAATGCCACGTCGTTGACGCACTTGGTCTGCGTGACCGAATACGAAATGAGCTAATGCTCTATGTGAGCACTAATCCATCTGAGAACTACATTGAAAGGACAGGTTCGGATGAGAGGAGGAAGTGTACGATTATCGGGAAGTAGTTGTAGTCTTCGGGAGCTCGCCATGAATTCTGAATATCTGACTAATATGAATCTTCTCACCTTGTAGGTGAGTCGAGTGAATCATTCGTTCGCCTTTTCGAGCAAAAACGCTCTTCTTGCGACACGTCTTCATACGTCGTCTCCATTTTGTTTTCGTCACTCTCTTCTTCTTCACTTAATTCGGCGAAATCAAAAAACAAGAAAATCTATGCGGAAACACACTCGGTCGAACGGATATTCCCATGTTTTCCCTTTTCGCCAAACTCTGGTGTGCTTTAGTTCGAAAGTGCACCGAAAAGAGAGTGAGTCATTCTGGAATCCGCGTGACACGACAAAAAAAGGAAGCGAGCACTTTGGGAAAGAAAATACGACAAACGAGCAGCTCGGGGCAGGCAGGGGACTAGAATTTGCATGGGAATATACGCATAATTGAGAAGGGAATGCGTTTCTTCGCGGAAAAAGAGAGAATATTCTCAGGCGAGCTTTAGCATGGGAAATGAACTCCTGAACTCGAATTATTCAAACCGTAATTACTATTTTCAGACGAAGAGATCTCTCGCCAGACTCACAAGAAGCCCGTCAACAGTTGAGCGACTTCCTCGTCGCCAACTTGCCAACTGCAATGACCCAGGAAATTGCTAAATCCGTGAAGAATGCAGTTAACAAAATTAGCGATATACGACTGACGCCGGATGACATGTCCGAACTGGTGATGAGCTATTATCAATATCTGGGAGATCGCATCGGAGCACACGCGATATTCAATTCGCCGGACTGCAAAGTGAAAGTGGAAGACGTGATGGATCGAGTGGAGAAGTACATCTCGACGTGCTGTTACTCAGTTTTCTTCTGTGCCAGCCACGAAGAGGAAGTTGCCGATGTCTCTCTCCAGGATAGAATCCGTTCGTTGCATTGGGTCACTGCTGGATTCCTGGAGACGAAGCTCGTGTTCAAGAAACAAGCAGTTCGGGATCGCATCGATGAGGCCATTTCTGAGCTGATCGAGATCAATGCGAAGAAGTCGGCTTTCGAAAAGCTCGAGTGTCTGACTCGATCCTGTAAAGCCATCTTTGAAGCCTTGAGAGAGAGTGGTACGTGCTTCCGGGGTTTATCATTTCTCGTAATCACCTGCTCCCATTTTCCAGACGCACCTACATCGGCCGACGAATTCCTTCCCACTCTCATCTACATTCTTTTCCGTGGCAACCCTCCCCTCATCCAATCGAACGTCAAGTTCATCTCCCGATATGCCATTCCAGCACGGTTAATGAGCGGAGAGGCCGCCTATTTTTTCACCAATCTCTCTTGTGCTCTTCAATTCGCCCAGAACATGAACCACGAGAGTCTCCAAATGGAAAAGACTGAATTTGAAGCATACACTTCCGGGCACTTGGCTCCGCCCCTTTCTGTCATCAATTCGGCTTGTAATCAGGCGATGTATGTGTTGGAAGGAACGATTGAAACGATTGCGACTGTGGCAGAAAAGGCAAAAAGTCTGGCAATGAGCTTGACGAGTACGCACACAAGGGCGGACGAGTCAGTGAACATAAAAAGAGAACAAAACGAGAATAAATCTTTGCAGCGATCTCGCGAAAATGCTCGTCATAATCAAAGAAACGGTCAACTTCTACCCGACTGACACCTATCGCGACATGAAGGATTCTGTAAGCGTTTTCGTTATTTCAATTTTCGTGTTCACGACGCAGATCTAAAATAACCACCAAACTGACTCCTCTAGCGTTTTATGCAAAAGCAAGATTCCAGATATTTGCCGAGGAGAAGGAGACTGCTGACATGCTGGTTTCCCTGTCCCGCCAGTCATCCGATTCTGGACGAGGGACCCTCTCGTCTTCCGCCGACACTCAGCCACCGACCCCTCAGCCTCAGTTGGACACAGAATCTCCTCTCGTCGTTGCACTCAACAACGAACAGTCCGTTCCTCTCGGTTCCCCTCCCTCTTCCGACTAATAATTTCATGTCATATTCCTCAGTCATTATATTCTAGTCTATCCGAATAACTGTAAATATGTGCGCTTCCCTCGTCAGTTTCGTGTTCTCCTGGTGATACATTCTCGCTCCGTTTTATCATTGTGCCAATCACTTTCTCTGGCTCCACTTAGGATTTACATTTGTCTCGATTGGGTTCATTCTTTGCCTTCCTCATGTTAATCTGTAAACTCCTAGCGAACGGGTTTTCTAGACCAAATGACTTGTCCCCTTTATGCCTCCACGCTTATCTTCCTTTATCCCCGTGAACTCTCTCCCCATGCCTTAATCACTCCCCCTTTTTTCTCCGTCATTACTTGCTTACCGCTTTCCCAATCATGCTACTCGAACTGGTTCTGCTCGGACTCATCGCCTATCTTTTGCTCGCCTGGCACAGAAAAGAAGTTGCGAAGGTGAGCGAAACAAAGAACTTCTGATAAGAAATGGCAGTTCAGGGTGGCGAAGGACTCGGAGCAGCTGGCCCGATTTTAGAGGAGTTGGAGAGTGTCGTCTACAAGATCATCGACATTTTCAAGAAACAAGCCAACTCCAAGAAAGCGTAAGTTGCCTGTCAGTTGCCAGTTGTTTGACACAGCTCCGTTTCCAGTTTGACCTCGCAGAGCAATCCGGACGTGTCCGCAGACGAAGCGCCGACCCAGAAGAACTCGCCACGTGTGGCTCAAGTTGAGAAATTCGAAAGTGTGCGGCAGCAGAGGGAGAAGAGCCGCTCAAAGCATCACTCCCGACATCGTTCCAAGATGGATAGCGCTCTCAAGGCTGCCCAAAAATAAAATATCCGGAAGTGCTTTTGTGGATGGAATAAATTATTGCTTTCAAATGACGGGCTTGTTTATCTTGATAATGGTTCACTTCCGTGTTGTATCGTTCTCCGAATGACTCCTTTTTTCAATTTACTTGGTCTCTTTCATTTTAGTTCAGAATGCTGCGAGTGCTGGTTCGGAGCGGATCTGAAGCGTGCCGAGCGGTCAGCACATCTTCTGCCGTTTTTGCAGTTCCAGTCCGAAAGGAAGATCTCTCGGCCGAACAGATCTGGGAGAGACGGTCGAAATTACGAATTCCGAAGTTGCAAAAGGACGAGCAGTTGTCATCGAAAGTATATTTTGCACCCGAATGGGATCTCGAAAAGAAACCGAACTTGGACGAAGGATTCGTGAATCCATTGAAGGGATTCGGAATGACCCCTGAGAAGTGGGAATACTACAATAAGGTTGGTGCAATTCAGTGCTTCCCAGTTTCTATAAAACTCTTATTTTCAGGTCGTTTGGCCGCCAAACTACGTGGTGCCTGAGACTGGACTTCCGAAGCCGAAGGAGGTGTTCCATTGCAAAGAATCGGTTCATTTTTCGCCGAAAAGAATGTGGGCGGCATGTCAGCTCATTTGGAAGATGAACGTCGACATGGCCATCACACAACTCGACATGCAACAGCTGAAGGCGTGCTCTCTTCTGATGGAAGCGATCAAAAAGGCGAAAAGTCGGGCGGCCGACGAGTTTCACATTGAATATCCGTCGCAAATGTACGTGGCCGACGCCTTCCCGGTCCAGTCGAATATCGTGAAGGGCGCTCGTCGTCACGCCCACGAGAACTGGAACACCATTCGATACCGATACATTCACATCTTCGTCCGCCTCGAGGAAGGCCCTGCTCCCGCCCACAAACAACGGCATGCTCAGAAAGACGGATGGGATCACATGGACGAGTACTACAGCTATCTCCGGTCTCGATCCATCAAATATAGCATCTAGGATATTAGTAACTGTCTCTCCTTGTTTTCTTCATTTTTGTTGACTCATTTTCCGTTCATAAATACACATACAAAACTGTCATTTGATATTTCCGTATAGTTTCTCATTTTTATACGTTTTAGAACTGCTTCGAACTAACACAAGACTAAAGCTATAGCGCGGGGCAGATCATTTCACGTTTTGGTCCTGCCCGTGGCAATGTCTGAAATGGTCTGATTAAAAATGAGTCGTTTCAATCGAACCACCGCATTTTAATTATGATGATTCCGAGTGATTTCGAGCGAACCGCGCAAGCCAAACCACAATGATCTGTGAAATTGCAATGATGGTTTTCCAATCATTTGCTTTTTTGTAGTCATTACAAAGTCAATAGGCACCTGAAATGGGACACCGGAGACGGAATGATGGAGGAGGACGGGCAGGTGCACCCAGTTCCGTTCGTTCCCCTTGGGCGGACGGACACCTGCCCGAATTGACACAAGAGCATTCCATGTTGATGGATAATGAATCGAGCGTGCCGTTTTCTCTTTCTCCTCCGAGCTTCCATCGTCCACGTCATCCATCCTTGACACCCATCCAATCGTTTCTTGCCTTCCAATCTGCCCTTCACGCACCGCCATATTGTCAAACAAGAGACGACGATTCGCCGACAAACGGACCGTCGTTCGACTCGCAAAAAAGTTGTGAAACAATTAGGAATCCCGAGGTCGCTCCGTCCGGCGAGTAGCGGCGTCCGGACCCTTCGGAAGCATCAGCCACCTGTCTTTTGTGTGTTCGCTCGCGCGTATCCACGAATGCCTAATTTTGTGTATTCGTCGTGGGCATGGTACAACAGACCAATCAAGGCCAATTCTGCTTTCCGACCATCACGTATTTGCCTCGTTTTCTCTGGCTCACCGGCCAACGGAAGACGGTCATTATGAAAGCGAAAGGAAAGCGGGTCAAACGAGTAAGTAATTGCACTCGGACAGGTAACAGATGCTCATGAATGGCTTCTGCTCCAATGATTCTCCTTTTCTCTCTCTCTCTTTTCCTATTCCGAATACAATCTTGCCACGTCATCTGTTTCGCCGTTCCTCTCTAATTGGCACCCTTACCTTTATTCGTTGCCCTCAATACAGAAACAAATCCAATTGAAGTGAGGGTAAATGAGCGGATCGGAAGCGGAGGAAAAGAATGACAATACGTCTAGTGGGTGTCATGTACACCACCCAATAAAGAGGTTCAAGCGGCCAGGAGAACATGCCAACGTGCCACTTATCCCGCGTTTCCGACCTTCCGTGTTATTACCACCCACCATATCCTTTTGTTTCATTCCATTCCATTTCGAATATCATATCTGTGCAATGATCTTCTGTCTCAATGAAGTGCTTGTGCTTCTAATTCTGGAAGCTCTTTCCGAACTTCTTCTTCTCCGTGTCCCTTCCCTTCTTTCTCCCTCTCCTCTCCCTCTATTTCTAACTCGAGACTGTCCTTCACTCAGTGCCAATTGTCTTTCCGATCGGAAGGGGAGGCGGTCTCCCTCCTCTCAAGTGTAGTTCACACCTCTCGCCGCCGCCCGTACCACCGGAAAACCGTCGCCCAACCAATCCAATATGTCCTTTTTGATATGCTAATTTCATCGCCGTCGCGCGCGCGCCAATTCGATCCCCTTCCCAACCTAATCCCATCCTTTTTCGCTCTGTCATTCCGACACGTTTATTTGCCCGCACCAGCGTCTCATCACCATCCGACCGCCAACTCAACACATGCGCCTTATTTATTTGGAAAGACACGCTTTGTATGTGATGAGAAGAAGAGGTTAGAAGGCAAGAATGTTTGTTTGTTCATGATAGGTTACACCTGATTAGAAACCTACAGTATTCTCTTAATTCGAACATTATCATCGTTTCATCTTCGAATATTTTAAATTTGAAATTCTCGCAATATTCGGCCACCTTTCACCTCTCTCGCCGGGTCATCAGCCCTTTCCTGTTCCACTTAATAACCGTGATACCATCTTTCCCTGCGAACAAACATGATTCGTCGTTGCCTCCGATCCTCCGAAATTATGCAATCTCCCTCGCCGTTTCACCTCATTTCGTCCGCAGACGACCGGCGCGAGGCGCCCGAAAAAGGCTCCCTTAAATCCATTTATTCTTCATTTTCCCGATCGAAAACGAAAGGATATCGTCGCCATTCTTTCCTTTTTCTGTTTTTGTCCTCAAACTCTTTTTGTTGACCCATCAAAATGATGCTTTTCACTCTACACCCCTTTTCTAACCTACCGTAATCCTCTTGTTTCAGATCGATGCGGTCCAGATGACAATACGATCTTATTCACTTCTTACTGCATTAATTCTACTGTCCGTATTCAAATTCTCGCGCCAATTTTCTGAAGAGACGATCAAGTTTTCGGTTTCCGAAGGTACTCGATTTCACATTGAAACCCACATGAAACATGTCATGACCAGTTATTTGAAGAGGCAAAAAATGGGGAATCTTCTACTAGGTAATTAGGAAGAAATTGACAGACGATCGACAAAAAACAGGAAGGTTGTGGCATTTTGAAAGTGGCGGTCGATGAGGTGTGAAGAAGGAGAAGAAGCGCCCAGGAGGAAGGGATAATGGATCTGGGAGGGGGATTACTTTTAGAGGAACTTGTATTTGAAAGTTCTAACTCATTTCATTTCAGATGCTCCGATCAATTCCATCATTGGGAATTTGGAAGCGCAGGATGGGTTCACCTACCGGCTTTCGCGCGGGAATTCGAAAATCAAATTCGATGATCAGACACTAGAAGTGAGAATTGGGTTTGCTGTATCTGACTGAAACTTTGTCCGTTTAAGCTGTCAGTCTCCGCTCATCTGGATCGAGAATCGGAAGATGCCATCGACATGCTCGTAATCACCTCGCCGCCCTCAATCATTCACATCCTCATCGACATCCTCGACGTGAACGACAATGCGCCGAAGTTTCCGTTGGACCCTCAGGTACACTATCCGTTTTTCATAGTTTCCCATCATTACGCACTTCTCCAGAAAGTGGAAATCCCGGAAACTGCGCCAATCGGCTGGCGCGTTTCCATTTCTGGCGCCACAGATCCTGACGAAGCGAAAAACGGAACAATTGGAGGGTATGAGCTGAGAGAAGCAGTCGAAACGGACGGAACGACGACGCCGCCGCCGTTCTCCATTGTTCAGTCCGACGGATTCGTGTTTGTGGAAGTGAGCGGAAGGCTGGACAGGGAGGAAAGGGACCTGTACTCGATGAGACTGACTGCGAGCGATCAGGGAACTCCGCAAAGGTAAAGAACGGATCATCCACCCCGTTTTCCCGTTTACAACTTCTCTCTTCGTCTTAGCCGTTCGTTCCAAATGTAGCCGCACAGCAAAACGATAAGTTTATTGGTGATCCGAGAGATTGGCCGAACAATCCGGGCGCTCGTAAAATAGAAAAACAGCCGGGAGACCATCTGGCCATTCGGGTTCCAATTGTGGGTTTGCAACAGAATCGGCACGAAACCTTTTCGGCGAAAGGGCGAGTTCGACCATATGTCACCATTAGGGCATCGGCCTTGAGCGCCTTTTTGATGGGGTTGGAGTGAGCGAAAAAGTGTGTCCTACAGTCTATAATATAACTACAGTAATCCAAAGTGTGAATGTAAATTTGTAAATTTCTGAATTCCAATTCATTTAGAAGCGCTTCATGTCTCCTGAACATCCTCGTCCTGGACACAAATGACAATCCGCCGGACTTTGGAACCCGTTCAATCAGTCTCGACTGGAACGGCCGATCCTCTGCGGCCTTGTTCCGTTTGAATGCCACCGATCCGGACTCGGGAGACAATTCCGTCGTGCACTACCGTATCCTGGCACCTGCCAACGAGTACTTCTCGATCAGCGACGGAGACATTCTGGTCACCCAAGTGAGTTATTGTTTGCTCTTCGCAAGGTTTTTGGTCATTCACACTTGGTTTGAATGCAAAAAGAACCCTTGAGGAGCGGCATTGACCCCGATTCATTTCAGAATAACACTGCCGACGCGTGCTCGCCGCGTTGCGAATTCACGGTGGAAGCCAAGGATTCTGGAGTACCACCGTTGACGACGACGCTGAATGTGGTGGTGCACGTGGAATACGGGAACGAACACGAGCCCAATATCAATATCAGGTTGGAGATTGGGGAAAGGAATCACGCATCAGGGAATCAGGGATTACTTTCAGATTCTATCCGGCAGACTTTCCATTCATTGTCGTTCAACCGGAAGATGTGAACGGCAAGACTTTGGCGATATTATCGATTACAGATTCGGATGGTCCATTAGGAGATAACGCGACAATCTGGATCGAATCGGGCAACGAGGACTCGATTTTCTCGCTGATTTCTCGCCAATCCATTAACATTCTCACACTGAAAAGCGTGGAAAACGCGAAAAAAGAACAGTATACAATTGAGTTCGGAGCGAATGACGGACAGAAACCAACGGAGAAGACCGCTCGGAAAGCCTTGAAACTGTTCTTCAAGAGATATGTCAAATCAACGTACGTTCATGTCGATCCTGAGTTTCATGTGAACGTGGAAAGGGATACTGTACCCGGGAGCTTTGTTGCTCACGTGCTCACCAACTGCTCCAACATGTGCCTTTTTGAGCTCCTCGACTCGGATGTCTTTAAGATTGACCCAACTAATGGTAAGAAAAGAGAGCACTACGATTGTAACTTCTCTATTTCCAGGAATCATCGTGACTTCTGCTCAACTCCCCGATGACGTGGCAAGTTTTCATCTGCCAGTGAAAATCCGTCTCCCTCCTCCAAGTACGAATCATTTGGAGACCGATGTTTTCGTGAAAGTGATCAAAGAATCCGTTCCCAAGACACTAATCAGAACTGCTCAAACAACTGTGAGTTTTAACATTAATCTGATCTCACACTTCGAATTCAGGTGCATCTCAAACGTGCCTACACTTTCTCCACGTGGCACAACGTGTCAATCGGGACTGTCGTCGGCAGACTTCCAAGAGCACAAGTTTACTCCACTTCGGACGTCCACTCAGAGCTCGGAGTCTTCCCGGACGGAGCGGTTTTCGTGGGAAGGCAGATTGAGAATGAAATTGTGACACTACCAGTAATCCTCGAGGACAGGTCCGTTATTGCTGAAGACTGAAAGGAAACAAATCATTTCCAGGAACACCACCCAAAAGTCCTTGATTACTGTTATTGTTGAGAAAGCGAACGACCATGCCCCCACATGCCAAACAACGGAAATATACGTGCCAGAAAGCACAGTGACGGGCAGTGTAATCGGAAAACTTCTGGCGACAGATCTGGATTCTGGCGCAGACGGAGTACTTTCTTTCAAACTCGTGAGCTCCGACGATGACGTCATCTACGTAGAAGGCTCGACTGGAAACATTAAAAACTTGGTGGAGTTTGACGCAGAACGAACAACCAATTACACGTTCACATACGAAGTTAGCGACTACGGTGAGTTGCAGATCGTTGAAACTCTCTTTGCGAACCAGACATTTCAGGATCACCGCGACGAAAGACGAATTGTACTGGAGTGATCCACGTGAAAGACGTCAACGACAACGCTCCGAAATTCGGATCCAGTTACTATTCTGCCAAAATATCAGGAAATGCAAACGCAACTGTCGCAATTGTGCACGCCGACGATGAAGATGTTGAAGAGAAGAACAGAAGAGTCCAGTACAGACTTCTGAATCTCGACACCTTCTTTTACATCGACAAGCATACGGGAAAGATCGAAACCGTTCAGGATCTTCCGAAAACTTGTCATCGTGTGAATTTGACGATTGAAGCACTCAACGTGGACTCCGATAACTTCCTTTCGAGCATTTCATTCGTTTTGGTCACTGTTGTAAATTCCACGGAATTGCACGTCCAATTAAATTCCGAGCCAGTGATCAGAATCTATAAAAATGACATGCCAGGAGCAAAAGTGGGCAGAATCGAGATGACGTCGTCCGATTCTGTTTCCTGGAGCATCAAAGATCCGAGAGTTTTCCTGGATTCCGCCGGAAATGTCATTTTGAAAAAGAAAACAAAGTCTGAGAAAGGAATCGAAGTCGTCGTTCGAAGCAATTCTGGAGTGGAGAAAAGATTCAATTACACCGTGGAGATGATGAATTCGGAGAGGAATGAAAACGAACAACTTGTCACCGAAATTGTCTGGGATAGAATGAACGCCTCCAACCAGATTCTTGATCTTTCCAATGATTGGAAAGGATGGAAAGTAGTACGAATCATAAATGAAAACGCGGAGAGCAACAATGAAACGGAGCAGCTCTTCATGAAGAATAAGATTCTTTACGGCTCTAGCAACCTGACCGATTCTTTCGTGTTTCTGGAATCTTCCACTGAAAGGTGAGCGACTAGTACAGTTTGCGATTAATGTTGTCTTTTGCAGTGATGCCATTCCTCACTCATTCAAAGTCATCCACGTCATCACTTCTGCTCAGAATGAATCGGGAGTCTGTTCTTCGAGTGTCCATCTGATAACTCCGCCAGCTACAGTTCCGATTCCAGCCAACTGTTCGGACGTCAGTCTCCAAAATCAGAAACCTCTTCAGTTGCACGACGGAAATCTTCTCGTTCCTTCCCAGGCTGAACTGATAAGCCACGTGGATTTTATATCAGAGAAGAAGCCCTTTATGATGACGTTGATCAAGGATTCTCCGAGCGAAGAGGTCAAATTCGCATCGAACAATGTTCTTATGCTTCTATCTTCTGTGCATAACATTGGTAAGATAAAGCAGTGAGTGAACAGCCGCCATGTCCTCTTCAGGTGCTTCTTTCGGCCGGGTCACTGCCGATTCTGCGTACCGAATTCGCTACTATTTGGTTGGAACTCATCAGATTTCAATTGACGCCGACACCGGAGAGCTGTTCCTGAAAGAGCGATTCTATCGGAATCTGAATGACATTCAAATCATTGCAGTAATTCCGACCGGCATTGCGAAAGCGAAAGTGAGCGTTCCGTTAGTGTTTATGGGTTGACTTTATCGTTTTCAGCTGACCATCGAAGTGATAGAAGACCGTCTTCATCTCCCGAAAGCCAACTTTGTGGTCTTTGCCCCGAACTCTTTGAAATCGGAGCCTCCGATCGGAAAGATCTCAATCGGAAGAGATGACGTCATTGTAGATGTCATTGATGAACACTTCTACGTTCGAAGATCTGAAATCCACGCAAAGAAGCACTTTGTTCCGCAATCAATCTTTTATGATTTGCAAGGAATTGTCAAGAAAGGAAAGCTGAGCGCTCCGATTAACGTGACGATTTTCTTTGGAAGTTTCGGGGAGGGTCAAAATGAGCAACGAGAGAACGAGCTGATGTTCGAAGTGGAAGAGAACTCCCCGGTGGGGACAGTGGTTGGAGTCGTCCCGAACAGTGAGTTCATCTGAATTCGCATTCAGTACAAGTTCTTGTTCAGATCACATCTCAAAGTACCGATTGGTTGACCAGAACTGCGGATTACTGATTGATCAAGACGGAATCATTCGCACGACGACTTCGTTTGATCGAGAGAAAACGTCGCTGCTGAAGACAAAGATGATTGAGCCGGCTGCCAATCGCATCTGGGATCTCCTCGTTTTCATTGGAGATGCTAACGACAACAAACCGAAGATTGTGAATGCACCCGGGAGAATAATCGTATCAAAAGAGACTAGGAATGTCTATAAACTGATGTGGGAGGATCCAGATGAGACGGCGACGGATGTGAACTTTGCGATAGTGGACGGAGATCCGTTTGGATACCTTGAAGTGCTGGATTCTGGAGACATTAGTCTGAAGTCGTTGCCTTCTGAATCCTTCAACGCCATCATCCGAATCAATGATAACCGACCGCCGTTCGCAGTCAACTCGGACGATGTTACTATCGAGTTTCAAGTAGTTCCGCAATTGAAAAAAGTCACTTGTGAAGATGAGAGGTTTTGGATATTCGGCGCAGTTCCAAAAAAGAATGCAGTCATAGGAAGAATGAGAACGACGTCATCAGAAGAAGTGACTTGGAGAATTATTCCGAACTCCCTTCCACTTGCTGAGTTTGTGATTGATCCGATGACCGGAGAGCTTCTCATGAATTCGAATGGTCTTCTGAGCAGCGGGGACGTCTTCAACCTGAATGTGCAGGTTATTTCGTATGACGCCGAGAGAACTGGATTCTGCAAAGCTCGCGTTACTGTCGCTGATATCAGTTCTTCTGAAAGCATAAAGATTTCCGATGAAACAATGGAGTTCTTTGTTAGCGAAGTGAGTCATTTTCCAGTAGTCATTCTCTTATTTTCTAATGATTCAGACCACCGACAGAGGAACTGTTATCGGAAGAATCCGTCTGGAGAATGAGTCGGATGACGTTGTGTTCCGAATTCTCAACGACTTCAACTTCACAATTTCCCCATTTGACGGCACTGTTTTCACAAACTCTCCCTTGGATTATGAAGACGTGAAAAGCTACAAAATCCGAGTAGTGGCCGAAAAAGCAGGCGCTCCTGCTTCTCATGCTGACGTTGTCATCCACGTCACCGATGAAAACGACGAAGCTCCTCGGTTTATAACTGGAGACGTTGTGAATCTGAGAGTGAAGGAGGAGGAAACGACTGTCGCGTATCCGTTGATTATCGGTAGTTCGATTGCCGAAGACGTGGACGAGGGGCAGAATGGGGTCGTCACCTACAGTATTCTCTCCGGAAACACGAGCCTGTTCGCCGTGAACTCAACAACAGGTACTCACAGATAACTGGGGAATCATGTCATTCTTTGTATTTTCAGGAGACATTCTTGCTCTCGCACCTTTGGATCGAGAACTTTCCGATCTTTACGAGTTGATTGTCGAGGCGAAAGACGCTGGAATTCCCTCGCTCACCGCAACTTCTCGTATTTTGATCCACGTGGAAGACGTCAATGATAACTTGCCTGAGTTCAAGCAGTCCACCTACTTTGTCAGAATTCCGGAGAATCTCCCAAGTGGCTCAAAAATCATCCGAATCCAAGCAACGGACAAAGATGAAAACGCAGAGCTACAGTATTCCATTGGCGACGTGGCCGACATGATTCCGTTCCGAATTGACGTGGCAACTGGATGGATTATTGTATCCGGAAGGGTCGATAGAGAAGAGAAGAAGGAGTACGAGATTGCTGTAGTGGTGAAGGACGGCGGGAAGAGCACAAAGTGTCTCGTCACCGTGATGGTAGAAGATGTGAACGACAATGCTCCGATCGTTGAAAATCAGAACTTGGATGTATTCGTGCCTGTTGACGTGGCAGAAGGAGATCTTCTTTACGTGATCGATGTGCACGACCCGGATAGAAACGATCATTTGAAGTTCATCTTGAATGGAACAGACGCTGACATGTTCACAGTGACGGAGCACGGCGAGATTCTCGCTCGGAAGAGGAGCCTCACTACGAAGTCGTTCTTTTCCGTGGAAGTCACTGTCGTTGATGACGTCGGGCACTCCTCTTCGTCTGAATTCACCTTCTATCTACATCCCAGCAAGGAATTCCCAGTTTGGAAGGAGAAAATGGAGTCTGCGAGTGTTCGCGAGCACGAGAATCAAGAAGTGGCCGTATTCAAAGCGAAAGGACAAGGAGTACGGTACTCGATTGTGAGCCGATGCAAAGAGCATTTGAGCATCGAGAGCATCAGCGGAATACTGTCTACTAAAGAGACTTTGGATCGAGAGGAGCTCCCCGAGTGCCCAGTTTTTGTGATTGCCACGTCATACTTGGATAACAAGCCTCTGTCGGTGATCACGAAAATGCTCATCAAAGTGATCGACATAAACGACAACGATCCGATCTTCGACCAGCAACTCTATAGCTTTAACGTCACCGAGAATTCGGGACCGTATTTGGTCGGAAGGATCCATGCGAGAGACGCAGACAGTGGAGAGAACTCGAGAATTTATTACGAAATAGTTGGAGGAGACAAGAATCACGAATTCATGATAACAGAAGACGGAGAGATCGAGACTGTTCGGGATCTGGACAGAGAGACAGAGTCCGAGTATCGTCTGATCATCGAGGCAATTGACGACGGGAAGCCGAGAAGAAGAGGGAACACGACAGTGATTGTGAAGGTGCTCGACGAGGATGACAATGCTCCTCGCTTCTCCAGAATCTTCCACGTCGAGATTCCGGAAGACGCGGCGATCGGGCTATTCGTCATTCAGCTGTCAGCTTCTGACGCGGACGAAACTGCCAATCACAGATTCGCTCTGGAGAGCGGAGAAGAAAATGCGCCGTTCCGAGTTGAAGAAGAGTCTGGAAATGTGTTTGTGAACGACACTTTAGACTTCGAAAAGGTATTTCTGATATCTACAAGAAATCATTTTACAGTGAGGTTTCAGAAATCAAGTTATCGGATAAAAGTTCGTTTGACGGATGGAGTATGGCTCATCGAAACGAGTCTGTTCATCACTCTGAGGGATGTGAATGACAATTTCCCATCCTTTGAAAAAGAGGAATATTTCATGATTTCTGAACAAGTAAGATAGGTTCAAGTGAAAAATTACAAACTAAAATTCTAATTTCCAGGACAATCAAACACTTGGACAGGTGAAGGCAGTTGACAAGGATTCCGGAGAGAACGGAAAAGTTCGCTATTCGATAACTTCCCCGTTCTTCCGTATTCATCCCAATTCGGGAGTGATCACAAGGCTCCGCCCCCTTCCGAATGCATTGACTGTTTTGGAGGTGACTGCTGCTGACCACGGAGTTCCACGTCTTCAACGAACATGCACAGTCCACGTGGTTGACAGAAAACAGTTCAAAACTGTCAGAGATGAGAAACTGAGAGGAACTGCGAAGAGAGAAGATGTCATCGGAGTGGGATTCTCAAGTTTCGCCGAGGTTTTTCCACGTGGAAGTGCTACCGTATCCAGCTACGGTCGTTTGATTTTGAACGCCAACACTGCCTGCGATCTATGGATCCTCGAGAACTCAACAATCACTTCATACTCGGTCCTCTCCGACTCCATTCCCTTCTCGGAATCACTGAAGAATGAGACGATTCACATAAATCTAAATGCCACGTCGCCGATCGGGAAAACATTGTGCAAATTAGAAGTACCTGGATGCTCACATTTCGAGCCACTTCCCACATCAACCAGCTTTGCCATCGACAGAAACGGCAAATTGAAGATGACGGGGATCGATGGGAATGAATCCGTTTCACTGGAAATAGTCTGTAACGACGGAGTCTGGCCAAAGAGAAATCAAGCACGGGAAATTGTGATCAAGGTTTCGAGAAGCGATCAGGTGTTTGTTTCTGCTGGAAGAACACTGAAAATCAGGAAAAACAGGACGGTTCTTCCGAGAAACATCGAGCTGAATGTATCCTCGGGGACTCAGCCGGGATCAATCCTCTGGGAGAACAAGCAGATGATTCCGCTTTCGACGGAGACGAGTTCCACGTTCAATTGGAAGCACGGAGACCTCTTTCTGAAGTCGTCGTTGGATTCTGAAAAGACGACGTTCGACGTTTTCGGATCCGGATTCAGAAGGTAAAATATTCACTCTACAATCTGAGAAGAAATTGATTGCAGAAGTACAATCACTATCACTCCGCAAGAAGATTCCCCACCGTGTCCGATCTTTCCACAGGATCTTTACTTCTTCGAGACTTCTGGGAACGTGTCGGAAATTCACAGTTTTGGATGGAATTCAGAAGCTTTGAAATCGTGCCGAATCCGGTTTCTGAACGTTAATGAATTACAAGTAGGCGTTCAAAAGCATGATTCTGTTCAAAAAGGGAACTTTTCAGGACCCGGTTTTCCACGTGAATGGTTCTCAACTGATGTCTCTGAAGCCTCTGCCTTCGGGGACATATCAGTTCTCTCTGGCTGTCGAGTCCCTTCCTGATGAACAAGTTCGGTCGAAATGCCACGTCACAGTAACTGTGCCTGTTATTCCCTCCGCTGACCTCCTACGCTCTCTCCCCTCCGTGATATTTTCTCGCGGAAACTATACAACATCTCCTCTCAATCCTCTTCTCCGTCTGCCACTTTCATACACTTTGGCAGAAGATTCTTCGTTCTCCATAACTGATTCTGGAGCCGTTTGGAGCCGTTCAACTCTGAAGAGCACCTCGAGAAGTGTGTACCGCATCCCTGTGATCGAGAAGGGACAGAAGAAGCAAGAAGTGATCCGAGTGCTTCTGGATGAGATTCCGATGGATTCGGAGAATGAGAAGAGTTTGGAGTACCGTATCACGGACAACAAAAAGGCGATTCTGAATATTGACGTCTCCAACAACAACGTTTCAAAGTGTTTGCCGAGGACGGCAGAGAGTTATGAAGTGACCGAAAGCTGCCACGTCATCACGCCCAGCTCTTTTTCGAATATACAAATGCCTGTGACATCGTCAGAATCCAATGCCACGTGGAATGTCAATATCATCAATGAAACGTCAGAAGCTGCGAAACTACAGAGAAGTGCAGTTGAACTCGAACTGTTCGGTAAGAAATCTGCAATCAGCCGGTTGATAAAAGATTTGAGGGACAATTATAATGATATGGTGAGTCATACTCTGTGTTTTTATGACAATAAACTATTTTTTCAGAAGGTGAATTGTCTTTCTGCGTGGCAAAGTTCGGAAGACCTCAAATATCGAGTGACGTTCGCGATGATCGACAGGAACGACGTCGTTATCGGAGCTTCAGAAACGAAAAGAACGTTGAGCTCATTTCTGGAGAAACACCGACCTAGTTACATCGATTTCGTGGGATTCAGAAGCGATCAATGTGAAAGAGTCATCTGTGCACACAAGAACACCACGTGCCAGACGATGTTAGACGGATCGGCCAGACGATTGATTTCAAGAAGCGGCGTCGTCGTCTTCGATCTTCCCATGAAGACGTTAACCGGACGATGTGAATGCATTGAAGGAGCAGATTGTGAAGAGAAGAACATGAAGGAAGTGATTCAGAAGAAACAAATGGATGACGTCATTCCCGAACACAAAACATGCGATGAAATGGACTGCGGAAGCGACGGAGAGTGCGTCATGGATGGATTCCAACCGATGTGTCGATGCAGGGAAGGAAAGTACGGATTTGAGAGCATGTACGAGTGCGGAAGTTCTTCCGAAGTGTTTTCAATGCCTTCTGGACATCTGGATATAGCTCTCAAGAACTCGAGTTTCCTGGAATGCGCCGACGGATGCAAAGGCGTTCAGCAGATTGAGTTGGACTTCCGGACTGTTCAGGGAATGAGCGAACTGTTTCGCATCGACTTCGGGAAGCAAATGGCATTTATTGAGGTGAGAATGGGGTTTCTAACTCTTCATCCTGACACATCCGCCTTTCAGGTTCGTTCTGGCTCCATCAGTTTCTCTCTGTCCGACGAATTCACGCGTCCCATCCAAACTCTGATAGAGAAGAAGGTCAACGACGGGAGATGGCACCGTCTTCTTTTCCAGATGTCTGACGGAGGAAAGAAAGTTGCTATTCAAGTGGACGGACGAGGAAAAGAAGTAAAGTCGAGGCTGGCCCTTCCGATGATGTTCACTGCTCGGAAGATCCAGCTCACGACCGCCAAAGGCTTCTGCTTCCGGCGCTTTCTTGCCCAGAACCAGTTTGTCCATCCCATTTTCTCGCACAACAAACTGTTCGACGTCTCTTCGTTCCCTCCCTCCTTCGTCTCCTCCACTTGCCCTTTCGATCCTCGCATTTCCCATTCGATCGGATTCTTCTCCAACTTCTCCGACACCACGACACTCGTTCTCCTCTCCGTTCTCGCTTTCATCAGTCTGATCGCCCTCTCCGTGTGTCTATTGGCCATCAGAAGACGTTGGCGACTGAAAAGCTCAAGTAGTGGAGAGACGGAGCGAAGCGGATGGAAGAAGGCGACAGAGATCGACGCCTTCGCCGTTCACCGTCCGCATCGGGGACACGTGAACCGATCGATGGTCAAGTCGCCCGATGACGATACTTATGACGTGGCAAGTGTCTATGGCACGCAAATGGTAAGGAATTCTACTCGTTTTTGTTTTTGACAATCGTTTAATTTCCTTCCAGAAAACCACGCCGACCGATGACATCCGCCACGTGTACACCACTTCCGCTTCTCGTCGCTATCAACCGCCGAGTGCTTACCGAAGAGATGGGCACATTAACATGGCTTATTTGTGATTCGTTCCACATATTTTATCTATTTTATCACTTTGATTCTAGCACCTAACGGGTTTCTGAACTATTTCGATGATTTCAATGATCTAGTCTGTTGATCTTTTGTTTTGTATTCAGTTAATAAACGGATAGTTATACTTCAATCCAAATCAGTTCGTTTCGATGACTCACCGAGAACAGAATCCACTGCTCCGCAGGTGTTCAAATAAATGTGCTCGGCGAGCTCGTCGCGCGGATTCGATCGATTCACCCCCTTTCCTCGAAATGCGACCTCTATTACTTTTGCTTTTGTTATTATCATCAGTTTCTGCCAATTTCATGAATATGTTCATGGGCACTTCGTCCCCCGCTTCTCCGCAAATCGTCTCAGGTACGCACTGTCTTCTTTGGAAGTCTGAGGTTGGATACCATCCTTACAGGATGCTCTTCGTCCGGATGTGTCCCCGCTACAATCGTTCCTAGAACTTCTGGCTTTTGGCCGAATGCGGATGTGCTAACAGGGCTTCAAATCGAGCAGCAGCAGACTCAGAACCAACTAGTTCAACAGGACGATTCTGGGAATGTTGTGTCCGGGAATGTCGTGAATCCTTCTGGATCCTCAAGTACCGCTCAGCCACCGGTCATCTACATTGCTCGTGCCGGATCCGATCAGTACAAGTATTCGGTTGTTTCGAGCACTCAGAGCCCTCTGGGAAGCGGCGTCGGATGGAATTCCAATGGATTCCAGAGTTCATTCGGAAACTCTGGAAATCAGAATACAAATACATTCTCCCAAGGACAAGGATCATCTGGAAATCAGAATCAGAACGCGTTCGGACAAAGCTCTTCTAACTCAGGCACTTTTAACGGCAATCAATTCCAGCAAGGCTTTTCCAATTCAAACAGCGGATTCAACAACCAGAACTCGCAGAATTCATTCAGTCAAGGATCTTCAAATTCTGGAGTGCAATCTGGTTTCCAGAATCGATTCGGAGGATCGAGTGGAGGAGTGCAGAACGGACAGAATGATCAGAATCAATCGAATCAGGGAGCAGTCAACGGACAAATGGGCGCGCAGAGCACTTTCGGAGCGAGTTCCGGAATGATGAACAACGATCAGAACGGTTTCGGCACGTCCTCATCGTCTGGAAACTTCAATGGGCCGAATGCTCAGAATCAGAATCCGTTCAGTCAGAATTCCAATGCGAATCAGGGCCAGGCCGGAAACAGTTTCCAACAGAACCAAATGCCTTTCGGTCCTCCGGTTGTCTCGAGTAACTCACAATTCGGACCAATGCAGGTTGGATCTTCCGGTCAAAACGCGCCTTTTACTCCCACGGAATGGAACTTTCAGCCAGGCAATCAAGGAGTCCATTATGTTGGCGGAGGGGACGCGAATAACGGAGGAGCAGTGAGTGAAAGGGTTACTGTGGGCTACTGTGTCTTCGTTCTTTCAGGGATCATCTGGAATGACCGACGAGGCTAAGCAAATTGCAGTTCAGATTCAGGTAAGTATTGAAAAGCTTTTCGACAATCATTGAGAACGGGTTTCAGGCGATCCGTGATAACCTGAGCATCACGCAGAACGAGTCAAACTACCTGATCGGCCAGCTGAAAGCGAGTCTCCCGCCCGAGTTGCAAAGCCAATTGCAAAGCGTCTGATAACAATTTGAGCGATCTATCAATAAACATTTATCTACATAACAACCGGTATAAAAATGCTTTGCAAAAAGCAATTCGAGTACCCGAATCTGATTGGGAATTGATAAGTCTAGACAACAAGAAAAGCGTTAGACAGGTGGAGAAAAGTTGGGCGGCGGAGGGATACGGTAGGTTTGATAGCCGTCCGAGCAACGGAGAGAAGTTGGCGAGGTGACTGTAGATTTGGACATCCAGTAGGTGAGCGGACGGTGCTGCTGGTCCCACGGCATGTCGTATCTGGAAGGGACTCTGATGAGACGGATAGCACAACGGACAGATGTTTTTGTGAACGGACAAGTGCCCGAGGTCAATGGGTAATCTTATCTCTTGGTGATGACAAACATTGGATCAAATTCGAAATTCAACTGGTTGCGAAACGAGGGCAACGGCAACAAAATAACTATTGTTCGTCGTTTGATTGACGTCTCCTCTAATTGGCAGGGCACTACGAGATTAGCCTTGTCTGGGGAGCACACCTAAGTCAACATCTGTCTTCCGTTCCAATTAGTTCGTTCAGCCAGAAAGATAAGATTCCTTCTGGCAGGTGTTCCCCCTTCCCATACCTGGTGTCATAATCTTCGCAACGGCTGTTACACGGGATGAGACGTGGCTGCACATTCACACTCACACTCCTTTTCGGCGATCTGCAAAATGAACGTTGTTACGAACATTTCGAAGACTCTTCTCACTTTTTTGCTTTCAAGAAAATCACGAGCATGATGGAGAAGGCGAGAGAGGCAAAGAATGCGAGGGCGGCGAGAAGGAGAATGCCGACTTGGAGCGATTCGGACGTGGAGGACTTGTAGAACATGCCGACGAACGAATGGATTCCCGACTCGAGAGCAGACTGCTGGACGTTCATCTGAAAGGAAACGGGCTCGCATGAGAGATTATCTAAAGGAACTGTTACCTGCTGAGGGATCTCATTCGAAATGAGAATGTCCTTCGGATCCGGACACCAGGGACACCGATCCTGATGCTTCGTCACTGTGATCATCGCTTCGAAGCATTTCGCTTTCAGATGAATCGTTCTGTTGTCCGCCGTGTCCGGAGCCAATTCGTAGATGTCTTCTGGGAAGATGCGAACGGCCGGCGTCTGGTCGCAAGTCCTCGGGAAACCGTAAGTTGTGTCGACTCCGACGACGGACGCCGACAGGGAAACGTCTTCTATGCGTCCGACAGGCCAGTAGGTGATGAACGGAGCAACTGTGTGCTCGAGAAACTGCTCGGTAACTGGCCAACTGATCGAGACCCTCTCAGAGATGGGAAGAAGATCTTTCAGCAGCTGAAATGGGGTTTTGAGTGGAGCCATTATGAGGATACTTACCTGAAATCTGGGATGAGAACAGAGGACAGTCGTCAGACATCCTTCTTGCCATTCGATACTGTTTATTTCAGCTGACAGCCAGAACGGCTTGTGTTCCATGGAAACGCAGGAAGGGAAAAGGAGAAAGAGGACAAGGAGGACGAACATTTCTGAAAACGGACAACCATTAGAGAAGCAGTTATCGCCGGAAGAATGGGAAACGGAAGAATCGACTAAAGAAACGAATAGAACGTCAGAAAGTGACAGGCAAGGGAATGACGTGGCAGGCAGATTGTGCAACAGATTAGGTGTACAGAAGGACGGGGGCGGGGCGGAAAGACCGAGAAAGGAGGTGCGAATGGACGCGGAGAGGGAGCAAAAGGAGACCGACGGCGGGAAGAAATGCGAGTGGAAGAGAGAGAAAAATGATATGGTGGAGGCAGAGCTCGGGAAAACTGAACAGGTCCGAGTGAGCACAGTCAAATGACTGTCAGCTGAAGTGCTCTCTTGTTGCCCAATACAAGCAATTATGTCTTCAAAACAACAGATGTCAACAGATTCCTATTTTCCCACTTTCTCACTTTTCAGCTCGCCGACATGTATAGCACTAATCAGCGAGCGAAAACAAAAATATTTGTGCGAAAGTGAAAACTGTTTTGTAATTAGAAATCCCGAGATCTTGATAATTCATAGGTGATAAATCCGGACATCCGAAATGCGAATGACAAGAGAACAAGAGGATTAGGGAGAGGACAATGGGGAGGGAAGAGCAAAAAAGGAAGGAAGGACCACGAGAATCAGATTGGAAATCTCAAGTGCTAATCTCAATTCTGCTACTCTTAGGTCACAAACAAACATTTGCTCTGACTTCTTTGCCCAAACATCTTTGCATTTTGCCGGGAATCGACGCCCCGTCGTTTCCGTTTGCACCTTCCGAAGGTGTGAAATCGGAGACTCTTTCGGGAGGGACTCGCACCCCACCTTCAAAGAAAACGGCCGATAAGGAAAGAAAAAGAGACAGGAAATAGTAAAACTGTACAAAAATCGGGGAAAAAAAGAGAGAAACGGGCAATGGGAAACGTGGGAATCGAAGAAAAGATATGCGCGGTTGATGTGAAACGAAACATGTTTCGGGCTACAGTAACCCGAGCGAAGACAGCGTTTCGGCTGGAATTGGCACGGGGAGAACGGAAGAAAACTGTTTCGAAGCAGGTTTTGTTCACTTCTCATTACGAGCTCGGAAGATAAAAATGAACTTTGAGGGGAACACGTAACTTCCTTCAAACATGTTCTGACTCGATGTTTTTGAGATGAACCGAAAAAAGTTATTCTTGAAAGGAGCGGCGCGGTAACTCGCTCCCTCCGATAACCATCTAATCGCTCTGTTTTCCGTTTTTGAGAGAATCTCGACCTCACCGCTTGAAACGGAGGGAAAAGATACCGATCTGTGGGCGAATAAAAGTGGAAATCGAAGTGGAAATCAGAAGACGTTGGAGAAAAGGAGAGGATGAACTCCGGATGATTGAGCGATGCGAGCGGGCGGTTCGAATGAGTCCCTCTGGGTTTTGAATGGCTTTCGAGGTCACAGAAGAGAAGAGCTGAAGGGATACGGATACGGTAGACAATTGGCCATGAAGGTGAATGCACACGAAAGTTTTTGGGTTCCACACTGTTTTGTGTTGCGCATGGCCCTTGAGAGATGCTGCTGGCAGTCCTCTCCGGATCGTTTTGTAGTTTTTCGGAAGTGAAACGGAAGCGACAAGGAAAAGGTTTCTCTGAGTTTTCTTTGCTTTCTAATTAAAAGCATATGCTACGGGGAAGGGGCTTTCAAATGAGCATCTCGGACATATTCAAAACAGATTTCATGCAAATTCATACTTTTTCTAATAGTAAGAAAGTCATTCAAAGATCTCCTAATCCACACGACCTTGTCGCGTGGAATCCCACGAAGAAAGGACAATACGGTCCGCGTTTGTCGGCACCTGCCGAGGGACCACCAGCTGAGAGAGAAACACAAACAAATGACTCCAATTAGAAGTGAATTAGGATGGTACAACGGGGCATGCGTCGGGAAAGTATCAAAAGGGGAAAAAAACAAGATGAGGTGTCCTTTTATGAGGCAACCGATGAGGGAAATTATGGTAATTTGGGAGAGCACTAAACTGAGTAAGATTCCGACCTTGAAGGTCTCGGCAAACACGTCTTAGCCCAAAAGTAGTCGGATGTTTGTTGGCTTAGGCAAATTTTTATCACCTGTTGTAAAACTTGTGTGCTACTTGACACCTCGCCAACTAACTTGGCGGTTGCAATTTTTGGAAGATTTCGGTTGCACAGTATTCGGTCGGGTATGTATGAACTGTCCGACACAGGTTAATCAAAAGCCTCGACCCTCGAACAGGTGAAAAAGATCAGAGAGCACTAGAAATGCACGGGATTATCACAAGTGGAGAAGGGGAATGAGCGGCTGACTGAGCACGAGATACGAGCTGATTTAATTTGAATTCTCTCCGAATTTCGGAGTGAAAACTATACAAAGTTTAGAAGGGGACCACCCAGCCGAGAAAATGAGAGGAAAAACGAGCCGATGACTATAATCACATTTGGTTCCGCTTCGGATTCGCTTGCAAGTGAGACGGCGGGAGAACAAAGTAGACGTGGTTTTGTCAGAATGAAAACGGAGAAGGGGTTCCTCTTTCTTTCTTTCTTTCGGTGCAGTCCTTTTTTGGGCACAAAAAATGGACATTACGATTTTGAAGAGCCGTTGAATTGAGAGATGAAGTGGACTCTTTTGGGACGCGTCCTAATTGAGTTTACTCATTTTTATTCACAACGGACTGCAGAAGAATGGATGTTCAATGCCTTTCTCGCGCTTTTTCAGAAATGTTTTATTCAGGGATACATAAACATCTATTTTTGTTCGTGTGATTGTTTCTTGAATTACATGGTGTTTCGTTTCCATCTTCATAATACTTGAGAAAAGCGAGCTTCTCCCTCCTACAGACATATTTTCCAAGAATGCGAAAAATTAGCATGAGAATAGGGTTTCATGGCACATATAAAATCACGAGTCGACATGAAACCTGAAATCAAACATGAATCTACCTCTAGTTTTGATATTCTGCCTGATTTCTGGAGCTGTGAGTTTTCCGTGCTAGTTTGAAATAACCTGATTAACTTTTCAGAGAGCATACTCGCTCGATGAGACAGTCGACTGTGCCAGGACCGCCTTCAAAGACACCATCAGCGAGCTGTCCGAGTTCTCTGACTTCCAGTTGGAATCCTTTCAGAATATCAGTCCGGAAACCAAGAAGAAATTGAAAGTAACGATGATGGGTGCGCATTGTCTCATCTTCCGTTTTAGTCGAGGGAATTCCAGACGTGCTCTCTTCGTTGGGCCTTCTTCTCGAACTCTCGACGGCGCCTTCCGTCTCCTTGGCAACTCTGCCCTTATTCAGTTAGTCAACGCCTCCTACTACTTTAATGCTGAAACAATTCCAGTTGTTCGTGCTAAAACACTGATGGCTCTTCTGGAAAGAGACATGGATAACTTGAAACCTGAAACGGAACACCTCTCGAGCACAGTCCAGCCAATCATAGATAAAGTGAGGGCAGTGGTAAACGGACTGCCGATGAAAACAGTCGAGTGCTTCAAGTCCGTTAACAAGAGATGAAATGTTTGATATAAACCCTTTCCGTCACTTTTTATGTAAAGGAGAGCTGTTTTTGAAGCAGGAACATCCAGTATAAATTTATTCAGAAATTTACGCAGAACGTTCTAACTATTTTCTGTCGCTTCTGCGCCAATATTCGAAACGCTTCTTGATTTTCTTCTCCGTCCGTTTTTCCTCGTCAATCATTTTGTTCAACTCGGAAGCCATTTTGATACGTTCGAAAGACCGTTTTTGATCCAATGAGTCAGTTTGAGAAGATTTGCACGTGTTGTCGTCATTGTCTTCATCACACCCCGGACAGAGGTAATAGGAGCACCTAAAACGATTATAAAACAATATTTACTCAGAATGGTATTGCACCTGAACGGAGGGAATGACTGGCAGATGGGAGCATTCACTCACTTGTTCCTCTCTTCGTCGTATATGGATCCTGGACCGCATTGAGCGCTGATCTGAATGAGCAGAAGAAGGAGGAGAATGGAGGGGAGGAGTGTGTTCGGCAACATTTTCGATAAGACGGAAGACACTACTCATCGGGCCTCTGTTACACGAACTCCGTTATCTGTTTACTGCTTCATTCCGATTCCATCCGATTCCATGACATTTCGGATGACATTTGCAAATATCACTCCGACCGTTTTAATGACGTACTTCGTTCTTTCGTTCAGAGTTTGAAAATTGAGTAAATCCTCAACAGTTATCAGTCCGACCACAGATTACTGCGGAGATGTTCGAGGAGTTAACAAGAAAAGAAGATTACGGTATTAGCTCTGCGGGAGAAAATGTCGGAATAGTGCATACAATCTCTCTCTCTCTCTCTCTTTCTCTCTCTCTCTCTCTCTCTCTCTCTCTTTTTCTCTATCTCTCTCTCTCTCTCTCTCTCTCTCTCTCTCTCTCTCTCCTGACTCCCCCTCACGTGATAGACTTTGTCATTACAAGGGGGAGATGATTGAGATAAATACATTTTTATTGAATACAAATGTTGATCATTCCAATTTAGCATGGTTCACAGGGTTCACAATCCATTTTGATTGCTCCAACTTCATCTCGATGCCTCTCTTTTTGTGCTTCACTTCGGCCCAACATTCGGAGTGTTTCTCGCATTCGGACCCTTCCGGACAAGGCAGATCTTCGGTGCATTCCATCGGAAACATTCTGGCTGCTTCGTACCGTCCGAACCAGATGTCGACCATCACACACAGCATCGTATCAGTGTGACGACAGTAGCGAGTGAACGGAATCCTGTTGTGTTCGGGTGAATGTTGGACGGTCCCGTCGATTCCGGTGAAGAGGAGAATAAGAAGAAGCGAGAGGCACTTAAAGAATATGGGGAATAGAAAGAGCCCCCGCGAGAACTCACGAAGAACATTTTCATTTTTCGAGGCAGGAAGTGAAAATGAACGGTCGGTGATTGCCACAGAATGAACGTTTCACGGAAAGTTTTTGAAAAACAAATTTATCAAAAGGTAAGTGTGAAATGCAAGCTATGGAGTTGGTGATTTCTTGCAAATATATGCTCTAACACTGAAATTGTCTTTGTTGTTCCATTGACCGCCATTCGGGTTATACGTTGGACGCAAGGCATCCGGGAGCAACTGGAAAGAGCATTTGAGGAAGGCTAGAAGTTATGCAATTACAGTAGTCCAGAGCTCATAGTCTAGATGATTTGGCTCATTGCCAGCCCAGTTCGTGTAGTCCGCTTTGCTCCCATCAGTCCATTTCCAAACATTGTTCATGGATTGGACAAACTGACACTGTTCACGTGATCCACGTCTGTTGAATTCAATCCCGTCTTCGAAATTGCTGCAACACACAGATTTGTCATGCCCACGGAGAATAAAGCACTTACAAGCAAGAAAGTCGTTTTCGATTTGACTGTGAACAGATGCTAACTGGGCCCCGTCTTGCTGACAAGCGGTATTGGCTTCTGTGAAGTTATGGAATCCGACAACCGTCTGAAGGTTCAGGTGTTTTCGATCAATAAAATAAAGATGCACTCACTTTATAACAAGAGTCAGTCACGTTGAACCAGACGTACTTGGAGGGACAACGATTCCCATCTAAAGAGAAGAAAATGAGTTGGGACATACTGACATATTTTGCATACTCTGTGGGGGACAAGTTGTAGCAGACGGAGTCGTTGGTTCATACGCACAAATGAATGGGAAAACGTTGTTGCAACTGGCAGTCAACCACTTGGCACTACCCACGAGGAACTGCATGCAGGCGGCCGAACTGAGCGCACTCGGTTGTCCGGATCGGTAGTTCTGGTAGTCGAATGGAGTAGAATCGGTCCAATGCCAGTTTTGTGGGTTCGTGACGATTGAGGAAGAAGCCTGCGCGCCGAGCCAGACAGGACCGTCCGAGTAAATGTATGTCTGGGCCTTTTGAGCCAAGAAATTGTTGTCGATTGTGTTGTGAACGGAGGCAAGATGTCCGTTGGAAGTGGCACAAATGGACTCGGCCGACTCGTAATCGACTGCTGCTTTGAAGAATTGAAAGCACCTGAACGGAGGGAAAGACTGGCAGATGGGAGCATTCACTCACTTGTTCCTCTCTTCGTCGTATATGAATCCTGGACCGCATTGAGCGCTGATCTGAATGGGCAGAAGAAGGAGGAGAAGGGAGGGGAGGAGTGTGTTCGGCAAAATTGTTGATAAGACGGAAGACACTACTCATCGGGCCTCTGTTACACGAACTCCGTTATCTGTTTACTGCTTCATTCCGATTCCATCCGATTCCATGACATTTCGGATGACACTTATATCAACTCATTTAAAAACTGCCAAACGATAACGAAGTTTGCAGAAGACAACCGCAATGAGAAGTGTCTTCCGTCTTATCAAAAATGTTGCCATATTCCTCGTCCTCTGCCATTGTTTGTCGGTTTCTTTTGGAACTTAAAACAGAACACGGGACTTGTACATAAAAGTTTATAAAATTCACCAGTTCGTCACCATCAAGTTCGCTATATACCCATTTCGTGTAGTTACAAGTGAAGTTGCCGTAGTTCAGAAGGAAATTTCAACAAAAAAGCGGAAAGATCAGAATGAGAAGCAGATAAGGGAACCGATTTGTTACGGAGGACGAAACCTTCAAAACGAGCCGCTCATTCCGAGGACAGAAGCCGAAAATAGAGCGGAACGGAACCGGGAACCCATCGGCGACGTCGAAAACGGAACGGGAGGAGTTCATTCGAAACAGTTGATCACCGCGGATAAAATGGATTTCTGAAGGAATGTTCCGAATTGAAGGAGTCGAACGTGTGCGAACCTTTTTGAAAAGTAAACGCAGAATGTGCGCCTTTCGGTACTCTTGCCCAGTTCAATTCTATGTCTTTCGGATACCTCTCGTCCACTTTCCGATAGTACATTTTCTCGTCCAACCGCCAGTACTTCAGTCCTTTCCAGATGTATATAGCAGGTGGACTGAAATCTCTTCATTCACATTCGATATATACAGGCTGACTTACTTGAAATAATGCCATTCATACGCCAAGTCCACGTACTTCTCATCAATTCCAATTTCAGAGAGATGGAAGGGAGCATGGAGCATTCGGGTTCCACTGATCACGTATATCTTTTCGCCTGCCGAGAATATTGTCTACATGTTCTTCTGAGAACGAACTTACCTACGAACACCCAAAGGTTCTGTTCAACAGTCACTGCCGCGTCAATCGAACTCGGCAGTCCGGGGAACAATTGATCGATCGCGACCGCCTTCGAAATGAGTCGTTTCCAGTCGGAAGAGACACGCCAAACCCATTGACTCTGAAGGTGTGTTCGTTCTGATAGTTGTGTTGCAGAAGTGGTACCTTGAATACCAGATATTCTCCCCGGTAGAGCACGACGACTGGATTCTCGACTCTGCATTCGTCCGGTCGGATATCGTCCCTTTCGTGTTCCCGCTCTTTCACTTTCACTCTGTTCCTGTCTCGTTCTCTTTCGCTTTCCTCTGTCTTCTTTTCCTTTTCTTCGTTTTGCTTCGGCTTCGGAGCCCCTTTCTTCGTCCCTAAACCAAGGAATTCCTAATTTCCCTTCTGTCTCTAATCTACCGTAGTACACTTGCATTCTGTACTTGTCCATCGGAGTGAACGTCCATTTTCTCGGAGTGTCGTACGCGAACATCACACTGTTACTGTCCGGACTGTGACTGAATCCGAGAGCATGCCCCATCTCGTGAGCGACGACGGAGTACAGGGAGTTGCCTGCAAGTTCAAGTTCCCAGTGATCTTTCCGCTCGCTTCATCCTCTCACCGCCCGTTCTCTCTGTGAAGTTCGTCATCGCAAATCGAATATTGTCGTTGATATGAATTTGACCATGCGGAGGAAAGAACGCGTGCGCCAGAGTCATTGTGTCAAACGGAACTGTGCACGGATAATGCTGGGACCTCTGCAATCATTCCCTTCACTAGCCCGTTCCAGTCCTCTTCAGTTACCCCTGCAGATATCTGAATCATCGGGCTCTTTTCCGATGTCTCCAATATCTCGACATCTGCAAGTTCGCTCCACTGCCCTGCCGCCTGATGCATAGTCCTTCGTAGATCGTCCAATGTGACCCTGGTGGACGTTCCGACGCTCTTGCACCTGTTAACATTCGCATGTCTCGCAAACAGAAGCTTTCACTTCTCAAAGGTTCACAAAGGGACACACGAAAAACGGTCAGAAGACAAACAGAAATGACGGCGATGGCCTTGATATGATTTGAATTTTAACTGATGGCATTGCACGAACAGCATCAAATATTCTTTGGAACTTTCAATCGATGTGCTTCCGTCCGTCACGTACCACATGTCCGTTGTAGCCTCATGAGAGTGGGCAGTTGGTGTAAACTATTCTATTGTGCCTTCCCTTACACTCCCTCTTCACACACACATTTTCAAATTGTCATACCCGGATGGAACTCAAGACGTGGCCGATCTACTCTTTCTTGGAGGTTGTGATGCGTTTTGTGATCTGCATGACAACCAGCAGAACGAGCAGATCGAGGAGTCTCGGAACGAAAGGAATTGGCAGGACAGACGTAGAAGAAGAAGAAGAAGGAGAAGCGGCGGAGGAATGGGGGGAATGAGTGAGTAGTCGAGCGATCGAAAGAGGTCGGCACTGCTGGTCTAAAAGGGGCGGAGCTTGAGTCGGGCGAATCGAGAGAAACGGCAGATCAGAGAGACGGCAGACTTTGGAAAGAAAGAGATCGGAGGACGGGGGGACGGAGAGAAAGGGCAGCTGGCGAGTTTAAAGCGGCGAGCAGCAGTCGGATGGACCGACGGACCGCCGAATCGGACGGAGAGCCTGGCGAAAGTCTGCGTCTCGCCGATCAGCCCGCTCACAATGCTCGTGGTTTTTTGGAGCTGGCGGTCGTCTGTGGTGAGCAGCGAGAAAGTTATTCCGATTACACACACCACACTTTTGATATACGGATGGTGGTGGACGGAGGGTGACGAGGGTGTAAAGTGAGAAGGAAAGGAGGAAAGAAAGAAGACGAATGGGTGGGAGAGACGGTCGATTCGTAAGTGTGTGGAGTGGTTGCGGCGAAAATGATCATGTTGGAACTGATACTTTCATCGATATGACGTCATTCAGATTATACTCTGCATTTCTGGCCCCTCCTATTGTTCTCGCAAACCAAGTCTTCGCTAGACTGGTCAGTACATTTCAAAAATCATTTTGGGAGAAAAATGACCAGATTTTCACGTCGGAACTACACTGGAATTCAGATTTGAACTAGAAATTTTGAGTGTGGGTTCGAAGAAGCGCATTTCCTCTTCTCTCTTCGCGAGCGGTGAGAAATCAGTGAGAAATCTCGATAGGCGAGACAACTAAGAGTACGAATCTGTCGCTTTCGTAAACTTCAAGCTTCATATTCTCAAGATGAGTTAGTGAAAAAGTTATTGGTAAAAGAATGCACAGGTCATTTGTAAACTACCCAACAAGAACACATAATCACGAGAGAAAAAGCCTTCTATGTACTCACCCGTATGTGATCACTTTGTCTTGCCATTTGAACTGTTGTGCATACCTCTTGCTCCGACTGACCCTAAAAAGCACTCTGTCGTCAGATTGTCCACCTCTTTCCCCCGATCACTTTTCCGAATCGACATCCGGATGTCCACATCTCGGTCGTTCCATCATCCGTTTCGTCCGCTCGTCCAACTCTCCCGTCTCCTCCAATCCAGCCATTCTCTGCATGCTTTTGAGTGCTTCGGTGAGAGTTTCCGAGCTCAGCTGATTGCTGCCACGTGGCAGGTACCCATACTTTTGCAGAAACTCTGTCTGAAATGCCTTTTTTGCTCCAGAAAGACGATGAATGGGTACTCACATGGTCTACATTACGTGCAAGTGAGACAGATGCTGCTAGGTAAACGAGAAGAACATCATGAAGAGCGAGCATCTGGAGAAAATGAAAATAAGTGAATGAGTAATTGCTTTGCGGCTGACGATGATAGGTTATCAGTGAGAAGAACAAATAGGTCGGAGGGGTGGGCAGATGGAAAGCTGACTCATTTCGGAAGGTTCGCGAGGAACATCTTTACTTCCACAGTGACCAGATCACCACTGAATCCCCGTGTCTTTAGTCCCGATTCAAAGTGAAAACTTAAACTTTCCAAATGTAATTCCAGCGGTTTTACCGAGCCATTCGAGCGGGTAATTAAGCGTCTAAACGATGGGAAACAATCGCTTTTTTTCGCAATTTCATTTGAACCCTCCTAGCCCAGTTACACTCCGGAATGGCTTCTGCGTCTCCTACGGCTGCGTGCTCTTCCCGTGAAGACTGGTCAGCCGGATAAAAAATGGGAGCTCCGAGGGAGCCGGGAGTGACGGGCAAAAGATGAAAGGAACGAGCAGGTAACTATGTACATAGTGACGGAAATGATTTACGAACAGAATGGGACAGAGAAATGAATGGGGAAAATGAAGAAGAAGACGTACTCAGAAATGTATGTTTGTCGGTGTAACTGATCAAGGATTCCGATGACCACACGCCCATTCAACAACTAATTTACAAAAAAAGAGGAAAGGAATTAGCGGGCGAGGTAGTACAACTGCCAGCCTCTCTTACTCATTCTCGCTTTTTCAGCGTCTCCGCAAACACATGAATCACGGAATCTGCATCTGGCAGAACGTTTGTGTGTAAAGGTACAACCAGTAGAATGGAATCGGAACGAACGGAACGGATCAGGGGGAAAGGTTCGGATGGGTGCGCACGTTCAACGAGCCGAGACTTACGAAATGGGTTACGAAATGCGTCTCTTGAGGGGCATAAAATGGGCGGGAAGATGGCACGTTTTATCGTGGCACTCGGGAATAAAATACCGACTTTTTTGTGATCGAGTTATGAGCAATCTGAATGAGCTCCGCGAGTTTAACTATAGTTGTAAGATTGTCAGAGTTCGTCGGCTCTTTTATAGGGACCGACAAGGGACCGCTAAGAATGAAAGGAAACACTTTATTTGAATATTTCACATTCTATTTCCCATTGGCTTCCTCCTTCTCCTTCTCCTTGTCCTCCTTCTTCTGATCCTCCTTCCGTGCCTTCTCATTTGCTTTCTTTTCCTTACTCTTCCTGATTGTTTCTTCCAAATCCTTCAACGCTTTCAGAATCTCGTGCTCTCTTCTCGTCTCTTCTTCAATTCTCTCTTTCAGTTTCTCTATCTGAAACATTCCTTTCATTTCTTCTTCCACTTCCTCTTTTCTCACCTCTTCCGCTTCTTCCGTATCCATTTTCATGAACCCTATTTTCGCCTCCAACGCCTTTATCTGCTTCTCCAACTTGTGATTTTCCATTGCCTTTTCCTGTCCGATGGCCGCGTACCGTACCGAATCTTTTTCGTATTCCGCCTTCTCCACTGCGATCTTCCTTTGCAAATCTTCCCATTTCAACGTATTCTCTGCGTATTCCTTCTCCAATTGCGCGATTTCTTTCTGAAAGAAAACAGGTCATTCGCATTCCCTTCTCTGATCGCAACCGCGAAAAAGCCGTCCTTTTCCTCTTCTTGCCCTTCTAATTCTGCCATTTTCGGATTGAATTCCATTACACTTTGGAATACTTCGTATATCTGAAACCATTCACTTTTAGATATTGTTCCTTTCCGATACTGTTGTGTACCCTCTGGTACACACAAAAACTCTTCTTGCTTTCTCTCCTCCTCTGCGCACACACTCTCTCGGTGCCGCAAACACCTAAGTTTACGGCTTTTGCTCATTCTTGTTTCTAGTCTAGTTCCTGCAATGATTCTTCTGTCTAGTATTCCTCTGCCTATATTATTCAATCTCGAATAAACGTGTATCTTATATACACTCGTTCCTCGACTTTTCCACCTCACCGGGATAGAAAGCCCTCAGACATATCAGATACCTCTTTCAATTCTTTCTCGATTTCTTTCATTATTTCTTCTACACTTCGCTCTTTAGGAGGGGATATTTGCTTGTGAATCTCGTCATAATAAGAGCATTGCTGAAAGCGGAAACTGTCTGTTTCGCAAGAATATTCAGACAAACCTCTGCAATAAACTTCTCTATATTAACCTTTTCCTCCTCAATATCCTTCGCAATACGTGCTTCCTTCTCCTCATACGCCTTCATTTTGGCCACTGCCATCTCCATAATCGCCCGTCCTTCCTTCCTGAATACGCTCATTCCCACTTTCTCTCATTCCTCCAACCCACCGAATCTTGGAAATGTACTCCTCTCTTTGCAGCTTTCTGTGCTCCGAAATGAGCTCAAACTCATTCTTTGTCGTCCATTTCTCTTCCTTCATTTCGCGTGCTCTCTTCTTTTCTTCTTGTATTTTTTGAGCATGCTCGCGTGCCACTCGACGCTTTTCCCGCAGTTTCTCATAATATTGGGTCTTCGTGTTAGGCATCACTGAAAGAGGGAAAAGGAAGAAAGGGCGGCAGTAAAGTTTGAAATGAAAACGCGAATGGCCACTATTCTGGAGGTTATGAGGCTGTTTGGTTGAATGACTTTCCGACGGAAATACGTTGGTTGCTTTCAGCGTGCTCATGCGAAACTGAAGTTGGTACTGCAGCCGATGAAGTCTGGAAATCGAGCTCTACTGCTCTCGACCTGAATTCACTGCCAAACCGCGATCTGGTTTTCACATGGAATTCCGGTTGAGAGCTTTTTGTCAGCATTTTGAGGTGCTACCCTCAAAGATCATCGAAACAACTGCCTTTTATCCCTCGAGTTTTCCCCTCTTTTCATAATAAGTTTGTCCTTCCGAAAGCTCGCGAAAGCGTAAATATGCGCGCTTTTGGTTTCCATGGTTTCTCCGCGCGCTTCCTCGGCTTTCTCTCGCCTTTGTTAGTGGTGAAATGTCGAGAACGAGATGAACGTCATCTCCTGATGAAAGTTGAAGAAGTGTTCCAGTTCCCCTTCTCTTCCCCACTCAATTCCCCCTTCTTTCTCCTTTTCAGCTTCATTTCTTCACTTCCCCATCATTTTCGCTTCTCTCTCGCTCTCACATAACCCCTTTCCCGCGCTTTCCAACAAACCAGTCCTCCCGTTTCCGTGCTTGCATCATCAATTTTTCAAGATTGTATCTGTCCACAAACACCTCGTTTCTCCCCCCTATTTTCCGCCGTAGTCGCACCAAAAAACATGTTTGTGTGCGGTGTCTGCCGGTTGACTGCGCACGCACTGATATGCACAATCAGTTTGGGAGTCTGTGAAAAAGAAAAGAAGTCACGAGAGACGGACGAGAATGACAATTCGAACGAACAATTTACCCTTCAATTGTGACGTGGCAAGAAGAATGATGAAATCCAACGTCAATTTTTTGAAATAGAGATGGGTGCTGTTTTCTGAATCTGCCGTGACCCTCCAGGTGATCATTCCTAGTCGCACCAGTCGCTGCCAGGTGCTTTCCGCTCATTGTTGTCGCCCGTTTCTTTTCCCTCAAATTCGAAAGCGCTCGCGTCTCCTTTTCCGTCACACTATTTGTCATTTTCCCAATACTCGTCATCCTTTTCGGTCGCGAGAAAAACAAAAACAAGTCGGTCGTCCCAATCTGAGCGCTTTTCTGTCTTCTTTCCTTATTTCCACTTTCAATTTTATCATACACGAAGCTCGGTAATTTATCATCAGCTGGTCACAAGATTCAAACTTCTTTTCATTCGCAAACAACCCACATCATTGCGCGAACAGAGTGGAGATTGCGTTTCGAAACGAACATATGTTTAAAGGGACATACCCAAGATTGTTGGTGAGGGTCCCGCAACGAAAAGGGTCGCATATACAAGAGAGAGCGCGCTGCAGTCCGTTTCCACCGCGTGCCGGAGAGTCGGCCCAGCACCAGTCGTCCCCCATTTTCCATTCGCGATCGTCCGCTCTTTGCCTTCCCTCCTCTTCGTCAGGCGGCCATCACATGATCGTCGGTCCCGTGCACTCTGTTCTTTTCTGTGCACTCATTGTTTTCATCGCCTATGAGTACACCGTCCAGCACTTTTGAACAGAAATTGGTTTCAGTGAAACGTCCTTTCGTTTTCGTTGTGCGTCATCTAATCTATTTTTCATTTTCCTTTTCGGTCATTCAGACTGATAACATTTCGTTGCCTCTAAAAATCGTATAGTGAGAGAAAAGAAAAAGAAAATTGTTATTGAAGTGGTCAGACGAGCGCACAAAGAAACGCTTAGTACGTCATTCCAGACAGCGGCGGCGTCCTTAACTTTCGCTCGAATGACCTTCATTGTATGCTCTGCCCGTGAATCCCCTCGTCAGTTGTCTTTTCGAACATCTCACCCGTTTTCCTCTCCTCTTTTTTGTTCTCTGATCCGTCCCAATGCCCACTTTCATCATTCTTTGCAAGAGAGACATTTCTCCACAAACGATGTAATGTCATTCAATGTCATATCGCTTTTCCTCTTCGCTTGGAGATAGAGAGAGTGAGGAAACTGGTCGCTACGTGCCGAATGGGGAGAACACTCCGCTCGCGCTTCTCTACGATCTGCACACTGCCCGTATTTCATAACACCCCTCTCCCCCTTTCCCTACACAGCGCGCCCCAGAATGTTCTTCCTGTGAGATTGGCCCGCTGAGTCACTGGCCGCTTCCTCATTCGCCCGTAAGTATAACACCGGACCTTTTCCTCAGCGCGCACGCAAACAAACGTGGTTGACCCTTCTCTCCGGGGCCTCACATATTAGACAGCGCACTCCGAGGGGCACCACGCCAATTATCCCATTCTCCGCGTGTACCATTTCGTAATTGCAACGTTCATTGCGCTCTAGGGCTTTCGAGGAAAACGGTGAGTAGTACGGGCTTACAATATTTTGTCCTCGTAGTGTCTCGCGTATCGTGGGCCCCGACTCAAATGAATTCTGGATTGTTATAGCATATTTCAAAAATTTCTATATTAGAGGCGATTCATTGATTCCTTGTGCTTGCGTTAGTCTTTTTCATGCTTTCCGATTTAATTTTTCGGTTAGAGAAACGAGAACATCAGCTGAACGTCTCTATGCGTCTCTGGCCGCATGACACACTAAGGGCGGAGTCTTGTCGTGCGTGCGTGCGCGTGTTGGGCGTGCTATCGATTGGCGGAGGAGGACAGCCCGCAGTGAAACGCCTCACTCGCCCAGAACGCTCCGCTCGCGTGCCACTCCTGCCTTTCGCAGCGCTTTTATGTCGTTTAGGTCGTTCATCACTCTGAGAGCATATTCTTTTTTAAATCTTGCCTAGAAATTAAATTGTCTTGTTCATGCCTTAGGATATTCCCCACCTCTCGGTTAAGTATTTGCACTGCGTTCTCATGTGACGTATATCGATTTTCGAAATATTTCGCAATCTTCTAGAATGTTCCAGCGTTCTCTCAATTCGCATATAAAGTCGCTCTCCATTTCCGAACTCATTCATATTGCTTCTATTTCAGCAAGCATGCAAATCTTCGTCAAAACTTTGACCGGAAAGACCATCACTCTGGAGGTCGAGGCTTCGGACACCATCGAAAATGTCAAAGCCAAGATCCAGGATAAGGAGGGAATTCCGCCAGACCAGCAACGTCTCATCTTCGCCGGAAAGCAGCTCGAGGAC